AATCTCCTGGCAGTTATAACATTGCATCGGTCGTGGCCGATATTCAAAGACGCTGGTTGTCCCGGATTCCCCTCCAACGTGGAAGTATCCATCGGCCAGGAGCCTCCGCGCGTCGGAGCCTTTAGTGAGGTACACGACCATCGAGCCATATGGCTTCGCGGCTTCCTTGCTGCTAAGCCACGTCATCTTGGCGACTGTACTTTCGTTTTCTTCACTCAGTGCTACGGTTGCTCCAGCCAGAATGGCATGGTTGTCATCCAGCACCGCAGCCCTCTTGACGCCGTCGACCTTGATCGGGTAGAGCTCGTCCCGGAGCACCCGGGATCCTGTTCCGATCTTGTCTTCCGCCACTTTCTTGACCAGCTGGTGCTCGGCTTCATCACGACACGCAATCCTGATCCGATTGGGGTCTCTTGGACTCACGGTGACCGCGCGGCAGCGCCAGTGGGTGTGATCATCCATCGTTCGGATCTCTTTCTCGATTGCGGCCCTGATTGAGCCCGCGGATATCTTTTCATTTTCAATTTCGGTCATCTTCGAGGTGTCTATCGTACAGTACAAAGTTTCGGTAAAGGTGGTCGGTGTCGTGCCCAGCGTTGACAGTGTCCGTATGTTGCTTGGGTAACTGGTTGGAGGAGTGCGCGCGACATCTGCATAGGATGGGGCACTCGTGGGAGCGGGGACGCTGATTTCTTCGCGCAAGGATTGAATCTCGCGGAGAATCGCATCATGGTTGTTCTGAGAGCATGCCTCGGAGTGGCATTGCGGTGTCAAGGGTCTATCAGTCAGGTTCTGTAGCTCGTGTCGGACCTCGGCGAGAGCGGCACCAAACTCTGCTTGGGCTTTTAGTAGTTCTTCCTTATATATCTCATCGCGGAGTCTGATCTCCCTCCTGAGTTTGGCGATCTCTTGCACCAGATTGCTGACATCGAGGTCGTCGCTCTCGGTTGCGGAGTCGTCCGAAGTTGCCACGTCAGGCTGGTTTTCGGGTTCGATTCTCTTCTTTGGTAGCGGTCGCGTCTTCCTCTGCTCGTTGTCGATCTCTTGCTCTCGAGCATAGTTTTTCGGTGGTTTGGTGGTGCGCTTCGGTCTCGACAGTCGCGGTGGCGAATCCTCGCGTTCATCGCGGTCGGGCGAATCAGGGGTTCGCATCGCGGCCCGTCCCGTCAGTACTCACTCGATACGGGAGGTCGGTATTTTCGCCACGTGGCACAAAAAGGCTATTACTGGGCAGTCGCTCCTCCCAGTCGAGATACAGTTGGTTCCAGTCACGTATACCCAGTCGAGATACTCCTCTTAGTACCCTTCAGGAATTCATACAGTCTCCGCATCGGACTAGTGGTACAGTCGATAGCGAAATCAGCTTCCTCCCTACAGATAGCTTTTATCTTCTCGGGCCCTACTACTAAGGCACTAGTGTAAATATATATTCAATAGATATCGATTAAAATTCGACTACTTAAGGTATTGACCGGTATTTAAAACCGGAATTACGGTTCCAAATTTATAGTACTACAGCATATATTTGAATTATGCTTTGATTTGGGTCCACTCGAATACCGGGTGATGCACGTGACTGGGTTCCTTCTTATTGAATTGTGGTAGTTACGGCCCTTAAATTACTTACTGTGGGCATAATTTGGGTAGTAAACGTTTGCAAGCGCTGTGAAAATCAAGAATTTTGTAATATCATCGTACTAATATATACTTGACGTCTGAGCATATCTATTATCTTATTCTTTTTAGTTTTATTAGGAATAAGATGTAAGTTTATTTGGGTTACACAGCCTCGCGAACGAACACGATCTAAGCTATATGTTCACCCAGATGCAAACACATTGCACATCTCTGCTCGATCGGCAGGCCGGCATCAACCTCTTCCTTCATGATAGTAGCTAGTGATGTCGTTAAGTCAGATAATTTCAAAGTGGTGAACCCCAGAGACTTATAAAAGCCCTCGTTCCATGGTACATTTCGAAAAGTGGTCAGGGTAATAGATGAGCAGCCACAATGGACCGCCCATTGCCTCGCCGCTTCCATCAGACCCCGGCCAATTCCTTTGCCCTGGTAATTCGATTGAACCGAAACTTCACATATATGGAGATTTTGGTTTATTAGGTTGCCATTAAGAAATCCAATCGGTACGTTCTCATGATCAACCGCCACCCATGCAACCCCGTCCTTGATCAATTCCAGGTGTTTCTCCACAGATTGTACACTTCCATTGGCGAGCCATGCAAGATCCGGGTTTTGGGAAAAAAGTTGCGCTGCCGAGCGCTCCACAGCTGGTAAGAACGGCGCGTCTCTTGCCTCTGCCAGTCTGACTGCAACAGTATCCATGGTGCTGTATATTTATGGATGCGAGAAGGCTTTTATGGCAATCAGATATGCCACGCACTTAGATGAATATCCAAAACAAGTGAAATGATTGGAGGTGCATCTTCAAAAGCCGTCCTCTAGCATTAGCATGCGTTCGAATATGACACTGAGAGGAGTACAAACGAATACCGCAGGTCTCCGATAATTCACGTGATCAATACTACAGGGAAGAAACGCACCGAGATATTCTGAGTAGCGCGGAGGAGAGAGAGGAGGAAGTGGATGAGGGAGAAGAGGAGAGGTACGAAGGTTGCGAGTATAGCGGTTTCGCGGAACTTACAAAGCGTTTCTGGATTATCCTAGGTAACGTACTTCACATGCGAATGGGCCACACAAGCGAGTGGGCCACCTCCAAACACCATAGTAAATGCGATAAATTACAACTCATTAACTCAACATTAAAGGTCTGTAGGGACTTCTCCTTGAAGTTTAGTTCTTTCTATATGATGTTTAGTCTCTCTGAAGAGTTTTGTGAATTTTCATAGCTTGGTGACTTGGAAATATATATTTCATTTAATTTGAGATGTAATTTTCAACACCGTGATACTAGTAGAGTCGAATATATTCGAAATTGGTATATGCTTCTAAAAATGCTTATCAAAATCTATCGGCAAGTAATGGGATAGAGGAAGAACGTGGTTGTTGGGATATTTGAGTATGAAATATCGCATTTACTATGGTGTTCGGAGGTGGCCCACTCGCTTGTGTGGCCCATTCGCATGTGAAATACGTTAATATCACGGTACCATAGCGAGAGTTCGCTCCACTTTGCTTTGGGGATGTGGATTGGGGAACTAGGAGAAGCCAAAAGGAGAGGAAGGAAAACTACAAGGCTAGGCCGTGTTGACAGGGCGTATTGTGAGGTAAACCAAGGATGTACAGAGTATCAGCGAATTGAAAGCGAGATACAAGATTTACGCAGTACAGCAAGACTTCTTCTCCAAGCGACCAGACAAGCCGATACAGTTGATGAAAAAGGAGTTTGCGTCGATCGAGGGTAGTGTAAGCCCGATGACACTGTGCAATCAACATGCGCAAGCACAGAGGTTGATCGCGAGATCCAAAAATGAGAATAATCAAAGTGTTTCCAATTAGGAAACTTTCAGAGATTAAACTGAAAAGAACAGATACTACACTTGATCTAAGCCAATTGGCAAAGAGAGCTGGAAAAGAAAAAAGAAAAGAGGAAATGCTTGAGGGAGGAAGAAGGTATTTATACCAAAAAGCAAACAGCGCTAGTGGAAGTCTCGCGTGTTCCAGCCAATCAGAGAACACTAAATAATGGAACGTACATCAGTCACATATCACATGATCAAAGATCTTTTCTGCGGCTCACATGCAGTTCACCGCCTCTTGACATAAAAGCGGTATGGGCATGAACTTTGTTGACCCGTTTGGATAGCTCTCAAGCGGACTTCAATCCTCAATACCGATTCCAAATTCTACGCGTAAAGGCCAGAAAGACAGCGAATATTGGTCCTTCTTAGGGAAGCTTCGGAGTTTCTCCCCTCTGCACTGCACAGCACAGCAAAACACTGCCTCCACCCTAGATCCTCAAGTTCTAATGCGGGGAAACAAAGCATGGAGATTTAGAAATAGCCTGATGGTACTCCGTACTGGAGCTAGAGCCACGGAACCACACCGTATAACCACCCGATTACACACGATCGATCGTCACGCCAAGCCCCAATGAGGGTAAAGGGCCAACTTTCGTATTCTTATTCTAGGTTCTCCGGTCTTACATGATGATACCTCAATGTGCGACATACGCATGGTACACTGTCTATTTATGCCTTGACTTGGTTAGCCTGAGGAGTTTCGGGGGATCGATTTCAGGGTCTCAGGGTCAGGATTCGTGTGGCTGCAAGGGATTAAGTCTTTGACGCACGATCCATCCTGCATGGAATGCCGAAAGCCGAGACCCTTGGGCTCGGCAACTTGCCAGTCATGATCAATCATTCTATGTTGCATCTCATTATGATTAACTAATGTGTTGTCTCTGCAGCATTGAGACCTGATCATGACATCAAGAGCAGTGCTCGAGCAGCCCCGATCGCCGATGATTCTCTGTAACAGCACGCGACCGAGAAAGAATGAACTCAGGTCCGGAGGCCATTGTCAGTTCAGTCTAGAATTCATGAATCTGATCAATCTAGTGAATATGAAAAAATGTCTCTTAAGAAATGTGCTCACAAGAAACCATCCTAAAAATGTTGTACCTAATTGATTGCTCACTGTAGTCAGGGTGCCTGCTCCAGTAAACGCCAAGCAGTGACCGCCAGGCGGGTGCTCCCTGTCGGCTCGCTTGTTCTCAGTTCGAAATCCCCTCCTGTGTTCTCTCCCTGCGGGGATTACCGACCTATGTGGGGATCATACCCTAGCAAGACTGGCCAATACCTAGCAAACATACCAGTTAAAACTCCTTCCAGCTCTCAGGGGTCTTGGAACCGACTTTTTGCCTTTTTCGCTAGATTACAAGCATGGTCAGATAGCTCGGTCATTTCAGTCCCTTCAAGGGCCGTTCCATAGTATAAAGCAAGAATGTTCGCCTAGAAAGATTGTTGCTGTGTAGACCTCGTTGTGGCTTTTCCAGTCCACATCAGGCGGGTTTAGTTGGAGAGATGCGTCTTCTGCGAAGTGCCGTTTTCTCTCTTTTGGTGAGCTCTAGCCTTGCTTATCCAGGGCGTCATGATACAAGGTCGCTGGTCAAACAAGCTCCCACTGCTGGGTATGCTCCCAAGGAGCCACCGCTGACAACGCCTTGGACGGATAAAGTGGGCACCCATCCATGGCCTGAGTATCCGCGGCCACAGATGCAACGATCTCAATGGCAGAATTTGAACGGAGTATGGCAGTATGAGAACGCATCAAGCCTCGCTGCTGTTCAGAATCCGCCATTCGGGCACAACCTTGCCCAGAATGTTCTTATTCCGTCTTGTTTGGAGAGTGGTCTCTCAGGTAGGTCTCCTTTGGATTGGACTTGGCTTGATTTATCAATCTGACCATATGCAGGGGTCCAGGGTGAGTATATGTTATATTCATGGTTTTCAACCTCATTCAAGGTGCCATCAGACTGGAACGGTCAGAATATCTTGCTCAATTTTGAAGCCGTGGACTATGAAGCCACAGTCTTTGTCAATGGAAGAAAAGCAGGTTTTCATCGTGGTGGATACTCTCGTTTCTCTTTGGACATTACAGGATTTCTGAAGCCGGGCCAAAAAAATGAGCTGTGAGTACCTCGACACTATGTTTGACTGGAAGGGGGCTGACTTGGAATTAGGCTTGTCTTTGTGCATGATCCCACTGATAGTAGTGATTATGTTATTCCCATTGGAAAGCAGACCCTCAAGCCCAGCCATATCTTCTACACTCCCTGCAGTGGGATATGGCAAAGTGTTTGGATTGAGCCTGCACCAAAGGATCATGTCTCGCGACTAGACATAGATGGGAATATGAAGGGTCAAGGTGGGTAATCCACCTTCTAATTGATATTCGATCGTTAATACTCTTTAGTCAATATGACCGTGCATACTTCCTCTGTTAACGTCACCACCAGTGTTCTAGTCACTGTCCACGATGGTGACAAGGTCGTTGCAACTCACAGAGGTCCGGCTAATCAGCCCTTCCAATTCAATGTCGATTCCCCGAAGCTTTGGTCCCCGAGCTCACCTCATCTCTATGACATCACTATCAAGTTGGGCAAAGAGCAGGTCCAAAGTTACACAGGATTCCGCACTATTTCCAAGGGAACCGTCAACGGCGTCGTTCGGCCATTGTTGAATGGCGAGTTTGTATTCATGTTCGGTACTCTTGACCAAGGCTTCTGGCCCGATGGAATTTACACGCCACCCACTAAGGATGCTATGGTGTACGATCTGCAAATGCTGAAAAATCTGGGTTTCAACATGGTCCGCAAGCATGTGAGTATAACAACGCTAGCCGTTTGAGTGCATGGTGTTAATAAATCGTAGATCAAAGTGGAGCCTGAGCTATTCTATCGTGCTTGTGATGAGCTGGGTCTGCTTGTCATCCAGGATATGCCTGCATTGCGGCCCTCCGAGCTGCCTAATGCAGCGCAACAGGCTGAATTCTCGCGTCAGTTGGAAGTCCTGGTCAATCAGCACAAGAGCTTTCCCAGCATTGCAACTTGGGTAAGTCCAATCTCGCAGGATTTGATTTTTCAGCGCTGATGTTTTACAGAATATATATAACGAAGGCTGGGGACAGCGGACCGATTACTATCCTGAATTCGAGTTAACCGACCGAATCAAACAATTGGATCCGACGCGGCTAGTGGATTCGACGACCGGCTGGTATGATCACGGAGCAGGGGATTTCAGTGTGAGTAAATCCTTAGTATTCCAAGACCTTTTCCGAGCTCTTTCCCGCCTTTTCCGTGGCTTTCACTCATTCTAATAGGACAACCACCACTACGCCAACCCACAATGTGGGACCCCATTCTACTCCATCAACTCCCGCCCTTACGACGATACCCGCATTGGCTTCCAAGGAGAATTCGGAGGACTCGGCAACAACGTCTCCATTGAACAGTAAGTCATCCCGGAGTTTACCCGAGCTCTAACTGAAACCTTTGCTCACAACCCTAGTCTCTGGAATGACAAAAAAGCAATCAACGCCATCAACCAGACCTATGAGATGGATCTCACCCTCGACGCCTGGAATTACCGTAGTCATCTGCTCCTCAGCGAATTGCAGGACCAGGTCCGCCGTTTCTCCTGCAGCGGTGGCGTCTGGACACAGACCACCGACGTCGAAGGTGAAGTCAACGGATTGATGACCTATGACCGACGCTTATCTCGGGTTGACGAGGTCCAGTGGAAGGCCGATATTCAGGGTCTGTATGATGCAGCCGCGGCACGGAGCAATGGTACGGCATTATGAGGGGCAGTTCCAAGTATAGCCAAGGAACTAATTACAAATAAATACGGAGTACGTATGTAAACATTCTTTGTCTAACCCGATAGAGAAGAAATTTTTAAAAGCTACCATGGATTGGATTCGAGTTTACCGTCAGCCTCCTTTTTCTTCGTATCTTTCTACGGAGTATCCCGTACATTCTAACAAACTTTCAAAACGTATAAGTGAAAAGGGGTAGACACTTTAGATACACTAAACGTTATCGGGATCGGCTCAGATGTACAGAATGACTAAATCGGTCTTGAAGACTCAGGTTAGTCCAAATCGGGATGAACTTAGTTTAGTCTCTCGATTAAATTTCCCTTGATTTTTTTCCCAGCCGTGTGACACGGCAGCGCGGATTAAATTACCTACTAGTAGTGTCCAGTCTGAGATTTTCGATTATTTCCTATAGATAGACAGATCACATCCACAGATCCATACTTTATACTTACTTCATGAGATTACTTAATATACGGAAAGTCTATGATAAAGCCACACGGATAGTTGCAGCTGTCATATTCTTCACAAAGTCAAATTGATTACTCCGTACTTGGCACGGCAAGGCCCAAGGTCAGAACGCGGGGTGAAAGATGAAACAAGGATCCCATAGGTAGCATACCGAGCGTCTAGCGTCTAGACCGCGGTTTTCCAAGTGATCAACACAGGCATTTTTGATCGACAGCCGTGGCGCGTCTCAGTTTCATTACCAGGGGCAAAGCTTCTTTGGATGACATCAACGGGAAAAAAAAAACAAGAAGTCGATCTATCAACAACGTAAACAAAGAAAAGTAAGCCGGTTTACCAGCCCCTATTTCCCCCTTTTGTGGTGAAAATTTTCACGTATGCGCGTCCAACCGGAAATCATCCATTTGCTTTGATCAGGCAACAAATCCACTCGGTAACTCCCCGGTCGAATCAGGCCACGCAAATGGAAAAAATTCCATCGATTTGCTAAAAACGGGGAACTTAGTGGTCTTTCCATAACTTAGTACAACTAGTGGGTTAGTGTTTATGCAAGTTTTCATGAATTTGTCAGGGCCCACAGCTGAAATGTTCGGTGGTTTTTCTAGAAGCCACTTTCAATAATCTTACTTTCGTTCTATGGTTGAAGCTGAGGGCCCAAGCGGGAAAGGCGTTTCAAAAGGCGTTTTGACATCGGCAGTTAGTTCCTATAACCGAGCTTTGTGGCGGCACATTTTCTTTGTTCTTTCACCCCTTTTCATGAATCTCAAAAATCAGACTGGTCAAAACATCATGTTCCTAACTCTGAGTTCCATCCAGTTGGATCTCGTATTCGTAATAGAAATAGAAAAAAACGCCCATCACGCCCCGATCCGTCGGCTCCGAGTTACAAGTTCCACTTGGTTCTCGGTTAGCCGTTGGGACCGCAGCGGAGCTCTAGCGCGTTAATCAAAGCGTGTTTGCATCTGGATCTACCAAATTTGAGTTTGACTTTTTCGTTCGGAAATCAAACTAGTGACATGTCTAGTATAGCTCGACACGCAACCCTGACCCTGTAGTCTGAAGAAGCGACAGGTCATTGTCAATTCCCTAGACTTCCGTTATCTCGCCAAGCGCAAGAGGCGCAACAGCTATGCGGATATTGTATCGGATCCGAGTTGTGTTGGTTCTCCGCGTTTGCTTTTTTCCCATTTCCCTCTCCACGTGGGGGTTCGTTTCATGTTCGACAGTGACAGAGTGACCCATAATTCCATAGATTCCGAGCCGTGACGTCCACTGTGGAGGGTGGAGGAAATTACAGGGATCATGCCATACCTCCCGAAGCCTTGTTCTGAGCCCGGACTTTACTACCACGGAATTCTGCGTGGTCTGATTCGACGATGCCTGCATCTAAGTGACCGCCATTTGGAGATGAGCTGCTGCCTTAGATTGGGAGAATCGGGTCCATTCTCTCTTCTAGGCAGGAGTTCCGTTCCACTTTTCTTTGTTGCAACCCCCCATTTTGGGAATAGAGCATGATGTATGCTAGAGTTTGATCGGACGGTTGCCGTTGGGGAGGTATAAAAGATCTGCTTATCCTATACGTTTGCCACGAGGCGACCCAGTTTTTTTTTCTCATTCATTTCGTTTCCAAAGTTGAAAGTCCTATTCTCATTGAGCTTCCAAGTTTGAAAGTATCTTTCAGAACTTAAATCACTTTATCAATCATGCCTTGTGATTACGGTCTAGGGCCTGGCTTTCAGCCGGAGCATATTGACCGCAAATCATTATATGTCAGCTTGGAAGAGCGCATTAAGTATCTTCATTCTTTTCTGGAGTGGAGCTCTGGTATGTGTTCATCTCATATATACTTGCACAGATACTAAACCAACTCTTCAGACGATATCGAAGCTCTTCAAAGCGGAGCCAAACACCTCAAACAACTTATCCCAACTGTCGTCAACATGGTGTATAAGAAACTCCTGGTCTATGACATCACCTCGCGAGCATTCCACACCCGCACCACGGTGAGCGAGGAAGAGCCAGAAGAGGACTACCTCACCGAAGAGACACCCCAGATCCAACGGCGGAAGATGTTCCTACGCTGGTACCTGGTCCGACTGTGCTCGGACCCTACCAGCATGGAATTCTGGCGATACCTGAACAAAGTCGGGTAAATAAACCCCACCCCGATCTCCTATACCTATACTAACCTTGGAACCTTGGAACCTCATAGCCAAATGCATTCCGGTCAAGTCCGCCAAGCCCCCCTCAACATCGAATACATCCACCTAGGCGTCTGCCTAGGCTATGTCCAAGACATTTTCACCGAAGCCATTATGACCCACCCCGTCCTCTCTCTCCGTCGCAAAATCGCCCTCCTCCGCGCAATCAACAAAATCATCTGGATCCAAAACGATCTCTTCGCCAAATGGCATTGCCGCAACGGCGAGGAATTCGCTGATGAGATCTCCATGTACAGCTTCGGCTCCGGGAACGATGAGGGCTACTGCGGAAAACCTGTTGGAAGTAGCGCAAGCAGCTCCATGGATGATGATCAGGTTAGTATTGTTAGTAGTCTCGCGCCGTCGACGCACACTACTGCGCCTTCGGTTCATACTACTGGGTCGTCGAGGACACCGGAGGGAGTAGCGAAACCGTCGGCGTGTCCATTTGCGGACTTTGCGAAGAATAATTCTTCGACTTCAACTAAGATTTGGGCCAATTGATGAGGTTTTTGGGAACATCGGCATTATGGAGGGCATTATGGAGCGGGATTGGTACATTGGCTTGGCGTTTGACCAGCATTTTTTGACGGTGTTTTGGCTTTTTCTGGTACATATATCCTCGAAATTTAACTCTTTTGTACATTCTTCAATACTTATTTTGTCGCATAAATTGAAGGCTTAATTCCACTAGTGGGGTTCACCTGCTCGTTTGTCAGCAGAAGTTGTCCACCTTTTCATTCGGGAGTCGTCCCCCACTCGGCTACAAGGTAATTCAGTGAGGGACGCCCCATATATTTTCTTTGTTCCTTGAATCTCAGCGAACCACTCTATACCATATACCCGGCCTTATCGGATATCCAACATTTGAAGTCGGAGATAAACCTCGATTTCCGAATTATCGTTCTATCGTCAATTGATCCACAAATCTCCTCCACCTCCACACTAAATCCGGCAAGATCTGCCCTTGCCTAGCAGCACCATCTTTCAGAGCTTTTAAACTCTGCTTCCCCCGCACCAAAAAATAGGGGGACCTAATCTGATCTGATATTCATTCCACACAATTCCTTTCACCATGTCTGATCTCGGTTCCAAAGTGACGCCACTCATCATCAACGGTGAGTCGATCGTCACTGACATCAAGTTCGAGGTTCATGCGCCCGCTACTGGAGAATTGTCTGGCTTCTGTGCTGGTGCCTCGGTTGATGATGCCCGACGCGCTGTTGATACCGCCCAAGCTGCTTTCCCAGCCTGGGCTAAGGTGCAGGCGTATGATCGCCGTGATATTATGTTCCGGGCTGCGGAGATTATGGTCTCGCGCAAGGAGGAGCTGATTGCGTATCAGCGCGAGGAGACTGGCGCGGGCCGGCCCTTTGCTGAACACACCTTTAACTTGGGTGTTAGCTTCATTAAGGACTTTGCGGCTCGCATTCCGACTATTGAGGGTATCGTGCCCAATGTCACTCGGCCTGGTGAGGGCGCGATGGTCTTCAAGGAGCCATATGGTGTGGTTCTGTCAATTGCGCCCTGGTGAGTTATTCTTTACTTGTTTCTGCATTTCTGTTTGGTCTGGCTGAGTTTGCAACTTCGGCCGCTACGTTCCGTTGTGTGGCATGCTAACCAGTTGCGTCATAGGAACGCACCTTTCATCCTCGGTACCCGCGCAGTAGCTCTGCCCCTTGCAGCTGGGAACACAGTCGTTCTCAAGGGTTCTGAGCTCGCGCCCAAGTGCTTCTGGGCTCTGGGCGATGTTTTCCGCCAAGCTGGTCTGCCCGCAGGATGTCTGAACGTCATTTACCACCAGGTCGCGGACGCCGCGGCGGTGACAAATGCATTGATTGCCCACCCTGCCGTGCGCAAGGTTAACTTCACCGGTAGCACGATGGTCGGATCGATCATTGCATCCACCGCGGGCAAGTACATCAAGCCTGTACTCCTTGAGCTAGGTGGCAAGGCATCGGCCATCGTGCTGGATGACGCAGATCTGGACAAGGCAGCGATGAACTGCGCCCTTGGATCATTCATGCATGTAGGTTGAAAACCTCCCTATCTTGGATACAACCACTAACAAACATCAGTCCGGCCAAATCTGCATGTCAACCGAGCGCATCGTAGTCCAACGTGGTATCGCGGACGAATTCAAGACCAAGCTCGCCGCAGCAGCTGAGAAGCTCTTCGGTAAAGAGGCGCCCGCCCTCTGTCTCGTCAATTCCGCAGCCGTCACAAAGAATAAGCGCCTCGTCTCGGATGCCGTCTCTCGCGGCGCGACCCTTCTCTTCGGCGATGCCAACGCCAACGAGACCAGCACCACCATGCGACCCATCATCGTTGCAGACGTCAACAAGGAAATGGATATCTACGCGACCGAGTCATTCGGTCCGACCGTATCGCTGATGGTCGTCGACACCGAAGAAGACGCCGTGGCACTAGCCAACGATACCGAATATGGTCTGACATCTGCTGTGTTCACATCGAACCTGTTCCGCGGGTTACGTGTCGCAAAGCAGATCGAGTCTGGGTTAGTTTGATTTCTGTGATCTGTAAATTCCCCCTACTAAGTACTAACATGATTTAGTGCCGTCCACATCAACGCGCTGACCGTTCACGATGAGCCTGTGCTCCCGCACGGTGGCTGGAAGAGCAGCGGCTTCGGTCGCTTTGGTGGAATTGCGGGTTATGATGAGTTCCTGCAGACGAAGACTGTGACTTGGCATGAGTGATCTGGATAGATATGATGCATCGCTGCGTATTCGGTGGTTCTGTTTTGATTAGCGGGCGCTGAGCTGGCTTGGCTGTCTTTGTATAGGGGTGGCTTGTCACTTGCTGACGCTGAGCTCACCCTGGGTAGTGACGGGAAATAGATACCCAATTGGATTTCGATATGAAAATAGATATGATACGACTATTTCTGCTTTTACTACTCCGTACAGATACGGGGTACGGAGTACTCCGTGCCAGTTTAGGTGACATGAATGTGACGCTGCAGGTAGACCCTCCATGGGCTCCCTGGTATCGGGCGCAGCCTCGCGCCATCCTTTTGCGAACTAGGATCAATTCCAAAACACTAAGCTGGACCTAGACTTGGCCCCTACAGGGATCAGTCGGATGATGACCGAGACCCTGAATCCTGAATCCGAGTCAGATGCTTTCGCCTCCCCGCTGAGGCTGAACCAGTTCACATCACATAGATCATTTGCCTTCTTTTCTCAATACCTTCGATACGAGGTTCTGATAGCTCTCAAGTGAGATGGAGGCCTCTCAAAGCTTCCAAGAACATGTCATTTAGCCATAAGCGGTGAAGCTTCCGGAGTACCCGAGGCCCGCTAGACCCTCCGGATACAATTCCGTAAGATTAGCATCCACCTGACAAAGGAAAATACCATGACACTATCTATTTGCAGAATGAGTTCATTTCCCAGAATCCATAAGCCAATCCCTAACTAGTTAAACTGTTAGCTGTTCATTTCAAATCCAATTCACGACTCCACATTCTCAGGAACAGGAAATAGCCTTAATCTTAACCAATCAACGCTATTCTCTAACTGAGACAATTCAAATTTCCCAAAGTTTGCTTTGTTTTGGTGGCTGTCCTCCGTACCGAGGAGCTGTGCCGCCGTCATCCAACTTCGCTCAACCCCCTCCCCCCTGATCAACCGTTGATCCCTTCCATGGTTACCAATGCTCCCGACGAACCGGTTTGATCGGCGATTTGAGACTTTGTGATGGGTTCGTCGGTTCGTGGGCGGGGAGTCGATCACCTCTCTGTTTTTCAACGTTTGTCAATTGCGTGAGCAAGTTCAGGGTCTTACAGCGGGGTGATGAGTCAATGCCATTGGTGGGGATCAAAGCGGTGGCGCTGCAGGGTAAGATTAAATTTTAGTTCCTGGAAATGCGGTTATTCTCCGGGAAATGGAATGGTCTGTTTATTTACATACTACGGAGTACAGTATTTACATCACATTGATTTATCATATTTGATTGGACTCGGAGTTAAACGCTGCCATAATCATATGCAGTGTCCTGCACATGTGGCGCGGATACGAAGTGACAGGGTAATTATTTCCTTTTTTCCCATATACTTTCCACTACTCTACAGTGTCCCCTGGTACCTGATTGTTAGCGGTGCGCCGTCGCTAGTGGCTCGGCAACATTTTTGGATTAGGGGATTCTGGGACTTTTACATTTTTTTTTTACATTTTTTACATTCCAATTCCAGGGTCTCGAAGGAATGATGCAATTTGATTACTTATGAACTAGTATGAGCTAGAAAGGCCTGAAAATAAAAACCAAAAAGACTCGGGGTCATTGGCAGCCTTACACTAAGGTACCATACATACACGAGCTAAGCCACGAGCCGCCCGCATGCCCCACGAGGATGCATACCCTTTTCACCTACTCCGTATTTCTCGCCGAATTACTCATGTTTACGGGGTTGATTTAATTGAGAGAACTTAGTATATTTGTACACATCTACTTCGTAATACTGGAATCATAATGAAATAAAATAAAATGAAATAAAATACTGTTGATCTAACTAATTGCTCTGTACTAGACCTTCGCTTGGAGACGCTCTCCACTATGACCGCAGAGGGGCATCTGGTTGGCCCGCATGTCTTGGCTTTCCTTCTTGATGGGGCTCTGAAATGTTTCCCTGTCTCCACTACGCTTTGGCCCTAAGGGCCCTTCATCTACTCCTACATCTCCTTTCCTTTTCTTCTTCTTTCCCCCATCCACTCTCTTTCATCTTTTTCCCTTCCCAAAGTCATTCTTTACTTTGTGGCCTGTCACTCTTTTAATTCCAACTCAGTCATTCTTTCTGAAATCAAAATGCGTTTCTCCACTGCTACCGTCTTGTCGACCTTCGCGGCCGTTGCTGCTGCCTACACCCAGCCCGACTACAGCAAGGATCCTTCGGGTAACCCCATTTACACCCCTTCTCTGAACGAGCAGGTTCCCGAGGGCAAGCCCTTCGAGATCACCTGGGACCCCACCCTTGGTGATGTCGTCTCTCTCGTCCTCCTCCAGGGCCCCAGCACCAACACTCATGTCCTCGAAACCATCGTTGAGAACATCGAGAACACCGGTTCCTACACTTGGACCCCCAGCACCAGCCTGACCCCTCAAACCACCCACTACGGTCTTCTGCTCGTTGTCGAGGGTACCGGCGCATACCAGTGGTCTACCCAGTTCGGTATCTCTGCCGCTGACTCCAGCTCCAGCTCCAGCTCCAGCTCCAGCTCTGCTTCTACCTCTGCCACCGCCTCTGCCTCTGCCTCTGTCTCTGACGCCATCGTCACCGTCGTCGAAGACAAGACTACCACCATCTGCCCCGAGACTGAGACTCAGGCCACCGCTACTGCCAACCCCACCACTGCTGTCGAGGCCACCACCGTCTTGGAGACCACCACTGCTGCCCCCACTGCCCCGGCCACCATCCCCCTGCCCACTGGCACCCTGTCCCGCCGCCCCATCAAGCCCTCTGCTTCCCCCGCTAGCAGCGCCTTGTCTGCCTCGGGTACCACCACCGCCACCCCCGTCGCCACCCCAGCCTACAACGCTGCTGGCCAGAACACCATCAGCTTCGGCGCCGTCGTCGCTGCCCTGTTCGCCGTCATGGCCTTCTAAATGCCATGATACCCGGGGTCTGTGAAGGTCTTTGTCTTTTTTATCTTTCTAAGCTTTCATTTCATACCCTGATGAATGATTGTTGATCTTATCGATATCTTGATATCCACCTTTTTACTTCAAATGTTTCATTCCCATTAATTTCGCAGCTGTACCATGTTTTTCTTTGTCATGGGATTTCAAGTCGGCTATGCTTGTAATGTCGAGTCTCATGCCTTATGTCTATTGTTAGTAGACTCACTGTAAATGAATTGATTTTGTTCATATGTCCTCATCTTCTACGGATAGATTGTAGATCAAGGCTTTAAAAGGCGGATGGAGTAGATAGTGGGGCTTCCAATCTTGTGTTACCACTGGTACCAACAAGAAATTGTCATACTGATCGGAACAACTTTGATCCAAAGTAATAACTCGTCACTACACGGATATACTTCGTAAAGGTAGCAAGCTGCATAAAAGAATTATTTCTCAACCTCGACTAGCTTGACCCGTGGAATGTGGTCAGTTGGTCCCTTGCATTCTGTGCGGCGAATGTCTTTGCATACGTCATTGAGATAATGAAGCACAAACTCAGACACAAGATCTTCGATTCATCTCTATATAATCCGTCTTCTGCAACCTCCCATCAAACGATGAATCTTTTGCCATCTCGCAAGACCCAAAGATCGATGAAGATGCAATCTTGGCATTAACAATAGATACACCCCGAAGACGACCTTTCAACGAAACAGCCACCAAAAGAAGCTTACTGAACGTAGTCCACTGACCGCAAAATGCAAAATTGCTCCCGGGATATCCAATGCTAGCACCAACACTGCTGTAAGCAGATATAACCTCGAAAATCACGTTGAAGGTGGAAAATTCCACCGGGTGAGATTTGTAGTGATCGGATTCGGCGATTGTGATTAGGATGATGGCGAAAGAGAGCCACCACATGTCGTGGCTGAATTGGGAGCGCAGTTGTTGGTATAGGAACCGACCGCGTGCGAGTCTGGAGGGCAGTGGGTTGGTTGACGGGAGAGGGTTTAGGTCTGAGTTGTCGATGTAGGTCGTGTTTGTAAGTCTTTCTGTAAGAGATGTGCTTCGGGTATGTGTTAGAGTAGATCTTTGCATTCGAGGTGGATATTCTTACCCAATCGCCGCTGAGACCGGGAAGGCGGAAATATACTGTGAGAGTGGTTAGAGTAATAACTTTTGGGGGGTTCAGGTGGATATTACCATCATAATGGCTATATAAGGTATTAGCGATGTTCTTGTTCTTGGACTTTTGTGGAGACTCACCATATAGCATGACCAGTCCCTGGGGTAATTTGTCGAATTCTACAATGGAGAAACCACCACCGCGTATGGCTAGAAACTGTCAGCAGATTCACAGAAATCGGTGATGTTGAACTTACCTAAAGACTGGAAAAAGCCATCCAAAACTCGATATTTGGGAGGCAGAGCCCGGATTTCCATATCCTGGATTGACGCAAGCTCAAAAGCTCCCCACATAATAGCATTGAAGACCAAGACTGTACCAAACAAGAACCATGTATGCCAAGTAGGATAAAGAAAAGAGCACACCTGTACGTATTGTAAATCTCAATCCCTTGGTTCTGTTCTAAAGAGGAAAACTTACATTTTGAGACTGGACGAGAGCAAAATCCAAAGCTTGTCGCCATGTCCTCCAGGTCGGGGTATTCGGAAGTAACTTCCTTGTGGACCAGATAAACAATCTGAGCAAGCAAGGAAATAGCGTGTTCCCAGCAAGAATCAAAGCTCCACAGATAAGCAGCGGGAAAGCCCTATCCATGTCTGTGATCAGCGGTAGCATGGCAAGGGGTTCCAAGAGGAACTCACTCTCTCTGGAAAGGAATCATGCTAGTATCGATGAGAGACATGCCATTAGAGGCGAATGATGATGTAGCGAGAAAGGCCCCCGTCCAGAACGGAGAAATGTCATCAGTAAGGGATAGTTCTGGGCTGTATATTTGTAACCAGAGGCCGAGGCTTAGGATTCCAAATGAGAGAAATGAAATGATATAGAGTAATATCAGGATTGAGAGGAATACGAGTGCTCTGCACTCTACTCCTTGTGGATCCATGTCGTCGGTCGGGGCTTCCCAGCTCAGATGTTCTTTTGTGCGCTGTGCCATGGCTGTGAACCTGGCGAGTATGCGTGAAACGCGTATTTTCGTATTCTGGACTTTATCTTTTTCATCGATGGGAACGAAGCTTTGGACTGGCTCTAGTTGTGTTAGGTCGGTGACGACAATGCAGGTACCGGCCCTGTATGGTCCTGGCTCGACGGGCGAGATGTCGGTCGGTGCTTCCAGCACGGCGATTTTCACTTCTGGCAAGGCTTTAACTTTTTCTGATGCATGTTCTTGTTTTTCTGGCGTTGGAATCTCCAGTATATCCAGGGCTGCGATATCAATCCCTTTATTCTCCATTCCATTGTTTTGTTTCTCTTTCAGTACGGAGCAAAGCACCCACGCTCGTGTAAAGGAGAGGACACTGAGGATAGGGATAGCATGACCTAGAATGAACAGGACAAATAGGGTAGCTTGTTGTACAGTATCCATTAAAGACAGATCGATCTGCATCCAGATTAGCAATATTTTTTAGGATATTGATCGACAGTATACGTACGACCGTCAATCCTGTTCCAGTCATGGCACTGAAACTCATAAATGCCGCGTCAGCATATTGAAACCCCGGGATCCTCGTGGCCGTATATATTATGACACTGCCGATCGCAGATGTGACAATAAAATAGACATAATGCAGAGTAATCGAGTTCCAACGCAAAAGAGCAGAGAGTTTCGGCATACTCTTATGATTGGTGTCACTGTCGTGACCGACCCCAGAGCTGGGATTTCCACAACCATATAATATTTACGGCATAACAGGGTTTTCAGCATGCAAGAGAGCTCGCTGTTTTCCCGGCATTATCTACTATCTGCTAATGACCACATGGAACCCTTTTCTTCACCAAAGGAATGCTAGGTTGGTATTCTCCCGCCTTGGTCATCGCTCTTCTACGGTCTGGGTCCAGCTATACAAGGGCATCTGGGCCGAGGACAGCTGGGAGCGCGGACCGCTTATCAAAACTTCAGCCCAGTACATGTGAATAAAATACTTGGCATTCCAAGGGATCAGCATGAGCGGCTAAATTCTGTAGCTGCAAGGCTAAAGTATGTGGATCCGACGCTCTTTAGCAATGTTGGTAATTCCCCGGTCTTATGATTCTAGACGGCTTTCTACAAGGAGTTTTACAAGGAGTCCGATAAAGGTGAGACATTCGAATGGGATGGATCTTGCATGTGAAATAGATGAGGAACCGTGATCAGCAATGACGGAAGCTTTCACCATGTCAAATTTTTCCATGCTGACAGTATGTTGCCAGTCTTGGAAATCTGTTGCAGATAATAGATAGGGCTGAAATGCTACGTAGCATCAGCCCTGGATTCTTTTATCTGCAATTACCTGCTGCACCATCCACCCTTTCGCCTCCAGATGACATATCCGCTGACTGGAGCAGTTGGAGACACATGACGCAGCGATCGTGAGAATACCTAATTGTCATATTGACGTGCAACATTCACAGTTCATGTGCCTCAAGTGCTTTGTATGTTGTGGGTCATTAAGTAAACATTGACCAATGATAGGTCAAACGCTAGACTTCATATGGGGGTTCAACCCCTTTTCCAGGAATTAGACGAACAATGATCTTTTGCATCGTTTTGACATGTTTAAATGGACCTCATTGATCTATTTTACTTTATTACACAATATTCTATTCTGGAATATTATTTTTTGATCGATTAAATGCGAGGAACAAAGCTTTTATATGAATGATATCAATTTGATGGTTAGATCAATCCACACTATATATTAAGCACGTACGGATACAACTATTCGATCAAAATACACACGTACAATAAAGATATACGTAGTTAATGTACTGCCGTTTCTCGTCAGACTAATAACAACATTTGAACGTATACAAGAATACATGTCCCCTGCTTATATTAAGTTTAACTTTTGAAAGTAAGGTTATTTTGCGAGAAATTCGCGCAAGCGGTACTCAGGTGAAGGACTGAAGGCTAGAGTAGAGCAACGAGAGCTTCCCGACTACTGAAAATATTATAACAAAGTGCAAAAACAAAAACATACAACAGTCAGGATTCGCATGTGGTCACCCACCATACTACTAACTAACCGGCGTGTGGCTTAAGTACGGCTGAGCGGACGGGAAGCCCTGTTCTCCACACCCTATGGTCGTATGTACTCATTTGCCATTTGACTTGGATTATATAGTGCATATAAACAGAAATATAATACTGTCGCACCGCGCTACTACAGTAGCATAAACACAAAAGTAAGATGGCATCTTCGAATTCACATTTGCTTTATTTAATTAGTCCCACTTAAGATCCCATGTTCGGAAGGGATTGATCACAACGTTGGAAGATTATCGAGTCAGACCGTTGACCTTCGTTGTTGTACGAAGGTCCAGATGATCCCCCTGATGACATAATCAACGACAAATTTTTTCATCTTAGGAATATATTTAATTCAAAGCTAGGCGGTCTCTAGGGCGGTGGAATTTTATCATCAAAGGGGTCGTAGTTATCCTTATCGGGTGCGATAAGACGTACCCTACCAGATCGTTCGCTTGGCAGACATTCACTATTGGAAACATGTACTCTCGCTGCATTGGATACCGTGGGGCCTCCACGCTGCCTCATATGGCTTCAACCTGGAGAGGTCTTTTCAGGACAGGTCAACACGCGACTGTGGTTGGAACCCGATCTCTCCGGCCACTTGGGACAGCCGTCGGTCGCGTCACCGTGCCTGGTGAGCTCTCAGCTTCATTGACCGAAGTTTATTGGACAGTAGCTGACAGTGGAATCCAGAAGTCTCGCGAGACACCAGAATTATTGTCATTTCTGGCCCATCGGGAGTCGGCAAAGGAACCCTCATTCAGAAGCTTATGGACGCACATCCTAAAAAATTCGCATTTACCATATCCCATACAACCCGTGCGCCACGACCCGGTGAAACCCACGGCGAAAGCTACTTCTTCGTCACCCCCTCTACATTTAACGACCTTGTTTCCAAGGGTTCCTTTCTCGAACATGCAAGCTTCGGTGGGAACCAATATGGCACGAGCAAACAAACAGTTTCGGATCAATTAGCCAAAGCGTCATACGTTGTGTTCGATATTGAGATGCATGGTGTGAAACAGATGAAGTCGGATCCTAGTATTGACGCTCGCTACATATTCATTAGCCCGCCTAGCTTTGAGCATCTTGCGAAACGTCTTCGAGGACGCGGTACCGAAAAGGAGGAGGCTATTCAGAAGAGACTTGCCCAAGCGAAGGCTGAGCTTGATTATGCCCACACGGGCGCTCATGACAAAATCATTGTCAACGATGATCTAGATTTGGCAGCCAAGCAGCTTGCAGATTTTATCTTCTCGCCACGGAGCTGATTGCATGACCGACCCACCGGAGTGGGTGTGTTTGCTTCCCAGATGTCATATCGTGAGCATCCCTTCATCGGCGCGGAATGCAGGGAAGTTGTTCCACCCCTGTGCTGATGTTCGTGTGGATGGTGGCTCACAGCCCCTAGTTAGTGAGTACCAGTCCCATATAAGAATGACAATGATTCCTGATAACTTCCACTAGCATTGGCCACCCATTTTCAACGAGAATTCATGGGATGGCTTTCTGATACATGAAGGCATCGGTCTCCGAAAGATAATTTCTAATGTAACCCCCGCTTGTCATGCACTCGAAAACCTTTGAAATGGTCATATTAATACGAATTTAGGACCATTTACAGAATACACACTCTTACACCTCTCTCACTTTGACCTTTCTCGAGGTCTCGAGGGACTCGCTTCTCCTCGAGGGCGACCTTCGGTCGTGGTGGGTTTTGCTTAGTATATCCGTTTCGTACGTCGTCAGGGCGTACTGCCATCAAGCGTTCCCTCTTCAGTATGTAAAATTTCACTTTCCATACAAGTCACGACAAGTCCGTGCAATTCAGCGGAAATCCTATAGTGGATAGTGGGTCTCTAGAAATCCGATTACGCGCGAGCCACTAATGCCTTGATACGAAGACCATGAACAATCAAACATCAGTGACCAATCAAAGATGGCGTCCATCTAGCCACCTCAAAGCGCGAGCTCTTCATGACATCATCATCGCGATGGGGGAACTTTTCATGGTACAGATGCCACATCATAGTACCGCCAAGTAATTGTTCTACAGGAGTTCTCCGGCTCACTTTAACCATATTCACCGATATCACTTTTGCTAGAATAAATACTGCTCTCACCTACCAGGGTATCTCTCATGTTTACCGGAGCCTCCGCAACCAACTCTCTGAGAAGTCGTAAAATACTGTCCGCTAAATAATTACACGATCTGCATAACAAACTCAACCATGTCCTACCCTACTAAACTCTAAGGTTAAATTATATGTGCATGACAATCGAGCGACCCAGATTATGAGATTGGGTGAATTTCACCGTTTTCATCTAGTCTAGACTCCAAGACCATATTCTAGAACCTTGATCTTCGTATCTAACACTAGCGAACTCAAATCGGACTGTAGGTCTTGGAAGGAATGAGACAAGATAAAAGTAGCTGTGGTCCCCCTCTTTAACCTCACTTACTTCACACTAAAACTATCATCACAATCGCCGAACCAGAAATGCATTTTTCCCTGCCTTTTACCTTGCTGCTTGCTGTGATCCCTCTTGCTACGGCGGATCTTTGCCCAGGGCTTGGATCGGTAGGTAATTATTTCATTACAAGAAGATAACTCCCATACACATTCATATATGAATCTATTTGAACCAAGATGTTTATACTATACCTAGATATCACAAATCAGTAACGGAAATGACGGGTACCTGGACATTTGTGATTGCCCATCCGGAGTAAGTTGATGAAACTTGACAATTGACTGCCACATGAAGAGTCACCTCCTGACCACTATTATATAGATGGATCACGGAAATATTCCCACTGATGTAAGGCTATCTGACTCTACTATCATCTAGCAGGAAATACTAACGTCTATATCTAGCCTCTATTGGTCGTTTGTATACCCAAAGGGTTATGATAAGGTCACTCCCTAAATTGATACCTTTCAGGAAATTCAAAGGCAATCTACTGGATCATTGTTTCATTATCACCCTTCTGGATCTGTATTATCATTTAGAGAGATGGCCTACTACACTCAGGTCCAAAGTCCAGGATTTTAAGCCGCCAGAGATATGCGTAAACTGAAGCAACAGGCCAGTCTTCTCTGCCGCTGACTGTGAAATCTCTATACAGTCACATTAGCAGTTAATTTTTTATTGATGTTCTGAAAAAATAAAGCCCTTAATTATGAAACCAAGCGGCTCTTCATCAAAAATACCTAACGCTTCTGAATCTTGCAAGGCCATCCATAAGGAACAGCAAGGAAACGAGTTTCAAACTTCCATTCTTTGCTTGGATCAACCAACTCAATCTCGTAGTCTCGGAAGATAGTAGTGAGGACTTTGGAAAGCTCAAACTGAGCCAGATTATGCCCAGGACATTTATTATACCCGGTTCCCCACTGTAGAGTGGTTAATTCGAGCATGAATATTATAGGGTAGTAATATACGTACGTGAATCAAAAATGCATCCATCTTCTTGGTGTCTGCCCGAAGCCAGCGATTGGGATTGTAGCAGTCGCTGTCTTCGCCGAAGATTTCTTTGTTGCGATGAATGACCCAGGGATTCACACTCAAAATCACCTGTTCTTCGTTAGTCCTATCAGGATAAGAGGATGAAGATGCTTACCCCCTCAGGAAAATGCCTCCCAGCAATTGTCATTCCTCCTTTAGGCATCACTCGGGGAAGGTTGTGGGCAACACCTGGGTGGAATCTGTATGCCTCTTTCAACTTTATCGTCGTTAGTATTCGCGTCAAGGTAAGATGTGTTAAAGACTTACACAAGCCTGGAAGAAAGGGAGTTTGGCAGCTTCGCTATTCTGGATCACAGACGAGAGTTCCCCACGGGCCTGCGCGGTGTCGATTTCTTCTTGTACACGCTTCAAGTATTGGGGGTTCCGTAGCAAATGATACACAACAGCCTGGGCAGTTGCGCTGATCGTCTCAGCACCCGCGCCGATGTTCGCGACAGCCGCTGCGAAAACGTCTTGTTCACTAAGACGGTCTGGATGGGTAGCGCGAACATCAAGCCAGCGCTGCATCATATCATGACGGATCTCGGGGTTCTTCTTGCGCTCGTCGACGGCAATGAGACATGTATCAAAGATGTGGGAGTTAGGTTGCAGACCCAGTCTGCTAAACAAGGGGTTTCCTAATGTGAGATGGTGGAACCAGACATAATTACCCATTACGGCAATCCAATTGACTAATGAGCCAGTGTTGGCGATTGCGTTTCGGATGTCAGTGCCTGATTCGACGAAACCGAAGGACTTGGAGAATGTTACTTCCCCAAGGACGTCGAATGCAAAGAAGCTAAACCAATCGTGGAACTCGACGGTGCTACCTGCGTCGCTTATTTCATCGAAGCGGGTCTTGAAGAGTTTTAGCACGGAGTCAAGGTACGGCTCTGTTTTTGTAATGTTGGTGAGTGAGAAGCCTGCCGAGAGGCTACGAGTCTTTTGGATATGGCGCGTTGGGTCTAGTTCGGACATTTGGTTGACATAGTGGTAGTCTGGAAGACTAAACATGGCATAGAATTTTCCCTATCGAGAATGAGTTGTTCGTCTCGATCTAGATGTATTCGATGTATCAACTTACCTTTGCGATATTTGCCTGAAGGACCTGCTTGACTGCGTCCGGGTGAGACACGCTTACTTCATTATCGGCGATGCGAACAAAATGGCCTGTGATGTTAGGATGTTTCTCTGTATCCGAATCTAAATCGAATCTGTGGAGTCATACCGTGCTCCTTGTGTAGTCTAAGAATCTCCTCCTCACTATGACCTTTCCAAAGATGGTATACCCTCCATAGACTGGAAAACGAGGCCACAAAGGGACCTGGAACGTCTCTCATCGACGTCCCATATTTGCGACGAAGTACATAGGTCACAAGCGCCACAACAAGAAAAAATAGCGCATGATACCTGTCAAAAGACGATATCAATGCAGGCATTACTATCATATCAATCTCATTCGGGGACTTCATTATGTCTGGTGGATTCCAGGTTCAACAAAAGTTCAGACAGAGCAAGAAAAAGGATCAAAAGAGGGGATTGACTCGTCATCCACCAGTCCGACCAAAGTGGTCCCGCGGGCCCTCCCGTGTTAACGGTGTGGAGTCTAAACCGTGGAGCTAAGTAAAGAGCTAAATCCCGGAGGCGTTTTGGTGAAACTGCTAGACAATTGATCGACAATGACTTAGTGGGGCCCCGCGACATGACAGGTATGACAGCCCACTTTGACCCATTGACAAAGCTGACTGGAAGTATTCACCCAACTGATTAATGGATTGTTTCTTCGGAATCTCCTAATTTGACTAAATAAAAGACCAAAAATGCTCAATATTCTTTTGAATGCAGTTAGTATCGGCGTTCAGCTAGTGTCTACCTACAGGGTTAGTGTAACCGGGAGGATTACCATAAACAATTAAGCGAAGTAGCTCTAAGCCATCTAGACCATACACTACTGCATCCTTCGCCTCGTCACGTTCTTTTGTATATGACACGTTCGATTTTACTTATCATTCCCTTGTGGCAACATGACCGTGACTACCATGACCCGTGGGAAATTTGATTTTGTTTTCATCATAGTACTTCAATCCAGTTTTTCATATTCCTTGAGCCCGTCTAGATCTTGGTTGAAAAATCTTTGACGGTGGAGCGAACAGGGATGCACCTAATCCTTGTCCGGGCCAAACGGGAAGAGTTCCGCACGAGGGATTACTGGCCAAGCAAATTTGACGTTTGAGCTAGTCTGCCCACCTTACCTGAATGGGGTTGATTGACAAGTGATAACTTTAGTGAGGATCATTCTCTCTTCACCTCCCATTTATTATAAAATCCCATCGAATTCGAGTCGAATGGATGAAATATCATCATGGCTTCTACATACTCCGCTGCCTATTTGGCAGAGGATCGTCGAAAACCGGCGATGATTGGAATTACATTTGTTACAGCACTCTCCTTTACTGTGGTTATGGTTAGACTTTACGCTCGAAGGTTCTTGATCCACGAATTAGGTTGGGATGATCTTTTCATTCTGCTTGCTCAGGTATGCCTACTTTTCATTGATTCGCATCCAGCACTTAAGCTGACCTTGAAATGCATTCAAGTTAGTCAGTTGGGCCACAATGTGTCTATGTATGATGATTCTCCGCTATGGATCTGGTCGACACTTGGCAGCGCTAGTCAGCCACCCCGAGGAGCTGGTCTTGATGTATAAGTGGCTTGTCACAACACAGATGGTGTACATGTTCAATTTGTGGCTTTGTCGTGTATCTGGGTTGGCTTTTTATGCCCGTCTAAACCAAATGCCACGATTCATTCTTTACCTCCGACTTTCCTTTGCCTTTGTGACTGCTGTCTATGTTGCACAGACGCTCATCATTGCCCTTCAGTGTGTTCCCCTTGCAGCCCTATGGGGAGCTGTGGAAGGGAAATGCATGGGCTCAAAGATTACCTTTATTTCAACGGGCGCGCTTACAATCGCCTGTGATTCATTGATTCTTCTTCTCCCTATCAATATTGTTCTATCGTTACAAGCATCAATGACAAGAAAGCTTGCTCTATTGGGTATCCTTTGTTTTGGCATATTGTGAGTGTTTCGTTCCTTTCCACATTCGATATTTGTCCATCATTGCTGACATCTTCTCCAGTGCCGTCGTGTAAGTGATTATTTAGATACCTTGAAAATCCCAGCTAATGTCGAATACAGAACATCGGTACTTCGAATGGTCTCCATGATTGTGTCAGTTGAACACGAGGACGATGCAACATGGTATTTCTCACCTGTCATTGCTTGGACCTGCGCCGAGGTCAGCGCAGGCATTATTGCACTCTCTCTACCAGCACTACGAGCCATCTTTGGATTTGTCAAGGAACGACGTTCAACGAGAGACCAGAGCTATTCTAATGGCTCGGAGAGTATTGGACTTGACTCAGTGCCTCGATCCCTTAAGCCACGAATGTTCCGGGCAGATATCTATGAAAACACAGTCGAGGTCGATTGTGCGAGGAGTGTGAGCCGGGAGGCTCTTTGGGATGGAAGAGCCGAGCAGAAAATCAGAGTAACAGACACGGTGGATATAGATGTCCGAGAGTAATTTATAACGCCACTGGCTTGAATTTCTATCTAAAGGTCTCCATATACTGTACCAATTCCACCGAATCATCATATTCCCAAGAGCCACAGACGGACCAGGTCGCTTATAGAAAAGCCCATCAAACCTCTCCGGAAAGAAACCGCATATTCCCAATCCAGTATTCCCGTTATTCTCAATGTGGTCGGATCAACAAGAACATTATGCTGTGAAAGATCCCCATGATAGAAAACATACTCTTCCTCCGCACGTGGAATTTTGCGAACCCAAATATCATTCTTCGAATATTCCATCGCTCGATACGGCGGGATGATGATTCCTGATGGTTCACCTTAGGGATTCAGACTTGAGGTTGCGGAGTGTAGCAAGGTGCTGCTCGAAATATTTTGTGACGATGAGCTTTTGATCATCTGATAATTTTGCCATTTGTATCCTGTTTAGGTGTTCCATTATTATCATGAACATTGTCTATTTCGAACGCGCCGTATAGCGTTGGGACGGGGATATCGGTTGCATTGCGGATGTAGTGGAGTGTTGCGGCTTCATTTTGGAATTCTTCTTTGCCTAGGCGGGAAATCTTCTTTTCTCCTCGGATTTAATCATGTATCCTCCTGGTCGGAGTGAGCGGTCCCTAAAATAATTCTCGTGGTGGTTGTAGACTCTTTCGGAGGATTGAGTGTTAGATGTGTAGGGGGTAGGTGAGATACGGTGAGCAATTCCAGGGCTGATTAGACTGGTTGCCTCATATGGAGGTCTCTCTGTCATGATGTTGAGGATGGCTCTTCTGAAATATGGAATGTGAGTATGGACTGGAGATATGGCAGGTCGCAGTGAGGGGTAGCTTGGTGAAAGAATCACGCGCAGGGACTTGTCATATAGCGCTTACAGACCGTCATTTCAGAAGTAAAAAACATCCCAAGCCAGGCTGGAATCAAAACTAAAATGACCGATTGGACATCGAATAAATTGTCTCTGTTAGCAAGTTTCCTCCCTGGCTGTAGATGTAAATTCCACAGTCTCCATCCCTGATTGGCCCTCCAAAGCCAGACCCACGTGACCCCGATAAGTCGATAAGGATTTTTCCGTAGCAACGGCAAATGCAATTCTCCTCAAAATCCAAAACTTCACCCATTTCCACTCTGTACTGCTGGCAGTGCTCCATATATTTCCATCATGGCTCAAGGTTCAGTGAAGAAAAACAAGCCCGCCGCTGCGACAGCGAAGCGGTAAGTTCCCAGTTCCATCGGTCCACGTTCAAGTTTTTGGATCTTTGCCAAACCAAGTGACTCTTTGCTAATTGCTGGTATTTAGGTCTTCACTCCTCGCTTCTCGCACCAAGCGTGGTCCCAGGCAGGTCGCCCCCAAGAAGGCTTTGCTGGTGAAGGCGGCGAAGTTGAACAAGGTATGTGGGGTTTGTTTAGTGCGGTCCAGGCGATAGTCCTAACTCATACTGTATAGAAACTCACCTCCGGCCTCGTGGGAAAGACTGAACGCAGTCTTGCGTCGAAGGCGGGTCACTTGGAGTTGTTGGCTGGTGGAAAAAAGGAAAGACTTGACAAGAAGAACAAGGCCACCGCCGCCGCGAAGAAATAAAGGTGGAATGGTGGAAAAGTTATCTGGCTCTCTTCTTTTATTCTACATCGCGTGTCCATAGCGATGATTCATGAAATCGATACCCCGTTCGTGGCTTTCTTAATAATCCTGGAAGATCAGACAAGATCATATGAAAAGTAATTCTTACATTCAAAGTCGAGGTAAGATGACACGAAAATATGTAACAAGAAGCCCAATTTTCATGTACAGAACTCAAGCAGTGGCCGCAGATGTTGGAATCAACATATTTTTGAGGTTAGAGCGGCATTCATCAATCGTAAACCGGTAGATCGGGTGCAAATATGCAATCATCCTCCGGGCGCAAAGCAAAATTTTGAATCAAAGACACTAAACTAAAGAGAAAATAAATATTAAACAAAGAAAAGGAAGAAAGGGTATCTATAATGTCCAACTCCGTCACACCTTGCGAATCCAGGCGGTCTCTAATTAAAGCTTGGAGACCTTGCTAGGAACACCAGATTGCTCAATCAAGTCCTGGCCATGATTCATCCAGTCCAGGAAGCCCTGGTCTGTCGCATCGGAGGGGAAGTCATCCCACACTGCGTTCTCCGCGTCTGCATACGAAGACCAAATGCCTTTAGGGATATCGGCTGTACACCATGACGGCAGCTTCGCTTGAACGCAGGTGTAGTAGACGTACAGGATGCGGCAAAGAAGCTCAACCCGATCAACGTAGTGTTGCTGGCTGGGGTCAGGGCTTTGACCACCATCACCCAGTCGCTTCCACCAGGAGCACCGCCACCGCAGCGAAAGAAGGATGTGGCCTAATTCGCCTAGGAAACGAATGTGGGTCTCGTGGGAGATCTGCTTCCATTTGATGTTGTAAAAGTCGCGCTCTAATTTGCGGAAGCCTTCGACTTCGAGCATGCGGCATACAATGCGGGACAACTGTGCTGCGAGGAGAATGTCTCGTCGGTCAGAGGGGTTGTTGATATCCATGTCCCGTTCCTCCCCGTTGCCGTCGAGCGGAACAATAGTATATTTTGCACGACTGGGCATATTGTTCCATTGGGAGAGCAAATTCTGTGAGAGAGATTAGAGTGGTCAAGAAAATTGAGGTGATGTCAACTTACGTAGGCTTGGTTCATTGGGTCGCAGTCCTTGACACACGACAGCCAGTTTTTGGATTTGTCTTTCGACTCGACAATTCGGCGGTCAATGAACTCAAGGAAGGTGGACTTCGAGTTGCCGTTATACTCGGTCAGACCTTTGAGAAATTTGTATGTCTCTCCAAGATCGAGGACATACAGAGAGCCCCAGGCCTGACTGGCGCGGATGTTGAACCGCCCCTGGCGCTCGCCGAGGAATGACAGGAGCTGGCTCATGTCAAACTCTGATGGAATTTCCATACGGACTCGGCCACTTCCATCTAAGGCCGGATGATTGATAGCTCGCTGCGAGATGTAATTGCAGGTTCCAAATTCAACAATACTGGAGAAGCACGCACGCGCACATGGCTGCTCGTGTAGCGTAGGGCGACAGGCGTCACAAGGCGCGCTTCCGTCGCACTTGCGCTTGTTCAGTCGGCATTGGACACAGGTATCCTTGTTCTTGCGGCGCAAACCAGCATTGGCCCGGCCGACCATACTCAGAGGGCCCTTGCGACGAGCTCCCCGTGGAGGGGAGACAAAGTCTGCAGATGCAATAGAGCCGCCTTGTCCATCTTCCTGGACAATCTGAAGAGGCTTGGCAAGGCCCTGATCCATGGAGCCTGGCGCACTACGGTTCTTGCGCTTCCGAACAGTGGCCACGGATTGCATGGCAAGAGGCATGGGCCGGCCTGACGAGCGTTGACCCGCAGCCGAGGAGTGCCTCGATCGCGAGGGGATGGCGCCCATGAGTTCCGATGGAGACTCGCTGACTATGAAAGCCGTGTTCTTAGACCCAGACTGGGAGTTCTCGGGCGAACCCATATCTGGTGTAGCAATCTTCCACCGGGAATCATCCAGCTGGTGCTCCACAAAAGTGGGTGGGTCCTCACTCGTTGCAGAGTATGAGCATTCATAGACACCAGACACGTCGCCCGAAACCGAGGAACTCTCTGACTTGAAATGGAATCCATCTTGTCCGATCTGGCCGCGTTTCGGCGACGACATCAAGGACGGGGGAGTCATGTGAGAGACCGGCAGCTGCGACTCTAGGTTATTGAGCCAGCGTGACTCGAGCGATCGGATTGACGGCTGCTGGAATTCGCGCAGCGATTGATCCTTGCCATGGTTCCGGGTATCAATCGCTAGCGGAATACCCTGCCCTGGGATGTTCTCCATTGAGATCCCGTGGGGAATCTCCCAGTGATCAGGAATGATTGGGAACGATTGAGGCATCTGCTGGAACATCATGGCCTCAGCCGGCGCTTCCGGAAACCCCGGGCCCTGGGGCATTTCACCTATATCCTCCACAATCACGGCGGCATTCGACGGAGCCGGGGCTTTTCCGTATGGGTACATGATAGGCGTCTCGAGCGGCATCCCAGCCGCGACAGAGTTGAAAATCTGGAAATGAGGCCACGTTTCGTCGGCGTGAAAGTTGTCGTCGGTCGAAGAGGGCAGAGTCCGAGGACTGACAGTGCCGCTCCCAGTTCCCTCGCCGGCATCGTAAGGAAAGTTCTCCGTCACATCCCGCTTTCTAGAAAATCCCACCTCGATCAGTACAAGCCTCTTCGCTATGAAATGAGGAGTACAAACCTATTGTCCAAACGCGGCCGATCGCCCGAGCGATCCAGCAACGAACCTGTTAGCGGATCATGAAAAGCGCCCAGGTCTGTGACGTCGCACTGGCTGGAATCCTGGCTGGTATCCCACTCGGGAGGTTGTTCGTAACCCAGATGTTCCCACGACGCGACTGAATAAGCCCCGTCGGTTTGCCAATTATCGAGAATTTTGGGGTCGATCCCCGCAGCCGTTCCAGTGCTTCCAGAGTCCATACAGGATCAACCGGAAGGATGATGGGTGTCGGAGCCGACCAGTCTGAAGAGCAAAAGTCCCAAAAAGAAGCTTCTTGAGACTCTTGCTGAGTTTGTGTAGAAGGCGATAGAGTAAAGGGGAGGGTCGGTCGCGAAAAGCAACAGACCAATATGCGCGCGAAGAGTCGATGGAGCGTTGAGGATGGAAGTATTCGAGGGGAAAGAAGAAGGAGGGCTGACGGGGTTTCCCCACCTAGAAAGTTTTGCTTGCTGCGATCGTCTTTAGCGTGTGTCAGCACAGACCGCCCGTTGTAGTTTGTACGATTCTATATCTTTATATTTTATATTGTACTTTTGGTTTAGAGAGTTATTCAATAATATTTACATCTATCCAACTCATACCGATTTATTATCTTATGTTAAAAAAAAAAAAAACCAATGCAACGCCGATCGAGGTGTGGGCTGATACTAGGCGAATCCACGTTGTTGAGGGACCCGTGGGACTAAACAGGGACTAAGCAGGGACTAAACAGGTACTAAACAGGTACAAAGATTGATTACATCAGTCCCACTACTACAGTATACTATGTAGCATTGAGAATGGTGTAGACTACATGTAGTATCCGTATGAAGTACACAGTAGACATATGCCATATCTTTCATAGCTTGCTATACTCCAACTATGTACCGCCGAGTCCATACTCATGAATAGTCATACATTAAATCAATATTCATCGCCAAGCATACGGAATATAAATCTCTGACTGAATTTGGCTCACCGCAGACTCTATCCGGTTCTACCAAAACTGCACCCCGCCACCTGAACAGCTTCACCGCGACCGGTCTGGGTGGACCACCGGTAAATGCTCATGGCTCAACACTTACCCAGTATCTTTATTATAAGTTCTTACCCCGGACATTTACATTTTACATTTTACATTTCACATTTCAAGAATTTTGAATATCTCGAATATTTCGAATATCAAAATTATACCAAAAACTCCAAATTTGAAAGTGAGACCTGAGACCTGAGACCTGTACTCCACCGGCAGAAAAAAAAAAAAAGGTCAAATATGCATATCCTAGTAAGTTCGAATGACAACACATTCTTTTTTCATTCTTTTTTTCATGTTTTCTTCTTTGCCTACTTCCGAAAATCTGGGAAAGGTCGAAGTGTAAAAAGACACCCACAAAAGCAAAAAAAGACAAGTCTAGCTAGTCCCGGAGTCACTTGCACCCGTGGAAATTCCAAGCTTACTACACTTCCGCCAATGCGCATAAGCAATTTACATACGTTCCAAGGTTACTCATATCAAAATTAGGTAGTGAACGACGATGGCCCCCCAAACTCCCGCCTATCACCCTACGTCAAACCCCTGGTGAACGCCCTCCAATCCTCCGGCCACCTAGTCTCAGTCGCCATCCCAGCAGCCTCCCGCTCCTGGATCGGAAAAGCCCACATAATCGAAGCATCCCTAACAGCCAGCTACGTCCACCCGGACTCCTTCCGCGAAGACGGAACCTGGGATGAAACAGCCACTCCCCCCACAAGTTCTGACTGGGTGGTAATCCAAAATGGCACACCGGCCAGCTGCGCCCAGTTAGGATTGTACAATTTGTTCACCGATCGTCCGCCCGTGGACCTCGTGATCTCCGGCCCAAATCATGGTCGGAATGCTTCGACTATTTACAATTTGTCGTCGGGGACCGTGGGCGGGGCGTTGGAGGCGGTTTTCTGCGGGAAGCGCGGGATTGCGATCTCGTTTGGTAGTAAGGATCCGCAGACTGATGGGGTTATTGCTGCTGCGGCGCGATTGGCGGTCAAATTGGTTGACCATCTTTATCGTGTCTGGGATGAGAGGGTGGAGTTATATAATATCAATATTCCTATGAGAGAGGATGTTGAAGAACGACCTGTTTTGTACACGCGGACTTTGCCGTATTATTGGTCGCGGGGATGTTTGTATGCTGAGGGGGAGAAGAAGTTGAATGGCTTGACCAATGGGCATTGCAATGGGGTTAATGGACATGCTGAGATGCCCAGACAGCGCCATTTCAAGTGGTCGGCTGATTTGTCGGATATGAAGAAGACATTGCAGGAGAGTGAAGAAGGGACGGATGCGCATACCGTGTTAAATGGGTCTACTAGGTATGATGTCCTCGTTCCGATTTGGTGTACTAGCCACTGACTATCCTAGTGTGACGGCTTTGCGAGCCAATTTCTGGCATGTCCCCGATCTCGAGGGACCTTTGAACCTGAACTGATAAGTTTGTATCGTTCTGGTCGGCCCGGTAATGCATAATGCATAATGATTCATTGTTAGCGTGTCGTCTTCCTCGGGCGCCTTTCAATTGCATGAGAGCTTAGTTGATCATTTCGAGGACCAAATACCCCTAGTCTTTTTATATACGAGAATGAACCATATGGAACATCATTGACATTGAACTATCAAGATAGTTTAAGCAAACGCAGGGATGCGACAGAACTTGGGAATAAAATAAGTAGAAGGGTGTATCATAAACAGCTCAAATGATCAATCGATGGTCCTAGAGTGCGCGAGCAGCTTCACCAGCGCCGCTCTCAACTGTAGATGCCTGTTCTGCGCGCATCTTGCCCTTTCCAACACCACCCTCACCAACGCCCATACGGCGAGCCACGTAGCGCTGTGCGACGACCCCCACCGCCAGCGAAATAGTCTCCTCAATCCACTCCGCGACCCACTCACGAGGGTCGACACCGCCGCTCTCAATAATTTCCGCAATAGCTTCGGGCACCTCGGCGTGCGCCACCTGCGCGGCCTCACCCTCCAGGGTGTCAGGCGCAGGCGCATCAAGCCACTCAATCCACTTAGCAGGCATGGATTGAGAAATGGTGTGGAATGCAATACCATGCACGGGGTCATGGAGGTATAGCGCGAAAGAGATCTCCTCATCCGCCTCCGGGACTTCCACAGCACCAGAAGCGGTCTCCTCACCCGAAGCACCAGCCTGGAACAAATCCGCCGACACAGTCTGACGAATAGCCTGAATAGCGAGGAAGATATCACTACTGCGGACAGGGTTCGACTCGCTCAGAATTTCACTGGCCTGTTTAGCAGCTCCCTCAATCCCGCCCCGGGTGGAAAAGTACTCCGTTGCATAGCCCTCGGCGCTAGCGCGTGCCAGCTTGGACGCCTCGACAGTGCCGGGAACGGCGTTGATGGTGCGTGGATTGCCAGGTGTCACGGTACGCCACCAGGGCCCGTCGTTCCAACCAGCACTGGAGATATAGCCACCGACATCGAGACTGCGCTTCGGAGCAGACTCTTGACCTCGCTGAATGACAAGGAGGTCGCCACCTTCGACTTGGGCCATCACTCGTGAAAACACGGCGTAAACGAGGGGGTCGACGCCCGGGTATCCGGAGAAGTCGTGAGTCACATGGATCTGAAGACGTTCGTGCGATGAGATAGGAGGGGCAAGGGTGTGGATGAGGTTTGTGAAGGTGGGGATGGCCATGTTGCGAATCTCGCCGCCTGTAGGACTAGATTAGTCAAGAATGGAAAGCTAGTTGCGTTGAATGATATACCGAAATCACGGAGGGCTCCAACATTGCCTTTCACTTGCTGGGCCCAGCGCTGTGCCTCCTCGTTGTTTTGAATTTCCTTCACGGCAGCTTCAGCCTGCTTCATTGCCGCACTAGCAGTTGCGAAAATTCCTCCCCACCATCCACCACTTTGTTCCTGCTGCTGTTCCTCATGTTGCGGTTGAGCAGGGGTCTCCTCCTTCGGCTCCTGCTTTATTCCAGTGCGGGACGAACGACCATCCTCTGACTGGCGGGGCCTCTCTTCCCGCTCGATGGTCGCACTGGGGCGAGGCGACCGTGTCGATGAACGGGGCTTATCGGTAGAGAGACGAGGGGTGCCTGGACCACTGCTCGGTCGCTGGACAGAAAGGGCGAGTTCAGCAAGGACGTCTTCCTGTGACTTTGCATTATCGGTGGCTGCAGGCTTGGAGGATTGAGGCTGATCAACACCGAGGTTGTCGAGGTCGAACTGAGCCAGAAGCTCATCATTGGTGGGTTTTGCCTTCGGAGGCATTTTGTCTGTTTGCGCAGTGTTGGTTCAGGAGAGGTGACGACACAGGTGGGAGCTCCCGAGTGTGGAGTCAGCAATGCCAAGACCGCCACTCACATTCCGCCTGACATAGGAGGCTGAGAGGGTAGAGACCATTGACCACATGATGCAATTGAGAATCTTCTAGTACTTTATGTAGATGTATGTTTGGTACATGTATGTCCTTGTGAAATGTGGTGGCTGTTTATGCAGGCAGCCTTGAATAGTATATAGAAGTTCTAGGTTTGGTACCACGGTAGGTACAAGCAAAGGTAGCGTAGATTGTCGCCCAAACACCCGGGATAACCCTTGTTATATCAGAAGCCACATTTAACAAGTCGAGAATTAAATATCATCCTATCGGGTGATATGCCAGCCAATGATAGCGGCGGTGTGGATGATGATTGTGGCGCGTGTCAATTGCGCCCATAGCAATTAGTAGGGGAGGAGACCGGCAACCCAGCCCGCCAAAGGACTATGAGGATTACTCATGTTGACCCGACGGTATGGGTTCCCGTATTTGGATGATGATCATATCTCCATTTGAACCAAAAAAATCTTCGTTTCAGCTCGATAGCTCTGGAGTTGTAAAGTATAACCCGCCAATCAGGTTTAGACAAGCAAAAGACTGTAGATCCCGCCAATCACAAGCTTGGGTACAAGGGCCGACGATGGAAGTGAATATAAAAATTCGGATACAACCTTCTAGTTGATTCTTCAAAGTTGAAAATCCCATTCGACGTTCCGTGGTACAAGCGGGTGCGACCGGACAGTTGGGGAACAAATATGCAACTTCTTTTATGCGGATTACTTATCCGTAGCTGGCGAGGCTTAAAACTATCAATCTATGACATTATGTAGATCCATAGGGCAAAATGAATTTTTTTAAAAAAAGAAATAACGAACCACCAATCATCACTCTATCTCACATGGTATGTATTTTTGTGTTTCTTTTTTTCTATATTTCCTATGATTTGCGAATGCTTACTTCAGAGATCTGCACGCCAAAACATCATACCACATGATCATGAACTTTTGTAGTTCAATTGGATATTTAGAGAATCCCTGTCTTTCCGTTGCGCTCCTGAAGGTTGGAGAATCTACCGAACCATCGACCGATCATAACCTTGTTCTTGAGGCAGAAAGTCCCCACCTGCAAGTCCGCAAAATACCGGCTTGTCATTGGTGGCAACTGATCCCGGTTGACAGGGCCACACTAGGATGGGAATTCTATATATGTTAAAGGTCAACATCCAAATAGTCGAATTTAGTCCTATAATCTATTTACTCTGTCATGACCGGGAAAAATCCCAAACACAACCCAGACGGGGTAAATGCTAAAGATGATGCAGTTCAGCCAGATCGACATAGTACCCCTGCAACCCCCAAAGTCCCTACAATTATGGAAACCTCCAGATCAACAAGGGGCTTCAAGTCAACTCCAATATTGAAAAACATTCATGGGCGTTCTAGTACTAAAGTTGCAATTCCTCGTCAAAGTACAGGCTATACTCCTCGTTACAACCGAAGAGTCCCCCGGGCTTGTGAGTCGTGTAGACAACGCAAAACAAAATGCAGTGGTGATACCCCAGTATGTCGACAATGTCGTGAACTAAGGGTCTCTTGCCAATACCCTGTGGGATGGCGAGACAAAATGAAACAGTTCGCCACCTCTAATCAATTACAATTGGGAACTATATGAACTAATTGAAGATAGGGAACTTGACCGACTCTCTGCGGAAGTGCAGGAGTATGAGAATTTTCTGGAAGAATTACGATCGAGCGCTGAATCTCGAACGGCTGAATGGGTCACCGAGCTTATGGACAAAGTACGTAAGAGATCCAATCTACGACAGTAAGCCCTCTAACATTTGTTACAGTATGGCTTAAAGGGAGATAATCGAGAAAATAATAAATTCTTGATGCCTACCCCTCAAAATGAGATGGAACCCGACGAACCATCTCCGCTTTCATCTATTGGGTCACTGGAGGCCATCGACCGACTAGACGAAGACCCAAATCGATCCGAAGACACTCGAACAACTGGGGTGCTGGGCAAAAGCTCGGAAATTACGTGGATGCAACGAGTCCAGAGAGAGGCAGAGCAACGAGCTCAAGGGAACTCAGGGACCTTGGAATCGAATACAGCCGATGACGAAGAAAAGGAAGCATTTTCTCTTCATGCCCTAAACTACCACCTTGACGACCTGGATATTTCTGTCCCTGAACCTGTTCAGCTGTACGCCATGCCCTCTCGACAATTAGCCGATCAACTTTTGAACGATTACTTCCAAAAAACACATCCATTCTTCCCCATTCTCAGCAAACAACTATTCCGCGGACAATATCACGCCTTCCTCGACTCCGCTTCCCGACCGGGCGACAAATGGCTCGCGGTTCTCAACATCATATTTGCGATTGGCGCCAAACATGCCCACCTAATCAATGCAGCGTGGCGGGGTGACGATAATGATCACTTAGTCTATCTCACTCGGGCCAGGCTTCTCAGCATGAACAGCGAAGTCCTGTTCAGTCATCCGGACCTCCAACAAGTCCAAGTCGAAGGACTGATTGCATTCTACCTACTAGCGTCCGACCAGATCAACAGGTTTGTGTTCTTGATACCAGCCCACTGTAAACTCGAATTAATCGATATAATCCATATAGAGCATGGAGAATTTCTGCTTTGGCCGTACGGTCGGCAATTACTCTCGGCATCAACCTCAAGATCACCAGTCCCAAGACCCCCAGCATCACCAAAGAGGCCCGGTACCGGGTGTGGTGGTGCTTATACAGTTTCGAGCATATGTTGGGCATTATGACTGGCCGGTCCATCTATAGTCTCGACGGAGGATATGCTACTCCCTTACCGCTCCCATTCGAAGAAGAACAGCTACAGGAAAATCCCGCAGCTGCTGAAGTTCTGAACAACCCCACCCTACGGGACGCGCTGGTCGGCAATGTGATGGCGAGTTCATGGATACGACCGACCGGCGACAAAGACGATTTACACAAAACTCGACTACGCGACCAAACGTGGCTTAAGAACTTGCCCGTCAATTTCGGACTGTGTTACCTCTACTACAGTGATTTGACAGTCGTTACGCAGGAGATACTCAACAAAGTTTATACAACAACGGCAGTTCTGCTTCCCTGGTCGGAAATCGAAAGCCGACTAGACGACCTGAGGTTCCGTATTGATCTATGGAAATCAAGCCTGCCCGCCTCTCTTGACTTTACCCAAGAAGAAGCCGACGACAGTCCAGACCACCTTCGCTGTAAATTGTTTTTGGCCTTCCATTACTACAGCGCCAGGATCACTCTGGGCCGACCATGTCTTTGTCGACGTGATGCACGGCAACACAACGCACCGCAAACGTTCAGCCATACAATGGCACTGATTGCCTTGGAATCGGCCAACGGGATGCTAGACTTGATCCCTGACAAACCAGATGTTGTCCAGCTGTACCAGGTCTGCCCCTGGTGGTGCGTACTTCGATACCTCATGCAATCCGCCACAGTCTTCCTCCTCGAACTGTCATTCGGCTGCGTCCACAATCCAAAAGAGGAACACAAGTACGTCTCATTGACCAAGAAGTCCATTCGCTGGTTCTACGCCATGTCCGAGCACAGCATCGGATCCCGACGCGCCTGGCAGATTTGTGACTCCAGCTTCCGCAACCTAGCAGGCGGCATGAAGTACAACACCGACGATCTCCCCGGCCATCCAGACCCAGAGCGCACTACAGCCGAACCCGCACCTTCCTTCCCGCCCGAATCTAGCCACAATGTTCCTTCCGGTGACTTTTTCACCCTGCCAACTGAGGATCTCCACCTCTTCGGTTCTCACCCCATACCTGATGGAGATACCTTCCCGAGCTCTTTCAACTTCACAACACCAGATCTCATGTCCTCATTGCATGGACACACTGATATGACTGATGATTCCTACTTTCCATACGACCCTCTCAGCGGAGAGTTTATCAGATCTTTCTTTCCATCTTCGGAGGAAGAAACCAAAAACTGAGACTACCGTGAGAGCGAGTTGACTTAACTTTCATGGCGTTTTTTTTATACATGGCCTGGCCCGATCGAAACATGAAAATCGGAGTCGATGCGCCGCTTAGCGTATCAGCATTTTAGGATAAAAAGGGTTTGCATCAATAAAAAAATTCGTTCCCTGGGGGAATAGCATTGAAAATACAGCAATTTGTTCTGTTGGTGAGTTTTCTGGACTAGACTGTCAGAATTCAAATCAATACACAGAATGAAAATATATTAGAAAGGTTGAAACAATGTGATCAGATCACCAGAGCTATGTAGCTCTATAGATCTAAAGTGGGACCGAACGTATGATGACTAATGGATATACTCGCCCCTCGATCTTCAACCTGAAGGGACTTACCTACCTTTTCGAGGCAAGATGTGATATTGACGATATTCTCTGATTGCCCATGTGTCAACCTAAAGGCAATTGAATTATGATTACATCAAGCATGTTTTCGTGCTTAAGGCAAGAATTCCCCTGATTGAACCCCGATTCGCGACCACGTACACGGTCCATCACAATGATGCCGACGGGACTAACAGGGCTACTCTATTTACATTGGTCATAGATCACGATTGAGTGTTGACTACTACATGGCTAGACGAACTTCAAATATATCCAATTCCTTCCTAAAATATTACCTTTGACTTGATATAACGGACCGCCATGGACGGGAGCGGACAGCAGCCATGCATCCGACTCCCGCGGCAGTACGACTTATCGGGCCCGATCCCGCAGCGGGACCACGCGGGGTCATAACATCGAGCATAAATAGGCGCCATGCTTTTACATTTCTTTATACTAACAATTCAATCTCGGATTCGATCGAATGTTATCTTGACTAATATATTGCTTTGAGCCTTAATACCTATGCTTCTTGCCAAAGTATACGTGAGTTCCAACTTCCCATATCCGATCTACTTCTTAGTACCAGGTCACATTCCACACCGAACTTGATTCTAAACCAGGAAGATATCACAGAACCCCCAATTACTGTTTACATATACATCATGCGCCTTCCCTACGTCACAGACCCTCCACAAACCAACACCCCCGAAGAATCCAGAATCCTAGCGAGCGTCCAAGCCCGCCGAGCCCCCAACCCCCTCCTCCCCCTCGACCTCGCTCTCCTCCACTCCTTCCCAGTAGCAGAAGGCTGGAATACTTTTCTCGGCGCCATTCGCACCCGAACAAGTCTATCAGCCGTTATCCGGGAATTAGCCATCTGCCGCGTTGCGGTTGTTAATGGCGCATTGTTTGAATGGGAGCAACATGCGCCGTTGTTGCGACAGGGCGGATTGAGTGAGGATGCGCTAGAACTTGTTGGGGATACACAGGTGGACTTTTTGGGTGATCCTTCGTTCGGGTTGGGTGTGTTGAGTGTGAAGGAGAGGGCGGTCTTGAGGTATACGGACGCTATGACGAAGAATGTTAGGGTTTCGGATGCGGTTTTTGGGGAGTTGAAGGGGTTTTTTAGTGATCAGGAGGTTGTTGAGATTACCGCGACTGTTGCGGCTTATAATTGTGTCAGTCGGTTTTTGGTTGCGTTGGATGTTGGGGAGAAGAATTGAATCGAGTCTATATAGTTTTACATATGTCGATCGCCATTTAGTCACGCATGCATGTGCATATCGTTCTGTGTACCTTGAAATCGGGCGCCCGTGGAATTAATCTATACTCGACGAATCTAGCACATGCAAAATGTATAAGGTTCATAAGGAAAATATCTACATCAAATAAGATTGTTCTCTTTACCATTTTATGTATGTATGTTGCACTGTACAGGTAGATGTATATAATCATACCTTGTGTTCGAGGATCTACATTTCTGGTGTACCTCAGAATATTGAATGTGGGATATATATCGTTCTCTTGCGAGCAAATCCTCTGTTTGGGGATTCATTAGATATTCACGATATTAATTTTAGTCTTCCTGGATGTCGACTGTTGATCGAAATTCACAGTAGTGATTCGTTGAATGTGATACGTTATGCGGGCATTCTATATTGGAGGTCTGTGCTCAGTTGAGACACGCGATGATCGGGTTAAGGGGCTAATAAAGGGATCTAAAGAAACAGACATGAAACTGACTCAGCACCAGCTTTGCAATTTTCTGTTTATTGTTGATTTATTTATCTCGGTATTGTATTTTTTAGTATACTAGCACTTTCTTTTATTCTTAATCAAATACCATTGTATGCTTCGTTATAATAGTGCTTAGAACCCTTGCAGCGGAAAGGTCACACTATAACGGAACCGTCAGAAAATTCTTCCGATTCTTGATATTATTGAAGGACTTAATAGTGTATTGGTCATTAAATAATATAGAAATACTAGTCTCTACTAGTTCCTCTTGGAGTGTATGGTTACCGGACTACCATGGTAGTAAAACCGTAAACTGTCTTTAATAAAAGCAAAAAGGTCTATATAGCATGGATTGTAGGTGATTAATATGTAATGAATATATAGATGTCAGCAGATAGAACTATTCTAGTCGATCAAATATTAATTTCAGTTCATCTGACGTTGAGGCTTGCAGTGAAGTTGGCCTAGTAGATAACTAGAATATGATTGGTTAGGAGACAAAGATGGTGGATCCGGTAAGTTGTAATGGTCACTACAAACTAAACCAAACGCTCAATCTCTTTTCTTCGCCTTCATCGCGTCCTATTCCCATACTTCTGTTTCATCAAGCCGTGAGTTTAAACTAATTCGAGTCTGCGGCTCAAACTCTGTAACTTTCCTTCTATATTTCACTTCGTGGGTTTCTCTTTTCCCTTCCCCCCTTCTTCTCCCCACGAGAATCTTTTTTTTCTTCTTCTTCTTTACATCCGCCTGCACCTGCAACCATCTCTACTGCATCAACACATTTGTTGCTTTCAATATATTGATTCCTGTTCACCTTTCCCTTTGTTCTTGTCATTGTCCTACTTTCTATTTCCTGTCGGGGGTTGTGGCCGCGTAGGTGAACAACCTCGTTATCCGCCCAGCCTTTTCAAGTACACATCCCTGGCAGCCGCTCTCACCAACCAAGCGCCGTCTACCACGGCACTTCACGTTCGGTCAATTCCAATTTGATCGAGATCAAGGAAGTCATTTTGACTCATTTGATTAAACTATTTGCCATATGGTACGTTGTTGTTGCTTGTGCGCGTTCTTTTCCTTCGAGTTTCCTTTTTTTTCTTCCCAGTATCTGGCCAATACACTTCCGGGTCAGATCCTGATCCACACAATTTGCCGCGACCGTGTCTGAATCTACTCTTTGCCCTTCCTTCTTTGACTTATGCATGTTCAAAACCCTGCTCAAGTTACTTTTGATCGTTTCATGCATATCTTATACTGTTTTTTGGACGCGATTTCCCTGTTTCGTTGATGCGATACCTCCCCTGATCTTTTCTGCCATTACTATGGGGAAGGCTTGGCACTACAAGCGAAACCGGCTAACCCATCTATACAGATACCTGCGCCATACATTCTTCGATCTTCACGGGAAAATCCCGTGTCTGATTTGCCTGGCACTTGTATCTTTTCTTTATCCTGACTCTTGATTTGATTTCTCTTTCTGCTGCCCAAAATGGCCCCCATCCCGCGGGCCGATTTTGATATGGATAACCCGTCGTCTGACGTGGGTGACAGCCAGGATCAAGATTCCCCGCTGCGCCGCCAGTTTTCTGAACCATTCCGTCCCCAATCTACTTCCACCCAGATTTCGCAGTCTCCTGAGCCACTGGCCAAGAAAATAAAATGTGACTGGTGCGGGAAACTACTAGAACTTCCCCAAGATGGCTCAATCTCTAGGGAAGATTTGCTCAACGATCACATTACTTCAGATCACCCAAGCTCGCATTCATTTGAATACGATGATGGCGAAGAGCTTGAAGAGGGCGATGAAGTCGAAGATGCAGTTGATGCTGATGAGCTTGAACTTGACGATGAAGAAGCCTTGAACGATGCATCTCAGTTTGAAGAAAACGATGAGGCCTACCAAGTCGAAGAGGCTGACGAAGCTGAAGATGCCGAAGACGCTGAAATGGCTGATCAGACTGAAATGGTAGAAGCCGACGAAGCCGGGTCTGGCGATCAAGACCAAGAACAAGGAACCTCCGTCGCATTTGCGACCAACGGTGATAACAGTGATGAGGTTGGCACTTCCAAAACTTCCAGCATCGGCATTAAAGCTGCACCTGAGACCCAAGCAAAGCTCGATACGCTTGAATGGCTCACAAATCCCCGGGGTGCATTTCCCGAGGAATTCCGCCGAAGATTGGCTACATGGCAAGAGTCAGACATCAAAAACCGCCTGCCCAAAATTTGGACCGTTCACAAGGCCTCAAACTTCTCGGAAAACTACGATCAGGACATTGCTAAAGTGGACGCTACCTGGCAAGGTGTCTTCGGCGACAAGCCTAAGAAGAAGGATGTATCGGAGCCAATGGTGCGACCATCCCCCTACAAAACGTCCCAAGTTTCCAAGGGCCAATTCCTCGAAATCAGCTCCTTTAATGAGCTCATGGAAACACTCCGAAAGCCAGAGTCTCTTACGCCTGATGAACTGTATGCAGCCACTGAAGCTGCTGCCATCGCGATGAAGACATGGCAAGATGAATACATTGCTCTTGATAAACTCTACAATCGCACACACCGCCACTACCGGGCCCCACTCCACAGCGATGCTAAGCGGGAACAGATTGTAGGCCACAAGAAGCGATCAGGACAGCCACTCGCTCGGGTCGCTGAGAATGAACGTGACTTCGAGGACAGAAAGGAATCAATGTTGTACGGATACAAACACAATTTCTTTGCGAGTAACTTGAGCACTACGGTCAGCTGGACCCCCCAGAACCCATTTGTTCAAGGCGGGTTCGTCCCTACCCCTGCGCAAGCTCGAAAGATGGCCGCAAAGGTGGCCCCTGAAGATACCAACCCTGATGGCTGGACGCCAATTGTACGCTACGGGGTGGAATTCGTCCCCAAGCTGTGGGAGGCACGACGAGAACCCGTATTGAAGTTCACACGCAAGCGCAAAGCTGTGGAAGTTGAGCCTAGCAAGACCGAGGAGGCTGAGGATACACAGAATGAGTCTGAAGTTGCAGAGGAAAGTGAAGAGGAGACGCGCCCAGTAAAGCGACGAACTCGAGGCCGTGGTGGTCGCGCCACAATAGATACCTACCAACCCCCCGAGCCCCGAACTTCAACTCCTCGTGGCCGCGGCGGTTCCCGTGCTCGTGGACGTGGCCGTGGTCGTGGCACTGGCCGGACTGCATCGGCCCGTACATCCATCGAAGGCAACCAATCTGCGACTTTCCCTACCCCGACCTCCTATCGTGGTCGCGGCCGTCGGGGCGCGAGCATAGTGAGCTCCACTCCTCAGGCCCACATGTCTGAGGAAAGGACTGCATCTCTGCCTGATATCTCTCCCATGCCGGAGGCAACTCCACCACCCAAGGCCAGCCCAGCCGTGAAGCGGGATGCCACAGCCGAGGAAATGGAGGAGGCTCGTCGACTGAAGATCGCCAATTCCAAGAACCCCAAGCGCACCAAGGCCATGCTGGATCATTGGGAACGCTTCAACCGCGAGGGTCGGATTCGCAACCCTAAGCGCTCAAAGGCGCAGATTGAATCAGACCGACAAGACGACCCTGTCAAGGCCGAAGTCCTGCCTCGCCCACCTGGCCGGCGCCGCAAGTCTCCATCTCTGGCGCCCATCCCTAATGGCAACCTGGCCCCGAAGGCCCCGGTTGGAGCCCCTATGACCAGCCACTTGGGACCTGGGCCTACATTGCCGCCGATTGGAATGCCCCAGTACGCGCCTCCCAATCCATACGGTCAACCCCCTCCCAATGTGCCAATCGGGCAGCAATTGCCCCCGCAATATGCGCCGTTTCCCTATGTCCCCTATCCTATGAGCCACATGCAGGGTCCTCCTCCTGGCGCTCATCCCGTCGCTCATCCTAGTACCCATCCGGGCAACCATCCGGGCAACCATCCCGGCAATCATCCGGGCAGTCATCCTGCTGCTCATCCTACTGCTCATCCTACTGCTCATCCTGCTGCTCATCCTGCTGCTCATCCTGCTGCTCATCCTGCTGCTCATCCTGCTGCTCATCCTGCTGCTCATCCTGCTGCTCATCCTGGTTCCCTCCCTCCTCACTCGGGCGCACATCCTGTCCCTCACCCTGGCCCACATGATCACCACCACCATCACCGTGGAGTATGATCAAATGTTGAAGGAGCTCAGTCTCCATACACAACTGCGTGGCGAAAAACACAGACAAATACAAATACAAGTACGACTGTGCCGACCATCTGTTGTGGTAGCAGCCCAGTCGTGTCTGCCTCATCATATTGCGAAAAGCAATGATGTTTCACTAGAGGTCCCGAGTGCCTCAAACAAATCATATGTTTCTGAACATTTAGTTTTTTTCACCCTTTGTTTGGGTCGTTTTATGTTGAAGTTTTGCGGGTTGGCGTTCAGGAAGGGTTTACGGGATTCACGGTGGGAGTCTAAGCCAAAAAAGGACCTGTAAATTCTAATGGGAAGCTACCTCTGAGATCTGGTCTTATCTCAGTAGTAGCAAGGCGTGTATTTCTACCAAATTTCTATGTATGATAAGGCATCGAGCACATTGACAAATTAACTGCCTGAGGCGACAAAGCTTAACGCGTAGACCTAGTGACCGCCTTTGAGCAGTTTGCTTCATCTCAATCGAAACAACTGCGTCAAAAGACCCCCACATCTCCCATTGTCTCTGCTTCACTTCGTACTTCAGCTTTCTCCCGGCGAACATTTATTTTTACTAGTTAACTTGTCAAAATGGGAAAGAAGAGACGCGGTCCCTCCTTGGAAGAGCTCCTGGCTCGACCATGGTGTTACTACTGTGAGCGTGACTTTGACGACCTGAAGATTCTGACGTTGCATCAAAAAGCCAAGCACTTCAAGTGTGATCGATGTAATCGTCGACTGAATACTGCTGGAGGTAAGCTTACACCCTTACAGATGATTCTGGTTGAATGCGACATTGACATATGTGACCCAGGATTGTCGGTGCACATGAGCCAAGTTCACAAGGAACAACTCACCGAGATTGAAAACGCGCTGCCCAACCGCGCAGGTCTTGATTGCGAAATCTTTGGCATGGAGGGAATCCCGGAGGATGTTCTGCAGGCCCACCACCAGCGTGTGGCTACTCAGTTCCAGCAGGCCGAAGTTGAGCGACAAGTGGCCACAGGTAACCCTCCTGCAGGGGCTAATTCGGGCGCCCCGGCAGCCAAAAAGCCTAAGTTGGAAGATGTGTCAGAACTCAAGAAGCGATTGGCAGAGCATCGGGCGAAGCGCGCAGAAGGAGCCGCTGGTGGTAGCAGTGGCGAAGCTACCCCGGTGGGTGCTGGACAGACCCCGACTTCTTCAACACCGGGTGGCTATGTGAGTCTCGCTTTCGTGAAGTAGATTGATGCCAGAACTAATATGATCCCAGGGACATTCTCCTATTACGCCTGTCTCTGCGCCTGTGCCTGTCGCAGCGCCTGTGCCTACACCAACCGCCGCACAGCCGTACTCATATGCGGAACCCTACACCTCGCTTCATGGAGGGTCACCTCTTGCTCCCCCCTATCACCAGATTGCCAGTCCAGGATTTCAACCCTTCCCCCCAGCCGTACAACCAGGCCCTGGCCCGATGAGTTATAGCCAACCTGGATACTCACCTCAACCATTCACGGGCCCGCCTGGCTATGGGCCTCCTGCTTACCCTTCACAACAACCTACCCCGTCCGATTCACTCCCTCCTCGTCCAGGCAGCTTGCCACTGCCCTCCGGTCCCTCCGGTCTCCCACAACGCCCAGCATTCGCTGCCCCGCCAGTCAACGCACAGCAAATGCAACAAATGCACATGGGCCACTCGATACCCCAGCCAGTGCCTGGCTATTCCAATGGCGATGCTTTCCAGACCACCCCGCCAATCTCATCCGTTAATACCCCCTCGGGTGTGGCGAACGACCCTACAGATAAGCCGGCTGACGGAACGGAGAAACCCAGTAAGAAGGACAAGTCGAAGCCTACACGCATGATATACTCGGACCAAACAACCAGCCCCGAAGAAAAGATGGCCCAGATCCCTCGTTACGCATTCTCGCGCGATCGGTTCCCGGCGGAAACGGCACTGGGCGAACTCCCCGCTGCGACGGTTACAGGAACGATCCGCGATCAGGATACAGTGGTCGATCCGGCTCATTAAACGTCTCAATTTCAAACCCGCGATGAGACGATGTTTAAGGACGGGAAACGGACTCCAGCTAAGTGCGACACATACTCTAGCGACACATGAGCATTTCTATCTGGCTGGCTTTCTTCTTTTACCTGCCCTGATCCATCAGTAGTTTTGGCGAACCCTTCCAACTGCCAAAGGGGAACAAGATGTCCCTCACGCGATATGCTCGATCTTGCCCGTGAGTTCTGTCGCTTCATAGGCCCCGCTAATCAATCGGTGCTAGCGGGTTGGCTATGAAGGATTTGACAGTACGTCCCTGCTCTGACTGTTTCTCCCTCCCCTTGTTTCCCAATGGCTGAGCGGGTGCTCAATAATTTTGCCGTCAAGGCTTGACGAAGTCATTACATTCAGATGTAAGTTTTTCAATTAGCGTTTCAGGTAGGGAGTGAACCAATTCAAAATGTCGTAACCTATCATTTAAACTACGAAATGACTTCCATAAACCAACTAAAATTCATTGTTGCATCGCTAGAAACAACAGCTCACTCAATCATACCATACCAAGCACACTAGTCCAGCACTTAATCAAGCTAACCCCTCTTCTCCTTCACAGCAGCCCCAAAAACAAAAACCCCATACGTAGCCAACAAAGAAAGCCCAACAGGAACAGCCTTCCCACCCGTCTTAATCGCCCTCGGAATCGAGCTTCCACCCAAAACAGTCGAAGCCAACAAACCCAGCTCCTCACCGTATGTCTCACCTGCGCGCAGACGGTAGAAGGCGAGCCCGTAGATCGCGCCAACGGTGAGACCGGCTGCGATTGAGGGGATGGAGCCTGTGCGGGCGTAGCCGATTGCGCCGCCGAGGGAGGTTAGGAGGGAGAGGGCTAGAGCGGAGGTTGTGGGGGGTTGGGTGGACTGGTTTTGGTTTAGAAATTAGTGATTTGGTTTTGGCTTTGTATTTTGGATTGGGGATTTGATTGGAATTTACCATCTTGAGGATCAAGGTTGCTTTTATGTATGGGGTTTCCAAGCTTGGTGGAGGGTAATGGTGTGATGGGGAAGTAGATGTTTAGCTTTCGGGTGATATTAGTCAGATGACGTGAGATAAGATGGATATGGGCCGTGAAGTATAAAGTTGTATTTGAATCTGGTGAAAGCCATAAATTTTAGTAATTATATTACAAATGTAATTGATTTGGTTGGAATTAGGTTGGATTGTTAAAATCATGCATTCATATTCTTTTGTGGAGTCTGTACATTAAATTCTATCATGACTTGGTAGACTCAGCTTGAGACGTATTACTTGCTGATCTACCCTCGTGGTCAAACTTTTAACCCGTAGCTCGTATAACATGAAAATGCATCTCAATCTGTCGCCCAGTTCAGCATGCTCATAACACGGGCTCAATCGTCCCTTGCACCCTTCACACCATTTTCACTTGACACAAGAGCACCATACACACCAACAGAGGCCTCCTGCTCCTGCTCCTCCTCTACCTCTTCCTCTACCACAACCCGGTGAGGGCCATCTTGCTCCACAATCCAGAAAGCAGGAACAACACTCCACAGCGCCAATGCGCTCAGTAACCACCATGGGATAATTACATACCCCTTCTTCACACCATAGGAAAACGCAGACCCGATTAGCGCTGGGCCTGCCGCACGACCTAGAGCGCTAACGCTCGTTCCGACTCCATTCAACGTGCCAAGAACCGTCATACTTGAAGCAGAGTTCGTAAGCAGGATCGTGCAGCATGGAACACCAAAGACCGTTGTGCCGAGCTTGGCGAGCATGATTAGGAGAACGGCTGGTAGTTTGAAGGGCTCTGGGACGATAGCTGTAAAAGGTGTTAGGAAGAAGATGATTGGCATGCAGATAGCGGAGATTTTGAAGCAGCGTAGGATACCGAGGTGCCTGGCGATTGGTGGGAAGGCAAGGAATTGGATGACCATGCCGACAATTCCAATAATTGTGTAGTAGATGCCGATGGTTTGGGAGTCTGTACCAATTAGCTTCTGCTGTGTCGTGTGCTCAGAGCGCTCTACTTACCAACGCCGAATCCACCTGCAAATTTGAAAGGCAGCTGGACATCTGGACTGTTTAAGTCTTGAACTGGGTAATTGAGAAAAACAGGGAATACAGCATCAAAGGCCATTCCCAGTCCGGAAATCAGTGTATAGGAGGTTAAGATCAGACAAGACTGCGGCGTAAAGACCTGGCCCCAGCTGGGCCGAGCAATGGGTATCGCTTCTTGCTTCTTGCGAGGAAGTAAGGTAGCCCGCTCTTCATCCGAATCCGAATTCTTCGTCTCTGTACCCCGCTTATTCCGCGAAGTACAAGGCCGAGTAAGTGCCTTTCCAAGCTCAAGACCCAAATCACGTCGTTCCTTCTTAGTAACATGTGTTTCCTAAAACCGTCAGCAATTTGTCCGTCCCCATGAGATCTTAAACTCACGCGCAAAAACAAAATCCCATTCAAAATCCCAACAACAAAGAAACAAGCCGCTGCAATATTCGGCAACGCAAACGGGTACTTCTTCAAAAACTCCGAGCCTCCAAAGAGTCCAGGATGTTTATCCGCCGGCCGCGCTAATGCACCCCCAAACGCAGGTCCAAAGATGCTACCAATGGTCCAGACAAGCGGCATGATACTAAACGCCCGTGGCTGGAGTTCCCGCTCAGGTACAATCTCCGCAACCATGGTCCGGATAATACCCACGTTCCCGTTCATCAGCCCGATCAGGGCGCGGGTTACAAGCACCATGGTGAGGGACGAGGACATACCCAGAACAAGCGATAGGATCATAGTGCAGAACAGCCCACTAATGATTACTGGCTTGCGGCCTATATAATCGGATAGCGCGCCCCAGGGGACGGCCATGATGGCTTGGCTCACGGATGCGACCGCTGAAGCGATACCGGCCCATTTTGCGACCTCAGGTTTGGGGACGCCAACATGTTGGATTAGTTCCGGCTGGGAGATGTTAGTAACCAGATTATTTGGTCCATGGATGTTGGGGGCTGATCGGCGTTTGGACAGACTTACAAGGTATGGAAGAATAGATGTGAAGACGACTGTACACAAATGATCTTAGTGGATATTTCTCACAGGCTGGCTTATGCTCTCTGGTATTTTCATGCACGTACTGGGTTCAGCGAATCGACATATTGCTAAAAAGACGGTCAATAACAGAGGTTCGTGCCGAGATCCGCGAAAAACATACCCAAAATGACAAGCTGCTTCACTGGCAGACGGGCTTTCTGCATCTTTTATACCCCGGTATCTAAGAAAGATCAAATCTACCCAAACCTGAGAAAACAAAGGAAAAAAAAAAAAAAAAGGGAGAGAAGCGACAGGCCGAGTCCGATCGGCAACTGCGAGACATTGGACTGCAACTTGTAGGTCCGAGCCGCTACTGCTGACTGGGCCCCGCTACCGGACTTGTCCAGCTGATATGAGTGGGTCTTGATGCTGCTACTACGGAGTACTAATTCGTTATAAACAATCCAGTCTCGAGCGAGTCTGTCTGTCCCCCACATCAAGGCTAAGTAAGGGGTTCGCATTTACTACATCCCCGAGAATCAAATATCATATATTAATAGGTATCAAGAACTATCATATAACCGCTGGAATGAATGGGTGAAGAACTCCAAACAAAACCATATACTACTCTGAGACCTCTTCAAGATCCTCATCAACATGCACAATATCGTCCGCCTGAGGATTAAGTCTCAGTCCGATTTCAATACTATCTCTCATAATCTCACGTGCAACACTAGTATCAACACCCATATCTTCCTTGATTAGCAAGGTGGCGAGTTCAGGTACAAGAACAGATTGTGCATATCCTGCTATCCCCACTTTTGCAACTAGTGAGTCCTCATTAGCTAGTCGACGTAGTCTGACAGCGAAGCGTTCCATGACCGCAAACAACCTATGTATTGTGAGATTTCACATCAGAAAGAACACTGGTACATGCTTACATTTTCTGAGACCCTTTCGTCCCGTAGTACCCGCAAGATATTGTCTCAATACCATCACCCTCAATGGTAAGACGAAGGCTTTTCCCGGCCTTGTAAGCACTATCGAGGATATTGCGATAATAGGATTGCCCTGACAGATCCAGAAGTCTTTCCAGGTTGGAGTAATATCCAACCAGACGCTTCTCAAATATATCCCAATTGATCTCCGGGTAGCCCTGTACCTCCCACTCTTTCGTGGCGGCTTCTCGTTTATGGGAAGTACAGAATTGTTGTTGTTCTCGAAGGCGCTGCTTTGGCTGGGCCTGGAACTGTTTTAGAAGTTCCGGGTCCACTTCGTCTTTGCACATGGGACATAGTGCTTTTCGTGGTGGTGATGGTGATCTTTTATCTTTGGACTCGAAGCCGTGCTCGCGCATTTCTTCCGCGATGGATGCGGATGGGCTGCTGAGAGGAGTGAGATCGGAATCGGATGAAAGGCCTTGAATGTCAATCGACGATGTAGGAAAAGAACTAGCTTGAAAGTCGGGGGGCATTTTGAACTGCGGTGTTGGGTCCCTCTTTGGCTTTCTCGGGCTGGGCGCATCAATATGCAAGGGCACTCTGAATTCTGAAACCGAGTCGGACGAGGAATCTCCCTTTTTACTGCCCTTGGCTGATTTCGCAGAGCTGGTTTTTGACCTCGCTGTTGCGGGGGAACGCGCGCTTGAGTTGGGCCCAGAAGAGAAAGATGGTGGCTTTGATTTTGCAAATGTGGCCTGGTTAGATCGCTTCCGGGTCTTCTGCGACGATGTAAGCGACCATGGGTCATCTTCATCATCCATAAAATTACTCGAGGCCCGCTTCAGAGGGTTCCTTGTATTTCTGCTCGTGGAGCTGCGAGTATTCAGGGTATAGGCAGGTGAGGAATACCCAGTGGCAGCTGCGAGTTTTTCTCCCAAGGCTTGTGTCTCCTCCCTTCTGGGGCGCTGGGGCGTATCGGAGTCACTTGATTCTGCATCAGGGGTGCTCATAGGCTCTGCATCTGTTGAAAGTTGACGTTCACGTTCGGGTTCAGGTACAGGTTCGGGTTCGCGTTTGATTGGATCGGGGGTCTTGTCGTTATCTTTCTTGTTGAAAGTCGACAATAGATGTCCATCTGGTCCGCCCCTTCGTGTTAACCTAATTGATGCCTGGCTCGCATCTCGTCGGGGCGTCATTATATCGAGGGCTCGAAGGTGGAAGTGCGGAGGTGCGGAGGTGCGGAGGAAGAATGAGGTGCGGAGGTGGTTTATGCACCGACCAATGCACAACTTGGAAACAATTGACCCAACCGTGTCACTCACAATAGTTGAGAATGGAGAGAATTACAAGCATTGAGGATCGGATTTGGAGGGGTTTTGGGCTAATAATGGTAGAGAACAATAAACGCGTGACGCGACTGGAGGATCGCCCCACTTTATTCGGAACTTTCTATACACAGTCTTCGACTATACACTTGTACCTGTATGAACAATTGAAAACAATAAAAATAGTCCATGGACTGTGACTGTATAATAATAGGAAAAGTGTGAGAATCATTACTCAAATGTCATAGAGAATCCTCCGTCATGGTCATCGGCCCAGGCATTATGCTCCAGTGCCATAGCCCCGACCGCACTGCTACCAACATTGTTGTTGGGCATGCTGACGGTAGATCGTAATTCTGGGCGAGTATGGGTATCGAATGAGTACTGTGGTGGTGGTTCATGGTATGATGTATCAAAGGTCATTTCGAGTTCATCTTCTTGCGACGCAGATTCATAATGGTGAGACATCGTGTTTAACTGAGGCTCCGATGCTGTTCGGGTGACAGGGGATGCTTCTGGTGTTTTGATCTTGGGTTCATCTTCCTTTGGAGTCTCGGGCTGCAAGGTTTGGGGCTGGGGGTTCAAATCGAGTTTCATTGGAGGCAAGGTGGATTCCAACTGCTTGACTTCGATAGCCTCAGAAGCCAATTCGGCCCGGATAGCTTCAATATCGAAAAGCACAGTGCCAGGGGCACTGCTGGTGTCAGTCGAGCCACGTAGAGGGGCATTGCGGTCGACATCGTAAGTCTCCCATGCTTTTTTCTCTGCCATCTTGCCCCGTTTAAAGAGACCAAAGCGCTTCTTCTCTGGCTTCTGCTCAGCTTCACGACGAGCCTCGTCAATCTCACGAATTAGCTCCCTCTGCCGCTCAGCATGACTATCCGGGTCAGGGTCCTCAATCTCTGCGAATTCGTCCTCCAGAACCTCCCAGCCAACCTCCCTCAGAAGACGAGGCATGGCGGCTCGATAGTCCATGTGACCATTCACAAGCTCGGTCAGATTGAAATTTTCGACCCCAGGGACGCCTTCGATGGGCGCGAGACCAGATACACGTGCGATACCACCACTGGTGGCCCGGAAGAGGTACCCGAGGATCCAATCATTTCTGGAGTATCCATTCACAAATCGGCCAGATACGACACTGCGGGCTTTCAAGTAATCGTCCTTACTGGCCACTATTGGAGATCCAAAAAGATATACGTTCTGAATGAGTCCATGGGCACCTTTGTCCGAAAGCTCCTTGAGACAAGAGAAAATGACCCGCGCACCCAATGAGAAACCAAGCAGCGTAATGGGCCGGTTTCCAAGGTTCCGGTCCTGCAAGGAATCCGCCATGATCAGACCTGCATAATGAGCCCGAGCTAGGGAGACACTCCAGGGATTATCGATAAGATAGGCGAGTTTTGTAAGCACAAGTGGTAGTTGTAAAGAGGCCATCAGAGCCATCAGAACAGTATTACCGAGCACTTGTTGGAGACCTGTAGTCAACGCCTATCAAACAGTCAGTACTCTTCGAATAAGAAAGGAGGGGCAGTGTTAGAAGCACTCACCTCTGTCGCAAGAATGTTAATCGTGTCACCCATGCTGCGAAGCATCTCAGGTTCCCAGAGAACGGAATAAATATCGCCCATAATTGGGTCTATAGTACTGTACGGGAGCCGAACATCATCGACCTTGCCAGTCATCCAGCCAGAGACTGTCACAATCAGATTAAGCTTCTTATTATTGTGAAGAGGTCGGTATTCAAAGGTTTTGACAGCTCCGGTACGCCGATGCGAGGCTTTCAAACCGATGACACTTCCACCCAGACTAGCGCTGGAGGCAATCAGAGCAGTACCGCCAACACCTCCCAGGAATGCACTGGTTCCGGAAATACCCACGGTGGTTAAGCCCGCAGCAAGACCGGCTCCGATCACTGGAGCCAGTAGTCCAGCGGAGAGGCCGATGACCAGTCCACCACCGACTGTCGCCAAGCCCATAAGCATATACTTGCGCTTCCGGGACATCTGCCGGCGGTTCTCCATGTGCTCCGTCTCATCCCAGTTCTCTTTTTCTGCTTGCTCTTGCATTTCCAGAGCATCGGTCACGCGCTTCTCAAATCGGGAGATCTGTAACCACGTCACGTCCATGGCTGCCCCGACTCTTTCCAGTAAGGTGCGTGACCGAGCATCGTAGGCGGAGTCTGCAATGAGCACGAGGAACAGATCACATAGAACCGTCCAACGAAGATCGATGTCAATTCGATCGGAGGTCGGCATTTGAGATGGTGTTTGGACTTCGGGGACTAGTCCCTCGCCTTCATGAGCTTCGTACGGGGGAGGGGAACCGGGCTCGGAAGGGTTTGCTGTCTCGGATGATAGCCTGTCCCGGGGGTCCAATTTGGGGGTAGACGAGACGGAAGAGGTTGACGGTCGCGTATCACTCTCAGCCATGGGGTTCTTGACCCGAGCGTTTTGCATGAGAGGCCGGACTAGATCACCAGGTTCGACACCATGTCCAGCGAGCTGTTCAATCATGATCTGCTCAGCAGTATTTATATCCATATGGGCGTATAATCTCCCCATCATGGCCTGTCCCCACTTCCTCATGTTATCGCGGGCTTTCTGCAACGCCTTGCGTGTGCCCCTAGTGGTGGGCATCTCAGCCAGCGCCAAGTTCATGATGTGTATCGCCAATCTGACCACACCAACGTATGCGATCTTTTGTGTTTCATTAAGGAGGTCCTTTGTGGCCTGCAGTTGGCTCATGGTATCACGAAGTTCCTCGCCTTCAAGGCCGGCTTGGTTGTCTCCAGTCTCTCGGAAGAGATAACTTGTCTCTTCATCCATACTGGTAGCAGACTGAGCATCTTCGTCCAGCTGGACTCGAGTGTAACCTTTCCCAGCCCCACCAAGTCCTTGGTAAACAGCTTCGTCGTCCTCCTGCTGAGCACCGCGTGCAATCAACCTTCCGTAGTCGTCATAGTAGTCGAATTCGCCAAGTGCAGGCATTGCTTGCCAATCTTCTGGCTCCTCTTCTTCGTCGCTCTCGGCATTTGCCTCCACGGGTTGAGCTAAACGCATGTGTGACCATTCTGAGATCTCTGCAGTCCTAGGCTTGGAAACTGAGGTTCGAGATGGAGTTGGATCAGCCGAAGCATCCGCAACAGACTCCTTTATAGGTGTACTGTCATGCTGGGGTTCTATGGTGTCCGACGGTGCTGATTGTTCCACCACGCCGTTGGTTTCATTTTCAGCTCCAGCGTCGGGTCCCGGAGCAGCCTCGGCCAGCTTTTCTCCCTCTGTATCCTGTCTCGGTTTTGATTCGGACTTCATATCGAGGGCATCGATTGTGGCCTGTGCTTGGGCTTCAGGGCGATCGTCGGCATTTTCGGGGGAACCGTCGGGCAACCGTTCAGGTATCAAGCGCTTTCGAATGGGAAGACCAAAATCGTCGAAATCTCCAGTCTCTCTTGAGCTCGGCGCGATTTCCTCCGTTCTTGCCTTCGCTTCCTCCAAGGTGTTTGTGTTCTCTTTTGCATCGGCGTCTGTGATAACTTCGGGGGCGCCCGTGGCGGGCTGCAGCGGATTCGACGGAGAGATTGCAGGGGGAGTAGACTGGCCGGTGCCGTTGACGGTGACATCTGCTGCGGGCATTATTTCACATAGACCGAAGGCCCTTGGGAGCTTGTAATTTTAGTGGGGGACGTAGGCTTCTTAAGACCCCAATTCGTGATGTTGCTTTCTCGCCCGTTCCTTGTACGAAGAGCGGTCACCCATTCGGACTGAAGCTTGAAGACTTGCACTGGGGCAATGGTATCTTCAGATCACCCTGTTCCCGATATTGGACCCAGTGGTGGTCATCGGACTGGTGTATCTCCGCAGACGGTGGCCACGCGGAAAAAGGAGGTCGCGAGGGGCGGAGAGCATGCGGCGGGGAATGACACTGACGTACTCCGTAACTAACACTTGAATGGATGAAAGTGATCACTGATTCAAAAAAATTCACCACAACCAAATTATAAAAGTTGCTAAGTCTCGAGATTTTGCATGACAGTTTGAAGAATTCATGAGATACGGAAACGGAAGTGAGGAATGCTATGAACTTCCAAGGTTGGAACCAACTATACCAGTTGAAAACAGTAGATACATGATCATCAAGTGCTTTCCAAACATTCCAGACGGACAACTTCTTTGCCGTATCTGCGTCAACCTTGTATATCATAGATATATGCCTTAAATAGAGGAGCTATGGTGGTGCGAGATATCTGATATTTCCCTATAAATGTAGGGACCTACTAAATGTAAATTGCACAATGTTAGCCACGACTACGGAGTACATGACTTATCTTTGTCATTTATGCAGACAACGGAATGAGGAAGCCGATATCCGGCCCGATATAAATATGATTGTATGAAGACGAGGCGGATGACAAAAGTTGAATACAATCCTCGGTCCGTATGGAGGCTGTGCATCTGGGGACATTTCGCCCGGGTTCTCTATCAAGAACAATTCACCTCCACTAACTCTAATACGCCTAAGATCGGCTACTTTGCCCCCTTTCAGAACGAATCAGATCAACCAGGCGATCATGTAAACTTTCTTGGCGTCATGGAAAGGAGCCTTGCCTTGCTGACGGGCGTCGAGTCACTTGATATGCATAAGACTTGCGGCTCAATCTCATGGTCTAATAGGTCCAAGTTCAGTGCGGAGATGCATATCATACTTGGCTGTGGACAACTTAACCTGAAATTACCCATCAACTCGGCTTCTGTTCTTCACTCTTTCCAACCTCCCCTCTGCTAACGTCGTTACATCTATTTTCATCCCTGATCTGAGACATCTTTCTATATCTGCTATCGCTATTTTCGCCATGACCATGGTCCAAGGTAGGCTAGATAACGCGTATTTTTGAATATTTCCCAGCCTTGTGAGGTTACTGACCCCGGAACTCTGATGGTAGGTGCCGAGGCATCATTCATTCGGATCGCCGGTGCGGGGCTTCGCCTTTCTTTACTTCTCAATGCTGCAGCCTGTCAACTCGCGCAGTCAAGGCTAGAGATTCACAGTATCGCAAAGGGAATTTCACTTTTTGCCCTCACTTTGAAAGATGTGGCAAAGACGCTGGACGCGACAAAGATGGACCTGTCCCCCGAGGTGACAGACAAGACCTGGGAGATTGCAAGCCAAGGCCAGATGATGTTTGGCGAAATCGAACACATGTTGAATAAGCTTCAACGCACCGATGCTGATGACAATCTCAGAAGACTCCCGATGCAAGAACGGCTAAAATGGTGCTTTAGAAAGCAACACGTCACGTACCTGTTGGCCTCACTGGAGTCTTTGAAGCTCAGTCTTATGGTCATGATGCGGATTCTACAATTAGCAGATTTGATCAAGTCATGTTCTAGCTTGCCAAGCTCAGATGCGCCCACGGCAGATGATGCCGTCGCCCAAGAGAAAGCAGAAACTCAGAACATGATCATTGTTCGATACTGGTCCACCAAACGTTTGGAACGTATGTGGGACTCGGTGGAACAGGAAGCTCTGGACGCTGCCAATGACCAGACGAGCCAAAGGATCAACTTGAATTACTCGAATACAACTGCAGGAGTAAACCCGCTGGTCGCTGCGGTGACTGGTTCTGGGCCTGATGTTACCAGGCTTCCTGCCGTGATATTTGGAGATATCGATGTGGGACTGAGCGACATTGAACGCTCTCCAAAGGACATGGTGCATCTGTCGGAAAAAGCAATGAACCGGCTTTTATCGTTATGGATTCCCTCGTTGAGCTCTCCAGAGCTGCGAAATGCAGGAGCAACCCCCCGAGACATCGAGACCAGCCGACTTAAGGTCTATATTTCGTCCGACAGCGATGAAGATAGTGAAAGTCTAAACTCCGAAGGCTCAGGTGTTCGTGGCTATTATTTAGAAGGAAATACGACGGACTGGCGAAAGCCCCAGTCACAGCAAGCCCGCTATGAGGCTGCCCGATTGCGCGATCAGTATTCCGACTACCAGGCTCATGTGGAAAGTGAGCCCGAGGACGAAGGGTGTATACACCCGCAAAACTCCACTGCAAAGTCTCGAACCGCTCCCCCGAGCGAAGAAGGAGAGCAAGATCGTCACCAGCCATCAAGCTCAAGCTTCGTGAACGGAGGACGTGGCCACTCTCTTAGCTTTACATCTGGATACGCACCCCGTGCACCTCAAAATCCAGATCCGAAACATGTCAGCTTTTCACCACCAAATCCAACCATTCCCCGCTCGCGAGCATCATCATACCTTCAGCCTACCTCAAATATCCCAGGACCTCCACAACAAAGATATACCTCAAACCAAGACCTCTACAGAAGCACCCCACGATCTATTCCTGTACCAAACCGCTCCAACCAACCGACGTCTATGCCTGCTCATTCACCCCGAGGCACTCCCCCAAGCCCATCCGAACCCTGGCCCAGGTCCCAGGGATACGTATCCAAACCTCGGCACCATCCCCCATACCCAATTTCATCATCCTCCCCCGAGTCTAGCTTCCATTTACCTCCCACAGCTCAGCGGTCCCCGACTCATTCCCGACGATCATCCCGGGAAGATCGGGAAGAAACTAAAGACCGCAAGAAAGATTTAAAACGCAGCGCGACTAGAGGATTAGTAGGGATTGGCGCTATTGCCGGGTTTATGGACGCGCTAGAAGCGTTCCAGATTCTTTGAGCTGTCTTCATCTTCACGGTTTCTTTGGTAATTCCCGAAATCACTTTTTTCTTGTTTGCTATACGCCAGCGGCTAGTCCTAATGCAAAGAGAGAGCGCTTCATTAGATACAGTACAGTACCAAATGTACGATGTCCCCAAGACCTCTCTCTCATGTATGTAGAGTTTACTACAATTTTTGAGCACATTATATCCCAATAAAAGAGTGTGGGCTACTACTTCTGACTCATGACCGACAAGTCACCCCTTATGCTGTGAAATCACATGTAGAGTATGGGGACCTGTGAAATCGACTCCAGAAACGGCCGTCCTTTCCACCCGTAATTTTTGACGGGAGCCGGTGTCCTATCCAGGCCCCCTCCCTCCTCGCTGTGCCTGACCGGGCGCTTATAAGATACTCCCCCTCTCCCTTCTCTCGATAATTTTATACTTTCCTAGTTCTCTTCTCATCTCTAGACTTGGATAGGCCCGTGGGCCTGTCCGAGTGGATGGTCCGTGGCTTACATTGATAGATATCTATCCAGACCAAGACCCAAATAATATGACGACTTGATGCTTCAGCCAAGTCAAACCATCAAGAGGTTTCTTTTTATTCAGTACGTCTCGAAATAAAAATTCCTGGGGCGTGGCTTCTCCTAGTTCTAGTCTCCTTACGGGGGCTCGTCCCCTCTTACAAAAGGTATTCGATAAGTAAGAGGCTTAGGAAGAGCCGTCTTAGAAACCGAGCCAATAACAACCTTCCCCTGTTCAAAAGACAGGCAATATAAAAGGGTTTCCAGAATAACGGCATCCTGGACAAGGTCAAGCTGTTTTTCCAGTTTGTCACGAGTTTCTGCCGGCATTCCTTTAAACAGCTCGTTCCAGAAAGCTCGTTCTGCATCCACAAATTCATCAGGCACCCATAATTCCCCACCCGTATATTCGCCAGCATAGGTGTGGATGCGACCGAAGCTGACCCCAAATGGCAGAGGTGTAGAAAGCTCCCAGTCGATCAAACCAGTGATACTGCATTCCTCATCGATTAGAACGTTTACTTCGTTCAGGTCATAGTGAGCGACCCATAGTGGGAGCTGTTTCAGCTGTTCTAGCTTGTCATGAAAACCTTGAAGCTGATGTCGGTACGGATTGACGTCCTCTAGTGGCGACGCTAAGAGGGTCTCAAGGTGAGATCTGACACGGATTTTCACGGCCTCATCGCTGCTGTTGTCAAGACAACCTTTAGACAAAGCGCGACCAAGAGATTTGTTTATAGCAATTCGACCCTTTGCACCCTTGCCAGCAATTCCGTGAAGCCACATCTTCCCATAGAGACGAGTAAATGAATACGCCTTAACTCCCTCGCTGACAAGGTCCTCGTCTTCCAAAGCTATGGAATCAGGTACTACTGGATCGAAATCCTTCTTCGCAATCTTGAAAGCGTCTAGGTCGAGAGGCTCAGTGCGAAATTGTTGCACCACCTCACGGCCATCTGCCAATACCAACATGAAGGTCCGACTAAACATTCCCTGCATAGGAGGCCTGTCGATGTGCTTGAAAACACTACCCAGATGCTTGAGGGCCAGCTTTTTTACCCATTTGACTTGTTTTGTGGGTGTTTCGAGCAATTTAGGGAGGTCTTTGTCGGAAGCGATGGGTGGCATTTTGTAGAGTGAAGGCTTTGAGCAGCACAGACGAGAAATCAAAGTCGATATTATGTGTGAACAGATTGAAGGTTCCAGTGGGATGGAGAACACGCACGGAGAACACGCACTGCAAGGCAGTGAAGGGGGTCATGCATAGGGATCTGCGCCGAGTTTAGAACATCCACAGTACCAATCAATAACTAGAAAAAACTTTGCCAATGATACAAAGGCTTCTAACCTTAACCTGCGTATCTATTTATTGCGACAGGCTCCCCCATACGCGTAGTACGGCGCTAAAAACGACTGTGTCATAGGCCATTTGGCGTTTAGTACGGCCATATAATGAGTCCAACTTTGCGTGATGAATCATATCGGCCAGCAAACAAAGAAACTGAGACTTATTCTTCCATTCAATCATACAGAGAACACACAGGGCTCCACCGTAAATCGCAATATGTTTATTGAATTCAACTAAATGAGCCACACAAGCTCTTTCCGCCGCACAATTTGGTCCGATGACTCCCCAGCAAATAGCATTACAGTCAAAAGCGACCTTCTAACAGCCTGTCTCCGATGGGCAATTCGATCCAAAGCAAGTACGAACAACGTGTCCCTTTGTTTCATCTTCCCACCGCTTCTAACGATCTCAGCATTTTTAGATCCAAGGATCTCGATATGTCTTCTAATGATCAGGCAGGTATAACGACCAGTCGGCAGAGTATTGTTGTGACTCGATTCCCCTTCCCTGACAGTGGCAATTGACTCCTTCCGCCCGGGGATAAAAACTTCACTGAATGGTTCTGTACGGATGTCAAGCTCCGTAATCCAGCCCTCAATCTCAAGTTCATTCCCATGGCACGCGAGAAACGTTGGCTCCAGATGGCTGTCATTGACAATGGCAGAAGGATCTTCAGCACTAAGCCTAAGCTTCCAGGGGAGTGTTACTCCTCCCTCCCATCCCGTCCAGCTCCAAGTCGGAAAATTGGCTCGGCGTTTTGGGACCACGTCAGACTCGTGTATCCACGCCAGGGATATCATGTGGCTTTTCAATGGGAGGCCGTGTAAGAATCCTTGCGGAAAGGATTGTTTCCTGAAAGATGCAATAAGGCCGCGAAAAGCGTTTAAAGAATCGTTCTCGTTTGTCATTTGAAGATAGGTGTAACTATTTAGAACACCAAAGAAGACCAGTAAGTTTCTGGAGGTGGTGGTGGCCTCATTGGTATTGGACTTCTCTGTCTTGATGGAGTTGTCAGGGACTCTCGTGAGCATAAACGACATGTAAAGGAGTAATAGGTGATTTTTATCCTTACAATTGCAAAAATACCTTCAAGTGAACCTGATACGGCAGGATGTACTGGTCGCTCGGAATATTTCTTGTCCAAAGACGCAATATCCTGATCTTCTTCGACGCCACCTCGGTTACACCTGAAAACAACTTGGCCGCTTGTGAAATATAGCGATCTCGGGGAAAGAAAATCTTCTTGCTTTGTCCACGCTCGGGTTGACCATACAGATCTCTCTTTTTCCCACTGATCGCTCGCCGGCGTGGTAAATAAAGTGCAACCGTTAATCGTCTCCGCCACTTGTGTCCCCCTGGGAGCTGAGATACCCGCAAGGCCAGAATTTGCATTTTTACCATGCATAGCTGTGATGACCAGTGTTGCACAGCCATATATAGTTGACATCATATCTAATTGGCTTTCTCTTTCTTTGATTTGAGATTCGGTGAGACAAGGCGACTGATCTATGCACAGCGAATCGACCTAAGAAATAGAATACTCAGCCATCGAATCGATTCACCATCATTGCCGGTAAAAAGTACCCAAAGATATCTTATTCCTAATGATTTTGTTACCGTAATGGCATCCTCCACTGTCAGTGGAAGGCATCCGTTTTCCAGCGCCCCAGGAGACGGTGAAATGCCACCCCACACATAGCTCAAGGCAGCATAATCCGAACCTGCTGGATACGGAACGATGACACGCTCAATGACATCCACGACTCGAATTGTGACAAGCTCTTCAGACTTCTCTACACGGCATGTACCAGTATGATTCTGAAGACAGTCATCAAGAGCCTGGCGAATTTCAGCCGTCTCGGGCTTACTCTCGACCAGTCTGAAATTCGAGACATCTCGATCAGGCCCCATGAATCGATTTTCCATAGCAATAAGAGGTCCGTCAAGACTTGCGTATTGCACATCCGGAGAGTCGGCAATAGCCGACGGGGTAGATCGGATAATTTCGTTTGTGCTATAACGACTTTCTTCAAGAGCCAGCACGACAGCGTACTGCTTCCTGTCAGAGTCTGGCAAAGTCTCCCAGCCAAAGGATCTCAAGTATGTACGTGCTGGTGTGAGATAGATCTCCGGATTAGTCTCGCCTACTCGTTGCGCATACTTTAATGCTCCACCTCTAGTGCGCCCTGATGCGGGTTTTCGGGGTAAAATGCAATATAGAAGACGGCAGAAGGGGCAAGAAGGACTGAGGAAAATCGAGGACAGAGAGCCAAGATGGATTCTGTGATTCAAGTCGTTGAAAAAACTTGGCGAGTCACGTAACTCTTTCCGCTGGAGTATATCCAACGGCTGAGACTTCAAAAATAAGGCCAGGATATCGAGGCTTGAGCACCGGGCACATAGCTCACTTGATTGGGCCTGGAGCACGCGGATTTGCTCAGCATCTTCCTTTGAAAGACCATAAGTTGGAATGCCGGTACCGACGAGGCTGTCAGTGATTAGCGACGAGCTCTGTATCATAGGACACGGTTCGGTGCTCGGCTCAAGAGTACGACAATAAATACACAATCTTTGAGAAGAATTCAAATGAGACATCTTGGAGAGGCGCTTATTGAAGATATAGGGAAAGCATTTAGTAGAATTTAAATCAAAAATTTTAGCTACTTAATAAGTAGCCAGCTTTCATAAATACTCTGGGGGGTCTTTTCCCCTCTCTTCTTTCAGCCCCAAATGACTGACGTGGCAGAGTGGGGCTGCCTGCTTATGCATAGGATTAGTTACAATAAAACAGCCATATATGTACTACCTATACTATTATGAACAGCTTTTATTCGATTGAACTCAAATGTAAATTGTCAGTTCAGAAATGCCTATCCAATTACCACTTCTAAAAAGTCCATGATGCCACCATTCCTGCCAATCTGTCTATGTCCAAGACAAGAAAGAATCAAAGCACTGGAAATGCAGACAGGTGATGTTGATACGGAAATCTAGGCCTTCCAACGCCATTTACTGTGAATTCCCTTCTTCATATCTTCATACAAACGATCATAAACTAATCCGTGATAGAGCTAATCAACTTCACGCAATTTCTGAAGCTCCCCCACCAGCTATTCAACTTCACCCATAAGTTCAGGCATGCTAGCTCCAGCCAGAGTCTGACTAGCCGTTGTCATGGCCCACAAGCGTTCCAAAGCGCTAGAAGCACTCATTTGGGAGAGAATCAATCTAGCCACCGGATCCAAGAAGCTGGGTGCGGAAGATACACCAGAGGACTCCGTGGCCGCCGGGGAAGAGGTCTCGTGTTGAACATGGACGCCAGCGCGGGGTGCAGCAGCGGGGGGCCATGGGGTATGTGAGTTCAAGTATAGACTGTACACGGTCTGCGCGGATCTCATTAAAGTCCAAGGACAGAATGCGATCAGCCATTGGCTTCCTTTGAGACCGGGCATCACGCTTCAGGAGATAGATCATACAGTATATCTTTGATCACATTCGAAACTATAAAGCAATTTTATTGGCATAATTACTGTAAGACTTTGTTTTTGATCATTGAGTCAACAGTATCAACGACACTAGTTTCCAGGTCAATGTACTCCCATTTGCCCTCTTTGGTACCCACGGCTAGTATTCCCAAACTCACTCGCATATCCCATCCTGTGGGATGCACTCCGGGAGGTAAGATCTGGGAAGGGTTACCTTCGGGAACTTTGTGAGCAAGAGCCGGGAAATTTTTGCGGATGTTGTTGGCCACAAGTTGGGGTGTAATGAGACCCGAAATGAGGAGAATGCGCTGGCTGGCCGCGGAGGGGTTTTTAAGAGCATCAACATGGCTCCGCGCTACATCGCGAACATCGACCTAAACATGAATAAGCAACCGAGGTAAATGTTTCAGTTTTATCTTGGTATCTTTCTGATTCTTCCCGGTTAACTGGAAACTTACAAAATGGTAGAAAGGGAAGGTAACACCTTCGATTTTCTTGTGAGTTCCATCAATAAAGCTCGCGATGGCAAACTGATTGGTCTCATTAATAGACTTTGGGCCTGAAATTGGGTGAATCATTGGACCAATGATGATATCGGGGTTGATTACAACCAAGTCAAAGGAGGTACGATTCTGCTCCATGAATTCCCATGCAGCAGCCTCGGCTCTTTTCTTGGACACGTTATAACCCAATACGGCATCATTTTTCTCAATGGCTTGCTCAGCCGTCACCTATGCCTGGTCAGATATAACTTTATAAGAGGGGACATAGCCGACAATGTTTACCGGGTTCCAATTCTTCTCCGTGTAAGGCTTGCCTTCTCTAGACATATCTTCAAAGGAGTTAAGCACTGATACAGCACTTCCCAAAAGTACAAAACGCTTCAAAGTGTCTCCACCGTGCTCATGGGCAGCCTTTAAGATCTCGGTAGTTCTGAAATTGTGAGTTGTAACTCATTAACCTTCTAATTTCTGGCAGCCATCTTACCCCTTTTCTGCGGGCTCAATCATTTCTTTTTGAATATCAGACACCTGGAACTTCAATGGAGATGCCGTATGGATGACATAATTAAAAGGCATTTTTGGACTCTCGAAGAGATGGTCGAAAGGTTTCGCCGATGTGAAGTCGGAAACGATGGCAAATTGCACCTTTCCTTCCCAAGATGGATGTGTCTTGATAATATCATCCGCTTTACCTTGGGAGCGCACCGTTGCAGTCACGGCATATTCGCGCTATTCAGGTGTTGATCAGTCATCTGACGACAATAGAAAGTTAGAGGAGCTATGCCCACATTTATTAGAATGGCCAGGATGTGAGAGGCCACAAAGCCATTGGCTCCTGTCAGCAAGACGTGGGGGGTTGATTTAGCACTTGACATTATGAGTAGCAGATAGACGAATACATATGGAAAGTTGCTCAAAAAGTTTTCGAATTAACAGGGCGCTTGTTGGCACCGATTAAACTATATAGAAGAGTAAAAATATTGGGAAATTAACGGATTAAAAATGACGTTTTCATTAATGGGAATGTTCCGGGAGTAGACCTTGCCACAGTAGGGCCCAGATCGGCCTATTGAAAGATTCAATATGAATTGTGTACGAATACGATCTGGTGGTAGTAGGTAGAAGAAAGCGAGTGCACGGATGGATGGATGGATGATGTTGAGTGACGTGGCTGGAATAAGCCCCACCACGACAAATACAGTGACCGAACAAAAGTATGTGCATCCAAAGTCTCGAGATTTGCGGGAGGTAGTGCAAATACTTTTGTCAAGTTACTATAGCTCATGTAATATTACGGTACTATGACGATGACCAGTTCTGCCAGAGTCATGAGGCGGCTAGTCAAACCGGTCTAGCACGGGTCAGAGCACATTGAAGGTTTCCCTTTGAACAATGTTGCCGTTAATGTACCACAGGACAGCTGCCAGACCATTTGCGAAGAGGCCATTCGAATCGTCAATATTATTGGTGATCTAGGAATCCTGACCGAGGTTGTTAAATCAAGGAGCTTAATTGTACAGAACGAAGATCCCGGCATGACATGGACGCAAAGCGTGGATTGAAAGTAATGATGAACGATTTTGCACTATGCAATTTCCGTGAAGATTACAAAGGTGAACATGACTGGGACAAATGGAATTCGAATCAGGAAGAAGGGGGCGCTGTTTGACATGTCATGCAAAGGCGTTCACAAGGCGAAGTTGGATGATGAATTGAGAAGGCCGACTGAGTTGAGATCTGTCTGGGGAGCAGAAAACCACCTAGGCTCTATATAGGTCTATCCACGCAAATGGTTAAGTTCTTTAAAACCTTTCGAGTCTCAAAAAGAGCAGGTTGCTCCGCTAAAGACTTTGAACTCCCATCACATTCATCCGGTAGCCACGTCTTGACCAGTTCCAGCCCTGCTTGTTCAAACAGCGACCGCCACTGCATTTCTGTTCGCTCCAGCGACGCAAAAGAGCCCATCATCTGCATATCAGACAGAACAGACGAGAGAAGCACATCAGACTCGGGTAACATGGTTTCACTAATCAGTAAGATGGAATCAGTGTCCATCGCATGGTGCACACGGTCCAAGATCTGAACTGCCTGCTTATCCGGCCAATCATGCAGAACAGTCCGCATGAAATAGACTTTGGCATTCTTTACCGGTTGCATCTGGAAAAAATCGTGACTTTGTACTTCAATCCCTGCTGGCAGATCTTGAGCCCCCTGCACCACTGCTGGCAAATCTTGCAAAAAGAGTTTACCTGGTAAGGTGGGGAACTGGGCTTTGAATTTCTTCAGATCCTCACCTTGGCCACCGCCGATATCTACGAGCAGCGGCTCAGCGTCACTAGATACATGCAGTCGATGGGCCACTGGGAAAAATTCAAACCAGTCTTTCCCGTGGCGGCGAAATGACATGGCCATGGTGGTGTTGAATGCTTGCTGATAGTATGGTGTAGAGCCCAAAAACTCAAAATAATGGGGTGAGTCAATGGCGAATTGAAATGGTCCATCGAAGGCATCGCTAGGGCTCTTCCATCCTTTGGTATGGAAGTACTCGGGCAAATTTGACAGTACAGTCATGAAATGGGTGCTATATACCGATGTCAACTTATTGAAGCCCTTTCAAGAGATAAAAATTCTTACCCATGGATCAAGGCCGCTGATAAAGGAGAGCTTGACACTAGCGCAGCAGCTAATGGCTTTGAGGTAAATGAGCCTGGGCATACTTCTTTGACCACGGACATGGCAGCCAGGAATCGCATTATGCGCACTAAATCCGATTAGCACTTGAGTCTGACGGGCTTTAATGTTGATACATCGGTGCATACTGATTAGCAGTGGCTCTGCTCCTGTTTGCTCTGCAAGCTCATCAGTTTTGATTGATCCATCAGGCCGACCCACTTTGGCGGCAATCGCGTCGAACAATTTCAGATCAACACCTAGTCTCAGGGCCATTGCTTGATGGCCCTATTGCACTGTTAGGTCTTGGTCTCTAGGTCTATGTTCACACAACATACCGAAAATACCAGACGAGCAGCTATATCAAAAGGCGTCTCAAGTTGATTCTTGAGTTTATCGCATGCTTGTAGCAGTTGACGACGTTCCGACTCTTCAAGGCTTGGGAGTGTCCCGACTGTGGCATTGAGTCTATCTATCAGATCTGTCACGCCCATTTTCGCGAATGCTGAATGATAAGACGAATGATTTGTACTGTCTAATTCGCTATGATTAGTTTGAGATAATATCGTACATTTTATACTAGAGTTCGAATTCTTGTTAACCACGGTGATTTCCAAATACACCGGGGGCATTTCAATTTCCTATACACAGTGACTTTTGATATCAAGCGAATAATTCTGAATATGCCGGAGTTTTTCAGACACATTTTTGTAAAAGCCGAATATCCCGACCATCCTGGCGATAAGGCAGTCAACGGCGAGAGTACCCAACGGAGTAATCGGTCAGAGCCGGCGGTAGGCAAATTCCGTGACCAATGATATTCAGGTATCCTGTGGGGTCAGTGGAGAAAACTGGGCTTGATTCGTCAGGTTTAGCTTTAGGGTTCTACGCCGCCGTTGTCAACTTCTCATTCGCAACAGCAGTCCATCCCAATGGATTCGCAGCCATGTCGGCTGGTGCCTGTTCCTCCCTAATCTAGCAGCCGACCCGTTCCAAGGTTAGACCCTGGGTTTTGAGTTAAAATGTTGCCACAAAACACCCCATACAGAGCCTCTACCACAACCCAAACAGTGTCCAAGTGGCTCGCAGCGAAAAAAGTGGAAACAGGCAGCTGTCCCTGTTGACCTACATATTATCAACTTACCTAACGTTTTTCACATTAAGCTTCGGCCCTTGAATGCAAGCGACTTTGCACATGCTTATGGCCAAGCCTGGCTGGGCTCTGTTTTTCGTCTTCTGTGCGGAAAAAACCGTGTTCTTGAGATCTGCACAATCTATGATCCCTGAAGATTATTGTCGATCGATTCTTTCTGTCCCTTTGTATTTCACATGGCAGCTGGTGTCAGACTCATATTGATGTCGATAAACTTGTTCTCTGCATTCGAGACGATGAGTCGAAATCCCCCGGCCTAATAAAACGGGTTGCAATTGTACTTTTTACCCATTTGTTGCAGATATTTGACCCTTTCAATCTCTGGCACACTCTTTTTCTTCTTCTATCTTTCTCCATTCCTCACACCCTACGGTGTGAACATGTCCGAGTCCTCCACTCCCCATGGTGAAACAAGTCAAGCTCAGCCTGCACCACAGCAACCGCTGAACAGGTCCTGTGAATCATGCAGAAATCTCAAAGTCCGCTGTCTTCCAAATCCAAACACACCAAACCAATGTCAACGATGTTCTAAAGGCAAGAAAGTCTGCACCTTTGTAGCACCACAAAGGCGGCGGCCTCGTAAACGAACCGACTCCCGGGTGGCGCAACTAGAGAAGGAAATGCGCATGATGCGCTCACTCATCAAAGATAAAATTCGTGAAGAAAGCGAGCCTGACTCTTCCGAAGGTAGCGATAATTTTCAGGACGAGTCTGGCGACATGGATTATCAAAGCGCATTGGGGTCCATCCCGGAGTCCGCCGGTGGCACATCTGACTCTGCACGATTAATGAAGTATTCTCCTGGCTTCATCGACACGTCACTTCACGGAGTGCATGAAAGTGGACCACACTCAGCGCCACCGACCCTTTCTGGGTTGCATGCTAATTTTCTCTCTGTGCCCAACAAACCCTGCGTCGAAGATGTTATCGATCGTGGCATTATTTCTCTCGAAGATGCAGAGCAATTGGTCGCTTTTTTCATTCATGAGTTGTCAACCATTTTCCCGTTCGTCATACTTCCACAAAACACTACTGCAGCACAGCTACGAGAGGCAGCGCCTGTGCTCTTCCTTTCTGTGGTCTCCGCGGCAGCGATCTCCATAGATGTGGACCTGGCAGGTGTTCTGAACCATGAGATGATCCGCTTGTATGCAGACCGATTCTTTATCGAGGGTGAAAAATCGCTGGAGCTGGTACAGGCACTTTTATTGATGATGATATTTTACTTCCCGCCCAGCTCGCCCTTGAAGCTGCAGTTTTATCAGTACGCACATATCGCATCAACAATGGCACTGGAAATCGGACTTGCAACGAAACGGCGTATCTCGCAGGGCAAATTCGATCGCAAAAAACCCGAATCGCACGATGAGCTTATGGCAGAACAGGCTAGAGCTATCCTTGGATGCTACCATGTTGGATCGGTGTAAGTGATTCTAAGGTCAAGCTATCATTTCGAAAACTGACTTCAGAAACAGTGTTGCGATGAAAATCCGCCGCCCAAACTTGCTGCAGTATAATGATTGGATGGAGGAGTGTGTAAGCCAGCTTGAACGATCGCCTCACCAGACAGATCGGCGACTGGCTGTATGGTTTGAGCTTCAGCGGATCACCGATGAATCGTTATCATCATTTGGCCTTGAAGACACTAGTTTCATGTCGACATTGACAGATTCGCGCTTGCAGGCCGTGCTGCGATGGTTCGATAAGCAAATGGAAACGTGGAGAAAGAATACCCCCCATGAAATGCTTACAGGTAAGTCGATAATCCCTTCAAGCCTTTATGAGACGAGTCACTCACCATCGACTACTGCAGTGCCCATGATCATCGAATATCGATCTGCCGTTCTCGCGATGTATGAGGTCAGCATAGGAGAAGGTTACCGAGACCCCGATGCGATCAAACGACGAGAATTCACACTCCCAAACTTAGACGAAGATGGCAACACAAAACAAACCACCCAAATGAGCGTAGCCCGCATCGATGTCACGGTGAAATGGATGAACGCAGCGCACGAACTCCTAGATGCTGTCCTAGCCTGCAGCGCCGAAACGATGCGTCGCTTCCCGAACCTGATGTACACCCGATTCACAATGGCCATGACATCCCTGCTGAAGATCCATTTCTCAGTGCGGACCAACACACTCGGAGAATTCCTCTCACCGGAAACTGTGAACGTCAGCTACTACCTTGATGCGATGGCCAATAAACTCGGCGAAGCAAGCGGAGGCGGTAAATATAAGATACCCACTCGATGGTACCATGTGATAGCAGTCAAAAGCCGGGACTGGTATGAACGCCTAGAAAAAAGATACTCGGATACACCAAGTATGGTGTCTTCAAACCCCCCTGAGCAGATGTGCTCGACAAAAATGGCACAGGATCCGGTTGTACCTATGGATTCTTTCCCCGTGGCACCAGATGTATCGCTCATAGTGCCTGGTATCGAGAATGGATATGTCGCCATGAGCGGTGCAGGAATGTGGCCTATTGATGGAAGTCATCATAACCAGTTTTTCCAGTCTCTCCCTAGGTATTCGCAACACACTGCTTCGCTTCAGCCGCAGTTTGGGTTTGATCCACAGAGATTATCATCTCAACAAATTGCCGGGGCGAGCCTGGAACTTGATGGGTGGCTTCCAGATGGAAGTATATATGGCATGCCTCCTTTGCCTGAATTTTGACCGGGGTATATTTTTGGCTTCTAGAGCGTTAGTTGGCGTGACTTGCGTCTTGTCAAATGGATATGTATCCATCAACATGATCTTGCTCAACAAAATAATCAGCAAAATGTGTACTATACCTCATTGGCATCACGTCTCGTGTCAGCGTCGCAGATCATATTGGTTGCAACACCAGTGGTATCTCATCCATGCATTGATTGATCAATTGATGCATCAATAAAAAGTACCCATAAATAAAAGATTTGAGCGTAAGACAAAGGCAAACACTAGAAAAGAAAAAAAACCAACCCTCGCAGCGAACCACTCCGGCTATAAGGAAATGGCCCACGACCCAGAATTTCCAACACCAACCATTTACCCCAATCAACCCAAAATGTAGCACGTCAGCTCCGAAGAGCAAGACGGATATAGTATAAGATCCATAAGTCGGAACCTCGGTGGGAACGGAAGTTCCGGTCGTACAACGGTACATCGGCGGACCGAACATCCAGTCCGACGTCTAGGAGGAAAAATGAGATTAGGCTAAAAGCGGTTGTTGTAGATATTATTTTGATTCTTAGCTGTTATCTACCGGGATATTCTGCTCCAGATATTCACCATACACCAACCGCATTTGCTTGAAGATTTCGAAATTCCCGATAGCGGCTGACTCAACAGGCTCTGGCTAGCTCTCGCAGACCGAAGTCATTTAGGAGAACACAGCGAATTGAGCTAACAGCATCCTTCAGCTTGGCTTAATCAGGATTCAATTTAATGGCTCGTTTTTATCCCCCTGTAAATTGATGCTGGGTGGTGCAAAAATATCTCGGGTAAGGCATGCATTACATACTAGAAGCTTTCCGCCGCGCTTTTTGCGCGGCGCCTATTTAGGTGTTAGACGACACCTCCTACTATATCTCCTACTCAGTCTCCTACTTAGTCTCCTACTCGGTATTTCATCCAGTATTTTACCTTCATTCATACCGTATTAATCAAATGGTCAAAGGGCTCTCCAAATTCATAAATAGCGGAAATGAAAAGCAAGAGAGAAAAACAGAAGAGAAGAGAAATGAAGTGGTAGGAGAAGGGCAAGGAAGGAAAAGGGCAAAGAAGGAAAAGTCTGGTGAAGGTTTCGAACGTATGTCCAAAAACTCTGCGGGTGTACCCAAGTCATACTAGAGAGGTCTGGTAGATCCTAGATAATGACAATAATGATACATGATATTACAGTACTCTTACGGTATTTAAACCCCATCTTCCTGCATGGAGGCCAACATACTTGGGTCCTATCTTCCAAATGTGCCGATTACGTGCCATTTGAGGGCGGGAACTTGCTTTCGGCTGGCCCAGATTAAAGCCTTCCTATTGGCAGAACAACGTAATATATTTTGTGGAGTAGCCCTGGTCCCACATAGTACTATTCGTGATGTTTTCAGGTCCGAGACCAGTCGTGTACAAGTCACGTTATAATACGAGAAGCCCCTAGGAAAATAAATACCCACGACCAGCCAGTAATCAGTCCAAGGATATTCACAACTTGCATTCAAACATATCCACAACTTGCATTCAAACTCAGTATGTCGAGTAAAGGGTATTTGACAAAAGACAGTATTCTCAAGCTGGGAGATAAAGAGTCAGTCCGAAAATCACTCAAGTACCAATGAAACGGAAAAACATGATTTAACCTATTTGAAATGAAGCCCAGAATACGCAGAATGGCAAAAGGCAAATCCCGAGGATGATGAGATGGATTGGTCAGACATCAAAAATGCTCGTGCCGCTGTGGACGAATGGAGCCGCGAGCAACGGGAGTCATTGACTGACCAGGGTATCCTTATGAATATTCCTATGCGCGACGGCTACCAGTCCTCCCTGCGTATTTTCAAACCCACTTCATCTGAAAATTCTTCTGCCCCTCACCCACCATCTCCGGTTATTGTCCTCGTTTACGGTGGAGCATTCTGCTGTGGTGACAATTCTAACTTTGCTGCCCACGCCCTCGCTCTGCGTGCGTTATACGGCGCAACCGTTGTGCTTACATCTCATCGGCTGGTGCCCGAACATCCCTTCCCCGTCGGTCAACACGACGTTTGGGATTCGCTAGTATGGCTTGCCGAAAACGCAGAGAGTGTGCTGGGAGCAGACATGAACGCTGGCTTTATAGTAGGAGGTGTGAGCTCTGGAGGTAACGCTGCCGCGACAGTGGGACAGATGTGGGTGGATGAGTATGCGAACCAGCACTACAGCCAACAGGATATCAGTCGACCCAAACTCACCGGAATGTGGCTGTCGGTCCCATATCTGTTCTCTTCCAAGGAGCACGTTCCTAAGGAGTACCAGGATTTCTTTCTCAGTCGTGAGCAGTTCAAGGGGGACAGCATGAGCGGAGATATACCCGTCTCGGTCATCAAGATGCAGCAGTGGAATACTCAGAGTCGATGGTATAGCCCAATCAACTCGCCAAGCCCCAACCCTCATAAAGAGCTAGCAAAGCATGGGGTGAGGGTGTACCTCCAAGCTGCTGGGCGGTGCTTTGCTCGTGATGATTCTCTCATCTACGAGCGTATTCTGTCCCAAAATGGAGTGGAGGCCAAGTTAGACATATATCCAGGGGTGAGTTTTGAGCATGAACCATACATACACTCACTATCTATTAAAGCACACCCAAAAGCCAAGAAATTGTTGATTCTAATGCGTGTCAAACAGTGCCCCCATGCTCACTTTGCCGGGATAGAGATAAGTGAAGCCCGCCGGTGCAATTTGGAGACTTTCAAGGAATTTGCATGGTTACTCAGGAAAGACATACCCTCACAGGAGCAAATCGAATCAGCGGTTCGCAGTGCTGCCCCTTCGATCATTATTTGATTACAGGCACTCTTGTATGACACCACCTGTGTCGTGTCTATTTGGATCAAGTTTTTATCATTAAAAATCCAACAAACTATTATAATTATTCCGGTCAGTAGACTTGACCGAGGGGCCAACGTGTAAACAAAGAAAGGTAAGTCAACATGACGAAAGACATGTTTACCTAGCACAGCCAATAGCCGCGCGATATGAGCCAGAGGTGAAGACAAATATGCGGCCCAATCAAACCTCAACATGGTATTCAGTGGACTGTTTATCTTCTCTTTTTGGCCTAGAAGATCCAGCGTAGCGTCCAACGGAAACTGCGACCAATAAGCAGAGAATAGCACTGGTCAAAGTCATTCCCGCCCAACCCACGTGAATACGAATTAGTCCCCCAACAAGAGGACCAGCGAGTTGCCCAGTGGCCGTAGCCATGTTGAAGAGAGCATATGCCTGCGCCATTGGGCTCTTGTCACCAAATATACCGGGGGTTTTCTCCTCAAACACTTGAATGACCTGAAACACCTCGGTCATTGAAATAATCTGGATGATCAGGACAGTGAAGCCAATAACGACGAGTAATCCCACCAAGAGGGCTTTATCCGTATCGCCGTCATGCTGGACGAAGCGAAGGAAAAAGAGGGCAATTCCAGTGACAAGCAAGGCGCCAAATCCGGCGCCACGGGTGCCCATGCGATCCAGCGTTCTTCCGACCCAGCCTCCGGTAAGACTGGGGAGTGAAAGTGCTAGGAAGATCAAGCCTGCCCCTTTAGAAGACCACCGGAAGGTGTCCATGACATATAATGGAATGGTCTGTATTCAGAGTTGAATTAGCGTTACTGCACGTAATAGATCAATAGCTTGGGACTTTGACGGGACCAGTTCCTTACCGTCTCTACAACCCCGAGTGTGAAACCGACCATGGCGGTGATAAGCAACGAAGTAAGCAAGCGCGGAGAGGCTAGCAAGTGTAGAATAGGGGCTTTGCTGCCATTCCTGACGCATGCAGAAGTGCTACTGGAGGATGACCGGCCCAAGAGAGGTGACTGTTCGTTTTCGCAATCCGTACAAGGAGAACCATTGGGAAAAGTCTCTTGGGAAGTATTCTTGAATCTGATGGCATTTTCATCCCACTTTTTGGCAGCTGTCTCGAAGGTCAGTAGAGCACAGACATTGTGATGTGAGAAGTCTCATTGAACGTACTAGATTTCTCAATCATAGCTAGTCTCAGCACGATCTCCAGGACGATCATCAAAGTAGGCAGAATGAAAACGCCATAATATCCAAATTCCTCATATCTGGAGACGTATCAGCCATGTAGTTGAACACAGAGAGTCAAATAATCATCAATGAACGTGGTAACATACGTTACACCACCAAGCATCGGGCCAAGGAGGGAGCCTAGTGTCATGCCAATACTGGTGTTGCCCATCGCTTCACCCATACGTTCCGGAGAAACGTTATCAACAAGCATGGCCAGACCGACTACCCATACAGTGGCGGCCGATAGACCTTGACACGCTCGCGCGATAACCAGAGTGACAGGAGAGTTCGCGAGAGCAAACAGGCCAGTTGATATGGCTAGAGATGCAAGACCAAGAACGAATGGAAGCTGACGCGATCGAACATGATCCGATACATATCCGATCACGGCTTGAATGATGTCAATCCGAGTCGACTGAGGGTTTTTGAAAAGGTCAAGAATAGTAGGTCACTCACGAGATCCAATCAAAAGGGCGCAGGCGTAAACCGCAAGCAAAATCGAGATCCAATATTGAGCTACGTATTTTCATCAGTAGATGCACGATAGAATAATCAAGAGCTCCACTAGGGGTAGGTGGGGGATTACCATCCTCTTCGGGAACCCCTGCGCGTGCGACCAAAGACTTTGGAATGATCGGGATGATCTTGGATGAAGTTCAGCTTTTCTGGCTTGATTTCTCTCAAAATAAAATGCACCCACCAGACCGTACAGAAGGACATCCTAGAATTAGGAAATTTAGTTCACTTTGATCACAGAAAGGAATGTGCTGCTAACTTACAGTAGTCATGGCCATGGTGACAACCATGACGATGAAACGCTCAGACGACCGAATCGAAAGAAGCCATGGCCTCTTTGGGATTGTTTCTGGCATCTTGGAATGCCAGATAGCACTTGATATCTTTTCTGACCACTAGGTATATTATGCTGAACCTCTGAATTAAATTATGAACCTGAAAGAAGGATGAAGGAACATGTATGACCCCCACCCTGGGACCTTTTCCACGTCACTTTTCTCTGAGCTTGTTCGGTAGATTTCTTTTCGAGCGATGGATCTAGGGATGGATTGAGTGGACAGAGATAATGGTGAAAATCCTTTCATGACGCTAGGACAGGTCCAATAGAACCACGCCTAGCCTGGAGCAGCGGTCTGAACCCCACTTGGACGAAATTCGATGCAGGATGCCGATCTCTTCAGCTGTGGCATTTTACTTTCTTGTCGTGAGCTGGCAGCAGATCTCGAGGTCTCCGAAATGAAAAATTTCATTCTGATTGTGACGTTTTTCCAGCAGATCTCGAAAGGAGATTGATGACACCTAACTGGCTGAATTTGACGAGATCAGGGGTCAATAATTAGTTCAATATGACCTCAGGAGTACGAACTTCTTTGGCATCCCTCGTTAGCTTGAAGTTTTTGCATAGCAATTCGACTATATTTTAATAAGTTAGAGATCAACACATGTTCAACTGGGCAGCCCCAATACCAGTCAGTAGGTCAGTAGGTCAGTAGGCAGAATCCCTTGCTTGACTTCACTTCATCCTCCGTGTCACTTCGCTGTATCGTACTGGTATTGGTATCAGTCTTGGGTACCGGGACAGTATCTATTCGGCTTGTTTACGACTCCACTATGCGAACCGTGTTCGCTTCCCGAGGTCCCAAGATTTGGAGATCTATGATCCGAGGAGCCCGGGGTCATCTGTTCGCCCCTGTAAATCCATTGCGGATGATCTTCCATCCGCAACCAATATGACGTCGCTCACCGCTTCATCGGGGAATATGACTGCAAGTTTCCCCGGACTAGCTCATACCTCAGCTCCGTCTAGAGGAATCTAAGAGCTCCACTATAGGAGATGCGAACTTGCGATCGGAGGGGAGGAGAAACACATATTGGTGCATCGTGACGAACATTATCTCCGATGAGATCCCGCTCAGTGTCTTGATCAGCTTGGATCCCCATCATTTGAAGCTAATATGCTAAAAACATGTAGATCTTACCTATATTCAAGAAAGTTTCGCTTTCGGGATGCTCTTCAGTTGAGGTGGCGTTAAAGTTCAATCCGTATCATTCACGCACGGGTCAGAGATCATGGATCCGGTCGTTCATGCATGCATTCCCCACTTGTACGGGTTATCGAAAACCTTAAAGACAGCTGAATAGCCAGCCACAGTGTCAACGGAATAATACGTACGTTGATCCTGCCACAATTTATGTTACCGTACTGTATTGGCATGTGGTGGAGCCCGCAGTGGGGCTGCCACTAGATCAAGTCCACGGGTATTTCATAAGTGGGTTCATGGGGTATCGTAATGTTTTAATACAGTGTATATTTTACATATTACATGTTGATGTATGTTCATGTATGTTTCTTGTTCCTGAGTATCCCATACAGGTTTCGTATTGTGTCAGATATCAGGGTTGCTGGAGGCATTCTTTCTAATGTTAATTTTGAAATCGCAACAACATTTACTCTACCACGTGAGAGATGAGCCAGACTTGTCAGAACTGATGATAAGTAAAATCATATTGAGCACTGATTGAGGCAAAGCTTATACATTTGAGAATTTTGGTTCTGGGCTGGTTTCAAGTGGGTTTAATAGGTATATGATGTGAAATGCGATATGCATTTTCAGTCTTATTTCTATTTTGAACACATTCCAAGCTTGAACATCCACAAAAAGCGAACATATGAATCTTATCCCTCAAGGCTAGCTTTGATATCTCCAAGGTTTCTCCTCACTTATGCAGGCAATGACCTAACAGGTAACCTGCAACACCACCAGCCCTCAGGCCACAGAAGCTAAAAGGTGCATCTTCTCAACCATCGTTGTGAGCATCTCATCCGCCCTTTTCTGGTCCACATAAACACTCGTCGTGCAAATCTGTAGCTCATGTTCTTGCCCCCTTGGAGTGGAGACCAGAACGAATTCCCGCACTGCCTTCGAAATCAAAGGATTGTAAGCCATACTAGTGTTGACCTGAACACCGCCCATACTGGGCATTTCCCCGAGATATTCATTATCTTGATGCAGGATGTATGTCCCATATTGTGTGTCCCGTGGCCACGATGTGGAGTGGTCAATGAGGTTCTGGAAGTCGACCAGATCGTGGGCCATAGTGTCCAGGTGTTGTCTCTGCACCTGCTCTAAAAGTCCTGGCAGCTCAGTCTCAGTGTCCTGGCAGTTAATAACCCGCACAGGAATTATCTTAGCCAGGTGACCAGCAATTCGCTCCTCGCCAGCATGTGCATGAGCCCGACCGTGGATAAGTTGTCCGAAAACCACATCAGTTTTCCCGGTATACTTTGCAAGTGTTAATGCCCAGGCTAATTTTACCAGCGTTGCGCGTGTGATCGCTCTGGGAGGAGGCAGAAGAGGGATGTTTTGCACCGAGAAGACAAAAGCTTCGTCGGGAAGATCAATGGTCGCATCGCATAGGTGTGTCATGGAAGAACCATGCAGAATTTGGCGCCAGAATGCGTAGGTCCTTTCATTTTGCTGGGCGATATACTGAGATGCCCACGCAGCAAAGGAAATGGGCTCTGGAATGGGATCTTGGGCCTTGTATAGTGCCATCCAGTCCTGGAGAAGGAGAATCCATGACTCGCCATCACATAATGGCAGTGGGAGGCGAATAATCAGGCTATGCTCTGTCTCACTGCGAGATACAAGCACAAAAGAGAGACCCGAAACGCTTGTGGGGACCCTCACGGTCCCGTCATACTTGCAAAATGCCTCTTCGAATGCAGAGATAGTCATGTCGGTCTCAAAGTACTGGAAGAGAAGATCCGCTTTGCGCAAAACAACTTGCACTGATCGGTCGTTGTGAGAAGCAAACACTGTCCGGAGAACAGAGTGACGTTGGACCAACTGATCACATGCCATCTTGACTTTCCATGGGTCAATCTTCCCATCCAGTCGTATGAGAGGGTAATGTGGGGGGAACCGCGCAACGTATGACTGCATGTCGGTGGCAGGAAGAACGTCGACAATATCGTCATGTCGAGCAAACGGTAGCTTTGGAGCAATAATGTCGCGCACAAATGATTCAGGGTCCTCAATCCCTGACATAAGTGCAAAAGGGCTTGGTTCCACCAGCTGGATCTGAGCTTCGGGGGTTTCATGCCGAACGACGGAAGCTAAGCTTAGTAGGTTCGAATGAGCGAATACATCGACAACGGTAAACCAAAGGCCACTTTCCCGACCAATGCTGACGAGCTTCATGGCGGTGAGTGAATTTCCTCCTAGTGCGAAGAAGTCGTCGTTCATCCCAATCCGTTGCAGAGAAATCGCTAGTGCTTGAGCAACAGCTTCATGTAGGCGCTTCTCACGCTCAGTCGATGGGCTGCGCCTATCCCCGCTGCCAATGTAACTATCTAGCGCATCGACCGATAAATCGTGCACCAAAGATCGCAGATAATGGCGATTAATCTTTCCCGTAGCTGTTAGAGGCAGACTAGCAACTGGGAGGAAGAGAGTAGGGATCATGTATCCCGGCAACGAGGCCTTGACGCTGTCTCTCAGTTTAAGACATGAGTTTGAGAAGGTATCGCTGGGTGGTAATAGCCCTTGACTTTGGCTACCAGAAGGGGTATGGAGAAATGCCACCACAAGCGCATCTCCCTCCGTGTGTTGAACCACATCAACAATGACTTCGAGAGCGTGTTGAAGCTTACTAGAGAGCTGAACTTCGATCTCTCCCAGCTCAATGCGTTGTCCCCGAATCTTGACTTGTGAATCCTTGCGGCCAAGCAGATGGATAGATCCATCCTCGTTGTATCGTCCAAGATCACCTGTTTTATAGACCCGACTGTTGAGTCTTTGGGTCACTGATAGCCATGGCAATTTTTCGAAAAAAGAGGCACATGTTTGATCGGGCGCGTTCATATACCCGCGACCAACTATGGGTCCTTCAATGCAGATCTCACCGACTTCTCCCACGGGAGCTAACTGTTTGATATCGCTGGGATCAACGAGCCAGAGATGACATCCCATTGATCGCCCTAGGTTTCTCGGATCTGAGATTTTGGATACATGCTCCTGAACAGAACACGCGACGGAGCACTCAGTTGGTCCATAGGTGATAGTCATGTGAACCTGATCCGCCCACCGGTCTAGTTCTTGCTGCGGCGTAAGCTCCCCAGTGACAAGAAGGTTCTTCAATGTTGGCAAATCACGTGGATTGAGGGATTTGAGAAGCGAGGGAGTCAAACAAAGGAAATTGGCCTGAAAGCTATTGAATGCCTGCACTAGATTGTTTTGCCGATCCTCTTCACTGGGGATACACACACATCCCCCTTCCATCAAGGTGGTCAACATCTCCATAATCGATCCATCGAAGGCATAAGAAGCAAATTGGAAGACCCGTGACGCTGCACCAATAGACCAGGCATTCGCATGAGCGGCAGCTGAGCTGCAATACTGGCCATGCTCGATCTGAATGCCCTTGGGTTTTCCAGTGGATCCCGAGGTGAAAGCGACGTACGCAGTGTTTGTAAATTGCGCGGTGGCGTTGACCTCGCGAGGTTCACGACGCCAAGTCGCATCCTCATTGTCGATATCAATTACACAGATAGGCAAGTTTAGTTGTCCTGAAGTTTCGGTATCGTCTTTGAAACAAAGTACCATGGCGGCATTTGTATCCGCGCACATGCTCTTCAAGCGATCTACTGGATGCGATGGATCTAGCAGCACAAATGCGCCGCCCGCCTGGAGTACCGCCAGAATGAGCACTGGTGACCATCGCGACCGACGTAGATAGAGTGCGATCTTGGTTTCGGGAACAGTCCCCTTTGCCTGAAGATAGTTTGCAAGCTTTGCAGATTGAATATCCAGATCTTCGTAGGTGAAATCACCATCCCAGGCGCATACTGCTGTTGACAAAAGGCGATTCTGGGATCGTTGTTTGATCAGGTCATGAATACACGCATCGACCGAGGGAATAGCGTGTTGATTCCATTGTTGTATTTTAGCCAGATCAGCAGCTGAAGGGGTACCCGTGGGATTCATGATGATTGAAGAGTAATCGATGTGTCTCTGCTTAGTTGAAGGAAGGAACAAACATCCTGATCAAAAAAATACCCACTGTATATCTGGATACCGAGTGTTGGTAATGTTGGTATAGTTGTATTGTAAATCGTATTTTGGTAATTCTTGAAAAAGACGATCTCGATGCGACTCAACAATTAGGGGTGGAGAATACGACTTTCATCTCCCCACCGACTTCCAGTCAGCTTGAGACACGTCTTTTCACCACTTGGGCCAGATCATCGTACCTGGAAGGCGAGTGGTACAGAATACGGAATACAGAATACTGAGTAACAGGCACCTTCGGTTCGGTTAAGTTCACCTTTGCTTGCTTCCGCCTCATGCAAAATCGAGGACTTAATTGATCAGATTCCCTAAACACCCCTTGTAATCCGTTCTCAAAATGTTTTTGACATCCATTGGGATCGTCATTGGCTGTGTTAGTGATACTCTGTGCTTTTCACTTCTATACATTACTAATCAAGTCTCTAGTGGGTGGCCGTCCATGCAGCACTCTTCTTGTATCACTTGCTTATCAACCCATTGAGACATTTCCCTGGCCCCAAATGGGACGCCCTTTCACAGCTCATTGGATCATACCACCTGGTACAAGGTGACTCGTGTAAATATATTGCCAAACTGCATGAGGAATACGGTGACGCCATTCGCACCGCTTCAAATGAGCTCTCGTTCACAACGCCAACAGCATGGCAAGAAATCTACGGCCTGAAGACCGACTGGGACAATGTGTATGAGAAAAATCCCATTCTCTACGTTCTTGGTCCCCAGCCTGTATCGAACATTTTCTTCTGCCCGGGCAAGGAGCATGCCCGAATCCGCAAGCATATCATGCCGGCTTTTTCGGGTCGCGCACTGCATGAACAGGAGTCGCTCATGCGCGGAACTCTGGACCAACTCATGGATGCTCTACGAGATCGCTCGGGGAAAGCAAACTTCCCCAACCAGAATGGTGTCGTAAATATGGCTGCCTGGTCAATTTTTCAGGTGACAGATGTTCTTACACTTTTGGCTTTGGGGCAAAGTTGGGACACTTTGAAATCTGGAGAGTATCCGGGATTCATTACCGACCTTTATGGTACGTTGAAGGATTCTACGAAGGTTCGCGCCGCACATCGACTGAAGCCCTACCATCTCATCATCAAGCGCTTTGTTTCGAATGATTTCGGGACAGCTTTCCTGGAGTACTTCACTCAGGCTCAAAACGCGCTGACTGCTCGACGCGCCGAGAAAAATTCGGATAAGAAAGACTTTATCCATTACGTCGCCGATGGTTTGACGGATGAGGAGATGTTTGAGAACCTCAATATGTTGGTTGTGGCTGGGCTCGACTCCACAGCTGCCATTCTCAGTGCGGTCATACATTACATCACCCAAAATGCGGATTGCTATGAAGGATTGGTCCACGAGATCCATACCGCATTCAAGAGTGATGAGGAAATCACGATTGCGAGTGTCTCTGGGTTGAAGTATCTAAAGGCCGTGATTGATGAGACCATGCGCCTGCATCCCAGTGTGCCTGTGGGTCTACCACGCTTGGTTCCCAAAGGTGGCCGCTTCATTGACGGGTATTGGGTCCCTGAAGGTGTATGTTGCTCTTGAAATATATAATCTATTGGACCAGCATTTACTCACCTCTTGGTTCTATAGACTTGGGTATCCGTGGCACAATATGCTGCTTATCGCTCTCCAAAATACTTCGCCAAGCCCCATAAATTTATCCCTGATAGGTGGGTGGACAGCACGACTTATGCGACCGACAACCACTTTGTGTTTCGACCTTTTTCAACTGGGGCGCGTGGATGCATTGGTAAAACGTTCGTTATCCCCCTCAATGTGCTTTACTTGAAACAGACTACTAATTTGCTGGAAAGCTTCGCGTATGCTAACATTCGTATGGCACTGGCTCTACTGCTCTGGAATTTCGATCTTACAGCACAACCGGGTAATATTGACCCAGATTCACTGAAGGAATTCGGGCTGTGGGAGCATCACCCCGTCTATGTTCAAGTGAAAGAACGAGTTTAAACGAGGCAACTTAGCTGTAGTCTAGACATAGTGTTGAATTAAAGCCATTGAATTTGCTGCTTGCTGCATGTACCTTAGGCCCGATATCAATCATCATATGTATAAGGTGCATGACATATACTTACCGCAATATTGACTGTACTTGACAAAACTTAGTTACGAATTGGCAGAACCTGTGTGGGTCTAGGTGGATTTGAAAATACATGTCATTTACTTGTATTACTCTATCCGTATGGTTACCCGCAGTGACGTATAGACGCCACTGTGTATTGACACCAAATTCGATGAGTATCCACAATAAAGGAATCTCGGTGGAACGCCGAAACTCCGTGGCTGAAGAGAGTTTTGTCGATCACCAAGATACACCATTCGACCGACAATCAGCCTATTTCCCCCACTGCGCGATTTTTCAGAATCGAGAAGTCGAATTTGTAAAGAGAACGTGGCGAAGATGGCGCTGTGATGCGATACTAAGGTATTCAATGTTTACTAGTACACTTGGTATAGATACGTGGAACCAGGGTAATTCTTTCACTGTGCGTACTAAGGTGCCAAATACCTTACTTAGTACCAAGCGCATTGTTTTCATCGTTTAATAACCAGCTACGTCGGAGTAGAATCATTCTTCCCGCAATTGCACTGAACAGATGAGTTGACTGTCACAAACAATGATTTATAGCACACTGCTCATCGGGACCTTTGTTCTCTATCTAGTATGGACTGGGGCAAGCTGGACTCGACAAATTCGCCGGGCCACTGCGACCAGCCTGCAGTGGACAATCTTTCCCTATGCTGAGCTGAATACCTTTTGGTTGACACTTTGCTCCTTCGATTCTGTACTTCACATCATCAACCACTGGCTTCCTGCTTGGTTGGCAGACATCGTCAACGACAATGTGATGACTCATCATTTCTGGGTCAAGGATCGCCGTACAAAACAACTCGGCAAGCTCTATATGGTAGCAACTCCAGCTAACATATGTTGCCATGTTGCGGATGCGGCAGTGATCTCTCAAATATGTAGCTCCCGGTCCGGCTTTCCGAAGCCGTTGGAAATTTATGGTACGTGTCATATGTCCAAAGTGAATGATTTGTCGTTCATCTTTTTAACTACTTGCAATGCAGGATCAATGATGCTTTATGGGCCCAATGTGGTTGCTGTATGTATTCAATCTCTGTTCTTTATTTTGAATGCTCTCAAAATACAGACTGCAGACCTTGTGTTGAAAAATATTCTAAGCATATATGCAGACCGAAGGGAAAGAATGGACTCGCCACAGGCGGCATACGATCGCTGCCTTTGGGGAAAAGACTATCATGACTGTTTGGCAGGAGACTGTTCGACAGACGACCCAGATGTTAGACCACTGGTCTGAAAAGCATACTGTAGGGATCAGTCTTGAGTTGAGTCCAAAGGAGGATATTCTGAAGCTCACATTGAACGTGCTCTGTGCAGCCGGGTTTGGTGTGCAATTGCCTTTTCAAGCAACTCCCAAAGCCGATGACAGCAGTGTATCAACCATGTTCAGCGACACAGTACAACCACTTCCAGGGTTTCAGTTCACGTTGCGTGCCGTCATGGAGTATATGATGGGTCACTGGAATTCGATTTTCATGGCCAATACAATGCTCCCTACATGGCTGCCTCGCGCACTGGTTCCTTTCTTCAAGGATGACTTCGCTGCCCACAATGATTTGGGAAAGTACATGAATGCCATGATCGCACAGGCCAATCAAGATATACCCAAAGAAGGGCTCAGTGCACGAGGACAGAACGTGCTGCAGGGCCTTGTTCGTGCGCAGCACCTGACAGACGAAGATGAATCTAAAAGGAGCTCACTAAGTGAGATTGAGGTGTTAGGCAATACTCACGTTATGATGCTAGCCCACGAAAGCACCGGGGCAACCATCCGTTTCGCCCTGGTATTGTTGGCTCTGCACCAAGATATACAGGAATGGATGTATCAAGCTATCTGCGACGCCGTGAAGGAAATCTCTACCAACCCAAATGAATGGGACTACACAACCGTTTATCCTAAGTTGGTTGCACCCCTCTGTGTGATGCTCGAGACGATGCGAATGTATCCGCCCGCACCAGTCATTCTCAGAACGGCTTCGCAGGATGCTGAGCCGCTACAGCACGAAGGGGGGACTGTTGTGCTTCCTCCGGGGAGCCACGTCTGTTTCAACATTACCAGTCTTCATTACACCACCGAATACTGGGGTCCTGAAGCCTCCAGGTTTGACCCTTCTCGTTGGGACCGAAAAAATCGGAACAGCTTCTTGGCACAGAATGAAGATCAGCCTGGAAACGTTGCCGCCGGCCTCGAGTATCCAACAATCCACAAACCAATCCGTGGGTCATACATTCCCTTCAGCGACGGCCTGCGTGCGTGCTTGGGCAAGAAATTCGCCCAAGTTGAGTTTGTTGCCTTCCTAGCTGTGATATTCTCTCGATACAAGGTTGATTTTGCTTCTGCACCGGGTCAGAAGGGGAAAGCTCAAGAAAGGGCGAAGAAAGCGTTAGAGGAGAGCGTTTGTGCTGCTCTGGCATTAGACATGATGCTTGATGTACCTCTATCATTCACCCCCAGAGATGAGGTGGAGGTTTGAGAGGTGAATCCTTAATACTCTATGTTTCATGTATATGTAAATTCCCATCTCCAGATATAAAAATCCATATTCCAGAAGTAATTGCCTTTCTTTGGCTTCTAGACTTTTAATTCAACTGCCATGATCTGCTGGAGGTCAAGTTCCTTTATGGCTCAGCCCCCAAGCCCAAGACCCCAACCAGCGATCCTACCACTAGCACAGTGACGGTGATTGGCACGGTCAATAATGCCGTGAAATTGACCGCCAGTGGCATGGGTTCGATAAGCGCAATGTAGGCCATATCGTACGAATAATATGCACCTAAGCCCACCAACCAGCCAGTCACCCAGAGATATCCGATTATCTTTTTCCAGAGAGCAGTATTCGAATCGTTGGGGGTATTATTTTCGTCGCTAGCACTCGCAGTAATTCGTGACCAGAGCGCTTGAGCCCCGTCTTCAATAATTATACCCAGCGAAAATGAGGTAAAAAATTCAACAGCACCCCGCTTTTCAAAAGTTGATCCTTTATATTGCGCTGCAAGATGAATCAAGCCAGAAAGCAAAAATGACAAGAAAGTACTCGTGTACCGCTCAAGTATGGATGGCCGAGGCAGGTGGAGGATGTTGCGGGTGAGGATTGAACTGGTCGCTGACAACGGCCAACGGAGCTGTTGGTGCCAGTATTTCCTGTGACAAGGTCGCGGAGTTAGCTCATGAGCACATCTTTTTATCTCCAACAGAGACTTACCCCCAGAAATTCCGGATTGTGTAAGCCTCAAAACTACTCCCAAACATTGGGGGCCAGTTCGCAGGCTCAGAGATCCCCAATCCAACCGCGACAATGGATGTGGCGCGCCATTTGAAGTCCAAAGATAAACGAGCGATAAGAAACCAGGTCACGATGTTGATAGCAGCCTCCAAAAGCCATGAGTGTTTCGCCGTAATGGTGGGTTCAAGCAGGACCGCAATGATCTCATTCCAAATGATCTCATTCTCGCGAATAATCCGCTGCAGGAAGTCCAGCATGAGATACTGCCAGCTTGCGACTGCCACCTGACGCATAAGAAAGCGACTGAGTGTGGGACTAGAGCCAAGCCAAGCGGGCATCTTTGGCACATTGCGCACTTGCCAGCGCGTCCCAACTGCGGACCAGTCCATAGTCACCCGCATAGCGGCCCATATGTTCGCCATCCGTGACCCTTGGTCCTTAGGTTTGTGCTGTGCTTGCAAATCCTGGTAGTCGATGCCCTTGAATAGAACCATGGTGTGTAATAGCACTGGGAGAGGGCTGATTCGCTGCATAACATCATCTGGGGTACTCATGCTTAGCAGGTGTATATACTTTCCATGTATGACGGTCAGGGCTATAAGAATGAAGACATTCAGCCATCTGAGCGGGTGGCCCTTTTTAGTGGAGCAGAGTAAGAGGATAGTTGTCATCGGCTGGATGTTGGTGACAACCCATGAGGCAAGCGTTGGAGAGAGGTCCATGGTGGTGGTGGTGGTGGTGGTGATTAAGAACGAACAATACTAAAACCGGTCGCATGTTGACGAAATAATTATTACTAGTTCCATTATTTAAATTACGGTAAAATTTTCGTATAGTGACCGGAATTGAAGTTAGTATTACCTTCCCTCATAAATTGACAAATTGGCCCCCCCTTTTCCACTCCGTAGCACCAGTTCAACAACTCGGAATAAAACAAATTGACAGCATGACGTTGATTAATACTATCCATAAAACTGCCTACGATGGTGTTGATGCTGCCTTACCATTGCAATCCCAGCATGGTAACACGGTCTTGATCACAGGTGGCGCGGGAGGGATCGGATTCGCGATTGCCCGTGCGTTCGCAGTTGCAAATGCCTCGCATTTGATTTTGTTGGGACGTGACGAGTCTCGCCTTTCACGAGCGACACAACGCCTGAAAGATGAGGTTCCGTCATTCTCGGGTCAGATCACAACTCAGGTTGCAGAGCTTGTTGATCCTGATAGACTGGAACGTGTCTGGAATAATGTCATTGAGATTGCCTCAGAAGTCGATGTGCTTATTCTCAATGCAGCATACATGAGCGGAAGCCATGGTACTCTACAGAATGGCTGGCGCCAGGTCTGGGAGCAGTACGAGGTGAACGTACGGGGAAACCTGACGCTGGTCGACAAATTTGTACAGCAGACACAGGTCGAGGGAAGGGGCAAGAAGGTTAGTACAGTGAACTATTACTGCTAGAAACTCATGTTAATTTCATATATTTCAGTTTATTGTCAATGTTACTTCAGATGCAATCAACAACTATGAAGCTATGGAAGGCCAAAGACCTTATGCCGCTACAAAAGCATCTTGGACTTGCCTTTTACAACACATAGCGTTGGAGATCCCGGTATCAAGCGTCCAGATTATCAATATGCATCCTGGTGGCGTTTTCACAGAGACCATTGCCCAAATGCTGCCGCAGGATTGCTATGAGTGGGATAGCGGTACGATGCTTCTTCTGAACCCAATAAAAGATATTTGTGCTAATGAAAACTCCCACAGACACTCTTCCTGGGAACTTCGCTGTATGGGCTGCAACAAACCAGGCAGCCTTCCTTCATGGGCGGTATTGTTGGGCAGGATGGGATGTAGAGGAGATGCGAGAGAAATTGGACGATAACCAATTGACAAATCAGCAATTTTTGAGGATCGGGGTGATTGGAATGGAAGATGCAAAATTACAGAAGTAATTGCGAAGATGAGAGCTATATTTGTCTATGTATCTGGATCATTCGGAAGTTTTATCTAGATCGTGGCTGAGAGATTCCAAGTTACTCAAACGCTGCGATGTTCTCGAACAACCAGTTCATCAATGGCTTCTGCAGAGTACCAGTGCGTAGCGCTTCATAGATAATTGAAATCCAGCTACCCACTGTCCTCTTTGGTCTTCCGTCGAGTTGGTCGCTCTCCACGGTGGGATGTTCAGTAAATCCTTGGTGGAAGGGGACTTGCAGATCTTTCCGAACAGAATTATAAATCAATTTAGATCCCATACCCAGGAGCTCTTCTGTGTGCTGGTGAGTAAAGAAAGCATCCTTATTGTCATGATAGGCATTGACCAGAGCAGTCAAGGTATTGGTTTTCCAAGCTCCCAGGATGGCAGTCGTGTCACAAAGCTCTCTAGGGGCAGGGCTCTTGCTTTCTACGAGTGCTTGAATAATGATTGCCAATGAGGAGTCAACCAGATTTTGGCAACGGGCTGTCGCCTCCAGCTTAGACGTTGTTTTCCAGTTGCTGGCCATGTGGCGCTCCAGGGCTTTGGCCAGCATACTCTGCTCCTCGGAGGACAGAATTGGAGAAAAGCCACTGAGCGTGGGCGGAATGACTGAAGATATCTTAGACAAGAAGCCAAGATGCATGGCTCGGAGATCAAGAGCCTGGCAGGCAATATAGATAAAGGCGGCAGACATGAGAGATACAAGTTCAGCGGATTGCAACGTATAGCGTGCTGAGACAAACGCCATCGAGTTGACCGACTGGTTCTGCATCTCGGCAGACTGCACATGGGAGCTGACCGGGTTGGCAAGATATCCGAGTTCGGCCATATAAGCAGCCATACTGATATCGACGCCCTTCATCGTGAATGAGCAGTTGGGATCATCCGCAACAAGGTTAGTGGGTAACCCATTGCTCAAGTCTGGGTTCATCATCTCTGTTGATTGTGCAAACAGCAGCTTTCCCATCATCTGTAGTGATAGTCTCGACTTCTCCATTGCAGAAGTCATAGCAGCCGCCTGGAAGTTACATCCGTAGTAGATCTCACCATTCTCACTATTCACCAACGGGTTGTCTGCTGTAGAGTTCAATTCCACTTCAACCTGTTTGTGCGCAAGGAGAAGGTCTTCCAGCTGTGGGCCAATCCACTGTGGTGCACTGCGTAGGGCGTACCGATCTTGCTCCAGACCCTGTTCGTGGTGGTTCTTCTTGCTGAAAATGCCCTTGGCGAGAGAAGATCCTTGTAGCATGGCCATCATGTTTCTTGAGGTCTCAATCTGACCGGCATGAGGCCGAACGGCAGAAATAAAGGGATGGAAACTCTCTGAGTTGCCCTGGAGAGCCTCTACTGCCATAGTTCCCAACACCTGTGTCAGCACCGCCAGCTGGTGAGTTTCGAACATGACCAGACTAGCCAGAGCGGTTGACGAGGCAGTGCCGTTCACTAGACCCAGTCCCTCTTTCGGTCCCAATTGAGCGGGGCTAACGCCCACAGCTTTCAATGCGTCCAGCGCGGTAATGACTTTCACACCTGTCGCTGGCGCAGGATTGGGCGTCTGCACATAGATATCAGGGCTACCCTGGATCGCGCCCGCAATATAGGCCAGGGGCATCAAATCCCCAGAAGCTGAGACTGATCCTCGCAGAGGAATCACGGGCGTAATCCGCCTCTCCAATAGCTTCAAGACAGATTGGATCACGGGAATCGTGACGGCAGAATGACCGCGTGCTGAATGATTGGATCGGACAACCATCGTAGCACGCACCCATGATCCGGGCATAGCATGGGCTCCAAAGCTGCTTGAGCTATCCAGAGAGCTGGGATTCTTGTCGGCACTAACCAGAACACCCGCTTGAGTGAGCTGCAGTAGTGCTGCTTGCAATGAGGCCCACTGGTCAGTTCGAGAGTCAGCGCTTCCGCCAAATCCAGTGTTGACACCTAGAACTTTGATTAGAAAAAAATCACATTTAAGACAGATTGGAATTGAGTCACTTACCGTAAACGTTGTGTCCTTTAGTGAGATGGTCCATCAAGACATCCACGCTGGCCGTGATGCGCTCTTGCACTGAAGGATCATCAGTAAGCACCGGGGTGCAGTTGTGGCTTCGTTTGATAGTCAGTGAGTTAATCAAGAGGTTTCATGAATCAAGTGCTTCTTACTATGAAGCTGCCACGACAGCTGCCAAGTCCAAAGTACTACCATCAATGGCAATAGTCTCACCAGCAATATATTTTTGCAATTTGTTCCATGCTGCACACGTCACAGCAAGATGCGATTGCGGAGCAGACTTCTTCAAGGTAGACGGCATGGTGACTTTCAGATTGAATCAATGAGCAAATGTCGATGGCAGAAGTAAAAACATAAAGCAAAGGTTGGCCATAAAAAATACTCGACAAGAGGGCTGGGGTGAGAATTCATCTTGTTTGGTACCAATGTTTACAATCTCGGGATTCTCCAGTTTTCCGTTTTGACGCATACCCATACCAGGTACTGTGTAGTTGTTACAGCCCGGTGTATTTCAGTATACACTAGTAAATCTGCAAAATCTATGCCTTCATTTAGTGCGAGATCCACAGTTCACGACTGATCAGATAATTAATTACCGCTACCTAGTTTCTTTTACAATGGAGAGTGCATGCCGTGCGTGCCGTGCCCACGATCCTGAGGGATCGGGGATCAATTTCCGATTGACGAGACGTAGAGTTCACAAAAGTTTCGGGATATTTCAAGATGCAGATCTATATCCCTTTTAGTATCCGTGCCGATCTGGTAGGGACTGAGACTTACCCCGATTCAATCTCTTCTACCGGCGCTAATTCTCACGTCTCCACAATATCCGATACCTAGTCTTTTCATATGAAATTTATAAAAGATACTTCGACCTGCCAAGGGTGATTACGTGGAGATCTGATCTCTGACCCTTTTTTTGGGTCCACAAGTGGATGCATTGATCTATCACCGATTCTTTCACAACTTCGTTGTCAATTGGTGGCGGTACAATTGTGTAGTAGTATTTTATTAATTACAAGCCTTCTCGTCGACTAGGTTTGAGATTCTACTCATACCCCCCCACCAAGCTGAGCATTTGAGAAATCTATGACGGATTTTACGCCAACAATTTACACGGCTCCGTACGACGCCATCAGCGCCGCTCAAGCTGAACATTCCCAGATTGGTCGCACTGTGCTGATCACTGGTGGCTCCAAGGGGATTGGGTTTGCCATTGCCCGCGCCTTCGCGATCGCTGGAGCTGCTCGGATAATTCTCGTTGCTCGTGGTGGCGCTGCGCTCGATACGGCGGTGGTCAGGTTGACATCAGAGTTCCAGGGAACTGTAATCCCTATTGCGTGCGATCTAGGTGATCCGACAAATATCGAGACGCTATGGGCGGAGCTGAATGATCGACAAATTGTCGTAGATGTGCTCGTTCTCAACGCTGCTCGTGTACAGGATAAGGAGTGCTCTATGCTCAGTCTTGGGTGGCAACAAACCTGGCAATTGTTTGAGACCAATGTTCGAGGAAATATGATTATGGTGGAGAAGACCATGGGCCAAGCAGGCACGAAACAAAAGGTAAGGCAGAATATTGGACACATCTTTGAAGCAATATTCTTAATTGAGGGTTGATTTCCTAGTTTATTTTGAACGTTTCAAGCCCATTCGTCCACGACCAGGAAATGGCCGCTGGATTTCAGCCTTATGCAAGCTCGAAATCTGCGTTTGCTAGCGCACTACAGCATCTCGCTACTGAGACGCCTCTAGAGCGAGCCCAGATCATCAGCTTTCATCCTGGGTTTATCTACAGTGATGGTATGAAGTCCATAGGTTGCACCCCTCAAGACTTGGACTGGGACGATGGTAAGTCCAGCGGATTGTTTTGATATTTGTACTTGCATCAGGGCTTACCAGAGAATTAGAAAATCTCCCCGCCAACTTTGCTGTCTGGGCCGCTTCTCCCAAAGCTGCTTTTCTGCACGGACGGTTCGCGTGGGCGAAGTGGAATGTGGAGGAACTCACAGAAGCAGTAAAGACCGGCAATGCCGAAATTCTCAAGATAGGCATTCATGGGCTGTAAATGCCACATCACGCTATTGCGTAAGAAACCTTAAATTTATTAGTACCCTATCAGTAGTGCAGAATACATGACGCCAATTGATGGACCAATCGGATTTTCAGCATAGGAATCACTTATTAATACGGAGGTCGCTTTCAAAAGCCCTCGCGCTCTCATTTCCTGTACTAATCTAAATAATGAGCAGCTATTAATTCCCTGTTTTTCCACCGTCCTTCCTGATATTCCTGACCACCTTCTAGCTTAAAGATATCTGTAAAAGGCCTTGGTATGCGATCTATCCACTACGGTGTATGCTCCTGTAGAAGGTCTTTATACTTGTTCCTGAGCTTTAACTACCTCTGCTTTTGATCTGAGTGTACCATTTTTATAGAATATCTCTTTATCTGCAACCAATAGGGTTTCTATCGTGTAAAATAGGTGAATTCTAGACTATAACAAATATTTCATCTAAGGGTAATAACTATAAGTAGATAGTTATCTAAACTAATATGTTAGATGATATAATCATATACTTTTACATAAAAGGAAGTAGCTTAGGTATCAAAATCTTCATATATTATCAAGACTAATTAATACCGCCTTTACTACCCCATAAGTAAGTCTTCTATTCTTTTTTATTAGGGAACTCGTACCTACGCTACGTATTTTCCAAGTGGAATAAAAAGGCCATTATGATTCTTCTCTCAGAAGAATCATATGTAGGCTTACTCATCCACGACGAATCTAGATGGAACGAAACCATTTCGCATAAGTGATGCCTTTATAGATATAACCTGGAGATCGCTTTATGACGTTTTTTGTCTATTTCTAGATAGGCCATTTCCCTAGTAGATCTCGAAGATTTATCTATCGAAGATTATTTTCAATCTCTTAGTCCTCTTATAGAACTAGCTCTAATTTTTTATTCTAAGAATTAATTGAGACTTCCGAGGCTTTCTTGTAGTTATGGGAAGCCAATAATAAGCGGATATTTTTCGAGTATAAAAAGGATCCTAAAATATAAACTCTAAAATTTGTCGGCATCTTTTATAATATATGACAAAGGGTTTGATTCACCAAAGTGAACATTTTTGAAGTATTTAAGTAGAGAATGTTTAATCTGCAAATACACTAAATTGCATAATATAACGTCATATTAATTAAGTCTTTGGAGGCTGTCTATGTGACTAGAAAACTTATTCAAAGTCCTTCGCATGGTGCTTGAACCAGACTAGTAGTGTTGCTAGATTGTGTTCGGCCTCTGGGCGACCTAATGCCTGTGCTGTGGATTTCTTCAACACGGCCGCAGTGTCAGTTTCGCTTGCGGTAGCAAAATACAAGCCACCAGTATTTTGAGTGAAACCAAACATAAGTTTCACATCCTGGAGCTCATGAATACCATGAGTCTCGAACGCCTCCCACGAAGGGAGAACTGGAATAAATCGAGACGGATGTCCCGTAGCTACGAGAAGTCGTTAGTTGAGAAATTAATTTGAGTCTCCGATGAAGACGAGGGGCAGCATATACCTTGCTGGAAGTCCTGGACCAGCTGATCAAAGCTGCAGATAGTGCTGATTCCGTGGACAAAATGTCCATTCCAGCGAGTGGGATCCAAGAATATGCCCTGAACAACATCTCCCCAGTCCTCTACAACACTTAAGAAAGGTACGCGCTCTTCGCCACCCCAGTAAGGAACACGAAAGGTTCGAATGCCCTCGTCATCAGGGAAATGGGGAAATCCGCCGAAGACTGGGGCAGCCTCCTTGCCAAGGAAGTTTTCAAAAAACCATGCGGCACCGATGGGGATGACAGTCTCGAAGCGATCAAGGTTCTGGGCGTATCTCTCAATCTGGTATTTCACTAAAAAAATGGGTGAGTTGACACTCGATAGATGATCTAAAAGATTGAGAAGGTCTTACTATCCATGGCTTTCATGCGGACCTTGCCTTCCGTCATTTCAGTGCATGGGGGTCCTGAGCTGAAGACAAAGTGCTTCACTCCGGCATCAGCAGCCGCATCGACAATCGTCTTCCCCAGATCGAACTCGGTTGGGCCATTCGGGTTTGTAAACACCTTGTCGTCCGAATTAATGTTAATAAAGGCGCCCCAGCTCCCTTCGAAGGCAGCCCGAATTTCTTCCACTCTGAAGCCATCAGCTTTAACAATTTCGGCCCCCGCAGCAGCTAGTGCTTGGCTTGTAGGAGATGAGGGATTGCGGGTGATGGCTCGGACGCGGAAGGAGGGGTTTTGTAGGAGGGACCGGACAACGGAGCTTCCTTGATTACCGGTCGCCCCAAAAACTGTGATAAGACTCATTTTAAAAAATAAAGTTTGGAAAGTTGAAATAAAATAAAATTTGGAGCAACAACTGAAAGTCGACGGATGACCATTGGCGGACTTAAGAGGCGGGTGTCTGCTCAGGATCTCGGTCTTATTCGGTATTGGTGTAGAACCCACTGCCGCCCTGGCGCTACACAATTAAACTAGCTCAGAAGACTATTGGAGAATGAACTATGAAGATCTGAAATTTGCATGATCGGCTGGAGGGGTTTGTAAACTTCAATACAAAAATCGGTGGCGTTTATTACATGCTACATATATATTTCATGTATTCATGTACTTGCGTACTTGCGTACCTGTGTATTTATTTCTTGTTTACCCGGTATTGAAGAACGGCGTACGTACAATACCTACTAGTAGTATAATAGCATGTTCTACTCTTCATTTTTCATCTCAAGTATGCGAACATTACCTCCCAACATTGCTTCCCACACAATTGACCATCATGATATATGAACCTTCCGTTGAATATGACTCCATAGTGGCCCAGAATTCAGGGTTGGGCCAGCTCTTCCACAACCAAGTCTTGCGAACCCCCGACGCCATTGCAGTGGTTGACGGCCTCTTGAGCCTAACCTACCATGAACTCCATATCAAATCCCTCGAAATCGCCAATGAGCTCCAAAAAGATCACATTCTCGTCCGCGAAGAGCCGGTGGGAATTATTGTGCGTCACGGCATTTGGGGCGTCGTTGCCCAGATGGCGATCATCTATGCAGGTGGCAGTTGTGCAACTATGGATCCCACGCTTCCTGCGAGTCAGATCAAAGCTCGCCTGCAACGCGTACACGCTCAATATATTCTCGTGGATACTGAAAATTCTTATCACACGGATCTCCTATCCTCCTTCCACCAGGTTATCGTGAACACACAGCAACAGCTATCGACCATATCCGAGATTTCGACAACCTTGGCGCAGCAAACAACAGAAAAACCACTCGAGTCCCCCCTTCCTACTCTCACCGATATCGAGCATCGGTCGCATATCATACATACATCAGGGACAACAAGCGAGCCCAAGGCAGTTGAAATAGTTACGCGCTCTATTCTGGAGGTGGTGTATCATGCACCGTTCGAGCCTCTGCGCTCAACGGATGTTGTTGCACATGTCAACAACACCACCTTTGACGTGGCTCTCTTTGACATCTGGGCTCCATTGCTTCGAGGCGCTCGGATTGCTGTACTTCCGAAGACAGTACTCCTGGATATGCCTGTTATGGCAGAGCGCATCGACAAACTGGGAATCACCGTCATGGCTACAACTACTGCGTTGCTCAACCTGGCCGCGGCCACATTTCCTCAAGCATTTTCATTACTGCGAATGTGTTGGATCGGTGGCGAGGCGGCAAATATGAAGGCCGTAAAGGAAATCTTCGATCATGGTCCACCGGATATCCTCATCAACGCCTATGGACCCACTGAGTGCTGTGTACTTTGCCTCGCTCATCGAATTACAATCGAAGATGTCAACGCTGATAAGGTCAGTATTGGCAAGCCAATTGGGAAAACGATCGCATATATCTGCTCTCCCGAGACTGGCGAGGCCGTGGCTGACGGCGAAGCGGGAGAACTTTGGGTTGCCGGTCCCGGAGTTTCTCGTGGGTATTTGAACGAAGCCGAGAAAAACTCCAAAGCTTTCGTATCTGTAGACATGGTTGGCAAAGATGGCATGGCAATCCAGGTCCACATGTATCGCACTGGTGACCTCGTACGGCGATCACCGGTGAATGGGCAGATTGATTTCCTCGGCCGAGCGGACAATCAAGTCAAGATTCGTGGATATCGAATCGAGCTGGAAGCTGTGGAAGAAGCTCTCAGGAAAACAGGCCAATTCTCTGATGTTGCAGCTCTCAAAGTCGATGCGTCTCAAGACGGAGCCAGCTCATTGCTTGCTGCTTATGCGGTTCCAGTCTCACCGGAACTCGTGTCGATTCAACAGGCAACTGAAGTGTTGCGGAGCCTTTTGCCAGAGTACATGGTTCCTAGAATCGAGCTTATCGAAAGGATGCCTTTGAACTCACATGCCAAGATTGATCGCAAGCAATTGGCTCAGTATTATCGCCAACGGTGGAATGAGTCGAAGCCCGTGCAGCCTACTGCGGTATCCAATTTGAATTTTCCCGCGGAGGAAGATGTCAAGGCCAACAACACCACTCGCAAACGCCTGGAAGGTCTTTGGGATAACATTCTGGGCTCACCAGACACCAGTATTTATCGTGATTGCGACGATTTCTTTGAGCTAGGAGGCACCTCCTTACAGGCGTCGCTTTTGATCAGTCAGATCCGTGCCGCATTCAAGTGCGAAATGTCTTTGTTGGCACTATATGACAACTCTACTCTGAGCGCTCTAGCTTCCACAATCGACAGTGCGCAGGTAAAGGCTCTTACAGCAGTGCGAAATGAGCGTGATATATGGGTCGCCGATACCTATATTGCAGATCATGTGGCCTCTCCTGTGTCTAGACAGGTCGTTGACTGGCGCCGAGACACTGAGGGTCGTGTTTTCTTCACCGGTGCCACCGGATTTGTCGGCGCTTTCATGCTCGTTGATTTGCTAAAGATGAAGGAAGTTCACCAAATTGGTTGTCTTGTTCGCGCATCAAGCCCTGCTATTGGACTACAGCGACTTAAGGCTGGCATGGAAAAATATGGGCTTTGGGAAGATCACTTCCAAGATAAGCTACTTGCACTGCCTGGACTGCTGGAGGAGCCAGACCTAGGCCTGGGTGCTGAGCGATTTGAAGAAATCGCGAACTGGGCGAGTGTGATTTTCCACCTCGGTGCTCGCGTGAACTACACCCAGCCCTACTCGTTGCATCGCCCAGCCAATACCCTGGGAACGCTCCATATAATGAAGTTTGCCATTACAGGTCGTCTCAAGGCAATGCACTACGTCTCTAGTATTTCGTGTTTTGGTCCCACAGGGATGTTTGTTGGGACTCGACGGGTATTGGAGGATGAATGTTTGATGAAGCATTTGGATGCCTTGCCCTACGATCACGGCTATGCACAGAGCCAATGGGTTGTGGAGCAACTGCTGCGTCGGTTGATTGCACGGGGATTCCCAATTGCAGTTTACCGCCCTGGCTTTATCACCGGGCACAGTCAGACGGGAGTCTGCAATCCAGACGATTTCTTCAGTCGACTGATACTAGCCTGTGAGCAAATGGGCTGTTACCCCCGACTGCCAAACCAACGCAAGGAGTTTGTTCCCGTCGACTACGTGAACGGCATCATTCTGCAAGTCGCCAAGTTGTCCTCCTCGCCTTCCAAGGGCAGCCAATTGCTTGGACATGCGTATCATATCGTCCCTCCAAGCCCAGACGTATCTATTGACATGGATGATACCATGGAACTTGTCGGTCAGGCTTCCGACACGGGGCCTATAATCAACGTTGGCTACCAGGATTGGATTGAGAAACTGGCCGCAGCACCACCACTGCCTCTGCAGCCGTTGCAGCCTATGCTTGCCGAAATCGTCCACAAGGGGATGACTCGGTGGGAGCTATATGAGAACATGCCAATCTATGATCAAACAAATGTTGAGCAGGCTTTGGCAACGACTGCTGTTCAATTTCCGGCGTTGGATGCAACATTAATGGGTAAATACATGCATCATTTGAAGATGTCCAACTAGATGAGCCATCATTTGTAAGACGCATTCTATCGGCAAGGGAGAAGGCACATGCGGACATAGATTCATTGATAAATTTCTTTTCATTTGTCTTTTGCCTATCATCAAATCAATATCATCTCGGGCCTTTATTGCTCGCTTGATATCCATTCCAGTTCATCTAGCTTCAAAACCTAAGCCTACATCAACTTACCACACCCTTTGCTAGGTTCCTACGCTTCTCTATACGAAAATAAATTCCAGTATTCATGAAATTGCAAATTGTATGGAATGGGAATTCCAATTCTGATGAAACAGCGAGGTGAACCCGGTGCCCCATCATTTTGCATATCTTGATTCTCAGTATCAAACCTGCTGCTATCACGTTCTTTGACCATACACAATGTAACTATTTAAAAATCAGCATTCTGCAGCAAACTCCCGCGGAATTAGAAAAGGACTTACATAGGCCACCAGGCATGGATATCCTCATCATCCATCTCCTTCCACACATCTTGAAGCTTTGAATCCACTTCCTCTGGAGACAAATTCAACTGGGGCACCAAGAAGTCGTGTCCCAATCGTTCATGTCCAAACTTATGCACAGGGAGGGCAATTTTGCCGAGCGCCTTCTCCTGATCGTCAGAAGGCCATGCATTTTGCGGCAACTTCTTCTCAACAACGGTGACATTTGTAAAGCCAACTTGCCGCATCATCTGCTCAAATTTCTCCGCGACGGTGACCTCACGTCCCGATATAAAGGCCGCCTGGGTCAGCAGAGCATTCCAGGCCACAAGGTGGCTGTCCGGGCGTAAAGTCCCATCTGATGAGCGCGCTGGGAAACCTATATCCAGGACTTCGAACCATCCGCCTTCCGTGAGGTGGTCGTAGCACTGCTGGAAGAATTTGGGCCAGTCAAAGATACATCCAACCAGCCACCGCGTGTGGATATAGTCAAAAGTGGTAGTGACTGGCCATTCCTGCTCCAAATCGGCTTCCAGTGTGATGCAGCCTTTAGGTAAGCTAATATAATTGATCAGTCGCTCGCTGCTTTCTCCTATTATTTATCTTGAATCCGTTACTCTTACCTTGATTGATCTACTATTTCAAGATCCAATCCAGTAATCTGAGTCTGTTAAAATGCTTGAATGCATGGTGAGAACATTTCGATGACTTACCTGAGCAGAAGGGTTTCTCTCTGAGAATTCCTTCATCCATGTCCCTTGAGAAAGCTGTTAGCTATATTGATACCTTTCAACCAGGGTGTTAGTCTCACCAGTTCCACACCCTAGGTCCAAGACTGTGGCAGGAGCGCTGACTGGAGCCCATCCCAGATCGCCATTTGCCAACATCGAGCATATAACATGCAAATCGTCTATAGATTGGGAAGTCAGAAAAAAGCTCTTTGCTGGAGTCTTCACATTACACACCTAGCCTCTCCATCTCATCCTGCGCGTCGTTAATCATTTATTTCTGCGCATAATATTTCCAAGAACGCACCTCTCTCATAATAAACGGCTCTAGCGGGATATAGTTAGCAAGATAATATTACTGTAAAATAGGAGGATTCATACTTGCTGCGTTTTTCGCCATAGTGGTAGGTGTAGCGCAGAACCTAGATAATTTTTCCGTCAAGCAACCGATGGGTACCTAGTATCTGTATAAAAGCAGCTAGAATTTAAGAAACCTTGCTTGTAGACCAACAAAAATAATTACTGTATTGTGCATACGTATACGTCAATACGTTTCGGCATAGGTAATTGGTATTGTGACTTCCCGCACTTGAAATGGTTCCACCGATCGTGTTGGCGTGTGGGTCGGTGGGTCTATGGGGCAGCTGAACTATAAACAGTAGAATTCCAGATCGTAGTAAAGTTCTCGTACGATTGCATACGGTGACCTAGTATTATACATTCATTACATGGTACAGATACATGATTGTAAAGAAACAGGTTCAGAGCTGTGGAGCATTCAATCAAGAGTGATTAATAATTATCCAACCGCATAAAGTATTCTTGGCTGTAGCGATAGACTTCACTGTCTGCTGACCTTCCTCGTCTTATTTACATCTCACAGTTCACAGTCACAGGTCGCAGGAATGTTGAATATCCTGCTCCACACTGCTGGGGCCATCTTCGGTCTGGTATTTGCTGCCCCTCCAACTATTGATCATCATAATCTAACATAAACTAGCTCCTCTGTTTTCACGTTCTTCTGGCACTATACCACCTCTTCATAAACCCTCTCCGCCGCTTCCCCGGACCGAAGCTGGATGCCCTGTCCCAGCTCATCTGGTCGTACCACCTTGCCAAGGGCGACTCGACAAAATATATCGCCAAATTGCATGAAAAATACGGCCCTGTAGTCCGCACCGCCTCCAATGAACTGTCCTTCATTAGTGCGACCGCCTGGCAGGAAATTTACGGCACTACAGGTGTGGGCAAGGTCTATGAAAAAAATGGAATCGCCTACTTGCAGGGGTCTCAGGATATCACCAACATCTTCTTTGCGCACAGTCAGGAACATGCCCCAGTGCGCAAGCTGATGTCTCCGGCATTCTCAGAGCGTGCAATTCGTGACCAGGAAGTTCTTATCCAACAATCTATCGACCAGATGATGAGCTCACTCCGGAAGCGCACGGGTGAAGCCTGTTTTCCTGCCGCAGATGGCGTGGTGAATCTGGCTGCATGGTTCAATTTTGAAGTATTTGACGTGCTAAGCTCGCTGTGCTTTGGTACCAGCATTGATTCTCTTTCGAAAGGCGACTATCACCCATGGATCTCCGTCATCTATAGTGCTATTAAGCACTCGACCTTGATCCAGTCAGCTCATCGCCTCAAGCCTTACCACTGGCTTCTTGAGAAACTCATTCCCTCGGATATTGAGAGCCAATATATTTTCCACCTAGAAAACTGCACCAAGGCACTCACTGAACGCTTGAGCAAGCCTGACAATGAGCGTCCCGATATTTTATCTTACCTACTTGGTAAGATGTCGCACGAGGAACTGCTGGATAATGTGAATATTCTGGTTACAGCGGGCGGTGATTCCACGGCCACCACAATGACCTCGGTCGTCTACTATATCACACAAAATCCACACAGCTACAAGGCACTCGTGAAGGAGATCCGGGACGCTTTCCCAACTGAAAGCTCAATTACTATTGCCGAAGTGATGAAGTTGAAGTACTTGAAAGCTGTCATTGACGAGGCAATGCGAATTCACCCCAGTGTGCCAGTCGGACTACCGCGAATTGTTCCCAAGGGGGGCCGATTCATTGATGGACAGTTTGTTCCTGGTGGTGTTCGTTCTTCCAATCCCCCCCCCCCCTTATTTTGATTTTTACTGAACCTCCCTAGACATGGGTTTCCGTGACTCAATTGGCTTCTTATCGTTGGCCCGAATACTTCAAGGACCCCGAATCCTTCCACCCGGAGCGATGGCTAGGAGATTCCAGGTTTGACTCGGACAACCGAGCAGTTTTCCACCCATTTTCGATTGGAACGAGGAATTGTATTGGTCAAAAGTAAGTTTTGCAACTCATGTACATGCCGATGTTCGATATTGACATTCGCATAGCTTGGCTAGCTCGAACATGCGCCTGACCCTTGCCCGCCTGTTGTGGAACTTCGACTTGGAATCGCAACCTGATAACATCGACCCCCATGACTCTTTGGAGTTTGGTCTCTGGGAGCACCGACCTGTGAACATAAAGCTTACCGACATGGTTAGAGGCTGAAAGATGTCATGCATATTTAGTTATAGAGTCGAAATGACTTAGCTTCGAATTTCCAAAAAAAAGTACCGTTGCTGCTAAGTTCACCGGAAATACTAACTACGTATTGTCTAGTAACGGCTCCAAAGCATAAGGTCCGCACTGTAAATAACAAGAAAAATACGAGAAATAACTCGGGAAATACGGAAAGTATTATATACCGCTCAGCAGGCCATACGTAGATCAATTTTACAGTCAGTCGCTAAACATACTGTTGTTTTGCTTAAAGTCCTATTTTCGCCCTTTCCAAAACAACCCCAAAAAGTCTCACCATGAAAATGAGATATCCCACGGAAGCCATGAAAGAAAACATCTTCAGCTCAGCTGGAATCGATGATTTGACTGTCGAAGACATTCGGCTATTGAATCAATGGAATGCTCACTTTCCAAGTGCCGTCGATTCTTGTGTCCCAAAGGTCATTCATGATCGCATTCGAACTCAACCTAATGCACCCGCCGTTTGCAGTTGGGATGGCGAGTTTACCTACGCCGAGATTGGAACATTGTCTACGAGGCTAGCTCTTAGGCTACTCAGTGGTCCTCATGGAGTTACCATTCGCCCAGGGAATTTTATCCCAATTTGTATGGAGAAATCACGATGGGTTCCTATTGCAATTCTGGGCGTCCTTAAGGCCGGGGCTGCATTTGCCATTCTCGATTGCAACCATCCACCAGAACGGTTGCAGTCCATATGCCAGGATATCGAAGCAGATCTGGTACTTACATTGGCCAATCAGTCAAAAATGGCCTCGACACTTGCGCCCGCTTCTGTGATTGTTGGCGAAGACCTCTTGCAGGAGGAAAGCAGTGAAGATCTGTGTGAGCAGTCATTGTGTCCCAGCATCTCACCGAGTAGCCCGTTCTGGGCGGTATTCACATCGGGCTCGACGGGAAAGCCCAAGGCCGCGATAATCTCGCATTCAGCATTCGTGACCGGAGCATTGCCGAATATAGAGCAACTCGAGATTGGGCCAAAATCTCGCGTGTTTCAATTCGCCTCCTATGCATTTGACGTTGGCATCGTGGACATGCTCTTCACTTTAATCGGCGGTGGTTGCATCTGTGTTCCATCCGAGTGGCAGCGAAAAAATGAGCTTTCCCAGACGCTCAACCGTCTGCAAGCAAACTGGGTCTCATTCACGTCCTCTTTAGCACGTATTCTGAACCCGACAAGCATGCCAACTCTCGAATATCTTCATCTGGTAGGAGAGACGGTGACTCAGCGTGAAATTGACCTGTGGAGTCCGCATGTTAAGCTGAAGGTCGGATACGGCCCATGCGAGGTAGGTCATTGCAATGCGACCATCGTACCCGATATGACTCTAGCACCTGTTCCAAACAACATTGGTCATGCGCCGGCCTTATGTTGCTGGGTGGTGGACCCTCAGGACCACCACAAGCTCATGCCAGTGGGTGGTGAAGGAGAGCTGTTGCTCGAAGGCCATGCACTTGCAGAAAACTATTTCAATCAACCACAGCAGACAGCAGCGGCCTTCATCGACCCCCCTGCTTGGATGGCGCAGGACAGACGTGCAAAGTCTGGGAGGAAACTGTATAAATGTGGAGACCTGGTCCGCTATAACAACAGATTCGATGGCTCGCTTGACTTTCTTGGTCGAAAGGATACTCAGGTGAAGATTCGCGGTCAGCGGGTAGAGCTCGGGGAGGTTGAGGTGAAGGTGAAATCCTGCTTCTCACTAGCAAGAGACGTGGTTGCAGAGGTGGTAGCGATCAAAGATAAAGCCCCGCAACTATGTGTTTTCCTGCATTGTCCTGGTATTGAGGCCATCAGGGACGACAATGGCTGTCATTCTTATTCAATATGCGGTCATTCGACGCCTTCGTTTGAGGAAAAAATTCAAGAGTTGAAACTAAAGCTTCAGACCCAACTGCCTGCATACATGATCCCGTATCATTTCATCCCTATCACTCATGTACCGATGACGACGTCAATCAAGACGGATCGCAAGCTTCTCAGAGAGGATGCGATGGCTTTTTTGGGAGAACTTAGTCTCCTCTATCGCGATCAGCCCAGGGCGTCGAACTCGAGAGATCTATCTACGGTCAATGGAAAACTCTTGCAAAAGTTGTGGGCTAAAGTCCTGAACATCTCATCGGATATGATTGATTCCCAGAGTAACTGGGTTGACCTTGGTGCAGATTCATTGTTGGCCATCAAGCTTGTTCACTGTGCTTCTCAGGAGGGTCTTTTGATAAGCGTCCAAGATGTCCTCCAAAATCTCAATCTAGCCGCCCTTGCAAAAGTCGCGAAGCTTGGCAATGTCATCACTCCATGGGAGGCCCTGGAGCCCTTTGCATTGCTAGGAGATGATCGGATTGAACAACAAAAGATTGTACAAAACGTCTTGAGGCAATATGACCTTCTGGACACTCCAATCACAGCCATTGATGACATATATCGCTGCACCGATGATCAAGTCCAATCGATTCATCTTTCGGCTAGGAGAATGGGTAATCTTACGATGCAAATTGAATTGACTGAATCGAACTCGGAGCAGTTTTGCGATGGATGGTGTAGAATGTTGCAGGATACTCCTATTCTCCGCACTGAGATTGTGGAGATTGATGGTCATTATTTCCAAGTGGTTATGAAGACCGGAGCACCCGTTATTGTTCGTCCGTCCAGGCCCCCACACGGAACTGATATATGGGGGTTGAAGAAGCCACTGGTGCAGTTGATTCGAGAAGCTGATTCTGATCGATTTACGATCTTATTTCACCACGTCCTTCATGACGGCTTTTCTCTTGAGCTGTTCTTACAGCAGCTGGAAGCGGCATACGAGGGTAACCGCTCTCCTTCAACTTATCCATATACTTCATTTATTAAATGGACTTTGGAAACCGGTCCTCGTGTCTGCGACTTCTGGAAAAACATGTTTGCAACCTATGATGCTTCGCGCGACATATTTCCCCCGCTGCCCTGTCCTGAATATGAACCCAGAGGCTCGAGCATGCTTGAAAAGAAAGTCAAAATGCCCAAACACTCTGTGCATCGGACAACCGTGGAGTGTAAGCTTCGATTGGCCTTGGCAGTCGCAATTAGTGATGCGACGAGTAACCGGGACGCTGTTTTTGGTATCCATATTGCCAGGCGTGATGCGCCTCTGCCCGGAATTGCACACATATCCGGTCCCACATCGGCTTCACTACCTGTACGCATCCAGCTAAATGAAGGGGAGACTTTGCAGGAGGCATTGAATGTGGTGCAAAAACAAGCCCTGGAAAGTATCCCATACCAATGCGCAGAGCTAAGTCATATCAGCACTCTCAGCTCGGAAACCAGAGCAGCTTGTCAATTCCGAACGAGCCTTATGCTCCAACCTGACTTTAGCAGCACTAGATCTGATCGTGTCGCCAAATGGCAATTTCACGAGCCGAGATTTGACTACTGGAGTCTCTGCTTTGTGGCTCAAGTTGAACATGGTGGCATTGTCATTTGGGCATTTTATGATGACGAGATGATAGCTACTTCACAAGTTCAGGATATGCTTGATCGCATGGGGAGAGTTGTTGATCTGATTGAGCAGAACCCGGAAATCCGCATTGGAGAAATCCCCTGAAGCAGATTAGGTTTGCAGATATAAAGATAACGGTGCAAGCGTCTGGCTAAAGCAGGATCTACAAATACTCCAATTCGACGATTTTTTTCATAAATCATGATCCATCGTTCTCAAACGGTATATATGATATGCTTAACACCATAGATCCCTCTCTTATAGTACCATTCTTGGGTAATTTCAAACTGAATCCCAAGTTCCTCGAATTCCCTTTTTAAAGGCTCGGATTCCTGTTGAGCGGAATTTGTCACCTTTTCAGACTGGGACTCCACCGACTAGCATTGCGACATCAAAGAAACTGTATAAATTACACAATGTTCACAATATCCTCGATAATAAAGATAAGATTCAGTCTCGCGCGGAGAGAAAAGAAGATTGTCAGCAGACCAGTTCAAAAAGTCTAGGGTATATAATACAGATTATCCGCTCGTAATCAGATGATGACCCGTTATTCATTGTGAGTAATTTCATGAACATTCTACATATAATTCGGATGAAACACTTCATCATTATCCTGCGCGCACAGTATACTTACATGCTTCCCTAGATCGAAGCAGCCGGACAAATTAATGCTTTCTTTGATCTTGCAAATGGGCACTATCAGCTATATCTACTGGCCCAAAATCATTGATATATTTACTTACCTAATCAAGGTAGCCGAGTATGAGGATGAATACAATTATAATGATATCCCCGATTTCTTCGCATCTGCGTTTCGAATAAATGCCTAACCGCCTGATATGTGTTCTATGTGAAACGCGGATTGTGCTCCTATGTAATAAATATCCCAAATGCTAACAAATAAATGCCCAAGGTTTCTATCCTCAGTACGTCTTTTTTTTAAAAAAACCTTACAAACCGCATTAGGCGGGTGCTGAGAAGACGAAGCCAAAGTTATGCTCACTCAGGGATAGCCAATCTGTTATTGCCTCCAGCCCATTATCTGGTCTCTTTAGATGTATTTTGGTCCCACTGCCGACAACGTACGGAGATCTAAAATCTATCCCCCTTTCCCTCTATTACTTGGGTACACTGCAGACTTTTTGGACATATACGTTCGAAACCTCCACCAGACTTTTTCCTTTTTTCACCTTCTCCTTTTAATTCACTTTTCGTCTCTTCTCTTTTTCTCTCTTTCTTTTCCATTCCGCTATTCATGAATTTGGAGAGCCCTTGGACCATTTGACTAATACGGAGCGAAAGAGGGTAGAATACTGGATAGGATACCGAGTGGGAGAATGAGTAGGAGACTGTGTAGGAATATAATGGGGAATATAGTAGAGGTGTGGTCTAAAACCTAATTAAGTGCCGCGCTTTTTGCGCGGCGGAAAGCTTCTAGTAATTGGTATACTTGACTTCTTCGCTGATCATCGTGGCTGGATGTTGGCTGATGCAGAGAAGTGTGTATGTAGAGATCAGGAAGGCTTGAGGTATCGCGTATAGTCTTTTGAGTGAATCTCGACTGGGCATACTGCCCACATTCACCGCTATCTAATTAACGTGTAACATTTGAAGTATGTGCTCATGCGGGGGAAATGACTTATTCCATGGATAGCGGTGTGTAGATCAGGGACAAGTTAGGTCAAACCTTGGAAAGTCTTGGCAAACGGAGGTACCTATAGTAACAGATTGCGCGCTTTGATGCTTAGATGTTGAGAGGCCGCGTATGCACTTTATCCCGTCCCGATTAGACCAAGCTGTAATTTCTCCATTTTCTCATATTGATAATGCAACGCACATAATTGATCAAATAGTAAATATGCTTTAAACCTAGAAACGATCCCGTCATAACTATAAATAATAACTGCCATGCCAAGCCAGCCTCGTACACGTTGCCATAATCGGTGGACGCTGACAAGCCTCTGCCATGTGGGTCTAAGCGATGTGGCGGACCATGCAGAGTCTTCCTTTTCTACCACGGAAACGCCGGCGCCTCAGCCACCATTAGCAAATGGGCGAATACGAATCCGGGAGTCGTCATCATTTTAGGGGCCATGACAAGCCTCACGATTATTGTTTTGATCCGATAGATTGCAGGAATTCCATTTTTCGCGTGTAATCTCCGTGAGATTGTCGTATTAACCAACCGAATAAGAAAAGAACGCGAGTGGGGGAGCAATTTCCCCCGACCAATCCGAGGCTCGTACACGTATCTGATACAGAGGAACGGAAAAGTCAGCGATCGATAAAACCCGCTTTTCCACCAGAATGGTAAGTGGCCACATGCGATTAGGCCCGCTTTCTCCGCCCTTGGCCTTTTCAGACTTCGCGTTCTCTCCTTTCTTCTCCTCTGTACATATCCGTTCGTTGTATATACCCTCGCCCGACTTCCTGGGCCTTTTCGGGTACGCCCCTCCCTTTAAAGCGCCGAATTCCCACTCAACCCGCCCAATCCACCGAACGCGCGAACCCTGTACCACGTCCGGTTCTGTCCATATTGGAGCATGAAGGAGGAGACTGTGGGGAACTGTTGATAGATATATTTATACCCGAGTGATGCGATTCCCAGTCCCAAGCCTGTTGGCGCTCTATGGAGTGCTGTCAACCACGGTCTCCTTGGTTCAAGGGGAAGGGGAAGGAGAAGGCCAAGGCCTGGAGACTCAGGAACAACTGCCTAATTTCATGAGTGTGCGGCCAAGTCTTGCCAAGGCTTACGACAATGACCTGAATATCCCCAAAGCGAAATATTTTAGTGAGTTTAATCTCATCCCGCAATTGCAATGATCTCCCCGAATGGGGGCTGCGGTCCTATCATGGAACTTTAACTAACTAGCCAATTAGCGGAATCCAGGTATGCCTTAAAGTGGAAACAATTATGTGAAAATGCTATGAACGCATACTGACTTGTCTCTTGTTCTCAGCTTCCATTATCACTATGATGGCAGATTTGCAAACCAAACTTTACCGGAAGAGAAAGTCACCCCTTACTTGTCGAGCTTGATCCAGACCTATCTACAAACAATGAACTCCATTGGCGCTGAGACATGGATCATGCATGGAACCCTCCTTGCATGGTGGTGGAACCAGAAGGTATGCGATATGGCATGGGGCCTATAGCTGGGCATCTGCTAACGATCCTCAGCTTTTCCCCTGGGACAACGATCTAGACGTTCAGATTTCGGAACCGACAATACACTTCCTTGCCGATTATTATAATTTCACCGATCACCATTTCGACATTCCCGGCGTCGAAGGTGGCCGCACATACCTTTTGGAGATCAATCCCAACTACGTTGTCAAAAGCATCAGGGATAGATTGAACGTGATCGACGGGCGATGGATCGACAAGGAGTCCGGACTTTTCATCGACATTACAGCCGTTCGCCCAGATGACGATAAGCGAAAGCGTGGCTACCCCGAGGCGCTTATGTGCAAGGATCGACACCACTACGATGAAAGTGATATCTTCCCACTCCGAGAGAGCTATTTCGAGGATGTCGCCGTCAAAATTCCCTACGCATATACCAGATTACTTGCCGAAGAATATGGCGCCGCATCGATGACCAAAACCGATTTTCAAGGACACCATTTCAGCGACACGAGCAAGTTGTGGGAGAAGGCGTCTCGAAAAGTGAAGCGCTTCCTTCGACGAGGCTGGCGCGGTGATGATCTACCCAAGCGGTCTGGTACTGAACCTCTTATCCGTATGGATGCTGTTTGAAACTGTGATTATACGCGGCATTTCCCGATCTTATATTTGCTGCATTTACTTGGCGTTGACAATATCCGTTTTGTACCTGGACATAATCTGTTTGCCATTTGTACTGATACGACTTACATGTACATATTACATATTATTCTGATGAACATCATTGTAATAACCATCATGGATGAGCTTCTTATAAACCATACTAAGTTTGATTCTACTGGCCCAGACAATAGTGACTCTCGGGGATAACATCCATTTTCCTAATTGGGACAAAGTCCAGACCCAGGCTGACTCACCACGCAGTCACATGGCGGCCCCCAAGAGTATTTACGGTCAAACCTTTAGCGCTATTGGAAATTCTAAGCTTATCTGATGGAAAAATACCGAAGGCGAGCTCCGACTCTCCTGCATCATGTCGTTCCACTCAGCTTCTCCCGAAGGGGGGAACCCCTCCAGCGAGAATTCTCCGATCGGTGTACCCCCAGTTTCCGCCACCGCCCCGCGCCCGCCCACAGAGTCCGCCAGCTCACGAAGCTGTGTAACCTGCCGCCGTCGAAAAGTCCGCTGTAACAAGCGTTCACCCTGCTCCAATTGTGTCAAGGCGAATATCGATTGTGTGTTCCCTCCGCCGGGTCGAGCCCCTCGCAGATCCAAGCGCCCGCCCGATGCGGAGCTTCTTTCGCGCTTGCGACGCTTGGAAGGTGTCATTCAGCATTTGAGTGAAAAAAATGGTGAGGCTGGTTCGGTTTCGAGTGTATCTCCCACACAGCCAGCTTCATCTAGTCTTTCATCTGCTGCTGTCACCAACACGACTGCCAATACGTCACCACCTACAACTATAAACCCCACAACATTCGTTGACGCCAAACTTCAAAATGGGGTTTGCCCGTTTGAGGATAACGATCCCAAGAAAATTACGCCCAACAAATTCGAGAATGAGTTTGGGAGGCTGGTTATCGATGAGGGTCGGAGTCGATACGTGAGCAATCGACTGTGGGCCAGTCTTGGAGATGAGGTATGTTTTTTTTTCTACTTCCGACGTCTGAGTGACATCTTGCTGACGGCTTTCAGGTGGAGGAACTTCAAGATATTCTCGAACATTCCTCGTCCGAGGAGGAGGATGTTCCATCTCCTGATTTCTCTCGTTCTGGCTCCGATGGATTTCTCTTTGGGTACTATTCCGTCGCGCACTCGCTTCGAGAATATCACCCACCTCTTCCTAAGGTATCAAAATTTTGGGAAATCTATAAGGAGAACGTTGCTCCCTTGATCACCATTCTTCACAAACCGACTGTCAGAAACCTATTGGTTGAAGCGGCACAGAACCCTGAAAACTTGGATAAGAACTCGGAAGCCTTGGTGTTTTCCATATATCTGTCCGCCATTATCAGCTCAAAGCCGGAAGACTGTTTGGCACAGCTTGGGGAAGATCGAAAGACAGCCGTAAAAAGGTATCGATTTGCTGTTGAACAAGCACTGTCGAAGGCTGGGTTCCTCAACACGCAAAATCTGATGCTTTTACAGGCTGCAGTTCTGTTCATGATATGCATCCGCCGAGAAGATGACTCCAAATTTGTTTGGTCTATGGACGCCCTCGTCCTTCGGCTGGCTCAGAGTTTAGGCCTCCACCGCGACGGAACAAATTTCGGATTGAAGCCATTTGAGACGGAAATGCGCCGTCGCCTGTGGTGGCATATCTGCCTGTTGGATGTCCGGTCCTCCGAGGATCATGGGACTGATCCGCTGATTCATGAGAGTATGTACGACACTCGACTACCATTGAATATCAACGACGAGGATATCTACCCAGAAATGACAGAGGCGCCCTTGGAGCGGGAGTGCTGTACTGATATGACTTTCTGTCTTATTCGCTGTGAAATTACAAGTACTTTACGACGAGTCAACTATGCCTGTCCTGGCAGCCGATTCCGCATGGGTGACACTGCTCCGACCACTGATCGCTGTGAGCGGATGCTCCAGCTCCTCAACAACCGGATTGAGGAAAGGTATATTAAACACTGTGACATGAATATTCCTCTTCACTGGGCATCTGCAACCGTGGCACGGCTCATTCTGGCCAAGCTGTGGCTGATTGTTCACCACCCTATGACTCGGAAAGATCGCTCTACCAACGTTTCCCAATCAATCCGCGAGAGCTTGTTCCTCACTGCCATCGAGGTTCTTGAGTTTGGCCGTCTCCTCGAAATTGATCCCAAAACAGCCAAGTGGGGATGGCTGTTCCGAACCAACATGCAATGGCATGGGGTCGCATTCGTCCTCTCAGAATTATGCGTACGACCTATCTGTCCTATTACAGAACGAGCCTGGAATGCCATTCATGCCCTTTATTCGGATTGGACCCTACGTGGTGCACACAAAAAGGGCATGCTTTGGCGCCCATTGGATGCTTTGATGAAACGCGCCACCGCTACTCGAGCCAAACATCAGGCAGAGCTCCGAGAAAAGTTTGGACCAAGTCCCCAAGCCCCATTCAACCCTGCAGAGTTTGCCACTACACACCACCATACCCTACCGCAAATACACATGCCACTACCATCGCCGTCCATTTCCCCTGGTCAATCAACGCAGCTCTCAATAGCTGATGATCCTAGGAGTATCAATCTCAGCAATGGAGCATGGGATGCAATACAAAACATTTTCCCCGACACAAACATTTTGGCTCCGGTTACTCTTGACCCACAAATGCCAGACCCAGTCACTTCAAATATCCTGCCCACCGGAGTGTCATTCAATTCTCCAATAGGCATGAGTAATGGCTTCATGACCCAAGATAACATCGCTGAACCAGCTCCTCTAAACTGGGAAGAATGGGATAACGTCTTGCGGGATTTCCAGATGGACGTCGAGAATGACAACACGGCCGGGGGAAATGTCTCCAGTGTCACCGGATGGTTTGCATAGGTCCAGTGAATTGGAACTTCCTTTTCTCTCTTCATCTGGCCCGTGATCCGAGCTTCGTCGTGCTTGATTGATGCAATGTGCCTTTAATTCTATCATACCCTCGGCGTGTTTATGATTTGACGATTCCCTCTACTCAATGTATAATTCCAGTCGACTCTTCTCTCCTGCAAAGATGCCATGGCAATTGGCCTAATAACATACGCCCAAAAAGTCTGCGATGTTCCCAAGTAATAGAGAGGTACATTAGCTTAGTAGTATTCATGAAGTATTCATGACTTTCTGAAATTTATCATGTGATATTAAAGGTTCTGTCATCATGGCCGCTACTCGCCTTCGTACTGGTGGCAGTTTAAATGCAGTCATTCAGGATGCGGCAATAACCTCTTGAAAATTACCAGTGATTATTGATAAACTAGACTTGGATCATCAGTTGCAACATTTGTTCAGATCTGGCACTTGATAGGACCGGCCCAATTGCGTAAATCAGCACCACGAAGTTGGAGTAATAAAACAATACACAGTCCTCCCGCGATTACTACGGATTGGAGCGCAAAAGAGATATTCAAGCCTTGCTTCTGACCCCAGGCCTGTTGAAAATATCCAACAGAAAACCCAGCAGCGACTCGAGCAAAGTTAATCAGGGCCGAGACTTCTGCCGAAGCAGCTGGATAGCAATCGAGCACGTAGGTCACTACCGCCACGGAGATAACTAAGATGCCGAACTGCACCAGTCCCCAGCCAAAAATAATCCCAACCCATGACAGGTGGTGATCAAGAGTTTGACCAACAAGAATCAGACCAGGAATCATGATAAAAGCGCCGAGATACGTCGCCCAGAGCCTCGTCTCCGGTACAAAAAGGCCTCCATGTCGGCGAGCGTATTGGGCTGCCAGAAAGTCGTTGAAGTGATGCCCGAAAAGCTCGCCAATAACGATGGCGACAACCGGAGCAAAATAAATGAACCCAGTAGATCTAGAATCAAATCCATAGCCACCCTCATGTAGAGGAGTTTCGAGAAGAATAGATGTCGAAACATTTATGCCGACACTCCACATAAAGGTGATCGCATAGAAGAACATACACATTGGGATAACCGGTTTCAAGAAAACCTCAAGAAGTCGACCATAGCAGCTCCCAAGGCTTGAGTAATAGTTGTTCTTGTGGGTCTTGATTTGCCAAATACCAAGTACGCGTTCAAGGCGAGCGAGTTGAGCACTAGGCCTCTCCGGCTGACCAGCTTGTGTCGTGCGGTTATAATATATCTCGTCCCCAAAGACTAGAATGAGGCAGATTACGAACGCAGACCAGGCTGCAACAAGCCAAAAGACCGGTTGCCATTTTCCTAGCCCAGCAATCATGAAGTTGCCTAGCAAAGGACCGAGCACTGGAGAGGTAATGAAGATTGCGTACCAAATGCCAACTTTCCGAGCATGTTCGTGCAAAAAAAAGATGTCCTTGATAACAGCCAACCCAATAATTTGCCCAACACTTTGAGTGACTGTCTGCAAAGCTCGGAGGCCGTAGAAGGTGTCAAAGTCAGGAGCAAGTACGCAGCCAATAGTAAAGAGAAAGCCCATAAGGCTGCTCCAGATAAGGACGGGAATTCGACCCCAAAAGCTGAATAGGGGAAACCAGACAAGGCCAGACACTCCTGCCATAATAATACTAATATTGTTCGCTTTGGTGACGGTCACTCGGCTGATGTGCCACTCCTGACTCTGGAGACCAACCGGTGGAATTTCAGCCCCAGAGCCGAAGTCGCCCGCGAAGGCTGCAAATGAGACCACGATGAGGATGGCATGTTTCTTGAAACAAGACCAATTCAACGGATCTTGAGGATTGTTGGTGGGCTGGGGAACTAAGACGGTCTATTCCTCCCAACCTTTCAGCGCGAGGTCAAACCAAGTGAGAACCTTAAAAATATGAACAACAATATTTACTGACCTTTCCATCTTCCGCGAGTTTGAGGTTTAGTAGTGTGCTGGGTTTCTCCTGGTCGTTATTGATTGTCAATAGTACAGCACCACCCCTTTCCGCGATCTGACTTTGATTAACACAAACCTCCTGGGCAGTATATAAGTAATAGGGGATTTTAACACCTACCCGCTCCTCCATGGTCTGAGATAATATAATTCCATTCTCCTTGTTGTCGCCCATGATGGTTGTTTTGATTAGTTGAAACCAATATTCTGGACAGCTTAAAGAAATATATACTATTTAAATTTATTTTCAATATTTCCCTTTTAGATCAATTGTCACTTCAATTAACTTGAAAGTTGAGTTCGGTGGTGGGACCAAATACGCATGTATCATGGAAACATATTGTGGGGTAAGTAATATCGTGTCTTTCCCGGGTATGATCAATTTACATCCTTAATACAATCACGAGGATCACCTCGAGAGAAGGATCACTGTATCAAGAGTTACATCAGTCGGAATGTCACTTCCCGTTGTTCCCTAGGTGATTCATACCGGACATGGTCAGAGACGTATCGCACCTGCTCGACAGACCACAATGAGATATCATTCATATTCGCCGCATTAAAAGTTACTTGTTTCTAGAAGCTGCATGCAATTGTATTATCGGCGTGAAAAATTATCAGGTCCCTCATTACTCCAGGCGTGTCAAAGGCGGGGATGCGGGGGTATGCAGATCCGGAGGCTCGTTGGTCCCGCTGCATGGACCATTCTTCTTGCGGGGCCTGATGATTGTTTGGGGAGCGGGTTTCATTGGAAATGGGCTTGCTATGTCGGGTTCGGCGCCCTTTTCGGGACAAAGCGGCGATATGACGCAATCTACAACATCTAGATGATAGGTCTTTTCCGGCGTATGTGATCATCGGTTATGAGAAAAGGATCAATCTATGTAATCAGTCTCTCCACACTAATGTAGACCACCAAACCTCTCTGTTACTACCAAAAAATACTCAGATATAGTCGACAAGTGGATGGACCATTGATTTTGCCTTCGGATTGATGTACCGCAATCCGAATCAGTCCCGCTGGAAATCTCCACTGGCGGGCCCGCCTTCCTCTACACCGTTTACCCAATCTGGGGAAGGGAAACGCGGGGTAGCGTGCATATTATACGAAGATAAAGAATCGGCGTTTGTGTTCTAACCCATGCTCTGCTAAGTCTCTTTGGTGAATTATCTACAACTCCGACTTCTCCTACTTACAATGGCAATCTTGAATGCTTTGAGCTTGATAATGAGCCACTTGGGCTTAATTCTCGCTGGGATCGCGTTTCTACTGATACTCCTGGTCGCGCAATATGCAGTTGCCAGCCGTCGGCCCAACAACTTTCCTCCTGGTCCACGGGGACTTCCCGTAATTGGGAATCTGCATCAATTACCCCTTCGGAAAGCGTTCTTACGGTGAGTAAAATGAACACAAGAAATGTGCACATCCCATTTTATTTTATCTAATTGATATCCCGTAGCCAACATCAATGGACGAAGGAATATGGTAGCATCATTGGGCTGAAATTAGGCCCCCAGAATGTTGTGGTGCTGAACGGCTATCGTCATGTCCAAGAGTAAGTCAGATGGCAATAAGTGAGTGTCAGGGATGTATACTTGCTCACCAAAAATTCATTAATAGGATTTTCGATAAGAGAGGCGCAATCTACTCCAGTCGACCAAATAACTATGTCGGTGGGGAGCTCATATGCCCAAACGAAACCCATATCCTCCTGGCGCAGTACGGTCAAGGATGGAGGACTCTCCGCAAGTCTGTTCAGGGCTTGCTGAATGTGTCTGCTGTGGATTCGCTATATCCAATACAAACGGCGGAGGCCACACAGACGATGTGCCAGTTGTTGGACGAGCCCGCCGGCTATTACGATCACATCCGCCGCTATTCCACCGCCGTCATCCTTGCCTCTGTATTTGGCCAGCGAGGCGAGAGCTTTCAATCACCAAAAGTCCAGGCTCTGTATCACGCACAAGACCGATTCACTGCGCTTCTCGAACCTGGGGCAACTCCGCCTGTGGATGCCTTTCCTATCTTGAAAGCCATTCCGGAGTTTCTCAGTCCCTGGAGAAAAGAGGCAAAAGAAATACGGCAAGAGCAAAATTCGCTCTACTCCAAGCTTTTAGATGAAACCAAAGACCGCATCCGAAAGGGAAACTCGACTTCATGCTTTATGGAGAAAATATTGAAAGATCAGGAGAAGATCGGCTTCACCACAGAGCAGGTGATCTATCTAGGAGGAATTTTGGTAAATTTCTCATGAATACCAGGTTTGCGTGAGCCTGTCTGATTAAATGTTTTCCAGATGGAGGCCGGGTCTGATACCACATCATCTACGTTACTTACCTTTGTGCTCGCCATGACGCAGTACCCAGAGATTTTGAAAAAAGCACAAGAAGAAATAGACCATCTCTGCGGCAGTGACCGATCACCTACCTTTGATGACATTGAGGAGCTGAAGTACTTGAAGGCGTGTATGAACGAGGTAAGCGGTCACTTAATTCGAATTTCACGCAGACATGGAAGGTTTTAACATATGCAGACACTGCGATGGCGACCAATCGCGCCTGGTGGTATTCCTCACATGCTAATTCAAGATGACTATTATGAGGGTTACTTTCTACCCAAGGGCACCATCTTGTTCGCGAATACATGGGCCATCCACATGGACGAAAGTGAATACGACGAACCTGAGAAATTTATACCGGAGCGCTTCATTGATAACAAATTCGGCTGTAAATCTCATGTCACTGATAGTCACCGCCGAGTGACTTATAGTTTTGGTGCAGGACGACGAGTTTGCCCTGGCCAACGACTAGCTGAAAATTCGCTGGTAATGTTATAGGAAATTTGGTGCATACGCTGAACCGACGCTAATGGATATCACCAGATGCTCAACATGGCCAAGATGGTTTGGCTTTTCAACATCGAATCTGATTCCTCTGCTCCACTAGACTTAAGTATGAGCTCGGCCTTCTCGGATGGATTTCTCGTTGCCCCCAAGAAGTTCCCTGTCAAATTTTTGCCTCGATCCGATCGGCACGTGCAGGTCATTCGAGGGGAGGTTGAGAAATGCTCCGAAGTTTTCGCGCGTTATGAATAGTTGTCAAAGCGTTTTTATATAACAAATATTCTACGCGCACTTTTTGAGCAAATGCCCAACTCCTTGTAGAGAAAGCAGATGGAGTCAGGGTATACGTAGAGATTGTGAATATTTGAAAACATAGTTATGCGGAAGAAAAGACAATTCACTTTCACATTCGTCGGCAGATACGTGAGGTTTCAAAGCTCACTTTGGCGCTCACTTTGGCTTTTGTCACCATCCTGTTGATAGTATCAATTAAACATGAGCCATTCAGCTTTGTGCGTCTATGAGAAGCTGTTGCCTGCGTATCTAGCATTGCTTGGTAGGGACCAGAAATATATTTGAATTGCAGTAGACTACCTTATCCGCGATGCTGTCCGGTAGAAACATGTCCCTAATCGCCCTGGTGTTCTGCGTACAGAGTGCCAGTGCTCAAGCGAATATGTAGCCATGTAAAATCAGTCTGATCAGACGGTTTGACGTGCGAATGTGAACAAGAATGTCAAAGTAGTGAGATTCTTGAAGCAGCCGTAGTGTGCAAACGGAATTTCGCATCAATAAATTAGCTCAGCAATGCGCAGTTCCACTGTTACACCACCAAAAATCGCCTTTTCGGGGTTGGTGAGTGTGGCGGGCAAGCATATCGGAACCATTTGTTCGTTGGTCGGGGTTTCTTAGCTCCGCGCTTGATTAACACCGGAGTCCCACCGGGGGACAGTTTCCGAGATCCGGATCCGAGAGCCGGGGGCGGATCGTCTGCATACACAGGAGGATCAGGGTGTTCTACGCAGGCATGTCACTAGTGCCGAGTGGTTACGTGAAGATGTATAAGATGTCAACAATAGTTGAGATTTTGTTAACTTCACCAATCTTCCTAAGCATTTAGCAATTACCGAAACATAATTACCATTTGGTTTTACCCTCTGGTTCTTTACTCCCTCGACAAGTGTAAAGAACCATTCACTTCACTCGTGGTTAAGAGGCAATAATTGACCGATCATGCCAAAGTTGAACCAACCACCCTTTATCGACTCGGAGTCGCAACGTCCGACGTTTTTCAAGCCCAATCCGTTTCTCAATGGGAAAATCGTGCTCGAGGAGCACGTTGGTACTACTCTCTTCAATGCGACTACAACTACTCCGTTCATCGAGGGTAGTGGCGAACTAGGCTACTATAAAGAAGCCTACGTGAAAGATGTCGCCCACCGTCTCACGAGCATTGATGATCGGATCAAGCATATGGATGAGGCTGGAATTGCCATTTCTGCAGTGTCTCTGGCTATGCCTGGAATCGAAGGTATATTCGATACCGCTTTGGCTGTTGAAATGGCAAGAAAGGTCAATGACGACCTTTACCATCTGTATCGCACGGGCCCACATGCCCATCGTTTTCTCACCTGGGGTACGGTTGCGATGCAAGATCCGCACGAAGCTGCGAAGGAAGCAGAGCGGTGTGTCAAAGATCTGGGATGTTGTGGAATTCTGATCAATGGTTACTGTAATATCGGCAGTGCCAACAATGTTCAGTATCTTGATGAGCCGCAATGCGAGCCATTCTGGGCGAAGCTAGCTGAACTTGACGTACCCCTCTACTTGCATCCTCGAATCCCTCCACCTGATCAAGTCCGCGTGTTCAGGGGCTCTGAATTTCTGGCCGGAAGTCCTTGGGGCTTTGGCCGTGAGACTGCCGAGCATGCACTCCGTCTGATGCTCTCAGGCCTTTTCGATAGGCATTCCAACCTTCAAATCGTGCTCGGCCACTGTGGGGAGGGCCTTCCATTTTCTATCGCCCGCACCGATCACCGACTGCGGCATTTCAAAGATGGTGTATCAGGCCCTCACAAACATAGCCTGTGTCACTACTTTGCCAAGAATTTCTGGATCACAACTGCTGGTGTGCAGAAACAGAGCACATTGGAGGCCACCATCAAGGAAGTTGGAATTGACCGGGTCATCTTCAGTGTCGATTATCCATTTGAAGATATGGTGGAAACTTCTCAGTGGTTTGAAGGCCTTGAGATGGATGATTCTACAAGAGCGAAGCTTGCATTTGGTAATGCGAAGAATCTAATGCGGCTGAAATAATCTATACTGGTCATCATCCACACCAAAAAGGTCACGAGCTCCCTTACATAGCCGCCCACCATGTTGATGAAGTGCTATATAAGGATGCACTATTCGTCCTTCATAGAAGCTATCAACTAGTTCTATATATACTTGCACACATGTTGGAATCTTCAATAGTTCATCTATTAGTTAGTCTTTTCCCATTTACAGGTACCAATACTACCCTTACCGTATACACCTCAGTCCGTACATTCAATCACTAAGAACCAAAGAGAATTACGGACCATCAGGATTCTGAACAATATGAAATAAGCCGTCCTAGGCAATCAGTAAGCCAATAGAAGTCATTAAACAGACAATAAACGCGTACCTGATCTACGCAAGTTGAATTACAAGTCCCTTATCGGCGACTTCACTAGTATCCGGCAAGTATGAGTGTTGGACATATATAAGAGAAAGAAGAATCTGCTCTGATACATCTTCAGGAGGAAGCGCACAAAAATGGCTGATTCACGCGCAGAGAACAGAATCAGAGAATCTCAGCAATGGTCTAACGCTTCAACTATCGATACTTATAAACACTACTTCAGGGATACCTGGATGCCACCACACCATACGCGTTGCACAGAGGATGTTGCGCGAATATCCTCTGTTGGGTCCTCCGCAATCAGTACCAGATCGGCTCTGTACCCAGGTGCGATTAATCCACGATCGTGCAATCCAAAAACCTCAGCTGGTAGCGATGTGGCTGCCCTCAATGCATCAACGGTTGATAACCCTGCTTGGACGAGTAACTCGAGCTCTTGATGCAGACTCACCCCGTAGAGGACGGAGGCTGGTGCATGATCGGCTATATTGGCGTCTGTTCCAGCGAGGATAGTTACGCCAGCCTTATACATGGCTGTGACAGAATCGTGCGCCGATGAGTAAACCATCCCAGGGGGTAATCTTCCACTGTCCGCGATAGCTGCCATCCAGGCCAGTTAGTATGCAATAATAACTTAACACGAGGTCGTCTTGCTCACATTTCATCATTGTCAATGTAGGAATCGCGATACGCTTCTCGTTTGCCATGCAACTTATAGCTGCGTCACTGAGGGCATGACCCAGAGGCACGTGAGTTATCATATCCACCTTCGCCTTCTGTGCCATTTCAAATGCAACAGGAGATGTGGCGTGGGCAATAGACAGCTTGCCATTTCTGCGTGCAGCATCGACAATGGCATTGATCGTAGCTTGGTCGGGACCTCCTGGAACATCAATAATAATCTTGATGTAGTCTGATCCCTGTGAGATGCATTGGGACACGTATCTCACTGCGTCCTCTGGGTTTCCGACTAGAGCCTCCTTAGGACGGTCTGAAACTTTGCTGTGTCTGCTGCCAGGGGCGCTGGCACCAGTACCGGCGCTTCGGATATCGGTCAAACCCAAGCGGCCTCGTAAGGAGTCGATACGATCAACGGGCCAGCATCCCATGTCTAGTGCGGTAGTGACACCCGCCTGGCAAAGCTGCTTCAGATGGTCGGCGTGTAGAAGGTGAACGTGAGAATCGATCATTCCGGGGAGTAGTACTCCCCCAGCACAATCGATGATCTCGTCGGGTACCGTGTCGTCGGCGCAAATTAGACCATCTTTGATAGAGACGGTACTAGGCTCAAGGACACGTCGGCCGTCGAAGACTCTCACATTGGTGAGAAGAGTCTTTGACTTCCGGTATTCAGAAGTGATATTGTTCTGCGGCATGGTGCAATCCACGTGGAAGTCTCCTGTCACCTGGGGTAAGATGTAATCAAAATATGTAGGCTGCAACTAAGTCTATGTGATCTTACATTCATTTAAAAGAAGACTGTTTTATCTACCCTTTTGAGATGGGTATGGAAAAGTTAGCCAAGTTGAAAATCCTCGGGTTTCGGATTTAACATCCCATCTTTGCGTCACGACTATACCTGCTAAGGTAAATGGTCCCGCAGCGCCGCAAATATGCGGGGCGGACGGCATTGAATGTTTGATCGCTGTGAAGGTATAAGGATTGGACTTTCCGGACAAGAATGAGCCAATCGCCTTCATTCCCGTTCTGAACCATACCCCCCATGAATTCTGTCCGTAATCCACTGTCTGCCCAGGATTTACCTGGCTCGGAAGAGAATCTCCGAAACGCCCGAAGAATACGACCTGTCAAGCCACGTTAGTGAGTGGGTATAACCAGTACCGGATCAGATGTGGGTTCCTAGTATGTACCCCACAAATCCGCAGTAGGAAGTATGTCGTAGTTGTACGACATAAAGGCTCATGGCTTTCTTTTCCTCCACCTCTGAATTCGGGCCCACTTACCTTCTTCTCATTCAAACACGGATCCAAATCTTGCTAAAATTGTGCCAATCCCAATGCGACAAGAAAGGATGTCGAAGCCCCAGTCTGCTATATCGAAGTCCACTGAGAACCTGGGTGATGTGTTACTGCAAGATCCTGATACGAAAGTAATCATTCTGATTCCTCATCCCTCCAATGACCCGAATGATCCACTCAATTGGTCCAGAGCCTACAAATTTTACGTTGCGGGGCTGTCGTGTTATGTGGTGTTTTTGACACTGTTTCTCTCTGGAGGTCCTGCAATTACTACGGTGATCTCAGCCGAAGCCTTTTTTGGTCCTAATCCAAAACTCCTCGAGAAGCATGTTGCGAAGGCCTCTTACTTGTTTACAACATCGGCATTGACTATTGGAGTGGGTAATCTCTTCTGGATGCCACTTGTACTCAAGTACGGAAGGCGGACTATCTATATGGTCGCATTTACTTGCTACCTTGCCACTGCTATCTGGTCTGCTGTTGCAAAGTCCTATACCAATGAGCTGATAGCGAGGATCTTTCTTGGTTTTAGTGCTGGCTTTGCCGACTGTCTAGCTCCACTGACAATTTCAGACCTCTTCTTCTTACACGAGCGTGGAAGCATGATGGTGTGAGTATTTTATGTGGGAATCTATTTCCCACAATGGTGGCTAATAATCTCTAGTTGGTATACGCTCTCCAATCAGGCTGGTGTAACATTTGGCCTAGTCATATCGGGTCTTGTGACGATGCATCATTCCTGGAGAGTCATCTACCACATTGGTATAGCGCTTGTTGGGTCTTGTTTGCTACTTATTGTATTTACCATGCCGGAAACCTATTATGTGAGAAAAAGACCCTCGGACTTTGGGTCTGCGATACTCAAATCAGGCGACAAGAACCCGCGGAAAGGGACCCATGACCACATTGAGATGAGTCTTCCAGATACTGATGTACCACCTAGGAAGACGTACTCCCAACGACATCCAATTTTCAGTCGGTCGTTAACCAAAGAGTCATACTTGACATTGTTCATTCGGCCTGTTGTACTTTTTGTGCTGCCGCCAGTTCTCTGGACAACTTTGGTTTTCTCTGTTGTTCTTGGATTCTATGTTGCGTTGACTTCAAATGCTCCTTTGGCTTTCAAAACAGTCTACGGCTTCCAAACGTATCAAACTGGCTTGTGCTTTACATCATCTATAATAGGTGGATTAATTGGCATCGCCTTCGGTGGTATTCTCAGCGACAAGGTTGCTAACTATTTCACTGCTCGAAATGGGGGCATTCGCGAACCAGAAATGAGGCTACCTGCACTCATTATCACCATCATACTCGGACCATTATCTTTGATTTTATACGGTGTTGGGCTCCAGGAGAAACTTCACTGGATAGTCCCCACTCTTAGCTTCGGAATTTGTGAGCACATCAACTTCGCAATCCTTTTATGCTGGCTGACATTTTTGGGAGTGAATTTTGTGATTGTTCAAGCGACAACTGTGACACTTGTCTACGCAATCGACAGTTACAGGCCAATAGCTGGCGAGGTCATAGTCACTCAGATGGCATTCAAAGGTACAGGCTTCAATGATCCTTTCATGGGATTGTATTTTGTACATGGTTACTAATTATGCCGATCTAGCTGCGTTTGGATTTTTACTGTTCTTCTATACGAATCCTTGGATTGCCAAAGACGGGTTTTTGACTTCAACGGGAGCTATGGCTGGCATTCTTGGAGCGGTAATACTAGGCGGAATACCAATGTATATCTGGGGGAAACAGATTCGACATTCTACACTTCGCTGGAGAGTGATGGATATTGTTCGCTGGAATGAAGACCGAGAAACCGGCGAATAAATTTGTAAGTTTTCGCAGGATACACGTCTGAGCGAACGTGACAGTCCCGTTGTTCACAATAGTCTGAGATCTTCCATAGTCAGCATATTTGCTAGTTCTCACATAGCATCAATAATAACCTTGCGCATACCCTAATCTCTACTCTTGAAGAGCCAATTCTCGTTCTGTTCTTTACAATATTAAGGAATAAGATGCGAGAAATCTAGGTAGCAGTTGAGAGAGAGCGAAACCTCCTTGGTTCAATGAGAGCCATCGGCATAAAGAATCGGGTTATTTTCTTTCTTCACTTCCTCGGCTCCTTTTCCTGCAACTCTTACTTTGTAACAGTCTACTCCAAAAAAAAAAGGAATGATTCCAGTTTCGAACCGTGTTCTAAGTGTAAAATTATGCTAAAGATTCCCCGAGGCCGAGGTAAGACCTGGGCCTTGGAGGAGCTCATAACCTACGTCAATGCATCTCGCACCGAAACCTACTTTAATCACACTACTATGAAACAGATTTACATTAAACATTTTTCTGAAAATTCAATGCCGGTTTTGCACCGGTGTGTTGAAAATGTCGCTGAAAGAAGTAATTTAACGGAGATTCTACTTCCGAGCCCCGACTTTGGGATCCACGCAAAACCTTGGTATTACGAGAACTTTGGTAAATTTCTGGACACCCAGGCGTACTTTCGGAAGCAAGGCTCCCATATTGGTTCACCCGAAACAAGTCGCACGGTAGCACAGTTGACCGCGGTTTCGCATGAATAATACCCTAAGTTGTTGTTATTCTTCAATACCTCAGCCACTGTACTTTATGCGGATATTTATGGTGCCAATTGCCCGTTGGACTAGAAAATATTAACATTACACAACTAGATATCTACTTCTCAAGCCCATCTCTTGCAGGCAGACATTGCTGGCTAAACACAGCAAACCCGTTTTATTACCATTTTCCACTATGGCACGAAGTACAGTTGCTCTAATAGCGCGAAAGTGCAACGGTCCACTTATTATCGAGACTGCCTACATCAACGAAATTAGGCCTGATGAGGCATTGGTTGAAATTCATGCTGTTGGAATATGCCACGCTGATATTTCCTGCTTGGACGGTATATTACCTGTCAAGTTTCCCAACGTGTTTGGGCATGAAGGCAAGCTTCGATCCTTGTCGTATTCCAATCAACTAAGCAGAGATTATAGGTGCGGGGGTTGTGAAAGAGGTAGGCCGAAACATAACGCATATCAGTCCAGGGGACAAAGTCCTCTTGAGTTACAATTACTGCGGCCATTGTGTGCAATGCAGCCAAGGCCACCCGGCTTATTGTCTCTCTATGCTCTCCCTCAACTTTGAAGGAAGGCGCCCAGATGGAAGCTTCAAAATGATGACGCAGGACAAGCAACCCCTATACAGCAATCACTTCGGACAAAGTTCTTTTGCCCGTCTTGCCGTGGTTAGCGGCCCTTGCATGGTCAAAGTCGCTGCTGAAACCCCTCTGGAACTTTTTGCGCCTCTTGGCTGCGGCTTACAAACTGGGGCAGGAGCCATATTTAATACGCTTAATATTCCACCGGGAGCGACCTTGGCTATTTTTGGGGTCGGGTCGGTGGGAATGAGTGCCATGATGGCGGCCAAGATCCGGGAAGCAAGAGTTATTATTGCTATCGATTTAATCGAATCCCGTCTGGAACTGGCGCGAAAGCTGGGAGCTACGCACACTATTCATGGATCAGACTCTGGCGTGGCGGAACAGCTTGCTATGATTTGTCAATCAGATGGTGTCATGTTTGCGCTTGATACTACAGGGTCACCAACAATCATCGAAAGGATGATAAAATCTTTGGGAACTAGAGGAAGGGCTGCATCGGTTGGTGCTCCTCCGCCAGATAAGCTTGTCAGCTTGAACGTTCTTGAGCACTTAACCCGTGGTCGTGAGTATGTTGGCTGCAATCAGGGTGATAGCATTGCTCATCAGGTAAGTAACACATGCACAGTACGTATTTTTGCTTTGTACTTGCTGACGTTTAAAGATGATCCCCTTCTTGATTGAGCAATACTCTTTGGGAAAATACCCTCTCAACGAGATTGTGAAATTCTACGATATCGACGACTTTGACCTGGCTTTGACGGATATGAAATCTGGCAAAACAATAAAGCCTGTGCTTGTATGGACTACGAATTCTGGCTGTAATGGATTGGCCTAGCTATATATGCTGTTTTATAGGTCAATTCAATTTGAAAATGCAACTTTGGAAATAGGGAGAGTTGATTTTTATCGAACGGTGAACATGATGACTTGAAACAGATTCATTTTGGGCATAAGGCTATGGGTTCAAAGTAAACGAAATGGAAGATTTATTCACGTCAAAATGAGATTTACTTCCACACAACCAGAAATAAGTGGCAATTTCATTATTTAAGTTGTATCCTTTCATTGATGTCCAAGATTCGCAGTTCTTTATCTCACATCTTGATCTTCAAAAGTTCCTCTGCGTTGGTTTGGCAGATCTTTCGCAGATCCGCGGGCGAAACAATATCCCCGAGTGCGCGCACAAACTCCGGAACCCTTTGAGACTCTATGTAAGGATAGTCATTTGCGAAGAGAACCCTATCAACGCCCCAGGTGGCAATCGCAATCTGTGTTGGTGGCAAAGAGAAGAGTCCTGAAATAGCGACCCAGACCTGGCTTCGCAGCATTTCTCCGATACTCCTCTTATAGCCAAAGCTTTTTTCGTCGAAAAAGGAATCAAAGCGTTGCATCATCATCGGCACCATCTCTCCTTGGTGGCCCATGATAATCTTCAAACGTGGATGCCGTTCCAGGGCCCCGGAAACAGCCAAGCGCATCACATGGATGGCAACCTCATTGTGCCAGCCCCAGCCCATGTGACCGAATGTTGCTGAGAGAAGCGGTTTGTCGGTGAAGGTGAAGTATGTCTCCATGACTGATTGGGGGACCATGCCGGGATGCAAGTACAAGGGAACATCCAACTCCTCGAACGCGGAAAGGATACAGTTAAACTCAGGCTCGTCGAGGAACTTTCCACTAGCGCCAACTGAACCCGACATCATAGCGCCAACAAAGCCTAGTTCTTTCACGCATCGATGGAGCTCCTTAACCGCTGCCTCGGGTGCATGCATGGGTAGCTCTGCGAATGCGGCAAACCGGTGTGGATACTTGTCAACTGCTTTCTTCAACTCATTGTTTATCTTGATCGCAAGCTGTGTTCCATCTTCCGGGCCCAGGAGCATCGGTCCAATCGCTCCAGATAGACTGAGCACCTGGAAAGCAACCCCTCCTTCGTCCATATCTTTGATCCTCTGCTCTCCTGCAGAGGAACGGCCTTTAGCATACGCAAGAGATTCATGTTCGATGAGCTTTTGGAAAACGCCGGCTGGAAAGCTATCGCGAGGGATGATCTTGGTCAATTCAGGGAAAGCAACGTGCTCCTCCACGCCGATAATTTTGAGATCTCGCAATTCGGGACGTAGGTAGGTTGTCCCAGGGCCTGTAGTTGAGATTGGCCCCAGACTGTTCTGTGGCGGTGCCATGATGGAATTTGGTCTCGGGTAGGGTTTCTCAATAAAAATACTAAAGTGAGGATCTTCACACAGGTTCTGAACAATTCACAACAAGCTATTGCGGAAAAGTACTAGTCTCTTTATATTCTTCAACAAGCTCCACTTCTAATCGATGTCCGAATCCATATCTCCGACGCTCTGGCATCACTTGCAGAACCCGTAAATCCGATCAACGAGTGAAACAGTCCCGGATTTCGGAGCCTAGCTTCCGAAACCTTCGTATTACATGCAGAGCTGGATGTGGTGTTCATGATTTACGAAGATCACTTTTTCCGTGTTTACAGCAAAACAAATTACGTCTTTTTCCAGTTTTCAATGTAGCCCATTGATCGATTATTGTTTCTCAGTGTAGTCGATGTAGATGCACCTTGATAAGAGATTTCTGGATGCTCGGTGCTCGGCGCTCGGTGCTTAACTTCCGAGCTCGAAAGTTGGTACCAGTGGATGGCAGAGGCAAACATCAATAACCGGCACCGAGCATCCGACTGTCTCGGGTCAAAGGCGTTCCATTCAGGAGATCTTATCTGACGGAGATGGTAATACAGCAATTATCATAGAGATCTATTTGAGCTGTCGAGAGTGCCGGCCATTTCCGAGGTATCAAATAGAACCAGAACCATCTTGAGTAGCATGAATACCTATATATACTATGACGCCTCGTCCATAATTCCATTTAGGTAAAATCCGTCAAGGGTTGTTCATACCTTTGATTCTGATTCCTTTGATCTTGGCTTCAAGAATTGAAGGCAATTCTTCTATCTCAATTTCCTGTCTCAGCTTATCTACAACCATGATTCTTGAAAGTTCATTTGAAGGAAAGGAAATTGTTCCTCTCTGGGTAGATGGGCGCCCTCTATCCCATGATATCAATCGCTTGATCGAGGTTTATTCCTCCATATCTGGTGAACTGATAAGCCTTGCACACAGCGCAAATGTCACTGAGGCAATCCAAGCCGCGGAGTCATCTTGGAAGTCTTTCCAGGAATGGAGAAATGCCACCGCATTCACCAGGCGTGATCTTTTGCAGCGTGTTGCAGATATCTACGAAAAGCGTATTGATGAGTTGACGCGGTATCAAATGGAAGAAACATCATGCTCAGAAGTGTTCGCACGCTTCAATGTTAGATATGCTCAACAAGCCCTGAGGGAGACTGCTTCAAGGATATCGTCCATCTCTGGTTCAGTCCCTCAGATGGAAAGCAAGGATGCGTGGGCACTCGTCCTCCGAGAACCTATTGGGCCAGTCCTGGCCATACCTCCGTGAGTTTTTTTCCGGATCAGCTCGCCCCAATCAAGAACAACTCCACTTCAAATGGGACAAATTTTTATTGACGTTCATAAAGTTGGAATTCGAGTATCATTCTCGCTACCCGATCGGTAATGACCCCTATCGCTGCGGGCTGCTCTGTTGTGTTCAAAGCCTCTGAGCTGTGCCCAAGAGCACACTTTGCGATCACAGAGGCATTCTATGAAGCTGGACTACCTGCCGGAGTATTGAACCAGATTCAAGCCAACCGCAACGACGCGGCTGCTGTGACTGAGGCTCTAATTTCTTCTTGGGCCATCCGCAAGATCGAGTTCATTGGAAGCTCGACAGTGGGAAGGTTTATCGGAAAATCAGCGGCTGAACATCTGAAGCCAGTTCTGATGGAATTGGGCGGAAAAAGCCCTGCGATCATTCTTGAAGATGCTAGTATTAGTAGAGCTGCTGCAATGTGTGCTGAAGGAGGTACCTATACATTCCTACCTTCTTCCTCTGATTTTGCGCTAATAGATGTGAATACTAGCCTTCCTACATCACGGTCAGATATGTTTCTCTACTGAAAGAGTGATTGTACTACGTACTATCGCAGAGCAATTCAAGGAAGCACTGGCGGCTTATGTTCAAGAACATCATCAAAAGGCCGGCCATGCCATCACAGTCACAGGTGCAAAGCACGCATGCGAGCTGCTTGTCGATGCGCATGCAAATGGTGCAAAATTTCTAGTAGGTGGACCAGAGATGGTCGGTCCAGCTTCTGTGCGACCTACTATTGTAACAAATGTTACCAAGGAGTGTCGGATATGGGACGAGGAGACATTTGGACCGAGCGCCACTCTGTACATCGTTGATACAGAAGATGAAGCCGTTGAGCTAGCAAACTGCTCTTCTTTCGGCTTGACGGCAGCCATTCATACCAATAACCTACCGCGTGCATTGAAGTTGGCCAAGAGATTGGAGTATGGACAGGTCCACATCAACAGCATCACAGAGTTCGAAGAAGGTAAGAAAATGTTCCATCACAGAAAGACACCATATCGGGATCTCCTTGTAGCATGATGCTGACCACAGGAAACTTAGTGACTGCACCAGTAGGCGGAGTGAAAGGCAGTGGATGGGGTCGAAATAATGCTCATTGGGGACTCGATGAATTCCTTGTCGATAAAATGGTTTCCATCCACGGGGAGAATAGTGAAGCTACATTCGGATGATCCTTCGATCGCACATGACTACGGTGGCTTTACTCAGGGAAACAGAGGGGGTCTGATTGCTCGAAACGGCCTACGTCAGGCGGGATATCTAGATTCGCAAATATGGTATGGCAACTAGCAGGACATAGGCGCGTTTCTTTGTTTTCTGATGCACATCCACCGATTTTTGATCTTATTGTAATTTGAGTGTCAATGTCTGATCATCATCTCTTCTCTACTTCATCAAGTCTAAATTTCGTTGCACTTTATTATTTTTGACCTGCACCCCCACTCTACATGGTAATAAAGGCTGTCCAGTAGGCTCTTGTAATATTGGGCATTCCTCAAGCCAAAGTCTGTAGAAGTAATGATGTTGTTTAATAACAGCAATTTTGGCTAGTATCTTGAAAATGTGAGGAAAAAATTCCCTCCGATATGGGTGCTGCTGCTCGAAAAGGCTAGCAAGAATAGTGTCGACAGCTGATCTGCTGTCCAGGGGAAGAAAGGGCTACATAGTAGCGTGGAAACAGACGAAAGGGACAAGATCTGTATTCCGAGAGATATGGAGGAGAGAAAGAGAGAGAGAGAGAGAGATCTAGCTAAAGACATGCAAGCGCTGACAAACGGAGGAGGTCAGCTGACCCGACCCCATATACTCCAATAAATAGTCTTTCGGCAGGGTGTGGTACAGTAGATGATTAAGTGCTTTACGATACGCGAATTGACGGCGTACATTATTCGGTTCAATCCACGCTTCTGCTTTGGCAGTGGCGAGGGCTGTAGTCTGGGACACACTAGCGATCTCCTCAGTGCAATAACGTCTTTCATCCCTGTAATCAGAGATCTTGGCCGAGTATCGCACCCTGAGTCTTGGCTTCAGGCACTGGGGAAGAAGTCGCTCCACCAACGATTAAAGGGACCGCGGAAAGTGCTGTTTCTTCGTGAAGGACATATATATACAGACCAATTGCATGTGATTATATGGCTCTGGAGTAATTTGCTCTCTAGGCCGCAGATAAGTTTTAATCTCCTTAAAAGGGTTCACCTGAAAAGCCGAAAACGCCCCAACTTTCGATGTCCAGATCAATCATGTCCAGATCATTCGGCTTGGTTTTTCAAAAGTCAGCTCTCTTGAAATTCAGTTTTATAATTGGGCAGGGTCTTCTGTCCGTAGGAGAAAGAGGCAGCCCGAATGTGAAATAAAAATGTGGGGAAAGGCAAATTAATTCCTCGAAGGGGGTGACATACATTGCCAAATGGTTCCAAATCAAGCCCTAGCGGGATGACATCGCGATTGATCGTACCGGAGGACTCGTCAGTATTTTCAGACATCGATTGGGCGGCGGCCTTAACAACCTTGCGCGCAAGGGAAGCCGCCTCACGCGCAAATGGGAACGACAGTTCAGAGGTGGTGATAAATTCCATGTGTCCGAAGTGGCCTGCGGCCATATCCAATAAAGCCAAACTAGAATTGCTAGATGGTGCTGTTGGGGATTTCAGAACACAAATGAACAGGTTGATGAGTGCGAACATAGGGTACGAAAATGCTAGCCTGCAAACCAAGATTAGATACCTGCAATTGAACAAGGGTTGATGGGTTAGAGAATTTACCAATGTGGAGAGCTAGGATTAATTTCCAATACCCTTGAGGCTAGAATAATATTCCTTGCGGCCTCAGCAAGTGCAACGGAACTGGCAGCCATTTGCGACTGAACTGCAACGTTATTCTCCATGTTATCGAGCAACCAGATCCAGGGATATGAGAACAATGAGTGAATAGCCATAAGGCTGCCATAATATGCGTCGTGCAAGTACATGATATGGTCATACCGAATCGCAGAAGGTGATAAGGCGTTCCCCTTTGCCGAATCGATTTTGAGATGAGCCGGAAGTGTTCTTTGTAGCATTTCTAGCCTTTGCAACATGTTCTTAACTCTATCGATTAGGCTAGTAGGTCCAAATCGGAGAGCTTTTGCTGATAACAACTGATGAGAAATCTGCGACGAAAGCTGCGCATGCCGAATCGCGTATGTGAAAAAGTCCAGATCCATAGTGCTGCCGTCAACCTTTTTCGAGGGGATCTCACAGCTAATTTCTTCATCATCAATGGCCTGGTAAGATAAATTAGCTACTCTCTCATCCCTTATTTTCAAGCCGGGAAGTACTCCACTGACCGAAGGGCGCCCTGAACGTCTTGCAATACTTTTATCACTGCAGTATATTGCCCACCAGAGCCAGTTTCGGTGTAGAATCTCAGCCTCTGGGAGTTTCCAAGATTTTGCAGGCTGACGATGTAAGCCTTTCGCTTGTGCCAGTCGCACTGCGCTTGAGCAGAAAGTATACTCCAGTGCAGGGTTTCCGAGCCCCTCCACAAAATAGCTCTATAGTCTTTCAGTCAAACCAGGGAGCCCAGAACGTAGATCCGGGATTTACTATACTGACCATCAGCGCCAGAGCTTGCACCCCGGCTAGACCGGTAGGGGCGATCAACAGCTCGGTATGCACTGATATGGCATTTTCGAAGTATCGCCATGCCGTCCTGTGAACGTCTTCAAATGCCACTGAAGGGTCCTTGGACAGAAGAGCCATGCACCCAGAGGCATAAATGGTTGAACGCATTGCAAGCCAAGAAGGGTCATCCGGTAAATTGCTCTCAAGGTGTTGTCGTAGACGTTCCTCGAATGCGGGGCGGAATACTATGCCGAATATCGCATCATATGAGTATCGAAAATACGCTGCAGGTAGTTATTGATCAGCGCATATTCCAAGACCATAAACGATTGAGCTATATGCCACCTTCAGATAATCTCCATGCAGTCTCTCTATCAGGCTCTGGGGCCCGTTCGATTGCTCTTTTGCGATCAACTTTTAAGCGCCTAGTCCATCCGAGAGTGAGGTCTTTGGCAACCCGGGTAAAGTCAGATTCACCTGTACGTTGGATTACCCATTTTAATCCCGGTTCGGAACAAATAGACAGCCATGAGATAGGACCTGGACTTCGTTAACCTACTTGTTGCAAAGAAAAAGCATGACTGCCTTACCGTGATGTTCCTCATTGACCTTTCTATAGTCTTAGCACATGTTGTGTTCGTTATGAAAGAAAATGAAAGTCGAAGACTCGGAGAATGCTGAATCTTACATTTTGGGGAGTCACTACACATTCTTCCTCGTCATTCAAAGTCCCTTTTGGTGTTGAAATGACCTGGTCCCTATCATTGAGGATGGCCTCCTCGTCGGCAGGCCTGTGGGAAGATGAAACAGCGGATGTTGAAGTGTTTTCTGGGGAAGCAAAGGCTGGTACTATTGTCGCTGGCGGTGGAATAGCGGATGCTGTATCATAAGAAGTACTCATCGCGGAGCTTCTTTGGGGTTGAGGCTAAGCAACGCGATTCAACAACGTATTAGTTCTATCTGGCCAAGAAAAGAGTGCAACCTAAAATATGGGGACAGTCCGACAAACTGACAATGTTGACAAGAGCCTGACGATTCCATTGGCGTGTCGGAGGCGATTTAAGGCTTTCCACGGCTAAAGCATCCAAAGTGACTTCCATTCGCCTGAGCCGGTCTTGCAGGATACTTTGGTTTTCAGAATGTTGGCGTCTCCTCCTTAGTTGTGGTGTATATTTACACTCTTTGTTGTGAGTCTGCCTATTTAATTAGCGGACTGAGTGATGACGATATCTAATCCGTAAGTTTTTGGTGCCATATTACAGAACAGTAGTGACATGGTCTCTCTCCTGTGCCTAGAGGCAGTAATTCTTTAAATAAGCTGACAGTAAATTAGGTGAAGGTTTGGGCGAATCTCTGTATCTTACATTTCACTTTCTTGTCACGGCAGTAGTCGCATGCATTGGTACATTTTTGCCGTAGTTGTTGGACGGGCATGGCTGGCGTGAAAATTCTCCGATCACTAACGATGACAAGTAAGCAGCCCGTTTTAAAGGAGAGGAAAAGTTAATACAGAAGGGAGGCCCACGTTTCAATTCCAGATTGTTCCGATCTGGACTTAAAATACAAGCTTTGCGGGGATAATGATGTTATTTAAATTACCCCAGCCCTGGATTTCCTTTACATGTCACAAATATGTGGGGTATACTCACGTGATTCCCTGGCGAGCGGGACGCCCGGTTAGCCGGGAGACCCCGAAACATGTATGGAGGAGTAGTAAATGCGATAAAGCACAACTTACTATTCAAAAGTTTTAAAAACATAGCTTCTCTTAGGCTCTCCTTATAGAAATCTAATAGATATTCAGTACTATATACTATCCAAAGTCTACCCTCAAGGTTTCTTAATTTTTGTGGAAGGTTAAAGATACATATTGGATATATATTTCAAGCTTCACCTAGAGCGAAATAGTGTATAATTTATGATAATGTTGTGAAATCTCTTATTGAATTATGCCGAGCTTCACATCCAAACTAAATCTACCCTACATTAAAAGTATTGAGGATTCGATGCGGTTTACATCCGTAGTCGCTGAGTTATAAAATCGCATTTACTATGTATCTTGAGGTGACCCGGCTAAGGAGGCGAGTAGCGGCCATGAGGGCAGAACCTTTAAACTCACATAATAAATAGTAAAAGATCATAAGTACTACTGAGCTTATCTACCCCTCTGTTACTTGGATACACCGCAGACTTTTTTTACATACGTGCGAGACCTCTACCAGCTTTTCTTTTCATCACCTTCTCCTTCCACTTCACTTTTTTTTTCTTTTCGCTTCTTTTCTCTTCCTTTTGTATTCCACTATGTATAAGTTTGAAGAGCCCTTTGGCCCCAATTTGACTTATCTGGTATCAAAGAAGGTAGAGTACTGGATAGGAGACTAAGGAGAAGACCGAGTAGGAGACCAAGTAGGAGGCATAGTAGAAGATTAAATAGAAGACTAAGTAGAAGACTAAGTAGAAGACTAAGTAGAAACTAGGTAAAAAGCTCAGCAGAAAGTCTCTAGTATCATAGTACCCTTACTGTATACCTACCCTATAGATATACCTAACCGCTATAATACTCAACCTACTATCTATATTCTAATCCATATCCATAGTAAGTCAAAATAGGTGGTCCCAAGTATGACCCGCCCGGATTTGGGATACACGTCGGGATCTACAGTGAAATTCGATGGATTTTACAGTGGGGACGCGGGCTGTGGCTTAGTGAGGGTTCACGAGGGACGTCGATTAGGTCTGGAGGGCTTTGAGCGAACTTATGGGCGTGTGTGGCTTTATTTGACATGTGAAACGAGAAATTTAGCTAGTTAGGCGCCGTAACGGCCGCTGTCGGCTCGGGAAGAACCCCTTACGATGGCTAATGTTGGAGTATAATGCATCTCTCTCTCTCTTTCTCTCTCTTTCTCTCACCCGGATCTCCAATCAAAATCTTAAGGGTGGCTAGGTTTACACCAATTTCTGCGGAGCCTGACCCTTTTCAGCCCAATAAATCAGCACCACTCCCTGCCCGTGGCTGCGTGGAGATCCGCAGCACCATGAAAATGATGAAGACTATAGGAGTATGGGGTCAGCTGACCCCTCCGTTTGCCAGCGCATGCCTGTCTGAGCTAGATCTCTCTCTCTTGTACCTTTCTTCTGTTTCCACGCTACCATGTAGCCCTTTCTTCACAGGACGGCAGATCAGCTGCCAACAAAGATGAAGGCACCTGTTGCGCTGGAATTACCTCTCTATTTAGCAATCGCCGGCAACTCGTCCAAGCACAGTGGCCAGCAAGGGGACGTCTAACATTAGATTGTCCAGAAACAGAGCACTGAGAGCAAATACGTGTTGAAATCCAGGGAGAAATCCAGCCTAAGTCCAGGCCTGAAGTTTTGCATAGCTACAATGCTCGCCAGAATCTGCTAGGATCCCCCCTGAAAATCCTCCATCATTTCTTTTTCCTTGCCCACGAACAGTACGCATGGCGGCGCCGCTGGTACCGCCCCTAGGTGCTGGAGAGTGAGTGGATCTGAATGGGTCTTTAGATGAACACTGACTAGCGGCTTCAAGATCTATACGGACACGTTCTTCCCCGTTTTGAAGCACCAGTTGCACTGGATCCATCTCTCCATTCATCAGTCCTTATGTACACAAAACTATCCATCACGACCTTCGAACACAAAATCTTCATTTTTACCCCTAGCACCTTCAAGCCCTACCTGAAAGCTCTAATTTCAACTATATCCGAACCAAAATTGCCTTCAGGTGACCCGTGGTCCAAGAAAAAGTTATTGAAGAACTTTGTCTTGGAGTCCAATATGTTTCATACCATATCCAGCTATTTTAGAGCATTTAGGAAATACCATACCTTGTGGCCTTGCATCACCAAAAATATACAAATTGCGGGTTGTAATTAACGTAATCTTCGAATTCATGATATTTTAATATTTGGATTTCCTTGAAATTAAGACATTGTAGCGAGTGTCAAAAGGTCCTAAAAAAGATCATGGATAAGTAAAAAAATGAAATAAACTCGTGGTTGATGAGGTACCAAGTTATAATTTATCGCATGTACTATGACGTTCTAGCTTAGACCTCAAAGTCACCCGCGGGCGGCCCTCTATGGGTTGAGGGTCGGGTGAGGGGTAGTAGATTAGTAGTCAATAACCCATAACCAGCTGCGGGTCACCAGGTCGAGGGTCGGAGGTCCTAGCCCTCAATTTTTTTGATGATGTCTAGGACAGTCGATTCCTAGGTAGGGTAGCATATAGAAGGGAGACACGGTCCCTGTTACGGATCACTATACTATTATAGGTCATATTCCATTCCGTAACGGAGACGGATATATTAGTATGAGCTTAGTACTGTTTACAGAATATATACTCCTTCACTTCTGATTTTGACCTTAATAGCGTGCCCATTACTCTTCGACGGCAACTTTGGTCGTGGTGGGTTTTCGCTTAGTGTATCCAATCCATATATCGTCAGAGCATACTGCCATCGGGCGTTCCCCTCTTCACTATTTACACTAATTTCAAGATGATATACTCTAAGGGTATGTTCAAAGTATGTAGAACTACTTGAAATGTACATTGAAAAACCAAAAATTGATGAGATACTGAACATGACACCATATGTATATGGAACATTTCAAAAAAAAAACCTCAAATCGGATTAGACACAGTTCCAGCTAGCATTTGTTTCAATCAAGATTTGAAAGCCAAATTTATATTGCGCTAGACTGTTCAAATGACAGCCATACCGTATACTCCCTGGTGGGCCTATCAACCACGTGACCGACAACGAAGCTCCAAGCTGGCATCATTGATATCCTGTTGATCCTCCATCCCCCACACCATTGTTTCTTTCAGGAACGTCAATCTCCTCAGAAACAAAACGTCACCCCTTGTTTCTGCAAAACGGTATATCTGACAATTAATCCGCCCTCCTACCTCAATAGCACTCAATTCCAACACGATGCCTGCCAAACGACACGCGGCCTCATCGGCCTCCGCACCAGCACCGATTACAACCTCAACGCTCTCGTCCGGCCCTGCAACCCTGAAAACCAATTCCTCAGTCTTAGACATCACCAGCCATGTCTGGCAACAGTACCTCGCCAACACCGCCCAGCGCACATTGCTCCTAGACGCCTTCATGGCCTTCCTAGTCCTCGTCGGTGGACTCCAATTCGTGTACTGCGTGCTGGCAGGAAACTATGTACGTCTCTACACACAACACATGGTTTACACCCATAAGCACTCCAAGCCTCCCTCTTCCCCGTTCAATGTCCACACAAAAACAACATCTACAAGAACCTATACTAACCTAATACAGCCCTTCAACGCCTTCCTGAGTGGCTTCAGCGCCGCAGTCGGTCAATTCGTTCTCACAGCCTCCCTTCGCATGCAGACTAGTGACTCTAACTCCGGGAAAACATCCAAGCCCAGCTCGAAGGGAAAGAATGCCCGTTTCGCGGATGAGGATTCTGAGGGGGCGGACGATGGCATTTCGCATGAGCGCGCGTTCGCCGATTATATTTTTGGATCGCTCATTCTACACTTCTTCTGCATTAACTTCATTAACTGAGTGTGACTTGCTTGTTGTGGGTGAGATGCTTTTGCGCTGCTCCTTGATGGAGATTGGCGGCTGGATAAAACTATGAACCGGACAGATATGCTTTGTTTCTTTCAAAGCTTGACAGAGCTTCTTCTGGAGAAAATCTTGTCATTTTGACATGTCGGTTGGCTTTTGGTTTAATTGCATGTTTCTTTGTATAAAATATCAATGCAGCGGGTTACATTCATAGCATGTGCTTTTAGTGTGGATGGTCTTGGTAAGCTCTAGATACCTGATCATCATCTAGGGTATCTTGTTCATTTGATTTTGGATGCAGGTACAAGCTTTAGAATGGTTGTAGTACATTACAATGTACAGGTTTTCGCCAATGTTCAGAGGAAATTAAAAGGTCCGCCCTGGTCTTCTGGGGATCTGAGGCTTCTTGACAACACTGCCCCCTGAGCCTCCACCATTGGCGCCAGGCCGAGACGATGAAGAGGAAGTAATACCTCCGACCTTTCCAGGCTTCTTGACGACGGGACGTCGAACTGCGGATTTTCCACCAACTTCGATCTCTCCCCTGCGTCGAGTTGGATCATTGCGCTCTTCCTCGCGCTTCTTTTCGGTTGCGGCGCGCTCACGATCCTTGGCCATCTGTTCTTCGATTTCCATGCGCTTGTTGAACTCCAGTTCCGTGACACGTCGGTCACGCTGAGAGTAACCCTTTTCCTTGACAGAGTAGAAGACACCACCGAGTTCGGCAAGCCACTAGTTTCAAGTTAGTCAAGTTGCACACAGAGGGATGATAATGTAACTTACATGTGGGTCTACAGCTGTAACGGTAGACATATACTCTTTGGCGGTCAAGATCAACTCATGGTAGACGACGTATTCTGGCACGTAACCAAGGCCATAAAGAGCGCTCGTCGGGTGCAACGCCATGGTCACGCTAGTACGCAGGTTGATAAACTCGCCAATTCCCTTCACGCGCGCGGCCTGGTGGTAGAAGCCTGAACAGATGCACTTTCGAATGACATCCCAATCTGTACCGCAACTGACCAGAGCCATCTTTTGCTGTGTCATGATATCGTGCAATTGATCGCGGACTTCCTTCGCACGTCGGAGTGTTTTCCCGTGGAGGAAGTGCCTGGTACACCATCCATCAGAGAAGCCATTGGACTTCCACTGTGTATAGACGTGAAGCAGAGTAAGATGGTCTGATTCTGGCACGAAGAACTTCTCACGGGCGGAGTCAGACTCCTCTTGTCGCTCTTTTGGACGATAGAAGACATTCGGGACCGAAAGCATGGAGACGATGGTCAGCATTTCTTCACTGCAACCGTACTCTTCTGAAGACATGATGAGAAGCTTGGCAAGAGGAGGGTCCATAGGGAACGGCGTCATCCGACGACCTAAATGGGTCAGGTCGCCCAGGTTGTCCAGAGCTCCAAGCGACCAGAGCTCGAACAGGGAAGTAGAGATTGTTTCTTGTGGTGGGGGATCCATGAAGTTAAAGTCTAGGAGGTCTTTGACTCCTAGTGATTTCAACAGCAGCACAGTGTTAGAAAGACTTGTGCGTTGGATTTCGGGAATCGTTGCGATGTAGAGCTCGTTCTTGTAGGCTGTTTCAGTGTACAGACGATAAGCCTTTCCTGGGCCTGTTCGCCCAGCTCGTCCAGATCGTTGGTTGGCATTGGCCTGAGAAATTGGTGTGATCTGCAAGGTGTCCATACCCATGCGCGGATTGTATACCTTGAGCTTGGAGTATCCCGAATCCACCACAAACATGATGCCGTCGACTGTTAAACTAGTCTCCGCAATGTTTGTGGCAACAATCACTTTCCGAACTCCTGCCTCCGCTCTTTCGAAAATTCTTGCTTGTTGCTCTGCTGGCATCTGACTGTATATAGGCAGAATACTGAGCGGCGCAGGATCGTTCAATAGCTTCAACCGCTCATCGACAAGCTCACATGTGGCTTCAATGTCCTCTTGTCCGGTCATGAAAACCAAAATATCACCTTGTCCTTGGGAAACATGGATGGCCAAGACCTGCTTGACTGCACTATCCACATAATCCTCACACGGTGTGCGTGAAAAGTGGGTATCCACTGGGAAAGTTCGGCCAGGGATAATAAACTCAGGAGCTCCCCCGTAGAAACGTGAAAATCGTTCTGCATTCATAGTGGCAGATGTCACAATCAATTTAAGGTCTCTGCGCCGAGCCAGTACTTTTTTCAAAAGTCCCATCAAAACATCAGTGTTCAAAGCACGCTCGTGCGCCTCGTCCATGATAATGCACGAGTATTTGTCAAGATCAGATTGTGTCAGAGATTCTCGTAGAAGTACACCGTCCGTCATATCTATGGAATTGATGTCAGAGGCGTTTCAAAATCATTTATGGTTCAGATACTCACATTTGATCTTTGTTTGATCACTGGTGCAGTCCTCGAAGCGAATGGCGTATCCAACGAGTCCACCAAGGTCCACTTCCATTTCCTCGCTGACACGCTTTGCGACACTCATGGCCGCCACACGGCGAGGCTGTGTACACCCGATCATGCCAAACTTGGAGTAACCGTCCTCATGAAGGAATTGTGTTAACTGGGTCGTCTTTCCAGACCCAGTTTCACCGACCACAATCACAACTTGGTTGTCCCGAATGACTCGCAAGAGGTCCTCGCGCACTGCAAACGCGGGGAGAAACTCCCGTTGTTCGCGCAAGGTCTTGCTTCTGCTAAACGAGCTAGCACCTCCCTCCTCTTTCTTCAAATGTTTCGCGAATTTGTTTCCTCCGCTTTTGTACACATCCTCCACGGGCATGGCAACAGCACTATCACCCTCGTCTTCCTTAACACCCATCAAGTTTCCCAGGGCTGTGCCGGCCATGTTCGTAGCTTCCTGGGCCTGTTTTTGCCGCTCGCGCTGTTGTCGGCGTTCTCGAACGACCTTGCTACCCTTCCGACTAAACACTGCCATGTCGCTCTGCGGGTCTCGAATCGCGGAGATCGGATCAAGCTGCTGGGTGAAAATAGTACGGCCATCGAGGAATGGTGGTCGAAGATCATGGACTAGCAGATGCACTCGGGTCGCCTCTTCATCATCTGGCATAAAGTCACTCTCCATGTTCCGTCTCTGCGCGATACCCGATGTGAGCATGCGGTTCGTTTCCCAGTCGTCATTTTCCTTGCGCCTGGCATCTCGTATCTGGTGTGGAAGGTGAGAGTCGTCTTTGCGCCTTTTGGCTGGCGGACCCATGTCATCACGAGCCATTGCAAGATGAGGTGCCCGGTTACCGGGTCAAAACGACTTGAAGGGGACAGACGCGACAGACGAGAACGAGGTCGTGATGAAACTCGGGGTCGAAATATCAGACAAACAGTGCAAACTGTTATCAGCCACGTGATATTGTCTGTAGTTCGAAATCGCGTCCGATTTTGATGTTAAGATAATAAATTTGAATCTTTCAGTAGAATTGGGGCTAAGAATTCGAATATTTAATCTGCATAAATATTGAAATCGGCAATAACTTGCATTAACCCTTGTTGTTGAGTAGTTGGCAAGTCTTCATTTATCTTACTCTCGCCCACTAAACACTGAGCGGCCCCGCATCGTCATCTCGACTTTTGAGCTCCCTGCGCTGCATTGCTTGAAGTACCACACCGCCGCCATGTCGAGCCAACAACAGATTGACCCTAAGAAACAGCAGGGTAGGGATTTACCTGCCATCCACCCTGCTCCAGCTGTGTGCTAATCTACTTCTCCCGACTCAGAGTTGCAGGCCCAGTACACCAATTTCAAAAACACCCTCCAACAATTAGCGCAGAAAATTGGCGACATTGAGCAGGAGGCCGAGGAGCACAAGTGAGTCATTGTCTGATACATGTTATATCCCCGAGGCTAGAATCACATCGTGCGACAAAGGATCGCTGTCCGCTTCGTAGCTGGGTCAGCGTTTTGACATAATGGAGAGGCTAATCTGACAACTTATCATCATAGACTCGTGATCGAAACCCTGAATCCTCTCCCCCAAGAACGGAAATGCTTTCGCATGGTGAACGGAGTTCTAGTCGAGCGCACAGTTGAAGAAGTCCTCCCAACGCTCAAGACCAACTCGGAAGGACTGCAACAGGTTCTGGAGGATATGCTGAAGCAATACAAGTCCAAGCAGGCAGAGCTGGACGGCTGGAAGGTGAGTCGATCAATTCCTATCACCATATGGCAGCCTGCTTCTTATGGTCCGGGCCCCCGAATATGCGCATATGACTGACCTTCTCTTGTTCCAATATACAGAAGAAGAACAATATCCAGGTTGTGCAGCCTTAATTGGAGCTGTCTATGTATGATTTGATTCCCGGCTTTCTCTAGGCTGGACCAACCACCCACTAGTCGGTGGGAATAAGAGATACTGACATTAATGGGAATGACACAAAATTAGAATCTAGCATGATTTCTCTTGATCATGACGGAATGAAAATCAAACTGACAATTTCTATAACATCAAGTACAATAAAGCTTCATTTGAACTCCAATTAGTTCGCCTAAAAGAAAAAAAACCCTCGGCCACAACAAACCTTAAAGCGTACTGGTTGATCGCGTAGCACATAGACGGCGCCGAAGCAAATATCACAATATGAGAAAGCCTAATTTCTAATTAAGCCGATTCGATTTAGTAAACAGTTATTTTTCGAGTTTCTCTCAAGGGCTAGATAAACTACCTGATAGTACAAATACTGAGACTCAGATATCGTTGCATGTGAGAAGGAGGTTGAACCTACCTAGTATCTTATGAGCGGACATATTGAAATCTTGAAAACTGCCCACCAATTTCTAGCACCTTACTATTACGGCCCGACGATAGATGAATTGAGCATAGAACGAGCTAGGCTATGATGAGGGTGAGGAGCGAGCCAAAGCGGATGAAACAGATAACGGGTCGTATTTGAGACAGATCCTTGCACTTTTTCTGGCATCAGCGGTATTTTCTAGCTTCTGCCACCCAAGTGCTCTAGGCCCAGATACGAGTGAGGTATATACGTAGAGTTTCAAAGCTCATTGCTTCTGCAGGCCAACGCAAGCCGGGGGGCCTGAGTGCCTGAGTGCCTGACTACAATCCTTCGCGTTGGGCTATGAAGTAACCAACACATGCATGAGTCAATCATGCCGTTTTCGTTTTTTTCAGGTTTCGTTGTAGCAAAATTTCAATTAAAGACTGGGATCTCTATGTAAATCCAATCTTCTGATGCCTTGATACAGTTCTACGTAGATGGGTCAAGCATAATTACCAAATATGACGGTATTTTATCCGCGTCCATGCTGATATTGGTATAAAATTGTAAATAACGGTAAATACCAAGCTCCCGCGATCGGACGAGACTGCGACCGGGAGCTGTTGAGAGCTTCTTCTCCTCTTTCTACCTTCGCCTCTGGAAGCATTTGTGAACTATCAGGATTTATCAGAATATTTTGCACTGACTGTGGGTGGACGGTATATTGATCCAAAGCTTGCATCTAGGTAAGTACGGAGTAGCCAACCCGAAGGCGTCCTTCGATCAGGGAAGGAGTTCTGGTTCGCCAATTGACCTCAGGCTGGACGGGAGACCCTCTTCCATACCATTCGCGCGCTCTGACCTTGAACCATAACCCCAGACGAATCGGAACTAATCAGAGAAATTCAGTTCTTTGGATCTTCTCTTTACCCGAACAAGGTAGCTGCTCCCCCTCCCCCCAGTCTTAGCCCCCTTGCGCAACGTGCGACCGTCGGACAGTTGGGCTCCTCCCCCAAACCCCCGACCCACTCTCGACGCTTCCCGTCTTGCATCCCGCGTCACAATTCAGACTTTCGCGAGGCGCGCATAGTTGTTATTTGCACTGCAGTGATCGGTGCAACGCGATCGCGCTCCGCTTGACAGCTCCAACCATTTTCGTCCTAATTCATTCCTTTTTCGGCACGCGAGGCTAATTGAGTGTCATTGCGCGCGTCGTCAGTATAGAAAGCCATCGCGCATTATTGCCAAATCCCCCGCTTAGCTGACGCTCTTTGCTGTGCGGTTCGTATCCAACCAATACCCACTCCCTTCCTTCCGATCTTGCGATTCCCGTTGGGCTGTCTGCATCGGAATCGGTCGAGCGCCAGGCACTAGGATCTGACGTGGTTTTGCCAGCAGAGCGAAACATACCCCAATCTTTGTCGCCCAAACCCAAGACCCACAGATTTCCAAACCACTCATAATCATGTCGTCGGCCTCGCCATCGAAGGAGCCGGAAGTTGACCCCGAGGTTCAATCGGGTGAAGAGCAGGACCAAATGGACAAAGACCAGCACGATCTTGCCATGCAGGGACACGAGTTTGAAGTGAAAGAGCAAGATCGGTGGCTTCCGATTGCAAATGGTTAGTTGCGTCTGCGTGCATCCTTTCCTGTTCTTCTGATTTGCGCGTACCTTACTGCTGGCCAGTGCCGCCGGTTACTTTTGGTCTTCCCCGCCTTTTATCCTACTCCAGCCCACCCGACTTGTCTTAACCTTCCGGGTCTTTACTCTTGTTTTGGACTATCTGGACTATGATACGTTGGCATATTGCACTGCACAATACTGCCCCCCTCGTTACCTCTGCCTTTGGTCCTATATTTATGCGGACTTGATCTCGACCGAAAGCCGAGGATGATCGATTCTAACTTCATATATTCTAGTTGCCCGCATTATGAAGTTGGCCTTACCTGAAAATGCGAAGATTGCAAAGGAAGCCAAGGAATGCATGCAAGAGTGCGTGAGCGAGTTCATTTCGTTTATCACCAGTGAGGGTAAGTGTTTTCCCCCCTTTGCGCTACCCTTTCTTTAAACAAACATTGATGATTGGAATAGCATCCGAGAAATGCCAGCAGGAGAAACGCAAGACCGTCAACGGCGAGGACATTTTGTTTGCTATGACTTCTCTTGGGTTTGAGAACTATGCCGAGGCCCTTAAGATTTATCTTTCCAAATATCGCGAGGTAAGTTATTGCGTACAATTTCACCAATTTGCAACGCATTGATTTATATTCTAGACCCAATCCGCGCGTGGTGAGAACCAAGGTCGACCTACTAGCAGTGGCTATGGCGCTGGTGGTGCTGCCCAGGGACGCCCAGCCGGGTTTCCTGAAGCTGGCGAGGGTGGTAACAGCATCTTGAATCCTGGCTTGGACCCCTCAGAAGATGCTGCTGCCTATGGGTACCCTCCCATGGTGGGTCAGCCGCATAATGGCGCGGGCGGCGACTCGTACTAACGGCCTTCATAAATGCCTCTGATCCATGTTGCCCTTGAATTCAACAAACGACAGCGTTTAGGTGGTGTAGGCGTCCTTGAGTTCTTTCTCCATTTTCTGATAGTACCCTGCAACTGGTCTATGAATTACCTGGGGTTCTTTGAAGAAGCAGAGGGAATTTCCTCAATCTTCGGGTATGATTGATTTACATGAACTGGACATGAGAAGGTATTGGAATCAATTTTTTTGTTTTATGTTTATGGTTTTGGCATGGTTTGTTCCTTTTTCTTACTCTGGCGACGTGGAGAAACTTCCAGTTGAGGATACTTTGCCTTGATTTTTTTTTTGGAGTTATGTTGGGAATATATGGGCAGAGATATGAACTGGGCAACCTTGTACTTATGATGTCTTCTTCCAAGTCTCTTAGGACCCGAATAGAAAAGACACCCTGTTATACTTGACTCGAAGCCATATGTACTACTCGCCTATCCCCGATAAACTCTGCGTGCCATGATTGGCCATTTGGTTGCATACGGGCCCAATGCCACGCCACTGTAGACGTTTGATGTATCCTCGTAAGGCTTATACTTGCCCCCTCAAACATCCCATATTTTTCACATTTTGGGAGCACTTGAAGGCCCCCTTTGGTTTACTAGGGTTTCTCCAACTTTTTTCTATCTGTTACATAATCCGCCCACACAAAGTTCTCCGCATCCACGTGAGCTCCACCGGACCCGAGCCCAGTCCTCGCTCTCCCGAACTTTTTCGCTTTCTCTGTCGTCTGGCGCATAGATTGGTTCCTTACCCTCGGCAATATTCTTTTCTCATGATGCCCTGAAAACTGCGACGGGATTTTTTCTCTAGAGAAGAATGCGGAGTTGTGGCCGATCTGCACCTGGGATGATGCCGATGGTCCTTCTAACATGTCCTCCGTCAACGATAACGCCTCTTCACCCGGGAGCGGCGATGGGGTGAGCAAGCGCAAACAAGGTAAGGATCTCGCGACCTCTTGATTTGTCTGCGGAATACAACAGAACGCGTTTCAAATTGTCTACAGGACTTTGGAATGCTTTTGGTTTCGAAATTGGACCTCGGACAATCAAGTAGATCTTGAATTTCGCTGACCGGTGACTCAAAATACTTAAGGTTCGGCCGCGTGTGTCCACTGCCATCGGCGCAAAGTCCGATGTGACGCTCGAGTCGTCGGAACCCCTTGTACCAACTGTCGCACCTCTGGCAAGACCGACTGCCGTATCCACGAGAAGAAAAAACGTCTCGCTGTGCGTTCGATTCTCGATCCCGTTCCGATCCGATCTCGGCCTCTGCCGACGTCTGATCATGCCGCCAATCCTATAACTTCGGCCGGCACACCGCTGCCGCCAAGCTTTCCAACTGCATTCGGGGGTGGCTCTGCGCTTGCAGGCAATTCTCCGCAGCAAACCTTCCTGTCCAATGCCGCGGAGCCATTTCGTCAAGGTCCGGATCTGTCACACGCCCAGGAGGCGCACACGGAGATGGAGCAACATCTTGTGAAACTTATTGATGAGGAAGAATCTGGACGAAGAGAAATTCAACGAGGCGTGCGCGCTTTCTACGTCGGCCATGAACATTCGAATATGTCCTTCCTGATTCGTCAACAACGGGATCAGGATGATGATGTATACCACTTTGCCAGCAATGAAATTCCTCGGCGACAGATGAAGACCGGTCACGACCAGCTCCTTATGGATGCGCTAACACTTCCCGAGCCAACCTTAGCGGACGAGTTGGTGCAATCATATTTCACTTACGTCAACCCGGGTTATCCAATCGTCGACGAGGACTTGTTTATGACGCAGTACCGGAATCGAGACCCTGCAGATCCTCCTCCGATCTTGTTGCTTCAGGCGATTTTGTTAGTTGGGGCCCATGTCACTCGCGCAAAGGCAGAACGTGATGCATTGAAAGAGATCTTTTTCCGTCGCACCAAGTACCTCTTTGACAATCGCATCGAGCGAAATCGAGATATTCTGGTTCAGACAGCGTTGCTGTTGACCTGGCATTCTGATAGCGCCGATGATGATGTCGCCGCCGATGCCCACTTCTGGGTTGGCGTAGCTGCCCGGATTGCCACTGGCCTGGGAATGCATCGCAACCCGGTCTCGAGCCGTTTTGTCACTCGAGACAGGCGAATGTGGAGGAGAGTATGGCATATTCTGGTCCAGTTTGATGTGATGATCTCTCTTTCATATGGCCGACCACAAGCTATGTAAGTCATTGGAGCTGATAATGATCGCACTTGACGCTGACATTCACAAGAAACCTGGATGACTCTGATGTATCACCTCTGATCCCTGCCGATTTCGAAAATTGTGGACCTCGGGTGCAAGCCGAATTTGTTATTCACTTTAGCGCTCTCTGTACTATGATTTCATATCTTATCCGAGATCGGTTCGGTCTTCGGGCTAGTGATGAGCGACGAAAAGCCGTTTTGCAAGAGGCTGATGAATCTTTGGCAAATTGGTCCTTGAAGCTACCTGACAACCTACGCCTCCGAGCATCGGATATGGACCCTTGGTCAGCTATGTTGCACCTCACCTATAACAACTTCCTCATTCTACTACATCGGCCACATCCAAGAGCATCGGCATACTCTGACGACTATGGTCCTCACGACGCAGAGATCTGCAGTGCTGCGGCTGGAGTTATTGCTTCTATCTTCGAGGAGCTCCGGATGAATGATCGTTTGAAATTCCTATGGTACACCGGTGTCCATACCTTGTTCACGGCCATGATCCAAGTTCGTGTAGAACTTCGATTCTCTAATCCGGTTCTTGCTATTAATGCATTGCGCCGCTTCGACTCGGCGTCTTATTCATTGCGGGAACTGGCTCAGTACTGGGTCCACGCAGGTACAATTCTGCGCCTCTTTGAAAATTCCAAGCGTCTTCAAGAAGATTTGCGTATGGCAACCACTGACCGATCCAAAACATTTAACGCCATTCCGCCCATCAATAAGATGCCCATCACGGTATCCGAGGCCGCGGCAGCCTTGCAAGCTGTCCATACCCCACGGCCCCTCTCCTTTGGCGTACCGACCCCAGAGTCTTCTCACACCCCGATGCAAGGCACAATGTCGCCACAACCAGCTCCACAGTTCGATAATTGGATAACCGCTCCTCTCCGACTTAATGTTGGTCCCATGGAGAGAAATGACCCGTACTCGGCCAACATGCAGGTCGACCAAATGGATCAAACTCGCGACTATCCTGACTGGAGACAATTGTTCTCTTTTACAGATTCTGAGCTCGCTATGCCCATGGCTGGTGAGGGACTCTTGGAATTGGAAGATGAATGGCGACAGATCTACTGGCAGGATCTACCCATGGCAGATCTCATCCAAGATGGCAGCTGGCTTCCTGGCTAGCCTTATTCTCTTGCGAAAATATACAGCTGACTTCGCTTGTCCCTTCATGAATGGGACCACTATCGAGGCTTATAATGCTCCCACTTCCTCACTTCCTCGTTTCCTCACTTTCTTCCTCCTCTTCCTCCTCCTCCTCCTCCTCCTCCTCCTCCTTCCTCTCCATCACCACAACTCCGTGACCTCATGACGAGATGAGATACGCAAGGCACGGATAGCGCACGATTTGCAAAAGCTTCACCACGATACCATGTCGTAGACGATTACGTACAGATTCTTTTCGATAGATTTATACACAACTGTCACTTAATTGAAGCTCAACAGAGCTGACATTTGATGAAATTTCTTTAACTTTTTGAGGTTTGACCTGCGGGTATATAGGTATGATACATCTCAAATGACTCGTCCTCCGAGATGAATATATGCAATGTACAACATAATATAAGCTCTTATCCAAACACAAATCGCTTCCAATTATCTGCAAGCTGCTGTGCGCCTTTCCGCAACTCCCAGCCCCGAATCTCACAAATCTGACGAGTTACCTGTTCCAGTAAATCATCCATTTGTGGCCCAGCCGTGTGAAGATCACTTTCAACTAAAATACGCTCATCCGGTAACATCTTGACCACATCAATCACTTTCCTCGCCCCAGGCCCAGAAAAATTAATCACGTACGAGAAAGAGAAGTAGACATCAGAAGGATTCGTCTTGTTCAAGAACTGCCGAAGCGGCTCTACAGGACCAGAGTAAGAGTGCATGCAAATGCGCGGCGGGAACGCCAGCGCAGGCCCCTTCAGTGAGACACCACTCGTGGGATTAGGACTCGCACAGTCCTCTCCGTCCTCATCTTCCGAAAGAGCCCCAACCGCATCCCGACGTTTCTCTCTTTCCCTTCGCGACGGAAGGACCTTCTCATGCCCGACCCACAATCCTTTCAATGTATCAAACACAGCTCCATGTGCTTGTACACTGTGTATTGATACCGCACGCTGCATCTCCCCTGCAAGCTGGAGTTGGGCTTTGAGTACCGTCTTCTGATGCTCCAATTTCACCTTGTAAGGCGACAATCGTCGATTTTCCCGCGATCCAGGCGTGATCTGGTCATCACGATTTTCTAGTTCTTCTCTCGTCCATGCACCAGGAAGTCGGAATGATTTATCCAGACCTATCTCTCCGACGAGAGAATAAGGAAATAACTCAAGTCTTTCTCTTGTCTCCGCAATAAGCTGGGAGAGAGGCTTAGGATTCGGAAGACATTCCAAAAATTCCGTGTCCTCGCCTGGTGACGGAGTCAAGACATTGATATAATGCGCTTCTTTCATAGATGTGTCTTGCAAGTCCAGATCTGCTGTTGTAGCGGTGTCATCTAGAACCTGGTGCGAGAACCATGGATGCCAACCAAAGCAGGGAACTACCCGGTCTGAAACCTTGGATGGCTCCTGTTGGTTATTGATGGTTTGTGTTATTTGCTGGACCAGATCTTGATCTTCTCCTCGTGTTGCCATTACGGTCAGTGACCGGGTCTTCATATTTGGGATACTGTCTATGGAGGCCATGGTGTCTGTGGGGTGGCAGTGGGCATCGTGGATGCCGATATCCCAAGGGAAGTCATGGTCGGTGGACATGGTGTAGGTAGGAGGGAGGGACCTAGAGGTCCAACAAGCCTAAGTTAATAACTAACTAGACTAGTTAGTTAGATCCGGATGACGTAAGTGGAAGTCACATGCGACCAGTTGACATCTCTGCATTTTCATCCAACAGCGAATCACATTTAGATGCCTGTATTCAAATCAAAAGACCTGGCATACTCCGGTTAACCTTGAGCGGACTTGCTGTATAACACAAATTGCTGTTGTACACCATCCCGTGTTTTGACTTGACTAGGTCTCACCAAATTGGAACCATTGAAAGCAGCACACCTATGCATGTGAACCTTAATATGCATACTCGAAAAACAATAGAAGGGCTACTAAGCTGCTACTTAATGACCTTTACCTAGCCTCAATTGTTCTAAATCTTCAGTAGTTAAGTAGCTGGTTAAGGTCGGCCCCGCGTCGATGACATAAGCAAACGCGAACGCGTGTGTTGTTCGCGTTTCAATTTTACCCGATTGGGATCCACGCAATCCCTTCCCTTTCAACCTCCTCGATTCGGGCGCTTCCCACAAACATACCAGATACCCCCACACACCATGGAAGGCGTTCAACTACGAGATGAGGCCGCACAAGATCGCGTGCGATCTGCCATTGAATTCCTTGATCCCAGTGAGTATCTTTAAAAAAATGCGATAGGTTAGGATGTTTCAGCTTACAATGTATTTTCATTCAGGTGATGCACGGGCACGCAGGTTCGTTAATCGGTAACACATATGAATGTGCCTATTCTAACCGTATCAATTAGCTATCGAGCAGATATTGTGGTGATGCTGAATCGAGGACTGCGCCGTCTGACGGTGCGTTGATTTTCTCCGTACAAGGGTGGGATGGGATGCTGATGAATTCCGCAGGTCAGCATCGATGAGCTCCGCGCACACAACCGGGAACTCGCTGAGGGGTAAATCTAATCAGCCGTCTCAATCACTGGAACTTTGTCTTCTGACTTGCCTTTTTTTTCAACAGGCTTCTCACCTCTCCTTTTGACTACTCGGAAGCCTTTAACCGGGCCTTGAAAGAAGTGGTGAAGACTTTGCCCGGCAGACCAGCCAAGGAGACTTCGGATGAAGTTGTACGTATTTGAGATAGCCAGACAGGATGTCTTGCTGATCAACGACTACCATAGAACTACTACTGCGCATATGTCGGTGCATTCGGAGAATTTTCTACCAATCCCCGCACATTAGGATCCCAGCACTTGAACCGCATGGTGTCTCTGGAAGGTATTGTGACAAAATGCTCACTGGTCCGACCCAAGATCATCCAGAGTGTCCATTACAGCGAGAAGAAGGATCGCTTCCTGTCCAGAAAGTATCGGGACCAGACCATGACTGCCAGCGGTGCCACAAGCTTGAATGTCTACCCCCAGGAGGATGAAGACAAGAATCCCGTGAGTACAACATGTATGACCTGGAATCCACAAGGGCCAGTCTAACCAGTGTGCATAGCTTATCACCGAATACGGCTACTCGACCTACATGGACCACCAATCGATCTCGATTCAAGAAATGCCCGAACGAGCCCCAGCGGGCCAACTTCCCCGCAGCGTTGACGTTATTCTGGACGATGATCTAGTCGACAGGGCTAAACCAGGAGACAGAATCCAGCTAGTGGGAACTTACCGGTCTCTTGGAAACCGTAATGCTAGCTCCGGCTCGTCGACATTCCGCACAGTTGTGATGGCAAACAACATCATTCAACTCTCATCCAAGTCTGGTGGAGGTATCGCCCAGGCCACTATTACGGACACCGACATTCGAAACATCAACAAGATTGCCAAGAAGAAGAATGTCTTCGAGCTCCTGTCACACTCTTTGGCACCCAGTATTCACGGACACGATTACATTAAGAAGGCCATTTTGCTCATGTTGCTTGGTGGTATGGAGAAGAACTTAGAGAATGGCACTCACTTGCGTGGTGACATCAACATTCTGATGGTTGGTGATCCCTCGACAGCTAAATCTCAGCTTCTTCGCTTCGTGCTGAACACTGCCCCATTGGCCATCGCCACAACTGGTCGGGGTTCATCCGGCGTTGGTCTGACCGCAGCCGTCACCTCTGACAAGGAGACTGGGGAGCGCAGACTGGAGGCCGGTGCCATGGTTCTGGGTGACCGTGGTGTGGTCTGTATTGATGAGTTCGACAAGATGAGTGATGTCGACCGCGTAGCCATTCACGAAGTCATGGAACAGCAGACCGTCACCATTGCCAAAGCCGGTATTCACACTAGTCTTAACGCGCGATGCAGTGTTCTGGCCGCTGCCAACCCGGTCTACGGCCAGTATGATGTACACAAAGACCCCCACAAGAACATTGCTCTGCCAGACTCTCTTCTCTCTCGTTTTGATTTGCTGTTCATTGTGACAGATGACATTGAAGATGCCAAGGACCGCACAATTTCAGAGCACGTTCTCCGCATGCACAGATATCGCCAGCCTGGAACCGAAGAAGGCGCTCCTGTTCGGGAGCAGCTTAACCAGACCCTGGGCGTGGGAATCGAAGATCGTCAAGATGCCAACCAGCCCACAGAGGTGTTCGAGAAGTTCAATGTCATGCTCCACGGTGGCATGGTTCCTACTGGCCGCAACCGTAACAAGAATGTGAAAATCGTCAGCATTCCCTTCATCAAAAAGTACATTCAGTACGCCAAATCCCGAGTCAAGCCTGTTCTGACCAAGGGTGCTGCCGATCACATCATCGCCGCATACTCTGCCCTCCGAAACGACGACCTCTCCAACAACCAACGTCGCACCTCGCCCATCACACCCCGTACCCTTGAGACATTAATCCGTCTAGCTACCGCCCACGCTAAGGCTCGCTTGTCGAACCGGGTTGATGAGAAGGACGCTAAGCATGCCGAGGCTATCCTGCGCTTTGCCATGTTCAAGGAGCTGCAGGATGATGGCCGCCGTAAGCGCCGCAAGGTGCAGACCTTTGATGATGATTCCGACGATGAGAGCGACCCTGAGCTGGATGATGATGATGAGACAACTTACCGGGGTCAGACATCTGCGACCCCAGCCCGGACTACCCGTTCCCGCGGTGATGCTAGCACTGCCGCGGACGAGGATCAGGACCTCTACACATCTAGCCCCCGTGCCTCACGCACGCGCACCAGCCAAACAACGCGCTCTCAACAAACTGAGTCGCAGATGTCTATGGCATCCTCCCAGCCTGCATCACAGCTTGTCCAGTCTCAGACCGACAACTCCCAGTCCACCTCATCAGACCACCCCATCTCGCCTGCCCGCTATGCAGTCTTCCGCCAGACGTTGGGTTCTCTCATGGGCACTCGTGTCTTCGCCGAAAGTGACGAGGTCAATGTCGACGAGTTGATCAACGAAGTCAACACAGCTATTGGCACATCGCCCAATCACGGCGCTGCGCTCGTTTTCCCTCGGGCTGAGGCCATTCAGGCTCTGAACAAGATGAACGATGAGAACTTGCTGATGTAAGTTCCCCAATCAGTAATGCCGAAAGTCTGACTAACCCTTCTTAATAGGTACATCGACGATGACGAGGGCAACAAAGTTTACCGAATCTAAGACCTTGGATGGGTAAATTATAGGAAGATGGAAAGTCCGGGTCACCCTAGCCCTTTTACGAGCATGTTTTCTAGCTGTTGCATTGGGATGATATCATAGTCCTCTTTGTAGGTATGGAGTATGGAGTCGACAGACTTGGGTTTGCGAGTCAATTTCTTAAAGAATATATTCATTGCAATGTCTAATACAACCATGACCTGCCCATTCCCCTTGTCCATAGGCAAAAAATCCAGCTCAGTCGAATAATCACCATGCCATATGTCTAGTAACCTACTTAAACTTCTCGATACGACCATAAAGTTGGAAGCCTTATGCAGCAAGTCCAAACCACGCCCTCAGCAGTTTACAATCCCGATCAGAAACAGAAACCACACTATCCGTATTCCCATCCTCCCGTCTAGTAAAGCCATATCTCAAAAGCGCACCAATCCTCGCTGCCTTCTCCGCCAGAAACCTCCCCCTAACCCGATCAACATGGGGATCTACACTTGCCCAAAACTCATCCCAAAAGCAATCCAGCATGAACCTCTTGCACTCATAATCCCTCCATTTTCTCAGCCCCATATATCCTGTTACCAAGAGCAGGATATCCAAATCCATACCGAAGGGTAGGATTTTGGTGAGAGACCAGTCGACAATATTTGTTATTTCGTAGGTCGTTTCGTCGACACGGATATTGGTTAGGGAGAGATTCCCATTTGTCAAAACCGCGGGATAATCATTACTGAAGAGGGTAGGAAGAATCTGAATGAGATCATCGATTGTATGTGCTGGGAGGACAGTAGGCGCTAGTTGTTTGAATTGGCGGAGTTGGTAGCGAATGCCTGCTTGACGGATATAGAGTAGTTCGGGAGGATTCATAGACTGACATTTGGACCACGAGAGAGCAAAGTATCTGTTCTATCTTTAGTTGGTGTACTTATAGAACACTGGAGATTGAGACAGCATACCTTGCAAGATCCCGAATTAAACTGGTCTGTTTCGCCTTTTGTTGGCCGGATAACTCAATCTCGCAGCGCAGAGCACTGAGAAGCGAGATACCAGGCTGACAAGGCGTGGTATACAGGGTAAGTGGAGGGTCTGCGCCCTCCACTTTATCATAGTATGTTGGCTCAGGCGCCAAAGAACCGAAAGTCTCTTTTGCAAGTTTGACGATATAGTCAAGAGGCCCAGCTATGGCCTCCTCTCGAAAGATCACAATACGGTCCAGTGGAAGGGATGAACAGTTGTTGCAAATGACAGAATAGGTCATGGTATTCAGACTGTCAACTGGGATGATCTTCGTGGCACCAGTTATGGACTGAGCGATATCGTCGCAGTGTGTGGCTGACGGGGACTTGCGATGATCGAAAAATGGATACTGGGCCAATCTGACCCAGTCCATGTTGGACATGACAAGTCTCAGAGATTTTTGTACATGTAAGGTTTTTAATAAGTACTTAAGAGTCGGGGAATTCCACATATGTATATCTTGGATTGAAATTCTCTGTCTCTATTCTGAGACTTCGATATATGGGACAAAACTTGATTGAAGTACATTATCATAATATGTACAAACAAAGAGATGTGCTGTGTATGCCCCTCTCCAATCGGCTTGCCATTTCAAACTCTCTATAGTGCTGTAATTTCATCCCTCTTTGTCAAGGATTCTTTGATTTTGTGTACATGTACAGGAAATGTGAAAGAAGAGAAAAGGTCATATGTAAAATTGTGATGAAGTACAGAAATACATGCCTGATACATCCTGTAAGAGTATGTTCCGTTCAGATCTATATCTAAAGAGATGTACACTATGGAACGACATCAACAGAAAAGTTATTAAACAAAAACCCACGCCTGATTATAAACTCCAAGCAAGGAATGGAATTTCCTAGCCACGCTCCAAGTACGAAATTCAACGAGAATCATTAACTTTCGGCAAAAGACGTGTTGTCAATGATTAATATTTAGGGCTCATGATGATACCCTCATACCCTCTCCCTCTCCCGCTTATTAACATCCTCCATCTCAGACAACACCACTTTGTTGAACTCCTTCCATCCATCCAAGTATAAATGGTGCCCAGCTCTTTTGATGATGACGACCTTGGCAGAGCCTTGGTCCTTCTGTCGCTCTTCCGGTGTGGCATCAGCCAGGACGCGGCGCTTCTCTTCGTCCAAACGAGCGGCTGCAGCGTGACCACCCGATACGTCCATCCAATCATGATCACCATACATGAGAACGACGGGAAGTCCATTCTCGCGTCGTGGAGCGGGTGTTGCAGTGGCTGGAACAGGGGGGGTGGGTTCCTCGGCCGGAGTAGATGCTTTAGCTCCAAATTTGGAGAAGATGGAACAAGAAGATGACTCCGTAGCAGGGGGAATGGGTAGGGGGTTTCCAGGGTTGATCATCTGTCGACCCACGCCCTGGATACGGTGGATAAGAGGGCTGCGTGCAAATGCGCCTGGCGCGAGAATATATGCCAGCGCATATTCTCCACTTCCCCGAAGACTGAAAATCGAGTAGGAGTAATCGTGCAATGCCTTGGATTCTTCAGCGGGAAGGTGTGAAAAGCGACGAGAAGTCCAACCCGACACAATTCGTGGCCCGAAAGGACCTGTCCAGCGCACAATACTAAAGGGCGAGATGTTGGCGTCCCACAGGTAGGCGAACCACTTGGGAAGGGCTCGGCGAGGTGGTTGGTTCGGGGCTGCAGGCTGTGCTTCAGGGTTTCGGCCTGTGATAAAGCTGCCATCGCTGGTCTTTGGTGCAGCAGAAGAGGTGATATCCCGTTGGTCCTGGGTGAGCTCATTCTGTAGCGTAGACTCTGACGGCTCAGTCACGTCTGCGGTGACCGCAAACGGGTCCTCGGGAATTCCCACAGGGGATGCGAGGATAAGCTTGTTGAGGTGACCCGGGTACTTGAGAGCGTATGCGACGGCCATATAACCACCCAGACTATGGCCAAGCAAGGTGAACCGATCAATCTTGCGCTTGATGCGCCATTCCTCCAGCGCATCAACAAACCACGCCTCAGCTTCCCTGATAGCTTCTTCACGCTCCTTGGCTTTAATCTTAAATGGTGGGCGTGTGCTTCGGCCCATGCCTAGCATATCCAGCGCGTGAAGCTGCCATCCCTTCAGCCGGCTCAGCGGCTCAAAGTTCTTGTAGAAAAATCCAAGGCCAGCGCCATATCCATGCAGCATAACCAAATGCTGGTCAGCCTCTTCCCCAACCCTTTCTACCGAGAACTCGTTGAGAGCCCGGTCTTTCCCGCTCAGCTCCACCATGCTAGAGCTCCACCGGCGGGGCCCATAGGGGTCATCGTGAGATTGGGCTGAAATCTCGCCTTGTTGGTTATGGTCCGCAGATTGCAGGCTGCCTGGGGTATTTCCATTAGGGTAGTCGGATGTGTTACCAGTCTGGAGGTGGGTCGGGGGTTGGTGATGTAAATAAGGGAGGAAGGATAGAACTTTATGTTCGGCCGCAGCAGCAGGTAGACGAGCCCACTAGAAAATCGAAAAGCACTTTAGGGTATTATCCTCCGGAGGTTGTTGTTTCGATAGATAACCTACCCATTGGCTGAAGCCTTCTCTGTACCCCAACGGGAAGAATGCTGGACTCGGCGCTTTTCCGCTAGCTGCAGCTCCAGCAGCGTGTGGGATGCCCTCGTGGCTCTGTGAAGGCGAGACACGACCACTGACGTCTGTGTCCGACGAGTTCAGTGATTCCGCCATCGAAGAGGACTTGCGCCGCCCTATCGAGCTGGCAAAAAGTACAGGGTGTGTGTAGATCCGTGCAGAGTTGGCTGTATAAGAGACAGACCAACAGTGTATTTCTGTCAAAACGAACCGAGTCAAGATGCGCATGGGCAAATAATGAGAAGAAGTTAAAAGGAAAGAAAAGGCGCCACCTATGGAACCGGAGACAAGACTTCGCCTTCGCCGCTTAACCCCGACAAGGCAACAAAGATCATGCGTAGCAGAAACCGATACTTCGATCAAATTAAACCAACATAAAATAATTCAAATGCCAAGATCAATAGATCTATTGAATCTATAAATGCATTGTATATGTGGGGTACAAGGGGAAAAGGCGGAACGCAAAGGATGTCGCGATCTGCAGATTCACAGATTCCCTTCCCAACTTCCGCCTTCTCTTTCCCTCATTGAAACCTGCCATGTCGATAGTTCTGGGCCGCATCGGCCGTTGAAACCAGGGAATTCATCAGCCTTCTGTGATTGTTTCCATCATGACAACTTCCTTGGACAAGCTTGTCAAGGGCACTACGCCCGAAGCCCGCGCTCCTACACCAGAGCCATTGACTACTGCTTCGTCCCCGCCACGACCCTCAACCCCAGATCCACTCGCCTCTCTTCCCTCTTCGCCACCTCAGATCTACTTGAACCTCCTAATTCTTGAAGCGTCCCTCCGCGCACAGTACCTGGCCTTGCGCGAACGCCGTCGCCAAAACACCTTCTTCCTCCTGCTCCTAGCAGCATGGTTTGCCTATTTCTCATACGCACTGTTCCTCCGCCCTCGAGAGGATGGCCGCGGAGTGGGTGGCTCAGTATATTGGGTGGTGGAGATGGGAGAAAAGGTTGCCTTGCTTGGTGGGGTGGTGACGGCGTTGCTCGTATGGGGAACAGGACAGTGGGAACGCGGAATTCGCTGGCCACGACGCTGGCTTGCTGTCGCTAACCGTGGCCTACGCAACATGAATACTAAGATCATCGTGATACGTGGACCCTGGTGGCAAGAACTGTTGTCCTATATCTCATTCTTATTTCCACTCTCCGCGCCATTCTTCCCCTCACCTACCGGGAACTTCCATTTCGTCGAACGTCACCCCTCCGAAAAACGTGGCAGTCGGCAGCACTACCAGCAATACTACAACGGTGGTGACAGCGAATCGGGCTTGGTGGAGGAGGACCTAGGTGTTGGTGGTGATTATATTCGTCTTCTACTGTTGCCTAAGTCGTTCTCACCGGAGTTCCGGGAGAATTGGGACAACTATCGCACCGACTTCTGGGAAAAGGAGAACGAGCGCCGAGCTCAGCTGCGCCATAAGTTGCGCGAGCGTGAACGTCAAATTGCCCGGAGCGAAGGTGGATGGTTTTGGCGACTTGGGCTTGGCTGGCGCGCTTCCCAGCGCCGCCGTCTGATCGCAGCCACACTGCACCGGTCTCTCGAGGCAGAACCCAAACCACGACACCTGCATCATTCGTCTCTCTCCTCCCGTATCAACCAGGATCGCGCCTCTTCCCGTCGCCCTGAATCTACTCATTCCCGTACCTCATCTTGCAGCCCCACTCCTGAGGACCGACCACCTTCCCGCTCTGGGTCAGGTCGGCCCCGCCGCGGAAGCACTCCGTCTATATCTGGCTCTGAACAAACCCCCCAGCGGAAGAGGAAAGGTTCTAGGACATTACGGCGTGGTCCATCGCCTCTAACGCAGGCACAGGCCCGAGAGGGTGCGCGAGTGCCATCGTTCTCGTCTGACGATTCGGGTATCTCCCCTGTGACTGAGATTGATAAAGAGACTATACCAACTTCTGTACCTTAATTGAACCATGCTATCTAGATTACGAGATGCCGATTGTTATATTATACAACTCTGACCTTATTTGTCCACGTAATTTCGCCGATCCAAAGGTGCTACATCTGATGGTCATATCGAAAAGAGATGATTCGATGTACTAAACCCGTGGACGCCAAAGGTATGGGGAAATCCTAGGCTCTACACAACCCAACATTCTTGAATTTGGTATAAGTGTTTCTGGAGTAAATTTTTCTTTTAGAAGATAACAATATCTTGATGGGGTATGCTTCATTCGACACCATCACACTAGTCTTTCATCAATAGAAACCCGTCTCGCATGAGGACCTGAGATACTCCGTCTCCGATGCCTGACGCTAGTCGGATAATGCGCAATAAAGCGAGTCAACTGCGACGGACTATTCTCCTCACCAGGAGTCGTGTGTCCACTCAGACTAGGACTAACCACCGCTGAGAAAGCGGGTATCGGCATCTCACCAGGTCGTGGTAGGGCAAAGTAACCCCCAGCACCATGATTACTGCCTGCTAATACATGTCCTGTGGTATGGGGCGTACCACTAGCCCGCGAGCGCATGGAAGATCGTGATATTGCAGTTGAATATGGCTGTGGAGTCATGAATGTGGGATTCCGCACTGATGAAGGAGAGACCGGACGACTGGATTGATCCGGTCTTGTAGATAGAGATAGGGCGAGACCACTTCCTGTGCGACGATCGAATGTTGACAGTGCAGATGTAGTATGTGAACGGTGGTGATGTCTATGCCCACTTGGATGACTGGCATGGCGATCGTAGAACTCGGACGGAAACCCAGGCACAAGAGCATTGGAAGAGACGGGTCGAGAATCACCATGCATAGGGCTCGTCACATTTGAAGGAGGCGAGGAACCCCTTCCGTATGTGACTACTCGGGATGGTAGCTCTAGTCGGTGGTTTAAGGATAACCAGGCGCGCTCGTCCGCATCGATATCTGCACCCACGTCATCGCCGGCCATGCTATGTGTTGATGAACATGACGAGCTTAGAGGCTTTTCTTGTGAATGAACACTGCGTGGCTTCGAGATTTGAGATGAAGCGTCTGGGTATGAGCGCCAGCCGCCCACACCTTCGAAATCTCGTCTCTTGTCGCCGCTCACTGGGAGGCCGGTAAAATTCGCCGGTGGAGGCGTAGTAGGTAGATCATGGGCTTTGATCATACTCTGAGCATAACTCCTCTGGCTCTTGCGCTTCAAGTGATCATCCTGGACTCCACTGAAACTCCATGATGAAAGAGCAGTATGGCTTCGACGAGGCTGTATCGGACCATGTGTGGAATTCCGTCGGGATCTCCCGTCCGCGGGCGTTGGTGGCTCGGAGGGCGCAAATGTCAAGAATGAGGAGGTGTATTTGGAGGTTGGAAGTGTAAAGAAGTTGACGATCAGGGCATATCCTAACTCAAGGTAGACCACGGAGACTCGCAAGAGAAGGGTAAATAAGGCAACCGAGAGGGTCAGCCATGCGGAGAAGATGAGGGGGATTGATATGAGACATAGCAACGGCAATGCCAAAAGTGACAAGATAGAAGCGCCCATGATAGAACTTGAGCTTCAAATGTTCAAGTTTTTCCCAGGCCGGAAGATAAAAGTCACATGTGCAAGGTTTTGCAGGTCTCTTTATAATTCGCACATGCATAAATGCATGACACCGACTGGTGTTTACATTGCCGAGGCCATATGTACATGCATTAACCTACCTATGGGTCACTGTATGTGACCAGGCGGTTATGCAGGTTGACGTATGTGCCTTACAGTAGAGTTGATGCGAAAATGAGTCTTTCTAGCAAGAGGAATCAAGAAACCCGGGGTTGTGGCCCATTAACATTAACCCCGCTCGCATCACATGATATGGGGCATCCAGTCCATGGAATACGGATAGTACTCAAGTGCTCTCTGTAAGGTAAGATCCCAAAGTATTTCGTACATTTTTATAGGTCATCAACTGATGCTGAAATAGTGGTGTTGTACATTGTATCTATACAGATGGGTTACTATACAAAAATGGGCTCAAAATCAAATAAATATGTACATGAGACAAGGATCGACCTTTTCTTCGGGTGGTTAACACCGGTCGATCATGCCGCTGGGTAAAGAGGTTCGGTTATGCTTGCTGACGGAGATTTGGGGGATTGACGTCCGTAGAGTCAGTGTTGTCCACTTTTTTCGGTGGATCTTGCGGATGTTTGCTTTTGCCTGTCGCCGGAGATCTGCGGCGCTTGACCTTCGTAGAGCCAGCCGGTGGATCCTGCGGATCCGCTGGGTTCAGTGGTTTAGAAATGCTTGTTCTCAGATATCTGGGGCGCTTGCGTTCCGTAGAAATATTCCTGCGCGCTTGAACTTGCATATCCTGTAGATCTGCCGGGGAGAGAATGTTTTCCCATCCTGTATTGGCAAGGGCTGGGCCCCTGGAAAATGTGTTGGCAGGATCTGGGGTTTGCGTGGGTTCATCTGGCGTTGGCTTGGGCTCGTTCAGTGTCTGCTTGGGCTCGTCTACTTGTTGCATGGATTCGCGTGCCGTTGCTTTGACCTTGCTCGTAGCCTTCCGTCCATTGTGATTCGAATCAATTTTGTCGACCCATTCGGCTAACTCAACATCTTGCACCTTGTCACGGCTGGCAAAATTTGCACGCAGAGCACGACTCCCAACCCCCAAGACTCCACCAGGCGCATAGCCAAAACCAACGGGCGACTTCTCTAAATCTGCTTGGCGTGCACGCTGCCGAAGAAGAACACCTTGCCACCTCTCACGCTTATAGGGCATTTTGGCGATCGCCCCAAGCGTCATCGGTGCTATCTTATACAGTTCTGCGAGTTCGTGGCTGCCCTTCATAATGGTTGCGCCCCTGACATGTTCTAAGCCAGAAGCGAGGTGAACAATGGTAACATATGTGGGCTGCATGAAACCAGGGGATATGTTTTTCCAGTACTTCGTCGCTTCCTTGTTAGGGAAGTGCTCGGTTTGCGAGGGCTCACGTTTCCTCCGGAACAAGTCGACGCCCTCTGGAGTCCCGATGGGTTTGAGCGATTTGCTTCGGACAAGTTGGTTCCACCCAGGCCAGTTGGGCATGAAGAGGGTCTCAAACACCCGGAAAGCATCGGCGATGTAATCAAATTTCTTGGAGAGTGCAAGCAGCTGCACCAGAGTAGACTGATTGAAGGTTGACATTTCAAAGCCGGCTGCCTCAACCTCGGTTATGACTTTGGGAATTTTTCCTAGCTTGTCCTGGCCAGCCAGCGACCGCATGAATAGAGAAAGGGACCGAGAAAGGATGAAGCGCCGTGATGGAAGGATTTGATTATCCTGATCACTAAGCGAATCGGCAGTCATGATTTTACTCTGATCATGAGCGGGGAGGTCAGGTAGAGCCGGTGTGTTCGACGGCAAAGGTTTTAAGATAGTTTCAACTTTCACTCGGCTGGCCATCTTGATGGCACTTGAAAGAGCAAGTTGCCAACATTCATCCACTTCTTCGTGTTGACCGGCTTTTAGATGTGCAGCCATCATAGCATTGACAAGACGGAGTGGGGCAGAAGAAGAACCCGGATGTTGTTGGGTTGAGGAAGCTTTAGACAGTTGTCGCTGAAACAGTTCACGGGCCATAGGCATGGCACCCCTTGCACCGTATTTTTTTATGAGGTATCCATCATGCCAGGAATCGAAAGCCTTCGTCAGATATTCACTGCGACCTTCCGATGATTGAAACATTCTTGACCTTGACAGCAAATAGATACTATACCGGTGTAGTGAGTCCATAAGCATCGCCTCTAGAGTCTTCATGCGCATATCAGCTTTGGCAGCCGGGACCTCTTTTTCGTTCAACGCTGTCTTCCAGTAGTCAGAAGGCATTCCTGCCTCCAGGTTCGAAAGACTGGCCTCTAGCCCGGAATTAGGAAATCGCTCAATCATTTCACGAAATATGATCTTCACCATGGTAAAGTGTCGCATTTTGATATACCCAAGGATCAGAATGGCGTAGTGAAGTTCTGTTGCACGATAAATTCCTCGCATATGGTGACGCCTGAGGGTGGCACGCGCTTGGTCGGTTTTGCCTACCAAAGCCAGGCGGAGTAGGTCAGCCGCATACGTGGTCCCGTCCGGCTGGAGTTTAGCCTTCGCCATCAGACGGCACACGCGGTAGAAAGATTTGTGGTCAATCCTGTACGCATAGTGCATCAAGAGCATGTTCCATAATCGCATTGGAGAACCTTCGAGCTTGACGTCCAAACATTTTATAGCAAGTTGTTCAGCCAAATCAAATCGCCCGTTGCTGAGGTATGCATGAGCAACTGTACCTAGCATTGCCATTGTGATAGTGACCGACTGATTTTCAGCTTCTCGGAGTAGCGCGCGAACACCGTCAACATCTCCTTTCCTTGCACATATTCCCATCAAAATGCCGTATGTGTGGGAATCAGGTGGTATTTTCGCTTCAATCATCTGGGAGAAATGAGAGAAAGTGCCTTCCGCGTCACCCTTGTTTGCGAATGCTGTGAGAACGATGTTCCAACAAACTGTGTTTGGCTCGAGATGAAATTCCTCTGATAGCCTTCGAAAGTTCTCAAGAGTCTGCGAGACATTACCAAAAGCTGCATGGACATGCATGAGTGGGGTGACCAGTCTGCGGCTCTTCGGCTTGCCATGGTCCGCCACAAGCTTGTCGAACAAAATGTTGACCTCCGACACATTCCCGGCATAGGCAAAGTAATTCAAAACATCATTATAGGTCCGTACTGATGGTTTGTCATGGAAATGAGCGAGTTCATCAAGAAAATACCGGATATAGTTGGTCATCTCGAATTTGACAAGAAGTTCCAACTGACGTTCCCAAAGCCTTTTTGGCAAACGACTTTTTGATTGACGATCAAGAATGACCCGCAATGTCTGGTAAAAGATAATCGAGCGGGTAAAATCCAGCCGCTTTGTTGTTGACTGAACGGATTCAATGATGTCGATGCAATGTTGCAAAGTCATCATTTCCAAATTAATATACTTCTGCATGAGAGGAACCAGGATATCCATCGAGGTACCCGTGAGCAGCTCCGAGGATGTGGAGATGCGCTTTAATAGTAACTGTGCAATCTGTCGGAAGGATCCTCCAGCACTGAGCTCGATCGCCCCATGTTCAAGATAGGCTGCCAATGCCAGTGCGTCTTCGGGGAGTTTCGAGATAGGATAGATGGGTGAGAGAATCTCCGCTTTTTGTTCTCCCTGCTTGGTAGAGGACATTGACTTTGATTGAAGGCCCCATATCTTCTCTGCCCTAACCCAGTCGTGACACTCCACGAAGTGATAAAATACGAACGCAAAGCATGAATCGAAATTTCTGCTTCCTGCAGCCCATTCACAGATTTGAACCAGATTTTCAGTCTTCGCAAAATGAAGCTGAGAAAGGGTGATCTGGCAAAAATGGGAACGAGTACGTTGTTTCCGCGGAATCGATTGGAAAAGTTCCCATGCCCTCTCGGCATCTCCAGGTTCCCGTGACCGACTTAAAAAATGGCAAAGCGCATGCCGAGCAAACCTAGGACGCCCAGCTGCGAGGTAGAGTACCCAGGCTTCGTCGGTTGAATGATTTTTCCCACCTGATCTCAAAACTTCCCGAAGTTTATGTAAAGACTGTTTATCTTGAAGGGGTTGCTGAGGATTCGAATTAGCGGAATCCACTTCTGCGGCCGTTGTAGGTTCAATGGCCTCATCCGTCACATCTTGCTGTAGAGATAGATCATGGGCCTTGAGGTCAACATGGGTGATCCGCTCGAGACTTGTGGCTTCTGAAACATAAGTCCTTCGGAGGTTGGCGAGTGTACGTTTCCTCCGACGCAATCCAGGCCTTCTGGGTAGACGAGAAACCCTAAGAGCGACAAATTCTTGTGTCTTTTGGGGATATAAGAAGTCGAGGAATGGGGAATTGGCATCGTGTGCGCTTCGACTTCGATGGGGAAAAGTTGAGACGGTCGAATGTTGACTCAGTGGCTGAGTAAGGGCTAGAAACCAGTGGCCGGCATCTCCACCAGAGAGATTATGTTTCCAAAAGTGATGACACAAAGACCTTCTGGTTCGTATCGCACCTTTGGGATCTCGAAAGAAACGCCGACCGGCGGTCTCAAAGCAGCCGGCAGCACGTTCGAGCATTACCCCCGATCGTCGCTGCGTCAAGCAATGAAATCACCGAAACTGATATACAGTCTGCATCATATCGCGTCCGAGGATCCTATAGTTTCGAAGTCAAAGTCAGTTGTCAATTCTATGGGGGCGTTTTATAGAGACAGTCGTTCAAACAAGCTGTTCGGAAGGCATATTGACCTACCCGGGAGAAAAGAGAGCGCGATCGGCTCGAGGAACGCTTCAGTAATCGATATTCACACTGTAATCAAGCGTAATACCGTGTAGATACCACTTTTTTTCAATTGCCAATCCACCAGTGAAGTGGGTGGAGGAAAAACAGCACGATTGAAGCTTCCGCAACAAAAGATTTGGCATTGGAAAAAGCCGGGCACGTTAGCCCATCTCGTTTGCCCACCGCCTTCGTCGCAACCCACCAATCTGTCTTCCATTTGGTGGCCAACAATCCCCCCAACCAGGTCACCACAACAAGAGGAAATGGAGATCACTGACTATATCTTCAATGAGCGAGAGGAGGTGCTCCTTGTTGGAGATTACAATGCTTATCGGGCCCATGCTACTCGGAAGTTGCACAAACTCCGCAAGAAGCTCGGTCAGGCCACAGCCAAGGGCCGGAAGTACACTGCTAAACCAGCTGTGACTGCTGAGAATGTGGGAGACAATGCGGCGTATGAGATTATATTCTGTTATCCTGATGTGAATAAAACTGACCTTCTTCTTTGTATTTAGATACGTTCATCTTTTGCTTCTCGGGTCCGAACGAGCATGGGCGCAAGCCATGCATATGAAATCGACACACTCTGCAGACCCATCTGCTAAGGGCATTTCTGGTGCTGCTCGACGTCACATTATTTCTCGGTTGAACAAGGCGACTGTCTACGCACAGCAGATTGTATCTCTGCTCCATGAGCAATCGGTCTCCGGCGCGACTGACGTTGACATTCTTGAGGCTCGGGCGTACCTTGCCACAATCTCCGGTGCTTTGTGTCTGGAGAAGCGCAAATGGGAGCAATGTCTTCGTAACTATGCCATTGCGAGAATTATCTACACGGCCCTTGGTCAAAGAGTCAAGAAGGATGCTTTCCGGGACCTTCTCACTGGAACTGTCGATCCGAGCTTGCGCTACGCCGCTTATCAAATGAAACTCCCCCGCTCCAAGCCCACCTCCTCGCTAGCGATCGAATTCTTCCCATCGAATTCGGAGATCCGGTCCGAGGTGGAGAAGTTTGACCCCTCTTGCCTGGCGGAGGAAGCAGCAGGCACCCGGAGAACCGCCGAAGGTGAGGTGCAGAAGCTCCCCGAGTCTGTCACCTGGAGATCCCGTACTGTCCCATTAGAAGATGCGTCGATCTCTCAGGCATTGGCTGCGGCCTCTGCTGCGGAAGCTCTGCTCGCCACCTGGTTGACTGAGGCAGGACGATCTGCCAGCGCCAAGGATCAGGCTGCTGCGTACGACAATGTGATCATTGCCAGCCAGGATGCAGTTGATGCGACCAAGACCGCCATTGACGACCTGGTCAGTGAGGGTGTGGATGCTGGAGATAAAAGAATGCAGGCGTTACAGATTACTCGCACATCGGTCAATTACAGTCTGGTTGGGTGGCGGGTTGGCCGTAATCGGGTGTTGTGCGGTGGGCAGGATGGTCTGACGTTCGAGGACGAGCAGGCCTCTACCAGCAAGGACTCGAAACAGAATGGCGGCAATGGCAAAAAGCTGAACCGACTCCGTGAACGAGTCGTTCTATACGACTCGACCCTGCAAAGTTTGGATTTCATCCTTGAGTTGCCGGGTGTCGCCGCCGATTCAGCTTTTGTTCAGGATCTTGAAGCAAAGAGGGGATACTTCCGTGCTCTCAGGTAAGACTCACATCTGTAATGTAAATTTACTTTTTGTCATCTTGACTAATATGCTTTTGAACCAGATGTATGGCGCTGGGACGGTCTCATGCCGTTCTAGGCAAGCCTACTGAAGCGTTGGCACTCTTTGCGCACGCCTTTGATCTTGTCCGATCCGAGCCTTCCCCATCCTTTGTTGAGACTGATGGGCCGCCACGTCTGGACGTTTCCCGGACACAGGTTAGCGCCTTGGCGAATGTTCTCCAGGGGCTGGTAGCCCAGTACCGTGGCCTTGTTGCCCTAGAACGATTCGATGCCAACTCCGGCGCATCCCAACAGCGACCTCTGGTCGAGCGTCTGCACCAGTTTGAAGTAGGCACAGATCTGAAAAACCTGGTGCCTTACCCACCGCAGATGCAACCTGTTCCTGTGAAGCCCCTGTTCTTGGATGTTGCATGGAACTACATCGATTACCCACGCAGCACGAACGCGACTGCAAAGACAGACACAAATGCGCAAGCAAGCGCTCCTGCGGGTGAAGAGAAGACGAGTCGGGGTTGGTTTGGCTTTGGTCGGTCATAATAACATCGGTCATGATAAATTCCATATTACCCCATAGTCAATGATTTGCAAATTCCACATGATTTTACTGTATAACCTTATCGTGCACGTGCCATATGGTTCCTGTTTCGCGTCCACCAATCAGAGATCACGGGATTTGTCTAGCCGAGTCATGCGATGGATGATTCTGATGACCAGTGCTATACATTGTCCAAATCATTACATATTTACTTAGTAAATTTGGAGCGCATCTGTTGTCCTCGCTTCAATGTAACACGTATGCAGCAATTGAGACTGCCTGTGGGCAAATTCTGATCTTTTGTAAGATCTTTGCCAGGGAAGGGTGTGATGGGATCTACTCTGTACTGATAGGTATGCATAAAAAAATCTTCTTTGTACACTAGAAGTGTGCAAGTAATTCATGACGATTAATATATCCTAAAATTTATTATGGTAATGTGAAAGGCTTCCAAGGCAATAAGATTGACCTTGTAATCTAATAGATTAATCAATAATCGTGTACGGAGCATGGAGTGTGGGAACAACCATCCGGGCCCCCGAGTGGAAATTTGGCGCCATTATTGGCGTTCCGGCCCCTGACTGATTTCAATTTCTTCCCCTCTCCACTCCTTCAATCTCCGTGTTCGCGGGATTCTCCTTTCTTTTTGCTTGGAAGAAAATCCTCAAAAGGAAAAAAAAAGGTCATTTCCAGGCCTTGCGACACATCATGGTCAACATGACTGGAAGCTTCGTCTCGCCCTCCGCAGACGCGACAGTCTCTCCGCAATTCATTGCGTCGGCAGGACTCTTGAACTCTGTTCTTGATGGCTTCAGTATCTGGAAGCTTTTGGCAACTTTGTTCATTGGAGCCGTCATTTACGATCAATGTGAGTGTATTTCTTCTGTTCTTTATTTGTGAATACCACTAATAACCCCTTTTCCAGTCAAATACCACTACTACAAGGGTTCAATTATCGGTCCTGCATACAAAATTCCCTTCATGGGCCCATTCTTGGAGTCTGTCAACCCGAAGTTCACCGAATATAAAGCCAAATGGGACAGCGGCGACCTGAGCTGTGTTTCCGTCTTCCACAAGTGAGCAGCCCCGGGGCACTACATAGATCTATCTTGAGCGTGCAACACCCAGATACTACGCAGAGTGATTGGGAGATCCGTCATTGATACCAAAATACTAACTGACTGTTTAGGTTCGTTGTGATTGCGTCGAGTCGTGACATGTCCCGCAAGATCTTCAACTCTCCCGCATATGTGAAGCCCTGCGTCGTGGATGCCGCACACAAGCTTCTCGGAAAGACCAACTGGGTGTTCTTGGATGGCAAGGCGCACGTCGATTACCGCAAGGGTCTCAATGGTCTATTCACTCGCCAGGCTTTGACCATGTACCTCCCCCGCGTCGAGGAGGTCCTCGACGTCACTTTCAAGCGCTTCCTGGACAAGTCCGCGGCCCTGAAGCATGAGCCCACTCCCTGGATGCCTGACTTCCGTGAACTTATGACTGCTCTTTCTTGCCGCACTTTTGTTGGCTACTACATGTCCGATGAGATCGTCCAGAAGGTCGCCGATGACTACTACTTGATCACTGCTGCGCTTGAGCTAGTGAACTTCCCTATTATCCTGCCTTACACTAAGACCTGGTACGGCAAGAAGGCCGCTGACATGGTCATGAGTGAATTCGCCAAGTGCTCCGCTAAGAGCCGTGCTCGCATGGCCGCTGGTGGTGAGGTTTCGTGTATCATGGATGCTTGGGTCAAGGCCCAGCAGGATTCTGCCGCTTACCGTGAGAAAATCGCCAAGGGTATCCAGGTTGACGACTCGGAGAAGCCTCCTCAGGTTCTGCGTGACTTCAGCGACTACGAGATTGCTCAGACTATCTTCACCTTCCTTTTCGCCTCGCAGGATGCTACCAGTGCCGCCGCTACTTGGCTCTTCCAGCTCATGGCTGACCGCCCGGAGATTCTGGACAAGGTCCGTGAGGAGAACCTCCGTGTCCGTAACGGTGACCGCACTGTTCCGATCTCTATGGAGATTCTGGATGAAATGCCCTACACTCGTGCCGTTGTTAAGGAAACTCTGCGTTACCGTCCCCCCGTTATCATGGTTCCCTACCTAGTCAAGAAGGATTTCCCTATCACCGACAAGATCACTGTCTCCAAGGGCTCCATGATCATTCCGTCAGTCTGGCCTGCCACTCACGACGAGGAGGCCTATCCCAACGCCGACTCGTTTGACCCTGACCGTTGGATCACCGGTGATGCCGAGGCACAGACCAAGAACTGGTTGGTCTTTGGCACAGGTCCCCACTACTGTCTGGGTCAGACCTACGCCCAACTGTCACTTATGGCTATGATTGGTAAGGCCAGTATCGAAATGGACTGGGAGCACACCCCTACTCCCCTGTCTGAGGACATCAAGGTCTTTGCCACCATTTTCCCCCAGGTATGTACTTGTTCTTATGTAATTGACTTCCCCGTTTCTAACAATTATCCTAGGATGACTGCCTTCTCACTTTCCGCCCTCGCGCTTAAGTTCTGGGCTCAAAACCAAACACCAAAAGCCCCGAAGCTAGAACCTCGCCCCAACCTCCGGATAGAAGGGCTAGGTCATCCAGCTTGGCCTTTCTGTCCTGGAGATAGAAGGGCCATTCACTTCGCCCTATTTTCTCATTTCCAATTTGGCGGGCAAGGTAGCACCACGGGTGGAACGAAAGAAAAGAGCCCAAGATTGTCCTTAGACTCAATTTCCAGTTGAAAGGGCGCCTGGAAACCCGATATCCCGTTCTTGAACCATGCGCATTCCTGGTCTTTTCTGTTTCTCTCCTTCGATTGGAGAATACCTGCAGCCACCCTCATAGAATAATATTAATGCACTTTTTTTTCATTTTTACCCAATTTCAGCCAACATGTCTCTCAGAGTACCGAATGTCCTATACTACGACTACTTTCGATTACATTTTTAGTGTGCTGTCCACAGTACCCAACAAAGCAGGCGGTGACAACCGGCACTGACATCATCCTATCTCAAACGTAAACCATCCAGAAGTCCAACCTCCACGCCAGCTCAATGGCAGCATTACCATCCGCAATGCGGCGCTCAGTCGCTACTCTCTCCTCAAAAACTCTGAAAGCCCCCGCCCGCCAAATTCCTTCCCTGTTCCCGGCTTTCCAAACAGGATCTCACGCCGCAACCAACCGAGGCATCACTTCTCTATCTTCAAGACGAGGAACAAACGCGCTTGCAGAGAGATCAACCTGCAAGTCCCAATATCAGACCTCATCCCGTCCATTGGGTCAAATCCGGTGGAGCAGTAATGAACCCGCAAGCCTACGACAGTGGGGATTCGAAGATGTATGTGATCAAGTTTCAACTTCCCATGGATCATGATCCTTGAACAAGTCAACCCGTTATACCAGGTGCTAATACAATTTATAGATCAACACTACCCTCCCAAGCACTAACGTTTCTTCGCCAACACATACCCCCATTCTAATCGACGTCCGTGAACCTGCTGAACTTACCGCTACCGGTATTATTCCCACGGCCATCTGTATCCCGCTCGCTTCCCAGCCTGATGCGCTCTACCTTACCGCCGACGAGTTTGAGACCCGTTTTGGGTTCCCCAAGCCTTCTGTGGGTAAGAATCAGAAGATCGTGTTTTATTGCAAGGCTGGTGTGAGGGCTCGGGCTGCGGCGCAGTTGGCTGTGCAGGCGGGGTACGATCCCGAGTCTCTTGGGGTTTATGATGGGAGTTGGTTGGATTGGAAGGATAAGGGCGGGAGAGTGGTGGCGTGGGAGGGGGATGAATTTTGATTAATCAGAAAGGTAGAGGAATTGTATATACTTGAGCCTCGAACGCAGCAGGCGAAGACTTCGGTAACAGATGTAGGATAGAAGATATGAATCTAAAAAACTTCATTAAAATTCAACTATAAGCTAAAAGAAAACACTGTATATGAGATCCCTTCTCTTGATGTCGTTCATGTACAGGCGACTTTTTCTTTTGCCTAGTCGTGGTCGTTCCATGGTATGTCCACATCGCAATCAAAACACAAAAACTTTTTCGCTTTTCGGATGTTCATAGTCATATTCAGCACTTCATTGTGCCAAGAATCTCATAACACATACCACATCAGGTCCAACAATCGTTCAACTAGAGGCGGAGAGAGCCAAGAAGTAGCGAGCTTCACGCGAGAAAAGGCCAGCCAGAAAGACGAGATGGGAGCATATATGAATATCTGGTGATGGGTATTCGCGTATCACCGGTTCGGATGAAGTCTCATGCTCAAGGAATGTCGAAAACGGGCTTGAGCTTCTTGACCAGACCCCACTCCTCCATCGTAACCTCAGCGCGGTAGAACTCCTTCAATGTGTCGATACTGGCACGAGAGATAACGGAATAGAGTTGATCCTTCTCCTCGAGCTGACGGCCGTACATGGGCTGGTTGGGACCCTCAACCTTGACAGCAACTGAGGGCTGACCCTTCTTGCAGACAGGGATGGGCTTGTGGTCGCGCTCGATGGATGTTCTGTAAGGCTAGTTAGTATATGAATAGCTATTGGTTCATTGGAGGAAACTTACACTCTACCAATGTTGATGATTTCCTTTTTACCATCAGCATTGGTCCGCACAGCGGCCAGCGGGGTGTGCATCCGCAAGCTACCCTCAATGACATCAATACCAATGACAATGGGATCCTTCTTGTTGAAGACAGCAACAGGGCTGATAACACAGGGGAAAACAGCAAGCAGCTTGCTCTCCTCCTTGCGCTGCTCAGTCAGCTCCGCCATGTGCTTGGTGAAGTCATCGAACAGGTGGTAGATAATGTCAGCAGTGAAGATCTTGACACCAACATCAGCAGCGTAGGCAGCAGCATCCTTGTCAACCTTAACATCAAAGCACAGCATCACTGCGTACTCCTTGGCCTTCTCCAACATGGTTCCAGCCATCATGACGTCGCGCTTGAAGACAGGACCAATAGAGATGTTGGCCACGGGGATCTTGGAGACCTTCAAGAACTCCAGAAGGGCCTCCAGGGAACCCAGAGTGGAAGCTTGGACAGTGACACCACGGTTATCGGTAGAGACACGGCTGAGGAGGTTCTCAAGATCAGACATGATCTCGTCCTCTAGGTCCTCCTCATCATCATCAGGACCCACAACCAACAGACGGGAACCGGCAATAGCATCCTCCAGGTCGTTGGCAGCGATCTTAACACCCAGCGCAGCCTTGACCTCCTTGTTGTGCACGTACTGAGACTTCAGACGCAGTTCCTTAAGCGGTGCCGGTGTTAAGAGTGCTCGGATATTGGTTGTGATAGCACCATTCAGACCACACAAAACGATCCGGTCACCCTCGCGCAGAATACCGTTAGACAGGACAACATCAATGGTGGTACCAAGACCCTCAATGACCTTGACTTCCAGAACGGTACACTCGACCTCAGACAAGTACATGAGGGAGTTGGTCATACGCTCCTGGGACAGGGTGGTGAGAAGCTTCAGCATGTCAGGGATACCCTCACCAGTGTGGGCAGAGGTGGGAACCAGGGACACGTTGCGGGCCATGGACTTGTTCTCGAAGAAGAGTTCGGAGTTGAAACCCTGCTCAGCGAAGGCGAGCTTGGTGGCCTCCAGACGGGTGCGGAACTCGTTCTGGACACCCTTGTTCTGCATTCTCAGACTGTCCTCGAAACCGTTGTTGTCAATCTTCTTCCAGCCGTACAGACGATCGATCTTGTTCAGGGCCACAATGAAAGGAGTCTTGCGGTCACGCAGCAAGCGCATGGATTCCAGAGTCTGGGGCTCCAAGCCGTGCATGATATCGACAACCAGAATGGCAATGTTGCAAAGAGAAGAACCTCTTGAGCGCAGGTTGGAGAAAGACTCGTGACCAGGGGTATCGATGATCAGGAGACCGGGGACCTTGAACTCGAACTTGCCATCCTTGTTTACAACGGCGGTCTTCTGCTTCAGGGCATCGACGGGGAAGTAAGTAGCACCAATCTGCTGGGTAATACCACCAGCTTCGCCCTCCTGCACGTTGGTCTGACGAATCTTGTCCAGCAGCTTGGTCTTACCAGTATCGACGTGACCAAGAATACAGCAAATGGGAGAGCGCAAGTTGTCCTTGGAGCGAGCCGCAAGAGCCTCCTCGTGCTGCTTCTGTCTCCGATCAGCAGCCTCGGCCTTCCTCAGAGCAATAGCTCTTTGGTTAGCAGAGCGCTCCTCATCCTCGGAGGAAGAATCGGAGTCGGAGTCAGAGTCGGAGTCTTCATCAGAATCCTCTTCCTCCTCTTCTTCTTCTTTCTCTTCCTTCTTCTTCTCTTCGGCAGCACCATTAGCAGCGGGCTTCTCCTCCTCGTCATCGGTAGCAGCGTCCCAGCTGTCCTTCACATCGTCATCCTCCTCGGCAGCCTTCTCCCAGTCATCAACAGCATCGTCATCCTCGACAGGAGCCTTAGCAGCAGCGGCCGCAGCTTCAGCCTTGGCCTTCTCCTCAGCTTCCTTTTTCCGGCGCTCATCCTCAGCTTCGCGCTGAAGGCGGGCACGCTCGGCCGCAGCTTCAAGGTCGACCTCCTCCTGCTTCTTGCCACCCTTCTTCTTGCGATTCTCGTAGACAGGGCGCTTCTTATCGGAAGTGCCCTGCTCAAGACCAGCAACCTTACCAATACCGGCCGCAAGCATCTGCTGCAGGTGTCTCTCATTGCGATCCTTGGCCTCCTTCTGAGCCTTGGTAAGAAGCTTGCCCTCCTTGCGCAGCTGCTCCTTCTTCTCGCGTTCGCGCTCTTTTCTCAATGCACGAGCAGCCTCACGCTGAGCTTCGGCCTCGGCCTCCTTGCGCTCAAGCTCTTCAAGGGCCTTCTTCTCCTCTGCGGCGATACGCTCTTCCTCCTCACGCTGCAGGCGAAGCATCTCCTGTTGCTTCTGGAGAGCAGCAAGGTGGGGCGGGAGCTTCTTCTTCTTGCCTCCAGTCTCGACAGGAGCCGCGGCGGCTTCGGCTTTCTTAGCTTCGGCGGCGGGCTTAGCAGCCTCGGCCTTTTCTTGGGCGGGTGCAGACTTCTTCTTCAGGGCAGCCTATAACCAGATGATGTGTTAAGAAATATCCAGTACGTCGCAGACAAAGATCCATTTAAGACATACCTGTTCCTTCTTTCTTTGCTTCTCACGCTCTTTCTTCTCCTTCTCCTTCTCCTTCTTGGACTTTACACGGAACTCGCCCTCCTCGGGCTCTGCAGCTGGAGCGGGAGCGGCTTGCTTGACGGCCTTCTTGGGCTTGCCGGCAAATACGTCGTCGTCATCAAAGTTGCCCTCCTCGGGCACCTTGCTAGCAAGGTCGACCGCAGGCTCGGCAGCATCCTCACCTTCAACGAAGTCGTTGGCCTGCTTGTTCTTCTTCTTCTTCTTTTCCTTGTTCTTGCGCAGAGCAGCCATCAGACCACCAGCGGCAGGGGCCTCCTCATCATCCTCGGCGGCAGCAGCATTCTCAGTCTGGTCGTTGGTGGGGGTCTCAACGGCAGGAGCCTCCTCGCCGAGCTCAGCCTCCCAGTCCTGGTCCTGGCGCTTGTTTCCCTTCTTCTTGGGAGCCATAGTGTCGGTTGCAAGGTAATTTTAGGATTTTTATGTGTTTTGCGTTCTTGGGGTTCCGGATCGGAGGGCGATCGGAGGGACGCTGTGGGCGCACAAACGGAGCTAACCGTTCACTTGCGGGATGTAGTCGGTGAATATGGATTCGCGACCACTTAATTTAGGAATGGAACTGTTGAAATAAAGTTCCGATTCCTGAAAACTCGAATCCCCAGAAAAGAAAGGCGGGATTTGGTGGACCAAGGGGAGTTGGGGAGAGAAAAAGAATTTCGGGAGAAGAATCACTTTCGGTGGGGAAACAATGCAAGCTGACTTCACGTCTTAACGCCACTGGGGCTCGATTTCTTTCCAAGTATAGGACTTGATATACACTTGACTTTTGTCATTCATTTTAATACTTTAAATTGCGCTCGTCAGGAATCACTAGGTTTCTTTATTTCTCATTGAAGCGTCAATAACGTTCTTAAATTGGATGTCTTATCGCTATGGTGCTGCTCTTTGTGTAATCTTCGTGGGACAAGGCTTCTTCGGATGATCGGAATCAAATGGATATATCAAGCATTTTTCGCAGCCAGGCAATCACTGCTTCTGTCGATAGCTTCCCCACAACTTGGAGTGCGAGTTGGTTAAATAACTCTTCGGTAGGATTGGACCCCAGATGCTCTACAGCTTGGATGGCAAGCTGGTTGAACAACTCCTCTGCTGAAGGTGATCCTGGGGGAGATTCTAGGGATGTGATCAACCTCTCAAGAAACTCTGGACCATGTTCTGCCAGACGAGTAAGAATATCCCCATCAATATGAGGGCCAGTCAAATCGTGTGGTTTCTTATGTCGCTGGTGCTTAGAGCTAAACGGGCAAAGGGTCCGATCCTTGTAGCAGATGTTCTGCAGGAATCTCAGCAGTTTCAGCTCCTTGGTATCAGGCAGAATAAAACGATAGATAGAGCCAAGGACTGTGAATCCGTACAAGCTGCCGTCGGTCTTGTTTCCGGGAACAAAACGTAATACTGATTCGGAGAGATGAGCCTCTGAGACGGTGCTTGGGTGATCAATATCGTTTAGCATGGTAGCACAAACACGGCCACCACGGTGGCTCATGTATATGAGGGGTTTATCGCCCTGCGAGACCATATGAGTCAATCCATCGCGTTCGATGTGATCCCAGGAGCGGGGAACCAGTGCAGCGCTCCCATCAGAATGATAATCGATTTCATACACCATCCACGAGTGTCGTGCAGTCAATGCAAGTATGAAATTCCCATGGATGGAAATGGAAACTACTGTGGAAGGAAGTTGTTTTGGAGCGGTTCGTTGCCACGTTGTAGTTGCTGCCTTAGACGACATAGGGATCAGGCAGTTGCCCGCGCCAATGATGAGACTATCTTCGTAGGCTGCCAGTGCATTAATCTGTCCTTGCACAACTCGAGTAAACTGAGTCGAGCACTTGATGTTGCGTGAACCGGGTGGATCTTGTCGAGGGGCGAGTAGGATTAGTCTGCCCTGGTGAGATTCAGGGTCAGACAAACCCGGGAGGGATGTGCCAATGGCAACCATGTAATAGGTTTTTCCATCTCTCTCAAAAGTCCAATCCAAGATGCAAGTGACTGTCTCTCCACGAGCAGACTCGGGTCTCCACAGCTGATCTGAACTGTCTTCACGCGGCCTGTGGACAACGGGTTCCTGTGAATCCGGATCCACAAATTCGATGAAAGATCTGGCCGTCTTAGTGAGAGGGTCTTCAGGGTCCTCTATACTGTGAATATTGTAGGACACAATTAAACTCTGGAGAATGGTTGAATATGCCATTTTTTGTGGTTTTCCGGGTAAACCGATGCGTCGCGGAACCATCTTAATTTCTCGATTCAGAGAACATAGGAGGAGCTGATGGTCTGCGAAGCAAAATAAATTTCCCAGGGAAGCTTCTGGCTCTGAATTCTGGGTTCCGATAAGATCGAAGCCATGGACAGAAATGGGGAGATATGCAGGCTGAGACAAACGTAAGGTATTGACTAGTGATGAAGGACGGATTGGACTTACGTTGCTCTGGTCTGTGATCCAGACTCGTCGAATAATATAGTCAGATGGAATGCAGTCCGAATTGTACGATACATGCCATAGCTCATCTCCGCATGTTAAGAGGACGAATGTGCCTTTCCCTTTGAGTCGAACGGATGTCGTTCCGATACGACTTGCCTCCTTTTGTTGTAGCCCTGTATACGCTTTGTGTGAGTAATTTCCTATTTGAGATGAGTATCAAACAAAAGTACATACCGATAAAGTTGTCAGCATTGAAATCCACTTCAAATGAGATAAGCATCCCACTTCGCAATCCACAAAGTAGAAAGGCTCGCAAGGAGCCATTTGGTGAAGTGATCCGAATGGTCGCGAAACTTTCGATGACTGTCGACCAGTCGACATTATTCTCAATGACGATAGCTTTCTCAAACAGGAAGCTGATACTATTGTTCTCAATGTAGAAAACATCAATCGTTCCATTGGAGTTACCCAAGAAGATAAAATCCAAATCTCCAAAGGTTTGGAGAGAAATGCAAATGGGTTCTTTGGCAATCTTGACAGACTCACTAACAACTAAACGGACCTGATCACCAGTGGCAACTATGTGACTCATATAGATATGGTTCTGGTCTTCATGCCGCATAGCCGTGATCACTGTTGACTTTAGACCGTCAACAGCTACTGCAAGGATAGCCACATGTTCTTTATGCGGCACGTATGTATTCAAAGAAACGTCGTGGAAAGCGAAAATATGGGTGGCTTCCTCGGTGACTTGAATCAGTAAACCATCAGGTGTACATCCCGCGGCCAAGGTTTGTTTGCTATCCAGTCCTGTCTGTTCCTCATCCAGGGCGCTGATTGGTTCATCCAGATCCAGGTTCAGGTATAGAAGCAGAGTCGAAATAGGGTCAGAAAGCAGGATGTAAACACCCCCGTTCACTATTTCGGGCATGGTCCACATGTCTCTGATACTTGATAATTCATCGATGGGCACGTTGAAGCTCTGTTGAGCCTCCATACCCCATCGATACTCATGGATCGCGCCACCATCTGCTGTGGAAACAGAACAAGCAAAAAGGCGATTGCTAGCAATGCCTCCCTGGGGTGTTATTCGGGTCACTGGGCAGACCATGGTGGCATCGCGGACTGGAGCCCAATTGAAGAATCTCTGTACACACTTCGGGCCAGCTCGAGCTTCTTGCACAAAAAGTCCGCCATCGCCAGTGCTACCAGATGCCAGGATGAAATCACCACCTTGGGAGCCCATGTCGAGTACATCAAATGCCATATCGACGTCACAGTGGATCTGCCCTAGAGAAGTTTGGGTTTCAAGATCTCCCTCATTGCCGAACTCCAGGAGATAAATCCAGCCGTCTTCACGGCAAAGGTAAATTCCATCATGGCTTTGACTGTACAGCCAGTTGCGGGCTGGTCTCGCCCAACGAGTCCACATTGAAGCGGCACTGATGTCTGGATTGGGAGCATGGAGGGGGTATCTTGTAGGGCGATTTCCACCATCGGAGGAGTATACTGCCATGGAAGTAGTGGTCACAACCAAAAATGACGACTTCTTAGTCAACGGGACGATCATAGTAGGCAATCTGTGCTGCTTGCTCAGTTTGAAATCATTTATCTCTGGCTGGCTAGCACTGAGACGTTCGTTGTCTTTCCACGTATAAGTCATAGCATGAGAAACACCATCCCGTTGTACGACCAGAAGTAGAATAATGTTTTTATCGTCGGCAGTCTTCGGGTACAAGAATTCTAGAAACAGGATCGTTCCCTCGGTTTTGTAGAATTTTTCCTACAAAGGTTATCAGTGGTTGATTGCTCAGAGTTGGACAAGAATGTTTAGTACCTCTTCGATAGGATTCAGTTTCTCGTTAGCCATCTGCACTTGAGCTTCATCGGGAGAGTTGAGGCGCATTACCCCGAAGAAGTCTTTCGTCGCACATACAGCGACCGCCCGAGACCTACCCATAATTAGCCGGTAATGCAAAAAAAGACGGATATTCGTACTTTGGGTCAACGGCAAGATGCTTGCCAAATCTCATTTCAAGGCTCACGTTGTATGGAAATGGGCGACGAAAAGTGACGAACTGGTTAGGCCTTGATGGAGAACAATACAGGAACTGCAGCTCCTTCATGTCCACGACAAGTACAAGGATCTGTGATGGACCATACTGCGGGGCCCCAGGTTGGATATGTGCCTCCAATGGAAGCTCCGTGCTCACATTCAAGACTTTGGCTGCACCGATCGACCCTGGGAAATCGGTCTTTTCAGCTACATCCTCGAGACAGCCAGGGCCTGTGGCTTCCTTGATATGAACGCGCTTTTCTCCAACAAAGACAACATCATTGTGGTCCTTGCTTCGAAGACGCGCCGGTAGAATCCATTTGATGACCGGACTGGCGAGCATGGTTTGAGTGAGAATACCATGCATCTCCGGCTCATCGGCAGGAGGCAGACGCGTCCTGCACATGTCGACCATGTTGCGTGAATCGCAAAATCACTAAAAGAAACTATGTTGTTTCAAAAATGGAAGCTTTTGAACGGGTATCAAAGTATTGCGGGGCGGGTGGATAGGGAAGTAGATATGGAAGTAAAAGGGCAGGGTAAAGCCTTCAGCACAGAGCAAAGGGCAGCAGACAGATTAGTAGACGCTTATCCTATTCGGCGATAAGAAGGCGATAAGGTTATGAGCGTCAATTTCAAGCAAAACAGATTGCCAAAGAGTAGTTCCAGGGTTTGCTGACTGGCTGAGAATTGACTTGTAAACAGCAGATGGTCAGGGTATTGATCCAATGATCACGATTCACCATGCCATATATATGGACCAGATAGATGCGATTAAGCATATATTTCATACAGAAATCATCTATTGATACCCCTGTAGAGCCCTATAGTGACTTGGGTTAATATGCGCAGTTGAAGTAGATGGGAGTAGTCCAATTGGAGCATGCATGATGAGACCTACAGCTTGGGCACCTGGAGATCGAGAACCAACTTGACGCGACCGGTGAGAAGTAACATCAAATCGACGATATTCACTGAGTGTAGCTCAAGTATATCGAAATCTGGTAAGCCAAGTCGATGGCTTGAGGTATACAGTAGCTCTCGGTCATCAAGAGCTACTCCTGCGGGGTGATTTTCCGATCGCTGCGGGACCCAGAGGTCAGGGCAGCTAGGAACAGATCGTATCCCTGTATATATTGCTTACTTTTATCTGATGCTTCTGTTTCGTCAATCAGATTGTAGATTGATCATGGGATCGAAGTGGATGTTTTTCTCCAACTGCAAAGCAGGTTGAGGGAATCACGTTTGGTGTTGGTGCCTAAGGCATCCAGGCGGGATCGATTCCACTTAATATGCATATCAACTTCCTCCTGAGTGCTGACTGTCCTCTTCACACTCATTCAGACTCACTATCGATTTCAAACACATAGCTGTATTTTTGTCTTTTGGGAGATCACAAACTCGCCACATTTTTGTGACGTGATTCATACGGGCCAAGTGATTAAACTCAGGGTAAATCCGTATCGAGCGAGCCCTGATGGCCTGAACTCCTCTTGCTAATTCCAAGATATACTTCGCTTGTTTGCTCAATCTTCGTGTCATTGAAGAACCCTCTCGGCTTTCAGCTTGTGGGTGACATAGATTTTGAGAATGGCTCTACCTAACGATGAGGATCGCTATGAGAGCTTGGCAGAGGTGGCCCTCTCCCTTGATAATGAGAAGCTCTCGGATTCTTCGGGTGAGACATCTGAACAGCTGTTGGAGGTAAAGATGAAAGAGGAAGCCCGATCAAAAAAAGCAGAGGCGATCCGCCAAGCATGCCGCTCTCGCGACATGGAGGCAATCATCTCCTATGCCGTAAGTGAGGGTGGACTTTTGGAGGATGAGCTCCGACAGGAAGCGTGTAAGATACGAAGTGAAATTGTCTGCTTAGCAATCGCTTACGTGCTAGAATAGGGCCTATTCTTCTGCAATACGACAAAGATACACCACACGATGACCTGAAGCCATCAGAGGAACTCCCACCGCATACCGATGAGGAGCAAGTTCAACTGGATGTTAATCGGTCATTTGTGTATTACCCAAATAACCTTCCTGCAGAGAATATTGCAGCAAAGAAAGAGCAATTATCAGCTTTGATCACCAAAGTCCTTCGAAACTACCCTATGCTATGTTATTTCCAGGGTTATCATGACATCGTTCAAGTCTTTTTCTTGGTTCTGGGGAATCAACACGCCGCATCAGTTATGGCCCACATCTCCCTTTTCCGTATCAGAGATTACATGCTCCGGACACTATCTCCGGCTATCAAACATTTGCAACTCATACCTGCAATCATTGAAACAGCCGATCCTGCATTGCGACAACACCTCGCCCACATTCAGCCTTTCTTTGCTCTTGCCGCCACCCTCACGCTCTACGCGCATGATATTCAGGAATACAGCGATATTGCAAGGCTTTATGACTTTTTACTGGCAAAAGAGCCGGTGGTCTCTATCTACCTGTTCGCAGCAATTATTTTGTCCCGCAGGAAAGAAATCTTGGATATTCCTCTGGATGAGCCAGAGATGCTTCATTTCACCCTTTCAAAGCTGCCACAGCCACTGGATCTAGATAACCACATATTGTGTGCAGAGCAGCTCTTCAGGGACCACCCTCCGGAGACTTTGCCATCTGGAATATGGAGGAGCATCTCACAATACAGCGTGCTCAAGACTTCTAGGGGGTCATTTTCAAAATACTCCGTTGAGGAGGCGGTGAGGCTATTTGAGAAGCAAAACCGACAGCTTCGTAATGAGGAGCTTCGAAAGCAAGCCCTTGAGTTTACATGGAAGCATCGGCGGACGGTTGGATCTGTCGCACTGGCTGTGTTAGTTGGTATGGCATCCTTCTACATCCGTAGGAAGGGAATGGATACTTCAATCTGGTCCTACATCGGACGAGTCCAGGCATTTTTTGTCTGATTGGTTTTTATGGTTTATAATAAAAGCTCTGTCTTCTATGGCTGCCAGGCTGGCACTTGCGTTTGGGTTGGATATTAGATTTTGAAATGTATAATACTAGTACGGATTAGAATGGTTCCCTGAACTCGGGGCGAACCCTTTGAATGCATCTTTAATTTCAAACATTCAAGTGCTTTGCCAGCTATGATTTCTCTCTAAAATTGCAAAGTTCATATCAGTTCATTGAATGACGAATCCATGTTCAGGGATTGTTGTAGGACAAAAACTGACCACCAAGTTTATAGATCCCGCCTGAGGGAAGACGTGAGATTTATATAGAGTGCTCTGATCCATGAATTGCCAATTATATTCTGTCGTCTCCAAGGACGGGAGTTCTTTCACTAAACCGGAAAGCACATCAAATTATCAAATAAAACATGACTAACCGTATCAAATTTAAAGAAAGTACAGATGTGAGTGACGTTCGAATCTTACTGTATATGACTTTCACGTGTGGCTGAAAGTGTGGCGCTGTCCCGGGGAAAGCTGATGTGTACACTTTCCAACTCCCCGATAACAATCACCTTTCCCAACTCAACACATCCACGATGGCGAACAGGGGTTATGATGTTGTAGTCGATGTGGATGCAGAGGTATTTCCGACCCTATTATTCTGAAAATGATCATCATCTCATAAATCACAGGGTGACCTCGGCCACACCGACCTACAAGAGGACCTTGAATTCCATTCGTCCAGTGAGTGCCACACCAAAACCTCAAAGCAAGCATCAAAAATGTCTAACAATTGACCTTTTACAACCAGACTTCGAAAACGACCAACGCACCGCAAAAGCCCACACTGACTCGGCTCCGTTCCTGGGCGGCTCCTCTTCCCGCCGCGACCGATCCCCTGGCGGGACACCTACCAAGCACAGCTGGTGGTCAATCCACTACTACGAGCGGTTCTTTGATGTTGATACAAATGAGGTCTTCCGTCGTTGCGTGGCGACGCTGTACCCTCGTTCAAACTTCCTAGATGTCCTTGAAGGGAACGCGGATCTCTACGGCCCCATCTGGATCGCGACGACTGTCGTCGTAATCCTGTTCCTCACTGGTACTATCTCGCAGTGGTTATCCAACAATGACGATAAGCACTTCGAGTACGATTTTACGTTGCTGTCGGGTGCTGCGGGATTGATCTATGGGTACACGGGCATCTTGCCTATTGCGCTATGGGGAGCTCTGCGCTGGTTCGGGAGCTCGACGGCTGATCTGATCGAGTGTTGGGCTTTGTACGGGTACTCTAACCTGGTGTGGATTGCTGTTGCGCTGATTAGCTGGAGTCCGCTGACGGCGTTGAACTGGGCGCTTGTGGGCGTGGGCTTTGCTTGGACAGCATTCTTCTTGCTGCGCAACCTTTACCCGGTGCTCAATGCTACTGATGCGAAGGCGAGCAAGATTCTACTGGTATTGGTTGTCTTGTTGCATGCTGGCTTGGCTATTGCGATTAAGATTCTCTTCTTTGCGTGAGTTTTGTCTACCCATGGGCTTTCTGCCTGGTTTGTGGTGTTCCATTTGCTAATATGCCCTATAGCCACGCGAGTCCCGTTTCTAAGAAGAATAAGGAGACGGGCAGTGATGATAATAACGATAGTATGCGCCGCATGATGTTCTGAGCTCAAAAGGGTGCGACCTCCAGGCGGCAATGGAGGATGCCTGCTTGGCTCGCGTATCATGGTTTCTCTGCTTACTTTTCGGTAGAGATATACCATGCATGTATTGTATAACTGTAACGGGCATTGTCTGCCTGATTAACCAATGCGCATTGTTTTTTGGAGCCGTTCACTTGTAGCTGCCGTACCTTCACATATTGGAATAGACACGTATCTGGCTAAGTGCGGGGCGATCGCGCGAAAATACTCTAGAACCACTCAAGACTGCCTTGGGACGTAGACTAGGCTTAACTCGGTGACCTCACTGAGCCCCGCAGGATCCTAATCTAATCGATTTACTCAACATTGGAAACGGCGTTTGGCTTGCAAATTTTTTGAATATTTGAACTTTTACTTCAATTCATGGATTGCGACTTGGACCTCGAGAGGAGCCAACTAACAGTAGTACTGCGGCTGTGATTGTTTCATCATTTCTAACGCCATGTAAAAACCTCTCCGTGTCGCATCCCAGCCAAAACCCAGACCTGGAATCGGCACCACAGCACCCCGAGCACAACACCGATCGATAAGCGAATCGTCTATTTGAGCTTCTTCTTGGGGCGGAGCTGGTTGGTGTGACCACACTTCTTCTTGCGGCAGTTGGTGGCACGGGGAGGGAGACGAGCCTATGTTTGATGTCAGTGCCTAGTCATGATGGATGTTGATCCGTATTTCGAATTGTTATTGCTTTCGACGAACGAATGACAGCAATATGCAATATTCAATTGGTATCGCATCGAGGATGTTCAACTTGGTAGGGATTCACGTACGTAGCACTTGCGGCAGATGGACTTCTCGCAGTTGTACTTGGAGGCAAGGGCCTTAAGGGAAGGCTCAATGATACCACCACGCAGACGGAGAACAAGGTGAAGGGTGGACTCCTATAGATTGGAACCAAGTCAGTCACGGTTCCAGACGTGTCGCACGAGTCATTTCGCAAAAGCATCGAATATCGGCAGGTCATCCTCCTCTTTCTTATCTTAAGATCGTTGACGTAGCCCGTAGAAGAATGTCGAAATTCAATTCCACCTTGAATACAGCCCCCACCCAAACCGATATCGAATACGAATGCAAAAGACTTGTCGATGCGGATCGCGAATATCCTCATACCTTCTGGATGTTGTAGTCGCTCAGGGTGCGGCCATCCTCGAGCTGCTTGCCAGCGAAGATCAGGCGCTGCTGGTCTGGGGGAATGCCCTCCTTGTCCTGGATCTTGGTCTTGACGTTGTCGATGGTGTCGCTCGACTCGACGTCGAGGGTAATGGTCTTACCCGTCAGGGTCTTGACGAAACTATATCCAGCCGTATTAGTGGCATTTTCTCAGTTTGTGCGTGTGCTTGCTTCTTCGTTGGTGGATTCGTTGAAGGGTTACGGGATCGCGGGCTCGGAAGTTCAGGATGACCTACATCTGCACTGAAAGCAGGGGAAAAAGAATATGTTAGCTTATCGTGTTCATAGGGACGTCGGGAATGCGTTTCAACGGGTTTCAGGGCACGTACTGGTTGCGATTTTTCGTTGGTGTCGGCGGTCGGTCGCTGTGTTCGAGGCGGAGGAGGCGATTACAATTTGAGGATATCTCGCTTAGAAGAGGTGGGCCAACCACACTTACCCTAAGCCCTAACATTACCACCCGCATCTTGCCGCTTTCAGACACCTCACGTGACCTTCCCAATTTAGGTATTGCGTCATCTTATTGGACGAAGTATAAGTTCAATGGAACTTCATGATATAATCTGTCGCGGAAGGTACAAGGCATTCGTACAGTTACCAAAAACTGGTGTATATTATTAATTGAGCCTTGAAGGAGTCATAGCGCCACGAGTAGTGTTATACATCCCCAACATCCAACCCCATTAGTTGTTCATCTAGTTCATCTATCTCGTCCCCGCTATTCCCATGGAGTCCATCTTCACTACCCAATCCATCTTCACTATCAGATTGCGATCCATACCCCATAAACTCCGAGCGACGTTGATGGTCTTGCCAATTCGCAATCCGCCACTCGGCAGCTGTCACAGCCCGGACCAGTGTATGCAACGAGACGCCGGCCAATTTAGCTGCTATCTCGTGAAATAAGCGTGCTGCCTCAGGAAGTGTTGATTCCCATCGGTATCGACGATACCAGATGCCTGGCCTGGCAGCTATCGTTCCCTCATGGTCTGGGACAATGGGCACTGCGAGTACACTTTCCGTGATTCTCCGTACCATAGCATTAAGTGCTTCCTCCCCATCATCATGAGAAGGTGGTTCTGGACCGGGGTCCTGTGTTTCTGTTTCCTCAAGGGGAAATAAATCGGAGAGCGGATTTGGGTCCCTCGAAGTATCCAACCAGTTCTTCTCATACCAGTCCATGTACTGATCTAACTGATGGGGTTCCATTCCCAATATATCAGAGTCGCGTACTTGAACGGCTTTTTCTTTTCCAATATTCCCCTCTGTGTGTTTCTGAGATTCAAATTGTTGCTGAGCCCGCATCCATTCTTGCCAGTCGATGCCCTGGGCGGCGGGTTCCAAGGCTGTAGCTGGGTGTCTTGGTATATTATCAAACGGGAAGAATAATTTGGTGGCTATGACAATGAGAACTACCATCTGGATCTCAGGCAGCTGGATAGATTCTATACGCTTGTCGTCATTGAGAGAATCTGGATACTCGAAAGTGAAGCCCAGAAGTTTTTGTAGAGTTTTGATGATCTCGTATACATCAACTGCCTTTATGTTAGTTTCATGGAGGCGGTAATCGGGTTACGATTAATACATACTTGGGACTGCCAGTCTTTTGATGTGCCGGTATAAGATGATAGGTGAATTCATTGGAGGTAGCACAATTCCAAACCGGCGTTGGTAAAGGAGCGCCATATCTCTGAGCGCCCGATGTAGAACTTCCACTTTTGGCATTTTCTTCAAAAGAAATTAGTGAGATATTAGCCAAATACACAAATTCAATATCTTACCCTGACAGTGAGGATTGCCTGAAACTCCGGAGGAAGCTGATTTTTGATCTCCCGAGGCACAGCCTTCAATGCTCGGAGATAAGGGATATCCTGGCGCATGATCAATCTGTTGGATGAAATCGGACAGTCAGTAAAAGCCAATGACATATATCATGAGCTATACCAGAGTACTCCAGCGGAAAACTGCCGTCAAATACAGGCAACCCATGAGCAAATTACGTACTTGTGAAGGTCATAGACACAAATTGGAAGCCGCATTAAAACTGCGGCTAGATAACACATAGCCACGGTTTCAGGCATACGAGGCCATGTATGGTATTTTGGCCTGATGGTGAAGTTCGGTTGATCATCTTCCTTCTGCGAGGGCTGGGAGCTGAAAAGCTCAGGCTCACTATCAAGCTCCTCGTCATCTGCGGATTCGTTGATCCTCAATGTGTAGTCTTGGAGTCTTAAAGCCCAGAGGTCACGAACAACACCCTGTTGTATCTATTAGCATTTTTCTCGACGAGTACACATATGTGAATGATATACCTCGAGCTCTTCTGGGAATCCATGGTCATGAATCAGAGCATGACATTGTTTCCATAGGATCAACTGATAAGCCTGCAAGAAAAGGGTTTGTGCCTTCCGACCCCGAGCAGCTATGTGAAACCGTTATTAAAGAACTGGTGCTTTTAAAGAAGTGGTACATACTCCTTCGTGATTTCTCCTCCTTCTCCCTCCTCACCCGATTGATTTTACCCAGGTTTCCGAAATCATCCGCATCTTCTTCAATTTGCCGGCCCTGAATGTATATATTTAGTTTCAGATATCCCTTTGTGCTCGTGGGATTGAGTGATTGAGTATGACAGGGCTCGTGCATACCTCTTGCAAATGGCCGCGACGGCAGAACCAGAGACCATTATCGACATAGTACTTTCGCTCACGGCATGACTCTTGGCCACAAACCCCTCGGGTGACATAGTCCATGCCGAGGCAATGGGTTCATGATGGTTGGGGGATGTTGAGTTTTGACGGTTCGGAACATGATTTTTTTTCTGCCTTTCCCAGCGACCGCCGGTTCTGCATTCGCCGGCTTGCAACTGCGATCTCCCTTTTTGCGTTGAGATTAGCCAGACTTAAGTTGCATATGAGCACTAAGATCTTATGAAGCGATCTGAATTTTACAACTCCATTACATATAGTGGAGCATTTACAGAGAACAAGATCCTAGCAAGGTATACTAAATTATTCGTTCGTCACACTATCATGAGATGCTAAGACTCAGAACTAATCATCGGCCAACATGTACTATGCCAACCAAAGCAATTCTTCTTGTCGATGAAGCCTACATTTCCAAGACCGTTATGAGGGCAAGGAATCCGGAAAGCGCTAAACAGAATAGACCTTGGGTCAATGGCCCAACGGACCGTATTCTTCATCAAAACATTGAAGTTGGAAGTTTGAGGTGGAGCGAGAGAGGGCAAATGCCCAATTTTTTTTAACGTAAAGGTTGACATGACATGCGGAAGATCCAAGAGTATATGGCGTTTAACCGGACTTGGGGGCCTCCTTGGCCTCAATGCACATCTCCTCACCCATGGCAGTCTGGACGATGACGTCTGTAGGTAGATTGTTAGCGGATTTATATATCATATCACTTTATGTAGGTTATACTCACTGACGTCCTTGCCCTCGTCCAACAGGGTCTGCAGCTTCTTGCCAACATCACCCTCGGGAACCTTGCAATCATCCTTGGTGTCACCGTCCTCGGTCAGGAGGGAGAGGAAACCATCCTCGATGTCGAGCTAGATATCAAGTATTAGTAAAAAAGCCAAAACCGGTTGCGTGGCTTGCAGATGGTACTTACAACAGTGTACTCGCGGCGCTGGACGTGGGGGACATCCATGTTGTGGGTGGAGGGAGAGAGATCCTCAAGCTTCTTGCCAGTGAAGATATCGGTAGCGACCAAGTGAACCTTGGCGTGACCGTGCTTGCCAGTCTTGGAGGTGGACATGTCGATAATCTTGCAAGGGCGACCCTTAATGACGACGTGACCGTTCTTGCGCAGAGCGGAACACTGCATAGGGTAGGTGGTCGAGGCACCGGCATCAGCCGACTCGAAGGTAACGTCGTGCTATAGCATTGTCTTAGTCATGGTCGTTCCTTAACAGAGGGTTTGTTCTCCGTGCCGGGCTCGAGAGCGGCAATGGTGCACCCGTGAAAAAAGAGGGGAGAGAGCCTCTAGATGCGGGGCTCACGCGCACATCAAGTGGCTTGAAAGATTGCAGGGTTGGAGGAAATAAGGGAGAAAACACGCAAACAGCAGCTCATACCTCTTCGGTGGACATGGTGGATGATTGGGAGGTGGGTAAGGGGTATAGAAAGACAAGAGATTTGGAGGTGGAAGGGGAGGGAGGAAAGAGGAGTTTTCGTCGAACAGAAAAGACAGAAAAAGGCTTTGTGGTGGGGGGCGTGGTCGCTACTCCGTTTTAGGTTTAGCGTGACCGGGCGCTGTTTGGCTTCAATTACTGGATGTACATAACTAACTACTCCGCCTTTTCATTATAACCTACTTGTTCCTATTTACTGAAACAGATTCCTTAGCTCATCTCTCAAGTCTTTTGAAAGATGTGGCGTGACCGCATTTCGGGTCAATCGACTCCATCGGGAGGTAATCGTAATCCCTCCTTACCCCGACGGTCTTCATCGCAACTCTCCCGAGGCCCCTACAACGCTCGTCCTGGCAATACCTCAAGAACCTCCTCGACCTCATTACTCGTGTCTCCGAGTGATTCGACTACCTCACTTCCAGGAACCGCACGTCCACCCAATGGCACGGGATTGAGACAGTCAAATGCTCAGCGACCGCGTCCGGCGGTAGTTCCCGACCCGCTAGAGGTCTTGAATGGGATCATTCGGAAGGGGCAACAGGAAAAGGATATCCCGCAACTATCTACAAGACCAGAACAACGACCAAAAGAGTTGGTGGCGACAATTGACTTTGAAGGATTGAGTCTGGAGGAATTCGTGGCGAAGGCAGCTCCGACAGCCAGAAAGTTTCCTGGCAGCGACGTCGATGCGCAAACGATTCAACAGTTCGAGCAGGAGCGGGACAAGTTCCAAGATCTCCATACCGCCATTAGTGGCTGTGATGATGTCTCCAAGTCAGTGGAGCTGTACCTGAACGACTTCCAGAATGAGTTGGGAGCGGTGTCCGCGGAGATCGAAACACTGCAAACTCGCTCTACCCAGCTGAATGCGATGCTCGAGAACCGAAGAAATGTTGAGCGCTTGCTTGGCCCAGCGGTGGAGGAGATTAGTATCTCACCGAGAGCTGTTCGTGCGATCGTTGAAGGTCCCATGGATGAAAATTGGGTGCGTGCCCTGAACGAGATTGACGCTCGGACTACAGGCATCGAAGCCAAGGCGTCCTCCTCGGCTGGTTTCAAGGCGATCGAGGATGTACGACCACTTTTGATCGATGTGAAGAATAAGGTAGATAACGTCTTGCGATCCATGTAGACCTTGTGTTGACATGCATAGGCAATCGAACGAATCCGAGACTACTTGGTGTCGCAAATCCGGGCGATGCGATCACCAAATATCAACGCGCAAATCATTCAGCAGCAGCAATTGGTGAGATTCAAGGATCTATATACCTACTTGTCAAAAGTGCATCCGACTCTTGGTGGAGAGATCTGTCAGGCGTACATCAACACTATGCGCTGGTACTATACGTCTAATTTCACTCGCTATCTCCAAGCTCTCGAAAAGATCAAGGTCTATCCTAGTGATCGCAATGAAGTACTTGGAGGTGAATCCTCAACGCACAGAACAGGTAGGGCCAGCAAGCACCTTCCTTCTCAAGCGATACTAATGATCCACAGGGGGTATCCTTCCAGGCGGCCGAGCTGGCTCTGCTGCACATGACCCCTTTTCCTTAGGTCGACGAATTGACGTTCTCCGAAACGGGAACCAGCCTGCCATCTCATCCTACATTGCCGAGGAAGATCAATCCTATCATGGGATCGAAGTGCCGTTCAGAAACTTCAATGTTGCTTTGGTAGACAACGTATCTGCCGAGTACTCTTTCCTTACAGAGTTTTTCTCGCCCTTGACATTCCACGAAATCTCGCGCAAAGCCGGGGAAATCTTTGAACCGGTTTTCACCCTTGGCCGAAACCTGACAAAGAAGCTCATCGAAAATAACAATGACTCACTGGGTGTTTTAATGTGTGTTCGTCTGAACCAGCACTCGGCTTTTGAATTCCAACGGCGTAAAGTTCCTGTTGCAGATTCATATGTAAACGGTATCAACATGCAGCTATGGCCGCGCTTCCAGGTTATCATGGATCTCCATGGAGAGTCGCTCAAACGAGTGGGATCCAATACTGGACGCAGTGCAATGTCCGCTCTTTCCATCGCAGGAGGAGATGATTTGAAACAGTCGTCTGCACCGCACTTTCTGACTCAACGGTTTGGCCAACTGCTCCATGGAATTTTGGTGCTCAGCAGTGATGCTGGGGATGACGAACCCGTGTCAAACAGTTTGGCTCGTCTACGCTCCGAATTTGACTCCCTCCTGGCGAAGTTGAGTCGAAACGGCACAGACGCAAAGTGTAGAGAGCGATTTCTCTACAATAACTATTCATTGATCTTAACCATCATTAGTGTAAGTCCCCCTCTCCCCCCATTTCTCTGTGGAACAGATGCTCATTGAATCTCAGGATACCCAAGGAAAACTAGCGACTGAACAGAGACTCGTAAGTTTTTTCCCTCACTGTTGGTGTTATGTGGTCGACTAATGGTTCTTCAGCATTTGGACGAGATGCTTAAAAGCTGCAACAAGCGTTGATTGCATAGCGGCTTGTATTTGCAATGTAAATTCCCACTAGATCTGTTTGAGCGTTCTCATGTATCTGAATATAAGCATATAATTATCCCTATTTCCGCCCTTTATTGATGTTTTCGTAGCATAAAACGTATGGCGTGATAAAGTACTAAAAATTGCACAGGTGGACTCCGAGTGATCGGCATCTCCACTCCGCGGGGCCTTATCTGCAACTGCCGGTCAATTAGCAACCTGCAGCCCCCCAAGTTTTTTCTCGCAAAGATGCTGGCGCGCGCAATTGCAAAGCGCAGTCCAGTACTTCGTCGCTGTTTTTCCAGTGCACAAGCTTCTCGTGCTGACTTTACCCATGCAGTAAGTTTCATCCAACCATTCTTTATGGCGCAATGCGACCGAGCATGGCCGAACAGCTTCAGGCCGTCAATTAACTTAGTATAGGTCATCGGCGCTGGCGTTGTTGGACTTGCAGTTGCACGACAGCTAGCTGCACATGAAGGTACTTCGACAATCATCCTGGAGCGCCATGATGCACCGGGAACGGAGACAAGCAGTCGCAACTCTGAGGTGAGCACCTACCAGATTTCGATCCCAAAAGCATGGAATACTGGAACCATTGACCTTATTCAATCGGATGATATAGCTGACACGCAACCATCGCATTTCAGGTCATCCATGCCGGCCTCTACTACCCCGCCGACTCCCTTAAAACCAAGCTCTGCATCCGAGGCCGCAATATGATGTATGACCTATGCTCGAAACACGACATCCCCCACCGCAACACAAAGAAATGGATCGTCGCCCAAACGGAAGAACAATGGGAAGCCTGTCTCAAGGTACACAAGCACGCGCAATCCCTAAGCGACGCGCCGACTCGGCTCATCGGCGCGGAGGAAGCGGCCCGTCGCGAACCAGACGTCAAAGCCGATGCAGGCATCGTCGAGAGCCCAACAACCGGCATAGTGGATAGTCATGCGCTAATGACCTATCTACACGGAGACCTCGAGAACAATGGCGGCGACTGCGCGTTCAAGACACGCGTGACGGACGTCGAGTACATCTCCGGCGAAGGATATAAAATCACCGCTGTGTCCGATGAAGATGGATCGATCACTTCCATCACTGCGGAGACACTTATAAACAGCGCTGGCCACGGCGCATGCGCTATCAACAACCTTCTTCTTCCGCCGGACCGCCACCGCACCCCAGCCTACGCAAAGGGTACATATTTCTCCTACGCCGCGTCTCGTCCACGTACTTCGGTCCTGGTATACCCTGCTACGTTACCCGGGCACGGTGGCCTGGGCACCCATCTCACATTGGATATGGGGGGTCGAATTCGTTTCGGACCAGACGTAGAGTGGGTAGACGACCCCAATGATCTGAAGCCTAGTCCTGCGCGTTTGGAGCAGGCGATCCCGGAGATTCTGTCTTATATGCCTGGCGTGGACCCCTCAGCCATTACATTAGATTACTGTGGTATCCGACCTAAATTGAGTCGTGGTGGTGGAGTGAATATGGGGAAATCATTCCAGGATTTTGTTATCCAGGAAGAGGAGGGATTCCCCGGCTTTGTCAATCTGTTGGGCATCGAGAGTCCTGGATTAACGAGCTCATTGGCTATTGGAGAGATGGTTGATGGGATATTATATCGGTAAATATGGGGGTTTCTTTTGCACATAGAAGCGCAGAGCATTGTGAAAAAAACAACCAATGCCAAGTATCTAGACAATGCACAGTCCTATTCATGCGTATGGTCAATTGCATACCAGTCTATTATTAGCTGTGTTGCTGCTACACGGCATGGTACAGTTCTTCAAATTCTATTTGATCATATTCCTAAAGTCGTGGAGGCACGAAGAAGATCGGCTTTTCCGAAACCATGTAAGTCGCAATCACTCTTTACCATATGACCACAAATTATAGCATTTTGATTCGCATAAGGTCTTTCCCGGTGGAATTATGGGGTTCGGGAATTCCGACCATAAAAACCGGGGTAGCTAACCAGCTACTAACTTACTATCTCATCCTAATCCATCCTCTCAAATTATTTTCACCCCTGCATAATCCCTCAACACAAGCAACATGCAAATCCTTGGCCTAGCGAACGGAACCATCAATGGAAATTCGGAGATTCTTCTCAAGGCCGCCTTAAAAGCTGCGGAGAAGGCCGACCCCTCCATTACAACATCATGGATCCATGTCCCTTCCGTCTCTGTACCCAGAAACCCTAAACCTCTGGAAGGTGCACAAGACGTCAGTATGGGAACCATTGGCCAGACCGGAGTCGGCGGTGACACCGTCCCGGATGACCGCAGCGATGTCCTCAATGCAATCCTAGCAGCCGATGCTCTAATCTTCGCAACCCCAATCTACAGCCACCAACCAGCAGGAACTCTTAAAACTCTGGTCGATCGAATTCTGGGTCCATTTACCGATGCCGCATTTGTCCAGCGAGTACTCGATTCTCAAAAAGCTGGCGAAAAGACCTACCAGCATATCAAGGTTGATAAGCGGATTACCAAGCCCAGAGTAGCTGCCTTCATCGCTGTAGGTGGCTCGCCCTTTAACGAGCAAGTTACAATGGCACTGCCTACTTTGCACCAATTTGTCTATTCTCTTCATGCAAAGGTAGTCGACCAGCAAGTCTTCCGAGGCTACGGCCGTCCTGGTTCAGTTTTATTGCGCGGTGAAGCGATCAAAAGAGCGGCAAAGATGGGCGAGAATGTGGCAAGTCAAATTGGGAAAACTTTCGACGAAGCGGACTATCTTGGTCCGAAAGATCCTGCAAGCTGTCCGTACTGCCATATGACCAAAGTGGAGATCGATTATACTCAGGAGAATGATGTTGGTTGTATTACGTGTGGAGCCCGGGGAAAGCTTGTTGTTGGAGAGAATGGACGGATCCAGCCTGTTTGGGAGACTGATTCTACATCAAGTTGTATTACTTTCAAGGGCAAGCTTAAGCATCTTGATGATCTTCGTGATGCGGCGATGGAGGAGGGGCCGGCGATGGAGGTTCAGTCGATTAAGGAGGAGCGAGAATGGTGGGCTCGGGTTGATATCGCCAAGGTTCCATTGACAAGCCAGTCTGACAGGATTCAGTCTCACATTTGAGCTCATGAGGAATTGATGGAACCACTTCAGCGGACAAGAATCTGCTTGTTTAACGGTACCTCTTGCAATTGGGCAAGGGTGTTAGAACATTCGAAGAGGCCTGGTTTTAGACGGTGGTTCTGTTCTTTACCCTTTGATAGACTCGGAAACGAAAATGTAGAATATAATAGAATGAATAGTATAGACTTTATATCAATTTATTACTTCAAAACAGCATTCTTCATGGGCACTTCATTTCAAGGTATGCACAAATGTTTGTCAAGTCAAGAGATTTCAACCTCAATAATTTTGAATTAAGCAACCGCACATCAGGTTCAGCTCGACTCTCACTTTCATCATACACTCTCTCAGATCAACCTGTCCCAATAAACGATCACACCCTTAATTCAGATAAACATCCTTTAATTCCCATCCAAAAGATGAAAAGAAGCCAACACCTGAAACTGAATAACATCTCCCACATCCACAGAGTGACTGAACATTTAGCAGCTTTATCCAATTTAATCCTATACTGGAGATTGGTAGGATTTCATTAAAACACTTCGGGTCTATCGGAGGCGAGACCATGGGAACAAAATTTGTTCCTCGCATTGGTCGACTAGAGGAAGTGGCCGCGGATACCTTCTATGTCACTTTGATGCCCAATCTCGGATGTTAGTGACGAAGATTGTAGTAGTAATAAGGCCTACTAATGGTCACTGACCTGATTGCCCTCCACCTAGCCGATCCTAATGTTACCAAGTTGCTACGCTGCCCTAGGGATTGACGTCCACATCGGAGCAAATCACAGATTTTGGCTTGCTTTAAACCGGAAAACACTTGCTGTCCAGGTGATGCATACCTGCACTCTTTGCAACTATCCGTGTAGACCTGGTTTGATATTTTCCTTGTTAGTCTCCGGTCACGAAATATACAAGTCACTAGCCTGCACTTCCAGGCTTTCTGTACTGACTTTTTCTCTTTTTTATTCATCTGCCTTATTCTGATTTAATTAGATAGATCCGGGATACAATTAATATACAGAATATCATGATATTAGACCTTAGTCATCCAACAGCCAAGACCGGCTCATTCTACATCCATCAACACATCACTCATAATATGAAGCACATACGAAAATTTCTTCACACTCCACTCTCCAGAATCCTTGAGAAGACTCGCGTAATCTAGAAAAGTTCTTCGAGCAGACTGATACCCCCCTTGAAACGGAACTCCACGAAGATAAATCGTAGCACCATTGCGAATAAAATTGACCGCCGCGTCATCCGTCGGCGAGAATGTTTGGCTTCCTCTGGGTTCCATGAAACTGGTGAATCCTTCAGTTCCAACCTGGCCCCAGTCGATATCGTCCATCAGGTCGATAGAACCAACACCAGAAGGGGTGCTTGCGGAATTGGGGACCATGAATGTGTATAGACCTAATACTAGAGCGGCGGAGAAGACTGCGAAGACAGAATGAAAGGTTGGATGGTCGGACGCTTTGCGGTTGACCATTGCTTTATAGATATGTGCTGCGTGTAGGCAGGCCCGTCTAGCAGCGGGGGTCTGCGACCACTGAGCGATATCATCGAGGGCTTTTCGCGCGGGAATAGGACCGGCTCGACCAGCTGCGAATTCGAAGATCTGAATGTCAGCCGTGAGAGTCATGCACATGTGGTGCCACATGACGAGGGCGTTCGGGCTGAGTTGAAGAAGTGATTCGCCATAAAATGTTGATATTTGTGATTGAAGGGATGGGAGACACCGGGCTCGACCGTCCATGGCGTATGTGTGACAGGGTGCGAAGGGGTAGCTGGCACGATTGGAGAGAAGTCGGTGATAAGCTTCTGATTGACGTAATTGGACCATTGCGAGTACCGCTTGAATGCTGAAGTCGTCCATAGGGCCTTCTAGGGTGGGAATGTTGATGTTTTCAGACGGTGCCAGCACCGTTGAAGCGAGGATTCTCTTGCCACCGCGGATGAGTTGAGTCCATCGCATGGAAGAGTGTGCGCGGAAGAGAGCTTCGTGGCAGGGCATGATGATTTGTATTGAGTCGGGGGCAATAATTGGACTGTTTGAAAGCAGAGATGAATACCAAGAATCCAGAAGAAGGAGACCGATGATAACTCTATTTGATAATTAGTAGGTTTCGACAAGGACAAGGAAAGGGGTCTTTGCCTCTTGGTAGATTCGACTTTACTCCAGGCTTTCCATCGCATGTCAATGTCAGGTACACTTTCGAAAAGTGTCATATCAAGTATTTGGCCCTCAGTAGCAGCGAAGAGTCCATTCCTCTGGGCAATCTACAAAAATTAGTATCAACAAGAGGCGTATCCCATGGCAAGCTTTACATACCGACATAAGGTTGACATAGAGCATTTGGCATTGCTCTAAATGGGACTTCTCCTTCAAATCAATCAGTGGTGATAACTTATGAAGGTATTACAAGGGGGACTCACTCCTGTCAACACTGCCAAGTTCAAGAAGAGAAAAGCAGTGGCATAGATAGACACAGTATTAGCCGGGCTTTCCCCACCTACAGTGTATCTAGCCAGCTCAGATGTGATCTTCTCAAGCATATGCTTGGAAGAAAATATCAGTATGTCTCACAATACAGATAGATTGGGGTGCTAACCGTAAAATTCCGTAGAACAAAAGTCGCCGTACCCTTGGTTCCCATAAGCATCATTCCAATGAGACACATCACATAGAGGAGGGACGGGCGCGTTCCCTTTGCAGAAAAGGTCGGGAGGTGAACAAACGGCACAAGAGGATGGAATTTCCGAAAGAAAAGGTCTAATGCCATGTCCAAAACCTCCGCCGGAGGAAAATGAGGGAATGATGTAGAAGTTGAGCCAGACATGGCAGGGGATGGAATATCATTTCTTAAAGCCTGCATTTGCGAAAAGGGAAATGGCGTCTGGGCAAATGCTGCCTGCAAAGAGCGTCTGCAATTATCATCCACCCCATATCGAGACCCTTGAACCAAGTTGATATCACTGGGCAGATTCGAAGGTTTGATCGAAAACACATTGTCAATATTAGTGTAGACAATATCTCGCCAAAGGCTATTCACCAGCCGACCATGATTCGTTGGCGCAAGCCAGCACCGCTGTACCCTGGAAAATCGTTCATTAGGAATATTGTCACCTCCAGACTGGCCACTGTCAATTGAACGTCGATTCTGGGGATCTGGAGTCATCACGACATTGTCTCCCATTAACGGCAAATGGCCCATATCCAGCGATCCATGATTGGATCCTCCATCTGTGCGAGGCTCAAGCCACAATTGCAGCATATCGTTCGGTACATCCTCGAACCCTGCACTAACTTGCTGCATGGTTTGATCTGAAGGAGTCACTTCGTTCCAGCTGAAGTACTGCTGCTGGTCTTCAAACATGGGGTGGATATCAGAATCAGCTCGGCCTTGCTGTGCCGAGATATTCGCGAGAAAGTCTAACGGGGAATGTGGAATCCCGGGAGTTGAAAGCGACATATCCCGGGGGACTGGAACATTGGTGGTTTGATGCGCATCTGCACCAATGGGAGGTAACAAATGCGTCCCATTCTCTATACCAGGGCCAGCCATCATCGGCGATGCTCCGGATACAGTGGAGGGGTGTCGATTTGATGCATTGTTTCCACCTAAATCTTTCGACTTGGTCCCAGTAGCTGTGCCTTGATTATGGCCTTTGGCATGGCGACTCAGGACATCGCTGTTTTAATCATTAGATTACCGCTATAATAAAATGTGGATATTCAATCAAGAAATTCGCGTCTCAGTAAATAATCCTACCTTCGGGAAAAGCTTTTATGACAAACATTGCACTCGTAGGGACGTTCTTTGGTGTCTAGATTGACGCGTCAGAATATAATTAATTTTCATGCAGTCCGGGGAAACTGACGTGACCGCTCGTGGCGTTTGAAATGCTCTGTCTTCTTGAACCGGCGGTCACAGATGGTGCACTTTCGAAGGACCATGACGGATATATGAAAATGTTTTCACATCACCGAGAAAATGATATCTCTCATTGAAGGGTGAGCAAAATAAGAAAAACAGCTCTTTTCCCACCGGTTGGGAGACGGAAGAGGGGGGAACCTTAGTCAGCTCTTGGGGGGTTAACCCGATCTCATCTTCACAAATGACATTCCTTGGTTTCTGTTCTATTGGACTAGAAAACGTAGTGGCTTATTCTACCGAGGATCTGCCATGGTTACCCAATCAAGGGACGGTGGCATGAACTTAGGTGCACAGCATGGGCCCTTAGTGTCCAAGCTAATGGAAATTCCCCGTGGGGTGAGAAGGGGGTAGTTCCCGAGCCCTAAAGCTGCCGGTTAACCGCAAATCGTTGCTGGTCTTCGGACATGGAGTGGCTAGCCATGCTGGACAAAGAGGAAACTGAATTGATTCACAGGAATTATACAATCCAGCAAATACCTGTCCTTTTCATAGGGGAATTTCAGCATCTTCGCCAGATAGGATGCTGAGTCATCTGGTTTTCTAACCGTCCCATTGGCTGTACGATGAGTATAGTTCGGCAATTGTTAGCAGTCAAATACCGGCAACTGTATTCATGACATCACGAGACTGAAGTCGAAAGCCACATAATAAACGGGAAAGCGTGGGGAGAAGATGCATTCCTATTGACTGACCGTCTCTGCCAAACGATCATCTTACGACAAATATCTCTATATCCTGCTTGCGAGATTTCTTGCCTTCTTTAACCCGTTTAAGGATCTTCTGAATCTTCAGGTAGGCGGTAAATTTGTCCTGAGACAAATTAGTTGCCAATACTCGAAGGTTCAATTGGCAAAACTCACCGGCAACGCATCCCAGGCCTTGAGTTAGTGCCGTGTTTGAAGATGCCACAGCTGTACCGCACTTACTCCGTGAACAAGAATGAGTGCTAAGTCACAACATACCTTCCAGGATCGAGACTCATATACCTGGTACCTCATCTCATAAACGTATGCCTCGTCAAAGTTTCCGTGGGGTATGTGGCTGATCTCAACACTGCCTCCACCAGGTAGGAGGTCATCGGAGCGACCAATTCCAATTCCGTACAGAGAGGCCAAAATTCCGCGGCTGAGATACGGTGGAAGTAATGTTAGACGGAAAGTGTTGGAGGCGACATCCCAGCGTGGGCCAAACCACAGGAAACCAGCCGACGGGGTGAAGGGATCGTGAGATGCGGTTGTCATAACGCAGTTGACTGACGGATTGGTATGGTCGATCAATGTCACATTTTGGGAAGGAAAATTGGTCAAATCGTTGATCGGCTGTGTCTCCTGGATGGGCGGAGAAGTCATCTTGCGAATGTAAGAATGGAAGTTGACAGGATGAGGGTCAAGTAAAGCCGTCAAGCCGAGGCAAGGTTAATTCCAATCTTTTCAGGGCGGGGTCATGTCTCGACATTTAAAAATGTGAGATGACCTTGAAACTTCCCAGCTGTGTAGAAGAATATCATAATTCAAGTTTGTGAGACCTATATAGAGTGTAACAAAGTGTACCTCTCCCACATCTTAGACCCACATGATACCTCTTGAGATCTCGAGTCAGGGTTAAGCTTGATCGGGACCGCTGATTGAATCATTTGTGGGGCTATTTGTGCATGTGGAGCAGCCTCATCATGGTAAGTGTTGGGAGTGAATAAGGTTGAATTTGCAACAATGGCATATAACACACTGTGGTGAAACGCCAAAGCCGTCCATAAAACGATCTTGCGCTTCAAGTCTGGTATTTCAAATAGGGTTAACCATTTGCAGCAATTGTATCCATTTTTGATTCTCTATACTATATTAGAAAGGTAGCATTATACTCTGTACTTCAGCCTTGGGGGTGTGACTTATTGAACCGCCAGGACATCATCCACCATCCGCGATGCAGCGCCCAAGTAATTCACTGGGTCACAAAGTTCACTTAGACGCTTCTGGTTCATCTTCTTTGTAACCTCCTCCTTCTCTAGTAGAGACTCAAGCAGAGTCCGTTCTTTCTCAAGACTTTCCCGGCAGGCTTCGTACACAATATCATGTGCTCGCTGACGGCCCACATATGGTGCCATGCCCATCATAACAGCCTCGGCGACAATCAATCCTTTCGTGGAGTGAAGATTTTCCAGCATCTGCTTGCTATTGACAGAAAGGCCTGAAAGTGCAAAATGAGTTTGAGATAAAGCTCCAACAGCGATAACAAAGCTCTCTGGCACAGCTACCCACTCCAAGTGCCAGGGACCCGAGGCCCGTTCAAAGTCAGCTACCATCCCATCAAGAACAAGACCCGCGTTGGACCGGAGAATCTTAGACGCGGCCAAGATGACCTCACTGGATATGGGGTTGCGCTTTTGAGGCATGGTCGATGATGCTCCTCGGTGAGGCACGAAAGGCTCAGCCACTTCACTCAGCTCATTCGAAGACATGATAATAATGTCCAGCGCTAGCTTCCCCATTGAACCACCCATTAATGCGAGGAAATTGGTAATCTCGGCTATACCATCGCGTGCGACGTGCCAGGTAATCGAAGGATCGGTCAGACCAAGCTCTTTTGCCAATACCCTACGCACCCGGAGGCCATCATCGCTATTTCCCAGGGATGCAAGTGAACCTGCTGCGCCACCAAACTGTACCATCAAAGTTCGGTCTCGGAGCTGCTCCAATCGCTCCAGATGTCGCTGGAACCCAGATAGCCACACGGCGCACTTGTATCCAAAGGTTACCGGCAGTGCATGCTGCAAGTGTGTTCGTCCGGCCATTGGAGTGTCCTTGTACTTTTCAGACAGTTTGCGCAGAGACTTGATGACATCCTTGAGAATTTTCTCAATGATATCCAGTCCCTCTTTCATTTGTAAAATACTGGCTAGATCCATGATATCCTGCGTCGCAGCACCCCAGTGCACATATTTGCTGACTTCTTCACCACATATATCCGACAGCTGACGGACGAGCGGGAGAATCGGGTAGCCGACGATTTCAGTTTCGTGACGCAGCCGCTCAAAATCCAAGGTTGATTCTTGTATTCGTTGCGTTACCAAAGCTCCAACTTCAGAAGGGATCACGTCGCATTTGGATTGTGCTCGAGCCAATGCGGCTTCGGCATCCACGCAGCGGCGGATGTATGCTTCATCATCGAAGACCTATGTGATTATCATAAGATTGGTTCTAGTGCTAAATAGTGATAATTTGCCCACCTTGCGAATCTCATCGGTTCCAAATAATGTACGGAAAATGCCCGAATCAATCGCACTGACTGAGCCAATTGACTTCTGTCCCGTGATGGCAGTGATGGAACTGATGGGCCGAGCCGTGGCCCGTGATAAAGGGCGCGAGAGACGCAGAGCAATGGACATGGTGTGCAGTTGCTTTCGGCTTTTTCAATATTCGCAGAGTTATCAATTTTCCAGTGGTGATGGGCTTTGTGGCGATTGGGATCAAGCTTGTCTAAGTTGTGCCCCACATAACATACACGTATGTGGGGTTGACAAGGCTCAACAATGGAGACCTCGGAATATGCTGAAAGCCTGCGAATAGTTGGAAAATAAATGCAATTTTTATCCGTATTCGCATTATCTATGGATGTCCAGATTTCGTGACGAGAAATGACGAGCTTTGATTGGCCAGTGCCATCAATCTCGCAGTTGGACAGATTTGTTTCCGGTACTCAGCGATCTCGAAAGCTTCGCGAAATACTCATCCAACTTGCTAGACAGCATTCCTTTTGGAAACCTACATATAGCGAAAGATGCTGGTGGATCCATAGTTCGCCGATTCTACAGACTTACAAAATGACGTAATGATAGAGGGGATAGTCATAATGTGCGCCACCCGCAGTAGAACCATGTAACTGATGTTTATTACATATCTCCCTACTTATTTACAAGAACGTGAAATTCTCTTGACTATTGGGATACTCCGAAGAGCTAGTATTTGTGTGGCTAGCGGTGACCCCTTCTCTAATGGCTCTGCATGTGCAATATAACTTTCATGGCCTGACCGTTCAGACTGCAATGTTATAACGCTTGGTTAGCCAACGTTTACAATATGCGCAGAAGCGAACTAAACTTAATCTACCCCATCCATTGCTGATATACTGTTATTTGCATCGGCCTCATCGGTGAAGGTAACAAAACCATGCCCTCTGCTCTGGCCAGTACTACGGTCACGCATAACTATCTAGATGGTATAAGCAATCGCATGTTTTCCATCGGCTCAGATGCTTCAATTAAGAGGGGGTGTGAATAGAGGTATCAGTGAATTGACGTACCGCATCAAGAACCTGACCATTCTGAGAAAACATGTGATGTAGGTCGTCATCGGTGGTATTTGGGGAGAGATTTCTTCACGTTCAAATTGAGTCAGCTGAAGCTTGGAGCCCGCTAGCTATAGGCGGGTACTTACGAAACAAAAATTTTAGGCGCAGATATGGTTGATATGACGGATTTTTATCGTGTATATTAGTAGGCGGATGAGTTCAATGTATTAATTTGGGATGCTTGAAGGGGAGGATGTTCACAGGGGACTGGGAGGGGGAATGGGTTATATGCTAGGGCGAGAATGCGGAAATATTTGGACCTCTACGGGGTTTACACCGTAATTTTTACACGGAAACTCGAAACTCCGATAAGGCTCCTCAGCATACGTAGCGGATCTCTGATCTCGATACTGGGGTAATAATTGTGGCGAGCTGAACACTCGTCATAGGCCCCTGACCCTTGATGATCACTTCTCTACTAAGAATGCTAACATTATACGAATGATGTGTGATTGATGTTCAGTGCATTTGTATGCTTCTACGTATTCTTGCAGCATTCATGTAACATGCTTTAGGTTTATTCGCGAATGAAGAGAGATGCCACTCCTATACCGGTACTGGCAATGCAATGTTAGCGAATGTTTCACATGTAGGCCGAAATGATCTTACCTGGCACACATGCTCACGATGCCCATCTCTTTACCTTGTCTTTGAAGCTCCGAGAGCAGCGTAGCGACCTGTCTGGCACCGGTCGCTGCGATAGGATGTCCTAGAGCAATGGCACCACCATTCGGATTAATCTTGCTCATGTCCAGACCCAGCTCACGGATGCAGTAAATGGACTGGCTTGCAAATGCTTCATTCATTTCCACAATGTCGATGTCTTTGTTTTCGATTCTTAGATATTTGTAAAGATTTCGAATCGCAAAAATGGGCCCGATTCCCATTTCGTCGGGCGCACAGCCCGCGACTTGGGTGCCAGCAAACCGGGCAATGGGCTTCAAGCCGTGAGCATCGGCCCAGGACCGGCGAGCAAGTATGGCACTTGAGGCACCATCAGAAATTTGAGAACTAGACCATGTTAGAATGTGATAAAATTAGGCCAAATATGCAACTCACGAATTCCCAGCAGTGCTAGACCCATCCTCTATCACAGGACTCAGCGTTGCCAACTTCTGCGCAGTCACATTTGTACGAACGCCCTCATCACGCTCGACCACCGTAATTGTCTCCTCGTCAATACCTGCGCTGATTGATCTAACTTGAACGGGCACGATCTCATTCGCAAACCTGCCAGATCGTTGAGCCTCCGTCGCACGACGCTGACTCTCCGCGGCAAACTCATCCTGCTCACGTCGACTAATCCCATACCGCGATGCGACATTTTCTGAAGTCTGCAGCATGGGCAATAAACAATCTGTCGCATCCTTCTTTGGCGACTCCTTCAGTAAAGGCGAAACATCCACTGGAATTCCACGTGTCGAATAATTCCGCGTCATACTCTCCACACCACCTCCAATTCCGACGTCGATCTGTCCCGCTAAAATTGAATGCGAGATATGCGTGATCGCTTGCAGACTACTGGAACACTGCCGATTGACAGTGTGGAAAGTCGTGGAGTTCGGGAACCCCGCAGCATTGAGAGCCATGCGCCCGGTCTTTGCAAAACCCAGCTCCGAAAGAACATTCCCAATTAGCACGTCATTAACCTGACCCGGCTCGATATTTGCACGCCTAACGGCTGCTTGCATGACCTATGAGTATTTCAGCTCAGCTGAAATAGCAGACCAACAATCGGAGTGGTTTACCGGCATCAGAATCTCTTCTGGGTACGCATCTTTGAAACCTCCCTTGAATGCCCGTGCGATGGGACTTCGCACTGCGGAGAGAATTACCACATCGTTTGGGCTCTTTTTCAGAATCTCTCCTGCTGTCCTTCGAAGCATATTTGTGTTTCGTGCTGGATTGTGTGGGCACGATACCTTGAGGGAAACTGGGGTAATGCGGGAGTGCGGGTGTGGATCTGCGTGGCTCTAGTGGGGCGCGTTCGGAGTCGATGATCATCGTTTCCTCACACCGCAATACCTGGGGTCTCATGCGGGGTGGCTACATGTCCGAGGAGATATCAATAATACTCTGTTTGCATTGTATGAACATGAAATTCACTACCGTTGTGTGGATGGCAATGGGAGAGTTTGACTCCTAAGGGTTACCTTTATGAAGACCTGGGAATGTGGACTTAATTTCGATGACGTTGCGAGGACGAAGAGAACATCTTCATACTCTATCTTCATCTATTCAAGCTGAGCCTCACAGCCCAACAGTCCTATATCCACTTTGATTCATCATCTCCAAATCCTCCCCCCCTTCAATATCACGCGTCTTGGACAAAATATCGCTTGGATGGAAGACGTTGAAAATCAAACAACAAATCACCATCAAAGTCGCGTCAAAAACATATACAAATGCCTCTGTTCTCTGCAGGTAGCCGGTATTCCCTTGAATATACTCAGCCACACGATAAATCGATCGAATCATTATAAGTGCACTCGCAACATATAGAACCTTCATATAACGCGTCCAGGGAATCCGCGACTTAACCAAAGCATGCATCGGAGTAGCCAGCATCCGACGATGGAAAATAATAGAGACGATGATAAAAATTCCAAATGAGACGACCTGGACGAAGAGACCTCCGACGATGATATTCTCGCCTAGGTTCACACTAGATGTTGTTTTGGCGGTCGCGAGCATGCCACCTCCTATATCCCAGCTATCAGTTCATGTCTAATAACCGGGATGAAAAGAGCCATACCGCTGCTCTGCATGAGAAAGGACAAGACATCGCCCGTGACGAAGATCTTTGTGAGCCACGTTGGTCGGATAATTGAATTCGACTCGCCATTCAATAGGCGAATGATTCGACCGAGAATCATGTAGATGGATGCTGCGAAGAAGGAGGGTGCTAGGAGAAGGAATAGTTCTTGAATTACGTAGGGCATGGTCGTCCAGTCGGGTGACTGTTTAGCGCTGTAGTATCTTGCTGCATAGCCGATTGTCTCGACTATTCGCGTATTTTAGCATAACAAGGTCGGCGGACAATTGTTCATTAGAAAAACATACAAAGTCCTCCAATGACGAAGGGGATGAAGAACCAGCTTCTTTTTCGAATTACCTGCCAGATTTGAAACGCTACTGAAAGGCCAAATATGACTGCAAATGCGATAGCCGCGCTAGGTGATGGGTCATAGTTGTAGAGTTTGTAGGTCATCGTAAAAGAAAGAGAAACGTGATATAACAAAAAAAGAATTGAAGAGAACCTAGGTTGAAGGAGAGTCGTGAGGAAATACTAGAACTGGCCCTGCGAAGGGCATCCGTTAAATAAGAATAAATGTTTTCATGTTTACTGGGCCTTATGGAGACATGGATCTGTTTGTTGCGTAAACCTGCTAGCGTGTGGGATAATATTAGGTCTGACCAGGCAACGATTAGCTGTAAAGTGGGCTAAATTAATCGATATGTTCAAAGAAACTTAAAATAACAATACCAGACCCTTTCTAGAGAAGTATACGAAATTTCGAACGAAGAGAAGAGTTTTCGGGAGAAAAAATTACTATTTGTATACTTGATAGAGATAAGGGTACGAGTACGAATGACATACGATTGGTCAGATCCTCGAGACCCACTATATTTCCTATCTGGGGTAGAAACACGAATGCGAATCTATTCGTGATACCATGGCTCTAACGTATACTCCTGAGTCCTGAACTAGGCGGCAAAAATCAATCATCTACTCCACTTGTGAGAATTATCTATATAAGCCTTCTCCCTGTCAGGGTCCAGGGATTTATTCCCCATCATTGTTTGTTTCTATCTTTATTAGCAGATCCAATTGACTTTGAGTTAGTTGACATCTTTTCCATTGAGAATACCAAGCCGACCGTGTCTGTTATCTATTGCAATGAATTTCACGTTTTACTACTATGACCCATCAGCTGCTGCTGCCGCGATTTTCGTTGTATTGTTTGGGTTGAGTACCCTTCTGCACTTCTATCAACTTGTGCGAACAAGAACATGGTTTATGATTCCATTCTTGATTGGAGGGATTCGTAAGTTGAGATTATTCCCTCATGTTGACGTTGTGCTAATGCTTCCCTATAGTCGAAACTATTGGTTACGTTGGCCGTTTGCTATCCTCGCGCGAGTCGCCCAATTTCACCGAAGGTCCCTATATCATTCAAAGTGCCTTGCTTTTGATCGCACCCGCATTTTTCGCTGCGAGCATATATATGACTCTCGGTCGAATTATACTTATGACTGATGCAGAGCGATCATCTATGATCGGAATAAAATGGTTGACCAAAATGTTCGTCACTGGAGATGTTTTGTCTTTCTTGATGCAAGCTTCAGGTATGCTCCACACTCGGATATAAGATATGATCATAGACAATGCTAACAACATGACAGGAGCGGGTCTCATGGTTGCCAATACAAGTAGCCCGACTACCGGCGAGCACGTTATCATCGGTGGTCTCTTCGTGCAGATCATCTTCTTTGGCTTTTTCACAATCACAGCCATCGTGTTCCAGGTTCGCCTCGGCAAAAACCCCACCGCTCGTTCCGTTGAGTTGGGAGGAATCTGGCCTCGGCATATGACCGCCCTCTATGTTTCCAGCATTCTAATTCTGATCCGTTCGGTGGTCCGAGTGGTGGAGTATCTTGAGGGATACAGCGGGTATCTGATGAAACATGAGGTTTTCATCTATGTCTTTGATGCACTGCTGATGTTTTGTGTCATGATGGTTCTTCAGTACTCACACCCGAGTGAGATCAATTGCTTGCTGGGTCGTGGGGAGACGTATTCGGAGAAGATTATCAAGACTCGGAAGTTTGTTTCCACCTCAGTAATTGAGCTTGGTGAAGACCGCGTATAGAAAGGCGTCAGATAATCCGCGGATTTTTTATGTCGTAATGAATCAGTACGTGAGATAGTTTTTTTTTCAAATTGCCTTAATATCAAGACTTGATTCCAAAAAGACTATTGTACGAAAAGGGTTCAAGTAACCATCTCATGTCTCTTGGTCATGATGTATTTGGTCTTCTCCCGAGAGAACATTTAAAACAGCCCATTCAATATGAGGTTTCCAATGAGGATCAAGGATCTGGGTGATCTCTTCAAGAACCTTGCGGCCCCAACACCCTATAGACCAGTTTTCTTGGCCCATGTGCAGAAAGACACAGTAGTGAGCCAACACTACCAAAGCGAAAGGTTTATGAGCTCTGAGATCATCGAGGTATTTTTGCGGGGCTCGAATAGCCCACCCAGCAGCCATAGTCATCGACGTAGGCTCGGCGTAGCTAAAAACAGCAAGTTGCCGCAATTGATCGATCGTCCTGGTGTACGAGTCATAGTCGACATCAGGATCCATTTGATGGTACTGAAGTTTCAACTCCTCAAGTCGATCCATCGCAGCATAAAAATGATCAGGAATATCGACCTCGGGGGTTATGACATTGAGAAGGGGTGCGAAGTTGCTTTGTCGCAAGAATTCTCCCTCCACATCTAGCACTGCCTGGACACCTCGAGCCAAAACAAAGACATTTGTGAGGGCATCCAAGCCTGGTCCGTCTTCTTTGCTTTCCATTTTGAGAGCACTTGCTAGACTAAACGCAAATGCCAGGCCAGCAAAAATCATCATGGCTTTCGCATTTGTCTGGCTGATATTGCGTAGTTGATCAGAGAACATCACCAGAGCGGTATTTTTATGCGCTATGGCGATGTCAAGCCACATCACATGTCTTTCATCTTGACGTAAATGTGAAAGATGCATAGCAGAAAGTGCCAATATTCCGTGCATAAGAAATGGTGCTTTGAGAGCTTCTTCAAGTACAGGCATCTCCCAGACTTTTCTTGTCTCTTCGTTCCGCACAGCGAATTTGTGTGTGTGCTTGATCCATTGTAATACAAGTTCTAGCTGGGTCATGTCCAATGAAGAAAAACTAGGAGTTGGAATTGAGCTGCCCGGTGAATGCGAGGTCCATGCATCGGGTATGAAAATGTGGGCATCAGGTGTCGTCTGTGGTTGATCTTCTGGTGGTGATCGAGCTTTCTTCTGAGGTCTTCGGGTATTATCCGCAAAAAAGTGAGGCCCTAGACCGGGATAAACACATGTTTCACGTCTTTGGTCGCAGTTGCTGCAAATTGGTCGTAGTTCATCGCACTGTAGTAATCATTAATACTATCAAGAGATAAATGGTAGATCCGAAAAACGGAAATTATGGGAATGAGACCTTTACACGTCTAGTTTTGCAAGTAGTGCAGCCATGCCGGGATTTTGTGTGTCCCCGCCGATAATGCATCGTGATTTGAGAGTAGGGTATTAGGATGATGTGTGTATATAACGCAGTGGGAGCCTAGGAGGCAAGCAGTGATAAGTTTAGCAATTGAGACCCGAATGTGGTGAGAAACACGAGTACGAGACGCCAGACCCACTTCATTGATCCGATTGGTTAATACCCGCCCCACTCAAGATGGCCCCAGGACACACGATCCATATAGTTCCCCTGTTCTTCGCGGATTTGGCTTTGGCTTTGGACAAATTTTTACTTACTATTATACAGGCAGCTATGATTTCCCTTTTATTAGTGATTATCATCCTGATCTGCGGTAACCAGGCTCTACCTCTTTTTCGAAATTGGTCCCTTGCCAAGCAGTTGAAAGTTCCACTTGTTATTTGCCCAGTCGCGCATGATGGGCTACTTTGGAGGTATGTGCAGACAGTTATTCGAAACAGGTCGCCTGGAATTGTGTCACAGACTTTCCCTCTTTTCCGTTTCGCGCGGATCAACTGGCTGTTCTCTGGGGAATACATGGTTACCGAGGGCTACGGCGATGTCTTTGCCCTCGTCAGTCCAAGCGGCATCCAACTCTTTGTCGGGGAGGAAAAGATTGCCAAACAAATCTTATCGCGATCAACTGACTTTCCCAAGCCGATTGAAGTAATAAGTATGAAGCACCCTACATCTCCGAACTGCCGAAAGATACCATACTTATCTTCGTCACAGAGATAATCGACGTATTTGGAAGAAGCCTGGCCTCGGTATGTTGATGAATACCAATTCTCATTTCAGCTAACTTACACAATAATCAAGGTCGAAGGCGAGGACTGGAAACGTCATCGGAAATCCACTGCCGCTGCCTTTTCAGACAAAGTGAATGAAACAGTTTGGCTACAGTCTTGCGATCAAGCCTCCAGTTCTCTGCACCATTTTGTATGCCAGGAAAAGGTGTCGAATACTCAGAAAGAGATGACTCAGCTGAGCTTCGCTGTTTTGATGAAGGCATGTATGGGGGTCGATCACAACAACAAAGATGACCTCAATATCCAAATTGCGAACAGACATTTGTCAACTATTTTACGTATCATGACCATTTCAGACACGTCAAAATTGAAGATGCTCAGTTTCTTTCGACCACCTTTTCGACCAAAAACACCGAACAAGTTTGCTCTCAGCCTGCAAAGCCTTGGGTCATTTTTGGATAATCTCATCGACAACCGCAAATCTCATCCTCTCCCAAGCAACGACCTTTTGTCTTCATTACTCACATCTAGCAATCGGGAAATCCTGTCAGATGAGGAGATTAGAGGAAATCTGTTTCTGTTTGTTTTCGCTGGTCATGAAACCACGGCAAACACTTTGGTCTACATAATCTATCTTTTGGCAATTTTCCCAGAATGGCAGGCTTGGGTAACCCAAGAGCTGGATGAAATAATGTCCGACATTACTCCAACTACTGTGCCGACCATTCAAGAGATATTCCCTCGCACAGTCAGACTCAAGGCGATCATGGTATGACTCACTTCTGGAAAAATTGCACACCGAGCTGTATTAATTGAACTGATTAGTACGAAACACTCCGACTCTATGGACCAGTGGTCAAAGTTCTACGGAAGACACCAAATCAACCACAGACGGTTGTTCAGTCTGATGATTCCAGACTTCTAATTCCCGCAAATGTCCAGATCAATATCCTCCCGCCTGCTGTTCACGCTAGGACCGCTGATTGGGGGCCTGATTCTCTCTCGTGGATTCCAGGTCGATGGTTATGCAGCTCCCAGAATGCAAATAACCAGAGTGGTACGAGACAAGAAAGCATTGACAGCAAGAAAATTGACTCGCTACTAGCATGGGGAGAAGGATCTCGAGGATGTCCGGGGAAAAGATTCTCTCAACTTGAAATAATTGCTGTGCTTGTCACATTGCTGCGAAATCACTACGTGCAGCTTGCACCAAGGGCAGGCTTTAGCGTGGAGCAGGCCCGCGTGGAAGCCTTAAAGGTGATCATGCAAAGCAAATCAGGTCTTACTTTGCATATAGAGCGTCCTGAGCTCATTCAAGTGCAATGGACTCGACGATGACGCAGAATTGGCTTCATGCATCACATATTGGCGTTCCTTTTAAAAATTAAAATCATACTATTCAAATTTTCACAGAGCCCACACTAGGGTTCACGCCATCGCCTTCAGAGGCTTCATCCTTCGCACTCATCTCCCAGCCTCGTCCACGATAACGAGCTGGCCAAACACCAGATTTCCCAGGAGCCATAATTCCATTCGGATCCAAGCAGTCTTTAATCTTCTCATTGAACTTCATAAGAGCTCCATCATTCCAATTATAGGTTCCCGCAATTTGATCCATGAAGGTCAAGTGCGTACGGTACTCACCATATCCCCTCTTCGCCGCATCATCAACCATAGGTCGAACACTCGCACGTGCATTATTTCGCATAACTGGATCATCGCGATTGAAAACACTCTCAACAATAAGATGCATCTCACGCAACCCCACAACGAAAGTAGGGAATAAGTCCAAGTCAAACTCTTCACGTCGCTTGCGTGCGATATCCCATAGTGCCGTTGCATCTTCACCTCGGACAGGCGAGACGGGGCTGAACGCCACATGTCCACCATTCGGATGCCAGTTTACCCATCGAAGCTCTTCGATTTCTGGAACCCCAGAGGCAAAACGGTCACGGACCCAGAAATAGTCATCGGAAGACAGAGTCGATGGATCGATTCGTCGAGCGCCGGGGATCTTCATGAATTCCTTTTCGATGATGTCGAGTTTGTACTTGCGGATTTCCGGTGGGCCATATGACATTCCGTAATACAGCCATGCGCAGTCGCCGTGGGAAAGCCTGTTGGCGATATCGTGAATGATTTTATCGGGGACACAACCCTTGCCGTTGTAATATTGGCTTCGGGGTTTGCCTTTGAGAGCAACCTGCATACTGACGTGGCGAAGCTGAGCAACGTTTTCGAGGATCATTGCGATACGCAGGGGGCGAATGATTTCAATCTATGTTCGTTAATTCATGTACCGTGCGAGAATGAGGATTGACTTACCAGCTGAGCGAGGTCTTCCTCCTTGGGGAATGTATAGAGCTAGAAATCAAGTAAGCTTTCGACTCAAGAACATCAAAAGTGGAAACATACATAAGCTTCATGGCCTCCAGGATTCGGCATTAAGCCAAGTCCCATCTTCGTCACAATACCCAAATTCGACTGGGAAAATAGCCCACTTCATCCAGATGTCCAATATCAGCACGCATCGAATCTCGCCCAGAAAGAAGACTTACTCGGGAGTTGGTCCAAACCCAGGGGCGAACAGTTGCCAGCTATTGTTTCCCGGCAAAGCACCCATACCAGTCCTGATCACCTCACCTGTCGGAAGAACCACTTCCATACCAGAATGCATACTCCAATGATTTCCATACGGCGTATACCCAACACCACGATCAACAGCATTTCCCAGTACCGACCCACCTCCAATATCGGGGACATCAATCCAAAGATGCTTATAGCCTCGAGCTTGGATCTCTTCATACAATGCGAAGTATGTGACACCCGGCTCCACGAGACATGTGTAGTCATCAGGGTTTATGTCGAGGATGCGGTTCATTCGTCTTCCGAGGTCTATCACGACGGCGCCGCGAATTCAAGGGGCGGCTTCGCCGTAGCCATCTTAAAGTTTGTCGTTAGTATTGTCCTTGACAGTGTTGGCAAGATTCTTGAGACATACAGTTTCGACCGATGGAGATTGGTGAAATGGGGATTCGATACTCGTTGGCCCATCTGACAATTATCTGTACTACCTCTGTGGTGCTAGGGTAGACTGCAGCAGAAGCAACGAGGTCATCTTCTGCCACCACGTGCATTCCATCGTGCGTATTTGGATCTATTGGTTGCTTAGTACTAGACCGAACATTATTGCGCGTTGTATTTGCGCTTACTTTCAATATACCTGAGAAATGTATTAGTTGGATTTGCCTGGATTTGACCCTAGGTTAATACATACCACCCATCCGCTAGCTTTTTTACTAGTTCAACATTGGCTTGGCCAACTTGGTCTCGGAGGCTTTCAATTGCCCGGTGAAACGCTGCCTCACTGACACCTTGAGGCAATGCTATCTGTGTCCGATTGCTTTGGGGCTTTGTAGCTATCTCAAAAATACTGCTTTTCGCCTTATGGGCCTGTTCAAGCAGCCTTTCTGGAATTCCGTTGTGTTTCTCAGAGAGGAGGGGAGGTGGGGGGATGTCCTGCTTGGTCATTTTGAATATACTCAGCACTCCCAAGTTAGGAGTGATTTGATAATTTATAGGTCTACGTCTATGCAAATGTCTATACCCCTCTTTTGTAATATGAAGTGCGGGGAACTTCCGGCATCGAACACTTGTCCTGCTACTAGTCAAAATGATTGAGGTATATCAGCTGCACGCATATGAGCAGCAAGAAAGCGGAGGGATCCCACATTTCTTCATCACGTGAGGAGGTACTAGATTTGTAGTTGACACCAATGCAAGCCAAGCGGGGAAGTGAGGGGACCACCGATCTTCCAGACTAAGGGACGAAATGACGATGTTGAAATCTGATGAAAAAGTTAAAAATCCTAAAATAATGCTCCGTACTCCGGGGTCCCATCATGGGGATTTGGTTGCCGACGGAAGTCGGAAAGACCAGGAATGGAGCATTGCCGTTACTCAAAGTGAGCGACTTCCCGATAATTGCATTTTGCTGCCGAAGGCGAATCCCGGGTGTAAAATACATGTTATATTACTCCGAAATACACCGTAATTTCACATTCCTAATACTTCTTTGTAATGCTAGATTGCACCCCAGTAATTAATTATACACAGCAATGAGTTGTTCTTCTAGTTTTTTTTTTATATAGTAAAGACCCAGTAGAAGTCACTCGTTTCCACATCCACATTATCTTAAAAACTCCCGCATTTCACACTCCGCAAAGATGAATCTGGTACATTCTGACTAAGATCCGGTAGTGTTGTGGGGTCGGCTTCCGATGGCGGCAAAGGGCTTAGGGGCCAACGCAGCGAAGTACTCCGATATGTGGGGAAACAAGGCGGTGGCCACCCCGGAGATGCCCGGGTAAGCGTTTTTTCGGCTTCTCTGGATCAGTGTCTAGCCGAAAAATATTGCGGGTTGGGGGCACTGGGGTAGATAGCTTCGCGATGGTCCGTTTCTTCTTCTTCTCTTCTCCTGTTGGATCAGAAGACCTTCTCCCCAGACATTTCAAGGTAGTCGAGACATCATGTCGCGGCCTCTTGCCCCTGTGATGTCGGCGTTCCGCCCCATCTGGCGGCGGAACTTCTCTGCGTCCACCCCCGTTTGTGGCATCAACAAGTTGTGCGCCTCCGCCAATGAAGCCGTTAAGGACATGAAGGGTTCATCGACCGTCCTGGTCGGTGGATTCGGTTTCTCTGGTGTTCCTCTCACTCTCATCAACGCCGTTCGGGATCGCCCCGAGGTTAAGGACCTGACCGTTGTCTCGAACAACGCTGGTATGCCTGGTGTTGGTCTTGGTAAGTGCAATTGTGTCCGTAATTGAGTCGGCGAGCAGAGGGCTAACTGCACTATGTTCCTGTAGGTCAATTGCTCGAGTCGAAGCAGATCAGCAAGATGATCGCTTCGTTCATTGGTGAAAACAAATTGTTCGAAAAGATGTACCTCGGTGGCGAACTGTCCCTGGAGCTCACTCCTCAGGGTACTATCGCTGAAAAGTGCGCCGCTGCTGCGGCTGGTATCCCTGCTTTTTACACTCCCGCTGCTTTCGGCACTATCGGTAAGTCTCATATCAATTGTCCGGTTCCGCTGAAAATAGGCTGACTTGGTTCAAATAGTGCAAACTGGTGAACTCCCCGTTCGGTACAACAAGGATGGCTCTGTTGCTGAAATGTCCAAGCCTAAGGAGACTCGTGTTTTCAACGGCAAGGAATTCCTTCTGGAAGAATCTATCTACGGTGACTACGCTCTGGTTAAGGTCCACAAGGCCGATCGTCTTGGTAACTGCCAATTCCGCAAGTCTATGAACAACTTCAACGAGGCCATGGCCAAGAACGCCAAGGTCACCATCGTTGAGGCTGACCACATTGTTGAGGTTGGTGAGATCTCCCCCGAGGATGTCCACCTTCAGGGTATCTACGTCGATGCTGTCATCCAGAGCACCGAGGAGAAGCAATTCGACAAGATCACTTACGCCAAGGACCCCAGCGAGATTCTTGCTGGTGGTAACGGTGATGCCATGGCCCGCCGTGAGCGTATCGTCAAGCGTGCTGCCAAGGAACTCAAGGACGGCATGTACGTTAACCTCGGTATTGGTGTTCCTCTCCTGGCTCCTGCCTTCGTCCCCGAGGGTGTCGAGGTCATTCTGCAGGCTGAGAACGGTATCCTTGGTCTCGGTCCCTACCCCACTCCCGGCCAGGAGGACCCTGATCTGATCAACCCCGGCAAGGAGACCGTCACTCTTGACCCCGGTGCTTCCCTCTTCGGCTCCCACGAGTCCTTCGGTATGATCCGCGCTGGTAAGATCGACCTCACCATGCTTGGTGCCCTCCAGGTCAGCCAGTACGGTGATCTTGCCAACTTCATGCTTCCCGGAAAGGTCAAGGGTATTGGTGGTGCCATGGACTTGGTCGCCAACCCCGAGAAGACCAAGGTCGTTGTCACCATGGAGCACACTGACAAGAAGGGCAACCCCAAGATTCTTGCTGGTAAGTTTTATTTTTCAATATCCCGTGGTATAAACCTCACTAACAATCCGATTCCTAGACTGCACCTTCCCCCTCACCGGCCCCCGCTGCGTTTCCACCATCATCACTGAACTCGCTGTCTTCGACTGCCACCCCACCGAGGGCCTGACTCTGATCGAGCACGCCGAGGGTGTCACTGTTGAGGAGATCACCAGCAAGACCTCTGCTCCCTTCAAGGTCTCCCCTGACCTGAAGCCCATGCAGCTGTAAATTTGCATTTGAATATATACCATAGAATTGGGTCTGGAACCGGTGTCTTGTTTTATTTTGCGAATGTCAATACTCCAACATGAAGTTGTAGATTGAAAATTGAGTTTTATTTCTACAATTATTTCTACACCGTATATATAATCAAAATGAACCCTGTCTGACCAGGCACTAGACCCGCGCGCCACACATAATTGAGGGCAGCAATGCTCCATAACGCCCTACAAGTCCGTGCTGTACGCCTCTGGCTTGAGTTTATGTGGGGTCAAACCCACCTGCAGATCAATCAGTGGGGCTCCCCACGACAAGTTCGCGATAGAATGGTGGATTCATGCATGGAACTGGGACTCGGGATGGTCCGCTTTATCTGTTTAATTCGATTATCGGTGTCTAGATATGTGCAACAAGCCACTCAGTCTCTATTTTAATCAATCTTTCGATTCTTGTTTCGAGTAATGCTGTGTCATATCATGGCGAAGAATATCCAATCCCTGTAGATCAATTTAGCATTCAGTCTGAAATTTCAAGACAGATTAGACTAACCAAAATGATACCGTTCGCAATCCCCTCATCTGTCTCCCCTATAACACACAACCGGAAGAATTCTTCCGGGCCTTGGTTGGGTCCTGATCATATAGCCGTTTGAAATTCGCACGGGACATGGGATCAATAATCTCGGCCCAGATGCGTTTCCGAATCTCACTGTATCTATCGAGGATGGTTTCATCTGCGAGACCCTTATGAATACCCATTAGTGAATCAAAAAGACTGCCAACATCGGCAATGCCGCCTGTAAGACCAAGTCCACCACTAGAGCTGACTTAGTATGGAGGCACACGATCTAATCTGACTAGTGTACTACTCACAATGCGTTACAAAGATGCTCAGCATCTGCTGCAAGAAGGACCCTTCCGACACGGAAACTTGGCGCGCATCGTTGTTGCAGTTTGTACGGACTAATGTTGGTAAGTTGATATTGGTCCGGCTTGGGGTTGCCAGGTAAAAGTTTCTCATAGAGCTGGGGTTGGCGAGCAATGTATTTCTCTCTACTAAGTCCGGGCTTATCACCGTATGTGACGCGCCAGAGACCATCCTTTGTGACCCGGACTGCCATATACCAGTAGTCTGGGTGGACGACAAAATTGCTGTCCCAAAAGTTGTGATAGACCTGTGCACTCGTAATCAGTGTCGAATTCGCGGCAAGAAGTAAAAGGGATCTCACGTTAGTTGCGATGATCTGCGCATTCAGGGTTTCTCCCGGGTATTCAGATCCAAACAGCTCTCGTCGCACAGTACTGCTGGCTCCATCACATCCAATAACATAATCTGCCTCGAGCTTCTGAAGACCAGTTGGGGTCTCAACGTCGAGCCATGCTTGTTCCTCATTCTGACCAATGCGCACAATTCGATGAGACTATTTGACCTGCGCCGTGGGTTCCCGCTGAATATGTTCGTATAGCAACTCTCCCAACTGATCGAGTGGAAGTACGACCATCTTAGTCGGATAATCGTCGGGCAATACGGCGTGGGTCATGCCTGCGATAAAAGTACCATCGAACTGCCGCCATGCAAATCCAGCTGGCTGAAATCCTCGTGCCTTGGCGTCTTCGAGAACTCCAGCTCGTCCTAGTTCGTATACTGCTTGACTGGCGTAATTAGCTGCTCGAGGCTGGTCGACAACTTTCGAACCAGCATCAAACAATTCAACTTGAATTCCTTGTTTCGCAAGCAAGAGGCCGAGGATTAGGCCTGATGGCCCAGCTCCGACTATGATCACCTATAATGAGTTAGCTACAGCCATTTAAGTGGATAAGTATACGATACCTTCTTGATCGCCATGAGTTCCATTCTTTGAGGTTGTTGAGTGAAGGGGTTGGACTATTGTGCCTGATGCAATTGATCTTAAGAATTCCAACAGGGATATAGAGGGGTCGAGCAGCCCACCCCCGCCGTGGGACCATTCTAGAATTGCCTTTCATTGCAATAAAAATGCCAAGTTTATCACCTTAAGTTGTTCCGTCACTGGTTGGATCGCGGGGGAAGGGCAGAGTGGGGGCACTGGGGAGAAAAGCGGGGAGAAATCCCGAGACCCTGCATGATTCGTGTCCTTCTCCTTCTTTTCTTTTAGGTTATATTGAAAAATCACCAAAGAAACTGCTGCTGAAAGTTGACTGATGGCGCACCGTCCCAGAAGGTGCTTGTTTGTAAGGGACTCTCCCCGTGGACAGGCGCACTGTTTGTAGAGATCCTTTCGAACGATGCCTCTTCTCGGTCAGCAGGTGCTTCCCAGGGAACATTCTGAGAGTTTGTATCTTGAGGTTGATCTGGGAACTGATGCGATTGGTGTTTTCCGGTAAAGGAAATTTCGTGTCCATGAATAGCCGGATCCTTGGTGTTCTCGACGTTTTTTTCTGTCCCCTGAGTCGGCTGTGGGTCAATAGGCGAATCATTAACTTCACTAGGAGTCAAATTGCTAGAATCGTCGTTTTCATAGCCTGTGCAGTTCAGTTGCCAATTCCGAATGTTCTTTGCTGTATCCAAGGGATGCAGACTCCAATGGTCAATGCCCTTCTTCTCTATTCTTGCCAGAGGTACGTATGACGTTGCACGATCCCTTCTAGAGCCTGCGTTCTCGGGAAATAATGCCTTTAATTGACTATCTGGAATGTCAGACAGCAATTTGAAAAGGACGCTCTCAGTAACCTGAAGACGGTGCTCCAAAGCTTCAACGTAACCCTTTGCGGGACCTCTTGGTCGCACATTAGCAAAACAGCGTGATAGTCTTGAAATTCTTCTCTCACCGTTTCAAATGTTCTGGCCATTTGCATGGCCTGTTGTACTCCAGACACTGCCCACAGACCGGTCTATCCAATGAAGTTAGAGATAATATGGGAGAGCTTCTTTCCACTCCTTACTTTTCGCCACTGCACTAGATTGCGAGTTAGCATCTTGCTAATTCCTTAAAAGTGAAATACAACTTACCTTCTGTTTCCTCGATCGGCAAGCAGCACACGCAGTTGCGGCTCTTGAGGGTCCTTTCCGAGGATTGGACATTTTGTGTAAGAAAGAGTGGTCGAAGGAAGGAAAAAATCAGAATGGTATGTGTTCCCAGTAGGAAATGTGAGGCTGTGTCAATCGTTGGTTCCCAATTCAAGGCCAGAAAGAAGAGTGGATGAATTGAAGTGATTGAGATGAGATGAAGCTCTCTTGTTCAATCCGGAGAATCGAATCGCCTTAAAGTTCTGCCGACCGGGGAAAGCTCCATCTACATGCATGAATCACTGCGCAATGTTTTATTTAAAGTACTCGTTTGCCCGGGCTTTTGAATCATTTCTAAACTCATCCCTCTTCATATCCCAAGATGACTTCCTCTTACCAAATCGCATCCATTCCCGGTGACGGCATCGGTCCCGAAGTTGTCAGTGCAACGATTCAAGTGGTTGAGAAGCTGGCAAAGACACTCGGAACTTTTCAGATCAACTTCACTCACATTCCGTGGGGTACCAACTATTATAAAGAGCATGGACGATATCTCTCAACTGATGCCTTGGACACTCTGCGAAAATATGATGCTGGGCTCTTCGGCGCAGTAGGAGATCCAGGTACGGAAGATACTAAACAAAGACACCCATGATCAAAGTGCGGATCACTAATATTTCTTAGACGTACCGGATCACATTTCTCTATGGGGCCTATTACTTGCCATTCGAGGTCCTCTCCAACTTTACGCCAATGTTCGACCCGTGCGAACATTCCCAGGAACGAAATGTCCTCTCAATACTGCAACCAAAGGAATCGACTGGATGCTGGTACGCGAGAACTCGGAGGGCGAATATTCGGGCCATGGAGGACGTTCCCATTTTGGTCAACCATGGGAAGCTGCTACGGAGGTAGCCATATTCACCCGAGTGGGAATCGAACGCATCATTCGATTTGCCTTCGAAACTGCTCAGTCGCGGCCTCGAAAGTATTTGACTGTTGTGACAAAGAGTAACTCCATGCGCAATGGAATGGTTCTCTGGGATGAAGTTGCGGCGTCCGTTGCGAAGGAATTCCCCGACGTGACTTGGGACAAGATGCTCGTGGATGCCATGACAGTGCGGATGGTCTCGAAGCCGGATTCTCTCGATACGATTGTCGGCACTAATTTGCACATGGATATTCTTTCAGATCTTGCTGCTGCCTTGGCTGGATCTATTGGAATCGCACCATCCAGCAACCTGGATCCGACTCGTAAGAATCCGTCTCTGTTTGAGCCGGTTCACGGGAGTGCTTTTGATATTATTGGAAAGGGAGTTGCCAATCCTGTTGGGACATTCTGGTCAGCGGCAGAGATGCTTACTTGGCTAGGGGAGAAGGATGCATCGGCTAAATTGATGCAATGTGTTGAGAATGTTTGCGCTGCTGGTATTCTGACGCCTGATTTGGGTGGTACCTCCGGTACCCAAGGAGTGGTCGATGCAGTTTGCGCTGAGATTGAGAAACTTAAGACTTGATATAAACTCCTTAGGGATTTTCATGCCACTAGCTGTTCATTGATAAATGACTCATAGAGTCTTGATTTTCATCATTTTCTAAAGACTTCAGTATTTTCTTTTATTTTGTTACTTTTTCAACGACTCCATCGCTAACTGTACAATGCCGGTATCGGCCAAATGTTGCTTAGTCAGCTTTTTACTCACCAACCAAGTTACCCCATTCTCTGCAAAATCTATACCTCAGTCGTTCATGCAGATGCTTATCTGATATCGTGATGTCCAGCACAGGATGGAGCGTCCTGATTATGCACCCGGGACATCGGAGATTGGGTCCTTGACCGCTCACTCTAATGAGGACAGCCAATTCGTAGGCAGCTCCAGTGGAGTCTACTTCATCAACACGGTCAAACGAGCATTTTCAAATGGACTTGAAGAATCTGGGTCCCGAGAGACCGATTTTCCCACTGCAGAAGACACCCTTGTCGGAGCGCATGATTCGCCACCGCACAAGCGTCTACGTACAGAGTCCAGAGATGAACAATCCTCGTCAGGAGGCGAACCTTCTCCGTGGAATTATGATCCAGCTCTCGCCTACTTGGGTACTGCACCCCCTCCAGAGCAGGCAAAGGAGTTTATGATGTCGTACTTTAAAGTGTGGCACCCGCTTTTTCCGTTCCTTCATGGTCCTACCTTCCTGCAGGCTATGGAGAAGTTGTACACTGATAGTCCCACGCCCAATCAACGGGTTGAAGACTCTACTTCGGCGCACAGAACTACCTGCTGGACAGTTATTCTGCAATGCGTATTCAACTTAGGGAGTCTCTTGCATCCTGATCTACAAATCTCGACTGCATCTAAAATCAAGTCGCCCGGCAGCATGACACCTCTCCTCTCGACATTGGCATCTCGACATGACCTCGTCTCCTTGCAGGCATTGCTAGCAGTCCAGGTTTATCTTGTTGCTACCATGTCTCTGCGACTGGCATCCACTTTTGGAGGGTGTGTCCTGCGCTCAATGCTCCATGCAGGTTTACATCGCTGTCCATTTCGATACAGCCAGCTTTCCTCGCATGACCGACAACTTAGGAAGCGTATTTTCTGGTGCGCGTATGCAATTGATCGGTATCTGAGCCAGGCCCTCGGCTTGCCACTTGGTATTCAAGACTCAGATATTGATGTATGTTTGCCAGCGGCGCCTGAAATGCATTCCCCGCGTCTTATCCGCAATTTAAGTATGCATCCGGACGTTTCTCAATCACCTTGTGTTGCGGAGAGTCAAGATCAAACAGCAGATCACCGAAAGAAAGAAAATGTCATAGCCAGTTATGTTGATTCCGGCACACTTACCGGCCGCGCACTGGAACTATTCCACAAATCTATTTTGGTTCGCTCTGTTCGCCGCAGCTCGGTTCTGTTTTTGGTGACTGATGTCCATAAATGGTGGAATAGCTTACCTCTGGAGTTACAAGGAAAGGAGTCCGGCCACAGAAAAGAAATGGGGAATGATAACCCCTTTGATTTTGGTCCTTTTTTCACTGTTCTATATCAGCACTTGATATTAATCATCCACCGCCCATCTTTATCTTTGGATCCGTCGACCGCAGAGTTTTGTTCAGGATTACAAATATGCATTGGAGCCGCGCGAAGCATTCTTGCTGCGTTGAAAACTCAATCGGATAGTCGGCAAGCTTTATTCTGGCCTGGCTTTTTGTCTGCTGCATGGATGTCAGGCTTGGTTCTCGCCTTTGCTTGTCAGTTAAAGCAATATGTTCTAACAAAAGGTGTACAGTGAGTTCCAATTATTACCCTAGGCTGTGTCAGGCCTATACTAACTCTTAAGTGAAATCGATAACTGCTCAGAATTCCTTCGTCGCATGTCCAGTCAGTGGGAAACAGCTGGACAATGTCACCGTGCGTTGTCTTTACTGTCTAAAAAAATAAAAAAGATGGACAATAATCAACAAAACATATCGAATCCTCATGCATATACCGTGATGACGCCAGACAGAAACCCAGGCTCTATTGATTCCATTGATAGTCGGGAACGAAAGGGATTCCAACAAGACGAAATATCTTCCAATGATGGTCATCGCACAGAGGTAGGATATGCAGGCATCATTCCCGAGCCAAGGCCCGAGATCAACCCAATGCCTTCCAGATACAATGAACCGGGTAGCGATTCCATCCTCGCCGAGGATATAGGATTCCAAAGCGAGGATGCTGGATACCTGGCTGGAGGATCTAGCTTTGACTTGAACATGGTTGATCTGCTAGATGGAGCGGACTTCGATTCCCTATTCGACCTGATCGGTCAACAATATCCAAGTTTCTAGAACCTCTATGTACTGGAAAATACTATATCCTCTGCCCACTCTTACTATCCTCTAAGACGAAAACTGTCTATAGGCCTGTACAACAGCCTCCCATCCACCCGGATGATTATACTCCGTTGGATTGGACTCATCGTCAAAAATCATAGTATCCGTCTTCCGCGTGCTAACGGAGTACCAAACAAGATTCTCGGGGCTATTAGCCACACGCATCATGTTCGTCTGACATGACCCATCACACTGGGTACTATAATCACCAGTCCACTCTCCATTGAAGAAAGCCCACGCAGCACTATTGTAAAGAAGCACATCTTTCCCAGCATCAACATTTGTAGCGAGCGAAGAACGACACTTCTGATCATCACCAGCGCACCACGAGAAGTCCGGGTCACCATATGCCGACTCCGCAGTCCAGGGTGCAGGCACAGTCTGTGTCGCTCCATTGCCTTGCATGTATGGAGTCTCTGATTGTAACATACCCGCGTAGACGTTCTGGGCGGAGTGGAAATTGTAATTGTAGAGCCAATTATGCTGGATCCGGTGCCGGTTAACCAGGTGCCTTTTGTGGCTTCGACGAGGACTCCGCGTCCGGTCGAGATGACGGTGTAGGAGGATCCACCATCTAGATTGTGGTCTGCGGTCCAAGCCCAGAAGTTTTCGATATACGCAGATGATGAGGTGGTCAAGTGCATCATCAAAAACGCTGCCATGCACTTCGAGGTATCTTGCTGGTCGCAGTCGTTCTTGATACTCGTCTCTGCTGTTCCGCCGACTGTCACTAGGGTATTCCATAGTCCCACGTCACCGGGGTTTGTGCCTGCGGCATTGACCTCGACGATGATTGCACCGGGTAAGACCTCAGCGACGCTGAATCGGATGTTTTGGATCTCTATAGTACCTTCATCGCCGTTCTGTCCAACCTGCACAACAGCTTTGGGGTTTGAGGCATCGTTGAAATTATCTCCAGCTCCGGAAATCACGGCCCAGGCTTCTCCCATAATTCGCGAGCCGATGGGGATTTTCAGCGTATCTTCAACGTGGTACACACCATATGGGAAGTATGTGATTTTGCAGTTGGCAGCATTATCCGCTAAGATAGCATTCAGCGAGTCGACGTCGTTGGTTGAGCCGTCGCCCTTGACAGGGTAGCCACTTACGTCTTTGACATTGACGATCTGATCAGAGGCGTACTCGGCGTAAGTAGGTTGGCTGCGCGTGAAGTACTTGCCACCAGATAGGAGCATATCAGGACGAGACGTTGTGAAGGCTGTGCCAGTTTCGTACTGGCCCGGAGTGACGTTTCCCCAGACCCAAGTATCAACGGTATCGGTAGCCGCAAGTTTCACATTGTTATTGCTGTCGACTACGATAGAATTAGATGTGTCGTGTACCAGATTCTGGATGAGCAGCTGGCTGTTACGGTTTCCGCTATCGTTAGAGGAGTCGTAGAATTTGACGACAGTGCCTGAATTGGTCGACTTAGAATCCAGTAGTACCATACTTCCGAGTCCGTTGCTGGTCATATCGATGCCTAGGCCAACGGTATCGAACGTAGCACCCTGGAGAAGCGCAGTGTGGCCCCCGGATGCATAAAACCCAGTGGTGCAATACTTGAAGTAGATATTCTTGAAGTTGACCTGCTGATTGGAATTATTGATTCCAATCTTACCACCTGTAATCTGGACGTCGGTCACCGCAATAGTGGATCCTGCATTGATATCGATACCAGTATGTCCAGTCGAGCTGGACGGCATGTTGATTTTGACATTAGTCAACCCAGATCCCTGTGCAACACCCCACTGCAGCGCGGTGATCGTCGTATCAGCACTCAGAGCCGTGGTATCAATCACTACATTGCGGAGAAGAGTCAAGAAGCTCGTTTCAGGAGCACCATTCCCACTATCGTATCCATTAACCACAGTGTCTCCATTGAAGTTCGAGGATGCCTTCAACACAGGCGGGTTGAGTGGATCTCCCGTAATGATGGTTCCGACACGCAAGTCCAAAGTACTACCCAGCTGGTATGTTCCTCCAGGAAGAAAGACCTCAGCCGGGTACTTGGTCACACCCTGACCTTGTCGACTACCGCCTGATCCATCGTCATCAATGGCATTCTGAATGGCGCTGGTCTGGTCTCCAGAGCCATCTGCGACAGCTGAGTAATCCTGCACATTACGCCAAACTGGGTAGTTTGCATTCGATACTTCAGGGGCATAGCCGCGGGCGTTGCCGGTATGGTCTTGCTCCAGAAGCCAGTATGTTTGGGGGGAGGACGCAACTGGCCCAGTGCAGGTGTCTCGCCTCTCAGCTCTGATTGAAAACGTCAGCACATTGTCTAGTTAGTAATGTCAGAGATAACTCACCTCTCTGAAGAGGAAAGCACTGCTACTGCTGAGGCTGTGGCTAATATGCTCATCAGAGCGGCCCACGAATCAAGATTCCGCATAATCTCAGAGTATGCAAGCTATGTTCAAGAAACAAAAATGTACAAGAAACCGAGAAGAATAGCAAATAGAAGTCAGAAACAGAAGCCGGAGGATGAGTTATCGACATATTTATGCAGCGCAAAGCCTCATGTGCACGTTGCTCGTGATCGATTTCCCGGTCAGCAAGATCTGGGCAATCTCCCATTTTAGTTAGTCTCAGGGTATCTGAGGGAGATCTACAGGTGGGGGCTGAGACGAAGAGTCAAGCCTGCATCAAAGTGCCCAGCAATATCCCCCATTTGGAAGTTGCTTTCCCTGATTTATCACAGTCAAAATCAGGTGGAGAATGGCGGGGCCCTATTTCATGGTCTGATTCAACACGATATTTATCATGTCAAGCGTTTGTAAGTTGACCAAGGTTAGTGCTGACTCTGCTTAATGTAAGCGCTAGTGGACGCTAATTCAGGGGTAAACAAACACCGAGTTGCTATTGATTTGGATGTAACGCAAATACGTAAATTGACTAAAACTCATACTGCATGCGGGAAATTGCTAGGTAATACTGAAGCAAAGTCGGGTCATAGCCATCTCAATCGGATCAGAGTACTGTGCCCTCGAGCCCAGGTACAGCAAATGGAGACAGCATATACCTATCCACGTGGAACATTTGAAAGCATACTCTTATGTTACACTAGTGTAGGAGAAAAACAGATACTGGGAGACGAGATGGAAAAGAAAAGAGATTGGGGGATAGGAAGAGAAAAACGTCACAACTCCCTCCCAAAAAAAAGAGATAGATAGAAAAACCCCCATCCAGCGCCTAAGAAAACTTTTACCGACCCCCCAATACTATGCCTTTTCCCTCTGTACGTTGCTTGTCACCCGAGATCAGACAAGGATCGAAAATGTGTACTAGGTAGATAAAAAAAAGCGGAGGAAAGAGAGAATCAATGTCGTGCCGCGTTCCTAGACACCAAATAGGTGACACTGCCTAACACAAAAAAAAGAACTTTTCAAATCGAGGGATATCAGGATTGAAGGGACAGGGGGAAAGAGCCAGAAAAAGGTGTCAATGTAAAAAAGAAAGAAGACAAGAAAGAAAAAAGGTCATGAAAACGTGCATCCAAGTTTCCGAGAGGCGATGCGTGAGCGGGATATCCAATCACGACCGTCGTTGATGCGCTCGACCGTTGCGAGAGCAGTCCCTTAGGACTGGTTCTCCTCCGAGGAAGCCTCCTTGGCGGCCTCCTGGGGCTTGGTCTCGCCAGCCGGCTCACCCTCGGTACCCTTGTTCTTCATATACTCATCATAGACGTTAATGGCTTCGTCAACCTTGGCGCGGAGAGCATCCTCCTCGTCGAGCCTAAAAGAAAGATATCAGTACATGTCAAATGGAAGTCAGAGGGTAGGGGTAAACTCACAGTCCAAGAAGCTCAGTGTTGTCCATCTCCAAGAGCATACCGGTAATCTTGCCAGCAAGCTCGGGCTGCTGGACCTGGATCTTGGGGTAGAGAGCCTCACCAAGCATCTGCTTCTGCTGCTGAGGGGGGGCAGCGGCGAAAGTCTGGTGGTTGATACCGCTGGAGGAAGCACCCTCCTGGGCGGGCTGACCGGCAGGAGCGGGCTGGCCACGGCCACGACCCATCTGAGGACCACCACGGCCAAAGCCAGGACCACCACGCATGTTACCCATGGGCATACCGGGAACCTGACCACGGCCACCGGCACCACGGCCGAACTGACCCTGCATGGGGTAGCCCATACCGTTGGGAACACCGCCGGGAACCTGCATACCCATAGGCATGCCCTGGAAGTTAGGAGGGAGCTGCTGGTTGGGGGGCATACCGCGGCCACCCTGGGGGAAACCAGCGGGGTACTGGCCGGGACGTCCACCGGGGATTCCCATGACCATGCCGTTGGGAGGGAAAGGCATACCACCACGCTGACCGGCGGGGACGAAACCCTGCTGGCCGGGGCCGTAGTAGACAGCGGCGGGCTGCATGTAAGGCTGGGGCATACCAGCGGCAGCGGCGGCCTGCTGCTGACGGATGGTGTTGCGGGCCTGGATGCTAGCCTCGAGCTGGCTGCGGCGGACATCCTTGCGCTGGGCGAGAGCGACATACAGAGGCTTGCCGTTGACCATGCGCTGGTTCATCTCAGTAACGGCCTTGGAGGCCTCCTCGGGGCTGCTGAAGCAGACGAAACCGAAGCCCTTGCTCTTTCCGAGAAGCTTCTTCTCGCCCTTCTCGGCCTCCTCGCCCTCCTCGGTCTTCTCCTCAGTCTTCTCCTCAGTCTTCTCCTCGGCCTTCTCTTCGGTCTTCTCCTCAGTCTCCTTCTTCTCCTCGGTCTTCTCCTCGGTCTTCTCCTCGGACTTCTCCTCCTTGGCCTCGCCCTCCTTCTCCTCAGAGTCGGGGCTGGGGGAGCGGTCGGTCAGGCTGTCACGCATAACCTTGGCAGATGTGATGGTACCGTAGCTAACAAAGAGCTCGCGGAGCTTCTCATCATCAACATCATCGGTCAGGTTCTTAACGTAGAGGTTGACGCCCTGGTACTTAGAGGCCTTCTCTTGACGAGCAGCCTCGTACTGCTTGCGGAGCTCCTCCTCGCGCTCGTGCTTCTTCTGAGCACGGCCAACGTAGAGCTTCTGGGACTTGATGTCCTTCTCGTTCATCTCCTCGACAGCGGCCTGCGCAGCCTCGTGGGAGGAGTAGTTGACGAATCCGAAACCACGGCTCTTGCCGTCCTGGTCGTGGCTGAGAGTGGCAGAAGTAATCTCACCGAACTTCTCGAACATGGTGCGGAACTCTTCATCGGAGATCTCGGTGTCAAGGTTCTTAACGTAGATGTTGGTGTAGTTGGCCTTCATCTCCTCAAACTTGCTCTGGCGGTCCTTCTTGGAAATGTGGTGACCAACGAAGACCTTCTTGTCGTTCAAAAGCATGCCGTTGACGTGCTTGATGGCGTTGTTGGCAGCCTCGGCGGTCTCGTAGTGAACGAATCCGTAACCCTTGGAGTTGGCGAACTCATCCTGGGCGACCTTGCAAGACAGAATGTTACCGAAGGCAGCAAAGGTGTCGTGCAGAGCCTTGTTGTCAATGGCGTTATCCAGGTTCTTGATGAAGACGTTGCCCTGGCCAGTCTTGCGCAGAGCGGGGTCACGCTGAGACCACATGATACGGCAGGGCTTGCCCTTGATCAGGGTGTAGTTGAGGTCCTCAAGAGCACGCTCACCATCGGCGGTGTTGTTGTAGTTGACGTAGGCGTAGCCGAGCGAACGACGGGTAACGGCGTCACGGCAAACACGGATGGAAGCAACCTGGCCAATGGAGGAGAACAGCTCGTAGAGCATAGCCTCGGTCACGGAGGGGTCGAGCTCACCAACGTAGAGGGAGGCGGAGTGAGGCTGAGCGTTAGCACCCTCGGCAGTCTCAGCGGCAACAGCGGCGGCGACAGCGGCGGCGGGAGCAGCGGCGGCCTCGGGAGTGCCGTTGGCGTTGCTGTCAGCGACAGTGGGAGTGGTGGCGGCTTCGGCAGACATTTTGAGTGATTTTCTTTTTTACTGGAATTGGGTTAGCAGGTATCCAAAAGGGCTCGTGAATGGAGAAACGAGGGTGCTTTTCTCAACGTTACACGGCGTCTCCATATTATCTCATTGGGGAAATGTCATGCTGTCGAGATGAAAGAGAGGAATTTGTAAGGGGAAGGTGCCGTACAATCCACCCGGTCCTCACAAAACAAAGAAGTATGTTTGTGTTCTCGGAAGGATATTCAAAATCGTGGTGAAAGCCGCAGAGCAGTAGGAGATGATGCAATTCAAATCAGAGACACCACGTCTCTTTCAGGGCAGAGCAGTGGAACAGGCAACGTGGGCAGAAAGAGGGGGATGCTTCGAGAGGCGCGACCAACCTGGAAGAACGGGTGAAAGAAGTTCAACACACCGCACAATGGAGGGGGAGATAAGATAGGGATTTGAATTTTCGAAGGTTTTCTGGGTTTTTTTTTGAAATTTTTTAGAACTTTCGATAAGAGGTTCGAAAGGAAGAAAAGGGTTCCCTAGGAAAGAGAGGGGGAAAGCAGACGAGGGATGGGGAGGGAAAAGTATTGTGAAGGCGGTTTTTTTCCAGAAAACTCAGTCGCAAGGTGAGTGCCCCCACTTGTTTTCATTAGGAAGGCGGTGGACATTTATACACTTTGAACTTTCCTTTTTTCTTTGTCACTTGATCACGTGATCTGCCACATGATAAGGAGAACGTGGCGCAATGATCACATCCTGAAGGATTTGTAGATGTAAATCCGTATTAAATTAAATGATATTAAATTAAATTGAATTGAATATCGTTTATAGTGAATTCTTCAGGATTTCAAGATCATGATATCCTGTAGATACCGAAAGATAATGGAGATACCGTGGGCTTTGTTGTGTCCACAATTCACATTCCTTACCCTCGGCAGATCCTCTTGCCCCAGCCAATGAGCTGCTCAGTATTTGCCCCACAGACTTTATCTATGCATATTCGAAGCGCGATCAGGTATTGTTGAACAAAGGTAATATTAAGTAAATGATCTTTGAAGAGGAAGACAGAATCATACCATTTATAAGAATAAAATCAAAGCCCGGCTAAATCGCTCAACTCAAATCAAATCCTGCTCCCGCGCTCACTGCATATAACAGCTTCGCTCGGAGGGTTTCGGCATTGGAGTACCGTGGCAATTTCAACAAGTTCACACACGTACTTGTGCTTGGCAACCGCTCCTGGTCATCACTTGAGTCTCGAATACTGAATCGTGGATGAAGATGACTGAATCCAAGCAGTGGGGCCCGAGGGGTAGAGGTCACAAACCGCAACACCTTCTGTCGTTCCTCAGAGGTCATCTCGTGCAATACCTTCCAGAATATCTGGATGGTAGGGTGTTCCTGATTATCATCGCCGATTACGTAGACTCCACCATATTGCGTGTTGCGTCGCAGATCTTCCACGTCGATGACACCTGTTTCTCCACTCACCAGAGTCTGCAATTCAGCCTGATTGAACATGGACAGCCAAGAAGGTTGAATGATCTGTCCTAATCCTTGAAGGAAGGCGTTTGTTTGCTGCGCTGGTTGTGCCTGGAGTCGGTATCGTGCGATGTAGGAGATGTAAACCAGGCGATTCTGGTTTGTGACAGGGATATTGGAGCCATCGGGTCTCAGCTCCTTTGTGACCGTTTTATCGTTAGATCCCGGCATCGGAATGGTATCGGTGATAGTAAAGTCGAGTGCAAAATCTTCAACTTCGCCAGGGTAATTCTTCAGCTTCAATAGACCTTGGTACAGAGCTGCATCAAGATCTTTCAAGTCGTTGAGATTGGCCCGATAGGAGGACTCTTTCAAGGCAGATCCGCTGCCGCCAGTTAACGCCCATTTTAGAAGGAAGAAAGGCGCAAAGTTAACATCAACCAGGATTCCTTCATAGAGACATTTACCGATGACGCGTCCGAGAAACTCGTATCGGCGGAGCAGCTCTCGAATGTTTGCAGTCCAATCTGTGCTCTTCTCTGTCAGCCCGATCTCTCGCATCTCTTCCTTGCATTGTTCAACGGCGGTGGGGTTAGGATACAGCAGGTGCTGATCGTTCTCTGAAAACATGTTGAGGCCACCTTCGACCTTGAATGCTTCACTAGTAATGCTTGTCAGGAACTCCTTTGTAACACCACCGCCATCGATGCCCGCTTCCCTGGTGCCGAACCGATCAATAAAACTGATTTGGATCGGTTCTTTCAGGCCATCACCCAGCTGGTAGAACTGGCCCAACGCATCATCAAAGATATGCTCTCGTCGGATCTCAGCCTGGTGTCGACCAAGAATCTCATGCGCGAGTAAACGTCCATCGGCTGTCTGTCTTGATGTGTCCTGGGCGATGGATACGCGCCAAAGATCAGGCTCCACAAACCCGTTTCGGCGGCGGTGCTGATCATGGTATATGAATTGGCGGAAGATTTGAACTCGGGTTTTGAAGGGAATGAAGAACGGCATATTTCGAAGGATCTCTAATCTGGGTGCGATAGCCGCCAAAATCCGCGTACGGGCAGCTTTTCGCTGGTGGCGTCTTAGGGCTTCAAAGTGGATGGTCTGTTGAGCACGACTGGTTCCCATTATCCCGGAGATCTCGTTATATCGATCCTCCTCCTCATCCAGAGGATTAATGTTGTCAGGGTCGTCTGCCTGAGCCTGGAATTCGTGCCTCTTCTCTTCTTCCGCGACAACAGCGTTAATAAAACCGTCCATATCGAATCGACTGGTCATTAGCCAGTGGCCATTTGGAAGGAACTTCCGACGGGAGCTATGAAGGCAGCCATAATTAATATCACGATGAGCATCAATCGGATTCGGAACTTTCACTTACTCTCTTTCATGTAACATTCGAAGCAATCCTGTTACGAGCCCTTTGAAGTAATCTAGTGGAATTCCAGTAACGCCGGGGAGGTAGGTCGTTTCGCTTTTTGCCTCAAGCTCTTTTGTGCTTGGGAGAGGAGTAGAATCGGACTTTTGTTGGGAAATGTTGTTGAAATAAGCGCTAAGACTGACTGCAGTAGGTCGAAGCTCTGGTTCACTCAAATCGACAGCATCCCAGTAAAGAGTGAATGCCAGGTTTTTGAGAAAGATCGTCATCTCCTTTACATCGTCCAGAGGCAAGGCGCTCTCCCTTGTCCATGAAACCTTTGCATCATCTGAAGATGTGAGAGAAGAATTGTTAGAAAAAAACTCATCATCATCCATGACTTTCAAAACAAATGTATAGAGCTCAAGGAAGAGGAGGATAGTGGTCCACTCCTGATCCCTTTGACCATGGCATAGCTGGGTGGCAGAATCTGTGGCTTCCCGGGGCGGTTGTAGCAGTGGTAGCACTTTTGTTGAGTCACTGCTGATTATCTGAAAGATTCGACTGGATCTAGATGCCTGCCAGAAATATTTGATGGCTGGTACTTTTGCATCTGGTTGGCCGGAGACATGGTCCCCAGATGGGGCTGAGCCCAGATACAGCCACATTCGGATGTCATCTCCACGGCGCGGGAAGATTCTCAACAGGGTCAATGCATATGTAGCTAAAATCCTGGCCTCCTTTGATGCGTCAGACTCGGCGCTTGTGAAGGCCGGGCTTGTCAGACGTGATGATCGGATAGGAGAAAGAAGTCCAGTGACGCTACTTTGGTTGACCAGGCCAGTAAGTTGCTCCTTGACGAACGGGTGCAAGGGTTGCGCGCCTGGTAGGGAGTCTGGATCACTTGGATCTTCCGCCTCTAGGCCTTGCACAAGATGAGTCGCCGTGGATTTGAGCAAATCAGAAATGACGCTTATAAACTCCAGTTCTGCTGGTCGATTGTTGGCTTTACCACCCAAGGCATATCTGTGGAAGAAAACCAAGTATGAAAACAACCAAATCCGAGCCTCTGTGTCATCTAAGGTGCGAGGACCCTTGGAAGTCGGGCTTAGGCGAGACGAGACAGCTAATGCAAGCATACGATAGTTGATTTGATTGGCCAAATCATCTAGTTTCCCCAGGTGTCTCTCAAGATCTGGAATGGTGAGATACGAGGTTGCGAAAGATTCGTATGCAGACATAGTTTGGGAGGTGATGGGTCGCAAAAGAGCAAGAACGCTCTCTTTAAGAGCTTTCGGTTCTATCATGAGCACTCGTGGATCGGCTGGTTGCGTATTTGAAAAATTTGTGGTCAAGAAAGCCATAGCATCGTAATAATTATCAGCAATGGTGGCCATTTGCTTGGGTATCAGTTCGACTAGAAGAACTGCTCCTCGAAGTAACGGCTCAACAGCAGCGGTGGGAGTAAAGGAGGTCCATGCAGACTTCAGTGCACGCAGCACAGCAAGGGCCAGTCGTTTGAGGAGCTGAGTCCATTCACCTTCGGTAGCGATCGTAGGCAAACTTTGCAAAGTCTGCTCAAAGGCATCCACAAAGTACACCAAACGCAATACATCATCTCGCCTGTCTGCCCCCACGTTGCCTTTCAATACAAACTGGACCAAGAGCCGAAGCTGGCCCAGACATTGGTCTGCGGTGGCATACGGGGCAGATCGACGTGAGGGGAGTGCCATATTTGCCGAGCCAACTTCAGTTCCAACGGCATCCATCGCATCTGTCATCGCCCGCTCGTTTGTGTCCCATTCCGACCTCCAAGCGTTGTATGTCTTCCTCCTGCTTCTGGAACCCCGCCACACTCGCTGGATGTTCCGGACCGCATTCTGTTTATTTCTGTCCAGCTGTCTCTGTATCCGCTCCTGCTGTGCAATGGCAACCGCGCTTTGTGGGTTTGAGGCATGCGGAGCCGGCCGGCCTGGAGAGTTTCCGGGGAATGCACCGAAGGGATTGTTGTTGCGGCCACTTAGATTCACCTGCCGCGGACGACGAGAGCTTCCGGTAAAGGACTGGAACATCGTCAAGGCGTGCTTACCCGGAGGCAAGTGAAAGGCTTCAGAGGGTGGAACTAATCAAATCAAGTCGCTTTCGATGCAAGAAAAAAGAAGAGATGCAAGCCCATCTCGCTGGGCATTAAATGCGAGTGTGAAGAACTATGACATGGATACGATACGTGAGACCTTATCGGTGTTATGCACACGCACCGATATTGCCCACGGGCGGTGAGATTTCATGATGTGATATTCAATTCACGCACCAGCCAAAGTATGGTTAGGGTGATTTGGTTATTCATAAGGGACATGAACATCATGTACACAAGACTATTTGGCTTCACATTTAACAAGGTTGAGTCAATTGTCTTGCAGGGATATTCTATAGAAACTGGTCCAGAATGCTCCATTTTTGCATTCTAACTCTCTTTGTCCCAAAGGTCTGATGATTGGAACATGCATAAGGTCGACATCCACTGACACTTCATGCTGAAAGGTCTGGTCAAGGCCTATATTCATTTGAGTATGCTGTACATATAATACATAGAGGGTGCGATCGGCCAGCGAGCATTTGAGGAGTAGATCAAGGAGGTAGGCCGTCGGAGGGGAATGGGTGGGCGATAAGGTGCGTTTCTTGCCTGGGTAGCCCCTAAGAATTGTTGTTAGAAGACTTTGGTAAGTGGCCAGTGGTAGATGCATACTAACAATCGGTGGATATAAAGGTATGCTTCGGATGTGTTTATTGGCTGGGCCGAGATGAGCCCGATTTGCTCTCTTCTTCGGCAGTCTCGCGAGCAACAACCTCCTCGACATTCTTGTCGCCCCAGAGGTTAATGTAGTCCTGGCCCTTCAGGCTGTCAACCACAGTGACTGTGCGGCCAGTTCGGGTGGTGATCTGTTTGACATATTGGTCACGCTTGGGTTGCACCTTCTTCGAGACAAATGGAGTGAGCTGACTTTGGGTTAGCAGTTACTCAAGGTTCGATTCAATTGAGTTGCACAAACATCGAATTCTGCCAGATCATCAGGAACCACGTAGGTTCGGACTTTCTTCCAGTCGATCACGTAGTTGCCCTTCTTGTCAAAGTGACCCATCGATCCTGTCCGCGTACCCTTGTAGTAGCCGCCATTGACCGACTTAGTCGTGAAGCGCAGACGCGCCATCATAGAAGGTGAAGCTTTAAACATATTGGTGAGTAGTAAATTGTGGGCAAGATGGAGAGGGCAACAGAGAGCAAGTTTGAAGTTGAGAAATCCCAGGTCCGGGCGGTCAGACCGCCAATCTCCACGCCGAGAACTTTTTTTTCGCGGCCAAAAAAAGTTGAACGGACCACTCAAACCAAACTCTTTCCCAACTAACACGGGAACTTGGTCATTCTTGTACATTACTGTACGGTACCAAGTCTCCTGGATTTTCATTATTTGCGATCATTCCGTTACATCGCAATCATGCCTCGCCAGCAAACCAATTTGCGGGGTCCGAAAGATCGGGATGCCTCCAAAGGCAAAGGCAGACCAGCACCGAAGCGCAAGAGCACCCGTGCGATTAATGCGCTCTCTATCGCCGAGAAACAAATCACTACCAAGCTTGGTGTTCGCCGGAATCGTTTAGGATTCTACGATGATGGCTCGGAACGCAAATTCCACAACCGCAACGACGATGAAGACGAGGACGAAGATGGTGAAGTCCCAGACTACAAGCGCCGCAGATTCAACAACGCTCAACAAGAAGGCAGTATCAACGGCGGAAGTGACAGCGAGGGTCACGAATGGAAACTGGGACAGGTGGACAGTGATGACGATGAATCTCTGAACAGTGACGAAGCTCTCGGAGAGAGTGACGAGGAAAGATTCGAGGGCTTTACATTCCGCGGAAGCTCTAGCAACAAGTCCAAACCCAAGCCTACAAAGCCTGCAAAGAAGCGGGCAGAGATCAGTCTATCCGAGGACGTTGATGTGTCTGAGGAGTCCGAGGATGATGAAGAAGATGATGACCTTGGTGAAGATGCGGTGGATCTTCTTACTGCCTGGGATATGAACACTGCAGAGGAAGAGGCTGAAGCAAAGAAAGCTGCCGCCAAATCGAAAAAGGCGGTATCCGATGACAGTGAAGAGGATTCAGGCTCTGAGGCAGACAGCGAGTCGGACCAGAGCGATGATACCGGTTTATCTCTCTCTGACGATGACGAATTCGATGGTCAGAACGACGGCTTGAGTAAGCTTCAAGACTTTGTCAATTCTATGGAAACAGGACGTCGCACAAAATCCACACAAAAATCACAAGAACAGAGCAAGCCTACCGAATATGGCTTGACTTCCTCGAAGAAATTGACTGTTGCCGATCTCCTTCCCTCGATCACAGACTCTCGCCTCAAGAGCTCTTTGAAACATGTCGATGCTACTCCTCAAACAACCAGCGCTGGTATCCCGGGCAAGCTCGATGCTCCTTTGGCGAAACGCCAGCAAGATAAACTTGACCGCGCTGCGGCCTACGAGAAGAGTAAAGAGACCTTGAATCGCTGGATCGAAACTGTCAAGCACAACCGCAGAGCCGACCACCTTATGTTCCCTCTCCCCGATCCGGATAATGAGCAAGTCCACCGCATGGATGTAGCGAAGCCAACAAACGATCTGGAGAACACTATTCAGAGCATTCTCGTTGAGAGTGGATTGGCCGAGAAACACGGCAAGTCTGTTGAGGAGGAAATCCAAGGCTTCGAGGATATCCAAGCTCGCACATTGCCTATCGAGGAGATTCAAGCTCGCCGTGCTGAGCTACGGAAACGACGTGATTTGCTTTTCCGTGAGGAGGTGCGTGCCAAGCGAATTAAGAAAATCAAGAGCAAGTCCTACCGCCGTGTTCATCGCAAGGAACGTGAGCGTCTTGAGCAGCAGGAGAAGCAGGCTCTTTTGGAAGCCGGTGTGGATATGGATGAAATGGACATTGAGAAGAACGAGCGAATGCGTGCCGAGGCTCGCATGGGCTCAAAACACCGCGACAGCAAGTGGGCTAAGAGCCTGAAAGAGACTGGCCGTACTGCCTGGGATGAAGATGCCCGTAACAATGCGGCCGACTTGGCTCTCCGTGAAGAAGAGCTCCGCAGACGAATTGAAGGAAAGAGTGTGGCTCGTGGTGACGATACCTACCTGGAATCTAGCTCGGAATCAGAGGACGAGGATCCCTGGGCTTCAGATGCTTCAGATGTTGAGAAGCGCAAGATAGAGAAGAAGCTGCGCGCTCTGAAGAACGAGACGCCTGCCGAGCTCCCCAAGGGCCAGCATTCAGCCCTTTTCGAGATGAAGTTCATGCAAAACGCAGATGCGGCTCGCAAGGAAGCGAATGATGCAGAACTCAGACGCCTCAACCGTGAGCTGAATGGTGAGGAATCACAGTCCGACGCTGAGTCAGAGGTTGGTCGACGGAAGTTTGGCCAGTCAGCAAACAGCGACGCTCAGTCTCAAACGAAGCCCTTGCTCAAGAACGAATTCGAGGAGAGACCTGGCTCAGATGACGAGGACCAAGATGTCGACATTGTGGTTGATCGTCCAGCAAAGTCAAAGCCTGTCGCCTCTGACCCGAAGACCAACTCCAAGGTCTCTGGCAAGATGTTCAGCCAACAGCCAAAGGCGAATGTCGAAGAAGAGAATCCCTGGTTGGTTCAAACTGAACGGACCAACCGTCGCCATACCGGTGTAGATGCTCAGGAGTCTATGGATATCTCTCTCAAGGACGAGCAACCACAACCCGCGCAAACAGGTGTTTCATCTAAGAAGGGCAAATCCGCAACGGCAGCTCTCTCCAAGAAGCGCGCTCATGAAGACAACGACAGCGATGATGAGGATAATGTCCCTATCCTGCTGAAGAACCATGACCTGGTTAAGCGAGCGTTTGCCGGCGACGAGGTCGTCCAAGACTTCGAGCAAGAAAAGTTAGACACCATTGGAGAGGAAGGCGATAAGGTCGTGGACAATACTCTCGATGGCTGGGGTAGCTGGGCCGGCGATGGTGTCAGCAAGAAGAATAAGCGCCGCTTCTTAACCACAGAGAAAGGTGTCCAGCCCGAGAAACGCAAGGATGCCAAACTCGAGCGCGTCATCATCAACCAGAAGCGGGTCAAGAAGGTATGTTCTTTAATTTCAAACTACGCATTGGCATTTACTAACATTTCCCAGAATGTCAAGTACATGGCAAGCCAACTGCCTCACCAGTACGAAACAAAGGCACAGTACGAACGCTCGCTGCGTATGCCTTTGGGTCCAGAGTGGTCCACAAAGGATACCTACCAGAGTGGAACCAAGCCTCGTGTCATAGTCAAGCAGGGCATCATCAAGCCCATGGAGAAGCCTATGATGTGATGATTCACGATCGAAAGCACGCGGCATGTTTGGCCTCATGTATATTTTATTCTTCTGCATGTCCTTCGGGACTTGGAGTGACATTTTGCATTGCTATTCTTTTCAGTCAAAAATACCACATAGATTGTGTCAATTTACAAAAGTTGAGGACTCGGAACTTCACCGATACCTACATGAAAGAATTCCTTTGAAGATTCTTGACTTCCTTTAACGAATTAGTGCTCACTCTCTCGCCGCTTTTACTCACTGAGTCATGAGAATCACGTGATATATCACTGAGCTTGAGCCCAGACTGAAAATTACTCACTGAGCCTTAAGTCTGAGCGCGCTCATAAAAGCGACGGCAACCAGAATAGGAAGTCCCCACCCGTCAAAGTAAGTGCAGTACGTATACAGTAATTTTCGAGTTCAGCTATACTGTATGTACCTCCAAACTCTTTCTTTTTTGATTCGGAGAAACTAATCCCGACACGTGCTAGGTCGGTTTGGCTCACCGTCTTACAATCTCTGGCAGAACTGTTATCGTAATGATTAGTTGTCGTCATATTACCGCGAAATTTCATGGAACCACTTAGAATTGTTTTGTAGATCTGGCGATCGCCAGCTAACTTCCTCTCCTTACATAAAGAATTGAACTTTAGGAAGTGATGTGTCAAGATAAGTGTGCTGGGCAAGATTCCATGGTTTGTCAATATGCAGATCCCTACTCCACGTATGCAGGACTTCGATACTGTAGCATGGTTCACCCACCCGCTTTCTGGCAAATTGAAAGTAAATATTCACTCCTGTACGAAACTTTCCAAGCTTCTATTATCCACTAGAGGAAGGACCAGCCAGGCTAAGCCTGCGTGTGACGAGAACTTTTAGGACGCGAGGAAGAGCAAGATAACTCTTGCCATCTTTCGTAATTTCTCTTCGTTTGTTCGGTTTGCATGGACTGTTACTTATCGAATCCTTGATCCGGATTCTCATCGTAAGACTGCCAATGCCTTTTAGCCTAGGAAAAGATTTCATTGATTTGATGGGATCCAGGCCTGGAGAATATGAATGAAAATACACCAATGTCATATCAGCCTCTGAACGCATTGGCTCTATTCGTGCAGAGTGATGAAAGGATGCGTTGTCCATGACTAACATAGACTACGGCTCTGGCTATCTTCTATAATACCGGAGAAGCTGCTTAATAAACTAGACGCATTAGTTGAGCCTCGGCAACAGTCACTATATGTGCGGAGGAACTTTGTATAACTGCATCGAAAAAATGAGTAAAACTAAATTGGGAGCAGCTGCACTTGGAAAGGCTTAGTTTTGGGTATGGCCGCGGGCCCAAAACCTAGGAGAAAATGGCTTCTGGGTACTCATTCGGGTAGTCTGATGGATTTAGAGAGGCCTATTAGGCGTCTGACTATTTACTATACATTATATCAATATAACAATGTTAACAAAGAGGGCAATAGATTAGCAGGACTTAGAATAGAGCCTTTGCATTCGCATAATATACTGTACAAAAAAAATAACCAGAAAAGACCTACACTGGGGCAGATGGAATAGTAAGCCAAACAGTTGTTTAAAACTAATAGCTAAGACAATTGTAGGGAAAATTGATCAAGATATTAAAAAAATAATCCAGGGAAGTCCTGCCCTATACTTGCAATGTTGACCACGCATTCCTCAGAAGAATCCAGTACAGAATTTATCCATTGAGTAAGCGGTTTAATTTCCAATCTCCCAAGCCCTTAAAGGAACTAAATTTGCCCAAGTCGATCGTACTCAAGACAAAGCAGGCACAGCAGACCCCTAAATACGCCGTAGCTCGAGCCCTGACCATAGTTGCTAATGATCGATCACTCACAAAGGGCTATCATCGTCACAATGGGTGGCAGTCGTAATATTTTCGGCGTATGTGACGAAACTTGCAGCAACCACCATCATGCCGGTAGTAATGCTTAGGGCAACCATGCCCTTTAGCTTCGTTGGCCCTCGATAGAACATCTCTGGGGTCTGTCTGCAAAGCGGCAACTGAGCAGAGAGCAAAGAGAGCGGCAGTAAAGAATTGTTTGAAGAGCATTTTATGAAGAAAAGACCTTTGAGATAAGAGTCACGCTTCGAGGAGTTATGGTCATGAAGTATGGAAGTATTCGTCCAGGATGGAGGCCCTTTGACTTGGTAAGACTGGAGCAGCGCGGTGGAATATATAGCGCTCGACGGAGCTCTCCCTATTCAAGATGACGCATCAGTCAAGGAAATCTCGGCGCTGGTCTGGTGACAGATACCTCAGCCGTAGGATCGGCCTTCTAGGTAAGGTGCTACAGTATGCGGAGTATAGTGCGCTGTAGTGTAACATGATCTGCAAATAGTGTAGTACAAACACAGAGTATAAATCATGTATGCATGGTCTGATGTGTTTTATCTATCTGAAATAGGATCGTCGCTCACTAGCAGACCATAGTGGAGATTTACTTTTGCGAATCTGTCACTGTTTGTTGTCCGATAATACTAAATTTACATTAGTAGGCGCTTCCCTGCTTGCTCCCAACTCTCGTCGGATACGTCACTAGCTCATATCGTCCGCATAACAGTAGTATTCGAAATTGGCTGTACAACCACACTCTCCGATTTGATTGCCGATTAATATATTATACATATGTTAATTTCTTTTGGAGCACCTCTCTAAAATGCCTTCGAAATCGTGGCGGTATTGGTCAACATTTTTCACGGTTGGTCCGGTCACCCCTATGAACGCACATCATTGGCAGGCACCACTGTGTAAGTACCGTGGTACATGCACCAGAGATAATGGTTTGAAGTCATGAAATACGTAGATATATATTTGTTTGACTGAATCATATATGCAAAAGACTCCAATCAATTGTTGACTTGGCGTTGAAATGAAAATATGAGCGCCTCTACTCGATGTGATTATTTATATATTTGAACGGCCCACTTAAATGTTAATCTTGAAACCAATCTTATTCTTTTGTCGATCTACCTAGGCCCATAAGTCCGCTCATTCAATTTATATCTCATAATCATTGCACAAGATGTGCCTCAAAGCAAAAAGCAAAGAAAATCTCTACCCAATAAATCCATGAACCCACTTGAACATGCATCTCTTTCAGAGTGGCCTCAGTCCAGCCAGAGGAAGATCCAAATCAACAACCCAAGGCGCATTCTCCGGCCTGTAAGAGAGTGTACAAATACTAGCATTAACAAACAAAGTCTCCCTCCCAAACTCCAGCGGCTTCTCTCCGCTTTCGCTCATATCATAGAACGCGCCGCGGTTCTCGACCATCTCTTCTTCTTTTACAATAATAGGCTCTTGCTCGACCCCGCCGTCGGCGAAGGTATTCCAAGTACCGCGCACTGCGCCCCATGCTTCATGAATATGTCCGAAAAGGTAGATGCGGGGACGAGCACGTTCAGCAGCGCGGAGAAGATGCGTACAGCCTACATGGTTTTCTGATGATATTCCAGTGCGGTCGGTTATGTTGCCCGTTCCTACTTGATCGAGGATACCAGCTGGTGGACCATGTGTGAGCATGATATCGATATTTGGGTGGTCAGGGACCGGGTTGGCAGGTGGATCGGAGCTGGAGCTGGTGCCTGGAAAGGGAGGATTGTAGCGATCTTCACTGCGGGGGTAGCCGAAAGCCCAGCGACAGAATTCCGGTTGGTATGGCGAAGCGTAGACGGTGAGTTTTGCGCCATTGGATAGTGTGAATGAGTGTACGCCTTCTTCGAGGTAGCGGATGCCTGCATCCCGGGCGGATTGGTTGGTCCAGAGGTCTTTGATGCGGCGGACGTAGGCTTTCAGGTCTGAGAGGGGAGGGACGGCGCCATTGCGGATTGTTTGCGTGATGGACTGCTCGTCGTCTTCGAGGATTGGTTGTGCGGCGCCGAGGCGAATGGGCTTGCGGTGCCGTGTGTAGCCGAAATCGGTAAAGTATTCTTCGTCGAGGGTGAGATCGTGGTTGCCGGCGATGACGAGCTTTAGCTCGGCATCTGCGGCCTTGAGCATCGAGACCATGGCCTCGTGCTCGACTTTGTAGCCGACCTTGGTAAGATCGCCGGCATGGAGAAGGACGTCGGCTTTTGGAAGCGGGTCTCGGTATGCGTGCTTCTTTTCGTCGGCTGGGAGAGGGACGTTGGTGTGGGTATCGGAGATCATGCAAATGCGAGTTTTAACCCGCGCAGGCGAGGGCATGGTGGGTAGTGGACTCGACTAATTGAGGAGCTAAATATGGAGGTTGGATTAAACGGGGAGAAGTATTGAATTAAAGCTAAGATCATATGGAACTCCGATGGCTTTGAGGATGGGCCGCGGGGAAAAGACGTTAAGTCTCCGCTTCACAGCCCCCTTCTGCCCCATCGGATCAGATAGCGAATAGTCTACGAGGGAAAATTGGAGAAATTGACTAGAGGAACGTGAAGAAAAAAAAAATAACGTAAACAGGAAATCATTCCTATAGAATGGACGGCTCAGAGTTCTACAGACATCACATCCGTGGATGCCCAGATCATGAAAGTTTTCTGGTAAACATAGCTCAAACTCCGATAACCACCCGTGCAACGACAACCCACGCGGCGCCCAACCGTATGGTTTTCCCTTTTGTTTTTTCGTTTACTTGCGGATAGCCTTCTGGTAGAAAGCGAGCTCCTCACCCTCCAGAATGTAACCGTCAACACGGCCAGACTGACCGGGGCGGGAAGCCACAACAGCGTACAGGCGACCGGACTCGAACTGGCGCTCGATGGCACCCTCAACCTTGCCCTCCTCGGCGTAGCGAGCAGCCTGCTTCTTGGTGACAGACTTGCTCTTCTTCTCCTCAGTGGTGGCGTCAGCCTTAGCCTGGCGGCGACGGCCGATACCCTGGCCGTAGTGGGCCTCGTACCATTGACGGAAAGGAGCAGCGTCAATCTGGACAACGGCGGACTTGGTCAAGGTGTTGGTGCGGACCAGCTCGTTGTTGGAGGGGTGGAAGGAGACACCGATGACACGGGTCTTGCGGGCAACGCCCTCAGAGCCCCAGGAGAAGTTACCGGACTCGAGACGGAGGGCACGGAACTTCTGGTTACCACCACGGGTGCGGACCAGGTGGATGCGCTTGGTACCAATGCGAGTGTTGGCGGGCTGGCGACCCTTCTCGAAGGCTCTGTAGGAAGAAGTTCAGTCAGAATTTGGGATTCAAAAAATGCGTTCTGGCGTTTGTGTGTTCCTCAAGTGCCACACAAGACACCTAATATACCACAGCCACTCTCGACTCCCATCCCCACAACACATGGGGTCAAAAATATCCAACTGGATTGACAGGTGCACCGTACCTCTTCTTGCGGTAGAAAGAGCGCTTAGCACCGGTGGCGCTGCGCTTGTGGCGCGAATCACGAGAGATACCCATATTTGCGGTTGATGTGAGGGTCTGTTGTCACAATAGAAAAATTAGAACTCGGGTCCTTTGATGTGGGCTTCCAGGAATCCTCTTCTCCGACACTTCTGGTTCGTCTCGAGCGATAATGCAAGGTCCAATTCGAATAATAGGAACGGTGTGGCGATGTGTTGGAAGGGTTGTCAAGGACGAGTAAAGGCGATCTCGAAATCGAATAATTCCCGATGGATTTATCTCGAATGGTACCCGATTGTCGACTCGGACGAAGCAGAAGGGGAGAGAAAGGGAAAGCGATGCGATCGGGAGGGAAACTCACCTCTAGTTCTGCAGCCCTTCACCAAAAGCAGAACGGTTGTCGATGGGGTGTCGTTGGAAGATGCGGTCGTGGAGTCCGTCGAATTTCGCAGGGCGCACTGTGTCGCTCGCTTGTGCGGTTGCCCTAACTGACACTAGGCTTAATAAAGACTAGCGTATAATTAGGTAAGCGACTTTCTCTGGATCCCGTGACCTGAGGGGCGATATTGCTGACTCATCATATCTGGTCCCGGGCCTTTCGATCTTTACTCTTAACGGTTTCCAAAATCAGATGATCGATGATCAACATTCGGTATGATCTAGAATGGCTTCTAATGAGTTTATAGCTCGTTTCCCAGCATTCTATATACCTTTCTACTGGCTCTTCCCGCCCTTCTTCGCCCGCTCCTCCTTCACAAACGCCGCAATCCGCTGGAAACATCCAAACCCTTCCACAAAACATGAAGCCATCCATTTGCACCACAACCCCGAAAAGACTGGAACGCCATGCGGCTTCAACTTGAGGATTGCCAAAAGACCTGACTCGATGACATGAATGCCGACCATAACCGGGAACAGTAGCGGCTGAATATTGTAGACAAAGTGTGCAAAGTCCGGAACGTACTTGTATCCGAGGTTTTCGTAGACGAATGAGCCGGGTAGCAGATTGCTGCGTTGGAAGCAGCTCACGTAGGTGAAGAGACACAGCGCAAAGACCACATTCTGGACCACTCCCTGTGGAGCTCGGTACTCAGTTAAAGTGATGTCGGAGCGACCTAGGCGCTGCAGACTGTCCTTGTGCAGTGCGACCAGGCGACCTCGGGATTCATTGAAATCCTTCATGGGGGGATCAATGGGGACATTGTAGCGGGTTCCATTGGCACGGATGACTAGGTTGGAGAGAGTGAGATCTTCAATCTGGGCACCGTGGGCTTCGCGAGCGCTGATGTTGTTGAATGCTTGCAGGTAGAGCTGTAGGGAGTCGCCATGATCGGCATTCATGTGCTTGATGATGAAGTCTTTAGACATGGTTGCAGAGGTCCCGGGGTAGATGGGAGTAATGTCGTACTAGAGATTTGTATCTCCGATAAATTTTCGAGTTGAATGGGTAAGACTTTCTCAAAGAAGATTGAAGGTTGGCGGGCGTTGATCAACGCCAAGCCCGAACGTCCCTCGGCCCCATCGAGCACATACAGTATACTGCCACTTCCTCATGTGCATGCAAGGTCACATCAATCGATCCATTTAGATATTTTAAAATCTACCAGATGAAAATTCAATTCTGGAAGAACTAGGAATGGTTATGATTTGACAAAGGTTATGTATTGAATGTTTTTCAAGTTTGATCGGCAACCTTGGAAGGGAATATATACATTTGGTATTGGTAACAGGTCCGGTGTGCTGAAATCCTGCGCCACGATCACCACAAGACCCAGAATAATCAAAAAGAAATCACAGATTAGATGACTAGGTCGGGGTTCTATGAAATGAAAGCAAAAGCAGAGGAGAAAAGAAAACTGCAGTAAAGAGGTCGAAACATTGATCGGAGATTCGTGACAATCATGAGCATTCGAGTGGGGAATACCCTCATCAGAGTAAAGAAGTCAGGAGGGAATCGAGATCCGAAAGAGAGGCATTGGAATGCCGTTTATGCACTGTGGCAAATGTGATCAACTCCTAATCTCGGTTGAGCATAGTTCATTATGGGGAAGGGTAGGGATCCAGGGACATTCAAACTTACATTAGAGCGAGGGTCAAGTCACCATGAATGCGGGCCTTGAGTTCCACTTCAATCTCCAAATTCAACTCGATCTTCAACTTCATGCCTTCCTCCTCATCAATGTCTTTTCCCTTTTCGTCAATCACGTTAAAGTCACCATCCGGAATATGGTCGCCCTGGTTACCATTATATGGCTGCATGGCTCTTCTGGGTTGCATGACATCCTCGTCATCGGAATACTCGTCAGAATATTCATCCGAGTAGTCGTCTTCGTCCGAGTATTCATCGAGATCATCTTGTTGCTTGGCCTGTTGTGGCCGACGGCGACGTTGAAGCTGATTGTTCTTGGCGGAAGGGTTCTGGTCATCATCGTCCGTATAATCATCGGCACTATCATAGTCCTCACCAGACTCGTCATCTGGTACTTGGAACTGCTTCTGCTTCTCTGTCTTTTCGGCGGTGGCCATAGTGAAAACGATGACCCTGGTATTCGGGGGAAGGTAATGCGATCCGAGGGTATGTAGTAGAAGCCCAAATAGTAGATGGACCAGAGAAAATTGAAAGAAATAGGAATAGAAGGAAATAGGAATCAACAAGTGGTAATATGAGTTTGAATCGATATGAGCGATGGGAGTAAATCAAGTCAGAATTATGACGTTAGCGGCACAATCTGTACTCTGTACTTCTGTATGATTGCTCCGTCATAATTGTAAGAAGCCAGGACCACCGGCGTCATGAATCGGTCCCACCTAGGGACGTGCCTATAGCCAGTTAAGACTAGATCAACGAATAAGTTTTTAACTTTTTACTATACTTAGTTATCCAACGGCCCCTGATGGATCCGTGGCAACAACGTTTTTTTCATGTGGGTTGAACCAGTCATACAATGTGTCAACCGGGTAAAAGTGTGGCTGGGCCACGTATATTCCATATACCGTGTTGAAAATCAGGGTTGAACCAGTGGCGTCATATGCCAACTTCTCTTTTACAGTCTTACGTCTGACTTAATTTATAAAAGTGGAGACATCGAGGGGCTGCCAAGTGTCAAAATTTATCCGAGTTTATATGTGATTCGTTCATTATACCACAGTGGAGTTCAATTTCTTTTCGGTCAATTGGCAGTTCAGGGCATTAATTGATGGATCTAGATTACTTCCCTTGGTTAGGCTTCTTTAACATAATCTCATTACTCCCGGACCTCTACTTTGCTGACTTTTCACGGAGGCGTTCCACTTGATCCTTGTCAGCGACGTCATATCGCTTCCCCCGCCCCACATTATCGCTGTTACCAAACCCGCCTTTACATGGCTTGCCTGGTATCGAAATTGCAGTGCCATACCTCGTCTTTACGGGTCACAGCATAGACATTACTCTCTGACGTCGGAGGCGGAAGAAAACACGCTCATCAGCACCGGTTTTGTCGCTCCAGGTGGCTCGGAATATAAATGACAAGCGTACAAGTGCTGTCCCGTGTTGTCTCCCACATACATCATACCTCGTGGTCAATTTATCCTAGTTACTTTGAAATCCTGCAGCCCACTCTTTGCCTCGCACCAGTGACGCTTTGTCCCTAAACCCACATCTTCCGTGATTGATCTCTTCATATTCACCCCTCGTCCCCTCTTCTTCTCCCTCTTTTCTTTCCACCATGGCCGATCAAGATCCTCAATCCCAAAACCCGGAGTCCGCATCTACTCCTACCAAACAAAAGCGTTCCCCTCCTAAGCTAGGCAAAAAGTCTCCACCCAAGCAAGAACAAACCCCGCCTGCATCAGAGCAAGAGCAAGAACAAGAACAAGAGAAAGACTCCAAGGAAGAAAGCACCGAGAACCAGGAAGAGCAGAAAGAAGACCCTGCACCTGAATCTGAGCCTCACAAGCAAGAGCCCGATTCAGAAGAAGAGGACGATCAGCAAGAAGAAAAATCTGCACCTGAACCTGAACCCGAAGCCGCCCCAGAACCTCAGCCAGAGCGTCGTCGACGTCGCCCTACACGCAAACAAGAATCCGACGTCGAATCCGTCCCACGTAACGATATGGACGCCCAACCGCAGCAGCGCCAGCGCACTCGTCGCACACGCCAGCCCCGCCAACAGCAACAAGATGGCGGCCCACTCGGCGGCCTCCCCGGCGTAGGAGGTGTCGACCAAGCTGGCCAGCTAGTCCAGAATACGGCAGGGAATGCCCTGAATGGCGTGACAGGGTCCGCAGGCAAGGCAGTTGGTGGAATCCTTGGCGGAGGCCAGAAAGAAGAGAAATCAGATGGCAAGGATGAGCAGCTGCGTCTGCGATTGGATCTTAATCTGGATATTGAGATCCAGCTCAAGGCAAAGATTCACGGTGACTTAACCATCGGATTGTTGTCAGTATTACCCTTTCTATATTCCATTCCAGTTTCTTTCATCTTTTCTGTTTACATGTTGCTGTCATCATTGTCTCGGATACGATACTCTAATTTTCTATTTTCAAGTGCTTTCACTGACTAACGTTTTAGGAATTGATTTGTCGATTATAGCTCCTAGAGACGAAATTCCATTTGCTCCGCTGTTTTCGTTCAATTCCGTTTTTCATTCGATTTATTCCGACGATACGACTCTTACGCTGGTGACGCAAGATGCAGGGTTTGCATGACCTGACCTGGCTTTCTGCTTTTACTTCTGACCTAGTACTTCCGCGGGTTCCATACCCTAAATTTGGTCTCATGTTGAATGTACAGTATAATTATTCTTCCAAGTATAGTAACTGGATTCGGCGAATGGGATAATGAATACTTTACACGATCTACAGTCTTTCGTTAATTGTAGATCTTTGTTTAAGCTACCTAGACCTGTAATTGATCTAGTAATAAGCTAGGATCCACCTGGGCATAATCCATGCGGAGCCTTGGATAAAATCCAATTTAATAACTTATCCACTTCGGACGCGCACAAAATGGTTTTCATCCGGCAAACTGTATTTCTAATCAGTCCAGAGGATTCTATATTTATAATAGGAGGTAGCTAAGTAGTAAAGACGAGTATTTGAACCTATTATCGATGATACTCAAAGAGTGACAAAGGTTGGCCCACAAATCAATACCTCATCCTCCAAAGCGAACAAGAAAAGCCATGGCAACACAGAAAGCTCTAGTCATCATTGGTCCGAATACAGCAGAGGTGACGACAAGCCGCCCTCTACCTACTCTTCCAGATGACTGTATCCTTGTGAAGACCGTCGCGGTCGCACTAAACCCGGCGGACTGGAAACTTCTCAGTCACTCCCCTCCTGGAGGAGCACTACTAGGATTCGATTACTCCGGCACCGTCGAGAAAATCGGAAAATCGGTGACAAAGCCATTCAAAACCGGCGATCGTGTTTTCGGATACGGCCGTGGCGCCAACAACGATCGACTAGAAGATGGAACATTCGCCGAATACATTATTGTGAAAGGCGATCTACAAATACAAATCCCAGAACACCTTTCATTCGAAGAAGCCGCCACCATGGGAGTCGCCCTATACACTGCCGGCCAAGGCTTAATCCAGAACCTTGGCCTCCCATTCATGAACGAACAATCCACCGAGCCGATTCCTATTCTTATCTATGGCGGATCATCCGTGACTGGCGCAATGGGAATCCAACTAGCCAAACTGGCTGGCTATACACCCATAGTCACCTGTTCGAAACACAACTTTGATTTCGTGAAGTCCCTTGGCGCAGCAGCCGTCTTCGACTACAAGGACCCGGAAATCGGAAAGAAGATTCGAGAATACACGAAAGATTCCATGACGCTGGCCTGGGATACTATCTCGGAAGAGTCTAGTGCATTGATCTGTGCGGCAGCTCTATCGTCTTCTGGAGGACGATACGGCTCTCTTGGACCATCGAAGTGCCCACGGGACGACGTGCAGTCTAACATGACTGTTGGAACTACGCTCTTTGGGGAGGCAATTCAAATCGGAGAATACAAAATCCCTGCTATGCCTGATCATCTGGCTTTTGCTAAGAAGCTTGCTGTTCTCTCTGAGAATTTCTTGGCTGAGAAGAAGATCAAGCCTCTTGTTCCGAGGGTTATGGATGGTGGTTTGAGTGGTATAGCAAATGGGTTGCAGTTGTTGCGCGAGAATAAGGTTAGTGCTCAAAAGCTTGTTTATCGGGTTGCGGACACTGTATAGATACTTACTCTGCCCTGCACTTGTGGATATCATGTCTGAATACTAGAGATTTGAGAATACCATCTTGGTACACTTCTAGCGACAGTTGATATATGAACAGAGACTGTTTGTGATAGAGTTTTCATTATCGCAATCACATCAATCAAAACCTCCTCTATGGAGACTAGCTTCGGAGAATATAGAGGTAGAACAACGCCAAGAAACTGGGATTGTTATTGGCTCACGCTAAACCTAGGTAGAATTTCTTGGCATTATTGAGAAACAATGAACGGATGTACGAGTTGACATAGATCGGGTCAGCATGTGTTGGGTTGTGATACCCAGTCTTGCACATGTGAGACACTATATACTGGATTCTGCGGATTCCTGCTCCCGGAGATAATGTAAAATCTTTTCCCAATGCCCTTCATCAACTTGTAGTACGGTGTACTATAACACTTCAATTTATTGAATTCGTAAATAACAAACAAAACCCACCACTTTAGCTCCCTTGATAATAAAACAGCCTGATACTGATAAGAGTATTCGCCAGAGTCGAACTCCCTTATATCCAAAAAACTGATCTCTAAACCTCTTCATATAAACAAAAACTATATCACAGGAAATGTCTATCGCAATGTTGCCCACAAAATGATTATGAATCACGCAACCCACAGCTCCAAGCCGACATTAAAGCCCGGCAACAACCATCAGGCCGTAACCAATGGTGACGATAACCACAAAAGACATCAGACTTGCCGGAATACCACGTGAGAGGAAGTGGCGAACTTGGAGATAGCGCTGGCCCGTTTGAGGGACTTCGGTCATAATCGCGGCTGGGGAGAAAAGTCAGTGTATTGTTTTTAACGTAGTGGGACGTGTAGGCCATACTCATGTTAGGGAATCCGCTCGTGGGCAATCCCATCGCAACAGAGCACATCAGCGCACTCGCCATGACGAGTAGGTTCGGGTGGGGATCCTCCATGCTGACGCCGATTTGGCGAACGAGGGGCAAGATGATCAATGCGGCAACAGTATGAGAAATGAATGTGGCGATCACCAAGATAAGCGCGCTGAAGACGAGGAGTACACTATACAAGCTGAGATGCTCGACACGAGCCGTGATGCCGGATGCGATTGTGTGCAGTAGGCCAGATGATGTGACGGCCTTACCTAGGCAGAGACCGCCTGCGGCGAGGATGATGATGGTCCAGAGGAAGTTGTTAAAGTCTTCCTTATTGAGAATACCAGTACCGAAGAATAGGACAAGGGGAATGATGGCGATGACACCCATATCGCCAAAAATATGTTCGAGTTGGTGACTTACGCACCAGAGTCCAATGGTTGCAAGAGTCACTGCACTGATGAAATACTGGATACCAGTGAAACGGTCCTTCACGGGCCGCATGGGGATGACATTTTGGTTGCGACCAGGGTGGAACGTCACCAGTAAAAGACCCCAGATCAACAAAATGGAAATGATGCAAACGGGGAGCGAGATGAAAAACCACGTACCCCAACTGATGCTAGGGTACATGTTCTGCAGCGCGATGATGTTCTGCGGAGATGCAATTGGGGAAGCCGCTCCGCCGACATTGGCTGCCAGCGCAATGCCCAGAACGAGAGACTTGGCGAAGTTCGACTCCGGAGGCAGGTTGCGCAAAAGAGGCTGGATGATCGAATAGCAGAGCACGGGGGAAGCAACGTTACTGATCCACATACTCAAGAACATACTAACGAACATATTGGTCAATAGGACGATATGCGGTTTCGAACCGGCCTTGCTAAGCACAAACATAGCCATGCGTCGAGCAATATCATACTTGGACAGTGCTGCCGCAATGGTAAAGCCACCCAGAAGGAGCATGATCACAGGGGTCCACATTGCCCCAAAGACCACGCTAGTTGCCTCCTTAGGACCCAATCGCTTGTGAGGCTTGTCTTCTGATCTCATGATGCCAAGAACCACAACCAAAAATGGAATCAAAAGAGAAGTAACAAACAAGGGAATGGCCTCGGTAGCCCACAGAATGCTAATGAGTACTAGCATCGCGAGGCAGTTTTGTTGCTCGGGTGTTTCCATCACCTGCAAAGAAAGCAGAGCACCAAAAACAGCAAAGCTGAAGATCAGCGTTGCGAAGCTCAAGCTGCAGAACCACATGGGGAAATGAAGTCGCCCAAACGGGGTTGAAATTTCAGTTGTGAGAATCTCTCCTTTGTCACCTTGCCGCCGCGCAGTTTCGGGGTCTTCATCAGGACCAAGCAGGGTTTGACGAATACCTACATTCAGGGCCTGGCCACGGCGTTCAATGCCAATCATCTCACGCCAGACGGTGTTTCGCTCCCACACCAATTGCTCACGAAGGTGTAGACGGAGTTCGCGACTGGCCAGAGACCGATTGCCTTTGGTGACAATTTCAGCGTAGACACCCTCAACTTTGTCGATGTGAGCGTCCACTGTCGCCATCGTGCTTTCACTGAAGGGCAACGCCACGGAGACGACTGAGTCCAGATACTCTCGACGTAGATTTCGGAACAAGGTTTTGTCGTACTTCTTCAGAGCTTTGGAGAAGCCAGTCTTGTTCAACTCGATATAGGACCTGAGCTCACAGAGGGCAACATAGGCCTCGACAAGACGTTTCTTCAGCTCCACCCCGTTGTTGTAGAGGTCAAGGAAAGCCTGATCACCCATTTCCGAGCCAGCGAGTCCCCGGTTGCTTGCTTGCCCGAAGAATGCAGAATCTGCCATGTCACCCGGTTGTGCATCTATCGTGGACTCTCCGTCTGTCGACTGCGGCCTGCGTCTCACGTTTCGTAACGAAGCGGACGGCTCATCATCGCTATCTCCATCATCATCGCTGATAGCACTAGATCGACGCCCTTGACCGAGCCCATTGCGAGAGGCACGGCTTCGATTGCGACGAGAACCAGTCTTGATGACAGTCTCACTCACAGGATCCATGTTGACGCCATCTGTCTCATTCAAGTAGACGGTGGCATCCCGCATTAATTGGTCGGTGAGTTCAAAGATCTCCTTCTGCTTTTGCTCAAAGAATGTATTTATCTTCTCCAGTTCCGCATCCAGGGCACGCTTAAAGATTCCATCCGGGTTGGTGATCTGAGGGCCTAGCAAGGGTGCGGACTCGACATCAGGGCCATCGGGGCCATCGGGTCGGTTGACTTGTTTTTCGAGTGTATAGATTCTGAGTGGTAAATCTCCGAATTAGCAACCCACTCAAATTCTCCGGGCCACATGCATTGCGATCGTGCATCCACCCAACCACTGTGCGATGTGACACCCGCCCACGATGCCCACGATGTGCAGTCCACGCCACTCAACAACCACCCCGCCAAATGACAGTCCCAAGCGCAGAGGAATAGTCGGGTGTTCAACTTACAGTTTTTTGAGATTGCTGTATGCAATGTAATGGGAACTCCAGTCAGGCACCGCATTGAATTGAATACTATGCGAGAACTTCATCTTGGCGGCAGTCTCAGAGTCAAGAGCAGGGTTGCTCTGACTTGCTATATGTGCCCGACGTCGAAGGGCTTCCGACCAGAACCTTAGTGGGGTGGGACCGATGCCCCTAGGCTGCTTTTCAGACGATGGTGTCTTTTCAGTCGCAATCTTCTGTCCAATCCCAAATCCCGCTAGCGGCCGTGCGTTAGTGGTACGCTCAAATGCCTGCGAGGCGCGCTGGGATGATCGAGGGACAGCGGATGCAGAATTCTGGACTCCGTCTCCAGACTGATGCGTGACGTTATAATCGACGAGCTCGAATGATTCACAGTTCGCGGGGGAAGCCACTGTCGCTGCGAATTTTGAAAGATGCTCGACAAGTGCAATTGCGCAACAGGGCCCGCTTGAATGAGGAGTTATTGCGGGGCGCCAGACAAATCGAGGTGTTGGTCAGCTGGGGCCGCTTGCGTGGGTAGCAATGATAGGCAGGCCGGCAATAAGTTGTGCACGGCAGGATGGAACTGGGATCAAATCAAAATTTGAAATCCTCCGACCAAACGCCTTTACCTGGGATACCGTTGTCCACGTAAAAATAGTTTGAAGGGAGATCTTGATGTGTCTCGCAATGAACTCCAGGAACCGTTGCTTGCTCAATCGGGAATGGCGTGTCATGCGCTGAGGTAAGCGCCGGGTAGCCTATCAGCCGGAGGCGATAACAAGCAGGGTCTAGGGTCCAGTCAATATTTTGAGATATCGTTTGAGAAATCGTAGGCCAATTAGAGAAGATGGATGAGCCCATGATAGAATATGGTATCTATGTAATTTTGAATTGGTCCATACTCATACTTTACGTAGTAAAAGGGTTGGTGTCGAAAGTTCAAAACAAATCACGTCAAGTGCGGGTAAACTAGATTTACTACTGTACAGATGCTTAAAACAAAGTGCTGGCACCATGAAAACCCTTCCGCCAACCCAATTTAACAAAAAAAGAAAGGTGGTAATGATTCCTTGATGAATCGATCACCGGCGGCGAGGCCCAAGACCTAGGTTTGCCCGACCAGCAATACCAAGCTTGTGCTGTCCATCTCTTCGTTCCCATACACCACTGCGACCCTCCGCAACAGACACCAACTCATTGGCCACACGGTGGGCCAGCTGAGCATCACGTCGCTTGTCTGACGCATCGATGATCCACTTGATCGCGGCGCGGCGACGCTGACGGAGGGTCAGTGGGTGTGGCACCTGCAAGGCGGCACCACCACCAGCAATACCCTTCAATTGACGAATGCGGAAAAGAGGAGCCACTGAGTCAACAATCAAAGTGAGGTAAAGGACAGGGTCGAGAGGGAGCTGAGAGCTAGGAGGACCGCCAAGAAGGGGGTGGCGGGAGTTGATGTTAGGAGGAGGTGCGGTGCGGAGGTGGTCAAGAATGATGGACATGTTCTGAGGCATCATATCAGTACTTGAATTTCCAAATCAATGTGGAATGGTTTCAATTGCATACCTTCTGTGCCCGAGCCAACTTGCCGTCCTGCATCAGCATCTTGGTGAACTGATCCTGCATAGAATCGTAGCGTTTGCGGAAGTTGAACGTCTTGCCGGTTGGGGCCTCGGGCTCCTCAAAGATCAAGCCAGGAATCCGCTCTGCGGCCTGTGAATTGACCTGATCGATCATGCTGGCGAGCATAGCAACCGAGGCATCATTGCTGGTTTCAAAGCCTTGTGTCTCTGGCAAACGGGTGCGAGCGGATGTTGAGAACGAGCGAGAGCCTCCGGATTTTTTCAATTTATCCTGCATGACCTTTGGCATGTGCTTTCGGGCCTTCTCATCGCGAGAGAGAATCTGCTCGACGGGAGATCCTTGCTCCAACTCCGGGCTTGAGGGTGTTCCGTCACAGCTCTTTTCCTTCTCCATGATCCTCGAGATCTCAGCGGCCTCCTCGGGGACGGAAGGCAGCGGATCCTGTGTAGGGTATTTCTGTTCATCGGGCTGAATGTTCTTTTTGGACGAGTTCCATCTTTTCTGAACGGGAGCCGACTGCTCGGCACGGAATCGGAGAGATAAAGCAGCGGTGCGTGGTGCAACAGAGGACACGGTCGACTGTCGAAGGGCAGTGGCAGCCCTGTGGGCTGCAAATAGGTTGAATCGAGGAACCATTGTGTGTTACAGTAATTGAGTACCTGTTCCAAGGCAATGTGGTGACCGAGAATGATGAAATCTTGGCCGAACTCAAAGCGGTCTGCAATTCTGCAATTTCACTGATTAGTCACCCTCGCCGCACCATGAAGATTGACGGACTATGTAAAGCTTACGGTTTGTTTTACCAGATTGATGTCTTTTTCGAAACTACTAGTATTCATCTAGTAGGAGTCTTTTGTAGGCGATTGGACTTTGTGGCATCGACTACAAGCACAGCTCACTAAGCACATACAACTGGGGTTGGAAATTCTGTTAATCTGCAACGTTGAAATTCACGCTTCCCTTTGAGAAGATGGAGACTGCCGAAGCAAACGAATTTTTTGTATAAGAGACTAGAGATTTTTGCATAAGTCTCAGAACATTCTTGGTGATTTTCCGACATCATGCTCTCCCAAATGCCCTCGGAGATCGTCGTCCATGTCGCAATATATCTTACCACCATAAGCGATTTAACAAACCTTGCACAGACATGCCATCGACTTCATAAAATTTTCAACGCAGAGGAATCTGCAATTTTTCGGTCATTTGTTCAAGAACAGTTTCCATCAATCCCTGTTCCGCCTTTCTGGAAAGATGCAGCTCGTGCCCTCACTGCTCGGTCACGAGCTCTGGACAGACTCGGGATCATTGGTCGGTTTGTCATTCCGCCAGCTACCACAATTCGAATTGGGTTGAATCAACCAAGACGTCTCGATAATCCTACGCTTGGATATAGACCTTCCATTGACTCTTATGAGATCTGGAATGGTGAACGATGGGCTGATAGAAGAGAAGTGCTCGCTTGGGGCGCAGGCCATCAGCTAGTCATGCGAACCAAGCAGTCTGGATCACGTCCAAAAGAGCAATGGGTCTCATTCAATGACTTGGAGGAAGCGAGCAGCTATGACGATATTTGCGGAGTGCATTTAATCCAGCCGGAATCTGACAAAGACACCGATGTCGAGCACTTGATTATTGGCCGAATGCGCGGCGATATTGTGCATGTTGCCCTTTCTGTCGACACTGCAACCCATGAGTATAAGCGAAAGTTTATGACTAGTGGGAATCTTCTCGAGAGAACAGATGTGGCTGATCATACCATGGCGGCGCATTTTGACAATGGGTCTGTTGCCTTGTATCAACTCGAGAACGAGAACACGAAGGTTGAGCCGTTTGCATGGGTGGGATTGGAAGGAGACCAATCTAGACGAGGCCGCTATTCGAAGCTTTTGTCATCATCAAGGATCGCAATGGCCACTGGCCAAATCAAGGATTCCCTATCGATCAGCACGGTGTCTCCCAATGGTGTATGCCTCGATCGAGAAATAGGCTTGAAGTCTCTTGATATTGAAGACCAAGTTGGCAGATCTGTTAATGCCGTTATTACTGCCATTGCCTCTCTCAATAAACATCCAATCGCTGGTTCACCAGGTGATGTCTTCCTAGCGACATGGGGAGACCGCAAAATAAGGTATGTTGGCAATGAACAGAATGAAGATCCGGACCAAGCAACTGATTTTTTTACTCCCAGACTTCACGATCTTCGTTCGCCAAATTCGTATGAAACAACATACCTAGATTCAACCGACGCCAATATCATCTACAGCGTACAACCATTCGGTCACGATCGCTTTCTGGCCGGAGCCGCTGGTAACGCAATTCTTAAAATCTTCGATCTTCGCATGAGCAAGACCTACAGCTACTTGAATACACATGTTCCAACCCAAGCTAAAACATCATCCAAGCCAACGAAAAAAAACATTGCGCATTACCCTCACAAGGATTTCTCAATGTTCCTTTCTTCGCAAATTCCTTCTGTTGCACCGCGAAATCCCCGGGCCAACAAACGCCGACCCTACAGCGGTCCGATTTATACAATGTCTACACCTTCTCCATCGTCACCGACTGTCTATGCTGGGATCGTTGATGGAGTGGTTCGACTAGACTTTGCGTCGACAGATGATTTGACTGGGCCAGGGCGCGATTGGTACGATCATAATTTAGATATTGGGGTCGAGATTGGCCATCCGTCAGTTCCTATTGAAACGGAGGGTGTGTTGAAATTGGCTGGATATGAGCGTCCGGACTCAGACGATTTTACTACCACCTCTAAGCTGAGGAGCCAGCATGGGTTCTGGTATCCAGACCAGAAGCATATCAACCACGGCGCAGGAGATGGTTGGGATCGGCGGTGGGAGCCTCTTGAGAAAGCCGGTGCTTGGAGAAGGAAGGATGGTGGCAGATAGAAGTACAGTATAGAGCCATGGAATAGTCGAGCAGTGTAGAGTGTACCTCTAGCAATCATGTCTGCCGCTCTATTAAATGGTTACATTGCGGGCTTTTGGACACATTCGAAACTCCTTAATGCCGAATATTTTTCAGGCTCCCAGTATCCTTCTCTTTCTATTATGTAAATGGTATAGGAGGTATGGTAGAGACAGTAGTTATTATAGGCGCTGCATGGAATGCGTGGCGGAAAGCCTTTACTAAAATAAACTTGAAACTTTTGTGGTATTTAAAAGAGCAAATGTCTAAGCAAATTATAATCACAGTGAAACCGCCATAGCTCCGTATGCGCCATGCTGAGTGAAAGGTGTAAGATGGAAGAGATACTTGGTATCAATGATCCATCGACAGCAAAATAAGAGAGTCGTCGAAGCCACATATGTCCCGTTAAAGGATAAGAATTCTATTTCCAAGAGGCAAGTCAAGATAATATCAATGCAGGCTCAGATTGTTGAAGCTGTTCAAATAAAAAGAGCAAAGTTGTCATTCAGGGAAGTAGTGGCGAAGGATGACGAAAAGATCATTTAGTCGTCAAACTTGAACGACTTGCCGCCAGCGATGTCGATCGGGCCACCGCGGTAAGAGCCGCGCTTCTTCTTGTTCTTCTCCTTGGTGAAACCCTTTCCACGAGTAACGGACAAATCCGCGTAGGCGCGGTCAGCATAAGCATAAGCAACGTAATCATTCCTAGGGCCGTCGAAAGGAAGAGCGCTCAGAGCAGCAAGCGGAGTGGGACGGGCTCCAGTGTGCTTCTTTGCCGATCCATTTCCAGGGACGGGGCTGGCGCTCGAAGAAGAGTTCCGCACGTTGTTCAATGGCTTATTATCAAGGACATCAGCTTCGGGTGAAGCGGAGACAGTCGCACTGGAAGTGGAGGAGACGGCAACACCTCCAGTCTTCTCGTCGTCAGAGCTGTCGTCAGAGCTCTCTTCAGATGAGGAGTCGGACGAGCTCGACTCAGAGGATGAGGGGAGGGGGGTCTTCTTTGCCTTCTTCAGAGCCTTGGCATCTGCCTTCTTAGCAGGCTCCTTCTCTGACTCGGAGGAGTCGGAGTCAGAGTCGGAGTCAGAGTCAGAGTCAGAGTCAGAGGACTCACTCGAGTCGGAGCTGGAACTAGAGGAAGAGGAGTCCGACTCAGATCCAGAAGACGATTCGTCTTTCTTAGAGGTCTTGGCCTTCTTAGCCTTGGGGGCATCACTCTCAGAATCCGAATCAGAGCTCGAATCAGACGATGACTCGTCACTAGATTCAGCCTTGCGCTTCACGCCAGCAGACTTCTGGACAGCAGGGGCAGGAGTGGGTGCGGCCTCCTCCTCCTCCTCCTCATCATCGGCGTCACTGTCAGAGCTGGAGGACGAGGAAGAGGAAGGAGATGGGGAGCGAGCCTTCTGGTCCTTCACAGCCTTGGGCGCATCTTCCATCTCAACGTCCGAGTCGCTGGCATCGCTGTCAGAGTCGGAGCTGGAGTCGGAGCTAGAGCTGGAGCTGGAGCTGGCATCGCTGTCGCTATCGGAGCTAGAGCTGGAAGGATTCTTCTTCTCCCAAGCCTGGAAGATTTCCAACAAAGACGGAGCGTTTTTCGCGTCGGCCTTGCCGTTGGTCTTCTTTAGTTCCTTTTCGAATGCAGCGTTGGTACTAGTGAAGCCATTGCTGGTCAGGAAAGAGGCAATAGATGCGAGAAGTTGCGCGGGAGCGGCGGTGGTGCTCTTAGGAGCGTCAACCTGTCAATCAAAAAATATTGTTAATGCGGTTCTGCCAGTGCGTGGACAGGCATTGCAGCTTTACCTTCTTGACAGGGGTAGCCTTTTGCTCTGATTTCTTAGCCATGGTCACGGTGTATGTAAGATTCGGTAAGTGTAGACTCGCAATGACTGGGGATCAAGAGGCGAGAAGGCCGGAAGGTGGGAAAAACCAATTGTATATAGAAGTCGCCATCCAGGAACAGAAAAAAAAAAGTCTGGAAGTATAACAAAGGCGGTGGGGCTTAAAAGACTACTGATTGGACAACCCAAAGACAGTACTTGCCGTTCACGTGATTGTAATCTATATCCATACGTTACGAAGCAAATAATGAATAAATACAATTCATGCATTACCTTGAAGTAATACTACATACTGGCTACCGAATGAGATGGTAATAACATCTTGTAGTGCTACCATAATCCTACATAACTAACTACTTAGTTAAAATACGTTCCGTTTACGTGAGCAAAGACGGTGACAGTCATGTGATCACAAGGCGTAAGCCTTAATATCTCAGGCATCAAATCGGTCGTTGGACCTCTTCGTGTAAAATAGTAAGTATTGTTGAAATTTGAAGTATCCCTATGTTACCAGGCAGACCTTTCACAGAAGGAGTCATATCCGAAACATGTAGGCTTTCATGATCTAAGATATCTCGTTGCCCCCGGATCAACTCAATACTCCGCTCCCACGAGCTCTCTCCGCCTTACCCGCAACCCCAAACAGACCGATGAGCTAATGCATTCTGACCGCTACGACCATTCGACATTGCCACAAATTAATTCGCTCTGGGTTGCGATTCTTCTTTTTAACCTGAGGTGCATTCGTCGCTCCACGCTCCCAAAAAACGTCAGTTATCTCGGCAGTAGACTCGTGTGGGACCCGTCCTCATCTAGTCTGTCCTCACCCGCCGCATACCAACCATGATCCCTTGATTTCACCAACTCTATCTAGTGATCTTGGTGTCGCATAAAATACGCGATGATGAATGGTCGCGATCGTCCACGTCCACCGCCCTCCGGTGATCCTCAGCGCGGGGGCGACGCCCGCAATGGCTCCGGTGACGGCATGAGCAGGGCAGAGAAATTCGAGGACGAAAAGAGACGCATTATTCAAAGTTGCTATTCGAAAAAAGATAATGATGGAGCCTGTGTGTAAACCCTCCAATTGCTTCTTTGCGCCTTGCCAGATAGTCCCTAGCTTTCCCGCAGCTAGGGGATGGCAACATGAGGCGGACCGGACTTGTTCCACCACCCCTTTGGCTGTTTCCAAACGGAGATAAGCAACGTGACTTTTGAGGTACTCTTACTGACTCCCGTTCTCTTAGTGGTCGAGTCCTATATTACACACGTCCGAATCACCGAGGATGGATCACACCCTTCTTCCCCTTCCCCGCCTAACTCGGCACCGGAGAACAAGAAACCCCGTGTCATTATCATTTCAGTACGGAGGTCAGGTAGAGTTCGAATGCACAAGGCTCGTGAAAATAATGACGGAACATTTTCCATTGGTAAAACGTGGATGCTCGATGATTTATCTGCAATCCAATCGTACGTCGCTTTTGTCCCAAAGACAGCAATCGAGCAACAGCACAAGGAATGGGCATCCAATGTTGGATTTGTGGTTACCGTAGGGAAGCCTTACTACTGGCATGCCCGCAGCTCCAAGGAAAAAGAATTCTTCATTGGCAGCTTGGTCAAGATCTACAAGAAGTATACGGGAGGCAAAATCCCCAATCTGATTGGGTTTGAAGAAAAGCAACGACAGGCGCTCATCGGAGGAGGTACTCCAGGGCCATCAGGGCCTTCTGCGCCACCTTCAAGAGGGGCCGGTTTAGGGCCCCATCCAGAAGCGGGAACACCTCAACCCACACCCTCATATGGAAGTCGTGAACCCAGTCGTGATGGAGCTCGTGAAATACGGCGGAAGGCATCTGAAGACCCGATGCTCCGGTCCCAAAAGAGTCGTGAACAGATGTCTCGTCCATCAACTGGGAATAAGCCAGCCCCGCCTCCTTTCAGCCCACCCTCTAATCCACCACCTGCCGTCCCCCCGCAGCGAAGAGATCCAGAAACCAGAGATCCACCGGTGAAATTCCCCTTCCAAGATGATTCTCGCACGCCGTCAGGTCGTGGGGAAGGGCGTGCCCTGAAGACCCCAACATCCGAGCTTGCCATTCAGACCCCAGGAACTCTGTCGCTGAACACAAAACGAAGTGTGGATGGGCTGCGGCCCAGTACCGCGGGATCTTTTTCGAGCGAAGGTCGAGGAATTCCTCCAAGTCCTGGTGGCAGCGTGGAACCGAGATCACCGTATTTACCGTATCGGGATCCAAACTTCGAACCACTGCCGCAGCCTGTTCAAGATAAGGCTATATCAGAAGAGCCTCAGCCAATACCAACAGTTGAGGACTCATCCGCGAGAGACGAAACACCATCTTCGCCAGTATCCGTTGACCCTGCTGTAGCAGCAGCTGTGCTCCAATTCTCCCAACCAACTCAGGAGCACACGCAGGAACAGCAGCCTTCAAGTACCTCGGAGGCAGTCGAGGACGATGGCGAGGCACACCGGCCCGGGCTGGGCCCTATGGTGAAGAAGAAGGGGCCTAGTGAACTTGCAGGGGTTCTCCGAAAAGCCGCAACTGCATATGGAGCTTTCAAGCCGCGGCCTGGGGGTGCTGGCGAGCGTCTACTAGCGGCGGCGAAGAAACAGCAGGCCGAACAAGATGCGGATGGTATCACAGGCGTTTTCCCGGCCCCATCCCTGACTAAATCTGCAAGTGAGGCCCCGAAGACCCCGATAGAAGAGCCGACTGAGAAAGAGCTCATGGTGACGGCACCAACCCCCGAGGTTCCGACTGCTACTACACCTACTGTTGAAATCACCCAGCCGGAGGTCGAGGTGACCTCGCCGCTGCCTGATTCGATTCCTCTTCCTGAGAAGAGCCAAGATTCGCTAGTCGATATTGTAAACATTGATGAACGCTCACGATCACCATCTCCGGCCGCTCGGGGCCGTCGTCGGAGAAGAGAAGACCACACCGTGAAATACTGCCAGGCTCTCGGTATCGACCCACGTGTGCTCGATGGACGTGGAATTGACTTTGATGATATCTTAACTGATCTTGGTTGGAATGGACGTCTCAATGACGAGCAGAAGATCGAGGACTTGGAAGCAGATGTTCGCCGCGAGATTGGTCGCGTTGAAGCTACCAGCTGGCTTGGTAATCTTGAACAGCAGGAAGGAAAGGTGGAGCAGCTGGCTGTCCTCATTGATAAGACAATTGAAGAGTGTGAGGAGCTGGAGGGTCTTCTCACCCTGTATTCGCACGAACTGAACGTAAGTCGTCTAATGTCATACAAGCTACATTTGCTCCGCATGGTTACTAATTGGGCCAACAGACTCTGCATGACGATGTTTCGTACATTGAAGCTCAATCCCAAGGTTTGCAAGTTCAAACGGCGAACCAGAAGCTTTTGCAGAATGAGCTCCAGAATCTCTTGAAGACACTATCAATTTCCACGTCCGAGCTTCTGCCGCTCAGGGAAGCCTCTCTAAGCAATCCCGATGGGTTGAAGGATGCTGAAAATGCCCTTTCCACTTTGTACAAAGCGATGCTTATGATTGATGCCGAAATTGGGCAAAACAAAAAGCGATTGGTCGATGCCAGCGTGGGAGTCTATGCCAACACAGAGATTGGCCAAATGCGTGCCATCAAAGAGAAGAAGGAAGAATACCACACGGCCGCCGTGACGTTTTTGCAACACCGCCTTAAACAATTCATGGCTCTGGCCTTCAAGACAGCGGAACAAAAACGCGTAGATGTGATGGCCGCCACTACCAGAGACCCCATGAAGCTGGACAGTGCTGCACGACAACAATTCCGTGCTGAAGTCTGGAGGTACAATCCGTTGATGCTGTTCACCAAGGAAGTGAGTATGTCGGAGTGGCATTCTCTGGTGAACCTCTATGAGCAGCAATCCAAGCCATCGTACCAGAGTGAGTTCCGCGACAATAACGCGAACTGGAAGAAGACAGCTCGCAAGACGACCGGAGAGGAGTCAGAACTTCTCTTCACCCACCAAGAAAAAGAGAAGGAAGCTGAGAGCATCACCATGGCAGCCCGCAAACTTACAGTGCGCCGAGGCAAGACCGTTCGAGCTGCCGTCGGCCTTCGGTTAGCCTCTGGTGAGAAAGCAGAGAAAAAACGGGGCAGGGTCGAGCCATGTGAAGCATTTGCAGGAACGCTGCGCGAGACTCTCAATATGATTACTGACGAACAAAACTTTGTGGTCGAATTCTTCCACCTGAATTCCTTGGCCAATGTCGATTTCTCCGACTTGGTGGCTTCTGCTGAGCCAGAAGGTCGGCAGTGCCCCGACTTCTCTGTTAAACAGTCCCATGATCCAGATCGTGACATGGCTAAGCGCGTTGAACATATTATGGATGAGATTTACTCATTCTGGCCAAACGACATGCAAAGCATGGTAGACTGGGCCATTACCTCTGATCCTCTGCAAGGCATTGGTATCCTCTTTGCCTTGGAGTCGGCCATGTCAGACCTTGACGATACCAACCAAGAGTTCATCATCCACTCGCTCCAGAAACTCCACTCTCGTCTAATGGGACTCTACAATAGGTTCGTGGATGAACAGATTCGAGGTATTGAAGACACCAAGGTGAAGATAAACAAGCGCAAGGGTGTAATTTCCTTTATACGGGTGTTCCCGCACTTTTGCAACGCCGTCGAGACTATGCTGTCCCAGCCGGGTGGAGAATTCTGTGATATTCGTATCAGCGTCAATGATGCCTATGACCGTATCAACCGCGCCATGTGGGAGTCGCTCAAGTTCATTGCCAAGGAAGCCCCTGGCCAACCCCCTGGTGTATCTGCCACTGCGGGAGACCCCGAGGACAAAGAGGTGCTCAACTACCACATTCTGCTCATTGAGAACATGAACCACTATGTTGAGGAGGTTGATGTGCATAACACCCCGGTGCTTGAACGCTGGATGGGTCGGGCCCACCAGGACTTTGACGAACACATGAGACTTTACCTGGATGCGGTGATCCACCGACCCCTTGGTAAGCTGATGGATTTCATCCAATCCTTGGAGACACTGCAGGCGGCCGGTAACAGCTCCGACATCGCGACTCGGGCCAGTCACTCCCGTATGGTTGCAAAGAAGGTTTTGTCCTCCTACGATGCCAAAGAAGTGAAACGTGGTGTGGAAGTGCTCAAGAAGCGTGTAGAGAAACACTTTGGTGATGCTGATGACCCCGGTCTTAGCCGCAGCTTGGTGCTGAAGGTGCTGCGGGAATGTGAGCAGCGCTACGAGCAGGCATATGACCGGACTCGGCATATCATTGATACCGTTTACGAAGGACAATTGGAGCTGGAATGGCGAAAGGAGGACGTGGCGGCCATGTTCCGAAAATGAGGGAATGCCAACATTAACATCAATATCAATATCAACGTCAATTCTAATTTCTTATGACTGTTTTACTTCTGACGCGCCAAGCATCATAAATCAGGTGCTTTGGGCGTTTCACGTTTCCTGTCATGTACCTAGTAAATCTTCTGGCCATTGCATTGAATTTCCTATGGTTTGGCCGATCCTATCAGTTGATTGGTGCGGCGATACCCTGACCCACTGGTTCGAGGCCGTTCATTTTAAACACTTTTAGCAACTCAGGGGCACGCTCTGGCCTGTGCTTGATTTCTCGAGATCGAGGATCACCGGCTGGATTCTTTATGGATACGCTAGCTGAGCACATCAAATAGTTGTAGATGATCGCGGGGGTGAAATTCCTGATTTAAATCCTTGTTTCTTTCCTATTTGGGAAGCTCCATTCAGAGTTGGGGTAGATATGTCCCTGAGCTCGTCAGTGGCTTATGCTTCAACCACGGACTCACGCCGAGGCATACAGAGGGGGAAAAAGAAAAGAGGGGGCATGGATACTGTAAATACAAAAAGTAAACATGACTTGTTTCAGTCAAAATGCAGGTAACCGTTCAGATGAAACTACGTGACTGTTGCTAGACAGCGGTGTGGGGAGTTTAGAGCTTAAGATTTTGGTTGAATTTCGCTCTTTGATCGTCCCTTTGCCCGGAGTTTCCTCCTTTAATTCTTTCCTTTCCCTCACAATCCTTATAATCTTTTTTACTTCTTAACTGTCCTTTCTAATCAGCTTTCTATTTTCTTTCTTTTTCCTCTTTTCTAGGTGAGTCCGCCCAGCCCCTGTTTCCCCACTGTTCTCGCCAGACTCCACCACGCGAAAGTCGCTCGCAAGGGGGGGGGGCACGGATACTCCAATCGCGACTGTCGAGACTCCGAGGTTGGCCTGCATCTGCATAGCCGTGTTCTGTGGTTGGGTCCCTGCCTCGCTAGTTCTTCTTTTTTGAATGAAAGAAATCTTGATCCTAGAGAACAGCTATTGTGCAGACTCTCCTGGTGTAACATCCCATCTAATTTCGAATCTTGAAACCGTTTAGCTTGTCGCATTCCTTTACGCATTCCTCTCCTTTTCTTCCCCGCGGACCCGACAATTTGGAAACGCTCCACCACATGTCGTGTGCCATTGAGACCGAACATTCTTTCTGAACCGAATTTTCTACATTCTTTCGAGCGGATCGTCGCCTATAACGAGGTTAAGCTTCAGATCAGCGCGCCTGAGCTCACATAGCCGCAGCTATGCCCTGGCGGCCGCTGCCTCGCATTGCCTTTGCCGTTGCCATATACCCCTTCCAACCTTCCTCGCCCGCGGATCTACCTCTCGAATTGGGCGATGAATTGTATATTATTGAACAGGGGGGTTTGGATGGAGAATGGTGTCGAGGATATTTGGTTGCGCCGCCCTCGTTATTGGCGGGGTTAACGAGCACTAAGGGTCAGACCCTCGAAGCGCGTGTATTTTCTGGCATCTTTCCACGGAACTGTGTTGAGATCCGGGAAGTACTGGGCGATGGTGACGGATACAAGGCTCTTCTCAATGGAAATGGCGATCGCAAGAGCGTGGATCGATTAACGCTGCCAGGATTAGAGTTCGAGGGGCATTCACGGAATAGTGTTGCTTATTCGATGGCTGACTCTCAAGGCGAAGTGTCGGACGTGGTGTTTGCGAAGAAGGGCAAGCCCGCACAGATTACAATCCACCGAACAGATGATCTTGAATTGTCCAGTCCGCGATCTATTCAGACCTATGGAATGGGTTCCATTCCTCATACACCGGTGACTTTTGCGCCCCGGGATCCCGATGCGCCGAAGCCTGCAGCGCCTGTGCCTATGCTTAAAATTGGCGATGAGACGCCAACATCCCTGACAGAACCCTTGGTGGATGAAATCGCCTCTTGTCTTCGCGAATGGCATTCCACCAACCTACATGAACTCCTACTGGCTCAGAAATATGATGTACTGGATGAGATGTCCACAATTGTGCAGGAACTGGATTTTGCAAGACGCCAATTACTTCATAATGTCTTAACCGGCCAGGAGAAAGAGACACTGCGGGATGAAACGGTCTGGAAACTTGTCAAGGCGAACAAGATGCTTAGCGGGGATATCATTGTTCGCGATCCAGATCAGAGAGGCCGATTATTAACCGGGGAGGACTCAGCTATTCAACTAGCAACGTTACAATCCGAAATGAGTATGTTGGAGAGTCGACCTACCACCTCCTCCGACACCACTGCTTTACATCACATGCTCCTGGAAATCAATGCGGTGTCTGGAAATATTCCTGGTCCGGTGTCTCTGGCCATTCAGCTGTACTCTCGGTCCGATTCCGGGGTATTTAGCCCTCTGTCTGAGACCTTCAGCTTGGATATTCCATCGCCTGAAAAGTTTGTCAGTCTGACCCAGAGTAACAAGTTGAAGACTTTATTCACAGAATTGGCCGCAACGGATATTGGAGACGGCTCAGTAAATGGTCGTCAACTTTACCTTGCCACATCAGTTCGAGCCGCAGAATCACGCTCGACAACGGAGAGTACCCCTGCCTCACGACCATCCATGTCCAGAGAGAGCCCTTCGAGCCCCAAAGCAAATGCAGCTGGAGTAATACAGCCCTCAACAAAGGGAAGCTTGCGCTCGCGGCGCAGCATGATGTGGTCTCCCAAGCCTCGGGGTCCTAACGAAAGTGTAACGCCAAAGATCAATGCCCAGGGAGTGCCACGATTGTCGAGCAGCTCATCGAGTGCGAAGGAGCCAACTGCCTCTCAGCCCACAACAAAAGAATCCTCGGCCATCCGGACCATTGGCGTTGGTATCTTGGAGGTTTCACCCATTCTTCGACAAGAACGAGATGCCGAGCAGGTCATTAATATCTGGTCGCCCTCTCGTGAGAGTGATGAAGGTGAAGGAAACGCTGATGGGTTTGATAAACTACTTCATGTTCTTATGCCTAGCCGCACTGGTCGTTATGTGCGATCTGATTACGCTGCACGCCTACATGTTCATCTCCACCCCTTCGCGAGCACTGACCCGGAAAGCCTTGTCCGCGAGAACCCTACAATCCTGCACGATGTCGTCCAGACAAGACGAATTGGGTTCTCCAAAGCTCCTACCAAACCAAGATCCGACATCTACATCACTCTTTCCCAGGCTGTATTCCCGACAGACGCCCTCCTATCTCACCCCACTGCTGGGCAGATTCCCCTCCAAACGAACACTGGTCTGCATAATCTCCAACTCACCTTGGAGGTACGAGACGTCAATGGAGCTCGCATCGATCGCTGTGTGTTCCCATCTTCAGCAAACACGTCGCATACGGCCTGGAGGACTACCATTGCGGCACGGGGATCTCCATGGAACCAGACGATTCGTCTTAAGATCCCCAAAGAACAAATCCCTGGATCGCACATTATTATGAGTGTTGCAGATGCACCCGAGTTCCCATTTGCCCTTTCATGGATGCCCCTCTGGGACCAACAAGCCTTTATTCGGGATGGGAATCACTCATTATTGCTCCATGCCTATGATAAGCAGACCTCGAGCATGGAGAATGGAAAGGGCGCTTACTTGAGTCTTCCTTGGAGTGCACTTGGAAAGAACGAATCGGCCAAGGATGAAGCGCTTACAGGCCCATTAGCAACTCTGCGTCTCGAAACTCATCTATGTAGTACCGAATACTCCCAGGACCAAGTGATATTGAGCCTGTTAAACTGGAAGGAGCGTCCGGTGGATGAGGTTTTGGATACCCTGAAGCGATTGCTCTTCGTCCCGGAAATCGAGATTGTCAAGCAGCTGCGCGGCGTTTTCAATGCACTGTTTGGAATCTTGGTCGAAAATGCTAGCAATGAGGAGTACGAGGATTTGATCTTTCATAATCTAGTGACAGTACTAGGCATTGTACACGATCGACGATTTAACCTGGGTCCTTTGGTTGACCAGTATGCCGATGAACAATTCGACTTTCCCTTTGCCACGCCATGTCTTATTCGAAGCTACCTGCGACTATTGAATGCCCCTACAGACCCTAAGCAGTCCCGCAACCTCCGCGCTGCTTTCAAAGTTGGCCGTCATCTGCTCAAATTCATCATTAATGCCCGCGAACAGCAAAAGGCCAAGGAAGAGGGCATTGGCATTACTTCAGTGCAATCGACTTTTAACAGAGATCTGCACACTATCTTCAAGTCATTGGAGAAATTGATGAAGAATACCAACCCGGCATTGGTTGGCAGCAAGACACTGATCGTCCAGCACTTCCACACGTGGTTGCCTGAGCTTTCCAAAGTCTTTGGCCGTGACGAAATGATTATGATTGCATTGAGTTTTATGGATTCATGCAAAGAAGTGACTGGCATGCTGGTGCTGTACAAGCTAGTTCTTATCCAGAGCTATACCCAGTTCGAGATCTTCGCATCTGGCGAGGAGAGGCAAACCCTGATCTCAAGCTGCGTACACTGGTTGAAGCCATATTGGGGCTCTGGTGTAGCCGTCTCCGACCAATATCGCGATCAGGTCCGGCTGAGCAGTGCGATTGTTGCTCAACTGCTCACTCAGCCTGATCCTCAACTGTATGACTTTATGCCGAGCGTTGTTGCTTCTTACTGTGCTATAGCCGCGGAAGGGGTGGATGATACCGAATACCTTTCCCTCCTCTTCAGCAAGTCCTTTCCCTTCCAAGTCAAATTGGCCAAGACACCTCAAAGGTTCGAGGAATCTTTGGTGGAGCTCTCTGCAATTATGGCTGCTCTGGCGAAGATCGTGTCACCCAAGACTCCCAACCTGAAGGAATTGGAGCTTGCAACCTTCATCTCCCAGGCTTTCGAGGCCCACAACTCCATCATTGATTGTGAGGCATACCCCGAAAGCTGGTTCAGTATTCATGTGTACAACCATCGTGCCGCTATTAAGGGCCTTGAACATCTGGCCCTGCTCTTGGTCGAAAAGTTCCTTCCCAATCCTGATGATGCTGATACCTTCGACACAAAGCTTTGGGAGTCATTCTTCACTACACTGCTGAAGGTTATTTCTAGCGATGCCCTCGCTCTTGAAACTTTCCCTGAGCAGAAGCGAAGAGCTGTCTGGAAAATCGCCGGCGATGTTCGTGAGCAGGGTGCGGACTTGCTGCACTCCACTTGGGAAGCTATCGGTTGGGAGACCACCGACGATGAGAGAGAACGATACAACCTGAAGCGGATGGGTGGCTACCAGGTTCAATACGTGCCCAATTTAGTGCCTCCAATCATCGGGCTATGTCTTAGCGTGCACGAGGGTTTGCGCCACGTTGCTGTTCATATCCTAAGAACAATGATCTTGAGTGAATGGGACTTGAACCAGGAGATCTCTATCCTCGAAACGGAAATCATCTCAAGCTTGGATTCTATCTTCAAATCCAAGCACATGAGTGAGAGTATCAGCCAAAAAATCTTTGTTGGTGAACTACTCGACCTCTTTGAGGCTGATGCCGAATCTGACGAGGATTTGTTCAACGCTGTCAAGGGCCTTATTTCGACTGTGGATGAGCTCCTTGACCTTTTGGTCGCTTCCCAGAGCAGCGTTGCAATTCAGAGTCTGCATGCCCTGAAGCTTATGGAATACATGAAGGATATGGGCCGTGAGGATATCTTCATTCGATATGTGCATGAGCTGGCTGATGGTCAGGCTGGTGCTGGCAATTTCACGGAAGCCGGACTGGCGCTTCAGTTCCACGCTGATCTTTATGAATGGGATCCCATAAAACTGCTGCCTGAGACCATTACCCCTGCCTTCCCCGCACAAACCGCCTTCGAGCGGAAGGAGTCTTTGTACTTTGCCATCATCCAACACTTTGAGAATGCCATGGCCTGGTCACCTGCTTTGGCTTGCTACAAGGAACTTTGTACTCACTACGAATCCGTGATAATGGACTTCGACAAGCTTTCCCGAGCTCAGAGCTCAATGGCTCGGATCTATGATTTTGTTGCCAAGGGCATCAAGCAGTTCCCGCGCTATTTTCGCGTTGTTTACAAGGGTCTTGGCTTCCCTCCCAGTCTGCGTGACAAGGAATTCATCTTCGAAGGATCGCCGACAGAGCGCATGGCGTCGTTCGTTGACCGAATGCAACGTGAACATCCTACTGCCCAGATAATGTCTTCAGGCGAGATCCCTGATTACGAGGGGCAGTTCCTTCAAATCAGTGGTGTCACTGCGTACCGGGAAGTTGCCCACCCTGTGTACCAGCGATCGAAGATCCCCCTTTCTGTTAGGGATCATCTCTTGATCTCGAACCCAATCCGATTTGTTGCCACTTCACGGAGACACACCGGCAGCTCAGATGTGCGCGAACAATACGTCGAGAAGATGATATTTACCACGGCAGAACAATTCCCCAACATTCTCCGACGGAGTGAAGTAGTTTCTACTCAGGATATAACTTTGTCTCCTTTGCAGACTGCCATTGAGCGAACATGTCGCAAGACCCAGGAGTTACATCTTTTGGAACAACGCGCTGCATCGGGCGAGGATCACGGATTGTCGAATCTGACTGAAGCATTGGAACAATTGTTAGACTCGCGATCCGCATCGTCTAACTGTGTTGCCTCGTACCGCAGCTTCCTTCGCGGTGCGCAAGGCGCGAAGGACAAGCTCGACGAGGCAGATGAAGACGATCTGGGTGAACAAGAGGAAGAAGAATTACCAGAGACCATGGACCCAATGGAGAATGCGCTTGCTGTTGCATTGATAGATCATGCTCTAGGAATCAAACAGGCACTGGCACTATATCAACGTCCTGCCCAGCAAGCGACTCAGGCAGAGCTTCTCCGGCGCTTCGAGAATGTGTTTGAACCTGAACTGGATTCTCTTGCTTCATCAACACCAGAAATGAATAGCCCGACTCTTACTCAGACTGCCCGCCAGTCCCCAAACTTGGGAAGCCGCCGAAGCCATACTGGAAAGCGAGCTGTTAGTCCTGAGCAGGAGCTCATTCGGGCCTCCAGGGCCAATGGCCACACTCATAAGCGATCAGAGCGTCAATCAGTCAGCCACCGGATCAGTATCATGAACCCATTCAAGCGTCATGGCGCATCGAACTCCGTCTTCACCCTCCAGCAACCGGAAAATAAAGGCCAGAATGCAGCGGCTGAACAAGATGACCGTGATGACGACGCAGCGACAATCCACAGTCGAACGACAACTCATTCTCGCGGCGCTAAGAGCGAAAAACGCCGAAGCTGGTTTGGTGCCGACAAGAAGTACGGCTCTTCTCCATCAATCGGTGGAGCAGTGGATGAAAACGGCACGATCTTGAAGACCAGACCGTCACGTAGCGCCTCTCGCGATACAGCCGCTCAGTCCCACGACGGCCGTAGTCGCGCAGGCTCTCAACACCGTGGTCCTACTTCCAGCGGCACCGTAGGCCCATCTGATCGACCTGCCCCTGCTGCAAGTGGCGGCTGGTCCACGCTCCCCTCTACACGCGACTATTCCCGTCCGGTGACGCGCGATAGTAGCCATGCTCCACGCGAATTGTCAGTCGCCACCAACAGCAACGACTCCGAAAACACCACGCGCGTGTCATCAACACCAGCCGGGCCCAACGCCGGTGTCCGCGATTCCGTCTTCCGACGATTCAGTCTCCTCAAGGGCGTCGGTCGCAAAGGCAGCCGCATGGACTTCAAATCCAACGGCACGTTAACAGAGGAGTGATTGGCATTCCTAACATAGTGATAATAATACTTTCCCACCCTTCTCCTTTTACTATTCTTGATGTGATTTACTATTGGATTTACTACCCTCACCTACCATGTTCTTTCTCTTTTCATTTTTTATTACCTTTTTGTCACCTGTGGACCGGGGAGAATTTTTCAGTTTGGTGTTATGAGATAGATACCACTTGTTTTACTCCAATCTCCGCATAGTCTATACAGCTTTGGATTTTGATTGTATACTATCAGCAGCTTTGAATGCTAAGACTATTGATTTAATCTGTATTCCCAAGGCTTCTAAATTAAGCGTGCAGGTATCCTGCAATGAACCTCGGGACTGTTTTCCCGGTGGCGAGTGCTTATTGGGTTAAACATCAACCCATCCATCCCAACCTTGACCTGGCGAGCTATAGGCTTGAAAAATTCCGACACTACTCACCACGTTTCACATTAAGATCGCTACGAAAGGACCTTTTACCATGGGGGCGATAAAAAACCCAACTGGGCGGAAGTATGTCACGACTGCTTGCGACACATGCAGGGGAGAGCAAAGTGAAGGTCGGATCCCATTTTCCACTCTCAATCACCATAAGTTCTGACTTACATAGTGTGATGGGATTCGACCTTCCTGCTCAAATTGTCAGCATAAGATGAGGCCATGCAATTATCAGGCTGCTGATAAAAGGAATTATTTGATTCGAGTCTGATTACATCCAGGTGCTGCCTTCGCGGAGCTTTCGAGCCCCGATACCATCTCAACTTTATTACTTATCCAAGATCTTTATCGGAATTTTTTGCGGATCGAGCTAAGACTCTTCTTGATATTGAGCTTGACTCGCCTACTGTGGCTACCGTGCAGGCCATGGTTGTTTTGAGTGGGCATAATATTGGATGCAAGCGTGATGCTCGAGGGTAGTTATACAGTGGTAGGTATCACAGTGAGGTGGTGCTATTCTGGTTTCAAATTTATTGAATCAAGTATGGCAATGCGTCTTGTCTTTGATCTAGGATTACATATCGATATGTCGCCTTACGTCGCGAATGAATCCATCAGCGAGGCTGAGGCTGACGTGCGCCGTATGGTGTTCTGGGGTGCTTACACATTGGATCAGTAGGTTACTCCATTGAACGAAAAAGAATTCAATGCTAAATTATGTTATTTGCAGCCACTTGGGCATCCTTCTCGGACGCCCGTTCAGGATTAATGTTGAAGATGTCACTGTCCAGAAACCGGGTGTTGATATCATACAGGATCAGGATCAGGCCGATCGCTGGTATCCATATAGACTGCCATATTTTACCGCATTTCCCCCTTGGTCTGTCAATAGCAAACTCGGCTTCCTCGCTGAGCCTGCATCGCATAATGCTTTGTGAAATAATGACGCCACTCGGTCATGTCATCTACGGATAATTGAAGATCTCCAGGGAAGCTCTCTGAAAGCTAAACGCAGAGACCACTGACAGACTGCTTCTCGAAAATTGTCTACCGGGAAATGCGCTAACATTTCTATGGGATGTATGTGTCCAGCTCGGAACCGTGGAAAATGCGGTGAGCTTGTGGCACCGTACATAAACCCACGGCTATCTGTTTGACCATTAAGGCCGGCTTAAGGATCACTCTGTATCTAGCAGATAGCGCCATTGGACGGGAGAGGTACATTGATTTCCGACCGGTCCCATATGGGCCAAGCGCCCTTTCAGTTTGTTGCGCTAGGAAAAATTGGGCGTCAATACGGAGTTGCAGACTGTGTTGGGTCCCACGCGTCAAAACTTCTCCTTTATATCGAGGGTTACAATGCATGGCTTCTGTTTCAGACCAACTATGAACTCAAGTTGACAAAATTCACCGATTCATGACAGCAAAAAATGTCCAACAGCGAGCATAAAAGGAAAACACAGACTACTGCTCGACAAGACCATCCCTTTTGTACCTGTGGAAGTGGTGCTGCTCCGAGTCGCCGCCGCCGTAGTAGGTACCTGCACAATCGGCGGAGAAGTGGTTGCGGAAGAACTAGCAATTGTTGAGGGCAAGTTCGTCAGGGTTGAGAAGTTAGCGCTGACGACAATCTGATCAAAAGGGTCCCCGAAATTCTGGATCATGTCATAGCTGAGTTGTGAGGCCTCCGACGTGCTCCAAGCGGCCAGTGACGCTGGGTTCGTGACCCATGGTGGTGCGCACTCGAATCCGTCGGCGGTTTCCGCTGCAAGGAGCGTAAAAGTCAGAGTATACGGGTAGTCCGCGCATGCATACTGGCTGATTGCCGTATTCTCTGAGTCTGTGATGATCGCACTGGCTGTGGCGCAGAATGGTTTGGTGGGATCGGTGCTACAAGCTGGTCAGATCTCGATTCAAGGACAACAACAACAGCTCTGGTGAGCAAATGCCATAACTAACCATTTCAAGAGTCCTGTATTAGCAATGCAATCTGAGTTGCACGAACCCAAGGCCGTTGAGTTGATGCAGGAGCTGTAGGTCGGACAATATAGCGAGACACAGCCGGGAACCGGGACTAATTTGCAGCAGCCCCAGTTATTAGTGGTGGCACGATCGGCGCGATACCCTGATAGCAAGACGGCACACGTCTGGTCAGATGGGCAATTGAAGATGTAGTTCGATACACCTAATAGGTAAGATGGGAGTTAGACGCCAAATATCGAATGACTATGAAGGAACTCGATGTCGCATACTCGCATCGCCAGATAGTTGAGCACAGGGGGCTGATCCACTCCTACGAAAATTGGCCTGCGTAGGTATCGGTGCTGGCGTTATCATAGTTCTCATCATAGTCCCATCATTTGTTAAGAAAGATGTGGGCGGCAATTCTTTCCAACATCGGACTCCCGGCAAGAAGAGTATAATAGCGAATATTAAAACGGACAGGATCATCTTTCACAATTCAGTGCAGCAGCAAGTCCAAAAATTAGGTGACCTTAGTCAAGTTTGTTAGCCCACGAGCATCTCTGCAGACTCAGGCAACGCATTGACTTATATGTACTTTCGACTCGACCGCCTTTGGGGCTATACCTCATCCTAATGCAAGTTACATCAACCCAGGAAATATCCCTTCAATTAATTTCGATTCGTGCAACAGAAACTTCGAAAATTGGTGGGCTTGGCTAAGTCTAGACCGGGAACATTTGCGCGGAGTCACACGATGGATTGATCGGTTGGGGCTATACCTCGTATTAATGGCTATACCTCGTATGAATGCAAGCCACATCACTACGGGGAAATCTCGGTCCTATCTTCGAACAGTCTGACCATAACAATTGAGAACTTTGGGTCTGTGGCTTCAGCTGAGAGCGCCTCTACTTACGAGATCAGGAGGGTAATGCCACAATCAGGATAGGGGATAAATCTTTCTCCAAAATCCATCTACTCAGGGATGAACGCTGTAAAACGGATTTGACGGCCCTCTGTACCTTCAACATCACGCGGTTGAAAGCATGCGCCTCTATTTCGAAGTTCAAAATGATCACGCTGGTAGCTTGGACTGTGTTCGCCACCGTGACCTTTGCCTTGACAGCGTGGTTTTCGTCGACGACTTTCGTGCTTAACACTGGGTATGAGATTCAATCGAGATTTCATGTCTCCTTTGCAAACACCGTCATAATCCTGCGGATCCTTCAGGGCGTAACATCATGGGCTACTTCAAGCGCCGTTGCCGTGTCATTCGAGACGGCTATGTGGGCTTCGACAACTTCCGCGGCAGGTTCTCGTATATTGACCCTGCTGACCATCTCACCAATGACTGGAGTCACCGGGGTCCTAAAGTTGATCTGCTCAAAAGCTACAACGGGAATAGCCCGCGCTTGGGGGTCCGCAAGGTAAGTTGATTAAGTATTATCCTGTGTTGAGTGACAAGCACTGATGCGATGGCCAGGCTCTTTCTTCTTGCTATCTATACCCTCGGTGGGATAGTACTATTTAGTCAGTATGACCCTCCATTCCAAATCCTCGAGTATTGACGAAATATTACCAGTCAACACTTCTGCCACGACTTCGTACTATCCCATCAATACTTTCGACGTCCTTGCTGGGACGGGGCCGTTCAACGGATCCCTTATCGGCCCTTTTTTGGAGGAGTTCAACACTACCATCCCATACTTCGCAATTGCAGGCTCATACTCATTTGTCAACGACCCTGCATTCTCAATATCTATAGAGCCGTCGTCTTGCGCTGGTGAAATGACGCCTTGCAACTCCTACCTTTTTCCTGGTGGTATCTATCTGATGTGGCCCCAACTTAACAGTAGCATGCCGGTTGACACAGTTATCAGCATCGAGAATGCCCCAGCGATGCGGGTAGACTTCGCGAAAGGATTGAGTTCGAACGACAATTTCTTCTTGGCAGCCGACTGCACAACGTACGGAGATGGTCCTGTAGCTGTCAAATTTTGCTTGAGTGACAGTAATGTCCATCAAGGATCACTTAAAGCAGGTATTAACAGAGGCTCGCTGCTTCTCTCTTCACTGTTGATGCAAAAGCGCTCATGATGGATCTAGGTATCTATGTCTGTGGGAAGGGTACCTTGAATGGAGAATGCCTCGTTGCATTAGACTCAGGGTCAACATCCAATGTGACCACGGCATTCTCGATATCGAGTTACACAGCTTCCAGCATCAACAGCGTATCTAACAATACAATATTGTCAGCTTTTGACTTAGCAAGTCAAAATACAATGTATTCGATTGATGCTCGGGCTTTGAGTCTAGCAGTCGGATGGCTTTTAAACTACACGGCAGCGAATCTACCAGTGGAATCATCACTAGACTTTCAGTTCTGGGAAACAGGCTCAGATGAATACCTGGACATCTGGGAGATAAATGCCTACACCATGCTCAAGAGTATCATTGGATTCATCCTCTGGGAGTTTAACGCCAATAATAACGGCAATCCAGCCGTGTCCAACACGGAATCAAATGACCAGACGCCTGACCTACCGGCGGAATTCCACACCACAGCATCCATTTGCCTGCCATTTGCGAGATTCATTTTAGACAGAACATATTTTGTGGCATACATTGTACTTCAATCAACAGCTCTTGCTTTCTGCTGGGCAATGGTACTCTGTGGCTTTGTAATTCACAGGCAAATACCAGCTACAACGACATTTCCAGTGGTTGACTTCGGAGCAAAATTGCGTCAGATGGACCGCGCTGACGGAAGATTGTTTTTGGAGGTTGGAAGAGAGGATAGCGACAAACAAATTACACACGCCCTTCAACGAGTCCGAGTAACAAGCCACTGCATGAAGAAGGAGGATTTCAGACTTCTCGTGAAAGAGGAGCGGGTCAATCATCCTCAAATACGAAGGAGGTCATCATGGCCGTAATTCTTACCATATCATTAGAGAAGTCCGGTTGTGGTTCGATATGCCCTCGTTGTGTGGGATTCAATATTAGTCACCGTTAGATTCACAGTAAAATGAATCTCAGCCTTGGGAAGACACCCTGTCGAATGGGCGTTTCATTTCTTGATGATATCGATACAATATAATGCATAATGACTATTTTTCGAGACTTTCTACCGTCACTCCCCTTAAAAAACAGTGAAATGACTTTCATTTTTCCAATACATCAAGTCCACACCACCTTCGCAGGCGCCTTCCAACCTTACATTTTCTAGTCCACCTACCCAACCCCAACCTAATAGGGCTTAAGATAAGGGAGGGTATCACCACCACTCTTTATCTACCTCTCTATCACTTGGGTACAGTGCCGACCGTTATTGCCTTCCATATCTAAAACACAGAGATACTCTTTCAAACCCTAATCACATGATACGCTAACCCGTATATGGATAGGTCCGTACTTAAAGATTCGTTCCAGTTTTGCATAGTAACAATGACGAAAGTATAAAACTATATAGTCATGTACTGCTACATGTCCAAATATAACCCCCTGATTCATATCCAAAAATAACCACCCCACTCACCATGGAGTCGTTCGTTCACAACTCTCCCAACCTAGCAACTGCATCACCTAAACCCCTTACAAAATGACTAGAAACATAGATTTTTGGCAGCGTAAGATCATTATTCATATGATAGGCAGTAAGACCAGACTCACTATATCGCAAATAGCAAAGGCAGCGCAGTGAGTGCTCTATCGCTAACATACGCAAGAACTTGCGGTTATTCGGTAGTGCCAGATCTCCCCCAGTCTCGGTCCGTCGACAACCAAGTATCGCTTCTATCATGCTTAACGCCCTCTGCGACCACCTCGCCGAAAAGCCTGGCTATACGTCGAAGAGATGGCTATCTTCCTATGGGATGAGTTCAACATATTACCATCGTCATCTAGCATCAAGTCTGCTCTTTCCCACGCTGGCTGGACAAAAATTAAAGCACAACGGAAAGTCAAAGACCAGAATCCTCAACTACGTGATTTCTACCAGCATAAGCTATCTAAGATTCGGCCATATCATCTGGTATTTGTTGATGAATCTAGATGTAATAAAAGAATTGGATATAGGCGAACTGGCTGGTCACCGCTCGGGGTGACACCGGTCCAGGTGTCGAAATTTTCATCGCGGTCAACGCTTCCAGATACTGCCTGCGTACGCCCAAGACAGTATCATTATGTCTCGTATTTTCAAAGGTTCAACGGATGACACATTTCTCGAATCGTTTATCGAGCAGCTTCTCTAGCACTGTGGGAGGTGGGCGGAGCCAAAATCCGTGCTTGTTATGGACTACATCGTCGTTTTTAGGGATATGTCTTGCAAGAACACCGAGTGTAAAATTTCTCTCTTCAAAGAACGATACTCAACACCAGCCCATGATCTAACACTAGCGATTGAAAGAAAGAAGGAGAAAGAGATATCATATCCTAGCCGTATCCTAGCAGCAATCGAACCAAAACGCCCATGCCTATTCATGAGGAGTGAACCATTCGATAATGAGTTCTATACCTATCCCTTCGATTAAACTTCCTTCCGCAAATGCTGCATCCAAATTTATTTCGCGACACATGCATGGTTTCGATATGGCGCATCAGTGTTCCTTCGCTTGCAAACTGAGTCGGGTATGTACAGCCCTTCCATTCGCAGTGAAGTGATATTGAAGGTTGCTTACTAGAGTTGCGTTAACACCAGCGTGGAAGTAACACTCATGCTAGACTCACGGGTGGTTGTCATGGCTTTGTAAAGAGTCATCGACGCGTTCGTGAGATCGGAGGACATCGGGTTCCATCCAGGGAGCACCACGCAGCCATCGACCGAGTGGCTGATTTATATCAAGCGTCTCATTCGGGGCGGAATTATTTTCGTTTGAACAAGAGAGTATCGGGGTCTGCGTTTGTGATTGCATCGCGCTAGGACCGGAAGAGTCCCTTGGCTGCTGGATCCATGAAACATCGAGATCTAGGGAGGAATCAAGAAAAAATGTTTCTCCTCCTATCGTGGAGTAGAAGGGCCGCAAGGCATTGTAAAGTTGGAAAGACTGGCATTGTGTATCAAATTCAGGTTCCGTGAACGCTGATTTGGTGCATGATGAAGCCATTGTGGATGTATTCTCGAGCAGAGATACGGTGATCGGAGTCGTAGCATTTTCAAATCAGATGTGGCCTTTTATAGCGTCCGTATGGGTATCATGTGACGGATATAGGGGGTCTGTCTCTGGGGAGGCTCGTGGCTCTCGAAGGAGAGCATGAGGGTCTTGGGGGGAGGATGAGGCTCTTGGGGAGAGGATGAGGCTCTTGGGGGGAGGATGAGGCTCTTCAAGGGTAGCTTGGAGTTCACGAAGGGGGAGTTGAGCATCATATATGTTTGCGGCTCAACGCGATATGTTACAGTAATTTGCGGCTCAACTGGAGGGCTTACAGCTTTAGCAGGTGAACAAGTGGTTGACTGAGCCTCATCAGGGCAACTGGGTCTTATCCGTGCCCAAACCACGGTCGGACCTTATGATCCACCAATAGCATCGGCGAGCCGAGGCAAGGTGGCAAAATGATGCCACGGGTCCTGGGCAAACTTCGTAAGACGTGGCCCAACCCCGCGATCCTAGAGGAGCCCAGGTCTCGCGCCCCTCAACCCAGCAGGGGACAGTGCTTCGAAGGGTGCTAGTTTTAGTGCCATCCCGATACGGCCACTCAAAATGATTGTTAAGCTCTCTGTGTACCGTCTTCAGGACTGGGTAAAAAGGTGCTTGACGTAATAAAGTACAAGCGAATACACCCCACTATAGCGGTATATGTCTTCCTATTTTCAAACCTATTGAGCAAGACGTCCGTTTGAGCTGAATCTTTCTAAACGCCTGCGCCATCTATGCCCCGCAATTCCCGCATGTTAAGACCTGCGAATACATTGCATTTTGAAAATTGAGTGATATATCTTAAAAGCCCTTCTATTCCCGGAAATACTTCAAATTACTGTCACAAGTACACATTCAATGACCTCATAAGTCAAGTCCAAAATACTATGGACCCAAGCCAAAATGGATAACTCCTCAACGCACAAAAATTCCGCCTCCAAACACAGTGTGGAGCCAATGAGAATTTGGCGTAAGAAAGATAGCTGTCAAACTTATTCGGCTCCAAGAATTTCTCCAATGGCCTGGTCAAGTCGCATGTTTGATTTCATCATAGTGGCCTATTCGTTTATATCACGTAGGAAATGACGGGCTGTTCCAATTTGAATTCCTCGTTGAACGAAGAAGCCAGCGTCTGGGTCCTTAAGGATCAGTTCGATATCGAGATGATTTTCCAACCTTACCTGGCAGACTTTCCAGGGTGTGCTACCGAAGTTACCAGGAGTGGGGGCATACTGCCAGCTGTCTTCCCATGAGTCGACTATCCGGGTTTGATCGGGATCGTCAGCAACAAAGCTCTGGTCATCGCGAATAATCTCTGGGGGAGGGGTAAGCCTAGAGCTGTGAGGGGTTAGCCAGGAATGCCTAATGCCCAATGAGGACCCGAAGCCGCCACATGGCGATAAGCGATAGTGATCACGAAACAAATCTTAGACACCCAGGGAAGCACCAGACCCTCTGAAGTGAAGCACCTGAGGTATGAGGGAAGTTGACAGATTACCAACAGTCGCCTAGTTTGCTTGGGTTGCACGGAGCCTTCTAGTCGTGCAGGCCTGGCCCTTGAGTCTTGTATTAATACAGATATGTACAATGGTTGTCAATATTACTATGTATATACAAGGTCGGTAATTTACTCGAAATCTATATTATGTTAGCATACCATGTGACTAGGGTTTGAAAGGGTATCTCTATGTTTCCGGATATGGAAGGCAATAACGGTCGGCACTGTACACCGCAGACTTTTTGGACATACGTTCGAAACCTCCACCAGATTTTTGCTTTTTCCCCTTCTCTTTCCACTTTATTTTTCTTCTCTTTTCTTCTTTTTCTTTTTTTTTCTATATCGCTATTTATAAATTTAGGAGACATTTGACTGTTAGATCAATACGATATGAAAGAAGGTAAAATTCTTGGTAGGATACTAAGTATAAGACTAAGTAGGAGACTGGGTAGGAGATATCTAACAAAGTAGTCATGGGTTGCAATAAAAGTAGTAGAAAAGCATTCATACGATGACCGGGTGGAACTTTTGACATTTCGTCAGTTTCCCAATTTGGAGAAAAAGGAGTGACGGTAGGAAGTCTCTATTTTTCTAGCATCAAAACTAGGGTTTTGCCCAGAAAGTGCCTGGTACACTTTGCTGCCTAGAGTGAATATTCCCCCGTATTGCCCTGAAGAGAGTAAAATGTTTTCGAATTCTACTTTCAATGAAAGCTGCTTATTTCAAGGGCGAATTGTGGGGAAAGCAGAACGCTAAATGGTCGAATGAATCGAAGAAATATGCAGACTCATGCTCATCATGAGCGTCCACAGGCATCTCCTGTGTGGAGCACCGCGATAAGAGGCCGCAGCGAAAATGATATCATATGGTTTGCAGTGACGATAGTAAGTCAATAGGGTACAGAGTGAATGTCGATCGTTCAGGGCGAAGCAAAAGAAAGATAAAAATTTGGATAGTGTTCTGGCATTTCGCGGGATGAAGTGAAGATGCTTGGTTGGAAAACCTGTAGGAATAATGAATGCATCTAGGATCTTCAGAAGATCATACTTTTTGGAAAAAGTAGACGAGAAATGAAGGATTTGGATTCATGGGGAATTCTGAATGGAGGAGTAAGAAGGAGGTACAGGACGTGGAAGACATGTCTAATTTATGCCAGGGAAGAATAGTACTAGTCATGGCAGAAGTAAACATTGCAATCTTGGAATAAATTCAAATATTTTGTCACCCTTGATGAAAAAAAGGATCTGCAATGCAGCGAAGTTCCAGGTTATAATACCACATATGGACCCTTACACATGAGGCATTGAATTTGAATTTGGTGCAAATATCGTACTAGATTCCCAACCTTACTTTCCCTTTAAATACTGTGAATATACATATCCAGGAAATCTTGAATCATACGGCGGCAAGAGAAGCTAATCTCATGATGTAAGATAGATAGATTCAACGATGCGTTCAGCTGTGCCCTCCCAATTCCCGCACAAGAGCGGGATTTTCATTTGAAATGACATCTAACATATCTTTCGACGGAAACAACAGTGCGCTTCAAGTAGGGGCGAATTATGGGCATATCAGCGCACAGATTCGTGTCTCTCCCGGTATATTGACACCGTACATTCAACCCCTCACGAGATAACTAACAACATTTTCGGCCAGAGCAAGCCAATAGCCCCCCAGAGCCATTTTCAACGGTTCCATTCAGCCGTGATCCAGACTTTGTTGATCGAGGGTCAATACTTGAGCAGATCGATACCAAGTGCTCTGCACCAGCGGCAAGGGTAGCACTTGTGGGCCTTGGTGGTGCAGGGTAGGTGAAATCCTGGTTCCCGCATGAGTTATTGCTGTCACCTGCTGACACCTAGAAAGGAAGTCGCAATTACTGATCGAATACTCCTATCGAGTCTGCGAAAATTCACCTTCGACATGGGTCCTCTGGGTCCATGCGAGCAATGCAGCGCGCTTTGAGCAAGGCTACCGAGAGATTGCGAACCGAGTCAAAATACCCGGCTACCAGGATCCAAAGATTAACATCTTTGAAGCTGTTTGTCAATGGTTGGAAAATGCGAAAAGTGGCAAATGGATCATGATTCTCGACAATCTTGATGACGATCAGTTTCTTCGTGAGTCCCCGCCAACGTACCAAAATGACGAAGGAAACGGTCATTCTGCTACTCTCAAACAACCGCTTTCCGCATATCTACCTTGCAAGCCCGAATGCTCGATTCTTTTAGCAACCCTTTGCAAAATTGTAGCGACAAGGATTACCAGCTCGAGCAACATCATCTCCATCGACCCCATGGACGAGGCCAGTGCTTTATGCCTGATGCGGAAGAAGCTCACATCAGAAGCAAATGAAGAACACATAAAAAGCCTCACCAAGGAACTTGAGTTCATACCACTGGCTATCGTACAAGCAGCGGCCTATATTGAACAACGAACGCCTCGTTGCTCAGTATCACAATACCTTGATGACTTCAGAAAGAATGACCACAAGAGAGAAAGACTCCTCAATCTTGATGCTGGGCATCCCCAGCGAGACTGGGATGCAGCGAACTCCATTTTGGTCACCTGGCAAATATCTTTCGATCATATTCAGCAAGTCAGGCAGTCAGCAGCAAGTCTCCTCTCTCTGATGAGCTTCTTTGATCGCCAAGGGATCCCAGAAGAATTAATTCGAGACACTCCTGAAGACATTAAGGGAATAAAAAGCTCTGAGGTTCTTGGAAGTGACCAAACCGATAGTGCGAGTGATGACACCGATCAATGGAACGCAAAAGAAGACCTCGAAGACGACATTACGCTGCTAAGAGATTACTCCTTCATCTCGACAAAGAAAGATCCAGGCACTCTCGAAATGCACAGACTGGTGCAACTCGCCACAAGAAAATGGCTCGAGGGCCACGGACAGATTGAAAAGTGGAGCACCCAGTTCATCAAAAGACTCAGCCAAATTGGCAACCGGTCAAAATGCCATTCTCTGAATCCACACCTCAAGGCTGCAATGATCGCTTCTCTATGTTCGTGGGAGTCCCGTCTAGAATTGGCTGAATTGCTTGTGCACGGGGCAAGATACAACTTGCAGATGTGGAATGGCACAGATGCCAAACATATGGCAGCAAAATCGAGGGAAATAAGAGAAGAGCTACTAGGCGCGGATCATCTTGCAACCATGTGGAGCACTGAATTTGTTGCAAGAGCGTATTCTCTCATGGGCCAGTGGCGGGATTCAGAAGCGCTGCACGTCAAAATAATCGACATTTGCAATCAAAAACTTGGACCCGAGGACACAGTCACCCTCTTTTTCATGGCTGCATTGGCATTAAACTACAGGAAGGAAGGGAAGCTGAAAGATGCCGAAGCGCTGCAGCTAAAGGTATTTGAGGTCGAGATGCGAAAACTTGGAAGAGAGAACAATTTTCACACGCTCCAAACCATGGATGAACTATCCGCGATATACTACCGCCAGGGCCGATGGCAGGAGGGTGGACATATGCACTTGCTAGTGCAGAGGAACCATCGGATTCTTGGGAAAGAAAATCCCAAGTACTTTGACACTGATGACGGATTTGACATTGTCATACTTGCAACAAGGCCAATTACAAGTCGCGGAAACGTTACAAACGGAATGTCTCCATACGAGCAAGCGTGTTCTTGGCGAGGAACATCCTGACACCCTTTCATGCATGGAGAACTTGGCTTAAATTTGGAGATTAAATGGCCGTGAAACCAAAGCCCGATTTGATGACACAATGTGTTAAGCTTCGAGAACGGGCTTTAGGGCACAGTCATCCTAGTACTGTTTCTTCCTGGCATGTCCTAGCACGTTGGCAAAGAGAAAGCGAGAGTTGAACCTGACGCACACACAGCCACCACGCCTACCTTCAGGGATGATGGTGACTTGATAACCGCTGGAATCGACAAGAAGATACACTCGTGGGAGCGAGTTGAGATGTTGAAGTGACGTCCTGTCGAGGTGCTCACTGTTATCTTTCCACGAAATATGGACTCGGATCACAGAAACCCTAGCGACAGCTTCTAACTTTCAGCATCTCAAAGCGAAAAAAAAGTGCCAAATAAATCCTATCATACTTTGGGAACTGGAATGCTTCCTAGGTTTGGATAGCTTTTCTCTTCCTTCTCCCATTCTGTTCGTGTATGCTAGTTCTTTACTCCTTGTACAGTGGCGCTTTGGCCTGCAGCACTACTTTACGCCTACGCCTTAGAGTCTCAGTATGTAAGCAAGCGTGTGATGCCTTTTTCTTCGGTGATCTCAGGTCATACATCAATCTGCGGATATTTTCGAGGCTGCCAGTATATGAAGACAAGATTGCTTCTTCTACCCTCTTTTCCTTTCAATACTCTTCCACATCCCTATCAATATCATTGATATTGATCGTCTATATCCCTTCCATTACAACAACCTGTGATCTTACCATCCAAATCACCATTTCAATAATTCATGAGAGTCAACATATCCCAATCCTAAGACATCGTCAAGATCTTGGAATCTCTCATCTAAATTTCCCTCCACTTTGACCTGCTTCTGCCTGCTTCGCTGGTTATGGAATTTGCCCGCAGGATGTGTCGCTGTTATAATGGCCTGTCGCTCAGCTGCAGGCTTCACCTGGGGTGAAACTTATCTGCATCTGCTTCTATACTCCTGTTTAACACGTCCTTTCACTATTACCAAGCAGCTTGCGCTACTGTCATTAGGGGATAATTTCCCTGAGCTTTATGGAAATCTTGTTTTCTAGGAATGTTAGTGGCAATTTGTAATTTTTAAAGAGATCTCCTTCTAGATATTGGTAATTGTACTATGTTCCAGTTACAACATCCAAAAAAGTGAGGTTCTCTGAGTCCTGCCTGCATGACTCAACTTCAAGCTACCCCGCGGCTACATCAACCGAAAAGTCGGGTGTCTCTACCGACGCTATAACACATTCGAATTCGTAACTCACAATCCCAGTCCATAACACACTTCTTAATTACCTCCAACATTCCAGTACATACACACAGTCATATTTCAAACATGGCAGCCTCAGTACAGAGTCAGATTGTCGTGTTCGTGGGATGCGGTGCGTGTTCTAACTTCCATGATCCCCATGTACTTTTTTACCTGACAGGTATAATCTGTTAGGAAACATGGGAGGATCAATTCTGCGCGGAATTCTCGATTCCGCATTCTCTTCCAACTCAGAAGTTCAATCGCGACCGATTTCCAAGTTCATCGCGTGTACCAAGACTGCGGGGTCCGCGGAGCGTCTCCGAGCAGCTCTCTCAGAGGAGCAAACCCCTCATGTGAAAGTGGTGTCCGACATGATTGTCGAGACTATGAGAGAAGCCGACATCGTCGTTCTAGGATTCAAGCCATTTATGGCAGATGATGTTCTCAGTATGAAGGGTGTGAAGGAGGCACTAGCTGGCAAGCTAGTCATCAGTCTGCTAGCTGCACAGACGCCGAAGAACCTTACGCGGATCATTCAAGGATCAGATTTGAGCTCAGATGCATCTCCAACAGTCGTTCAAGTGATTCCGAATATGGGTGCCGAGTTCCGTCAATCAATGACTATTATTCGAACTCCTGACACTCCGCTTCCTGTTGAGATGAAGGAAATGCTGGAATGGATTTTTAATCAAATTGGCTGGATCAAATATCTTCCTGAGAGTCAAATGGATGTCGGCTCTGTTCTTGTGGGCTCAGCATTGGCGACTCTGACGGTGCCGATTGAAGGGATTCTGGATGGATGCGTGGCTGAAGGGATTAAGCGTCCTGATGCGATGGAAATGGTCTTGCGTGGTATTCGAGGATTGTCGGCTGCATTAGAGGCGGGGATACATCCTGCTGTTTTGCGTGAGAGTATTTCTTCTCCGCGGGGGTGTACGATTCAAGCACTTTTGGCCCTTGAGAGGGCAGGGAGCAGGGCAGTTTTTGCGGATGCAATTATTAACGGGACTCAGCATTTGAAGAAATAATTGGGATCGCGTCAAGTAGATAGTCAACGGTAGAAATATTTAGAGACTTGAATAGACCAAGGAAAATACAGCCAGTGTATATCAATCATGATGCCTCCGGGGCGGTTTAAATGACAGAATCCATTTCACCACAAGGAAATCCCAGAAATCTCAGCATAAATCTCAGCCCCACATGTCGCCTTCATCCTTGACCAAATCATCTTCATTCAGCGCACGAAGGTTGGTACCTCGCTCTTCACGCTTCCTTTGACGTCTATTCACGGTTCGTCCTGGTGTGAATGGGGTTACGGGAGTGAAAGGCATGTATGGGCTGTAAGGGGTAGGCATGCCGGTGATGGGCCCGTTCTTTTTAGCAGGACGCTCCAGGAAAGTTGTCTTCGTCGCCGGAGCACTCTGCTGAGGATACGCCTGGCGGAATGGCAACGATGATGACGATGAAGGGGATTGTGCGGAAGTAGCCAGGCTAAGTGGAGCAGGAGGGCGTGCGCGAGTCGCTGGAGCCAAGACCGGTCCGATGGTAGGTACTGTCTGAGGGGCAGTCGGAGGGGGGCCCGGGGTATAGAATCGTGGAGACATCGGGGGATGCTCCTGGCTGAACGATTGGCCTGCTTGGAGATTCGGCGAGGCCATAGGAGATGAGATGCCCAACTTTCGGATGGGAAATTTTGGGGACTTCAGCTTTCCAGCATCGAGATTGGAAGCGGTGGCTGATTTCGAGCTGAACAACTTCGACAGTCGATTAGAATGCTTAGGCGATTTCGGTGGTACGGCTGGTGCCGATATGGAGACCTGCGAAGCAGCACGATCGGTGAAAGGGTTGCTGTATTGGCTGTCTGGGGATTGGGTCAACGAATCCGAGTCCTTGACAGAGGCAACATTGACACCAGCAGCCTTCTGGGCATCATGCTCCATGACTGCCGCGTACAATCTTTCCATTTCATCCTCGGCCCTCTGCCGATCGGATGCAACAACGGATTCATCCACAGTGACCATGCTGCCGTTGACAGATGGCTGTGAACGTCGGGCTGGTTTGGGAAAGCTGCCCCAGGAGTTAAAGGGATTTGACTTGGTCGGGCTAGGAAGATTCTGTGTATTTGGAGTAACAGGGCTTGGGTCGATACTCTCTGGAGGCCTTATCGGTTTCAGTATCTCCATCTGTAGAGCGTATTGGGATGACTGAACGGTCCGACGCAGTCGTCGCCCAACAAACAAGACCAAAGCTAGCAGCAAGGCAACAAAGATCACGTAGGATGCAACGATGCTTCCAATCTGAATAGCGAGTAGAGGCTTATCCAGAGCAGGACGTGATTCCACACTTCTCGGGCTCTGGATATGTACTTCAACTGCAGACACTGGACTCATATGTAGTAAGAGGAAAAGGAGAAAGGGGGAGGAGGCAACCGGTGGAGTCATCGCCAGTTCCTGTGACAAGAGTGCAGCGGGGAAAGAAAAAGGTTCAAATCCAAGTGCAGGCGTAATCACTGTCTGATCGACATATCGCCGCGTGGGAATAGCGAATCTGGACAGCGATCACATCGTGTTCCAGGAAGTGATGAGGCGGCATGGGGAGGGGTCCCATATAAAACATGAGCCATCATGTGTGACGGGGTGAAGAAGAGTTTCTGGGCTGCAGATGAAACTTCACTGGAATACAACCTGTCGTTGGTCGTCAATACGCGCCGTCATGCACGATAGTCACTCGGTGGGGGCCAATCAGAAGCCAAAGATTGATGATTCGACGTGATCAAATGTGGATCGTCAAGTCTCCCAAGGAAGTCTTGGCAGTGTATCCAAAAGTACCAAGAGTATACAGATGAGAGAAAGAGTATTTTCAAAGTTGAGAAAGTGAAGATTAAATGGCAAGTTCAGGTAGGTCGCGGTCGCTCCTTCCTTTTCACTATTGTCAACATTGGATCTCACCATGAATCGCTCTCTCTTCCATCATCCACTCTACAACCTTTCACATCCATATCATTCTACAATACACTTATGGGTAACGTCACATCCGTCACGGGCGTCAAATCCCCCAATTTCTACGAGCAAGGAAACGGCATCAATGAGATCTGGGTAGACGGTGTCGAGGTGATCTCACGGTTACCGTTCGGGGATTCGGACTTGGGCCAAGCAGGTTGGCTTCCAGGAGACTGGCCCAAAATCCCGTGGCATCAATTCATCATCCCAATGAAACGAGATCTTCAGAGCAACATCGACAGTCTCTACTTCACAATGTCCCAAAACCAGACTTGCAAGTGCCAGTGTGAAGAGAGATTCCCGGAGGATGGATACTTCGGCTTGTACAATGGATGGGACACAAAGTCTGTCATGTGGTTCACCATTTTCTCACTGGGGTTGGGATACTCTACTCTAATTTATCTTGCGCGTTTGGTTCAAAGCGACCGTTTTTCTTTGCAACTGCACAAGTTCAAGCCCGATGTGCCCGGCATGGTTGACCATGTATGCAGGACTCCCATCGGCATTCGAAAGTGGCAGGATTTGAATCCCTGGTTCTGGAAGTACCTCTTGCGCATCTTTGCCATCTTTATATTCGGTATCGTCTGTGTGCTACTTGCACTTCCAGGCGCTATTGCCCTGAAGGATCTGACGGGCCCAGAGGTCTATTACGTTATTTGCAAGTGGATTGGAATCAATTTGACGATTCATTGCGCCATGCAGATATTTTGCAACTTGCTTGGACTGTTCATGGATATGCTTATCCAGAAAAACGATAAACTCCCATCGGACCTCATCGACATCGAAGAACTGAAAGAAGATTCCTGAAACTATCCCGGGGTGTGGCCAAAGGTCTTCAATCGACAATTCTGAGTTCAGAAAGGTGTTGATTTGTGCCTGTATTGCTCTACTTAGAATGAATGGTCAGGCCTGACTGAGGCAATTTGTATCGATACTTTCCAGTGATAAGGAAGCTCAGAACAAGTACAATATTGTTAATTATTCCAGTCAATGGAAGTTCTGTTGTTGTTAATCTTGTGTTCAGGTTTCCGTATATCGAGCTACTCAGGATATATTCCATCACCTTTGCTCCTTTGTGAAGAGATCCCTCCACATTTCCTTCCAACCATATGATTTGCTCTTGTCCTCATCGTAAATACGCACGGTCGGTCCAGGACTAAGTGACCCGAATGCATCGGCCGAGGCCCGCATGGACGAACTAGAACCTCGAGCCCGTTCAGTTGCACGCCGTCGTATCTCTTCAGCCAATTGTGGAGCGACATCTGCATAGCAAGATTTCAACTCGCGCTCGAGGTTGGTGTACGGTTTTTGCGCAGAGCGGGGGGCTTGAAGGTTGTATGACCGTGTGAGAGAATTCAACTGTTTCACAGCAAGCTCATGATAAGACCGTTCAATATCCATATATTGCGGATCTCGCAACGGAGGTAGATGGGGAAGTTCCTCCTTTTCGACCGGCTTGGATTCAGCTTCGACCCTTGGCACGATTCGGCCATCGCTTGCTATTTCAGAAACAACAGCCTCATCAGCGTTGCTAGCGCTGTTGCGAAGTGCTGCTTCTAGCTTCGCCTTCTCTGATAATCGTAACTCAGCAGCGGCGTAAGCCCTCGCCCGCTGCATTTGTGCTTCCAAGGACCCGCCCTGGCTAGAAATGAGTCTGGCGGCGTGTCTCCTCCACTCAGTACGTATGCGCGCGCGAAACCGGCTGAGCTCCATAGAAATCTGCTGCTGCTTCTCAATCCATGGCGGAACAATCTCTTGCTTCTGGATGATCTTGTTCATGAAGTATTCCGTCGTATCGATAAAAGCACTATTAGCATTGTGGTCTGTCTCTGTATTGACACCTTTGCCTCGACGAATCTTCTCAAACTGGCCGCGCCGTATTGCATCTTCTATCCGTTCGTTTGCCAGTGATGAAAGGCCTGAGATGGATATGGGCATGGCCATCGCGCCGGGTGTCAACTTTTCCCGCATCTCATTGCGAATCACTTCCCGTTCTTCCTCCGTTAATCCAGGACCTTGAGTCATTGCATATTTGGACGTGCGCTCCTTTGCTTTGGCGATACGGACACCGGGCGACAGCTTCGGCTTCGGGGCGGGCTGGAGATTGACCGGCCGGGGAATTTGGAAGGGGGTTCGGATGGGTTTACTGGCATCGTCGAGCATCCGTAGAGCAGTATCTTCAAATCTTTCGGTTCCTGTCCATGCAGGAGCTGCTGCGGATTCTCGAGTGCCTTGGCCTGCACTAGCCTAAAATGAAAATATGCAGGTTAGTCGCGCACGCAGGTGGATCAGGTATGGCCATACTGGCATATCGAGGATCGAGTGAGCGACGGCATTGTCGCTCTTGAAAGATGCCGCCTTTACTCGCTCTTCCAGTTGTCGCTTTAAATCCTCTGAGAATCCCGCCTGCTCGATGTTGCGACGGGCTGAGCTCCCGCCTTCCAGCAGAGCGTCCTCCGCCATCTGGGACAGACGTCGCGCCATAGCACCCTGCTCTTTCTCTTCACCCTTTGTATCTTTCGTGTCATCGTTTGTCGTTTTCGTCGAAGACGTGTTATGTCGGCATAGCTGTGTTGGAAACCGTATGGATGCGGGAGCTACCGTAGTTCGCGATGCACGTAAGGAAGATCCAACCTGGGACCTCAAAATTTGCTTTCCAGACATCGCTAAAAGAGACCGAAGATGATCAAACGCATGTACAATTGCTAAGACAAAAGAGAAGGTTCATCAGTTCATGAGAAGTGGCAACCCCATCATCAAGTTTACAGATCCGCTTATGTCATCAACTTCCGCGGAGCCAAAACTTCATGATTTTGTTGCTCCTCCGTCGTCGGCGTCAGCTTCTCGATTGTTGTCCACCACGTCCCTCGTACATCCCGATTTCTTGCCATTCGCGTGCTTTTGCCGCACCATTCACCATGGCTCCCAAGAATGTCACCACCCGGCTTAACCCGCTCCGCTTGAACACCATCAACCACCTCCGTGTCCGCCGGCCGAACCAGAATGAGCAGAACACTTGCGTGACTGTCATGTCCTCAATGCTGAGTATGTCGAACCGCCCCTATGGACTCAGTGGATAGCCCACTTCGAATGTTCTGTCAATCGCCATCATCCGCGATGCGATCTCCTGTCCATACTTGTGAATCTCAGCTAACAACCTTTGCAGACTGCTGGGCTTCACAGGGATACAGCGCTGAGGGCTGTGCCGCCCTCGAGGCTCAATTACGCAAATGCATGGACCAACCGGTACGAATTACCCGACCCTGCTCTCGAATCCCATTTCAAACCTACATCCCTATCCGCATCCACGTGCATACTAACCGTACCCTCCACAACAGAAATCGCAAGAGAAGAAGAAGAACACCGTCAACTACCATCTGATGAGAATGTACCCCAAGGTCGTCGGACCCCGGAAGAAGGACGGTGTGCTGGGCTAGATTGCAACAATCGTTCATGGAGTTTGGGATATTTTTGCGACGAACGAGGGGTCTCGGATACACTCCAAACGTGTTATCTAAACTGGACTCGGAATCTTGCATGGGAGTTGGGTCGTTTTAATCACACTTGTACAGTATAAACCTACGTCGAGTATGGCATAGCTTTTGAAAATTGATTTGTATCATTACTCTGGATTTCTGTTGCACTTGTTCATGGGTTAAATGGCGTGGAACTTGAGGATTAGTTTCTCGGCCTTGGGGTGTACGGTGTAGGCATCGATGGCGTCGATGTCTGTGTCGTCCACGATTGTGGTTCTGAAGTTGGAGTAGATGGCTGCTGCTACCAGTTTCGTTTCTGAGATCTTTGTCAGCCTTGGTTCATGATGGTATTGCCTGAGATATTACCTTGCAAAGCGAGATTGCTTCCTACGCACATCCGTCCTCCGCTTCCGAATGCCCAGAACCAGCGACGTCTTTCATCAAGATCGGCGGCGGAGTTCTCTTCCTTGAACCAGCGTTTCGGCTCCCAGGATTCTGGATCAGGGAAGACAGCCGGGTTACGATGCAGTGAATACGCCTGCGCATTCACCCGCGTGTTTGCGGGGATATTGTCATATCCCGCCAGCGAGCAAGATGGTGCAGGTGTTACCCGGGGCTGGATACCCGGAATAGGAGCATGAAGACGTAACGTCTCGGTAACAATAGCGTCCAAAAGAGGCAATGAATCGATCGATCGTGCCGAAGGCAGTTCGTTAGACTTGGGAAACGAGATCGGTGGGTCGAGGGTCAATAGTTCTTCACGAAGCTTCTCTTGGACTTCCGGGTGTTTCGACAGCTCCCAGAACAAGTATGTCAATCCCACCGCACTCGTTTCAAAGCCTGCTGTAAGCTGATCATACATTTCACAGGCAATTTCGTTGCGCTGCTCGACGGGATCTTGTTTGGAAATGCCTGCTTTCAACAACTGCTTGTCAAGACCCTGTTTCAGGTGCTTGTAAACAATTGGTTCAAGAGATGGATCTGTTGAGTCGATTGAATCACCGGCTTTGGCGCACAGATCCAGAGCCCAGGCATCGAGCATTGCATTCGCGGAATCGCAGTACTTGGGAATAATTCGAATACCCAAGCATTTCATCCATGGAGCAAGCTTAGGAGCTTCTTGGTGATAGAACTCGAATGGCTTACGGCATAGATATAGATGCAGCCACTGCTTGCGGAATGCATGGTCTTGTAAATGGTTTGTACCATTCCGTAAACCGAAGAGATATCCCGAGACGAAATCGAGAGTAAGTCCCATGTTCAGGTCATGAACATCCAGGGTTCTGTCTGCGTCTACCGATTCTTGAATGATTGGCATGAGACGATCAAAAATCACCGCATTCGAAACTACTTCCAGGTGAGGAGATGACTGTAGTGTGGACTTGGAGTAGATGTTGGATAGCATCCTCTTGCGAGTGGAATGAGTCTTCGTCCCGACCATCGTGAACATGCTCACAGTCCTGTAAAACTATGTCAGTGCATGCCATCATTTCAACACCAAGTACACTCACCCAAGTGATCCAAAGACACGAGGATACCACTCATGCTTCTCATATCCACCAGTATACACAGACTTGATACCCCCATCAACACAGTTGATCGAGATCTCAGACGGTCCGAGCCTGACAATCGGACCAAGCTTTTCATGCGCAGCCTGAATAGTGCGGTTATTCTGCGCCCGGAAACGTTTCCAAAGCATCCATACCGGCGAAATAGGCACACTCCAATGCGCATTCGGGATCTTAGCGAGTGGCGACACAAAAGCTGGGTAGATGATTCCCCTGTATAACAAGAAGCCGGCGAGAAGCCCGGCTACTAGCAAAGTGAGCGATGCAGCCATGGTGACTCAGAGCATCTGGTAAGAAGAGTGAACTGCACCACGCTCTGTGCGATGGTGGTTCTTTGGTGGGAACCCACGGACACTTATCTCTATCCGAGGGCTCGCTTTAGGTAATTGAATCCCAAGCCCCGCAGGAATTAGGATAGGCTTTTGCGGATAAGATCGGATTGGTGCAGTAGACGATACTCTGCCGGTGCTGTGGGACTGTTACTAAAGTAAATTGATCTGGGGTTAAATGGTGGCCAACCAGATTGCGGATATTACTTGCGGGCTGATAAAGGTGCGATAAGGACCGAAATGATAAAACGGGCGATTAGCTCGGAACTACACAGTTTCCGAGGACTTCATTGCGCGTTGCTGATTTACACACATACAAAAGATGAGGCTTGAAGGTGTCTTGAAGGTCGGTGATAGTTTTCAAAGGGTTCAAATTGGCTCAATATACATGGAGGCGCGGGTTTTGAGTAGAAGAGACGCCAAAGGAAAGGCACAGACAAAGTACAATGAAAGAAAAGCTGCTATGTGGATGAGGATAACAAGCCCATAGTCCAAATAATCCACTGACCAGCAGGGTTTCTTCTGGCGAAGCAAGGGCGTTCGCTTAGGACGCCCGTGCACGCACCATCAGCCTTCAAGATTAGTTGAGAAGCTTGGCCAGGACACCGGGGCCCTCGTTGACATCGTCGGGGTAGACATAGAAAGCAAGGGCGAGAATCACATACCTGGAACTGGATTAGCGAAAGAAAACGAAAAGAAAGGACGTGAACATACATTCCCAAGCACATTCCACCCTCGAGATAGTTTGATTTGCCATCCTGGATCAGGAAGGTAACCACCAAACCAGAAATGAAGAAAGCGACAGTCTCGAAGGTCTGGAAGTGCAGTGTCATCTCGATGCCCATGATCCAGCCGAGGATGACCAAGAAAGGTGTCACGAAGAGGGCAATTTGCAAGCTGCTGCCGATCGCAACACCGATGGCAAGGTCCATCTTGTCCTTGTAAGCGACCACCACAGCGGTGACGTGCTCTGCGGCATTTCCGACGATCGGAAGAAGCACCAGGCCAATGAAGGTTTTACTAATGCCGGTTTTCTGCACGATGCTGTCAATACTTCCAACCAAGTAGTCCGCGCAGATTGCAACGAGAATAGTCACGGCAATCAGAGCAACGGTCGCTGCCCAAGGGCTAAGAAGACGCTCCTCTTCCTCCTCTGTCTCCAAGCCACCGTTCTCGGTATCACTGCCGTTGGTCTCTTCAAAGAGGTGGGCGTGGGACCGAAGCTGGAAGTAGAGGTACATCACGTAGATGATGAGCAAGATGATCGCTGTACCGTGCGACAAGATGAGAATGTTGTCTTGGGCATTGTGCGAGGACTGAGACAGCGCAGCATAGAGCGTGGCCGGGATGATCAGCGAGGCGGAAGCAACGGCCATCAAAGAGGACATGGTGGAGGCCACGGTGCTGTTGAAGGATTGTTCGGAGTAACGGAGGCCACCGACGAAGAAGCAACATCCCAAGACGAGCAGGATGTTGGACAGGATACTTCCCAACATACTAGCTTGCACGACCCGAATTTGCTTATCCTTGAGCGCGATGATGCTGACCTAGACAATCAAGATATTTCATTAGCTTTGATCAAGGAGAAACAGGCAATGGCTCTTACAATCAACTCTACCGCATTTCCAAAGGTAGCGTTCATCAGACCACCAAGGGCCTGGCCCATGGTGGCTGACAGTTCCTCTGTGGCAAAGCTCAGAAGGGACGCAAGAGGAATAATGGCGAAGAAATTGAGGACAAAGATGGCCGTGGAGTCCCACTTGAGAGCTCCGGCGATGATACCCAGCGGCACAAAGATGAGAAGTACATTGACGTAATCCCGAACCAAGGTCAACCAAGTCAGACGTACGACGTGCTGCGGCCAGCGCATCCAGGCGCGAGTATCCTTGGGGTGATGATGATGTCCACCATGTTCTTCATGTTCATGGGAAGACAAGCCTGAGAGAGACCGACGACCCAGAAGCGAAGTCTGCTCGCCGGGCTCCAGCGAACCATTACCGGACATTCTTCTTCCAGGGCCAAAGCTATGGCTTCGAAACTCCCTGCGAAATTGAACGGAAGCTACAAGAGTCAGTACACAAACAGTGAATTGCCAGAAGCCGGGAAGGAGCGGAAGGAGCACGTACACATATTTACTCTAGTTTTTGAAAGAGAAAACGTGAGGGCGGGGTTTTCCAGCCACAGGATCCGTGGTTGAAACGACGTAATCAGTAATTAGCGGAGGAAGTTGAAACGAAAGAGGACCCGTGGAAAGCACAGCCTCGTCTGCAACAGAAATACCTTGGCACGGAGCTTGGGGACGCTGATCTTACATAGTTTCTCCACTTTGACATTTCTATCTTTCACATGATTCGCTCCGGCATGGCCAAGACTTTGCACTGCCACACTAAGTACCCAAGTGATGCAAACTGAGAAACTGAATTTGTGGAGATATCGGAATATCAAGTTTACTCGGCATCGATTCTGGTTATTAGTGGACAATTTCTGATTCGCCATATTCATCCAAATCCATGGGTCGACCTACACTTCATTATACGAGACTGCGGGGTTTTATACGGATAATTATCTGGCGGAACCTTTCTTGGCGCTGTTTAGTCGTTTAGAAAGTTCCCCCTTTACAATACACATGTGCGCCAAGTTGACATATCCTTGAAAACCTTACTCCGTAGATACTTGCACTGTCTCCTCAGGCTACTGCAAATCAATCAACCTCATATTACTCAAAAGAAATCCCTCGTAATAAATTTAGCGGGCTATATATTGAAAGACAGAGTTCGGAACTACCGCACCCATTACGTGGCCACCTCAGTGTTCAAAGACGCCTTCTTGGCATCTTCTGCATGGCTACCCATACTTTTCTCGTTGACCCAACCTCAATGTGATCAACCTCCTGACTAGCATAGCCCATCGCTGGTATTCGAGCGCAAGCGCCACCATCACGTGATGTGGTCGTGGCTTCAAATCTCCTTGTACAGCGATGCTGACGGCAGGATGATATGCTTGGAGCTGTGATTATTGCATGCTCCTGCATTCAATATTTCAAGTGTCATACGCGAGCGAAAATTCACCAGGATTTAGATATAAATCTGTACCTGCGTATGGCATCGGATTGTGCCCAGCGATGAAGGTGATGTTCACCAGCTTTCCGAGAGCTTCGTTTAACAGTGGTGCGAATGCTTTTGTGATGGCAAGCAAACCCCCCAGAATTTTTTATCCAAGGGCGTCTTCGCCGCTTCGATATATTCATCCAGTAATAGCATATGTAGTGTCGACAGCTGGATCCTGCTGTTGCCCAAGGGAAGAAAACATGGTACGTGGCAGCGTGTAAACAGACGAAAGGGACAAGATCTGTATTCCAAGAAGGATGGAACACGACTTTTTAATTGACAATAGTGGCAACAAAAGTATATAAGATGGTATCAACGAGAAAGTTCCATAAAAGCCTTCCACCATCCTGCATATCTAAACAAGCCAAATGGCACATCCCCTTGTTGTGGCCAGTGCTTCTTCACAACTGCCATTGTCGATACAGCTGCCGTTGTCAATATTGCTGCTGTGTCGACAGACCGGTGGCTGAGGCTGTGTCCTCCTTGCCACAAAAAGGGCAGGTGCTTCTTCACCGCAAATGTGCCCAGTGAGTTGTGCCTCCACACCACTTTTTTGATGCCGGTGACGAGCTCGAAGATTGTGTTCGTGGATGTTCGAAGTTTCAGGAGGGAAGAGTGGCTTTTCAGCAGACTCCATTGGTGTGCAACCAGATTGTAGGAGATCATCTGGAGAGCGAATTGGCACAATCTGAAACGTTAATGAGGAGTCATAGTATCAACTAGCAAACACACCTTGAAACTCTACGAGGTAGGTGAGAGTGTTTATTGATCGAGCTTGTGATCAATGTGTCAAGGAGAAAGATTGATAGATATTGATATCAAAGTTGTTTGGTTTGATGAATGCATGGATGATTTTAGGGAGACTGAAGGTTGAGAACCCGAAGTTGGAATTTGAAAGAGATGGAAGAAACTTTTGCATTTTTTTGGATGAGGCACTGCTGTAGTCACTTATGCACACAATACTACCGACGTATTTTGTGCATGGCCAAACAGAAATCTCTTCACCCATGTAAACATTAAACAAAGCCACATGTGCATGAAGTAGTTAGTTGAAATATATGAATTGAAACAGTTGATATAGTTTATTATGTGCCCCACCGGTCCCCACTCGGCGCTTGAATATTCTTACAGCAGCCTGGAATTCGCTGGACTTGCGAACATCCAGCTGTAAGCGCTTGATATTGGGAAGATCTTTGAGGTCTGGTTTGTCATCTGACTCTTAGCTATCACAAATACCTGGTAGCCTGTTTTCGGGGCGGCAAGTGCGAGGGCTGAGCCAATGCTGCCATTGCTGTAGCCTGTGATTAGAGCTAAGCCTTCGGTACTTTCTTTCGTGTCGACGCCGGTCAATGGTGCAAGTGTAAGAAGCGGACAGACTAGAGAAAACGTTCTTTTACTAGAAGAACCCCTATTATCATACTGCTTTCGTCAGACTGGCAATGAAGCGTTTGTAATCTTCGGTCCTGATTAGGATCTCGGCGCTGAGGAAGAAGAAAAGGATCTGGGGATTCCGCCTACAATTCACTTTGACATAAAATCGGTAAGATAGTCCAAAAAGATAATGGTCAAGTCTAAATTTATCTATTCTTTCCTAAATGTGGTCTATGTATGCTCATTCCGCTCAGAGTCCCAACCTGCACTGTTCGGTGCCGAAGGAAAGTAAAGCAAGAAATGCAATAGCGACGATTCACAGAGATCGACGATATTATTTTCTCTCTCGCAACTATTGCTTAGCCAAAACCTTGCGTCTTTGCTTAAGCATATAGGAGTACATCATCACCGACCCTATATCGAATTAAATCTTCCATAAACCAGGGAGAAAGAACAGGGAAACTTACCGGGTACGTAAAGCCCCAAGAAGAAGTAAAAAATGCTCAACACGGCCCAATTAGTGGCAGCTGTAGTCGCTTTGTACATCAACCACCATTCACTGCTGATTCCAATGGGATACAAAATCAAAAATAGCGAATATCTAACCGACATGTCAGCAACATAAGACGAATGGAACATGGCATAATAGAATACCTAGCCCATTTCAACAACGAAGGCACTGGGTATCCAGCTTGCATAATCGCGAAATACGAATAACGGATTGTGTCTGCCGAGGACCAAGCCAGGAGCATAGCTGGATATGCCACGGACGGAGCAGTCTCAGCAGGGAAGGCATAGTTGATAGCCCACACCTGCACGGAGCGAGCAAAGACCTGAGTGAAGGTAGTGAAGACAGGCGAGCGAGTAATTTCTGTGCATTTGATTAGTATTGCGCGACCGAGGTTGAAGCGGGAAAGGGGTAGGTACGGAGAGCGGCGTGTAGAATCTCAACGACGGCAAGTGTTTGGGTATATCTCGTCAAGGATTCGGCGGATTGGTATATAGCTGTGATGTCGCGGGACTGCATCCAAGTTGACACCGTGGTGATCAGGATGGATAGCCATAGGCCGGCGCAGATGGCATTGTACAATAGGAGGTAAGTCTGGCTGATTGACGATTGTGGTTGTGGGGGTTTGGGAGCCATTTTTGATATTTTTGCAGACCGTGAACGGAGTCGCATGCATAGAAAAAGCCAAAATTCGATATTTGGAGATGTCAAGACCAAGAGTTTGACATGTGAAAATGCTGCTTTGGCTCCACTACCCGGCATTAGCGCGGGAGCGCGAGATGTAGTACACAGCCTCGTCACTCGATTTATCTTTTGCCCGCTTTTCTTTTTTTCCTTTTCCTTTGTTTTGCCATCTCTTCACTGTCATATACTCCATTCCTGCCATGTCTCAGTCAACATCCCCTATTCTCGACTGCGCAGACAGTCCCCTTTCAACAACCGGCAACGTTATCGGGATCCTAACCTTTGCCTACGCGATCTTCATAACGCTTTTGTATCGCTCCAAGATTCTAATGAAAGCAAAGGACGAAAGCAAGAAATTCTACATACGAGCGGAAAGATTGCATGGCTCGCTTGTGGAGGCACAGAAGCGACTGGAGGCCTATTTCTCCACGCTTGATTTGAGTATGAACCCAGAGATTGGATTGTTACTAGACGATGCCAAGTACTGGGACTTTCAGTATAAAGAAGGCCTGCGACTTAAACCAGGATATAAACTCACGGAGCAGGAGACCAAGGCCGAGGAGCGTCGTAATGCGATTGCTGGAAAAAGCTCCTATCTACTTATGAAGGAAGACATGGATAAGATTGTTGAAGGCATGTTGCAAACTCGAGCTACACTCGACGGGACATATCAGGTCCTCTTAAACAGGTGCAATCTCATGGAAACCTTGCAAGGTTAGCATTGCCTACTAACTTTTTCATCAGCATGATCGTCGATGAGATTCGAGAACAGAAAACCGCGTTTGAAGTGCAATCCCAGAGTCTCGCAAAGCAGAGGGTTCTAATAACTCATATTATGGGTGCACTTAACTTAGAACTCCCTGTGCCTCAAATGAGTCATGACCTCAGTCGATTCACCCCCCAGAGCTGAGATTGATATGACTGAGATGTACCTACGACCGTCAGACAAGGAAGACGAGAAACGGCCAGCCCAAAAGTTCAGAAAAGCTATCAGAAAAGCTATTCAATCTGGACAACCTCCACTTCGTGGCTGTGATCAATCGCATACACCCAGGCAGAGCGTCAACCCCTCTATGAATTCGAACTCAGAAGGAGAGGCGTATTTTGATCTAGAACAAGGTTTATGGCTGAAACCTTCCCCACCTGGCACTGAAGTTTATTTTGATCAAAACATGGGGGAATGGGTCAGAAGTGAATACATTGGAGAGCCCTTTCCCTTGCCTGGAAATATAATAGGATCTGCCTCGCCCTTTATTTTAAGGTTGACGAGGATTTTTGGTCTGCACAAAAAGTGAATTGAACATTGAACTTACTTTGGTGCACAGAATGGGCAACTTCTGCGTGCTCTGAGATTATGGAAGACCTCATAACCAGCTACAGTGACGTCGACATGTTACATGTATTTTGTATATCGGGTTTTGGAGAACACTGGCAAGCGTACAATATGATGAAGCCGTGAAAGCATCTTCAGGTCAATTCACTTAGGATACCTGGATCACGCACGGACTAACAATGTCTTTGAGATGGTACATGCAAGGAATAAGAGTGGATTTTATTGGGCTTCGAGTATTTTAAGATACATACCTGAAGCGCCGTCAACGCCATGTGAAAGATTACTCATGCAGCCACAGTCTCGAATTTCTTTCCTTTGACACTGCGCCATTCAACACCCAATGCACCAACAATGCTTATAGAGCCGAGTATCAGCGCCAGCTGCAGAACATGCACGATAGCATCATTGTAAGCCTCAAGGACCTTGGGTAATTGATCTGGTTTCACCATCTTTCGTAAGCCAGTCGCACCTGCGTGCACGATCGCAGACGGATCAAAACCGGGCATGTCCAGTGCGATCAGAGTTTTAACCAACCGTGTGGTAAATACACTCTGGGCGGCCGATGTGAAGAGTGCTCCTCCGAGGACCAGTATGAACATGACGAAGGAGGTGCCGATGGCTGCATCTTCAAGGCTGAGAACGGAATGAGCGGCAATTCCACCTTGTTGGAACCTGCAGCCAGCGCCGAAGCCGTAGAGAAACATAAAACCTGCCCATTTGGCTTGGGAAATGTTCACGGTGTAAGTAGTCATCAGCCCAGAGCCTATTGGCACGATGATACCAGACGCGATGAAGAATGGTGTGTAGTAGCCAAGACGTGCTGTCAGGGCGCCCGATATACCGATGGCTACCACATGCGCGAGTATCATCGGAAGACAGCGAATGCCTGCACCTACTGCGTTGGTGCCTTGAATGGCTTGGAACTTGGTATGATCAGCGAACTGGGTTACATCGCCAATAAGGTCTCCAGTGGCTTACCCAGATTGGCAAAAAGTAGACCATGATAAAGAATGAGCTGCCGAGGCAGAAAGAAAAGAGCGAGGCGAATGCGATCGTGCGCTGCTTAGCAATCCTAGCAGGAACTACCTGAAAGTCAGTCTTGGTAACTAGGTAGCTGAAAAGGTAGGTAGTTGGTAGGTAGGCCAGATCCTGATTGATAGGTAATTGGCTTGGTGATTTCGATTCTCACATGTCATGCTTACCTGTTGCGTTTTCACCCGAGACGATCTGGACCCCGATGAATAGGAGGATTCCAATGCTAAAGAAAACAAAGAGGACGATTATCCGCGCATTTGACCAGGGATACTGCACGCCACCCCATTGCAGCGCAAGCAAGAGACAGACTATGGATGGTACAAAGATCAAGGTTCCCGGGGGATCCATACTTTTCAATGTTTGCATCCAGGAACGCTTCTGGGCCGTAGCTCGTGGAGGTAATTTGAGTAGGAATAAAATACCGACCGCAGTAATGCCACCAATGGGGAGGTTGATATAGAAGCACCCACGCCATGTTGCATGATCAGTGAATGCACCGCCTATCTGTTAAAACATTTAAGTTTTTAGTGTATCTCTGCACAGGACAAAGGTAATTCATCAAACATACCAATGGGCCAGCAACAGACGAAATGCCGTACACCCCACCGACCATGGAAAAGGCGATCGGCCTGTATTTGAGTTCGACAATATGACCTATTGTGATGAGGGCCCCGGAAAATATCCCAGCACTCCCCAGCCCAGCAATGGCTCGTCCAATTATCAGAACAGTCGAACTGGGGGCAACACCGCATATCAAAGAGCCAAGCTCAAAGATGAACAAGGCCATGAGAAAGACCCATTTGATGTCGAAAAGAGTGTAGAGTTTGCCGTAGAGTAGTTGAAACGCTAATAACCTGGTTAACTCATGTCAAATTGATGAGATGCGACAAGCTTCAGATACGTACAGCAAGTGGTCAGAAGGTACGCTGAGGCGTACCAGCCAACGTCATTGAGGTTGTGGAATTGATCAGTGATTCGAGGGATAGCAACAGCGATAATCTGTACATTGTGAGTAAGTAAACCCCCGCGAAAGAGTTGAAGGCTAAGGACGGTATACCGTGTTGTCTAATGCGACGCAGAACACAGCCAGCGCCAGACTGAGAGTGATAAGTACCAGCTTTGTACCGAACGGGAGGAAGTTGTCATGGTTGTCTCTGGGTGGATCAGCACTTTCTTCTACTTCTTTAATAGCTTTGTTGGTCATCTCCATCGTGAGATGTATGGGTGATGTTAGCAGCAATACAAAACGAAACACAATGGAGACGTAGACGTGTAGGAGAAACAGAGACTGCATTATGTGACACGATTGGGCACGTGTCAAAACATGCTCATAGTGAGACCTCAGGCAAACAATGTCGTCTTCATCAGGCTAACGCGTTACAGTTCTTTCATATTTTTACTTTCAAAGACTAAGAAAATTCGAGCGCCTGCTAACTTACTTATGTCAAGCAAATATGACCATAACATCTATCATAATAAAATGGGGTTGTTTTACTCGTGCGGAGGATGTTAAACGCTATCTCTTGATTTCCGGGGTGAATTGGATCAATTCGGTCTCTGCGTACCGAGAGATAAGTGTAAATCTCATTGGGGATGTCACCTGGGAGACTCAGAAAACTTGTTGGTGCCATCTCTCTGGCCATTATCTTGTGGATGTTCGATGGAAGCAAAGTAAATAAGTAAGATTTGGATTCCGGGAGAGATGGAAGAGGAAAGAAGAGAGAAAGAAAACCCGTCTATCGAGATATGCAATGAATTAAACGTATTGGCCCGAGTGGGGCATCTAACCTCCATGCTTCAACACTTCTATGGTCTTTGTGAAGACAATAATGGTGTGAAACAGTATTATAATTTCACAGTAACACTCTGAAAGACTGATCAAGACTAGTATCCAACTGTAGAAAGTCCACCACGCGACCTAAGTGGTCAATCCCCCAAAACCCTTGACTCTTACCTTCGGTATCGACACATTGGAACCACGGCAACCCAAATGCTCCGGAGTCAAAGACTCGCTGTGTGTTTGCAAGCAAGATGTCCTTCGCATCTGATGTTGCCAGCTATCAAATATTAGAAGAGAATTAAAATCTGAATTTAGTATGCATACCTCGGACTGAATTTTCTTTGTAGCCTCTTCGCCTAGTTCCTGTTCAATAACAGCGAAAAACCTCTCGGGTGCAGTGATACCCGTATCTGCCTCCGCCCAGAAAATATTGTAGAATCTCTCAATGATCGACACTAATTTCTCAGGTGAATACTGGGAAACAAGGCAGAGTGCAGTCTGGATGTCGATCGTCGAGGTTGGGAATCCCTTGGGCACAGCGTCGGTCATTGGAACTCCGAATCGACGACCCCAATATATGCGCTCGCCTTGGATCCATTGGAGTTTGTCTTTATCCGAGTTAGATAGTTGAGGACCAAATGTACATTTCATACTTACTTTTCACTGCAGTTGGCGGGGTGTTATTGCATTTTTGGAACAGTTCCCGAAGTGATACCGGCACATAGTTGATCTGGCATTTTGAGAAGACGGGGGAGCTCTGATATATCTCAATTAGTCAAGTTCATTAGTCTACTAGTCGAGACTGGGATGACGTTACCCTAAGAACATGGAACCCAATCTGGCTGAATGGGCTTCCAATGTCAAAGTAGAGGGTGATCTGAGGAGATGCCATGTTGAACTTGGAACTGCCGTTTAATTGTTAGAAATTTGAAGGATGTAAATTTATCTTTATAGACATGAGTATTTTTTGATTATGCATCAATATCCCCTTGACTCATTGTGAGCCTCCCAACCATCCAAATTGTATTCCGGCAACTTTGTTGAGAAGCCGAGAAAAGGTCCGTCCCCACCCTCCTCACCAATTTCGCAAACTCAATTTATGTTATTTTCAGCCTCATTTATGCTTGTTTGTGCGTATTTTTGTTTTGTTTCAATCGAAATGTGTACTTCATTGAGATTGGTATTGACGTATATTAATATATCAATAATAGACTATGTATACCGAAGCGTATATTCCCTCATGTATTCTGGTGAGACGGCTATGCAGAATAAAACAATATTGAAACAGTACTAGTAACTACTCCGAAGGCTCAAGCTCTTCAAACTTACTTAACGCTCTCAATTTTGGCCCGCTCATAAAGAATACCCAAGGCACCGGCAGAAGCGCGATGGCGATAAACCCAAGCAAGCTGGAAGCCCACGCAATGCCGAGTTTCGTAAACACTAGAGCAATCAGTCATCAATTATTTATTTCGGAGTTGATCCCGTACTTACTTTGAATAGTGAACAGTGGAAACACAGCCGCAAGTCCATATCTAGCCAGACTGTTTGCACTCACAGCACTGGCGACCGTGTTCCCCCGGTAAGTATCAACTATATACAAAGTTGTACCGATGAAAACACACAAATTGCCCCATGCGAAAAGCATGACTGCCACGGTCGGGCTGGCCCACGAGATATCAACTCTGGCCGTCCAGCCGTACCAGAACAGACCAATAGGCAATCCAAAACTCCCGATCATAGCTGGGTATAGCCGCAACTCCGGGGGCGCTTGATGTTGAGGGTAATTTGCTGACTTTGGACGGTAGAAAAATATGTCACACAGCAAAACCGTAAGAGCGCCTAAGAAACACCCAACCACGATGGCTAGGAATACCAGACCTGACTTTTCAAGGTCGAATCTGTAGACGCCCTGGAACACCAGAGGAACTGCAGCGAAGAAGGAGAAAAGCGTGGCAAATTCACATGCCACATATAATGAAATGAAGGCCACGATTGGCTCGGTGAAGAGCATTTGAATTGGTCGAATGAGAGCGATCGTAACAAACAACTGAATTCTTGATGACAGTGGTATTGATGGGGGTAGGGGTAGACCGAGTCGTTTGGCGCGCTGCCGTTTGAGAATTGGATGGAATGTCTCTTGAGCAAATATCGTCGTGATCATAGTGAAGATTGCGAAAAACAATAAAGTCCATTGCGTCCAGCGCCAACCCTTCCGGGTTACAACAAAGCTACCAATAACGGGCCTGTGAAAGTCAGCAAGTCTATTCAAGTGATTGGTTTCGAAAGACGAACGCTATGCCCGGACCCAAAAACGGTGTCAACACAAAGGTTATCGATGGAACTGCCCGCTCAGCAGGTCTCCATGTTTCGTTTATAGTCCCCGCAGCGATTGCTAATATGGGGCCGAAGCAAAGTCCCGCAAAGAACCGTGTTATGCAAACAGCCGCGATATTGTTGCTGAACCCAACGCCTAGAGTGAATAGGCTGCCAAATACCATCGCGCCGACGTATACCGGGTATCGACCGATGGTTTCTGAAAGCGGTCCTCCAACCACTGGTCCCAATGCCAGGGCAAATACATAAAGCGATAATGGCAGGATGGCAAGTGTACTCCCGACATTAAATTGCTCCATGAATTGTGAGTGCGCCGGTGTCAAGATGGATGTTCCAAGAGACCTGGATGACTTTAGTCCGACAATCTTGTTGATTTCCCATGAGGCTCACGTTGTAAATGCTGCAGATGATATCATCAAGGCTTGTCGAAATTTCAAATTTGCTGGCCAGTTGTACGGGTTCTCAGGATCGTCCTCCCACTTCCATTCAGATTGGGTTGAGACATCCTTCTGCTCTCCCCCTTCGAGATCTGGGGATGGCATGCTCATTGAAAAGCTGCTAGAAGCAGTATTCATCTCTTTTAGACTTTCATTGCCTGACATGGGTGCCGAGTCAGCTTAGCTTGGTAGGAAGTTCAGATTGATGGCGATATCCAGCTCCAGGGATCAGGGTTCGATTTAAGAAATGTGGAAAAGGTGGGTTTTAAAGATAATCCATCTTCTCCGCAATACTTTAACCTTGCTTGAGGTCACACACGCTTGGACTACCGTTGCACAATACGAATGCATGGTGGCTAGTCAACCACGACAGCGACGCGCCGACGCCACCTGCATAAGCATGCATGCTCCACGGTTTCCCAGGATTGATTAGCCGATACACCGAACCACCATTCAAAAAGCAATCATCCATGGATAAATAGATAAAGTGCGAATCTGCGTTTAATTCATACGTATCTTATTCGTGGATTGTAGAAGGGTTTGTGGTATACAAAGGCGATTTCCTTATCGAGAATAACTGATTTGTCAACAGAAAGTGATGCGCTTTCTGATTGGTTAATCCTCGGCCAAATATCCATATGATTATTGATTATTAAACAATTGCTTTTTGTTGAGATCTTGTTTTATTTTCTCAAAATGGAGTGAGATTCCAGGTCTCGGGCGAGATATTCCGAAGCGAGATCCCCCGATGCATGATTTGCTTCGGGGCTGAACTGACTCGGAGTCGCCGCCCAATGCCCAGCTTTTTTTCGAACAGAAATATAGATTTGAGACTATATTCCCGATAATTCAACTACTAGATCTCCTCTCCGGATTGTCATTCTCAAATTTAAACTTGGTTTTAGTTTTTGGAAGCCAGGGGGCGTCTAATCCGGTGTTCAAGCGTTACAAAGCAAATTCGACTGCGGGGCACACAATGCAGGACTTGCATTTAGGTGATGTGTCCAACACTAAGTCTGCAGCCCCGGAGATATCACATCAGATAGGATCACCTGATATACCATCTCATGCATCTCGGATTCTCAGCTTTGGTGTTCGACCCACTTGTGGTCCGAACCCTAGTGCTCACGCTCACCGTAGAACATCAATAGCTTTCTGTTCCTCCATATCACTAACAATTACTATTGACCGTCTAGAACTACTGACCTGCAAACAAGCCACACAAGCATCAATATCTAAAATCAAAAAAAAAAAAAAAAAAAATTATCATCCCTGGCTTTACCAAATAATTTCATCATTTCATTAAGATAGAATTACCAAGCCTACTTCCTCGTACTTTGATTTTATGTATCATAGAAAATCGGATAATCATGATCAAGCGAAATTTCTTAGTTCCAAACCCTCAAGAGAGTCCTTCAGCATCGTGAAAACGAATTCAAAGCAAGCGTCGGGGCAATCGTGATCGGATTGATATCTCGCATAACCTCTGGATGAAACACACCATTGAGGTGATGTGAACGCCAGTACCCTCCGTACGAGAGAATGATAGCTCAAATTCGGAAAGGGAGTCTCTGGCTTTGGTGAAAGCAGATTATTTGACTGCATCTGCATCGTTAAAGCCCCGTACATAATTGAGCGGCACTCGTAACAACATCCCCGACTGCCGTGTATGAAGGCATCGCGGGTTTCATGAAGAAGGGTAACTAAGCTGTCCAAGGCCTCCTGCCTACGGATATTCATTGAACCTGCATTCAATTAGTTCTAAAGCACTTGGGAAAGATAGTTCATCCTTGCCTATAACGCGGTAGGACACAGGGAGTCCCCAACTATCAATCCAACCATCACTCTGTGACATCGCAATCGAAGTTGCTTCTTTGAATTGGGAAGGAAGCTAGAAAAACCATGCGATCCATAGCCATAATATCAACTCCCGAGAAAATGTTGTGGGGACACTCTCTTTCATATTATTGATCCATATACCCTTGAGTATATGCAAACGCTCCTTACATTTATAGTAGTCTGCGATAGCAGCGACTTGGGCGAGCATCTCAAGGGTAAGCTTTTCCGGGATATCGTAGTGTTGACCATGAATAGCACGCAGTACAATCAAGAGTGCTTCAAGATTCCAGCTTTCTGCAGTGACCTCAACCGAGCCTTCTTTCATGTAATCAATGCTTTCTTTCCAACCACCGGTCAATATATTTTTAAAAACCGGGGAGGCAAACATCATATGCTTTGCAGAGACTTGAATCCGAAAACAACTGCTGTCCAAAAAGTCGGGAGAATTATCTTTGACAGCGGGCTCTTCAGCATCAGGCTCTTCGGCAGCAGGCTCTTCAACGGTAGGCTCTTCGGCAGCAGGCTCTTCAACGGTAGGCTCTTCGGCGGCAGACTCTTCGACGGCAGGCTCTTCGGCAGTAGGCTCTTCAACGGCAGGCTCTTCGGCAGTAGGCTCTTCGGCAGTAGGTTCTTCGACGGCAGGCTCTTCGACGGCAGGCTCTTCGACGGCAGGCTCAGGTTCTTTGACGCCAGATCGTATCGTCTTTATCATCTTCTTCTTCTTTCTTTCCTTTCTCTTTTGCTTGGAAGTCAGTCCGTTTTCAAAATAGCATTCTGAAGCTTGCGTCAATTCTGCAGGACTTTGAATATCATCTCGCATCTCCGGATGGACATCGGTAGCACTGGCAGTAATCGTATTCTCATGCGGTTGTGCAAAAGGGCAGTCTGCATTGCGCAATATTAGAAGTACTTCACCGTCTGGATCTATAATATGAGTCGGCGAATTCATAGTGGTTTCAGATAGACTCAGAGCTGAGGAAATTCAACATAAACTTTGAAATGAGGGAAAATAAATCCTCTGGGATATTTACGCTGGGAGATCAAAGAGGGGTAGAAGACAATCTGGGGGCGGATTAGGCAGATCGTTGCCCAACCCTAGGCATACATCTACACAAATTTACAGTACTGTAACGTACGTTCAATCATTCGAAGATGGAAGTCGAATACGCTCAAAAGACAAAACACGACCAATGGCCCAATCGGAGTTTCTTCCCAGTTAATAAAAGTACTTAGACCTCAAACAGATGCCTTCATAAACATGGATACGTTGTCTGTCGTTTTCTATCCAGCTATGACCAACACAAAAAAGCCTCTTGAAAAGTAGCTAGAGCTAGTGTAGGCCTATTCCGGCTCTCTAGTCGCGAGGTCTGCATTCCTCGTCTGCTCCACCGTGACGAATACACCCTCCCCAAGGGCCGTCGCAATCTGAGCGAGTCCCGCTGAGCCACCAATTCGAGAATACCAAGACGAATGTAACATCATCACTAATGCTGATGGGAAGATGTTCGTTGGCCAGTGTGGAAGTTTCATTACCCATTTTCTCAAGATCTGGATAGACAAAATTGAGTAAAGAGATGTGTTCGTCATCAATGACACTTTTCAGGCAGAGGATGCCATCAGCCATCTCAGCGATGTGGTTTTGTTTCTACCCATCTTCCATGATCATCACCTCATTGGGCACGCCTCAAAATTTGGTCACTTGACAGATGCGGGTGGCATCGACTCCGGCAGTATGTTCGTCAATGTCACATTGGTCTTTGATGATGGTGTGAAGCTGCTGTACAGGAACCGCACAGTCTTCGCAAACATCAATCAGCACCAGTTTGACGGTAACACGAGTGTCTTCACTGATTTGTCCACAATGACGGACACGGTGCGGGTCCCTAAGCACGACGTTGCTGGATGGGAAAGATCGATGAGGATCGACTGCGCCTTGAACGGAACGGCACACATCTCCAGAGTCAGCATGGTATCAAATTCTTTATCTCGGAGACGATGTTCACTATGTTCATAGGATACTATCTCCTCGCCGCAGCTGCCCTGGTACTATCATTAGTGATAGCTTTCATGATCTGAACAATGTATCCATCCCACAGGGTAGTATACTTTAGTCTGTTAGACCAGCAACAATTTGTTGTCGCACCCATCTCATAGGCCGAACACTGGTTATCGTGCAAGCATTGACCGGCCAAAAGGACGATACATAGCAAGCCACTACCGGCTTTAGTGACTCACCTATCTCTTCTATTCCGCCTTCAAGCCTATTGGCGGATGGTATCAACTGTACCAGGTCGGGATCGGAGGGGTCCCAGCTTCGCAAGCTGGTGACGATCCAGATTGTCACTATAGTCCACTCCCACTGAAGCATTGAGCCGGATTATTCAGAACGCATAGAAGCGAATGAAAGTTTCGCTGACACTGGCGGGTCAGGACTCTTCCGAGGCGACAATGCTCACCGAACAATGTATAGCCTTTCAGCTCGTGGGCAGTTCATTGTGCAAGCCCTGGGGTCTTAAAGGAAGGAAGCCCGTAGAGCGATCTCGCAAAGCCCTTTACCGTTACTCTCGATCGACAGAGAGTCCGTCTACAAGCATTTTGCCGTCCAAATGTGATCATATTTTTGTTGATCCATGTGATCTCCTTGGGTGAAGTACCCGGGGTGGACGCGGTCTTGGGAACTCCCTGGCACGACCGGCTGAGAAGGTCTCGTCAGAGTTCGTTGCAAGCTCGTCATAATGAATGGAGCCCACAAAGGGTATTATCTTGTTCTGGAAAGTAACCTCGGTGTTGCGCAGAGCGACCGAGGAGCTGCGAGCTCAGGTTGAGTCTCCTACGTATGATCGTGGTAGTGATATCGAGGCTCTGCGGCAGACATGCTTGCAAGATACCGCTGACCAGTCCCTCAATTAGTTCCTCAATGGGAGAAGAGTTGTATGGACCCCATCATGCTTTGAAATACTTGAAGGACTGGTATGAGGAGATGAAAGTTCAGAAAGGGTGGAAGTTGGAGTAAAGAGGGGGCAATGACAAGGGTACCGCCTTGTTGTTAGTGTATTCCCAGCTTGATGGATTATTTTATATATCGCATAGGTACAGGTGCCGAGTGTGCACCGCCATCATTTATAATATCTATCTCAATGCAGTACACTTAATCAAGTGCAGCCATCTCAGAGGTGTTTTAAAAAACACAGAAAAAAATCGTCAGCACTAGGGTTCGAACCTAGGCTCCCAAAGGAACTAGATATCGAATTAAGTAATTCAAGTCTAGCGCGTTAACCACTCCGCCATACTGACAGACGTAGTAAATTTTCTCAATTTATGTTAAATGATCCAAGTAAAAATTACCTGATCCAGGATAAATTTTCCCAGTAAATTGAAGTGTTGATTACAGGACGCAATGGCACCATTAGCCTTGAATGTGCTTTTTTTAAATTTTTAATTTTTCAATTTTTTCTAAATTGTTATTCTTCAATCAAATTTTCTTTCTTACGTATGGACTTTTAATCAATCAATAGGCAACATTGAATTAGTTCAAAGAAGTTCTATATGCGGCGATAGGGCTGAATACATTTATGCCTCAGGCCATAATGATCGGCGTACACAATATTCCGCTTCTAGTAGACTGCATGCAGCATCTTTCCAAGTCAATACTTTCGTTATCTTTCTTTTCTACTCTGGCACAGACCTTCTACAGTCACTCGACACACTTCAGCTCTTGTGGGTTGGATTGCGATTCCTATTGCACCCCGTCTGCGCTGATCATCCCCGCTCCCCGCTCTAAAAACGCGGCTGTCGTCATCGTCGAACAGTTCCATTTGTTCTAGTCGGTCCGTTGGGCCTGTTTAAATTGGAGAATTTCCACGCTTGCGCCCGACATCCCTTGGCGTGAACAGGCACCAGACTTTTTGACCAAAAAAAAAAAAATCAGTGGACTAGACTACCCAGTATGTTTCACTTATCTTGGCAAGTGCGCGCGGCCGGGTGGCGGCTTTGTTAACGGAGATAACAGTCCACCAAATTTATGATTCTTCCTCCTCTCTCTTCGCTTTTCTCAACCCAATATTAACCCTCGCTGATTCTTATTCGATATCTCGCCCATATGCCCCTTACCATTCTCTCTCGATCGAACCTCCGCGAGCTCTTGCACTCTCTCACCCGTGATGAGATTCGCAACCTCCAAAGCAATCTTTCCGAAGCGCTGAGGGAATACTCTACTGGATCTCAGGATAAAGGCTGCTCGGCGACATACCAGCCTCAGCGGACGGCAATCACACGCCAGAATGGCTGTACCACATTGTTCATGCCCGCCACTACTGGCCAGACTCTAGGAATCAAGATGATCTCTCTCCAGGACGGAGCCAAGGCGGGCTGTGCAGTGGAACGCAGTGGCTTTGATGATAACGAGAGTGACTCCGGTTCAAACTCTCGGCGAAGACCTTCCACACGGAACTCGGTGGTCTCGGTCTCTTCTCTTTCCTCGGAGATGAGCGACCTTTCGGTCGGCTCTTCCCAAGACGGTGGTTCTGTGAGCCCTACGGCCACCAGAGACAGTGGGGGCGGTGATAGCACTGATAGTTCGACTCTTCTCTCGGGCTGTGTGAATCAGCAGCCCGTCATCTCCAACACTCTTGGCGCTTGGCCCGGAGCGGGGACTCGCGACACCTCGCCGCGGGGCAGTCTGACCCTCCTTGATGGTGAAAGTCTCCCGTTTGCCCTAATCAACGCACATGAACTCACAGCCTTCCGCACTGCGCTGGCTTCGTTGATGATCTTCAACAAGCGCAAGAAGGTACGCACCCTTCTGGTCTTTGGAGCGGGTACTCAGGCCTACTGGCACATTCGGCTCGCGTTGACCCTTCGGGGCGACGAGATCCGGCGCGTATATATCGTAAACCGATCATTTGAACGTGCTGCCAAACTTCTTCAGGATATCTACTTGCCTGAGAATTCAGATTGGCGGCGCGATGTTAAATTCTCCGCCATGAGCAGTGAATTTGGCGAGTATCACCGGATTTTGAAAGAACATGTTCGTAAAGCGGATGCAATCTTCTGCTGTACGCCTTCTACAACTCCGCTGTTCCCGGCTGAGTTCCTCACGTCGCGTGAAGGTCGTCAGAAGGGTCGGTTGATCATGGCTGTTGGGTCATATAAGGCGCACATGGCAGAGTTACACCCCGATATCCTCCGAGATGAAGTCAATGTGACACCCGCTCATCGGCATTATCACAAGCACACTCGCCGGAGCGGTGTTATCATCGTCGACAGTCTTGATGCTGCCATGAAGGAGGCTGGTGAGATCGTTCAAGCTGGCATCAAGCCGAAGCAACTTGTTGAGTTGGGCGAGCTATTGATGGTGCGTCATGCCTCACTTAATGATGACGGCGAAAGCGAGGAGAAGGGTCTGGTTGAATGGGTAGAGAAGGGCAATGTTATCTTCAAGAGTGTTGGACTAGGATTAATGGATCTCGTCACAGGTGGTGATCTGGTGCGGTTAGCGCGGGAGCGCAACTTGGGAACTACAGTGGATGACTTTTAAGGAGATTTGCATTTCGCGGACGCTGTATTATACCCTTGGATTCTTTGATAAGATTTGTTCTTATCTATTTAGCTAATACTGACTATTCATTTCCATATTGATCATCCGAGCATCCTATCTCCCAGAGTCTCAGCAATCCTCGGTCTTTTTATAAGGACCATAAGCCAAAACAAAGCAAAGACACCAAATCAATATCCATTCAAAGTAGTAGCAATAAAACAAAAAGAAAAACTGAAATAATAGGAATAACAAAAAGAACCATCAGTCTACCCCTCTACTACTTGGGCACACCGCAGACTTTTTGGACGTACGTTCGAAACGTCCACCAGACTTTTCTTTTCTTCACCTTCTCCCTCCACTTCACTTGTTTTCTCTTCTCTTTTTCATTCTTTCTTTTCTATTCCACTATGTATGAATTTGGAGAGCCCTTTGATCATTTGACTAATCTGGTACGAAAGAAGAAAGAATACTGGGTAGGATACCGAGTCGGAGACTGATTAGGAAATATAGCAGGAGGTGTGGTATAATACCAAAGTAGGCGCCGCGCTTTTTGCGCGGCGAGAAACCTCTAGTACCGCATAACGGGCTGGCCGTCGTGATGTAGCCGCCGTAGGTGATTCTTGAGGCTAGATTTTCGATTGAATGTCCCGAAACATTCACTTTAATGGCATCGCCAAGAATTGGGCTCAATGTATCATTCCTGCAAATGTCTCAAGAAGTTTGAGGTACTAGTAAACGAGGCTTGTGTCGTGCATCCGGCCCACTCACATCTCCGGGGATTTTCGCGGTTTGGTGGTTGGATTGTTGATGCCGGGAATGACGGGGCCATAGATTGTTCAGTGGACACATTGGATAGGTCACGGCCATGGTCATCCATGATATAGAAAACAATCCGGACGGGACACAACAAAAATGCATGAGTTGTTCTAAGCCACAGCCATGTGTTGAATGAGAAAAAGGGGACAGAGGAAGACATATTGGCGGTTGGAAACGAAGCAAAACAAAACGTAAAGAGGGAAGGAGTGACCATGTATAATGGGGTGGAGGGAGATTCGGTGTTAAAGTTTCAAATATTTTGGTACTGAATCCCAGACTCCGATTTTATTGCGGTCTCTTGTTGCCCGGAGGCACAAGTCTACTTGATAGAATGTATCCATGGATCGGGTGATGAGGCTAGGGTCGTTGCGTTTAGTGAGGCTTATTTGAGGCTAAGAATGAGTAATGTCTTGGTTGAGAAATATTATTTTCTCATGTCAAGCATTAATTAGAATATGCTTTTATCTATTTCCAGTCTTATCTGAAGCAATTCCAAGATACAGACTCGAACCCCAGTCCCAGACCCATGTTGTAATGTACAAACCATGATTATCAAAACATCAGTTCACGATTCGAACTCGTTATGCTTACATCTTCCAGCGCAGCAGGTTGGCAATCATCTCCCGACCAGTGATGCGAGACGTAGCCCACAGAGTGGGGAAGTCAAGGGTGCTGGAGAAGGTATCGGCGTAGCCGAAGAACAGCATGGGAGGGATCCAGCCACGAGCGTACTCGAGCGCGAAGCAGGAAGAGTCCATCTTGTACTGCTTGACCTCACCGCGCTTCAGGTGGTGCACGGTACCGGCGGGGTAGGTCTCCGGCTCGAAGGCGCCAGGAACGTAGGCCAATTGAGTACCGGAGAGGATGTTGAAGTAGTCGTCCGCGGTGTGGCGACCAGTGTGGCCCTCGGTACCGATGGCAGTGCCGAAGATGATCAGGTACTCGGTGATACCTGAGAATGGTCAGTTAGGTCAATTGAATGGAGAAGGCTGAAGCGTAGCGCATTTAGGGAATCACGTACTGGCGTGGATGATGTACATAGCGCCCATGGCACCACCGGCATTGTTGAACACCCACTCCTCCTCGGTGCTCAGGTACTTAGGTCCAACCTTCTCCTCCAGCTCGGCGACGATGAAGTTGACGATGGAACGGGTGTCTTCGCCATGGGCCTTGATGGCGCGCTGCGAGAGATCGTGCAGGTGCTCAGGGTCGAAGATGTAGAACTGCTCCAGGCGCGCGTCGAGGTAGCTGTAGACGGCGGTGAAAAGGGCCAGGAAGATGGCGAGGAAGCTCAAGTTCCGGACGGAAAAGCAGCGGCAGCCGCAGCCGGAGCTGTTAGACTTCTTGCTGGAGGATTTGGAAGCCATTGGGAGGGTTGTTGGGGGGGGGGGGGTTAGAGGAAGAAGTTGAAAAGCCGAAAATTTAAGAACTTATCAGCCCCTGGCGAACCCCGGAGTTCCACTGTGGAGCCCGCAACACAATAAACAAGGGAAAATCGATGCAATGGAATCGAAACAGAATATTTATATGAGTATTTGATTTGATGGAATGATTGATTCTTAAATCAAATAATTAATTCTTTTATACTCAAATATAGTAGATGATAACTTTTACATGATCCGCGGACCCCGAGTCGATCCACACGCCATATCGGATCGCCCCAATCCGAATCATGTCTACGCTTGTTGGTCATATACAGAGCCGCCAGCACTTGAGGACATGGATCAAGAACATAGCACGGAGTATAGAATGCACCGGCTTTAGCTAATTGCTTTATCAAGTTGAGGATTTTCAATGATTATCACGGAACTGCTCCATCGCTTTGCTTCGAAGTCCACCAATCCAACATTTAAAGTTGACCAAGTCTCCATGGCGCAGGGCTTCAACAATTCCCATAAATATCGATGTAAATCCATCCCAATAACGGTTGTCACGACCACAGTAAACAACGACCGATGCAGAAGCCGCCCCTTTCTAGTGATATCCTAAAAATCAGGATGCCCCTTCCCCTAGGTAACAGCTAAGCAAAGACCATTTGACTCATCGTCGTCTAAGCCGTTCTCCCCATCGTAAAAGGCTTCCAAAGAACGGACCAATTGGAATAGCAGCGATAGGCGAATAGAGCATGTGAATGGGTCTAGGTAACATTTGGAGGGAAACATATATTAGGAGTCCACTACGCATTGTACACTCCAGAGTTGACGCTCAAATTTTCCCCTACCTTATCTGGTACGTGTAGGTACGTCTTGAAATACCTATTCAATAGGCATTCGAAACCGACAATAAGAGTCTAGGTATTACTTTTCTGAATATTTCAACCTTGGAAGGTTGTTAAGCGGAAGCGGACTGAAGAGTCGAATGTATAGATCAGGTCAGATAACCCATCGACGCTACGCATGGATCCACCCACCCAAGTGCCGAAGGACCATTGCCAATTTTGAAATTACTGTAACATGCCAGGTTATCAATGATCAAGTTACTATTGGTCGTGGCTGTCCACATGTGTGAAGAAACAGCATGTTGGTTCGCTCAATAAAATCCATTGCTGATCATCACCCGCTCGAAAACGGGCGTGTGTCCGGACGCGTATACGCGTATATAGCCTAATTCTTTACAAAAGCCACCTACAAGCTAAGCCAGGATATTGAGAGGGAACAATGCGGGGTGCATATGGAGAGTCTTCATGAAAATGTGGCTTGAAAATTCGTCATTGGTGGACTCATAATCCGCGGGCAAATAAAGCCAAAGCCGCATGACGAAAATTCAAGGTTGTAGATTTCCTTGTCGTGATTCTTCCAGACCTGTCACTTCATGTGGAAAGGGGCACGCAAGGACGGAACCCCTGATTTTTAGTTTCTAGAAATCCATACTTCAGCTTCGGAGGATCCTCGGACGTTAACCATAGAAGGGATTGACCGCGGTCCTTGATAAGTATGAGACTCCGCTTAGCGGGTCACAGTCGTCTCAGATTTAGTTTACGCCCGGAGATCTTCCACAAACTGCAATGCTGAACTCAAAATACTCTGCCAAACCCCGGATGAAAGCCCAGTCGTGGAAATATTCATCTTCAAGGACCCCGGCTGCGGGTAAGTTTGAAGCGCCATTAGAATAGCCGGTGGAGCTCCGTAGATGACCAGCTGAGACAGGAATACTCCGTGCTTTATATGGAACATTCACGGCCGGATTTCTAGACCCAGTCTCCGAAGTAGTCTATTTAAGCATATCCTGTCGCTGTTCGACACGAACCTTAACCTCCTCAGACATCTTACACCATGAAGTCTTTCCTTGCACCATTGTCGCTGCTTTCTCTTGCGCTCGCTGGCCTGAGCAATGCCGCGACCATCCCCACTAAGTCGCTGGAGAAGCGCGCCTCCTCCACCTGTGAACAGTGGGGTACCATCACCACTGGCAGTTACATCGTCTACAACGACCTCTGGGGCGAAAGCTCCGCCACCAGCGGATCGCAGTGCGTTGGAGTTAACTCGCTGAGCGGTACCACTATCTCCTGGTACACGTCGTGGACCTGGGCCGGCGGTTCCTCGGACGTGAAGAGCTATGCCAACGCGGCGCTGCAGTTCACCGCTAAGAAGCTGAGCGCTATCACCAGCATCGAGACTGTCTGGAAGTGGAGGTAAGAGTAACGAAACAGAGTTGCAAGAATGATGCTAACTGGTCTCATTGATAGCTACTCCACCACCTCCATCGTCGCCGATGTCTCGTACGACATGTTCTTGGCTGCCACCGCAGATGGCTCCGACGAGTACGAGATCATGGTCTGGCTTGCGGCGCTGGGTGGCGCTGGCCCAATCTCCTCGACTGGCTCTGCGATCGCGACTGTCACCATCGACGGTGTTTCGTTCAAGCTGTACTCCGGTCCTAATGGAAGCACGACTGTGTACAGCTTTGTTGCAACCTCGACTGTCACGAGTTTCTCGGGTGATTTGCTGTCATTCTTTACCTACCTCATTGACAACGAGGGGTTGAGCTCGAGTCTGTATCTGGTTGACGTGCAGGCCGGTACTGAGCCGTTCACGGGTAGCGCAGAGCTGACTGTGTCCTCATACTCCGTTGCGGTGGTGTAAATTGAGTCAAGAACGGGAGGTTTTTAAATCAGCCATCTGTATGAAGATTGAAATCAAGTTTTGACCAATTCGCCAAGAGCATTCTCGAAACGTAGTCCTGCTATCGCATATGGCAAGGAGACGAGGGACCAGTATCATAACACGTAGTCGACTAGTTTTCATTTTCATGGGATTGGCATCCATGAATCCATTGCGCTGGCCGTTTCAGTCGGTCGCAACCAGTGGATCCGCCTCATTAAGCGCTGGAATTGATGTGGGAGTTCCTGAAACCCAGCGTATGTCTGAAACAGACCTTTGTTTCAGCGTTCACCACGGTCGCATCATTGACCCAGTGCATTCTGGATCCTCTAACAATGAAGCTGGAACACAGCGAGGCGCCGTCGCTCAAGTTACAAGTTCCAAATCGTAGGGAACATTGTCAACCACTGAAAGTCGGTGTTTCTCTTGCTGATCCGACGTCTAATGTAGCATCAACTGTAGCGGGCCCTACCCGAGCGCATATGCACTCTAAGAATAAAAAATCTATCAATAGATGTAGCGATAACATGAATGACGTTCTGAAGTTGCAATGGAGGTCTCTAAGCGCTCGCGGGGGAAGGGCGCTTATATACAGAGCATCTTTTTTTAGACCCAAACCCCAACCATGTACCTGCACAGGACCGGGATATTGCATGCATTGATTAATGGATGCAGAAAGTGACGAACCTGGGAAACGCATCGAATTCTAAAATCAATAGATCGCGTCCGTGAGTAATGCCCAACCACCTAACATTTCAACCTTAATGGAGAATGGGGAATGGAGAGAGAAATTGATGGTTCTCATGCGAGGTGGATAAACTAGAGAACGTAAACCAGTCGCGAGTCGCGAGCCGTGACTGATCAGTGGCGGGCCGTGTGACAGGGATCATTTGGAAAATCCTCCGCACGGACATGGGATTGGATGGACGCGCCAGATTGAAACGCGAAATAGGTTGCCACATACTTGATATGGAAGGAAGAAATTATTCGTTGGCCCCTTTTGGAAGGGTATTCTCCTCTGGGCCTACACCTTCCGAGTTCAAAGATTACCTGTTCAGGGTAAGGGTTAGGCTATGAGCTCCCTGGATATGGCTATTGCCCCTCTCATTCTATCCTCTAGGGACGTGTGAGTAGAGAATCTGACCTGGCATTTTCCATTAATCTTTCCCCCGCGTCGTGGACAGGAGTAAGATGAGACGAGAGTTTCAAAGTATATCGAATGAGGAGGCTGGAGGTTAGCTTGGCTAACTAGGAGTGGGCTGGAGTGGGCTGGAATCGCTGGATGGGATTGACACTAGTGGATCCTTGATCTCCCCAGTGGAGGTTTAACCAGCTGGGAACTTAGCCGCTTAGAAAAATTACTATTCTAGGAATAAAGATGAATCTAGGGATAGAAACATTCCATAGGTTCACAGATTCATGCTTGGTTCAGGTTCCCTCTTACTGGTTCCTTGCAGATAGACTTGTCCCGCCTTTTCCCTTTTTTTCTTGACTTCCCCTTTCCCACATACCGGAGCTATATCTAAGCCAAATTCCCTGGATTCTTCACGGGATTCATCCACATGCTCCACGTCGTCACCTTCATTTTGCCTACTTTTTAATACTTAATATTTCCTCTCATTTCATCCGATCCTCATTGATTTGGTTCTATTGCTTTTCACAAGAAAAATTGTCTCGCTACAAAATCTCCGCTTCGGCAGGTCTCACTGAGAGAAATTCATTCACTGTTAGGGCTATCGATAAGGGTTGACACGACAACATCATCCTTGCTGCATTCTTTTAATCTGCACTTTTGCTCATATCTTCCCTGCTGGTCAGGAATTCTGGTCAATCTCAATCTCATCGCCTCTGCCTTTTGTTGTTTGCTTTTCCTCGATTTCAGACAAAGGCTTTCTTTTCTCCAGCTGAATCTGATTGTTCTTCAACTTCCTATCAACATCAAGCTATCTAGTAGCTTCGCCATGCAGAACAATCTTTCAACCATGGCTCTCAATCGCGCTGCCCTCGACGAATTCGTCACTCAACGTGTGACTCGGGAAATGGTCAGCTACTTGGCTCAACAAGCATCACACGTTATCCGGTGCGAGGCCCATGTGACCAACACTGTCAACCAGCATGGTCAACCTACACCCCCCGCAACACCTCCTATGGACCCAGCAGACCCCTCTCTGCCCCCATTGCCATCCACTGAAGTTTTCATCGCCTCTCTTGTTGCTCGGTCGCAGGTCCAAGTTCCCACTCTCATGAGCGCCCTAGTCTACCTCGGCCGCCTGCGTGCCCGTCTCCCTCCAGTCGCCAAGGGCATGCGCTGCACTGTTCACCGAATCTTCCTAGCCTCATTGATTCTTTCCGCCAAGAATCTTAACGACTCCAGCCCCAAGAACAAGCACTGGGCTCGCTACACAGCAGTCAAAGGCTACGAAGGATTCGGCTTCTCTCTCCCGGAGGTGAACTTAATGGAACGTCAGCTGCTTTTCCTGCTGGATTGGGACACCCGTGTGACCGAGGAGGATCTCTTTACATACCTTGAGCCTTTCCTCGCTCCCATTCGTCAGCGCCACGAGATCCAACTCCGCGAACAACAAGCTCAGGAAGAACACCAGCGCAAGCAACAACAACACCGTGAATGGTATGCATCCCTGCTCATCAGACACAATATCTCTACTCACACTCGTTCCAGGCGTCGTTTGCACGTTTCCGCGGATCTGCTGGCCAGCCGCCTTCGTCGCCAAAAGCTAGAGGCCAGAGTCGATGGTCGCCGAGTTCCCGATCACTCTCTTCGTCGTCTCCCAAGCCACGTCTCCTGCCCTACAATCAACACTCAACCTCCCCAGTTCAGTGCTGAATCCGATCGTTACAATCCCTACACCCGACACCGCACATCGCCTCACAGGCCCACCCGCTCCATCTCCCCCCCTTCCATCCGTGATGTACCAGCCCTCTCCCACGCTGAGACATTCAATTCCCTTTGCTCTCGTTCCTCCAGCATTGCACCCAGCTCCCGCGGAACCCCAGGAAGCATCAGCACAGTCTCCTCGCACAGCAATGAGGATTTTGCCATCTCCGATTCAAGCATCAGTCCTTCAACCACTTCCCTGGCTTACAGCTACGTCAACATCACAGACGCAAAGCACTTTGAGCCGGCACGTCAATCAAGCAAGAAGATGAAGGTTCACGGACACTCGGGTGGCTTCGTAGCTCGTTTCCTTGCTTCGGCTACAGGAACATACGGCCGTATCGGTCGACCACACGCTTAATCGAGCTGGTCTCGATAGCGACGGGCACTTTAATACCCCGCATCTTTTTTTCCCATTTAGATGCTTTGTTTCTTTGGTCTCTCCCCCACTACGATTTTTATTACTGCTTCCCCAAAAGCATTTCCCCGATACGCGTTGACAATTTCCGAGCATGCCTTAGATAGACATCTTTCACTCTTTATCATCACCTTTCACTCGCTATACTGCATCCGGCTGGAGTTTGGTTTTGCTTGCGGTTTTGGTCTGGCTTGGTCGGTCGGTTCGGTTTACGGGTTTCTTTCTTGGATCATCTTACTCTGGGATACATGGACATATGTGATGTATCTACGGATGTACTTATTCTTTCATTTCAATTTTCCTTGTCCCGTCAGACGTAACTATGTCTACCATAATGGAATCTGAATCTGAATCTGAAATCAATCTGAATCTGAACACAATCTAAAATCAATCTGAGACACGTTTGCATTACATTTCCTGTAATGCAAAGTACAATCCTTACTTCACCCGTCCTATCGGCCCGCAAATACTCTCCGTAACTCAATGTTGCAGTGAGGCAACCGATTTGTCTCAACGCTCCTGCAAGGGTTTGCCCCACATACCTCTACATTCACCACCGGTCCAGAGGCGACGGAACGCCAAGGCGCATCACTCATTAATTTATCGCCTAGGCGATCCGAGGTATCCAAGACATGTACATGACTGCTTTGTAATAAACCAGATCATATCTTCATTCGATGAAGCCGGCATAATTGTTTATGCAGGTATATTAAGACGAAAGGGACACCACGCCACAATCCGCCTAGAACAAGGGTATATAGCTGCATCTGGTGGTGTAAGTGACAGTGTCTCAATCTCAAAGTGGATTGGAATCCTGCTTACTGATAGTAATGGATCGACACTGGTTGCTTTTAATACGGTGTTCATCCACCGAGTGATGGGTGAGGATGTGAGGTTCATCATGAGTGTAGATTGGAATGCGCGACGTAGTGCATATCGGTATAGTAGTGTAGTATTGTATAGCAGGGTAAATAACAGGATAGATAAAACAAATGGTATAGAGGCCTTGATGAAATTATAAGCCAAGTTTAGATATGATCACATTCGCTTGCTGTATCCGAGGCGAACTCACCTACTCCGAATAGAAAGAGAGGGAGAAAGAGTAGAAAGGAACCAGCCCGTTTCAGCGATATGAAAGTGTGAGAAATTCCCTAAAACAGTACTTGGCTATGGGGCCAGAAGGCACAGAAATAAGCCGTCGAGGTTCGGGCTCCGAATCTGTTGAACGCCGATCGGACTCCGGGTGGTTACACGGACCTGCTACTGGGGTTTGCGACGCAAATTTGAGGATTCATGGGGTCGGAACTGCAAATGGTGTTACTCGAGTTGTTTTGTGACTGGTGGGGCTGTCAAGTGTGTGGGTTGGGGGCGATTCGACATTGTGTGTTCTGTGGAAGCATTTCGAAGAGGATAGAGGTTGGGTTTCTGCATGGATGTGAAATTTCAATACTCGTTCAAGGTAAGTTCCCTTGGAATGTCGCAGTCCTAATGTTGGTGCGGGATACTCTTCCTGTCAAGGTCATTTATTTCGGCCCGGACGGGAGTGTTACCGAAAGGTTCAGACACATATTCAGATGTTGGAAATGATAGACCCAAAGATTCAGTTGATCATGATGAACCATGGTGACTAGAGCATAGTCTCTGATTTATTGGGATTCATATCAAGATCTCATAGGATGAAAAGGTTACCCCTCATATCGCATATCCGTAGATATCTTCCAATGAATCGGTATCCAACTACATTAGCGTAAATGCAACCTGCACAGATAACCAACCCCTCATCGAAGAAATTGTCCTTCACTGATCACCTCCACCAAATACGATAGAATGACACAAATCGCAATTATCACAGGTGGCAGTAAGAGCCCGCACCCTCCAAGTAGAACCTTGACTAACATTTGAAAGCAAGCGGCATAGGCCTAGATATCGCTACGAGACTCGACAACAACAATTGGAAAGTTCACATAATCGGCACAAACATCCGAAATGGTGAATCTGCAGCTTCCAAACTCAACAATTCAACCTTCCACCAAGCAGATGTAAGCAACTACAACCAACAAGCGACCGTATTCGACAAGATCTTCACTGAAGCTGGCCGTTTGGATTTTGTCTTCGCGAATGCCGGCATCGCAGAGAAACCAGATTCTTTCTACTCTGCCCACGATGGGATTCCGCCTGAGCCGAAACTAGATACGATCGGGATTAATTTGAATGGTATTATTCATACAAGTTATCTTGCGCTGCATTATTTTCGACGATCTCCTTCCAACGGCGCGAGACATCTTGTCCTCACGGCTAGTATCGGGGGCTTGTATCCCTGTGCGAATGCGCCGATTTATTCTGCGACGAAGCGTAAGTCTACTTCATTCTACTTAGGCAAGAGCTGATGTTGTTAGATGCGATGGTCGGGTTTACACGCTCTGTTGGGAAGAAATTTTGGGAGGAGGGCGTGAAGGTGAATGCAATTTGTCCCGGTGTGGTGGAAACGCCCTTGTTGACGCCTGAGATTAAATCGTTCTATGGAGATGAACTGGTTATTCCCATGCCTGATGTTACTGATGTGGTGATGGAGGTATTGTCTGGGAATGAGATGGTGGACTCGAAGGGAATGGTCGTTTCTGGTGAGGATTTGCATTCTCGGGCAATTTTGATTTCTGGAAAGAATCATTACTTTGTTGAGATGCCGGAGATTTATGATGTGAAGATTCGGATAACTCATGATTCTATGATGATGTGAGATGGAGAGGAGTATATTGAATTTATGGACTGAGATGAATTCATTTGTGCTTTGGAGTGCGAGACTTCAAACGACACTTCAACCCATGCTGTTTTGCAAACCAGAATGTTTCGACTCGCCATTCGGCTTCTTGAGATGCCCATTCGATCTCGAAATTGCGAATGAGCTGCGGTACCAGTTTTCCCATCTCCATAATGGAGATATTCTTCCCAATGCATGTTCGAGACCCATATCCAAACTAAGAGAGTTAGTACAAGACCATGATCAGACTTGTTAAGAGAGCCGTGTGACCTACTGTCATAAGATGTCGATCCATAATCTTTACCTCCTCTTCACTAGACTCGATCCATCTCTCTGGTCGAAAAGCTGCTGCGTCATCGCCAAAGATAGATTTATCATGATGTATCACGGCTGGGTTGATTCCGACGATAGTCCCCGCTTTCAAATGGGTCTCGCAAAGAACAGTCCCACCACGGGGAACGACACGCTCGAGTGGGAATGATACCCCGGGATGGCACCGCATTGCTTCTTTCATAACAATTTGTCTATTCCTGTCAGCTTGGACCAAACAGGTATCTTGATGCACCCACAGATAAGGAAGTTCTAGACACTCGGCGTAAGTGATATAGTGAGATAGCCTTCCCGCCGCATCGGCTTCATCTATTTCTTTCTGCAGTTTCTTATAGACCGACTGGTTTTGCACAAGAAAATAGATAATGGCACGAAGGGTTATGGCCGTGGTATCGCTTCCAGCAAGCCTACTATGTGTTAGCAATCTCCAATGCAAGAGAATGTCTGACGAACAAGTTGTTACTAAGATGATTCATAATATCTCGATTCGACATGGGTTTGCCCTTCGCCTCCTCCCCTCTCAGCCAAGCAAGAAAGTCTGGTCGATTATGCTGCTGAGACGACTGCTGATCATAATCGTCAATGCACTTTTGAGTGAACTACAGCCCGATCAGATCTCAATCTCAAAAAATAGAAGAAGACTTACCTGAACCATCGTCCGAAGAGGATCAGGAGCATCAATAAACGGCTGCGCAGCTAGAAACTTTCCAACCCAAAGATTGCCAATCATCCAAGGATGAAGAAAAGGAACTTGACTGACAATACCAGCATAGTGTAACCCAGCCTCCAAGCCACTGATCATACTTTGAACATCTTCCCTCTTCTCCATAAATCCAAATCGGCGTTGAAATGTGATAGCTCCAATAACATCAAACGCATACCACTGAAGCCAGACGCCCAAGTCAACCTTTTCTCCTTCCAAGTCTTTCATCGCATCAATAAATATCCGAGTACATTGATCCGCAAACGGCTCAAGTGTTTTAATAGATGACATGGAGAATTTCTGGGCAACCGGTCTCCGAAGAGCCTGATGGGCGACTGGATCACGGACGGAGAACATGCTTGGCATGACCTTATCTTCGAAGGAGGGACTGAATGTATCGTAGAATGCGGACTATACATGTTAGTCAAATTCATTTATGTGTATTAGTGCATACCTTTAGAAACTTGCTACCTATCCCATATATTATGGGAAGTGCGCTGGGATCCGAGATATCGACTGAATTTGGTCCGGTGCGGACGATTGGTCCGTATTGTTCGTGCAGATTACGATAGAATATTGGTGCGTCTCCTTTGGAGATTTTCCAAGCTCGATAAAATGGTGTGAATCGGGCAAGGCCTGGCCCTGGGAGATTCCGTAAACCTGGTGCCCACGCTGTGATGATGGATCTCATGAGGAGGATGACAATTGGGGCTAGTAACACTGGCCAAATGTATTCTTGAAAAAGGTGGTTTGTCTCTGATAGAACTCCCATTTTGAATGATTTTATTGTATTTCTGTTTGTGTAATGTTCTGCTAGGTGATTGGGCTTAGGGTGATTGTTTATAGTAAATCACAGTCAACAGATCCCCGCATTTTGGCATGAAAAGCCCATTCATGGGGAAGATCCCGCTTAGATGATCTACATCTGCTGTAGAATTGCGGGATCTATCGAATACGGGGAAATGAGCACTGGGTAGAATAGATTATAAAGCAGGTCCTAGGGTGTATACGGATATAAGTGAGGAGTCAATTCCATTTACTGATGAGCTACCATGACTATGATTCTATCAACTAAAGACTAGGTCTAAGTTTAGACATTAACTCCTCTGCGTTTTTGAGCAGTACTCTCTGTGTTGTCTCCATTCCAAAACTCTCCTGCAAATCATCATCCAACCTCCGAGCCAAAGATTCAACAAGAGGTCCCGGCGTGTAGGGATAGTCACTCCCATACAAAAGTCTAGACGAGTCAACAACCCGCAACATTCCATGAATCTGATCCGGAAAAGGGACACCAGCAAGATCGAAATAGAATCGCGTCTGCAGTAAATGCTTTATATCCTCCACCGACATTGCCTCTGCGCCCGCGATCAGAAAACTCGAAAACTCCGCAACCCGCGCGAGAATAGGCGGGAATGATGCCCCACAGTGGCAGATTAGGAAAGTAATCCCTGGACATCTACTAAGAGTACCAGAGGTGATAAGACTCGCGATGGACCGGGTGGTGTCGAACATGAATTCCATCACGGGGCTGGGTACACCCGGGTTCGGAGTTACGCGAGTCACAGATACGGTATCCGGGTGCTGCATGTGGCAGGTAGTAGGGTGGAAGAAGACGGTCGTGTTTCTCTCGCTGAGTTTATCAAAGACTCGGGTAAAGCGCGGATCCCCCGGATAGATGCCGTGGGAATTGGTCAGGATTTGAAATCCCACAGCGCCAAGATGATCGAGAGCGTAGTCGATTTCGGCAAGGGAACCTTCAACGTCTGGTAAAGGGAGTGATGCGAAAAAGAGAAAGTGCTCGCTGTGCTCGGCGCAAATCTTCGACATATCCTCGTTGACTTGACGGGTCAGACGGCGGGCTTCATCGTCATTTCCTGGAGTCAGGTGTGTCCCTGGTGACGACATGCTGAGGACGGATTTTTGAATTTTCAGCTTTTTCATCAATTCGATGTGAGAAAGCGCGTCCCAGTCCTGGAGCGGTTAGAAAAGTCCCTCCTTAGGTGTATGATGGCTTACGGGTATCGCTGGCATTCCATCGGGATGGCCTCTTCCTGCGAAGTCATTCTCAAGACAGTACTCGCGATAGGCTGGAGGTACACAGTGTGCGTGAAAATCTATTCTCTCCATGATGTGAATACTTCCAAGTTCGGAGGGGCTCTCGCCCGGTTATGAAGGGGTGAATGAGGGGCCAATAATAGTCCCCACAATTAAATTATGGACTCCAGCGGGGCCTATAGGCGACAGGATATTTAGATCATACTAATATAGAGGATGCGACTTCTTCCTACTTCGGTCAATGAGAAAACTGTTAAGCATCTTGCTTATATTCTTGGTGATGAAGTCAATCGGGAAACTATAATCCTGGTTACTTAGCTCCCACTTAGCGACCACGAGTACAAGCTACATACTAGCTCTGCCGATGGTCACCGGTCTATATCACTGGGCAGAAAAAGTGGAGAATTGCTTACCAATGATCCAATCAATCAGGCACTCCCTTCGTGGGTCCGTGGGAGCTACTAGTACTAAATTGATGTGGCCTACGAGTTGTCTCGAAGCGATAAAGACCCATGACCGTGCCTTCAGATCTAATTTGAGTCAACCTAAATTTGCCGGCCACTAGCCAAGGTTTCATGGCCATAAATGCACCTTAAATGCTCTTATCCAGGAACTCTGACTTGATTACGTTTCTATAACCTACCATTTTAGCTCGCATTCCTATTCTTCAAGCGTCTAGACTCTAAACTACGAAACAGGGAGTCTATCCACCTATGTGGCTATCTTTACAGGCGAGAACGAATATGACAATAGTAGGATGTAGCCCTGTTTCGGTAAATAGTTGAACAAGTTGCCAAGGTACCTATGCTTTACTATAAAATGGTGTTGAATGTACTCCGTACTTAAAGAATCAAAGGCTTTGTAAGTATAGCTGAGGATCTATGGTGCCGGTGGCGCTTAATCCTTGAAAATCGACAGGTCAAATGTACGATACAATTTGCCCCCTTTCAACTATCCTTGCGTTCTGTGTACCACTCAGCTGAAAGACTTTCAGCTTATCACCGCGATGGTCCCTGCTCTCTACCACGGCGTTGCCGGTCCCGAGATCACGAAAACTCCAAACATTCTCTTGGCGGACTTTATTCCGTTGAGGTTTACACGATGATCAGCTGAATCCTGATAAGTCCGATAAGCGGGGAAGGGATCCCCAGTCAACAGTGCCAAGCCGGCACGTTTCGACGCTTCTGATTCGATCAACTACTAACTATCGCTCGCCTTTATTTCCCCACACTTGCGACCCAGATAACACGCCAGCGCCTCCGCACGTCCATGAGATACTTATAGCCATGGCTCGCCTCGTGGACAGGTACTGGCGACTACCGTATTGCTTTTCTCCCACTTGAGCTGGCATGGCGTACGAGCAGGATCGAGATGAGTCCTTCTGGGCTCCTGGAACAGTTGCCCTTGAAGATAGTGAGTTACAGTTCATCGTATACAAGGAGAAGACTGACGTGTTTAGTCAATCGCTCCAGAGACCAAATTGTTTTGTTCCCGACTCCTTCGGACGATCCTAATGACCCCCTCAACTGGTCCACCGCTCGCAAAGCGCTGAACTTCACATTGACGAGCTTTTTCGTTCTATGGACATTCGTACAGTTAGACATCGGCTTCACTGCGTGGGGACCCATGGAGACGGAGCTGGGCTTTTCGGTCGATATATTGAACGCAGGAGCCGCAGTCAATTATGGCGGCCTTGCTATTGGATGTATCTTCTTTATCCCGTTGGTCCACAAATATGGTCGCCGACCGATCTACATCTTCAGCGTTGCTCTCCAACTTGCATCTTGTATATGGCAAGCGGAAATGAATACCGTCGGTGGATTCATCGGCTCTAACCTCATCTCCGGGCTGGGTGGTGCAATCAGCGAAATCGTCGTGCAGATTACTGTTGCCGATCTGTTTTTCGTCCACCAGCACGCTACCATGAACGGGTGGTTCGTGATCTTCCAGTCTGCAGGAGCATTCCTAGGCCCTGTTGCCTCTGGGTATATCGTTGACTCCCAGGGGTGGCGATGGATGTGGTGGTGGTGCGTCATCTTCTTCGGAGTGACATTGATCTGTGTTCTTTTTCTCTTCGAGGAATCAAAGTACATTCCTGTCATCCACGGTCAACCTGTGATTTCACAAGTCCAGATCGAGACGACTGAAAGCTCCAAAGATACGAAGCAGGCTGACGATGACGCCTTATCATCTAATCCTGGGCTTGTTCACAGGGTGGCAGTCAATCCTAGTATCAGCATGAAATCGTATCGGGAGCGCCTGGCTTGGATCACTCCTACACCCGAGTCTGTCTGGCCTCATTTTTATCAGCCACTTGTGACATTGTTCACTTTCCCGGCCGTGGCATACGCTGCTATCACGTATGGGTCCACTTTAGCCTGGTTTGCTGTTATGACCTCCTTGCAGGCGACGTACATGCTTTATCCTCCGTATAACTTTGATGCGATCGGCATCGGCTTGATGAACGTAGCGCCGTTCGTTGGAGCGATGCTCGGTTTCCCAGTTGGTGGCTGGCTGAGCGACAAGTCTATTCTCTGGCTTTCTAAGAGAAACGGTGGTATCTATGAGCCGGAGATGCGTCTATGGCTTGCATTGCCTGTTGCTATTATTATACCAGGGTCGATTCTGATGTTTGGGCTCGGTCTTGCCTATGTATGTTTGCCTTATTTTCAGAGACCTGTGACATGCTAACAACTTCAGGGTGTACATTGGTCACTGCTTGCAGTTGGATTTGGGGTCTTCGGTTTCGGCTTCTCCGCTATCAGCGGCATTGCACTCTCCTATCTTATGGATTGCTACCAGGATGTGAGTACCTGCTCATAAAGCTCTTGTCCTAGATCGAAGCTAATTCCACGCAGATCATTGGTAACGCTCTGGTGGGTGTCATCTTCATGCGCAACATCATTTCCCTTGTTGTGCTGTTTGTATTGACTCCATGGGTCAACGGCATGGGTATGCAAAACCTGCACCTTGTTTGCACATTCGTGGGCTTTGCTATCTATCTGATCCCCATTCCTCTTTTGATCTGGGGGAAGAAAGCAAGGCTTTATACGGCGACATCTTACAAGAAGATGGCCGAGAAGCAAGTCACCCATCGTGCGATATAGCTCGAGCATTTTTTTAATACTATGAAATATATGATAATGTACATTTAAATCATTTGCTTGCAGCTGCATGTTCTGACAGGTACTTACCCAGCTCAAACCAATAGAATTGCTCCCCATAATCCCGGGCCTTCCATATTGACGTTAACGAGTCCTTGAACTTAATCTGCGCTTGTTTTGAAAAGGTAATGATATCCAAGCTTTGTGCTAATGCACGATTTCTTGGCTCGTCGCCAAGAATCTCGAAACATGCCGCTAGGTAGGGGATGAATGTACATGGTACAGATCGCCCTGTAAGCTGAATAACAGAATCAAACTGGTAAATGATAGCCTGTGATAGCATCTGTGCTTCACCATCACATTGCCCGAAGGGAAAACGTAATCGGTGAATAATCAGCAGACCAGCCAATTGCAATATCCTAGCCTGTGCCAATAACGCCACGACCTCAGCCTGTGTAAACCTCTGAAGAAAGTCCACCGGCGTCAGGGGATGCCATTTCTCTATAGCAGCATATATCCTGCGCAGCTGAATCATGACTTCTCTCTTCTCCTTCTCACCACACCGGAGTAAAGTAGCCATCTCACAGATATCGAAAAAGTGACAGAACAAAGGATAGCTCAGACCGAGATAGCGATCAACACTATTCCCACGTCTACTGGTATCGATCCTCCAAGTCGGAGGTCTAGATTTCAACAGACACTCAAAAGTCTCCGTAGAGACAAGACACATCAGGAAATCCATCATCGGAGATTCAAAATCAAGAAAGCTCTGGGCTTGCGATTTGATCAAACTCAGCGTATATCGCGCGATTAGACAATGTTGACCATTTTCAACATGCATCGCAAATGTAACCATCGCCACGCTGAGAACGAGGATAGTCGTTAGATCCCTTTTGTCGCATAGCTGAAAGGACCGAAGGGAGGATACAGCCAGGGCGGCACGTTTATGCCCAATATCGGAGACCGTCTTCGCACGTTCGGGGGACTGGTCACCAAACAGAACGGCGGCGCACGCTACAGACGCATTTTTCAATTCTGGCGTGGGCTGGATGAGATTTTGGATAAACGAAATGTGGTGGGATTCGTGGAAGCTTGGGCTCACGAGGAATTTCTCGAGTGGCGAAGGGGTAGCGGAGTCTTTTTTCATGAGATTTAAGAAATGTCTTTCCCACTGATCCAGGTCAGAGAAGATGACTGGGTTACTCGCGAGTCCGGCGTTGTATGGTGTCACATCAAGCGAAGGATCAGAATCGATTGGAATGCTAAACTGCGGTAGTGTATATGATAGCTTTCGTGTACCTCTTGGCTTTCTGCCTGCCTTCGCTATGTCCCGTGTTATTTCACAGGTCTGGCCCAGTCGGGAACATCTTTGACAAGGTGAAGTGGCATTGGTGCGCCGGCATTTCTCCTTTAGCGCGTGGCATTGGTCGCATGCTCGTTTAGGTGAGCAGTTAGTCGGCATGCTGGTATCGAGAGTCGAGTATCACGACAAATCTGTACTTTGGCCATTCCACGGCAGTTGAGATGATAATGCGAAGGTCTGATAAGGCTCGGGTGGACTTGACATTTGGGGTTAGAGCCGTGCACGAGATATGCGGGGAAGTCAAGTCGAGATAAGAACTGACAGTGACTGGGTACATATGGACATCTAGTCATGAAAGAGATCGAGCTTAATGTCAGCCGGGAGATGATTATTGAGGAAAGTTATAGGAAATGATTGAATATGAGTAAAAACAGAGGAAAAAGTGAGAAATATCGTTGTTTTGACCAACCAATTTATGTAATGGATGCGAGGTTCCAAAGTTGCCTTATCATAGAGGCTCTCTGCCGCGCTTTTTGCGCGGTGCCTACTTAGGTGTTAGACTGAGCCTCCTACTCAGTCTCCTACTTAGTCTTCTACTCGGTATCCTATCCAGTATTCTACCAACTTTCGTACCGTATAAATCCAGTGGTCAAAGCTCTCCCCAAATTCATAATTAGCGGAATAGAAAAGAAAGTGAGAGAAAAGAGAACAGAAGATAACTGAAGTAGTCTGGTGGAGGTTTCGAATGAATGTCCACAAAGTCTGCAGTGTACCGAAGTAATAGAGGGGTAGATAACGCACGATCTTACAAAAATAGGCTTACGAATGCTATAACTCAAGGCGCCTGGGGGCGATGGGTATTTGAGATCACTCTAGGATCTAGACTTTCGATCAGATTGTATTTTCTTACATCTGAATTTCGCTTTAACCGCCTTCAAAAAATTTGAAGGCAATCTATTCAACGAATCACATGCAGAAGCGAGCACTGCTGGTTGTTTACGATTTTTATGTTGCGAATCCCACGCGTCCTCGCCCTCACCTCATTCACTTGTGGCCTCATATTTTTCAGGGAATCTTTTCTTCACTCCCCTCTTTCCTTCCTCTACCCTTATCTTCTTCCACCTCCATCTTTCTCAGCTCCTCGCACTCCACCCCTTCCAAGTATTTCAAGTGCTTACTTTTGTCACTTGGAAAAAATGCCACAGTAGACTGGTGTAAGTCTTCCTCTTTCACAATTATGTTCTATAGCTTGATACTGTTGTGGACTGCAAGACTAATATTGAAAAGTGACCTCAATCCAACGAGTCCAGAAGTATATGGCACGCTCATCACCAACCGAGGCTGCTGCTAGGGGTTTAATCGTCCTCATACTTTTCAACATTCTTGATCAGATTATGGATGGTCATTGCGATGCGTCGGGCACTTCCATATCCAGATGGAAACCAGCCTTGAGTCGAATATATGAGTCGTAACTCACTTTCCGCAAAAAGAAAGCCTATGGCAATTATCACTACCAGAGGAACGGTCATCGGTGTAGCTTTTCGGCCATTGTGGCACCAAATCGCCGACGGAAGAAGATCACCATGCCTTTCGTCGAGTCTCAAAACCTCATCGACCGTATGCGGGTTTTTCTGGAGCACTTGAAAGCGCTGAAAGCCGAAGTTCGAGGCATTGTGACCAAATGCGCTGGGGCTGCGAACCAGAACCCCGAGGCTAAGCTTGAGCCTACTCATCCTAGCCTTGCCCAGAGGATGCAAGATTACTTTAGGTTCTTGCTTTACGTGTTTCTTGGTGACCTTCGCACACGATTGCGGACAGCTGATGGCAGCATTGAGAATGTTCAGGACTCTATCAAGGCCAGCACTGGCTACAGCCCCATCAATTGTTCCACGGCACTGAGCTACGCCAGCCATGGGACCTCCTTGCAAAAGCATCCGAGAAAGACACCACCCAAGCCGCCCGCCTCGATGCAGAACATTCTATCGCTTTTGCTGCCATGGAAATGAAGCGCTGTTTCGATTCATCACATCGCCCGGTTCATTTCAAAGTTGGAGAATATGTCCTACTCAAGCTCGGCAATGGTACAACATCCCAGCCAATCAACGCCTACCCACCAAACTCGGACAGCGGTATGTTGGGCGTTTCAAAGTCCTGAAGCGCATTGGTCGTTTGGCTTATAAGCTGGACCTTCCCCCTGACTGGAAGATACACCCAGTCATAGCGTCGCACACCTGGAACCAGCTCTTCTAGGCGACGACCTCTGGGAGAGACCCCAAGCTGTTGCGACAGACACCCACGACCCAACATTCGAGGCCCGTTCTCCTGACGAGCCTGAACTATACGATGTCGAAGAGATATGGAGAACCTCATGAGCTAGATCTTTCAAGTGATACGGGCAGTCTTGATTTCGGACTACTTCATTGATACAGTATTCTTTTAAGTTTAGAGATCACATCAAAATAAGAGGCAGCTTCTTAAGATTATTGTCATTATCATTTATTTAAGCAATTCTGGCTCATGAATTGTATTGTCTCCTTATCTTCGCTGAGGAGGGAAAAGGGCTCGAAATTAACTGAGCGGGATCATCTTTCGCTCATCTATTTAGAGGTAAATAAATATTGACTGAACTACCTTAAACAAATCGTAGACATGGAGAAGAACCTACACTTTACCCACATTGCAGCCGTCGTGCGCACCCTTAGGGTCACTTATCCGGTACTTCTTAAGACATTACGGTACACAGTCGGTCACCATTTACGGCCCGCATGAAAGAAGGTTGTCATGCGCTTGAGCGCTGTCTCCCAAGCCCAGGGTGCCAGACTGAGCCGCCGCTTAGGGAGGATGCTGCAGAACCCCGTTATCGGGGCGAAGGGATCGAAAAGCGCACCAAAAATTTGTAGTTGCCGGTTACGGTCAGCCTCATAGCGCCGAGACACCTCTTCCCAGTTGGTAGTTGTCTTGGAGGAGTCGTAGTCCATGGGGTCCAGCCAAAATGCCGGTAGATCTGGGTTTTTGGTAGCGTCGATGGGTGATAGAGGTCGGCCATCTTCGCGCACTTTTTTGCTGTGGAAATACGTGTAGAATGTATCAAGATCAAGATCATGTCCTGGCTCTATGGGCACATCGGCCTTGGATATCTCATCGGTCTTAAGCGTCTTGAAGTACCCCACTAGCCCGTCGTCTCCAAACTTGAGCGCAAACCTATATTGCTTAGTGCCCTCGCCTTCAAGATAAGGACGATGGCGCTGCGCCTGATTCTGCTTCTTCAGATCCGACTCGTTTCGGTTGGGATTGGTCGCCAGCTTCAGTGACCAGCCCATGTTGGCAAGCGCCAAAGGCCGCCCAACCAATGGGTTCAAGGACTGGCTATAAGCACTAGGTGGAGGCACTGTGTTGGCAAGCGCCGACATGATCATGTCTATAAATGCCGCTAGGTATGTGTCGTCATCGTTCACGAGCCGCTTGATCAGTGCGGCGAGCTGCGTCTCACTAGAGGCATCAAATTCGGGGGGGTCGCCAAATGGAAGCCACCTGACGTCGCTGGCCGTTGTTCGAACCTCCCGGTAGAAAGTACCATCAGGGAGGAAGAACTGCAGCCCGCGGTCAACATAATTAACGACCACCCACCCCCAGACAGGCTCGTCAAACTCGGTCGCTGGTCGCCACCTGTGGTTTGTCTCGCTTACAGTCTCGCGAACAACAAAGTGAGCATTAAGACGGGCCGCGTGGTTTATTGATGGTGGCAGTTGGAAATACTCAGAGTGATCAAGCGTAGAGGCCCGCGCATCAACCATATTGGCTTGATTGGGGTGGCCAGGTACCGAGTCAATGTCGTAGAGCTCGCCCAATGTTGGTAGGACCTGTTTGGGCTCTTCAGTAAAGGGGTCGACGTACGACGCCATCTTTTCCGACTGTGATGCATAGAATTGAGAGGTTGAGTTTCAATCCTCCCCAAGCTGCTTTCTTCTATATCAACGCGAGTTCTGCTGGATACGCTACCTTGGGGCGGTTAAAATAGCCGAATAAATAGCGTCCCGTGCCGCCGCCAACCCCCTCTGTTAGGACTACCAGAGGCCTAGACCATTCACATCAGCTGCGCCTTGTACATAGTGATAAAAGAACCGAGCTGAGGAGTGATGACTATGTATTGAAATTTTCAAACACACCCGTCACAGAATTCTGATTCCTTGAAAATTTTCAGACATTGTTCCTTAACTTTTTCAACTCCAATGCCAACCTTCAGTATACAATAGAGTATGAAATGGCTAGCCAACAAGTTGATGCACTTGCGTCGCGATGGGAGATATCAGCCGATGCTGTATACTCAGTATATCCCGAACAGGGCCACGCCTCGCACAACTCGTTGCCACACATTGTTTTCAATGACCCTAGGCTTCCTTGGGAATCCATCGGTAGCCGTAAGGGTGAGCAATATTTACCTAAAGATGCCGACCAGAATCGTGTTCCATGGCTTGCCTGTCTCGTTTTCAGCCCCGACGAGCTGACAATTCCCAAGGCAGAGATGGAGGCCATTTTTGAGCCAACTAGCATAAAAAGCAAGGCAAAACAGACAGAGTCACTCGCCATCCGGTTGCCTGTTGGCGACCTCCCCGAGCTTGGCAAGGGATCCACTTGGGTGCCTTCCTTGGAGATTGATTCAACCGAGCGTGGGCTAGAGACGGGGGTGATCTTACCCACAGTGGCCCTATTTAACGGCCTCTTCGGATTCTACGATGAGGAGGGGAAAGGGCCGCTGCCCTCGCCGATGGGGGGGCCAGATATCTCACGATATCGCTTTCTAGCCCATTTGATGCGCATGAATACAACTGGAATGGCTCACGCTGACCGCTCGGATGATCAGTTCAGTCGTGATTTCAGCGTTCTCGTGGCGAACCGCGTGGGCCCGCTTGAGGGGAACCAGGCCAGTCCAATGATTGCCCATATCGTGGCGCTCGAGGGGCTAGAATCGTTTAAACGATTCCCCCTGGCGATGTCTAAAGATATTAGTGCACTTCCAGCGCGTGTTGCTCTTGTGTCATTGTACAGCTGGTCCTTCACCTACATGCCTCCAAACTCGTTAAGTGTCAAGGCTACGTTCCAAAACCTCGCGGACAACAGCGCAATGCTCAAGCCCATAATTTCCCAAGACAAAAAGGATAATTCAGATCCTGCCGTGAAACCGATGTTTCAACGCCTTGAAAATGGCTATACGATCATCCAATATCGAACACCCACTGGGGAGCAGACTGCTGCCCTGGCCCGCGGTCCCCTAACCCCTAATCGCGTCCCGTACCTGGGTCAGAATTGGTTTTCAAACAGCGGCAGCAATCTGCAAATTCTGGATCCAGAGCTCGGTATGATGGACCTCACATTCTCCACCGCGTGGTCGCTGGGTCGGAACCTAGCGCTGGCTGATCAAGCGTTTACCATGTCTTTGATGCGCGTGCGCCGCCAGATCATGAAATCGGCCACTGCTGAGGCTCGCCGTGAGATGTTTCATGCCACCAGAAAGTCCCACTATTCTCGAATTGATCTTGCACAAGAAACAGAAAAACTCGTGGATGGCGCGGTGACAGCGTCGCGCAACCTGGACAATGAATTTAACGAATCATCCTCGCCGGATTGGATGATTGTTTTACGATTCATCCTGGATCTATACAACCTCGTTAAAATACCTGCCCATTACCTCCTGCTAGATCAAAGCTTTTTACCGCAAGAGATTCTGCGCTTCTTCTTCATCGACCATAACTGGATCGATGCTCTCGTCGATGGAGCACTTAGCCTGGGCAATCACGTAGGCACTGATCAAAATGATGGTCCGGATCCAGATCCAAAGCCAGGCCAGGCCCACGATCCTGCTCGCCGGTCAATCAAGAAGGCTTTCAACCGTTTTTTAAATGAACCCTCTTGTCTCGGGGATTGTACGGCTATCCCACGATTTGGGTTTTTCATGCGATCGGAGGTGGTCTCCCAGTTTCCCGACCTCAAAGTAAATGCGCATCCAAAATCGACGCAGAAAACTCCATTCGCGCCAATGCTGCTACGCCATGAAATAATTGATAAGGGTACGATGCTTGGGTTTTTCAGTGATGAGCTACTCAAGGACGGCGGCTTGCAGGAGCTGCGTTTCGAACTGCCGGGATATCAGCAGTACTTTGCCATCGACGAACTTTCCACTTTTCAAATAAAAATTCAATACAGGCGACCTTATACAGGTGATCACGATAAAGACTCGAATCAAAACGAAGCGGTTGCCGAGATTTGCTGGCGCCGTAACGAGAGAGGGGCCCAAACGAGCGAGCCAGATGTAAAAGTACGCCCGCCCATCTTTGTTTGGGGTCTGACGCGGGAAAGCAACGATCTACGCCTTCTACTCGTCGAACGGCTGGCAGATGATGTTTATGAAACCATCTACAAGGAGATGGCCAAAACGCATCCCAGGTCCTTTACTGAGACCAAGCCTACATCTGCCATGATGGGCTTTCAACTCCTCAGTTCTTCATGGCAATTGAATCTTGGCAATATGCCAGCACTGGCCGCTGCTGCCACACCGCTGAGTCTTGTGTCTGCAGCTCTTTCTTACCCCGGATCTCCCGTGCCAGTTGCGTCGGGAACTATCTAGATTGTGCCTATTTAAGTCCAATCGATGCTGCCTCGACTGGGGCCTTATTATTATACCGCATCGCGATACACACAGTCTGCTCCACCACATGCTCATACCCGTATTCACACCGCTTGCTATTTGCCCCCAGTACCTTCAGTAAATTACACGAGAATTGAGATAGGCTCAATTCTAGAGTGTGCAGCCTGTCTGATGAGTCTGTGGGGGGAGTGACGGAGGGAGCCTGAGAGAACCATGTGAACGAAGTGCTTCTAGGGCATATGCTACTCTCATTCAACGCTGCACATGCGCCTTGTGGTACATTGGCGACCATTATTGCCTTCCCGTTTCGGGAAACAGAGATACTCTTTCATTCAAACCTCATACGGCTACCTCCGTATTAAAATATCTGTTCAGATTTTGAATGGTAATAATGCAAAACGTATTGATACGATCCAAAAATAACCGCGCCCATATGTTGCACTCCCACGGGAACACAACCTAGAAACAATTCACTCCAGGCCACAAGAACTCCCAGAGGTTGGAAGCGCATAACCAAAGAAGGGTCAAGAAGCCAGGAAACGGCCTCCGACTTACCGGTATAAAGATGACTGGCGGCAAAGCTAAAATTAACCTATCCTGGTTGACGAAGATTTCTGACGAAGCTACTCCCATATCTCCTTTGTAAAGCCCGAAAGGACCTTTTTGCGCTTTTATCCGGTGGCATGTCGGTGGCCCAGCTGAAGGTCTAAACAGATTATTTGAACGCAGATTTCCTATTATACATTCACCCGATCGATAAACCGACTAGCCTGACCAGCAAACCTCTAACGTCTACTTACGCATTCTCAAGTTCTGCCTGTCTCCACTGTGAATGGTAGTCATCCACACGCTTCCCACTGATAGCACTGTTAGGCTTTTTTCCGACTTATCGCACCTTGACATGAGAATGCGCTCCGACTATCGACATTATAGCCTACGATCAAGATTAGGTCATGAATTTGATCTTTTTTTGGATTCCTCATGGCGTGATTGGTCAACTAGTATCATCCCCTCTTGTCTTTTCGCACTCGGAGCTCTCAAGGACTTATCATGCCGTGAGGCAATTCGCAACTACCTTCTCGTGCTGCTTTGGGTAATACTTTACATCTATTCATTCAACCTCTTTACTCAAAGCATGAGTCCGGACGAAGACCGTATCAATAAACCCGATCGCCCTATTCCGTCTGGGAAAGTCTCGGCCAACGCTGCTTTGAAGCGATGTGCAATTACCTGGGCTATATTCAACGTATCCGTCTTTCATAAACAAATCATTAGAGAAGTGACTACGTGGGTTCTTCTTACGGTTTTCCTTGGGGCAACCAAAAGCGGCGGTCACTGGATAGGGAAAAACGTCGTTAGAATGTTAGTTGGGAGCTGGACGCTTCTCTCACCATCCCGCAAACTCATGGGCTCACAGACTACACAACCTCGCGACATGTTATTGCAATCTCTATTTGGGCAGCCTTAATCACCCAAGCTCAAGACTTTAGAGACCAGGAGGGTGATAGGAAAATTGGGCGAAAGACATTTCCAATTTCCTTCGGCGACAGGATTGCTCGTTATATCCTCGCTTTTGCCCTGACACCCTTGGCTTTCATTTGCACCTACTTTTTCAACCTTGCCAAAAACGCTCCGTGGCTTCTGGGTACGATGCATGCTCTGGTGGCCTGTCGTTTCTTAATGTTTCGAAATGCGGAATCCGATCATAAAACATATATGGCGAGCATGAAACCCAGGTCGTCTGTTCCTAGATTCATCGGTGCTAAAATGGCATGGTACAGCTAGTGACCTACATTTACTGTACCTTGGTAGCTGTCAGCTCCTTAGAAAGCCTTGGTATCTCATCCCCAATGTCTCCCATCGAGACTGGTGTTTTAGGCTGGTTTGGGGTGTTCACGCCCAAGGAAACGAGCTTACCCTAATTTGAATACTGCTCTATTATTGAGAGAATTTATTCCAGCATTTAGAGAGTCACGATCCTTCCCTTTCCCTCTCTTGCCGACAGAACAGACATCTAGATCGGGGGCTGTTTCTCGATGGAAGTCCAGACAACGTCGGTCCTATCGAAATGCTTGGTCAGATCAAACCAGGAACTCTGCAAATAGCATAGACATTGTAGTGTTAGAGAACCTTATCCTCCAGTAATAGGATACTTTCTATCAGCGGATAGTCTTTATGTAGCTTACATTCTAAACCAACTGCCAGAAGGCGACCAGGGCTATTAAATCCATTTTCCGTTACCAGTTCTGACCCTTATATCCGTACTAGGACTTTCTCCATGATCTATGCAGGTGCTGACTCCTACTAGTAGGTCTTCAGATGTAACATGTGGGCATCTATACAACAATGATGCAATGATGGAACAGTGCGGATCTACTGATGACTACGGGTGTAATGCTGACGATTGTATCCCAAACATATGAGAACTGGGTACACGCTTGATATGAAGTCTATAAAAGCCGATATAAGCCGGAGAAGACCATGTCAGTCTTCATGCTAGACTGTTTGTTTTGACTTAACAGAATCTTCACTCAACATGGATAAATACTACACTTTGGCCGAGGGTTAGAATTCTTCACAGGACTGAGATCCCAGGTTGCTTGGCTCTAACTGTACACAGGCTGTCCCTTTGCAAGCAGCAGCACATCTGTCCAGCTCCGAAACGGTGATGGGGGTGGTCTAGGATTGCTTCAAGATACTCAACTCATTGAGACCCTGGCCCATTTCTCACGCGAGAGGATTCCTGAACGGCAAGTTCAGTCAATATATACCCTTCATATCTATACAAACACTGATACAAAACAGAGTCGTTCATTCCAAAGCTTCCGGGTAAGCCAGCTACGTTGTTTTCGCAATTCTTGCAACTAACTTCATGTAGAGCCTATGGCGAGTTCGTGGCAACTCGTGATTGCTCCGACTTTACATCCGCAAGCTTTCTGAACAAGGTTGGGAAGACAACGCCAGTGCTCCAGCGGGTTTCCACGGTTGGAGGCGAAGCAGGGTCTGCCGATACTTCTCGCGATATTCACGGGTGGGCTATGAAGCTTTATACGGAAGAGGGTAATCTGGACTGGGTTTTCAACAACACCGTATGCTCGGTCTGCAAGATTTTAACTAGCTTCTGACTTAATACAGCCTGTCTTTTTTATTCGGGATCCAATGAGGTTCCCGTCTCTCAATCGCTCTAACAAGCGACATCCGAGGTCTCATCTTCCTGATGCAAATATGGTGAGTCGATACAATTCAAGTCACGATGACCCAGCTGATATATGAACAGTTCTGGGAGTATGTCCTCTCTTTGGTTCTTTTTCAATCCCGATTCTCATTGAAAATAGCTTTCACGTCGGCAGCCCAGAAAGTATACACGAGCTGCTGCATCTATTCAGTGACCGCGGTACTCCGAAGTCTATTCGTCACATGAATGCATACAGTGGACATACATACAAGTTCACGAAAACAGTAAAGCTCGATTCCCAATACAGCGGTATACAATACTTTCTAATATCTTTAGGATGGTTCATTTAAATACGCCAAATTTCAAATCAAAACGCAGCAAGGGGTAGAAAATCTCACCAAAGAAGAGGCTATAACTATGGATGGCGTGAATCCAGATTCCCTCATTCAGGACATGTTTGAGGCCATCGAGAGGGGTGACTATCCCGTGTGGAATGTCTACGTCCAACTGATGAGTCCCGACGAGGCCAAAATCTATCGATGGAATATTTTCGATATGACCAAGGTATGGCCGCACAAGGATTTCCCTCTGCTGCAAATCGGCCGTCTTACCATGAACCGCAACGTAAGTTGCCATGCTCACCTTTCGACTGTCCCTAAGATTCTGATTGAGAATAGCCGAACAACTACTTTGCGGATATTGAACAAGCTGCATTCTCGCCATCTACAATGGTGCCAGGGTTTGCGCCTTCCGCTGATCCTGGTAAGTGATATGTCTTCCGATTCCCCGTATTAGACTGACGAAATGCAGTTCTGCAAGCACGTCTATTCGCATATCCAGATGCCGCCCGTTATCGACTTGGCGTGAACTATCAGCAACTTCCCACCAACGCTCCCAATGCCCCAGTTTATTGCCCCTTTCAAAGAGATGGAATGATGAGATTCGATGGGAACTATGGTGCTGATCCTAGTTATGTTAACTCGTCACTTCAACCAACCAAATTCTACCCCGTAGAGAAAGGGCAATCGGCAGCACTGAGCCTACACACTGAGCACGAAAAGTGGGTCGGTGAAGTGGTGAGCTTTGCCAGCCAGGTCACCGATGAGGACTTTGTTCAGCCAACAGCGTTGTGGGAGGTTATTGGTCGGGACCCGGGTCACCAGGATCGACTTATTGGAAATCTTGTTATCCATCTGAAGGGTGTTAAGAATCCCGAGTTGCGCAAGGCTGTTTATGGTACGTCTACCCGATAAGCATGTGAACGGATTCCCAGTGCGGATGTTAACCTACCAATAGGACTTTTTTCGCGTGTTGACAAGGACCTTGGGCTCAAGCTGCAGAAACGCACTGAAGAAGAAGCCAAAGGGCAATATGGCTACGATTTACACATCGAGAAAAGTTAAAAGTCAGACGAGGCTCTCGGTAGACGTGATACTGATGTTCACCTACAGTATCTGGCCAAATAAGCTACGAACCTTTCATCACACGCGAAAATTCATCACTAGATTTACTGCAAAGTACTTTCATTAACGGTATGCGATTCTATGACATGTGTTGTGGTTGGCGCCGTGGCGTATTTGCTTACTTCAAAACGGACTGACTAACTATGCAAGAGACTAATGTTTTCGTAGCTTGTATGGCCGGATCTTGTATTCTTGGATAAGAAACTTTTCATTGTCTAGAGCGAATAGTGATAGTGAGATATAAGTAGCGACAAGAACAGGGCAGATCAATTTCTCTTAGCCACTCATTGACTCCAGATTGGACTGCATGAATCTTAGCACATCACATTGTGACAGTACATCATGATTCGTTATCAAGTGCTTTGACTCCTTAAAATAGCAAATCAACAGCCATTGACAAATCAGTGGAACATGAGAAGTCAAGTTCGCCTTAGTGTGATATCTGAGTGGATCAGATACCAGTTGACACGTTCCCTTGAGTCAAAATGGAAAAGAGTTAAGATCTTCTAATATTTAGGCTTCGGCTGGTTCCAGCCAAAGCCGATCGGAGGAAGCTCCTGTTTGGCAATGAGATAAGCATGAAGCGGTGTGAGCAAATCTGCACGATATTGTCAAATGGCTTCCCCACGTGGATTATAGAAGATGTTGGATTTTGGTTCAGCAACTTACACAGTGAACATTGGAAGGTTTCTGGCAAAGAAAGAGTGACATCAATTCATGGTTCCTAAGAGGGTCGTTGATGTGAATGGTTCGTGGATATAGGCCCCTGCTTAGTTGGTTACACACGCAAACTTTCCCCTCACTTTTTATGCACATGTCCCGCATCTGCCTTTTTCAGTCGAGGCCTCGACTTTCTGCATTGACGCTTCCGCTCCTATTTCTTCCTAGAGCTGACCCACTGGAAGCTTCTATAAAGATGGGTCCCAGTTCTGCTCCGAAAAAGCTCATCTTCAAGGCCAATCGGATCTTTCAACATGTTATGGGAGTACTATAACAACAAAGTCTTGTTCGTCACTGGCGGGACTGGAGTCATAGGCACTGCAGTTCTATACCGCCTCTTGACCCAATCTACCCCAAAGCAGGTATATGTGCTGAGCCGTGGTGGTCACTCGTGAGTTTCAGAATCAGCAGAAGCTATCAATGACAACTAATGCCGTATAGAAAAGCAAAGGCAAAATGGTCCAGCATGCTGCCAGGTCACGTCGCGAAAGTTCTCTACGATAGCAAATGTCTCACCGTCATGGATGGTGAACTTGGAGACACGGCAACAATGGATCTATCAGATAAAGACTTGCAAATGTTGAAAAGAACTGTGCATATCATCATCCACATCGGCGCGACGATGGAGTTCACCCATTCCCTCCGCGAGCTGTCATACACTATTCTCGCACCTACAGTATGCTTGACCCAGTACGCACTGAAATTCGCCAACCTGGAACGGTTCGTCTTTCTCTCAACAGCATATGTCAATGCCCATCTGTGGAACACCAGCAAATCCTCAGACGTCCCAGTCGAAGAACGGATATACCCCCTGGAAAACGAAGACGAAGATCCTCCCTACACAACAGCTCCAGAGATATGGAGATGCGTCCAGAAAACAGGTACATCAGACGAGTACGACGCCCATGACTTCCCGTGGCCATACGCCTACGCCAAACACCTCGCCGAACGTCTAGTTCTAGAAAAAGCAGCCCAGAAAAACGCCCTCGACAAGATCCTCATCATTCGCCCTTCCGTCGTCGGTCCAGCCGATCAGCTCCCCTACCCGGGCTTCACAACCTCCCACATAACACCCGCGACTGCTTGTGCAGCTGCATACGCACTACACCCCGGACGAAAGATCCATCTTTCCACCCGCTGCGAAAATCCCGATCAAGAGGTAACCATCGACGAAGTCCCGGTGGATGTCGTCGCGGACCGACTTCTCGTACATGTAGCTCTTGGCTCGAGCGGATGCGTCCATGCCGTGAGTGGAGAGAAGGGTAGACTACGGATGGAAGATTGGTGGCATGCTTTCAAGACTGAGCGTCGACTTCCTTGGCAGGTGAAAGCTATTTGGAATGCGGGGGATTGGCATTCTGCGAATCTGCATCATATTGCTCGGGATTTCAAAATTATTGGGACTTCGTTTGCGTTTTTGGATGGGAAGACTGATGCGTTGGTTGAAGGGATTAGTGCGGAGGAGATGGGGATGCTTATCCTTTATGCGGATCGGTCGAAGCCGTATCATCAGACTATGATTCATCGGCGGCATCATATTCATAGTGCGGCGAGGGTGTTGGCGAAGAAGACTTTGTGGCCGGCGTGCGCGGTGCGGTTGCTTTGTCGAAAGGGGACTTCGCCGGTTATGATGAAACAACTGAATGAGAAGGAAAGCAATTTATAGGTGAGGATTTGGCTGTCCATTCAAAGCCGAAGTTGAGCTTCTTTATCTTTGGAAAGTTTATAATCAATTGAAATCTATGCAACGAAGTGAAGATATAGATCGCTGTCGGAGAATACTCCAGTTGGTCGCGGCACGGTCCCACCGCCGGGGAAAATAAATTCTTTTTTGCCCCTCAATACTCCGTACTTCCTTATCACCATACCCAACCACCATGCCTCCATCAACATGCAACAACTGCAAGGCGGCGCGCGCCGTCATCATCCGACCGAAAAACCGTCATAAGCTCTGTCGCGAATGCTTCATCCAGATCTTTGAAACAGAAGTCCACGAAACCATCACAAGCGCAAAACTCTTCTTTCGCGGCGAGCGGATCGCTATCGGAGCCAGTGGCGGAAAAGATAGTACCGTCCTCGCTGCCGTGATGAAAACCCTCAACGAGCGATATGACTACGGGCTGGATCTCAGTCTCCTCTCTATCGATGAGGGTATTCGCGGATACCGCGACGATAGCCTGGAGACCGTGAAGCGGAACGCGGTACAATACGAGATGGACCTGGAGATTGTCGGCTACGGCGAGCTATACGGGTGGACGATGGATCAGGTGGTGGAGCAGGTGGGCAAGAAGGGGAACTGCACGTATTGTGGTGTATTTCGGCGACAGGCGCTTGATCGGGGCGCGGCGCGATTGGGAATCAACCATGTTGTTACGGGACATAATGCTGATGATGTTGCGGAGACGGTTATGATGAATCTTCTGCGTGGGGATCTGCCTCGGTTGTCTCGCGGGACGAGTATTGTTACCGCGTCTGGGGCGTCGGATATCAAGCGCAGTAAGCCGTTGAAGTACGCTTATGAGAAGGAGATTGTTCTCTACGCGCATCATCGTCAGCTGGACTATTTCAGCACCGAGTGCATTTATTCGCCTGAGGCTTTCCGGGGGAGTGCGCGCACTTTGATTAAAGACTTGGAGAAGATCCGGCCGAGCTCGATTCTGGATATCGTTAAGAGTGGTGAGGATATGGCTGCGCTTGTACCTTCGCATGTCAGTGGTGCTGGAAAGAGCTGTAAGTCCTCTGCTGATGATGAGGCGGCGGGTGGTTGTGGAAGTCAGAATGGTCGCTCTAGTGGTGGGGAAATGGCTGCCATGGAGCACCAACTTGCCTCGAATGAGAGTGCGGAGTCGCATGAGACGGAGATCCGTATGTCGAGGAAGGGGGTTGAGTCGAAGAAGATCAAGACTCAGACATTACAGCACTGCGAGCAGTGTGGCTATATCTCGAGTCAGCGCATCTGCAAGGCATGCACGCTTTTGGATGGATTGAACCGCAATCGCCCTAAAACTGCGATTGAAATTGGCTTGGAGGATGAGGAGGGCAGTTCGACCCTGGCGAGGCAGATGGAGCGCGCTCAGTTGACCAACAGCTGATTGACTGACGAAGGCATACAATATAAAGCCCGTCATCTATCGTCCTCTCAATGAGAAGCCTCTAGTATCAGCCCAAACAGAACTCTCAACCAGGCTGCTATCCTGAGCCTTCGAAACAACAAGACCTGCACTATATAAGGTCTGACTCTTCCGAGCTGAAACATTGCTCAAGCTTGCCAGCCACTTCCGGTCCTGAGCAGCCTCTTGAAAAGGCATTATGAGCTTCATAGGCTAGCCACCTTAAGAAGGGGCACCACTAGTACAGTGAACATTTCCAAATAGAAATAGATATCCATGTTACAAGCTCTATCTTTTGTACAAGTGACCTGAAGTAGTATACAATCCTGCCAATTGGCATCACAACCTAAATTTCCGCAATCTTTCACTCAATCCGAGATCCTCCAAGTACGATTCCTGAGTGAATCCCGCATAACCAGTCCAGAGCACCGACTCCGCAATATCCATGAAACCAGAGCAGAGCCGCGAAGTCCAGCCGTCCCAGTTCACTGTGCAGCGCAATCCAGTCCAGGAAAAGAACGAGAACCAAAGTCAAAAAGCACCAGCACTATCAACGGAAGCGCAAATAGATCCGATCACAGGCTAAACCTAAACAGCCCAGCCTCAGATCAAGCCGAACCCTTGTCACTCCCCTCAGCCTCATACAAGTCAGGAACATCGAGCCCAACCCTTCTGGCAGTAAGTCGAACCCTCTCCTCCTCATCCATACCAACACCGGGATTATACCGCTCAAGCAACTCAACATAAGTCCTCTGCGCCCGAGCGTACTTAGCCAGCTGCTCAGCTTCCTGGAAGCGCAAACTAGCCTCCTCCGCCGACGCCGGGAGAGAGAATGGCATCGGCGCAGATGTAGACCCGCTTTCTGTGCATGTGGTGGAGGAGGGGATTGTTGCTGGATTGGGACTTCCGGCTGTGGAGGGTGTTTGTTCTTCGGCGCGGAAGAGCTGGCGGAGGCGGTGGTGGAGGGGAGAGGGGGCGTTGAGGGTGCGGCTTGTTGAGGGGATTTCGCGTAGGAGGGAGCGGTAGGCGGACCGCATTTGGTGGGCGTTTGGTGTCATTTTTGTGGATGATGTGTTTGGGGTTGGAGGTTGGATGGGGATCTTATCTGCAGTTTTTGGCGGATTAAGATGTGTATGGGTCACGTGAGTTGTTGGACCGGAAGTATGAAGGTGATTGCACGCCATGGTTTTATCACTCGTGGAATTGATTTTAAAGATACTAGATGACTACTGAATCTGCATATCTTATTGACGGTGAATGAATTAGTTAAATTTTACCATAGAGAATGGAGTAGAGTAAACATAGATGAAGAAATGAGTTAAACCATATCTAGTAATCATCAAATTTACGTGATGAGAAAGGCACTAGTTATAAGATATGTACACTTTGGATATAAGAAGAAAACAAATAATATCTAGAGCTGAGAACAAACTTCCAAGGCTTGCCCATTAACTATATTTGCTAATTTGCTTACAAAAAAGAGGACAGACATCCCATCATCTGAGGAACAATAGGGTTGAATGCCTACAATAAGGTTAATTTATTTAAGTTATGTTTAACCCATTTAGCATAAGTATAAATAAGGATTTAGACAAACTTCATGAATAGTAGTTCTCATAATTGCAAGCGTAATAGCAAAGTCCTTGGATATCGCGGCTGATACATAAAATACTGAACTCGCCTTGCAAGCTCATACCAATGTATACTCAACTGATCCCTTTTTGTGATGGCCTTTCATCTCGTCGAACAGGATAATGATGTCACCCTCTTCAGCGTTCACGAACTACCGATATCGGATATCATGATTCGCTGAGCTTAGGAGACCCACCTCCATGCCCTATGCTCAAGTCCAACTACTGTCGATCTCAACCCCACGCGTTTATTACCCACTGTTCAGCTTAGCCGAAGAACAAACAAAGCCCCGCAGGAAAATCCTAGCGTTTTCGGAAATGTGGATTGACAGCGCCATCGGGCCCAGGGATCTACTTATAAAAGGCTAGCGCGATCTACTGATACTGGCAAAGTTATCTTCACACGTTCACCTCGCACTTCGCACTCGATCAAATCTAATTATGGAGAGTCTTATGGATCTGGGTAGGCACTCCTGGTTTTGCTCATGACGGATTTGTATCTGATTAATATTCAAAGATAACAAAAAAGGGCACAGCGCTGTGATCAGTTGATGACATTGATCAAAAAGTCCATTGAAGATGTCAAAAATGACCTAGCAGACACTGAGAATTTGACTTATGATGTTAATCAGGCTATTGAAGAGCATCTGAAGAGAGATAGCCAGCAGAATGTTGGTTATTTTGTAGACAGTGTCAACGATACTTGGGCCGATGAAGTGATGGAGAATTACACACTGCTTGTTTGCAAAGACCAAAGTGACGCTCTGGTGCCTGAAGCCACTTTATTTACTTTCATTGCATCTGTTGCTGGGACAGTAGGACGTACCGGTAGGTTTCTGCATCATTCAAGATGTCTAATGTTTAAAGATTTGACAGTTGAGATTCCTCGCTGCTGCAATAGATAAGATTATCGAGATTTTCAAATATGGAACAGCCATGATACAGTGCAACCTTGTTGTCCAGGAACTTGTTGAATTTTCGAAAAAAAGTAAGTCTCCTCCAAGGCGTCTTATTAACGTTACTTACTCATTGCTAGATATTGCTACGGGAATTCGACTCTTCATATATTTCAAGAATCTATCACAATCCCGCCTTTCAGATCACATACCGGATTGAAATTGCTGAAACTTCTCAAAGGGGGAGGCAGATCTATTGGAGGTTTTCTCTATTGGTAGATGCAGGGCTCGGAATCTACCCTGCTTTCGCTAGTGCAGAAAATAAGGCAGCTTTGCAATAGTGAGCAAATTTCTCTTTAGCCAGCACATCGTAATGACAGCGCCTAGCGCAATCAAAGACCTGTGTATGCGGAGGTTCATTGTTCCGCTCGTCAAGTCTCTGCATTCGGTATACCAGAACATGCTCGGCAATGCCAAGAATTTTATCGCGAAGCAGGACTATTACAACAAGCATCTTGATCAAGGCAAAATCGCCCAGGAGACTTACGACAAAAAGATCAAGCAAATAGTCGAAGACGCGATCGAAGATATGAAAGATGTTAGTTTGGTTATAATATCCTCTTCGTTTCGTGATGCTAAGAATACATTAGGGCTCTGAGGATGTTGATTTTGAATCTGCGTGGGAAGACCTTGCTAGGCTGGATCGATCGCTGAAAGCCTACACCGATGAAGATATCTCTAAATCTGACTTGAAAGAATCGTGGGAAAGTGGTACTATTAAGCTCGGTCTTGATCAAGAGGTGGAAGGGAAGTTGGAGGAGAAACTATGTGCCGAGGCCGCTTCAGTTGATGATGACAAGGAATATAATGACGATTCCTCATCGAGCTTTCTCCCAAATGAAGACGATGAGGTAGACTATGAAGTGGCCGTGGAAAGTTATGGATCCGAGGCAGAGGATGAACCTTCGGATTGTGAGAGTGAGTGAACATGCCCAGGTGAGGGTGCCTTCAGCGATTGCCTTTGCTTCGCCGAGCTATGTCTTGTACTAGGACATCTGGATAAAACATAGTTACTGTCAAGGCTGATTACTTAGCTATGTTTTCGAACGTATCCAAATTTACTGCATATCAAAACATTGCAGGAGTAGCTTAAATCAAGCTTGACATTAGCCTAGTCAATGTTGGGGTGAGCAGCGTCATAAAGTGGTCGCACCCCACGTTAGAAATCCGGTACGTAAAGCTACTTATGTACATAGTATCGTGGAGCCTTTCCATTAAATCCCCGCCCAGGCGTAATCATTCATGCCATGGAATAATCCAGCAAAGCATGCAAGCCAAAATAGGGACGAATAGGAACAAAAGCAGAATCGGGCAAAATATATCAATCATAGAAGCGTATAACGTGAGGGTATGGCGGACAACGGTAAAGTAAGGTAAGACATGTGAAGGACCGAGGCCAGGGGAGTGGTGGCCTGCTTTGGTTTGAGTGGAATTGGCGATTAGGCACGTAGCCAGCCGAACTTTTTTCGCACGGGCTCGCCGCTGGTGGATGGTTCGATTTGTAGACTGCGGGCATACAGATCCTAGTTTTGTTAGTCTGGTCTTAGGATTCACGGTGAGTGACTTACCTCTTCATCGCCGGAGAGCTTGCAGTCGAGAATCAGGCGTTCAATGTCCTCGAATTTCTGGGCTTGAGGGTGAGGTACTTTTTGGCTTCGTTGGATACCGAGAACAGCCTCGCCCATTACCTCAAACTTCTTCCAGTTGATTCGGGATTTGTTTTCGCCGACAAAGGTCTTGTTTCCTTCCTCTGCAGAGACAAGATCGCGCCTGTGCAATGGCAGGAAAGGAATACGCTCGGAGAAGGAGTTCTCCCATGCTAACCGGTAAGCGAAGTGGCTGCGCTGGGTGCTCATAAGGATAACGAGCCGCATGAAATCCTTTTGTGTCGCGACTGGGATCAGTTCCCGGGTCTGTGATAAACGGTGAACAGGGGTGCCATTGATGGCAGCAATAACAGCACCAAGAGCGTTGTAGTTGTTTTGACGACGAAGTTTCTAGGTACAATTAGATTTGGTGCATATGCACTAGAGCATGGGCACTCACCACTGCGATACTCATGAACTTTTCAAGACACCTTGCTCGGTGTTTGGGTTTGTCACGGAGTATGATCATGCTTGCCACGAAGAAAGCCAGATGATTGAAGTGTTTGATCATCCGGTTGACGTTTTGCAAGCTCTTGATCTTTTCCTTGTCAACGCCCGAGATACTCACATGGCGCACGAGATCGCGAGGCCGAAATGAGTTATACATGACCCAATCAATACGGGTAAGCTGTCGGGCGAATTCTTCGTCAGGTGTCTCCATGAAAAACCGCCATTGAATCTTGGTGAGTGGATTTCGAGGGTGCAATTCCAAACGTAGAGCCTCCTTCTGCGCAGCTTCCAGGGTCAAAACGGTGAATGATTGGTTAAGGGTGCTGGAGGGTTTGTCGGTATTAGATGAGATGGAGAGGGTTCCCGAGAGCCGAGCGGTCGATTCATGTGGTCCATCACTGAGATCCAAAGCGCTCATGCTGTAAATGGGGTCCTCTTCCTCGTCGTCTTCGTCTTCGTATGTACCAGTCAGGAATGGCGCTGGGGAACTTCGCCCGGAGTTGTCAAAGAATGTCTCGGTGAGGCTTGTGTCATCCACATCTCCGTCGCGGAATGCCCAGCCAATATCATCGTCTTCAGCATTCGCGTCAAGGAAAGATCCAATCTCCTTCGCAGCAAACATGTAAAAATGGCTCTTTTCGAGCGTAGAGACAAAGTCGTTGACCCGTTTGCGGGTCTTGGGATATGCAAAGTCGCCCGGGTAATCTGAAGCCCATTGGGCGATGACGTTCAATAATCGCAACTGGTCGGCCATGCGGGCTAGTTGGTCTGTATTGCTGGATTCGTTTTTTTCAAATCGGCCGATCAAGGCGTTGAGAAGGGTTGCAGGAGCAGCAAATTTCCGGTATAGACAGAGGAAAATGGTGCCGAATTTGCCGTCCGATTTCGACAGGGGCTGGGCGACGAGGCGATCGACTAGCTCATCAAACGACAATCCTGCCTCCGCGCTGGAATTGCTCTCGCTACTCGGCTTCGGGCGCACGACGCTAGTCGGGCTCAATGGGGCTTCATCCATCTCGTCCTCCATATTCAGAAAACTATTAAAGGCGTCCGAGCCTCCACTACTTCGCCAGGTGGTTTGCATGCGCTGTGAGAAGCTGGGCTGCTGTTCTAGAGGAATGTCTGCTTGTGCTGATGGTCGGCGGGTATTCATCCGCACCTCTGGAGGAGATTGCGGTCGCACCGGGTGGGAGTTACTTCGGGCATTTCGAGCAAAACTGGGAGCATTCTGTTGCGCCAGATTGGAGCGCGGGGCCTGGTCGGTGGGCGGACAATCACCGATCCCATCGACACTTGGAATCGAAACCGACGGGTTTGAGCCGCCAGCGGCTCCCGTTAGAACGGCGGTCGGAGTATCTGAATTGGTTCGTGTATGCCAATCTTGGGGCGGGGTGGGTTGGAAAGACTTGGTCGTTGTTCGCGGCGGGGGAGGAACGGAAGGTGCAGGATTATTATTATGGTCAGACGAAGCGAGGTCTGAGCAAAGTCGGAAAAAATGGCAGAAATGGATTAGCTGTGTACCAAAGAGCAGACAAGCGCCAAAATCTCTTCAAAGTCTCTCTTCTTGGGGTTTTCCTCCTTTGGGGTTCCTCTGTCGATCGGTGGACTCTAGACAGGGAGAAAAAAGGGTAGCGAAATGCTAGTACCGTGACCCACTTAGCTTACCATTGACCCATGGGGGCCATGGCTCACTAACAACCCTTTTGATCCATTGTTGCCGACAGGACAAATAGGAGAGAACAAGATTGACATAGAAAGAAAAAGAAAAGACTCACCTGCTCGGGTGGAAATTACAGCCCGGAGAACAAGAGCAATACACATTTGCTGGGATCGGGGCGACTCGGGCGATGTCCGGTAGATCTCGTGTCGCTCATGGATCGCGCCCAGTTCACTGTCCTCCGGGCGCAGATCACACTTGCAAGCAACCAACAGGAATGGTAGCGGGGATGCATCAAGCGAGTCTAATCACACTCAAATGGTCAACTCAAGCCTGGCAACTCGGTAAGATGGAAAGGCTCGTGCTTTCCCCAGGTTCTCCGGAGGATCTGTGGAAACCTTGATAGAGGGATATATCGGGGAGATTTGTGCGCAGAGGCCATCAACCTACCTACGAGTTCAATTGTTTCGGCGAATTTGTCCGGTTGAGTTGCATCATGCAGCACCAACACACCGTCAATTGTCGGAGGGGAAGAATTCTTTCCCAGGTGTGGCCAGAGAATGTTCTGATTGAACTGAACCTCGCTCAGATCAATCTCCAGCAAGCGCACGATGTAGACAGACCCGTCCAACGACATCTTTTTCCTTGTCACGAGGGAGGAGGGCGTGCTTTTCATATCCAGCGCACATTTTATAAAGTTCGATTTGCCAGCGTTGTCCGAGCCCACAACGGCGATGGTCACCTCAGGGAGATTGGCCTTGGAGGGTTCCTGCAGGGATTCGACTACCGTTAGTAACCGATCGATTCTCCTTGGTTGCAACTGTAATTTTGCGTCTTTTAAAACCGCAGGGCCTCACGCACCTCATCGCCTTGCCGGGAACGAGACCGCCTGGACGTATCATTGCTCATATCCTCATCCTCCTCCAATGTCTGACCAAGTCTTGTCGCTGACCCCTGTTTTCGAGCCGAATCCAGTTTGTATAATCCTCCTGTTGGGGCCGACAATGTACGGCCAATGCCCGGACGTTGTGAAGCCGACATCGGTACCGCATGTGCTCTGTCGCTGGAGGCTCGCTCATGGCGGATCTGTTGGGAAGCCATGACGTCCGGTCAATGGCGGGTATAATGGGTAGGAAGGACCAATTCTGAGGTGGAATTTTATTGTGTTTGTTCAAGGAGCCCGCACTGCAGCGCATCCATTATTGCCGTGGAACAGATCAGATTCGGTCGCGGGGGGAGGCACCCATCAGGCGACGTAAGGCAATGGTGAGCGAGCGGCCGTGCAAAGGATTCCAACTGTGTTCAATCGCTAGTTAGACCCATTTGAATGTTCTGGCTAAGTACTTGGTATTAGTATGAGAGGGGGGAGCTTCACAACTAACCGGTAAAATGGTTGAAGTCGAACCGTGGAACGGTAAGCTCGACCTTGATAGAAGTTGAAAAAAAAAACAAAGAAAAGGGTCTCTGTTCTTTATAAACAGCTCGAAAGGTTCATGAACAGATCACGGAGTGTACAATGATATTTTTTTGGTTTTGGTGGCTATTTTTATTACTTTGGTTATTTTTCTCGGGAAACAATTTCTCCTTTTCAATTGGAGTTGAAATGCCGTCACTAGCCCCGTTCTCCAGATCGAAAATCCACAGTTCAGTTCTACCTACCTTGGGCAGCATTTCCATTCGTTGATTCATATTTGGAGCTGAGCTGAAACCTCAAATGCCCATTATCCCCCAGCTGTTATATGGAGCTACCAAGATCCACGCAAAACTCTCTTTCGTGGCGCCACTGAACATGAAAATAGAAAATAAAATTCCTGCTTACGAGGTACGAAGTATAAGGAGTACCAAGACAAAAGACCATCATATCCAATGGTTCTACATATTGTAGTTCCTCCTGGGTGAAAGTCCAAGTCCAATAATGCTACAGAAATAGTGATGCGTAGTGGGATTCGCTCAATTTGACAACTAGTCTACAGGCTGCAGGCCTCGGGCCTACACCTCTGGCCTCTCACCGTGCATGACATGGAGATCAGCTCTTGCTCGGCCCTGCTTCAAGGCTGACGAGACGCAGGGGGACAAGTCGACTTTTGCGTGTGCCCTGCAACATGCCCGAAACTGCCGGATTTCTCCCCGAAAATACGTGTTTATCCTCCACTGTATGGGTCTGTACTGGTCTGCTAGGGTCTGGCCGAACTCGGGCTCCGCTTCAGAGGGGGCAAGGCGTGGTTGGGTCCGCTAAGGATGCGCTATAATTGCGCTTGTTTAACCCACTGTGACCGGGAACATCGGTTACGCGGTCTTGGCCGAGCACCAAATCTATGGTTCTTGCAGCATATGAATGGGATTTTAGTTTGAAGATGCTCTACTACCTAGGTATGGAGTACAATAGAGATAATTTAATGGGTTGGTCGTACACATTTCATTGTCCCGCAACGATGCGCTATAGATCCCGCTACAGAGATGCTTCCGAGGCTCATGCTTACAGTCTCAAGTGCTTGTTTGGACTGTAACTATGCCGAGCTTGACATCTGAGTGCTCGGGTTATTATTGACCAGGGTCAGGAATTGCATAAACGCCTCGGCAGTGACACCTGTCTCTGTCCCTTCCTCACAATCCTGTCTTAACTTCCGTACCTTGCCGAGAGCACGGTTGAACCCTTTCTCGGCGGTCCATGGTCCCCGACTACGACGAGTAGGTGCTTTACCACCTCGGCCATAAGGACGTCCTCTAGTCGGCGGGGTATACCACTCAACCCATTCGTCCTCCTGCGCCGCTTGGTAAATTTCGTGCAACTGCGTACGCAACTGAGGATATCGTTGAAGAAGAGCCTGAATCTCTGCCGATGCAGCACCATCTGCAGTGTTGCAGCCTTGTGTATTCCCCGTATCTGGGGTGGTTTCACCGTTGGCTGGGGTTTGGGTGTTGGTGGCTGAAGTCTCGGTCGGTTCCTCGATCGATGGAAGCGGCTTCGGAGCGCAGTAGATCTTATGAGACTGGGTACATGCAAGCGAGCAGCTGTCTCGGAGCGAATTAGCAAATGGATCTTATAATGCATTTGATAGCTGGTACCTCATCAGTCCACATGCTGGACAGCGGTATTTGGAGGGTTCCGAAGAACACACCTCGCAGGAACTGGGCATTTTATTGGGCAAACCAGGATCCTGTATGAGACACGCCCATCATACTTGGCGATGCGCCGAGGTTCAAGCTTTGTGGAGAGAGAGTTTCTGCCTGAAGCAAACATCGGGATAAGAAAATTGAGATAGTTAGAGCTCCGATTGCTGCCTCAGGCTTCACGGCCCGCTTTCATCCTTGCTGAGTAAATGTGAGAACTTCGATGAATCAGTGATTTGACTGGAATATTAACGGCTCTTGTGTCTGATCGATTCATCTCCGAAATCGAAGCCAATTAACATATCCAAGCTGATCTCCTGCAACAGCTCGTTGTGAAGTTGATGGAATCAACCCACATACAAAATGGGTGGCGTTCCGTATAGATCCAAAGGCTGCAATACATGCCGCCTGTGAAAACTTAAGGTACTGTGTAAAGACACTGATGCAACTAGTGCCCAATCGTCAGAGCATCCAATCCTGACCCCTGTCTAGTGCGATGAGACTAAGCCGGGGTGCAAGTGTTGCCTTTAAAAACGGCCACGTCTGTACCGGGTATGAGAGGAACCGGGGTTTCATTCATAAGTCAACCGACATGTAGTTCTGGCTCGGCCCCGAGAGAGGTTCCAGAAAACAGATTAAAGGCAGTGTCATCAAGCCCGGTCGAAGTGGTCCTTACATTCCTCATTTCGATGCCAACGTGGTAGTGAGGACACAATTCGTGGCAAACTTTATTGATGCTTTTGCACCATCATCGTTGATACGGGATGGCAAACCTGAAGCAGTCCTGAATATTCAGAATACCATCCCATTTCTCGTTGGCAGAAGTCCAGTCCTCGATAGAGCTGTGACAACGTCAAGATCCGCCTTCCTGGCTAAATGGAACCAAGATCACGGGTTGTCGATGTATAACACACGTATCTATGGGGAAGCTTTGCAAATTGTGTGTAGAAAAATTTGGACCGGATGCAACGGCGGAGAAGATTCCTTATTTGTTACTGTCCTATTCTAGTTGTACAAGGTATGCGACTCCCAGTCCAGCGAAACAGCCTGGAACAACATACTGAATCGAGCATAGTTGATCAACTCTTTACCATTGGGCTTTAAAGCGTGACTAGCCCATGTTCAAGGGAGCAATGCGATTCTGGCCCAATATCCCAGTTCGGCTCCACCTTCGGCGATAGATCAACTCTTTTGGCGTCAATTGGAATCCGTCACAGTAGGCTTGATGCAAGGAGCCATGAAGCAAAGTGCCGATACGGTTGATGAAATTCTGATGCCATCGGCAGGCGCAAGTCTGCATATTCATAAAGTTCTTTCTGGCGGAATCCATCTCTGAGGAATTCATGATCGGAACCAGTCGATGAAATCCACGACTTTCTCCTTCGATCTTCGGCTCTCATGGAACAAGCCGACGGTTTGATACAGCGGGGACCTCCAAGCATGCATAATAGACGAACTGGCAAGTAGCTACTTCATGGTTGTCAAACGTCAAAAGATAAGCTTGACGCCGGCTTCTGTAAGATGCAAGCGAAATGGGGCATTCCCTCTTCTACTCCCGACCCAATGTCCTTTTGGTGTGAACTCGATGATTCCATACCAAGTGATTCATTCCCTGGCGCCATAGAGTATCCCTCCATAAGCTTGCAGAATCGCATTTGCTGTGGTAGACTACGTATATTTTTTTTCATCCTTTGATTAATCAAATGCTCGTCTTCCTTGGTCGACATCACAGAAATTTATTCTAATATACAGTACGAACGTCCTCCTGCCCTGCTGTTCTATCCTACACAACAACACATAGACTTCTCGAAGATGTTCTCGGAGTTGCTGAGCATTATGTAGACTGGATTCGTCGTTTAGCCAAGTTCCTCGTGCAGCCCAACATAAACTGTGCTTGCTCCATTCAGTCAGATGACACATTTCTACCATAGCCAAGAAGCCACTGATAAGTATCGGCGATCTCGAGAGGTTCTCACGGCTCTGCCTCAGCTAAGTTTTGGCATTGCACCGTTTATGAAGGATATCATCTGGCCTGAATACGAGGCTGCCACGAAGTACAGTCCGACCAGTTCACCTCAGCCCCAAATCCCCCTGAATTCTATAACTTTCTTGCTTTGTAAATGAGAATTCCGTCACAGTATATTATGCGACACGACATCTTGGATTTACATCAATTGTATAAACAGCTGGGCTTCCGAGGTTCGGCAGATTTGGTTGCAACACCTTCTCTTTCATTGGCCAGGAGGACATCAATTTGTAATCTGCAGATCACATGACCCTTTCATTGCGTCAGAGTCCGGGCCGCGGCGATTCACTTTTTAGAACGTTATTCCCTTTGCACCGACGAAGTATTGTTTTGGTAACTCGAAGTTCCCCAAAATGTCAATGAGCTCAACATCCACAAACATGTTCCGGCGTGCTATTTCCAGCGCCCGGGTCTCCAACTCCATTTCCAAGTCCATCAGACCTGCCGTCTTCAGTCCTAGCAGAAACGTATCGACCGCCGCTCGCCTGCCGACCATCACAGCCTCAGAGACTCGCCGCCGGCCAACACTAAGACCGAATCAGCAGCCTGCAGCGACCGGTGCGAATGGATTGTCGCCAACGAGCAAGCGGACAATCTTCATTCAGACCGAGAACACTCCCAACCCCGATGTATGTACAATCCAGATCAATGAGGAGTCTGATTCTAACCCAAGACAGGCCTTGAAATTCATTCCCAACCATCGCGTCCTTCCTGAGGAATTCCCTACTACCTTCCTTGAATACCTTACCCCCCGTTCTACTCTTGCGCCTCCATACCCGTCCCCCCTCGCCGCAAAGCTCTTGGATGTCGACGGTGTTACCTCTGTTTTCTACGGATCGGACTTTATCACCGTCACTAAGGCCGGGGATGTAAACTGGGCACACATCAAGCCTGAGGTTTTCAGTCTGATCACTCAGAGCGTGACATCGGGTGAGACCATTGTGACTGTCGTTGAGAACGGTGAGGCGGGCCATGAAGCCGAGGAGGATTCGCTCGCCTACAACGAGGATGATGATGAGGTTGTCAGTATGATCAAGGAGCTTTTAGAGACCCGAATCCGTCCTGCCATCCAAGAGGATGGAGGTGATATTGAGCTACGTTCGTTCGAGAATGGCATTGTTATGCTGAAATTGCGTGGAGCGTGCCGGACTTGTGATTCGAGCACGGTTACATTGAAGAATGGCATTGAGTCTATGCTGATGCACTATGTGAGTTCCCCGGGCTTGGTATCTGGGCCGGTTACTGATGAATTGTTTCTAGATTGAGGAGGTCAAGGGTGTTGAGCAGGTTCAGGATCCCGAGGAGATTATCTCAATGCATGAATTTGCCAAGTTTGAGGAGAAGTTGAGACAACAGAAGGGAGCCGGGGCTACGGCCTCTTCTTCTTTGGATTCGGCCCCTTAGATGGGATTGCATTCGACTGTACAATATTCGACATAGCACTCTAGATATACTCCAAATTTGAACTGCAAGTTAGCGGGAATTTAGGTTTCATGTGGAGGGGTAAATGCAAGCTGATATCACCATTGCCCAGACAGGCCTATTAACCACAGGGACCTTTTACCATACGAAGTTGAAATCCGGGAGACTATATCCTGGGACAGTTGACCCTAGGTTGAGTAGAGGCTCTGAAGATCAGACACCAAGCGAAGGAGATTGGTACCCAATGATTTGATGGATAGAAAAGGTTAGGCGTGGGCCGAGACTTATGTTAAATGGCTGCATAGACTAACGTCCATAATTGCGGGGTACATGATTCCCATGGATAAGACCATTGCCCCTCGTAAGTATTTGGATGTGAAATCATACCCAACATTGAGCTCGGATTGTGTTATAATTTCATAACCTATTTGACTGGTTCAGTAATCGTTTTCCTTGTTTGTGGGGTACATGTTGCGGCTGTCACCCCACTAGAGGTCAAATGAGGTGCAGGACTTAACCCGGAAGGCCGGAGCGACCGATGATTCGTGCCCAGGCCCTAGACCGTGTTCCTTTCCAATTTTCATTCCCTGCTTGACTTTTGATTCCTTGCTTGTATCACACGTTTCTGTACTACTAGTACATAGATACCTAAATACATACTACTAGTACCGAGGTAATCATAGTATCTAAAGAATGAAAACAGGATCAGAGATAGAGTCATAGCGGGGTTTTGATGCAGGTAAGCTCTCCCCGCAAAACAGAATGATCAGCCCCTCCTGGACCTGGGAACTCCATTCTTCCCCACATGTGTCGTCTATGATTCTGGACCATTAACCATTAACCATTAACCCCCGCAAATGTGCAACAAACCGTGCGAGGGCGTTTTTCCTTTGGGGAGAGAATGCAGATGGAAATGTAGGCTGACAGGACCTACAGGGCTTTAATAGATTTCTGTTCATTTCATAAACCACTTAAAATACATGATTTTCGGCTTCAACCTCCTAATTCTCATAACCTATCGGTTAGTTTTGAGAGAAAGTTACGGAGTAGATATAGTTGTATCACTAAAAAAATCATAGATGGTCCGTGTCCCCTGAACGGGGCGACGTTGCCAATTCCGGTTCCCCCTCTCTTATACTAACAAAGAAGTGTTACCTTCTGTAACCTTTTCCCCCCTTTCACTTTTCAATCAACTTTGAATTTTGATCTTTGAACTTTTCTCCTTCTCTGGGAATCAGTTTTTAAAAGAAAAAAAAATCTATTTCCATAAATCCAATCATGCGTGCTTAGGGGATTTGGTTGCTCCACGTCATCCCGAGAGTGGTCACGCTACCCCAGCTCCCCTTCAAACCTCCCGAAGCGCATTTCCACCCTTCAAACCCGGGGTGGCGATCATTACGATCATTATCAATACGACCCCCCCCCCCCCCCGTTCTGTCAACCTGCGCGTATCCCTTACTTCACTTTACCCGTCTTGCAGCTCCATACTCATTTCACCGGTCGCGCTCGTGAAGACCAAGTGATTCTTACGAGACCCACGATCTTCTTCACGGCGCTTCTGTTTCGAATAGAATTGAAGATCTCTTAGAGTTGGTAAGTTTCGATTAACTCTCCTTGAATCCTTCTCGCTCTTGCGCGCGCGATCTTACACTTATCAATATGTCGCGCTATAGCACGATTACGATCACACCCACGTTCTTCGTTTCTTCGTTTCTTCGTTTCTCCGTTTCTTCATTACCTCATTTCCTCGTTTCAATTTGATACTTGATTACCGCTTCCGACTTCCCAAGGCGTCTGGGATTCGTACGGTTCCACTAGACGTATCCTAGATTTTCTGCTAGGTATGTCGCCCACGATTTGCCTTGTCGCATCCTCTTATACCCCCTACCCATCAGCGCTATCACCTATCATTTCATCCCCATGTGTTCATTGAGCGCATACCCCAAATTCTCTCTATGCCATTGAGTTTCTATTCTGTGCACTGCACATATCGCACTTGAAGTTCCCCGCCTTTGTCATAAGGAGCCTCAGTCATGCCACACCCACATGTGCCCCGCGCATCGTGGCCTGTTTCTGCACGGCTCACCGTTGTAATTACAATTTGACTTTTGTCCCCCCTGGATTACTGACATGTTCTTCAGTGTTACACATAGCGCATCCAACCAGCCGTTCCATCATCTCCGAAAGATCGAGATTGCCTCCTTCCCTTCCAATCTCGAGCGAGTGGAAACAAAGACTGGTGCTTTGTCGCATGTCCCTCGCAACCTAGCCTTGCCAAAAGATATCACAGGTCAGCATATACTTTTTCACAACCTATCCAACCTGCGCAACAAAACCCTGCTTTCTGCGGATACTATTTCTGGCACCGCATACGTCCAGAAATTAGATAGACTGACATCGTGCAGTACCATCAGAAACCATGGCCGCGCCATCCCAAAAACAAAATATGTCTCAATCAAACACACCTGCGACTTCCAGGCTCGAGAAGAGCCACCCGGGAGTGCGCAGATCTACCCCGGATTCAGAGGCTCTCGCTTCGTCCGACGACGACGGAGAGCATGCGTTGACCCAGAATATGATCTCCCCCATTAAACCTCGACGTCGGACATCATGGCTCAACGAAGTCCCTCTCTCGGTGCAAAGGAAACACTCTCTTCCTGGTGGCCCCCTCTCTTCTGCTCCCTCTAATCCCACAAGTCCCGCGACCGATCAGGCGCCTTGGGCCACGAACCCCAGCCCGGGCATAAGTGGCTCACTCAACTGGAACCAGTCCGGTTCATTTCCCTGGGGAACGGGTATATGGAACCCGGAATCCCGCAAGGAGCCACCGCCACGTCTCGCAGAGATGGTCCCTTCCCCAACTATGACCAGCCCCGCACCCCCTGGCTCTATGGGTGATGAACTGCTCAGCCCAATCACCCGCACTATCTCCGGCGAATCGGCCATTCCATTCTCCATTCCGCTGCACCCAACCCCCAAGACCTACCGCTCTCAGTCCTACTCTGTGGGACAAATGGATCCTGAGCATCTCGGACTGATGGCTCAGGCTGGCGCTGGAGCTAGCCAATATCCGAGCAACCGTACCCGAGGTCAGAATTCGGCGGTTCAGCAACGTGGGCAGCGACCCAGCGTCTTGGGTGAATTAGGGCACGACTCCGCCATGCTTGGTCGTGTTCGTGAGGACGATGACGGTTATGACCTGAGCAACTCCGAGGAAGATAGCCACTCCGCAATTCAAGCCCGACAGATTCAACAGCTGGCACGTGAGAACGCGCTCCTTCGTCAAGCCGCAGCCGCTGGCCAGCTGGACAACCGGTTCCGAGATCGTGCATCCTCATCTGCCTCGAGTGCTCACCCACTTCATCGTATTCGAGGTGGTGTTCCCGAGGAAGATCACGCGGGCGAGGACCTTGGAGACTTGCGTGACCTTGCCGGTTACGGCCAAATGCGCGGCAGTGGCAGGCGACGACTATCTGAGCACTCGGCCAACTTAGAGCAACAGTTCTCCTCGTTTGCCGCTCCGCCTTTGGAGAACCGGGCCTTGGAAAATGTGCGCAAGGCTCATTGGCAGACCTCCCTTGGATTTGGGGGCATTCCCGAACCTCCTCAGAGTCGCCGCCATTCCTTTGCCGACATCTCCCTGCGTCATGGCTCTGTTGGTTCGGTCGATTCTCACAACACCGCTACTCCGCGGGCTGGACTTGACGATCGTGATGAATACGGCAACGTCAATGATTACGGTAATGGCAATGACTTCACCGGCTCCTTGCAGCAACAATACTACGCTCGTGAGCAGACTCTGCGTGGTGATGGATCGTCTGGAATCCCTGCGGCTCTTAATCAGTACGCCATGACCGGTGCCTATGGCCGTCAGCCCCCTGCAATGTCTCATGGCCACCAGAACCAGCTCTTGTACATTGTCACATTCAAGTGTCATCGAGCAGATGTGTTCTATATCCAAGAGGATACTGGCCTCCAAGTAAAGGTTGGTGATCTTGTGATTGTGGAGGCGGATCGAGGAACAGATCTAGGCACAGTACAGCATGCGAATGTGTCTCTCCAGAGAGCACGTGAGCTGAAACAGCAATATGCCGAGGAACATTACAAGTGGCTCATGATGTTCTCCCGCCAGGGGGCCCTTGAGGGGGGCTCCGGTGTGGCCAATGCAGGCATTAACGCTCGAGGTGCGGAAGGAATGGGTCCTCATGCGCATGGCGTTCAGGAGACGTCTACCGAAATCAAACCCAAGCTTATCAAACGCCTTGCTCAGCAACATGAGATCCTGACGCTACGTGACAAGGAAGGAAATGAAGCCAAAGCCAAGCGTGTCTGTCTGCAAAAGGTTGCTGAGCATCGGCTCAACATGGAAATTCTGGACGCTGAGTTCCAAATGTAAGTTGTCTTTTCATATCTACTAGTACTTCGACCGGGACTAACATTATGCAGGGACTGGAAGAAACTCACATTCTACTACTTTGCCGATTCTTACATCAACTTCAACTCCCTGGTCACGGACTTGTTCAAAATTTACAAGACTCGAATCTGGATGTCCGCCATCAACCCTGCTTCATTCGTGACGCCACCGAGTGCTGGCCTACCTGGTTCCGGCCCCAGTGGAATGTCCAACCCACTCTTCAGCCAAGATGCACCTCAAGGAGATCGGCGACACCATGAACGACCCTACGGCCGAGATGCAGAGGCTGGACGTGAAGTGGCAAACCCTGTTGGCATGCTTCGCACTGCTTTCACGGATACCTACCAACCATTTGTCCAGTCATCCCGACAGGCAGACGCAGGACAACCTGATCCTTTCGCCCCATATTCTCCTACCAGCTTCGGACCTCTGGAGACTGGTTTTTCTGACTACCCTTCCGGTAATACGCCCAACACCCGCATGCACCCGGCACAAGGTGAATGGGTCGGCCGATTCCAAGGTCTATCGCTCAACTCCTGATCCCAACCCCTCCATGTACAATTTGAATACGCTCGACTTTCTTTTCCTGCTTTTCTGCTTCTCTCCGTAACGAAAGAGATTTACCCGCTAGACCTTTTCTGTTCGATGACTTGCTTTCTCCCTTCCATGCTTGCCTTCGAAAGAATGTTTCCAGTCCACAGTTCTGAGATTTACCTTTCATTCTTTGACCATGTACTACTTTTCCTGCTAGAATTCATACCCCGGGGTTGTCAAAAACCGCACAGCACAGTCGTTACACACTTTTCCTTGTTCCTTTTCTTTCTTTCTTTTCTTCTTCTTCCTCCCCTTTCTGTTTGCTCGTCGATTCGTTCGCTTTATTCTAATAGACTCGCCTTTTACGACCAAACAACATGTTGATAGTCAAGACTGGTTTGCGCTGCGCGTCGTTTCAGTCTGAAAATTTATTCCATTGAACTTTTCCATTATGATATTTCCTTGGGTTTCAAGTCTGGTGAAGTTCTAAGGTTTTAAGTATCTACGGAGAGTGCTTCATTTCACTTCTAATGTTACGTTGGCACTATCTAAGGTTGTATGATCTTTGACTTTGCTGGAGATGGGTGCATACAGATTGTGATGATTCTGACACCAGGTTCTACTCAAAGCTGCATGTAAGATGGGTTTAAATAGCGTTCAAACACTGACTTTTATAGTGTATAGCATGTGCATGGGCCTGCCTTTTCTGTACCGGGAATAACTGTAGCTTATTTCATACCAAAAGTTGTTAATATTCAAATTTCCTCAAATTGGCATTGGCTGTACATGATCTGTCCCTTGAATAGCTCCCTTTTAGTACAAAGTCACCTTAAACGCAACTTTCCTCTTCTCCTTTTCCTTGTCCAGGGATTTTCTAGCTTTGTCAGAGTTTCGGATGTTTTGTGATCATCGAATCACTTTGCCACGGATTAGTTTACTCCTGTATTGCACTTCGTGGCGGACTGGTTTGGTTAGGTTCTGGGTCTTGACGGGCATAGTTACCAGCACTTCCCACTTTTGGGCTTCTTTTCATCAATCCTTTGGTCACTGATCAGAGCTTGGGGAAGAGAACCTGGAATACTTATCTTTTGAGTAAATCCGAACGACTCTGTGGATCCTTTCGCGTTATCAATCACCCCACGCGCACCTGGTCCACCTCTTTCAGCGGCATGAACGGCCCCACTTGGGATATATAGAGTATTTCTAGGAGCACAGTATTTGCTTTTAAAGACCCAGATACAGTAGTACTCGGTAATTCCAACTTACAATTCTATTACACCAGGAATAGAACGAGTACTCGGATGAAGACTCTTGGACTCGACTGCACTGCTCTGAAATGAAGTCTGTACATTCCAAATATGTGGACACGATTAAGCAAACTTATCATGCTTCCCTTTAACCTTGATATCCAACATAACTTCATGAAAATCACCCTCTCTCCTCGCCCTCCTCAACTTCTTAACCTCCTCCGCCTCCAACTTCCTCCCCACAATCGCCTCCAATTCCTTCTGACTAATCTTCTCATAAGCCTTAGACTCCTTTGACGCCTTAAGCCGAGGCTTAAACCTCGCCTGCATCCGTATCCGTACCCCAGTCTCGAACGAAATACTCTCCGCATCACCCCGGATCTCCACACCAGCAGATGCTTTCCCATTCTCCTTTACACAGAGGAAAGTCTCCGCATCCCCGCCGCGTGTCTGGAGATAGAATGTGCCAGGGATATCGGGTGACGGAATGACGATGAAAGATTCGTAGTGACCGACTGCTGAAGCCGTTGCTGTGAAGAGTCCATGGTTGTCGCAGCCGAGGTATCTAGCAACACAGCGCATTAGCAATGAATATCTCTCTCCCATTTCCCATCAGAAGGTAAACATACTTTCCATGATGTCCCTTGAAACTGAATCCCTCCGTCCCTGCAACCTTGGTAACAACCCAGACCTGTCGCACATCATGCGGCTCCGCCGTCGCCGCATCCCCCTCTACCAGATTCTCCAGCTCGCTCGCAAAAACCACACCATTCGGATCGCTAGCCACGCATGTAGGTTTATCCGATGGTAAGACTAGGACGATTGGACCACCTAGATCGGTTGGCGCGTCGGCGGAGACCCAACTTGTGTCGTCTGGGTTTTCATCGTTGTCGTTTTCGGAGGTTTTGCGGGCTTTTGAGATCTTGCCTTCGGGATCTTCGGTGCGGACCTTGCGTTTCTTCGGCTTGTCGCCTTTGAATGAGAGAGGTTTTACCATTTTGAGTGGTGTGAATGGTAGGTAGTTGTTCGGGAGGAGAAAGAGACCAAGCTTTATCGTTATCGCTATCGTTATCTTTATCATAAGTATCTCTGGTGGGTCTTCAATCACCACCACCACCACCACCACCACCACCATCATCATAAGCAAGCAATGTCCTCAAATTCATTCAAAGTCAAGGTATATACCTCTATTGAAAAGTGAATAATTTCTGCGCCTCCCACAACAAATAAAAGCAGCTGAAATTCCCCCACCACCACGTAACCCCCCTCAATTGACTCCACCTCGGCCGATCAACAAGAATATAAATTGCCCCATAAGCAATTCGAGCAATAGTATACGACAAGCCCGCCGCATTGATTTTGCTCGCCGAAACACCCGCTATAGAAGCTATTCCCAACCCAGCAACAAGCAACGAGAAACCCTCGACGGCATTCGAGTGTGCGGATTCATTGCGCTTCAGCATGTCCAGCTGGCGGCGTGTGATCTTTCCTTCGCGGACGGCGGCTTCGCCGTATTTGGCTAGGTCTTCGCGGGGCGAGACATTGTTGTCTAGACCGTAGTATTGTTTAAGGGTTCTTGAAGACAGGATACCGTAGGCGTAGATGTATTGGAAGCCTAGGATTAGGGGGGCGTAGTTCGTAACTTTTTGGCCTGGGTTGGAGAGGCCGATTGTAGTTAAGAGGGACATCTTAGGTGCTTTTTGGATAGTTTTCATTTGTACTATCTTCGAGGGCGCGGGGTCTTTATATGCTCAGCAGGATTTGGGGGCTAGGGCTTACTATCGGCCCGAGTAAGGCCGAAGCTCCGTACTGAGGTGTACTTTGTAAGATCCATGAATCGTATGATATTATTACGGCTCTACTTATGTATCTATCTAGTTGGTAGTAATCTTCAATGTAGAAGTCAGAGGTAGATCACGACTCGAAGATCCGACATAAATCTTATACTCTCCACTCTGCAAATGCCACTTCTGCGCTGTGATATCCCAGGTACTGAGATCACGACGAGTCAGCGAGAATGACACCTTGGCGGAGCCACCAGCACCAATCTTGACCTTGTCGAATCCACGAAGCTGTCTCACGGGACCGCCGGGAATACCAACGTAGAGCTGGGCAACCTCGGAGCCAGATTTGTGCCCAGTGTTCTTGACAGTGGCGGTTACCTCGACAATATTATCCCATAGGTCGATCTGGCCACCTTGCTCAATGACACCGCTGGGGTAGGCGGCGATACCATTCTGCACAGAGGAAACCTTGAGACCCGAGAATGCGAATGTGGTGTACGAAAGACCAAAGCCGAATTCGTAGCGAGGGACAATGTTCTTCTCGTCGAACCACTTGTAATCCGTATACACACCCTCTGTGAAGTTGGACTGCGGGAATAATTGGAAGGGCTCAACCGCATAATCATGCCAGTAGGCCGGGTAATCGCTTTCATTCTTGGCCACGGTGTACGGAAGCTTTCCACTGAAGTTGTTATCGCCGTAGAGCAAGGAAGCGATCGCACGACCAGAGTCCTGGCCGGGGAGATGAGCGAATACGATAGCAGTGACATTGGGGTTTTCAGCGAATGATTCCACAAGGCGGGTTCCGGCGTTGTGGATGACAACGACGGTGTTGGGGCATGTCTTTGCGACTTTAGTAACGAGATCGTCGGAGTAGCTGTCGTATGTTCCGGGACGGTCGAGTGATTCGGTAGCGAAGGCGTTGATAAATACCAGGCAGGCATCCGAGGCTTCCATTGCACTCAGGACATTCGGGTCATCGCCGGTGTCCCACATGACAACGGTGTTGTCTTCGTATGCCCGCTGCTGGAGGGCGTCGAGAGGGGCACTGAGGTATGGACCGGCGTTGGCACCGGAACCACCTCCAGTGCTGAGAGTGCCGTTGAAGGCAACCTGGTCGATATAAGGCGCGTTGAGGAGATCAGAGCTAGCGGCAAACCCGTTAATGTCAGAGCGGGCTGGTTCGAAGCCATATTGCCAGGGGTCCACAGCAAGGACATTGTTGGGCATGTATTGAGAGGGAGCAGTGGCGTCCCATCCATAAACAGAGATCAATTTTGGCGACTTCAGCGGAAGTGCGTTGTTCACATTTTTCACAAGAACATGGCCTTCCACAGCACCTTCGAAGAGTACGGGCTTTGCATCTTTAGTAAGGGCGCTGACAATCTTGTGCGGTGCACTGAGGTTGTATGGCATTCCAACTCCAAGTGAAGGGTAACTCGATGAGTCCTGGCCCATCTGGTACCAGGTTGCAATAATTCTGACTTTATTAGTCAAGCACTGATGCTGAGAAGAGTTGTTACATACCTCGTTGCCATATCGTCCAGACGAGAAAGTGGAACACTGCCGTTGGCAATGGCTTGGGTCAAGTTCGTACCCCAGAATGTTTCACCCGTAGGCATGGCCATGTCAAGACCAGCTAATGCCGCACCGACACCGGAGTGCTGGCCAAACCAATCTGTCACAACAAATCCATTGAATCCAAGCTCCGTTTTGAGTAAGCCGTTCAGTGTTTTGCTGTTCTGGCAGGCGTAGGAATTGTTAACGCGGTTGTACGAGCACCTGGGTCATATTAGCTTGGTCCCGGTATACAAGTCATAGAACTAACATGATGTTTCCAGCTCCTGCTTTCAATGCATCCTGGAAGGGCCAAAGGTATGCTTCGTGCATGGTCTTGTCATCGATGTTGCTGGAGACGGACTCGACAGTCTGGTTATCACTGTTCGTGGTAGGATTGCGGTACAATTCTTGTTCGTAGCCGATAAAGTGCTATAAAAGATTATCCACGTTAGCAAACTTCTCTATCTTGAGACTCATGGGCTTAGGTACTCACCTTGACACTCGAGATCACACCTTGTCCTTGCATACCCTCGACGGTTCGTGCCGCAAGTACACCACTGAGATATGGGTCGCTGGCAGCACCTAGTAAAGTTTAGCCACATAACATGACTCTCTTTATCTGTACATACCTTCCCAGTTTCTTCCATTGGTAGTGGTTCTTCCTAGTGGTGCAACAACAGGCCCCAGAGCAATATTGACACCCTTTGTACGGAACTCACCAGCCATGTACCAGCCACGGTCATGAGCAAGGGACTTGTTCCAGCTGGGATTCTATTAGCCATGCATGATATACTAAACAATGCTGCTCTCTCACCTAGCGCCGACGTGAATACCACTTGGGTAACTATTAACGAAATCCGCACTACGAACTCCATTGCCCGCATCCTGAAGGCACAAGCCCGGGAATCCAAGTCTGGTAATAGCTCCAATAACACCAACACAGCTTGTACTGGTGGTTTCAATTCCGAAGGTGAGGTTGTTCTAGCCATTATTAATGATTTTTCAGCGCATAATAGACTCCTAGCTTACCTTCTCCTCCAATGTCATCTGAGCTACCAAATCTGCCGCCTTTTTGTAGGCTGCAGCCCAATCACCGCTCCCCGTACCATTTGCTAGATACTGTCAGTACTCCACGCCATAGAAGAGGAAAGGAAAGGGAACATACGCGAGGGGTATACAGCTGGGGAATCCCCATAAAAGTGAGTATCGGAAGTGATTTCACTCCCATGACCAATTCCACACAGGGATAAGATGGCCAATGCTAGGCCAGTTTTTTCCAAGAGCATGGTGCCGATTCAGTGGTGTTGGGTAGCCTTTTCGACGCGTCAAAGGGGAAAACCCCCCACCTCTTTATGTGCGCATTGCCCCTTCTTCCTCGCCAAAACATACCAGCTCGGCTTGCTCACCAGCGGCCTTGTTCCGCGAGATCCAATCCGGGCATGCGATCTCCAGGATAATTTTCCTGTTTTGACGAGGTTTTACAGGCCAGGTTTGTTTGGATACTCCACTGCTAGGTGAACAAGTAGTATGCGTGGGGCTTAGGTGACGTTACTTCGGCCAAAGTGGGTAAACCTCGGGAGAATATAAGCCGTGTTGTAGATGAGGGGAAGCTTATTCCCAAGATTGATATGTATCAGAGCTGATTGTTTGAACTGATTGTTTGAGAATGATATCAATTTGCTTCAACGGATTTTGTTCCAAGTTATCTACAAAGTAGTTCTAACTTGCCATTCATCTGAAGTTCAATGTATAGCAGAAGCATGGAAAAGGCGGACATTTGTCGGGCGCCAAAGCCACTCAGCTTCAAATCGCAGAAAGATAAAGAACTCTGTGGAGGATATTAGCCGAGTATATCCCGTGTGGGGAGAATGTGGGGCAAATCCGGGGTTACAGGGTTCTCCGAGCCGATGCCGTGCATAAACACGTATATCTTCCTCCAAGGTTGCACTGCTTTCATCATACTCAGGGATGAACATAGGTAAAGCCTGAAAGAGTAGGATGGCTGCACGAGCGACTGCAGGGATAACAAGGTGGGAAAGCTTATCTGAGTAAAGCAACTGAATACATGATCGGTGAGAACTCAAGTGCTAAGTAGTCAATTGAGATTACGAGAGCAAAGGGAATGCTATTTTGAAAACATACCGCTCCGAATTTTCCGGAGTTGGTCCCCCGAAACTATGTACAAGCCACCGAATCACGAAAGGTACTAAATGGATAAATCAGTCTGGTGATAGTAACACCAAATGTATATAAAATGCTTCGTTTCAGGCCATATGCGTCTTGTTCGCAGGACGGCAGCGCTTTCGTAGCAATTATCTGAAGAACAAGACTTGGCTAAGTCCAAAAAGCTGTATTATGACCCCAATAAAAACCCGACCTATAGCTTTTGCATCGTCTGTGACTTCTAACGTCTCAACTTCCTTGTTCCAGTAAACCAATCACGACTGGCGATCAGCAAGCCACAATTCACTAGGAACACGAAGGTATAACTAAGTTAATTAAATCATAATAAAGCTTGTCAAACGCAGCATCTGCTGGTGAGCATAACTAGTAGGGTGGGTCACTTACGTATATAGTAGCTGAGCAAGGGAAAAGCCATTAATGTGACCAGGTTGATATTAATCATATCAATACTATCACAACTGTCTCAATCCAGACATATATTCTACTTTTGAGCCAAGTGGCATGTACTTGTGTAATCTAGAAATTTGATAGATACTGGTTATTTACTAATTTCGGATCCCGAGGTCACGTTTTTCTCACGTCACCTACCTCCGCAACATACACAAACAATGCCCTGGCCTCGATCACAGCTTCTAGAGATAGGTGATCAAACCTGGTGCCCCTCATGGCTGCATCAGCACGAGCAATTCGCCCTAAGTCAACTATGGAGGCTGAAAGTCCCCGGGTGGAGCCGTGGAAGTCTCGCGACACAAGCATGCGCAGTTCTTAAGGAGTATCTACAGGACCTTTCTTCATATACGTTTATGGATATATGTGCCGGTGCCGGTGGACCTACCCCACTTCTAGAATCAGAACTCAATAAGGAGCTCGAGCCCGGCAAGCAGCCCGTTCAGTTTGTCTTGAGTGACCTCTACCCCTATATTGAAGAATGGGAGCGTATTTCAAAGAAGCAGGAGAATATCAGGTATATCGATACTCCGGTTGATGCACGAGCTGTTCCTCGATTCTCAGAAATCGAGAAAGAATGCCGGATATTCAATATCTGCTTTCATCACTTTGGAGATGAGGATGCAGCGGGAATTCTGAAGAATGCGATTGATTCCACCAACTCCTTTATGTATGTTCTTCTTTGCGCCGTTCTTGAATCTCCCACTGACTCCCTTTAGTATATTTGAAATCACAGCACGCGATCTTCGGACCTGTTTATATTCCCCTTTGGTGTTTTTTTGGACCTTCTTTGTAACCCTTCTCGGGTACTGGAACTCACCCATTCATCTTCTCTTTACATTTGGCTTTCCAGTAGCCCCGTTGGCGATTTGGTTTGACGGACTCATCTCCTGCCTCCGAACCCGCACTCCAGAGGAAGTTCGGGCCCTACTAGACCAGCCTGGCCTTGACCTCTCTAAATGGTCCTTTTATAGTGGGCAGAAAACTGTCCAGTTTCCGTTCATCACTTTGTATTATTATATCGGTGTGAAATCAGACTAGACAGCCTGGATTCCTGCATGTGGCTTACCTGTTTCTGCATACCTGGTAGACATAAAGTAGCTGGCGGATGTTAAGCTAAAAACGGAATAACCGGAATTGATTGGGAAGTCTTATTACTTTGAAGAGCTCATTTCTACGCTCTACTAAGAAGCTTTTCAGCTGCAGCGCACCTAGTCATTCTCAATGTTTAATTTTAAAGAATGCCAGGACTGTAGCCCGGAGATGTTATTGAAGCTAGACATACGTCTTTAATACTAAGCAAGAAAAAAACATGCAAAGCACCTTCAAGTGCGTCCAGGGCACTTTGAAATGTGATTCCAAAAAAGAAAGAAAAATACAGAGAGCAAGCATCATCCGCTGTTTAGAACTGAGTGACCCACCAGTGGGCATAACGTCCAGCGTCTACATTTATAATGATCTGGGTTGAATAACCGCAGAGCATTCACAGAGTAGGATATCATTTCAGGCCAAATCCTTCGCTGTTCGCGACTGCATCCCAGAGCAGCCTGTGCAGTTTTTCGCGTGTAGCATATCGGTATAAGCTCAGTGTGTTGAAGCAGGTTCGCGCAGTGGGGTATCGGGGAGAATCGTCGCCTAGACAAGCCAGTCGAATGGTCAGACTCGTAGCACCCATGGCAGGTATGCGGTCACTTCCAGTAATGAATGAGAGGATTTTGCGTTGCGACGGGGGCGGGGCGGTCTCGAAGAATTCCCAGAACCACTGGACCACAGGGATTGACTCCGGGTGGTGATGGGACCAGTTATCGTAAGTGGCTACCGCACGCAGGGAAGCCACATCGAGTGGCTCGTCGGAGCCGCGCACAAGTAACTCAATTTCCTCTGGTCGGAATAGCGACAAGGCATTGCCGCCACAGACTGTGAAGAACCCCCTTTTGAACGGTTCGTACTGTCGAGCCACGGCGGTGTCAAGAAGATAGTAGATATACGCATCCACAAACTCGCGCCGATTTGCATTGGTGACGGGTCGCTTCTCGCCTCCCGTACAAAGAGGCACGCTAACCGTCTCTCCATACCGGTCGGCCTGAGCAACGAAGTCGTAACAAAATGTTTCAGCGACATCTCCTTCGTACTCCAAAAGCATGCGAAGTCCTTTAGCGAGGGCTGGACGGTACTCGGCAAGATCATCCAAAGTACACTTGAATTTCGATCGTGGGGAGTTTGTCGTCTGCGGGAGAGTATTTTGTGGTGCTGATGCCAGCAATTTTCTGAACGCAAATGGAGGCAAGTCCACGTCAAGGATGGTGGAGTTGTAGATTGCAAGTCCGAGCAAAACCCCGACCAGAAAAAATTGTTCGGAAGACTCGAAGCAGAAAGGATTGAAGTAGCAATACTTGGAGTCGTCATCGTAGACAAAAAGTCCTGTGGGGTTAGATACGTCAACCAAACGGAATGTACTCTGGCTTACCATGATGCGGATCAAACACCTCACGAACAAGTAAAAGAAACCATTCCTTGCGCAGACCTCCGGCGTCAACTCCTTCTTCCCCAAGGAATTCGATTCGAAGGCCCTTTTTGATCTCCTCTTGACCTGTGCCCACGACTTCACTTACACCGCGAAGACTGTCTTCGACTAGGCATTCTCGCCGCACCTTCAATACAAGATACTGGCTGACCGCCCGGTGGTTAAGAATGCTGTTGAAAAAGGCCTCGCGGGCCTTCACCTCCATCTGACGACGTGCATCATGCTCGAGAATATGAATTTTCGCTCCGATGCTGAGGAAGAAAGGGTATTGGCAAAACGAAAATTTTGAACCTCGTGCCTCCCAGGTCTCAAAGTCCGTCACAAGGTCCGAGTAGTCTAGCAATGTGTTGTAGAACGAGCTAATGGGGACCATACAATGGTGAATATACCCATTCGCAGAGTCAGTGGGACGACATGCCCTCGCAATTGGACCATCGGGCTTGCGTGGCACTTGAGAAATATTTGCCGTAAATAGCAAGGACATGATCCTTGCCGCTGCTCTGATTTGCCAGTCTTCGGCATAAATAATAGGAGACTCCTTTTTCTTGGGAGGTGGCTTGCTAGGATGACGTCGATTGATAGCAGCATGCAGTTCAGCGGGAGTATTTCCGGAGGCACTGGCAAAACTTGGGATCAATTCATTTCCATCCTTGGGGTTTTCGCTGCGCTTGCGACCGTGTTGACGAATCAATCGATATGTAACAAATCCACCCACCAACTCCACGAGGCGTTCGAATTGACTCGGCGGGAAACGTGCAAACCAGGAGATAAAGTAGTGATGGCAATCATTTGGCATGTTAGCCATCAGACCCAGAATTCGCTTCAATATCCCGTAGTGATGGTTGGAGCTTCCAGAGCGAGCAACCGGCGTAGAGGCGTCTTTCCTAGAAAATTTGCCATCCCTCGTTGTTGATCGAGGAATATCTTCTGGATAAGATGGACGCCGTTCATCTCGATGGGATGATGGAGAAGTTTTAGACGGAGAGTAGGCTATCGGAGATGACAGTAGAGGGTTCGCCAACAGGATGAGTAGAAACCTCGAGTCTTCTGGTTTCTTCAAAATCTTCCGAGGGCGTTTGAGAAGATTCTCGGTAGCTTTCATCAATGTTCGCTGGAGATGCATTTGAGATTCGGCTATAACCTTCTCAATCGTAGAAGGCTCAACCGACTCCCATCTTTTATATCTCGCCAGATCCGTGTCTGGGCGCGGTGATAGTTCTGGCTTCATGGCTGCCCACCTTTCCGACCAAGAGCTCCCCGCAGTCAGAACCAACTGATACCACTGGTTGGCTTCGGCCCAGTTGATACGAGGGCTTCGAGATGATACCGAACGAGATTTATCTGGACTTTTTTCCTTGGCATTTGGGGGAACTTGTCCCTCCGCCTCCGCCCACTCCGTCATCCACCAAGTTGAATTCTCTGCAACATCTCCCAGAAGAAGCGTTTTAGCATCGGGCTCAAACACAGGAGCGTTGGCGGCCAGGTCAGGTATGCTTTGATGGTCAAACTTGACTCTTGGGGGATTGCCACTGCTGGCAGATCGCATGGACGGCCGGTAAACGGGAAATGACGCGTTGAGCGCATCACATCCTTTGAAAGCCGCGATGATGTAGCTTTCCAGTCGCTTGAACACTACTGGCTGGTTCTCGCGATCTTTTCCCTCGGAATCTTTAGGCTGTGTCGTCGGCGGTGGTCGCTGGTCTGCTTTCAAGCCATCCTGCAAATCAGAATTTGCACGATTCCGGATCGGCATGCCCTTTCCTTGCAATGGAACAACATGTGGTTTTAGGAGAGAATTTTCTACCCCGTAAGATCCTTCCCGCTCAGTGGATGTCGACGTGCTCCTGCTACGGGGATTTTGTGGGGCTGAAAGCTGTCCAGAAACAGGGCCAGGTCCAGGGGACATGGTATATGGTTGACCATTTGTAGGACGAACTGTACCTGCGCGGTTGTCATCCAGCGCCACCCCTGAGCGGGGCCCATCAAGGAGAGTCTGGAAGTACGTATTGAGACATCCGTCAATAATACGCCTGGTATGATTGACCAACAATGGAGCAACTGAAATCAGTTAGCAAGATTCAAACAAAGCCAATCTTTGCGATGTTACCTAGCCTCGACTCATGCGGCAGTGGTAGCTGGGACTCAGGCGGGTCTGGAGGGAGTGGTTTTTGTAGCCGATCTTTCCCCCTTGGATCAGCCGTACCATTCGCTTTCTTCGGCAGATTCACAGTAATATCGGTGACCATCAAGCAGGAAGTGCAGCGGTAGACCTGCAGATGCTGTGGCCATCGCACAGTCGAGTTACAGGTCGAGCACTTCCCTTCCGCAAGATCACCTCCGGGTCCTCCTTTGGGTACATCCTTGCGGGGACTTGTGGCAGGAGATTTAGCAGAAAATGTGACCTCGTCAGAGTCCGAGTCCGAGTTCCAAGCGGTATTCTTGGCCACGGCCTTGTCGCGCTTCTTCCCAAGTCCAGTAAACGGAGAGCTAAACGGGTGACTGATAGAGCGGTGGTGCCCGCGGTTGTACGGGCTTGTGGGCGAGTTCCCGTTCATTGACGGCATTGTAGGGTCATTCTGATGCTGAGATGGGTACAGGGTGCTCTCAAAAGTAGAGAGTGAGGAAGGGTTCGAGGGAAAGACAGAGAAGCCGGAGTTCGAGATCGGTAAAATGCGTCCGGACCGGGATGGCATAAGGGCACATCTGTTCCAGGTGTGCTTGGTGGAATGTTCGGGTTGGATCAGGCCAGGTAGTGAGCCAAAGTGGAGCTTGGGTCTTGTGCTGAACGCATACAACTTGATCGTGGGGAAGCTGACGATAACGACGGACGAGGACGGAGGGATAACTCTTTTTTCTCGGGGTATATTGCTAGGCTGCCAGCAGCTGATAGATATCGTACCAATTTCAAGATCTAGACGAAAAAGAAGAAACAGAAGTGTAACGAAGGAGAGAAAGTTGTATGTCCATAGTCCTTGGACGGATTGGGAAAGCGGGCTAAGGGTGAACTGGGAAGGCGCGAGCAGTTGGGTGCCTGAGGCAAAATAATCTCTATTTTTGGATTTTTGGCTATGGCAACGCAATCCAATGGGGCTGATCCAAGGATCTACCTTTAGGCGTTTTTAGTTCACAAAGTACGGAGTACAATCTTACTAGTGACAATGATCCTTACAGATACGACTTCAGTTGGTGTAACCACGAGATTGCCCCCAAGTACGCGGCCATCTGTCCTAGAGCATACATAGACTATGTGGAACTACAACTACCATGCTACTAATGGCAGTTCTACAAGACCGTAGCGCATGGAGTTGAACCAGTCATACTTCGTTAATCAAGGGGGAATTCAACATAAAACAAAATGGCTTTTTGGCTAAAAACAGAGCCTTCCGGTCTGCATTAAACTCGGGCCCGTGGCAGATGACACTGCTCGGGTGAGAAATGTTTGAAAAGATAACCACATGCAGCCAATATTTTCCAGACCATACCACAGTGCACTAACGCACTTAACGGTAGCGCCAGTAGCTCTGGGTGTTCTGGAGCTTCCAGGTGTGGCGACGGCCAGACTTGGTGTTGTTGTAGCGGTGACCCTTGTTGATACCACGGGACTTCTTGCCGGTAGCGGTAAGACCACGAGCCTCGCGGTGCTAGAAAAAAATTTTCATCAGTATGAGGGCTCCACAGGAAAGAATTTTGTCCGAGTAAAAATCTTACCTTGTGGACGGGGTTGCAGATCCAGTTGATGCGAGCATCACGGCGGATAGCCTTGTGCTGGGGGTCGACGAGGATGACCTCGAAGTACTTGTAGGTCGAGTCCTGGTTGATCCAGTAGGAGTTCAGGACGCGCAAGTTGGCGCAACGGCGGCCAACACGCTCCTCAGCGGTGGCACGGAGAGCACGCTGGTACTTGAGCTGGTTGATACCGTGGTTGGTGGGCTTGCCGTAGGTGGCACCCTTGGGGGCAGGGCGCTTGCGGCCACCGCGGCGGACACGGACACGGTAGACGACGTATCCCTGCTTGGCCTTGTAACCCAGGCGGCGAGCCTTGTCGGGGCGGGAGGGGCGCGAAGCACGGTGAATAACGTTCAGCTGGCGGAGCTATATTGATGCACTCTCAGCAAAGTTCAACGAGTGTATAGCAAGACACACGAGACAAAGTCTCTTTTGCGTGCCACAACCATTTCCGCCGCAAGTTCGTTTCGAGCCACCAATACCAAATTCAGGCATTTCCTATGGCTGTACGCATACGAGCGCTCGGCGGGAATGTTAGGCAATCGAGGGTCGGGGGAATTTATCTCACCTCCCAGCAGCGAACGCGGAGCAAGAACCGAATAACATCGGACTGCTTCTTCTTCTGGATCTCTTCGACGTACTTGAGGGCACCCATCTAGACAATTGCAAGTCAGTGGTAAGAACTGGATGGGAGGTGTGTCAATTGTTAGTGTTGTATAACATACCTTGTCGGCTTCACAGGGTCGTCGATTGTCGTTTGTCGCAACTGCAAGAAAAGTTCCAGAGGAGAGAGAAGAGGATTGTGTGTGGGACGCTAGCGATTAACCGAGTGTCGGTGATTAGCCAATCATGTGGCGTGGACCCACTTATTGCCACCCTTGGATGTCATGTGCCTCAGGTGTTTCGATTTGGGTTTCTTGGCATCTCTATGTAGTACAGAGTACAGAGTACAGAGCTGACAATCATGAAAATTCATATGAAAACTATATTGATATTTATGTGTAACATCTCGCTCATGCAAATGTACAAAACTTGAAATGCAACGCGAACCCCCAACATGCAACAGATCTTCCTCCTTCGTATTCACGGGAGTGACGGATGAAAAGAATTGAGTCTCGCTCATGACTTCCATCAGATTTTACTAATGCTCGCGGACTTCAAAATGCCGAGAGCTGTTTTTCATCCACTGCGTCGAGAGGCATGGTCTTGACGAACCATATCGTTTGTCACCGGAATCTCAAGACAACCCGGTGGCAACACACTCTTCTTGCACAGAGGACATAGGCTACTATTCTCCATGAGGAACGGGTCGATACACTCAGGATCAAATATGTGACCACAAGGTAATTCACGGACCGTGGACGATCCAACAACAAAATCGTCCAGGCAGATTGCACAGGTCGTCTGGGTATGGCTCAGTCGATAAGGATTCGGTGCAGACCGGTCATCGGTCCTTGGGTTGATCACCACAGCTTGTGGCTTTCGGATCCCGGTGGGACCTTTGGGTATAGTTTGGTGTTCTTCGGGTATTGGTGAAGGCGTCTTGCTTCGGGGATCGACCTCGGCGACTTCGGTTTGCCCTTCATCTTTTGTTTCCGCTCGTGATATATCTGGGTAGGTGTAAAGCGGCATACGTTTCACAACATCTCCAGGTACTTTGATCTGGTTTAGCGCCAGGTACTCGATGTCCACTTCGCCTGATTCAATTCTTTGGCGCAGGGCCTCTCGTCGTCTCCGCTGCATCATGCGATACAGGACAACAAGAATCAAAGTCAAGCCAAATATCGTGCCCAAAATTGCGAGCACAAAACTCCAAAGATTCGGCGACGATGCGGCGGCTTTATCTGTGTCTGGTCAGCGTTGACCATGTACTTCAGATCAATCATGACTTACCTGCGTCGAGCATCGTGAAGAGTCTTGAATCTGACTGTCGTGGATCTTCCGATGAAGAAGTATTAGAGGCGTTGTAGGTTTGATTATGAGAGGTTCCGTTTGAAAACCATGAAAGTTCCTTCATCAGAGTCACTCCAGCAGGGCCCGGCACGGCATAAATAGGATAATTGTTATCGCTCAGCCACTGATTATTATCATGCAAGCTCCATCGATCCGAATTGGGTGGTGGAGGTATTCCAGACTCATTACTCGAAGGCTGAAAGAATATAAGGGCATCCGTGCCTGCTTTTCGGGAGGCAGCCAGAAAGGATTGAGTACACTCCGGGGAAATCCATGGCGCCAGTCCAATGACGGGATAGCCGAACTCTGAAACATCTTCAAGGCGCGTCACGTTTCCTGGAATGAATGGGCTTGTGATCTGATTGCATGGATCATGGGGGGCCAGATCTGGGACAAATAGCAGACCCGATAAACGCCCATTTTCAGGAAGCCCATTGTGGGAAAGCATCTGAACAGTCCGGTCCAGAACGAAGCGAAATCCGACATTCTCCTACATCCATGTGGTCGTGTGAGTATGAAATCTTGAAACATTCCAGGAACAGGGCTGAGGCTGTCCAATTACTTACACTGACTGACGAGGAAGAGTTTGAAGCACTGCCCGGGCCCGCAAATAGCGTGGCAACAGTGCCCTTGGCTTCCGGGGTCTCCGTGCGAGACATGATTGTGGCAGATCAGGGTTGGTATGTTGGATTCTCGGGGTCTAGTAGAAGAACATCATTCACAGGGCAGTTGGATCACAGCCTGTGTACTCTTGCTTGGTGGAAGGTATATGAAGCGAAAGAAAAGGGAATGAGATGGCAAGGGCTATTACTTTAGATAATTCTACTCTATGTCATGTTTGTGAACGATCCCGGCGACTTCAGGCCCCTGTCAACCGATTCTGGATCGGTAACGGCGACAGGAATGCAAAGGCGAAGTAGGGCCAGGACAAGAATGTCAATGATTCCTAGCCACGAGGGAGTTAATTTACCGTGCAATATGTAATAAGCACTATATTCCAAATGCAGAAAATAAGAAAACATGCTATGGTCATATGTTTTGGCGCATTATAGCCCTACATAGGCCGGATTTGGCCGGCCGTTTGCGGATGCCGCGTGCAGTATTGATCGGCACATTCACCACCATCATATTTTACTTTACAAGAGTGAATTACTGGATTAAAACTAGATACTAGAAGAATTTAATTCATAGTTCAATATTTAATCTGCAAGTGACACATTTTCTCATGATACTCGTATCTAACCTGCACTTATGGTGACATAATTATAGTTCATGCGATACGTGCTCAGGATACATATAATATAATGTAACAATTATGTGCGTAGTATAATAATATTATATTATATTTATTTGAAGTATCTATGGATAAAAAGCCAGAAATCCAAGTATAAAGTTTAATGATTTTATTGAAGTATATTTTGGCAATTGATGTTCAGTCATAGGAAAGGATCAGCGAGGTTGTTCGATCGCTAAGTCGTTCAAACTGGGATGGGAACGAACCGCAAAGTGCTGACTCCACTTACTCTCACCGCTTAACATACCGCCTCACGTGCCATAGGTCCCGATCACGTGCGGATATCCCCAGATCGAGGCATAGCGTTTCAGCTTCAAGGGCTTCATCTTGAATCATCGGAAACATCCTGTCAGTAAATGTTTTGATTCTGGTAGATCAGCTGCAGCTCATCTGATCCTACTGAATTAGACCAGGCCAGCATGTGGCTCCCGATTATTGTCGATCTCTAAGAAACTCTCAACAGACTTCCCAATCGACTCCCTGACCGATCCTAACCCCTTTACTCCTTAAAAAGGACTCGAGTCAAGACGCTAGAATGCCCTCAGCACACAAGAGCAAGGGCAAAGGCCGCGATGCGCGCCAGTCGCGTAGTCGCAATACCACCCCATCCAATATCGGCGCACCTCCGCTTCCAAGCTACCTGGAGAATGACGTGACAAAGCTCATCGACGTGGCCAATGGCCAGTACACGGAACTGCTCGAATTAGTTGCAGCTCCAAATATCCCCGATTCCAAGACCCTAGAAACCCTCGTGGAGCATCTCAACAACCTCAGTGACATGGCAGATACCCGCGGAGAGGTTTTTAATGCGGGGATGAGAGAGATGTCACAAAAGCGGAAGGAAGTCATGGAAGATCAGGAGCTGAGCCATGAGGTTGCAGACCGCGCAAAGCTGAAGCGTGAGACAGAGGACGATGATGATCCGATCCATAAAGGAAAGATTAAGAAGCGCAAAGACCGAGGAAGCATCAAGGAGGAGCGACCATTAAGCCATGGAGCTCATGAAGTCAGCCGCCAAGATGGTGCAGAAACAAAAGTTGAAGGTGGTAAGTCAACATACAACTCCCTCCAAGGCCCCGATGCTTTTGTTGTGAGCCTCTACCCACTTCTTCCCACTTACTCCACCTCCCATCCTTCTTTTACAAACCCCATCCACCAAAAACAGCAAATTAACAAATTTTAGCGGCATCACCAGTGTCTAAGCATTCGAAAACAGCGGCCTCCGACGGGAGTTCCTCCCTTTCCCCTCCCTCCATGCTGTCTCCCAACGGCGCTACTACCGGAAATGATGGCGCCGAAGCGCCTGAGTCCCCAGAATCCGATTCGAGCGACTCATCCCACCAGCCGGAGCCCCAACCAGCTGTGCCAAATGTTCAAGTGTTTGGAAGCAACCCGCTGAAATATGATGACCCGACCATCTACCACATCCGAGATATCGTGCCAGGCATGAGCGATGATGAGAAGAAGGAAATCTACAGCGTTGCCCACTTCCCCAAGAGCGATCTCTCCCATATGTTAGGAGGTGTCCCGCCGGACAAGGACTTTAGCAATGCGAAGCCCACCAACCAAGTTAGTGCCAACACTTTCCAGGCCTATATTGAGCCTTATGTACGGCCTCTCATGGAAGAGGACATTGCTTGGCTGCGGGAGAGAGGAGATCGAGTAACGCCTTTTATCAATCCGCGCCGGGGAAAGAAAAACTATCGTCAGGTCTGGGCAGAGGAGGACGGTCTACCCTACGACCAGAGCCAGGATGACAAAGACCAACTCCCCTTGAACCAAGGCCGCGGCGGTATCGAACAATTAACTGATGACAAACTTGAGAGTAACGAGGTTTCAATCGGACCGCTGCTTAGCCGTCTGTGTTCTCTCTTGCGATACGAGCACCGTACTCTTCCCGAAGACAAGGACAATGCGAACTCTACAAACGGCGATACAGCTACAGGGCCCGGCGGCGATGCAATGGATATAGACCAGCCGCCCAACGGATTGCCAGACCTGGAAACAAAACCTGATAGCAAAACCCTTCCCCCGGCGACAGCGTTCCGCGACGCCAATCCCAATGAATTCAAGACCTCGGTTGCGAAACTCGATCACGCCCAGCTCGATGAGCGCGCCAAGGCCGAATTGCGCTACATTGGATTCCTCGGACCCGAAGACAATCCAGACTACGACGCCCACTACGACGATGAAGTAGCCGAGCGTCTTCGTCTTCTCCAAGGGGAACTCAAGAAACAAATCATCACCAACAATGCCCGCAAAGCCCGCATTCTCAAGATTGCCCAAGATCACATGGCTCTTCTTGAGTTCACGACTATTCAAGATGACCTCGACTCACAGGTCCAACAGGCTTACCTCAAGCGTACCCGTACCATGGGCAAGAGCAAGAAGGGCGCTCAAGCCAAGCACCGCCCTGGTGGCGCGGGTGGTGGCAGCCACATTGCTGCGGGTGTCTCACGCCCTGCTGTTGGAGATGCAGCGAAGATTGTTATGGATCGTCGCAAGCGTTGGAATGATGCCTTCCTCCCGATATTCGAAGACATCAAGACAACCATTCCTACAGCGGGAGAGACGATCTTCGATCCCACTACGATGGCCGAATATGAAAAGGCCGAGCTGGAGAATTGGGATGAGGAATAGTTACGACGTTCTCCTGCATTATTTCCCATTCTCTCTATTCCTCTCTTTTTACCTCTTGTGGCTATTTTATCTGCCGGTCGATCTCATTTCCCTACATGGCTCCTGCTACCATGTACATCCCTTTTGTTCTCACATGATACACCACGACTCGAATGACGGGCTGGCGCGGCGTTTATCGGATTGTTTGACTGTCAGCATTGAACCTACAATGAAGATGGCAGTGCTGCATCCAGGTCTTATTGCATCGAGCTGAATCTATTCTTATTTGCGGATTCACTATGGCGGCGCTTTCTTGATTAATTTACCTGGAATATCGTGTATCTATTATATTCATAGCACTTATGGACTGGATCCTCTATGATTCTTGATATTCATCTTTCATAAGATAAAACAAAGGCATTTTTAATATTAGGACCCAAATGCGCAGGTCATTGATCCTACAACACCGAATAACATCACATTTGATATGAGAACCAGGGTATCTAGAAAACATCACCGATGAATAATAACAACCTCTCCTGGAAACCTCTTCAACCTTCCGGTCAACTCCCGCTCACTGATCTCCAACTCCGTACAAATCTGATCAAAACAATGTGTCCCATCAAGATACCGTCCAAACAACCGCTCATCAATCCCATCCTCCTCCTCATCCTCCTCAAACAAAGTCAGCGGCGCATTCCCAACAATCCTAACCCCACTCCGACTCCCACTATGAAAACTAGAAGCCCGCTCATGCGAACCCTCTTGCCTACCCCCTACAGCCGAGATCGGCGCCTCCTCACCAACACTAGTTGCATACGGCGTGTTATTCCCCGTCGTAGCACGCGACGAAGGCCCAGTCGATAAATACGCCGGGGTATTCGGCACATTCGTCCCCGCAGCAGTCCCAGGAACGAGTGGAGAAGGATTCCGCGTCGCGGGCGCAGGTTGACCTGTCGCACAAGCGTATTTGTGCACACGGTACAAAAAGCCTTTTATCACGCCGAAGGTAATGAAGCGTCTGATGTCGATGTTTGCAAGTTCCCGGCTGTGTTGTGAGTACCATTGTTTAATACTCTGGCCTTGTTTTAGTGCGGCGTAGAGCTCTACTATGCCTACGCCGTCGACGACGGATGGACCTTGTTGGGTGGGGTTTGTTGTTTCCGAGCTGTGTTTGTCTTCTGGGTCGCCTATTACAGGCCAGATTTCTTCGGCGTCGAAGCGGGATTCGTCGCGGGATAGACTGGGGGCGTGGTCGGTGAGGGGGCTTGCGAGGGGCATTGCGCTGATGGTTGTGTTGCTACCGTTGCTTGCGGCGATGGCGGCTGTTGGTGGAGGGATGGAGGTTGGGGGTGCCATTGGGCTATGAGGTGCGAAGCGGGTATTAACGTAGCGGGCACATTCGAGTTGCATTGCTTCGTCTGAGGCGATGGTGATGTTATATTGGGCTGTTGGGGCGTAGATGGCTGAGAAAGAGAAGATGTCGAGTAGGAAGACACAGCCATAGTAGAGGAGGTGGCGGATTGCGCGACAGGTGAGGGAGAAGTCGGTGTCTGCGAGGTTTGAGATAACACGGATGCTATTGACACCGTTGATATGCGGAACGACCTGGGCAGATGTAAGCAGGTGGTCCGTCTGTATGTGGAGGTTTGTGGAGGGGTTGGTCATACTCGTTGCATGGTCAAGTCCCAGTTCTCGTCCATAAAGGCCTGGTACCGTACTGTGAAGAGTGGGACATACCAGGCCTTGACAGCCGGTGGGGAAGGATATATTGGAAAGAGCTTTATGTTCAACGTGTTAAGCTCGTCTGTTTCATCAGCTACAAGCATGATCAAGTCGGAGATCGTAGACATACCAATTGGAATCATGCACTCGCAATAATTGTTGAGATCTTCCATCAGCATTTCACAGAGACTATGTACCTTCCCCTCGCCGCCTTTGGAAAAGTCGCGCGACAAGAAACCGTTCTGCTCCTCTAGAGCGTGCATCAAGTCGGCTAGCTTCCGCACCACGCTTTTGTATGTGCTAAAATCATCCTCTTCGGACAAGACGAGACAGAAATTGAAAATGAACTCATTGCGATCGTAGCGAGCGGACTTCATGCAAATTGGGTAGCCTAAGATACGGTATCCATTTGTGCACACCTGAAGCAGGTTTCCGCAGAGCTCCTGGCGGGGAATCACGAAGAACGAGATGTCGGAGAAGGTCAGGTAGAGGGGTTGTGACGGTGCGGTGGAGGAGGGAGCGATGGCTCCATCTGGGACTTGGTGGACGACTTTAGGGCCTTAGAAAGAGCATTGTTAGCATTTCAGTGCAGTCTAGAGGACGCCTTGCATACCCTCTTGTGTGTCGAATTTGCTGTAGAAGATTCCCTTGATCATGTTGGAGCTTGTAGGCGCGAAACCCGGAATGACGCGACTGATAGTGTAGATAAAACAATTACAGGTCTCGCAGACTAGCACCTAATTTCTCTATAACCTTGGAAAGCGCACATGGTTGAGTTGCGACGAAGTTCGATTGTTGGAGATGGAGGGGAGTCGGAGTCGGAGTCTACTCTTATCGGCGGGTCCAGCTCCACTCTTACGGAGTACAGTTGGTCCAAGTAACAAAAAGCAAATATAATTTTTATTTTAGGTGGAGCAGGCACTGGGATACAGCAAAATGAGGGTATTAATTGGAAATAATAGCAGCCATTGCCCGCAGTGAATCTATGCGTAGGAGTTTGATCCTTCCGCATATTGATACGAGCAAGAGTCTTCGAATTGGAACCAGTCCGCTTCGAAAATGGTGTATGAAGTACTGGCTAAGGAAGCGAAAGAAGTAAGAAAAAGAAACGCCAAAGTATGCAGCCGTGATCATCTTGTCTTTTTGGTAAGGTGCATTTAGCGTGCTGTCCCGGAAGTGTGACTGGAGGATTGAGGAATGACGGGGCTGGAGGCGAAAAGATTGGATGTCGAGTACAGAAATGATTCTGCCGAAAGTGTGCTAGCCAAGGGTGGTGCCTCGTCCACAATGAGCTCATGCCGGAGCGACGATGTTGGAATCTCAGGGACGAAGCTCCAGGGGTGTGTGGATCGAATAGCATGGACCATGTCGCCGTAGCCTCCCCGCTCCCCAGCCTCCTTCAGCCATTGCTCCCAGTCCTCATCCAGAGGAACATCGGCCCCCTGGTCTCGTGCAGCCATGGCTGCCAGCAGTCGATGGTTCAATGCGAAGCCACAACTCTCCATCTCCTCGTCAGAGTCTTGGTCGATGAGCTCCTGCGCCCGGTAGTCCGACATAACACTGGAACTACGGGTATCGCTGGCGCGCACCGTGTCGTCGCTGCCCGTCTCAATGAATTGATCATGGTCCTCCTCTGGTCCGCAAAATTCATCATGTACCGTAATTGAGGGCAATGGTGTTGGTGATGCGGGGCGGATCATATGGCCCGTTGTGTCCCGCACTGTAACCCCTTCCTCCTGCTCATATCGCGCCCGCGCGGATTTGGTGCCTTCCCAGCAACATAGTTCCATAATTTCTTCCCTGGTCAGTCCTAACGCATCGAAGGCTCTAAAGAGTCTCCTGTGCCATGTAAAGCGGCCCAGCCGCATGCGATGAGGGGCATAGCAATAGTCTAGCCCTGGATATTGAGCTTCGATGCAATCCAGGGGGCCATAGAAAATGCTGGTCTCCATCCGAACCTCAGGCACTAGGTTCTTAGCCACATGAGCTGCAAATGATGATGGGTCATTGGAACTTGGGCGAGGAAAGGTTGTGTTGTACACAGCCTGAGCGACCGATGGTTTACGCATGTTGGTCAAGTAGGAGAGGTTGGAGGAGATGAAAAACAAGTAACAAGCAAATACGCAAGTACGCAAGGTATGTAACACGAAATGGGGGGGAGCGCTTAGAAAGGCGCTTCAGCCACCGAAATGGATTCCGTAAGAGAGATGAAACTCCCGCAGTGGAGAAAGGTCTAAACGCGGGATAAACAATTCATTGACAAGTTTAATGCTGAAGATGAAGTGAGGGTAGAGAAGAGGAAGATGAGAGGGAAGATTAAGGAGAGAGAAAGAAAGGCGAAAGGCGAAAGCTAATATAGTAGGGTGTCACTGTGAGTTAATGTGATGTGTTGTTCCTGCACGAACAGCTGGTTCTCAACTCCACTTCCTCTCTACTTTGGTTTAGAAGCATGTCCACTTTTGATGGAATTGTTCCAGGTTTGTTAAATCTTCGGTCTTTGATCATTGATCTTTGAGTCTTATGTTCAATACTAACCTTTACAGAGTTCCCGGAAATCCAGAGTATGTATCCCTGTACAGCCTGAGCGGGATTTTTTCAGCTGATCACAACCTGTAGTCGATTACTTCCGGAAAAGCCCTGTAAGATCAGCTCCTCTGGCATGCTTTCTAAGCCATGTCCATAGTGATCATCTACAGGGCCTGGAGTCCTTCCGGGCTCCTTTCATTTACTGTTCCCCAGCAACTCGAGAAGTCAGTCTTTGTTCAATGTCTTGGCATGCCAACTCTAACGAACTTCGGTATATAGCTACTGCTGCGCATTGAAAAATACCCACATCGCATGAACTTCCAAAAAGGCATCCTAGAGTCAAGGCGACTACACTACAAGCATCTAGGGAAATTACTGGTTAGTCAATCTCGGTTATATATGGTAGAAATCCCAGCTCATTCCAATCAGCGTCCGATCCCGTTAAACACACCCACTGAGATTGAACTCACCCCTAGGAAACATGTCCGGGTCACTCTCTTTGATGCGAACCACTGTGCAGGGGCTGTCATGTTTCTTATAGAAGGAGCCGGGAAGGCCATCCTCTATACGGGCGATATCCGAGGTCAGCACTTCCTTCATTGGATCTCTTGCCGAATTAACATTTAACAGCGGAGAGTTGGTGGACCAATGCCCTGGCACGGCACCCAGTCCTAGTCCCATATACGCTTGGGCAGAAGCGACTGGACAAGGTATACCTGGACACAACTTTTGCTGGTGCATCCAACCCGCTCAGGGAATTCCCATCCAAAGCCGAGGGACTAGCGGAGCTCATTCGAAAAGTAGAGGCATACCCAAAAGAGACAGTCTTTTATTTTCGCGCTTGGACATTCGGTTATGAGGATGTATGGGTAGCACTGTCAACCGCATTAAATTCCAAGGTAAGGCTTATTTGAACTCCGAAAATCAATTCTGACAATCGATAGGTTCACTTGGATCAATACCAGATTGGTGTTTATCGGGCTCTCTTGAATTCATCTGGGATTAATGAGGCCCCTGCGCTTTGTGGGTTTCAGCTGGGTAACATGTCCGTGGATGGTTGCTTGAGTGACAATGAGGCCTGCAGGGTTCACAGCTGTGAGCCGGGGTTATCATGCAAGGCTACTCGGGACCCGGATACAGTCTACATCACACCCATCGTAAACCGTACCATTGACGGCACGGAAATCCCCGAAGTTGGGGCTGGTGGAGGCGGTGGCGATTTGTATCAGGTCCACGAGCTAGAGTTACCAGATGAGTCGGCCCTAGCGTGCCTGGAAAAGCTATGTGCTCAGCATATTCCTAATCAAAAAGTCCTATCACAAACCCGAGAGGCGCTTTCAAAGGCATTTCGGTCAAGCAAGAAAGTTCTGTCACTTGATCAATACGGTGTTCAGGATGATGAAATTTCTCTGGAGCAGTTGGTAACGAAGCTGAGCCGGGGCAATGATCAGGTCAACCCCAATTTACCTAACACGATTGTGAGTTGTCAACTCCCAGTCTCAACTATATTTCAACTATACTAACGATGTCAGCGATTTCCATACTCTCGACATTCGTCCTACTCTGAGTTATGCACACTCATCGCTGCATTCAGACCTAAGGATATCCACCCATGTACAGTAGACACCTCATCTTGGTCCGAGGATGTCTCTATCAGGAGACTTTTCGGTCACTTGTGCTCTGGGGAGGAATTTACCCATGATGTTTACATGCGTATGACACTCAACATGCAGTACGACGAGGAACATGCAAGAAAAAGAGCCCGGTATGAGGATGTTTCGACCCAATCCTCACAATCGAGTATGGGCGAAGAAAAACAACAAGCTCAATCCTCGGTTCCTCACACAATACCAGGCAGAGCCCGAACCAAGCGCGAAGAAATTAAACGAGCACACCGCTACCTGCAAGACCACGCCGACCCGGTGGCAATGCAAATTGGCCCCCTCCCTTCCTCAGTACCAACAAACGAAGAGGCGAATAGCTTCAGCACCATCCAAGATTCACAAGAAGAGCAAGAACATATAAGTTCGCAGCCTGACTCTTTCAATGACCGAATGCAATCCCCAAACCAATCACCACAACTAGAAAGCCAACAAACAGATACACTCACACTGCCAATCTCCGAGTCCGTGCTCGCCCCCTCTTCCCCCACAGATGCAGATTCACTCCTTGCCGAATCTCCAACCTCCGGCCTGAGAGCAAGTGGTCGGCAACTAATTACGTCGCGCCTGCGTACCCGTATTTCGGCGTACCTCGCTGCTCAGGACGGATCGTATTCGGCGTGGGAGGATCACTCCCTTGTTTCGGCGTCCAATCATGCTGAAGAGGAAGAGGAACTTTAAGCGAACGAAGAAGGCGTTTATAGCTCTGGATGGGTCTTCGTGCTTTATTTCAAAGCCAAAAGGTTGCTGTCTACCTTTTTTGTCTAGTCTATGTATACCCAATTTATCCGGTGATTGTCTATTTTTCCTCGGGCATTATAATCTCCTAGATCAGTTTCTCGCAAGGTACCTGTAAACTTACCGGGGGGTTTTCTAGCGTCAGTTTCATGGTTTTTGGGCACATATGCCCGAGAAATAATACGTAGTACGACGCGGCCACGTCTGCCGAGTGGGGTCGAGTTGGCCGGGCGTAACGTTGCCGTAGCTCGCGACTCAGTACATACAGCGTTCGGGGGCAGAGAAAAACCAACTTGAATAACTGGGACAGGGAATCCTATACGTCCCAAGGTACTAGGTAGGTATTGGTAGATGAAATAAACGTGCAAGGCAGAGAGAGAAAAGTCATCACTGTCGTTCGTAGACAAGCTACCTAAGGTAGCATGCTCAAGTAGATACCTAAGCTACCTACATTATGCATAAATAACCCGCGTACACATTCTTCGCTATGACACAGACAACAAAAATAGGAGAGCGGAACACAACAAACTCCCGGGAGAATAGCAACGCTCGAAGGAGGTATATAACCGAGACAATGCTAGTGAAATCGGAGACAGACCAATCAAAAGTGTGAGGTATAAAAGAAGCAGCCAAAAATGAGAAAAGAAGAGAAGACAAGACTAAAAGACGTAGTACGCCTGCGTCAAGGGTAGCTCGGTTGCAGGCTCTGCGTCACAGAGCATATCGTCTGCTTCGACAGTCTACTATGTGGTTAGTATCATTGGTGAGAAGGAGAGATGCTGGGATAACTTACGTAGCTCTCCGGGTCAACCTTCATCTTAGGCATTGCGTCATTAAACTTCATATCCTTCTTACCGACAGTTCTGCATCCCTTGACAGCTTCGATCCGTTTCTTAAGACCGTATGTCTGCACAATACCTTCATCGATAGAAGCTTGAGAAACGAACATGATCGACATGCTAGGAACACGGGCACCGAACATCGGGCGCATAATCATAGGTTCAATGGTTGGGATCGAGGCATTCGCATCACCCATCTCCGCCATGACAATCATACCACTCTTGAGAACCTGCACGGGCTTCGTGCCAAAGTTTGCCGGCTTCCAGAGGACTAGATCGGCGATCTTACCTACCTCCACACTACCGATCAGATGACCCATACCCTGTGCCAGGGCGGGGTTGATCGTGTATTTGCTGATGTAGCGTTTCACGCGGAAGTTGTCGTTGTTTGTACCCGCATCTTCGGGGAGGGGACCACGCTGGGTCTTATTCTTATGTGCGGTGTGCCAGGTGCGCAAAATGACCTCGCCGCAGCGGCCCATAGCCTGGGAATCAGAGGACATCATGCTGATGGCACCAAGATCGTGAAGGACGTCTTCGGCGGCGATGGTCTCAGCGCGGATACGGCTCTCGGCGAAGGCGACGTCTTCGGGGATGTTCTTCGACAGGTGATGGCATACCATCAGCATGTCGAGGTGCTCGTCGAGTGTGTTCAGAGTGAAGGGGCGCGTTGGGTTTGTACTGCTGGGCAGTACGTAGGGGTGCTCGACGACACTAATAATGTCGGGTGCGTGACCACCGCCGGCTCCCTCAGTGTGATATGTGTGGATTGTGCGGCCCTTGAAGGCCTCGACAGTCTGCTCGACGAATCCGGACTCGTTAAGTGTATCGGTGTGGATCATGCACTGCACGTCGAACTCATCGCAGAGTGTCAGGCAGTTGTCGATGGCGGCGGGGGTGGAACCCCAATCCTCGTGCAGCTTGAGACCGGCTGCACCAGCCTTGATCTGCTCCTCGATACTGATCCGTCCACAGTCGTTACCCTTGCCCGTAATACCAATGTTGATGGGCAAGCTATCGCACGCCTGCATCATCTGGCGCATGTGATTCGGACCCGGTGTGCAAGTTGTCGCGTTGGATCCAGTACTGGGACCAGTACCACCACCTAGGAAAGTGGTGATTCCCGAAGCCAAAGCCTCGTCCACCTGCTGCGGGCAGATCAAGTGGATGTGCGTATCGAAACCACCAGCGGTGACGATCTTGTTCTCACCGGCAATTACATCGGTGGAAGAACCCACCACCAAGTCGGGGTGCACGCCATCCATCACATCTGGGTTACCTGCCTTGCCAATACCAGCAATCAGGCCATCCTTGATTCCAATATCGGCCTTGAAGATACCGGTCCAATCGATAATAAGCGCGTTTGTAATAACCGTGTCCAAGCACTCAGAGGCCGAGCGTCCTGACGCCTGGCCCATCCCATCACGGACTGTCTTACCACCACCGAACGTGCACTCGTCTCCGTGGCTGGTCATATCCTTCTCCACCTGCACCCACAAGTCGGTCAAACCAAGACGCACCAAGTCTCCAGTCGTCGGGCCAAACATGCGAGAGTACGCTTCACGCTCCATGGAGAATCCAGTGATCAACGCACTATCTGCCTGAGGCTCTGGGACGTGCGCAAACCCAGCAGTCTGCAACTTGGTCACAATATCATCGGCACGACTCAAGTCAATAGGCCCATTCGCCAGCCAGTTACCTCCCCGAATAACTTTGTTACCGGCAATTTCCACCAAAGTAACAGTCTTGGTATCACCGGGCTCGAAACGGATGGAAGTTCCCGCGGCGATATCCAACCGGAATCCGTACGATCGAATGCGATCAAAGTGCAATTGCGGGTTCGTTTCAATAAAGTGGTAATGCGATCCAACCTATCCATCAACACGTCAGTCTCATACACTCATAAAGAAGGTTCCTGTCCACAGCGCATTACATACCTGAATTGGTCGATCACCTTTGCTCATAACCTTTAGCTTGATGCGCTTTCGTCCATCATTCAGATGCACCCGTGCGTTCTTCACGGGAATAACCGCACCGGGCATCTTCTCTGGCAAGAAATCACTAGGATCCGGGTCCGGGAAGGCCCCGGCGGCGGGCACAGGTAGGAAACTTCCATACAGTGCACGCTCGAGATCGCCCTCATCGCTACTGATGGGGTGATGTACGGTAACCAGGTAGGTACCAGATGGGAAAGTTCCTTCGACCTGGAGCTCAACGAGGGTAGCAACGACGGAAGGGAGGACATGGCGACGACCCAGCATGGTCTTTCCGATGGACATCAGGTCGGCGACAGAATAGTGGCCATCGCGAATAAGCTTCAGTATAACGAGCGGTTAGTCGCATATTCTATGGTAAATTGCATTGCCATTGGCTGTTGTATTTGTATCGTTCTTCCGATAGAGGGGAAAGAGTAAAAAAAAGTGGGGAAAGCGTACCTCGTGCAGGACGGATGAGATCAAGGCCTGCAGCACACAAATTAGCGTCGGGTGCTTCCACCCACGGATCTTCATGCTTGTTTGTTGATCAAGTATAGTAACATACCACTGCCTCTGCGTGGTTAAGGCGAACACCGCGGGCCAGACGCCGTTGGGCTAAGAACCCGAGGTTTGAGAGGGTGAGCTTGTCAAGCTGTAACCGGATGTCAGTGGAAGGGATCTTGATCATTTTCAAGATGCTTGGCAAAGTACCTCCTTCGGAATGAGCTGCATGACGCAGGTGGAACCCGAACCTCTAGCTAGGGAGTAGAATTTTGAAAAGGTTGAACTTGCCCTGATAGCAAATCCCCAGGAGGTTGGGAAAGGGAATGTGGGGGACGCCGGTATATTTCAAGTCGAAAGCCGATGGTGAACTCCGATAACGTTGATAAGAGTCAACTCGCTGGCCGATTGGATCCTTACATTTTCCCCATTTTAGTCACGGTTTTGCTAATAGATTTCTGTCAGGACCCAGAGGACCCATTCATAGGAATTCTCATGAATAATAGTATTGAATGAAATGTTTAATTACTTTTAAGGCTTGCTTGGATTCTGGTAGGTTCACAATTGATACACTTTTTTCCCTTACGGCCCCGCAAATTAAAATTTCTTCGCTTATACTTGGCTTCACATGAGTATTTCCAATGTTTTTACTATACATATACCATTTGACTAAGTCTCCTACCCAGTCTCCTAGCTTCTTTCCTACCCTATTTTTTAAAAAAAAAGTGGATATAGAAGGGCTGCAAAACAGTCGGGGGCTGTGGGTTCAAAACGTATCCAAAATTACTACGGTATGATTACACAAGTAATAGAAGGGTTGACTGAATCAAAAGCTATGTTGGAATTGATAATTTTGCTACCGGAAACTCGATTAAAAAGTACACTTAAACCTCGCTCTTGCGCTTCTTGGCCTTGCTCTTTCCAGTAGCGGGTGTCTCTTTAGCCGCGGGCTCCGCCTTTCTGCTGCGGGATCCTCTCTTAACAGGCGAGGTCTGCTTCACAGCCGACTCGGGAACTTCGGGGACTTCCTTCTTAGCATCACTGCCGCGACGACGCTTGGTGCTGCGAGGGGTCTTCTCCTTGGGAGGAGGCTGGACGGGAGATGGGGAAGACTCGCGAGATTCCTCATCATTATCCTCTTCTTCGTCCTCGGAGGAAGAAGACTCGTTCTCAGAAGCTTCTTTGGGGATATCGGCGAAGTCCGCCTGGAGCTGGGTAGCAGCAGGATCCTGCTCATCTTCAAGCTTGCCGGCCTTATAGGCAGCCATATCGACCTTGTACTTCTCGTAATTCTGAGAATACAACTCCTTCCAGACCTGTGAAGTTGTCAGATATCATTTTCTAATATTTGATATGGATTTGCTTTCTTACCTCCTTAGCGGAAGCAGGCATCTCTTGCCAGCGGCGGGTACCCTCGTCAGCGACATCCTTGGGCTTCGCAGTCTCACCCAGATCGGCGGCGATCTTAGAGCGGTTGCTCTGCATATACAGGAAGTACGGAGTCAGGGCACGCTTGGGCGCATTGGGGTCAACGGGCGCGCGCTTGCGCTTCTTGGTGCCAGCCTCAGACTTGGCAGGGCTGCTGGGGCGGTCGAGGTTGCCAAGAGACAGACCAGTGGGGACAGCAGGGAGATCAATGGTGGCAGGGCCACCGTTGATAACATTGTTGGCGTGCTCCAGGTAGGCCTTGCTCAGATCGGCAATGTAACCCTGGAGGGTCATCAAGCGCACAAGGATCTATGTAATTGTGAGTATTGCGGTGACCTTTCACTTGGTCATTGACCAGAGAAAATGAAATGAATATATCGCATGGGTATGCTATGAGAATATGAGATGCGCGACAGGCTGGGGGGGAACGGTTTCAGTGTTGAAGGATAATACACGCATGATGTCATGACCGTTGACAGCGTTGACTTCGATCAGACAAATATAAATATTTGAGAGAATTCTCAAGTAATATGTTCGCATCGCCAATGACCTTTTAGGTGGAAAGGAGCAGGGGCGATGGTATAGGTAAAAAAACTCTTGTTGATATGCGACGCGTAGGCAGCGCGTGAAAGTGGGCGCACCGGAAAATAACAAAAAAGAAAGAAAAAAAAGGCCCAAGACATAAGATGAAAGGGAAAAGGGAACGCGAATAATGAAGAAAGAGAAACATACCGCATCCTTGGAGTCGCGCAACTCATCAACATTAACTTGAACAGTGGCCTGTTCGGACTTAGAATCGGTGGGAGCCATTTTGGTAATGCCGAGTGTGTGGAAGGGGGAATGGAAGAAATTTCTGGGGGGGTGGAAGGGCCGGTAGGAATAGGGGGCCGATGGGGGGGGAAGTCAAGGCTAAATAACCCACCCTGAGCAAGCCTGCAACTTCCTTAAGCCCCGGTATGTTTGACCAGTCGCTGCTTTAGGCTTAGGCCTCTTCATGCTCGGGGCTCAGGTGTTGCCTCACCCGGTCATGCGGTAACCCGGGGGGGGGGGGGGGGGGCCTTTGGCTCTGGGCTTGTGACATCCTTAAGCATTAAACCCACTATATAATTTGTCTTTTAAATAATTTGTTTTTAAATCTAAAAAACTACTCAACATTTCAATGGCTTGATTTACATGAATAATATTTCTCCATTATATAAGTACAAGTTCGAACAGTCCGGTCGCTTGAGGCATATTCCCATTATATATTTCGGCAGTGGTCCAGAGGCCATGTGCGGTCGCAATGGTTAAACCCCAACGCCCAGGTGCGGACTACCAAGGTCGCAAAATATATCTTCTTACCAAGTAGGTATCCAGCAAGTAGGTATCCAGCTACCCAGGGCATTGATCAGATCTCTTTCAAATGTTACGAAACTTGGAATAAGAAGGCTTGGAAATAGTTTGTTATATCTCGAGATAAAAAAAAATCAAAATTTATACAGACAAATGCAGCTGTAGGATGGATGCCGCTTGGAAGAACAACGCTGAAAACCAGACACACATTAATGTACATGTTTTCGCATGTCATTATGTGTCGGCTCTAATATTCTACATGTCATCTAGAACTTGAACACCTGGTCCTTGTTGTAGCCAAGGTCCTTCAGGATACCCTCAAGCTCACCCTGGTCCTGGGGGCTGACCTTACCGCCAGAGATAGCCTTGTACAGACCAGGCGGGCCACAGACGAAGAGCTTAATGTTCTCCTCCTTGGGCTCGGGCAGAACGGTCTTCAGCAGCTCCTTGCTGATGAAGCCCTTACCACCGGTCCACTCCTTGGGGGGCTGGTCGAGGACGTAGAAGGCACGGAAGCGCTGGGGGTAGGTGTTCTCCAACTCTTCGAGCTCCTTCTTCAACAGGATATCCTCCTCCTTGACGTTGCCAAAGACCAGGGTAACCTTGGTGCGGTCATCGGGGTTCTTGAAGATCTGGCGGGCCAGCTGGTACATGGGGGTGATACCAGTACCACCAGCAATCAGTGCGATGTGGTTGTGCTTGTTGGACTCCCAGGGGTACTTGACGATGGGGCCTTTGAAGGCGAGGCGCTGGTCGACGGCAAGCGAGTGGATGTGCTCAGACATGGGTCCACCGGGGTAGACCTTGACAACGAGATCGAGGTAGCCGGGTTGGTCTAAGAGGGATTAGAGAGATGGCAAAATGAGAAGGCTGAAAGAATCCTACCCTCATCGCTAGTCGGGGTGTAGGGGCGCAGGGTGAACTTCTCCTTGCCCTCAGGCTTGAAGCGGGTCAGCAAAGCAGCTGTTATCTTGGGTCAGCACGGAACTCTTTTCAACACAGAAAGAGGGGAAGCGCTTACAGGCAACGGGAAGACCACTAACGGCCTCCTTGTCCTCGAACTCAAAGCGGATCTTCTTAGTGTTGTGGCTGAGGGTCTCAATGGCTGCAACCTTCAGGTCCACCCAGTCCTGGCCGTTGAAGACCTTGGCGCGCTCCTTGGGCTCAGCAACAGCAGAGCTGTTGTAGCGGTAAACACCTGCAGCGAGACCAGCGAGACCGACACCAATGTAGATGGGAGTCAGGTTGGACTTCTTGGGAGCAGCCTCCGCGGAGTAGTTGCGGATGGTCTAAAACAGAATGGTTAATTTTGCACAATGTGAGCAGTCACTTCTGACAAACCTGCTTAAGAGGCTGCGCACAGCGGAAAGCCTGACGAGCAAACATATTTGCAGATGAGTTGAGAAATTAAATAGGTCAATGGGGGTAAGGGAGAGTGAAGGAAGAGAGGGTTAAAAGATGGAAGAAATCGGGTGCGGAAAGCGGACAGGCTTGCTCGGCTCCCCAACACATGACGCAATTTGGGGATTCCTGTAATCTTAGGATTGACGGATATACGGTTTTCGCAACATTGCGTAACGTGGAGAACAGGGTCCCCAATTTTATGAGTAATCCTAACACTACTCCGTACCTTTTGATCCGTTGCGTATCTCCGAGATACAGGCTGCGAATGGCTCGGTGGGGGTTCGGTTCAGGCACACCCGCCCCTCATTACTGCATTACTGCTACTGTTGTGGCGCCCGGAATAATAACCGTGTCTATGCCTGGCCAAGGCCGTAAATAAATCTAGAATTGCGGCCCGCCTCAATGTTTTAAGCATGGGACACGGACCATGTGAACTCGTACCTTATTCCCCAAGAAATTCATAGTGAACCGTTTTACAATCTGAAATGTCTGCCATGTCTCCATAGCGGCCGGATATCTGTTACATCTTTGTGAATTGTCCAGCAGAGGATCTAGGATCAATGCAGAATGATCTACAAAGGACAGATGCAAGACGTGAACCCGATATTTTTGAAATTTAACCTCAGATGCCACTATACGGGACTAGAGACATCTCCCCATCACTGGGTACAAACAGGCCGTATCCGCGCGGCCAAATCTTTCATGCATTCCATGGCCATAACGCAGTTATTCATCCACACTCCATCCAAAAACCCAGAAACATTACATTTAAGCAAAGGTCGAAGGGCGAGAGTAGGCGTACAGCTTCTTGCCGGGGTTGGCGGAGCGGTGGGGCAGGGGGAACGAGACGTTCTTGCCGAGGAGCTGCTTGATGTAGGGACGGCGGATGCTGTCGTTATCGGTGATCTCAACGACCTTGAGGACCTGTGGGGCTGTTAGAATGATCTGGAAATTCGGGAATTGATTCGGGACGTACGTGGATGGAACCGAAGCGGGCACGGTGACGGGCAGCCATGTCCTGGTAGAGAGCATCGACGGCGTCGGTGCGGCTCATCTCGCGGAACTCCTTGTACATGTTGTGGGTACCGGAGCGCGAGTCGTAGCGGAGCCAGATACCGAAGTTCTTGACCTTGAGGGGGCGCTTCTCAGTGATCTAAATGGCAATTAGCAGTTGTTCTGGTTCCGTAGGGAAAAATTCGGTACGTACCACGTTCAAGCTGACGATCTCACCGTTGGACTTCTTCAGCTTGCGGAGCTGAGCAAGGAAGTACCAGAACCGAGACTTAGCGACAACGGTGTTGGGCGCAAAGATGCGCATGCGGTACAGCTTGGGCGTGGGGTTCGCCTCGGTGGGCAGGTGACGCCCGATAACCTGGTACTCAGTAAGACGCCCTGTGGTGAATCCGTCAGTCATGACTCCTAGAATAGTTTGCGATCAACAATTCTCCTCGGACAGTGTAGCGATTTGCGATGGTGGTAGTCGATTATCCCTGCAGGCGACCAGGGGGACGTAGGTCGAAGTTGAAAAATTCGAGATTGGTATTTCAGATGGACTTTGTTGACTTCAAGTCGACCCCAGCGTAGAAATTCCTCCACAATAATATCGCCAATGAATTGAATGTTGTTCTTGTTGTTGTTTCGAGACCCTTATGTCCTTATTGAAGAAATTGTCGCTCCGCCTGATACATTGTCCGACCGATCGCACACACCGTAACCGTCTCGAGGAGAATGCTGGAAAATCGAAAAAAGTGACACGTACCCATCTGCAAAATGAAATGTTAGCAATGACTTCGTCGGAGGTGAATATGGGGGTGTACTGACTGTGATTGTCGCTGTGGTGGTTGAGTCGTTAGTGTGCCGGGGAAGAGGAAATCAGGAAGTGTGTTGCATTGTGCTTAGGGCTATCGCCCTTCGGTTAAGCGAGTGGATCATATCGGGTTTGCACTAGTCCTAAATAGGAAGGGACGGGGGGCTGCTCCTTCCGCCACTTTTTCTGCACCGCCACACCTCTTCCGCCCCACGTTGCGACAGTACTAGCGTGGGACTTGCGCGAAGCTTTCCGAGGCACTTTGAATCTACACTTCTGAAGGCCTTCTCCTTGCCTGACCCCGCCAGATATCAGGAGGTTCACCATGACCATCGTTACAGAGTTTCGAAATGCCTACAGTCATGGCTCTGGTCCAGGTCTCGCCGCGGTATTCACGCCAATTGCGACCCCGAATAGCCCACTTCGCTTGACCTCGTTCTACGAATCCACCAACGCCCAATACCTCACCCCGGACCTCACTGAAGCCTTGTTCCCAAGAAAAGTCCTCAAGCTGCCGAAATCTGAACAACATGCTTGGGTCAGCGTCTTTTCCGCATACTGGGAAGCGGTGGGAGAGGTGTTAAAGTTCGAAAATCGGCATCCTGGGGCCAGTGCAGCGGCTATTTTCAAAGCTTGGAAGAAGCTGGCTATGGCGCTGAACAAAGGGTACACAGACGCCGGTTTCCCTGCCTGGACATTACCGTGCATGTACACCGTCGGCAAGTTCTTGCGTACCTTTGCGATTAAGGCCGACAACGAGGCAGCCTCTCAGAGTTCGACGAGTTTTGAAGTCCTGGATGACGTAGCAGCTGATGTCGAGAAGAACGCTAACTTAGAGGATGGCGCTCGAATTATCAATCGCATGTTTACCTTGTGCTTGACTGACCGGTGAGTATTGGTCCCTGTGTGATGGGCTCAGTCACTGATAAGATCTAGTGCTCCCATTGAAGAATCTCGCAAGTGGGGGATCTATAATATCACAAGCCTGCTGTTTAAGACCTACTTCAAGGTTTGTACTTGTCCACTGGTATACCCGGACGTTCTCTAATTGGCTCTAGATCAACTCTGTTGGCCTCAGTAAGAACCTGCTCCGCGCGATCAATGCCCAGTCGCATGAATTGCCGCCATTGGAATCTTTTCCAAAGTCGCATATTGTCACATTTGAATATTATATCGGCGTCATTCACTTCTTGGATGAAAACTACATAGAGGTCTGTGGGATATACTTCCAACGACACGCGCTCAATTGACTAATTTCGCGCAGGCTGAAAAACATCTCTCTGTTGCTTGGAGAATGTGTCACCGCCAAGCACTTAAGAACCGCGAGTAAGTCGGTCCGAATAGCACCAATTTGCTCTTTACTCATCAGCCTAATAGGTTAATTCTCATGTATTTGATTCCTTGCCATTTGGTAACGACTCATACTCTCCCCAGTGCAAAATTACTCGCAAATTTTCCACAACTCGAGTTGCTTTTCCGTCCTCTGTCGAAATGCATTCGAAAAGGTGATCTTGTTGGCTTTGACACAGCCATGGCCGCCGGTGAAGAGGAGTTTGTGAAGAGGCGCATCTACTTGCCCCTGGAGCGAGGGCGTGACATTGCCCTACGCAATCTCTTCCGAAAGGTTTTCATTGCGGGTGGTTTCGAAGAGCCTAAAGAGGGCCAGCCACCAATACGGCGAACTCGTGTACCCGTTGTCGAATTTGCAGCTGCGCTGCGGATCGGGACCCACGCAACGGGCCGGACCCAAGTCGATACCGATGAAGTGGAGTGTTTGCTGTCCAACCTTATCTACAAGGTTCGTGCTAGCCCAACATATTAATGTTTGTAAACACTAACAATTAGAAAAGGGTCTTATGAAAGGCTACATTGCCCGTGAGCGAGGCTTTGTTGTGCTGAGCAAGAACAATGCCGCTTTTCCGGGGACTGGGGTTTAAGTAGGCGAACTAACTGTATAGGTCTCAATAATAACACACGCGCTTGCCCTCGCCCTCAGCCAAGGGCAGAGAGAGGCTGGAAAGCTTGGCTGGGCTGGTCAGGTACCATCCTCACAAGCTACAATGAATAAGATGTCACGATAGAACAAAACATATGATATGATATCCTTCAGTCTGCCTTGTCCCCGAAACTGCATTAATAGTACATGGGTATAGAAACAACCATATCCGAAAAGTACAAGAAATGTAACAGATATTACGTCCAAGAATAATACAGTCTTGCCCTGTTCCCAACCCATCCAACCTTGACTAAACCCTCCAATTCAACGCTAGAATCACAAACTTTCAACACCAATACCAGCCCGATCACTCCCTTGCAGCAGAACTACAAACCGACAGAGCCGGAAACACATCATCCTAAAACAAGTTAGTCACAGATAATCTACCGAAGCCAAAAAGAAACTTACCATATGATTACACATAGCAACAAACAAATCAAAAAACAACTTCCCACCCCGTTCCATCTCCATCTGCATAGTCCCACTCCGCTTAAATGTCCCCCGACACCGGATAATCAGTGCAAGATAATGCGCCCGCAGCTTCGACTCCGTATCAGGTGTATGCGCATATGCATACCGCGCACTCGCCAGAATAGTATTCACCGTGATACCAGTATGAAGACCCTGTTTCCGAAGCGCAAGACGCTGTAGAGCCGGGAGATTGAATTTCTCAGCCGCGCAACTGCATAGAGTAATGCATTAGTTCCATCACATTTGCTTTGCCAGGTTGGGTTGGGTCGGGTCATTTACTATATAGCCGTATCTCTCAAGATAACTTCTCCGACTTCAGTGTGGAAGAGCGTTGCGCCTGCGCTTGTTCCATCGTCATCTTTGTCGTCTTCTAATTCCCACGCCTTGCGTCGTGCATTGTGTCTTAGTCGCGGGTAGTAGTCGCCTTTGTAGAGGTACTCTAGTACGCAGGAGAGGACTTCGGGTTGTTCGTTTGGGAGGTTGATTCGTTTTCCTGGGGATTGGATGTGTGGGTGTGCGCGGGAGGGTGGGGAGGGGGTCTGCGATTGGCAGTGTTGGGCGAAGAATGGGGATGCGGAGAGGATGTTTTCATGTGCTGCGAAGAGGCGATTTTCTTTACCGACATGGATGAGGACGACGGGTGATGTTGATGGTTTTGGAGAGCTTGGTCAATGTTAGTTTGATATTATCGTTTTTTCTATTTTGGGAATTCAACAACATGATTCTGTAGATCACTGAAGGATGCGTGAGATGAGAAAGCACTTACGATACATCTGGAGGACACGCCGGTCTTCGCCGGGGTTCTATCTCTATGCGCCTAGAACTGCCGGAGCTAGAGCTATCTCTGACATTGCGCTTCGGCCTGCTCATGGATGCTTTTGCAGCTCGATAACGAGTAAAAGCACCCGAGGGAGTCTGAGGGGGATTTTTCTTGGAGAGCATAGTGACTGGAATTGATTCTAATTGGGAAAGCTGTCAAGGAAGATAGGTCAAGAACGAAAGTCGATTCAAATTCAGAATTTGAATCAGGGGCTACAGGCTGTATTTATACCCAAATGCTTTACCCGGGTAATTCCCCTGCACTTGGTCACGCATGTACATGACAGGATCTTGACGGGGAGTCGTGACTGAAATACGGGTTTGACAGGGTCAATATTACCCAAATAGGAGCTTTCAGGACGTTCCGACGCGTCATGACGGGGTTCAAACGCGTAAAGGGGGAGTGGGGAGTCGCCAAATGGGCGCGTGGTCACGGGATGATGAGGACCAATAAGGAGGCTGTTTGAGGGATGAAGGTGGGGACTGGCAAACTAGTGAAATTAGACTTGTCGAATGCTGTTCCCCTATTCCGAGGCATTTGGCTTGAGTGGCTTTGTAAGAAAGGTGGAACCGTGAGGAGTGTTGTTGGAAATTGCTGATGTTGATGATAAATTTATGGACTGGTGATACCTACTACTCATCGCACAGGGCGTGGTTGAGTCAACAGCTACGATTTGGAACATGAAAAAAAGAAAAGCAGGTTATTCCCGATCTAACGCCGAGTCCGACCCGCTAGTGACCTATCCGAAGATTCCTAAACACCCTGCGCCGATTAGATCGCAAACATAGAAAACAAACACCGGTTACAGGAATATCTTGCGCGCATCCTTGGGATGGCTCTCGTTGGGGCAGTATGGGCACTTGAATCTGTTGCCCTTGCTGAGTCGGCGTAGCGACTCTTCAGCGATGACATGCCCGCATGGCATCATCATTGGGGGGTTCTCGTCAGTTGCCTGCTCCTTCGAAACAGGGCAGACGAAGATGGAATGGAAGAGATAAGAGGGTGGCAACGAAATTTCGACCTAGAGAGAGATTAGTACAAAGGTATAGCCATAAAATAAGAAGAGGGCGCATACTGGAAGCTCGTTCTCACTAGTCCACTCGGTGCGCTTGGCCTTCATGATGGTCTGTAACTTCAGAAGCGTGGGGAGTGCAATCGCACCAGCGGTGGCGGCCACATAGAGCGGAGAGTCAGCCGACAAGCCCAATAGTGAGCAGAATTCGCGAGTGAAGAACTGGGCCACATCGTCCCATGCAGATGTATTGTTGAAGATGGTCGAGTACGGCGATCCCGGAAGGTTTGGACAGAAGGCCATAGCTCCCATAAGCTGTTGGACCTCGCGCAGGTAACGGGGCACGAATGCTTGGAATTCCCGTCGGGCATACTGGATAGCTGCTTGCCAGTCTCGGGTGCTTTGCCCATGCGACTCGCCGTGGAAAAGCCACACAAATTGTAGGCGAGACAACTCAAACTCTAGATTGCTGCCCCGGGCCTCGAGGGCTTCGCGATTCTCTCGAGACCATTCAATGGCGGGAAGGAGGTTCTTCTTCTCTTTCATCTCGTGGAGAATGTAGTACATGGAAGCGAACTGCTTCCTGATTTCGCTGGAGGGGACCTCATCGACATCAAGTAGACTGGGAGCAGGTTTAGGGGAGAGGGTAGAGTCACGAGTCTCCCGATTCTCCGGGTTATCCATGGCCTTTTGTTCTGCGATCTCAGCTAGAAAAGTCGCTGCAACTGAAAACTGTCCCTCACGGAGGAGATGCATTGCAATCGCACGGTTGATTAGGTTCTCTTGTTGAGAGAGGGCGTCGTGTTCAGTGTTTGGAAGAGGTCGATCTTTGAAAAGCTGAACGAAAGTGATGGATTAGAAAGTGGGACTGATATTGATATCTGAGTTTGCATTACCTTGTCAAGAGACTTGGTATACTTGTTCAAGCCGCTGTGGGTTTCCTTCAAAACGTCATTGATGGAGTCAAAGGATGCCTTGACAGGATTCTGGAGTTTAGCCAGGGTGATGGCGGCTTGATTTGGGTCTACAGAGGAGCAAACGATGTTAGCTCATTAGCAGCGAGCATGTGCCCTGGACTCATGGATTCTACTTGGGCATGCGGGCAGCGGAACAAACCAGAAGCTATAGTGTCTCGGGCCGACTGTAGTAACTCGATCGTGGATTCCACATTTTTGAGGCCCTGAGAAGCCTTGAGCCTCTTGAGCAGCTTATCGTGTTCCTTCTGCACAAGATCCATGATGTTTGGTGTGCGGGTATCTCAATGCGGAGGTGAGTGAGATTACCGCCCGAGCCCAGCGGAGGCCATAGGCAAGCTGAGATCGGAGAAGCTATCTCACACAGTTTCAGCGCCTCAAATGTCGGGGTATTCTGGCATGGGTCTATCTTGTGCAGGTTGAGGGAAGTAGAGCAATAACCAGTTGAGAAGCAACCTCGGGAGTGGGACGTTGGAGATGTTGGATCATTTCCGGGTGATCGCCCTACGCCATAGCCACGTGACCATGGTGAAGGGTCAACTGACGTTGTCTACAGTAAGATTATGCTCGTGGGTGATTGAAGGGACTATGAAAGGCTGTAGGATTTCAAATTCAGCTCTGTCCTAAATGCCGTGGACAGTCAGTTACACCATAGACCGATAGCGTTGGGCTTAGAAGTGTTGGTAAATGATGGGAGTAAGCATTAAATCGGACTAGTTCTTTCCTATTTGGGCACCGCAAGGGATGAGTCATGGGGAGATCCATCCACTTATATCGACCAATCAAATTCACCTAATAGATTTAGGACCCACTCTCGCTTACACTAGCGTAACTCACCAACGGGTATAAATACCTCTCACTTCCGTTAATCTTTCCCTTTCTTTTTCTTTTCTTCTTCATCCTAGTGCACGGGTTTTACACGCATCAGTGAGGAGACATCCGAGATCGTGTTTTTGCTAGTTGAAAACTACCAAATTGACCTCTCCTTCTGGTCCGCTTTAGGATCGGAAGGGAATTTTTGAAAAACAACAAGATACCTCAACCTCCTTGGTCTGTCCATCGAGTCTTTTTATTCGCAGCCTCTTTTGAGTGTTGCCTGGACTGTTCGCACTTCTGCAACGTCTGGTTATGAATACTGCTGGTCTTCTTTTCACTGCTTGCTACCCATGTTGGTGGTCTGCAGAGAAGAGATCCTTCCCTGCCTTTTTACGTTATTGTTTATAAATTGTAGATCAGACTTGAATTATCCTCACAGATAGTCCCACATACCCCTGGATGCGCAGTCGCGTCCGCATTGGCTTGTTTCCTTGCAGGTGTAAGGGCTCATCTGCCGCTGGTCCCTTGAGTTAAAATTCCTAGTTCGGTGGATGCCTGATGCTGATCTTCACCGCCCACTCAGTGACGTCGCTGATTCTGCAGGGAATTTGAAGCTACAATTTGCTAAATAACAGTTTCCTCCTTTTCTTATTCTTGCCCTCTTTTTCTTGATTAGAAATTGTCTTAAGGGATGTCCACACCCTCCAGTCTCTTGGCATTTTCTTAACCACTCAAATCCAAACATTCGGCGGCGCCTCCTGGGCCGAGGCGTGGCGCCTGAGCTGGCGTGGATCAATGGTCTTCTCCATCATCTTCACTCTCTGTTCTCTTGGGCTTTCTCCTCGAGAGCCTGCGTCTCTTACTGACCAACAGCGATCATGTCGACCAACACAGCCGGTGCGTCGGCGCCAGACCGTCGAGACTCCGCTAAGGCCTCCGAAGGCCAGGGCTTCAGAGGAAGCCCCGCCTCCCCCACGACCGGCCATGATCAAGTAGTGCGCCAGGGTCACCAGAGACTAGTATTCACTGACCCCGTCGCCCTACGATACCTAGAAGAAGACCCCTCCACCGATGTTCTCCATCGCCGCTCGACCCTGCAGGGTTACGAAATCTATATTGTTGAACAATGGGCTTGCTCTCGCGTGCACCCGACCTTTGTTATTTCGACCTATACTGGAGACCCATCGCATACCGTTATTGTCGGGGTACTCAGCGTGCCAACAGATGAAACCACATGGTCGCCTCGGTTGCGGATGTACTTTGACGCTGTCAAGCAGTACCATGCTCGGCAGAAGGAGACTCCACTCGGGACAGTCATGGTTACAGACTTAGGAACTTTCCCGTCGGCTCTCACAGTCATTCCGGTTCCACAAGGCGACATTAAGAAACACAGAGAGGATTTTATTGTCAACGAGAACATGAAGCGCTTGGGTTGCGCCGGGCGCGCGGGCCTCAAGCTTCAGGCTCCTTTACCGGCCACGGAAGCAAAGTTTCATCAGCTTTACCGAACGAATGAGCGGGTTCCTCTTTATTATGCTGTAATCGAGGTTGTGAAGCAGTGCCAGATTGCCTTGATGGTATTTGATAAGTTAAAGCCGGAATACGTGGATGGTCTCTTGTGCGATGTAACTGAAGCAGCGATCAGCGACTGGTGGGCAGATATTGGTTCAGAACTGTATAATATTGAACCCAGTGATGGTGTACTGGGACCAACTACGGTATCTGCACTCCTGGGAACGCTCCTTGGCGCACGGAATCGACTGCACACCTATGGAGCTCCTGTTGGGAAGGATGCCTTTGATATTGAAAACCTCAAACGGGGTATTAGTGGGTTCCAAAAATCTCAGAAGCTGAGTCGAACCAGGAGGCTAGATCGGCAGACCTTGGAGCGATTACATCGTGCTACGGCCAAGGCCGCCAATGCGGAAGGGTGGACTGATGCTGTCAAATCAACCATGGCTGAGCTCAGTGGTCAAGGTGGAGAGATGGTCATGGGAATGGTCCGCGGGCGCGAAAAGGGTGGAATTGCCGACATTGAAACCCTCGATATCGATACTTTTATCCAGTGCTGCTACGGGTCAAGGGCGAAGTGGCTATGGCTGGGAAAAGCCCGCAAAAGTGGTCATGATCATTCGTTCACGCGTGCCCCGACGTCAGACATTCTGTTTACCACAGATGATCAGGGTGGCTATGTATGGACGAGTCGGAAGAAGCACTCTTCAGAGGATTTGCATGCCGAACGAGTTACCTCCGCCCTTGATCGACAATGGAAGTCTCCTGAAGTGTCAGTCGGCGAAGAAAAAGATCACCGAAGGAAAGGTGTTAGTGAAAGGGTGTCGGATGCTCGGGCTGGCCTGGGCCGTTTTAAAGATGCAGTGGGCCTGCCTGGCTTGCGATCACATCACCACAAACAATCTCGTGATGGTCCAGAGTTGATGCATGATATCGCGTATCGTCCATCTATAGACAGCGATACTGACCCCTCGATTACCAAACCTAGGACCGCCACTGGTCTTACATCCGATTCCAAAGTTGACGGAGAGTTGGAATCTCGACCAGAGGATGACCAGATTCAACCTTCCGCAACAGCGGAGTCATTGTCCGATGTCAAACTCCCCGAAATTCATGTTGAGACTGTACCGCCAGATACAGAATTAGAATCCCAGATACAGCAGCACGATCATATTCCAATTCCAACGCCCCTTCCAGGGGTGGAAGAAGAATCGGATCTAGAGCGCATGGTAACACGGTCTACCGCCGCCTCAAGTGATGGGGGAGACCGAGACGACACACGGCCAAATCTAGCCTTGATGTCTCTACGGCGAGCTCAAAGTTGTGAAGAGCTTCGAAGCAATGAAATCGGCCCCCAGCGCTGTGACGAGAGATGTCCGAGACATCTTTCTTTTAGTAACGTCGAAGAAGTGGTCCATGCATCCAAACCGCTGGTTGACCAGCCAAGAGTCGGTTCTTCGGCTACCTTGGAAGAAGCAATCGCTCAAGAAGACATCCTGGCATCGGATGCTCGCATCTTCAGCTCTCGGATATTGGAGTTGGGCGAGCATACGGCTCCTTGGGTAGAGCGTCAAGTGGATACTGTGGATGGGCTCAACACAAAACTCTATGATCAACACGAAGAACTAAATTCGGTCTATCTGGAGCGGGTTGATGATTATCGACGGCTACGAGACCGATCCAGTGATCTTTTGACCGACGAAAGTTCCTACCTTAATGACAGTGTCAAGCGCGTTGAACTACTTGGAGCCAAACTAGACTACGAGCTCCATGTTCTCGAATCCAAGGTCGACGACATGGAGGAAGGACTGACTGACTTTGAGCGACATATTGTCAATGTGGAGACCCGCGTCAAAGCCTTACTCCAGGGCGAGGAAAAGCACAGCATCTCCTGGATGACGTGGGTTCGACAGTCCCTTGGCTTGACAGGATCATTCGGCCATTCAGGCTCTTAATACTCTCTCATGCGACCATGCGTGTATGATAATCTGCTTTTCCTTTTGGAAATTCTCCTGTTTTTCCATTTTTACTATTGTACATAGATAGATCGGCGTTCCTCGCCATATCCAAATGTGATGATATAAACGTGTCCCATCACGAAACAAAGCAAATCGACCTCCGATGAGCGAGCGGTACTTGTTTCGGTAGCCGGTCTTCTCTAGATGATCGGTTCTCAGAGGGGAGGGTACCATTTGTTCTCTAGTTCCTCTTCCAGCGCGTCAAGTTGTAAAGTTGTCGACACTTTACATGCCGAATGCCTGCTGCTTCTGAGCGGCATCACCCTGCATCTTCTCGCTAACCTTGATGTTGACGTCGAAGAACTTGGAGACACAGCGGTCGAGGCAGACGGACTCGCCCTTGTTGAGGTCACCCTCGCGGTAGTCGATGGGGACACACTTCTTGGTGCAGGACTCGCTCAAACTAAAAATGACTTTTTATCAGCGCTAGTCTTTGGTAAAGCACGGAAGACGATTCCTACCGGTTGAACATGTCTGAGATCATCTCGACTTCGGTCTCGGCCTGAGCGAGCTTCATCTCCGAGGTCATCTTGGGCTGGCCGCCGAAAAGGAAAGACATTGTGAATGTGATGGGTAGATATTGGGCTGAGAAAAGCGTAATCAATTAGTATGGGAAGTCTAGATCAAGAGTATTGTATGTGCATACCTGGATAAATTAGATGATGGTTGGTTGTCAGGGTCGATTACGGACCAGAAGTTGTCGAGTTGGGAAGCTTGGGCCACCTTTGTCCGCCCGAGTTTTTCCACTTTTCCCGTTTCTTCGCACTTTTTTTTTTCTTCTTTCTTTCTTTCCTCCAACCACGCAATGTGAACAATTCACTGTTCATAATGCAATCAATTCGTCCATGGGCTCGGTCCTTGGAGGGACTACGCTTCAGGTAAGATAAGAATCACTCTTGATTTCCTTTTTCCTTCCTACCTTTTTTATGATGATATGTACCCTTCTGCTTCAGAACCGCTGCAGTTGATGCTCTTACGAGTATATGAACGCACGGACAAATAACTGATTTACTATTATTCCTCTTTGTTTCTCGCATTCAATTGTCATGGGATTTATAACTGACTCCCTTCAAGTGCAGGTCGCCTCCAAAAATCACGAATTCAGCCCCTCATCCGGGCCCAACTAACACAGCCTTTTCGGAATGGTAGCTCTGCCTCATCTCCCGAAAAGGCTTTTCAGGAACGGATACAGGAAATAAAATCTGCCTGTGCAGACCCATATCCCCGGCTTGTGACGGACAACCGCACGATCAGCTGCAAGGAGTTCCGCTCACGGTACGACGGGTTAGCCAACAATGATTCTGTAGAAGACACGGTCGTCCTCTCTGGTAGGTTGCGCCTGTGGTTCTTGGCTTAGGCCTTTCAATTGTCCTTGTACTTAGATTAGATTAGGTAGAATACGTACCTACAGACTCGCAGGAAGCAAATTGATTTTCTTCGATATCGTCCAAGATGGCCACAAAGTTCAAGTTATGTGCAACAAACGTCAGCTCGAGGGCATCGAACCTACCGAGTTTAAAAGATTGTATCGACTGCTCCGTCGTGGTGATGCATTCAGTATGTCTCCTAGCCTGGATATAGAACTTCCCACTAACTGCTTTCAGCTGTGACTGGCAACCCGCATCGCACTGGCCGTGGCGAGCTTACTGTCAATGCGACCCAGCTGCCTCAGCTGCTTGCGCCCTGTCTGCACGATGTTCCGGTTCATGATAGCTCACATGAAACCTCGCCTTATCCCCGCCATGTCCAATTCCTGGCGGATCCAGCGGCAGCGGATATCATTCGAACAAGATCAGTTCTGACCCAGTATCTGCGTCAATTCTTCGTGGATCGTTCCTTTATGGAAGTCAGCACACCTATCATTGGGTCTGTGGCAGGTGGTGCTATTGCTCGTCCATTCATCACCTCTGGCACGGAGTTCCCAGAGCGCCAGCTATCTCTGCGCATTGCCCCAGAATTATGGCTGAAGCGGCTCGTCGTGGGTGGGTTTGACCGAGTATTCGAGATCGGCCCGTCGTTCCGCAACGAAGGTATGTTCAGCCATGATATCGAGCAAGGCAGAAACTGACAGAACCAGGAATTGACAAAACCCATAACCCCGAATTCACAACCTGCGAATTTTACCACGCCTACGCCAACCTAGAAGACCTAATGCGCATCACCGAAGAGCTCCTGTCCGGCATGGCCACCCACATTCAAACTCTCAAAACCACCCTCCAACCTGCTCAGATCAATTTCACCGCGCCATTCAAGCGCATCGACTTCATCACTGGCATCGAAGACGCCATCAACCAGAAACTCCCCAACCTTGACTCCCCCGATGCCCTCGACCAAATCCGCACTATCTTCCAGAACCTTTCCCTCCCTCTCCCCGAAAACGCAACCCTCCCCCGTCTCCTCGACGAACTCTGCAGCATCTACGTTGAGCCCCAATGCATAGACCCAACCTTCATCATCAATCCTCCTGAATGTCTCTCCCCACTCTCGAAATCATTCACCCACCCTATAAACGGCCAATGCGTCGCAGCGCGCGGTGAACTTTTCATTCAGGGCAAGGAGCTGGTCAATACATATGAAGAGGAGAACTCGCCCTTTGAACAGCGGCGCAAGTTCGAGGACCAGTTGCGCTTCAGCCATGCTGTTGGTGAGACTGGTGAGATTGATGAGAGTTACCTCGAGGCTTTGGAGTGGGGGCTCCCAGCGACGGGAGGATGGGGATGTGGTATTGATCGCCTGGTGATGCTATTCACGGGTGCGAAGCGTATTAGCGATGTGTTGGCCTTTGGAAACTTGAGGACTGTTACGAGACGGCCTGGAAATGATGCATAGCTCTAGCATGGCATATCATTACTATGTCCCATTGTACGATAGATTTAATTCATGTATCAACATCTACATCTGGAAAAACGGACTTAAGTCCGATGTAGAGCTCCCGCTTTATCAAGCCGTCACTAGCCTTATCGGTTCCATAACCTAATGATCGAAGCGGGGAAAAACTTGTCACCTTTTGCTACTTTACAACATGGCTGCTAACCAGGCACGCATAGCCCAAGCGGTTACCGTAAGCCTAAAAGACCTTGAGAATGGTGAGAATTCGGAACATATGTAGATACGCATACATACTAATTGACCAGGCGCCATCTCGTTCGACACCCTTACTGAAGCCTTCGGTCCATCCTCTCTTGGAATCATCATCGTGAAAGACCTGCCCGAGAACTTTGTCCAGCTACGCAAACAAGTCCTTTCAAGCGCATCCTGCCTAGCAGCTCTTCCACCTAAGGAACTAGGTGCGCGCCAAAACCTTCCAGCCCAGTATCAGAATCATACTGACAACCCCAGAATCGCTCGAAAGCCCCGAATCCAAATACCTAGTAGGCTGGTCCTGTGGTAAGGAAACCCTCAAATCAGGTCACTTCGACACACTCAAGGGTTCATATTACGTCAACTGCGCATTCTACCAAGATCCAAGCCTAGACAGCGCCCCAGCGGACGGTTTCCCCGATCTGCCACAATACACAGCTCCCAACATCTGGCCTTCACCAGAATGTCTCCCAACATTCAGATCCAACATCGAGAATCTCTGCTCATTGATCATCAAGACCGCGGGACTGGTAGCACGTGCTTGTGATCAATACGCCGAGGCTAATATCGACGATTACAAACCGGGCTATTTACAGCGTGTCGTGGAGACAAGCCTCACCACCAAAGCTCGACTCTTGCACTATTTCCCCGCTGAAAACCAGTCTGCTTTTGAGGAGGAAGACAAAAGTGACGATGATTGGTGCGCTACCCATATCGATCACGGTTGTCTAACGGGTCTTACATCTGCCATGTTCCTCGATGAAGCTGCTACTCCCCCGACGCTCGACCCGTCGTCTCTGGCTGAACTTTCCAATTCTCCCGATCCGGCTGCGGGATTGTATATTCGCTCCCGGGAGGGTGAGGTGGTTAAAGTTAATATTCCTAAGGATTGTCTCGCGTTCCAGACTGGGGAGGCACTTCAGTTGATTACGAGGGGGAAGTTCCGAGCTGTGCCACATTTTGTGAAGGGGGCGAAGTGTGCAGAGGGACGGATTGCGAGGAATACGTTGGCGGTGTTTACGCAGCCGAATTTGGGGGAAGAAGTTGAGGCGGGTTTGAGTTTTGCGGAGTTTGCGAGGGCGGTTGTGCAGAAGAATTATTAGATAAGTTGAATTTGGTCATAGATGCATTAGTTCAAGTTAGTTCTGGTCATGTATGTAAACTTTCCAGGCTTTAAGTCGGTGACGACGATTGCTACTTTGGGCTTCGCTTCGTCAAGGCCAACGGGCAACCATAAAATCTTATTCAACTTTACACAAGTAAGTCTGATGTTTCTACTACTAATTTGCTACTGGCATCGAGTGGCGAGTTATCACATCCATAGAATGCCTGACACTTTTGAGCCTATCTACCTACTAGCGGGATGGCATCTCAGTTGGAGAAATGATCGCTATCGCTATCAATTATTCTCGAAAGTCCTTGTCGCCGAAATGACTCTTCGACGGCCTGTTCAACGTCGTGATGCAATTCAACAAAGAATCAAGACCTTCGTGGTCTTCGCCCAGGAGGATAAATCAAAGGTACAACAATGGGAACAGGAATTAGAAAAGATCAACAAGGGCATTCTGTTTCAAAAGTCGACGCTCTATTTTCATGAATAAGATCTCCCTGCAACTTATTCTTGTCCTCTCAGGCAGGCATACAATGAAGTCAGAGAAGACCCTTCGTAATATCTTCAATCAGAGCTTATTGATGATTGTAAACTAAGAGAAGGGTGCTGCAGTCGGAGCTGTGGATGTTGTGGAAAGCGTCACTTCACAGCCCAGACACAAAGAGGTATTGGACACTGCACGATAGACTGTGCATGTTGTTCGGAAAATCGAGGTTTTGAACTTACACTGGAGGAAGGGGATAAGATCTTTGATGAACTCAAACGACCACTTGAAGCGCCCATTGGAGACTATCTTTCCAGGATGGCGAAGGCGTACTTTTCCAAGCATGTCAATCCAAGCCTGTCAAGTCCAAGCCTGTCAAGTCCAAGCCTGTCAAGTCCAAGCCTGTCAAGTCCAAGCCTGTCAGATTTTGACTGTTGTGGAATAAATCCTAGCCGTCAATGTTTTTTACCGAATGTGCGACAGTTGCTTGACTCATTTCATGTTGCTGAATGGTCTCATTATCTCACCCAGGTGCTTGCTTCTGAGTATACTCATTCTCTGTGAGATAGGAGCCACCATGCAATCAAGAGCCACTAGCGGTATTATTACCATCTCATCTCAGTCTTTTGCATAGAGCTTCACGGAAGAATGTGTAATACTGTAACAAATAATCCCTGCAACCCCTCACCTGATGACATATTAGCCTCACCCCGCACCTTTCGTATTGGAATCAGCATCCTCCGCATCTTGCCATCGAGAAACTCAACTCTGCGATATTCAACACTAGCTGTTCGACAACCTGAAAGTAAACAGATCACATGCGAAATATGGAAAGGCAACTTCACGACGAAGGCATTCCCCTCGCCGCCGCTCAACTTCGACCCGATGGAGAAGTTCCTGTCTTAAGCAATTCCTTTGAAGACCTCAGATGCAAAATCTTCAAAGTAGATTTTGGAGACGAGAGCTGGGCCATCCGCGTACCAAATATATCTGAAGACTCACTAGAACTCAGAATTCACCTCCTTGAGGCTGAAGTGAGTACGCTCACCGAGCTCGAGGAACAGGGATTCCAATGGGCTCCGAAGCTCAAGGGCTACGATTTCACATTCGAAAATCCTATCAGACGTCCTTTTATTGCTGTGACCTGGTTACCAGGCAATCAGCTCGCATGGTCTGACGACACTCCAGCACGGCCTATTCGGGATAAGATACTTCAACAACTCGCCAAAATACAAGCAGCATTGATCGAATGTTCACAGGAGAAGAGTATGCACATGCAATCCAAGCTTTGCTAGGTCCACTTGCTGACTCTACGAAGGAGCTACTACCGCGACGGAACACTATGCAGGGGTAATCCAAAACAAGATTATCCGAATCCGTGACGGAACGCTTCCAGAGCTCACAGAGCAAGATGTCTCCGATCAACTGAGCCTCCTACCGACTGTCCTTCTACCCGAAGTCGATGATACATCCTGGGCAATCGATCACAGCGAACTTGTAGCGGAGAATATCCTCATAGATGCCGAGCACAACATCACAGGGTAAGTTCGGGATATGAGACCTAGTCACAATTTTAACGTATTTAGTATCACTACCTGGGACCTCGCTTCGAAGATGCCCTTGCAGCAAGCAGCTAGTTTTCCCGCTATTCTCCTCTATCAGGACTTGGCTGTACCACCGAGCTCCACCATCAAAAAGGATCAGGAAACATATACTGCGTCAATCTCGCAGGAATCGCCGGCTGGGGAATCAATGGCGATTGTGCAATCTTCGAAAGAGGCGGACTTTCGCGTTGCGTTTTTGGAATCTATCACTAGCAAGGGGACCCATCGAGAGATGGCGCGTAATGGGTGGAGGAAAGCTCCTGCTTTTCAAAAATAGCAACGACGTGGAAGTGAACGGGAATGAAGGAGAAATTGGGTGCTGTGAGGTCAAGTAGAAGTGGTGCTAATGTAGCAATGGTTGATTTATTTCTTCTAACAGGTCATAATTGTTTTGCTAATCACCGCATTATGTGTAACACGTCCACAAAGTACGCTTATTAACGGTCAGGATAGGGAGGATGCACTACTCTTGATGTCTCTTTAGTGTCATTTATAGTATTGAGGATTTGTTGGCACAGATTGACAGTTTACCTGTCAAAGGCGAAATGACCATCTAACAATGTTGATTCACACATATATATCTACCGAGATAATACAGACTCAAACTCAAACCCAAACCTAGTGAGCGCGACGCTGATGATCCTTCAGGTTGTCCTTCCGGTTGTAGGACCTGTTACATGCCGAACACTTGAATGAAAGCGGAGCTATGTGCTGAGTGTCGATGTGTCGCATTAAACTTCCCTTCGATCGGAATGGGGGCTTCAGGCAGTTCTCCCATTTGCATTTCAAATGATTGGTGGTCTCCCTGGAAATGCAGTCAGATATAGATCCATATATCAGAGGCGCCTAGGTTCATAGATGAAGTCGTCCCAACGACTCACTTGGTATCGTTTCGACGATCGTGGGTATTCGACGGCTCATTCGTGGTATAGGTGGCGCGCGGGTCAATGTCGGGTGTTGGGAATTGAACAGCAGAGTGCGACGAGGCCAAGTTACTCCGACTTAGACCATGACGAGCATCAGATGAAGAAGTCCCCGTAGAACCATTGTGGATGTGGCAGACAGCAGATGTAGGAGTTAGAAAATCGTACGGAGTTTGAATAGACGAGTCCCATAGAACATGATGAGATACTTCTGCTGTTCTCATAGACTGGGACATTGATGGCTGAGGGCCAGGTGCATCTTGGATTGAAGGACCAGCGGTGTGGTAGAAGGTCCCGTTCCATTCAATCAACTGGCTCAAGTCGTCGACAGAGAAATCGTATGAAGGGCCGGAAAAGTCCATATTAGGCAAGTGGAAAAGAAAATGACTGAAATTATATGGTCTCGAGTACAGCTGGGAAATAAAAACACAAATCCGAGAGAGAGAAGTTGAGGTTTATACTATCTGCTGGGTGGACTAGGCTATTTCCAATGCGGCTCTTGTCCTATCACAGCTTTGGATGAGGGAGGCCCGAAAAGAGTTCTACACCCCGATTGGGCTTCTGGTTGCTGCAGGTCCTTAGGTTTGGCCAAACGGTTGTTTTGCAACCATGTGCTGGCAACTCCGCCCCTTCCCACTCCCCCCGCGCCTCCAGGAACCTGGCTTTGCCGATATACTGGTCCAATCCGCGTTTGATCTCATTAATTTGGGCTTCGACGGTGGAGTGGAACTGCTGGACCTTGCCCTATCAGAGAGGGATATTTTGATATGCTAACCATATTCTGATAGTGGCAAGGCACCAACTAGTACCAACTAGGCGATGAATATCTAGGAGTCTCGCCTGAAAATTATAGCCTGGCATGATGATTTTTCACGGAATAGAGAAGTTGTGGCTTTTCTCTCTGTTCCAATCAGCCGTTAGCCACCTACGTATTGGTCGAGCCTTGGTGAAGGACCCTCCGATCCTCGACACACCGCGACACACCGCGACACCGCGCAAGAGCAAGGTCACGCAAAAATGGATCCAATGCAACGGCCATGTCCTGGTCTGGTCCATCTGTGCACGGATGACGTGTCGGACGTCTGGAGGTACTCCCCGTCAGCCTCCATTAAAGAACGCTTCCCATCGGCGCGCGGGAACTCGTAGGGCGCACTACCAATCAGCTATGAAATCCCTCTTACCTTTCGACCTCCTGGTCCCATGATCCGTCTCTGAAATGTCCTATGCTCAATGTTGAGCGGTATGGTCGAGAATACTCCCGAGACTACTGTAGATATTAGTGACATCTGCCACATATTCAAAACGGTCTTCGTGACCTCGCTCGCTTCATTGGATTATTAGTGTACATCGGGGTCGTGAATCATGTCCTAACCTAACGTTGCGTCCTAGTACGCAGCCAGATATCTCGCTCCGCTACTCTTTGGAAATTCCTCCACCTGGTCACCATATCGATAAGAATATTGATCTTCATGTTCCTGACCTTTAAGCTCAGCCCTTGCGAGGATCAAAGTCTCCTCCTTCGGTCTCTTCGGTACCACCACGGAACAGGACCGGCGCAGTCAGTTCTTGCGCCGTGAGCTCCGTCTCACTGTCCAAATCCATCATATCCTCATCCATGACCTCTTCCACTGCTTCACTTGAGCCAGAACGTGACTGAAAACCCAGCCCGGTACTGACAAGCTTGCTTGTCTTGATAAGCTCAGACTTTCTCCTTGCAGAAGGTCGACCAACTCCTCTGGGCAAACCCGCCTTTATGATATCCGCGTCGGAGTATGGCAGATGCAGGATACGCAGAATAGCTTGCCAGCGCTCCGGGTCTGAGCGTTGTTCAGCTGCATCGCCGACGTCAACGCCATTTACTCTGGCGAGGCCGAGAGTCTCAGCTCGGTTATCACCCCAGAACCAACCGCCTTCCGCGGGAATGCGAACGTCCACTTCACTAGAGTAACGACGTCCGTTTAAAGTTCCGTGGAGATCATAGTCAAGACGCTTGCTACCGAAGTGCAGAAGTGTGGCCTCGGGCTCGTAGCACCGGCCCAGGATCATCGGAGGGGAAACGATGCAAGTGCGTCCTCCGGCAACACGGTACCAGTCGCCGTAATTGCTCATTCCAACCTGGCGGAATGCGGCGGAGGTCTCGTCAAAGGTCATCTTCTGCAGAGGGTCCTTGTCGAAGGGGATATCGCGGCTTAGACGGTTGGGATCGCGGGTGTAAACTTTTCCTGCAATGAGCGGGAGGCATTTGGTAGCCAGAAGAGGATCTTTGGGGTCATCGTGGCAATCTTCAAGATTAAGCCAAATCTCGTCAATGACAATCACATCAACGGGGTCGTATTCGCTGTGCAGAACAGCGCCGCTATTCTCCATCTGTTCCTGTCGCATTCCGAAAGGCTTCAGGCGCGCGGCATCTTTGATAGCGAGAAGTTCGGGCCCGATGAAGATGCCTCGGCTGTCGATCCGAGCGTTGGGCCAATTCCCCGTGAAGCGCGTGTGTGAGAGAAGACTCCACGAGGCCATTGTAGTCATGGCGAACTCCATTGAAGGATGAAGGCTCTCGCGTGGGACCCCATACAGGAATTTCTCGTAAGAACTGAAGGGTTTGATGCATTGCAATGGGAGATACCTGTACTGCAGCGACAATGACTTGTCATCGCTGAGAGGATCCGGGAGAGTCTCGACTCGAAATCCCCAATAGCTTACGGATATGCTCGTTTTTTTGGTCGCTTTGATGATGTCAAGAAAGCTCGTGGCTTCCTCTGGGGTTTGAGTAATGATACCGGCACGCCATTGCGGGGTGATCCATTTGTTGTCTTTGCGAGCCATGTAACATTTAACTTCAGGGTTCCACTTAAGCGGGCCCTCGAGATCGTGAGTCCAGAGAACAGTCTCTCCCCGACGTGGGATGAATGAGGCCTGAAGATTCAATCGGACGAAATATTCAGACAGCCATTCATGTGTCGACACCCAGTCCATGTTGAGGGGGTGATTTATCCCCATCTCGAGCGAACCACTCTTCTTCAGCATTGCGATCTTGATTTTCCAGTAATCAGGTCCTTCGTCGTCGAAAATATCGTAGAGATCGCTTGGTGGCGTTGGTTCATCCTTATTTCCACCAGTATTTTCCACTGTGGCTTTCGCCGCACTTCTGGTAGTCTTGATACCCGTGGCTGTGCTTTTGCTAGCTTGGGCTGTGATCTCCTTTGCTTTCCCCCTTCCCCTTCCCTTCCCTTTTGTCTGTGCTTCTGCCGCTTCTCGGGCCCGGTCAGCTTCCATTTCAGCCTTGGTACGGCCTGAAGAGTGTTAGAATCAAATATGGTTGGGCGACAGTGTTTGAACTTACGCTTTCGAGGACCAGTGGCAACTCGACGACCGGTTTGCTTGTTTGGACCTTTTTGCTTCCTTGTGCAATTGTGACATACACAAGGACTTTTTCTTCCACTCATCAGCCAGTAGAAATGTGGGAAGAAGCTCAGCCGAGACTGAAAGTAGAAACCGCTTGGATGTCCAAACAGGAAGGTATCCCGCTGTGATAGAGTCAACAAAGGCTACCCACATACGAGCGGATAGCGACTGACCAATGTGGGATCGCCTGCTCGAGGTCGATTTTGAAGCGAATAGCCTTCGGGCAATGATTCGAGCGTGTACTCAACACCTAAGATAGACAAGTCAGTGAATGGCACAGGTGTTATGGAACACGAGTCGAGCTTAGTGACGAAGCAGACCTTCATCAAGAAAGGGGTTGGTGATAAATAATGGCTAAAATGCAGTAGATTGACATGGAGTACAGGGGGCTCAAAGCTAAGAAACACGTATAGATGTGGCTTACCTTCCTCTAGAGCCCCAGTCTCTTCAATCCACATCCGCGCAAGCAAAGATTTCCATTTGCTATCATCTGCCAAAGCGTATTTGAATGGTGATTCAGACGTTGGCCATGTTTCTTTCATTCCATCGCTTAGTATTGGGTCGACCGGAATCACCACCAAATTATCATCGATATCATCCGCACTGTCCATCTTGTAACAGCGTTAGACAAAGAATAGTGGGGCTATGGAGCCCCAGTTTGTAAGATGATCAATCAGTAGTTTTCAAGATAAAATCACATGTGTAATCTTGAATTTAGATCACCTTTAGAAAGCTGGACGTGGCAGTAGTCAAGATGTAGCTGTGAGGAATCATAAATAGAGGATGCGATAAGATAAGTCACGTGCGATAAGGAAGTGGAAATGAAAAAGGTCGAAGTGAGAACCCCAGAAATGGAATTGTGTTTACCTTGATTCTTCATTTCACTTGAAAGGATGGAGGGAGAAAAGGATGGATGGAAGAGTAGTATAATTATTAACACACTCCGAACATAATATTTCTACGCCTTTTACTGCTCAAAGGAAACATTGCTTTTGCCCAGAACGTGGTAAATTCTCTAGCGCCGGCTCTTCACGGGTTGCGTTACATGCAGTAGAACAAAACCTTGTGGGGAGCACATGGGGAAAGCTCCAACCGGAGGTACTTCGGGACTACCGGAATTTAGGGAAATTACTATCTTGTGTTAGGTGAGTATTAAGTATAAAGAAGTATATCTGCACAAGGTATTGGTTAATCTATTTTTGTTCCTGCTGATATGTACTTGCTATCACATCTTGTTTCCTCAAGCACACTCAGGCTCATTGGTTCTTGCCCCTTCGATTTCCACCAATAATAATTTACAAGCCAGTAGCTTCCTCCCCCGGATTGGATTAAGTTGCAATACCCAAAAAGGGGGTGTGGCCATTCACTGGATCACTTTCATTTTGATTGCCCTGGGAAGCGGATCACCATGAGTGCAATTCCCTGATTTGGTCCAGGCCCTGCACTGGAGCCAGCTGTGCTAGTCAAGTGGACAACCCATGAAAGAGAAGAGGGGGGTCCACAATAGCACTAAACCCAACTAAGTGAAATTGGAGTTGTAGCCGCCGAGGGCTTCAGTAGTGTGTGAAGTGGAAAAAAAACAACTTGAATCTCCGAGTCCTCTCACGTGACATCGACTCCTCTTTCCTCGATTCTCACCCAAATTTGACGATTGATTAGTCCCCCTTTTCGTCACGAAAATCCCGGAATCTTGGACCCTTTCTCAAGTCATCCTCACCAACTCAATCCTCATTTTGCCCATATTCTGTGGGCTGGGGATCCGTCAGTCTTGGCGCAGTCCCCGAACGTGGTTGGTTAGACTTGGGGGCCAAAGGCGGTACGTGCGAACCTGAGCTTCCTTTCCCCCCCAGCAAAGGGCCCCGGGCGCTTGCTGATCCAGGAGGCGTGTTGACATCTTTCTAGTTGCCGCGCTCTCTGTACTGTTGGAGGAGCTTCAAGCCCTCGATCCGTGATAAGACTCGTCTTTCCCCCTTTTCTGCTCTTTGGGTCTCGTTGACCCTCACACCGAAAGCTAACCCCCGATGCGTGGAGCGAGCACGGGGCAAGATCCCTCTCCTCAAGCTCCCGAGTCTGCGGGCACGGCGCCCATGGATCCCTCGGAGAATGTGGAGGCCTCTGGTTAGTTATGGCATAGAATCGCTGAAATGCGCCTTTTGTTCGAAATCCCGCGGTCGCTGATGTATTGCTTCTATAGGTCCAGAATCGACCCCCGATCAGAAGGCCTCCGATGCCGCTGAAGTCCAGCAGTCCTCTCAGCAAGTCTCCTCATCGGTCGCATCTGCCTCCAACCCAGAGGCTGAAGGGGCTGACGCGCCGAAGAAGCGTAGTCTGTTGATCCCAATTCCGTCGCGCCGGTCCTCAAAGGCAGATAAACAGGCGTCGGAAAAGGCCGAGGAAACGGCGCAGGAAGCCCCTGCTCGCCGGGGCTCCAAGGTCAGCATCCTGAAGGTGCATAGGGATCGTAGTCGCGCAAGCAGCAGACGGTCGCGACAGGCGCAGGGTGTGGCAAATGTGGAAAAATCCCCAGAGTCAGCCACCCCAACCACCCCGGAATTGAATGGCCCTCCGCGGTCTCAGAAGAAGAGCAAGTTCTTGTCGTTCCTGAGCTGCTGTTCCTCACCTGGCGTGGATGGCGATGATGATGCGGTTCCTGCAAAGAAGTCGACCAAGCAAGCGCCTGCTTCCAACCGATTACCGACCCCCGACAAGGCAGAAGCTCGCACCGGGGACTCAAGCACCGCCGAATCAAGAGATCCGTTTTTTGACAACGAAAAAGCGAATTTGACCGTCAGCGACCAGCCGAAACCAGAAGAACCTACCGCCCAGCTTCCACTTAATGCGCCGGGTGAAGGAACTTCCACTGGAATCAGTCAGCCTGAAGAAACCGTCAACGAATCTGATGATGTTCACCCATCCCACGGACCTGCTTTGACCAACGGTGCCGTCCCCGAACCGAAGGCAGATACCTCTTCTCCCGAGGAGGACCAGACAACAGAAGAACCCTCAGTTAAGCCCACCACTAGAGAACCGTCCCATGGTGAAGTCGAAGATTCTTCGCACCAAGAGGATGTTGTTCACCAAGCTCCTCAGTCAACCATCGCATTACCTCCTCCTCCGCCCCCACCGGTGCCAGAAGTGCCCTCGGCGCCTGAAAGAGAGGACCAGCAGTGGTTACTCCCGCCGCTTGCGCCAAACCTGCAAGGACGGAAATGTCTTGTGCTGGATCTTGATGAAACATTAGTCCACAGCAGTTTTAAGGTAAGATACCCACTCCAGCCTCATTTGATCCCAGCTCATCTTACTCGCTCCAGGTCCTCGAGCGTGCCGATTTCACCATTCCTGTCGAGATCGAAGGTCAATACCACAACATCTATGTCATCAAACGACCCGGTGTGGATCAGTTCATGAAGCGGGTTGGTGAGTTGTATGAGGTGGTTGTGTTCACTGCATCGGTTTCCAAGGTGAGTTGATAATTTCAGAGACTTGAGATAATCGCTAATTGAGTGTGCAGTACGGTGATCCGTTGCTAGATCAGCTTGATATCCATAATGTGATCCATCATCGGTTGTTCCGAGAGAGTTGTTATAATCATCAAGGGAATTACGTGAAGGTTTGTTTCCCCATCGAGTCAAACTTCCCAACGTCCGAACGCACGCAACTAACGAATCACAGGATCTCTCTCAAGTTGGTCGTGACCTCCGCGAAACAATCATCATCGATAACTCTCCTACTTCGTACATTTTCCACCCTCAACACGCGATACCCATCAGCAGCTGGTTCTCTGACGCACACGACAACGAACTGCTTGACCTTATTCCTGTTCTCGAGGATCTTGCTGGAGCTCAAGTCCAAGATGTCAGCATGGTCCTGGACATCACTCTGTGAATGTCTTGTCCGGAGATCTTTCTAACGCCCGAGATTCCCCTTTGAGCGCGTCTTTCCTTTTGTTTTCGTTTTTGGTCGCGAGAAAAGCTCTTACCTTCCAGCATTTCCATATTACTTCGCATTATCTTAGTTCCCTGTCCTATTACATTGCCGCTTCACTTCTCAACGCGACCATGGACCTAGATGGGAACTGGTTCCCTACCGGGCCATGGCCCATCTGATACATTTGTCGTTTCTCTTGTTCCGATAGCCCTTCATAACCCCGGCATCTAACTTATTTGTTTGGCTTCCTTTCCTTCGGCATTGTGTCCTTACTTGCCCTTGCTCCGAGCGAGCCTTGTTTCCTAGCCCTGTCGATTATTCCCTGTTATGCCCCGATTTTGATCCCCCAATCTCCCCTTGTCGTCATATCACTAGTCCGCATTCTCCGATGCATTCTGCTGGCGTCTGTTGGTTATGTTACCGCTTTCCCCCTATGCGTCGTCTATTGCTTTTGCGCCTCGCTATCCTGTTGACTGGGTCCAGCCATCACCACGGGTGAAGTTGAACCAGATCATTCTGAAGCCACATACACTTGAATGGCACCCGGCCGTTAATACGTTCTTTGATCCTGCCACGGCATGTCGAGCTTGAGTTTCATTGCTGTATTAATTCCCCGCATGCAATGTACGACTATCTGTCAGCTGCGGCGTTCTAGTACATACATTTTCGACACATTTCACAGGAATACATACAGCTTGGTGCATTTGATACTATTTTTCTTTTGTAATGTCCTCCAAGGAACACGGCTAGCAACGGTTGTGTAGTTAAAAAAGAACGGCAAGGCATGAAGCTCTTATCAAGACGCGATTTCCTTTGGAGTCGCGACAACTGGATGATGTCAGCAACAAGAACCAGCTTTGGAACTCCCAATCATCGCAATTTCATCATTTGCTCTCGATTAAATTAACTTTCATAGCCTGGTGACTATTCTATTCTATTTAGGGCACAGCCTTCCTCCTCACGAGTCTGACTCACGAGATTTAAAAAAAAGCTCCCCGCAATCATATCGCAATCCCACTTCCACCGCCTGCCGCCTCTATCCATCTTACACACTCCTATCATGAAGAACCAAGAAGGCTGGGACGGAAAATTACGCATGGAGCCGAAAGCTGTTATAACAAATCCGGAGGCGTTGGAGGACTCGGATTACTCCGACCCTGAAGCCCCACCAGTGGACGAGATTGATGCGGACGAAGGTACGGGATCGGGTTTGGGATGGCGTGGAGCTGGTGGGCTAATAAGGTACAGATCTATTGGAAGGAGAGGACGTGGATGTCGAGGTATGATCTCCTAAGCTGAAAGCTCGTGGAAACTATGCTAACGCGCTCCTCTGCTAGGATATCGATCTTGTCCACTGTCGCATATCGTCGATCGCCGCGCTGCATTTGGAACGGTTCAACAAGCTCCAGGTACTTTCGCTCTCCTTATCGATCTATGTTCCAGTCCCATACGAGTATAATACGCCTCCGCGATCACTATCCGCATGGGCTGCAAATCCGCCGAGTCTCGTAACAGTTGGCTAATACGTGAACAGAGACTATGCATGCGCCAAAATCAAATATCCCGCGTCGAGTTTCCTTCCAATGTCGCCGCTACCTTGACCGAGCTTGATCTTTATGACAACCTTATCTCCCATCTCAAGGGTCTGGATGAGTTCCATAACCTGACTAGCTTGGATTTCAGCTTCAACAAGCTTAAGCATATCAAGAATATCTCACATCTTGTTAAGCTCACCGAATTGTATTTCGTGCAGAATAAGATCTCGCGGATTGAAGGTTTAGAGGGCTTGACTGTCCTGCGGAATTTGGAGCTGGGCGCAAACCGGATTCGGGTGAGTATCTTATCTTTGGGACTGCACGACGGAGTGAAGCAAGTTCTGATTGATATAGGAAATCGAAAACCTCGAGACTCTTACTGCGCTGGAAGAACTCTGGCTAGGAAAGAACAAGATTACCGAGATGAAAAACCTGGATACTCTCTCCAACCTTCGCATTATCTCCATCCAATCCAACCGTCTCACAAGCATTACTGGCCTCTCTGCCCTCCCTAATCTCGAAGAGATCTACCTTTCCCACAACGCCATCACCGACCTTTCCGGCCTTGAGTCAAACACTACCTTGCGTATCTTGGACTTCTCCAACAACGAAGTCTCACACCTGGAGCACCTGTCGACATTGAAAAATCTCGAAGAGCTGTGGGGATCTAATAACAAGCTTGCTAGCTTTGACGAGGTCGAGCGTGAACTGAAGGATAAGGAGAAGTTGCAGACTGTCTACTTTGAGGGCAATCCTTTGCAATTGAACGGGCCTGCTGTGTACCGCAATAAGGTGCGGTTGGCATTGCCGCAGGTTTCCCAAATTGATGCTAGTATGTTTCCCTCTTCTTCTAGGCTGTTCCAACACTAACATTCTTCCTCAGCCTATGTGCGGGTCTGAGCCCACTGCAATGGCTATCTGACTGACGATTCTGTCTCATGATCAGCTCGAGTAGAGCAGAGGAGCCTAATACCAAACTTTGAAATGGATTTCATGTAATGCGCCTTTGTAGAGTAATTAACGGATATCAAGCACCATATACACGTCTTACTTGGAGGTCTCAAATTACTATCAGCTAATATAAAATTTTTGTCCTTATGTACTCGCAGGAATCATGTATAAAACTCCTGAAGACAAAAGTAGCTGCAATCACAGTTGCATGACCATGCTCTCAAACTTCATGAAGCTCCTTTATACGAGACACAGGTATATTCCGACTAGGTTGCCCCGCTCTCCATTCATCTGTTAGACTCTGCCTCTTAAAGATTCGTCTATTCGCCTGCTTCCTCTGCGCATCAGTCATAGCATTTCTCTCCTTCTTACTCGCCAACAAATCTCCTAGAACCTTGAGCGGAGTCCCAGTCCGCGCATCGTTCATGTCTTTGTAGATCGGGTCATTCTCGTTCACGATAAACATGCCGTGATACGGGTTGCGCCACAACGCGCTTTCATGGTTGTGGCTTGAAGGTTCGATTATGCATTTTATTGTTCCCGGAGCGATACCATTGAATATCGGGTCGTGGGTTTTGTATTCTTTTGTAGGTTCGGAGGAGGATGAGGAGGAGTTAGAGTCAGAGTCGGATTTGGGTTTGGAAGTTGAGGTTGAGGTTGAGGTTGAGGTTGAGGTTGAGATTGAGATTGGGGTTGGTTGTGTTGGAGTGTCGAGCGTTATTGTCATGGGCGAGGAAGCAATTGCGCGTTGAGCAGCATCGGCAGAGTCAAAGATCGCCAGTATAGGACGATGTTTGTTTGGTGAATCATTGGATATATCATACTGTAGTGAGGTTAGTGGAGGTTTCTGGGTTGCGCGTTGTCGCGGAATCAATCACCTTGAGATTGCGGAATGTGGTCACTTCGCCGAATTTCTGGAGCGCGGATAGGATCTGTCGGGTATCGGCTAGTTTCCGCGGACTAGGGATCATTTGGATGTGGACTTGTGTAGGGAGACGCCATAGGGAAGGTGGGGGTTTCATTTTGGGTGTTGGAGAAAATGTGTCGGGAGTGCGGAGATGTGAGATGTGAGTTGCGGTCCGCTCTTGGCGTTGATACTTATACCGGAAAACTATCAACTTCAACGATTTCATGCATGATCTTGAGAATGATTGAGAAGATTGATTCTGAGTAGATTCTGAAAGGATTAATCTCGTAATGTTTTCCGCGTGACATTTGTATGGTAGATGGCGATCGCCTTTAGCTTGAAATCTACGAATAGTATCCTCGAGAGAACTAGTCCTACTGAATTCTGAATACTCAATTTGCTCGTCAAATCTGTTTCATTATTCTTCATAAATAGCATCACGAAAGCCAGGGTCCCGGCTACTCAATCATTCTCATGGACGAGCATAATCTCTTAGAAGATAGGGATATCCAGACCGTACTATCAAATATGTTAGCACCCATCCAGCAAGAAACGTCAGAGACAGAGACACTCACAGCAACGGGGTCGTTAAAGCGCAGACCCTTGTCCAAAGCACTGATGGCCTCAATCTCACTCGCCTCCAAGTCAAAGTCATTCACAGCCAAGTTCTGCGCCAAGCGAGTAGGGCTGTTACTCTTAGGAATAACAGCAATCTTCCTCTGTGTAGCCCAGCGCAACAAGACCTGCGCCGGAGTACGTCCATGCTTATCCGCAATACTCTTAATATTACATGCTCAAACAGCGGCTTGGTGCCGTGCGCATCCTTCAGGTTCAACTCCAGGAAGCTGAGTGGTCCGAACGACGAGTAAGCAGTCACAGCAAGACCCTGCTTCTGCGCATAGTCCACCAACCGGGTCTGAGTAAGATAGGGGTGGTGCTCGATCTGCAGGGTAGCAGGGCGAATGCGGGCATAGCGCAGCAGATCCATCAGCAGCTGGGCGCTGAAGTTGCTAACACCGATACTGCGAGCGAGCTTCTTGTCACTGAGAGACTCCATTGCGGTCCAGGTTTCCTGGATGGAGGCTGTGCTCAGCTCAACCTTGCCGTCGGCGGTGGTCCAGCTGGGAGGGTAGCGGACGGAGGGGTCGAGGTATTTCAGGGCAATGGGGAAGTGCACGATGTACAGGTCGAAGTAGTCGATGTTCCAGTCGGCGAGCTGCTTGCGGCAGATAGGCTCGACCTTGTCGCCATCGTGGAAGCTGTTCCAGAGCTTGGAGACGATGAAGAGGTCCTCGCGCTTGACGAGGCCATCTTTGATAGCGCGGGTGATACCTTCGCCACACTCGACTTCGTTGCCGTAGTCTTTGGGATGGAGTTAGCTTTGTGATTGGAGGGATTGCGTTCCGGGGGTAATTACCGCAGGCGCCATCGAAGAGACGGTAGCCCGCCTTGATGGCGTTATAGACTTGGTCTGCGCAGGTATCATTGTTCACCTTCCACAGACCGAAGCCCACGAGGGGCATTTCAAAGCCACTGCTCAGCTTAATGGTGGGGGTAGTCATTTTGAGGATTGGGAGAAATCTGGGGGGGAAGGGTTTAGTTCTAGCTTCCTGCAGTGTTTTTCAGTCTGCCACACACCGAATTGCGGATACAATAGAAAAGAACCGGAACAGCGGACTGGATTTGTATTTAAACTTGAAAAGACACCCTTCGTCCGGACAGGCTAAATGAGGGCGGCGTAACAGAGTCCGGGGCCCCACCAGTATTCCGGTTAAAAGGCGGTTAAAAGGATTTTATCCAGTTATACAATGAATTAAATTATGGAATAGAATAGAATCGGACACGGGGCTTTTCCCTCCACAGACCTGCACATGATAAGTTGAAAAAAAAAAGGAAAAAAGAAATCAAAGGTATAAGAGTACATAGATCCGCTCCAGAATAAGATTATCATTAGCAATAAGTTGTTCAATGATTTAGGACATTACACTGCATCCACAGTCCCATCATCTGCGTAGGAAGTTGTATGTTCGGGGCCTGCCCCGTGCATACTAGGACCGTTTGACATGCGGCCAACGAGCTTGTCCATCAAGTCTTCAGAGATACCATCGAAATGATGTGTTTGCTGTGGCTCGCGCGATACAGCTTGGTGCTCTGCAAATGGCATGTGGTGATATCCACCGGCACTGACATCTCCTGGAATGGGGGTGTGAGCACCCCAGGAAGCTTGGGCATGGCCAAGATCCTCTAAGGATTGAGATCCCGTTCCGAAGAAGCCATTTAGCACACTGTGGCTGTTACTGTCATGAAGACCAACGCTGTGCTGTTGAGGGGGCAAGTAATGGCCAGTGTCGTGACCAATGTTGTAGCCAAGAGATGGGTGGGAAAGTGGGATGTCGTGCATATTCATCATCACTGGCCCCCCGTTCCCCCCGCTGGGAATGCTTAGGCTGGTTGGTTGGGATGTCTCCGGGGCGAGGCTGGTCGCGAAGGAGTCCAGCACGGAGGTGACGGCTGTCTTATGATCGAGAGCATCTTCGGCTTTCGTGATAGAGGCCATAAAGTCAAGATGACCAGAGGCATTAAACATATTAGCCACATTGTCGTGGGATGATGGGTACATGGGCCATTGTGTGTGGGATTGGCCTTGGTGAATCAGATCATGAGGCTGCTGCGTCTGGTAGACGCTTTGAGAGGGTTTGTTGAGAAGGATGGAATCCAGGGAGAGAGGGGGAAGATCAACACCGACACCAGCACCTGGCCGGGGGCTATTGGTTTGAGTCCGATCCGGTGGCGGAATGAGCCGGCGCCAAGTAGTTGTGCCAACCTCGCCAGGGCGGGTTTGGCGGAATTTCCAGACCAATATGGCCATTCGCTCACTCTCATCTTGCTGCCCATGGCCCTGGAATGCGTTGGATAGCCGCCGGGAGCTGGGTGGAGTAGCGCGGATCTCCTGTACTGCTGACAGGGAACGCAGGTAGCGTCGGGTACGTTCATCAGTAGACTGAATGTTTTCTTGCTGAGCAGAGTCTTCCGCAATGCGCTTATCCTGGGTTAACTCAGTGAAGAGCTTCGCCCACCATTGCGATTCGAAGAGAGGCTTGATCTTGGTTGATTGAGGTTTCGGAAGTGGGTGGTATGTCTCCATTTGCGCTCGCCCACTTTCATATATACGTGTACTGCAGGTCCAGTCTTCCATCTGGCCTACCATAAACACGTCACCGGCGGTAGGGTGGGCAAAGTCGAGGTCTAATTGAATACCAAGACGAGATCCTGGGGGAGGGAAGTCGGTCATGAGCTGCAAGTTGACCTCCAGCATGATAATGTCACAGTCAAGAGACCCTTCGTCAATGATCGATGATAATTCAGGGAATGATGTTCGCCAACCATTAACATTCTCCAGCGGCGTAGGAGGAGCAGGGTGATGCAGGTCGCCTTGGAGACGGGTGTATGCATGGAGAGCCTTGTCAACGCGGTTAGCCTGTTGAGGCGCGCTGACCCACATGTCAAAGCTGAAGCCATGAATGTTTTTGGTCCCGGTTTCTTGCATGTTCGAGCCTAGAGTATAGTGAGGAGGCGGTAGGTCTCCTGCGTATGGCTGAATCGAGCGCATAGGGTCGTGGTACTGCTGTGGGGCACCGTAGTGACTGGACACTCCATGGTCCATGGAAGCTCTCCATTTGGGTGTTGAAGCTTGAGAATGTCCACTTGGTCGCTCAGCGGATGCTTCACGCACAAGACGCTCCCCTATAACCCATATTAATCACCGTAATTTGGCTTATCCCCATTTGAATAGTACTCACAGTCCGGGTCTCCTTTCAGAAATGAGTCAAGTACTTGAAGGTGGCTCGAAACCTGCTTGCGAGTTCGTCGCTTTCCAGTCAATTTGAAGATGTATTCGGCAATCAACTCATTCCGGCCGTATGACTTGCCCCGTTCGGACCACTTGCGTCGACCCATCGGAGGGTTGGCTTCGAGAGCTGCACTCGACTGTTAGGTCTTTCAATACTGGTAGAATGGCTTCGTGTTGCTTACCCTGCTGGAAGGCATCTTCCAGTTCATCAGACCACACTGGTTCTCCATCCTTACCAGTGTCCCGTCGAGGACGTGCCCGATACTCCAAGTACTTTTGAGACTTGAGGTAGCTTCGTCCTCGTCGAGGGGCTACATTAGGGCCTACCGAGTGAAGCCGGCGAAGCTTGCGAGCATGAAGCCGAGCTGCGACTTGCTGGTGGTGGTGCAGGTTGGGGGCGGCGACTTGATGATGCATAGGAGGTTGAGGATACTTGTAACCCATCTGCTGGAGATGGTCATCACGACCAGCGACATCATGAGTCAAGACATCATTGTATGACTGGACATTCCCAGAGGTATTCTGCAAAGCCCGATCTGAATGAGCCCCAACGGTATCGAGAGAGGGCTGGTTCTGAGGCACGAGGCACTCTGATTGCCAGTCAGCAGCCATGGAGCGGACCAAGGACGGGCTTCTCGAAAAGAATGACAGATTCCAACGAGGAGGGAGTTGAGAGGCACCGTCAAATGCTTCCTGCCTGGCAAAGAACGCAGCACACAGCGACCCAAGAACGCAAATGTCTGAAGAGAATGTCAGAACCTGGGAAAGAGAATGTGAGAGCGAGCAAGAAGGTGTTTATAGGGAACCATAACTCCCCTGGGAGAGGGGTTCTGTAGTCCCAGTAGCAACATTGTTCCGGCAGGTGTGCTTTGCCTGCACCACGTCCCTCGAACGCCAGCTCCATACTCCTACGCAGGTCCCGGTCCCTGGGCCTTCGCGTCCAGGCACTGTGTGGGGAGCAAAGGACGGCCGCCAGCCGTCCTTGCCGCGACAAATCAGGAGTCAAGAAAGGGCACGATATGAAGGAAGTGCTGCCGAAGCAAGGGATGGCTAGCAGCACGATCCAGTGACAAGCGTCTCGGAGATTTTGTGCAGCTCGAAGTGACCTTGGGGCAGTATCGGTCGGACTAGTGTTGACAATAATCAACTATAATCAGTGGCAATCCTAGGTTCGTTGGAATGTTGGATGTCCAGCGACGTCGTTGATTGCTCAGTTTGAGGAATGTTCGTCCATCCACCACCACCACAATCAGCACTGGAATGTAGGTCAAGCTGATCTCAAGAGTAATCAACAAATAAACACAGTACATAACTCGCAAGCCAAAAGGTCTTTTTGTTCAATGGGGATGTGCACCCGTTGCAAAGGAGGTTGTAGTGTAATAGGGTTGGTTAGGGTTAAGGAACCTAGAATAGGGACGAACATGGATGAAATGCATAATGCACGAGCTGCACGAAAGGCGCATTGACAGCCGCAGAACGTGTTCGGGGTATCTCTTTTACTATCTCATAGGTAATCAACAAAAAAAGGCTGCAAGTAATCGTACATCGTTTTTCCCCTAAACGCAAGGGATGGTCGTCGGCCAATGGACTCAACGCCCTTCTTGCAGGGAGAAGGAGACTCGGCACCTTCATGCTTCGTCGTTCTCCTGGGCCCCTACAGTGAACTTTTTTCGTCCTGCGCCCGTAAGCTGTTGGATCTTGACCCTGTCTACTTGCTCTCCCATCTTCTTCTCTATCTTTGCGATCTCTTCCTCGGCATCGATAGCCTCCGCGTTTGCAAATTCCAGCACCAAGCGGCGGCCCAGCAAATGCGTGTTTTTCAAAGCATCCATGGCATTTTCCGCCTCGCGAGCACTGATGAAATCCGCGAAACCAAAACCGCGAGCTGAACGATCGAATTTTTGAGGAACACGGACGGAACGCAATTGACCGTACGCACCAAAGAGAGAACGAATCTCTTTCTTCGTGGCCTGGAACGGCAAGTTCTTGATGATGATCTTGGTCCGCCTCGCCGCGATCTTCTTGGCTGTGTCTTCCCGTCTCCGCTCCTCCGCAGCATCGTGGCCCTTGTGGGAGGCGCGGATGACAAGTTCGTGTCCATCCAACTTGTAGCCATCCATGGCAACAAGTGCCGCTTGGGCTTGGTCCTTGGTTCTGAACTCTGCAAAACCAAAACCCATGCTGAGTGTCTGTCCAGGCTTCTTGGGGTCTGGCTTGGTCTTGATGCGTCCAGTGACAAACCCTTCCAAAGGCCGGAAAACCTGCAAGAATCCCTCGTTGGTGGTTGTGAAGCTCAGGTTCTTGATGAAGAGAGTTGATGTGACGGTATTTCCCTCAACCTCGTCCGCGGCAAAGGTGTCCGAGGTAGAGAATCCCTGACCCTTTCCACGCACCTCTGGAGCGGCAACTTGGGGACTAGCAGTGCCATCAAACAAGTTCTTTGGAGCCTTTTCCAAGAACAAGATCGACTCTCCCACCTTGCGGTAAGCGAGACCCTTGAAGGCCTTCTGCGCTTCATCAGGCCTTCCAAACTCGACAATCGCAATAGTACCACTAGGGGGCATCAGGAGTCGGATGATCGTGCCATAAGGCTCGAACAACGATCTGAGATCACTAGACTTGACACCATACGAAAAGTTTTTCACCAAGATAGCTGTGTTACCTCTTTCACGCTCTTTGAAGGCATCAATGTTTACTCCGTTCGAGGCAAAGTAAGCCTTGGTCTCTTGAATCACATGCGTCTCAGCATGTGCTTGCTTGACAGCGGCTTCAGAGGAGGTGGGATCCAAAAGCTCTGCTTTGGAAACGCCAAGTCTTTCAGCCACGGATGACATTACAGCATCAGTCTGAATGATAATTAGCATGAAGTTTTTTACATCGTCGTAGCGAAAACTCACATTCATGTAAAGGGAATTCCAGCTGAATGATGAGGAACCGGACTCCATTTTACGCTTGATCTGCTTTTGCTTCTTCAAGGGAAGCTTGGACAACTCATACTCGTCAATTTTGTAACTCTTCTTGGCGGCAGCCGGAAGAATATGAAGCAGGCGACCCTGGTAATGCTTTCCATCAAGGGTCTTATATGCCTCAACAGCAGCATCAGCATCATGATACTGCACGTAGGCAAACCCCTTGCTGGTCTCAGTACGAGTGTCAAAAGCCACATGAATCTGCATTCCATTAGTACTTAATCGAAGCAATGAAAAATAAGAAGTCTTGTGCATGGAATGTGGTGTGTAGCTCTTTCAGATAATCAAGAAGCATCTACTAAAATCTCTTGCCTGGTGACATCATTTGCGTTTTGCATAAGATGTCCCTATCAGGACAGTCATCATACGAGCACACCGCCGGCAATGCTATGAAAGCACATGCTAGCATGGTGGGAAAGGGTGGGTAATGGAGGCAAACGCAAGGGAACAAAGTACTAACCTCTTCAGTTTTGCCAAACGGCGAAAATAGAGGGTGAAGATCCTCCTCCTTCAAGTCGTAGGAAAGATTTCTCAAGAACAACCGAGCAGAATCACGGATGAGCTCAATATTTCTTGCCTGCTCTGGTGTAATTTCAGTTGCTTCCTCCTCTTCTGCTGGCTCATCGACTGGCTCATCAACATTAGTCTCGGGCTGGGGCGAAGGCTCAGAGGTGATCTTCTCAATGGCTGCACTACGAGATTCATCCTTGGGGGAACTCCGAGACTCGACCGGCTTGTCGACCTTTCGCTCTTCAAACTCGGCCTGCTCATCCTCGTCCAGAAGGCCTAACAGACGGCTTGTCTTCGACCGCAGCCAGTCCATGTCGGATGCAGGGGCAGCCTCTTCTTCACCTTGCTCCTCCTGTGCTGGTGTCTCCTCAGTCCCGTCCTCTTCACTCTGGTCGATGACCATCGGTTCAGGTTCCTCGGGAGTAGCAACAGGCAGGGGCTCTTCGATCCGGGCTTTCTTGGGCTGGGAAGGCACTTCCTCCGCCACACTAGTGTCTTTGGGAAGTTGGTTAATGACCGGGGCGGAATCCGCGGCTGGGGCTGCCATGGTATCATCATTTGCCCATGTCCGGGTCTTGCCCGTCTGCATCAAAGACATATACTCCTTCAGCTTGGGGTCCTGTGCCTTTTCATTGTCCCTCTTCCGCTTGAGTGCACCCTCCGCAGAGTTGTCTGCATCACGTCGTGTCGGATGACTAGGCTTGGAATCAATCTACAATAAACCTTGTCAGTCTCAAGACCAACTGAACTGGTCAGCGTGCACGAAAGCAAAAAAGCAAAAAGCAAAAAGGATAATGGAAAGACAAAGATGTGCAAGAGAAATGACATACCGGTCGAGCAATATCTACCGTGATCTTAGACATCTTCAAGAAGGTCCGGTTAAAATATTTCACGGCTTCTTGAGCTGTCTCATGGCTTTTGAAGCCGACGAAACCCATGCGGCGTTTAGGCAAGACATGGGCATCTGTCACTTGAAAGCGCGTTGCAAAATGACTGCGAAGCTGATCATTTGAGCAAGTGGGCGGAAGCCCACTGACAAACACCCGAGTATTTTCCATCCTTGAGTGGTGTAGCTGGAAAAGCCTCGAGCAAGTGTGGAAGTAAAAGTACTTGCAGCAAATTTTTTTTCCCGTCTTTCATAGCAGGTTAAGCGGTGACAAAAGCGGTACTGTTTGTTGTACCGGCAGTAACCCCAATTCAGCTGAACCTTGGAAAGCGGTCAGTCGTATCTTTGACGCGCCCGCTTCAATTGCGCCGTTGTGCTCCCCAATTCCTAAGTTTCGTTCACGCAAAGGACCCTGCTACACTTAAACCCGCCGCCTTTTCAGATCTTATTCTCACAAACATGACTGCTGAAAAGAAAGAGAAGATGGAAGGTCAGTCTTGCTCCCCACCAGATGCTGTTTATCTCGCTAACCCGTGTACAGCGCAAGTCAAATCGGTCGATATGGTAGGATAGCTGTCGCCTGATATTTGCAAGTCGAATCTGACACCGTCGCCTAGACTGAAGACATGCAGCGAGAGGCTATCGATCTCGGTATGGGACTCCACCCACCCGACAGAATGAAATGCGACTGACTTTCCCAGCTATTGAGGCCATGGAGAAATACCATATTGAGAAGGTATAAAGGCATTCTACGCTTCCCTGGGCTTTCTAGATCGCATACTGACTACTTTCAGGACATCGCACAGTACATCAAGAAAGAGGTCCGACCCGCCACCCCAACCGATGTACCCCTCCTCCTTTCGATACTAACAACGCGGTCTAGTTCGATTCCCGGAAGGGTGCCACCTGGCACTGTGTTGTTGGACGCAACTTTGGTAGCTTCGTCACCCACGGTCAGCTTCTGCACTCCTCTCCCTCTCAAATTCATACTCATTGCCTCTGCAGAGACGAAGCACTTCATCTACTTCTACCTGGGCCACTGCGCTATCCTCCTCTTTAAGACCCAGTAATCAATGAATGCAGCATCTATGTGCTACATCAAGTGCTGGTACTATATGATTGGAAGCTACAAAATGCTTTGAACAGCGATCTCTTTTTGGTTATATCTTCCTGGGCTTTTGATGCCAGGCTGCTTCAACATGCATGCAAATTATTGCCACATTATGTAAACAGGCTTTTTGAATATTGAATAAGATTCCCACATGCATTGAGCTCGTTTTCAAAATTGAAATTTGTCAAAAACTACCCGACCATGAACAATACATATTGTTGTTGTACGTACCTGATAAATCACATGTGCATGGACCTCACGTGCTTGCCAAGGAGCCAAGCCACTTAACGCCGCTGCCTTCAGGTTTGTTGACGTCGACACCCTTTCTCCCTCAAGTGCGCTCTTTCATCATTCAACAACATCATGGCGATCTGTATCACTTTTGGGACTCATGGTAAGCTTTGAACTCGATTGCTAATCTCCGGCAACGCCGGAGTGGGGACCAGATCCTTTGGCTGGCCTGTGTTTAGCCTGTGGACTACCCGCCCCATCTAGATCGCGGAACACTGACAGGGATTACACAGAGTTCACTTCGATGCTCGAGGGATATGAAAATGTCCGCGCCTACTGCTACAATTGTATGCCTGTTTCTTCATTGACGATTATGATGTGAGCTTTGCTGATCAATGACCTGTATTTAGGCCGAAACTGGAATGGCCATTGCATCACCCGGTGGTATGTGGCTGAGCACCTTGATGTGGAGAGCCTGACTAACGTGAAAATATAGGCCCTTTTTCACAGTTTGCTTCGTTGTATGTTTTCTATCCGTCATTTCTATGGATCTGGACTTTATCTCGGTAATTGATTGCTCATATTTACATCTAGCCCGTGATTCCTCTCTCGACTCACAAGTATAAGGTATGTCATTCTGCGCCACAACAACTTTTTGTTGGAAATTTTTTGAAATGAAGCTTGGTACCTTGGTTGATCTATTGTGCTAATGAATTGTATAGGAAGTCTTGTGCTACACCTGTCGCTTCTCACAGGATCTTCGGTAGGATACTATCTACCAAGCACATGTTGCATAACCAATGTACTAACAAACCCAAGCGATCGGACCGACATTACACCTGACACTCGGCCCCCGGTAATGCCAAACTACCAGTGGGGACCTCCAGGACCGCAATCCCCTCCTCAAGCTCATGGGGGTGTAGTACCCCAGGTCGAAGCTCAGAAAGGTCAACCGCCACCGCAGCAGCATGGACCAGTTGACTATAAGTGAGCGCAAATAGTCTGCTGCGGTGTTTGATTTAGAGTGCTGCTTTTCGAGCTGATTTTGTTTTTGGGGAATGTTTTGGCGCTGGGGTCTTGTTTTTCAATTGTTGTATCGTTTTTATGCTTCCAAGTTGGCATTATCCTAGCATCATCTGATGAAACTTGCCTGCCCAGGTGCACAGAATTTCTGTTATGAAAGAATTTCATAATAATCCATAATATTCATTGTATATCGTATTAATAAATCGATAACGGGGTATAGAAAAACACATCCGACCCAAAAACCAAAGTGGTACCAGCCCAAATTTCCCATCATACAGAATCATCAATCTAAGCAGAGGATTCCGCCTCCTTAGCCTTTTCCCCAATAGCCTCTGTCGGCGTCGCAACCCCAGAAGCCTGCATTTCATCCGCCTTTCTTCCGCGGTAAACAGCCGGTCTTGTCCCCACAGCATCAAATGCCATCATCTTAACAACCCGAACAATACTCTCACGGCCCTCATAAAGTGGGAAGATAACCACTCCGAAAAGTGTACAGAACAGCCACAGGATTCCGACAACGACCCAGCCGGTGAAGAACTTCTTGCTGAAGACGTACGAGGTACCGTACATTGGAATCGGCCAGAGGATCAGCATGGCGAAGGCCATGAAGACTGTCAGTGTGCGGGAGTAGAAAGCAGCTTTGTTAAGTTTGCGTGTTTCTTCTTCGTTATCGTCTTGGCTGGGTCCTATTTCGCCCGGAACGAGTTCAATATCGATATGTGCGTCCGCGGCGACTTCTGTGTCGTCTACTTTGCGGATTTCGCGCATAGATACGTAGTCGTAATTTTGGGAGCCGAAGATAAGTGTCAAAACGGGCGAGATGACGACTGGGCTGAGTAGGGCAGCGACATTGCCTGCTAGCATGGGGTAACTGGAGAAATGTTAGTTAAAAATCCGATCGAGTAAGGCGAACGAGAAAAAACTCACTTTTCTCCGGTCGTGGTCACCGTTAGAATACCGTATTGGGTCTGCGTGGTAACCAGCCAGGCAATCAAGGAAACCGCCAATCCAAGAGGAGGGGAGACGGCCGCTGCAATCCAGTTCTGGCCCTTCCAGAGTAGTGTCATGGCACCGGGGAACACGGCAGAGGAGATGATCACGCCCATGAGTAGGTATAGGTATCCCATACCGATTCCGGCGTAGTAGAGACCAGTTGCAAACGCAGCCATGATAATCGCGTAGACGATACAAGTCATGTGCGAGATCCAGACAAGACGCTTGCCCTTGGCGTTGGGGTCGATGTAGGCTTGGTAGATATCGTAGGTGAAGATGGATGACACGGCGATGAGCTGTGCTGAGAACGCGGATGTCACAGCCATGAAGATCATGAGTGTTGTTGCGACTGCTCCACTGTAGCCGAGGAGCTTGACGGCGGCGAAGGGCAGGACTAGACCGGCTGTTACGTCGTCGGTGCTAAGGCGTTGGCTGCCTTCCAGAGCGAGAGCGGAGAGACCTAGTGTGCTGGCGCAGAGCCAGGGAATGGCGAACCAGCAGAGACCACCGATAACATAGCCAGGGAAAGCGTGAACAGGGCTTGCGGCGATGGCTGCTTGAGTTAGTCTTTCTCCTTTTGATAGATACTGGGTTTGTTCTTGGCTACATACCTTTGTTGTAGTAACCGTTGTCGAGGAATACAGTTCCGAAGTTACCTGTTGTGTCGATTAGTAAATACTTCCGACTCTCAGTATTGATAGAACTTACCAATTATGTTAATCACCCAGAAGATTCCACCTTCCTTTGACCTCATAGTCAGGTAGCTGCCCTCAGCATTACCTTCAACGGGGTGTTGCTTAGCAGCCTTAACCAAAGCATCATAGACTCTGCTAGGCGAACCCAGCTCGGCATTGGTCGCATAGGCTGAGAAAGCAAATAGGAAGATAACAACCAGGATGACCACAGTGTGCATGTAATCAGTGATAAAGGTGGCTTTGATACCACCGAAAAGCGTGTACAGAACCACACCGATAGGAAGGAGGAAACAAGCAGCGGTAGTCGAGACTCCAGTCAAAGATGTCATGACCGCCGATCCACCAGTCAGCAGCATAGCCGTGACGAGAATATTGGTCATCAGACAAAAGACGATGAAGACGATGTGGACAGTTGTGCCGTAGCGCGCGCGGATGACTTCGAGGAAAGTGTGCGCGTTGGGGGCTCGTCTTTTTAGCTCGATGGCCACAGTTGCAAAGAGAAGGATCTGGACTGTGGCACCAGATGCATAGAAGAATGGACCCGAGACACCGTACTTGTATGCTACTGAAGAGGATTGGAGGAGTGTTGCTGCCCATGTCCAGCTACTCACTACCGCGGCGGCGACAAGACCGGACTTGACGGAGCGGCCTGCTGTTGAGAACATTTCGGAAGTTTGGACTTCATTCTGGTATCTGGTGTTTAATAGTATGGTTAGTGTGTGAAAGAGATAATAAGATTTTTTCGGACATACCGTTTTAAAGCCCAGGTAATAAAAATCATGAGAAGAGCAAAGGCAAATCCCAGTCCCAGGATAATACCATATCCGAATCCCTGGGACAAGGGTGCCTCGAACGAAACCGTCCCAGACGACATGGTGTGGGATCAGTAGCACTGATCAGATAAGTAGCAGCTATGTGCAAGAAAAAAGGTAGGGCTCGATGCGACCAATGTATGACGTCGAAGAAGTAGCCGTGAACGCAATTGAGATAGAAGGGGATCAATCCCTAATAGAGAGGATTATATCAAGCCGAATGCTTTGTAGTCGGGTTAGAGTGAGACACTTCCAGTGACACTAGGGCAGCACATTGATATAAGTAGACAAAAACGCATCAAGGTTCTCCGACCTCGCACTCCAACCCCGGAAGATGATCGTAGGGCTTAGATATCTCCCGCGACCCGCAAGCGAAGTCTAGATAAGAGTAACATTGGCTCTCGTAATGGCAAGGCATACGGAATATCATTCGCAGGAACCAGTCTCACCAATGATTGGACATTTGATGGGCGCTCCTGGCGGCACAGCATAAGGAATGAAGGGGTCCAGCCCCGCCACCCGGCACTTTATCGAATAGAACCACGGATTGAAAATTGAAAATTGAGAAACAAATCAAAGGTACCAGTCCACATGGTACTCGAGGGAATTGGTTGATTCTCGTAGCTTATCAGTGAGCTAGTTCTGGAAGTGATATGATTGGTTGATAAATTATCGAGATAAGAGTGCGTTCGGGTGGAGTCTGGGGTGAAATGGAGACGTTTCCTGCCTTTCTCCTCGGGAGAATCCGTTACTGCAGATAAAGGAATTTTTCTGGAATTAGTGATAGGCTTACTCGATCCGTTATTGTCATTGTTGATATAGACTTGAGCCTAATTGATACACCCCACATATCATGACATACAGCTTCCTAATTGAGAACAGCTCGGCAAAATACATATCCTCTAACTGATTGCAGCTAGTTTAGTAGTTGGTCTTAGGTTAAATATCTTTTATTTCTGGTACGGAGTAGTCTCCATACCATTTCAAGGACAGAAATGTATATAAACTTTTGAAGGCCACGGACATTGACCGACCGGATGTTTGCTTTTGCCTCCCCCATCTTATCATCTACCAAGGTTATGCAATCTAATAACCTTTGAAAGTCTCTCGGAAACTTCAAACATTGACAGCTGTTGATTGGATAAAGGGCGGTGGATTCAAGGAATCCACTCCAGATCCATAGATGCTGGGCGGCAAAAGACAGGTACATGAATTATACATCTACGATGGCAAAGTAAATAACCGGATGCAAGATCACAGGGATCAAGTCAATTAATGATCCAATGCAAGACAGTGAACACATTTAGCTCGGATATGGTACACAGCCTCGGACTCCATCACTGTCGAGACACCATTGTGCAAGCTCGCTTGTTTCCTCCAGCGCATAATATCGCAGGGAAGGAAGCAGGAAGCCGTACAGACGCCACAAAACAGAGATAGACAGTTCAGCCGACCTACACAGCGGATAGGTCTAGGATGCTCATTTGCAGCACCCACAAAAACGAAAAACACCACACATGTTGAGAGAAAAGCTTTGAGTTAAAAAAAAAGGAGTCACACCAGCGTAGCCAAAACGGAGGGTCCTGGCTGCTTTTAGTGCAGCGGAAAGGACGAAATGTCACGGGGTATAGGAGAAAGGGTTGAGGAAGGTTGGAGTTGGAGTGGCGGGACGCAATCACATGCTTATGTCAAGGATAAGAGTAGACATGTCATCTAATGCGTTAAGATAGTCGATGGAGTTGTTTATGCGGCAAACTTGCGGGTGATCTTGGCGATGACTGGATAGCGCGCACAGACAAATTAGAACCCGTTTAAAACCACCAATTGTCTCCTTCCTCAGGAGATATAAACGGAACTTACCGTGCAGGCCAACGACCGAGAAAATGAATCCCAGACTCAGAACGAGAACAACGACGGGGTCAACACGCAGACCGGGGCTCTCATCAGTGTAGAGCTTCAGCATGGTACCGGAGGAACCACCAGCACCAGCGGAGCGAGTGGAGCTGGGGCGAGCATTGCGGAGAGATTCCTTGTGATCGGCAGCAGCGCGGCGGCGCATAGCAGCACGAGGACCACCGGGGGCAGAGGGAGACGAGGGACGGCTGACGGAGGAACCAGAGGCGACCGCGCCGGCGGCGCCAGCGGACTTGGACTCGGCACCGGACTCAGCGCCGGAGGTGAGAGGGGAGCCAGGACGAGGAGAAGCCTGGATTCAGGGTTAATTAGAGATGGATCAAGTCGTAATTGGTTCTTGGGGTTAAAGGAAGAAAGGAGGTTTGGTGGGTAAAGAGAGGGCATTGGATAGAGATTGAGCTGCTATTTCAGCAATTGATGGAGTTGAAGAGCTTACCATGATGATTAGTTAGGTGTGAATGATAGAACGAAATAATGAAAGAAAAGGAGAGAAGGGGTTCGGGGAAGCGAGTTTGCGGAGTTGAATTGAGGCCACGATCACGGTTTCCTGATCGATACTAGCTTGTGTATGGTATTGTTACAACAACCATTAAACATGGTAATTTACCGTAAACAGTACAATCGACCCACCAATGAGAAGGAAAAAGTGAGCTGTTGAAGGGTCAAAGTCTATTTTACTTACTTAGATCAATTATGCGGATATGTTTTGTTTTTGTTAGATCAGACATGAAGGTAGGCTCGTTTCATTATATTGAACACATTGATTTGTTGATATGCTAGAGTAATCGGGGTCGTGGAAAAAGTGTCCAGGATGGACTGTCGTAAAGACATTGAGAAAATAAGATCACCTCCGTAACGGTACCGCGGCAATCGTCAAGGCTTGTAAAGCGAGGTAGTAGTCACAGGATTTTTGGACCAAAGCCGGTAAGGCAATTGGGGAAGAACAAGAAATGAAGGTCGCTGGTGAGGTATCATAAGGCCCAAATAAAACGCATAGGCTTCAAAAAACGCTTGTCCAACAATCGTGGAAGGAAGAAAGAAAACGCTCGTGATTCAATTCCGAGAGATCACATGAAATAGATGCAAGATCAGTCGATCATCATTCGAGATGGGATCCCGCCAGCGGCCAAGTTGGATGTGAGCTCGGTAGTCTTCTCCTCCGGCTTGATCTTCTTCTTGCTGATGTGCGGTTTCAAGCCACGGTGGAAGTTGTTCACGCACAAGCAAGCGTTGATGATCGTGATCACAATCAGGATGATCGTGATGACGGCGAAAAATGTCATCGAGGGACGAGCGGGGAGATAGTCCTTAAAGGTCGCCGCGGCGTACATACGGAAGAGCTTGAAAACGAAGTAGGCCATGGCGGCAAAGAAAAGGAGCTGAATAGTCAGATCCTGAAATGGTGCAATCTCAAGTTCGATTGACTTACAATGATAATGATCATACCGCTAGTCGATTCTCGGCGAACAAACCAGGCACCGCAGGCAAGGATAATAATGGTCACAGGAATCGCAACGATAGTGAGGTAGAACTCGGCGTTATGGCTGGAGGATGACACGACGACCAGGAACTGGACGGTGAAACCGAGGAAGAAGAAGAAATCGAACTTCAAAAGGGCGATGTAGATCTAGAGCGGGTTAGTCATTGCTCTTCAACGATTCCCCAACAACTTACCTGATAGGTCAAATACCGGCGTTTCATGCGCAGATCAGCACTGATGTGCTTGTAGATTGTCCAGGCAAATTCGTCGTATAACTTGTATGCCACAAAGGTCATCAAAAAGGTCGCCAGGCCCACGATGCATGGAATTATAATGAGGAATGGCTCCGACTGCACCCAGACAATGGAATCAATCATGTGGTTGTCATGTAAGACGTTGACCGCATTTCGAATTTGCTGGACCTGAACCGCGCCGTAAATCAAAAGTCCAACATTGCACAAACAAAGACCGATAATCTGAATAGTGTTCTTCGCTCGCAGGGCATCGTAGACCAATACCAGCTCGTAGAGGAAACCGAAACTGTATAGAGCGAGGAAAGTCGGGATAGTTTTGGACGAAGGACTGTCGTTGGCTTTTTCTTGCACCTGGAAATTAACAAAGATGTAACTAAAACTCGTTAGTTGAGGGGGAAGCAAGCCAAGGTCATGGTTTCAGGATCCATACATCTCCAGAGCGAGCGTCACGAGTGTTTGAATGAAGGTGACCACAGCGAAGGACCACGTCCACGTCGTGTTGGGGATGTACATCTTGCTGCTGCGTGGGACGGCGACCGGCGCGACATTCCTATAACCTTCTCGGGCGCGGAACCCAGGACCCTGGCGAAAGGATGGGTCAAAAGTTCCACCTAAGAGAGAGGCGCGCGACCCATGAGATAAGACCTTGCCGAAATCCGATGTGCTCGGGTCGGCGTGCTCTGCGGAAGACACTGTGGCGGCGGTGACCCCCTGACGGAGGGTTTCACTTATTTAAGAGGGGAGCTGCAGGTGGGAAGGAAGGGACTGCCGGACCCTGATACGTAGGAGCCTCGAAACAACGGAATGCTCGTGTGTCGCGAGTGGCTTGGCGGGTTGCACAAGTGACCGGGGTTGCAGATAGCGAAGGGGAGGGAAGGGGCCTAGACTTGAGATCGTGGTAACATCGAAAGAGTGAAGCACATAGCCCAGAATGGTGAACGAGTGTTTATGCAAGTGAAAACGAATGGTCTCAAACTTTTCAGTGTTTTGGGTTCTTTTGGGTCTGGCGGGGCGGAGTGTCGGATCGTCACAGGCAGCAAGTCGGGAACCCCAGAGTCTTTATTTCTGGAGGCTGAGTCTAAGGTCGGGGGTCTGAGTTGGGGCGAAGTAAGAAAAGAGAGTAGGCTACCCGTGGGAAGGAAGATCTCTTTGGAAGGGGTGAAATTATCCGGGGTTCACTAGTTTTACGCATAACTTCTCTTCCACATACTCGGCTCACCACGGCTACAGTAATTGGGGCTGACACATTCTAGCGGCAGAAATGGACTCGTTCTCGAATGTTAGAACTCAACGCCCCTGAATTGGAATTGGTTCATGTGGGGCGGGATCCAATGCATCAGGCACAAACCTAACTCTGCCATGGTCTCGAATTGTCGATTCATGATACGTATACCTTTCCGCATATGGAGTACTCCGTACATCTCTTTTACACTTTCCACTGGAGTCGGCCTTAGTCCGCCCCCAACCCAAGGGGCTGTGGCTCGATAAACGTGGTGGCTGGGTTACAAATCAGACTTTCGCAGTGGCTGGGGACGAGCCACGCGACCTTGATGACTAAGCCAATAGTGCCAATCAATACGCTAAACTAGATACAGTGCAGTTGTTTCACACGAGACTTGAGTTTCAAGACCTTACATAGAACATTATTTGAAGTTGGAACAGTTGCAAGATCAAATCCACTTCCAAGCTAATACAGTATTATGCAAAATGTAAGTACAGCTTGACCCACTATGTTTGGTAAAATTCCGCTGTATTTTGTCCTCATGCATAAAAATATTGGATAAAAATCAAATTACAAGGCAAGCACATGTCTTAATACACCAAATTCCAGCTCTATAACAAGACAATTAAAATGAAACTTTGTGTCGTATACATGTGATTGGGACCGTTTCTTGATGACTCTTATACCCGTGTCTGATGGACACAGCTTGAGATCGGCCTATAAAGGGCTCGCTTCTCTTTACCTCTCCCAAGGTTCCCTCCTCAAACCACCCTCTTTGATATCTGGATCTGATTTTATCTTCAACTTTCTCTTACTTCTTTCACTCGAGGAAAATTTCATATTACACCAAATGCCAGCACCCGAAACTCCTGCCTTTGGACAACAAAAATAAATCAAGTCAGTGATTCGAAATGCAAATTCGTTCTTCCTTCACCTCTCTCGACCCTTATCATACCTCTCGCTATTATACAGTTGACATAAGACCTTGTCGATCTGCATTTTTTGCAGAAGGCTCACCTCACTCTTCGAGCCCAATCTGAGAAAATGAGTTTGCCAAAGCTTATCACATCTTATGGTTATGAAGAATTGATACGTTGCATTGGCATGTTTATGTAACTATATTGACATTTGAACTTCTACAATAGGGCAAACCAACTTGTTAAATATGTCTTCTGTTCTCTAACGATGTAACCGACTTAACACATCCTCAGACTTGCGTTCAAGGCTGCGGCTTTGATTCGTTCATTTTCAAATGGATGACCTGTGGATCTCACCAGAGTCTGGAACGTCCTATTTCCGAGCAGCCGGGGACTCGCCCGCCGGGGGGGACCGACATAACATCAACTTACGTGCGTGATGCGAGGCCACTGGTCGCGTGGAACATCAGATTTAGGGATCTCTGTCCCTTTTGGACATACTGGGCAAGCTGGCACTGTTGATAGACAGTGGATTGTCGCGTGAGTACGTCAGTCCAAAGTCAAGGATAAGACTAATCAATGCTAGTTTAAGGAAATTGTGCAGAATCCAAAATGATCAGCGGACTGCTCTTCCAAAGGCGTTTAGATCCTAATAAGACAGGGGCTCGAATAAACGCTTTCAATGGGCTTTGCAACTGAACAGCAGCTGAAACACATAATATGACCGCTTGACTTTACACAGGTGATACATCAATTGGTCCGATTCGTTCAGTGTTACCGGTTCTGTTTCTCAGCCATGGCTGCCTTGGCAGAGAGACCTACTTAAGGCAAAACACCGGGGCCGATTTTAGGTGGTTTGTGCCCTCCGGGACTGTCTCCAACGTTAGATCATACTAGATCTATCTACGACTGACTCCAACTCTCGTGAGGTCGTTGTGGGTCCAGCATCTATCAGCTCTCCGGAATTCACGGAACTTCCAAGATCTCGCGCCTGGTTCGGCCTCAGTTGCGCCCACCATTCAATAGACTCCTACTCTATACCCAATTGTGCTCGTTATTTGGCAAATTCGCTCGTCTCTAAGCCAATTGTGAGTGCTAGAGAGGCTATTACGATTGTTTGAGAGAGGGCTACAATGTAGTAAATCTCAAGCTGGATATGCCTCAGATCATGAGATTATGGTATGACCAGGAATGCTGGCATGGGCACTAGGTCATATGTTTCTTTCGGCAGCTCACAAGAAATAAGCTGGCATTTATGAACAGTCCGAACAGGTTGAGTTCTGCAATGAGTCAGGCCAAGTGCAGCATATGTGTCCTGTCCAATATTGGTGGCGAAAGCAATCAGGAAACGAAAGCGTGCTCTATGAAGAAACGCTCGAATTTTCAAGTTGCGAAAACTCATTAGCCCACAGGAGGCCTCGAGGCTCTTGAGGATATCAAATTGATGCTGTTGTCAGCAGTTTGTACGTGGGAATCTTGGTCCGTTCCTATGCAATGAGATGGGCCGTGGAAGCTGCTGCGGCCGCCAGAATCCTGATGACGGACTATGCGGCTAGTCCGACAACGGCTCACCAATTACGTCGATTTTTACCAGCCACGACTTCAGTGGACTGGAGACAGAGTCAACTGATGTGGCAAACACAGAAGCTGAGGCAGTCGATAAGATGGCCAAGGACCTGGAAGAGACGCCAGACACGGCATCTCTGCCGCACAAAGGAGACAGAAGACGCAGGCAGATCGGCACCGACGAGAACCAGACTTCGACGTTGGAGGCCTAGTCTTCCTGTCCACCAAGGATCTCCTGATGGACAGTCGTCCAGAAAACTTCCGGGTCATATTATAGAACATTCATGAATCACGATCTCAATAAAATCCATCATGCAGTCCCTAGATACTATCTAAACCACCAGACAGCTTTACTTATCTAGCCTTAAGATCGCTAATGAAGGGTCGGATCAAAGTACTCAGGAACAAGATTCAGGTCATAGCAAAGCTATCTATTTACCCTCTATCACTTGGGTACGGATTACACCGCGGACTTTTTGGACATACGTTCGAAACACGCAGCCCGAATGTTCTTTTCACCTTCTGCTTCTACTTCCCACACGTCAATCAATTTGAAATTGGCTGAAGAGAAGGAGAACAGCAAGGAGCGCCGTCGGATCCTCATCCAGCACCTCGTGGCTCGAATGCAGGACCCGGATATTGGAAATGCCGAGATTTTGGAATGGTTTAATGAGCAGACAACAGATGAAGCATTGGATCGAATGCAGTGACCTACATTGGAAGTGTTTTGAGTGGCATTCGTCTTTTCTTTGGTCTTGGTTATGGTTTTTTCTTGTTGTATTAGTACAAGCCTGTTTTTCTTTCTATTCCGCTACATCTGAAATGGAAGAGCCCTGTGACTGTTAAAAATTCCGGTAGGAAACAAGGTAGAATACTGGGTAAGAGACTGAGTAGAAGCTGGGGAGATATAGTCAACTAGTAGGAAACATACTGTAATGCAGTACAGGTAAACATTGGTTATTCTACTACTCAGGTAGGCACCGCGTGAAATGCGCGGCGGAAAGCCTCTAGTACGATTCAGATGAATTAGGAATGCTGAGATTAATGGATTCTCGGAACGACCAAGTGAGGCTGCTTGAGCCTGGCCAGCCTCGGGGATGCCAGGCGAGTCTGCAAGTCCAGTAAATCCACCAAGCGATATGGGGTTGAATTAAAGAAAACTTTCGCACTTAAGAAAAAACGTGACTACTGAAAGTATCAAGCTATTTGCATCATTTAGTAGGTCATAACGAACAGATACCCTTATCTCCCATTATAGTAACCTTATCCGTGAATAGCAGATAATCGGAGCAACAAGGATAAACCTGGGATGAATTCAGAACACAACGATGATCCCGACCCCAGTGTCATCTCCTGGGATTTCCTTTTTGGTACAAAGTGCCAAATGTTATCGCTTAGCCCAAGCCACTCAGTACTCGCCCGTTCGCTTCCCCGCACCAACCCCATTTGCGCAGAAGATCGGATTGAACTATGGTACTGCGCTTATCTAAAGGCTCGGAGTCCGCGGGCTGAATCATATCTTTAGCATAAATAGTCCTCTAGTAGATAGCGATTAATTGAATCGCAAACGCAGTTGTTTAGAGAACCTTCTTCCAGGTTTTCTTCCACAAATTTTCGAGAATACGAATTTCATAAATCATGCTGTCGCTCTGGGTAGCAGCTATACTATTCCTTGGATATATGGGCAGTGGGTTCTTATCGTCCACATCCAAGGTACCAGGTCCATGGTATACGCGATTCTCCAGCCTCTGGATCAAATACCAGGAATTTACTGCCAATAGAAGAGAATCAATTCACAAGCTCCACGAAACTTATGGTCCTGTTGTCCGTTTGGGTCCCAATGAGATCTCTTTTACCAGCCTCGATGCCATCAAGGAGATCTACGCCTCGGGAGGGAGTGGCTACGAAAAGACCGAGTTCTATAGTCTCTTCAAGCAGTTCAACATTAAGTGAGTTACTGCAAGCTATCATTTATTTGATTTTGACTGACAAGAGCAAAGGACGATGTTTTCTACTTTGAACAAGGATGAGGTACAGTATTCTCGGACTCGTGTATTGAATCCTGCTGATGTCTGTATAGCATAGCAAGAGAAAACGCATTTATGCAGACCGGTATGCGATGACCAACATTATGAAAGCAGGGCCACTGGCTGCTATCCATGAACGTGCCATGGCATTCGTCTCTCATTGCACCGACGCTGGCAATAAGAGTGTCGATGTCTATGTAGGTTTTTCCACCCCAAGCCCAATGCTCTCGCTAATTAGATATAGATATTGCTTCATTGCTATGCCATCGATTGTGTGACTGGCTTCATGTTCAGCCCCGGTGGACTGAAGTCCCTCAACATCCAAAAGGATTTTGAGATCATGCAAGAACTCACCTACCACCAAAGTCTCCAGAGTAAAGCCAACCCTCCCACAGAAGGAAACTCACAAATCTAACCAAACACAGAAAGTCTACTTGCATACTACCTCCCGTCACTGAAGCCCTACTTCCCCAACTTTCTTCACCCAAGAAGCGCCCCCAGAGCAAACCAATACGTTCTAGACATGGTTGCCCAACCCTCCGTAGAAAACCACACACTCCTCGAAAAGCTCCAACGCAAAGACTCAAATCTCCAGCCCATGCAGATGGCAGCCGAATGCAAAGACCACATGGCCGCGGGCGTCGACACAACAGGCGACGGGCTCTGCTTCTTAATGTGGGAACTCTCACAGCCCCAGAACCTACCTTTTCAACAGAAACTACACGAAGAACTTCTCTCCACACCCGATGCCCCGCTCGATAGCCTTATCTACCTCGACGCTGTCATTAAAGAGGCTTTGCGCTGTTCTCCCCGATTCCGATGTCGTTGCCTCGATATGTCCCCGAAGGCGGGAGGGTGATCGATGGATACTTTCTTCCTGCACAGACTATTGTCAGTGTGCAGCCGTATACGGTGCACCGGGTACACGGGGATGTGTTTCCTGAGCCGGATCGGTTTTTGCCTGATCGGTGGCTTGGGGAGGGGGCTGTGGAAAGGAATAGGCATTTCTTTGCATTTGCTACTGGGGGGAGAGGATGTATTGGGAAGAAGTAGGTTCTGTTCTTATAAACTTTTGAAGAGATTGTTGCTAACGATAGTAGTCTTGCACTGGTGGAAATGAAGATGTTGCTTCGGGAAGTTTATTCTCGATTTCGGACAACAGTTGCGTCGGATATGGAGGGGTCAATGAAGTTGGATGATCAGATTATTGCGTCGAGACCTGAGAGTCAGACGTGTAAATTGGTGTTTACTCCCGTTTAGATAGGCTATTCTCCGTTCAATGAATCAAGTAAGTTTTTCGGGTTGATCGCGAAAAGTAAGTGAAGAATAGACTTGATCCAAAATGGATGCTCTAGCCGATGCGGGGTGAGGGGAACGATAAGAGCGAGATAACCGTGGTTCCCCTTGTTTACCGTGATTTCCGATTCTCAACTAGAAAGTCATTCAAACCTCCTCGGACCACCAAAATGGCAGATACCAGTGCCGCTTCGTCCTGTCGCTTTTCCACACGCATTTCGCTTCGATGGCTCCCCGAATCAGCCCATGAGACAACAGACACGATCGTCATGTCGGTGAAAGACTGGTATCTCGATCTACGAATGGACAAACAAACACAGGAGATTGACTGGGCGATCGCCGGCCAAAGAATCGTCGAAAGTCAAGGACCACGTATGTCGCTCTGGCCCTGTCTCACATATTGATGCTTACAATGCAGTTCGGGTATCCTTTACCCACGAACTAGACTCGCACAATGCCTTCGAGAGCGTGGACTGTGGCACCTTTGTCTCGCTCCCTAATGGCGATGACCTCGAGACGGGCTCCATGCCTCGTCCTGATCTCCCCGGTGCACCGGAGACGGAGTATGAGGAGGTATGGAGGGAATTACCGTTCCGGGAGGGACCCGAGGGAGCGAAGAAGGGTGTTTCATGGGTTCTTGAATCCGATGATGGTGATCTTGGCGAAGATGGAGAGGTCACGGTGGTGAAGACATTCCTGGGACGGATTTGGGGGACATATTTGGCGTTACAACAGGAACAGATTCTTGTTCGGCGGAAGGATGCGGGTCAATGGATTGTCAGTAAGACTGGGGCTGAGGTTAGTGCAAGAAGGGAAGAATGGATGGATTCTAAGTGGGAGGAACGATATGTGGTCGGGGGTTCTGGGAATCAGTTGCCTTCAATGATGACCGTGGGTGAAGAAAAGGGGTGGATGCCTGGAGAGCGGGTTCTTGTTCTTGGAAAGTCATTTATTGTTCGAGCATATGAGGAGATGTAGAAGGAAAGATCTGCTCTGTTATAAATAGATCGACCAGTCGAGACCCGGCCCCCTAATCTACCAAGTACACCATGTGACGGTCCGTAACAGATCAACAACCGTGACGTATGTCCTACGAACGGCTTACGGAGTCCGGAGTACGGAATACACTATACGGATTAGAATGTGTATCGACATGGTGAAAATGAGAAAACGGGGTAAAAGCCCAAAAAGACCCGGCGGTGGAATTAAGTGTACATTCGTATGCATACGACGCCAGGATCGAAATTGACCAATAAGGTCGTGTGACCTGGACGAATTGATTGAGATTAATTGAAAATTTCCATAATTAGTTTCACTTGCTTATCCACTGTAAAGCTAGCAGACCGATAGTGTCGGTACCTCATCTCCCGTCTGGATTCGACTCCACTTGAAACAATCCGCCCGTACGTAAACCTTTTTTTCCTATTTACTGAAGAAAGCTGTAAGCTCATTTACAACAACAACCCCCGACCTGCTCTACTCCATGGCCTCTAGCCATCATGCGATCTGATGTGGGAGCTGCATCTGTCTCCACCCCTATTCGAACTCTCTCTGCTCGGACCCGCTCCAGTGTTGCTTTTGCGAAATCGGCCCTCTCCCCCCACAATAACCAATATGTCGAGCTCGAAGATTTTGGTGTCGCGACCAGTCCAATCGGGGATGATGAGGTGAATCATGATCGCTATGCCTTGCCTCCGAAACCGCGCAAGAAGAGAAAATTCTACTTTCCGCATACCTTGTGGACACGTCTTTTTGCAATCACGGGAATCATTGAGACACTAGGCACTGTCGGGATTGAGAGGTAAGTAGGATATGCGAACTCTACATATATATCCCTAATAAATCTTTTTTTTTGTAGTTGGCTCTTCATAAGCATCTCAAAACACTTCGATGATAGTGGTGATGAGGATGCTACCCTGCGCCTTCGTTCGTTCCTCGGTCTTTACATCTTCGCCTTGTTCTATGAGCTTGCACTCAGTTATGATGCGCTACGACGGAAAAACACATTTCAACTGATCGGCCTCTGCATCTGTAACTTGGGTCTGTTGGTATATGGTGCTATTCAGACGAAGGAAGTTAAGGACACACTTTCCAACCTGGGTGGAAGCACGGTGAACGCCGCTCATCTTTGGATGCATTATCGAATCGCTTTGATTCTAGTACCAGTCGTCTTGGGGGTTGGCACCGTGTGCATGTCCGTTGTGACATGGAAGCTGCGCGCGGAATTCTCTTGGACTATTTACAAGAGCATCAGTGCGGACTTGCAGATGAGTTGGCGATATACCACATACCAGGCTAGTCACTGCAGGATGCACTTTGCCATGAGCTCTCAGCTAATCCTCCATAGGTGTATATTGCGCTCCTGAAGTTCGATTTCTTTTTCATCTTCGGCACGCAATTGCAAGTGTTGCTCGCACTGAAAGATGTCACCGACTCAGAGTTCCTCACCCAGGCAGTCATGATACCGGTCGCCATTATTAGCTTGATGCTGGCCGCACGCTTCTGTCGTTTAGAAAAGACCAAATCTCTGGTCTTCATCATGGCAAGGAGCCCTGCCACATATGAAGTTTACCTTTTACTAATGCCATTGATAGCTCCTTTTTGTGGTGCTCATTGCCAGTTTTGTCTTCACGGTGCTCCAAGTTTTCACCGGCAAGGACAGTACCCAGTTGACCAGCTACAGGGTTTCCTTGACCTTGTTTGCCACGTTGGCAATTCTACTTCTTGCAGGCACACTTGTCAATTCTGTGATGTGCATTTGCAATTTCAGGAAGGGGTTGAAGGAGCATATCAAAAATGCCCGAAGTCAGCAGCCGACTGCAGATCCGGAGAATGCCTGGACGGAAGACACGAAATCACGATTTGTACTAAATTAAGATACCTCGGATACGAATATAAATGGCTATGCATGATCAGGATAGATTCACCGGACTGGGACCTCGGGATCGCTGAAGGGGAAGCTTGAGTCTACTCAGGAGCCCCGGTACCCCGCCTTAGCGATTTGAACCACGGCATTTACGTTGAAATAGATGTTACGAAGTCACGACAAGCCAATCGGCCCAATTGAGCAACCTTTAAATATTCTCACCGTTGACATGTGGAATAACGCGTGCTAGGAAATAGGTAGAGCAAACATTGAATGCGTTATTTGATCAGCCAAGCGGAAAGCCCCGGCAGAAAACTAGCTCGCTTGACACATATTTAATCCACCACCCACGACCTTTCCTTCTTCCTCCCCAAGCGCCACCCCCACCAATGCTGCGTTTCTTTGCTACACACGACAGGCCAAAACCTGTCCTCGGCCCGTCCGAGACCCCCTGCAAATGAGAAATTCGGAGGAATCTTCAATTACCAACCCGCTTCCGATTCGCGTCAGTGAAAAGGAAGCCGGTACTGCCCGTAAGGGCCTGGTGTGAACTCACCTGCACTCGGCATCAGAAACATCGGGGCCACCTGGCATTTAATGTCAGTCACTGGTTTTCCCCTTGGGAGAGTCGGTGCGGAGATTGTGCCTGATAACACTTTAGTGCAATACGCAGCATGCTGTTCTCTTTGAGGCGGTATCATTCGATTCCGATTATTCTGGTGGGGGTGGCGCTTCACTCTTTTTCTCTTAGGTGAGTTCTTGGGAATTTTGCTCCACTGTTATGCCCTTTGTGTGGGTGTGGAGTTTGGGAAGGATGGGTTTTTTGTTGACTTTGCTAATTTGTGGAGTCTGGCTTCGTTCGCGAGGTCTTAGGTGGTGTGTTTGTGGGCATGATAAATCTTGTTGGATTTGATGCTAGAGCAGACGGAATTGAAGTTGAAATCTTGTTGTGAGGGAATGATATGCTGCAGCGCTGCAGTTTGTTTGCCAATTAGATGGGTCCTTTCCATTAAATGATATATTACCTTCTACTTGAATTTCTATTTCACTTTTGAAGTCCGTAGAATGTAGCTCGATGAATGTTTACTAGGGCACTTTAGTTGTAGAATAATCATGTAACATTTGGAACTTTGCTATCCCTTCTATTGCGGGAAAAATTGTAGAAAAAAAAATCATTGCCTCCGTCAGGCATCAGGTACTCTCCATTATCGTAGGGGGGGTTCATTTTGCATTGCCTAATCAGGCCACTACTCCTCATCGCCAATCTGTGGACAGTCAGTATCGGGAAGAGTAAACAAGATCGAGGGATCGACATACCTTTGGGGCCAGGTAGAACCGCAAGTGGCCGCTTCCCAGACCGTACTCAACCAGCAGGGGAACTTCCTGCGACAGGTTCAGGGTTACCGAGGTGGACAGGTTGGAGGCCTTGCAGAAGTTGACAAGGTACTTAAGGGAGAAAGTGAGGGCGACGGGTTCGGACAGAGAGATTGTGGTGTTGAGCTCGGGCTTGTCGACACTGGTGTGCTGACGAATGGTAACAGAGCCGTTACCAATGTCACCAGAGCAAGAGAACTTGACACCCTCCTTGGAGGCCTCAATAACGACTGAAGAGAATTAGTGTTGAGATTAAGAACCACGACGTATGACTTACCTGACTCAGAGAGAGCGTTCAAGTCTCTGCAAATACGCTGGAACTCGGCTGAGGGCATGGTCACGGAGGCAGCATATTCGGTCTCGGGGATAGCCAGGTGCTCCTGGTCAATGTCCATAAGCTTGATATCATACTCGCTAAGACGGTCGGTCTCGGAGCTCTCGAACATCAGGTTGACGGCATCGGGGGAGTCCTCAGCCTTCAAGGTGAGGATATCTTCATTCTGGGCGGCACGGAGGACCTTAGTCAGGGAGGTAAGGTTGATTCCAAGCGCGATGTTACGGTCGCAACGGTATGGCGAGAAACCCTCAGCGCGGAGAAGCATGGAGACAAGGGCAACGTGGGAGTTGTCCATCGCCTGGAGGGCGATACCAGAGTCATTGCAGTCGAAGTTGCAGTCTTGGACAAGGTCCTTAATGGCGTCAACGACCTACCGACATCATTGTTAGAAACCAGAGAAAAGAAAGTCGATTTTAGGGACATACCCGCTTCAGGAGGGAAGCCTGCTCAAGTCGTGCTTCAAGCACTGATCCAATGGGTTAGTTTGGCTGATTCGCGTTCTGGTGGGAGAGACATTGTGGACTCACTGTTGGCGAGGGGTATGTGTATGTGGGGGTATAAAAAAAGAAGAGGAGCTTATAGAAAAGCGAGTAAAGAGAGCGAAATTATTGACGTGGAAAGTTGTGTGAAATGGAATTGACGCAAGTCTGTGAGGATGAAAGTAGGCGAAAGAGGCAGGTCTGAATATAAAGAGAAATCGCGTTCGAGGGTTTAGAGTGGGGAAAGTTACGCGTGAGCGCGTTTGGCGATATGCCCTAATTGGGCTAGACTTGATGCCTCAGGCGACAATGCCTTTCGAGCAACTACGGATATAGTAGCTAATGGATCGGGACTAAAAGTTGCTCTTTGAAATTGTCTTATATTGGAATATGGTTAGCTATATTGTGTATTGTAAAAAAAAAAAAAATTCAAGTGACAGGAAGTCGAAAAAGCCAACAAACGAGCGCGAACCCGGCACCACGCGATGATAATAGTAGAAATGAAAAAACCTGACCTCAGAAAGACTAAACCAAGGAAAAAAAAAGAACCCAAGAACACCATTGTCGCCGGTCCCTTTTATATACATATGGGTATCAAAACATCGGCTTGTTAAATACTGGTCACCCGCTTGGAATGGTTTTTTCGCGGTCTTTGCTGAATGACCATCTCCAACTCCTTCAGCATGTTGGTATTGGCATCTACCTTCTCCCGAGCAGAGGCCTGTCGTACTCGTTCTTCCCGCACGCGTGCCAAGCGCTCATCTCGAGTGAGTGATGCGCGTTTGTTCCTAGCAGCAGGAAGGACGACTGCTTCGAAGATCTCCTCATCGTCGAAGCTGTGCGTCAAGTCAGGCCGCTCTCCAGTCAAGGCTTTGAGGGCATCAGTGGGGCTACCCTCAACCGCAGTGGTACCCCCAAGGCTAGGAGTCGGGGACATTGGTAGAACGGTGCTTGAGGGCCGTGTGTAATCTGCGGCATGAAGACGATCCTGGCTGTTCACAATGGCGGCCTTGCCCACTTCCCATTCTTCCAGCAAGGACCGAATGTCGTTTCCGATTAGGTCGTATTGGGAGAGGAGATTGGATTCAAATTCACTGGTGTCGTGACGTTCCAGATTGGCGTTCGTCTCCTCACCGATGATGTGCATCTTGGCATGCAAGGCACGGACTCCTTGGGATAGGGAGTTCAATCTCCGAACTTGCGCACGTAGGTGATCCTTGCTTGGAGAAGCAGAAGGCAACGGGGACGGGGGGATCTGGGTATTCCCTGTAAACAATCAGTATAATTATTTGGGTCACATCGGAACAAAATGAGGCACTCACTGTCTTCCTCATTCAGTATGCTCGCCATCTTGCTCATACTTGTACCAGTGACTGCAGCGAGCTCACGCATCTCTTCCACAGCGGAGCTCCATCGTGCAATATCAGATCCACCACCGTCAGCGCTGAGCGCTAATAAGCAGCACAAGACACTTTTCCTTGCAGTGTAAAGCTTCCCAAATAGATCCCGTAAAGAGCGCAGTGAATATTGGTCTTCCAAGTTGCGCCGGGACAAGGTCAACTCGATGTTTTCGAGGTCGTCCAACGCAATATCATAAATATCGTAGTATTTTGCCAGATTGGCATCGTCCGTTAGAGGACGCAGCGTATTTTGGGATCGGATATATCGTTGGAGCATCGACCAAAAGCATTCTGACACTGCTCTCCGAAGACGCAAGCATCGGCGAGTCTGTACCTGGTCTTCCAGTCGACTGATCGGAGGTAAGGGCGTGCTTCTATGAACAAGTCAGTCCACTGTCATCATTGCAAGGCGCAATCCAGTCCTACATCCGATATCCTCTGGAAACGAGCTCCACCTCCTGTATAAAGACCACTGAAGCTGACGCAGCTGAATCGAAGCCCTGGGCGTTTCCAATGAATGTACCAGCAGCCTCCACGGCTTGGTGCCGCAGATACTTGAGCCATTGCCTTTTGGCAAAGGCATAGAATATAACCCCGAGAACGGGAACAACAATCAAGAGTACACCCACCCTCTGAGGATTGAGCCCGGAACCTGTTTTTGACCGGCCCCAGTGGAGCAACCAGGCGATGGAGAACGACGTTGTGGCTGTAACGACGGCACCTTGAAGTCCGAATGTTGTGGAGAGGGAGGGAAGGTCGGACGGTTGCGAACTTGACAAAACATCTGTGGCGGATGTGTAGGACGGCGCGCTGTGTTCGTTTAATAATTGCGAAGCGACGATAACGTATCCGAACTGTTCCAGAAATCGCTCGTTGTCTCCTCGACCAAGTCTTGCGTTCAAAGCGGACTGTAAGGTCGATCTCATCAGTAGTGTCCTTCCACCGGCGGTCAATCAATCACTAGCATACCGAGCAAGCACCGTATAATTTCCCAACAACCACTCCGTGCCGTGTATTTTGTAGGTCGAGGGGCTTGGGTAGCTTATTCCGAACTCGTTCCTGGAATCGCGAGGCGCCCCGAGGGGCAAAGTCGTCGGAGGGTTGATCCGCTTCGTCGTCCGTGAGTGTCTTAGCAACATGCCAGGTTTCCTCCGGTTCCCCTTCTCCTGCGACCAAGGTGAGTTTTGTGGCAAGCGTGTATTGCGGGGTGTAGCAAGAACCTTGAAGGTATTCGGCCAAAGGCGAGTTCTCATAGACAAGTGACTCCATGACCGAAGATCATTCCGCGGCGCGGAGCGAGGAATGGGGGCGGAGACGGGCGATTTCACGAAATGGCCGAGGGTCGAGGTTGTGCGGGAAGGGGTGTAAGGCGAGGCACGCGCCTGTCATATCGTAGAAACACCAATACTCTCAGTCGTAGTTATCGGAATGATCATACAAGGGGTATTTACAAGGTTTCAAGTCAAAACCTGGCCACGTATCCATGCTTTCTGGGGAAAGGAGAAGTCACGGGTGTTTTAAGGCGAGACCCACTCGCCTCCTTTTATGACATCGGCATGCACAGTGCCTGCATTCCGTGATTATGATTGGCGGTTTCTATATTAATGCATGCTATAGTTTCCCTATAATTGTGCCTTTGGAGATTCGCATTTTGAAGGTACATAAAACATAACGCTTGTGCCCCGATGATCAGGTGGAGGTCTAACCTACTATTACACCTGCTGATACTAATATTCAGGCGTGTGACCTCAACAGTAGGAATAGGCAGACCCCCACTGAGTCGGTGATTGTCTTTATATTGTACATAGTATTGGCACAAATCTACACTATTTCCTCCAGTTGGACATGTCGTTTGATCAGCAGAAAAAGACGGAATATTGACTTCTGATTTGCATGATTTACAGACCTACTTTACTAATACGGCTGTATCTAGTGATAACAAAGCATTTGAATGTCGTTCTGATTATAAGATGTGGTCGGAGATTCTTCACAGTAATATGTTCTCCACTTATTGCAAGGAGCTTCAATTCCCGATAAGAGGCCTTTGACTCTGGCTCACGCCCTACTAGTATTCCATCAATAGTATGATTCCATCCTCACCAGAAATTGAAAAAAAAAAAACAGAAAAACAGCTGCAGATTGCAGTTCCAGATAAATGCTAGTCTTGTAATATCAAGAGTCTGTTGGCGTTATAATAGCGAAACTTGAGCCACGACTGCATGAAGGTGTCCGGCCCTGGAAACCTAGGTGAGGCTCATTCACTTCAAGCCTCACCACCCATTTTTGGTCATCCAGTAGGTGACTGTTCACGGCTCTTGGTAAATTTGCCTCTCTTGTGATATTTTTGACATGTTGGGATGGTAAGGGCATAGATTGATATGCTCAATGCGGTTAGCCTCATCACATGATATAACCCCGCGGTGTTGACATAAGCAGCAGTTGCCCTAGACAACGCGTCAATAGCCACCATAATTAGATGTACATATCTTAGATGGAACGTGGACGCGAGCCTGGCGCGTGGCAAATCAATCTAAATCCAGCGCGTTCTCAATCTTTGTCCTTTGATTTTCGTCATCGCAACTCTACCTTGTCAATTCTCACCATTTGACCACACCGCTTCTCGACGACAACAAGCAAGGGAGAAAGACTATTGTTGCCACCCTCAGCATACTGCTTCTCCGTACCTATGCACCGTTGAACAGCCTACATCCAGCCGTGGATTCTATACCATAATGTCTGGAATCATCGGTAACGCAATTACGCCGTGTCCATCGAGGTCGAGGTTCTCCGGTGAAAATTACAGCGGTAGCGATACGTTCGACAGCTTGATTGACGACGATACGCAATGCGATGCTACTGGGCAGATCGAATTCACCACCGAGATATGTGTACCGACTATGACTGGAGGGCGACCTCGTCGTGCCAACGCCGCAAGGTCAGGCTTCCAAATCCATGACGAGGGGGTAGCGAAGCCACTCGAACCCGATGAGAAACGAAAAAGACCAAATGGAACAACAAGACTATCTTCTGACCGCAAGTCATCTTTGCTTGCCCAGCCCGCGCAGAGATTTCGCCCCAAGACTAGTTTTGCTTCAAATCCACCACAAACCATGAGACAAGAGACGGAACCACAGCGAAGACCTGAACGAGTCGACTCGAACCCCAAATTGCAGCCGTCCCATAGAATGGGCCCTGCACCAAGAGAGACAACTCAAAACCATTCCCAACCCGATCTAAAGAAAAATATGCGACGCAACACCGTCTACATTCCGCCGGATGATCCCACCGTGCCCAGCGTTTTCATGGGGCTGTTCAGTCCTCTGAAGAGGCAACAAGGCGTGACTCCCTCGCAGGTCACGGAAGACAAACAAATCAATACTCTCGAAGCGCGGATAGCAACTCGCCAGGCAAGAAAGTCATTGGCTGTAGCTGCGCGAAAAGCCCCGCTGCAAGTAAGCGCAAAGATTGCACAGGAATCCGCATTTATGGTTGATGTTGCTGGCAAAAACGGTGGGAAGGAAAACATTCCTCCCGGTACCCTTCTCCAGAAGAAAACTAGTACCCAAACTAAACCGCCCCTTAAATCTCGAACCAGCAACATATCAATCTCCAAACAAAATCCTATCTCTCGGACTGTTCGAACAGTTGAAGTTGTTCCCGTGATTGCTAAACCTTCTTTGCCCAAGCGTGGTATACTTGGCGAAAAGCAGAGGAACACTAAGTGCTCAGCAGGCATCAGCGGTAACAGAATGGCAGAGTCCAAGGGACCACTACCAAGTGCATCACTCAATGCTCGCGCATCAACGTTGTGCAGTCGTCGCGCTCGCTCTGGGTCAAATTTGGCTTTGAGTGCCCAGCTTGCGTCGTCCAAGCTGAAAGGGCTGAACCATGACCACCCAAAGCTGACTGAGGATTTAAAAAAGCCTGCACTCTATGAGGACGACTGGCTCTCACACCAGGAGACTGTGATTACTCAATTGGCCAATGCTTTGTTCGAGCACTCTAATGGTGCCTCCGCTTCCTTTGATCAGGATTCCCTTCGGCTGGAACTTCTCGAGCTTTACCATACCGACTTTTTTATCCAGCTCTACAAAAGACTTCAGGCCTCTTTGTCTTGTGGTACCCTTAGCGTTTCTGAGCATGCTCTTGCGCGCAATGGGCGTCTCAGACAAGACATCGGTCTTCGCCGCAACTTTCTCGACATCTGGATTCATTCATACGACCTCCATGTCTTGACAGCGGCGGCGGAGACGGTTATCGGTCGAAAGGTTTCCAATGAACAGGACCTGTTCGCCAACAGCATGGAAGCCGAGAATAATGTAAGGGGTAATAAAGCTATCATTCGGAAATTGGAAAAATTTTTACACACTTTCTTGTTGCGAAACGAAGATCTTGATCCAGCTCCACCGAGTGAAATCCCTACAGAAGTTCAGGCCAAGGCGTATCGTCGCACAGTGCTCCGATGCATCATGTTGGTTGTTCTTCTAGATCGGGCAAGACTATCTGCGGGCTCTAGTCTTCCACGCCAGCTCTTTCTACCATCGTCTGCCCTGAAATCCTCGATCGAAGTACTTCAAGCATTGACACGGGTGTTATTGCCCTCTTCTGGTGACATTTTGAAGCCATTGAGCCATCTTGGTTGCCGCCTATCTTACAAACAACATCCACTGTTGGAGTACAATTACCGGATGGACAACATTGCAGTGGATTTGAGAGATGGTGTTCGGCTTACTCGACTTGTCGAAGTACTTTTCATCACATCCAGCCGTACTCATGATAGCGCGGACCAGACTGAAGTGACCCTGAACACCGGAGAGGCTCTTTCTCTCCTTGGTGACCACGCAGATGTTCCACTGTCAAAGCATCTGAAGTATCCATGTGTCAGTCGGGCAGCCAAAGTATTCAACGTTCAGTTAGCCCTGTCAGCCTTAGAATCCATCAAGGGCTCTGGTGCGATTGTGAGCAAAGTGCAGGCTGAGGACATTGTCGATGGTTACCGGGAAAAAACCATTGCTCTTTTGTGGGCCCTTGTTAGCAAAAAGGGCTTTTCGGGTCTCGTTGATTGGGATGATATCAGCACAGAGATTTCCCGGTTGAAACGCAAAGCTCTCTCGGAGTTTGGCCCCGAACAAGTGAAATGCGAGGCCTGGTTTACCGGCGAGCTTTTCAGTTACGTCGATCAATATGAACACCTTCTCCAATACTGGGCTGGGCTTTTGGCTGGTCTCCGAGGTCTTCAGATTAACAACATGTCGACCAGTTTTGCCAATGGGCGAATCTACGAAATTATTGTCGATGAATACGAGCCTTACATTATCAGTGTAGAAAATCCAGTGGACCTCGGAAAAAGCGGACGATCTGCTTCGGTGTCTTTGGAGAAACGCCTCGCGCTACTGGGCTGCAGCTCTCAATTTGCTTGTCTAGTTTCTCCTAGCTCAACATCTTCACACGTTCTCAATCGAGACTTTACACTCGGTGCACTCGCCTTCCTCTGCTCGCGACTGCTTTCAGGTTCAAAGCGTGCTCGTGCCGCAATTGTATTGCAGCGTGCATGGCGAGTCCGCCTAAAAGACCGTGATCACATCCGCCGTGCCATAGCGAAGAACTTTGCTACACACTGCGCAGCTGTTGTCCAAACCGGAAATGAGATTTTGTGGGCAAAGGAGGTGATCACTCGCTGGTGGAGACGAATCCAAGCACAGAGGCAGGAAAGCCCCACACGGTCTCAACCCTTATGCAAGCCTGGTCGGAGACCCGCCGGCCGCCTGTGATATCAGGTCATCCCTACATATTAACCTCGCCACCTGGTGACGATCCCACTGGATTCAATCATTGACATCATGATATTACGCAAGCGTTTAAACACTCATTTGATTTCCCCTGGTCTGTTTTTGCAGTTTACTATGGATGCACCCTGGGGAGTTTGGTTTTGTCTATTATTATTTTTCATTGCGACACAATACCCTCGTTGCAGAACCTGTCCTTTTACTGATATCCCATGAATTCTTGAAGCTTATTCTGAACATGAAACAACTACCATTACAATACTTCATCATCAATAGGAAGACTGTAAAAAAATGTGAATTGACCGTTGAAATTGAATGGCTCCTGCTAAATGGTATAAGGTTCAACATCCTTAGCCACATGGCAACTCAATCAACAAGTTTATTAACCCGCAGGACTAGTTCAGCCTACTAATCCCAATTCTAATCATAAGATATCGTCTTGTATATTTCCGTTCGTCAAATTCACCAGCCGCCGCCACCCTGCTGTCAACGGGTCAGTCGAGTCTCAATCATTGCCAGATTAACAGGAATACGTACGTGACCTCCGGGACCTCCAGGACCACCTCCGTGAGGGCCACCACCGCCTTGGTGACCATCGGGGCCACCAAAGCCACCACCGCCAGGACCACCAGGACCGCCGTGACCTCCCTCATGCCCGCCGGGGCCACCTGGACCGCCAAAGCCACCACCGCCAGGGCCTCCGTGACCACCCTCATGAGGACCGCCGCCAGGGCCTCCAGGGCCACCTTGGGGACCACCAAAGCCTCCCTGACCACCGGGGCCACCAGGGCCTCCGGGGCCTCCGTGACCACCTTGGGGACCGCCAAAGCCACCGGGACCACCGGGGCCACCAGGGCCACCAGGGCCTCCGTGACCTCCCTCATGGCCACCAGGACCTCCAGGACCTCCCTGCGGACCGCCAGGGCCACCCTGATGTTCGTGATGGTGGTGGAAAAGACCCATTTTTATGTGTGTATGTGTATGTATGTGTGGATAGGTATTCGTGGGTAGGTAGATGTAGAATTTGGTTGATATGACTTGTAATGAAGCTTGGAAATAGCTACAAGAATGCGGGGTGAAGCTCCTTTATATACGTCGCTGCCAAGATATAACAACAAGTCACAAAGCTCCGAGGGGTATGTGGATGATCGTCATAGCCCTCTTTTCCAGAACCTACCCTCGAAGGTGGCGTGGTTGATCACACCGGTATCTGCCAAGCCACACCTAGTAGAATAGTTCTGATGCCAAGAGTCGAAAAAGGTGCCTAGTATGGACTGACTTTCTGATATGGGGGAGGGTGGATCTCGGGCTATATCTTTTGCCTGTCCATTGTAGCTATTGCCGATCGATTTTGGGATTGTCATAACCTCTACACCCCAATCCGTACACCAGCCAAAGTACACAATTCTGAGGTAATTAGCTTCCTCATTCAAATACGAGTACGTCGCATATTCGAAAAACATTCATTCAGCAATGAACGAACTAGTCTACGCAAGCGTTCAATAAGCAGCGAATCCTACCTAGCCCTACCCGCAATATTAGCTTGGCACGACTCCACTCTTCATCAAACGTGGCGCTGACTTACGCGTCCATGATAACCACTAGAATTGTCTCGAATATTGATTTTATACGGGGTTAAGCCGACATGTGGCCCGGCTGTGCACGGAGTAGGGGTAGCTCGACCCTTTATGCGATTCTGGTTGCCTCGATTTATAAGTCCCGGAAACTCCCATTTATTTTTAGAGCTCATTTTCACCCCAAAGTCAGATCATATTTGTCTCCATAATGTTTGAAACAATCAAGAGCTGGTTCCAGGGGGCTGAGCAGCCTATCAACGAGAATAAGTGGGACGCCAATACCGTCACCATGCAACAACCTAATAGCCCTGCTGCTCCTTCGATGAATCAGACCATTACGCAGCAACCGGTACGACTACTCTCTGTTCTGATGTCATTCATTAACGATCGGAACTAACTCGATCTTAGGGTACTGAATCTGCGGCCGTTCAAATGCGGGGTGGTGGCGACTTTTGCTGTGGAGTGTGAGTATCGGAAATGCTGACCTCTCAATTGACCTGGTACTGATGATGATTCGTATAGCTGTGCTGGTCTCTGCTGCTTTGAGTGTTGCGAGTGCTGTTGCTGAAACTGATATCTTGTGGTTGGTTGAGAGTGAAATGAGTATAACGTGTGTCAGTTGACGTGGAACACCTGGTGGACATTCTTTTATAATTACTACCCTTAAAGATGTATTTATAGTCAAGTCATATCTTAGAAAAATTGCTAGACAAATACCATGAAGTGGATAGACTAGAAGCCCCTGATGAATCAGGAGTACTTGAGAGCCAAGTCCCCATATATCCAACACCGTATTTTGTGAAATACCGGGTCATTCAGTGCCTACTCCACACCAACCAGAATCTCCATTCCCCCATTCGGCAACAGCGGAACCACGACTTGATTCCTATTCATCTAGCCAACAATGGTGTTTGCACAGCCTCAATGTTACCCAATTGAGAACCGCAATCCAGGCCATCAGGCTCAAAGTTGTTCCATGAGCTCAAAATGCATTTGAATCCTGGAACACCTGGGGATCGGTCCAGTGACATCCATTAATAGTGTCGGCAGCTGATCTGCTGTCCAGGGGAAGGGCTACATAGTAGCGTGGAAACAAATGAAAGGGACAAGATCTGTATTCCGAGAGGGATGGAGGAGAGAAAGAGAAAGAGAGAGAGATGGAGAGAGAGAGAGAGAGAGAGAGAGAGAGAGAGAGAGAGATCTAGCTAACGACATCCACGCCCTGGCAAACGGAGAGGGTCAGCTGACCCCATACTCCAATAAACAGCAATATAGGATTTTTAGCTTCTCCAAGGGAGATTGCACATCATTAAGGGTGGGGCCAGGTGATCTCCTCCGTTTGCTCCAGCGCTTGGATGTCTTCGCTAGATCTCCCTCTCTCTCCTCCATCCCTCTTGGAATACAGATCATCACCCTTTCTTCTGTTTCCCGGCTACCCATGTAGCCTCCCCTTCCCCTGGCCGACTGATCAGCCTTCGAAAGTATTCAATTGCTGTTCAGTCCAGCTTTCAGTCTACGTCGCATTCATCCGAGGAAAAAGGAATATTTTCGCCCACGAAACCTTGATTATGAACTTCACAAATCCCCTCCATCCTCTTTGAGGACACCAATTTCAACCTCTGCTTTTTTGATAGCCCTTTTTCTAGATTTGATACCTAAATGGCCTTTTCTATATGCCGCGATAATATCGCTCCTAGTGACCTCCGTGACCTTTAGAGGATAGTCACAACCACCACAAACAGCAATAGCTATAATTTGGCGCGTATAAACAATCAAGCCAAACTTGCTCATCATCTGATGAAACTCATTGTTAAAGCTCTTGTGGCTCCATTCATCGGATATGGTCAACTCCTCAGCAGACCAATATACCTGTGCTTCCCTACCAGAGGATTGAACCCGTTCGTTGAAGAGCAAAAGCTCGAAAAGTCTTTCCATCCGAATCCCATCGTATCCGGCTTTTTGCATCTCTTGACTCGCCTAAATGCAATATATTAGCCATCTTAAGCATTGGAATGAGCGTGCAATTAGCTCGCGTGAGTTGCAAACTGACTGGGATACTAGAGCTTCTGAGGCTTTCGTCCATGAATATGCAAGTATAATGGAGAAGTCCAATCTCCAAGATAGGAGGCTGCCGGACTAACATCTTGCGCCAGGTTGCGTCCTTGTGCACAAAACGAGCCATGGTCGAAGCATCTTTGGCCATGGTCAAGTGGTAAAAGTTGAGTCCGCAACAGGTCTTGCTATTCCTGGGGAGAAGGACAGAATAGTCGTATATACGACCCCATGGTGGGTTTTCCTCATAGGGATTGACGGAAACTTCAACTCCGCAACAATTTCTTCTGTCCTTATTGGAAAATATGAAAAGAAAAGTCTCCATCAACAGCGGGTTGAGTATCTTTTTCTCCATTCCCCATTCAGAGTCCTGAATCGGAGTGAAGAAGAGGGCCTTTTGGATTGACGGCGACTTGCTAATCACAGCCACCCAGTTGCGACAGACTCTTTGGGATGTGAGAAGCGTGCGCATGTCTACCTGGGCCAGGATCATCTCTAGAATCTCAGGAATATCCAGGGCTTTGTTGATGGCTGATGTTGTCATGTTCCCAGGTTGCCACGGGATGACAATTTCATCCTCTGGACATGCGTCAATGACATTTGCCGTGCTTTTTGAGTGGGATTTTGGGATTTCTGAATCAAGAGCCCCTGAAATCTTCTTTAGGCGTGCACTTCGACGTGGCGTGTCTGTGCCTTTTCGCTGCATGTGGCTCTTGGGTTTTGTTCTGTGAGCTGGCATGACTAGAGATTTTTCTCTTGAATTCTATAATATGGGGGATCTGATTTCGAAATTCTCTGTATCGTCTGCCATCATTGGCTTGAGGATGTGAGAGTCTTGGCTTGTCAATGACCGTCACGCTAGTGTGGTGGTCAGGTGACACTAAGACTGTGGTGAACTTGTGATATAAGGGCGATCTATTTCCCTAATACCTTCCAAGTAATATCTTCTGGCTGTTATGTCTTTGATTGAGACCTCTGGTGGTATTTGAGCACTTTGTTCAATTACGTTAAGATACTTCATAGGGGAAATAAAGCCAAGTGTTTAACTTATAATCAATGCTCTACACCAATAGAAGTACAGCTTAATTCTGAGCGTTATTGAATTCCTTCCCTTGAACAAGACGGATTTCATCTAGAAGGTCCCGTCCACCAGCATCCTCCAGGCACTTTGCAAGCAATCTCCCAAGCGCCTCCGCTTCACTGTCACTCGTCACATCCGCAGCTGCGCTTTGCGAGATCTGGCTCAAGCCATGGGGATGAATGATGGTGCCTTCAATTCGTATACGACCCCCGGGAGAATATTGACTATCTTGCTTTTCGATTCTGGAGTGAACAGCGACTGGAGAAGAGCATCCTCCCTGGAGGCTGCGGAGCAGTGATCGCTCTGCCATACAGATCCATCGTGTGAGAGGATCTTCAATGGCTTGTATGATGCGCAAGGTCTCAGTATCATTCTTGCGAATCTCAACACCCAAAGCCCCTTGCCCAATTGCATAGGGAAATTCAGACGGAGGCAGATGCTTTGTGATGCGACTAGCCATATTGATCCGGTTCAAGCCAGCAGTTGCAATGATAATAGCTGTAAAAGGCCCCTCCGGATCATCGAGTTTCCGGAGTCGAGTATCACTAATGAGGTCAGCCTTCAGGGTCCATATTTGAAGGAGCCCACACTGCAAAGAGTCTCACATGTTCCCACGACATTCTTGCACTTTCAAATGAGGGTACTTGTATCCGAGGAGCGCCTTCCGGCGAGTGGAACTGGTACCAATCACCGATCCCGCGGGCAATTGGTCAAGATCGGTATACCGCTCTTGCAGGCTTGCCTTGATTACAAATGCATCGGTAGGATCCTCACGGTGAATTATCGCACCTAAAATGCATTCGCTCGGTAGACGAGTGGGCATATCCTTCAAACAATGCACAAGCAGGTCCAACTCGCCAGCGCAAAGTTTGGCCTCCATCTCTTCTGTCCAAATATTTTTGGCGGCATCGGAGGGACCGCCAAATTTCAGGAACGGGCTTGTCTTATCCACGTCTCCCCTGACTGAGATGGTTTTCCATGGGAAGCTGATGTGGGGGTGAGCGCTGGATAAGGCTTTGGAAACCCGTTCGGCTTGGACTAGTGCCAATTTGGAATTGCGAGTTCCAATTACCAGCTTTGTATCAATTGAAGTGTCGTCTGGCATGATTAAAGTGTTGGGGTTGAAATTGAAAGGTGGGTAAAGTGGTTTTCATAATTAAATAACCCGTCAATCATTCAAGACATTATGTAGTCACGATTGGCGCTAGAATCGGCTAGATCTTCGGTGAAACCTTAGGCTTGCGTAAGCGTGTGCTTCAACCAAACTTTAAGACCAAAACTCATCAGTATAGGTATGCTGAGATGTTTGGAATGTCGGCTATCAAGGTTGAAGATTGAGTTTAATCGGTCAGGAACTTGAGGTAGAGGAATGAAGGGATATAGTTCATGGAACATTGATCTACATCTTCCCCATTCCTTGCAGATTCTTTGCGATTTTAAAGCTTTGTACTTAGGCATCTAGCAGTCATCCCTGTTTCAAATGCTCGCCCAAATGAGAGAGCAGTCAGAACTTATTGTAACTTACAAGACATTGGCTATATACTCACATAATGACGCTGAGCATATGACTTTGAGCTAGCGATAAATGTAGCACTGACGTGGTTTGTCTTCATTTAAACGAATGGGATGTTTATATCAATTGTGAATGCATTACAATTTGAATAAATCACGCAATTTTCATGCTTAGCGTCTTACTATGTATAGTTGCTTGAATGGGCGGCAAAATTACTCAGCTGTTTGATCGAGTCATTTCGGCGCTTGCTTCGGTCTTTATTGGTAGGAAGTTCAATGATGATCGGTTGATACATCACGGTGTGATGCTTTATAAACATGCTATTCAAGCTCTTGCTGCCTTGATACCGCGCATCGGACTTCCGGTTCAGGAGGCCCTGTGTGCTAATAGTGTATTTCAGTCATATGAGATTAGTATGAGTCTCTTTCAAATGATAATTCTGTACTGATCCTTCCAAGTGATAAGTTGTACGCACGTGTTTGCGGAGTGGATGGCACATATGCAAGGTGCCAATGACGTTCGGGCACGCTATGAGAAATCTCTCAAGAGGGATCAACTTTCCAGCATGCTACTCAGGCAATTAATGTTATCAAATATAGGTTTGCATAGATTGCAATTCACCATGCGACTTCTAACTTGTACAGTTTCTCACGCCATTAGAAAGTCTCAATCAGTCCTCTCTTTCTTTCCAACATAGAAAGCTCTTTCACCGGTAAAGACAGATAACCCACTTGATGAGATGATCGATATTCTGATATTCTCATAGAATGCACTACTCTCATTGAAGAAGCGGGAAGTGTACGATCCGAGCAGGATGCCTATAATGTGATCAACTCATACTAAGACCCGAAGATCGAAGCAGATTCATGGCACACGCGACTCAAGACAACATACCCCGACGTCCATTATACGCTGGTCCCCGATCAGTCTATGCCCCAGTCCTAAGCCACAAGCTCAATCTTTTCCAAGGGTTATGAGCTTTTATCTGTTGATATAGCAGAACTCTTCAATCTTTATTGGGCCGCACAGCTTACTATATATTCTATTGTATATGAAATTGAGCGGGGAAGGGACACTCCATTAGAGTCATCTGATTCGAACGCTCCCGAGCATGGCGCTGACGAATTGAACAATAGCACAGGTGCCAACATGTTAACGTTGCGCTTTTTAAACGCCGACTAGATCTGTCATGGCGTCGGGTACTTTTTTCAGCCACATATGCACATTCTTGGTCGGCATAATCTGCTCTTCCCTATGGCAATGTCGTCTCAATTCTTCCACGGGAACGGATTCCACAGTCGCTACGACTGGTTTCAGGATGTTTTTACTGCTCTTGAAACCATGCGGCTGGGGCTGGCTGTTCTTCTACGAGGCACTCCGTGGCTCAGATACAGGTCCAGTGAGGCCCACGTATACAAGGAAAGTTTCTCTGTATAGATCAACGTTAGTGACTAGAGACATTATTATCGGGCCTGGGTATTAAAAATTCCCTAAATTGGTCGCAGTGGTTGATTTATTCCACATTTCAAGTTCACAGTGACTACACATAGTAAAAAATGCGAGATATAGCGCTTGTTCACAGCAGCCATGGCGGGCAAGCTTTACTAGGTCATTTATCTCCCCAACTACCTTACCCAGCAGGACTACTGACGCGATGGCCAAGGAAGACGTGGGAAATCTCGGCCTACGATAACATAAGACTCCAATACCGCAACATTCCATCAGCACTAACCAATTTTTGGATAGTGTAAATGGTTCTGGTGATAGCGATCATGAGGCTCTCGACAAGAAACGAAAGCGGGTGGTCCACGAGCACATCTACTAGTAGCAAGTCACGCAAGACAGGCCCTCTTGCAGGCAAGGCTACACCCACAAGAAGCACCAACCCAGAAGAGCTCTTATACAACCTGAGTCAAGCTCCTGACGACATCGTCTAGCCCATGGGAGTTGGCACGCATATGCCAATGACCTTATTACCGACCTACTTTGGTCACTAAATGCGTGCCAATGACCTTATTACCGACCTACTTTGGTCACTAACATCCCATTCCTATGGTCTGATTGCCCAGATCTGTACAAGATTATCAGAAGATCAACTACCCAGTATTTTATTGGCGATCGGACTCTTCAATGTTTCGATATCAGGTCCCAAGGTCAGAGTTTTACAATTTGACCTTGTCCAGATACTCCATGGTTGTTAAGCCCGAGAGTTCTGTGTTAAAGAATTCTTTTAGGACAAACAGCTATCTTCTGCGTCACTGTTTCCAACGCATGTGGCGTAGAAGCCATCCAGTCGATACGGCCCTTGATGAGCAAGGGAGAATATCGGACCTATTACTGGAACTCAAAGCGGCGGTGAGATCAGGTATTTCTACATAATGTACCGCACATTACATTGCAGAAGTTATATGAATATTAGTTCTATATATTAGTATGACATCACCCTGGTTGGCCACACTCTCTGCAAACAGTTACTAAATCCCCAACCCCTTTCCCAGACCGCTGGAACATCTCCCAGCAGAAAAGCGTCATTCCAAGAGGCCCCAACATTTTACAAGGGTACGGATGGTAGACCAGACGAATAAGAAAGCGACGGTATGATGTAGAGACCAACGGTTGAACACCGTATTCAGTATCCCGCTCAAACCTACCTATATTCTTTTACTCAGCCTGACAACAGCATTTCAATCTCAAAATTTCAATATTCCAAATATTAAATCAGATAAATAAGTATATAAAGCTGCAGCGAGGACTTAGTAAAAGCCAGCATGGCGTCCGGTTTCAGCCCCAACGGTGGCCACTTGCACTCCCACGGAACGGAAATGATATCATCACGAGCCCGTATACGCGCCACCACCTAAGACAGTACATCTTTCATCATGTTTGATCGAATCAGGCAATAAACGATAAACGTGGTCCCACAGTTAGAGGATATCCATTCAGATGACTGGACTATTCAGAACAGATGACATCTGTCCCCCAACCGGTGATGGTGATCATCTCTTTGAGGAAAGTCCGGTCTTGTCCGAGGTTTATTTGCGGGTGTACATAAACTTTGTTGTTGTGCAGCGAGGATGGATTGTTATTGGTGACTGGTTGCTATGTCCCGGTGACCAGTGTTGCGGGCCAACCATGTCTTGCTCCATTGTCGATCGGCGATCTGCGTTTCGAGATGTTTCGGCCAAAGCACTGATGAATTTGAACGGTTGGTTCCTGATACATGGTTATTTTACATATACTCGATGTTCGAGTTTCAGAGTTCAAATATGTTGTATTTAGGTTTCAGGTTGAATCTGGGACTTTTACTTCAACATGTACGGAGTACAGATTAGGATAATCAACGATGCAGGGGGTTAATTGGAAAGGAAATATATCCAGTGCTATTGAGTACATGGCTGGTATAGCTGCTGTCAGGCTGGGCAAAGAAAACTGGCATTGCCAACCATGGAATCTGAGGTCCAAGCCTGGGAGTCGGTGTGGTTTCAGAGTCCTGGATATCAATCTTGGGGGCCTCATATCGCAACCTTAACACCTACATCAGGATCCCATCATTGGCACGGTAACAATGCAGGGGACATAAACGCCGGGCGCAGTATCATTAATCCTGATCCTCAACACTGCAGACCAGCCAAATACGCAATTCCAAGATACCAAGACACAGCTGCTGCATCCCATATCGCCCGATAAGCACGGGGTAACTGTCGTAGAACATGAGCACCTGGGCAGTAAGTAGAGAAGAAAAAATTACATTACTCGATCGGTCCGTACCGAGTCCCCAAGCCAAGCCTGTAACATGTGGCCGGTCGATCCCGGGGCCGAAATAGTATCATCACACTGCCCCGGGAAGGTATCACTTAGTCCATCCCTTCTCATCTCTCTCCGTGTGACATCTTGGCGCCAAATCCAGTAGATCTCCTAGTTTCAAGGCTCGCCAAGCCCCCTCTCTTCATGTGTATGTATGCTGAGTCGGATCGCCATGATCGCCCTTGGCGCAGGATTATTTCCAATTGCACTATCGAGACTCAGGCGGTGACAGTCATGGTGATATGAATTGAGGGATTGCTTGGCGCCGAGGATGTCCTTGCGTATGTCCAAGTGGGCATTTCCCCTGAAACTTTCTCCAGAAATAGGAGGGATCAAGGGGGAAAGCCAAGAACTGGTGTTCGTCCACTATATTCAAGCCCAGAATAGGTGTGGAGCTGAAGCTGGAGCTGGATTATTGTTTCCCCCTTTGTTTTGGTATGAGTTGTATCGGGCGCATTTGTCTGTTTCGGGCTTGGCGGTTAGGACTATTATTCGCCAAGTATTGCTGAAATGGGGATCGGGGTATTTTGTGTTCATCTCCTTTTGACTGAGATGTGGAAGATTTCTGTTTGTGTTTGGTTTGTCATTTTGCTGACTGTACTTGGTAAGTCATGTACTTTTGGCGGAGTACAACACTCCAGTTCTCTAGGTATCTTTCGCCACAGATTATTGTGGCGATGTATATACCTGATATCTAAATAAATCTTGATTATTCCGAGTCATTGTACAACGCCGGTCTTGGTAACGTGGACTGGTATATGCAGGAGTGGAAAATTGCGATTCCGTCTCACGGGACAGTATCAGGAACGATGCTCTACGTAGACAACGGAAAAGATTATTGGAGAGATAAGCCAAGCGAGACAACCGCTGTCAATTAGATGACATGCAACCAAGGCAAAGTCAAGTTAGTTCAAGGAAACCTAGCTTAACCCTATCCGGTGTTCGTCGCATGCTAGCGGAGAGCTGTTAAAATGCCTCATATTAGAGAACGTCTGACTAACCCATCCTATCGTCTCCACTTCCCCGGTTGATGCTGCCGGTCAACAGTTGCCTTCCTGTACGGACTTTCTTCCAAGCAAATTACAGGATCGCGGACATCGTGCCGCTCGTGTACAGTAGCGCCACCTGCACCTGCACAGTTCACACCTTATTGCGTTACGGGGGTTTTAGTCCATGTTGCGGATCCTACGGCTTACTCGTCGAATCCCCATGGGCCAATGTTCAATGTTTACTGTCCCGCTCTGCCACGAGAGCAACTGGGGCATCGTGAATCCTTGGTGGGGGCAGATAGGACCTTCTCCCCTGTTTTTCCCGGTGGCTTCTCTTTTCGCTTTGTAACCACTTAACCCGAATTGACCCCGAATTATGTGGCGGGTTCATTACAGGTTATACGGCTAATGTACTGGATTCCGGCATCCTAACCGAGAGCTGAGAGACATGAACAAGGATTGGAGAAGTTGGCTTCAGCCCACTCGACCTACTCCAATGAGAAGAGCTGAGCGACACGCGCGCAGAGGGGAAATGGCTCGATCGACATCGTGTGGCACGGAGCGTCCCAAAGTCACCGGGTTTTAGTACTTCTGATTGCTGCGCGAAACTAACCTTTGTAATTGTCATTGGAGAATTGGGAATTGACAACGTGGTTCATCATAGCGGTATCGCCGTTCTGTTGACAACAAGCTTTCACACAGCATTTTAAATCTGTCTGCTCTCTACCGGTCCACGGATCAGATCTGCAGCCCAGTGAACTTTCTCGCTGCTTACAGGGGGCATGCCTGCTCGCGACCGATGTGCTGCAGTGTGGGGTTACGATCCGAGGATTTGCGAAGCTTGTCGCGATCTAACCGCTGAAGTTTCAAAACTGCAGCCTTTCCTTTGATCCAGGATCCCGGTTCTCATCCGTGACCTTGTATTACTGGATTGCAGGAAATGCGGATACTTTGTTCCATTCCTTTGCCATTGTTACTGGACCCGGTTTTGGGGACCCGATTGCGATCGTGACTGACCGCTCCTCTACTCCAACGTGGGCGTCCTCGTCACCGAGCTTCTATTCAGGCGATTGGTCTACTGTAGAAGCATAGAACAAAGATTATGAGCGGATTTCCAAGATTTCCAAGGTTTCACTTTGTGCTTCCTTTGAAGAAATTTTTTCCCGCCTTACAGTGGGGATCAAGGTACACGGTTCACCGCAGGTCGGGAATACAGTGTAGGATAGGAGGGATTTCCTTTTTGTCTGTCCACGCGACTCATTATGCATGTGAGTTAGGTACCAAAGTACCCAAGTACCTGAAGTACCTGAAGTACTTCGCCTCTCAGCATGACGAACAACCAACATTAGCTATCAATGCTATTGAGTTGGGCCGGTAGATCATGAAAGAACGGTGCTGCCTTTCAGACTTGGCATTCTTTGGGCAGACAACGAATTGAGTCATGAATTTGAACACAGCCATGTACCAAGACCGATCTACCCGGACGTACAGGGACAGATTGCTCTGTGGGGGATGTGCTACGAGGGTCAAATGTGCTGTACATACGGAGTACATCTACGGAGTACTGTAGAGGACTAGTCTCCATTCAGGAAATAGATCCACTCTAAACCCGAACACGTATATTCCCGTCAAGTTTTGGTGTATCCGCATTGAGCACAAGGACCAACTACCCCGGAGATTTTTGAATAATAAGTAACAAGCATTCCAATGGACCAAAGCAGCTGCCAAGGTTGTGCGGAGGAAAAGGGAGACAAAGCGCGCAGAGCGCGTTTATAGTTCAAATGTTTGAGAGGGGGATTTGGATTCGGCTCAGGTTCGTTACAATTACCAGGTTGGTTATAGTGGTAGACTAGGGCCACTCTAGGGTTTCGAGAGGGTTCAGGCACAGGTACGAGCGATACCGGTCGATACGGATCAGCGCCGAGAACGGTAGTGACATGGAGGATAACGATACGAGTAATATGTGCTGCACGAAACCATCAATTCCAGGTTTTGATCTCAGTTTAATTCATGATTTTGGAATCAAGTGACATAGAGAGAGAATTAATGATCATAATCAAGAATGACAACAGATGTTGATTTGAACTCCTATATCATGGCTTACTATAGGAACTCTATGATGTAGTGTTGAGTACTCCGTAATGATACTGTAAGCGGCAGGTATTTTTTGGTGAGCCCTGATCAGGTTTAGCCAGCAACAAAATCCCTCATAGTGATTCAAACAACTCGACAGTCATCACTCCACCTTTAAACGGAAAATCAAAATGAAACCAGTTGTGCCACGGAAAGGAAGTGAAAGGCCCGTAAAAGGAAATGAAACGTTAGAAACAGAGAAAACCAAACCAAAACCACCTTGTGCTGCATAATAACTATCCTGTTACTAACAGTATAGTACTGATGTATGAATCACTACTCCGTACTAGGAGTACTACATACTATTTCGAGGTGCAGGAACATGTAATGCATATGCATTAGTGGGTCTATCATCTGTACCGAAAAGGGTGGCGGAAAAGGGAAAATTTGATTTTTTTTTGAATTTTTCGATTTTTTCTTGAATTTTTAATTAAAATAAAATCAAAAGCCAAATTTCCGTTTCCACGCTAAGCCTAAGCCGATCGTGCCGCCCATCGTCACTCTCCCACCCTACTTCATTCCCCCCTCTCCACTACTATACTAATATCTAATTTTCTTATTTTTCTCTACTCTCCTTTTCCTGCATCTATACGCAGCCCAACACTCCCCCGGAATATTCCTTGGCAAGCCAACTATTCGTGCCACCCTCAAGACATCATTGAAATTCGCTATCGGTGAAAGACGACTATCGTTCTTGGCGGTTCTGATCTTCAACTACTGCGCCATCCCCCTCAAAAATGTCCTGTATATCATGACGAGCTGTCCTGCGTGGGACTGAGTGTTCTTCGCCCTCTGGTTCGATCCTATTTGGTGATCGATATCGAGAGAGCATCTAACTTTGCACAAATCTTGAACTTTTTGTCGAACCGCAAAACGGTCAACACTATTTCGAATGTTCTGTCTGTTTTTGGATTGAAACGAAATGGCTCAGTCTCGGGATCGATTCTCTTTTCACAACCTATTGAAGATGCTTCTCGCGCCTAGTTCTTCCAGGCCGTCATACGATGAGGCTGACCTGCCTGAAGACTTGGATGAACCCCCTGATCAACATATATTGCACGCCACCCCGATGAACGAAGATCTAATATTTACCCGGTCGACACTGGTCGACCGGAAGGAATCCCTGCTTACTCGCGCCTTGAAGAGCAGCCCGGAAACGTCCCCGATTGAACAACATCACTCTATGCATCACTCTATGCACGAATCCATCTACTCCTATCGCTCCTACCCCCACAGCAATATCTCTGGAATCTCTACCGCCGAGTTGACCAGCGATGGCGGCCTCACCAGCCCTTCCCTCTCCAACACGCCTAGTCCACCACTCCCGCCGCAGATGATGGGCAAAGCTGCCATGGACGGCAAGAAGGAGATCGCTCAACGCGTCAAGGTCGTCGATACCAATGAGAACTCCGTCGAGGCCAACTTGGGACGCAAACGCTGTATTAGTTTCGCCTGTGGTGGTAAGACGCAACCAATCCAGCCCAGGGCTCCCTCGCCACAAAAGACACAGACGACCACACAAACAGAGACCGAACCTCCGAAGCGCAAATCCACTCTTACCTTTGCCTGCCCAAGTCGTCAGTCTGTAGTTCAAAGAGAACAAAGAGAACGCTCGCCGGCGCGCGTATCTGCGTTCCGGAATCGATGCCGTGGTTCTCCGGCTCCTGTTTCTCGCAAGTCCTCTTCTTCCTCCCAGGCCTCCGCCCAGGCCTCTGAAGAGACCAAGGCACCTGTATCAAACTCACCCAAGGGCGTTCCGACCAGTGGTCTAGGCAAGTTTGAAGAATCCGAAGAAACTCGGTTCCATGAATTTGCTAGCTCTGTGGATGATGATGACGAATGGGTGAAGAAGACGACCGATTTCACTGAGAAGATCACCTTGAACGACTGTATGAAGAAGGAGAACGCCATTCGCCGCCTCGCTGAAGAAGCCGACCAAGAAGAAGATGAGGAGGATGACGATATCGAGGATCTTGCTGACGATGATTCAACTGTCCATGACTTCTCTTCGGATGATGGTAACGAGTCAGACAACGAGGAGGGCTTTGCGGAATCGGATGAGAGCGACGACGATGGCTCAGACTATGAATTCTGGGCCCCCTCTGCGAACGTATCCGAAACCAATGTTCCTGCTATTGATATCTTCCCTCCGACCATGGAACGTCGGGCTTCAAACACTTCATTCGACTCTATGACAGACGATCATCAAAAGTGGCTGCCGGCGCCCGTGCGGAAAAATGGCGGACGCCGTGGCGCCACCAAGCCAATCAAGATGCGACCGGGAACTCCTAATCTGCCCGACAGCACCGATTTCGTCTGTGGCACTCTGGATGAAGATCGTCCACTCGAGGCTGCCTACAAGTCTTGCCTAGAGCAGCGTCGCATTTCTAAGCACGTTCCGATCCCGCAAGACATCGACCCCAGCTTCCCCACCAGCGACCCCGAGGCCGAAGAAGACCTTGAGGATCTCTCTGAACAGGATGAATCTGATGAGGAGCCTATCCGCGGCCGGACAGAAGCCCCGACACGCACATCCCCACGACTATCGCCCAAGCGCATGGTGTCGCCACCGCCTCCTCGTGCTGGTCGTGCCTCACCCAAGCGTCTCAAGTCCCCGCCTCCCCGTACGCGAGCCAAGTCTCCCTCGCCTAGGAAATGGACGGAGGTGCCGATTAGGGAGTCGCCTTGCGGTGTCAACATCAGCCACTTGAACCAACATCGTCAGCCTTTGGTGCGCACTAAGTCGTTGCCTCGTACACCAAACCCATTCTTTGCTACCGACCAGTCACATCGGTGGCACGGAATCCCACCCTTCTCTGAATCTCTCGAGGACGAAAACTCCCGTGCTCGCGAGGTTCTGCACACACGTGGCCCCATCGACATTGTCGAGGGTCTCGAGAAGAAGCGCCAGAAACGAAAAGAAAAGTTCTGGCGCCAACATTGCCGCAAACAAGCCGCCAAGGGACAAACAACCCAGCGGAAGACTCCCGGCAAGGGAGCCAAACGGATGAAGGAGCTTGGCCTCGAAGTTGCTGAGAGGTGCAGAGCTTACGGTGTCGCTGAGGACACCCAGCTCGTCCTATCCGTTTAGGCTTCCCATACATCCAAGGACTTCAGTGTTCTCCCCATACCCCTTTTCGAATTGTATATAATACTTTTCACCCCCTTCGCTTGGTCTGTGATCCGAGTCCTTCGCTTATACATACTTTTAACCAACTTTTCTTCTTTGGCTTTTTTTCACTTCTCTTTTACCTCAGCCTTTTCTAATTATCCTGGGGAGGATCAGTCTTTGCATGCTTTTTTTACCGATCAAATGTTTATCTCCTGGGGGGCTTCTTTCCTTTCGAGTTTGCATGGTTGCGGTGCATATACCCCATATCTGAATTTGCTGCATTGTGAATAAAGCGGATTGGATCGAATGAACATAGATATATAACAAATAACAACATTCAATACTTCAATGGACTTGAAACTGTAATTCCAAATTTCAAAACAGACTAGAAAGAAGTGTCCTTTATCTTTACAACCTTGTTCTAACTTGTTTTTGTCAGGTCCGCCACTGTTGGTGCCTTGCAGCCTCAGGCACCAAGATTTGGGCGATCCCGAAAACAACATCAACCTGGCTTCTCTTCCCTTCCCCCTCCATCCACCTAATCGCCTCCTCTTCTGCGATATTGTGCATCCGCTTCCCTCGATCCGATAACGTCACACACACCCGGTTTTCCAGTTTCGCCATGTGGATTATCAACTGGTGTAAGTGCTCCCCCGAACACCCTCGGCCCAACCACCTCCGCAGCCATCGGCAAGAACCAGGAGCGAAGAACCAGCTTTGCTCGATAATGAGTTGAGCTTTACCGAGCTGAATGGATCTTTTCTCTTTCGTACCGGATAAGAAAAGCCTGGCTTGCTGAAGTCGACATACCGCGGTCCCCTGTGCGGCCAGTGATTGAGGTCTTGGAATTTCGAGTTTACTGACATTGATTTGCTTTTGCTTATAGTCTATGATGTGCTCGCCTCTCTTGGCCTGCTAAACAAGCACGCTAAGCTTCTTTTCCTCGGTTTGGACAATGCCGGAAAGACCACCCTGCTCCACATGTTGAAGGTGAGTCCGTCGTGTGACACAATACCTGCGCCGATTGGGACGGAATGAAGGTGGTTTCAAGACTTGATATTTGTTATCGGAGGATATTTGGAGGATTTATCGGGATACAAGGGCTTGCATATTGAATATTTCATCGGCGCAGGATCTTGGCACATGGCATGATGGCTAACAGGCTAATTTCCGTTGGATAGAACGACCGTGTTGCTGTCCTCTCACCGACTGCGCACCCGACTTCTGAGGAGCTGGCCATCGGCAACAACCGTTTCACTACCTTCGATCTGGGTGGTCACCAGCAGGGTGAGTTGAGAACCCCGACCTGCGGAACCATTTCCGGGGTTCGTCACCTTGTGGAGCAACTCCGCTAATCAAGCCAACTATCTAGCTCGTCGTCTGTGGAAGGACTACTTCCCTGAGGTCAGCGGTATTGTCTTCCTGGTCGATGCCAAGGACTACGAGCGTTTCCCCGAGTCCAAGGCTGAGCTTGATGCTCTCCTCGCTATGGAGGACCTCGCCAAGGTTCCCTTCCTCGTCCTCGGAAACAAGATCGACCACCCCGATGCTGTCAGCGAGGATGAGCTGCGCCACCAGCTCGGTCTGTACCAGACCACCGGCAAGGGCAAGGTTCCTCTCGAGGGAATCCGTCCTATTGAGCTGTTCATGTGCAGTGTTGTCATGAGACAGGGTCAGTATCATCGCAGGCTATGCCTATATCTAGATTTCATGCGCTGACATATCATTAGGTTACGGCGAGGGTATCCGCTGGCTCTCCCAGTACGTTTAAAGCGCCCTGCTTTAATACGTCTCCCAATCCCTCCTTCCCTCATCCCGCTCTTGGTCCATTTCTCTCCGTCCTCTTCACGAACCTGGATAGAAGGACAACAATCCCGACCCTTCTCAAATAATTACCTCACCCCACAATACCTCTAGATAGCTACCACAATGGTATCTACCTCCTACCACCCTTCAACGGCTTGACGTCTTGATATGTCCTTCGACTCTGCTTGTCCCCCACTCAGTGCATGTCCTTTGGCTCAGTCTCAGCTCAGCCTTTATATTGTCCCCTTTCGCCTATTTTTGCTACCACTTTCGTGTTTCCACTGCTGCCAGTTAGCCGGTGACTTTGCTTTTTCCTCCATACGATAGTTCAAAATAGTGGATGGCTCTTCTATATCATAGAACCGATGTACTGTATGGAGTATAAAGTAAATCTACTAGTAGTGTTTTCAAGTCTGCAAATCTACTGCTGAACTTCGAAAAAATGGAAATTTAGTAACCATTTTAATTTTGGATATAGTATATGCAAATCAGTAGACAAATATAACTTATCACACACGACATGACTAATGTTCAAGCCAGAATCTTGGAAGTTCTATATTTAAGATTAAGTCTTACTAGCAGCGTAGATCACGGCTCAGCATGAGTTTTCGAAGAGGCTGAAAGGAGGCTGAAAGAAATAAACCAGAAAACGGGAGGCTTCTGGCTTTGGTACATCGGATTGGTTCAAGCATTGTAGATTATGGCTCAGCATAATTCTTCGAGAGGCTCAATGGAAAATTCGAAACCAGAAAGCGGGAGGCTTCTGGCTTTTGTAAACCGGATTGGTTCAAGCAGTCTAGGTCATGGCTCAGCTTGCAAAGTGGTTCGCGTGTCCTCATGTGAAATTTAAAACCGAAAAAGGGCATCCTATGGCCACCTCTCAATATAATTGGTCGCGAGAAATCACTACTAGGCGGATGTGGCGTCCAATAAGAGAGATAGGACTATGATGTGCTTTGTTCCTGACGATGCAACCGACTAGAGATATAGCAGGACCATTTCGGATATAGGAATAGAGCAGGTAGGTCAAAGATAATACAGCTCCTATTATCAAGCGAGTCTAAGATCTGAGTCTAAGACCTATTAGGTACGCAGTTGCAGGAATCACCTAGGTGGAAAACATGTATCAATTGAATTCAAACACAAGACCAATAAGCAGAAACGAGATAAGAATGAGATGAACCAGTTTCCCAACCCCCTTTCCAGGATGCCGAGATACACATTCCGTCCAGATGGTAAGAAACAAAACAGAGAAGCGAAAAGAAAATAAGAAAAATTGGGGGCAAAGAATGGGGAAAAACAGAGGTCGAGATTTCCGCTCCGGAAGGGAAAAGGTCGCGCGAGTCGACCAGGGTTGATGAAGACAGGTTTTCGCATGTCGCACGGGCGCGTCCGGGGGTCGAGAGAGATGGGATTCACGGGGTTATCACGGAGGTTGAGGAGGAGTAGGATGTATTGTTATGGGCCCCGGGGTGAATGGGGGTTCCTCGGTCGTTCATCGCTTCGTGGGTCTGCGGAGGTCGTAGGTTTGAAGGTCATATGGCGAGGGGGTTTTCTGTCAATGCGTTGAAATGGCTTATCTCCGCCCGAACCTGCTGCACACGGGGAAGCTCGTATCGAATTCTTTACTTCTTCTTTTGCTTTCGCTGTGGGGTGTTGGGTCCGCCGGAGCTCATGCTACCGTAAACGTACTTTTGTTTTTTCTCGGCTGGTTTCAAGATCTAATAGAAGAAATATTAATATCCGTATGAGTGTCAGGATTTGGGAAGAAATAACTCACCTGGAACGAGCAGAGCAAGCTCTCGTCGACGCTCATCATTGCACCCGCATTGTCGAATTCACCACAGTAGTTGGGTGCGCTGAAAAGCGTAACCAACTGGCGCTTGGAGAAGAACTCGTAACCATCCTCAACAACTTGATGCGCACGGCATATCAAATCCATATCGTGTTTCTGGAGGAAGCGTGAAACCACATCGGGTCCGAATGTGAACGAGACACCGCGGTCGTTTTCGCTCCAGCCAGTGATGTCCTTGTCAGGATCGGACCACAGGAGATCGCACAGAAGGCCACAGTCAGGAATCTAATTCAGTCAGCGAATTTGGCTCTCAGTCGGAGGAGCTCTGACACCAAGATCTGCCACTTTTCGAGTCCAACACAACCGCACCATGAAATCCAATGCATGAAAAAAAAAAAAAAAAAAAAGCAAAGAAAAGACTTACGTCAGTTGGGCGCATGACACGACGGATCTGCTCCATCGAGTTCAGGTCGGGGCTCAGACCGCCGTGCATGGTGAAAATCTTCTCATCGATGATAGCGGCAATGGGCAGACAGTTGAAGCAGTCGGTGAAAGTCTTCCACAGCTTAATGTTGTAGCGGCGCTTGCACTCGTCGTAGAATCCATAGATACGGTTGATGGAGGCGCACTCGTGGTTACCACGCAGGATGAAGAAGTTCTCAGGGTACTTGATCTTGTAAGCGAGGAGAAGGCAAATCGTCTCGAGCGACTGCTTGCCACGGTCGACGTAGTCACCAAGGAAAAGGTAGTTGGCCTCTGGGGGAAAACCGCCATATTCGAAAAGGCGCAAAAGATCGTAGTATTGACCGTGAATATCACCGCAAATCTAAAGAGCCCAACGCGTTAGAACTCGGGTTTTCCGTGTAGAGGGATTGTTGGAGAAGGCGAAGCCACAAACCTTGATGGGAGCTTCCAGCTCCAGAAGAATGGGCTGAGAGATGAAAATCTCACGGGCCTTGGTGCAGAGGAAACGAATCTCAGACTCAAGCAGCTGAACCTGCTTGCCTGGCCGGCTGCCTCTCACCTCCAGCAGCCGGTCAATGATGGAATCCAAATCAACTTCCTGGTCGGCCATGTCGGGCGGCCCCTAAAGGAAACAGAAACAAGGAAATGGAAAAAAAAAACACCAAGCGAACCGGAAAAAGCACGCGCGGGGGAAGGGATGGCTTGCGGAGCAAGTGAAATTTTTGTGACGCGGTTATTAGATTCTGCAAAGCACAGATAGATTAGCGATCAGTCGAATAATGACAATAGAGGTAGTCCGGTGCTAAAATCCCGAATCGGCACCAACCGAGACAGGCGCGCTCCCGATGACGAGATTTTTTTCAGGCCGAAGTTTTTTTTTGACACGATCCACCCCTTGGCCAGTGCAGAAACCCCAAGGGAAAGGAAAATGATAGACGTACAAGAGACGCTCAATGAGAACAATGACTCAAGGATCTGAAGGCCCTTGCGGCCGCGTGTTGGGAAAGCTTGGTCTGGCTATGCCGGATGACGATGTTGAGAAAGCGCTCCAACTGAAATTTTATGTGTCACCGAACAAAGAAAGCCAGGGGCGTAAATCCGATTCCTCTCGAGTCGAGGAAAGAAACCACGAGGGTTGAGGTTTTTCGGGATAGGAAGGGGAAAAGGATTCCGGAGAAGAAGTTTTTTCTGAACAAATACGAGAGATCAATCTGAGAACAGAAAATCAAATTCTCTCACGAAGCAGAAGCAGAAGCAGATGCGAAGTGGACGCGATGAAGACGGGAGGAGGAGGAGAATCTTGCAGGGAGAGAAAGCGGGAAAGTCAAGTTGTGTTTGCAGTTGTTTGGCTTGATCACTAAAACTATTTATATAGAGAATACCTATGTAAGTATATCTCTTCTATACTTGAATCTTTTATTGAAATGATAGTTTAACTATGATTCTGGCTTATTTATCTGTTCAGCCTTGATGTTTTCTTTCTATTGGTTTTTTTCCTATTTTCTATTGCCACCATTCCGGTCTCGTCTTTGGAGGGGTCGAGTTACCGCCGGTCGAGACCCATCGTACAATCGTATAAATAGCCAACGTTTGAAATTATGTAAGGCCTTAGCGTCACCCCCTCAAATTGATAATGAATCACATATGCAATATTAACAGACTCACTATAATGTCATTATTCCCGGCACTATACCTACCTACTCGTGCTTCTTATTGGACGCTTGCCTGAACCCTGGCTACAATCGAGTTACTTTACATACAAGCCCTAGGTCTCTAGTCGGGAAAAGAATCAGGTCTGACGAAAAGTGAGATTATGAACTGGCTCATAGGTAACGTCAGGCCACACAATCATGAACAGAGGAATTTGCAGAGAAACATGCCTATCAGAAGCACGGGTCAGGAGCATGAGGGGAATAAGAAATTGAGAAAAACTGAAACATCAAGCAGAATCATGCCACCAACACCAACTTGCCGGAATAAGAAACAATGAGAAAAACATAAAGTACACGACGCGCTCTAGAAATCAGTCTTTCACAATATCCTCCGAAAGGACGAAACGGAAAAAGGTACCGCTGGGTCATTTTGATGGAAAACATGCTGGAAATCAAGGGGAGAGGGTAACGAAAGAAAAATCAAACAGGCCGTAAATGTTCATACATCCAACCCAACATATCTCATAAGTCATCCGAACGCCATAAACAATGCAAGGGAGCAGCTCAAGCGGCATACTCGGAGAAGATCGATCCAAAGATATGTGACGGGTATTGGGGATAAGTCTAAAACCTCAATTCTGGAGGTATAGACATATCAAAAGTGTCGGAATTTGTAAAGTAATGACAATGGGGATCTCGAAATTTGCGAGAACATCTATCTATCCTCCCAACGTATGGCCGGCGCTCAGAATAGCATGGCTGTTAGTTCGAATGGAAGTGGCTGGGAGTGGGGAGTGATCCAAGCCGGGTCCAGCTAGATGGGCCGCAAGCTCTGTTTGAGGACTGTCCCAGGAGTGGTCCCCTAGGACGTTAAGCCAGGTCTGACCTACATCTTGACGGAGAGCTTCAAGCTGCTGGCGGCAGAGCTCTTGGTCTAAGACCCAGTCTGGGGTGGGAGGTTGCGCTGTAGTCGGTTGCGCTGTAGTCGCCTGCAGCAGAGGAGGACTGGATGAATTTCCCGGCTTTGCAAGACCCAGGAGACTGGAAGATCCGGACTGTGCGGCACTATCCTGCTTCCATGGATCATGTGGAAGCACAAAAGGTATTTGAGTTGGGGCATGTATTTGCTGGGTGGGAGAGAGTGGGGGCACTGTGGGGCCTGGACTACCCAAGCCGTCCGAAGTGAATGGGTTATCTGTCGACAGATCGATGATCCGGCGTCGCTGAATCTTCTTCCGTCGATTGGTGCCATCCAATTCTTGTGCTGGTGCCTTGGTTGGTGCCGGCTCAGTCTCTTCGTCGGGAGTCTTGGGCAGCGGCTTTCCCTGGATGATCGTAGCAGCAGGCTTCTGTACTACGGTCACTTCATCAGCTGCGCTGGAACGCACCACAGGAGCAGCGTCCGGCTCTGCGACTCGGTCAACAAGTTGCTTTCGCTCGGTAAAGCCGGGTCCCCGACCGTCGATGATGATGTCCTCAGCATAGCCAGGAGTGCGACGGAAAAGATTCATAATCACGACACGGTATCCCGAGTGGGTCTTAACGAACGGGTTGCCAGACACCCAGATCTCCCGTATCTCAGGGAGGCTGGTGAGGCGTGCCATTTCCGTCGGATCCATCAGGTTGTTGTCACGGAGGTCCAACCTCTCCAGAGACAGCAGGCGCTCAATACCAGCCAACGAACGAAGTCGGTTGCCGCGAAGATTCAGAGCAGTGATGGCCGGAAGAGGGTTTCGAGTAAGAGAGTGCATCGAGTCAATCATACAGTGAGATAGGTTAAGAGCACGAAGTGACATCAGAGTTGCCAAGCTGTCCGGGATTTCAGTGAGAAGATTGGAGGAAAGGTCCAGAGAGTTTAGAGTATTAGCCACAGGGGCCAAGCTCTCCGCTGAAATCGAGGTCAAGGAGTTATCTGGCAGGCCAAGATGACGCAGAAACCGCCACTTTGTAGGGGGAAGGATACCCGGCAACAGTGTCGCTGAGCTCCCAGCCCGGCCGCCACCTGATGTATCACTGGAATTGGAACTTCCCGAGCCGGTACGACGTATACGAGCTGACTGACCTCGACGGTGACCATGCCTGGTCGTCGGACGTTGCGGCGAAGTGCTCTCGGCCCTTGCACGGTGAACCTTTGCTCCTTCGGACCCGGCTCGAATCATCGGGACAGACTTGGGGCTGGTGCTGGTTGCAAGCGCCGTGTCGGCGATAGGGGAACCGGGAGCCGAGAGAGAGTTATGCCCGTGGGCGTGGGCAGGCTGAGTAGTGGAATTGTTGTTCCATCCAAGTGGTGGGGACTGTTGGGTCTTTGCGGGACGTCGACGACGCTTGTCCATATCGTCCAATACGATTCGTGTCAGTAGATCCGTCGGGTCATCCAGATGAGCCCGCTTGATCGACAGGGTGCGCAGTTGCTCCGACAGCCGGTCCCAGCCGTAGAAAGAACGATAATCTATATCAATGATCTCTAAAGCGCTCAAGTTTTTGAAGGAATGAAGCGGCACAGCCGTGTCGAAGGGAAATTCTTCATAGCCACGGATCAAACAGGCACGGTGATCAGGGGCCAATCGTAGACAGGGAATCTTAGTAAAGGCAGAGTAGAGATACTTCAAGTCCGCCTCCAGGGCCAGCTTAGCCTTTTCAGACTTAGAAGCCGCATCCTTGGATCCGAGACCGAATGAGGACCAAAGGCCACTCATGCCCGACATAACGCTACGCACGCTGGATACGGAGTGAATGGAGGCTCCATCACCACCCTTTGACCGCTGGGGTTTATTCAAGAAGGAAACATAGGACTGGGAGACATCAGTATGAATGTTCTCCAGCCGGACGTTCATAGGCCCCACGGCAATGGATAGGTCTTCGAAGCGGGACAGGAGGTAGAAGAGGTGATGAGGGGTGAGAGTCAGCTTGGCGGGTCTGATATTCTGCGATGCGAATTTCAATGCCCCAAAGGAGAGGGCCGAAGCTAATGAGGTGGAAGAGAAGGCGGCTGTAGAGGTTGCGCCAGTGGGTGGCTGTGGGGTTCCGGCATTAGACTGGCGCCGGAGTTGTAGCGCGTTGGCGAGCGCTTTTTCATGTGTGCGGACGAAGCTGGCCAGGTTCTAGGTAAAACGATGTCTCAGTAACCACGCGCAAGTCATTGATCTTTTGAGGAAGTGGGTCAGGGAAAAAAAAAAGTTCATCAAAAAATCTCACTTTAATGAAGATTTGTCCATCTTCAGTGTGCAGCTTCTCCATGGTGGAATATGTATGAGGACAGTAGGAGATCCTCGCCTGAAGAATTCAGAGGATTCAACAGATGCTACCAGGGACGGTCGACATTGTGCTGTTGCGACCAGAGAGGGAGTGTCGCCTAGGCGATGTGAGGAGTTAGCGCGGGCGGACCAGTAAGGTGGAGAGACTCAGGGGGAAGGGATACCTGTAATGAGTGAACAGACTCGATAGATCAAATTGAAGATCTCAAGTCTAGTGATTCTTTTTTGAAATTCCCTTGGGGGATGGGAAAGGGAGGAAAAGGGAAATTGGTGACACGGGGTAACCGCTAAATAAGACTTGTCTGATGATCGCAAAGATACTAATACTGTAATGGGTCGTTACCCATAAAAATCAAATCAAATCAAATTCCCCTCAAACCTTGGAACCAAAAATATAATTGTTTATACATTTATACCTTTATACATTTATAATAACATATGGTCTGATCTTGATCCTTCTTGTCTTCCTTAAATGTCTTGAGGTTAAAACCCTTCTATACACAAAACCCTTTCTCTATACACGATAGTTACGATACATTCTACTATGAGGCAAAAGACCGAAATTACACCAGCCATAAGATACCTCTCAAAGCCCGGGCAATATTTGTTGCTAATTTCCTGCATCTACTAAACCCAGATAGGAGTTGAGTGGCGACCTATGGAGGGGTCTAGGATTTAGTTTGATTTGTCCTTGGCCGCGTCTATCAGACCCTTCGGTTGGATCGTCCGAATCTCTCTAGGATACCATTGGGAATGCTCATGAAATCCTGCATTGGACTTTCCCGTTGATTTGGTATCATACTTCTTGAGTCGATCCCCGAGCAAGGTCTATCAGTGGGTCCCCCGACTTTACCCCCTCCTTTTAGTCGATCGACATGAAAAAAAACTTTGAGGTGGAAAGGAAGTTGCCTGTACTCCGTAAAAACAAAATCTATCTCATCGATCTAAACTCGAAGCAGCCACAACCTCCAGCCGCCCATGCAGCCCGGGTGGAAATGCCGAGAATCAACGAGCGCAAATGTTTGGCTGAGATGCCCCGTACTCTTACATTAGACCCGCTTTGGTTGTATTTTTTTTCTTCCTTTCTTATGCACACCTGTAAAGCCCACTTTTTCTTACTTGTTCTCGGGTTCATACCGGCATGCGGTTGGTCACCTGCAAGTACGTCGCTTTTCTTTGCATCAGATCAAGCCTCTGGTCTCTCTTAAGGGATGTGATTGGTCAAAGACAAAACTTCCCCATATCAGCAATTTGGCGTGAAAGGGGGTAAATGTCACCCGAACACGAGTCGAGTCTCAGAGAAATGAAGAACGAAACGCGGGCCGTTAATGGCGACTGTACGAACCATCCTATCATCAACCAATGACGAGGCGGGGCTCGACCAACACGCACTATCTGGGATCATCCGTCAGCTCGCACTGACATCTGACATTCCACTGGGTCAGGAAGTGGAGACAGCCCCCGATATTAGGACAAATCTCCATGTCATCAAGAAAATCCAACAGAGATGGTGGGATGTGAAGCATTCCATCATCATCATCACCCCCACCATCAGACTATACACCGCTTCCTACATTCTTCAGACTCAACCCGCTGGGCGTCACTCGATCCATGGTTCGATGTGACCCCTTTATCTCGGATCGGATGAAATCAATTAACATGACGGAGTAGATTTGGACACGTACGTACATCATACTACTTTCCCTGTATTCGTGGGACGTTTTGTAAATAAGATCTACATATAGTTCGGTTGAATTGAAAGAATCATAGAGGCGCGCGACCCCTCGGAGCGGGGGTTTTTTTAGAGCTAGGAGATAAATGTATACACATTCCCGACCTCAGACGTTGCATACATGCGCTCCGTTCAATGTCAGATCCTAGCCTCTCCTGCAGTTGCAAGGAGTTCGCATGCAGCTATCCTTGCAGTCTACCTCAGCTGAGAGTTTGCGTCTTTTTAGCTTCCCCCTTAAAAACAAAATGTTCCGCATGGGAATCTGGGAGACAAGAATTGATCAGAATCAAGGAGGGGTTAGCCACATGAGAATGCGATCGACCATCGATTGCTAGTTTGCCCCGCCCCCTTGAATATGTACAATTCTGAACAAAATTGACGTCTCTTTCGGACATGGACCGGACTTTCTCCACCCCGTCGATCCCAGCACGAGGAGACGAAAATCTATTCATCGTGGGCGAAATCCTCATTGGGTAAGATGCAGAGTCATTTGCTGCAGTGCCAAGCTCGGTGGCTTAACTGAACCTGCATCTTTGCTTTTTGACATCGGGGAGTACGCCACAGAAATTTCAAGCGTAGCGATCTGCGGATAGCCCAATACAGATGGGGGCTTGAGGATGGGGTCCAAATTTTTTTTTTCTTGTCTCCTTGTTGGTGGGGTATATATCTTTGTTTTTTACCATCCCTACGGAGTACACGGACTACAGTACATTTACTTTAAACGTACGGTAACACTCGCTTCCCTCTTTAGTGCTGATTGTCAACATAAGTAAGTTAGCTAAGGCAACCTAAAAGAACCCGGCGGCTACCGCGCACCACATTCTAATCAAATGCGACGCGTAAACCCATGACCACCTGCCACCGGGAAAGGCTGTAGCAGGCATATGGGTTACTATCGGGGCAACCGAACATGTACATGCAAGAAGGGAAAAAGAAAGCGAAGCCATGGTGTTTGCTTCTTTCCCTTTCCTTTTTTTTTCGTCAGTCGATCGGCATGATCAACAAGGGAATTTATTTTTGGGCATGACTAGCCAACTAAAGGCTAATTTACTACTTAAAAGTCGAGGTTAATTAATACCCTTGACACTGAATGGTCAGGTGATCCTGCCGAAAATGTGCCGTCTCATGGGCGGCTAAAGAGCTTTGACCAACCCATAGGGTGCTTTCCTATGTCTCCATATTGCCTCCCAGACCCCCTCCTTCAGCCTATCATCATCCTTGTTCAGCCCTGTGCGAGATCTGAACGCCTCGCATCTAGCGGTGAAGCTTGCCGTGTGCAGTCTTTTTAACTTTCTATTTCCATGGTAGGTCTCGGTATAGCTTCTTTTTCTATTGTCTGTATGGGATTAAGATGGAGCAATTCGGAGGATCATAAGCATGAGATAAGTCAAACCGGTTACACAGCCCGGTGTACTAAATTGAGTTAGCGTCGTACGATCGATCGATGAAAATTTCTTCGAGAGGAAGATGGAGCAGTGAATGTGCGATTTGCTCCGTCGAAAGGAAAGAAGGAAAAAATTGACTTTCCATGATTTTGCATTTTCTCAAAATCCCACCACATCAATGTTGATCATGGTTGCTGAACCGGTGGATCAATTTTCCTTATCTCTGCGGGGCACTTCGATCAGCCACATCCCGTTATCACCAGCCACAGGATTCATAACGAAGACCCCACTAAGTGTGGCGTGTGAATGTAAACAGTCATGTGATGCTGACGTCGATAGCCGTTGAAAGCTACCCCAACCGGATTTGGTGGCTTCAACTAAGGAGCTGTGGTATACCTCGTTCCATCATGCCCTGAACATGTCGGCGGAGAAGGCATTACCTTTTGATCAGTATGATCCAAGCGGTCTGCCGGACTTTGACAACGATTTTATCGATCCTGATGACCTTGACCGTTTCGAGAAGGCGTTGAATGCCCCGGAAGCTTCTCCACTGGTAGCCATCAACGACTGGCGCCCAATCAACCAACGCGTACGAAAGACACGCGGTCGCCGCAAGACCCCCAAACGAAGCAAGGATGAAACAAGGGAAGGTGTCCTGTACACAGTCCTCAAATGGCCGTTCCTGTTCACCGTATTCGCGTGGATTGCCTTCTTGAGCTGCGGCTACGTGCTAGTGCGGGTGTACATCTTCCTATACGAACAATGGGTCACATGGCGGGGAAAGAGAGAGCGGCTGCGCCGAGATCTATCTTCGAAGACGAACTATCCGGACTGGCGGAAAGCGGCCCAGGCGCTGGATGTCCATCTTGGGAATGAGGAGTGGAAGCAGGCGGACGCTTATGCTTACTATGACTCTGAGACTATCAAGAGGGTGGTATCGGAGCTGCAGAAGGAGAGGAAGAGGGCCGAGGCTGAGTTACGGCACGGGCGCCCGGGCACTGCAGAGCCTCCAGCTGTCGAGGACCTTCGCTCTTTGTTGGAAGCCTGCGTGAAGAACAACTTTGCTGGAGTGGAGAACCCTCGGATTTACAGTCAGACTTACTCAGGAACCAAGCAGTTGGTGCAGGAGTACATTGACGAAGTACATGCCTGTATTCAGCTAGTCTTGGATAGCAAGCAGATCGATCGAGATACCAAGAAACAACATTTCCGACAGCTTGATACCAACTTCGGACGCACGGCGCTCTGTCTGTCGGGTGGCGCCACATTTGCTTACTATCATTTTGGGGTTGTTAGGGCGTTACTAGATAACGACATATTACCAGAGATTATTACCGGGACGTCAGGCGGAGCATTAGTGGCGGGGTTGGTGGCCACTCGGACCGATGATGAGCTGAAGCAGCTGCTGGTTCCCGCCTTAGCTCATCGCATCCGCGCTTGTCATGAAGGGTGGACCACCTGGATTCGTCGTTGGTGGAAAACGGGCGCTCGGTTCGATACACTAGACTGGGCCAAACAATGCAGTTGGTTCTGTAGAGGTTCTACTACGTTTCGAGAAGCCTATGAACGAACGGGCCGCATCTTGAATGTATCCTGTGTTCCCTCTGATCCTCACTCCCCGTCTATTCTGGCGAATTACCTGACTTGTCCGGATTGCGTCATTTGGAGCGCAGTTCTCGCTTCTGCTGCGGTTCCCGGTATTCTGAACCCGGTGGTGCTGATGTATAAAAAGCGCGACGGTACTCTTGCACCTTACTCCTTTGGCCATAAGTGGAAGGATGGTAGTTTGAGAACCGACATCCCAATCAAGGCACTTAATTTGCACTTCAATGTGAACTTTACCATTGTCTCGCAGGTATGACCGGTCAGCCAACCTGTTTGAAGTTCAACTACTAACATCAGTTTCAGGTTAACCCGCATGTCAATTTGTTCTTTTTCAGCTCTCGGGGCACTGTGGGTCGGCCAGTCACCCATCGCAAGGGTCGTGGCTGGCGCGGTGGTTTCCTTGGTACCGCGATCGAACAATACATCAAATTGGACCTCAATAAGTGGCTCCGCGTGCTTCGACACCTTGAGCTTCTGCCAAGACCCTTAGGTCAAGACTGGAGCGAGATCTGGCTACAGAAATTCAGTGGCACAGTCACCATCTGGCCGAAGACCGTTGCCTCCGATTTCTACCACATTCTCTCCGACCCGACGCCGGAGCGGCTTGCGCGCATGATCCATGTTGGTCAGCAAAGCGCATTCCCGAAAATCCAATTCATTAAAAACCGGCTGAACATTGAAAACACTATAATGAGAGGGCTCCAGCAATGCTCTACCACCGGTCGCTCCTTATCCCCGATTCTATCTCGCCGGCTACCTTTCCCAGGCAATGAGGACTCACTGGTCGAGCGAATGGACGACACCTTTCCCGAACGCCATGACACCTACAAAGGCGACTCGACAGATGAGACTATGTCGCAATCTACCATCTCGCGCCCACAGACCCCAACCTCGAATCCTAGGAGGGGTAGCCTAATGGAGGAGATGCGCCGCCAGTCAGCGGTCTTCTTTGACGACGACCTTTACGGAGACGATTACGCTCCCGTCACCTGAGATTAATTAGCGGCTCATGCGCCGGGTATTATCTAGCAGCCCCCATGACGTCGAGAAATCTTGCTACTTCGGGACGCATGCAGCCCCGCTTTCCGTCATGGTACTTCCACCCGATGTGACAGTAGATATGACAGGCGGCTCATGCTGATCTCACTGTGCGCTACGGATACTCTCGGACTGTCCTATCATCCAGGCCTCTGTCGTGATTTTATCCTTTTGCGCCCCCGCGTTTTCATAACCTCATGCCAAGGGTTCGGCCTGGATACACGTTCAGCCCTAAACTTAAATTTTGTTTTTCAAGGCTATTCTTATGATGTTACGACTACTATCTTCTCTTTGACTTTTACCGTGGATAGTGCAGGGAACTTGGAAATTACCATTCAATAGACGTATCTCCAGCCAATACATTTTGTGCATTAATATATCACTTTGGAAAACTTCCCCAGCCCAATAACATTAACCCGCTATTCATTTATCATGCATATGCATCCCTAGATAACGCAAGATCGACGTGGAGATCCAGTCAATACAGTACTATTTATATAATACGTCAATTGATATGATGACATCCTCTTCAATAGCCATTCAAATGTTTGAAATTTTCATACCTGTATATGCAAGCACCCATCTTGATTCAATCAAATACACTACACATTTGTAGTTTTGGCGCTAGTACGGTGCTGTCATTTAGTCTGTTACTTCAGCGATATTACTCTTGCCCCTCGCAGTTCATATCTTGCTAGCACGGGCCATAAATTATGGTAAATTTGCTGACCTCGAGCTAAGTTGATCTATTGACGTAATCCCCGGCGCAATTATAGTCGATGCCCAGGTGTGGATTCACTAATGTTATACAGGGCTTCCAAGTTTGCTTCGAATCTAAGTACTCACATGTGCAAGTGCTGCACATGTGAGTAGGTAGATCGATCCTATTCGTCAATCATCTTGAAACTTCAAGGTTAGAATGCAGTACTTGGTGAGAGTATCTCCCCGGCTTGCTACATGTATTCGTATTCTTCATGCTCTAGATTCACTTTTCATTTGATAACTACCTATGTACATATGCAAATTCACCTGAGTAACATCATCTTTATCCGAAATGAACCCTTCTGAGATTCCTCCCGATGCTGCAAAGAAATGTATATCCACAATCCACAACACAAGCAAAACACTTCAAAGTGCAGCAGCAATAAACCCCAATTGAAAATACAGCGACTCATTGGTCCGCCAGACAACCTCATCAAATCCAATTATATTTCACTAACGAAATCATCGGTCGAAGGAAACATGACCCCCAAGGGTAGAGAGACATCTCTACTACATCGTCATCCAGGTCCAACTTGAGCTCCTAGTGCTCTTACTTTGGACATAAAATCACATCAAGTTAGACCGGCATCTGGATCTATTTGGCATTATGCAAGAACATGGATGCAAGAAGAAATAAAAGTTTCAAGGACATATCATCATAGATATAAAGTTATTCGCAATCAGAACCTGCAACTACTTAGTATTGCTAAGTTAAATGACAAGCCATGTATCAGTGACAGCTTTTGCAGCCTGCGCATTGCCACCTAGCGTGTGAAGACATTGCAAGGCGTAGGCAGCTTCCCGTGTAAAGTCCTCCACAAACTTTTGAGAGACCTCAGCTGGTCCCTGTAGGGGTTGATCTGCTTCGCCCATTACCACATCAGTGCCGTCCATTGGAACCGATGCTTCTTTAGTCTTTGCCTGGATCTTTTCGCCAAGCTTGAGCACATTTTCATATCCCTCAATGGCCAGATGGCCTAATCCAAGACCATGATATGCTCGTGCAAAATTAAACTCCATCTCTTGTCGCTCTTGGAGCAGAGTTCCAGGCTTCATTCGCACCCGGCGGTATGCGTTGAGGAATGAAAGCCCTTGCATGATTAAGTAGTGACGGTTCTCAGATTGTCGCTTGAAAGAGTGGTGGATGAAGCAGAGCCCGATAGAAAGAAGACAAACAGGGTTCTGATCATCGAGTGCATAGGCGCGGAAAAAGTAGTTCAGGGCTGGGTAGAAACTGCCTCCTGAGTAAAGGATGTGACCGTAGAGAATAAGTAGAGCAATGTCGAGCGATTCTGCGCGGATTCGCTCGCCGGACTTGTCCTTGGTTGTAAGAGAAGCACGCTCTTTCCAGATAGATTGCCGGTCAACATTAGGTTTGGACGGGTCGTCTGGAAGAGTAAAGTCCATCGCCTTGACCTGACGGAGCATGAACTTCATGTTTGGAGAATTGTGGAAGTGTGGTTTGCGTGGATCGGTGGTGATATGGCTTAGCATGGAGAAAAGGCGATAGGTGTCGGTGACAAATTGGTATTCCTTGATGAACCAACGGGCTTCATGTGCCAGGGCTTCCTCATCGTTTGCCCGAAGGGCACAGGTAAACCAACAGACATGAATCAAACGCGATTTTGGCTTTGAGTGAAACCAGATGCTGGCTATGGAGGCGGAATAGAGTGCTTCATATGCTTCATAAGACTCTCCATTTTCGGTCAGGATGAGTGCATACTGAAGAAATAGGTCGAGCCACTCGTCAAAGGGTATACCGTAGTATTCGTCAGGTATCTTATCCGACAAGGGCTCATCGGGATGATCATCGCCTATGCAAGAATATCAGATTGGGGTGATGGCTATTTTCGTGGAGCAGCGTAAACTTACCTAAATTTTGCTGGAGACGACCAGCCACCTCTTGAGCTTCGTTCAGCAAAGGGTTACCCTTGTCTTTGCCTCTCTTATGGTATCCCTGGAATTCCATCCCCCGGGTCATAGGGTAAAAGATTGTATTTGATCGGAAATCACGAAGGAGAGCATCCGCAATGTCAAGCCAGTCTTCGGTGGCTTCGAGATCACCTTCTTTAAGTTGAGGCTCCAGCTGCTGCAATTTCTGGTACAAAAATCGAACATCCTCTATTCGTTGACCTTTCTCTCCGGGCTGTGTTTCCGCGTCAGGAGTCAAGGGTGCCAGTCCTGTAAATGTCGTGGCTGGCTTTGGTGCACTGGTAGCCGGCTCAGTTTGCCTGAATTCAGCTGCCAGCTGCTCGAGCCTTGCGTCTTGTCTGCGCCGGGATCTACCTTCCTGTCGCCCCAGCACGACAGCCTCGTTGATGTACTTAAGTGCCTCATCACTCATCCCAAGGCCTTCGTACAGCTTGCCAAGCGCAACTCGCGATCCCATGTGCTTCGGATCATGCTCGGCAACAGTAAGGTAGCCTGTTTCGGCCTCTTCTAATTTTCCTAGTTCCATGCAGCAATCAGCCATGGCCATGAAATAGCCGATGTCTGCATGCTCGGCGGTCTCCTGGATCGGTTCATAGAAACGATAGGCTTCCTCTGGCAATCCACTATCCTTTAAGGCGTCTGCGACTTCGCGGAAGAGATCACCAAAATCAAAGATGCGGGCACCTTCCGAAGTATCATCCGGGTTCAGCCATTCAAAATGATGCAGAGCTTCTTGGTGGTGTTCGTAGCCCATTTTAAGCCTAAAAAGCCCCATTTTGATGCGAAGTTCGATGGGCAGCCCCAGTCCATATGATCCCTGGGGCCAGTGGTTAGGGTCATAACCGTTGGTTTTTATACGACGAGGAGAATCACTCGAGTCCCATTCTCGATCATCATCCGCAAAATCATCCCAGAGCGTGTCATCTCCGCGGCCCAATAGCCATCTAGAAACGGACTTTAGCGCATGGAGTCCTTTGACAGGTTGGCCGGTAATGCTGAAAAGCTCGACGTAAATGTTGACATCGGACCAACTGAGACGAGTGTCTTGCGGATCAATGGACAGGTAGAATTCTATGCTATTTGTCCAATGGGCGATGGCTTTCTGGACTTCATTGAGGTCAATGTAGATTTCTGCCAGATGTCGAAGGGCTCGTGCATTGTGCGGCCGATCTCGCAAAATACGCTCATATTCAGCAGCCGCCCTGCCGTTGTACATTAGTTCACGGTAGAGGGCAGCTCTCTGGTACCGAATATTGAAATTCTGGGGGTCGATATCCAGTACACGACTGTAGCAATAAATGACATCGTTCAATGCCCTTTTGCGATCTTCACCAGCACGCTGTAAAATGAGCCGTGCGACCTTGAGCCATACTGTGGGGTCCTTGGGCCGAGTGTGAGCGCCGTTGAAGAGAGCTGCTAAGGCTTTATCCTTTTGACCTTGGGCCAGGAAGATCTCCGACAGCAGGGAATGGGCCGGGAACATTTCAGGGTTGCATTGAATGGCAAGCATCACATGTTCCATCGCTCGATCGTAATCGCCATCGATAAATGCTTCAGTGGCTGCTGAGTGCAAGATCTTGAATTCTGGACCAGGTTCCAGCGGTTTACGGGGGCCTCTTTTGATACCTTTCCCACCGCGGGCTCCCCAACGACCTGAAAAACGTCCCCCACCTCGACGTTGCCGTCGACGTCTTGCATCGGAATCAGAATCATCATCTTCCGGTTCCACATCGCTAGGATTGCCGTCAGTCACTGAATGTTTCGATAGTGCCAGAAACTTACCTCTCGCTTCGATCTTCAAATTCCACATAGTCTGAGTCGTCTTCCTCGTCGTCCAACCCATACAGCCCCGGGGTTATGTCTTCGGCATCTTCAGAAGTATCGGTATCGTAATCTTGGCTACGAACTTGAGATTGCATGCCAATCTCATCATTTGCAAACAGTCGAGGATCAATTGCCGATGCAAAGACATCCTCAGGGACGAATTCCTGGGATTCGCTCCCTTGCCATGGATATTGCACCTCTTCATTGATTTCTGGGTAGGCGGCATACTGCCCCATCGGGGTATCTGAGTCTGCCATGACCAATGACAGGAATCGACTAATGCATGGAACAGCGTATGAAAAGGAAATCAAGGTATTTCTTTCTCCCCCAGTTAGAGGTAGGGTGTGGTGTGATAGGCTAGCGCTGGGACCATGGCCCAGACCGCGTATAGAAGCCCGAAGCGCGCGCAATGGAGGTCCTTGTTCAAAAGCAGGGGTGAATATCCATACTTCACAGCTCCACCCAAAGCGAGTAGAAAGTAAGTTAGTGAATGAGTTGAAATCGATCAAGGAAGATAAAGGAAATCAAATTCAAGTTGGTTTTTTGCCTTTTTCCATTCCAGAACGGGAACCCGTGATCTTGAAACCCGAACACAACTCGCTTTTTCTGCCGCAATTTCTCTTCTCCTCTCCACCATCTCTTTCTCGACCTTCTCCTCCTCTTTCATCCCCCTTTTTCCTTTTTCTTTTGGCGCTGGGACCAACTGGGCTTGCTGTGTTTGACACACTATTGCCTTCCTGGTCCTGACTTTCCTTCGTTCGGACCTAATTTCGACCAATCTCGACCTCAGGCCTTTCTGGCTTCCGCTTCCTCCTGAGGTGCAGCCCACTGGACTGGTCTGTGCCCCATTACTTGTCGCCTAAAAATCGAGATTTGGACTCCGCGGATCTCCGTCGAGTCCTTCGGTCAAGAATATTTGATTCTATCTCATTACGCAAACTCAGCAGGTGCTGCAGGTGTTTTGCAGTAATCTTTTCCATCCCACTGTATTTACTATTCAGACCTTCAACCGAACCCTCAAAAGTTCCCAGTAGATATGGCCAGCCATATCATTGGAAATCGTAACAGCACCCCGGAAGCCGCTCCGAACTCCACTCTGCGCCCTCCATCCTCTGCTCGAACTCTCGGATCGCATCAGCTGCGAGCATCGGCAGACATGTCCGGATTCCCCTCACCTTTGTCTTCCCGCAGTATGCGTCCGTCCTCGGAAGTCTTCTTCAACCAACAATCCCAAGGTCAGAATTCGACGGAAGATGCGTTGGACCGGGCAGCTCAACAGTGGTTGGCGGATATCGATCAGTATGAGACCACATTGGAGGAGATGGCAGCCGCTACGCTTGATCAGGATTTCAAGGATGAGCTCAGCGCTATTGAGCAGTGGTTCCGCGTTCTAAGTGAGGCGGAGCGTACGGCAGCCCTATATGCTTTGCTTCAACAGACTACCCAGGTGCAGATTCGGTTCTTCATCCAGGTTCTGCAGCAGATGTCTCAGGGTCACCCAATGTCTGGGATCCTTTCTCCGGCCAACTTTGGTGAAAAGGGTACGGTGATCCGTCCATTTCGGGAATTGTGGTTAAATCAACTAAATAACTAACTATTACCCAATTTCTAGATGCCATGTCTAGTCGCTTAAGTGATGCGATGTCTAAACTCAACATGGACACATCACGAAGTTCCTTGGGCCGGCCCCCACCATCTCCAGGCGCTAAGCGCAACTCGGCTCTCGATTCCTCTACTATTAATGCCATGTTCCCCGATGCCGCGGCTGCGATTGCGAAGAAGAAGGCGGAGTTTACTCAGCAAACAGGCAACGCACCTCCCTCGAACCGCAACAGCCTGGTCTTTGGGGACCGTACCTCGTTTGTCGCCCCCACCATCTCCGCGCCTGATAACAATGACAGCCTGAGCCAGCCTCCGGCTTCTCCGTGGGCTCAGCGTGGTGGTCTCTCGGACACTCAGCCCCCGATTGCCCGGCCGAAGTCCTCCTCAGGTCACCAGCCCATGGGTCAATTCAGCCAGGCGTCCGCATCGGGCCTTCGATCTCCTCTTCCTCAGACCGCCAATATTCCTGCCCCAGACATTGAGCCTCCTCTGCTCTCGCCATACAATGTTGGAAATCACAGCTGGGCATCGATGACCAACACGCCGATGACTGCAACCTTTGGCCAACAGCAAAGCCAGGGTAACTCCCAGGCTGATATGGTGGCTAACGCGACCGCCATGAAGCTGGCTGCTTTGTCCACTGTGAATAACCGTATTGCTCTTGATGATGCTCGCAAATATCGGCGATCCCGGTCCAATGATGGTCAAGGACGGAACTCTGTTAACCAGGGCATGTCCCAAGGGTTGGCAAGCCCCGGTCTGCCTGGGTCCAACCACATGGCTGGTCAGTTCCTGAATGCCCAGCAAATCGCCGCTCTTCAGGCCCAGCAGCAAGCTGCTATGGCAGGTCGGCGGTCTCGTCCGACATCTCCTGGTATTGCCATGCAGGGTGTCGGAGCACTCGGTGGCATGAGCTTCACCTCGCCCCAGAACAATGGCTTCCTCGCAGCCTATGATCCGAACAACCCGCTGATGGGCAACGGGTTAAGCTCTCTAGGCATTGGGCAGTTTGGATTGGGTGGTGAAGGCTACCTCTCGGACCATTCCGAAGTCACTCGTGGACGCTCGCCCCGTGGTCGCCGTGGCAGCTCGAAGCCGCCAGAGGACCCCACTGACCCCACTCTTCTGAAGGACATCCCCAGCTGGCTGCGATCCCTTCGGTTGCACAAGTACACGGATAATTTGAAGGATCTCAAGTGGACAGAACTGGTTGAACTTGATGAAAAGGCTCTAGAGGAGCGTGGAGTCAATGCACTGGGTGCCCGGAACAAGATGCTGAAGGTAAGACACTCTCTTCTCGATTTCAAAAAATCATAACTAACCAATTCTTTCTAGGTGTTCGAGCAGGTCAGAGAAGCTCAGACTGACGGCAAGCTTGAGAACGTCATGTGATGACAGCCTTTTGTGCATGAAGCATGGCAACGCAACTATTTTCGAGTTTCCTGTGGAAACCCAAATAGAACCCCTGCCCAGCGATTTCATGGAATTGGCATCTATATTCCATTGTGCTTTTTTCTTCTTCTCTTCCTTTTTTTCAATTTTTTTATCATTCGTTCTGTGATCTTTGGTTCACCCTAATATGATGATGGATGTGGGATTCGGCATGTATCAAACGCAGTGATGTCAAGAAACGGATTTATGAGGGAAATTCGGGCTACTGAACATTGAAAATGGCTGGGGTAATCGTAGATATGAACATGATTTTGGTCCATTGTTCCAATTGTTTTCAGTATATAACTTTCAATTGATTGAATCCTTACTACATAGAGTGGCCAGTGGCCCGTGCACCTTCTAGAAACTCGCCCCGACCTCGTCTCTCCACCCATCTCTCCCCGCCAGCTTTGGACACACCCATTGCCATTCCAGACATCTCCCAGCAGTGCTGGTATTATTGAGGCTATACTTCTATTCCAAGCTACCTCATCCGTCTCGATTACCGAGCATAAGCAACCCAGCACCAAACCTCAGAACACGACACGGACAAAAGAACCCCAAGAACAACCTCCCAGAGAAAGACACCTACGCAAAAATGGCGCCAACAAAGCAGGAACTATCCCTGATAATCAACCCTCTCGTCCCAGAGGCCGTTCAGCATAATAATCGCGTACGTAATCTCCGTCCCTCAATTCAATCCAACATCTCACAATCCCAACCCCGAAAACTAACACGAAATAGGTCCTCTCCTCCCTCCACAGCCTAACATCCTTCCTTCTCGGTCTCAGCGCCGGAATCCTCGCCCTTCAATCCGCGGCAGGCTTCATCTTCTATTTCACCGGTACCGTCCTCGTATCCGGCCTCTTCCACCTTGTTATCCTCAAGCGCTCTGGTGGCGCAGGGGCAGGCGCTTTCTTCCCCGGTGCTGGGGGTGAGATCGAGGGCAGTGTTAAGATGGATAAGTCTGGGGTTGTGAGTATGGATCTTGGGGGGAGGAAGGATCGGAGACAGTTCGTGCTTAGGAAGGGAGCTTGGAGGGATCTTTGGTTTGGGGGTGGTGTTGTTTCGGAGGCTTTGAGTGGATTTGTGCTTGGGTGGGCTGGTGTGGGAGGTGTTTTGAGGTGATTTGTTTCTATTTTCTTTATTTTATGGATTTGAAGGGTTGGGGGGATGTTGAGATGGATGGTCATCTTTGTATATTGCGGAAAGGATCATCTTTTGTGTATTCAATGTACTCCGTACTCCGTACTCCCTATATCAACGAGATCTGGAATCGGATCCAGATTTAAAGGCTTTGATTCAAGGAATACTAGGAATTCAAGGCATTGTTTACGGAATACTACAAGCTTACGAGTGGATGATTTGAAAGAGTCAACGCGATCTATGTATTCAAGTTGAAAGGGTATCCCAGTAAACATTTGGAGCTCTAGGCAGAGCCGCCGTCGCCCGTGTTCCCAACCAAACAAACGCCAGGGCAGATTATAAGCCAGAAAATCAAAACCAGACGTGTCGGGACGAATAGAAGGTAAATACAAGGTGATATGAGGCGGAGAGGAAAAACAGATTAACGGGTCATAAATCCGGACATATCATATGGACTCCAAGCCAGGGATGGTCCACGATGCAAGACAATATGCAATGATGTCAAATATGGAATGCCAAAGCATAGAAATCATTTAGTGGATCTCCGGGATCTCATCTGACGAGTTCGCAATGGCGCTGTGGAGGGCGCTGGTCAGGTCGATGTGGAAGAAGGGTCTGTTCATACCCTGCACCAGAGCAACCTTGCGACGACCGCGGTACGCCTTGCTGTCTTTCAGGTCGTGCTGGAGTTGCTTGTCCTCCGCGATGACACCACTGTCCTGAGAAGAGGTGGTCTCAATAGTCTCTGTCTCGCGCTCGGTGGTGGAAGTGTGCTTTTGGAAGTTGGCTTCAATATCTTGATCGCGCAAGGCTTGTTCGCGCTGGTTGTTGATCATCTCGGCGTGGGCGGCAGCTGAGGCACTACCCTCGATCTCGGCAACACTGAAGATGGGTTTCCAGCGGTGGAAGCCGTCGCTGGAGGTTGGGGAGGGGAAACCGAAGCCGGCGGCGGAGAGAGCTCGCTTGGTCCAGCGGTTGTTGATATGGGCAAAGTGCCACTGCACGGTGCGAGGGGAAGCGTACAGATCCAGCTGGTTGCGCACATCGATCAGGTTCTGGACGGAGGTGGTGTCCACGTTGTTCACGGAGGAGAAATCCAGAATGACAGCCTGCAGAAGCGGGCGGGTGTCTTCGGTTTCCGCGGCTTCCCGACCAGGGCGTGGGCCTGGGTCGTTCCAGGGACGGTCACCACGACGGGCGTAGGCATGCGGGTTTGTGCGGCGAGTATTACGGAAGATTGTTCGCACCAGGGCATCCGTGTAGTGGTTGGCGTTGGGGTAGTTGAAGCCCTCGGAGAAGCGGTAGATGAAGATACCCGGGTAAGGCTGCTCAAGTTCGATATCGGGGTTCGAACCATCGGCATGGTTGGTGGGGAGAAAGATGGAGCGGTGGTGGTGCTCGTCGTGGTCGGTGGGGGTTTTGTTAGATCCGAGAGAGCCGTATTTGCCATCACCATCCAGCAGGTGATCACCCACTACGGAGTGAATGGTAACACGGCCGAGGAATTGACCGCGGGCCTTGGCGGCACGGAAAAGCAGCACAGCGAGAGATACGCAGATGGTGCAGTAGATACCGTCTTCAATGGATGAGAAAACAGTAACAATAACACCAATGAAGAAGATCACGACGTCAAGCGGGGACACACGCCAGAACTGGTAGACAGTGTTGGGCGAAGTAATCAGATCACCAACAGCGTGGATAATGACACCGGCGAGGGAGGCCTCAGGGATGTAGTAGAAGACCTCAGTCAGGGCATAGATAGCAAGGAGCACAACGATGGCGGTAATCAAACCAGCAAGCGGCGTCCGCACACCAGCCTTGGACTTGATAGCAGTTCGGGAGAAGGATCCGGTGGAGGGATAACCACCAAGGAAAGGACCGAGCAGGTTGGTGACACCAATTCCGATGAACTCCTGGGAAGGGTTAATGGTGTAGTTGTTGACACGACCAAAGGACTTGGAAATAGCAATGTGCTCAATCAAAAGGACGATGACGGCAGCTGGAAGCTGGCTGGTGAAGGCCTTGATGATATTGGGGTCCATATCCGGCACAGCCGCGCCCTGGAAGCCTCGGGGCACATGGCCGAGCAAACTGAATCTGGGGTTTTTCTTGCGGTGCAAGTTCACGGCGGCACTGATCATGGTGTAGAACAGAATGACAAACACGGTACGGAGAGTCGAGGCGAAGAACCAAATCTTCGCCTTGTTCGGGTACTTCTTTGCCGCGTAAGTGCAACCGGAGCGGATGAGGTACAGCATCGCACATGCACTAACACCCATAGCGGCGTCAATACCCGCAGTTGGAAGGTGCTTAAGGGTGTTAATGATCACCAGGTAGGTTGCGTCACGGGTGGAAAAGCTTGCAGTCTCCCCGAGCATGGTCTTGACCTGTCCAACGGCAATGTTGATAGCAGAGCCAGTCATGAAAGCCGAGATAGCCGGGAGGGGGATGAAATCCACGATGAAACCGAGACGGATCAAACCTAAGAAGCACACAATACCACCCAGGATCACGGCAAGAGTCGAAGCAATCATGTGGGCAGGATAATCGGGATATTGGGCCTGGACCTGAAGCACGATAGTGCCGGTCAAGGTAGACATAACAGCCACGGGACCAATAGTAATATCCTTGGAAGTCGCAAAGAACCAGTAAATCAAGACACCCATGAATGAGGAGTACAGTCCATATTGGACGGGCACTTCAGCCAACTTGGCGTAAGCCATACCCTGAGGCACGACGACAGCACCAACAGTGATACCTATAAACCTTGTCAGATGGCGTTTGCAGGTGAAATTGACCATTGATTACTTACCAGCTACCAAATCACCCATGAGCCATTGCACATTGTAACGAGTAATCCAGTTGAGAAATGGGAACAAGCTGACGAAATAGTCGACCACTTGCTTTCCGGACGGAGTAATTTCGCAAATCCAATCAATGCTGCTGGGCTCCGGTTCATTGTAGGCACAGGTATCGACAGTGCCGACGGAGAAGGTCGACTCGCCTCTGGTGACAGGGTCGTTGGGACCGCCCATGGGATCTCTATAGGCGACCTTGATACCGAGGCCCTTGGCCAGGCCATGGCCAATCTTGGTGGCTCGTTCACCCATAATGAAACCGCCGGGGTATAGTAAGGATGAAGTATATATCAACCGAAGCAAGCAACGGTGACGAAAGAAAGCCGGGTGGACCGGGGGGAGGGAAAGTTGGAATGTCGAGTGGGATATTGATAAAACGTGGCGACGGGACCCAGGATATAAATGTCAGATATGTCAGGATATCACGCACTACCCATGTCAACCACACAAAAAAAAGGCAAAAGTAAAGTTTCAAAGATGATAAGGGGCTTTTAGGCGTAGCCCGATGTGGAGGTCTTAGAAAAGGTGTGATTCGGGTGTCAATGGCGTAATATCTAACTCCCCAGATTTTAATCAATTCCAGTTGAAAGAAGCACAGGTCGCTTTAAAGAGCAGCTTCAGGGATTAAACGGGAAGAGGAAAACCTAAGTAGCTAAAAGAAAAGAACAGAAGTCCTTAGCTTCCCTGATGATCTCAAGTTGATCCCACAAGTGTGGGACCTTGGACGGGTCTGGAAGCGATGGTTGAATGACGAAGGAGCGTGGAGCCGTCCTCATTCATACAATCTGATTATTTCAGATCAGTATACAGGACTTCGTATCTCTAGACCAAAGCTGTATATCGACTTTGATTTTTTGCTCGAAAAAAACCTCTCTTTTTCACTCTACTCTACTCTACTCTTTACTCTTTTACTCTACATTGAACACAAAAGTAGAAATTACGTGCAGAAAAATCATGACATAAGCTTCCCGCCAAGTCTCGGCGGTGACGAATCATGGCATCCACGCGGGCGTACAAGATCGGCCATGGAGCCAATGAACCAATCAGATCTTCGAATGATGGTGAAATCGCCCGTGCTGATGGTGAAAGCAAAGAGGAAATTTCCTCAGTTCCACGTTTTCGACAGACGAATTATACCGACGCTTCCCCCCAATCCCTTCTCCTCCTCCTTCTCCACGGAGGACCGCTTTCCTCCGGGGGTTACGTGTGGGTTCGCTCTCTGGTTCCCTTTTCTAAGGGAAAGACGGTGGAACCCAATAATTCCTAGCCGCGTCCCTGTCCACGTTAGCTCTGTCATCAACTTGTCTCCACCTCTCGGTCCGCGCTTGTTTGTCGGTGCTCACTACTCTATTTTTTAGGACCGGAGTAAGAGGGGCTGAGCCATTACTTTAATGAACACATATGGCCTCCACCTGCCAAGTACAATACAGCAAAAACGCGTGTTTTATTATGCATATATCGCGCATCATCGAATGTAAACCCTTATTGGCAGACTCTGTCTCTGTCACCTCCTGATTTTCCAAAAATCCTGGTATCTTGGGGCTCAGCCTGGTTCTGCATACACATGTAGATTCTAAGACATTTACCCCATCCTGACTGCAATATGCAGCACGCCCCCCACTAGCAATCTCGCAATATAGATTCGAATCACGTCATTAGCTTATTACGGCTACGGCCCATAACTTAAAAGTAACGAGGCTAGCCTAGGCCGAGCTTGAGGTTATTGATGTGGCGGCTGCACCGAAATTTGCGCCCAGCTCAAGTCACGCCACGGCATCCTTGATGGTTCACTTGTATTTGCTTTTTATCTCGTGTTCATTGTCAATAATATCGATGGAGTACTCAAGTATAATAACTTTGATCTAACCAATAGTCTTCAGTTAAGCCATTTTACCCGACATATGAAGGTACCAATCCTGGGAGTCTTGTCAAGTGGCACACGGTCACCTTCCGCAACCAGCCAATTACACAGATCTTGATCTCGATATTCAGCAATATTACACCTTTCGCCCGAACATACGAATAATTCAGCCAACCGAGGCGCCATCAGGTGCCTAGACGGTTCGCTTGCCCGAAGCGAACTGAACACACCATCCGCGTGCCGCATGGCGTATATCCTACGAACTTGCTTCCCGGTCCGACAAACCATGGGGTCTGATGTATTCTCCGCCTTCCGACTGGATTGCGGGTTTGCAATTTCCTCTTCTTACTTCTTCAAATCACACCGATTAATCTGATCAGGTGCTCTCTATCGCATCAAGGATCTTATACCCGAAATTCAAATCACATCTGCACTTCTCCACGTATCCCTCGATCGACTCCCTTTTCCATTACCTTCGAACTGATTCATTTTTCTGCGCCATGAGGTCAGCCGTGGCGTTTGATCTTGGTTCCGCATACATATGCAGGGCCCCGATGGGCAGCTCCCTTTGCAGGGATGAATAAACTTCTAAGGTTTCCACTACCGTCATAATACCTAGACCTAAGGGTGCGTTCTTGTACTGGCGGCGATTTATTCCATCGTCTGAGTCGCATGGGTTGGATACTCGTTGAGGTTTTGTCGCCTGTGGTACACGTCAAGTGCACTGCGGGGTTGGTAGAATGAATTCATCTTGAGTGCAGATGTGCACATAACCTTCCAGCGTTGCATTGCACAAGGCTTACGTTGGCTCGTGCGAGCTTTGGGGTATTCAGTCTTTGATTGGTTAGTGACCTGGTGCTGTCTGGATTAGGTATAGTCCTGGAGTGTAGGTATCGGGTACTTTAATCTATCTGGGTTACGTGCCCACCGACGAATCACGATCAGGAAAACACATGATATTTCAGGGGTCTATCGCAAATATGAGACGGATTTAATAGCACTCGAGTTGTCGGAGCGCCTCATGAACGGCCGATTTACGCCAACTCGCATCGTATAGGCCACATACTGAGCCCTTGGAAGAGTAGTTGAACCAGTTCCATATGTCGGTCCTTCAACCCCTCGGAACGAGGCTGAATACTGCATGGCCAGATGGCACTACTCATACAAGCTGATGGTCCGAATTTATCTTCTGGTTATCAACTTGTTTTGTTAATAAATCCGAGGCCGGCGTTGCGGAACTAAATTGAAAACCCTTGAAAGATTTAAGAACAGAAGCTGCATATATACCATCGAAAAGTCGGCCTTGAGGCAGTAGATTTTAAAACTGTAGGTTTGCGGATTCGAGTGCTGCTTTTTAACGTCAATTATTTACCTAGGAAACCGTGTTCGCTTAAGTAGTAGAGGCCTATGTAAAGATATCTGGATCTGATAGAGCCACATAGTTGCTCGTCAGTGAGAAGATCATTGGGCCTCGGGCAGCTTGCTACATTCGTAAAAAGAAGATATATATAATGCGGCTGATGGCGCTCGGGCAGACCGAAAGCAGACCCGAAGGTGAACAGCAACATCAGTTCCAATGACTTCTAATGTTGAAAATATGTAGAGTTTGTGTGTATCCACTGATCGATATTTCTTTTATTGAAGAGGGGTTAAAGTTTCCAGAAAATGTAGCTGAAAATTTCCAAAGTATTGTCGAGATGGAATATTCAAGGTTGCAGGTGGTAGCTTCACCACCAAGGTCATGTCCCGAGGGTCCTCCAATTCCACCCATGAAAATGTTGTGCATTTCACCTGGCAATATTTGAACATTTGAAGTCTTGTTTCTACCCATCATCGACAGCTCTACCAGTTCTTATGTTACTTTATCAGCTGGGCATTAAAATGATACCCCGGTAGATCCACGGCAGGCTGCCATCTAGAGGGGAATATACTCATCCACCAGATGTACACTTGGGTAACTACCAGCGTTACGCGACTTTCCAAGGTAATTATCCACGATTACGAGTTACAGCTCAAGAACTTTACTTCCTACAACGTTGGAAAGCAAGATCCATGCTAATGAACAATGCATTCAAGTTAAAATCCACGCAATGTCTATTCAGGTCATCATCAGTGCAGGCTAGAAAAAAAGGACAAAAAAGGAACCCATTATGAGTCACCCCAGGATCCCGTACGAAGCCGAGACCGAGCATGGAAGAGTGGGAAAGGCAACAATCTTTTTGAAGCTCCCTTCACAATCTGGGGCTGCTGCATCGTGGTCTCATCACACCTCTTTCTCCTTGTTCACGACTCTTGCCGCCACCCACTGGATTCTAGTGGCCAAAGCAGATATGGGAGCGCGGAACATGGAATCAAAAGGGAAAAGAGTATAACAGATGGAATGAAGTCGAGTGTAAACGGGGGTGAGGATTACACACGAAACAAAGAGGAAAGGGGGTCAAATAAAAAATAAAGAAGAGGATGGACATATGGCATCTTCCAAGTCTTCAGAGCAAACGCCATCGCAAAGCAAAATGGGGAAATAATCGAGTTGAAGCAATTTCACATGATCAGAAGAAAAGGAACCGATTCATGACCAGGTAAGGATTACCTGTCCTCAACCCCTTCGCATGGTATCATAAGCAAAGTTTCATCAGAGGACCTGGCATTTTGTCCTATCCCAATCACGTTTTGTGGCCCCACGCTTACTGCGAAGCGCACTGCACCCGCTCGGCACCGGCAGGAACATCGTCATCATCCTCATCCATAGCGGCACCGTGGGCACGAGCCTGGGAAGGCTCGCTGCCGTCGATGCTCTCAAGCTCAAAGTCCTCAACCATAGCATCGGCTGGGGGCTGGTTCTGGTGGACACGGGGAGGGAGAACCTTCTCAAGGAGTTCGAGGTTCTGCAACTGATCCTTCTGGGGGAACTTGACGTCGAACTTGATGTACAGGTTACCGTGGTCATGGTGACGGAAAGAGGGCATACCCTGGCCGTGGATAACCTTGATGGCGTCTAGAGAAAGAAAAAGTCAGTAAAACATCCCGCAGAAATGCGAGGAACTAGGGAATAATCATACCAGGAACGATGACCTCGCCAGGGGCGATGTTGACAGTCATCCATCGGTCGTCAAGGTGCTCAATGTGGATAGTGCCACCGGCAAGCGCGGTGAGTAGGTCAATCTCGGCCTGGTAGAACAGGTCGTCGCCCTTGCGCTGGAAGCGGGGGTGGGGCTTCTGCTCAATCTCGAAAACAACATCACCGGGGAGAACACCAGGCATCTGGTCACCCTCACCACGGAACTCGATCTTGTGGCCATCACGGACACCCTTGTCAACGTGGACGTGGAGCACCTTGCGCTCAACAACGGTCTTCTTTCCGCTGCAGCGCTTGCAGCGGTCCTTGTCGCGGACAATCTCGCCCTCGCCGTTACAGTCGGGGCAGACGGTCTGGAAACGCTGGATCATGGGGCCCATCTGGCGCATCATGGTCTTCATACCGGAACCGTTGCAGCCAGTGCACTCCTTGACGGCACCTTCCTTGCCACCGCGGCCATCGCAGCCAGCACAGATGACCGACTTCTGCAGAGCCAACTTGGAGACCTTGCCCTTGTAGATGTCCTCCAGGTTAACCTTGTGCACGTGGTGGATTGTGCGAGCCTTCTTGGGGCCCTGTTCACGCATGCCACCGCCGAACATGCCGCCGAAACCACCACCACCGCCGCCACCGAAGAACTGAGAGAACAGATCCTCGGCGTTCATACCACCGCCGCCACCTCCGTGCTCAAGACCCTCCTCACCATATTGGTCGTAGATCTGACGCTTCTCAGGATCGGACAAAATCTCGTAGGCGTGGGAAAGCTCCTTGAACTTCTCAGCAGCGTCCGGGTTGTCGGCGTTCTTATCTGTTGAGGCGAAGAAAATGTTCCGTCAGTTTTGATGATTCTGCAGTCTTCGGATCAAGATGTAGTCACGTACCAGGGTGGAACTTAAGAGCACCCTTCTTGTAGGCAGTCTTCAGTTGAGACTCATTGGCCGTGGGAGCAACCTATTAAAGAAGAAGACACCAGATTAGTATGCATTTCAATCAAGCGAGGCAAGACGATAACTCGACGTACTCCCAGGGTGTCGTAGAGCTTAGTATCTTTAACCATTGTTGAACGATTAAACGAAAGATATTAGAGGGGTAGAGGGAAACGCCGGGATCAAGAAGAACAGAAGGATGACCCGAAGATAACACAAATCAACACAAGATGTTGCAGATGTGGGGGGATTAGGAGATTGATCAAGGAAGATTGAATATCGCGGGATAAGAAATCAGGAGCCCGAACTTTGGCTGAGTAACTTTTTTTCCAATTCAGGTACTGTACGGAGATGGTAATATATTACCAGGGCAAAATGGGTCTCGCGCGGAAGAAACTGGCGGGGGAGATTCACGGTCTATATCAACTGCCCGAGTTTTCTTTTATTCTTTTACAAGAAATCCTCACTTTCTATTCTCTTTCATGCCTGTCATATTTCAATTCTGGCAGTTTCTATGCTTCTTTCTGAATGAAATTAGGCCCGAGCGTCGATTCCACGGGATTCTGCGGCCTTCGATGCGTTTCGCTGGCTTTCTATGGGCTTCCGCTGTGTCACGGCTGTAAAATACAGCTGAGTAAGGTGATTCAAAGGTTCTTTGTACTTGAAGGCGAAAAACGATGAAGATCCTGTATCTGGTTCCAGGGTTCGAGGGTTTTCTGAACAAAAGAAGATCATAGAATTTCATAAACTTTGACAGATTCAAGTTGAATCTAACTGGCTGAGAAGAAACTGAATTTTCATTTCTCACGATTCTCCCCGCCACAGTTCGAAAGCCACAACTCTTATCGATAAGCAGGAGGGGAAAAGTTCTGCGATCCACTTGTGCCCATCAAATCGGAATGATAGCGGGACTCGCCCGAGAAAAAATACCTTTAAGATATAGAGATAAGGCCATTGAGTAGTTCCCAGTTTACACTCTACATTCAAATCGTCCACCTTAAACACATTATGGAACAAGATCCTGGATTCATTGCTGCTGTGGAGGAGGCGACAAAGGGCGCTGCTGAGGGCGGTGTTCCTATTGGTGCTTGCCTGGTCTCCAAGGATGGCAAGATCCTGGGACGTGGTCATAATATGCGGGTGCAGAAAGGAAGTCCCGTCCTGCATGTTGGTACCCCTTTTTATATATCAGACATCCCTGATCTACAACTTTACTGACTGGGAAACTCCGCTAGGCCGAGATGTCCGCGCTTGAAAACTCCGGCCGTCTCCCCGCATCGGCTTACGAGGGCGCCACTATGTACACCACCCTGTCTCCCTGTGACATGTGCACCGGAGCGTGCCTTCTCTACAAGATTAACCGCGTGGTTATCGGTGAGAACATTAACTTCATGGGTGGTGAGGATCTACTGCGTAGCCGTGGCAAGGAGGTGGTCGTGCTGGATAACGCTGAGTGCAAGCATTTGATGTCTACCTTTATGAAGGAGAAGCCGGAGCTCTGGTAAGTTCCTGTACCCTTATTTGATTGGATTCGTAGTTGTGCATGAATTGTTTCTGCACGCGAAGGTTGTTTTCATGAGTCATGCTGATTGTCTGCTGTGCAGGAACGAGGATATCGCCGTCTAAGACTATAGAAGTTGCATATAAATAGCCCATGAGTTGGAGCTTCCTCATTGATCCAAAAAATCATTCCCATATTGTAATCAAACAGGAGATATCCCGATGTATCATGAAACTTTTAATGCCCGAAGTGGGTAAGAAGCCACTGGTCTTATGCAATGGTTGTTTATTTGGTGAGACGGTGGATCTCCTCGAAGAAGAACTTGAGGTTCTCCGGGTCGACAAAAGGAGTGACACCTATTCGAAGGGTAAGTATTATGGGATAGAATTTCAATGGGCTCTTCACATACCGTGTCCAAGGTTGCAGATCCAACCCTGCTTGCCCTTCTTGAATCCTTCGACCATCTTCTCCACAGTAGGAGTGATAGCGGAGGGTCCTCCGTAGAGCATACCCGGGTCAGCATTACCTTGAATAGTGACCCGGCCGTTGGCAATGCGCATAGCCTCGGCAGGGTCGTGCAGCCAATCCAGACCAACAACATTGTAGCCAGAGTTGCAAAGGTCATCCAGGGCGTACCAGGCGCCCTTGGCAAAAACGGTCATCGGGACGGGCTCCAGGCCCATCTCCTGCAGACGCTTGGGCAGGTTGGCGGAGATGTGACGCAGATAAGGAAGCGAGTGTGAGGCGAATGTAGCAGGCGAGAGTTCACCAGCCCAAGAGTCAAAGACTTGCACCAACTGCGCACCAGCAGCAACCTGAAGGGCCAAGTACTCCACACAGATCTCGGCGATCTTCTGCAGAAGTGCCTGCGACTCCTTCGGGTACTTGTAGACCCACTTCTTGGACTGGATGAAGAGCTTGCTGCCACCGCCCTCGACCATGTAGCACAGCAGGGTCCACGGGGCACCGCAGAAACCGATGAGCGGCACACGGCCCTTGAGCTTAAAGCGTGTGAGAGTAATAGCCTTATATACGTAGTCCAGCTCCGCCTTGACGTCCACCTTCTTTGCCAACACCTTTTCGTACTGTCCGTCGTCCGGCGACTGAAGGGGCTCGGGGAAGTGCGGGCCCTTCTTATCCACCATTTCCACCGTCATGCCCATGGCCTGTGGGATAACCAAGATATCGGAGAAGATAATGGCAGCGTCGACGAGGCCATCATATCGGTCAATGGGCTGGAGGGTCAAGGTCGATGCAATTTCAGGCGAGCGGCAGCACTCGAAGAAATCCCGGCCACCCTTGGCTTCGTGGTACTCGGGGAGGTAGCGACCGGCTATGAAAGAGAATGCGAGTCAAAAGACAGTTCTTCTATAGGAATTTCGAAGAGTGAGGAGGCTCTGAACTTACCCTGTCGCATCACCCATATCGGAGGACGCTCAACCTTCTCGCCTGCGATCGTCAGTAACTTTTCGAAAAATAGGAACGGAAGACTGAAATACCCCGAGCGGCCCTCAGCAGCAAGTCATTCTTGAGCGGCTCAAATTGTTCCTGCATTTTGGTGGTTGAATGCAAGGTGAGGATGAGAAATGAGATTCTTCGGGAACCGCGGGGTCGCCGAGAATCTTGAGGGATTGGCCGAGCTATCACGCCGCTCGGAGATCGTGCAGATTTGGCACAAATTTTATACGACTACTTATCAACAAAAAAACGTCTTGGATCAATTGCATTCCACTTATGACTTTTTTATATCAGGACAGTTCATTCATCAATATTCAAAGTTCGGCATTCATCTATACATTTCATCCACTCTTGTTCAGTCGTCATTGGATCTCTTCTTCATGTTCCCCAAGTTGTACAGAGAATCATTAAGCTCCTTTTGCTGCTTCTCGCTCAAAGCAGTTGGAAGATCACGAGTTCCGGCTGCGTTGATAGTGGCCACCATTGGGTCTTCAACCGAAACACACTTCGGGCCGTCTGGACCGAGGTTAATCTGGAAGGACTCAAGAAGTGCCCCAGAACTCGACTTCCAGGTCTCGGTCGAGCCAGGCTCTCGGACAGTGTCAACAGAGACAACAATATAACCCTGATCGATTCCAACCAGACCAAGCACATTTCCAGAAAGCTGGATGGTATCTTGAGCGCGGAGGGCATTGTTCTCGATTGTGTAGCAAAGAATCTGGGAAGACCTGTTTCATATGTTAGATCAAGTGTGATATTATGTGAGCCATGACACTCACCCTTCCAAGCTGACCAAGATAACGTTGACGGGACTCGAAGCAGCTTGCTCAAGGGAGATGTCCCAAATCCCGCGCACCATAACCTCCGATTGCAAAACTTCCTCAAGAGAAATATTCCGATGGATCTGTGCATTTCGCCAGTCCCACAGTAATAGATTACCGTCAGTGTCGCCGGAAACAAGAAGTTCAGGCGCCCAGGAAGGAACACAGAGCTTGCTAACGAGAGAAGTGTGGCCCAGGCAGAATTGCTCAATCACATGTGCCTGTGGAATACCACGAGACACACGAATATGCTCATCACGATCTCCGGTTAAGATATAGTTCCGTCCAGATACAGATACAGAGATCAGGTCAGCCAGCACAGAAACATGACCAATAATTGCGTGGTGTTCAAAATTGAGCGTGGCCGTTTCTTGCTTTGCAGTCTGAGCTTTCTTTTCGGCCTGAAGTCTCTGCATCTCTAGGGTTCGCAAATTACCCTTGGTGTGGACAGTAAGCGGAGTGGCAGCCGGGATGTTTGGCTGCTCCACGATCTTCCTCACATACTCGCCAGGAATCAATGGCAGCGAGTAGACATCGCCGAACTTGTCACCACAAAGGATAGTTTGGCCGTCAGGAGTCAAGGCCAAAGCACTTGGTCGCTTGGGCATCGTTCTATGTACATCAGTATTTGCAAGCCAGATATAATCGAAAAGGTACTCACCGGGAGCTCAATTCTTTGAACTTTCCATTATCACTCAGTTCAAAGACGCGGATTGTCTTGCCCTCACCAGTCGTGGCAATTGCATATTTCCCGTCGGGAGAGATCACCAGGAGGGGTATGGTAGTCCCGGCCGAAGACTTATTGCTTGCGACCTGCTTCTCCTGCTGATCACTAGAAGCGGGAGACAATTTTCTTCTTTTTTCAGGGGGTGCATCGCCGTCCGCAGTGGCCACTGCATCAGAAGCAGATTCCACAGTCGACTCTACATCTTGAGGCCAGACATCCAGGCGCTGGCCATTGGTGGCATCATAGGAGTAGAGATGACAGCCCGCAGCGGCAATCAGCAGATTGAAAACGCCCTGCGAGTTGCGCTTAGCATATTGCAGGCACTGAAATGGGTGTTGTAGGCCAGCCATGGCGCAATTTGGGGAGCTATATTTCTTGTATGATCCCAGGGCAAAATTTTGACAAGGCGGACGGATAGTAGATATGCACGGGTCTGCTAGTTAGGAATAGCAAGTTCACCACTCCAATATGTCAACCTTGGAACTTTCAAGAGTAAGAGCAAACTGTAATGTTTTATACAAGACCTGCCAGTAAGATTAATAAAATACCTCCTAAATTATGTATTGCGTCCCCAATTCCTATCCTCAGCTGTCACTGTAGCTCCAAGGCGGTGACCCACTTTAATACTCACGTGACCCACTAGCGAACGCACCGAAAAAATAACTTCAAATTGCGGAACCTTTCTTCTCCTTAACCACCTCACAACAACCTTTTTGCCCTTAAATAACCTCTCTTCAGAGACGTAAAAGAAGAAATGGGGGGCAGATCCGAAGCCAAGGCCGCTTACTTTGATAAGCTCAAGAACCTGGTATGTATCTCTTCGTTTTGAAGCTGTTCGGGATGATGCTAATTTTCCGATCTTTTATTAGCTTGACACCTACAAGACCGCCTTCATCGTCGGTATTGACAATGTGTCTTCCCAGCAGATGCACGAGATCCGTATCGCCCTCCGTGGCGAGGGTGTCGTCCTGATGGGAAAGAACACCATGGTTCGTCGTGCCCTCAAGGGTTTCGTTGTTGAGAACCCCGAGTACGAGCGTCTGCTGCCCTTCGTCCGCGGTAAGTTCAAAACAGCCTAGAGATGTCTTCGGAGGAGCAAGCAACTGACGTGAATATTTTCAGGCAACGTTGGTTTCATTTTCACCAACGGTGACATGAAGGCTATCAAGGAGAAGATCCTTGCCAACCGTGTCGCTGCTCCCGCTCGTGCCGGTGCCATTGCTCCCAACGATGTCTGGGTCCCTGCCGGTAACACTGGTATGGAGCCCGGTAAGACCTCGTTCTTCCAGGCTCTTGGTGTCCCCACCAAGATTGCTCGTGGTACCATCGAGATTGTTTCCGACCTCAAGCTCATTGAGGGTGGCAACAAGGTCGGTGCCTCCGAGGCCTCCCTGCTGAACTTGCTGAACATCTCTCCCTTCACCTACGGTATGACCATTGCCCAGGTGTACGATGCCGGCCAGTGCTTCAGCGCTGATGTCCTTGACATCGATGACGAGACTCTCCTGAAGACCTTCTCCTCGGCCATCGCTACCGTCACCGCCATCTCTCTGGCTGCCAACTTCCCCACTGTCCCTGCTACCCTGCACTCCCTCATCAACTCCTACAAGAAGGTGCTTGCCGTCGCTATCTCTACCGACTACACCTGGGAGGGTATTGAGGAGCTCAAGGACCGTATCGCTAACCCCGATGCTTACGCCTCCGCTGCTCCCGCTGCCTCTGCTGCTGCTGCCACCTCCGGTGGTGCCGCTCCCGCTGAGGAGGCCCCCGCCGCCGATGAGGACGAGTCCGATGACGACATGGGATTCGGTCTCTTCGACTAAGCGCCTAAAACTCGGAAGGCTACGATTGCCATGTATTAGATTTACTTGACCCAGACCTGAAACGGATGGCGAATGAAATGACTATGATGGCTACGAGACACCTGTCTTGTGTTTTCAGACCGTAATGGACGTAGACCTACGATCCATTACTTGTCTTGACTGCAAAGAGTGAGTTTGAACCCTTTTTGTTTTGTTCCACTCGCTTTTGTTTTCACTTTCCATCAATCCTGGCGGATGATTATACCTTTTTAACCCCGAGCAATGGTCTCCTGACCGCGCTGACGATTAAAACGCAACAACAACACTCTAATTTTTTGCTGACGCCACACCCTACTCTGCTTTTGTCTTTCACTTCACTTTTGATCTTGTTTTGGAAGCAATTGCTAACGTTTGAAAAGTTTACAGATCCTCCTTCCAGACTTGCTAGTCATCGCCGTAGATGATCGCGTAGACTGAGATTGCTGCACACTGTGCCTGCCCTCAGGCCGTCTTATAGTCAAGACGTGCAGCTCCTTTGTACGACCTTTAGTGAAGCTTCATGCTTGATGCGCTTAAGGACGTCATCCGATCCGCCGCATGGTCAACCTTTGACCTAGCCAGATGACAGCATTACTAACATTAGTGGAAGGCAATTCTCTTGGCTCGACAGGTACAGGTACATTTGCATAGCATGCTAGTCGAGCAGCATACAATTTTCCTTCGCATTTTGAGATGGATCCAGTAAGACCGCTGCTAGTCGAGTTCACTTTCCTGGGTAGTGCCCGCCGCCTCCAGGTAAAGGTTCTGCCCGATGGGAAAATGCATCTATTCGGCTTAGCACGGTCCAACAATCCCCCGATTTATATGGACACGTCGGTGTATGCTTGTTGTACAGCAAGTGGTGTTCTTACCGAAGGGGGACTCGAGTGACCAATTAGGATATTCGTCTACCAGTTGGCACCTACGCAAGTCCGGTAGACCTGGCTCTATGCTACCGGAGTCATAGTACAAGGAAGGGTTTAAGTACACATCTCAGTGGATCTATTGTGGTATACGTGCTCAGAAATCAAATAATTATGGACAAGCGCTCAGGTATATTCCAACATAACATCACTCATCGGCACCACGCCCAAAGCGACCTCCAAAGCCACCTAGATCACGACGGAAGAACTTGCCAATATTCTTGAGGTTCTCATTGAGATTGGCTGCAGCACTTGTCTCGGACGGACTGAGATGGTTGACCTGTTGTCCCGAGTTGGCTGGAGCAGGTGATGAGGTACCAGATGCACCTGCCACCGATGACGTCCCAGCTACACCGGAGGTTAAGCTGGGGTTTCCGAAGCGGTCGACGCCATCTTTGGCGGCGGAGATGATGGCGGAGCCGAGCATCGAAGCGTCGAAGCGGGATGGCATGGACGAGGTACCACCTAGACCTAAGCCTTGGGATACCGAGCCGGTTGTTGTGGGTGCAACGGGGGCTTGGAGCGCAGTAAGCATTGGGTTGCTTTGTTGGAGGTTAGCCGCGTAGCGGTCTGAAGCGCGATGCATCTGGAACAGCTCCACGAGATGGTTTTGTTCTTGACGGTTGCGGATGCCCTTGAGATCGAGAATTTTGCGGAAATTGTTGTTGTTGCGATCCGCGATATGAATCAGGTATGCTTGAACGAGGGCCTCGGGTGGAGATGGTCGGACTTGGAGAGTTTTAAGAAGTGTTTCGATTTTGTAGAAGCTGGCGTTCACGCGCTTGACAAAGCCTGCTGGGGCTGGAGCGGGGAGGAGAGATGTGAGGCCACTCTTGAGGGTGAAGGAGTCAAGAAGCATCTGATGAATGTTAGTTAGGAAACTAGAATGATGCGGATGGCAAAATTTACCTGCTCGGCGCCAGTTTCTGCAATCGGCCTACATTGGAAGACATTGCTAATGAACAAGCTTGACATCAATTCAACCAGATGATCGGAGAAAGCCCGCGCATATTGCTGCTTGTGCAGCAACTGTAAGATTTCGGCTGCCTTGTCTTTCGTTCGAGAAAGCAATTCGGCCACATAGGAACTCTGATCACTAACGGCTTCAATCTTACTCCATGGTGTGTTGCGCATTTCGCGCCAGGATGGTTCCAAGCCGACCTCCACCTGGCGGACGAGACCTCGCACAGCCGCAGATGCGATGCCCATGAAAGAATCCGCCTGGCTTTGTAGATCTACCGACTGCTTGAGGCTCTCATCGAGTCTACCTTTGATCTTTTCTTCCAGCTGATTACACGTGGTATAGCAGTAATCGGCAGTATTGAGGACAGATACCAAGTCTTCGATTGAGGGTACTTTAGCCGGAGTCTGACTAGCAGGGCGTTCACTTATATAGGCGAGAAGGACTTGCTGTGCATATTGATCCAGATATTTTGCAAATACTTTAGCCAATTCTGCAAGGCTGGCTCCCGTGGAGAGCTTGGAGCATTGCTGCAGAGCGTGGCGATAGAAAGTAAAGAGTTCAGTTGATGAGGAGATCACAGTGTGGGAATTGAATTCATCGTCCGGGGGTCTCAGGGGTTGTTGGCGGTATTTTGGTAGCAGGGCAGCTAGCTGCTTGTCCTGCGCTTCCACCCAGACACTCAAATATGGCTCAAAGGCCTCGGAGATTGATTGACCAAACGTGGGGGTTTCCGTTGAAGCGAAGGTATCTGTGGATGGGCGCGACGGAGGCGCAAAGCGACGCTCGAGGGAATGTTCGAATTCCAGGGTCTCTTGCAAGCAAGAAAGTAGCATGTTCACGTCAATTGATTGGCCGCTGCGCACCGAACGAGACAAAATTCCCTTGTAGTCATCCCGAGTGCCTTCACAGAACACATTGGCCAGGATCTCATTCACACGCCATGAGGCGGGGAAGATAGCAGCGTTCTCTTCATCGTAGGTCTTCAGGATGCGACGGAACCATGAATATCGGCGGGAGATGTTGTCCAAAGATCCAGCCTCTTCATTGTTTCGAAAGACCTGGCGGTACTCTCTCAGCTGGGTGTTGCAGTACCATGTGACCAGCCTCGAGCGCGCATGCTCGCCCAATGCATCAATAACCAGACAAGCCTCCGACAACGTTCCGCGCCTCTGGGCGACCTCGCCCTTCGCAAAGGCGATCTCAAAGTCCTCACAGACCTGTTCCAAAAGGTCTCGCTGGATATCCGCCACATTCCTGCTCAGGATCGCAATCTGGTCAATCGATCGGTACGACTTGAAGTGGGCCATGAGCTGGATCACCGCTTGGAGCAGTTGCGCGCAATCGCGATACTGTCGTGTCCGGCTGAGGGCCTGGAGCTGATCGTAGGCGGTGGTCAGCATCTGTAGCCGCTTGAGTGCCGTCATCGACAAGGTGAGGTTCTTCTTCGCGTTGTCCAATTGCTTGATGTCGGCCGTCATGTCAGTGATAGCCTGTTCAGTCTTCATTGCGCGCTCGCGAACGTCGTCGATCTTCTTGAACAGCTCCGATAGGTCGGACTTGGCGGTCTGGATGCGTTCCACGCTCTCCGCATTGGAGGTGACCTGCTCCTCCACTAGGGCACTGATATCGTGGTCCAATTCATATTCGTAGGCGTGAAGGCCGTCGGCAATCTGCGAAACGGAGGCGAGGGTAGAGGGATGCGAGAATATGGCATTCAGGTGGTCGATCGGGTCGTAGTCCACTAGAGAGATTCGGAGTCAGTGTCCGTGAGTGTTTAGAGAGTGGAATTCCCATACCTGCATCCAAGGCGTCAAGGGGCTCGTCAGGCGGCATGTGGCCGGTGGGAATAGTAATTGTAGTCATCCCACTAATTCACCAAGGTCACCCTGCGGCCAAATAGGGGCAATCTGGTGCAAGGCGCATTCGAGGGGTGTTCACAGGACGAAGTCGGCGGGCCGCATCTCTCGGCCGCTACTCCCCGTACTCGGGCCAGCTTGGCGTTTTACGCAACCTGCAATAGACACCATCATTTCACTACCGTGTATAGAAATTTAAAGCGAGACCAAATTGGAATTTAAAAAGAATAAATTAAAATAAATATTTCAAGTTTGTAACTGTCTCCAGGTGAATACTATAGCTCTCAACCAATTGGCAAACGAGCGGAGCGGAGTTCACAACAAAACCCGAGATGAAGTAAACATGTAAAAAGAAAAAGAACATCAGTGCCCGCTCTGTGGGATGCCTTTGAAAAGTTCAAGATATGTATCACTTACAGTACCTGGAAGCTCCATGAAATGTTGTTCGTAGTAATAGTATTGTTCTATATTTCTGTGTTAGGTCTTACAATTTTGTACGTCTTATTGCGAGTTATGTTGACTGAGAATTGAGATCACTGCATGAAAGTAACACTTCTGACCGTGAAAGATTAGAGCTCGTAGATATATCAGGTAGCTAACTAGGCACCTACCTAGGTAGTGTGCTCTAGAATCCAACGTATACATGATTTTACTCACCTTTACCCTTCTTCACCATCAACAATACCCCCATCGAACCCCCTCGAATAAACTCCTTCCCCTCCTCCACCCCCGCTTCATGAAGGAGCTTCTCCATGGTCCTTCGAAAAATCCTAGCAACATCCCCCTCAGTCCCTGCAGCATCAGGATTCGCCTCCCGCCAGCGCGTAACCGGACTTCCAACCGCCATCATCTTCTCCATCTGATCCATGCTCAGAACAGGCTCTCTATCGAAAAACGCCTCCTCAACACCCCACTCTCGACGAAAGAAGGTATCTTTATCAAACGCCGCGATGGGGGCATCCAGACTCCATGGGAGAGGGAGCTCGGTATACCGACTATGAGTTAGGAGGTTCCCCGGCTCATAGAATGGTGCAAGATACTCCGCCTGGATCTTCTCCATTGCTGCTTGGATGGCAGCTGCGTTAGGTGTGGAGAGGTGGATTGCTGGTTTGCAGGGTGCCCAGAGGGCGACTGTACCACCTGGTTTAAGGACGCGGGCGGCCGAGGACCAGAAGGCTGGCATGTTGAACCAGTGGGCTGCGTTTGCGGAGATGATGAGGTCCACGGTGGCATCTTGGATTGGTGGGGATAGGTTTGAGCCAAGGTCCTCAGCCGTTGATACGTTGAATTGCACGTTGGTGGTCTGTTTTCCCTTGCTGTGTGTGCGGGCTGTTGCTATCATGCCTTCGGATGGATCGAGGCCGAAGACGGAGGAGAATCTCGGGGCTAGTGCGTGGGTGGCAATGCCTGGACCACAACCAATATCGAGGAGAATATCGAGACCCCCACCGGTTGATATGTGATGGTCTATGATCATTTGGTATATGCTGGGATGGTATTCGGGGCGGAGGTTGGCGTAGGCTTCACCCTGGGCTTGGTTGTAGGTGCTGAATGTCTTTTCCTGGGAAAATGGGGCATTGGTGGACATGGTGGGCATTATTTCGACAAGCAAGAAAGATCAGGAGAACTCAATGTAGGATGAAATAACCCTGAAGATGGGAAAATCGAGATATTTATAGATGCCAGTGCACATATGCAGTATAGACATCGTTTAAGCTTCAGATCCACCAACGCTAAACCCAAATGAGGCGATAATACAACTGCGAATCCCGAATCCCGAACGGCATTACAAGAGAATCCGTTGCCAACAAGAGTATGGTTTATTCATCAACCCTTCCCGATCCACCGTGTCGTGATGGCGTATTATAGTAAGATCAGCCTCGACCGCGCCCCCTTGCCCGGGCTTCATTGTTTGCTGCGGTTTCGGCCATTGGTCGGTCTTCAGAGGATGTATGCTTGTCGAGTTGATATCTGGTGTATTCTCCTCGTATTTTTATCCTGTTACCCTGATTTTAGATATTGCTGACCTTGGGATGCCTTGCAGGCGGCTTCTCGATAGTTCAACCGCTCTATATCATCTCGACCAATGAAGTAAATCCTTCAGAGCTATGTCTTTTTACTATTTCTGAGCTGCGCCGCATGAGTACGTCGATGAGGATTAGACAGGCTGGACTATTGGTTGAGGATTCATCGAAGAGGATTGGTTTATTAGACAGCAGAAATGACTGCTCTTGACAGAATTGACAAATGAGAACCAGTCTGTGCATTTTAATAAAGCGTGATTGATCTACACACAAACAAAAAACAGCAGCCTTGAAATGATTGTGAAGACCCATTGCGCCAAGCCAGTGTGTAACTCCAGTTGATGCGCAATGCAAGATATGAGCGAATAAGAATTCAAAAATCCGAAGGAATCAGGGAGGGGGACCGGTGTAGTCCGCTGTGGGTTCTAGATTAAACAGGAACGATGCAGATGTGACGAAAGGAGATGATCAGGAGACGAAAGGATCGAGGTAAGGTGAGGGAGATAAGAAAAAAAAAAGAGTAAAGGAGAGATGCTAGTGGTGCATGGTGTTGGTAGTACCGGGGTATACTCCGTGTTGAGCATAGTTCTGGCTTTGTTGGTAGTTTGGCGGGATATTTGGTGCCTGACCAAGCTGGCCATACCAGGATTGACGGCGAGGTTCTTCGGGTTGATTCAATTGGTGGACAGCATCCCAGGTGCGGTTCGCACCAGCCATGTTGTACATGGCATGTGGGCGAAATTGCGGCTGAGGCTGAGACTGGGGTGGGTACATCGAGCCATAATAACGAGGATCGGCTTGCTGGTGCATCATTTGCTGTTGGCGTTGGGTAATTGCATTCTGGACCATCTGGTTCGACACCTGCCCTCTTATCTCACGTCTATCACGTTCGCGGGCATCGATGGTTGACACCAAGCCCCCGGGGTTAACAGGAGCCTGTGCTCGGCGATTGTCCTGTGACATGTTGAAAAATGGAGAATTGGTTACTCGAGCGACATGTTCTTGTTCCCGAGCAGAGAGATGATTCGAAATGTCGTAGTTGAGCATTGGGCCGGTGCCCCGCGAAGATGGCCGATAGTTGGGATCCTGATTGTTCATGCGTGAACTAGAGCGGGCATGTTGTGTCCAATCTCCAGATGCTGGACGCTGTGGGGGTGGGGTATTATTAGATGAAGATCGGCTGTGCAGATGCACGGGGGGACTAGGTGCTGCGCGTTGCTGGACATACTGCTCCGGTGTGAGACCTCCGCCAGGGGTGGTAGGACGGTTGGAAGCCATTCCAGGCTGCCACAGCATGCTCCGTCTGTGTTCCTCCTGGCCAGGGGACCGGCTATGACCGATATCCATGGTGTTTGTCGGCACAGAAAGCCTGTATCGCTCGGCTTCAGAATCGCTTCTCTGGTGGGATCCTCTGCGTAAAGCGTCGCCCGTACTTGGGCGTCCAGTGGTGGGCATGTAAGTCAGCGTGGGCCCGAAATCAACAGATGGGATGTCCGGGTTGGCTTCTTTAGGCTGGTTGGTCGAGTAACGAGCATCGCCAATGACAAGATCGGCTTTCGCGGGTTCGCCCACAATCTTCATGACACCCATTCGCGGCTTGGTCGATTTCTGAGACTTCTTACTGTAAATAGAGTCATGGGTGCTTGCGTAGTCCGGCGAGACAGTAGAGTCAGCATCGTCATAAACACTTTCTTCCTCAATTTGATTCTCGTTCGGAGTAACGGGAGATGGCAGATGAGGAGCAATGCGATCGAGAGCATCTTCGTCCACAGTGTGGCGAAGGTCATCCAGGCTAGGCTCATCGGGAGACTGGGGCTCGTCATTGAAGAGCTGTCTTTGGGGAAGTGGCTTCCGTTTCACCGACTTGGCCGAGTCAATTGGAATCTTTCGCTGCGGCGACGAGGACCCCGTAGTGCTAGATGTTCGAGGCCGATCATCCGTGTTTAGGGAGGCTTGCATCGCGACAGCAAGACGCATTCCTTCCTCGCTGGGGGGATTGGCCAGTTGTGGGTTCGGCGAGCTTGTAGGCCCCATTCCCTGTACAGCAGGCGCGGGAGCTGGCACTCGAGAGCGCTGGTTTTGGGACTGCTCATCGCTGGCTGGGGAGGGGTAGTCCTGTACCGCGAACGCGTCTCCGCCCATCTGGCCAACCGACGTTAGCTGCATGAGAGTAGCGTCGGACATGCGATTGTTGGCCAATCGCTGCGCTGCAGTTGCGTGAGGGCGGTTCATGGGCATCTCCCGAGGACCGTGTGCGAAGGCCGGGGGGCTTGCGACAGGAGAAGGAGGCGTGCGCGGTGGAAGCTGCTCTCTATTGACCAGGGCAGGATGTCTTCCCCCCTCGGGACTGTAGTGCTCCATGATAGGACCCGCCAGCGCAGCTTGTCTGTCATGTTGCACCAGATCCTGGGCCGATAAGTCAGGTGAGCTTTCATTCAGGGATGCATAGCCGAGCCTAGGCTCTGTCTGCAGGCCTGTGATGTCCGACGTTCCGCGATTGTGATAGGTGGGAGTTTCAGCTCTAGGGACCTCGCGAATCACCGCTTCGGTAGACCCATTGAACTCAGGCTTGCCCTCCAGAAAAGGTCTACGAGGGGATTCAGTCGGGTTAGACTGGTTAATAGAGACACTCGAGCGGTATCTTGGCCGAGTGCTGTTGACGCTGTTGGCTCTGCTTCGACCCGTAGATGCCCTCTTCTGGGTCGCTTCTTTCAGCTGTCGCCTCCACTCGGCTTCACTCCATCCTTGGCTCCCCGGGGTCTGAAGAAGGGTAGAAATGTCCAAAAGGTCCAGGTATCCAAATCGACGCTCCTGGGGGAATGCAAACATAATGCTCTTAATATGATTGGTGTCGGCCACAAGACGAGTCGGGCGGCCATAAAGATTGAAGGTATCGAAGGTCGGGAAAAGGAATCGCAGCATCATTTCAAATCCAGAAACCGCGGCATGCAGCTCTGGCATGACATATACAAAGCCCTCCGTGGTGGCCTGGTTCTGCCCGTGTACCGTGATCCGGCCTTCCAATTTCACCAGAGTCGATTGGTCGATCAAAGCCTTGGACTGTGGGTAGATAGCATATGCCGAATAAACGTGGGTCATTGTCGCAATCGGGGTGACCTTTTTGGTCTTGCGAGTCTCAAAAAACTGGATGTTTCCTGTGACTGGGATGGATAAACGATCATATGCCGATTTTTTCAAAGCCTTTTTAGCCTTTGCGACCTCCCTCTCATCCGGAGGGTTGATCACAAACCAGCATCGTCTCCACGGAGTTCCTGCGCCAAACCGCACCCGTGCCCAATCTTCATGTCGGAATCTTGAAGGAGCCAGGATTGCTTGGATTCCATTGAGATGTTTCCCTTTGGCCGCGATGAGAGAGCCGGTGTATGCTTCATATAAGGAAGTATGCTCGAACATGGCAAGACGGACTGCAGCAGTCCACTCGCACATGGAATGAAATGTGCGAAAATGGAGGAGGTATCGGTTTTTCCCTGCGGAGGAGATACTCAAAACATTATTCAAAGGTGCTGCCGCACCATTTCTGATGGGCAATGTTTCAATCTATGTAACCCTTGTTAGCTTGGGCCAAATCAACGGGGGTTCAAACACGGTTACCATTTTGATGGACGCATCTGCCACATTAATAAAGGTCGCCGGGACCTCTTGTCCGCCAGCTTCGTCCAGCGCAGTGGCATCCCATAGAGAAAGAACTGTTCCTACAAGTTGAGCATAACATTCTACCCATTGCCGATCTAGACACGGTCGCCCGTCTGTACACATCGTGTTAGCCCAACTCTGTCCCGTATCAAAGCTCACTTAGACGTACGGTTATCTTGGTCATTAAGCTTCAAAAAATAGCCTTCGTGGTAGACTTTGTTGGTGTGTATGTTGAGGAAGGAAAAGATCGGCGATAGCTCCGGTGGGGTACCATCCACCTGGGCCATCAACGGAGGATTGCTTGAGAAGATCATCGACGCAGGACGTGACCCAATCCCACCAATTCTGGGCGTTGTACCACCTATTGGGGAGAACTCCGTGGGTGGTGAAGGTGTATCGGGTGACGGTGTCTGCCACCGAGGTGGGGTTTCAACAGGAGAAGCATTTTTCGGGGATCTGCGACTCAGTTTTCCTTCATTGTTTTTGGGGCCTCCGAATGTTGAAATAAACGAGCGAACTAGAATAGATGCAAGGGAGAGGTTAATCCAGCTGCTCCGGTGGGTTCTGCCTGTTTCCGTTACCCCCGGGGATCAACTTACCACGTGAACCACCCATGACGTTGAAAAGCGAACAACCACCTCACAGCAGTGGTGACGGGGCAGCTGTGGAACGTCTCTCTGAAGTTCTTGAGAGACTTTGGGCAAGACCAGGGGATAGGGGGAAAGACCACAAGGAACACGGTGGTGTGCACGGGTCTGGTCCGCAGTGGAGCAGGTTAAAACGAGAGGATAGGCCGCAGAGACTTGGAATGTTGGCGCAGGGTCGGTCAATCCATAGAAAGGGAATTCAGGGTATGACCAAGACGAGGCGAAAGAAAAAAAGATACAAAATTCTGGTAACGACCGGACACGACGGAAAGGTTGGCAGGAGCACAAAAGCCAAGTGGGTGTGGATGACGTTAGTAACGGGGTTCTCTTAAGTGGAGATTTTACTAGTCAATTTAGTCGGATTTGGATCAGGAGGAATGCAGAGAAAAGGAGAAAATGGCAAAAAATTCAAAAGTTCAATGAATTCAACAAGAGTTCGAGAGTTCGAGAGTTCGAGAGTTCGAAAGTTCAAAGGTTGTAAAGTTCTAAAGTTCTAAAATAGAAAGGCGAAACTAGGACCGTGGGTCTTCACCATATGGTCCCATCTTGAAGAAGCCTGGAGAAGCATCACCCATTGGATAATGATTTCAATGGAGAAAATCAATTTACTCCACGTCGCATACCTGTGGGACTTTGAAACAAGATAAGCTACATATATTACGTGCAAGCTATAATTGATCTGGAAAAGTAGGTCAAGTCCAGATAACTTATGGTCTAAATGTAGGCTGCGTCATCCCGGACCCTCTTAGGTACGTGCGATCGGCGGTGCCCAGGTGGAGGAGTCCTTTGTCTCACCCAAATATAGCACAGAACTATGCACTCTATATAGAAAATTCTGTTCCACTTGAAAAGGTCTACAAAGTACTCGGTCTACATGGATTTTTGTTCTGTTTATGATTCATTTTTTATTTGTATTTTCCAAGTAGGTTATGACTAGCACGCCACTCGGTCTTGCCACTTTCAACGTGACTTTGTCAGCCGGGAGCTTTTCTGCCGGGCCACGTTTATACATTCTCACTGCACTTGAGGTTCGTGGCATCACACCGCTCTAAGGGAGGAAAAAGAAACCAAGAAACGAAACAACTGGAAATCTGATCTGGATCTCTGTGCCCAATCCTGTTTATGCAGTGTTCATCCAAATCAGAACATTGGGCCAGTCTCCCTCTTTGCCCGGAGCCCAGAGTCCTGCCCAGAGTCTTGGAGTCTTGGACCCCTAATGGCGGTTCAAAAGCATACGTACCCCTCTCGTGCTCGGCAGATTTAGGTCTCCACTGTTGTCAGCCACAGGGCACCTGAACCCTTTTTAACTACTTCTGGTCGCAAGCGATTGCTTGGCAAGGTCCGATACCGGGGAAGGGATCCACTGTTAGCCATGGTTAATCTCGACTTTAAAATGTTCAATGTTGGGTCACAGTAATCCCCAAAGGACTGTAGGAATATATTTGTGCTGGCAAATGGTGGCTGTGCTGTTGAAATCTAACAGATCGGGTTCCAACGGATCAGCGTCCGGGATTAAGCATGGTCAAACAGGGGAACCTGCACTCAGGGTCAACCCCCGCAACTTACACTAGCGCCACGTTCATCCCGTTCCAGTTAGCTTGGCCGACAAGACAGCCACTATTCTTACTTCCAATCAGCTGAAACACTGACATCCATGCAGAGTAAGTGGGGCCCTATGATTTCTAATGTTACCTCCCAAGTTAGGGCTAACTTCGTAAGTATTAAAGGAGCAGGATGTTCTTTCTAATAGATATTGAATGGTTATGTAAGGATAAAATTGAGGCAATCATTCAACCCGTGGACAGGAAATGTATCTCTATATGCACGTGGCCGAGATCTGCATCCAGATGTCCCTTACATATATAACTTGCATGTACAGGAATGAATATTTGGATGTTCCGATACTGTCTCTTAAATGTTAGCAACATTATGTACAATAAAGGTTCTAGACAAAATTGAAAACATGTTCCTGGTATTCTTTCTAGTGACATTCATTCCAACATATAACGTTTGAAATCCATATTGTAGTATTCGTCCACTGTTTAGCCACGCCTTAGGTTAACAATTGGGAGATTATTTACAAGAGTTTGAACCCATTGGCAGGTGCTTAACCAGCACTAGCAGTTCATCACATTTGCATGCCTTCCTAGGCTGATATAATGCTACATATCAGCATATCTATGGAGATATCCATGCTGAGCATGGTCCTCACAATCTGTCTGTGTATGATTCTTTCTAGGCTTCCAATGTTCCAATCAACCTTCCTGCCGATAGCATTTGAAGGTTGAGATTCCCGAGGACATAGACTGAAACTCAGCAGCATAATCACATAATAAAGACAGAATTGTCATGAATAGCTTTAGGTATTCAACATTTCCAGATCTCTATCGTGAGAATTCCATAAAAGATCCTCCCAAAGACTCCAGGCACATACAGAGTCATAAGACAGCCTCAAGGGCTCTTACCTGGGCAGCTTATACTGGAAGAACCCCGAAATTTCAGGCGCCCATCTTCCAATTGCCTATTTCGTCAAATTTTCACGTTAGCTCCGATGAAATGCAAACCTCTCTTAATTCCCAGGGACCTCTTTCATTTCTCTTCATCTTTCTTGCAATTTTCCTTCTATTTCATCACCCGCACAACTGCCATTCGAAAGCCTTCGGGCTTCACGATCGCTCGACAGAATGCAGATGATATCACCGATTTGATAGAACCCGAAGATTGGGTCAATGTTACAATCAGAACGTCCAAGTCACTCGAATCTCTCCAAACCCATGCATCTTCCCCAGTCGTTCCCACCTCTCCCAATTCCACTGATGATTTGCCATACTATGGACCTCATCCTGAGTTCCACTACTAAAAGTTGCTCATAGAACCTATTGCGAATAACACCATTGGCTTTGACCTCAAGGCTTTCCCACAGTCAATCAAGCAATGGTTTTCGGACTTCGATCGCAACCAGCTTCCTGGAACATATGGACATCTCTTGATGCTCATGTTCGCCGACGAGAAGGAATGCGTTGAACTGCAAGTGATGATGGGTCGATTCAGCGGATGGGACTTTTTGAAGGTTGAACGTGAACTGGTCACTCGTGTTGATCAGACTCGAAACTTCCGAGCTCCTTGGGATAAATGGCCACTGCGTGAACCTGCAACTCTTCAGTTGAAAGACTCTGATGAAATTGAATAGAAATTGATGTTGAAAATGGTCGCAGGAGAGATGAGTCAAGTCTTGGTGAAGCCCTGCGTACTCTTTACTCTGCGCGATCTGGTTGCTCCACTGAGAGATCCAACCGAGCCAAAACATATTGTTTACTGGATCCAGGACCGCAAGGATCAGCCTGACAATGTTCTCGAAGAATGGAGGTGGTCGAAGGATCTTATTGTTATTGACGACTTCAAGAAACGAATCGTGGAGACGGAGTGGTACCGAGTGGACAACCGTAAGTTTGCTTTCCCCTGTTGTTCTTTGTTCGTCTTTAGACAAACCTTCGGAGCGTTTGCAGTGTTTGCTACTAGAATAGGTCAGTTCTAACATTAATTTCTTTAGCATCGATTTATCACTCTTACCCCCAGTCGTGTGACGAAAACTGGGAACTTCAGAAGAGATTAGGTAGACTTGAGTCGCGTCCTGATGCCTGTATATGTACCATGACGTGGGATGAATACATTATGGATAGATCTAAGTATCCGAAGTGGGGGCCACCATATTACAAACGGGCAAGTTCTCTCGGAGGCTTGCATGCCACGCTGCTCAGTGCCATAATGGGTGTTCAGGAACCTCCCAAAATCCCTATACCCACAGTTCAGGTATCTGAAAACCTTGGCCACGACATTGACAACGAGGTCATTCGCACAGAAAACGGCCAAATGCTCAATATGCTAGTACAACTAGCCGAATGACTTGCTCTAGCCAGAGGCTATCCTACAGTGAGTATGTTCACTGAAATCACCCGTTTGTTTACGGTGTTAGGTGTTGATCTTACCAATGAACCTCAGGTAGAGCTCTGCAAGTACCTGATCAAAATGCGGTTACCCTGTGACGCGGACTACCTGGTTCGCAACAGGATCCAGTCACTGTATGCGTGGTACCCTCAAGAACCCAATCGGGATTATCTCCGGAACTTGAGAGAATACATCAAGTACTTTCGCGAGAATCAAAGAGAGAGCAACATGCCTCTTCACAACGAGGCCATATCTTGGACTTTCCCTCTCCAACTTCTGGAATGGCGACCCTCTTTCCAGGGACCATACTTGGTGAAGAAGAGCATGTTTCCGAGATGTCACAATGGACATCGACGAACCAAAGGACAACAAGCGCCTTGAGTTGCAGGCTAGAATCAGAGAAGAGGGAAATATCCCTTCTGTGTCACGCAGCCCGCTCCGTTCAAGCAGCTACCCTATCTTCAATGAGGAAGAGCTTTCAATTCTTTTGGACTGGGAAGCTCTTAATAGATACCGGCTGGTCCGGTAGTCCATCCAAGCCCATTAATTGGAAAGCCGAACTCAAGTGTGGGAGCGTGAATGTGAACTTGACCGTCTATTTGACCGTGTTGGCCTTGCCGAGGAATCGGGTCCGAGTTTGCGTTAGCAGCCACCTGTGCAGTGTTGGGCAAGAATTGATGGTTTAGATAGTGTGTCAGCATCCACCTATGCAGAGTTGACCGCCTCTGCAGTGACCAAGAAGCGTTAGGCGAGAGTACAAATAAGGTTCCAAAAACAACCCGAACAAAGAAAGAAAATTGAAATAGAAAGGTATTGCTACACGTACCAATTTAGCTTCAGTAGACTATAAAAGTGTACGGAATTTTGGTTAAAATTCCCAGCGGAAATTGAAAGACTATAAGAAGTTACTTGTATCGAATTCATAGGTATGTTGCTCGGTTAGAGGTGTACAAGAGAATTAGGGGTGGCGGAGAAATTGCTAAAAAGAAAGAGAAATTTTATTTCAACTGGCACTACCCGTAGATAAGTGCATGTAAGGGGACTCCGAAATCCTTCAATAAGAAACAATATAAGAAACACGCTGGAAACCGTGACGCCGTAAATGTTGTCATTTGGGGACTTGCTTTAGCTCTCCATCAAATGGTAAGCCAGAACAGGGTCAATCAATGACATCTCGTTGTGATTGGGTATCATAGTGTCAGCGTGACTGCCATCCGCAGAAAATGCGTCTTGCATCATAATATCAGAATCTGGACCAGACTGTGAGGGGAGAACGGAGGTATTATGAGACTGAACAGTTCCCTGTCCATAACTTGACTCATGCGAAAAGCCCAAGTTGGCATCATCAAACTCGAGCCCGTAGATGCCGAGTGAGTTCCCGCCAGGGCCAGACTGGTCTCCTAATAGAGCACGCTGCATGAACAGGCCCTGGACTTCGTCTTCAGAGCAGCCATGCTTGGCAGTCATATGCACCCACAAGTCGTAGTCACGGTGGAATCGGTGTTCACAGGAATCGTAGATACATGCAATATGGCGGCCAGACTCCTCGACGTAGCCATGGCCAGTCAGGGCCGCCAATGTGGACATTTGGTTGTTAACACAGGCCTTCTTGCTAAGACCAAGTCGTTGGCGCCGCTCTGCTTTGGCATTTTGGAAGCCCAAATGCGCAGTGCGAATGTGTTCTTCTAGCGCAAGTTTGCTTCCATACCTCTTCCCGCAGCCAATTCCGTCCCAGCCGGTAACCTTCTTCGAGGCTGAGAGGTCCGTCTCACCACAACCAAATCGCTTCTCTCCTTCGTGTACCGTTCGGACATGGACAGTCAAGTTTCCCTTCTTTGTGAAGCTGCGATCACAGCCGGGATGGGTGCAATCGAATACCTTCCTGTCCTCCAAGCTCGCATCTCCATGAGCAACTTCAAGGTGGCGTCGTAGCTCTCGCGAGGTTGAACAGACAATAGGGCATTGGGGACACTGCGGAGGATGAACAGTTCGAATATGTTCTTGTAAAATGGCATATGTCGGGAAGTAAAGAGCAGCACTCTCCGAGCCCTGCAAATGCTCGGTGCACTCAGCACAGCTAAATCTCTTCTCGGCATGAATTCTGCTTTGGTGGGCTCGGAGATGACCAGCAGTCTCAAATGCCATTTGACATTTCTGCCCAGTAGTTTCATCGATATGTGTGCACGGGAACGGTTTCTGGTGCAGGTGCACTGTCAGAACGTGTTTCTGTAGCGTGGAGTGTTTGCGGAACGTCTCCTCGCAGGGTGGATATTCGGTACAACGGTATTTGTCTCTTCCATCGTGTGCAGCAATGTGACGACGAAGTCGAGAGCCTGTCACAAAACTCTTGTCGCAGTCTGGTCGGGGACACACATAGTCTCGAGCTCCAGTATGGGCACTCTTAACATGATGGTTGAGATGGGAGGTTCGTAGGAAGGTCTTGTCACAGCCGTCGAAGGTACACGCAAAAAGACGTTCATTGTTATGCGACCGAATATGTTCCTGAAGCCTAGCAGGGCGGTTGAAAGCCTTCTCACAGCCCTCGAATGGACAGCGATGGGTCTTAAGTTCCGATGGGTATCGAGCGGAGGTAGTAGAAATTGGTGTCGGAGGAGTGTCGTTCATGTCATAACTAGCGAGGCTAGGAGTCTCTGGAGCAGAGTATTCTGCATCAGAATGGGTTTCTTCGTAAATGGGATCTTTGAAATCGGTCAGTATGCATTTGGGCAATCGAGACCGCATTGTGACGGCTCACCATCATTGTGTAGATCGCTCATGTGGAGCCTTTTGGACGACAAATCCACATCAGTGGAAGCTTTCCGCTTAGATGCCATGATCAGATGCCCCCTGAAGGAAGGTATGCATCAGAAAAGCAAAAAATTGTAATTCAGGAAAGTTGTGCTGACGTGAATTAAAAATATTTTGCCGCAGCCAAAAGGCGGTCAGGACGAAGACGGACTAGCGTGGAGGAAGATTTTCCGCTTTTTTTGCATTCACGAGTTCAACAACTTCGGTCCCGCGCTTTGGGTTTCACTCTCCTTGGTTCCCTCGGTCTCCATTTACAGCGATCACATCATGTCTGACTACGGCGGCGATGACCACGAGCCCGAGACGTAAGCTTCCCAATGGCGATACTGAGGTCGGCGCATGAAGAGCTTGAACGTCCCTGCGGGTCTAGAGCTTGCGCCCGACCATACTGCTATTGTGATGACCGGTTCTAACATCCAATTTGCTATACAGCTACGACTACGAGCCCCATGAGGAGGTTTTCGATGATCACGAGCCCGAGGATTTCCTCGACAACGAGGGCCTGGAGGGTGACGATGGCGTCGATGGAGAATCATACCAGCCGGCCGTGAACGGCGAGAATGTCGTCGTCTCTGGAGACCCCAATGCTGGACAATCTGCCAAGGTTATGGAGCAGTCACGCGAGAAGAAGGTCCCCAATGATCAGCGCACCACCACCCCGTACCTCACCAAATACGAGCGCGCCCGTGTGCTGGGTACCCGAGCTCTGCAGATTAGGTGTGTAGTTGGAAATAAATTGCGCACGCATAACGCAGTCTATGGAGTCAATTGGCTAACAAACTTTGTAGTATGAACGCTCCTGTGCTTGTTGACCTTGAGGGTGAAACCGATCCCCTGCAGATTGCCATGAAGGAATTGAACCAGAAGAAGATTCCTCTGATCGTGCGGCGGTACTTGCCAGATGGATGGTAAGAACTACTTACAGAACTATGTCAATTGGGCTCCAGGCTAACGTGATTTAGGTACGAGGATTGGACTTGCGAGGAGCTCCTCTAGGCAAGTCATAATTCGTCCTTCACTGGAAATTGGGGGGTTTGTCTTTCTGCTTTGGGTGGATATCAGCATAGCGTTCGGAGTTTGGGATATTGAAACCGCGGCTCCAAAAGAAAAAAAGGCGTGAACAACCTTGGAAATATCCAAGGACACGGTCCAACTGTATATGAATCTAGACAGACCAAAAAAATAATGACGGTTTCTGCAGTAATACCAAGACAAGACACCTTTGTACTCCGTACTATAATGAGATGATAATAACAAAAACAACTACGGGGTACGGAGTACAGTACAGTTATGTGCACCCTTGCGTATACTTCGATAGGGCAATGCTCCAACACGTGAGTTAATCCCCGGGATAATTTCCTCCCCGAAGTCCCACTTTCCCCCCCCCCCCTAATCCCAACATTGATTGGGGTCATTGGAGTCGGGGAACTTGGGTTGCACTTAGTTTTGTTCTTCTACATTAGCGCACAGGGTCATTCTTGGCTCGCCTGGGTAATCGGCACGTCTCCCAGTGATCATCATTGGTCGCCCTCTGTTTGATATCCGCATTTACAGGACTACGATACATATGACACTCCTACAAGGATCCAGTGGGTGCCAGTGGGTATCGGTGGGCCCCGCTGTAGCCAAAAGATGGCTAGAGATTCGGTCTCTTCCGCCTTAGTTTTTAGTAGCGCCCCGCTTGGTCGGCCTTTGGTCGTGGTTTATAATCAGAATTTTTCTTCTCTTTTGAATGGAGGTTGACCCCGGTTTTTCTATACTCCACCGTGCCTTGTGCTGTAGGCCCTCGAGCACTTCTTTGTTCAGTCTGTTCGCTACGAGCGCGAACGTCCGATATGGGTTCGACTAATCTGGAAGTAGAGCAAAAGGTGCTTGCAGATATCCCAGTCGTCGCAGACGAGGAAAATTTGAATGCCTCTGCGTGTGAGTCACCGGCCGAGAAGCCGGTAGATGAGTTTGTATTCGATCAAGGGCTTGTTTCATGGCTCCAGGTCCTGGGCTCATTCTTTCTCTTCTTTAACTCATGGTAAGTAATGCGCCCAAATGCGACAAAAACTTGCGCTAATACTACATCTTTCAATAGGGGCGTGATCAATACATGGGGTGCATACCAAACATACTATGAATCGAATTTACTTTCTGGTACATCATCGTCTACCATCGCCTGGATTGGTTCCCTTCAGTCTTTCCTTCTGATGCTTGTCGGAGTTATCACTGGCCCACTGTTTGATGCGGGCTACTTCCGAGTATTGATTGGTGTCGCCAATGTCATGCTTCCTTTCGGTCTTATGATGACCAGTCTGGCCACTGAATATTGGCAGTTAATTCTCGCACAGGGTGTCGTCATTGGCATAGCAGCAGGATGCTTGTTTGTGCCCTCGGTGGCCCTCTTGCCCCAGTATTTCCGTGAAAAGAGGGGTTTCGCCAACGGCCTGGCCGCCAGCGGTAGCAGTATTGGTGGTGTGGTCTACCCTATCATGTTCGATCAATTGGAAAAAAAAGTTGGCTTTGCTTGGGCCACCAGAGCAATTGGCTTCCTCACATTTGGAACCATCTTCATCTCGTTCAGCATCATGCGCATTCGTATCCCGCCCAGAGAAAAGCGCAAGCTCTACCAGCTTTCTGCTTTCAAAGAGCCTGGTTACTGTATCTTCTGCGCTGCCATGTTCCTGGGCTTCCTTGGGTTCTACAACTTCCTCTTCTACGTTCAGTCTTACGCCATTGACACGGGTATTGTGGATGAGAATCTGGGATTCTATTTGCTGTCCATGCTCAATGCAGCCTCGACATTTGGCCGTATTGGACCGAACTTCATTGCTGACCATACTGGTCCGATCAACATGCTCACCCCGGCGGTGACCATCACTTCCATCTTGGCCTTTGTATGGATCTCTGTCCACACTGTTCCTGGGATTATCATCCTTTCTATTTTCTATGGTTTCTTCTCTGGTGGATTTGTGTCGATGCCACCGGTTGTCATGGCATACATGACTCCTGATGTGCGTGATCTCGGCACTCGTCTTGGTCAGGTCTTTGCCGTTACCTCAATTGGCCTGCTCATTGGTACTCCGATTGGTGGTGCTATTCTTAGTAGCACTGGTAGTTACCTCGGTGTGCAGCTCTTTACGGGCTGCTGCCTCATTTCCTCGGCGGTCCTTATGGCGACCCTGAGATTTTTGCGGTCAGGCCCGCACCTGATCTCTAAGACTTGAGTTCATCTCCGGGGCACTGTCTTAGTGACTCTATTCAGGTTCATCCGAGGGATACGCATACACCGCCTAGTTCAGGCGTTCGGGTCCCAGTCCAATGGCCCAGTACCTGAAATCGCCCATGCCTTGTAATGAGCACTGCTGGTACTCAAAGAGCATAGAGTGCTTTGCATTTTTGAACATCGCCGCAGCCATCATATGCCTTTGAGAATTGCCATATTTTGAAGTTTCTGCATATACGATACGGGCGTTTTCATTTGCGCAGTGGTTTAATAGCGTCTTTATTTGATGTCCCACACTGCACACAAACATTTGAAGGTTATTCAATATGACAATTATAGATAATAGAATCTTGAAATGGAAACAAATGGCATTCCTTCTATCCAGTCATATGGGTATAAACATGCTAAAAACCGAAGATGCTCGTTCCTGTTTCCCATTATATGCTCATGGATATATAATGCATCATGCAGTTCAATCTTCTCGCTATGAAACATCCTCGGGATGCACGAGGAATTCTTCGCCCTTTTCTCGCACATGTGCCAGCTTTTTGTCTCGACTGCATGGCTTCCGCATGTCAAAAGCATCTTCCCCGGTATCTGACATACCGGTTGGGTCATCACTATAATAGCTGACAACTCGCCTGAAGACGGAGTAGCTGTAGATTGTCGTTAGCGAGATATTCATGCTGGTCCAATGTCAAACTTACCCCATTCCTTTATACATATCTACTGCCACTTTGTTACCTGCGCGGACATACAGGTCCACGAACCAGGCATTGTTGATATCTGATCCACGCTCCAGTTGCTCAGTCAGCCGGCTTGCGTAGCCCATGCGACGCCAGGCTGGCGCAACGGTCAACACTGTGATGTGACCGTGCCAAGGGGTGTAGTGCTCGGACTGTCGCATGGATGGATGTTGCTCTTCAAGTTTGCCCATTACTATAACCAATTAGTCAGCTACATACATCCAACACCAAATAGCCCAATCACTCACTATAGCCAACGACGCCTGCATCGCGATCTTTCACCGCGCTAAACAGAGACGGCCATTTAGTGAGATAATTGAGATAGAAGCCGAGGTCATAATTCTCCGTCAAAGGGTCCAAGTTGGTAAGGTTCAGGGACAGCAAGTCCAGTGGGGACATGCGTGTAATAGCGCTCATCTTGAATCAGCCACCAAACCTGGTTATCGAGGGGAAAGAATGTGGGGTTTGTGGTGATATTGAAACGCCTTTTTTTCTGCCGAGGCGGTGGCTCCACATGAGCAACGTGAGACTTTTCGATGATTCGTTGTTTTCGACACAACTCGCGGGCTGAGCTGGTCTGCGTCGATCCTTGCTCTTTGCTCTAAGTTTTGCGCTGGTCAGCTTTTACTTTGCATAGATCATGTTGCGATAGACTTTGCATTGCGAGACATTCCTAGGCATTGCAACAACAACTGCCTCATCACCGCCTCGGGACCTCAATACTGTGTGTTGTTGGTCTACTTCTTTCATTTATTCTGATTGATTCTCAGGAGAGAGACTTCCTTATCCATTTTATTCATTCAAGAATACATATCTATCATATCTTCTATTTTACTTGGAGACTCAGAGCTCCTGTCCTTCCGATGCCCCTCCCTCCGTCTCCCCTGAAACTCGTTCACCGCTACCCCTCCAACATGGACGACTCTCCAATCTCACCAGGGGCCCCAGGGGTCAATGTATTTGCCCCAGAGAGTCCTACGGAGCCTCGAACCCCCAGACTCTCGGGACCGCCCTCCCCGGTCATACCCCGCCAAAACATCAACGGCATTAACGGGTCCCATCGAGAGTCGGTAGATTTCTCCGCCGATGCAGGGGGTGGTCTGGGTAACCTTGCCGATGAACTAGCAGACGCGTGGGAACAAGACGAAGATGGTTATGGATATGCCTCTGGGCAGGAAAACGCGGCGGGGTCCCAACAAACAGATCAGAGTGACGGCGAGGACGCATATCTACAATCTGTTCGCGACATGCGCTCCCAGTCACCGACAGACTCTCCCGCTAGAAACCGACTGCGAGCCAACCAGATTCGACAACACCGGCGGCAGGAATCTCAGTACGACGGCTCGGACTATGGGAATGACTCGGATCTTGAGGAGGCGGCCGATCTCTCCCCCGCATTGGAAAGCCAGATGGCTGATATTGAGAGCCTTGCGCGGCGGGGTATCGAGAATAATGGCAGCGAGAACGACCGTGTCATTCAAAGGACGGTAGAGTCGTTGAGGGATCTAAGTGGACAGAGTGGGATCGAGAACAGTGCCATGCGGTATGTGGTCTTGAATGAGAATGGCTTCATAATAAAAAATCTAATTATATCCAGGTTAATCACTGCCCACTCCTCTATTACTTCTCATCTCACCCACCAAACCCGTATTCTTCAATCCCTCATCCATCCGCTTCTATTTTCTTCGTTTCCTCTCCTCTCCGACGACGCCATTGACTCTCTTATGCCTCTGATTGACGAAGGCCTCTTGCCCAATCTCCCATATCCTTTCCCCGAACAAACTCACCGGGGCTCCAGACCGGCTACTCCGTCACAAGGGTCAGCCCTCAACCCGCTTGTGTCTCTACAGGCCCTGATATCTCAAACTGCGGACATCACCCACTCCCTTCGAGGTTTAAGCGATACCCTCTACGAATCGCGCCAGCTGACCTCCACCGCATCGCGTCGGCTCCGCTCCGCTCGTGAGCTCGTCTCCGATATTCGACGGGAGGAAGAAAGCCGAGAAGAAGGCTTTCGGTGGATTGAAAAAGGCGATTGGGATCGCCGACTTCAAGGTCGCGAGGCTGGGAAGGAGTGTCGAGATGTCGTCAGTGGCTTTGAAGCCGTTTGTGGTGAATGGCGTGAGAAGTTATTTGGAGCTGCAGAGGTGGCTGCCGCATAATCCGAGTATGACTGTCATTTTTAGGGCATGGAATGTTCAAACTGCCATTAGACTGTTATGGACCTTAATTTTAGGTCGCCTTTTTGTTTCTTGTCAGATATCCACTTGGTTCTTTTATTTCTGTTTCGTGGTTTTTTATATCCCGATGTATCAATTGATATGCATATAGCCTATCCACCCTATTACTTGGTTAAACCGAAGTTAACTTGATCCTTTACAGAATGACAAATTTCTTCTTCTTCAACACATCATACCCCTCCTGAAACCCTTTCAGGTTCCTTGTCTCCATAAGCATTGGCTGCGACATAGCACAGTATCTTCCCGCCACAACCACAGCATACTTTCATGACTATCCCCAAAGAGCATCTTAGCTCGCGCATCTTCTGGAACCACACCCATATGCATTGTCACCGCATTGACCCTGCCCGCAACCTCCAAAATAGGACTCAAAGACGCCGTAAATATAGCAGCCTGGAATATCCCCACACAGTGGGAGCGAGCGTCCAACTCCCTAACGAGCCGAGAAACAACTTCTGGAGCAGTATAATCAAAGACTTTATCCGCACCAAGTCTTCTCAAACTCCCAAAGTTCCTCGGCGATGCCGTAGTCAGAATTTCCAATCCCGCCGCAACAGCCAACTGAATAGCATTGCTTCCGACAGAAGACCTCCCACCTGAAACAAACACAGCATTCTTCTCTAAAGAATAATCTAAATCCAGATCCAAATCCAAATTCACAGTCACAGACCCGTGTACTTCGACTCAAGATACTCCGCATGAACAAGCGCATAAGCAGCAGTAGAAACCCCCAACGGCAAAAGGTGATGTCTTCGCTCAAAATGACGGGATACTTGACGAGGGGGAGCTCGGTTTCTTGTATATACTGCTGGGGTTATGGTCCAGGCGTGCTCTTGTATTAAGACTTGGGTTTGGGTGAGGGTCTCTTGGTAGGGGATTGTTTGGATTTGGAGGCGTGGCATTGTAGTTGCCAGGCGGCGTAATTTGAGGACATAATGATATACAAATGTTGATAGATTTTCAAAGTGCTGATTGGATACGGGGTTGGATTTTGATCCATGGGATTGAGAGTCTCTTAGTCGCATGGAGGGGTTCTACAGAGTTGGGCCATGCACTCCGTATAGAATCTCGGAATGTCTCATCTGCGTTCTTGACGTGTTTCTTAGGTTTCCAAGGTTTGCATAATCTATCTAGATTGTACGCCAGCTAATACAGCATAAGGTTTTGCAAGATTCCATTAATGGAGCACGTAAACCTTGATTAGCCCTAACAGGGGTAATTCCGCTAGGTCCGAACGCTAAGGTGTAATAAACGTCGGATATACGGATTCTACGAGTCCTTGATATGTTCAGACATTATTCAGAGATGACAAATATGTACGCAAAATTCAAAGTCTAGAGATGATTCAATCCTATTCACTGGATCCCGACCAATTCGGGACCAAAAGCATGGAGCAGAGCATGATATTGGCATCACGGATGACAAGATGATCCGAAGGGATAAGGGAAATTAACTGGAAACGCGGAAAAACAATTGAGAAGACCAGGGCCCGAACAGAGCCACGAATGGCCGATGATACAGGGTCGTTGCGAGAAGGGGGTTCGTGAAAAAACATGCGCCGGATATAGAAATGAACAAAAACATCCGATGCCACTTTTTGATGCCCTCCCTAGAGTTGTAGGTGAAAAGAAGAAAATAGAGTCATCCACCCATGAAGCCGCTTACTGCTGCTGCTTCCACTTCGGCACCCAGCGGCCACTGCTGGGCTTGGACTCCTCAGGCTTGGCAGCCGGGGGAGCAGAGCCTTGAGCAGAGGCCTCGCGTGTGTGACGGGAACCCCAGCGCTCAGTGGGGGCATCACGGGGCTCGCGAGGCTCACGGGGTTGTGGGGCGGATCCAGAGCCAGCGGAGGCACCAGCGCGGAGGTGAGGTGGCACGTATCCACCACCAGCCCGGCGGGCGGGGGGCTCCTCCCGAGTGGGGGCAGGTGCATCCGCAGACTCTCCCTTGGAAGCCAAACGATCTCTCCAGCCGGAGCCACCAGTGGGACGAGCAAGGTTGAGACGGGGAGCTGTGCGCTCGGCCGACTCGTATGGGGCACCGGACTTGCGAGCAGCCATGCGGGCTTCGGCCTCCTCCTCGCGTTGCTTTTGGCGAGCAGCAATCTCGTCGAGCTTGCCACGCTCCTCCTCGCGACGGGCCTTCTCCTCGGCCAGTGCGCGACGACGCTCCTCGTCGCGAGCAGCGCGCTCCTGTTCCTCGCGTTGAGCACGCTCCTCCTCCTCCGCCCGGCGGGCCTCCTCCTCCTCGCGCTCCTGCCTCTCGCGGCGGCGGCGTTCCTGGACCTCCTTGATACGCTGCTTCTTCTTGGCCTCGAACTCGCGCTCGGCGGCCTTGCGGCGCTTCTCGAACTCCTCGTGGCGCTTCTCTGAAACCTCCTTGCGGAAGTTGCTGAAAGCCGGGACAAGGCGACCGAGACGGTGCTTGAGGGCAACAGCCTCGGCGTGCTTGTACTTGGCCTCCTTGAGAGTCTCGGCCTTCTGGGCCTCATAGAGCTCCAGGTCGGCCTTCTTTTGGGCCTCATAGTCGGCAGGGACATGCTTAATCTCCTCGCGACGGAGGGCACGCTCCAGGTGGTCGATACGCTTGGCGGTAGTGCGAACACGGTCGTTCAGCTCGTTCTTCTCCTTCTCCAGCTGAGCAAGCTTAATGGCACGCAGGCGGTTTCCATCCAGCTCGTCCAGGTCCAATTCGCTAATGTCAATACCCTTAACACCGGTCTTGAGCTCCTCGAGCTGCTTCTTCAGCTCTTCCTGCTTGATACGGTCCTGCTCATCCTTAATGCGCTTGCGCTCACGCTCAAGCTGCTCATCGGCCAAACGCTTCTTCTCGGCATCCTGCAGCTGCTGAGTGCGGATACGCTTGCGGGTCTCCTCCTCACGCTGCTTGCGGTTGAGGGCATCAGTAGCAGCTTCCTTCTTCTTATCGATGATAACACGACGAGCCAGAGTCTCCTCGTGTTCCTTGGCGGTACCAGCCAAGGCGCGGGCCTGAGCGGCCTGCTTGGCCTGCTGACGAGCCTCGTTGTAGGATGGGTCAACGTACATGCAAGTGGTGTGCAGAGTCTTGGCCAGACGGGAAAGCTGGAAGCGGGCAATCTCGGCGGGGGTGTGCTGGAGGCGCTGAATGGAGCCGACATCAGACTCAGCGGAGCCGGCACCACTGCCAGCGTGCATAGCCTTAGACGAAGAGAAGACATCGGAGTCGAAGGTGAGGACACCAGAGATGTGATCAACCCGGATGGCAAGGTCACCCTTCTTGCAACCGTTCATGATGAACTTCTCAATCATCGCAGGGGTAATCTGGAAGGGGTCGGGGAACTGAGCGAGCTCGTAGACGAACTTGAGCTCAACGGACTCGTAGACCTGGGACAGCTGCTGGAACAGGCGAGTGAGAATGACCTGCTGGAGAGGGACAACGTACTTCTCCATCTCAGGGTCGGCACCAATCTGCTTCAAGATAGGAGTGATCTTCTTGCAAATGGACAGAGGGTGGAAGTCAACCTCGAGGATGTTGTACAAGTCACGGATCTCAGGGCGAACACGCTTGAGGAGACCCTTGTTCAGGGCATCACGGAACAGGACCGAACGAGTAGGGGGCTGAGCCATACCAAGCAAGTTAGTGAGGCGAGTGTTCTTGTTCTTGCGAGCCTCATCCACATCGACCAGAGCACCGCGCGAGCGGGTGGTGCTGATGACGGGAATAGACAGAGCAGAAAGGAGCACGAAAGAAGCAGCCTTGGTAACCTCGGGCTCGGTCACGGAGGGGTTCTCCTTCTTGGTGCTCTGGCCAGTAGCCAGGGCCACGGTGGAGAGGCGGAGCAAGTTGTAGTAACGGTTCCAGGCGGCAGCGTGGAAGAGGTAGTTCTCGCTGACCAGGAAGATGCGAGCCAACTTCTCGTAGTAGTTAGCCATCATGACGTTCTTAGCCGGGCGTTTGCTCAGGTTGAGCAGGGTGTGAATGTCCTCAATGCTGCGGAAAGCCTCCTGCCACAGCTCCAGCTCGACGGCGACGTTCAGCTGCTGGAAGCGAGTATCCAGGTGACGCTGTAGGGTGTCGGCATCGCTGAGGTTGATGGCGTGCATCTGGGACGAGTACTTGGCGGCATTCTGGACGTGGTTGCGCAGCAGCTCACAGAGACGGCGGAACTCGGTCTTACGGGCGTACTTGAGGCAGAACTGGAAGGCCTGCAGAGCGGTCGACTGGTACATAATCTCGAGACGGGCGTTGTTCTTCAGGATCTCAAGGACGGTACGGTAGGTCTCCCACAGGAACTTGAGCCAGGGAGTGACGATGGCGCGGTCAGTGCGGTCCCGGGACTGCTCGCCAGAGACGGTGGCCAACAGGATGGTCTCGGGGGTCTCGATGGCCTCCAGATCGTCGATATTGGAGGAGGGGGCGGCGGACTCGAGGGAGGACTGGATCTCGTCGGCCTTGGCCTGGGCCTCGGTGACCTTCTGCTCGGCGAGCTCGATGAAGCGCTTCAGGACGACCTCGATGGTGCCAACGTTGGTGTTCTGGGCGATGTTCTTGTACTGGTACAGGCCATCCTTGGCTGCCTTTCCCTTGCGCAGATCAACACACAGCTCGACGAAGAGGAGCATAACCGGCTCGAGCGACGCGATAGGGCTGCTGCGGGTACGCTTGGAGGTGACATGTTCGTGCAGGACGGTCAGGGCAGCGGGGGCCTGACCGACGGCGATGAGTTCCTGGGCCCGCTATAGAAGTAAGAAGAGAAGTAAGTATGGAAAAGCCAAGTCTGATATCTTATCAGGACGATGATGATCACCAACCTTGAGGACATTCTCAGGTTTGATATGCGGTGGTGGCGGCATGATGGGTAGTCCACCCCTTGAGGGTTTTTCCGGGTTTTTGGGTGTTTTTTGTCGGAAATGAAAATGGTGAAAAACGATAGGCGTCTCGCACACGGGCAGGGGTCCAAGAACCGAGTTAAGAAGCTGCCACGCGAAGTCCTGATAGACCTAGAGGGGGAAGAAGGGCCTGTTGTGCGTGAACCGAAAATTCGCGGGTGTCTGTGCCCACTTGGGACTAAGCGATGGGGCAGTCACATGACATATTCACTACGGGGACATCCACATCGACACCTTGACACCTTAACAACCCCAACACCAGCACCTGAATAGCTTAACACCTTCGGAGTATCGACCAACCAATGACTATGTACTACTAGCTCATGTGTATTGAATATCAAATCATCTCAATCTCAATCTCACTGTCAATGCCAATGTCAGCTGGTTATCTCAATTCAGTCCCCCATCTCACCCCGTTACATTTCCATTAGGACCTTACTCTGTAGATGGGTCAGATTTACTCAAATGTATCGGTACTTAATATTGACCCATAAGACTATTGATTGAGGAGTGGTTGGAAGTACATGTACCCGGAAGATGAATAAGCCACCCACGGACCTACAATGAATGAGCGAAAATAACGGGGAAAATCCCTCTTGAACATATCCGACGACCCTCAATCCCTTCCTTTGGCTCCTAACTTATTCCCTCGTTTCTTTCATTTTTCTTTGTTAAGTAAAGCGCTTAACATCAACTGGACCTTGTGTGGACACTTGGCCCCCGTACCCAAGTTACCGGTTTCTAAGTTCAACCCCCTCTGGTCCGAAAACCCCCCTTTCTCTCTCCTTCCATCGCGACCTTCCCCATCCACACCCGTCACAATGCCCGCCTACGAACTGCGATCTGGGGGCGATGTCAAGAACAAGAAGCAGAGTGTTGCCGACTTGAAGTACCGTCGATTGACTGAGCTTAATGCCCGTCTGAAGGAGGACCTGGATCGTCCACGGGTTAAGGTCTCCGAGGCCGCGCTCTCGTGAGTGTGCCCCTTTGTCGCATCAGTACCCAAACAAAAAAAAACCAGTTTTTCCCTAACGGATTCTTTGTTCTTTAGTCTCATCTCTTACTGCAACAATACTCGCGACTTCATGGTTCCCTCCGTATGGGGTCAGGTATGCGACCGTGCTTTTTCTGCCCGGGCGCACGCGCAAATCGCTAACCTTGTTACTTCTCCAGGTCGACAAGCGTGAAGATCCTTATGCTCCCCAGCAGCAAGGAAACGGTTGCTGCACCGTTATGTAATGGTCTTATGACGATCTACTTAATCGCCACGACACGATTTCTCTGTTTTTTCCCTCCGTTTTTCCTCCAACATCTTAATCCCCGGATCTACCGCCCCCTGATGATCGTCTTTTCCCAACTCAACACACCCTTTGGATTCGAAAACAACCCAAAGCCGCGATCGCTCACTCACCGGGTGTGGATCAGCGACCCGTGGTGCTCCCTGAAGAAATCGTCTGCTGGCCTTGCACGACCACTTCGACTGCACCAAGATTCTACGGACCCATCGGGCTCTAGGCTCAACTTCAAACTCCGGCCGCAGAGGTGTGTGACGATACGCCCTGTGTAGCCCTGTCTCTTTTACTTTTTTACTTCTCTTTGACCTTGTCACTTTTACTTCTCTTCTACTTCGTCTCTTCAACCGCACCATTCCCCATTTATCGTCTTTGTTTAAAGCCATTTTCCTATGTTTCTGGGTTCTCCAAAATCATCTTTGTCCGAAAAGACAAGAGTCGGTTGCCATTCGTGTATCATAGATTCGATTTGCATCCAATGACCAATACAATACCGTTCTAATCACAGCACATACAAATAGCCTCGAATTCCTGAGGTCATCTAACCAGTAGATAAGCTCCATTAAACATTGTTCTTAGTGTACTCTAGACCATTTCATTTTGAGCCCCAAGCACATCACGTAATATAATTGGATTAGAATCCCATCCCATTTCTACCCAGTCTGCTGCCAGGACCCGAGGCCGAATCAGGATCCCCGCTGACATCATCCCACTACAGAATTCATTCAACATCTCAGTCTCAAAGTCAGCCTGCTTCAGGTAATTGCATCATTATATCAAACCTACTCTTTTCTTGCAGAGCTGCACACCGACCCCTTCCTCATCAAGCACGACCCCTCAAATTCCGATTCCAATTCTCACTGTCAGAACTCACGACATCATGACTGAAGTCACGTCGGTCGATACGGCAGCGAAGGTATCAAAACCTGCAGGACTCGGACCTACATCTCTGGAACGGGTACATCTCCCGCGCATCTCTATCAAATTCTGTACCCAGTGTCGATGGATGCTGCGAGCTGCTTATGTATGTTATTCTACCCCCCATGTAGCTTATGTATGGATAAATATATCCATGTGTATGTGCATATATATATATGGATACAATACAGTAGCACATCCACATCCTTATCCATATCGAAACATTTGAATGCTACCTTTGAACTCTAACAATTTTTCCAGTTCGCGCAAGAACTCCTCTCAACCTTTGGCACTGATCTTGGTGAAGTCGCCCTTGTGCCTATGACTGGTGGGGTTTTTACAGTCACTATTTGGCACGGTGATGAAAGTGCGGATGGGGAGGTGAATACGCAAGAGATTATTTTGTGGGATCGGAAGAGGGATGGGGGATTTCCTGGTATGTTTAATTATTATATGCTTGTACTTGAGGGTTTGTGTAAGTGCTAACTGTTCGTAGAGGTCAAGGCTCTTAAGTCTCTTGTAAGAAATGTTATTGCTCCGGATAGGGACTTGGGACATACAGACCGAGCTTTAAAGCAGCAGGCGGAGAAGAAGGAGGACAAGGGAGAGCAGAGCGAGGAAAAGAAAGAGAAATGTGAGGATTGTGTGTGATAGCCTTGACCCTCTGTACCTATTGGTGTGTCTTTACAAGGATACTTAGCGTGGAAAGATTCAGCACAATATAGACATGTATTGGGAAAGATACAAGAAATACAGGTTACTATCTCAGGCCCATAAGCGTAAAAAGTCCCAGGAGAACAATCAACGCCACCAGCCCCGGATCCAAGTTCTAAAATGACCACCCAAAAACCAGATGTAGCCTCCAAACAAAACAAACAAAACGTCGAGCATGTCAATGATCATCACAAAGAAAAGCGGGTTGCAGGGACCCGATGCAAAGTAAAAGTACCACAAAGCAAAAATAGAAATGAATGAAAGAGAAAACAAGCCGCCAGCGCCGGATCCGTATTTTGGACGGGTTCCATTTTCGTTTTTGGAAGAAAATGTGCGGTATAAAACATCCACTGGGCTTGTCTGTGACTGTGCATGTTAGACAAGCCCATCGCATTCGCCATCTTCGGAGTTGAGGCCTAACATGGGCGAAAAATTCCAGCATAGATATCATTTGGATCGTGGAGATAAAGAAAGGAGAGAGAAAAAAGAGACCGAGGAGTCCGATATAAGCCAGGACTCCAATGGTCAAGTCGTGAAAATCAGCGCTCATCACAAAAATGCACCGTTCATGAGACCATGATCGCATAACACAGCAAAATAACCAGCAAGGACAATGGAAACAAGAATCAGCTCTCGCCATGGACCTCCTGTTGATGATGATTGCGGCGCTTCCAGAATGCGAGACGTATCCGACTACGTTTTTTCGGAAGCCGACGCATTCCATGTCCATTCCGGTCACCACCGTTCTCTTGGTGTGCTTCGTTCTTGGTATCCTCGCCGGTCAGCGTAGAATGGGTTTGGATCGAATTGCCATTGAGAGCGTGGTAGTCCTTGCCATCATCGGATCGGGCGATACCAGAGCTGTGGTCAGGGCTATAATTGCTACTTTCGTGATCTCCGACATTCGAAGCATACGATGTACTCGGCCGGGTGCTGCTGTCATCTGGTCCACCAGCGTCACTCTGAGGGGCACTGTCGTCCGAAATACGCTGCTTGCCCTCGTCGCCACTGTCCACTGCCAAGAAGCTGGTAGCGTTGGTCACAGGAGAGATAGGAGTCATGTTGTTGCTGTAAGCGCTGATACTTTGGGTCCGTGTGCAGCTGTTGCGGTTTGATGGTCCAGTGCGAACAGAGGAGCTGTGGTGTGCGTGGTGCTGGGAGCCTGGTGGGCCTTGACGGGAGCTGCTCGGTCTCTCAACAGCAGAATCAACTGTGTTGTCCCGCTCAGCGTCAGGCGCCGAGACACTGCCGCGAGATGACGAGTTGGCATAATAGGCGGCAGCTAAAACGGCAGGGTCTGCTTGGGGATCACTCGGGTCTGCAAGCGGAGTTTGGTAATCTGTCCCAGCGGAACCCTGCGCTGATTGAGCTATTGTGGCTGCGACAGGACGAGAAAAGTAGGAGAGATCCGGCATGGCGTGGGAGGACTTTCGGGATGACATATCGGGGCCGATCGAAGTTCCAGTGATCTCAATCTGCGGTCCTGGGGTGTCAGGGGATGTGACTGGCTCAATGTTATTCTCGTTATAGGCAGCATCCGGTGATACGGTGACATCCGAGGATCCAGTCGCTAGATCGTCTCGGCTGTCTGATTCAGCCAGAGCCCTCACGGTGTCGTTGGAGTTACTTGGTCGGACGGGACTGGTAGATCGAGGAGAGACCGCCTCTGAGGCGGGTTCAGCAACTGACAGGCCCCGTTGCCGTAGTTCGTCATTGGCATGTTGCTGCCATTGGGATTGGTTGCCGCGGATATGCTCAGCAGTAAATTGCAGCTGGGGCAAAAGATCGGAGACGCCCTCGAACAGAGGAAGTGCAAAAATCGACATAAAGCCAATCTGACCCGTGGCAAGTTTATAAAGGTTGCCTAGCTCGGGTGGTCCACCAAACAGCGCAGTCTCCATACCGACTTCCTTTTCCATCTCGCCCTGGTTGGCGAATTCCTCCTGAAGAATTCGAGTCCATTTCTCGGCAACTCCCCATGGCCGAGCGACGTTACTGATATCGGCGCACTTGATCAAGAGGCCACAGACAAGCGTCTTGTACAGCTCGACATCTTGTGGCTTCCAAAGTTCGACGGACTTGTCACTCTCATAATACTTCTCCTGTAGAGAGCCCATCCGCTGCATGAACTTTTGGTGAACACCCATATCGGTCGCCAGAATAGAACTGATCAGCAACTTCCGGAGCTGCTTGTCTTTGAAAGCAGCTGGCCAGTGACGGCGAAGAATCTGGGAGAAGGCTGCACAATGGAATGCTTCGAGAACGGAGTTGTCGTTGTATAGTTGTGCCAGGGGAGCATTGAGTTTGACAAGGAAAAAATTGTTGACACCTGGATGACCGACGTCGTGTCCAATAGCGGAGATAAGTAGAGTAAGAGAATCAAAAGGAGAGATTAGGGTGGCAATAGGAGACTTTTCTTCAACAGACAGACCAGTGGGCCCATACGGAGGCAAGGCTCCAATTTGAAGCAAGAAAGTAAAGACCGACTGTAGGACATCAATGGCGTGGCGGAAGTTGTGGTAGAGGACAAAGGAGTTGTAGGCTGCACGACATGCGAGTAAGAATGTCTGAAGTTCACCCGGTGTCAAATACCACTGTTCCAGCCCAGGAAGATTAAAGGCATGTTCGAGCATTTGGCAAGCAGCAACTACCAACTCGTCTTCCGAGAAGTCGTGGGCGGAGAAGCTCCACTGGCCTATCTGCTCCTTGATGAAGGTTTCCCGTTCCGGCTTGACATCGAGATCCCGTTCTTGGGATTCGTCAACAATCTCCTCGGGGTTGCAGATTCCCTTCATCAGCTTTGCCACCATCGCCTCTCGCAAGTAAGAATATGGCTCTTCATCATGCACACCGACCCAGGACAACTTGCGTAGCTTCTTGCGAGCCAGGAACCGAGACATATCCTTCAGTGCCGCGCGGCGGGTGCGATACGCATGCACCACGAGCCCTTGAATCCGAGACCGGTCAAGCGGGGTTGTCAGGACGTCGATGGCACCCGCATCAAGGCACCGAGCGATCTGCTTGTGTTCCAAAGTCACCGGGCTTTTTGTCTGCGGGTCGCTCGTCGGATCGGTAGGAGCATCTGGCTCTGCACTCGAATCTCGCAAGATGGCGACTGGAATGACCAGGTTGGGACCGTCTTGGACTTGAATATCGTTGGAAACACCGGAGAGTAGGCCTAGGCCCGCGGCCTCGTCGTTATGGGAGGAGAAGGTGAAAGTGCGTTGAATTGATCCGGGCGATGGGGGCCCATTATCCATCCACGAGGCCCGACTGGCCTTCCGCCGAGCGAGATTTAATTCGTCGCCACCAAAGTCGATACCGAAAAAGGCAAATATCGGGGTGCAATCGCTGCCAGAACGCTCACTGAGTTCAGCCAGTTTTGTCGCAAAGGAAGATCCGCTTTGGCATATATAGACTGGATTGATGTTAGCCGACTTCCTCCAACGTGGCTAGCGGGGGCGCGGGGGCGCGGGGACATACTCTTCTTGCAGACATCTAGTAATGTTTCTAGATCAGCTTGTAGAGCCTCAGGCTCTTCAGGCACGGTATAGGATGACGTCTCGGACACAGTTGAAGTTGCGATGGAGTTCCTGCGTACCCATCGCTCCGACCGAACCCGGTCGTCAATGTAGACGCCCGAGCATTCCACACGGTCCACCATCATATTATAGAGGATTCGGGAGACCGCCGGCGTCACAGAAGCGTGACCAGGAAATGAGAAAGGAAAGAGAAGAGACCCGACCTGGCCTGGTTTGCATATGGCTCACCGAGGGGGGAGCAAGTAGAAAAGGTTTCAGATGAATGGGTTCAAAGAAATAGACTGATGAATCGGCTGGATAAAGAATCACGGGGGGTTTCAAGATCGTCGGGTCTCAAGGACGTCAGATGAGGGGGTAGACGAGAGGATAGGAAAAAGAACGAGCGGCGAAAGATGGTAAAGAGGGAAATGGATGAAGTCGGTCGAATCGAAATCGGTACAGCGCCCGAGAAAGTAAGAAAGCGACGGGTTGAAAGAAAGAACGACTAGAAGACGACTAGAAGGGCTCTAGAAAGCAAACAATGCAGTTGTGTCCTGCAGCAATCCCGAGTCGCGTTGGCGGACTGCACGTTCCGAGACAACCCCCAACGTCAGATTGCGCGCGTCGTCTAGGGCCGGGGGTTTTGTAGGAAATTCGACGCCACAGATGAGGGCCGTTCAAAGTAATTTGATTTTGGAGGGGTTAAAAAGGAAAGTTTGTGATTAGGACATGCTTCAAGTGGAGATGGAAAGGGAAAGGGAAAAATGGGGAATTCTGGACTTTGGGGCTGGGAGGGGCGTTCAGGCTTCTTTTCCTTCCAGAAGGAATCGGGAAATGAGTTGAAAGCCACGGCACGGGATGATCCTGCAACACCACTTTTACTTCTTTTTAGGGGAAAAGATTAATTTTGTTTTCTCTTTTTAATTCCTGTCGTTCATATTGGATTTGAATGCCTTTTTTTTTTTTTTTTTCTTTTCCTTTTCTATTTCCTTTGCTTTTCCGTTGAACTTCGATCACTGTGGATCCCATGACGCCTCTTTTCTGATGATTTTTCTTTCTAGAAGGTCCACAGGCTTATATAATCACTACACTATATGATTGGTCAATTTTCCCTGCATCCCCGGTCGAGGCTCCGGGGAGTCCGTCGGACATTACGATCCGATCGGTTCCAATTGATCTCATTGACTTGAAGTTTCTTTGATCTTTACAGGGAGGGGTTTTTTTGCCTTGCGCCTTGAAAGCGGGGAAGGTTATCCCCGTTCATGGTCGATCATAAGATCCATGGGGCAAATCCTACAATGCTTGTTCATTTTCAACTACTACTACTTGCTAACTTTCCCGTTCTTTCGTACTTTTGTGAGGGCAAATTGGCTTCGACTTTACTCAATCACACAGATGATCTTTCCCTTGGTGGTGTTGCTCTCCAGCAATTGGTGCGCCTCCACAATCTTCTCAAATGGCATCACCTTCTCCACAAATACCTTGAATGTTCCATCCTCGAATCGGGGCATCGCATGCGAAACCAGGGTATCCCGCAGCTTCTGCTGATATTCAACATCACGACTGCGAAGTGTACTTCCTTCCACACGGATTCGCTTGAACAGCAATGGTGCGATATTCACCCCGTCCGGCAACTTGCCCCCACCCATCAATCCCAACAGCACCACACGCCCATCGCGTGCTGCCACATCCAAGTTGCCCTGGAAGTAAGTGGCTCCGATAAAGTCCACGGTCAGGTTGACACCTTCGCCGTTTGTGAGCTTTTGGATCTCCGCTGCCCAATCCTGCGTCCTGTAGTTGAATGCTTTGGTCACCCCCAACTCCTTCTCCAGGAAGTCGACCTTCTCCTGGGATCCGGCTGTGGCGTAAATCGCCTTGGCCCCCTCGGCCTTGGCAAGCTGAATGCCCGAGATGGAAACCGATGAAGCTCCGGCGTGCCAAAGAACGGACTGCCCAGCTTTGAAGTCACCAATCAGGAAAAGAGCTTGCGAGGCTGTAATCCAAGTCTAATCACGCATAAGTGGCTTTCCAATTACATAGAAAATAAATGAAACATACCTCTGGGATACCAGCAGCCACTTCCCACGACATATGAGCCGGCTTGTGAACCAGCATCTTGGTCGCCACAGCGATGTACTCCGCGTAGGCGCCTATCATCATCAGCAACCATCGTGAAATAAAATCATCCTCGTTTGTTATCATGTACCTCCGTAAGCCAGTCCAAATACCTCATCTCCAACCTTGAAGCCACAGCCTTCACTCGCATGCTCCACCACAACTCCTGAAAACTCGACTCCAAGAGTAGACGGAGCCTGCGGGGGAAGAGGATACAATCCCTCGCGTTGCAACAGGTCCATCCTGTTCAATCCGAAAGCCTTGACCTTGACAAGTGCCTGTCCAGGAGCAGGGACAGGCTTGGCGATCTCATCTACAAAGAGAGAGGTGGCGGGGCCTTTGTCGCCTTTCACACCTATTCAGGAGTTAGCTTATATCCCGACTTAGCTTTAGATCCAGTATATATGGCATGATCGTTGTCTTTCCCCTTGGATAATTGCAATATTTTTGCTGAAATGTATGATGTAGATGAGGGGTTGAAGTGGGGCACGTACCGATCGCACGCATCGTAGTCATTTTGGGGGAGATGGTACGTTGGGAGGAGTAAGTATGAGTATGGAACGAGTAAAGGACTTGCTCCTTTCTTATAATTGTCTCTGCGAAAGACTGTGGAGCTTTGTCAAGCAGAAATTGATTGTCTGCAGGTGGATTAAGCTTGCATTTGTCAGCTGAGGTGATCCACAACTGCTTTCGTGACAAGCTTTCTACTATCCAAGAATCGATGAATAGCTCTATAATCGGTCTTGCTTGGATATATTTTTTCCACAAAGCTGAAGCTATTCACGCAGAAGCTTCGGTTATATTTACTCGACATTTCTCCCATCTATCCTGGGAAGTTCTTTGTAGTTCGAGATGTGTTCTATTTGGGTTGATCGGTTAACCGGCATCGAGAAATGATAGCCGGATACCTCACTCACGCAACTCATCATGAACTCTCAAAGGTTTGGAGCAGTGAGTTCTACAATAGCTTTTATATACCGTCTCTGTTACTGGTGTCTTACAATTCTCAAAAGGCGATAAGCAATGCAATCAATTCTTCTAACCGTGAACAAAGGGGGAATGTAAATCATCATAAGTCCGGCCTACTCCATACAATCGATACGATTCCTTCCATGGTCCGCAACCATTCGACTCCAGCTTTTCCGTAATCGAGACGCCGAGATGACAGAAGTAAATAGAAGAATAGGGAAAAGGGAATGATAAATGAAATGGGCCAACGAAAATAAAGTCAAAAGAGATAGCCTGAGTATGGCCCATTCCGGGGCTTGGCCTATCAAGACATGCAGAGGGAACAGCTCGAATACATTTTCGTTCCTCGAGACCGCATATGCAATGAAACAGGAGGAAAAGAAAGGCATAGCTATCATATCATACAGTTAGGGAACCTCAACCCAAGAGTCATTAAACGAGAAAGAAAAACATGATACGGTCCGGGTTCAAGAAAGGAGGTTTTTCAGTGATGGACTCGCGCTTGCACCTGATCCAGCACTTGTGCCATTCACGCCGGAGTGTCGACTGGCAGCACTGGTAGGTCCTCCCATGTGAGATGGGGGTGTGTTCTCAGGCCGATTTGGCGGCGTAGGTCCGCGCGGATCAAGTCGGGCCTGCGCAACAGGCGGTGAGTGAGACGGTGCGCCCATGCCACGATCGACAGCATACATGCGTGGCGGTGGGCCGCCGTTCAGCGCGCTCAGCGATGTTTGCGGAGACCGGTTGATCGTCGCCTGCACAATGGGTGGAGATGCAGAGGCTGCGTATGAGCGAGGAGGAGGCTGCGACAGGTGAGGCGAGCGCGCTGGCATCGGGCCATATGGACTCTGGTGAGTCGTATACGCTTGTGTTGGCGGACCAGGAGGACCAGGCGGGTAATGCGATGGGGACGGAGCCGGAGGGTGATGGCTCGACGGATGAGCTGGAGGGTAATTGGGCATATGGTGTGGAGGTGGGGGCTGGGGCGCGGCAGGATAGGCACGAGGTGACATGCCATTGCGCAAGTTAGGATCATTGGGTGGCGGTCGCTGCTCGTAGCGCGGCGGGTATCCTGGAAGAGCACCGTGCGGGTGAGGGTGAGCCTGGGGGTGGGGCCGTCCGTGAACACCAGTTGGGGGAGGAGGATGGCTGTGCTGCACAAATTGGTGAGGGGCGCCCAGGCTTGGGGTCGGAAGCATAGAGCGCTGAGGCTGGCCTTGAGGCTGGCCTTGAATTGGAGCTGGCGATGGTCCCGGTGCTGGAGCCGAAGCCGGAGCTTGGACAGGAGGATAAGGTGAGGGCCGGGGTTCGGGCACAGGATCTGCGGGAATGGGGTTCTTTAAATGGCATTTGTGACACTCATATGCCGGCTCCCCAACAGCTCCATTGACGTGCGGGAAGGCAGAACCATGCGCAAATAATGGGAAGGTCGGATTTGATCCCACGCCATTCGCCAAAGGCCCTCGCCGTGCGCTCGGCCACCATCTGGGACTGAAATCGCTTGCACAGCGAACACATTTCCGAGCAGTTGCTGCAGCCGTAATCCCAGAAATTGGACGCTGGTTAGGACGTTCCTCTGTGTCAATGTCCATCTCGTCAGGTCCATGCTCGTTAGTCGTCGGCTGTGGCTTAGCATCCTTGGGGGTCGCTGGCTGCCCATTGCTGGTGGAAGCTCGGCGGTATGCAGTGTTAATTGCATAGTGCTGTGGAGCCACAACTGACTGCTGTACATATGCTGCCTTTCTAGACGTGCCTGTCAGTGTAAGATCGGCCTGCTTGTATGTTTGAGCAAACAGCTGAAGTGCATTGGAACCATCTTGTCCAGTCAATTCGCCAAGGTCGTGGAGCGTAGCAGGCACGGTGTGGCTAGGACAGTAAAAAGCCGGTGTAGCCATACCAACCTCAGTACCAAGACGAATAGTTTGAACGCTGTCTTTCCGTGAACCCTTCACTGGCGTGATATCCAGGCCAAATCGATACTGCGCTTGGAAAGCACAGCCGACATGAAAATGAGCATTGCATCCAGCAGAGTGGCAGGGAATGCATGCGCCCTTGGAGGACTTGCATATCTTGCACACTTGCCGCCATCGGTCCTTGGGGATCGAAGCGAAACCCTCAGCAGGTTCCAGCTCCTTCGCATCTCCATACTTGATCTCTGGGGTCCACAAAGAACATAAAACGTGAGCCCAGTTATTACCAGCAGTACGCTTTAGGGGCTCCCGAGGTCCGGTAGGCTTGCCGGCGGTCTCTTGTCGTTGGCGATAGAGTTTGATGGCTTCTTGAACCACTTCCTTCTCCAGTCGTTCTTTCTCCTTATCGCGGTCAGACTTCTTGCGGCTGGTATTCTTGGTAGTCTCCATGAGTTCGTGCTCAGTCCAGGACACAGGACACAACACGCATTCATAGGTGGTCGAGATCGAAGGACTGCGGTCGTTTGAACACATATCGCAAAGCCACTTATTACCAGCTCGGGTACCCTGTACTCCATAACAGTTCCGATGAACAGTCAGGCGACAATCGCGGCAGGAAAGGTGCTCCTCGCCAGAGGGTTCAACCTTATTACAAATGGCACATGGGAGAGTCTTTGCCCTGGGCGGATCTGGAACAATTGGAGGTCCCTCGGAAACCTTTTCAATCCCGGGCTTCTTCTTTTGCGGCATTGGCTCCACTGATGATGTTGCTGTGGAGGTTGCCGTGCTCGGAACATCAGGGCGAATTGGCTTCTTCTTGGACGGGTCCAGCTTGCTTTCATGTTGCAGATTCGGATTACTGTCCACGGCAATGCCCATTGAGGTCGCAGTGGCGGCGGTGGTACTGTTGATGGTGAATGGGGTTTCCGTAGCTAGGATTAGCTGAGCTAGCAACTCCTCGTCAATCCGCCGTCTCCACGATTTATTTCCACTGGTCGCAATTCTTTTCCCGAGTTCATCGACATCTTCGTACTGGATGCTGTACTTTCGCCACAATAGGGCACATCGAAGACAAAGAGCGACAGTCAACATGGGTCCTTTGTCCTTCTTCGCTGAGGGGTCAGTAGGAACAACAGTTCCAGGCGGCACGAGAGGAGCACGTCGCCATTGTCGAGAGTGGCGTGTCGAGCAGAACTTGCAATGGAAACCCTTTTTCTGGGCCACTGCTTTGTCGTTGTCGAAAGCAGAGTCATCATGATCATCGGCGACATCGTCAACCAGTTTGGACGAGATAACGCTCTGTCGTCGGACCTCCTTTTTACCGCGTCTCCCTTCATAACTACCCCAGACCTGCTTCCCACGGGGGGTTTTCTTCCACATATAGTAAAATCGAACAATTTGGAAAATGTGCACCGTTTTCACATGTTTTGCGATGTTGCGCCACTCAGATCCGTATTTGGCGACACCTTGCTCAAAAGCCTTCAATTCTTCGGGTCGGAGATGGGGCTCCTTGAGATCCTTGTATTTGTTAACCTTTTTGAGCTTTGCGAGGGCGGCCTCGACATTGAAGCTCTCGGAGTACAGAAGCTCCAGAGCCTTATCTAAAAAGTTGGTGGAAAACTTTTCAACCCCAAGTTCAGGAGCCAGCTCCTTCGCTTGACGCATATAATCGTCGATGAATTTCTCCCGTTCGTCGTCGCTGAGATGGGCACCTGGTGCATCGTCTTCGCCGCGAGAGGGAATTTGGTCTGCTGTCGGCATTTTGAACAGCAGCTCGGCAGTGCGCATCTGCTTTCCATTGACCATCACAGGCTCGTCTTCACCACGCACGATATAACCTGGAGGCTCATCCTGAACCCACTTAGGTCGTGTGGCGCGGTCTATCTTCGCGGCATCCAGTGCCGCCTGGGATTCCTTGGTAAGCTTCATCACATTTCGCCCGCCTGCCACCTTGACAGCTTTCTTTTTCAACTCTGGGGGTTTCACATATTCCACAGTGCGCCCGGGCCAGGGGTTGACAATCGCTTGGTGTCGAGGCCCAAGACGGGAACTTGCACGGGGGTAAATTCGATCATCGTAGTCCAGCGCGTCCTCCACTCGGCAATGAATGCCAAGATAGCGATAAGGCCACATCTTTGCCTGGGCCATCTGTTCTGCTGTTTCGGGTTTCGGCATGGAGTCCTCCGCTGCACCCGGGGTGCTTGTTTCAGTCCCGTTCACCACTCCATTGGCATGGTGCTCCTCCTCTTCCTCCTCGACAATTTCCTCTTCGCCATCAACTCGAGCACCGATTACATGCGGGGTATTTCGCGCCTCTAGCTTGCACTCGTGAGCACGGCTGCAAGCAGCACAGGCCCAGGCAAATCCTCGAGCTGGCTTCTTGGTCAAGGCAGGCCGTACACAGTGCATGTGATACGTTGAGTGGCAGACAGCACAATCAACTGACTCCGAATTCGCCGCAAACTGACGGCATCGCTTGCACGTCTTCACAGCGCCAGTCAACTCCTTTCCTTTCCCCATTTCGACCAAGATGAACTTCCAGCGATCATCGAGGACCTTTTTCACGTTTGCAGGCACGTTGATCACATCCTTGGTCGGAATTACATCGTACAGCCGGTGAATATATCGGTCAAACATCTTGTCATACCAGAAGGAATCGCGAGTCTTCTTGTACGCATTGAGATCGTCAATTTCGGAGACATGACGAATTTCACATTTCCCGCGCAAGGAAGAAAGCGGGCAGGTGTCCGAATGCATAGACGCGTATACAAATCGATTGTCTGGGCTATGTCGCTGAATGTCTCGTGGACGGTAGTACCAGTTGACTCTCAATGCTTCAATGACACCATCACCCTTGGTCTTGGATGGTAAGAACTCCATGATTCGAGCCAAGTAATAAGGTTCGCCCGGAGGCTCGCAAATTAAATAAACGTGATCTGGATGGTGTTAATATTTGGTCCTCATCTCGACAAGATCAAAATATAAGAAAACAAAAAATACGCGAAAGAGTGGAGAAACCAACCATTCACAGCGAATGTAGTGCCATCGTCCGCTTTGATTTGACCGTCTTTGAGATACGGGGTAGATGTCTCAAAGCTGACCATATTGGTAAAGTAACCGCCGTCGAAATCCCCTGGGGCGGTGGTGAAGACCTTTTTGGCGGGGGTTCCAGTGGAACTTGAATTGGGGGCGCTTGCGGGTTGTTTCCGCTTCCTCAGTGCAGATCCATTCTCCTCTGGTCGTGAAGAAAATGACGAAGTGCCTGGAATCGACTCCTTGGGGATCAAATTAACATTGACAATTCCATTGCCGTTAGCTGCAGTACCATTGGTCAGGCTCTTGCGTGATTGGGTCGGCGAAGCCTTTTCACTGTCTGATTTGGAACCGTTGAGGTTATTCAGGCCTACGCCGCTAGTTCGCTTGGCGGTTTTTGGAAGTGAAGGTTCATACTCCATTTCAATGTCACGATCTTCCGCATAGTTAGGCCGAGGGGCGTTGCGGCCTCTCGATCGCGTGCCATAAGGGGCCGCGGCGGAGGCGCTGGCCGGATCGGCCACTTCCTCCGGAGAGTTGCTGGTGGTCATCGAGAATGACCCTTAGTCATCCAAGGCAGGCATACAACAAATGATGATAGGGATGTTGAGCCCTGATGAGTAGAGCCGATGACCCAGTGTGAGTTCAAATGCCAGATGCTGGGGGGGAGTGGTGTCAGTTTGGGGGAAAAGCCTCAAGAATGAAAAGTGGCGCGATGCATGTACGTGGATAGTGTGGGTTGGTAGTGTGGAAACACTAGGGCCCGCGGGGGGCGAAAATCTCACAGGAACGGGTAAAGTGGGAAATTGGGAAAGTGGACAAATGATATGGAACAATCCCGAGAGGAATGGTGGACACGGTGAACACGACTTGGGGTGAAATGGAGAAGAGATGGGAAGGGAAGAAAAAGAAGTGGAGTTGTCAGATCTGATGATGATTTCACTGCAGGGGTGGGAAAAGAAGAAGGGCGGACCGGGGCAGATATCAAGGTGGTCCTGGTCCACCTAGTGAATGCCCAAATTCAATGATAGGGGATTTATGGGGGTAGTCGGGAAGACTGGTATAAAAAGCAGTCGAGCACGATAATGGGAATGGGAATAGGAAAATCAAAAAGAATGATACATACCGTATCCAGATTATTTAGTGATATATGAAAAAGGACAGTGAATGGAAGGGGGGGAAAGAAGAAGAATGACGAGAAGGCAAGAGATCTGGAAGCGCGAAATGGGCGAAGGGGAAAATAGAAGAGTAACCGTGCGAAACAAAACAAGCGCGCAGCCACCCGGGAGGAAAGAAATCAGGTAGAAAGAATAGAACCTATGCTCCCCAAAAGTAAGGGAAAGGATCCCTGAATATAGCAATACGAAAGAGAAGTGGAAGAGAACTTGATGAAGTGGAAAGGAAAAAAGCGTCGAGGATCCCGAGCGTGCTGGCCCCTAGTCCCGATATGTTAATATGACGGATCCTCAGGACCATTGGAACCAAGGGAAAATGCTCGATCCGATTGTCATCCCCCTCCAAATTCATGCTAAAATTTAAGAAAAAAAAATCATGTGCATGCTCATTGGTCCTAATGGACATCCCGACTAGTCGATTTGGGATGATTGACATAGGTGCCTTCTGGGCTCTACTTTATTTCTTGAGATTGATTGTAAAGGGGCGTGGGAAGCCTAAATATATTACGGAAACAGAAAGAGAGGAGGGAAAAAAACGGGCCGGCAACGGTCCAGAGTTATGAAACTCATGTAATGCCGATTAGGAATGCTGTCACGAATACAAAGTACCAAAGAAGATATATATGGCGGAGGGAAGGGGGAATGGAATAAAATAGGGAAATAATAGCCTATCTATGGCACAGTATGAGGGGAAAAGAAAAAGGAAAAAGAATAAGACATGCACGGCTCTTCAAACAGTGACAGGGCCTCTCCGATCTTGTCGATTCCTACATTGGACATCATGTTGTGTGAGGGTACTTGCAAGTTCTACCCGTTACTTCCCCCGGGGTACTGATTCCTATCGGGGTGGAACCTCAAAAGATTTACAATTTAGGACTGGTTCGGATCAGACGTGGTGGTACTGTTCATGATATCGGAAAGCGTCAAGTTGTGGTAAACGTAGTGGTTGAGGAAAATGGCACTAGTAGCCGGAACTCCACAAGCTCCATCCACGATCCCTGCGGAAATATGTATTTACTGTATGGAACCGATGGCTTGGGTACACTTCAGTTGGTCACATTATTACACCCACCGTTAAGCGAGGACTTTCCTTACAAATCAAATACAATACACGCCGTAAAAGCATGACCTGGAGTTTGATATTTGTAAAGGAAAGGTTATAACGGAGAAAATTAGGTGGCCATGGCGCGTGCATCATACAGAATCCGGGGGGCGAAAAAGAGACTATTTAATAATATTGCATACCACGGCAGATGAGTCGTCAGGATTCATCTTGCGTCCCCCAAAAAAGCATATCTGGGAATTAATGCAAGGGAAAGTTTGTTAGACCCGAACCACGCAGATGTCCAAGACACAGAACACATTTGAAAACGTGAAATTCAGCGTACAGTAAATCTTCAACGCTAGGTAATTTAAACTTCTACCGCCCACTCGGTCCAATGACGATCCAAGGCGCCGAGAGTTGCCCGCACTTGGCCGAGGATGATTTGCTCCCGGCGGCTGTTGCGCGTCGCCACCTTGCATAGTCTAAGCTCAGAACGTGCCGCACTGCCCAACCCTTGGACCAACCTATATCAGAACTTTCCTTACCGAGTATGTCTCTATCTAGACCAGAAGATTGAAATATACATGTAAGCTACTTAATATAAAATTATAAGTAAGACTATCGAGGATTTCTTTCTCCCAGGCTTATGATCACGATCGAATCAAAGATACCTACTCCGTATATATCCAGAGAACATGGCCAACTCCAACCTTGGAACACGCGACCAACTTCAACCATTTTTCATGTACCAGAACGCTAAGTTCCCCATATCGATCGTGCACGTTCCCTAGTATCCCTGGCAGATTTTTGGCGCTTTGGTACATCAAACTTGGTCAAGTGGTTCCAGCTAATATCTGTGGCCTTCCAACTTTACATGTAACAAGCGCTTCGGGCCCCAGATTGCGGGATGTCCATGGATATCTCACATTCCTGACAAACACAATCACAAATTCCATTCCGCCGATCTGCATATTAACTCTACCTCCCAATAGGAGATTCTGTTCCAAGTTTAGTGGAGACCTAGTATTTGGTCCCCTGCTCGGTTCCCAAACGGTTTCGGTACTCAACATACATATACAGTAGTAATGCAAAGTGGGTAGCTACACATGGTCTCTGTCCTAGTATGAATGAAAATGTGCATGTGTCCTCCAGAGTGAAAAAAATTACCTACATTAGTGGGCTTGTACCGGAGAACAAGTCGGACTCGCCACCAGATCTTTTCTACCTAATTACGCACTTCATGAGGTCCACCCGACCGGGATTCAGGCATGCGCAAGCCAATGCACCACAATTTGTTCCAGATTCTGCATATAGGCAGCAGCCAGAATAAGAACAGGGACCCTTCAAGGCTGGCTTAAAGTTGACCTTGCATTTTTCAAGTTGTCTATGCGCTGGCGTGTATTTGCGCACCGCCATTCGGAGATCGTCAGACGACCCGGGGGTCGCACTACACTCTACTCAACATGACTTTTTGATCATGCCAGCTTTTCCAGTCCATGCCCTGAAAATACATATTTTCATAACATATCGTAATTGATTTTGATTTTGGGCAAGGAGTCCTCTGCGTATATTTCAATAAATCTAGTACATTATGAACCTTACATCCGATCAGGGATTGGCTTGTTGATTATGTAAGACCAATGACGGGGTTGTTGCCTCTAGGCGCCAAGTGTTACCCAAACGCGGTGGTCGCGTAGAAACAACAATGATGTGGACATGGAAAATGAAAATTGACTCAACAAAGGACTCTCTTACACACATGACAGGCTCTCAGTCTTCAGAACCCATGACGTTGAAATCATGTCGCTGAAGTCTCATGGGTTTGAGACCTCGATGGACGTTGCGCGACGACAACAATACCATGTAGTGCAACTAGCAGGCCATAAAAGGGCCTCTGACCACGAGCCTAAACTGAAGACTGAAGTGAGAGTTCTTCCAGTGCCTCGGTACCTACCACATGGCGAGTTGGATATTTTGGAATCCACTCCGTTAGAGTCCGCTCGAGCCTCGTTGGGGGCCCCTCCAAACCGCTTTATTGCCAGCAAGATCCACCGAGGTCCGGGCGCAAGAACAACAGACCAAAGAGAGGAGCAGCTGAAATCCGCTACTAGTGCGGCACCAAGGTCGAGCCAGAACCCTTTGCTTTCGTTGGCCAATCCCAAATACGGGCTTCCTGCGGCGCTTACGGCTAATTTTGCTGCTTTGGGCGTCCGTACTATTTATGCATGGCAGGCATCGTGTTTGCTAGCTCGGGGGCTACTCTCCGGAGAGCGGCATTTGGTCTACACAGCCCCCACAGGTGGAGGGAAGTCTATGGTGGCAGATGTCTTGTTGTTGAAACGAATTATTGAGAATCCCGCACGCAAAGCCATTCTGGTCCTGCCGTATGTGGCTTTGGTTCAAGAGAAGCTGAAATGGATGCGTCGGGTTGTTCAAGGTGTGGAAAAGAATGTTCGAGATGGTGAGGATGAACATGAGGATTCGACTTTCCCTCGCAGGCGATGGAATAAATTACAGAAACAGATTCGCGTCACGGGCTTCTTTGGTGGAAATAGGACGACAACTACTTGGGCCGATACTGATATTGCCATATGTACTATTGAGAAGGTATTATCTCCATCTTTGGACTCTGACGGGGCTTTCTGATAGGTCACAGGCCAACTCATTAATCAATACTGCCATTGAAGAGTGCAGCATTGGAGATTTAGGAGTGGTTGTGCTCGATGAATTGCACATGCTTGATGATGAGCATCGTGGATACCTTTTGGAGCTCATGGTTACCAAGTTGCTTCTGCTACAGCAAGACATCCAAATTGTGGGAATGAGCGCCACACTTTCGGTTCGTCATTGGCCTTTGGGTCTGAGGATTGCTGCTAAAATGATCAGAATACCGAGATGCTGGCTGAATGGATGAATGCCAGGTTTTTCATCTCGACATACCGACCGGTCCCCATTGATGAATACCTGGTATATGAGAACTCAATTTATCCAGCCGCAACATCGAGACAGTTGTTTCAAACTGCCACTAAATTGGCTTCGACAACCGCACCAGAGTCGATTCCACCGCATAGAACCATCGACCCCTCAACATACAAAGAACTCGGTAATGCCGCAACAAACGCTATGGTAGCATTGGCTGTTGAAACCGCGACGGCAGGATACGGAGCTTTGGTTTTTTGTAGAAGTCGCAATGCATGCCAGATAAATGCTGCAACGATCGGAGAAGCCATGCCTTATACAGAAGATAAGGAAGAGCTAAACCAGCGACTTGATCTGCTTGCTGAGCTAAGGAGCCTTACATGTGGACTAGATCCTGTCCTCGAACGTACAGTCATCAAAGGAGCAGGCTTTCATCGTTAGTTTTTAAATTATGAGCTCGGTGAACAAATACTGACGCTCTTAGATGCTGGGATGACCACCGAAGAACGGGAACTGATCGCAGCTGCATACGATTCTGGCGTGCTCAAGGTACTTATCGCTACATGTAGCCTTGCTGCTGGAGTGAATCTTCCCGCCCGGCGGGTCATTATCAATGGAGCCCGTATGGGCCGGGATTTGGTCGGCCCTGCGATGCTGTAAGTTCCCCTGCTGTATCAAAGAAATTCCCAGCTGATATTATAGGCGGCAAATGTGCGGACGGGCTGGACGCAAAGGGAAAGATGATGCTGGCGAGACATACTTGATTTGCGTCAAGGCTGATCTGGAAGCCGTGTGTGACCTACTGGATGCTGATATGCCTGCCATCGAAAGTTCTCTCATTCCTGAAAAACGAGGTCTGAAAAGGTATTGTTATCTCGGTCAAAATTTCGTTTTCAAGTAACTCACATTTTGCAGAGCTTTACTGGAGGCAATCGCCACAGGCCTTGTATCCGGATGTGAGGCGATCAAAGAGTACGTCAGATGCACGCTTCTATACCGTACCTTGGACAAGAAACTTGCGTATTCCATTATGGACTCCGCTCTAAAAGAATTGGTTGATGAGGAGCTCTTGGTTTTGAAAGAAGACGAGGCATACGGCGCAACTCTTCTAGGCCAAGCCGTGGTAGCTTCGGCATTCGCCCCCGAAGATGGCCTATTTGTACACGAGGAGCTTAAGAAAGCCCTCCAGGCCTTCGTGATGGATGGTGACATGCACATCTTCTACATGTTCACCCCCCTGCAGGTAGCCATGAGCACGCCGATTGATTGGCAGATATTCCGTGATAAACTCGACCAACTGGACGAGAGTGGTATTCGTGCATTGCAATTCGTCGGCGTTCAGCCAGGCTTCGTCAATACCATGTAAGTCTCACTACCCTTTGACACGAGCGCCAATTAAAACTGGAAGGGTTCAATCCGGGGCATCATTAAAAGAGATCACCCCGGAGCAAATCCAGAAAGCCCGAATTTACCGACGCGCGTATACAGCCTTCCAGCTCCGCGACCTGAGCAACGAGGTCCCCCTAGCAACCATTGCCCAGCGCTACCATACCCCCCGTGGTACGGTTCAGACACTGGCACAACAGTGTCATGGTTTTGCGGCTGGAATTGTCAAATTCTGCCAGCGCATGAACTGGGGCATGCTAGCCGCTGTGCTGGATCACATGCGCGACCGACTTGAAGCAGGTGCTCGTGCTGACCTGCTCGAGATGGCGCAGGTGACTTTTGTTCAGAGTTGGACTGCGCGGTTACTAAGGGATAATGGATTTAGGAATTTGCGCGCCTTGGCCGAGGCTAACCCGAAGGATCTGGTGCCTGTGCTTATGATGGTATGTCCATCCCTGTTCATGTTAGATTATGCTGCTCACGGGGGATTATTTAGGTCAACGCTCGAAAAACGCAAAAGAGTCAGCTCTATCCGACTGAAGCGGAACGATATGCTGCAAAATTGTTGAAAAAGGCTGAGACTATTGTTGCATCTGCAAATAAGATCTGGGGTATGTGTTTCACAACCATCTACGTGCCTTGAAATGTTGCTTACAATGCGGTCGGATTTAGAACGGGAGATACAGGTGGAAGTAGAAGCCTGAGCTCGGAGAAAAACCTAGCATACATGATACCCGCCAGCATATGCATTAGAGCGTTCCAAATACACATATTCAGGTTCGGAATCATTCTCACTGCAACCGTGACTATCTCTCAGCCCACCCAACTAGAATAATCCATCCGGTAGATATACTATACGCCCTTTACGAGCTAAACCCATTCAGCTCATTCTGTGCTTCAATAACCTCCCCTTTATCCACAAAATCCGCCAACATCACATTAGGCGCGTGACCATACAGCGCCTCACACTCCGTTGCCTGCGCACCCAAACTACCATCTCCCGTCGCCGCATTCGTAGTGCTTGCCTTATCGCGGTCTGGAATATCAACGCCAAAGATATCCACATCTAGGTAGTGGTTGACAAGGTACATACGGCCCGAGGCGGAGGCACCGGCCGGTCGATCGATGCTGCAGTTTGAGAAAGTAGAGTCTGTTACATCGTACGGTGTTTCGAAGTAATATGCGAATTCGTCAAGGACATAGTTTACTGTGCCGGTATTGGCGCCGTAATCTGAACACCATCAGCTTGCTCTCATGCGGCCTGAGAAGGAGGCTCACCCAGAAACGCGATTAGTCTCTTGCCGCTGTCAATTAGATCGCCCAGCGTAGGCCAATCGGCATAAGCCAAGGGTTCAGACGAGGGCACGAACGCGTAGCTATCGATCCCGGCGCTGACAAACGTGCTGCCGAAGATGGAGATATCCAAAGAGTCGCCGTTTGTCAGAAGAAGGGTTACCACTTCGTTGGGGTTGTCATCTAGCCAGCTCTTGATAGTGGAAAGGTATGCTTTAAGGGTTCCTGCGTCCTCGAGCAGACATGATGTGTGACACAGCTCTAGGACGGTGTCGTCGAGCAGTGACTTGTGTGTTTGCGCTTGCAGATACCGAATGCCCATATCAAGCTGCGCGGTGATGTCGATATTCTGATTCTGCTGCGGGAGTGAACCGACGAAGGCTGAGTCGTGTGAGCCTATGAATGTGATATTCGAATAGGACCGCGTGCAATACTCTGTACGGCCATTACAGGTACTTGCTGCGTCGGCAGCTGTGGCTGTGGATGCAGCTTCTCGTCCGAATATCTGGGAGAGAGTTGGTGTTCCAAGGACTGAATCTAGCATGATAGTGCTGAGCAAGGCTCGCATTAGGCCATGCTTGATGAGACCCATGATTTTTTTGATCTCGACGGAAGGCAGGCTCAGGCTCACAGACGATTCCTTAAGCGTAATAAGATAAGCAGAAGACCACCGGAGATTTTCCTGCCTTCTCAGGATAGAAGAAGCTTTTAATCCCGTAATTCGTCCCTCACCCGCCACATGCACATACAGGTGTGGCCACCAGTCATGCAGGGCAGGGGAGATGCCCCTCAGGACCACAACATTCCACGCACCGACGATCTTTATCCAGAAAGGAACACCCGACCGATCCAGATGATGGGCTCATGGCTGTATCGTCCACACTGATAGGGCGTAAGATGGCTTACTATTGACTTGATGTAACCACAGCCCCGCACTAGCGCGGCGCAGTATCACCAGGAACCAGGGGCATCTTTGTTCTGCAGCTAAATGGATCCACGTCGGCGGTAATACTATTTGCTGTACGGTTGCTCCGTTATCACATTTGGGCTTGCTAATTCCCAATGATGCGCTTTGCTATACGCGGGAATCCGTCGGGCAGGCATTTTCTTTGGATTCGCTTCGATCACCGTGTTGAAAGATGACTACGGTCCAGAGAAATGTCTCATTATCCATAACTGACATGGTTTAGGTTTTTCATCCATGGATCTAAGAACACAGTGATTGTCCGTTTGCCCCACACCACCTGGATTATATCGTATACAGTACCATATTCTGTCGATCAAAATCTGACATCGATGACCACAAATGGATGATCATGATCTAGCTCTCTGAAGAGGATGATTATTAGAGAAGCAGGGAAAATTAGAGATACAGTAATATAGAGTAGTGAAGAGAGTAGGGAAAGTGGTTACAACTTCATATCTAGATCGGGTAGGCGGTATAGGCGACATACATACTGGGGTGAGCCAGCGACCAAGGACATCTGGAGATTCTCTAACTGGACTATAGATATATGATAGAATAAAAGGACTTCCAATCAAATTCTGTTGAAATTGAATCATTTCGACACGAGAATTGAAAAGTTCGAAAGAAATGGGAAAATCCGTGACTCCGTGCAAATGGTGTTGCCACAGTGGCTGGAGGTTCTCCAGCCCCCAAAACGGCCCGATCCAGGCAACGGAGCTCAGGAACTCTCGTTATCTCCACATGTATATCGAGATCAACTCCAATCCTAGAACCTCGTTTGCACCCGATTATTCCGGTGCCTACACTGAACCTGCGCCATTGGAACCTCAAATCGACCCGCCAATTCGGAAGACCTCGCTGGTCCGGACACACCCCCTCCTGACCCGCCGCCAGCAATGATCATTCGAGGACGCTCATGAGCTCGATGGCAGAGGCCAGTGAGGACTGGGAACAAGAGGATGAGCTCGATCTGGGTCCGCAGGATGAAGATTCCCAAGTTCCCGACCATGAGCCTCTTCAAAGTCCCGGACCTTTCCTGGATCCACTCGACGACTTCGACACAATAGACACAATAGAAGACCATGCGCAAGACCATGCATCTGAGAAGACTGTCCAACCGGTCCGGGATAGTCTTCCTCAAACCCCGCCAAACCGAAGCACGGAGTTCATTGGGACCCCTGGAAGCCTGGATGAGACCGCTTCCATCCCCGATGACTCTCCATCATTACATGTGAGTGATGCGGCGAGCGCGTATTGATATACTAGTTTTCTGATCGATCGCAGGATTCCATAATCTCGTCGCAGAGCAGCAGTGTAACGCTGCCTCGAGGCTCCCCGCGAGTCACACCCAGTCCTGTCCATCGTCCGTTCGATCTCCGCTTCCAGTCCCGTCTATCTTCATCTCCTCTTAGTGGATCGCGATCGGGCTCCCCGTTCCTGGCCCATATACACTCCCGACAATCATCGATCACGAGTCAGGTGTCGCCAACCCCGGAATCCGAACCAGAATCACCTCCGAATCCGTGGGATGTGGTGCGATGGACAAAGCTGCGAAAGATTACGGGCCAGGCGTTTTCAGAGATTGGGAGGCGCAATTTTGGGCGACCAACTTGTTTGGCGGTGTCCACAAGCATTGTGGTTGGCACCTCCAAGGGTATCATCCTTGTGTTTGATTACCAGCAAAGCCTAAAGACCATTATCGGGACAGGCACAAAAGGTTAGTCACTTCCACCAGCCGCTATGATAAAAGCTAATGCGTTGTTAGCTGTGGAATGTGGTCCAATAACTGCCCTCGCATTATCTGCAGACCATTCCACTGTCGCAGGTGGTCATGGATCTGGCGATATCTTCACATGGGAGATATCTCGCTCGGCAAGGCCTTTTCTCCATATCCCTCCAATTCCAGCACACCAATTGGAAACTCGGACATCTGATGGCCATATCTCAGGCTCGGCTGTCATTCATATTGGATTTCTAGGAACACGGCGAACTGCGGTGGTGTCCGCGGATACGAGTGGAATGGCATTCTCTCATTTGGCAACACGAGGGATGGGAGCGGTTGCGAGAATAGTGAAAACAACCCGAATCCTTGGCCGATACCCTCCGACTACTTTAGAGGAAGTAAGGCCACGGAAGCCCAGCTCAGTTTTGGCATTTTCTCCCCTTCCGCTGGGAAATGTAGAGCAACCATCTGACTCATTAGGTCTGGTTGCCATGTTGACGCCTTATCTCCTGGTTATTGTATCTACAACGCCCGTTGCACAGACACAACACAAAGCGCCGAGGCCGACGGAAGTTCCGGCTCATAGCGCCATGACCGGAGCTCTTGCTTGGTTCCCCGCCATCCGACTGAAAGGAAAAGACAGCCAAACCTCCAATACCAAGCTCGTTTATTGTTGGTCAAATGTTTTAACTGTGATGGAAGTGACCGAAGCGGAAACGGACGAGCCTGTGAACCGAGACAAGCCGCCAAATCTGGTTTTCAGCGCACGCAGCAGATGGAAGGCGGATGAGCCAATCGTGGCCGTGCAATGGCTGAGTCGCTCAGTCCTTGCAGTCTTGACCATCACCCAGCGACTCCTCATCATTGAAGACTACTCCATGCATGTAACGGACTCGATCGACCTTGTGAGTCGACATATTTACCATGCCGATCTATTTTCAGCCCGGCTTCATGCCTTGGTCGAGCAGTTGGATGAGGATGACACCTCCATGCATGGTGTAGTGGCAGATGCATTCTATATGAGCTTCCGTGCGTACAAAGGGCGTCTATTTTTACTTGGGTATAATGAGGCGCTGGTCGGAAGTTTGTCGAACTGGGCTGATCGACTTCTGGCACTTATGGAAGCAGGTGATTTTATTGGTGCCATTCGATTGGCCACTTCCTTCTATACGGGTGCTGCGGAGAAGTTAACAGTCGGCCTGCCCGAAGAGGATTCCCTGAGACAACCAATAGTCCAGGAAAAGCTGCTCGAGATGATTTCTGCTTCTCTCAAGTATGCGTTCGGTCGTAATGCCGAGGCAGAGAGTGGGAGACTGGGGAACCAGCAGCTGGAGGAGTTGGCTGAAGTATCTATAAAGGCTTGTATCCACATCGGAGATTACGAGTTCCTCTGGGAGGAAATATTCACCTGGTTCGAGGAGAACGACTCAGCAGGAATCTTCATGGACGTTCTCGAGCCACGAATCGTCGACGGGACGACTCGCTCACTTCCTCCGACCGCGGTCAAAGCTCTGATCAATCACTTTGTGGTCACCCATTCGCCTGGTCGTCTGGAGGAAATTATTTGCCTCCTTGAAACCACGAATATGGACATTGACCAAGTCACGACGCTATGCAAGCAACACAATCTTTATGACGCGTATATATACGTTTGGAACCGCTGTTTACAAGACTACATCAGCCCTCTGGAGGAGCTTCTGCGTATGATCCCATCCCAACCCGAACCTCTTGTCAATGGAGATTACGCCAAGGAGGTGGCCCGACATACAAACGCAATGAAAATATTTCCCTATTTGTCATTCGCCTTGACGAGTCGCATCTACCCCACTGGGGACGAGATGGAAGAAACCGAAGCCTTTCGTGCCAAAACCTCCTTGTATCAATATCTTTTCTCCGGTCAACTGTCTGGCACAGTGCTAGGCGAAGCTTCCGATGGTGACTCTTTCTCCCCACTCAGGGCTATGTTGAAGTATGATGCGTCAAGCTTCATGAGCATGTTTAATGAAGCGTTTGAAGATAGCTTTTTGAACGAGCCAGAGTCGGAAGAGGCGCTCACCTCTGGCGTGTCGATTAATCGACAATACCTGATTAGCATTTTGCTTCAAGTTATGGATGCATCTTACTTTTCTCCTTCCGATACTATTTTCTTGGACATGTTTGTTGCACGCAATCTTCCCAAATACCCACAGTATATTCTTCTCTCGGGCACGACGCTTCATCAAGTTCTCCTCCGGCTGTGTCAGTATCCGGAGCCCGACATGGCTGAGGACTGTGAGCTGAGTGCCGAGTATTTGTTATCCTTCTATCATCCGCCAGACGTCCAGAGCCTGGTGCCGGTGTTCAAGAAAGCTCGATTCTTCCGCATTCTCAAATCGACTTACCGCTCCGAGAAACAATATCCGGAATGGATTTTGGCGCACCTCGACGATCCAAACGCTAAAGAGGCTATTTTTACATCCTTACATGACTGTCTACGGTCAGGTTCTGCCCTTGGCAAGAAGCAACGCAAGGACGTTGTGGAAGTGGTGAAAGAGCATGCTACCGAGATCGCCGAGATCGATGTCAAGCAATCAGCACAGACAATACAAAACCTGGCTCCCGAACTACACCCTACATTTTTACGGGCGCTGGAGCAGGATCCACACAGCCAGTATCAATATCTTTTGGTGCTCATCGAGCCCACTGTCCAAAGCGGGGAAAGCCGAGCTCCGCCCACCGCTGAGAATTGGATGATTGAACGGTACGTGCAGCTTCTCTGCAAATACAACCCGTCCCACATCGCGGATTTTGTCGACGGTCTGCGCGTCGGCGATTTCCACCTCGATCAATTGCTTCCGGCTATTGAAGAGAGCGGGGCGATTGATGCCGCGGTGATTCTGCTTGCACGGCAAGGCCAGCTTCGAGAGGCCTTCAGTCGCCTTATCGCCCACCTTAGTACACTTGAGTCGGGCCTGGTTGGGATCCTCCAGAGTATGGGCGAGGCTCCGGACTCATCTAGTGCGACCGAGGCCATTGATGACCTCCTGGAATCGCTAAACAAGTACTCTGGCGTTGGAACGTGGCTCTGCCAAGGCCAAACCAAAAGTGCATTGCAATCTAGACCAAGCACCAACGGCCAGCGCGGTGTGCCTCCACTTGAACAACCACTGGCCCTTGACGAGGTTCTCTGGCTTGATCTCATCGAGACCGTAGTCCGGATCGCGAGCAATGTGTTTACAGTGATGAGGGAGCACCACATCGAAGAGTCGGAACAATCCCAATTTGTCGCTACCCCCATGGGTGGGAACGTCGGTCCGTTGACCATATCCATCCGCACTCTCGTCCAGCAGGTGTTCAGTTCCTTGCTGGCCAGCACGGTGAAAAGCAGCGGTGGATCTGAACGGACGGATCTGTCCTTCCTGCGGATCCTCCGCGCATTTCTCACTCAGGCGGCTCGCTGGTCACCCTCCCTGCTTGAGCTGCGTGCGGTGCTTGCCTCGGTCTTCTCAGCCTATGCGTACGAGACATCTCTCTTGTCGCTGGCAAATGGGATGTTGGATCGCGACCTGTTCGTGCATGTGGACGAAGTCACCCGCCTCCGGCAGCACGGGTGGCGTCCTCGCGGGCAGGTCTGTGAGATTTGTCGTCGTCGGATCTGGGGCCCCAGTGTTGGCTCGTCACACTGGACATCCTGGCTGAATAAACAGACGGACGACCACCAACGTCGTATCGCGAAGCGTATTGAAGAGAGTTATGTCGCGGTCACGGAGCGGGGCAAAGGGAAGGCTGCAGCGGTGGGGGTGGGTCACTCGGGGGCTACCCATGCCCCCCACCCCAAACCTGCCGACCCCGAGCATGAGCACGAGGCTAATGGGAACGGGGCCGAGGGACCCGCTGAGCCGATTGTAGTATTTTCCTGTCGACACCTTTATCACCGACAGTGTGTTCTAGACGCTATTCCTATCCACGGGCCAATCGAGAGTGCACTCCACCATGAACGTTCCGACTGGTCTAGGGATTTGTTCTGCCTGGCTTGTATATAGTGCCATTCTCCCAGTCTTTTTTTTGATTTCTTTATGTTGAGATATTTGCAACCCATATGGTTCATTCCTTTCCCCCCCTTGCATCCAGATGTCTATGTATAGTTCTATCTCCGTCTATGGTAGTAACCTACTTTTGTCTCTACATATTAATGGTCCATGTCTATACTGAACTCGACCGAAAATTCCGGTTTCAGGTCCCATGGTTCGTTCCCTTGTGCAACGTGGCCGTCCTGCAGGTACCCTCGTTCCTCGAGGGTAAATGCACGAAATTGTTTATCTGTAACACTTGCGGGGTGGGGTCACCTTGATTTTCACATCGCGTTCTTTCCGTCAAGGCTCACCTGATCGGCCATCAGACTCTCCTAATAAGGAATGTCGCAACCAAACTATCACGGAGGGGGGGAGTACGGGGTAGAGAAATGAAGGATCTGACTGTGAACCTTGTCACTTTTATCAAAGCACGGGTTATGCAAGTACCGGAAATCACTACCACCAGACTCAAACCCCTGAAATCAACCATGGAATCAAGTCGAAAAAAAGAAGAAAAACTTTCCTTCTAGAATCCTATGCCTAAGCAATCACATCCGACTGAACCGATTTGATTTTTCTGGTGAATCACCCGGACAAGTGGATTCCAGGGAAAAGCTTAAAGGTTGAATGGGCGCGTAATACGCGCCCATTGGTTCGTCACTTTGCCACGTACCATTGAATCAAGATGATTGGTTCGACGGAAGCAGCGACCAAACACTGCCCAGACTTCTATCAACCAGTGAGATCTCGTCGGTACCAACTCCTGCACATCCGTGGAGTCGTCAACCTGACGAGTAAGCTCTTGATCATTTGGATCCGAAACACCTGGAAAAGTTTACTCTTGAAGCCTGGACATGACTTGATTCGTGATCGACTCGGCTTGTCGCTTGCCATTGGAACCAGGGGGTTTTCAACCTCCCGAGAATTGAAACTTGAAAGAGAGGATTAGAAAAGAATTGTAGATGGAAAGAATACCGTGGTTCCATGCTAAAGACTACAGATACAAGATTTTCATTCATTCACGGCTGATTACGTGGACAAGTCAATTATAAGCGTACGCAGTCCGGAGTACAAAAAGGTGAAAGATGAGTCTAGAACAAAGGTCCCTTTGATCGGCTCGACTCCACTTGTTTCTTTGGTTTTGGGTCTTTCTTCTGCGGTTATCAATTCCGTGTGGATAAGGTCTCATCCTCCTAACGGGACCCGCCGTTCGGCCCCTTGAACCCAGCCCGTTTCGAATCTCTCACATGGACTTTGGTCTGTGGGCCTTGTGGGATGTCATGTCCCACTGAAGTCGCAAGATCGGGTCCGGTGGATGTCCGCCACCTGCGATTCACTGCAAGCCCCCAGGGATATAAATCTTGCATTATGTCTCTCCTCCTTCTTTCTTCCCCCATCCATCGTCTTTCTTTTCTTTCGAAGTGCGTTAAATCGCCGTGACTTTCTCTTACATTCATTTTGCAGGCCAAAATACAATCCTTCTACAGGCTAGAACATTGTTATTTCCCTGCGCTTCATTCTTTTCGAACTTGATTGATTTCATCCCGAAACGATCAGATTATATTTCGAGAACGGTCTTTGACAGACATTATCAATCTTTATTTTTGGGAATCACGGCAAATATGCACGCTCTTTCTACACTCATTCCGTCTCTGGGTCTCTTTGCCCACTTTGCCACCGCAGGCTACACCCTGCTGGATGACTATGGAACTGACGAGTCTTTCTTCGACATGTTCGATTTCTATACGGTATGTCTAGCCGCCTTCTATACTTTGGATGGGCGCTAATTTGATATTTTAAGGACACCGACCCCACCAACGGCTACGTCAACTATGTGGATAACTCCACCGCCGCTTCCGACGGTCTGATCAGTGCCTCCGGTAGCTCTGTTTACATTGGTGTTGACAACAGCAATGTTGCCAGTGGTAATGGTCGCAACAGCGTGCGCCTGACTAGCACCAACAGCTACACCGAGGGACTGGTCATTCTGGATCTGGCACACATGCCCGCTAGCACCTGCGGCACCTGGCCCGCATTCTGGATGCTCGGCTCCGACTGGCCCAACAATGGCGAGATCGATATCATCGAGGGTGTCAACCAGGGCAGCACCAACCAGATGACCCTGCACACAAGTGACAGTTGCTCTGTCACCAACTCTGGTTTCACCGGTACGCTCGACACCAGCAACTGCTACGTCGAGGCTTCGGGCCAGACCGCCAACTCCGGCTGCGCTATCGTCAACGGCGACACCTCGTCCTACGGTGACGGATTCAACAACGCCGACGGCGGTGTCTACGCGACCGAATGGACTAGTGACGCGATCAGTATTTGGTACTTCGCCAACGCCAGCATCCCCTCCGACATCAGCAGCGGCAGCCCCGACCCCAGCGGCTGGGGCACTCCCGCTGCCAGTTTCTCCGGAGACTGTGACATCAGCTCGCACTTCAGCAACCTCCAGATCGTACGTTCTATCCATTTCATTTCTCCAAATTCAATAGCTAACCCCATCCAGGTTTTTGACATCACCTTCTGCGGCGACTGGGCCGGCGACGTCTGGTCCAGCGGCTCCTGCAGCTCCTACGCTAGCACTTGTGACTCCTACGTCCAGAACAACCCCTCTGCCTTCGACGACACCTACTGGAGCATCAACTCTCTGAAGGTCTACCAGCAAAGCAGCAGCAGCAGCAGCAGCAGCTCCGACGAAGTTGTCAGCGTCAACAACCACGGCCACGGTCACGGTCACCGCTCCCGCCGCTCATCAAACCAAATCCGCCCCGCTCCCCGTCCCGCCTGGAAGCACCGTCGCGAAGGCCACAAGCACGGATTCTAAATTGGGAATTAGATTCGATTGAATTTGATTCAATTGATTTGAATCACTATGCGCATGATCATCTTGATCGATGGACTGCATTTAGATTTGAGATCTGAGATCTTCTTCTTGTTTTATATTCCTTCCGCTGGATTCGGTTGTTATTTTGGTTTGCATGGCGCCTGGGATGTGGACGTCTCGGTTAGCTTGTTTTAAGATCTGGAACGATGTTGATGCGATGTTATGTTTGATGTTTGATGTTTTGTGCTTCGTGCTTTTTGGAATACCCCTCGTCACTCGTTCAGCCTTGTTTGGATTGCATTACAGTTGAATTGCACTCGCATAGAAAAGTCCTTTATATGCGTACTTTAATATACTTCAAGTAAAGTCAAGATCTGGCCTCCTGGGCATCCGAAGATCCAATATTGCCCAAGGTTCCATCCGACGCGGTTTCGCCCCAAGAAAAGTTATCAGTGTACACCCTGATCTTTCGTATATAAGTTTCCAACACATGCCCAGAAGATCCGAGTTTCCTTGAAAAATTGGTCAAATACTCATGTACGCGAACTAACAGGGTTCATCCTGACGCTTAATGTGGTAGATATCATGCGGAAAATGTCTGGCAAAATCGTCTTATCTCAAGATCAATTACAAGGTAGAACTTGCACATATGAGATCTTCTTTACTAGCAGGCCCCTTGAGAAGAACTTGGACATAGTGACGGTCACTTGACAGCTCGTCTGCAGAGGCCGTGTTTGGTCAGGTATAGCTGCGCCGGCTCTTCAAGATCTAGCAGGTCAAGATATTTTCTGATATACGGAGAATAGCTTCCCTTGCTTGATTCAAGGTGAATATAAGAAAGTGGAATGGGAAGAATCAGACGTGAGGGAACGCGGGTAATGGACTTGTTTTTGATAGGAGGGATTATCAGGCAGTCAAAAACTCATGCATGAAGATGCACTATGAGCCTTGGATATTTAGGTACTCGAAAGTCAAATGTTTACCTGCCAAATTAATATACGGGATCAAAGTCGATCCTAAATCAAGGTATCTCGGCGGTGAGTAGGATTGACTATCAATTGAGCTGTCTAAATCTTAGAGCGGGTTTCATGATTTACATCCTTTGAAGTACTTGATATGTCAATCGCCTGGAGGCCACTGGATTGGACAATCCGTTGATCAAGCTGAGTCTTCTCTTCATCAGTGGCATCTGTGAGATGCACCGCGACTTCTTCACCGAAGTTTTTTGCAATCTCTTCTAGAGTTAGGCGAGCAGTTTCCGGGAAAAACAAGTAGATGACTATAGATTTATTAGCGGGCAACATGTGAGACTCTCTTCATATCATACCTGGAATGAAGAATGCGGACCAGCATATGATAACGAGGTAGTATTTCCATCCTACGTTATCAAATCCCATGGGTGCAGTCTCAAGAAGGATGAGTGTTGCTGCAAATTGACCAAATAAGGAAAACCCCATGCCAATTGGGCGGATCTCAGTTGGGAATATTTCTGACACGTAGAGATACATTGTAGTGTCACAAAATGTTCTAGGTAGATTTTAGCGATTGTCACGATGTATCAGATAAAGTCGGAGGTTCAGATAAACAGACCCTTGAAATGCCAAGTAAAGATACATAAAAAGGATGCCAAACCCATTCCCTACCCGGTTGGTCGTGCCCGCGTACTGAGCTGTCATGGCTGCAAGACAGGACGTGGTGAGAATGATACCGATGAAGCCGGTTAGATACATCTTGCGTCGGGAGTTGACTTGATCGTGAAGCCAAGCTCCAAGAGGGTTGTAGATGAGACCTGTCAACGTGGTAAATGAGCATCCCAGAATCAACTGGACTGTTGTTGCCCTACCTGCCGTCGTCAACCAGATTGCACTCAAGAGCAGAGGCATACCGCCCTTCATGCCTAGGTTTTGATATAGAAGAACTGCGTAATTATTCTGTCTTGTCAGAGATTGCACTGGAACCAGTTCAGATGAAGGACTCACAATGATTAGCGGACCGCCAAATTCGGCTCCCCACTGAGTAAGAAAGCCGATGATCATTCGCTTTCTGTAAGACTTCTTCTTCCAAACAGCCATCCACACATTTCCGTACGTCGCCAGTCTCTCCGCTTCCAGTCGGATCTGCTCTTTCGTCTGAAAAAACTCCTCCTTAGCGGCCAAGTTATCTGGATCATTCGGCGACGCACGGAGTCGTTCCAGGACAGTACTAGCCTCCTCAAATTTCCCCTTCGAAATCAGCCACCGAGGCGACCGAGGAAGCCAGGTAGATCCGAGCAAAAGAACCAAAGGAGGAAGACACTGCAGAGCCAATGGAAACCGCCACCCAAAAGCCGGCGCGCTATTCTGTGCATAATGACACGCAAAACCCACCCAGCCAGCAAGCATATATCCAAAGACAAGAAATATGGCATGGTGACCAACCAGCCAGCCGCGACGGAAAGCGCTCGACATCTCAGACAAGTACATCGGGCAGACGGTCACCAAAATACCGATCCCAAGACCGCAGATGAACCGACCAGCCTGGAACGTCCTGAGAGAATTGGAGACGGCCTGCAGGGCTCCTCCGAACATGGAGAAGAAAGCGCCCACTTGGATATTCACTTTCCGGCCGAGATATTCGCACGACCACATCATGAAGAGTGTACCGACTGCTCCGCCGGCGCTGAATACGCCGTTCGCAGTTGAGATCGCGGGGGTGGTTATCGCCGCGTATCCTGGTTCACCGGATTGTGGAAGATTGAAGTTTGTATACCATCCTGGCTGGCCGATCGTGCTGGAGATGATAGAGGCGCAATACCCATATGTCTAGCCGTGTTAGCCAGATATCTGTCAAAACATCCAGTGGAACTCACCAGAGATCCAATAGCGACGAAAATAGCCACCAGTCTATTGTAAAGACTCGTCTGGGACCCTAAATTGCCCATAACTTTGTTCCAGAGTACTCCGTACCTAGGTAGTCACTGGGGCGCAGGGAGGGGTTGGGGAATTGTCATTTTAAAGGCACTTTTGTTGCAGACTAGGACCAACAGCATTGTGCAGATGGTCCACTTCTTTGCATTGTACTCCGTACAAAACACCTTGCTGAGACGCAGAAGTATCTACTACATAGAGCTGCAGCTTTAGCTGCATGGGCTTCTCAGCTTATGAGCGGATAGGGTCCAGCTAAAGGCTTCTGGGCGTTGTCGATCCTTGCCGATCTGTGTGCAGACTCTTGTTGAACTCACACAATATCCAATACGGAGATGGTCCGATGTTTTTTGGCAAATAAATGATCTGTGTAACCCCAGGAATTCCTTTTTTAACCCTTGGTTGGTCCATGTGGCGGAAAATGCACCCTCTTGGCACTAGGTCACTAGCTTATAGTCTTGAGAGGTACAGAATCATGAGAAGAGGCCCTGTATTCTGAGAGAGCTTGAGCAGCTGGCTGTCAGTCTGTCCTGGAAAGGCTGGCATAAAGGCGTTAGTGGGATAGTAAAAAGATATCGCAATCCACTTTTCTATTTCTCTCAACACATGGCATAGTAAGTAACACGATAACCAGAAATTAATAATTGAAGATTCAGGCAAAGAAAACATTGAACTTAGTCGGAAAGTTGCTCAATAACTAACTTATATCTTGATTTCATAGCCTTAGAAAAAAGGCACACAAAACGTGACCCGCTTACGACGATGCCTGAATGAGAAGGTGCTCGCGGTTGTATACCATGGTATAGAAACATAAGAGTTTCATGTAATATACCCGTCAACGTGACATACGGAAGTCATTTACGAAAATTACCGTAACGGTAAAATCTTGAATTTTTTTTCTTTGTCCAGTCATTTGGTCCTAAGGTTAATGATCATTTTAAAAGTCTGAACGACATCTGCAATGCCTACTCTCTATAACCTTGCGAACTCCAACCCAAACTCGCATGCTTAGTCAATTAACCTAGGAGAGCACCGAACCGTCTCCCACGGGAGGAAACTAACACCCATGGGTCTTTTGTGGGGTATACCATGTATCCATTGGCTTGGTACCTATTTATCCCTTCTTCACTTCCAGATACCTGGACTCTATTGAGAGTAGGTTTATTGATGATTAAAACCAATCAAAATCAATGGTATTAGCTCACTGCAATTTCAAGTTGCGAGTCCCTCGGTCCCCCCCAAAGATTCGGCGCACGGATACAGTCCTGCTTATTCTTTATCTAAATTAGACCAATGAGAGTCAGATTCATTTCCGTGATAGGTCTAGACCCACGGACTGGCCGAGAGAACTAGTAAGATGTCGAGCGCTATCGCGATTCTTTTAATTATGGCGCCATAACAACGAACTCCGTACAATGGAAATTTCAGACGAAACCAATCCAGTCAAAGTTGATTTCAAAATATACTAAAAGCACTTGAGGGCCCAAGCCTATCTCTCACGTTTTTTTTGGCGCACTTTTTAATCTGCAGGGTTCACAACTCTTATCTTACCCCCGCCCCGTTCTAACCGCAAATTGCAATCTCACAATGGCGCCCAGAGTTGATGAGATCGATGAGAAGAAACAGGGTGGTTATGCCCTGGGGACGGAGGTGAATGAATCGAACTCGTTTGAAACCATCAATGCACTAGTTGCTGAAGGTAATGCAGTGTTCACTTTTGGTACTATCCAGACCGAGCTGACAGCGATAAGATCATCAACATGACATCAAGCTACGCACCATGTCCTGGCAAAAAACCGCCGTTCTGCTGGCTGGAGATCAGGTTTGCTTGGCCATTATGGCGCAGTCGTGGTCTCTCAGTGTACTTGGTTGGGTACCCGGCATCATCACCATGGTGCTTGCGGGGATTCTTTTCTGGCTTACCTCGATCACGATGCATAAGTATATCATGAAGAACCCCCAGATCAAGGACATCTGTATGTGGAAAACTACAATCTCCCTCACGACATAAATTGAATTCTAATTCTTGAATTCTCGACAGGTGACTTCGGATACTACGTCTTCGGACAGAGCAAAGCCGCCTACGTTTTCTCCGCATTCATGCTGCTAGCGAACAATATTCTCCTCATCGGATTCCATGTTCTCACTGGTGCTAAGGTCCTGAATACCTTATCCGGCCACACCTTGTGCACTGCTGTCTTCTCTGTTATTACGACCCTGATGGGTATTGTCATGTCGACCCCACGGACTCTGCACCACGTCAGTTTCATGTCGATGTTTTCCTGTGAGTACTCTCCAGATCGTTCCACCATAACTATGATCTGACTTATAGGGTATAGCCGCCTGCATGGGAATCGCAATCCTCCTCTTCCTCGTCTTCGCTGGTATCGAGAATGCTCCTCTCTATGGATACTCTGGCGATTATCCAACAGACGGACCCGTGAAAACATACGCATTCCCCCTCCCAGGAACAACCTTTGTCAACTGCATGAATGCTGTGTTGAACATCACCTTCCTCTGGGTCCCGCAAATTCTCTTCCCGTCCTTCATCGCCGAAATGGAACGCCCCCAGGACTTCCCCAAAGCACTGGCGGTTCTCGGGGTGATCTCAGCCATTCTGTTTATTGTACCTCCTGCTATCGGATTCCGATACTTGGGTCAATATGCCACCGCTCCAGCATTTGGAAGTCTAGGCGTTATCTCATACAAGAAGGCTTCATTCGGGTTCGTAATCGTCCCGACACTTATCATTGGCGTGATCTATGCCAATGTAACCGCGAAGTTCATCTACCTCCGCATCATGGGAAAGTCCAGACATGCGCACAGCAACACCGTTATCGGCTGGGGTGTCTGGGTTCTCGTGATGGTTGTCATCTGGCTTATCGCGTTCGTTTTCTCTGAGGTTGTGCCTAGCATGGGTGATTTCCTCTCTCTGCTTGGCGCGGCATTCGATTCATTTTTCGGGTTCATCTTTTTCGCTGTCGCTTATTGGCAGCTGAACCGGGGTAAACTGTTTGCAGGCATTAAACAGACGACTATGACTTTGATCAATGTGTTCGTCATGGCTGTGGGATTGTTCTTGTTAGGCCCGGGGCTGTATGCTGCAGTGGAGGCTATCATTACTGATTATTCAGGAAGTGTGACGCCTGCTTTCACCTGTGCTAATATGGCTATATAAAAGGACCATCTTTGCTATCTGATCATGTTTTCATATTACACTACTGGTCTAGCTTTATAACGATATTAATGCGTCATTCATGATTCTCCCTCATTTATAGACTATGAGCCACATACGTGCCATGTTGACGGATACGCAGAATAAAGAAGATATTTGCATTTCTCATTCAAATATTCAGCGCCTTGATAGCATCAGCATGTCGATCAATGGACTTCCAACAGAAAGCCATGTTGCCCATCTTTCTGAAAGTATTCAGGTGATTCTCGTCGAGCTTCATCCTCTGACCCGCCATCGCCTTCAAGAAGAGCTGCTCAGCCTTGAAATAAACCCCTGATCGTTGTACTATGGAACCAGATTACTCATCGCGGCAAGCGTTCTAGGATGATTATCGCCGAACTCCGTCCTGCTAGGCTCTAGTATCTGTCCTTGAAGCTACTCGGCCTCATTCAACCGGCCTTGTTTTCAGAATGTTGAGGCTAGACAGCCTAGGCCATTCAACGTAAGTTTATCCGTGTGCATCATCCTATAAATCTCCCGCACCCTGAACAGAAGTTCGTCGGCCAGCTCGCATCAACCTTGGCTCTCATATGTTGAAGCCAGCCTATTCGTAACCATGAGCGTGTAATAATCTCCCTCGCCGAGATTCGCTTTGAAAGTCTGGATCCACAAAAAGTCTGGATCCACAAAATGTGTTTGAAGCATCTCGGCCTCATTCCACCGGCCTTGGTGCCCATGCATATCCGCTAGAGAGACTATAGCCAGTAGCGTGCTAGGATGATCCACGCCGAACATCTTCATGCGAGTCTTTGAAGACTCTTCATAAAGATGCCTGGCCTCCTCCCACCTGCCACCGAGATCAGATGCTGTTGCTAACAGCATATTGGTCTTAAGAGGCTTCGGAAAGTCACACCATCGATTCTTGATAAATCTTTCTTTTCCAGTGCACTAGCTTGTCATGTGTTTTTAACCACGCACGCACTGTCAGTTGCACTAGTCGATGCATTGTGATTGTGTCTCCGATCGAAATCAGCAAGTATCAAGGAAATTCATAGATCGTAGATTTATTATAAACATTATCAAATAATTAGATCATGGCTTAAACCCTAATTCTTCTCTTTGGTCGTCCGTCAAACGACCCCATTCGAGTAGGAGACGGAAGAAATAAATCTCCATGTCTTCTTTGCGAAGAGCGATTCCAGCCCAATTCCGACCTTGCTCGCCAATCCACCAACCATCATCGTCATGCGCCTTCATTCTCACTAAGCCAGCGTTGGGATTTTGATCATCAGTAAGAGGGCCTGATACACCGGCAAAAAATGCCATCGTGCTCCAGAAACCATGTAGCCGGAGATCAATGGGCACGAAATGGAACCACGAGATGATACGGGAGTCGAACCATTGCCGGAAAAGACCCGTTTTGAATGGCACACTGTGGCTCTGCAAGAAAGGCAGGAATCGACCGCTGAAACCGGCTCCATCAAGGTCGAATAGGAATCGATGAGACCAATGTTCTTGAAACCCAACCTTCTCACTGAGGCCCAGTTCTTCTTGTTGCTCATCACAGTCTCCGCAGCGGGTGATCCGGTCGGCGAGATGAACATCGGCACGAAGACCAAGCATTTCTGCGGGTTCGTTTCCATTCATGATTTCATACTTGTAGGACTTCGAACCGGTTTCCAGAAGTACAGACACTTTGTTGTCAGTATTATTGTTGACCAAATGTGCGAATCGCTGTCGTGGCATGCCCTTCCATTCTCCAAAGCGGCTCATACCTTCGGATGTGCCGCCAATCCAGTAAAGCGAATTGTCTTTGTCTGCGTAGTCCGGATCAGGGTTCTCGCGAGTCGGTTCATACTTCACCTTGTCCATATAGTTCCAGGGACTGGGGAATAGAATGTCGTTGAATCCCTTCAGTGCGCTTTGGCTGAAAATCGGCACTAAGTCCTGGGATACCTTGAAAGATGCAGGGGAGATCAAAAGACCATGAAGGAAAGCCAGATCAGGCTGGTGACAGATGTCCGTTGCCGCATCAAAGTTCTTTGGGAACTGACCCATGCTATGGGGGTCCGTGCAGCTCAAACAGATATCGTGGCGATTCCAGACTCGGCGAGTGCGTGCCTTGGATGAAGGTGGACAAAGAGCGCTCACATATGGGTCAAAAACACCTCGCCAAGCGCCATCGGTAAAAACGGTCTCATTCGTTTGATCGGCTGGCTCAATGGGTCCCCAGCCATCTTTTCGAGTCACAGACCAAGTGTCTATGACACTCGATTCAGGATTGAAATCATGTTCCATCTCCTTTGAACTGCGCTTATATGGCCATATCCTTTCCCAAGGCACCGCTACCCGGGGCTCATCATTCAGGTTGAATACAAGATCCATGTCTGGAAGATGCTCAGAGAACTTCTCAATCATTTTAGCTGCCCCTTGGACCATCCACGCATGCGTTGGCTTGATCCCTTCTTGAACCCTTGGCTTGCCGTCGCGAATGATAATGCCACCAAGGTCATTGAAGGGGTTGATTGCTAATTTTCTGGTCATTTCGCGCAGTTCTTGGGGTGGAACGGATCGGAAAGGAAGGAGATTTTTGTGAAGTTCATCAAAATCATCGATGATCACCGACGATCGATGTGTGGCATACTCGTACCATTTGTCGAAACCACTGAACACGCGTTAGTTGCAAGAACCATGCCATAGTCTCAAGTCAAACTATAGTACTCTAGTAAGTGGGCGAATACTCACGGAGGTGGATGCTGGTGATATCGGGTTCGATACTCAGAAACAGCATCTTGCAGGGATTTGCTGGTGGCAGCTTGTTCGGAAAAACGATCAAACTGAATCGACGCCTTGTGGATCAGGAGTTCAATTGGGTGGGTGTGTGAGACATTGTGCTTGCTTGAGGCGAAAATGAGGCCGATGCTGCAAAGAGTAATAAACGTGACCTGCAAGGCAATATTGGCGCGATACAATGACTTCAACTCCTCTTTTGAGACAATGCGTGCCAAGAGGAAGATCACTACCCCGGCTGTAGATGTTGCGAGGGAAAGAACAGCATGATACACAGAGATAAAGGGGAAGGGCAGCTGTCGAAAAAGTAGAGTCGATGCGGCGGGAAAGTAGATGAACACGAATCCAGCTAGAATAGATATCCCCAAAATCCCGTACGATGGCAACTGTAACTGTCAGTACCCATTGACAGGATAATAAAGTATCACGTACCATCTGCCAAGCTGATAAAATAAATAAAAGAACCAGCAAGGCTTGGCTAAAAGCACTGCGTGTGTACTCTGCATCCAAGAAGGGTTGGCCGCTATGCTCCGGGCGGCTCTGTTCAACAAAGAGTCCTATTATCATCCAAACAAACGCAATGCCCTAGGAAAAATTTGTCAGAAATGGCTTTCAATGATCATGGGATTTGGCACTTACAAGAAGACCAGCTCCTAAAGACATGAGCGCTCGTCGTTGCCTTCGCGTTTCACTTCTTTCGGCACCAAACTCAAATAGCTCCGCAAGTCCCATTAAAATAAGAGAATCGCAAACCAGGCTCCCAAGTCCGATAATTCGCATCCAAAACGCAGTGTGATGGACGATTGAGCAAATGTACGTCGATTGACTCCCAGCCAAAAAAGTGGAGGCCGAATACCCGCCGATAGAAACCAAGGCAGCGGCGATAACACCTCGAAGATGGCTCTTAGTTAAGTAATAGAAGCATCGTCGATATATCGACTCGGCCAATTGGATAGGTACGCTCTGAAATCGTTGAGAAGAGACATATTTTTCTTCTGGCTGTAATCGCCGGTAGCGCCAATATTCATAGACGGAAAGGATGAGCGGAATCGCATACTAATGGTTCAATTGTCAGCTATAATGAATGACGTCGGAAGAAGAGCGAGGCTTACCGAATACCCTGCAGGCACACATTCACTGTTGAGGCTCACTCGGCGAAACAATTCCACTCGCAGACAGCATACGATAAGCAAAAGACAAAGCTTATACCAATATACGGGCCGAACGGGCACCGCCGGTTCATCGAATGCCAATATTGGCGATAATGAAGAAGAGGAGCGCGATGAGGATGGTGACGCAAGCTCGAATTGATCAAATTGGTCGGCAAGTGGAACTCTAGATCGTTTAGATATGGGCGATGAGGGTCGCGTTGCCGACGGAACGAAGCGTCCAAAAACCAAGAAGACCGCTCCAGTGAGGAGGCAGACCAAGATAGCGGTATTGACCGGCCGATCTCAAGATTTAAGTCAGTGTGCGAGATACCCCACTTGGAAAAGCAACTTACCAAAGGCAAAAGTCGTATTGTAGGTCGCATGCAGAAAAAAAGAGGACAGAAAGAAGATCCTAGATAGAATGCTGCCGTTAGATTTGGGTTCCTCCAGATGAATCGGCATGAGATGGCATCGTTCGCTACGTACCCCACCGAAACTTTGAGTCCGGTATCAGCCGGGAACTGGACCATCATGCGTCCGATTTGTTAGTTTCTTCCTCGCAAGGTATCACAGCCCATCGCGCCGTTGTAAAAATTAAAATCGGATCGTGGGGAAAGCAGCTTGCGCGCACAGAAACAGGTACAGGAAGGAGGGTCCGGCCAAGACAAATCGAAGAGACCCAGGCGCCCTAGGATCCCAGGGCCCTGAACCGCCAGTGGAGACCTCAGGGGATTGACAGACCAGCCACTGCCAGACCAGCCCGTGGCTGGTCTGTCAAATCACGCTGAGATAGGAAGCGCCGGGCTCACGGCCAGTTAGAATGGAGCTCACTGGCGATCTTGTTGCGTCAATAGTGGAAGTTGGATTTTTGGTTGAGCATGCAACCATGGGCCCCTTCGTGTACGATGAACATTGCTGCACTGTCGACCAATGGGGTGGGATACAATCCGAAAAATATCCGCCTTGGTCCTATGGCGCCCTTGATTGCTGCCCGGGCATGTTTCCAAGACAATCAAGATATGCCGGGGCGATCGGCACCCAGAAGCAGGACTTGGCTCCCGCGCACTCCACTTAGTGCAAAGTAGCGCCTATCGTCATAGCCCGCGCGTCCTTGGCTAACATTTAGTTCCAAATCTAGCGATTGGTTCTGTACTTCCCAATTACCGTGAACAAAATCAAAGGAGACATCACAGGGCAATGGCATAAGTGCTCGTCATACATACTGGAAAAGTGGAGTCGTTGGCTTCTCGAAGCGGAAACGAGACTCTCCCTTCTGGGTCCCACTTTAGGAAGGAATCGACAGGGCCCGGGTCATGTGACTGAAAGTTGTCAGCAGATCATGTGATTTTTGGGAAATGAGCTCCAGGGCGGTGAAATATGACAGAAAAACAAGGTAGGCGGTATAACCCAGCAATATGATTTTTTTCTCTTTGCAGTCCGAATTAGGATAGCGACTTAGAGGGTTCTTTTTGTCTCTGATCAACGTCCCAACTTATCGGGCCATTCATCGAGGGACTAAGAATTCTGAGTCTCTATATCAAATCACAACCTGCCCATTCTTCCTCCTCGGGTAATTCGACAAAAAGCCCAAACCCTCGATTTCCTCGCGGCCAGCTCCGCACCCTCATCATGCCGCGCAAGGCGATTGACTCGCGAATCCCCGCTCTGATCCGAAATGGCGTCCAAGAAAAGAAGCGCAGCTTCTTTGTGGTTGTTGGTGACCGCGCCAAAGATGTGATCGTGCATCTTCACTATATCATGTCCAGCGTGGATGTGAAGCAGAACAAGTCTGTTCTTTGGGCCTACAAGAAGGATCTGCTGGGCTTTACCAGTCACCGCAAGAAGCGCGAAGCAAAGATCAAGCGAGAAGTCAAGCACGGTATTCGGGAACCCAACCAGGAGGACCCATTTGAGTTGTTCATCACCCTCAACCAAATCCGCTATGTCTACTACAAGGAAACAGAGAAGATTCTGGGTAACACCTACGGCATGTGCATTCTCCAGGACTTTGAAGCCATGACCCCGAACCTTTTGGCCCGCACAGTCGAGACAGTCGAGGGTGGTGGTATGGTGTTGTTGCTGCTCAAGAGCATGAGTAGTCTGAAGCAATTGTACACGTTGTCCATGGATATTCACTCCCGCTACCGAACAGAGGCGCACGATGATGTTGTTGCTCGCTTTAACGAGCGCTTCATCTTGTCTCTGGGAAGCTGTGACTCCTGCTTGGTTGTTGATGACGAGTTGAACGTGCTGCCTATCTCCGGCGGTAAAAACGTCAAGCCGCTCCCTCCCCCCGAATCCACCGACGAGTCGAGCTCCGGCACAAAGAAGGAATTGAAGGAAATTAAAGAGAGCCTGGCTGACGCGAAGCCTATTGGCCCCCTGGTGAACCTTGCTAAGACCGTGGATCAAGCAAAGGCGCTCTTGACATTTGCCGATGCGATCGCCGAGAAGACACTGAAGAGCACTGTTACTCTGACTGCCGGTCGTGGACGAGGAAAGTCTGCTGCTCTTGGTGTTGCAATTGCAGCAGCCATCGCCCACGGATACAGCAATATTTTCATCACTTCACCGAGCCCCGAGAACTTGAAGACCTTGTTTGAGTTTGTGTTCAAGGGCTTCGATGCTCTGGGTTATCTCGATCACGTCGACTACACCATTCTCCAGTCGACTAACCCCGATTTCAACAAGGCGATTGTCAGAGTCAACATTCACCGCAACCACCGTCAGACCATTCAATACATCCAGCCGCAGGACGCCCATGTCCTTGGACAGGCTGAGCTCTTGGTCATTGATGAGGCTGCTGCCATTCCCCTGCCATTGGTGCGCAAGCTGATGGGTCCCTACCTCATCTTCATGGCCTCCACCATCAACGGTTATGAAGGAACCGGTCGTTCGCTATCTCTGAAGTTGATCCAACAGCTTCGTGAACAATCCCGAGGTGGTCTCAAGAGCAATGACGACACAGATGTAGCAGACCGCAGCACCGGCAAGGCTTCGAAGAACGCAGACAAGAACCTCGGCGGCCGTTCTCTTCGAGAGATCACCCTCGCAGAGCCGATTCGTTACGCCCCGGGAGATTCTGTTGAGAAGTGGTTGAACAAGGTCCTGTGCCTTGATGCGACTCTTCCCAAGTCTCGTATGAACACCCAAGGTTGCCCGCACCCCTCAAAGTGCCAGCTGCTCCAGGTCAACCGGGATACTCTGTTCTCTTTCCACCCTGTTTCAGAGAAGTTCTTGCAGCAGATGATGGCGCTTTATGTTGCCAGTCACTACAAAAATACCCCCAACGATCTTCAGCTCATGAGTGATGCACCCGCACACCAGCTCTACGTGCTTGTTCCTCCAATTGACGAGGAAGCTACGAAGCTGCCAGAGCCACTCTGTGTTATCCAGGTTGCTCTTGAGGGTCGCATCAGCAGACAGAGCGTTCTCAACAGCCTTAGCCGTGGTCAGAGAGCCGGTGGTGACCTGATCCCCTGGTTGGTTAGCCAGCAGTTCCAGGATGAAGACTTTGCCAGCCTCTCGGGTGCTCGAATTGTTCGTATTGCCACAAACCCCGAGTATGTAGGCATGGGATACGGTTCACGTGCCATGGAGCTCCTCGTTGATTTCTTCGAGGGCAAGTTCACTAGCCTGGATGAGAATATGACTGCTCCCCAGGAAGAGATGGTCCGTGTTACAGATGAAGAGCTCGCGAACTCGAGCCTCCTGGACGACAATGTGCACGTTCGGGATATTCGCACTATGCCTCCTCTATTTGGAAAGCTGACCGAACGCCGTCCTGATGCCCTTGACTACGTTGGTGTTAGCTACGGCTTGACCCCCTCACTCCACAAGTTCTGGAAGCGCACTTCGTTCCACCCGGTCTACCTGCGTCAAACCCCCAACGAACTTACAGGAGAGCACTCGTGTGTGATGCTTCGCACTCTGGCTGCTGGTACGAACGATGCTGGTTGGTTGGGATCTTTCTCCCGTGACTTCCACCGCCGATTCCTTGCTCTGCTCTCTTACCAGTTCCGCCAATTCCCCTCGGTCCTCTCTTTGAGCATTTGTGAATCTGCCAACGCTGGTGCTAAGCTTGACACGACTGCCGTGCTGCGCAGCTTGAAGAAGGCTGATCTTGATGCCGCTTTCTCGCCTTTCGACTTGAAGCGTCTTGACAGTTACGCAAATAACCTCCTCGACTACCACGTCATTCTAGATATGATTCCTCTCATCGCAGAGTACTACTTTTCCAATCGTTTGGCTGGCAAAGTGAGCCTGTCAGGTGTTCAGCAGTCAATCCTTCTGGCCATTGGTTTGCAACGCAAGAGCCTGGATGACGTCGAGAAGGAGCTAAACCTCCCCGCTCCCCAGCTCCTTGCCATGTTCCTCAAGATCATGCGCAAGGTATCCACTCACTTCCGTGGTATCGTTGAGGGTGCCGTGGCCGAGTCTATGCCCGCAGAAAAAGCCCCTGTCGAACCTGCAGGTGGTGCCCATGATGACGATATCATTGAGGACCGTTTCAAGCCGTTGGATATCGGTCTGGACGAGGAGCTCAAGGAGGGTGGTCAGCAGATTGACGACGAGATGCGCGAGAAGCAGCGTGCGCTGATCGATTCTCTTCCCTTGGACAAGTAAGTCAACTCCGTGTTCATTTTCACACCTGCGAGGTCCGAATGAACAATAACTGATTTATAGCCTCCAGATACGCAATTGATAGTGGTTCCGCAGCCTGGGAAGACGCTGAGAAGCAAATCCGCAACGGCGGTGCTGCTACTGTCAGTGTGAAGTCCAAGCCGTCGAAGCGAAAGAAGGGCGAGACCGCTCGTGAGCTGTTCGACAAGGAGGTCGACGCAAAGAGACAAAAGATGATCAAGAAGGGCACTGAGGGCCGCAGCAAAAAATAGAGCCAAGGCTCTGAATGTTTGGTGGCGTTACTTTGCATTTTGTACGGTGTTTCTGCGGCTGTTCCCTCGTTCTTTTCTGTTTAAAATTCATGTGCAATGCTTGACCCTTGTATATATTCAGTTGTACCAAAATGACCAGCCTGGGTCTTGTGTGCAGAGATATCATGGAGCCATAGAATCCGCTGTTAATGTGTTCTATTCACCGCAGTCATACTAGTAGTCCTGGATGTAGCCCACATTCTACCCGACTACGGGGGCGAGCAAGCCCATCTTGTGACCTGCAACTTGCAATCTCTTTTCCTGTAATCCTAATACCACTTCATTTCCACTGCGCATTCCATAATAAACAGCAGTATTGGAGTATGGGGTCAGCTGACCCCCTCGGTTTGTCAGCGCGTGCATATCTTTAGCTAGATCTCTCTCTTTCTCTCTCTCTCCTTCTCTTTCTCTCCTCTATCCCTCTTGGAATACAGATCTTGTCCCTTTTCTTTGTTTCCACGCTACTATGTAGCCCTTTCTTCCCCTGGACGGCAGACCAGCTGCCAACATTTGGTAAAGGCAGCAAACCTTGGCAAGTGTTCGGGACATCCTTTGGAGCATTATGCTTGTTATGACTCGCGGTCGTCTGCGTCTGGCGCGCGGTCAAGTTCATCAACAATGTGTAAGACTTCTCTTGATGCGTGCCTGAGATTCATCCTAATCGAGTAGCATAGATACTCCCCACTTGGCCCACCACCCTTGGATGCCGACTCAGAGGCGTAGCGGCCATCAGGACAGAACCTTTTATTCTATAACGAGTATTCACCGCTTTACCACTTTTATGCTGTCTTATACTGGAAAATCAACGAATTCTATAAACACTTTCGCTAATGTCCACTCACCTAGTATCAACCTTTGTATCTATAGGGTAGGTATATACGGTAAGGGTACTATTATACTAGAGGCTTTCTGCCGCACAAAAAGCGCGGCGCCTACCTAAGTATTATATCACACCTCCCACTCGGTATTTTATGTAGTATTCTACCTTTTTTTCTATCAGATTAGTCTAATGGTCAAAGGGCTCTCCTGATTCATACATAGCGGAATAGAAAAGAAAGAGAAAAAAAGAGAAGTGGAAGGAGAAGGTGAAAAAAGAAAGTCTATGGTATACCCAAGAAATAGAGGGGTAGATTAGCGTGGCAGTATCTATAATTTCTGCCATTTATTATGCGATTATCAATGTTCTGTCATCATGGCCGCTACTTGCCTCCGTACCCGAAATACTCGATCGAGTCATTCGGATGTGAAGGTGAAACTGAGCAAGGGAGTTCAATCTATAAATCATTGCTCGAGTCACCGTGCTGAGAAGCGTCGTGCGCAGTGGAAGCTTGTCTTCGTAAAGGCTTTCTATATAGTCGCAGTCCGTAACAATGTCTTGATCAGAATACCCTTTCCGTGAACTTGATGCTGCACTTATCCTTTGGCTGACAAGTCAGCTGATCATTGTAGTCAGGTACTGGAGGTTCTTCCATCTTTTCAAGCCTCTCATCCACCATCGACAAATCAAACCTCAAGACAAACGAAGAAGTCAAGAGCTTCATCGTCAATATAGCAAGTCTCTGCCCCTTGCACATGTGCTTGCCCATGCCCCATCCTATGAAGGGTACGTCTTTCTGGATCAATCGGGAAGGATTCCAACGAGTTGGATCCGCATAGTAGGATGGATTTAAACACGTATCCAAAAATGGGTATGCAACAAAGGCCCCGGATGGGATGGTATAGCCTCCAACAGAAAAATCCGGGCCTGTGTTTTTGCGAAGAGCTGTGTGCGGTTGGGAGATTCGCATGGTCTCTCGAATACAAAGGTCAAGATGAGGCATTTTCGTTTCCCAGGCCGTGAGGGGGACTTGGGATAGTGCGTTGGTGAGATCTTCATGGGATGGGGATTGCGGTAGAGAGATGTCGTATATTGATAAAAGGCCTTGAACTTCTTCACGAACGGCTGCAGCCCACAATGGGTCAGATGAAAGAAACATAATGAGCCATTTTCCTGTAATACATCATTAGATCCTGAGCTTCGATAACATTCATGAATATTTGACAGGTACCAATTGTCCCCGTGGAACGAGCTCCCGCCAAAGGAAGGGCTATCATGAACTTGAAGGAGTGTCAGCATTGATGTTTGGTTTTCCAAAGTCAACGTAAAGTCAGAAGAGAAAATGCCTTACTCTAGTTGTGTATTCTTCAGTCTGGTTGCTGTCCACGAGCTGTTGTAGCGCATCTGGTCTCGAAGGTCCACCGTTGATCCTCTTCCGAACAATTCTTTTAAAAGTGAGATATAGATTTGCAGCAGCCCATATTCTTCGGAACCTGGCAGGACCATATATCCAAGGGAGATGGATTAATAATGGCTCGCTGGAGGAATCCAGAGTGTCAAACCATCCTTTTAAGCGAGACACCAGGGCTAAGTCATCGGCAATGTCGAATGTATTGAGAACTCGCATAATCATAACAAATGTGATCTAAAGTTGGATAGAGTCAGCTTTGTCAATCTTTTATAGTGCGGTAAGAACTCAATCATGCGTGCCAGTTTTTGAATTACCTACATCATAGATGGCTGAGCGGGGATCCAACAGACCTTGACTACCCCATGTATCCATTTTGCGCTGACAATCGGACAAAAGATAAGGAATCACTAGTCTTATATGAGAGAATGTAGATAATTTGACAGGTAGGCTGCGAACTTACTGAAGGTCAAATTATCGGATTTCTGGAGAATCAAGAGACGTCTATAGAATGAATCGATTTGATTAACATGATAGCCCTTGGGTATCTAAACATGTTAGGGCCAGTCAGTACCAAAGGCCAACTTGAGATGTGCACCTTAGCACTATAGATAACTATTCAGGGGACTTACAGACTCCAGTACAAGTTGAGTACCTTGATAAATATCAAGACCAGGCTCCTGCAAAATCATTTGCCGCCCTTCTTCTCCAGAAACAGCGATCACACGGTGCTTGAGTAAGTTAAACTGAAACACCCATGATCCTGTCTGTTTGAAACCTTCTCTAAGGAAGTCGAACCGCTTCCTGTAAAATCCTTTCACAGTTTGCACTTTGGGTAGGTTCAGAAGGGAAGGAGCATTCCCATCTTTGTGAGGGGGGAATTCTTGCCCATTCCAGAATGAAGACGGACAGGAAAAGGTAAGAAGGAAGATAGCTGTAACAGCTAGCACAATGAAGGCCCGAATGTTGGTTGAAACACAGACAAAAAAGGTCAGAGATACTGGAAATAAAGTAAACTCAGCCATTTTTTTGGCTTGCGAAGTGGATTGATAGAGGCTTTGGGCTCGAATGATGCCGGTGAACTAGATAATGTATAAACCTCAAAGTGCTTCGAAGTACTTGAGAACTTGCACAGTAGATACACCTACTTATACCCAAGCAGCTACCTAGTTTCTGAGCTACTATGTACTTACGTTCTGTCCTGCACTTGATGTCCACATACGCCATAATTCTGCTCACACATCGGGCATGCGGCATATAGATGTCATTTGCACTTCCAATTCGTCGCCTGGTTGTCTCAAATAGGTCTGGTAGAGTATTGGCAGTAATTTCGCTGTAAATCTAGCTTACTTTAATCCAAAAAACCCCACCTATACGAGGGTAACGGGGTCCATATTGTTGTGACTGTGACTTGATCTTGTCTGAAAGAGTCCCCGTGGATGTCTCATTTTCTCAATACCCACGGCTATCATACCATTGTTAACTTAGCTCCATGCATATCTTTGAGAGATTTGGAATATCTTTATCAAAATTTTGAAAATTTCCGGATTTCTGTGGATACTCCGCAACCGATAGTGCTGATTGCACCATCTAGTAATGACCCTAAACCACTTCCAGTTATTGTAGCCTCGCGAAGGTGCTTCCGACACTTTCATATGAGCCCAATTAGGCCTAGGTGCAGAATTCCAGTGAGGTGTGGGGGCCTCGCATAATGATACATCCTCGGCTTCCTTGGTCTTTCCTTATCGGGTATCCGCGTCTACCGGATCTAATTGGTCTGGGTGCAGCTACGATATAACTGGATCGAACAATTCAATTAAAAATTGTAGCTCCGAAACAATAATGTAAGGGCCACGTGGATACCTAAATTGTTCCATGCAGTCTACATAATATAAGGAGTAGCACCTTCCACATTAATCATGGCCCCATTTCTCTGGGGCACAGTGGCTCAGCGCTAGCACATACATGAACCGCTGTGGATACTTCCAGTGATAGTCCAAGAAACGTGTTAATATACTACTTACTAAGTCATATATCAGGCACCCAGTTCTCCCTCTACATACTAAATGGAGCCTATGGGGAGTGCTATTTGTGTACCTCACGCAATTCAGTTATGGCTTCGGTCTTATGCACAACTTCATCTTGACTATCACGCCTTACCACAGCATTATTGGTTCCCGATAAGGACCTCGGGAAATTTGATGACTGCATGTGCCTCGCATATACCACGTCAAGTCTCCTGCATGCAGTTATATTAAACCACTATAATACATGTCGGATGAACTGAGTACAAGGAAGAAAACCGCATGTATTGACACTAGAAAAAATTCAACAATTGATCAGGAGGTAAGCAACCTTCACAAGAGCAGGAAGCCGTCTTATCCTTGGCAACTTGAAGTCTTTTACGAAGGACCTTCAAAGCGTAATCATCATTCGAAAACTCCATCATATGCGCACCCTCGGGTATTGGTCCACTCTTCCCCTCAATCGGAAGCCCCTGTATGGCACACGCGTCGAAGTCGATAATGACAACCTCCTCGCCATCTTTGGTTTTGAACATCACGTTGGAATCACGGATATCGTGATGGACAAGATTGAGGGAATGAAGATGTTTGAGTCCTGCCTCGATCTGATGACAACAGCTGTCGATATCGATCTGATGCTCCGTGTTTCTAGGTCCATGAGCTCTTGCGCGTACTTTTCAAAACAAAGTCCGGTGATTCTGCCATCTTTCACCACACATCCATGACAGCGAGCGATATTTTCGTGTGGGTTTTTCATCAGAACCTCGCAGATTTTCGCTTCTTTGAGTAGGTTCCTGCTGAGACCGGGTGAACCGGAGTAGCTAGACATACCAGGTTGCTTGATGTAGACGTTCGGGCTGTCTGGAAAAGAACATATTGTGAGGTCATCCTCATGAAGAGGCCAGAGATGCTCATTTGGGATTTTGGTCAATTCATTGGGACTGTCGATTTCTGCCGGGTTGCTAACGCGATCGGGTAGTTGAGCCGCGAAGTAGTCGTCGCCATCCTGGAAGATGATCTTTTGTGTATAAGAATTTCATTTCAGCACCATGATCCCAACCCTCGGACATTGAATGGTACTTCATTTTGTTGATTTAACGCCTTGAGTCTTGAAGTGAACGGATCAAAATGAGATTTGCAACTGGCATGCCAGTCAGCGAGCTTAAATAGCTTAAATACAGACTTGGGGCTTGGGCCGCCAGATCACCTGAGCATGCCCAGTAGTTGTGATTGGAATTGTGACACAGCATGAAGCGGTGAACCACTGAGCTTCAGACTTTTAGACAGAGAAGATATGCCGCCGCAATCAAGGATCCAAATCGCGTACGTGCAACGTTCGAAATGTACCTACATGAGATTTTTGAAATGGCTCCCAATCGGATAAACAGTATACAATAGCATTTGTCCATATGAGATACATAGCTGCAAGACGCAATGACTGTCGAAGAAACATCGCACTTAATTCCAATTATAGTCTCGAAATCTTACAGCTCATCATGCTCAGCCTCAGGCTTATTCCCGACTACAATACCCTCAGGCAGTTTCTCCTTGGCACCCTCGCCGAGTCTGATAGCATCAAACCAAGACTCAACGGGGGTGATGCCGAACTCCCCCTCGGCACTGTACCGACGCCACCAGCCACGACGGGCGTTTATGACGATTAGCTCCACTTCATCAACACCATCGAGACCCAATGCGGTACGCAAGGTCTTGGAGGCAGTGTTGGTTTCGGGGATGGCGTAGACAGGGAAAATATCAACGCCGCGCAGGGAGTGTTTGTGTGAGATCTCGGCGAGACTAGACAGCGCGTCGGTGGCGGTGGAAGAAAGCGCGTCTTCTTCGCCTGTCGCAGGGAGAAGGGCTAGCACGCAGGTCTTCGACTTGGGTTCTAGACAGGCAGCACCGAGAGATTCGGGAGTGGCTAGGGCAGGTACTGGGGGTGCGACGGGGACCTCTACGGGCTTGGTTTCGGGGGTCGGGGTGGGTTCCTCTGCATCTTCGGCGACAGACGTCGGCTTGGTTTTGGGCTTAGGCTTAGCCTTGGAGTTTGCGGGCGCGGCCTTTCCAGTGGCGTCTGGGTTAGGCTCGGCAAATTGACTCAAGAACTTGAGGATAGGCTGCTTCTTCAGCTCGCCATCAAACACCGTAGGCTCTGCATCACCACCAGGTACCACGACCAGGGTTGGGAACTGCTCCACGCCGAACTTCTCCACGGAGCTAGTTTCCTTGTTGCGGACCTGGGCGACGTCAATGGCGCCTAGGAAGTCAATCGCCAACGCGCGGATGAGTGAGCCGGTTGTGCCCTTCTCCGTGAAAAGAATGGCCTTGGGTCGCTCCTCGTTCTGTCCCAGCCAATTGTCCAAGTCCTTGTCCGTTGCGCGCTTCACGTGGTTGGGAATGCGGTCCACCACCGCGTCGACGATGCCCTTCGCGGTGCGCGGGCCCTGGTAGTCCTCCACACGTGGCTTTCCGGGTTTCTTCGAGGGGGTCACGATCTTGAGGGTTGGGAAGCCCTTGACGCCCATTTGCCCGCAGAAAGGCTTGTTCTCGTCCTCATCGCAGTTGATCGCAGCAACCTTGGCCAGACCGTTCAGATTTTGCGCGGCTTTCTCGTAGGCGGGTTTGAGGTTCTGACAGTGGCCACACCAGGGCGCATAGAATCTAGAGAGCGTGAAAGGTCAGCGTGAGGATCTTGGAGTTGTTGACAGTGCGGGGATTGCTTACTCGACGATCTAGAAGAATGTTAGCGCATTCGATAGATTATTTTTTAAATAGCTTCATAAGAAACAATCATCTCACCGAAGTGTGATTTGAGTTCGCAATGAGCGATCCGTAAGTCTTTTGGTTCAGCTGGAGCACCGGGGACTTCTGGGTGTAAATGCCATCGGCGTTAGCAGGCAAAGCTGCCAGTAGCGAGGCAACAAGCAGGAAAGAGCCTGAGGGCAACATGATGAGAAAACAACGAAGTTGAATTTAAGCGACCGCAAAGGCACCCGGCTCAGTAGAGCGTTAAATAAGAAAATCTGGTCAGGTTGATAATTACGCAAGGTGTCCTGAAGCTCTTGGCATGCGGAGGGAAAAGCTTCTCCAATTGGAAGCTCAAGCCTTTATTCCTTCGCCGCACAATTATGCTACAGCCTTGCACTTCGCAAAATGATGATCTGGCCTTTTTACCTCGGGATATCTTCTGGTTAATCATCGACTATTTGGCCCCTACAGATCTCGTCCGTTGTCGCCGTGTTTCTCGGTCATGGAACGAAGCATTCGGCAATCCGGCCATCTTGGTCCCACTCATGAAAAGACACTTTCCTTGGACAGATGAAGTCAAAACACTACCTGATAGCTTAGAGTCAAAAAGCTGCAGGGCTCGCCATCTTTTTGATCAAGTCACTGCGCGATATCACCATTTGGAACACGGGAAGCCCCGTTCCATACAAAAGTACCGCCTGTGTGACGACTTCGGAGGTGCAGGGGACCGGGAATGGTACCAGGTGCAGCCATGGGAGTCGCACGCGAGTCATATCAGGCAAACTGTGGACCGCCAGTTCTCCGAGGCGCTGTGGACACACGAAGATGGACTACTAGTCTACCCCAGTGCCCATCACCAATGCCTGGTGCTGATGGACTTAAGCAATGACCGAAGCTTCATGGTTCCTTTCATCATTTGCGGAAGAGTAGTCCGTAGAGTTCGATTGCAGAAACGGCTGTTGGTTATCGAATGGGCAGAGCCGAAAGCATTCCACTGGCTGAACGACAGTGATGGTGTGCATCGCCATTATGCATCATCATTCGACCTGAAGCGAAAATCTGATGATGGCTGGAATATCATCCCTCGCAACCAGTGGAAGATCATGTTTTTGGGACATCCGCTCAGTGAAAGAGATCGATTCTTCTCTGCGCATAGTGACACCTATTACGTGATCTATATCTGGCAGCCCAACCGCAGCCTATACACTGCAGACGAAGATGCTCCTATTGAGTCATTGTTTGTGTGGGATATTTCCAAGACATCTTCATATCAGCCATCACTAGACCCTACGGGACGCCAAACAGGTCCAGATGTCGACCAGTCTCCATCCATCGTGGCTCGGTTTGGTTTCCGGGACCTCGAATTCTTCGGCGTGCGCCAACGCGGTTGCCCAAGTATTCAGCGACTCGAAGTCACCGACGATGGTGAATCAATCATAATAACAGAAAACCTCAACACCTGGCTAACATCTCCTGACCCTCTTGGTCTCCCTCTGGCCATAAGAACCAGCATTCCATTGAAGGGGTATGGTCCTCATTGGCGACAAGAAAGTAACATCCTCGTGCCACCCTACCGCGGTAACTGCAGTCTACAGACAACGCCCGTGAGCGCTATGGCTTTGTTTGTCGATAGCTGGTATGGTATTCTTGCACAAGTGACAGATCCGAATGCCGGGCTCAGTTTCTGTTTGCATTTCGATCCTGTTCAGTGGGATTCAGATGCAAGAGATAATGAACATAAGGACCAGACTATAAAGTTGTCTACGCAGACCATGCATACTAAGGTGATCAAGGAGAATCAAGATTTCGCCGGCCGAGGGAAGATAAGTGGTTGTGAGAGATATCTAGTAGGGGAGAATCGTAATAGGGAACTGGTTATCTATAGATTTGATCGATGAGGACATGAAATCTCACTCCATAGCAAAATGCGCCTACTTGGATATAAGTACTCAAACTGCGTGCTAGTAAAAAAGTAGATTGGTTCATATTTCCTGAATAGATTTTGACGCAAAATGAACATCTTTCTAGCTAGTTCTCTCTAGGCCTCAGTGTTTCATTTCAAAAAGCAGAAAGCACAAAGTAAATCAAAGCTGGTGGTGTCATTTTCCAGGTCCCATAATCAATTTAGGAGCTCATCATTCGTCATGCGCATACTTGCAGCGAACACATGCTTTTGTACCACAGGATGGGCAGGTCAAGGTAGAGACCTGCATCCAGAGGTGACAAACTTCACACTCGGAATATCCAAAGGATCTGCTCCAGGTTCCCCGGTGTGAGCAGTGCAGTGTACTTTTCTCTAGGTCTGGCTGGACGATTTTTGCGGGAAGTCGGACATCTTCAACTTGATGACCAAAAAACTCTTGGAAAACACCTCGCATCTCTAGATGCATATCCTCGACAGTGTAGCAGGTGCCAGATTCCCTTAGTTTCATGGCGAAGAAAGGAATGTACGGCTCCAGCACGTCTGAAGTTTGATCGTTTGCACTATGGTCAGACATCTCTGTAAAGTGAGGATCTTCTTTCTCGGTAGCAGCATCGGAATCGATAGGCACGTGAGCTTTTTTCCCTTTGGGAGGGTTGGACCTAGCTTCATACTCCTGTTCTTCATCGCTCAGATCGATCAGGAGGCTCGGAATGTCGGTCACCATGTCAATGTCTAAGCCGGCCTCGGAATAACCAGAGTCATCGGCTTCGTTGCATTGGGGGAAGCAGGAGCGAGGTTCATATGCTTGTTCATCGCCAGTAAGATCGATAAGGTGGCCCGAGCCAATAGCTGAACGTGCCTCGGTTTCAACACCAGGCCAGTGTTTCTCATACTCCATGTTCCAAATGTTGTCTTTGTCATACTTTATCTTCCCGGTATTGCATGAATCTTCAGAAGATTCGTCATCAGTATTTTGGAACATGGAATCCACATCCCCTGCTGACTTCCCACCCTGCGCGGCATGTGCGTGAAGCCGTTCCTCTGCTTCTTGCACGTCGGAGTCAATATAGCCATGCCCGATCGCGTTTTCATCGGTATCTGAACCTGAAATCTCACCCAGTATCGGTTCCTGGTCTGCCGCCATGTGGGTTTCCGTGGCCTGTCTGCGGAATTCCTCCGTTGCCTTTTCGACCTCGGGATCGATACCGGCAGTCCTCTTTACCCACTCGTCCATCTCCTCTGCGTATTGAGCCATTGAAACACGTTCCAGTCAGAATCTTCGTCCATGTGAATGTCAGTGCCGAAGCTGTACTTATGACCTTCATTGGAGTCGGGAGAATTCCAGGGCTGATAGTCTTCCTGCGGAGGACATCCATCCCAATTCTGCGGATTGTCAGAGGAATGGTATCGTTCTCCATTTCCACGATAGGCAGGGTAAACTTGCAAGGACTCATCATAGCAGCGGCGGCGCTTACGGTTGCGGAGAATGTATCCCGCTTCCTGAATCTGAAAAGGCCATGAGTACGGGGATACAATTCAATTGAAACGTCAAAATAGATATGCAGAGCTAGAATTGGAATAAATATTGATCGCACCTGGTAGAAGATATCGAGAGAGGCAATATCGCCGCCTGTCTTGTCGGGATGGTGCAAGAGGACCAACCTTCTGAAGGAAGCATTGATCTCCTTTTCAGTGCAACCAGGCGGGACTTCAAGAGTCTGGTAGTGGTTGGCTGGGTCTGAAGAGAGCGGCATTCTAGTGGTTAGAAGTCGATGTATTTGTAGTCGAGATGATGGGTAGTTTAGAATAAGGCCTTGGTTATGCCGAAGAGTTTAGGAAGTTGATAAATATATGATGCTGATCACATATAGATAGGTTCAGGAAGTGCATTGGAGTGGGTGTTAGAGGTGAATTACGACCTTCCATCGTCCACTGAAATGTTGGGGTATTGAAGCAGAATTGACTGTGCAAGTGAACAGACCACTTCACTGCGCTGTGACGTCGTCGGATTTAAGGCTTGAAATGCAGATGGAGAAGAGACATCTGGAAGCTCACGATATCCTCGAACTTGAAAGCAGGATGAGAAATGACTGAGGAAGATGAAAGGTGGTTCCCAGGTGTGAAGTTGGCAAACTTCTGATATGTACCACATTTCAAGGTTCAATGAGAATTGGCTACAAAATCTTCAGCAAAGTTATATTGTGGGTGAAGCCGGTTATACCGGAAACACATAGGAAAATGGAATGGATTGACACTGATTTTACAAAAAACGTCGATCTAAATATCAACAAGTCTACGCCAAAGGAGACTTCCCATAAGAGCCCGTTAAGGCTCTTACATGTCGGCGGAGGCGGTGGCACCGGTAATAATCTCAACCAGCTCACCGGTAATGGTAGCTTGACGCTGACGGTTGTACAGAATCTGGAACCTGTTGAAGTTGTTAGCATGAAAGAGTTGGAAACAGGGGGTAAATGTAAACATACTTCTGGATCATCTCACCAGCGTTCTTGGAGGCGTTCTCCATGGCGTTGCGACGAGCCTGGGAGCTGTGTCAGCAGAGGAAATCATATTTTTTTGCAACATGGGATAGTGATAAACATACAGAGATCTCACAAGCGTGACCCTCAGCCATAGCCCAGAAGATGTTGTTGGCGAGAGCGTACTCGCGGAGACCAGCCAGAGCCTCGTCGTCAATCTCGAAAGCGGAGATGTTGGCTGGACATGTTGTCAGTATTTTCGAGCTTGAAATTTCTCTCAGGGGTGGATGAAAAACGTACCGGACTGGGTGATAGCCTCCTCGGAGTAGGCCTCGGAGACGGTGGCCTCGTAGGTCTGAGCGTTGACGAACTTGTTGTAGATGACCTTGACGCTGCTGTAGTCGGTAGGCAGCAGGGCGATCTGGTCGGCGACAGCCTGAGCATCGGCGAAGGTGGGGATGTCCTTGCAGACGTTCGAGAAGGAGAGGAGGATCTTCTCGGGAGCGAAACGCGACAGCTGGGCCTTGCCCTTCTCACCGAGGATAACGAGATCGGCCTCGGGGTCCTCGGTCAACAGACGGCGAGCAGCCTTGCTCAGACTGGAGTGGATACCACCGCAAAGACCCTTGTCGGAGCTAGCGACGACGTACAGAGTCTTCTTGCCCTCGATGGGCTTGGTCTCGGCCTTCTCGAAGACGGTGTTGGAGGTCTCACCGTAGACACGAGACTCGTCCATAGCTCTCTGGGCGCGAGTAAGACGGGTAGAGGCAACGACCTTCATGGTGTTGGTGATCTTCTGGATGTTCTTGATGGACTTGAGGCGGCCCTCAATCTCACGCAGAGTCGCGAAGTTGGCGGCATTGGGCGGGGCAGTGCTTGGGTGGGAGTTAGCAATGGAGGACGAATTGATTGATTATCGAGGCGATTGAGCTTGTTTCCTCTGGGTAGCAGGGGTGGCATTCGTCGTGGTGATGTTGAATTCGGCTGGTGAAAGGACCGAACCACTTCAGCGGGCATCGGAAGAAGACTTACCGGGTGACAGCAGCACTGCCAGCCCTGAGGACCGGGCGGGCGGCACGGGAGAACATTTTGTAGGATTAGGGGGTTACGAACGGAAAAGTTCGAAACTGGGGGAAGAGATGTAGGAAGGAGCAGGGAATGCCAGAAGACCTCACTGGTTGCTGGGAGTTGCGATGGTCGGGAAGTGCGAAGTTGAACTCCTGGCCGTCCCATGCGCTAAACCGTAATGGGGAAGAATCTACGGCGTACCATTCCGGCTTCCGGCGCACTTTGACCTTACTGCCTTATATATCGGGCATGAATTTCCGTAACATGATTACATAACCAAATCAATCAACAATCAACCAGTGAGCTAGCCATTCCCGGCCTCAGGCAGTCCATGAGGTAACGAATCTCATTTTCCATTCCATTCCCTCCATTCCCCCAAACTTTACCTTTGCTTGTGAACTTGGGTGCTGCGGATTCCCTGCCCCCAATCTTCTTAGCGTTTCATTTCCCCCACACTTTTCAACTTCTCTTCAGTTCTCGCATCATTGAATGCATTATTTGACTTAGCATTTGTTTGCCCTCTGTTCATTGGTCAAAATTGCCTTCAATCCGTTCTTCTATCAAGCGGCTCGTTTTGCCCGACTCGGCGCACGAGGCTACGTGCCTTCGATCATCCCTCGTTTGTTTCACTCTCGCCCTCGGTCTCCGATTCCAGTGCTTCAACCCACGATGAGCTCCTCAGAGGATGACATGCCTCTTGCTCGCGCAAATGGGCGCGCAAAGGGTAAGTCTGCCACCGGGTAATTCGGTTCTATGTACAACACCCTCGGATCTTATTCTCAGTATACGAGCCTGTGCTTTCCCCGGGAATATTTACCTTCTCTACTTCATCTCACCTTCAAACTCATCTTCCCATTCTCTCATCCTCGCCTTATCTTGTTTGCTTCTCTCCTTGTCATCTCTACCTCGCGCTTACCTAACATGGGAATTGTACTAGCAGCCTCCAACTCAGCTACCCCGAAAGAAAACGGTAACGGTAATCTTGACGCGGGGATTTCGGTCCGATTTGGTGCCGTGCAAAGCAAGGACGTTGAGATGGAGGATGCGGATGCGCCCAGCGCGGGCAAGCGGAAGTCTCGTACTAGCATTGACCAGAAAAAGTCATATGTCGAGCCGGATAGCAGCGAGGAAGAGGACAAGCCCCTGGTACGCCATACCCTGCTCTGATGAGCAAGTTTGGATCGCGACTTTGTCGCATATGGTTTCAGCGACTGACCACTCGACAGAGCAAACGCCGGCGAACATCGGTCAAACACGAAGACCCTGAGACCGATGATGACGTTCCTCTGGCTTTGAACGGACGCAAACTTCCTAAGGCCTCGGAAACTGCCGTCGGAGAGGAGTCCGACTCAGATGTCCCAATTGAGAGGAAACTATCTGCACAGAAGAAGAGAATCGAACAAAAAGCCGCCCGTCAGGCGGCTCCGAAGAAGGAAACCAAACCTGCTGCAGCAACCAAGAAACAGGCCAACGGTGTGAAGAAGGAGCCAGTCGATGGCAAGTCTGCCATCAAGAAGGTGAAGGCCGAATCGACCGCCCCGAAGAAGATTGCTAAGGTGAAGGCCGAGAGTGAAGATGCGGACGAGAAGGGCGATGAGGAGGAAGAGTACAAGTGGTGGGAGGACCCTACCAAGGGCGACGGTACCAAGAAGTGGCAAACTCTGGAGCACAGCGGTGTTGTTTTCCCACCCCCGTATGAGCCCTTGCCGAAGAACGTAAAGCTCGTGTACGACGGAGTTCCAGTGACACTTCACCCTGATGCCGAAGAAGTCGCCGGATTCTTTGGAGGCATGCTGAATTCCACACACAATGTGGAAAATCCTGTATTCCAGAAGAATTTCTTTGCGGATTTCAAGGACATCCTGAAGACGACCGGTGGAGCGAAGGACGCCCAAGGCAATAAGGTTGAGATCAAAGAGTTTAGCAAGTGCGATTTCAGGCCCATCTTTGAATACTATGATGCTCAACGCATGGAAAAGAAGAACATGAGTGCCGCCGAGAAGAAGCAGCTAAAGGCCGAGAAGGATGCGCAAGAAGCTCCTTACCAGTACTGCATTTGGGATGGTCGCAAACAAAAGGTCGGCAACTTCCGTGTCGAACCTCCTTCACTTTTCCGTGGACGAGGCGAGCACCCTAAGACCGGTCGCGTCAAGACCCGTGTACAGCCCGAACAAATCATCATCAATATTGGCAAGGAGGCCACTGTGCCGCCACCTCCACCCGGCCATAAATGGAAAGAGGTGAAGCATGACCAAGAAGGAACATGGCTTGCCATGTGGCAGGAAAACATCAATGGCAACTACAAGTATGTCATGTTGGCCGCCAATTCTGATGTCAAGGGCCAGAGTGATTACAAGAAGTTTGAAAAGGCCCGTGAACTCAAGAAGTATATCGAGAAGATTCGTAAGGATTATCAGAAGGCCCTGAAGCATGACTTGATGGTGGAGCGCCAAAAAGCTACCGCCGTCTATCTCATTGATCAGTTCGCCCTTCGTGCTGGAAATGAGAAAGGCGAGGATGAGGCCGAGACTGTCGGTTGCTGCTCGCTCAAATACGAGAACATCAGCTTGAAGCCTCCGAACACTGTTGTCTTTGATTTCTTGGGTAAGGATAGTATTCGGTTCTACGACGAAGTCAAGGTTGATCCACAGGTTTTCAAGAACCTGAAGATCTTCAAGAAGGCACCCAAGAAGAATGGCGATGAAATTTTCGACCGATTGACCGTATGATTGAACCCGTCCATGTGGATTATCATTCAGCTAACAGCGAACAGACCTCTGCTCTCAACAAACACCTACAGAACTACATGCCTGGCCTTACTGCCAAGGTGTTCCGTACTTACAACGCCTCCTTCACGATGAGCGAGGTGCTGAAGGAGATGAAGGCGGCCGGTACAATTCCAGAAAAAATCAAGGCCTACAACGATGCCAACCGCAAGGTGGCCATTCTGTGTAACCATAAGCGAACTGTCACTGCTGGCCATGCCAATCAGATGGAGAAGATGGGTGAACGGGTAAGTTTCATCTCATTCAACTTGAGGCTACACAGAGGCTGACCTGTTTCACCTTATAGATCAAGGGACTGCGTTATCAAAAATGGCGGTTGAAGCAACAGATGCTCGACTTGGAACCCAACCTGAAGAAGAAGAAGGGAGCCTCGTTCTTTGAACTTGACGAGGACCTCACCATGGAATGGATCAAGGAACACCAGGCCTATTTGTTAGAGGAACAAACTCAGAAGATTAAGAAGAAGTTTGAAAAGGACAACGAAAAGCTTGCAGCCGATGGTGAGAAGGAGATGAAGGCGTCTGAGCTTGACGAGCGCCTTGAGACTGTCAAGGAGATGGAGAAGAAATTCAACAAGGAGAACAAATCTGGCAAGGTGGAAGCTGAAGGCAGAGGCCCAACTGTGGAGAAGATCGAAGCCGCCATTGCGAAGCTTGACCAGCGCGTCGAAACGATGTCCCTCCAAGCTCAGGACAAGGAAGATAACAAGGAGGTCGCTCTTGGTACCTCAAAGATCGTAAGTCTTCTCGTGACACCCGCAATTATGGGCATGCTAACAGCATTTACAGAATTACATTGATCCTCGCCTCACTGTTGTATTCAGCAAGAAGTTCAATGTCCCAATTGAGAAATTCTTCTCCAAGGCACTGCGTGAGAAGTTTGAGTGGGCTATCAAGTCTGTTGAGGAGGATTGGGAGTTCTGATTGAATTTTCCCCCACATCTGCAGCGTACCTCATTTTGATCCAATTTTTTTTACTTACTTGAACAGTACCCACAAACTGTTCTGTTTTGCTTTTTAGCATTATCATTTTACCTTTTCTTCCAAGCTCTTTTTCTTCTGCTAGCACGGGCTTCAAGGCAACCCGTACATAACAGGAGATGGTGTCGGCCTATAGCTTATAGCTCTTGAGGAAAACCGTACGCCAGATCAACAACACAAAAGAAAAAAAAAGAGAAACAAAACCACGCTTGAAAGAAGCATCTGTACTTTTTTGATTTGCATTACCGATCCGTTCTGTTCACGTCTAGTGTTGACATTGTCAATAGAGAAACGATACAGAAATGGGAAGATCGCACTGTATTCCAAGGTTTTATTCGCTGCACTGCAACTGTTTCTATAGATTTAGAAGGAAAAAGCACAACTTCTTGAATACATTCGACGGTGTCTAAGGTTTAAACGTAGTAATTGGACTGATCTAGCTAGTCTGGCATTCTAGCTTCAAAGACTTCACGTGCCTATATGTAGCTATTTAACCTTCTACGGTTCAAGCCTCAAGGTTGAACGGATATCATGAAACAGTATTCGTTTCATTTCCTTCACAATGAATACTTATTACATTTCCCATCAACAACAAAAGTAAGGCTATCTGGTTTGAGCATTTCATTAACTAGTGAGCTCGTGTTCAGGCGGCTTCGATGCAGAGCTGTGGAGAACACAATAGCAGATGAATGTTAGATGCTCTTCCTCGGCCTAAGTGAAAAGCGTTGAACTCATTTCCTGATAGATAGCAGTGTCATAACTCCCAAATAATCTGTTGATAACGTTAGAATGTGAAAATTTGTAGATTTTTCAAAAACTTGCCGTTCATGAAACTCGGTCACAGCATCAAGTGCTAAGAAAGTGTCCAAATCTTGAAGAAAATGTGAGGGCTCCGGATGATGCGGAAACATACCCCATTCCATCAGCTGGAAGAGAACCTCGGAAATAATCTTCTCTCCAAATCCTGCACTTCCAATAGCTTGTAGCACTTTCATACACTGTGAGATATTCTGTAATTGCTTTTCTGCCTTCGTAAGGGCGAAAACCGACAGGAATATCTGGAGAATGTCAAGAGCATAGTAAAAGTCCAAAGCAATGATCTTTGAATCAAAAATTTCAAGGACCATTCTTTCCAAGATTTCTAACATCTGTTCAGCGGAACTAAGAGATAGGGCTGTGATTTCGTTGAGAAATGAGGACTCAGGAGGCCCCCGTTGATTCTTTTGACACAAAAGCTGGTATAGAATAACAGGTCGGCCCACCAGTAGCTGAATACCGTGATATCTGAGATGTAGAATGGAAATGGGCCGACGTAGTAAAGGTGCAGTGGGCACTGCGAGTCTCAGGTGAGGTGGGAGTGAAACCTCCCAGTTTGTAAGGGACTTTATGATGGATTGAAGCGTTTTCATCTGTACGAAGGAGCCACTGTAGAGACCCTTTCGAACTACTTTCGCTAACTGACTAAGACTGCCACATGCAGCTAAGTATCCGGATGGGGTGTATGCTCCGGCCGAGAGAATCTAAGGACCGATTGGAATCAGCATGAAAGAAAGGGTTTGGACTTCTATCGTACCAGTTCAGAGGGTAGACACGTCTCCCACGAATCAGAGGTTGCAGATGGTTTTCCCAGCCTCTGGGACAAGTCTTGATCAAAGACCACGAGAGACCACCATACGCGACGCGCATGTTCTTTCTCCACCAAACCATATGCAGCGCAGTATTTGTCGCGGTGTATGCCGAGAGAACAGGCAATCTGTACGGCGAGACTGGTATAGAGGTACGCAGGGTTGGAAAATCCATGCGATTGAGTGGCCGTTGCCTGTGAATGCACATTAGTGAAAGTTGAGCTGAACTAGTGTCTCAAAACTTACCAAAAGTATCATGGCTCGCACACTGTCAAGGCTTCCTTCATCACATACAGCGGATACGAGCGATTTTGCGTGTTCGAGAAACTCAGTTGGTGAATGAGAATCCATCTCATTCTCTTCTGGCCTCTCAAGACTTGAAACTGCCAGTATTGAATATAGTGAACATCTCCAGGAAGCCTTTGTATCCTGCTGTGGATCACGATAGGTCTCCTCGAGCTGAATGTGGAATCTCTCCGGGGAGTAAAGCCAGTATAAGCAGTGGACTTCTTCGAAATATCGCATGACTAGTCTTTGACAGATATCCTGAGGAGGCAAGGACAAGTTCTCATGGGACTTCTGATCAGGAAGTGGCATGTTAACGGTCACCATCCCGGCAATAACATCTGGCGTGGTAGGAATCTGGAAGCCTTCGCTTTTGAAACAGCGTATAATAGCATTGAACGGCAACCCCGATTCGGCCCCCATGTATCCTGTTCGGTCATCAGCTTCATTCTCACTATATTTGCTTTGAATATGAGCAACAGGTGACATACGAAATTCCCCCTGAGAGTCGGCGAGTAGACATCCAAATTGCTGATGCAATTGAAAGACATCCCGTAATATGGTATCCTCAGATTCGACCTGAGGATCGGGATGGAATTCTTCCGGATGATCATCTATGTTTTCTTCGCCAGATATCGGCAGGCTGTAAGGCACAAAGGGCGACAGAGAGGCAGGGGAAGCAGGCACCGCTAGTGGGGATGCGTCGGTTTTATTGTATTCCAATGCAAGAGCCCGGAGCTTTTCAGGCGTCAGATCTGTATTTGGAAGAAAATGCTTCAAAATGTCTTGCATATCTCGAAATTGATCTTCCGATACAAAGTAATATGGTCTTTGTCGTCGTTTTGCGGGATCAATTTGACATTCTACTCCAGTGTTGCGGCAGTAATCGCAAGGGCCAGGAACTAGACGAGGCTAGAGTTAGTCTTCCGAGGCAAAATTCCACAATATTCACCATTTCGAGTCAGGATTGGAGAGTGAAAATTACCCGGATTCTTGCACTGTGAATTGCCGAGCGATTAGGTTCATCATCGTCAACATCTGTCTTATTGGCAACGTACCTTGGTTTTTCGGCTCCGACATCGGTCACAGCTCATTGTAGTCCGACTCGCTCGTGGTTTTCGGGTAGCCATGGGGTGCATGGGTTGACATAACGAGAAGATCTATGCAGGTTGAGACAAAAGGTGGTCAAAAGCTGGGGAAAATGTGGGGTTTGCGGGGAGATCGGTGGGTTCAATGTCTCCCCACTTCGGCACTTCCAAGGTTGTTGGGGTTATTCTACACTAGATAAGGACTGGTGCTGTTTCAATGGTTAAATGAAACATATATGAACGGAGAGATGGCTGATTTGTGTAACTTAATGCAAATTATGAAAACATTGAACTCCTCTCTACTTCAGATGTCTAATCTGTCAAAATTCTTGCAGGTTTAGCAGTGCTTGGGTCTTCCATCCACTTTGGGGCCTGCATGTCCACTTCCGCCACATCCCGACCAGTGACAGGATGTTTGTAGTGGAAAGGAATCACTCTCGTATCAGGCCAAAGTGCCTCGTCAGAAATCACCTCATTTGGACCTAACGGATCCACCGGGAAAGTCTCCTTGTACAAAGGAACATAGTTGGTCGCGTTTTTCCAGCCCGTCTCCACAGTCCCATGCCAGAATGGATAGTATCGCAGACGAAGGATCTTCCACACCCCATCTTGAATACAGTATTCATTTTCGTATAGACCACCCTCGAACCATTGTCTGTGACCCCCTGGAAATTCGGCAGGCATCGATTCATGGGTTCCAGCACACATGAAGGCGCGAATTCGGGCCTTTGCTCGACCTGTTGATGCATCATAGGTGACAATATCTTGTGCCATAAGGTGATCAAGCAGCCAGCCGTCAATTGGGCCATTGCGACCAGCAACGAAACGACCACCAAACCGCTCCATATAAAGGCGCTGGACTCCTTCTTTTCCGGTGAAGCGGCCGTTCAAAAACTGGACGTAGGTGTCGGGATGGTCGGCGAAGAGCTCACTCACCTAGAGGATATTTCAATCTGCTTAGTTTTGATTTCAGGCATTGAGAGTTCAATTGATTGTAGACTCACCTCTTTGTAAAGGCACTTGTCTAAGTAGTACCCATACTTGTGGTGTAGCTTTCTGACCTCGGATTCGGCTGGATCCACGTCAACAACTTAGACAGCTCCGAAGCATAAGGCTACTAACCTTTCAAAGCGGTGACCTCATCTAGAAGACCTTTCACCTGTACGACCAGGTTTGCTGAATCAATTTCAGACATGCTTGTACAGTCAATGATGCGGATGAGGGATGATGATCAAGCAGTAAGCCGTTGAATTGACGTGAAGATCATGGAGTCAATCCATCAATTTATAATGTGCCTCTTCAGATACTCCAGGGGTATTCTCCGGGATACCAAGACTACAAGTGCCGTTCGGATGATTGAAGCCGATCTGAGGAAGCGTCACATGACACATCGGCAGCAATATGCGATTTTGTGATCTCTTGTGCATCGATGTTGAGGTCATCTGGATATTCTCCTCTTGACAAACAATCTTACATAGACTAGCTTGTCCTGCAGTCCAATTTACGTTCTTGCATGGATCCATATTCACTCCTAACGAGACCCGAAAGCCCCCCCCCCCACAACTCAAGTTTATCATCAATAAGGAACATGGCCGTCCACAAGCTCCTAACCTCTGAGATGAATATTATATCGTTAGTCAAAACGGAGAGTCGATTGGTTTGTATATCCATTTTCATTGCTTTGGCTCAATTCCAGTACGGCTATGACTCTGCCGCTGTTTCTGGCTTCCAGAGCATGCCGGGATTCCTCAAGATTTTCGGCTATGTCGACGTAAGTAAATTGACCTAAAGTAATTGTATAGAAATGGACTAACTCCTTCCAAAGCCTGGAACGGCTTTAGGTTACAATATCAGCACATCCGTCCAGACCTTAGTACAGAGCCTGATGCAAGTCGGAGGGCTCGTGTCATGCCTTGTCATCTTCAAATACGGGGCCTATATCAGCAATAAACGAGGCTTGTGGGCTGGATCCGCCTTTTCTGTGCTTGCAATCATCCTACAGATAAGTAGTACCCACCTTGGGGCACTCTATGCAGGACGACTGTTTCTTGGTATCTCCAACGGTTTTTACTTGACCTACTCGGCAACCTACCTCGGAGAGATTGCACCAGCACATCTACGTGGCTCTGCTGTGGGGTTAGTCACCTTTCAGACCTCTTTTGGGGCCCTGATTGGGATTCTGGTCGATAACTACACAACGAGCTATACATCTCGTGTATCATATCAGATCCCGCTGGGCGTCATGTTTGTGGTCCCGGCGCTGCTATCGATAGGATTGTTCTTTTTACCAGAGAGCCCGCGACATTATGTACGTCTCGGTTTAGATGAAAAAGCAGAAGATTCGATTCGCGCGCTGAGAGGGGTGCCCGACCGGGATCAACTTACAGCTGAGGTGTCAAGCATCAAAGAAGCATGGATCTTTGAAAGAGAAGCTAGCCAGTCTGTGCACCTGATTGACGTGTTCAGAGGCCCCGATCTCAAGCGCACAATCCTTAGTATTTGTGCTAGTGTTGGCCAGACGGCAAGCGGTATAATTTTCTTTTCCGGGTTCTCTGTCTACTTCTACGCCGAGGCTGGAGTCACCAACTATTTTGTCTGGGTCATGATGAGCTTGGCAATCGCTCTCACAGGAAACATGGGCGCTTTTGTTGTCATGAGATTTGTCGAGCGACGAATCCTTCTTGGAACATGCTCAGCCATTAATGCGGTAGTTATGTTCGTCATCGCTGCAGTCTACACTAGACTGAGTGTTGAGTCATACACGGCAGCACGCGTTTTGGTGGCGATGGGGACCCTTTTCACCTGGATTTATGGCATTGGACAGGGTCCTGTGCTATGGGCCCTTACAGTGGAGCTTCCGTCGCAACGCCTAAGATCAAAGACTGTTGGTCTTGCAACGGGCTTCAATTATATTTTTGGCTGGGTTGCAACGTACTGCACCCCTTATTTTATCAACCCAGGAGCACTGAATTGGGGTCCAAAATATTGCTATATATGGGGTGCCAGTAATGTGATCCTGGCTCTTTGGGCCTTTACGATGTTGCCAAACTTGAAGGGGAGGAGTTTGGAGGAAATATCTACCTCACTAGTGTCTCATCCAGAGACAAAAGGCACGGAGACAGGAGTTGTCATACAGCACTGCGAGGACGCTAGTTCTGAGTAAGAATTTCAACTCAACCGGAACAGTTGCCTGCACGTGTGTGGCGGGCTGTCTTTTTCTTGCTTGTCTCGGCATCTTCAATATCTATCATCTGTCTTTATTTAAGTTGTATTATTTCATCTTTATTTCCATCGCCTTCAAAATTATGATCGATTCGACTACTTCGTTTCTCTTTCTGAATAGCTCTATTCAAATGTACTAATCCGTGGCCTCACTTGTTCTTCTGGGGATCTTCTCTCTATAGTTTGTAGATTTCTGTCATGTGGATACTCAGATTGCTATTCACAATTATCTGACAACTGGAAACTATCAATCCTCTGGCTGTATCCAGTCTAGATCTCCAACGGAAGCTTGAACAACCTGATAGCATTCTCACGGCCAACTTGTTCTTTCTGTCTACCATCAAGATCCACTGTTCTCCACCATGCCTGGGCCTCTTCGATTTGATCATACGGCGTGTCTGTAAAGGTTTTAGCCCATAGCTCGCAGTATTTGATATCTCAGCAACTTACCAATGGAGAATAAGCACTTCTCTACGCCCAACTCTTCAACACAAAATCTCAGACCAGGGGTTGAAAAGTTCCCTGAAGTAGTGATGAACACATTGTTGGTAAAATAGAATTTGTAGTCGTGTTTTGATGGGCGTGCAATTTTCTTGCTGGGTTTGTTGTACCAGTGTGAAGCTCTCCATAGATTGAATGGAATACTAGGAAAAAGTGTTAAGTTCTAATTCAATTCTAGGGGCAGGGGGTTTGGGTCCTTACTTCTCCCCAAGATGTCCGACCACGATTTTGACGCCGGGAAATCGATCGAAAATACCTGTAAAATTAGCACAAGCTTGAAACATCGCTATCATGGGTGGAATTTACCCGAAGAGCACATGGCATAGACATGGAAAGATAAATCCAAGTGAAACTGGACACCAGCTCCCAGAAGATGCATGCGAGAACCATAAGCGTAGTCGTCTAGGTTGAGTTCCTTTTCAGTTGGATATCTCGGGTGGAAGTAAATCGGCACATCAAGCTCTTCAACCTTCTTCCAAAAAGGGTCGTAAAAAGAGGTATCATAGTACTGCTTTGTCAAGCCATCATTTCCAGTGCCCTGATAGTCATTCACGATACCCCCAAAGAATTTCAGATCCTTAACGGCTCGTTCTAGTTCCACAGCAGCCTGGATAGGATCATGCATAGACAATGCTGCCAATCCACCGAAGCGACTAGGATTTTTGGCAACCTCTGCGGCCAGCCAGTCGTTGAAGTCGGTTGCGGATTTCTCAGCCAGTTGTTGATCGTGGATTCCTTGACAGCCTGGGCTTGTGAGGGATAGGAGCATAAACTCGACACCCTCAGCATCCATTGCCTGGAGACGCGAGCCGTGAATGTCCATCAAACGGGTCTTGTGGGCTTCAATCGCTTGTCTTCCTGCATTGCCAGGTGTCAAGATTCGCTGGCATTCGTCTAGAAGCCATGCCGTATCAGGGCTGATCACCGCTTCTTCAACGGCTATGGTGCCTTTGGGATGCATTTCGAAGGTTTGATGTGAGACGTCTTTCCAAGGTTCGGGTTTCAATTTGGGAATGAAATTTGAATGTATTTTCCAATCCAAGTTATCGGCAGCTTTGCGGCTTGATGATCCCGAGATTCGGTTGTGACCGGAGACAACGCGCCGAATGATCATCAATCCTCTCACCTCTCGGATGTAAATGACCGACATCCGCGAAATAAAGCTTAATATTTGTTATGCCTTCTTCCATCAATGACGAGCTCATTTGCCAAATAACACAAGGCAGAAATGGCTCACCTCTACGACTTTGCAAACTTCGTCGACGTTCCGTACAAGAACGGCTGGAAAAAGGGCGACCAAGTCAAATATCCCAACACGCCAGCCTTCCAAGGATTCAATCAAGCATGTCGAATTGAGGGAGAGGTTGTGGACCTGGAGGTTGATGGTACAATTCCGAAGGAAATCAATGGCACATTCTATAGAATTCAGCCAGATCACCGCTACCCTCCCTCATATGAAGAGGATATTCACTTCAGCGGAGATGGGAGTATAACGGCCATTCGCATTCAAGATGGGCATGTAGATCTTAAGCAGCGCTATGCCAGGACAGACCGGTTTCTGGCAGAAACGGCTGCGAGAAAGAGCCTTTTTGGCAAATATCGCAATCCCCACACCGACTCTGAGGCGGTTAAGGGCGTGATCCGAACAGTCGCCAATACAAACATCATATTTTGGCGTGGAATGTTGTTAGGTTTGTGCTCCAACCAACGCAGATATGGAATTTATCTAATCTCAAGACAGCGACGAAGGAAGATGGACCGCCGTATGCGCTGGATCCTGTGACTTTGGAAACTATCGGCCGTTATGATTTCGAGGGGCAAGTTCGATCTCCGACATTTACAGCACATCCAAAATTTGACCCGGAGACGGGTGAGATGATCTGTTTTGGTTATGAAGCGGGCGGGAATGGCTCTGATGGCTCATGTGATATTGTCGTTTACACCATTGATACCGACGGTAAGAAAACCGAAGAAGCCTGGTACAAATCTCCATTCTGTGGCATGATCCACGATTGCGGTATCTCGAAAAACTATCTGGTTCTTCCAATGACACCTTTAAAATGCTCTGTTGATCGTCTGAAGAACGGTGGTAACCATTGGGCCTGGGACCCCAAGGAAAGTCAATGGTATGGGATTGTTCCAAGGAGAGGGGGCAAGCCCGAGGACATGATTTGGCTTCGAGCCGAGAATGGTGAGTGATTCTCTAGTTGATTTAGTACCAATACTGAGACGATGTACAGCCTTCCATGGTCATGTTGCCGGATGCTATGAAAATGAAGACGGCCATATCGTGTTTGACATCACGGTATCAGATGGCAACGTTTTCTTCTTCTTCCCGCCCGACGAGAAACAAACAAGCAATTTGGCGGCAAGAAACCGGCTGCAGAGCGTCACACATCGCTGGGTCTTTGACCCAAAAAGTGAATCAGGCTCATATGTCCAACCTGAGATCCTTTGGGACACCAATGGTGAATTCTCCCGCATAGACGACCGCTTTGTCACGAAAAAATACAACCATTTCTGGCAGGCATGTATTGATGGATCAAGGTAACTTTCCCTCAATCTAGCTCGTGGAAACTGAATTTAACCCGATGACAGAGAATATGACGCTGCCAAGTGTGGCCCTCCTGCAGGAGGTCTATTCAATTGCCTCGGCCATTTTACCTGGGGTGGCCAGAAGGAGGATATCTTGTGGGCGGGTCCACGAGCGACTTTCCAGGAGCCAACATTCATTCCAAAAACCGACGGTGGGGAAGGTGAGGGTTGGATTATCGCCTTTGTGAATCGCCTCGATGTGCTTCGCAATGATATCGTGATCGTTGACGCCCAGCATGTCGCAAAAGGGCCGGTCGCTGTAATTCATCTCCCCTTCAAACTGAAGCTGGGATTGCACGGGAATTTTGTAGATCACCGGGATATTTTAGCTTGGCAACAACGGAGAGCCCCTGAAGGTGATGTTGGTCCAGTTCAACCGGCTCAAAAGCCACTTGAGTGGCAGCTCGAGTATTTGGAAGATCATTAGGAAAGATGTGGTATTCAATGTTTCAATACGATGATGTTAAAGCCTTATGACTCAGCAGGCTTGGTGCCTCCTGATTGGCTTAAGGTGTGTTGTCGTCCTAATTGGGACTAATTCTGTCTTCATAGTTGATGGCTTCGCTCTCGTCCTTTCTTTCCTCTCTCCCATACCTGTTAGAAGGAATATTATATCATTTTTTCCCTGACTCAATTTCTTTCTACTCATTCCATGGGTTTTCTTTCTGAGAGCTCCATAGATTGCCCTCATCAGATGCTGTAACATTCATTCACGTGACTATTGAGGCGAAAGGATGCCCCGCGTTCCTGCCTGAATCACTGTCAAAGGAGTTCAGATCCTTCGCAACCCTGCTTCCATCAAGGTTAATGTTGAACACTATGTTCTGACTAGGATGTCAGATCCGAAAATATACACCATCGGCTGGATTTGTGCGATCACCTCTGAATATGTTGCCGCTCAAACCTTCCTCGATGAAGTGCACGAGGGCCCAAAATACTTGCCAGCTCATAACAAAAACGACTATACGCTGGGCAAAGTTGGAAGACACAATGTTGTTATTTCTGTTCTACCTTTAGGTTCATACGGCACCACTTCAGCAGCACGAGTCGCCGAGGATATATTGTACGGCTTTCCAAATGTTCGACTTGGTCTGATGGTTGGTATCGGTGGCGGAGCACCAACCCCAAATCACGATATACGTCTTGGTGATGTTGTGGTCAGTATTCCTTCTAATGGCCAAGGTGGAGCGATCCAGTACGACTTCGGTAAAACAATACAAGATCAAAGCTTCCAGTTGACGGGCTTCCTCGATCAGCCGCCTATTATTCTCCTCGCAGCAGTCAACGGACTTCGAGCACAATATGAGAGTGAGGGTAACAGACTTGAGGAGACAGTCAACAAGGCTCTTGAGAAAAAGCCGAGGCTACAAAAAAAATATCAGCGGCCAGAGCAAGAAAGTGACCGGCTCTATCAAAGTCATATCGTTCATCCAGCCGAAACATCAACTTGCGCAATAGATTGTGGTAATGATTTGACAAGCCTCATCTCCCGAAATCCACGAACGAAGGATGAAGACAATCCAGCAATACACTACGGATTGATTGCTTCAAGTAACCAGCTAATGAAGGATGCTTCGATCCGCGACAGACTTGCTGCGGAAAAGGGTGTTTTATGCTTTGAGATGGAAGCGGCCGGGCTGATGAACCATTTCCCATGCCTTGTGATTCGTGGAATCTGTGACTACTCCGACTCACACAAAAGTAAAGAATGGCAAGGGTTTGCGGCAATGGTCGCGGCGGCTTATGCGAGGGATCTACTTCGTCGAATTGTCCCTCAAAGGGTGGAAAGACAAGAAAGTCTTTCAAACATCTCGAGGCCGCAAAATGACTCCGTGGTCGAGGCCACAGGCCGCGCTACATCTGGGTTACTGAAAACCGATGCGAATTGCGCGAAGTTGCAGACCCTTCAAGGCCATTCTCGTTTGATAACTTCGGTAGTTTTCTCTCCCAACGGCCAACTAGTAGGCTCAAGATCAGAGGATCAAACTGTACGACTCTGGGATACTGCCACAGGAACTATACAAAACACCCTCGAGGGGCATTCCAAAGGAGTTTTATCGGTAGCCTTCTCTCCGAACGGCCGATTAGTAGCCTCGGGCTCTAGGGATCGGACTGTACGGCTCTGGGATACCGCCACAGGTGCTCTATATCACACACTTGAAGGCCATTCCTTTTTCATTGACTCGGTGGCATTTTCTCCTAGTGGCCGACAAGTAGCTTCAGGGGCTCCTGCTAGTTCTGTCCGGCTCTGGGATACCGCTACTGGGGCTTTACTCCAGACCCTTAAACTCCATTCTAGCCCGGTAGCCTTCTCTCCTGATGGTCTACTAGTGGTGTCTGGCTATATTGATTACTCCGTTACCCCTACAACTCAGCATTTCAGGATCAGGCATAGGCTCTCAGAGTATCGATATACCAGTGGCCATATTGGTGGGGTTTTATCAGTGGGATTCTCTCCCAACAGCCGACTAGTAGCTTCCGGCTGTGCTGATCACACGGTATTGCTATGTGATAATACTCCCACGGCTGATTGGTCAACCATCAACAAACGGACCCTCACAGGTCATTCAGATTTGGTTCTGTCAGTAGCCTTCTCTCCCGACAGTAGACTATTAGCATCGGGCTCCAGAGATCATACAGTCCGGCTTTGGGACACCTCCACGGGCGCTCTTCATCACATTCTCGAAGGTCATTCCAATATGGTCGTGTCGGTGGCCTTCTCTCCTGACGGCCGACTGGTAGCCTCGGGGTCCTATGGGTCTGTCCGGCTTTGGTATACTGCCACAGGCGCTCTAAACCAGACCCTCAAAGGCCTTCTTGGTCCGGTGGCTTTCTCTCCTGAAGGCCGACTATTAACATTGAGCTCCTTTGATTATAACGTCCATATCTGGACGCCACCGCGGCCAATTTAGAGAATACAGTGAGTTGCACGCATTCTTAAACAAAATTCATAGCCTTTGAGAGCGGAGTATTCACGACGTAGCGTACAAAGGTCCCTACAAATGCACCCATTTTTCAAGTATTCAAATGCCGTCGTGAGACTCTTGACGTAATTATACCACTCTTGAGATATACAGTATCATGATACTCACACTTTTTGAAGCCGTAATTTTCTACATTAGTGTTTAGTTCACTTGATGTGGGGCGGCTGTACCTCCATGCCTCCGAGGGCGTCGGAGCTATAACCCCGCAGATGTCGGGTTAATGGACCCGATGCACCGGCACACCCTAACTGCCGTTTCTAGTGACAGTCATGGTCTATTAATAAGACACTGTATCTTTCTAGCATGTTGATATATTTGAATCTTAAGGGCAGCGATACTTTAGCCCAACACTATGACTCTGACGCAGATTCCCAAAGTCAAGTCTTTCGAGACGCGCCTTTTCATCAATGGAAAGGTATTTGTACTTATTATACTGGAAGCAACTTTTTGAAATTATACTAAAGCTATAATCAGTTTGTGAATTCATCAGATGGAGGAACATTCCCTTTAATATCTCCAACAACGAATGAGAAATTTGCTGAAGGTATACCTGTTCACGAAAAGCTACATGGGCTTCCTTCCGCTAACAATTATTTTCCAGTATCCGAGGCAACGGAGGATGATGCAAATGCAGCCGTTGCTGCTGCTAAAGCGGCTTTTCCAGCCTGGTCTGCTCTGTCTCCACGAGAGAGAGGGTCCTATCTCAAAAAGCTGGCCTCGCTCTGCTTCGAAGCCCACAGTGAGCTAGCCGAACTAGAAGCACTTTCCATGGGTCGTCCCGTATCGGGTTATTTTGAGTCTTTTGCTGCCTCCGACGCTCTCAATCACTATGCGGAGTCTGGCTATCAAGCTCTGGGAACATCGAGTGTGAACACTCCCGGATTCGTCAATATGACCCTACGCCAGCCATACGGTGTTGTCGCCGCTATCATTCCTTGGAATGTCCCAGTCTTGTTTTTGATTAATAAAGCTGCACCGGCTCTGATGACTGGAAACACTGTGGTTGTAAAGAGCAGTGAGAAGGCCCCCCTTACGGTATGTTTATTTTTCTCCTAGTCTAACTTTGTATAGTTACTTACATCTTCTTAGTCCGCTAAGATTGCGACCCTTATTGAAAAGGTCGGATTCCCACCTGGTGTATTCAACATCATATCTGGACACGGACAAATCAGTGGAAATGTTCTATCCCATCATATGGACGTCCGTGTGATCAGCTTCACAGGATCCGGTAGAACTGGCCGTCTCATTCAAGCTGCGGCCGCCAAATCCAATCTTAAGAATGTCATTTTGGAGCTTGGCGGCAAATCCCCGGCAGTGATATTCGAAGACGCCGATATCGAAAAAGCAGTCAAAGAAACCAAGCATAGCATTCAGTGGAATAGTGGTCAGGTTTGCATGGCCAACTCCCGTATCTATGTGCAGGAGTCTATTGCATCAACTTTCATCGACCTATTCCACAAGAGCTTCGCCGATGTTCAAAGTGGCGATCCTCTACTTCCAGACACGAATCATGGTCCGCAGGCGGATGAAATGCAGTTCAAGCAAGTACAAGCCTACATCAAGGAAGCTAAGACAGTGGGGAGGATGACTCTTGGAGACGAGCCATCTGGACATCAGACTGGGTTCTTCGTGCAACCTACCGTGTTTTTAGAAACGCCAGAAAACACAAGGGTGATGAAGGAGGAGATATTTGGCCCGGTGGTACATATTAACACCTTCCGTGATGAGGAGGAGGTTATCGCCAAGGCGAATGACACGGAATTTGGGCTATATGCTTCGGTATACACAAATGACATCAGCCGTGCTCTGAGAATGGTGAAGAAGTTCGAATCCGGGACTGTTGGGGTGAATTGCACCAGCCCAACTAGTGCTCACGATATGCCGTTTGGAGGATACAAAGCCAGTGGGATTGGCCGGGAAGGTTGGACGGTCAGTATGGATAATTACTTGGAAACTAAGACCGTTTTGATACGGGTTTCATCTTTAGGGAGCTAAGAGCCTGGAATGTAGATAGATGCGTTGTTGACAGTCAATATATTTCTGATTTACTATAGCTGTTATTCACCTTGTTTCTAAGTTCTCACTACAAAGCGGCTGTCGATTGCTATATCTTGCCATATAAAAATCACTTGACACTAATAGCTATACTGCGGGTTATCTCAACGCCGGAACTAATGTGATGGAAATTCACTATTCTAAGTTTTATTCCTAATTAGGAAGGCATCGCCCATCTAGGTAAGGTCACGTTGATTTTCAGCCCAAAAGAGTACATGATGAAGATACCGTGGCAAGTTACTAGCTGTAAATATCCTCTTTTGGATATGGGAACTCATTGACATGGATTGAAAACATTCTTAAACGCGCGACATTACTTCATTTCCGCTTCGTTATAGTGGCATTCACTTCAACTTTCTGAATATCCCAGTCCTGTCACTGCTCCTTCAGTCATCTCGATCACTTTCCATCATTCTGATCATTCTTCCCCTCGTTCACCAGCTTTGCATCTGACATCCTAGAATCTAGGCATAAACCCTCCCAGGTCTTATCCCACGGTCTACCAGAGCCTTCTAGTAGCCGGAAAAGAGAATCTTGAGCAAAAAAATGGTATTTCAATGAAGCTCTAAAGTCTAATCATGTACAGTTGTTCGTTCAGACCCAATTTCCCGTTCATTTTAACACAACTCCCCCGTTGCCGCTATGGACCAGCCAAAGCCAGCTTCCAATTTCATCAGAGATTCTCTCGCCAAGTTATTGACATCGCTCAGCTGCCGCAAACTTACCATCATATTCCGAACCCCGTCCTGCCTATGACCTGCCGGATTGGCAAGCTGAGAGGTCGCGATAGTCAAAAATCTAGCGACAAGGCATATTGAATTGGGAAGAAATGGGTGCATCTTGAAAAAAGCTACCCGGGGTAGCTTCTGGATTAGATGAACGACGTCATTTGCGGCTTGGTAGGCTGCTTGCTTATAGGCCAACGCTAGCATTTGGTCATTGACGTTCTGCCACAGTCTTTCCTCTGCGGTTTCGCTTAGTGAAATACATGCGCTGTAAGCGAGGATGTGGTTGAAAAAGTCCATTGAGTCGCATTTTATCGTTGATGCATCGCGTTTGGATTGTGTTTGGAGGGGTGTCATTGTTGCTGCTGTGGCGGCTGACGCGAGCCATTCGTGTCTTGTCCAGAAGTCTTGGGATTGGGACTCGGAGCCTGGAGGTGAGATTGATTGTTCCATTCGTCGGTGCGATAAGCAGTGTCCGTAAAGATTGGCCAGGACGACGCACTGGGCGAAGGATGGCAGTGATGCGTACTCGCTGGTGTTACTCATCGTTTCGGAAAGGAATCCCATAGGAACTGGGTATTGACCACTCTGAAAATCAGTTTCGGGCATGGGGAGACGTGTTTGAATCTGGGAAGAGGCAATCAGTGATATTTTCAGTGGTACTCGGGCTCGGGGGGACTCACTATTTCTTCGTGTAGCATCAATGGTCGATCGTTGAGCATACTGGACAATCGGTCGAAAACGAACGCGGCCCACAACGTCCGCCGCTTCTCTTCGGTCTCCATCCAAGTTTCATCCAACATGGCCTTAGGAATGTATGACGATGTGGTAGAATTTGTGCCTGCGTACTCGCTGGGTGGTGAGGCCTCAATATTGGGCATGTCGATTTCGATTATGTGAGAGAATTGGAGAAGTGTGAACGCAAGTCCGGCTGTAAGAAGAGCTTCCTGCTCTGACTTGCGAATAAGCTCGCAGTGGGCAAGGAGAAGCCATGCTTGTATCAGCTCGTGCTCCACCCCGCTGTTAGGATTTTTGAGCCTCGTCGTCATCCAGGGAAAGCCGGTCTCGTCGGGCAAATCTTGCATTTCAAGCATGCGACGGGTCCGCGCATACAGGGAGTCAGTGAATGTGCAAAATTGAGAGGACATCGCCGCAGCAATGGTCCGCATGGCTGATCTTAAGCAGATGCGGGAAGGCGACACGTTTTCATCGTGGGCCCATGAGAAATACCGCTCCTTGTGGATAATTGGAACAATTGGGTGAACTCGCTCAAAATAAAGCAGGTCCCTATTAACGCAGGTTGTTAGCTTTCGGTTTTCTTTCTATTCAAGATTTAGGATCCGCACAGATCAGCGAGCATGAGATCTGACATGCTCAAATCTTCTCCGAGTGTCATCTTATTAATAGGCGTCCGAGCAGGTGATAATGGTGACGACATAACACCTAGTCCGAGGTTCTGCATAGTTGGTGGGTTAGGCATAAAGCCCCCATTTGCAGTCCAAGAGTTTGAACGACCAGACGCCAGCGTCCATTCTATTGGTCGTTTCAACTCAGTTGTATTGTCAAACGAAACCGAGCGCGGTGGCATTTGATATGCATCGGCATCGTAGGAAAGCTCGCTCGGGTCCTCAAGCTCTGGGGTTAACATGCCGTCATCGAGAGGTCGGTCTTGACTGATCAATCGTTGTTCGATTTCCGCTGTAACAGCCCTGCACGTCAGCGGGTATTCTCATGTCTCTCGTATGGTGATAACCTGACTTACCAACTCGAGACCGCAAATCCTTCAACTGGCCCTTCTTAGGCCCTCTAGGAGCTCTCTTATCCACAAAGATACATTCCCGGCCAGCATCAGCGCAGATCCCACATTGAGGGCGTCCACGATCGCAACGTGCCTTCCGGCGGCGACATTCCTCACAGGCCAGCCCCGGTTGCTGCCTTGCCATGGCGTTGAATGTGGAGTAGAAGAATGCTTAATTGGTATAGCAGTAAGAGGGGTGGAACGTAATTCGTTTATCGTTTATCGTTCTTCGTTTGTCGTGTTTGCGTGCAGGGGCTTGTCGGCGTGTTTTGCAGATCGGCCAGGTCGATGAGGAGATCTTATATTCGTGCAATAATTAGATACAAACCTCATATCTGCCGCGTGGGAGCAGGTGGATCTGAGATCACCAGTGCTAACCCCCTTCCTGTCTGTATATTCTAAGCCTATGGGGCTAACAGCATTGGCCTACGACTATTTAGGGGCCGAATCCATCGACTGTAGATCCACTCAGACCCCACACGAAGATTCCAACTGTTGGATTTGTCGGAGTTTTTTCTAAAAAAGAGATAATGCTAAGCAAATTTCATGCAAGTGATATGACTTTAGCTGAGCTTCTGTGCGCCATCCATTTCTAGCGGTCAGGCTGATTTGGTATAGATCTATACTTCCATTGGATGGATTGGACAAATCTTGGCTGACGTTGATATCAGGTTGATTGAAGTCTCATATCCAACAATAAGTCATTGTAACTATGTCCTATGCGTAAAACGATTCATCGTTACATGGGCCCTTAAGGCTAGGTCTGAAGCTTCCCCCCATTTTTTTGGCCCAGCCATTCACATTTATGCAGAGTTTTGGCAAATTTCAGGTTCTCGGATGTGGGGCAAGAATCCTGTCGTTACAGATCATCCTCGGGGCCAGAAATGCATCACTCCCCACAAACCGGCCCCCGAAGCGATTCTGGGTCACCACTACCTTGCTGGATCGGCTTTAACAAACTGCAGAGACCAAATTTGCTTACATTACACTCCACAAGCAGATGCAGAGGCCTATGTCAAACTCTCTATACGGTAGACATCAAGAAAACCGTATCCTGAAACGAACTGATGATTTAAGAGTCAACTTTGTGATCCCTGTCAGCCTGGTTTAGCCCCTCAATCAAGGGAGACTATTGTGGATAAGTGAAGCGAAATCAAGCCACCGCACAATGCTACTCTCGTGCATCAGTGGCTGGTTTGAAATAACAACCAGAAATAGCAGGCGCAGTTTGTCTACCACAGGATATGCACGGCTCTGTTATCGTAAATAGCAACACATTCAATGAGATCTTATTTGTTGTTCACATCCGGATATGTATAAGCATTCTGTCGCCTGGGCCGACCTTGGCAGAACTACTAGTGAGGCTAAACAATGGGTTTATAATAATCCGTATTCTAGCAGGGATTACAATGCAGGAACCCCAAGTCTCCACATCCAAATTCGATCTAAGGTACAAAGTGGCTCTTAAGCCGAAATGGTCGGGCTTTTCCGAAAAAGTGCGGGTCAGCGACACCATTCTTGCGCGGAGTTACACTTGAATCTTGAATAATCATGCAAACACTCACACAACTGAATTTAAGCTTACCTGTCAGGAACAGGTACAATGAACGCAGATTGAATCAAGTGAATCATGAAACGAGAAGAGATATGAAGACAATAATATTCTTCCCAACAATGCATCCCAGCCCCCATCTCAGCATATTCAACACTCTGTAGAAAATGCTTCCAAAAATACAACAAAACAGGGTTTCCACGGTTGTATCTTGTGAACCAATCAGCGTTCAGGAATTCGCCGCTCCCTTACATTTCAGGGGGCCAAAGGATGAGAAGGATTTATCGGTAAAGGAACCCTCCAGCTTCTCCAAAAGATGAAACAGCCACACACGTTGGTCTCCAAATCATGTCCATGCTTAATTGTTCCCCGACGGATCGGCAGATAGCTTAGACACTACTCCGTACACTATGTCGCGACCCTAAGTAACCTCATGCGACAGTTTTAATTAGCCAAGATATGAAACAGCCACCGATGCATTCTCTGATCTATTTTCGCCGATACAGGTCCATTCAAAAACCAATCTGCAATTAAGTGGCTTCCTCTGGGAGCCCGTGACTAAGCGAAACAAAGAGCTCAATGGGGCGACAACCATCCTGAGCCCCATTAACTTCATGTTTGGGAGGAGGTTTGGTATGATATGTGGGAGAACGAAGACAAGACTGTCCCGATAGCGCCCTACAGAGCTTAATTGGAATATTGGGCTGCCCTCCTGAAAAGAGAGGGCTCAGGAATGAACCGCTTGCCCGGATGAATTCTTTGATGGAGGTATCGGTGACCGTTGTAATCTACTAACTACTAGTCTCTCAACACAACTGTTGTATGAAATCTAAAATCTGGAATCTGGTATCTCGTAGGACTGAGTGACACTTTCTATTAACATAGTGTTATGTAAGTTCTGTTTTTCTCGGTCTTCTTTCTACAAGGAGATGAAACAGATGAAGGAAATAAAATGAAAATTATTGCCATCTGCTATAAACGAAAATTTAAGAAAGACACCTGCCCCGATGTGTGTCCCAAAGCAAGTAAAGCACCCTTGACTGCGTAAGAGCTAGCCCGGAAATCAGGGGGAAGCCATAGCAATTTTTTGTTGTTCAGCTCTATCCACTGTTTGTTCGCAATGGAAATCATCAGACTTTTGGGGGTTAATTTTGAAGCCTGGCTTCTGAGCCCCGACTGAAGATCGAAGCTTCCTAAATCGGTCATTAGACATGAACCATCTTGAGAAAACTCGAGTTCGTTGACAGTCCTCTCAATGCTCAATAAACCTTGTGGGACCCCCGTTACCGTTTCCCAGAGCTGTAATGCGAAGCTTGAAATAGAGACCAATAGTCGGCTATCGGGTGAGAATATTATATAGTCAACATTGTGCAAGGGACTCTCGAGAGTCTGGTGCAGGTCGCCGGTCACAGTGTCCCAGAGCTTTATTGTATTGTCCCTGACGGAGGCCAGTAGCCGGCTATCGGGCGAGAATTTTGTCAACCGCGGATAGCATTCATCGATAGTCTGGTGCAATTCGCCCGTTATCGTGTTCCAGAGTTGTACTGTATTGCCCTCAACAGTGGAAGCCAGTAATCGGCTATCGAGCGAGAAGATTATTGACTGACAATGGTACATGTGACTTTCGAGAGTCTGGTGCAGGTCGCCGGTCACCGTGTCCCAGAGCTGTATTATATTGTCCTTGACGGAAGCCAGTAGCCGGCCATCGGGCGAGAAGTGTAAATACCTTATTGACCGGGAATAGTACAAGTGACCCTCGAAAGTCTGGTGCAGGTCGCCTGTCACCGTGTTCCAGAGCTGTATTGTTGTATTGTCCCTGACGGAAGCCAGTAGCCGGCCGTCGGGTGAGAAGGTCATCCGAAAGACTGAACCCGGCTTTCTGTCAAGAGTCTTTTGCCGGGCACCTGTCGCTGGGTCCCAGAGCCGGAGGGTGTTATCTTTAATGCCAGATGCGAGATGACCTCCAGGCAGAAAAGCCAATGAGTAAACACTATCCAAGTGAACAAGAGTCTGCAGTAGGGTACCCCTCTCTGGATCCCAGAGTCGGACTGTCCTATCTTCTGAGCCAGATGCTAGCTGTCGGCTATCGGGTGAGAAAGCTATCGACGTAACAGAACCCAAATGTCCCTTAAGAGTATGTACTAGGGTACCCCTCATTGTATCCCAGAGCCGGACTGTCATGTCCTTTGAACCGGATGCCAGCTGTCGGCTATCGGGTGAGAAGGCAACCGACAAGACTGAATCTATATGTCCCTCGAGAGTCTGTTGTAGGCCACTTTTCGAGGTTTGCCAAAGTCTGACTATTTTATCTTTTGAATTCGATGTTGACTGGCTATTCAGCAGGAATACCTCCGACCAAAATGAATCGATATAGCCCTCAAGGGTCTGGTGTAAGGCGCTTATCGCGGTGTCCCAAAGCTGGACCGTGCCATCTTCAGAGCCGGATATTAGTAGCCGGCCACCCAGTGAGAAACTCACTGAGTAAACAGAGCCTGAATGAACCGTTAGTGTTTCTTGTAAGGCGCCCGTGCTCGAGTCCCAGATCCGGACTGTCCCGTCACGAGAGCCAGATGCGAATCGCCCGTCCGGCGAGAACGCTATTGATAGAACTTCATATGCGTGGCAGTACATAGTCTTTAAAAGGGCACCTGTCACTGTATCCCAGACCCAGACTGTCCCATCCCAGGCACCAGATGCCACGCGCCGGCTGTCGGCTGAGAATGCCACCGATAGAGGGGAGCCTTTATAGCCCCTAAGAGTCTGTAGTAGAGTGCCTGTCACAGCATCCCAGAGCCGAACTGTGCAATCATCTGAGCCGAAAGCTAGCAGTCTGCCGTCAGGCGAAGATGCAACCGATGTAACCGTACCAGAATGTCCCTCGAGGATCTGTAACTCTGCACTCCAGCATTCCTCAACTTTTGGTGAACAAGATATCCATTTTGGCAAGTCTGATTGAAATTTCTCACGGATGATCGATTTTCTGGGTGCAAATATAAGTCCTGAGCAGTAGATTTGGAGGGGTGCGACATCGGCTATTTGGCGGTTCTTCAGGAAAAAGCGGTTCGCGTCTTGTAGGAAGTCAAATGTGAGGGTATTTTCCCCTTCCTATTATCTGTTAGTGCTAGTCGTACCGTAGATCTCTGCCATATAGGAGGAATATATGTAGAAGGTAGTCTGGAGCCTTAGGCTCGACCACTTACAGAATCAATATTCTGTAGGAGATTAATAATCCCCACCACTTCCGATGCAAGACCTAGAAGACACATAGCCTCAACCCAATGTAGAAAATGCTTCTCAAGAAATAAGAGCACAGTATGCATCATATCTTGCGAGTATGTGCATTGCGCGAGATGAAAAGCCCAGTATCGGCAGGCATATTGTACCTCTGGAAGAATGTATCGATCAATAGTCCGACGGTCAATCTCTATACGTTGGATTCCTTCGCTCTGCAGTCGACAAATATTCTTTTGAAGGTTATCACACACTTTGAGGCAACTGATCGTCAGCCTATAGTGTACTTCTGACTTTTTCACGAAGAAGGGGCTTCTGTGGCGGGTTTTCGGATCAAGCAGAAAGTCCCGAAACGAGAGGTGGAAGAGTTGCACCGGCGATGAATCGTCTTTTGGCACTCTTAAGACCGAGTGCAGTGAGCTTAAACGAATATGAATTCGCCTATCGGGAAGGCCGATGAGTTTTGAAAGCGAGAGAACTGAGAGCGGGCTCTCTAATATCACAATTGCACCGACTACTTGATGAAATTCTTGTATCAGATCTGTCTTTTGCCCTTCTGTTTGTCCTTTGAGAAGCCGATCAAGAACAGGAAGATATGTGCTATCCAATTTTGATTCGTCGTTTTGATGTGTGAGAACGTCGGAAAGACTTTCCACTGGGTCCCAATTAGGATCTTCGAATAAACGGCAAATTGTAGCAGCGAAAATAAACAATGGAGAGGACAATGCCACGAGCTTCTGAATGTTCATAGCTCCAGGCCAGTCGATAGGTAAGGGTGGATCTCGATCTTCTCTAATTTCCGAGAGTCTATGGTTTAAGAACAACGACAAATCATAATCAATAGCTTCCTTGGGGATTTCATGGAGAGCTAGATCTTTATGATAGTTGTTAAGCTTCTTGAAACCCAGACGAATCGGTAATTCAGGCCTGCTAGTCAACAAAATTCGGAGACGCAATGTCTTTGAATCTCGTAGCTGTGATAGCAGTTCCAGTATGAGTCTTATATCCTTGTCCCCATCACATTCATCTAGTGCGTCGATCACCATAACCACATTCGCGATTGCAGGAGAGTCCAAACCCAACAGTGGTTGTAAAAGGATTTTTTCAAACTGCTCCCTCATTCCTTTGGTTGCAATATCAGGGTTGTTGTCGATTGCGGCTTGAACGCTCGAGGTCAACCGAGGGACGCTTTTCGCTAGCTGTCTTGTGATCGTCGGGAACAGCTTTGTTGCATTGCCTCTATCCCCCTCGCCTCTTTTGAAGAAGAAACTCGCTCCCAGTATCCCCTCTCGTTCGGCGCGTTGTTGTTTGAAACGTTTCGCAACAGTGCGAGAGATTGTAGATTTTCCTGTCCCGGCCATCCCATTTAACCAGAAAATAAGCTTTCCTTGCGGTGACACAGCCCATTCTCCAATCTCATTGAGAAGCTCGGTTCTGGTGCCTTCCAAGCATTCATCTTCATGCTGGTCCGTCCAGGTGTCAAACTCGGCGCCGTTCGCAATTGGTAGCTGGTCCAGAGGGTCTACTGGGTCAGTCAGGTCCCATTAATTCTGTCGCAGGCGCATTTCACCTGCATGAAGTCTAAACTGAGCATTTATTGTGCCATTATTGATGCCAGTTTGAATTCCAGAATTGAAGCCCGGAAAAAATATCACGGACTCCATTATAGCGATAGCATAATGAGGTTAGGTCAAAAAAATATACGAGCGGGGTATACGCCGCTTGGGTTGGTGCGTCGGCTCAGATCTGTCGTAAGCTGCACTTGATCCAATCAACAATCTGGACAATTCAAAACAACTGTTAATTTCCTTACTCCATTCAAACCTAAGTATGATCAACACTCGTTTTGTCGCAGGCCCGGCACTGTACCAGGCGGATTAGATCGGACTGGGATATTGAGTTTTCTCTTGTTTGAGATGAGTATTCGAAATCCGTAACCTGGCGTGTCTAGCATCCAGCCGGTTGCACAGCCAAGTAAATTGCATGCAATTCCCAGTCGAAGCCGGGTGCTACAAAGTAAGAAGAATTTAATCCAAGATTTGAAGTCTAAGATACATACCCAAATGGGATGTGCCATATGCTGGTACCATTTCAGCGAATGGGTAGAAAGAAAAAAGATAAAAAAGGCTCATGATGCAAGAGAGGATGCAGACTCAATTGAATGAAGGAAAAGGTGGGGATATATGCATGAGAAAAGAAACAATGAAAAACCCACGACCCGAGGATTATTACGATACAGAAGCAGATCCAGCATGTGGACTAGTCTGCCAAACCTCAAGATAGGGCGGAGATAACCAAGGGGGGTGGGAAATGAGATGGGAGAAAGGTATATAGGAGACTTGAGGGATCATCAAGGGTCGTTGGGCTGCGCAGTAGACGAGGTAATGCAATGAGATGTCGAGAATGGGGGCCGTGGACAGTCGAAGAAAGAAATGAAAAGAGATTGGGAATTTTCCCTTTTATGCAACTTGCGGGGTTCAGGGCCACCAGCCCATCCGCTTGTAGCTGTCCACCATTTCACGGATGCTGTCGGCGTCAAACTTCTCGTACTTAGGCTTCCACCCCGTTGTCTTCTCAAATAATGAGCCATCGATCGACATATCCTGGTCCTTAAGAACATCAAGCTCAAGGAAAGGACCGATAGGACCGGGGCGCTCGATCCCGCTCTTTTCGATCAGATCTGCCCACTCCTGTAGACTAACTTCATTCATGTCGTCGACCGCATCATCGAGGCTCATCTTGGCCAGGGTTGAAATGAGTGAACCAATGAACTTCACCTTGAGGTTGAACACCTCGGCCAACGCATTGGCCACATGCTCTTGTTGTGTATCGTTGTGGTCCACCACGTTGAACGCGACGGGAACTCTGGGTTCCCGCTTGAACAGCTCCGGCACTTTCGGGTCGCTTGCATCCAGTTTGCCAACGGACGCGCGCCATTCCGCCGCCTGGAACAGCGCGCTGGCAGCATCCCGCACATGAAGCGTGTTCACCTTAAGATCCTTGGAATATAACAACTCGAGATCCTGACCCAGTTCCAAATGCACGCGAGCCAGACAGATGGCCATGGCGAAGTAGCCTGAGTTGTATTCACCATAGACATGGGGCATGCGCAACGCGCAGTACTGCAGGTTCGGAATCTTAAGAAGTTCCTCTGCAGCTTTCAACTTCCACTTGGCGAGGCTGTGCCACGGTTGCATCTTATCAGTCTCCTTGCGCGGAGACGAGCCACTCTTATAGACATGGGCGGTGGATGTTTCAACGAAAGCGCGGATATTCCGTCGGGCGCACTCTTTGGCGAGTAGTATGCTGAGGCCACAGCTACGTGCTTCGTACATGTCGTCGGGTTGGGCATGGCGGGTCTCGCCGCCACAGTTGATCACGTAGTCGAATTGCTCACCATTGGGCCGATCGAAGATTCGCGGCAGATGTTCTGTTGAAGATGATATTAGAAACCGGTTTTGGTTGTTTTATTGAAATCTTGTGGGATTGCGATTTCCGGGGGAGGAAGCGCCACTTACGTTCACGACTAGCATCCGCCTGGACGAACTTGTCTTGAGAGCAAGCCTCTGCGAATTCGGGAGCCAGGCGGGCCAACTGGGGAAGGACTTTGTCGACCAAACGTACTTGAGAGGCCAGGTTATTTTGATGGATGTGCAGCGCCAAGTGGCGGCCGATGAAGCCTAGGATGGTTAGAGCGGTTGAGATGGGGGGGTATTGTCTCACGTACCAAGACCACCAATGATCAGCACGGCGGGCTTAGCGTCGGCCATAATGATAATACCAGGGAAATAGCGAGAAGCCAATTGGTAAAGGTAGGGTGGGAAGGGAGTGAAAAGGGAAAGGTTTAAAAAGGAGGGGGGAAGGAGAAGAACGCTCTCCACAGTAGAAAATTCGCGAAGGCAGTTCTCTCCCCTGCCAAGCCATCGCGCCCCCCCTAGTGACGATGATCTAGTTATAGTTTATCAAATGAAATTCTAGTGGATACAAGAAAATGATACATCGTGAGTAGGTCCACGGAAGCACCATGGTACTGGGACTGATCGCCCCGAGACCCATTGTTTGGATCTGGGGTTCCTTGTGTTTAATTTTTTATCTTTGTTTTCTTAAATGGCTTCCTTTGATCCGAGTTCTTCGTGGGCCTCCCGTCACTGCCCTATTATCTAGAGACGCACAAATGAATCGGCATATTTTCCCCATATTTCTATGATTCATGAGGTCTTGGCTGACTCGATTTGAAGTCGCTTATAAAGTTACCCTCAACCCTCCTTGATTATGTCAAAGTATGCAGTCTTACAAAGAGGCATTGTAGATATAGAAAGATATAGAGGCTGGTGCTACTAGCTAGGTTCGGTGGGTAGAAAGGTATATTCACGCTATTGGGAATAACAGAATGATAAGCAATTATCGACTCTCCAGTTCATCATTCTGCTCCAAGGTATTTGAGAGAGTTCCTCAGTTCCTTAATCGCAGTGTCGACGTCGTCAAATGTTAATGCGGAGACTGCCCATCTGGCATGCTTTTGAGCTAGTGTAATGGAGTTATCATCCACCGAGTGCGAAGGCTGGCTCGAGGCGGCCGGCGCTGGAACCACAGGGGGAGTAAATGATGGCGGTCTAGAGGAAGCTGCGGGAGCAGGCTTAGGGGCATTCGCACTCAATGGATCGTAGAATGAGGCTGGATCGGGTCCGGCAGATGGACTGGTGGGAGGGGGGAAGGACTGGAATGCATCGAATGGTAGAGCCTTGCTTTTATTAGTGTTGGTGGATCCGGGGGTGTCTGGTAACTTTGGGATAGTGGAATTCCCAATTGTGGCTGGGGTTGAGGGAAGCTCAAGGCCGCTGGATTCGTTGTCGAGATCCATTCTCTGTGGAGGTGAACCAGGTGCATTTTGAGGAACCGAAGGAATGTCGGGTGTTGGGGCGGATGCTGGCACTGAAGATGTTCGAGAAGGGTGAAGCGATTCATCTAATGATGATTGATGAGCCATATGCCGCCCAAGTCGATCGGACTCGTCAGGGATCTCCTCCACGGATGCCTGTCTCGGTCGGGCTGCCTGCTCTGCCACGGACTCATCGAAAGCCTGTATATCCGAGCTCTCAATCTGTGCTTCCTCCTCCTCCTCCTCCTCCTCCTCCTCCTTTGGTGAGGGGTTCGAATCATTGGGGTCTTCTCCTGCTTTGATGGCTTTGGTGATGCGGATTGCATGGTACTTTGCGAATTTAATGCGCCCGGCAATCTCGGGGTCCATATCTCCCCACATCTGACATAGCTCAAGGAATGTAGCCGCTGCTAGGAATGTATCGCCTGTTTGCCTGAGAAAATATGAATGTTGTACATGCCAGGTAGGGCAAGGAAGCTCACTTGGTGACTTTATTGGCAGTCATAGCAGCCTGGGCACGATTGAAGACTTCCACCCCAAACTGCTCAACATATGCATTCGCTGCGACACTATCCGTAACAGTTTCATTTTCTGGATTCTCGGTTTTGAACTATTTTCGATATCTGGGTCAGCGCTCGGGAATCACTGGGCGCGGGGTCGGAGATGGTGCGACGAACCTGTTCCAGCTTGTCCATCAGATCCATAGTGTACAACTTGATTTCATCGCTCGAATTGTGAAGGCCTCTCTCGATTATTTGGTTGACGATATGATAGTTACCTGTATTGGCCACGGAGTTAGCTTGGTGTGTTCGTCGCGGGGGACTAAGACTCACACCAGTAGGCAATGACCGGCTTGACTTTCTCGATCTGCGCCGCGCGCAGAGCGAAGCGCCCGATATCAGTCGATCGCACGCCTGCTGGAATATTGCTTGCCATTGTCGAGTTTGCAGAAATGGAAAGGGGAAGTGAGAGCGGGGAAAGCAGTCTGGACCGGATGACGCTTGGAGCTCGGGAGAATCCTACCGCCTACTCGTGCGGAGATAAACAGCTTATATACTCCGTATTGGATCTATAGATCCATGGGTTATATACCTTCAATGTGACTGAATCCTGTCTTCTAGTCTTGAAATTCTGTCTTCATTTTCTCCTATTATTTTACGCATCTTCCACCATCCATTCACCGATCTCCACCCGCTCCTCAGCAAGCGCCTCGACCTCGAAATGGTCTTCCACCTGCCCACCGGGTCCTCCAATCCTCTCAATTACTATCCACACCCTGGTGCGGCCGTCAGATAAATCAAAGTCATCAATCCGAACTCCTGATGCCGCATCAGAATGTGTACCGTCTTCTGAAACGGCAAGAGTTTCTTTATAGGGTCCCTGTCCGCGTTCCACGGTCATCAATACAGGTGAAGGCGCGACAGATCTAGAGCCGATTGTCGACCGTTTGCTCCTGGCAATCAATTTGATTCGTGTCAGACGAGAGACCTGTAATGATGCTAGCATCCGATCTTTTCCCGGGAAGAGAACCCCAACTCTAGATAAGGTAGCCCGACGACCAGCAGATTCCGAGGCCAACGGCTGTACCACACAAGGAATATCAGAAGATATCCAGAGTGTGAAGCGACCAAGCTGGTCGGGGGCAAATGTCGAGCAAACAAGAGTGTATACCCCCTTTTCAAGGGATCTTGTTTCAGCCAACGCGCATCCTCGGCGGTAGTCACCGCTGTCAGCAATCATGTCTCGACTGCGGACTCTTGAGATACGCTGGCCATTGGACCAGAAGATCCGGACGTGGGTTGCAAGCTCGGGGTTATCGGATTCGAGAAGAATAGATATATCAGTCTTCTCTGAGACCTGAAGGCTGAATTGTGGATTTGACGAATATCGAGCGGACTCTGCGTTGCCGCCAGCGGTCAAAGCAGTCCAGGAACCACTTGCTTTGTTGAGACAAAGATATTTATCTCTCGACGGTGCGAGCGACACGGGGCATTCTGATAGCGCAGAGAGTGTGAAGTTTTGAGTAGAAGATGGCAGGGACTGTTCCGAAACAACCACTGTATAGATAGTCTTTGGGGGCATATCCAGTCTCATCAGAGTATTTGGCGAGTCCACATATGGTCCACGGTGAAGCGCTCCATCGCTGAGAGAGACCCTCTTGCCATCAGCCTGGAATATGTAGATACTGATGAATCCATGTGGAAGTTCCGTCGCATCAAATGTATGGTGGTCGGCGGTTTTGAAATGTTTTCCTAGGAGAAGCCAAACTTTACCGCCAGTTTCACTGTAGACCGAAAATTGTGGGTTCTTGACGAAGCATCCGGCAATGACACGGCCCTGTGAAAGATCCCAAGTGAAGTGGATGTCCTCACGATACTTGAACTGGCCCGGACTCCAATTCAGGTAGAGGTTTTCGAAGTTTTGCAAGACTTGTTCGCAGTCCATCCAGAACGTACCTGGAGATAGAGGCGAAGGCAGGGTTGACAAGTCAAATGAAACAGGGCCTCTACTCTGCACGGTCGGCTCTGCGCCCGCCCACGGGTTCTTCAATAAGAATTGTCGACGTCCGCGTACCTCTGTCATGTCTAAAATTGCATAGTCGTGCTCACTCACCAGGCCCAGACCTTGTTGTTCTGACTCGGTCAACTTGCCAGTTCCGATCGTCAGCACGACGTCGCCATTAGAAAATGATGGGTACAAGCGCCCCCATATCTCATCAGAGGTGGCATCATCATGGTGTAGGAAAACCTGTTCAGGAATCCATCCCGTCAGTACCCAAAGATCTGTCCCTGAGTTGCTTCCAGGAAAGTCATAGCCCCCGCGGATCTTGAGATAGGCTTTCTCTACCAGAGCTGGCCACAGGAAATTTGGGTTGTTGCGGTCAATTACGTGCAATGACCTGGCAGTATTGGAGGATGGAAGCCGGTCATCGATGACCACTTTTCGGAAGCTTCCATTGAAGTAGAAGGAAAAAATGTATTTTCCGGAGGGCGATAACTTCGGTGTTGAGTCACCTTCGCGTGGATACATCACCGGGGAAGCATGCTGATTCTATCAGAATAGTCCTATAAAATTGGAATGCAGCACATACCATGCCCAGACCACGCTCTGATCGCGAGGTTGTTGCACAGAGACTGGCGACGACGGAGCAATCAGTCAGAACATCTTGGACTAGATCGGTCGTATTCGTCACTGCTATGACCGGTTCAACTGAATGATGGTCTGCCGCATTTCTTGTACGAAGCAGGTCGGCTGGTCTCCTCCATCCTGCAAAAATAGTATGCTGGCACTCGGAGAGATGCAGATCGGGCGAGTCCCTTGTATCTAATTAAAATTGATTGCGACGGGGTATGCTCAGTACCTACGTGAACGGTCCATCTTCAGCCACAAATTCCTGGGGAGGTGGTGGGCCCTTCCATGGTGGAAAAATAAAGCCGTTAAGCTTCGCACCCTCCAAAATGATGATTTGCTCGCGGGTCGTGAGTTTCCGCTTGGATGCGGGGGCCCTCGGGCCAGTAATACTTCTTGCGCGGGCAACCAATTGCCAATTCTCGGCGACTTTAATGTTTTCGGCTCGTGTTAGGAGTTCCCTGCATTTAGAATCGAGAATATCTCTATCGTCTGCTGAGGCCAAGTGCAAAGCTCTCATATAATGTTCGGCAGCATCGATAGCAGCCTCCAGTGCCGCCTTTTGAGAGGTCGCGGTAGCTATGGCTCCTTCGGCCCTCTAAATTTTGTCAGCCATTCTGTGGTTACAAATAGTAGACGATTTCCTTACCCGCGCTTGCGAAACATGCGATCCCTGCGTCGGGCCGCTAGGTCTAGACATACCGGGCCTTTAGGTTGAAAGAACTGTAGGGAGAGCTCATACGAGGCATGGGTAATCTGAAATTTGAGATGTTCGGTGAATCAATCGGCGATCCGATGTAGTGGATGAGTAACGGATCGAAACGAAGTGATGATGGTTTAAAAGTGTGATAAGGTGAAGGGCGTGTACCCCACAAAAACAATATGACTACATCTGCACGCCCCACCTACCGATTAAATTGGGGGTTATGGAAGTGAAGTTCAAATAACGAAAAATTACAAGTTGGCAGACTATCCACATTTGTAAGTGCCGAAATCCTAAGGACCAGTGCCCAAAGGTTGCGCACGGGTCGACCCCGGAGCCTATGGATGGATGGATTAGGGAAAGCTCTGGGGTTCCATCACGAACAAGGAGTTTTTGGAAGTGTTTTCATTTCTCTAGTAACTCACCCAGTATAGCGACTATCAGGTCCTGTTTGCAAGCATCAGCTCACATTTCTAGCAGCAATCCACTAGGAAAGATCATTCACATCATAGAATTTTAGGTCATTGGGTCATTCTCTTATCACTGTAAAGAAACATCTAATTGAGATTTCTAGTCATAGGAGCCATAACTTGACATTTCTTACATTTCTAAGCTTTTAAGGAGACTCACAATACATTAAATCCATAGAGATAATTAAGTTTGGGTGATACTGTACATGGATTTGATAAAAAAAGAAATGGCTAAAAAGATATGCCCCCACCGCGAATCGAACGCGGATTATATCTTTTGACGTTGGTACGAGAGACACGTGATACCATTACACTATAGGGGCCGGATTACATTAAACCCGGATATTTTATAGATTATATAGATACTGTACAAACTCCTACCAAGGTTTTACCTATTAATATTAGGCCAACAATCTACATTCACTAGGACCATTGTTTTTAATAGCTACTAGTGAATGTAAGTAGTATTTCCTTTTCAAAAAAGTGGTTGATTATTTTGCCAAACACTTCACTAAACCACTGATATCTATAAGGTTCGCATCTTGTAGAAAAAGTGAAACCTCATGAGCATGTGAGAGGTCATAAATATTCAATTCTGATATTTCCCCATAATATAAAAAATTTGACTAAATGCGTGAAAAGTGGTAGTAGAGGTAAAATAGTAACAAGAATTTTTTTTTTAAAAAAAAAGTCCACTCTATGAAGTCACCATTATATATTTTATGTTCCAGAATCTAAACTGTCTTCCGAGGTACACCAAGGCCATCTTCCAAGCATATAAATAGCCTTCGGGGTCAACTCGTATTTACTTTACTTCAATGTTAGAAGAACAAAAGACTCGATGGAAATCATGGAAGCGGTGGCAACTGGCAGAGATCAATAAAAGGTCGGCAAGAAATATCGGCATCAAGTATATGGTATCTACTATGTGGAGATACTCTTACACTTACCTTATATGACATTTATCATTGAATAATAACCTTATGGCTCAGATGATTGCTTTAAAGCTCGCAATTAATTTATGCAGGGCTGCTACTTAGAATCAACCCACCAAACCCCAAGATCAGATAATTTGGACCGCATCCACAAGACAATTTTAGTGCCTGCTGACTAAGGAGCCGAGTGGACCTCGGCTTGTTGGTCGTATCGTCACCAAAGCACCTCGGCGCTGCGCGCTGGTCTTGTGTTCCGGTTACCAGGGTCGTGTATTCGGGAGTCGGTTACTATGTGCTAAACTTTGAATAATTCCGAGATCTTTCTGCGAATTACCGACCCTCCATTTCCTTGTCAACCCGTCTACATTCGATCTCACCGGCCCTCGGACGGAACAAGTGTGGCCTTAGGTCCATACGCCCCGCTCGGTTTCCCCTTTCATTCGCTTCGAGCTTCACCGGTTTTTCTTCTCCAACGAAGCTGCGGTCTTGATTTCGCATCATCCACATATCATGGCAGGCCAATCGAAGCTTTCCCCGTGGGGTAGCGCTGTTGCAGGTGCAACGGGTGCGGTGTTGGCGAATTCTATTGTATACCCATTGGACCTGTAAGGAAAAGGAACCCGAGCTTGGTGATTCAATCGGCTGACCCCACCATTATCTGATTAGGGTCAAGACGAAATTGCAAGTCCAGGTCAAGGCGAAAGATGGCGAGGAGGACGACACCGAACGCTATGAGTCGACTCTGGATGCGATCACTAAGATTGCGGGGAAGGAGGGTATCAGCGGCCTGTACTCTGGAATCGCAGGAGCGCTTTTAGGTGTCGCGTCCACCAACTTTGCCTATTTCTACTGGTACAGCGTGGTCCGGACCTTGTACATGACCTACAAGAAGTCACCGCAGGCCCCGGGGACGGCCATCGAGCTGAGCCTCGGTGCCGTCGCGGGCGCTGTGGCCCAGATCTTCACTATTCCGGTAGCTGTCATCACCACTCGGCAGCAGACACAACCAAAGAGCGAGAAGAAGGGTCTGATTGATACCGGTCGGGAGGTGGTGGAGAGCGAGGACGGCTGGTCTGGTCTGTGGCGAGGTCTGAAGGCTAGTTTGATCCTAGTCGTCAACCCTGCCATCACATATGGCGCATACCAGCGATTGAAGGAGCTGATCTTTCCTGGCAAGAATAACTTGAAGCCCTGGGAGGCATTCCGTGAGTATAGATGTCTGTTTATCCTTTGTCTATACACTAACAGATATAGTTCTTGGTGCCATGTCCAAGGCTCTTGCCACCATTGCTACTCAGCCTCTAATTGTTGCCAAGGTTGGCCTGCAATCCCGTCCGCCACCCTCTCGTAAGGGCAAGCCTTTCAAGACTTTCGGAGAGGTCATGAAGTACATTATCGATAATGAGGGCATGCTCTCCCTATTCAAGGGCATTGGGCCGCAGATCACGAAGGGCCTTTTGGTGCAAGGTTTGCTGATGATGACTAAGGAGAGGTATGTACCATTGTGTTTGTCTTTCATCAACCCTTCTAACATGCTCCAGGATGGAACTGGCCTTCATTGTACTTTTTGCCTACCTCAAGAACATTAAGAAGGACAAGTTGAAGAAGGCAGCAGGTACTGTCGCAGAGAAGGCTAAGACAAGCATGGCCGCAACTCTGAAATAAATTGTCTGCTTATTCCCTTTACTATACGCCCATTTGCCTTTTTGTTTACTCTGGTTACAGCGTGATGGTTTCCCTTGTTCCCAATGTCCATGGATAATCTAGACATTTCTCGGCAACTATCTTTCCAGGCGACTGTGTCGCACTGGACTTATGATAGACATGATTGTATATAAACGCACGGCTCTTCGGCTTCTAAAAATCCATTTGAAATTAGAAGCAAACTTCTCAAGTACGATGGCCATGACCTCGAGACTGGAAACACCCACCAGTGTTACAAATTCAGGAGTCGCAGTGATTTCCAGGCAACATGAAGCCAGCTGTCAAGCCTGAGGTCCAGGGCTTCCGCTGAAGGAATATTCACTGACAGCCTGATTTTTAGGTGTTTCACTGTATCCACAAATTGTCTCCACAGTGGTTTTTCGGCAATAGGAACTGCCGCCATCAACAGGTGAAAACGCCTTTTCATACCCATAACTTTGACTTTATTTGAGAGCATAGCGCCAATCCCGATTGCGCCACGGAGGTCAAAGACCGTGCGGGAATGTTCTGAAATGTACTCCGTCCATTGGATTGGTGTACTGAAGGCTATGGGTCGCTTAGGAGGCAAGTATGCCTTACCCGGCGTCGATCACTCAGGTGTCAAGGTTGCCAAATCGGAATGGATCCTAACTTTGAAGATTCTAAGCCATGGAATTGCCTCAATCTTGAATCAAATATTAAGATTATCGGCATATCCGATCTGGGTAAAAGATATTCTGTGCCATCAGAGTTAGAGATCTCGATCTAGTACATCATCATCTTTTGTGGAATCGAAAGCTGTAACGCGCCAAGGACACTTTGGGACATTTCCAAGGTTCACGGGCCTGTCAATTCACGTGATCGTGACCGACCTCGTATCGCAAAAGAAAGTCAAGGATGTGGCGTAAAATTGGTTCAAAATAGGTGCTTGCTCAAGCGGCTGATATTGCCGGCAGAAGTCTCTGCGCCAAAGCTGAAGGGTTTGCCGAGACGCCACAACGTGTAATCTGAATCTAGTGTGCTCTAGTCTAATTTCATCTCCCGGTTTTCATGCTTGGCGTCTTGGTTTTTCTCCGTTTTTTTCTGTATTTCGCTAGGGACAAGCCACTTGTAGGGCTAGTGGAAAATGGCGGTGGGGCTGCTGCGGGTATAACAATCCTTCGTCGATCTCCATATTGATCTGTTTGATTCGTCACAGCAGAATCCCACCCCTCTTTAGCAAATCACAAACAGTACCAATAAGCTGATTAACTCTAGCATTATACCAAACAAGTCTTAAGTTACCGACCCAAACTTCGGAAATTTATTAGGTTTGGAGACTGCGGATTTCCAATTCCCATTTCTCCACGACCATCCGCGCTTCGACATGTTTTTCGCGTCTAGTACTGTAGCTTCCTGAAACAGAATTAGTGCATTACGCTAGCTGCAGCTGGGTCAGGGGAAGACCCTCCTGACTAACAACAAAAAGTCCACAAGCCCCCCACGTTGGCTCATGTCAATGTTTTCAGACATCGAAATCGGTCGACATTCTCAATTCTGACACTATGGCGATCTACACTGATGCTGCGCCGTCTTTGGCGGGCAGCACGATCATGTTGACAGTATTGGCTTTACTCACTTACGGATTGCGGGTGTATTGTAGAGTGACTCGCAAGTCATGGGGAACGGAAGATTGGATCATGACAGCTGCATTGGTTGGTACAATTCCAGAAAATTCTTAACACCTAGCTAACCCCACTGAAAGGTACCATTCGCCGTGCTTGTAGCAGGATGCATTGGAGGAGCGTTCAATGGAATCGGCATTCGTAATTCAACCCTTGCAGAGCCTGGTAATGAAAAATACACGGAACTGGGAAAGAAGGTGAGTGTTTTTCATCACATTGCTCGAAGTATAGCACTGATATTTTGCCCAGTTCTTCCTGGTCTTCGAAGTCGGCTATTGCTCTGCCATTATTCCGATTAAGCTTAGCATCGGCTGGATGTTGATTCGCGTGGCAGGGAAACGCAAGACGTATCTCTATATCCAATATTCTGTCATTGTCACATTCGTGGTCATGAACATCATCGCTTTGATCTTCATTCTTACAAACTGCATTCCCGTGTCGTATGTCTCGAAGTTACCACGTTTTACACAAATCAGATGCTAACCTAGCGGCAGGGCTCAATGGAGTGCTGAAGCTCTCGCGAATGGAGGCCACTGCAAGCCGAGTTACGTCCTTGCCGATGTGTACTACGCTTGTACCGCTGTCAACATCGTTACCGATTGGATAACCGCTTGCTTGTATGCAACCATGCTCTTATACAACGACGGATGTGAATCTAACCAGTCATAGGCCGATTCCTCTGCTTTGGAACGTCCAAATCAACCGAAACACCAAAATTTCGATCGTTGCCTTGATGGGTCTCGGTATCTTGTGCGTCAAACATTTCCCTCCTGTCGTCCATATCTAACATCCTCTACAGTGCATCTTTGTCAGCCTGTGTCCGACTGAAGTATACTGTCGCCCTTACCAACCAAGATGATTATCTATACGCGGTCGCCAATGTGGTCATCTGGGGATTCGCAGAGAACGGTATCGGCATGATCGTTGGAAATGTGGCAACCCTCCGCCCGCTATTCCGCATCCTTCGTGATGGCAAGTCCTCGGATCCCTACCACCAGTCACCCGGGTTCAAGAGTTCCCACCGCAGTATGGGGGCTGGGGCTGTATTCTCCGGAAATTACGAGCTCCACGACCACGAGAAGAACACCACCACCGCTACTGGCGCTGATCACACGCGACGGGGCAGCATGAGCGATGGAGATAGCCAGAAAGACATGCTCGAGAATGGTCAACGCCCTGGCCAAGCCGATATTCTCGTCAGTCGACAGGTTGTTGTGGCCTATGACTAGATTTCTGGGTTGAGCAGATGTTTCGAGGTTCTTAGTATATAATTAATTTAATCACATAGGGTTGGAGTTACATATGCATCATGATTTTGTTGAAAATATCTCAAACATATTATTGCTGCATCCATTCATACTGATCAAAAGATTTGCGCACACATGTGCAGGATTTACGACTTGTCTCCTTGCCAACACAGATATCTACAGAAGTACCATTTGATATCAATTAAAGAGTCCACGATCATCAGAATCCACTATAATTTAGTCAAGCAACCTTGAAAGCCACTTCGCGTCCATGATGAATCCTTGTAATTTAATTTCCGCTCGTCTTAAGCTAAGGTTTTTAGGGTTTTCTGGTGGCACTGCCAGTGGGGAGGAAAAGCGTTCGCCATAGGGCCTCGGATAATCCTGAAAAAGGGGGGGGTGGGGGCCCACATACATCCCCGCCGTGTACTCCGTACTCCGTCTATGTATACTCCGTACATACCAGGGGTTTGACGCTAAGAGCCGCCACAAAGTAGACGTGTCTGGTCAAGCCCCCGGTTTATTAAAGTTTTGATGGTCCTGTCAGATTTTTATATTGAGATCGACAGATGGATTTCACGTGGTGGATTCATGCTGTAAATAGAAAATGCCAAGCGTTTGCATGACTCGTGTGACTTTCGCTTGCCCCTGTTCTTCAGAACACTTACACTTTGCTGATGTCGAAGGTTTATAGTAAGCACACGCAGTGCTCAAGTACGGCATGAAACCCGGCGGTACATGGGGCACGAGCAATGTGGGGGTCAAGTCCAATTAATTATCATTATCCTCCAATACGGGGCATATCTCCATGACATTGATTTCAAGGTTGAGAGAGAATTCAAGACACGCCAGATAGAGACTATTGAACCAGCTTCGTTGCAGGGAAAGATATCAAGTCTCTGCTTCCAAATGTCTCTGATCTCCATAGATGGCTGGTACATGCTAGCGAATCTGACGGTTTGTTTTGATTTACAACTTCAAATATGAGCATGATAAGATTCAATGTCGGGGTTATGATACAATTCTAACGGCGACAAGATATTCTTGATATCAGAGAATTCTTCCAGACGAGCTGTAATATGTGTTTTCTGTCTGCTGTCCCTAGTCCTTTGGGTAACATTCTGTGTGGCATTTGACAGCCAACGGGATGGGGCCGTTAGGGCATGTTGTTAACAGTTATACTTGAGCTTCTTGCAGCACAACTGAATTTTTACGGGGTTTAGACGTTGTGCAGAGAGGTGGAACCAAAATAACCGGCAAAAATGGTAAGTTTCCAGCCAATCTGGGACCCGTTTTCACGTCAAATAGCTTATTAAGCATGATACGTGACCATAAACCCTGTAGTCACCATATACTCCGACTGTGAAATGAATAGCTTCCTGGCACTATTCTCACGTTGGATCTTGATGGCTACCACAAAGTGGCGACGTCCCGGTCGGGAGAATCACGCCGCAATATATATATAGTGAGGCGTATCCTTGGCAACGATCGACAAAGACCCCAAGCTTCCCCCGGCGATCACCTCGTCCCAACAACACCACCTTTTCAATCCACTCCCCGCTGTGCAACAAGCAGGGACATGGGCCAATATGCGATGGCCTCCATGGAGTTCCAAGTCAACCGATGACAGCCAACAACAAACCCCCAACTCAACAACCTCATCCTCCCACTCCACTCCCACATCGCAACCCTCCAGCTCTTTACTGGATTGGTCCGCCTTCATAGAGCCTCGAACCGTCGTTCCTACTATCCTCCTGACAAGTGGTATACTATTCGCCGTCCGTATACACCGTCGCTACCTCCGCCGCGTCCCCGATGCACCTAGCATCTCACCTTCTTGGCTCCGCCGCCGCACAGTATTCGGACAGGTAACCAGCGTTGGCGATGGTGATAATTTCAGAATCTATCACACACCGGGTGGCCGTCTAGCTGGTTGGGGCTGGTTACCTTGGAAGAAAGTTCCTACTACCAAAAAAGAGCTGAAAGATAAAACGGTGCGTTTGTTTACGCCACGCGACGTCAAACCTTTCTTTGACTAACAGCTATTCCTCTGTCCTGTCCAGATCCATATCCGTCTAGCTGGCATAGATGCTCCCGAACTTGCCCATTTCGGTCGTCCTGAACAACCTTTCGCTCGCGACGCCCACACCTGGCTTACCTCGTACCTGCTCGGTCGCCGTGTACGGGCATCAATCTACCGGCAGGATCAATATAACCGTGTTGTTGGTAGTGTGTCTGTACGGCGCGCATTGGATTTCCCGCCGTTTCGACGACGGGATGTCTCGTACGAGATGCTGAAACGTGGACTTGCGACTGTTTACGAGGCAAAGTTTGGAGCGGAGTTCGGGGGCGCGGCGATGGAGAAGAAGTATCGCAAGGCTGAATGGTGGGCCAAGTTGAGATCTAAGGGCCTGTGGAAGGATTATAAACGAGTTGGCTCGGATTGGGAGAGTCCGAGGGAATATAAGACTCGGATGGGGATGGGGGATGTGGATAGCTCGAGCAAATCGAAGTGAGCCATCCATGTCGGTGATGTTCCTATGTAAACGCATGACGAGATACGACTACAGTGTATGTAAAGGCAGCTGCTTATGGTCCAGGGCGAATTGACCCTTGGACCTAATCTGAATATATGGATATGGTACAAATCATGGATGGCTGTACAAAGTGCTCCAGTCGGGCTGGGGAGCATAACAGGGTATATCAAAGCCCGAAATAAACCACAAAACACGCGCTGGGGTTGGAGCGGCTCAATAAGAACATAAGATAGGTGTCGGTCGTCGGCCTGTCTTTTAGCAGAACCGTCTCTCAATCTCTGCAAAAAGCTGCGGAGAGATCTCATCACTGCTGTTTCCTTCAACGCGCCACACACAGCCGCGACCTTCATAGTGGTCGATCAAAGCGCGACTGGTCTCCTCAAACTTGCGCAATCGCTGTTTCCATGTATCGATAGAGTCGTCTTGTCTTTGGGTCAACGGCTCCCCAGTGACATCGTCCTTGCCGGGGACTTTGGGTGCGTGGAAGTCAGTGTTGTATACACGTCCGGAAGGTTCATGCACCCAGCGAGAGGCGATCCGAGAGAGAATGACAGAGGGAGGTGTAATAAGTTGCACAACGAAGTTGACGGGTACTAGCGTATCCAGGCTGATTGCTTGTGAAGCGGTACGGGGGAATCCGTCGAGGATGAATGAGGCGGTGGGCGATAGTGTGGGTGACCCATTAGAAGGCTGTGTGGAGGAATTGGGCTGCGATGGAGGATTGAGCCAGCCCTTAGATTTCAGTTCGGAGGAGATAAGGTTGAGAATCATCGAGTCTGGGACCAGGTTGCCGGACTGCATCGCGGCCTCGGCTTCAATGCCTGTTTCAGCGCGGTTAGTACCCATTGACCTATCGCACGTGCTTGTATATGTGGACAGCTTCACACTCACCCAGTGGTGTCCTTCGGCGAACATTCTCTCGTAAGAGATCACCGGAGCTGATGGAGGCCAGCTGTGGGAACCGGGACAGCAAGCGCTCTGACTGTGTGCCTTTTCCCACGCCAGGTGCTCCAATGAGAATGATCCGAGCAGGCTTCCGGAGCTGCTTGGTGGCCTGCGACATCCTGGGCGTAATGTGTGTAGAGTGTGTCGGTGTTGTGATTTCTCTCTATAAATTTATACCGTTCCTGGAACTGCCGCGTAGATGACAGGATGCCGAGGAATGTTGAGTACAGCAGATTCAACCAGGATGTGCTATCGCTGCATGAGGAGAATGTAAGATCAACTAATATATGAGCACAGAAAATATTATCTAGCGCTTAATTATTGCTCAAGCCCCCCAATTTCCCCGACTTCCGTTTCTCCTGTGGGGGTGCGGCTGCACACGGGTTTCCTGTCTTTGGTTGCCGGTGAGGTTCGGAAGAACAGATGACCTTGATTCGAGTCAATAGATGTATAAAGAAAAGGTGGGGAAGACGTTGCTTCGGTGTTTCGGCATAAGCTCCAACTCTCACATGCGTTTTCACTTGAAACCAATGAAAAGCAATGGCTTTTTGGCTGATGTGAGCCTGAATCCCGAGGCCGGAAACAGACCACTTTGATCACGTGATTGTTCGCGTGGAGCGCGTCGCGTCGCAACTAATTTAGTGATCATGATAAGCTTCAAGTCTCGACTTGACCACCAGGACATAAACCAAACCCGTTTTTAGTCGGCACTATGATTCGACAAGATGCTCATCGGATAGACTCAAAACGTCGGGCTATTATCGATCCCAAGAAGAGACAATTTGCCACGCCAATCTACAAGCAACAGGACTACCCGCATCGTCTGAACCTTTACGATACGCCGCCTACTGCTGAGATCACGCTTGAACAATTTGAGCAATGGGCTATTGACCGGTTGAAGGGTAATGCTACCCTATCTTTCTGGTACCCATTGCTATGCTAATAAACTTACAGTCCTCGCCGAGATTGAGGCATGCTCCTACCGCAACAAAACCCCCGCGGAAACCGAGACGCACATCACCCCCCTTCTCAACAAATACCTACCTCTCGCCTCCAACACCTCGGCTTCCAATGGTACTGTGGACCAGCGTTTGAAAAATGAGCGCCAAAAGGACCACTATTCCCACTTTATCCTTCGGTTAGCATTCTCCGGTACTGAAGACCTTCGCCGACGATTCGCACGCGCTGAGACAATGCTCTTCCGATTCCGCTTCCAGCGGGATGATTCACGAGAACGACGAGCATTCATTGATAGCTTGAATCTGGACTGGGAACCCGTCAGTGAGGAAGAGCGTAACGCGTTGGCCGACAGTCTACTCAGCTCGACACCAGGAGTGCGTCGACTAGATGAGGAGACATGGTATAAAGTAGATTGGGAAAAAGTTCCTGAGCTGGTGGAACGACGTGCAGTGCTCCTGAAGAAGGGTAAAGCTTATGTCCCGGGGAGAGAACAGCTTGCCATGATCATGGCCGAGTTTACTGCTCGCCTGGAACGGTCACTTGAGGTATTTTCGAGTTATTGAACTCCGGGATATCCACTGAGCGGACTGACAATATGTAGCTTACAAACCGAGCCCTTCCCCAAATCGATGAGGACGATCGTCTGACCCCCATCTTGAACCACCTTTCCAAAAACTTCGGTAGTGCCGACTCGACGTTCACCGAAGGCGAGGGACATGTCGACGGGGCAGCAATCACAGCCAGCTCCATTGACCAACTCTCTCAGCATTTCCCACTGTGCATGCGAAGCTTGCATATTAATCTACGCAAGAACAACCACCTGAAGCACTTTGGGCGACTCCAGTATACCCTCTTCCTCAAGGGTATTGGTCTCTCGTTGGAAGAGTGTATTTTGTTCTGGCGTCAGTCCTTCCGGGGAAAGACTGATGACGAGTTCAACTCGCAATATAAGTACAATATCCGCCACGCCTACGGTGATGTTGGTGGTGATGCCCGTCGGGGTCGTGGATACCCACCCTATTCATGCCAAAAAGTCCTTGGTGATAACAACGTCGGAATTGGACAATCGCACGGGTGCCCGTACCGGCATTATTCCGTCGATAACTTGGTTGGACTGCTTCAGTCAACGGGCGTTAGTGATAAGGGTATTTTGCGTGAGGTACGAGAGGACGTGGGCAAACAACGATATCACATCGCCTGCAATCGCGTCTTCGAATTTTCGCACAAGAACGAGATCAAAAAGGTCAAGGAGGATGGCACATGGAGTCAAGCCGATCTGGACACCATTGTGCATCCCAATGTTTATTTCAAGCGCAGCTACTTGTTGAAGCAGCTGGCCAAGGCACCAGGTCGAGACTAATGTGTTATCCATTCTCTTTTTTTTCTTTTTTTGTTTTTTTCCCTTTCCCCTTTCTATGAGGTTATGTCGTCTTCCCATCGTCCGAGGCTGTTCAACGGGCGTTGCGGGATTCAGGAATTGTACAATGTCATTGCGTGAAGCATTTTAAGTAGGATTGTTCTTAATTGGAAGTATAATAGCACATGATTCATGATTTTTCATTAGAAAAATAAGGAATAGTAAACAGTTTCATATTTTTACGGGAGGTCTGTGACCACAGCTGATTCCCAGTAAATCCGAAAGGATCAGAATGACCTTTCAAAACCAGGTGCCCAGCAACGGGTCAAGTCGATCTCCGCTCGACGCGAAGACAGCTTCGTCATTGAAAGACCGAAGCCGTCGACATAAATGCCATATTTTGTCGGCGTGGAAATTTTATAAGAAAGAAAAAGCAAGAAGTGCGGACGCACGGGAATTTAAGGCTTTTGCCGGTAGATGTGACTAAGCCAAATTAGATCTTTCTGCCTGAGGTGTTAGAAATTGCGGCCTTCGTTGTTTTTACGGGTAACGATAGAAACCAGTAGCGCTGCAACCTGGCCTTAGTCGGGGAACAACCACTCACTCACACAACTTCATCCACCAGTTCGATCATCTCCCCGAAAGCTGACGTCGGGGTCTTTATTATTGGGATCTGGGTTAAGCTCCGGTGTGGTCTTTTGATCTAAAATTTCCTTTGTATTGAGATTCTGTGCGCCTTGATTTGCTCTATCTACAACAACCCCCCCTCCCCTTGGTCAACACCGGACCCCCGAATCCACCAACCTCAGTCCCCACCATGGATTTCGAGGCCTTGAAGGATCAATGGAGTGATGTGGAGGACCGCGATGGTATCCGGCTCAGTTGGAACACTTTTCCGAGCTCCCGCATGGTGTGTGATGAATTGGACCCTCGCCCCTCAATATCGCGCCTCTCCCACTAAACCCCGGATTTAGGAAGCCTCTCGTCTAGTCGTCCCCATTGCTGCTGTCTATACACCCCTCAAGGAGAAGCCCGATTCCCCTATCCTTCAATATGAGCCGGTCACTTGCAAGCAGCCCTGTCGGGCTGTTCTGAACCCATATGCGTAGGTGCCCGTATTGTTGATCCCCGGATTGTGTGAAACTCACCCAATCTCTAGTACTGTCGATATCCGCGCACGCATTTGGATTTGTCCCTTCTGTCTCTCGCGCAACCCTCTTCCGGCTCACTATAAGGATATCACGGAGAACACAATACCCCCCGAGCTCCACCCGTCGAGCACCACGATCGAGTACCAATTGGCACGCCCGGCCCCGGCCCCCCCGATCTTCCTTTACGTTGTCGATACCTGCCAGGAGGATGACAGCCTCCAGGCGCTCAAGGATGCGCTCATCATGAGCTTGTCACTGCTGCCGCCAAATGCGCTCGTTGGTCTGGTTACCTTCGGAACCATGGTAGGGCGCAACCCTCCTAAAATAGCTACGTGTGTATATTGACTGGGATTCAATAGGCTCAAGTGCACGAGCTTGGCTACACTGAGTGCGCCAAGTCTTACGTCTTCCGTGGCAACAAAGACTACACTGCCAAGCAAGTACAGGAGATGCTCGGCCTCGCACACGGTGTTCGCCCGGGTGCCCCTCCTCAACAACAACCAGCTCGCCCTCCTCTTCCTCCCGCTGCGCGCTTCCTCCTGCCTGTTCAGCAGGCTGAGTTCCAGATCACTAACGTCCTCGAGCAACTGCAACATGACCCTTGGCCTGTTGCAAACGACAAGCGTCCCTTGCGGTGTACCGGTGTGGCTCTGAGTGTTGCCACCAGCTTGTTGGAGAGCTCTTTCCAAAATGCCGGTGCCCGTATTATGAGCTTTGTCAGTGGTGCCGCTACCGAAGGCCCCGGTCATGTTGTTTCACCCGAGCTGAAGGAGCCTATTCGCTCTCACCACGACATCGATCGCGATAACATTAAGTACTACAAGAAGGCTGTTAAGGTGGGTGTTGTTGGTTTTTCATGTGTTATTCCACTACTAACCAGTTCAGTTCTACGATAACCTCGCGAAGCGCGCTGCCAACAACGGCCACATTGTCGATATCTTCGCCGGATGTCTTGATCAAGTCGGTCTTTTGGAGATGAAGAACCTGTCCAACTACACTGGTGGTCACATGCTGTTGACGGACAGCTTCACCTCATCTCAGTTCAAGCAGTCCTTTATTCGAGTGTTCGACAAGGACGCCAACGACAACCTTCTCATGGGCTTCAATGCCTCATTGGAGGTCCTCACAACCAAGGAGCTTAAGGTTACCGGTCTTATTGGTCACGCGATCTCTTTGAACAAGAAGTCGAGCGCTGTCGGTGAAACTGAGTGTGGTATCGGAAACACCTGCGCATGGAAGATGTGCGGTATCGATCCGTCCTCAAGTTACGGTATTTACTTTGAGATCGCTAACCAAGGCGGTCCCGCTGCTGTGCAGCCTGGCCCTCAGAGAGGTATGATGCAGTTCTTGACATACTACCAGCATTCCTCTGGGCACTACCACCTTCGTGTGACTACAACCGCACGGCCTCTCAGTGGGCCCGCGGGCGACCCGACACTGGCACAGTCCTTTGACCAGGAGGCTGCTGCGGTACTCATGGCTCGAATCGCTGTCTTCAAGGCGGAGGTTGATGATGGCCCAGATGTGCTCCGCTGGGTGGATCGTATGCTGATTAGGCTTTGCTCACGCTTTGCTGACTACCGGAAGGATGATCCAACATCATTCCGGTTGGAGAAGAACTTTACCCTTTACCCTCAGTTCATGTTCCACTTACGACGAAGCCAGTTCTTGCAAGTCTTTAACAACTCCCCCGATGAGACTGCATTCTACCGTCACGTCTTGAACCATGAGGATGCCGGTGACTCACTTGTCATGATCCAGCCTACCCTGGACTCATATTCCCTGGAGGTGGAGGGCAGTCAGCCCGTGTTGCTGGACTCTGCATCCATTCAACCCCAGCACATCCTTCTCCTTGACACCTTTTTCCACATCCTTATCTTCCACGGCGAGACTATTGCCGAATGGCGGAAAGCGGGTTACCAGGAGCAGGAGGGATACGAGAACCTCAAGGCGCTTTTGCAGCAGCCAAAGGAGGACGCCAGGGTTGGTTTTTCTATTCCTCGATTTCTGCCATTTCGAAGAATGATGCTGACCATTTTTAGGAACTTATTTCGGAGCGTTTCCCACTTCCCCGATTCATTGTCTGTGATGCCGGTGGGTCTCAGGCCCGTTTCCTTCTGTCCAAGCTGAACCCCTCGACTACCCACACAACTGGAGGCTACGGCGGTGGTGTGTCGTCGCAAACCATCTTCACCGATGACGTTTCTTTGCAGACGTTCATGGATCACCTGATGAAGTAAGTTTTCAGATCCCATGACAAGATAGTGCTAGAAGCATACTAACTTCTGATTAGACTCGCGGTATCCGGTACCAGCTAGTCATCTATACATGATAGCCATGAGAGCAAAGGGCGGTCTCTGACCCCTCGGGTCTTGTGTATCTTTAGCGGTGATTTAAATTTCCAATTGTTTGCCTCGATATAGTAGTAGATTGAATGAATTGATACCAGTATTCAATCTAAATACAGCTCAAGTAGATAACCATCAAGTAGATAACCATGAATAACGTATTGTATTAGCTGATCAACATGATACCCGAAGCGGCAACCACCCCCAGGGCTAATATTTTAGTCACGTGACTGAGTTAAAAGCTGTGGGGCTTGCCCTACTTCCCCGATTGAGACTTTCGCTTACTAGCTTTGTGGGTCCCCGTCGCGATAGACTTCGCTCGTCTCTTCCGCCAAATTTCTTTTCCTCTTCTCCATCCACCCCTTCGACAACCCAAGGCAGATCGACTACCTTTCGCACTAGCCATGCGTAAGTATCATCACCTTGGTATGCCATTAAATGGCGGCTAATGTAAATTTCTACTTACAGCTCCCAAGTTCGACCCCTCCGAGGTGAAGATCATTCACCTCCGTGTGACTGGTGGTGAAGTCGGTGCTCAGTCCGCCCTTGCCCCCAAGATCGGTCCCCTTGGTCTGTCTCCCAAGAAGATCGGTGAAGACATTGCCAAGAACACTGGTGACTGGAAGGGTCTCCGTGTGACTGTCCGTCTCACCATCCAGAACCGTCAGGCTGCTGTCTCCGTTGTTCCCTCCGCCTCTTCCCTGGTTATCAAGGCCCTGAAGGAGCCTCCCCGTGACCGCAAGAAGGAGAAGAACATCAAGCACACCAAGTCTATCCCCATTGACGACATCATTGAGATCGCTCGCCAGATGCGTGCTCGCTCCATGGCCAAGTCTCTCCAGGGTACCGTCCTCGAGATCCTCGGTACTGCTTTCTCCGTCGGCTGCCAGGTCGATGGCCGCAGCCCCAAGGATGTCTCCGACGACGTCAAGGCTGGCGAGATCGACAGTATGTTTCTCCAGTCAATCACACCTTTTGATCATATTCACTAATATTGTTCTAGTTCCCGAGGAATAAATTGCCCTCTCGAATGGAGAGAGGTAGCTCCTTTTTGTGACGGTTTGGATTTTTGCGTAACAGCGGTCCTAGTTGCAGAATACGATTTGCCTCAACACAAAAAACAAAAATGTTCATGAGTCATGACTTTGATACCATTTTCTTTTGCGCTCGCGCGAGTGTCCAAATGAACAACTGGATTACTCGCCTCCCGATTCCTTCCGTTTGTACTATTCCAATCTCCCTCTCATGTTCTTTGCATTTCCTCTCGCTGCACCCCAATGGCGAGGTGGATGCTTGAAGCATTCTAGATTTTTATGGCGCAAGCCCCATTTTCCGGAACCCTCTGATACACTCTGGCCCTTACCGTTCTTTCCTTACGAGGTCTGAATATTACTGCGTGGTATAGGCTTATTTTAAGCAGAGGAGAGCAAATGACCCATTACTCACCGCGGTATTCTCGGGATTTGGCCTTGTGTCAGGTCCCTGTGGATACCATGGTCCATTTCTTGGGCCTACATCTCAGGATACAGACTTCCAAGGTTGTCTGGTCTTGATGTAGCTTGTAACTCATTCATGGATGTCCCATGGATTGTAGATCTTTTGAGTCTCAATACGAAACAAAAAATGAATTGAAATGAAGAATCTTTGACTCCACTCCTGCTCTCTTTTCTTTAAAGTTTCACTGCATACTGATTAACTTTTGATTTTGGCTGGTCACATCCATGCACCTACCGAGTTGCGTGTGATATGCCAGTTCGCAGAATCTCAAATCAGATACACGGACATGCTGCATGAATCCCGGTCGGCTTTTGATGCCGGGTCTGCGCATCTGAGTACACATGCTGCATTTCAATATCAATGCTGTCGATCAGATGTGTTGAATCTGTTGGTCTGGCTCAAGGTCTCCACGGCATAAATTAAACCAAATTTCGTGTTTTGCAATTTTCTTGCAGACAACACGGGAACGAATGTATATAACCACTACGACGTGTAGGGATTGATCTTGACAACGCCTGGTATGAGGCCACCATTCGATTTTTTTTCTATTCCTGACCGCACAGCCCCCAAATATACATGCATATGTACCCCTCGGTAGACATGGATGTATTCCGTACTCCGTACTCAACACCGGGATTCCGAAACACCAACGGTCGCTAGCGATCCAGTACGCACCAACAAACGATTTCAATTGGAATAATGCCCCCTTTACCTAGGTAATGCTAATGAAATTCGTATCGCAATTCAACATTTGATTATTTGAAACTGTCGAAACATTTTCATTTGAAATCAATCTACTCATAGCTTGAGAATCCGGAAACTTGAAAGTACAGTACGTGTCAGCATTTCACCGGACTCGCGCACACGGACTGAGGCACTACGGAGTCCACAGTCCCCACCACCCCGACGATCATTGCTGGATGGCCTTGTTAGCACATAGCGGGTGATGTTCGTTGGTCCACCTAGGGGGAGTTTGGTGGAGACCAAGAAAAAGCAAAAAGAATGATGAATTTCTTGTATCCTTGTCTTTTGATTTTGATTTTGATGGTCTCATTCTCCAGCTTTCCTGCGGGAACCCACATGAAGAATTTGATGAGACTTGAACCCCGTAGAGGTCTGGATTATCGGGAAATATTGATCGTTGGACAACTGAAATGACGGCCCCCGGTTCGACCATTGCAGGATTGGAGTATATTTTTTCAATCGGTGTGCTTCCGCTTTTGTATCACCCGACCCGCATGCCAGTTGTTAGATGTAACGGATTATCAGTGGAGGATGTCCATCATTGAGAATTCAGCAAAAAAAAATATCAAGGATTATGGTATGTGTACTTCCCGTAGTATGTTCGATTATTCCCTGTAGTGGAATCTGGACGTGTATATTGTGGAGCATAAGCTCCAGGGCTGATCAATATACGAAGTTACCGAGACATGAATGCACGGTTTCACTATAAACAGTTGGGGGAGAATCAGGTGCAGATCGGGGATAGCCTGGTTAGTCAGCCTCAGAATTGGGGGCTTAGATAGAAAAGATCAGGCGCGAGGCAAGACAGGGGGAAATATACACACCCCTTATGAATTGAATTGCTGGTGTTGTTGTCAAATGAATATCAGCGCCTATATACGGGACCAGGCTCGACTCGATCATCGCGGGGCGTCACCGATCCATGACTAGTCTACCGGAGCGGAACCAATCGTCCACTGACGTTGGCCGCTGAATGGAGACGGTAAGTTCAGCCGTTGGATCAAGTGGGTCAGTGGAGTTTAGAGAGAGATAGAAAGAAGTGGAAAGGGGAAGGATATAAGTGGTAACAATGAGCTATTACTAGTACTGAGAAGAGAATAAGTTGTGCTTGATTAATGAATGTATCCAGTATCCAGTATAGAATAGGAGTAGTAGGAGTTGTAGGAATAGTAGGAGTGTAGTTATAGTCATGGCCAAGGCCATAAGTTGTAAAAAGGGACCGAGAGTTGGTCAGGATCCGCTCACATCCCCCCACTCATCTCTTTGAGTCCACTCTACTATACGCAACTTCCTTTTCTTTTCATTTCTTTTACATCTACCTCACTCTTTGCACTCCGTACTTACCCTTTATCACAATACCTGCCAAGATTATCCTTTGGCACCCGCAGCTGAACCCCCTTCTCCCTTGCGTCCGCCCGGGATCGATCATCTTTAAACCACTTGGCCTTTTATCGTGGATTGTACTCGATGACGATATTGCGAGCCTGCTGAATTCTCATTCAGCCTTGCTCTCTCACACCCTGCGCCCCATAATGCGGTGTCGGAAACGATACAAGGAGGATGCTTGTTGATTGCCTTTGGATTCTCTGTTGAATTCGCTTTGGTAACCAATATATACCCCCCTGTTTTTTTTCGCTTCTTCGACCGTCAACTCGACTAAAAAAGATAAAAAAGGGAGAGAGAGGGGGACTTGTGGTGGTCGAGGAGGTGAATCAGAATCGCAAAGACGATCCTCCCAACAAGGATTGGACACATTACGAAGAAAAAAGAACTTCAAAAAATCATCCAACATGTTTCCGACCGTCGCGCCATTTCCTCCTCAGCCGCATCACCTCCACTATCCTGCCCACGATGCCCTTCACCAGCCCCCGTACGACCTGAATGACTCGTCCTTCCCCGCCCGCAACGACCCCTCCAAACCTTTCTTTAATCATTCCCGATCACGCCTCCAACTACCGCATCCCGTACAGAGACTTGACGCTCGCGATGCCTCTGGGTCTAGCTCGAATACCTCCGAACATGCGCTACGAAGGAAGACCCCGAATGGTACCCTCGCCGCTGGCTACGATGGAACCCTGGGTGAATCAACCCTCCAACCCGCGACAAAACATATCTTGGTCTCGCCTATGGATTCGGGACAATTTCTCTCACATCAGGGTTTGCCGACCGATAATTGGCATCATACTATCGATCCATCCGTGAAATTCATGAACTTCCCCCCGGTCTTCAAGAACGAAGCGGGCAACCCTGTTGCAGCTGGAGAGGTGGTTCAAGATGCGAATGGTACTAGCTGGGTCCGCCCAGTGAATTACCCGCCTGGCATCGACTCGATGCTTAATCAGAGCTTACCCGTACAGGCCTCCCAGCGGTTTTTGTTGCAGAATGGTTCCTATATTCCCACTGTCCTTCCGGCGACCCTTCAGCCATGCGTGGGGCCGACCGCGTCCGCAGGCACGGGCCCATTTGGACCATATTGGCCTGATGGGGCTTATATCCCATATCGTCCTGCGGCTTTTCGGGAGCCGCGCTTTGGAACTGACCCAAACGCCCAGCCCTTTTATGACCTCAGCCAGCCTGGGTTCAATCAGCCTCATGTTCTTGGAAGTCGAACGGACACAGGTTTCGCATGGGGCCAATCTCAGCCTGGCATGCCCCAGGATCCGATGATCAAGGCCCATTTCCCTCCCCGTCACTCTGAACAGTTACCCTATCACAGTCGGGTCAGCCGACCTGTGTCATCCTTCTCACCAAATCCTACACATAATGAACAAATTTCATGGAACAACACTCGCCTAACACCAATCCCAGCTCCACCGACGGTCCCGGTGAATGTCGAGTTCAAAGAGAAGATATTGTCGTGGGCCCATGGGGTCTATGTCGATCTTCTTGCAAACATTCACCAAGCCCGCCGCAACAGTATATCAAACGCCGATGGTCAGAACGCACGCTTTTTGAAACCAAGCATCTATCCCAAGCCTCCTCGCCAGCCGGGGCTTGATTTTTCACAGAATCCTCCTGACATTACTCGCCATAACAGCTACCCGTCTAGCCAACATGACTTACAACGGCAGAAACTTGGTCTGCTGAGAATGAATGATTCTCATCCTGTATCCAGTCATCATAATCGACGGCCCTCACTGAATCAATTTGGTCAACACCGAACAGACACACAAATGCATGATGCCGGACGATTCAATGCAGCGCCATCACGTTTTTCGGGCTCTCTCTTCAATGAGGCTTCTCCGGTCGCCAACGCTAAGTCAGCTTTGGAAATGCTTTCCCATCTGTGTCATGAGAGTCATTGGGAATGGATTGATGGCATGCTGCTTGGAGGCTGTTTGGCATATGGATTGGGAGATTATCACAAAGCCATGCGCTGGTATTCCCGCATTATTGCCCGAGACTCATCGTAAGTATACCTATATCTCATCGCTGAGATGATGCTAATTTGTACACAGACATGTGGAGGCTATATCTAACCTAGCGGCAACTTTGTTCGCCCTCGACCGGCGCGAAGAAGCTCAGGAACATTGGCTACGTGCTGTCAAACTGCGTCCAAGCTTCTTTGAAGCTGTTGAGCATTTGATAGGTCTTTTCTGCAGCAGCCACCGTGGCCGGGAGGCAGTGAATATTATTGATTTTGTACAAAATTCGCTGCGTCATCCAAAGGATGGAGATTGCTTCAAGACAGATGAGCATGCCAGCGAGCCGGAGAGCGATGCAGAGAGTAATGTCTCCGATGTCTGCATGTACGACAAGGTGTCCTTTGACTATGATGATGACATGGCAAGAGTCCAGAATTTGAACCTGAGCTCTCTCGATGCGACTCCGGTCGGCTTCGCGACCAGTGGCTATGCTATTCCTGGCTCGGACAATGGGCGGATGCTAGCACTAGTCCATGCCAAGGGCAACATGCTTTATGCCCTAGGTGACAATGCTGAAGCTGCTGGGGCATTTGAAGATGCCGTGTTGATCGCCGCTGGCAGGCGGCGGCATGGGATCCAAAGCCTCATCAAGCAAATTTTTACCGCGTTCTCGCACGGAGTAGGCACCGGTTACCAGCCCGAAGAGGCTAATGAGAGTGTTCTCTTGTATCCGGATAGAGCTCTGCAAACGTCGAAACTCGTGTTTGGTGCCAATGGGACCCCGCCTGGTCTCAAGTGCGTTGCCGAAGGAATTTCGCGAAATGCCGCAATTTCGACTACCAGCAACTCCCTGCTTTCACTGGCAAAGATATATCAGGATGGGATGGCGACCGTGTCATCTGGAGCACCCAGGTCCACGCCTGGCGTCAGAGATATCTTGGCTCTCTACTACCTTTCACTTTCTCTACAGCCCAGTCCATCCACTGCGAACAATGTTGGTATCTTACTTGCCGGCATTCAGAACAACCCCCCAGCTCGTGGTCTTGTACGCCCCAACGGCGAAAGTCAACACCCGGAGATTCCAGGTGTTCTCCCTGGTAGCGGTATATCCCTCGCGCTAGCGTACTACAATTACGGACTGCATCTGGACTCCCGCCACGCACACCTCTATACAAACCTTGGTAGCCTTCTCAAGGATATTGGTCAACTTCATGCTGCAATTAAGATGTATGAACAAGCAGTCCAATGCGATGGAAACTTCGATATCGCATTGGCAAATCTGGCCAACGCGGTGAAGGATTCTGGGAAAGTCAACGACGCTATTTCCTACTACAGGCGCGCTGTTAAGGTGAATCCCGATTTCGCCGAAGCTGCTTGTGGTCTGGCCAATGCGTTGAACTCGGTATGCAACTGGGTTGGTCGTGGTGGCATTGTGAATGGCCGTGGATTCCACGATCGATGGCATGTAGACGACAAAGGCATGCTTCGTGAAGCCCAGGCTAATGACACCGGCGCTGGTTGGATCAAGCGCGTTGTGGACATTGTTGACCGACAACTTCGTGAAGGCGAATACTGGGGTCGGGGGCTATTGACTCAAAACACGACCGAGCAGCTATGTCTCCAATTGGCCCCTGCATTGGATTCGAGCTTCACAGGGAATCGGAGATCGACCCTGGCCAAGCTTCTCAAGTCATGGGCAGGGCAGAAATGGGAAGGGTCTCGTATTGTTCGGTTGATTGAACGGGCCACCCGGTCAATTACATGGCAATGGTATCAAGATCGCTATGTCTACGGCAAAGACTATCCTGCGTCAAAGTACCGTCGGCCTCAACTTCCTGCTGCTCTGAGTGCGCCGAATGCGCCCACTGTTCTGCCTTTCCACACGTTCACCTGTCCGCTGTCTGCGAAACAGATCCGTCAGATCTCACAGCGCAACGGTCTCAGGATCTCTACATCGACTCTGCGACTGCCCTGGCTCCCACCTACAGTATACCGTCCTCCCGCCCCACCGAATCCTGCTCTTCGAGTTGGCTATGTGTCGTCTGACTTCAACAACCACCCACTGGCTCATCTCATGCAATCAGTGTTTGGCTTGCACAACCCAAACAAGGTCAAGGCTTACTGCTACGCCACCACGGGCAGTGATAAATCTGTCCACCGCCAGCAAATCGAAAAAGAGGCGCCAGTCTTCCACGATGCCAGCGTATGGTCGGTAGACCGCTTGGTCCAGCAGATCGTCGACGACGGAATTCACATCCTGATCAATCTGAATGGCTATACTCGTGGTGCTCGGAACGAGGTATTTGCCGCCCGGCCTGCACCCATCCACATGTCTTTCATGGGCTTTGCGGGAACTCTTGGTGCGGAGTGGTGTGACTACATTCTTGCTGATCAGATCTCGATTCCTCCGGAGACTCTGAGTCCTGCGCGGCGCAACACACGCATCGAGGACCGTCCCCTTGACGAGGATAATGGGGAGGATCTTGAGAATTGGGTGTATGACGAGAAGATCGTCTTCACTCGAGACACTTTCTTCTGCTGTGACCACCGACAGAGTGCCCCTGATGCGGGAGAACAACAGATCTCTTGGGATGATGAACAGATGCGGCGTTGGCGGATGCGGAAAGAATTGTTTCCCTTCCTCAGTGATGATACTATCATCCTTGGAAATTTTAATCAGTTGTACAAGGTAGGACTCTTTAACCATTCGACTTGAGCTGCTGCTAACAGATCTAGATTGAACCCACAACATTCCGAACATGGCTGCGAATTTTGGCGCGCATTCCAAACGCCGTCCTCTGGCTGCTGCGATTCCCCGAAACAGGTGAAGAGAACTTACGGGACACCGCTAGAGCATGGGCCGGTGATGATACTGCGTCACGGATTATTTTCACAGATGTGGCTCCTAAGAATACACACATTGCCCGGGCAAAGGTGCTGGATCTATTCCTCGACACTCCCGAGTGCAATGCGCACACAACAGCCACAGATGTCCTGTGGAGTGGCACACCAATGCTCACGTTCCCGCGGTACAAGTACAAGATGTGCTCGCGGATGGCCAGCAGCATCCTCAGCAGCGCGCTACCAAGCAACGAGGCCGGGCAACGGGCCCGAGAGGAACTGATTGCCTCTTCTGATGACGACTACGAGAACAAGGCCATCCGACTATGCATGGATTTGAAATATGTGGCGGGTGGTGGTGGCCGTGCTACTGGACGGCTGGTGAACATGCGACAGATGCTGTTTTTGCAGCGATACACGAACCGGCTCTTTGACACAGCGCGCTGGGTGCGTGATCTTGAAGACGCCTATGAGACTGTGTGGGCGCAATGGGTGAAAGGCGAAGAAGGCGATATCTGGTTATGATGTGCACAGCGATATACCCCTTGAGCGATTTTTTTTCTTGATTCTTGGTTTTGCATCACATCTACATTGATCTTTCTGTGCCCCTGGGTTTCATTTCATTTCACTTTGTTTTTCATTTGGCCATTTCCATGTTTCTACTTGTGCATGACGCACTGTACACGTATACGTTGGAAGGATTTTTGTGTATCAGGTAGATGACTGGCTTTGCCGAATACATTTGTCTGCCTTGAACCTGACTTAAGTCAAGCCATCCGGATAGGATGCACCAGGGATAAAGTTGGGCAGGAAGCTCATGGTTCCACTTGGTCGGTTAGGCGAACCAAAAGCTTCACCAACAGACCATCTCAAAAATCAAGCTCGCAGGCAACTTCTAGATCGAGGCAAAATCGCTCCAACCCGACTAGATCCCCATTCTAGAAGTCTCAAGCAGGTTAATACCATATGTTACTTTAACTCAAAGCTTGAGACTCAAAGTTTGGACCTTGGTGGAGTTGACCATGTGGACTTGGCAATCCGCCAATCCAGAAAGTGGTGCGTTCTTCAAGGTGGAGAGAAAAGTTCATTGAAAGTCAATACAAAGCCCATCTCTTTCTCAAAGTGGCAAAAGCAAAGCAAGTCTATCTAGTTCGAACTATTGTATACAAACGTCATAACCCAGTCACTACCCGACCCAGCGCCAAGGTTCATGACAACAAAGAAAGAATCCAATACCATGGTTGATGTGGGTACAGATCGAACTATTTAGGTGCATACTCCGTAGACTATTTTTTCTTTTGTTACGTTCAGATGGAACGATCAGATCGGACCCGATCTGCTATTGATTTACCGAGTAGTACGGAATACCGACAAACGGATAACCTACAAGCTAAACCACGTTTGGTGCACCGAGATCCGCCGTCGACCAATCAGATGGAATTTTCATTTTTGCGTGATTTGACTTTGCATCTTAATCTTAGGAGCTTGTTTTAGAGAAGTAGATTCCTCTCTAATCATATTTCTTCCTCTATGTATATATTCCAGATCGGGTCACAGTGGTGTTTTTTGTTCCTACAAGGCAAGACAAGATCCATGGAAAACCCAAAAATGGGGGCTCGCGTCAAGACTCCGGCAATAGGATAGAAATCCGATGGATTGGGACGGGAGAACCTAATACTTTCTTGATTCCAAGGTTTTTTTTATGCCTGATGTATCCACACCAGCCCGTTGCCTGACCGTTTTCTCACCCCCTTTTTGGTGGCGCTTGAGATTACCTATACCGGTATTCCGCACAGTTTTACAGTACCGTTCTAACTAATCCGTATGGAGTACAGGAGTACTTGATTTAAATAGTCTTATCCTTTCATGAATTATTGATTCCATTAACCATGGAACTGGAAATTTCTTTGTTCGTAGGATTGCTTTTCCTCGTCCCGTCTTCTGGGTCCACCGTTGCATAATTTTATCTGATGTGGTTTGGTTGGACGTGTATAGGTGGGGGTCACCCATAATGCTGGGACATGTATTCTATACCGGGCATTTACAGTGATACGCCGTTATTCCAAATCACCCTCGCTAACGCTTTTTAGTAACACCATCAGCACTCTGGAGGTTGGACTATTGATTCTGCCCCAAGTGAGATGCATACATGTGTACGATTCAGGGTATGGCTGACCTGCTTGGTGGCGGTTGTCGCCGTCAGCTGAAGGGCTCGATTCATTGAATTGAATTTGATTTTCGTTGCTGATTATTGATTCTTGTACTCCGTACTCTGATGTAGAACCGAACTACTCCGTATTAATTCCAAGCTCCCCAGGACATCAACTCGAGGTGCCATAATTCAACCCTGAAACCCGGTTAAGGGGTTCGGATTTCAGATAGATTAAGATCCCCAACGTTTGGACCCAGTTCCACTCCTGGGAACCGAACTTGAACAGAATCGAACAGATTTGAAGTGGCCTCCTCTTGGCCTGTAGGATCCACATGCAAATCCAGAAACAAAAAAACCCTCACATTGCATCGCATCGGCTACAGAGTACGGTACATGCATACAGACATCTCCGGGCCCCCGGAACCCTCGCCCCGGGCTTGCATGCACGAACACCCTCCACGATCCCAGCCCCGCCGTTCATTCCGTCAGACATGACCAGCCCGATCGACACATCGGCTTATTGGTTGGGATGACGGGAGGGGTGATGAGGGGCGCCACTTTCGTGCATATGGTGTCACATCGGTCAGCGATCGAGGGCTTGTGGTTGGCGACGGGACCGTTGGGGTGAATCTCCTGCACGTACGGACGAACCAGTTAATAAAGTTTTCTTTCATTTCCCAGTTCCAGTTCCTTATCTATTTTACCTTACTATGCATGTATCTCCCGGTATTAATCTATTTTCTTTTCCAGGTCTCTGTAATAGGATAGATCTATCCGGGATCGTCGTTGTGCCGCTTTGGATGAAAGAGGCGCCGTGCAGATACGGTGGGTCCTGTGCCTTACTCTCTACTACTTTTTGCACACCCTTGCGTATGTCCTCGTGAGTATTCAGTGGCGTCCTCGTCGGAAAAAAAATTCCCCGTGGATCTCTGAAACAGGTGGTTAACCAAAGGGAAATCTGACAGATGAGATTAGGATGGTACGACCTGAAAGAGTAGATCGAGGTACATGTACTCCCGTACCATGGTTAGGATTATTGGACGGAGCTGATGTGCGACCTACTTTGATCTGTCGATCTGTAGGATAAAGTATGAATTCCTTATTGGGGGGTATTGTAAAATAAAAATAATAAAAATGCTAACACAATCCCATTCATTTTGTCACTTGATTCATAATAAAAACTCCCCGGGGACTCCAACGTCCCTGAAACAGAAAATTGGGATGAGGGATGCCCACCCCACAGTAACCCGAAAGAGAGAAAAAAACACCCAGGTTTTTAAAGATCCGAAGCGAGCCATGGTAATACATTAGAACAAATGAGAGTTGTCGCCGAAACGAAGGGTGGGGGCTTTAACACATGTACAACCTTGCGGGCTGAAAATGCCCGGACAAGGACGGGAATAAAGTATAGAACAGAGAAAAAGCAGATTCAAGAAGAAGGTCGTACAATCATGATAGAGACAAAGGAGAACATGATGGGGGGAACAAAAAAAAAGGAAACCAAAAGTTCGCGGTCGTTGCGCTTTTAGTTGAGGAGATTGTTGACTCCCATGCGAGTGTCACGGGGAGCCTCCATAAAGGGCTTTGGTAGATCTGTAGGCTGGTGCCACGATGCCAAAGTCGGCTGGTGTTCCATCCATCGCCTTTTTGATGCGATGTCGGAAAGTGAATCCAATGACCGGGCGGGGTAGCTGGGAGAATCCTCGACGACTTGAACAGACACGCTGGGACGACGGGAGTCGTACTGAGCGCGCATATCGACCGGGAAGGGTAATAGTTGGGGAGAAGGAAGAGTGCGCGGAGAAGAGGAGCAGACAGAGTTGTGATCCGAGACCATGGAAGGAGGCTCGACAGAGGTAGCACTGGAAATGTCGGAAAATGCAGGTGAAGTCAAGGGGGTTTCGATGGAACGGTTGATGGAGGGAAGAGTGTAGATGGGAGAAAGTTGACGAGCGGCGGACATGGATTCCCGACGAGAAGGGAATGCGTCGGAGGAGGCGGTAGATTCGGTGTCCCATGGGCGAGTGCTGAAGCGAGGACGAATTGGGCTCACGACGGATGCCCGAGCATATGGGGCCTCCACACGGCCACTACAAGTGCGAGAGACTGGTGTTGATGAGAGACCACGGCGTTTGCGGTTCATGCTTCCATTCCACCAGTTCTTGACGGCGTTGTCACTGCGGTTTCCCAGTCGGCGGGCGATCTCAGCCCAGCGCTTGCCCATTTCGTTAACCATGCGCTCAATCATAAGCCCCTCATCTGAGGAGATTGGTTCACGGTTCAAGGAAGGCTTGAGGTTTTGGTGGAAGCGTTCCCGACATTGTTTTGGTGAGCGGTAGTGCATATGTTGAGAGATGCGCACCCAGTTGTTAGGCCCTTGTTCGCGGACCAGTTGCAATAACAGTTGATCTTCTTCGGGGACCCAAGGTCCACGACGGTGAGAGGGAGCCATGTGGGGAGAGGTGTGTATGTATATAAGTGTTGATGTATGATGTTAAAGTATCGGGGGGGGATGTACTTTATAAATGGTGGAGGAGAAAGTTACTCAAGCCACAAAGAGCAGCAGCGAGAATTATATCTGCACCCAGGGGGACGGGTCCAACGAAAAATGGCCAGCTCCACTCGCACACTATGGAAGATCACGATCCAAGATCTCGGAGCTGACAGTTTAATATAATACAAGGTATCGGTATTGGTATTGGTATTTTATTTGTTATTTTATTTATTTTCTACTTGATTTTTTGATTTTTTGATTTTGGGATTTTCCATTCTTCCGGTACAGATACGCGTTACTCCACTTTGGGTCAAAATAGACCGTAAACAATACCCATAAGCATCATAAGTATACAACTACTAGTATCATTGGAGTGATATAATTCGTAAATGAATATAATTACTCCGTAGAACTATTAAAACCCAAAGCTGAAAAAAAAAAAAAAATGAAAATCAACACGTCAACAAATTAACAAATTAATAGATTAATACTTAATTAATAAATGCTCCGGGGATCGTCAGTACGACCCGGGAATCCGGGCTGATGGAAAATACCAGTAATGATCGTAGGGATCGACCCTGAGCCCCGTTACTGGAATTCCAAATCACTACGCGCGCTCATATGTTTGAAATCGAAGCATGGCCCCGATACACTGGTTGAAAAGAAAGCATACACATTGCTTTTCTTTCATATGGTGAGCTAGAAGGTCAGATGGAATCGATTTGACAAAGCTAGAACAAAGGAGAACCTGGAACCTTGGAACCTTGCCTTGGAACGATTTCTTCAACCTTGGAATCAAAAATAAACGGTCGACACCCCTGACAGCGTATTCCCGCATTCTCCACTGGAAAGGGGCCAGGGGCAGATCTATGTCAACTGTTAAGTCCAGGGTCACGGTTCCCCCAATCCTCAGCCAGCCATGCACGACACTTGTTCGATCACAACCGATCCATGTGCGATCGGTCGGATATGTTTGCTGATTGGCTCAATCGGCGGCTCTGCCCTTTACGACCGGCTTGGGATCCCCACTATTGGCAGTGGGTCCAAGCATGAAGTGGAGTTCGATCGTGACAAATTCCCTAGGACCGGGTCAGATGAAGAAGACCATTGGAATATGGGGAAACACAAGAAAATTGGAAGTCAGATCTGACAACCGCCACTCCGTGTTCCTAAAAAAGGGGGGAGCTTCGACCCCGAATAAGTCCGTGAGAGGTGGATCGTCAACTCTGAACCTTGCAGAGTAAACACCTTGCATTATAGAACATGGAAGGAACGTAAGGTGGCACATACTTCTATTCTATGTCCACAGGTATATCCGTACTTTAACGATTAATTACTGTGCAAATGTTCCTTTTCTAAGTTTCCTTTCCAATAATCAAGTACAGTATGCATTCTGCCGCATGGACCACCTGCCACCTGTCACGGTCATGGACTGGGGCGATCCCGGGGAGACCGTGACGTGATGGAAATTCTGGTCGTTGCGGCAGATCGGGGACGATCATCAGGCTGCAGGCTGCGTGTAATGGGTACAGTAAAAAAAAATATGATATAATGATAATAATAATAATAAATACCCCTAAAAGTCAATCTATTTCCCGTGTCGTTTCCCACTATTCCCACCCTAACGCTTTGGTGTACCAAACATACTAGGTCAATGAGGTATCACATCTTTCCTTTCGCTCTCGCTCTCGCCTGCGATCGGGGCTAGTGGAGATCGCCCTCCTTTTCTGGGTATTACCCGGTTTGGCATCTTGCAGATGGGGCCTCTCCCCACAGTGGAAACCGTTGAACATGCCGTCGCACGCCACACCTTTTTTGCTTGGTTCTGTTTGGTGTTTTGACCTCGTATCACCCACACGCTACTGGCCCACTGTGACGAACCTCTTTCTGTCCTTGTGATTGGTCCCTCCAGGTATTTGTCATTGTTGTGCGGGTCCTGCTACTTTGGGCAAGGATGCGCTGGGCGGTTATCGACGTTCGAGTAAAATACTATACTTAATCTATTCCAGACGTCTCTCCGATGGAGTCTGTACGTAAATATAGTATTCCGTTCAAATTAGCTCTTTTAATCAGGATGGTGGAGCTGAAGTTGACACGGTATGGAGGATATATTAATATCGCCCCCTTTTCTGGGGCAAATTGACTTTATCCAGGAACTACAGTACGAGCTACAGAAGTCGACAGAGATGGTATGAGCATAGCAGATTGTATACAGTACTCGTACTACATATGTACGTACTCGTACTGTAGAACGCCTCAGTAACTAAATACGAAGCCATAGATCCCTCGTGTGGACCGATCGGATACCATACTCCTGGGAAAGAAAGCCGTTGTCGACCGGATGAACCCGTCCTGGGATGCAACATCGACTAGGGTAGACCCGAGATATGACCTGTCATTCCACATGTCTTTCTCCACCAATCATGTCTATGGTAAGTATTTGAGATAAATCCCTGTCAGTCTGCAGGGATCACCGCTGATCGCGCCCGTGCACGCCCAGACCCAAATTCTCCCCTGCCGTCCCCCTGTCAAGTCCGTCATAAGAATATCACTAGTTCAGACGATGTAACCAGGAAGCTGGGAACTCCCCCCTTTTTTACCCCGGTTCAGTCTTACAAAGAATAAGCGTTTGTCATGAGCATGAATTAAACCAAGATCGCAAGTGGAATAAGAGGTATATTTAGAAATGTATTATATCCAGGTAGGCAAAGAAACTAATAAAAAAAAATCAAAGCCAGCTCATATCATTTAACCATTTACCCAAACAAATTGACTCCGTCACTACTTGAAATGTCAATGAATCCCGAAAGTCAGGATAAACTACAATCACAAACGGATCAATCTTCGATGGTCCGTGCCTCTCGGGCTTTAGAACTCGGGGACCATATGGTGCCCGATCTGTGGGAAACCGTTTTGGCACGCGCTTCGGGCTTTTAATTCCTTGGGATTTCAATGTTGCAAGGATCCACACCGTTTTGACTTTAAACATTAATTATATATCGTCATTCCGACCTATCGACTATACCCCTCGTACGGAGTACAGGAGTGACAATATTCAAATTCGACACAGGTTTCCGTACGACGGCCAACAAATCCCAAAACGGACCATTCTTCTGGAAAATCCATTTATAAAAAAAGAAAAAAAAAAAACTGGAAGAAGCGGGAAGTTCACCTGTTCTGGACCTTCCGATGGAGAACGGGCCAGCTTGCCCCGCTTCAAGACCATAATCCAACCAGTCATCATCCTCCCTGAGGGATGGTGACGGGTTTGACAGCGGTCCCACGAACCAGTTTGCTTCGAACGATCCCTGTGGCGGGATATTATTTGCAAACAAGGTTTTTATCTCGCTCGACAGATGGGTTTAGTGAACTTTGTTTTCCATTCTATTTGGGAGTCTTATTTGTTGGGAAATGGGTCGCAATAGAACTTTTCTAGAGAAGACAAACAAAAAGGAAAAGAACAATTTAGAAAAATTCCCGACGAACTTGTCTACACCTTGCTCTTCTAGGTATACTGGGATGTCTATCAATGGGGTTCAATTCATTAGTTTTGTCCAACCACGTTGACTTTGCGCTGTCCGGCTCAACCCTATCTACCCGGTCCAAACTCAATCGGACTTGCTCTTACGAACTTTCCAGGAGTGATGTATGCAAGCCCTGTTTTCTGGGAAGAGAATTATTAGCATTGACCGTTTAATCCCATTGATTATTTTCATTGTTCCTTTTCGTTCCAGCTATTCAATGCGTTTTGACGTATGCTCCGCTCCACCGGGGGCAAAAGAAGCGATCATGGACATTGAAAAGGGGGACGAGGCGAACAGCAAAAGGGAGTGGATGCGAAGGTACACGGCAAGTGTCATGGCAATTCCAGCTGGTCCACCTTTCAAAACCGTTTTCCCTTTTGGTATAGGTACATGAGCACGGAGTATACGGACATACGTGTATATCCTTTTTTAATCCATTTCTATTTTCTATTTTATTTCCCGTATGGTTTTATACCGTGTCATACAGCGGAGTACTCGCACTCATCCGCACTAGGTAGGTCCGTAAAGTGGCACTCATCCACTACATTGGAGCCGCAGTCAGGGGTGCACCCCTCCGGCGCTCTGGATTTTAGCAATGCCTCATATGGATATCGTTATGTCGCCAGGTGATCCGTGCCTCGATTAACCGAGTTGGGGAGGAGACTGGCGTTGCGCTCTGACCAAGGCCCCAGCCTTGTTACAGGTTTCGATAGTTCAATATTAGTCGCTGTGATAAATGTAGAGTTGCCCTCAACGGGTTCCACATCACCCGTCTCTGTACCGTCTTCTCGGGTGCAAGCCGCTATATGATGCAATCACTAGCCGAGGCAGAGATTGCTCTCTGTGATGTTTACTCCATTGGATCTAGTGGTGCACGTGATGTGGATTAGCGTGTTGGGCGTTAGGGCTCGGATTTAGGGCAAGTTTCAGGTTTGAGGCTGTATCATTCCACGTTGTACCTACTCCGGAGTAGGCGGAGTACTCCGTATAGTGAGTTTATTACTTATTGATTTTAATGCTATTTTGAACTCGATTCAATTTCCTGTGTAGCGTTGTTTTCCCTTTCAATTTATTTTAATTAAATTCTCGTGTTGTCCCGTCTTGCGGATATATATCGTGGAGCCAGAACAGTGTATATTTATTGAAATTTCTCTCCCAAGTACTTCGTACAACCTTGGACATTTGGACCATTCAGGTCCAGTAAACTTGGAAACAAACAAAAGTATTGGAAAGCCCCTCGGATAACTAAACTCTTTAGAAGCAACTATTCATGCAAAGACCGATAATCCGAGCGCCATTCATCCAGATGCTATTGGTGGCGTTCAGCCTTGCACGCCACACCAGTGAGATCACAGCACAGCCGAAAATCATCTGCCACTCTCCACCACGATTTCAGCCATGCCGTGCATGACTGAAATGACACCGCACATGGTGTCCCAATGTCCCTTAGCTCGTGGAAAACCCGACAGCTGAAAACCGAGACAGGAACGAGGGCGTTAATTAATGCAAGGGATGCATGGGGGGAGATCAGGAGATCAGGAGATCACATCCATGCAAGGCTTGCACATTAGGTTTGCGTTTTGACGTTATTGCTTTTTTCTATTTGCTTTACGTACCATGTCCACTTCCAAGTTTTTGTGATACTCTACTGGTTTTTTCCCGTCCTCGGCTACCTGGTATATCCTTGATGGATATGGGGTGATGATTACACCTCCTCATATCCGTTTGATTCCACACACACGCTGAATTGGAAATATTTGACGGGGTTCAGAGTAAGTCTTTCCCGATTTTATGGTCCCCGGATACCGTGGTTGCACCATGTGGCCCAATACTGGGAACTTGCAGCTGGTCCAAGGACGGGACTCGGCTGCTGGCATGTCTCAAACAGATCTGCCCCTTACCACACATGTTCATGTATGTAATCATGCTGTCTCGTGCAGGCGCAGAGGTACCGCGTTATGGAGAATGTAGACACTCCAATGACGTTAGAAGGTTTGGATACCGCATCTCGAGTGCATATACGTCAACCCTGCCGGAGGTCTAATAATGGTATCCTCAATACTGACAGTATTGTGTACGAATGCCCGTTCTTTCTGTCTAAGTTCTCGGTTGTACTACACCATGAGACGGAGTAGGCATGACCTAAATTAGATGAAGGGATATAATTCCCAATTTTCCACAACTACTGGTTTACAAGTAGAAAGGAATCTCGCCTACGAGCTCCATACTGGGAAGCTCAGCTAAGCTAAGCCCATCTTTAAATATCATCAGACACAGACACTTTCGCTGAGTGGCTATTATTCATGAAGTAATTCTACCCGACCAGTCTTGGCTGGTGCTCCCTTTGTGGAAGCCCGGAGCAAAGGCGTACTCGCACATGTACTGGTATGAGGCCGCCTCGACTGTGTGGCGCCATTGCTGGATGTTGATCTGCTGGCAGCCGAGCGTGGTTTGAACTATTTCTGCATAGGACTATTTCTGCATATGCTTCCGGAACCGCTCGCTGCCCTGGACTGTGCAGCGTATCTCTTCTCCCCGGATCCTGATGTGCAGGGCCACGAGTGGGGTAGTGAGCGGTTCAGAAAACAAATGCAGAGACAGTCCAAAGCCACGCTGGGCTACCAGAAGATTAATATCCAGCAGTGGCGCCACATCGCCGAGGCGGCCTCGTACCGTTACATGCGCGAGTACGCCTTTGCCCCAGGCCCGGAGGACGATGGGGGGGACCATGATGAGCCCAGCTACGCCCCTGATCCCTTTTAGCGATACCGCTCGATGAAGACTGGCCACTCTGGCTAGACCGCTGGTACGATCTACGGCTGTAAGCGTGACGCCATGGAGGGTAGCACGAACCACCGGCAGACCTACTTTCGCGCTGCTAGTCAGTAGTGGTACTGTTTCCTTGTCTTGGTGCCCTATGGCAGCTAATGGGAAGATGAGTGCAATACTGTAGAATGAAGCTCACAAAGCAGTGTGTGATATTGGGTATGGGGAGAAAAGAGAAGAGAGAGAGCAGAAGGTCTGGAGGATATGCCCCTAGACCCAAACTAAGCTAGTTCTGAACAGGGTTAGCGCTGCCCCTGGTCACATGACGACACAGGAACACTAACACCTTGGCCACGCTTTCCCCTTAGGTCGAACTCCGGCCTTCCCAACTGTCCCCGCTAATCGCCATCTAGGACCAGGCCTGGACAGACAACCGCCAGCCCTTGATCGTGGTGATGCCCACTAATGCGGGTAAAACGCTACTCTTCCAACTTCCCGCTTCGCTTATGCCCTTCTTGGAGTTCCAGGACATCACGCTGATCGTGGTACCGCTACTCTCGTTAATCGACGATCTTGTGCGGCGCTGTACGGCATTAGAGATCGCTGCCTTGGCCTAGACCTCAACCAGCATACGGCCTAGTAAGGATACCCGAATTTTATACGTGACGTTTAAAGGGGTCCGGTCTAGCGACTTCCACGACTAGTATAACGATCTAAACCAGTGCGAGCGGCTCGACCGGATTATCTTCGACGAGTGTCATACCCTACTGGATGGCAGGATCTTGGGCGTCTGCCCGATATAAGACCGAAACTCAGCCGGCCATCTAGTAGCGCATGATACTCGTCGATGATAATCCGGTCGAGCCGATGGCACTGGTTTAGATCATAATTTGTAAATTTTTTCTGTATTTTGGAGAGTTTATCCCTCGCATTTGTCATTCTAATGTACTGCACATTTCTGTATTGGAGTTTCTATACAATCAAGTCATTGAGTCGGCTCGGAGCATTTCAAGGATTTACAGATATCTTCGCCCCAGGGACGCTCATCCGGATCAAGTTCATCCGAATTCAAGTGCGTTTCATCTACGTTTCAAGCAAATTTTAGGCAAAATAGTGGATCTTTTATACCAAGAGCGTGATAAAAAAGGAGCGTCTATTAAAAGAATTTATAACATTTGAAAGTGTGGATATATGATCTGCAGAGGGTTTCCCACCCTGTCGATCATGAAGTTTTTCGGGGTTGGTTGGAGGTCTACGACGCTAGATAAGAGGTATGGGGGAATATTTCAATATACCAATAATTTAATTGAGCCCTAGATATGAATCCAATGACATTAATCTTGGCTGCTGATTACCCTGCTGCATCAACGGTTGTTTCGAAGTGCTACCAGGAGCCACAATGAGCCCGGGGCAACTACTAACTTGCACAAACCACACGGCGAACCTTCTGTTTATGAAAAGAATTTCCGTCTCAAACTCTAGACCAAATATTCATGCAACATGAAGTTTTCACAAGAATCGAAGATCCAGGGGCCAGAACAGGCGGTGAATGTTTTAAAATAGCACCACCATGAGGGCCAGTACAACCCGAATCTGTTTATGTCACACTTGCACCACTTACACCATGCCTTCCATGCATCAAAGCATTATTTATCTCGCAATCACAGCGGTTGGATCCGTGAACGCCGCCTTCGGCCCTGCATTCAGCACAGGGCCTACTTCGTCAGGCTCTTACATCGCCGAGGCAATTTCCACACTTGTCGTCCCTCGCGCTCCAAGCACCAATAATGGCGACCTCGCTCTCTGGGTTGGAATGGGTACTTCGGCTGGTGATATGATTCAATCCATCGTCGACAACTACCAATCTGACTCCTGGGATGTCTTTGCTTACACATTGAAGAAGACCAGCTGTCAGTCCTGCTTATAATGATGAACTAACGACGATACTAATTGGCCTTGTTTAGTAAATTCACAAGAAGTTATTCAGGGACCTGCCTCGACTGCTACACCTGGAAATCGTGTGACTGTGCACTGTATGAAGCGAAGCATATTAATTCCCAACACATCTGACGGTCTACAGATAAAATTGACGAGTCTACTGGAAACTACACACAGACCGTCTTGGTCAACAGCCACAGCGTCTCGACGCTATCAACTAGCGATGGAAAGGCCGAGGGCTGGGGTAGTGCGGTAGAATGTGCGACAACCGACTGCGGCACTGTTGATGCCCATTGTAAGTTGCGACTCACTGGTGCTTGGGATCATGGCTAATAACTTACTTTCTAGATTGGATCAACACCAAAATTACTCTTTCTGTCGCGGATCCTGGCTACATTGACACCTTGGTTTTGGGTGATGGTGTCAGCGGTAACATGACCACCGTTGACGGTGGAAAGACTTGGATTGTGCCCCGAATCAATATCCCAGAGTATACTTTCTCGTCATAGACGCCTGTCAGGACATACTTGGCAGTTTTCAATAGAGCGGAATGTGGAATTCCTGTTGCTTGCTGAGTTCACTAATGTCCTGTTTCTCTTTTGGACTGTATTTATGATTTATGCTATCTCAATTTGCATGGGCCGGCAAATCTGCTATGGTAACAATGGATAATAAACGAAATTCGAATGCTCCCCCAGGATGTTTGTTCAAAGAAGAAAACAATGAAGATAATTTTTTCCATGCTCATGATTGATACTATGATAGATGGGGAACACGCACGCTCAAGAGCCGACGCGGTAAAAGACCGGCATAGTGTCAATTGGGCAATTCACCTCCACTGTGACACCACCCGAGAATATCTTGGGGATTTCATCATGCTGGGTATTCACCTTGCCCCAAGGAGTCCAGCAAGCACCAGCAGGAAGATAGACAGAGATCTTGCGCTGTCCCGGTTTCAAGACCGGGGCAATCAAATACTTCGACCCAAACATATAGGCTGTTTCAACATCCCATGCCTGCTTGTCCTGCGGAAACTCATAGAACAACGTGCGCATAACAGGCGTGCCCTTCTCATGAGCTTCTTTCATCAGGTCCCGGGTGTAGTTGCGAAGCTCCTCCCGAATCTCGATGAATTTCTTGCAGATTTCATAAACCTCATCGCCATATGACCAGATCTCATTGTCGGCTCCACTCGAAGTCGGCCCGTCAGGCTTTGGCTCACGGTCTCCATGAAGTCGCATCACAGGACAGAATGTACCCCATTGAAACCATCTGGTGAATAGCTCTCGGAACTCAGGGTCATCTGGGTTCCCTCCATGGAAGCCTCCGATATCAGTGGTCCACCAGGGGATTCCAGAGAGGCCCATATTTAAGCCGGCTGCTAGCTGATTCCGGAATGAGGTCCATGAGGAAGCAATATCACCACTCCAGACAAGGGCCCCATATTTCTGGCTACCTGCCCAGGCGCAACGCAGCAGGTTCACAATGTTTGTCTGTCCTTCCGCCTGCATGCCCTCGTAGAATCCACGTGCATACTCCTTGGGATAGATGTTACCGATCTGCAAATTGCTGCCGGCGTGGTATCGGTAGATATCATAGTCGTAGACTGAATACTCCGGCTCGGCCTCATCGAGCCAGAATACTTTGATGCCATGTTCATAATAGTGCTTCTTTGCTTTGTCCCAGACATATTCTCGGGCTTCGGGGTTCGTAGCGTCAAAATAAGTGACATCACCGTCGCATTGCATTGCCACGGGCAATCCGCGGTCGTGTCGGATTAAAAGGCCACGCTCCAGCATTTCGGAATAGTTCTCGGATGCATGCTCGACTGTGGGCCAGATGGAGACCATGAGCTCCACCTTGAGCTCTTTGAGTTCTTGAATCATAGCGTCTAAACGGAGCGCGTATTAGCCTGGTGAATCTCCTAGGAGAGAGTCGATACTCACCAACATCGGGCCAGAACTTTGGATCGAAACTCCATTCACCCTGATGCTTCCAATGGAAGAAATCAACAACAATCAGATCGAGAGAAACTCCGCGACGACGGTATTCCCGAGCAACATTGAGCAGCTGTTCCTGATTCCAGTAGCGAAGCTTGCACTGCCAGAACCCAAGCCCGTACTCTGGCATCATAGGGACATAGCCGGTGGCCTTTGCATATGCCTCTGCAATCTCTGCAGGTGTATCTCCAGCTACAACCCAGTAGTCAAGCGAACGTGTCGAGTACGCCTCGAAGCTCATCACATTGGTTCCGAAAACTGCTCGTCCGATCCCAGGGTTATTCCACAGCAGCCCGTAGCCGCGCGACGAAACTGCAAAAGGCACACTGGCTTGGGAATTCCGGTGCGCCAGCTCCAAGTCTGCTCCTTTGAGATTCAAATATGGTTGTTGATACTGGCCCATTCCGAAGATTTTTTCCTTGGGATCTAACGATTCGAACCGAGTTGTTAGGTGAAAATCTCCACCAAGTATGGGACGCAGCTCCCGTGCTTCGATCCTCAGAGCACTGCATTTTTCATCGCGGGGGTCCTGTCGATTGCGGGCATATTCTTCGAGTAATTTGGTCCCCTTTGAATCGTAGATGATCATTTTCCCTCTCTGGGAGACAGTGGCTTTGATTTTACCGTTTGTGATTGTTGCATCTTCATCCCTGGGAGTTGCGATGTTGATGGAGGAGCTTGTTGGATGAGAAGTGAGTGCCCAATCTTCTGTAGGCATGGATGCAAGTTTGGTTGCTCGCACTCGAAGGGAATTCTCGCCCCATGGCTGGATCCAGAGGAGGTGGTCGTCAAACCTGAAAATCAGCTTATCGCCTTCCGAGAAAAGCATGGTGGAATGAGTCAGTGAGAAAGGATAATCTCAACGTTTGATGTTTCAAGAGGGTAGGATGGAGGTTGAGACCTTCCCAAATAAGCACGGTCAGATCTCCGCATTCAAATATTTTACAATGATCCATCAGACCAATCATAAAAAGGGTTGACTTCTACTGGTTCCCCCAATGAATCTATAAGTTATGTCGAATTAAGTCTTATCACTTTAGTATCTCTTCTATGGTTATATACTTCTACTCCAACGCTCTGGTATATCAGAACTGTGATAGTAGTAATGCATAGGTAGCCACAGCGGTAGCTACAGCGATATCTGACTCGAAACTTGAAAATTAATAGTTCCTCTGGGTTAGAGGGAGTCTAGCAACTCTCTGTAGATGAATTTATGGAATCACGATCGTCCTAGCCAAGTCTTACTGCATGAATATCAGTATTCAGCCAAGTTCCTTGAATGAAACCTTAGAGACGCCTAGTTTGTAACCTTGATTGAATTAATTTTTACTTAAGTGAAGAAGTAGGAAGAAGAACAAGAAGAATAAGAAGAAAAGCGGATCACATTTGTCCCCCACATACTAAGCCCGATCGGGTAATTAATGCGGGAAGCTCGAACTCCGGGTTTTCCTCCTAATCAACCTCCGTCTTACTGACTACTTCAATTCATTCATAGCCATGTCGGACACAGCGAACCAGGCAATGGCTGATGCCACCATTGATATCGACATGGATCTCGATCTGGGACTGGAGCCTGAACCGGAACCTGAACCCGAGCTCATCCAAACTGTCAGTGCTTCCGAATGCCTTGAGAAGCAATGCTGATGCATTCTGTCCCTGACTTCAGGAGACTACCATTCAGGACACTATCATCGAACCGCCTACGGATGAAGCAGTATATGAAAAAGTTCACGTGCGCGGCGTGGACGAATTATCCACCGAGGACATCAAGAAATTCGCGACCAGCCACTTCGAGCACGAGGCACCTACACGCGTTGAATGGATCGATGACACCTCGGCTAACCTCATATACTCTTCCACCGATGTGGGCCTTCAAGCCCTCTTGGCCCTGACTCAGGTCAACGACGCAGAAGATGCCTCCGCCCTACCACCCCTTCGTCTTCGGTCAGCCAAACCCATCGCAAGTCACCCGGACTCTGTCTTGCAAGTAAGATCCGCCGTCAAGTCAGACCGCAAGCAGGCACGTTCGTACGAAAAGAGTCGCTTTTACCTTATGCACCCCGAACACGACCCCCGCGAACGTCTGCGCGAGGAGCTTGCGGAGAGAAGACAAAATGACGGCGATTACAGGCGCAATCGATTTGACGATCGGGAATTACGTCGACGAAGGGATCGCGACGGCGATGAAAATTTCAGCGCCAACATGTACGATGATCAACCTGAGAGCCACTCGGGGCCAGGGCGTGGCCGTCCCGACCGAAGACAGCGAGGACCGCGAGAACTGTTCCCAACAGACGACCGAGCATCTGGACGACTCCGCAATCGCAGTGCCTCCCCTGGCAGAGATACTCTTGAGGAAGGAAGCCATGTCGATCGAAACCCCGACACTCGTAGAAGGTTCCGTGAACGATCGCCCCAACTTGCTCAAAACAAAGGCAAGGAGCTTTTCCCATCCGAATCTGGCACCCGTGAACTGTTTCCCAACAAGCCTGCATCGAGTTATATCAAAAAGGAACTCTTCCCCAGCAAAGCGAGTGGTCACCGTCGATCTGATGCGTTCGATGCTGCAGACGAGACTCCGGATCTTCTGGGACGGAGAATCACCGCCCCCCTTGGCCATGCTGGTCCCGACCACCGGATCCGCGGAATAGCGAACGAGGATCAAGGCTTTGCGATTCGAGGCAGCGCCGGCATCTCGATCAAAGGACGAGGCGCATCAGTTCGTGAACTGTTTCCATCCAAGTACGACAGTCAGGTGGGACAATCAGCCAATGCAGGGAAAGAGCTTTTCTCTGATACTCTGGAGGGACGTGGAGGACGTCGGCGGAGAGCAGAGGACATGATGAATTAAAGGCATGTCGCAAAACAAAACCTGGGCTGGGCGTTTTGCTGGGCGTTTTCGATTTGAAAGCATACTTTATGTGGCGTTACTGGTTATCTGAATTGACAGTTTTCATCGAGTTGCATATACCATCCTATCCCATATGCTATCCTATCCTCGAATCTTTCATAGCACGTAGATCAGCAATGTCAGATACAATAGAGATGCCGAGGTCCATATAATAAAAATCTCATTCGCCATTAAAATCCCCAACGACCCACACTAATAGAAGTCATTGGTTTCCCAACAGAACAAGGAGAAGAAAAGGAAATAAACCTTGGAAATTAAGAATAATTGAAGAAGAACGGAATGTTCGGCTTCGGATGAATTACCTGATCGGGTGTTTTCCCTTGCATCCTCTGATTGAAACTTTTCATGAGAAACCAAGAGGCACAAAAAGTCGCCAATCTTAATTTTTTTTCCCTGGGGAAAACTTACGTCTGCCACGTTCAGATCCGATCACCTCCACATTTCAATATAACACAATGGTTCCAAAGCCAGTGCCATTCCCCGGCTTCACTCCGATATCAGATCGGGTGTATCTTCGCAATGGCCCTGAAAATGCCAAACCAGCCCCGGCTGATCACCCAACAACCATCATCCTCTTCGGCTGGGGTGACGGAATGCCTAAGCATGTTACCAAATACAGCGACGGATTCCATGAATTGTATCCCTCTTCCAGAATACTGGTCATCCTATCAGGTACCTTCCAAGCCTCAAATCAGCCCCTGGATGCCAGGGTCGAAGCCATGATGCCCCTTATCGATACCGTCTTCCCAACTCCCACTGGCGACGGACTCGAGCAAGAGCGCGTCTTGTTACACGCCATGTCAAACACAGGCGGCATCTTCCTGGCCGCTGCCTTTGTCGCGTACCAGGAACGACATGGCAAGGATAAGAAACTCCCGCATCAGCTTCTGGTCTGTGATTCCACCCCTGGGAGTCTGGACTTTGCCTCTCAGGTTGGCCGCTGGTCTCGAGCGATGGCCGTGGGGACGTCAAAATATTTCCCCTGGCCGTTTATCATCACTCAGGGTCTCTGGTATGCCTTCCTGTGGTGCAATTGGGCCTGGGAGCGTCTGCGTGGTTCGGAGCCGTCTGGTGTCTGGGCTACGCGGATTTGTATGGATCATGATATTTGTCCGGTCGAGCCTACTAGGCTTTATCTTTACTCTAAGGAGGATGAGATTATTGGATGGAAGGACTTGGAGGAGAATGTTGCGAATGTCAAGGCTGGTGGCTTCCCGGTTGAACTGGAGATGTTTGAGGGCTCGCCGCATGTTGGGCATATGAGAATGCATCCGGAGCAATATTGGAATAGAATTGCTGATTGCTGGAAGGCTACTCATGGGTAAATAATGTGTATAGATTATATGTATAGATAGATTTGTATATAATTTTGCTATTCAACGTTTCTAAGCTAAATACATAATTGAGTGGCTTTGTTGGTTACTGTATTTCCCATGTCCCTGATTTCCCCTTTTCCAAGGCTCTCAAGGATCTTCCAACCTAAAATAATTCAAACAAGACGAAGAAAATATATTAACTGTAATCAAGTTTGCTGGATTGTAACGTGCTATCGCTTCGTAATCTGTGGCATTGGAAGATTCATCTGTGCCCCACTTCCCTTTGTCATCTGTCAACATCCATGGCCTCCTCCACATCCATAGACGCGCTAGCAAGCGCCATAGTCGCACGGTTCCTGCGGACCTATGACTATACAGAGACCCTGGAGGCCTTCGTCCGTGAGGCAGGTCTTCCACCCGACGTAGGGCAAGCTTCAGGTGACGACACCCACAACTTGACCATTCAGCGCTTGCTGGAAGAGAAGATCACCTTTGACCATACCGTTAACTTCGAGCGATATGGGAAAGATGATAAAGATAATGAGGGGTGGAGTATTCCTGGTAAGTTGAGCTGTCCTGTGCTGCGATAGTCACTAATATTCGTCAGCACCGTCAAAACCAACAGTGGTTCAGACATCAACTTCATCAAATATTCTCTCTGCGTCTGTAGAGCCCTGGAAGAAATTAGGCCATGATGAAGCCGCACCTCATTCGGTGCAGCCGTTGATTCTTGCTACTAGCGCTGATAGAAAAGCGCACTTGTTCGAGACGGCACCGGCTCATGCTTCTCTTGCCTCGCTACCTGTGACTGATTCCCCGGTTCTTTCATATGTATCAATTCTGGACGGTCAATACATTCTAATGGCCAACATGGCTGGCAACCTGCTGCTTCAGCAAGGGTCTCGCGTCCTAGACAAAAGAAAGGACCACGCCAAATACGTGGTCAAGGTGGTCGTCCATGAGGACCAAAGCTTCTCCGGCTCACGAAGATACTGGATTGCCACCGCTGGCTGGGATGCGACTGTCTACTTGTACCGAATGGACATCCCGGAGGACTCTCAGCCCATCATCGGAGAGCCAGTGGCACATATCAAACTAACCACGAACCCCGAGTCGCTGCTTTTCGTCCCGAACATTGATTCTGGCGAGCTACTACTCCTCGTCTCGCGCCGAGACTCGACCTATATCTACTACTACGAAGTCGCCTCGTCCAACTCGGAGTCCCGCCTCCTTGGTAAACAGAATCTAGCTCCTCACTCCAATGCCTGGGTTGCATTCTCTCCAGCTTACATGGCGCTCAGTCCACATGACCCTGGCTTACTAGCCGTTGCAACTTCGACGCTACCGCATCTGAAAGTGATGATTGTGCGCCTTTTGTTTCCGTCTACCGAGTCTCTTGGTGATTCGGCATCTGCAGATCCAGTGACGCAGGCTTCGCAGGCTATGGCTTCTTTGGCGCTTCAAAACCGCGAGGACGCCGCTATCTTGCTTCAGGCGAATACCTTTGCGCCGCAGACGGCGTACTCGACTCCACAGGTTGTGTGGAGACCCGATGGGTCGGGAATTTGGGTCAATGGGGACGATGGTTTGGTGCGGGGAATTGAGACGAAGACGGGGAAGGTGGTGGCTACATTGAACAATGGCCATGAGCTGGGCTCTAAGGTGCGGACTATCTGGGCTGGATATGTTGATATACCCGGCAAGGATGATTGTTTCACTCAGCAAGAATGGGTGATTAGTGGTGGATTTGATAAGAAGCTGATTGTTTGGAAAGTTTGATATTTGGATTCTATATAGAATGAGTCGAAACCTAGATATGGATGGTTCAAAAACCCAAATTGACTGTACTACTGCAATACTACAGATTACGAAGTTTGTAGCCGTCCATCCATGCACCCTTTCGACCACTGAGAAGTTCGAAAGGGTGATATTGAAGAATAGGGGCTTGTGGGGTTTTGTCTTGGCACGTTGAAAAAATCCTTCAGCAGTCGCGCATAGAAGAGCACGTTGCTGTACACACATATGCCGGAAATGAAAATCGAGATGACTCGAGGAAAGGAAGCCAGCCAGAAGCTGATGTACGAAACAGCAGCGGTCGACCAGAAAAAGCACGGGATGGAAGAGGAATTGCTGTCCCACTGTGGGATTGGCACCGCTGCATGGATATCGAATTTAAGCCTGTTGATTTCTGTTTATCAAACAACCCCGGACGTGCTAGCGCGCAAGGAACAAGCAGAAACCAGGCCTATCCGACACAGCGAATATTCTTTGATCATCGCACGTTATTGTAATCCCCGGGTCCTTGCGCGCACTGGTTTCCTCTCCAGTTTTTCAATTTTTTCCCATTCCGACGAACATTTAAGCGTTCTCACGCTTTCCCTCCTTGCGCTCTTTCTGTAGGGTTGTTAGTATTGTACTTTGGCTGGCCGTGGCGAGTTCAACGTACCAGGGCCTTGGCGGTACCGTGCAGGGCGTGACGGTGGTTGCGGCGGAACTTAGCGTCAACACCACGGAGGGAGGGGTAACGGTTGGTCTTGGGCTTCTTGATACTGTATGGAAGGTGGGATGTCAGTCGGTCGGTTCTCTGAAATATGTGGTATGGCGCAGAGTAGAGGACTCCAAGACGGTTCGGCTGGCTGAACGGCCAAGATATTCAGATCGTCTCAACTTGTCCGTTCAAGTCCAACCGATCGGCCTCGAATTCCCCCCTCCTCAGTCGTAAAACATTTGTCGATTCGCAACAGAATATTTCGAGTGGAATGTTCAATATCGGTGATTCAGGGGGGTACGCACCCGTTACGGTGAGCCTTCTGGCTGCGGTGGTGCTGGGACGCGTTCTTGGACTCTGTGGATCGCAGGCTAGGTCAGCGATCGGCATTTCTCAAAACAATATGGATGGCGTTGACCAGGCGATAAGGTTGGGTGTCACATACTGGCCATCTTGACGAATGTAGTCGCTGATTGACGTGGACGGGATAAGGAGAGTAGAGGAGAGCACTGGAGTTGGACCCAAATGAGACTCGGCTAGGGCTTGCTTCTGTGTGGGATCTCGCTTACCGCCATAGTGCACGGACCTTTTATACTAGCTATACTCCGTACTCTACGTCAGTTCAATCCACATGATAAGCTTAATGAATTCGGGGTAATTATCCATGAAGGTATTCTATTCTGCTTGACTGATGTTTCCATCCACATCTTTACCTCCTTGGACTCCGGATTGAGGGTCCTTTGCAGTATAGTGAAAACGGGCAAACCCATTACTCACGTGATAATTACATAAGCAATACAGACACGTGACCCTGAAGTATGGATCTTCGCGGTCAAGTGAAGATGCTCCATATATGCATCATCTCATGGCCGGATATCCTTTAAGTGCATAGGATGAGACTTCTACTACTGACAATCAACTTGGTCGCCACAATATCCAGCCATTGGCTGACTGAGAAAAACCCGACAGCGAGCGGTCCGATATCGCATCATAGCATGGGCAACTTTGGATTATGGGAGAAACAAAAAGACATTTAAGACCAATTTCAATCGCTTTTAACAATTCATTTACCTGGTATCCTAATATCTAACATTACTATGCAATATCAATAGACGCTAGACTTGACTGGCATGCCGGGTGGGCTCACCACGTGACCCGCACTAGGGAACAACCGGCGTTCCGACTTCGACCTTTGCACGGCAACTTCAAGAGGGATCACTCCAGCCTTTGCATCCTCCCACCCCATTGCGACCATGAACTCCTTCCGCTTTGCTCGTTCCGCTCTGCGGGCTCGCCCCTCCGCGTTCAGCGCTCCTATCCAGCGCCGTGGATACGCCGAGGCTGTCGCCGACAAGATCAAGCTGTCCCTGACTCTCCCTCACAAGGTATGTGAACCCGACTCCGGCCAAACCTCCCTAGCTTTATAGGCCCCGGACTGACATCCTTTCCTTTTGATAGACTATCTACCGCTCCACTGGCGTGTGCGTTGCTTCTCCTCTTGCGCTCCTATTCTCCGCGCCCTGAATACTGACGAACCTTCGACTACAGGACCCAGGTCAACATCCCCGCCGCCTCCGGTGAGATGGGTGTCCTCGCCAACCACGTTCCCGCTATCGAGCAGCTTAAGCCTGGTGTTGTTGAGATTGTTGAGGAGGGTGGTGCCACCAAGCAGTACTTCCGTATGTCCGACCCTTGCTCCCGAGAGCCATATCGAAAAGCGCCTTCGACAAATACAAAAACATCGACTAACACCTTTTTTCTTTACAACAGTGTCCGGTGGTTTCGCCGTTGTCCAGCCCGACTCTCAGTTGAGCATCAACGCCGTCGAGGGTTTCGCTCTGGAGGACTTCAGCGCCGAGGTAGGTCGCGTTGGTTTTTCCGCGACAGCGCGTGATGTACTAATCCGATACTCCAACTTTAGGCCATCCGTGCCCAGATTGCTGAGGCCCAGAAGATCGCTAACGGCAGCGGCAGCGAGGTCGACATTGCTGAGGCCAAGATTGAGCTTGAGGTATGCATCTCTTAACTTGATTAATTGTGAACGTCAACTAACCATTGATTGAAACAGGTTCTCGAGACCCTGCAGGCCCATGTCAAATAGATGTACATATCCACTCGCGCACCATTTTGAACCTGTAGAATTATAGGAATTATTCCTTTTGTCGATTGACACTTCAAATTTGTGCTCCTTCCTTTTTCACTTCTTTCGGTAGACGTTGGTTGTGTCTCCCCCTTTGGGCAGTTTCTTGTTCTGACACTTAAACCTCACTTGCCCGCAACTTTGAACCTTCAACTATGCGCTCAATGAGATCACCCTTGGGCAACGCCGACCCTCGTGTTGCGATGATTGAGCCTCCGATAGATACCTTACTTTCTCCTTCCTTTGCTTCGGTCCTTGCTTTTGATGAGCCGGATGAACCTAGATGCCAGGACCTCATAGCACTCGACGAAGACCTGTGTCAGCACAATATGGGTTGGCAAGATCAACCTGGACTCAATAGCTCCCGTGAATCGTCACTCAAACGGGGCAGTGTCAAGCGCCCTCAATACCCTCGACTTGAGTTGGATGTTGCCAAGGACAGGTACCATGCTCTCGATGGGCCTGCAGAACCATCGATCCCATGCAACACCCCCGACTCGGCAAATGGAAGCCCCAATGAATGGCGTCGCGGGCTCAAAGCTGACAATCTACGTATCCGCTCAGCCCCACAGGCACCTGTATTGACGCTCGATTGGCTTGAAGATAGGAAATTGATCTACCAACCAAGTGAGGGGAAGGGAAAAAACCGAGCACAGAAGCATTGTCTCTCCGTCTCAGCTGAACCACGCTCTACTTCACCAACCACTACGGGGAATTTTGACTGCCTGACAGTGAGTTTCTCTCCCATCAAAGGCCTTGACGAAATCACCGCTTCGAGGTGTGTTCGATTCTCTCCACCTGAGGCTGCAAGACATCGGTCCCCTCGCCCAGGCTCACGCCCTCTCCCTTCTGTGGAACGAAAGCAAGACTACATCTCCCTTTACCGGCAGCAAAAGCAACATGAAAAATGGAAAAAAGCCACCCGTGTTTTGGCTCGACCTGTCTCTCCCCGTCGCAGCCCTGTCAAAGTGCAAGTATCGACAAGCTTGAACCAACAACCGGAAATTCCCTTTCCATCCCTTTCAAAGATGCTGTTCCGCCAGGATGATCTTGCAACTCCCACCCAGGGCACAAATGGGTCACAATTTCCAGATGCAAGTCCTGTTCTGGCAGACGTCCACTATGAGAAAGAAGCTTCGCCACGGGAAAAAGTGCATGATCTTGTCGCTCTGAACTTCGGCCTGTATCGACCTCGAAATCCGGAACATCTTCCCCGCGATTCAAAATGGGCGTTTGTGCGAGTTCGAATGAGCCCAACGTTTATTCCAGCCAGCGGATTGCTCGAGGAGACACAGGAGATGAAGCAAATAATATGCCGCCTACCCGCCGAGGACCTGCTTCTACATTTCATTATCGTTCTTCCCTATTTTTTCATGCGCATTCCTCTCACTGCACTCGCCAAGGCTGGTCGACTGGCAAACTCTCAAGCGGGTCTTACTATCCTCGATATATTCCGAATTGTCTGGTCTTTTACTGCCGCGTTCATCCAATTTACAGTACAACATCTTTGGAACCTGACACCTGGCCATCACGCGAAAGTCAAGACCAAGTACCGAGACAAAGCCCGCCGTCATTAATACAATCCCGGTGATGTTGCCCCTCGGTTGAAAGTCGACGTGTGCATCGGGCCACAGATCACCAAACTATTTTCTTTTATGTCTATTAGTATCTTGATACCCATTGTTAGCCTGCCTGCCCGCTTCCCATTTCGGTATTCTAAGGCTCGAAGCATTTTACCTCGGCCATTGTTTTGACTTATGATCAATCTTGTATCTGCATGACGGTGAAATCCTTGTATGACTTAATGTCTTTTGTTGATAACAGACTCATGGAAGTTTATGACGTTTCTATATGAGATACAACGTTCTATATCTTTGTTATTACACAATAGCCCACTAACTATAGAGGTGATCCCTGGCTTCCCTATGGCCACGGTACTACCTAATAAAGTGCCTCCTTAGGGTATCTACTTAAGGTCCTGCTTGAGCACCTACTAAGACAGAGTACTGGTCTCTCACAAGTGCCTCACATATCAGGCTACAACTAAATTTAATCCCTATTGGGTTAGATCATAACCAGACCCTGCCTCAACCCCTGAACGAATAAAAGAAGGCTTGTCTATGAGAAACAATGAAATAAAACGATTCAATATTGGTGCACAAGGGTTTCCAAGTTTGATACATGAAGGTCCCACTGGAGCCTTGATAACAGTGCTGGGAATTTGCAGGCTTTCTTCGTGAATACTGGAAAGTGCAGGTAGTTGAATTGCTCTTTAAGTGAGGTACTTAAAAAGCTGGAAACACAAATTTGATTGCATGGAGACTTTGAATTTTATGCAGCAAATGAGACTGAATTGTTAAATACAAATGGGAATCAGGGCATCAGGGAATCAGAGGAAAATAACTAAGCCAGATACGACTTGAACGAAACACAACCGACAGATAATCAAACCCAGAACTCGCTTGCCCTGGAAAGGAATGAAACAAAGACAAAGAGATAACCTACCTATTTAGTTCAATCCATGACCTTGATTCGTGCGTAAAATAAGAAAACATCAGACATGAGACATGAGACATATCAACACGGGCTCCAAATAAGACGTTTTGTACAGGTCGTGTAGATCCATGAGGAACAAAAAAAGAAACAAGAATTAGCGACGTTATTACTCAAACTCCACTCCATGTTGCTGCTGCTTTTCTCGTGTTCGGGCTCGCTCTGCACGTCGGCGTCGGCGATTATTGGCATATGACCCGCTGGCTTCGGTACCAGTCCATGTACCAGGGGAGGTTACACTGCCATAGGCCAGTCCAGAAGGTGCTGGGCCTGGGATAGGAGGTGGAGGTGGCATTTGGCTAACTTGAGATGGGGGAGGGAACGAGGATGCTGGCATACTGCCCGATGGTGCTAGGGATACAGGGCCCGCAGCAGCCATTTGCAGCCGTGTTTGCTCCTCTTGTCGTCGCTCCAGTTCTTCGACGCGGCGCCAGCGATCTTGGCTCCGCTCATCACCAGAGAGGGAACTGGCGCTGCCTGCACGACGTCTTGAGTTTCGTCGCTCTCGGCGTCTCGCTTCGCGGCTTGCGGCAGCTTCTTCTTCTGTAAGGCGACGGAGGGTGACATGGCGGCCATCGTTGTGCATTTTGACTTTCACGGAGACTGGTGGAGACTCGACATGGTCATCACGACGTCTATTTCGGCTTTGGCTGCGGCTGTTGCTCCGGCTATGACGATGACGGCTTGCGGCAGCGGCGGCGCCGGCCGCTCCTGCTGAAAATCCAGCTGCGAGCTCGGTTCCGTCATTAGAGGGTGGTAGCTCCGACCTCGAGTCACCGGAGAGTTCATGATGAATTGGAGGCCTGGGAGGGGGTAAATCTGAGGGAGCAGGGTCGTTTATAGCCCCAGATGCGATGGGCTCGGCTGTAAGGAGAGACCCGTGGGACGGCTGTCGAGGAGGTCGGGGAGTCAGTTCGGTTGGTGTGAGGTCACTCTCGGTGTATGAGCTTGGACGGCGTCGTGACGGGTAAGGGCCGGGCCCTGGGGGATTATTCGGTCGTCGTTTGCTGTTGACTCGCTGGATTCGCTCATCCTCATCCTCTTGGCGACGGATGTCGTCTAGTCGTCTCTTTTCTTCGTCATCCTTGTTGCGACGACCGCCAAAAAACTTCTTCAGCCCAGCGAAAGCGCCTGCACCAAGCAGAGCATCTCGGATACCGTGAGATGGGCGTCTTTCAGTCTCGGTAAGATAGGTACTGTTGTAATAGTACGAAGAGCCAGGGCTTTGTGGTCTGCTGGGTGGTCGGCTTGGGGGACGGTTGAGGGGTGTTCGGTGACTAGGCTCCGGTCTACCATCTTCTAGTCGACTGAGGGACTCTTCAGAGAAGCTGTCAGTGCGCGAATGGGCTGGGCTATATCGTCCTGACTCGGCATCATCTCTGCGATCCTTTCGACGGTCCCACCATTTTTTCGCAAGCAGACCAGCACCAGCCAATGCCCCAATTTCCAGAAGCTTTTTACCCCAGCCACCACTTTCTTTCCTGGTAACGTCGGAATATTTCTCATCCGAATAAGATGTGCGCGATTCTTCATATGCGTGGCTTGTCTGGCGGTTTGGACGGCGTTTGAACATCGACGCCAGCGCTGCAGCCATTCCGCCGGCAGCAAGAGCTTCTCCCATGCCACCATGGTGTTGCTCTTCGACAACAGATGGCCCTGTGTATTGACTGTGACTTAAGCGACTGCCACCGTGTTCACTTGGAACATGATATCCTTCATCGTCATACAAGTAGGACAGGATGAAAAACACTAGCAGGTATGCGAAAGCAGCTAGTGCGAACAAAATGAACAAGACCTTGGGGGAGCCATACAATGTCAGACCCAAAGGAATCTGCACAATTCCTAAAATGGCGAGCGCTCGACCGAGCCATCGGTGTAGCTGCAATCTCAAGTCAGTATTTTAACATCGAAGTGTTTAGATTATACATACCACCAGCTTTAATGGAACGCGATGTCGCATCTTGTTTCTTTCCACCTTGTGTACGAACCAGCCCCATAGTGCTTGGAAAATGACCATGACATAGATTGCCAGACCAATTCCATGGTGCGGGTTGGTCAAACTTCTCTCTGGACCAACGGCAAACCAACCCAACACGAAAACAACCGTCGTCAAGAGCAATGTCAAAACCTGGAACCAAGCGTGAAGTTTAAATGCCCAATACGGATTCCATCGGGAGTAGTATCGGATGATGAGGGATGCCATTGGAACGAGGCCTAAGAAAACGATGGCCGCAATCACACCATGCGCGATAATCATCGAGTGGTATCCGCTCATGTTTTTAAATCGATTCCCCATGCCTACCCACGTCATTGTCAGTCTGGCTTATAATGGCTTCCTTCGCATGTTGGACGTACCATTGTATCGCATCGTCTCGAAATTTACACCCATAAGATTGGGCAGCAAGAATGTGTCGCGTTCAGTGTCCCATGTCCCATCTCCTACATGCAGCGTATTCGAAGAATACGTGCTACTCCCCGGGGCTGTGAGCCCGGAGACCGTCATCTTGTTTCCCGCGTGTATCTCTGTGGAATGTCGGGGTTTATTGAAGGAGATCTATTGAGATCCCCCGTTCCGAGGAATGCACCATGCGACGGGGTCGGCGACTCGGGGAATGCGGGGTGACAGGCTTCCCGGCAATGTATAGAGCCAAAACAAGTATCTCCAAGATGGTGTTGGGTTTTAGAGGGTTCAAGGTCGTAGCGGTGAGCGTTAAGTCGTTCGGTGTCGTAGTCTTTAAAGCGAAGGAAGGGGATTAGTTGCGCAAAGTTCCAAGAAAATACAATCAAGTTCCAGCCTGGAGAGATTGTAAAATCCGCCGCAACGATAACAGTAATTGGAGAGAGCGACAGAAAGGAGTCGTACAGGGCCAGACAACAAGCGGGCTGCGACGACTAATCCATGTCAACTTTCTTCCTAATTGGGTTTAGTGTGACAACTCATAACCGGGACAACCATTAAAGTCACGGGGTTGATCGCCCTTATCTATAATATCACATGACCTTATCGGTGACATGATCTCCAGCCCTGATGATGCCTTGGTCCTCCCACATCCCCTCTTTTACTCCTATGTTAGTATGTTAGCCAGAGCTAATCGAGAAATTTGAAGAATTGAACGGTCAGGATATTAGCTGAATCATTCCTGATGGTTTCATCTCAGCTGGGGATCTTTGTTCGGGCTCTGTCCCGGTAAGTACCTCAAAAGGCAGAATACTGGAATAGAAACTGATTAGGTGCAGGCTTTTGGGCTGGATCTAGTATGTTACATCTATCATTCAGGCTGTGTTAGGGCTGACATGTGGTAGTATGGCCTGCTGGTCAGCTTCATTCTATCCCCAGCCCATCTCTAATGTTCGACGGGGCACGACGTCAGGAACATCGATCGATTTCCCAACAATCAACTGTTTAGGATTCCTGTGTTACACCATATATAATGGTGCTTTTCTGTACTCACCTGTGATTCGCTCGCAGTATGCGGCTCGGCACCCTCTCTCGGAGGAGCCGACGGTCCGCTTTAACGATTTAGCGTTCGCGGTTCACGCGGTGATCCTCAGCGTCATTGTCTATTCGCAATTCTGGCCAATGATCTGGGGCCTACAGGTCCCCCGGTTTGAAAGGATCAGCAAGCCCATTGCGATCCTATTTTGGGGATCTGTCTCGGCCCCACTGTTCGTGATTTGGATCGTTCTGTCGAAAAGCCCGGACGGGGGCTATGATCCTTCGACCTGGGCGTGGATCGATGTGGTGAGTCAATAAGGCATCCCGTGGCATCCTGTGGCTATCTAACGCAGGAACCGTCTTATTTGTCAGATCTATGCATTTTCATACATCAAGCTTGTCATTACGATTTTCAAGTATGTGCCTCAGGCGTGGTTGAACTATAGGCGCCAATCGACCTTGGGATGGAATATCAACCAGATTTTGTTGGATTTGGCGGGTGGTGTGTTGTCGCTACTACAGCTGCTCATGGACTCGAGTCTCCAGAATGACTGGAGTGGCATTACTGGGAACCCGGTTAAGCTTTTCCTAGGGAACATTACGATTGTTTCCGATCTGATCTTCATAACTCAGCACTATATCCTTTATCAGGGGGCGGAGTCTAAGCCCAGTCCACATTCGGACCCCAACTTGAATTCGCCTTTGCTGGCAGAGTCTACTGAAAACAGATGATGTGCGTACTGTACCTGTACAGATCATATGCAGTTATAAAACCGCGGGGCGGAATTAAAGACATGGAGAAACTATTTTTGCCGGTAAAAAACAAGTCTGATAGCCTCTCGGCAGTTCTTTTTCCGTGCGTTGAGACATTGGGGGCCGCGAACCTTCCCGTCTTCATCCACGGATGCCTCTCATGGATTCGGGAATGGCTTAGCAATACACTTTTTAATTTTGGAATTGACAGGAATTCAAAAGTCCTGGAAAGGGGATACGTGTCAGCCCTATCAACTTGGGCAGCTCGCAAAAAGTTAAAGAATAGAGAATGAGGAAGAATTATTCAGTGTACTCCCACTTACATCTGCATCTAAATTGAACGCGTGGCCAAATATCCACGAGTCATTTCCCGAATTCCCCACTCATAATGCAATGCAGCCACATTTTGCGGCTCGTAGACACCGCTTTTCGCGTTTGGGGAACCTTACCCCACTCAGTCCAGGAGTGGCCTATGAGTGGTCAAAATGTTTACTAAAGCTCCAAGTTTTTGCGAGCAAACCAATCATTTTAGCTTAATGAAGATGAGGTAGATCCACACCGGGATCTAACCGTCGGTGTCGGGTGGAAACCCCTCAGCTGACCCCCCTCCCATCCGATATTCTTATCCCATCGCTCCAATCCTTGTTAGTTCCAGGGATATCCGTAATATAGTCGTCATAAATCCTCGACACCTGAGCCGGAATATGCCACCATTACGGGTTTGGTCTAAAACTCGATACTACCTTCATGGTGCCGTTGCGTCGAGGCGCCCAAAAAGGAAATACATTTACTTTTTGTCTCATTTTGTCTGTCTATTTATATTCATATTTATATTTATATTCTTATTCATATTTATATTATATTATAAATTCTAGCAAGAGCATATGTAGTCAAAAGTACTAGTTTTGCGAACCAAGGTATATGATCCTGATACTATTCATACTAGATCTAGATCAGTGAACTGAAATTGAACCCTTGTACCAAGAATCTCAAATTAAGAATTATATAAAAATCAAATAATCTTACAAATGGCAAAACCCGCTACAGTGGGAACAAACGTTCTGAAAGTCCCAGCACAGCGGTACGACGTTCTGCTTTGAAAGGACCCCGCAGCATATAAGCCGCATATCTACAAAGGGTTTAACTCCGCGCCGCATTCCCATTCAAGTACTTCCGGCAGCCTATCATCTTCCAAATATCACTTATTTCTTGGCTACTTTCAGCCCCAGACAGTACCTACTGCTGAATTCGATAGCCGACTTGCTCAGCCCTACTCGACCCGACCAATGGGGTATCTTCCAAACCAGATTCTTCTAGCACGTATTTACCCTCTTACGTCGATCACCTTGGCTTTCCGAGTGCATATGTGCCATGTTCCGGGCCCCGAGGCCTGGCTCTGAATCAATATGATTCATGTTTGTGGGAGTACCGTGGGGCGGGCCAAGTCGATCTAATTGCTCAAATCCCTCCCCTTTCTCCTGAAACTTGTCAACTGCATGGTTGTCCCTTCCGTCATTCTTGATGCAGATCTCAGTAATTTTTGTTTTCTATTTTACGGGGCACGCCTGGACCAAGCACTGCCTCGAACATTCTTTCTTATATACAGCCCAGGCCACTAGATTTGTGGGCCTTCCTTTTCACTGGAAGGAAAGCAATAAAAGCTTATAGATCTGGCTTGGATCGGACCGCCACGCGATTATCCAGATACTCACGGCTCAGCTGCAACTGTCTCGGATTCGGACTTAACGGACAACATTGTCGACTTATGTTTGCTATGTGTATCAATCATTCCCCTTCAACTACTTTAGACTTCGATCAGGAGGTTGGCATCTTGTCATCACTTTCAGAGTCCATTATTTTCAATCAACGTGCAAACTTATTGCCTGGCATGTCCAAGCGTAACCGCACTGTTCCTTCTCACCGGTTGAGAGCCCCCAGCAACCCGTGTGCTCTGCCTCCATTTCTGGTAGGCCTAACTGAGACCCCTGTCAGCTCATCGTCACCCGGGCTTTCGTCTACCCTGCAGCCTTCTTTGGGTTATGAGCCTATCCACCCTAGCTCCATGGGGGCGTTGTTGGCGCCCGAAGCCTATTTATCAGACCAACGGGCCTCACCCGTCAGCGACGCCATGGATTCTATTTACACTTGGTCCAGTGCGTCTGAAGCAGAGATGCTTCGACCACCGGCTTCAGTAGACCCTGTCTACTTCGACTTCGACTCCCAACGGTCAATAGGTCAGCCCATCCCACCTATGGGCTTAACCCCTCAGGATATCAATCAGTGGTGCATCAATAGCCATTCAACAGGCTTCCAGACAACTTCCTACCCGGCCAACAGCTCATCTTACCTGCCAGCCGAGCCTGCAGAAATGTCCCAGCAAGACTACTCTCTCAACGAGACTATGACTACCTCTGCACATGCCCAATGGCTCATCCCAACCGACAACTACCTCTCCCCAGTCCCCGCTGTCTCGGTCTCAACTTTCGACACAAACTCAGTAATGAGTACCTCCCCGACCCCAACTACCATCTCCGACCTCGATATCCTCGTTCCAAACCTCTACAACTCGCCACCCAGCCCAAACGATCTAACCAGATACGGTATTCCAACCGGTGACGGAGCCTGGCGCTGCTCTTACCCAGGCTGCACGTCTCAGGCTTCGTTTCGACGGGGCTGTGATCTGCGTAAGCACTTCAACCGTCATCGAAAGCACCTCTTCTGTCGACACGAGGGATGTCCACAATCCAGACATGGTGGGTTCTCTAGTAAGAAAGATCGCGCACGGCATGAAGCGAAACACAACCCCGGTATTGTCTGTGAGTGGGAAGGATGCGGACGTGTGTTTAGTCGGGTTGATAATATGCGGGATCATCTACGGAGGATTCACCGTCGTGGGGCTAGTAGATGATTGACTACGTTGTTTGGTTTTTGTTTTGTTTTGTTTTTGTTTTGTTTTTGTTTTTCGCTTGATTCTCTCGGTGTACGTATACGCATGGGCTAGCGGGTATGGTGAACTTGGCGAACTGGATGGACTTGGAATGGTTAGAATATTGCTTGGAAGGGGATCAAAAGGCTAAGGAAAATGGAATGATGCTGGCATCGAGACACGGTGGAAGTATAACGGCTGGACTGTTACGTTCTCCTTATTACAGATTGAATCTCCAATCAATTTGTTCAAACTTTATTTGATTCATTCAAATGTTTCTCTATAATATTCCGCCAATTCCTGTGCTTGGACACGCTAATCTGGCACGCTGTGGACATGGTCCTGCTCCTGTCGAGTAGGGTATCAAATATGCACGCGTAGTGACATGCAGATTTAAAAGAGGTTACATCAACGCTCTTCCACTTCAAACGAAATTATCAAATCCTGCTGAGGCTCCAGTTCATTTCGTTACCTGTTTTGTGCCCTGACCCCGTATATTTCGATCCACAGCAGAATAGATAAATCCTACCTTACATTCCATTCGAGTCGGCTGAGTCGAGCAGAATGCGACCCAATCTGCCTTCTGTCAGTTTCCGATCATTTGAACTTGCAGGAGAGTGAAATAAGTCTTGGCAAGGAACATACTCGACCTAATATTGGCATTTATGACGTTATTCGTGATGACTATTGCCATGTACTTAGCTACTCTCATATAAAATCTGTGGAATCCGGAAGTTCTTCGTGAAGACCCGCCCACTCGAATGCTTCCCGAATAATGCCGTGGAATGTTGGAATGGAGGTAGCAGATCGGCGGAAGCATGTGGCTAGTTCATTCCCCCATTGAGAGGTACTTTTTCCTTAAACTTCGGGGTTCATCAACACGTTTAGTGTAGCCAGTTCGTTCGACCACGTTCTGGCAAACTCTGTTTGAAACGAGTTATTTGTCATGCTTGTATCGTACTACGTACGAGGATTGCCTTCTATTTGCAAATCCATAAATTCCGAAGTCCGCCGAGACAGCCTTAACCCTGTCTGTCTTAAAACTTAAGTACCGTGGAAGCCTTAGAAACTTCTCCCGCGTGGCTTGAGCACCCTAATGTATTATTCCCGATGACCATATTTGACAGTCTGTGCGTGAACCAAAGTTTATAGCCTTTAATCATGGTAGATAATCTAGGCAGGATATGAATTGTTTCAGAATCATTACCTTGGGACTCTTCGGACTTAGCAGTAGCGACCTACATATGAGAGCGAGATGCAACATCGCACGATCATCATGGATTATGGTTCATGCTCAAGTTTCTAGTTATGAATCTGTCCAACTTTGCCTGGTCTACTTGTCGTCCTTGGCACGTGTTGTCGTGGCCATGTGGTTCCTGCCTTGATAGATGTGACGTTCAGGTTCAGGGTCTAGTAAGGCATTTGTCCGGGTTGTTCAATGTTATACATACATGTATGCGAGATTAGTGACAAGTTGCCTACATATAACTAGGTCCTTTACCGTGATTGGTTTGCACTGATAAACATTGGACTAAATGCATTTGGGCAGGACATTGCGGCTATTTCGCGACGTATGGCAGTGATGTATCACAACATATCTCCGAGACTACCCCGCCGGGCAAGATTCCAAGTTCATGTTCTGGGATGGGCCTTGAAATATAGAGTAGCATTGCACCGTTAAATTGAGGTTGCTCTGGTTTTCAAATCCTGTAGCAATATTGTTCATGCCTGGGGGCTGCTTCGGCGCGATACTGAAATACTTTCCGAATGTATATGCTACCGTAGGCGGCTCAATTGTCCCGACTACGGAGGCGAGTAGCGGCCATGAGGACAGAAACTTTTGTTCTATGACGATGATTCACAGTCAATTTTAAAATGTTGTCTTAGTTTCATGGAACGCTAGAAGTTGGCGTCTATTCTCCAGATATCGAATTTGAGCTAGACTAGCGACTGCACATGTCATTATATTTATTACTAGGGACTACTAATTTTGACTCACTATAGATATAGATTGGAATATAGATAGTTATTGAGTACTGTAGCGGTTAAATAAATCTATAGGATAGGTAAACGTGAATTTAAACACGTGTTAAAACTGTGTTTGTTTCTTATTTTAGTAAATGTTGAACCATAGATGTGTTGGTGGCGAGGAAAAGTAATGTTATCCAACCCCACTTGTGCGTAAGTAGCGTGGATAGACCACCATTATATCATCGGGCAACTCGATTTGATCCGCAGAATAAAGCCCTATCAAATTGAGAATATCGTATGGATTACAGTTTTTTGCCCTTTAATGGACTTGTATGATTCAGGTATCATAGGTTCATTGAGATTTGTAGGAACACTTCAAGCACAGCCTATATGTACAGAATGTATTTGCATTTACCAGTCCTCACCACCGTTCTCAATGTTCTGGCGAGCCTGGTCCTTAATTTTCTCCTTGTCCACCCAGTCATTACCCTGGACCTCGACCTGACGGTCAATGAAGGCACCCGCCCATGCGGCCATGAACTCCTTAGCCTTCTCGCGGCTAGGCTTGTCTGTTGCATTATTAGCATCATATTTCGTCTCATGTTTATGAGGGGTAATCTGGGAAAGGTGGGGTGGATCTTACCGTCGCGCTCGCCCAAGGCCTTAGCGGCCTCGTAGCTGGCGGCACTGGCGAAAAGCTCGTCAAAGCTGCTGGCCTTGTCCTCTCAAGGTAGTTTCATCATATAATGCGCTTCATACAGCTCGTAGCTCTCACGGTAAGAATCGTCTGGAGGAGCTCAGATATCAGTAAATGCTTGGGAAGCTGGGAAGGCTTGGCAAAGCGCCTCCATCAACGTCAGTCAACACTTATCGCTGAATCAACTCATTTTGATATAGTAATTTGGAGATTGTGATTGTGATTATGAGGTAGAGATGTCGTTGATGAAGAGGAAAGGAAAAATAGGGGCGATGAGAGGTTCATGTACTAGGGGCTTCACTGGAGCTGATCATTAATTCCGTTTTGCCCCTCTACCTGCAAGGCTGAGCAGGGTCACGCCAACAAGGCAAACAGGGATAAATGAGATGAAAGCGTGTCCACGGGCACAGTAGGTTAGATTGCTATGTATTCCTAAGATATATTTAGAATCAAGTGATTGACCGACTCCTTGTCGTGATCGTGGAGGTTCATTGCCACCCACCGAGGGTAAGGGACAGAGACAGATAGAAGAGAGGAATAACGAGTGGACCATTTTACAATACTGTCAATCACCCATAACCAACATAAAGAATGGCCCGTGTATCATCATGCTTCTAAGTGACATGTGGTATCATCGAATGGAGTAATAAATAAGGATAGCTGCGCAAAACGAATCAAAAGAAAGGTATCGCAGAAGTCATCAACTCGTAAAGGGTGAAGGATTCGCTGTGCCGTAGGCTGTCGTGAGATGATCTGATATCCCCTCATGTGGGTCGCAACGCTAAGGTCACAGAAATCAAATTAACAAAGAACTCGGAATCAAATCATCCATTCAGTCGCCTCCGACGGCCTCGTGTACTGCCAATAGGGCGTTGTGCGAGAACGCCCCGAAGGATTGGGTCATCTTTGCTTTTATCAACATGATGAACTCGGACATGTCTGAGCAAATCCCCCAATATTAGCCAAGTGGCACAAGGGATGATATAAACTCCTAGATTTTACATACCGTTGAAGATTGTCCGGTCGAGGATATTTATGTTGCTGATCCGGGCAGAACGGACAGACATAGCCAGGTGAGTTATGTACTAGGCCATGTCGCATCATCTCATTTTTACGTTTAAACCCTTTCCCCCCTACACCACGAGGACAGCCTTCTACTGGGCAGAAATGTGGCCGATCTGAAGAGTGCACATTTGCATGGGAACTATGTATATTGGATCAGGACTGGTTCGTTAGATCAAGGTGGACAGGCTTACTTGAGCAAATATTGGGTTTGAAAGGGAGCCGCGGTACAACCGTGATGTGTGCATTTATAGACACCTATATTCGTGATTGCCTCATCTGGTGAAGGATGCGAGCTGAACGAAGTCCGTTCTCCGGTGACAGAGGCTACTGGCTCCGTGGGGGTGGGATAGCTTATCGGACTTTTCGCAGTCATCGGAGATCTCTCATAGGCATGAGGTTCCGGGGGAGGAGGTGGAGGTGGCGGAGGAAGGATTGGCGGTTCTGCGGACACAGCGGAGGTTGGTGTGCGCCAGAAAGATGGCTGTGACGCCGGCGAAGCATTGTTGGATAGATCTTTGGTGCTTATAGGAGAGAAATGAGAGAAAGGACTGGGAGGGATCTGCGGCACAAGACTAGGTAATTGACGCTCGTGGGGGGAATCATTACGCGATGTAGCAGAAGGTGAATAGGAATAGGGTGGAAAGCCATTAAGCCGAGTTGAAGAGAACTCGGATTGAGACAATCCTAGGGCGGAGATGGAGGGTAGGGTTTGTGTGTTACCGGAGCCCGTGTCTGGAGAAGCCCCGACAGACGAATTGGGAGGCGAGGCCAGCGATTGAAGTGATGGGAGAGAGATGCGAGACTTTAGGTCTGCCTGCTTGGAGTCGGGGGAGAGGCCTTCGGCGGTTGAGGTTCGTCGGTGCGGTGCGAGATGTATTGGTGGCCCCGACGAGGGAGCGGTGAGGGACAGGAGACGGGGACGTTGTGGGGGTTTGGAAAAGGCCGGTTTGATATCTTGCGACAGTACGGGTAGAGGAAGGGTACGCTGGGGCGATTGAGGGTTGTCTTCTTTAGAATCTTTACCCCGGGGAAGTGATGGTTGGGCGAGCGGGTGTCTTGGATTGGAACTTCGGTGGCAGACAGTCCTTGGGGAATCGATCCTGATCTTGGACCCGGCCCTGTTTAGGGGACCAGTCCAGCGGACGCTTCTCAGCGATTTCTGCAACTTCCGGATGGCCTGGTCCCATGACGCGCATCAGCACACCGTCGCCTAAACTTGTTTGCGGTAGGGTCTCCAGCTGGTGCTTACGGGAACGGTCAGACGTTCCCTCGCACTCGGCCTCGGGGGCGAACGGCGGTGGTTCTTCCTCCACCCCATAATTGATCTTCTGCGGAACCAGCTGTGGGGAGTGATTCCTCGCATCGTCCGAGACAAAGATGTCGCACGTCATAGAGGCGGGTGGGGGTGCATAGACGTTGGGCGATGTGATGTGTAAGATGTCAGGAAGCCGATAGCAAATCCATCCGGAATACTGCTGAGGGAGTTTATTAGCTTTGGAAGCCTAACTCACAATACCCAATAAGAGTTTCAGAGAAGTTGGCTCCAATCCGAAACACCAAGCACCTCAAAAGAGAAGACCCTGGCGCGTAGATGGAATCCGACCAGCGTTGAACCAAGTGTCGTCATACGAGGGAGGGGGGGGGGGGGGAAATTCCCGACCACAAACCTGAAAGACGCAGGGAAATCAAAAAAGGGAAAGGAAACTCGTAATAATAGGGCTGGATGCAGAGGGAAAGCTTCAAAGTAAGGTAGAATAAAAATGAGGCTGAAAGGGAAAAATAACTTACCGAAAGAACCAAAAGGGAACAAGGAACGGGTCGGGATGAGGCTCAACTAAAGCAGCGGCTCCGGGGTTAAATATGGGAGAAAAGGAAGAAGAGAAAAGGAAAAAAAGAGGGGAAAAACGAGGAGATTATGAGCTAAACAAATCATCCATTAGAGAAGTGAAAATAGCATGCGGCTCTTGCATTGAAATTCCCAGTGGGTCGCGGCTCCAAAAGTTGAATAGGCCCCGCATGAGCCTGTTTTTTTTTGATAACTCTTTGGGTTTTTATTTATTGATCAGTTAAGTTAAGTATATATATTTTATTAGGAAACATAATCTGCTGATGTTGGCAGATGATCGGAGGATTAGGGGAGGGGGGAAGGGAACGAGGGAAAAAGGAGGGAAAAAGAGGGGAAATGGGAAAAGATGCCCAAGTACATCACTTTCTGACCTTAACTTTCGATTTTACGATTTTTCGAATTTTTTCAATTTTTTCCTTCTTGTCCCGTTACGTATGTCTTCTGTTCTAATCTCGGAGTCAATAACCGGAGAGAAACAAGTGGTGTCCCAAGTCCACGAATCCCCCTCTTTTACTATCCCCACTTTCCTTCCCCGGCTACTAACTTGAAACCCAGGCTGGGCTGGTTAGGTATGTCAGATTTCACTCTCTGACTTTCAAGCCTCGTCAAGCCTGCCAGCCTGCCAGCCTGCCCTCTGCAAGCCTAGGACTATGGATTTATCATCTACTACTTAAGAAAGGTCATAACCTGCCAACACACCACGTTTCAAAGCCTTGTGCCGGTGCAATTCAAAAGGGGAAAAGCACGCGGCCCGCCCCGAGATCAGTGTTTTAACTGGACGGTTCTTTTTCCTAGCGAGCCTTAGGTCTAACCGGGGATGGTGTAGTCGGGGAAGTGGGTTCTTCACCCTTTTATTTTTGGAATTTAATTTTTACTTTTGACAGGTTAAGTTTTCCTTAAAAATTTCCTTTTGTTTACCGACTATTCGGGTCAGGTTTTCAAAGCCTCACCTTTACGTAGAGCCGCAGCAGCCTCATTTATCTACCCCGCTTTCTGCACCAATCACCTTGCTCATACTTTCCATGATTTAATTTACTTTCTGGATTAACAATAAAAAAAAGTAGATCCGAAATTACCCCCAATTCTTGACCAAGTGGTGTCGCATTTACGGAATTGGTGGTTAGTGCTGACATGCCTGCACGGACTTGGCGTCATTGCGCCTAGACTAATTCAGAAGAGCGGAATACTTCGCCATCTCGTTTGAATTCTATCAATTTCATATATAAGGGAATTTGAAGACTGACCATGCGTCAATGATGTAGCGGTAAGGAAACTTATCTTTCCCATCCCGATTAACTTTAAATGTTTCCCTACAACTTGCCTTGCGTAAGTCGTTGCACCCGCTGCACCCGTTCCCAAGCCCCCATCGCAAAAGGTTTAGCTTGTTTAGCATAGTCTCCCGCCCGGGCACTACTGGCCTGCCGCCCTGCAAACCGGGCCGCAATGCCCTGCATGATGACGGAGCCTCGAAACGCGAAGAATGCATCTCCCCAAAGGATATCGTCCGCCGGATTATACCCGGCCACTTCGCTGTACCAACGCATGCAGTCCTCACGCGTCGGCAGCCCTGGCACACGTCCAGTCTGGAACTTTTCCAGCTGGGAGTCGGCGCCTTCGAGGATCCACGGACTGCTTAGGTTGCAAAAGTCCGACAGTGGGTGCCCGACCGTCGCCATCTCCCAGTCTAGAATCCCTATCACTCGGGGTTCGGTCCGGTGGAAGATCATGTTGTCTATCTTGTAGTCTCCGTGCACGAGGGTTCCACGGTCGCGAGGCTGCGTGGACTTTTGGGAGAAGAATTGTACCATGTTGTCAAAGTAGGGGAGTTCGCCGACGGGTTCTTTGGTGTCGACATCGACTACCGCTGCTTGGGCTTTGGAGATGGTGTTGAATGTGGCGATTTGACGGTCGAAGAAATTGGTTGGCTTGCCGAACCCATCAAGGCCTACGGATGATGGCACGACTGAGTGAAACTTGGCGAGTGTCTGCACGGCATTCTTCCATCTACAACATGTCAGTCTGGCTTCATGGTCACGGAAGTTCAGCTGAGACTTACAGTTCCTTCCTCTCCTCTGCACTCACTCCAGGCATCGATGGGTCGGTAAAGTGCCGTCCATCCAGGAACTCCATAATGTAGAACGGTGTCCCAATCACATTGTTATCCTCACACAAGCAGAATACCTCCGGCACGGGGACATCGGTTCCACCCAAAGCCTTGATAATCTGGTATTCTCGCTCAACGCGGTGTGCTGTCTTCGAGAGCAGCTTGCCTGGGGGCTTCTTTCGCAACACGGCTTTCCTACCATCGGCGGTGGTAAGCTGATAGGTGGGGTTTGATTGGCCGAAACCAAACTGCGTATTTCAGTACGAGTTAATTTTGTCTCACTAGAATGACCAGCTCACCTGTTTAATATCCAGTGGAGTCTTGAGTGCTGGTACTTTCTGGTCAATATAGCGCTCCAACGAGGCCAGGTCTATAGGCTGGCGCACAGCTCCCGCCATTGGAGATATATGGTTTCAAAAATTTGGGTGAGAAAATAGATAAACAGTCCAATGAGCTGGCTTTGAATGCAGATTTAAATTCAAGGGATATATATGTGGCAAGATCAAGTTCAAGTATTGAGCTCAGCCGTGAACCTCGGCAGTAACCTTGGGTCTTCCCCAAACCCTCGGCCGGCAGAGCGGGGAGAGCTTACACCGCCTAGAACTTCAGTTGCCATAGTGGTCTCTATCGCTGGTACTAATACGCGTTCTGCACGCGTCCCAGCGGTGAACCGTGTGAAAGTTGAAAGCGCAAGGGACATCCCCACTACGACACCGCAATTTCTACAAGTCCACTTCGACTCATTGCTCCACTCTTTTCCCTCAATTCTTTCCATTGCCTCTGCCATGACCAAAGAGACTACACCACCCATCGAAACTATCCCCCGCCAACCTCCATCCCTCCCGACCTCTCCCCTCGCAAAGCGTCCCAAGATCGACAATATGACCACCGATGGCCCCGCCGTGACTTCCATCCAGCAGCCCCTCCCTCCGCTGCTGGTGAAGAAGCTAGTTCCTTCCGCTCGTGCTCCGACACGAGGCTCTGCTTTCGCTGCGGGGTACGATATGTACAGTGCGAAGGAGACTGTTATTCCTGCTAAGGGCAAGGCAATGGTTGATACTGGGATTGCTATTGCTGTGCCCGAGGGAACTTGTATGCAATCCATTGCCTGTGACCAATTGGGCAGAGTTGACTGATTTTTGTCTAGATGGCCGTGTTGCTCCCCGTAGCGGTCTTGCTTCTAAGCACTTTATTGATACTGGTGCTGGTGTTATTGATGCGGATTACCGTGGGGAGGTTAAGGTGTTGCTGTTTAACCACTCTGATGTGGATTTTCCCGGTATGTTTCTACCATAGCCGCTGTCATTGCAAAGTCATGCTGATGCAGTTTGGATATTAGTCAAGGAGGGTGATCGCGTTGCTCAGCTGGTTCTTGAGAGGGTAAGTCGATGGTGTGTGTTCCAGTTGTGGGATTTTCTAACTTTGCCCAGATCTACACTCCTGAGGTGACTGTTGTCGAGGAGTTGGAGGAGAGTGTCCGTGGCGCTGGCGGATTCGGCAGCACTGGCATTTAAATTGTTACGTACTTGATAGAACTTGGGAAGGGGGAAATGGCAAAACCTTGGAAGGCGGAGTATATATGGTGATTCCCTGAAGATTTAATGATTTATATGTCTACAATGACCCAATCGAACAATTTCATCAATTTGCAATTTTGCTGGTCTAATGGAATCTATATATACTGACCATCCCATCATGATTATTCCAATTTTATCTACTCTATTGTAAATGATTGGGCAAGTCCTCCTTACGCCACTCCTGCACACCAAACTGGACCAAAGGATCCCGCAAGAACCGTGCGTTCCGTACCAGCCGCACTTCTGCTGCTTTGGTACGGCGCAGGTGATCCTGCTTTTGTTGCTCCTCTGCTGTCAAGTCTGCATTCTGAGCGAAATCCATTGCAAGCTCTGCATTGCGGGCTTCCATCGTCCGCTCCAGAACACTGTGCATGCTTGAGAGGACCTTGAGAGTGGCTTTCGCTAACGGAAGATCGCTGGGAACCACGTCGTCTGGCGAAACCCAGGAAGCGGTGTTTCGCAGGGTTGGACTGGCGGCGTCGACGGCCTCTCGGAGTCGAGCGACGGTCAATGCGGCAAACATGTCGCCTGTACCGCTGAAGAAGCAATCGAGAGCGGGGACATCAATGCGGAAGAGACGTGGGGACCCGTCGGATCGGGTCGTGGAGCCGATGACTGTTAGGTAGTTTTCTGGTGGGTTCGGAGTGGAGCCTGACTGGGACAACTTGAATAGTTGTACGGAAGTGATGATGACATGGGGAACGGCGTAGATGCGGTGGATGGCGGTGATGGCCTCGGCTAGTGTGGAGAGAGAGGTGATCTTAATACCCGAAAGGACCCTATGAGAGTTAGACGTGCGTTGCGAGAGTCAGTGTGCTAATGTACGAACTCGGCTTCGAACTGATTGGGCAGAATCAAGTCTGCATGATGAATGGTCTTTTTGTAGGCTGGAACGACATCGTCATTCACGTAGAGTCGGCCCTGGTCTCCCATTACCGGATCCAGGACTATTGAAGGGTCAGAATTGAGCTTAAAGAATTCCATTAGATGTAGTACTCACCCCAAAAGAAAGAGCCGGGCTTATTAGCCGCTTTCTTCTGCAGATCTATCCCAATTGCGCCAACGGCTTCCACGGCCGCTGCACTCGGCGCATAGCCGGATAGCATGACATCAAAGTCTGTGAGGTTGCTCTGACACAGACCCTGGTAGAGGTCTGTGATTTCCTGTGCGGTTGCGCGCGTGCCCTTGAATTGCCGATACCCAAGATGATTGCCTATCAGAGTTAGTTATGCAAGTGTAGGCGATTCGATGGGAACGCACTAAAATGAACTGTGTTCAACGCTGCAACATCGCAGCCCAAGGACTGCATGACAAACTCGGCCATTGTATTACCGACATGTCTAGGGAGATCAGTTTGAATGTCGCATGACTCTTATCCGAGTGGGATGTCCACATACCCATAGACGACCTAACTTGGGTTAGTTTGGAATTAATGCAACATAAGATGGAACTGACATGACTGGCGACTGCCAGTACCCGGGTCTCAGGTACGAGCAAATCGGACATGGCGAGATTGAGGGGCGTGAAGATGGTTGTAAATTGTGGGGGATTTGGACGGGGAAGTCAGTGACATTCCTATTACCTAATTCTCCAATCCGTCCGATAAGAAATCAGAATCTCACTTGATGTTGATTCTTGAATAGAAACAATTCCAAGTACATTTACATGATCTATGTCTGTTGAGTTCTGTGTTTGGGCTCCTTGCATGATCCATGTCCTTAATTTCAGCCTCGCAGTTCGCAGTGGACCAACCTGGTCGCAATTGGCCAATGGATCAGCAATGGAGTTGATTTCAGAGTATTCTGATGGAGCGGTCTCGACCAAAAAGAAGACTTAACTAGTCAACTGATCATCCTCGATTCTCTCCTGTCTTCATAGACTTGGTCCTTGCACCCATGCAAGTGCCCCCTGAACCAGACCAGCATGAGGGTTGCGGGATCCACAGAACGATCTAGTCCTACGGTTATGCCCGTTTCGGTCTTGGCTTGACTTTCCATGGCTTTTCTTAAGATTAAAAGTGAACAGGATTCATGGTGCTCCGTGCTTTTCCGTTTCCTGACTTATACATTGACTTTCCCTCGTGGTCATGTCTTGACCTCGCTCGTGCGTGTTGGGGGCCGACTACTGTGGCCATGTCGATTTGCTTATAGCGTTTTACGCGTACTTCACACTCTTTTTCCGCCCTTTCGTGGCTTGTCACTCGTTTCTAGCCTGGAAGCAATCGTTGCTTCGCACAGGAATATACGCTCTCTATGAATTCTACGCTACTTCGCCGGTCGCAATCCGGCCAAACTACAAGGCTCGGCTCTCTTTACCATGGCCTATTAATCTTAATTCTTATTGTTTGCTTCTCGACATCGACGTTGGCTCATCCTGCACTAGCAACAGATCTAGTGGACCCCCGATCGGCCTCCTATTCAAGTGGAGAGATTGTAGATCTTCAGGCTTCACCCGAGCGCCGTGGAGACACATTCTTGGACACACAGGATCAAGATGCCGTGGCAGAGTCACTCAGACACGACGTCAACCATGGCTTACAACGGCGAATTCTGAATGCCAGCACCGAGACGTCAACAACGATGCCAGAGCCTTTCGATACGAGCTCGAACAACTTTGCCAATTCGAGCTGTGTCAGCTTCTTCGATAAGTTTCTCGCCAACTCAACAGTGACTAAATGTCATGCCGTTTCACTCCTTCTCACAAACTCCAATGCATTCTTCCATGATTTGAGCTCGGCGACGGAAACTTCCCGCGTGTTGGATACCACCTGCTCCGAACCTGTTGAAAAATGCCAATCGATCATGACCTCTCTAGCCGCCCAGATGCTATACGAGGATAACTGTGGGCCCGACTATGAGGCAGGGAACTCGTTCGTCACGGACACCTATCAACAACTCATGGCCTACGAGCCCGTATACCGGGCCACCTGCCTGACCAACCCGACCACCCAAGACTATTGTTTCGTTGATGCAGTCACCAATACCACGGCCCCAAATGATTACAATGTCTACTTTATTCCGATTGGCAATACCCTTACCAAAGGCAAACTCACTTGCAACGAGTGCCTTTCGGCGACTATGGACGTATACGCTCAATGGGCTACGGTTGATGGCCAGGCACTTGACACGACCTATATATCATCCGCACAGGTCGTTAATGAATACTGCGGCTCTGGCTTTGCGGTCACCAACCTCACAATCGGTTCCGACAATGTCACCGTCACGGCCGGTGCTGGGCTCACGGTACCATTACCGAGTTCTCGACTCGCCTTGTCTATAATCAGTATCACGATCGGAACTCTCTGGATTTTGTAGTCGGATATCTGTATCTTGGATTCTACATATTGGATCTCTCCTTTCCATTTGGAGATACCTCACGCTTGATGACAGCGATTTCCATGTTAATATTCATTCACCTGTTTATTTTAATTACATATCAATAGCACACATAATTGATTATCTACTGGAAAACCCCATTTGGATGAAGATCTGCAGGCTCTATAAATAGTTAACGCGGTCGGGTTCTCCATACGCACACATTTCCCTTCAGTGCCGATTCTAAGTGCAACTGTTAACCTTTAAGCATAGTTAAGCAAGCTATGACTGCGGGTCTCAAATTTTCAATTTCCGAGTGACCTACTGTCGAAAACATGTTATATTATCAGTCATTTTTGGCCCCCAATTTGTCACCCGTGCTATTAAGGGCTGCGGGGGGCCATTCTCCACCTGGGCAGTGAAGACTCAAGATAACAACGCTGCCTCCACCGAAGGTAAATGAGAAAACGGTCTGCCCATTCATATACTCTACATGTATACCCGTGGTCCGGGAAAACTCCGGCCGTCTTCCATCGGACGTGATGGTACTTCAGGCGCCCTGCGAACCACCCCCTCAGCTGGCTACTATCTGTCCATTGGCTGATTCGCTTTACAACTCCACTCACCAGTCAACGTCCCTCGTCAATCAAGCAACCGGGGAATTGGATCTGCTGCTTACTGTGCTAAGCTCTACGAGGGCGTACGTGATATCTACGGATTCGCCGACTGAGTTACCTGGGATTGTGAAGCGTTGCCAAGAGGCTTTACTGGATCTGCAGGCTGTTTCGCTGCATCCCGGTGGGGTCGGATCGCAGCACCAGATTACGGAGATTCGATCGCGGCTCGGATCGGTTATTTTTGAGCTAAGTATGATGAATGCGAATATGGCTATGTGAGTAATCACCAATAATTGTCAGGCGGTTCTAATCTGTGTAGATCGTTGCAGAATAATGTGAATAAGGCGATGAGAAGCTTTATTAATGATATACATGCAGGCAAGCGAGATGCATTCATCGTTTCTAACGTCCTGAATATCGGCCCTTCCGGCCCTGAAAAGGATGAGGCTTGGCAGAAACTGCAGCATGAATTAAACGATGTCGGTATTGGGCCGGAACTATCAAGTCAAGATCATGAATTTATCATCAGTGTTCTTGATAAAGCTGTCAAGGATGAAAATCTCTTACGAAAACAAACACAGATCGAGACACCAAATCAATTACTAGCGAGCTCTCCCGAGTATGATATGACCGACACACACAAAATAGCCCTGCCACGGGGTCTGTCAGACTTACCCATGTCTCTCGTCACAGAAATGCAAGGCGATTTTGATAAACAAGTCATATCAGAAGACTTCCCAGAACCAATACTCAAGATGTCAGCAACGTACAGTCCAGGCGACACAGACAAAGAAGTATTTTGCGAAAACTTCCCGATACCCCTCGAAGCTGAACCAGGCAGCTCGGCCACCCTCTCAGAAACATATTCAGATGCCAGCTCTTCAAGAGGAAGCTCATCGTATCCGAATATTGTGCGGAGCAAGAAGCCGAGTATTATGCGGAAAATGAAATTCAAGTTCACTACTAGCAAGGACGATTTTATCCGTCTTGTACAGCAGGGTGGGCTATATTCCATCCAGAGCGCGCTGGATAAAGGTGCTGATGTGAATACGATGGATTCGCACGGCCAGACGGCGTTGATGATTGCTATTTTGTTTTTACATGAGAATGTTGTCAATCTGCTGTTAGAATATGGTGCGAGCACTGCGAAGATTTCGGCGACAGGGGACTCGGCGTTGAGTATTGCAGCTTCAAGAGGCGCCGAGAGGATTATTCGAACATTGCTGGTGCGTGGCACAGCGGTTGATGGGTCTAAGAACATTGGGAAGACCGCGTTGTCTCAGGGTGCTGAGTGGGGGCACGAGAATACCGTTCGATTGCTGTTCAACGCGGGTGCAGATATCAACGGCCTTTCTCATACTGGTGATACTGCTCTTTCACAAGCCGCCATGAACGGCCATCTGGATATTGTTCGGTTCTTGTTGGACAATGGGGCTATACCGGATTATACTGCCTATCCGAGGCAGACGCCTCTTTACAAGGCTGTTCATCAGGATAGACCTGAGGTGGTGAGGGTGTTGCTGCAGCGGGGAGCAGATCCAAACCACCCAGAATCCATTCGAGCTTGGACGCCCTTAACACTGGCTGCCATGCATGGCAGAACGGAGATACTTGCGATGCTCAAACACCCAGGATATGTCCCCTACCAATACCAGCGTTGATAGAGCAATCTTGAGCGTTATTTAGTGAATTATAGCGAGAAGATTAGCGGTGATCTTTGAATTAGTCGTGCGAATACACTTGCGGAACGTTCCACGTCGTTACAATCTATCCAATTTCTGAGCATGACCCTCGCGAGTACTACGGTTCAATAATAAGAATGATGAATTCAACCTGTTTGTCGATCAAGGCAAAGATCCATTGAACACCAGCAATGTATGTCAAGCGGTTAAGCGCCAAGAAATAAGTTTGAACAGGAAATATGGATCATGTCCAGGAAGCAAAGACATGGCTCGTCGTCAGAAAAAAAGGAAGGTATGCGCAAAGATAAACAAATAATCGCTCAAGTAAAATAGATCAAATGTATGTTCAGCTCTGGCGTTTAAAGCTGTCTCCAAGAGCAACGCCGACAAGACTCTGCGGTTCACCACCAAAGCTAGTTCCATTGGTAGGAGAGCTCGCACCGGAGCCAGCACCGGAGACAGGGGCGGAGATAGGACTTTGTGCGGCGTCACGATCTCGCTTCACACGGAAATAAGCCAGCTTCGCGAATCGGCTAAGATGAGACCAGAAATGTCGGCCAGCCGGGTGAGCTCCAATACGTTCGAGTAAGTCGTATGTCGCTTCGCGGACGACCTGGTCCGGATGGAAAAGGCCCATACTGAGGTAGAACAGGCCAGCCTGGTTCTCCGGAGCAACTGCCAGCAGTTGACAAATGCCAATATAGTCCTTCACGGCATGAGAGAGAGCCAGGTAGATGGCACCCGCCTCCGCATGAGATAGCTTCAAAGATCGTAGTCGGTCGTGGTGGTGATGCAGGTCAGGTCGCTGAATAGGGCGCGTAGGATAGTACATGGTCGCAATGTCTTGAATGTAAGAATAATATGATCGTGTGTTTCGCCAACCCTCAATCCGGGAAACAGACGCAGAAAGCTCACGTTGTTTGGCAAACTCGTCCGGCCAAACGTATCCGTGGCCCCGAAGGGATGATGGGTCCAAGGCATCCGTTTGCTGACCCGTAGGACTGTCAGGAGACAACTCCTCGTCAGGGCCGAGAACGTAGAGATTGGAGGCTCCATAGACTGCTTCCTCGAAAGCAGCAGCGACCCGGACAAACTTCATAATGTAGGCGCGCCATTTCGCCCGGATCGCATTTTCACCGTGGCGTTGGCTGATGCTGCGCAAGATATCCTCAATGAACAAATTGTCCCCAGTGGGATCCTGATTGGTACTCGAAGGCTGGCTAGGCAAGAGGGAACTCTGTTGTTGGAAGAACAGAAGCCCCTCTGTTACCGGGGCAGGCTCAACATGGCTGGAGATCTTCATTCGACCCGTCGGTAAGTCACACAACACATCCCACCATTCTGGGTGATTCGCAAAAGTCGGGTTAGTGACACCAGCAATAAAACCGGGAACATTGAGAAGATCATCGATTTTGGTGAGATCAGTATAAGGGAAGGCATGACGAGTGAATCCACGCAGTACACCGCCAGATGCAAGTGCACATGCCGCAAGGACTGCCTCGGCCACTTCCCCCGATGGGCGGTTGTGTCCCAGGAAGACCACCCTCTTCTGGGTGAGAATGGCATTGACAAGAACAATCACTGGATGGGTGAGTGGGCCACTGGTGGTCAAATGAGGGTGGATTGGGAAAGGTTGGGGAGAAGTAGCATGGGGCCCGGCGAAAGTTTGAATAAGCTTGACGAGGGAAAAGTCACCCACGGTCTCGGGCCAAATAACAGTGGGAATCTTGACAGGAATGGGTATGTCGTTATAGACCACCTTCGACTCAAACTCGTGGGTATCCCGTGGGAGAACGTATCGACTCAGTTTCTTGGGTGATGGGGGGACATCTTCATTTTCGGCCTCCTCTTCTTCCCGCTGGCGCACCATTTGTTCAAACTTTTCAATAAACATTTCCTTGGTATTGCTAGACTGTAAAATGTGACGTTCCAATAGGGTCATTTTGGGCATCAAAGAGAGGTCCATGGAGTTCACGGCATCGTAGAGGGTAGCGAGGGTCTCGGGATAGGGCGATTTGAAGTAGTCTTCAAGGGCGAGGAGAAGGAGCGGCTAGGATTGTGAGTTTGGAACTTCAATGTTGGTTTAGGGGCGCACCTTGTAAATATGCAGAAATGAATGCCTTGTACAAATTGCCATCGCCTTAACGACTGCACCTCTGTGTTGCTGTTAGTACTGCATGTTGACAAAGAGGAATAGACATACCTCCGAACTGTATTATCCTGCTTGGTATTCACTAAGTTCAGGACATACATCAGTGGTGGACCTTCTCCGCCCTCCTCATCGTCACTGCTGTCCCCCTCCGAATCCGAGTCTGGCTGATCTTGCAGATGGGCGGCTTCCTCGTTCGCATGATATTTAGATTTGCGCTTCTTCGTTTTCTTTCCGTCTTCTGTCTCTTCCTCTTCTTCACCGCTCGTATCTTTATGCAAGAAGAAAATCGTCCAGTCCTGACTTCGTACGTGCGTTTGGTCGGGGAGCATCAGCTCTGCCAACATGCTCTCGTCACCACTGATCGCTGCAGGATACTGGTGCTCCATGATCGGACCCCGATCAATATGGAAAGACGCCACTAGAATATACTCCACATGGCGCTCCGACGAGTCTAGTGGGTATTGTGACTTGCATCGGCGCTGCTTGTACCCCGCCGCATTCTCGGTCGATGTGCGTCGAAAGGACATCTGGGAGACGCTTGGCGAGCGGCCCAAAAAAGAAGGCGAGGGAGAAAGTCGAGGGAGGCCATTGTTCTTAGGATTGGAGGTAGAGAGGGAGTCATTTGACGGTCGATATGGCAGTGTCGAAGCCATCTTCGGAGGGGTAAATGATTGGGACAGGAGCTCCGGGCTAGGCGATAGGAATGAATGGCATGCCTGAATTGAGTAGGTCTGAATTGTGAGAAGAATATACACAAGTGATCGATCAAGGAGTTAAAAAAATTGTGTGTTGCAAGCCAATCACGCAGGCCCGAGCGACAGGTTTCAGGGGTCGATGCTCAGAAAATGGAGGATCTCCACAGCGGGGGCGATATGGCGATAACAGATGCATACGGTCGAATTGCATAGAGAGCTAAACAAGGAATTGGAATGGGAATTGAAATTAGGCGATGAGATTTGAGTAAGAGAATAGTTCCTGATCAATCTAATTCTATTAATCATGACTTAGATAGTTGAGAGGGAATACGACGTGAATCTCTTAGTACAGTAGATCTAAATCTGCCTTTTACCCGGGCCGACTATGTTGCCGGGGCATTGTTTACTTTCGTCACTCAAGATCTCCCGCACCAAACAGCTCATCTATCAACAATGGTATGGTTCAAAAACTTCTAGAATTGGATTTTTGCTAACATGAAACTCAGGCGAATAACCCAACATTCAAACCATCGCCTCTATCTTTTGGAGGGCAAAGGGCGTCACCCTTTCGGCGACCGTCCACACCTAACTCCCCGCCCTCCGCCTCAGGTCGTCCGGCCACACCAGGGAGTTCCCCGAGTCGGGGATACACCCCGATGGTATCACCAAGCAAGTTGAATCAGACATATACCGTGGAAGATAGAGATTCAGTTTCCCCACGGGCGGAACCTATCCCGCAACCAAAGTTTACTCGTGAACTTCCTCCTTCTCCTACAAAGGGAGCACGATCACCCGGCCATGCGTCGCCAATAATGAGCAGATCGAGTGGACTAGTTGCCGCAGGTACCGATGCATCCTCAAAATTACCACCAGCTCAGCTGAGGGAGATCCGGGAGGCATTTCAAGTTCTCGATCGAGACAACGATGGCCTGGTAAACAAAGATGACGTCGCCGATGTTTTAACAAACTTGGGTAAGTAGAGACCATGCAACCAAAAAAAGTACAGTACTCACTCCATGTTCTCAGGCCAAGATGCAAACCCTTCTACTCTGTCGCGATTTTTCCCCCCTGGCGCTGAACAACAGATCAACTTTGCGACATTTTTGAATACCTTATCTCAATTGATGTCACCAATGTCTTCGTCTCAGGAACTTCTCAGCGCCCTGGCAGCATTCGATGACGACGACAACGGTCAAATTGACGCGGCAGAACTACGTGACGCTTTGTTACATACAGCACCCGAGGATGGAGGGGCCCCATTGACGGAGCGACAGATTGATGAGGTTTTCAGTGGATTTACTGGACGGCGCGCATTTGGAGGGCGAGGCGCGAAAACAGGTGGAATGGGCTCGAGAGGCGAGGTCTTCCAGTACAATGACTTCGTCCGTAGTGTAGTTGGTGGCGAGAATGGGAATGGGCGACGAGAGGCAGGTACCACTCCAGTTTGAATGTATCATTTTTAAAGGGCGTTGGCGTTGGCGTTGTTGGTTTCTATACTTCGTGTTGTGCGGGCACTCTAGCCAAGCCCATACCGTGTTCATGAATCTATATCCGGAATCGATCGAATATGCATGTAACAATAAGAATAAGACTTAATGTCTCAGATCTAAGCAAATGCCTAGCTGATTGGTGTGACGCGTTGCCCCGATTTCCACGGCAGAAAATCATCTCCAGCCACCGCGGCAACTTGATTTCTCTTCCAGCCCGCTACAACCACCACTCGGTGCGTGTACTGCCGTCGAATGCAGTCGCAGACTCAAAATGGCCCATAGTCACGCTTCTTGGGCCTTTGATGGCCCCACCGAAGCTCCGCCATCACCGCGGACAATGCGCACGCTGCGAAAGATCCGATCGCATCAAGTCCTGACGACCTCCAACGCCCTGATTGCACAGACTCAGTCCCAGTCAGGGGTCCGTTCTATCGAGAATGGAACCGCTATAGCACCTGGCGCTACCATGCGACCGCCCACACATCGTCGAGCGCGATCGAATAGCGACGCAGCTAGTCGCATGGCAGCTCTGACTGCACCAGTTCCAACACGACGGCCACCACGCAAGACCGGATCAGGAATAGGGGTCAAGAGGTCGCCTTTAGAAAGCTTCTTACGCGATGGTCCACAGACTGGAAAGGGTTACGAAGGACTGCAGGAGTTGAAATTACTCATTCTAAAATGCAGGGTGGACGCAGATGGAGACGGCATGGTAAGATCATGTCCATTGTTCCAATTCTTTTCTAACGTCGTCAGTCACCTTATCGAATTTATTTATGGCTTGTTCTTCTCAAAATCCCTCCTGTCCCCACCGACGAATATCTCGCTTTCATCCACCGCGGCCGTTCCCCGGCCTATGCCAAAATCCGCAATGACACATTTCGCACATTAGCCACGGATCCTCTGTTCAAACGCCGTGTCACCGAAGCAAGCTTGATTCGACTGCTGAATGCTGTGGCATGGAAGCTGCACGATTCGAGGCCGAGACCGAAATCCAGACCTTCTTCCAGAAGACGCGAGATGGAGCTCCTAGTCAATACACCACCGAAGATCGAAGAGGAATCTGAACCAGGGTCGGCGCACAGTCCACCTATCAGTGAGCCTGCGATATACGTGCAAGGAATGAATGTTCTCTGTGCGCCTTTCCTCTATGCAGCCCGCAGTGAGGTTGAAGCATTTGCTCTGTTTCACTTCTTCGTGACCAAGGAATGCCCTGGCTATATTCGGGGTGCCATGGATGGAGTTCATCGGGGCCTCAGACTGGTTGATAGATGCCTAGAGATTGTAGAACCCAAGCTTGCTACTCACCTCTTTTCCAAGGGAATGTATGCAGAGCTTTACGCTTTTCCATCGGTCCTGACGCTTTGCGCTTGTACACCACCCCTTCCTGAGGTTCTTCACTTATGGGATTTCCTCTTCGCCTACGGGTCTCACTTGAACATTGTTTGCATCGTGGCTCAATTAGTCCGTATGCGAGATGCTCTTCTTGCAAGTGATAAGTGAGTACTACCATTGAAATTTAAGACCGATGCTAACAGTAGCAAGCCCGAACAAAATCCTTCGAAATCTTCCCCCTCTCAATGCAAAAGAAATCATCGGCCTTACGGTGCTCTTAGTGCAGAGAATTCCCTCAGATTTATATGCAGAAATGGTTAGCCATGCGAAATGATTACCGACTGTCTTACGCTGCATTGTTTGAACTTTGTGCTGTATTGTATTTTTGTGTGCTTTTATGATTCGGATGGCGCTGGGGTATTTGCTACTGTTTTCACGCTAAGCATGAGATACGACAATTGTATCACCACGACGTCTTAGGATATTCTTTAAATGAGATGATGATTCTACATGATCAATTTTTTACCTACGATATATCCAGTCCGGCCAGTATACCTCCTGAGGTATTTGAGGTGGAAACAGGATTTCCTCACAGCGTTTTTATTTATCTTCCTGTTAGTAAGGAGTATACTACAGAGCATATAGGTGCTATAATTTTGAAATAGAATGCTTGTTTAGCTCCAAGCAATGGCGAGAAAACCTCCATCATTCGACTGGTCCTCATTTCAACAGTCATTGAGGATACAGGAATCACCTGCAGCACTTGAGTGCTTCAAGCGCAGCATACTATAGGGGTATTCCTTGGTTGTTTGTCACAGGGTGGACCGGAGGTGCTTGAAAAGGTGATTACACCGTTAGAATCCCCCCAGGATCAAGTTCCGCAGATTATCTTTCAATAACTTGCGATGAGGCTGTAGAGCATCCGCTTCCAACATTACTGAGTGGGAGGTTGACGCAACCAAAGATGATTTTGGATTCAAGTCCAGGTATTAAGCACCAGTGATGTGCAACCTCCCATGAGAAAAACGATCAGCGCAGGACGGAGACAATATGGCCTTGAAGCTAGTCTTTCGTGCTCATGCAATCCATAATTAACTACATATGTAAAAGTTCCTAAACTAATAGGAAGCATAGAATAATCCAAGTTATAATCATGCACTCGATACAATAAATCGACATAATACATTACATCCATAACAACATCCATATAACCAATCACATGCACAAAAATTGAACCCTAGGTAGGCGCCGATGTCGACAAAATCTCTAATGACGAGCCCTGGCCGGATCCATCAACGACAAGCGGCTTACAAGGATCACCTGCACCTTGTCCAGACTTGCCACACTTAGACCCCATTCTCTTCGAGATCAGTTCCAGTAGATCCGGATCCGAACTCCCCAGAGATCCATCCCAGCTTCCACTTCGCTTGACAGTAGGCCGGGTATCCATCTTCACACTGATCTGCGAACCCATGAATGTCATGTTATTCAACATGGTAACGGCCCGCTTTGCCTGCTCGATGCTGCGCATAATCGCCGATCCCTGCGTCTGGGCTTCGTTCGAATTGACGTCCGATGTGACGGTCACATTGCACTGTTCCACTGTCCCGGCACCTTGGAGAAGACTCTCGAGGTCAAAGGCTGTGGTTGTGTTGTGGAGGTTTTGGATGTCCAATGCTCGTTGGGCGAGGTCGGTTGCTGGGGTAATGTCTGAGCTCCAGGATTTGCTGTACTCAGTTGACTCGGAGCATGGCTGGATCGGGGAGACAGGGTACATGGGGTACATGGGCATCATGTTCCAAGCTGGAGAGTCGAACATGGTGCAGTGCATCATTGGGGAAGGCGGGAAGCATTGCATTGGCTGGTGGGGTTCTGGCATCATGGGGACGAATTGAGGGGTCATTGGAATGGGGCCCATCATGTTTCCATAGTCACATGGGTATGTGTAGGTAGTACTAGGGGACTGGACGGATCTGGTACGTATTAGTTTCTCTCGTTAGAGGTTCGGGTGGAAGACTTACTCGGGCGAGATCGGCGATGGAGGCATAGCCATGCTGCCCGACCGAGGTGGAGTTGAATGACCAGACATGTAGTTCTGGATCATGGCCGGTGGACTTCTGGTAGGACCGGCGATGGGTTTCGTAGGAGCACTGGTGCGGGCTAGCGTAACAACCAAGCTCTGCCCTTCCCAGCCGTTGGTTGATAATCGGTCTGAAATGGTCAGTACAAGTACCGCAGAGAGTAAGGACTACATACGATAAGTCCGCCACGCCTCATCTTCATTCTTGACTATAATCTGTCCCAGTCCGGTAGGGAAGCCGTGGTTGTCATCGTATACCACGGCCTGTCGGATGTGCTGGGCGGTTTGGCGCACCAGGTCTTTCAGTTCTTGCCAACGGCAGTGCACGGGGATCTAAACAGATCCCGAGTTAGGATTTATCATCTGAAAGAAGTACAAAACTTACACCTTGAAGAAAAACGACAAATTCATCGTCCGAGCTGCGCGGTCTAGAACTGCGTCCTCTCTCTCGGCCAAGGAACGGCATTTTATGGTTGATTGATGAATTGCTGGCTCTAAGTAGACAGCCCGTAGCTGGGGACTGAGTGTGTCGAGGTTGTTGTTCCAAATTGTGGAGTTCGATTCCGATAGTTTGTTGCAAAACCGCCGAGTTCAACTTGTCCGACCAGGGTAGTTCAGTCGGGACTGGAACCAGGACAATGAGTTTGTAAAGTAGCTGCAAGCAACTACTTCAGTTAGCTTGGAGCATTGACAGGGATTGGTGACCAAGTCTGCCGAATGTCGACATCAAGCATACGAGACATTAAGCAAGGCGCTCAACTTACGAGATTTTGAGTCAATGCAGGTTAGCTATGCAAGAAAAATCACGAGCTAGAGGGGTGTGTTTATTATATGGGCAATAGGAGAGAAAAAGAAAGGTATTTAGATGTTTCACAAATCTTCGTGGATAACCAGAGCAGCAACTAGTGGATAAATTGGAGAAATGCTGGGACCGCGAGAGGCGAGACCCAGAAGCTGCAGTACAGCAGAGGGACCAGCAGATAGCATTAGCCAATGATAGGTAAGAGTTATGGGGAACTCCTGTTTGTGATGTTGAGATATGTCACTTCTGTCGCGTTGAAACCCCGAGCTCAGCTCCTCCCGGTCCGTCAAATGCAATAAATCATGCTTTCAGTGCCACCTTGGACTAGTTTCTCTCACAAAAAGCATGAGCCTCCACTTGTCACCTCTGCTTGCTTTTTCCATAGTCAGTCCATTATAGGTGGGTTGAATGACTAATTGTTGAACTTGCGAAGTGTCGCACACCCGTAGTGTGATGTGGAGTGCACGGAGCTCGCGAGATCTTCTTGCAGCGCTTAGCACGCCTCGGGTTACACCGCTAGATCTGATCAAAGATCAAGTTGCAAAGGTCCAAGTGGAGTTCGGAGCGGGCCATACCGTATCAATCACATTGACTTTCGAGGCTGCAGACCGAATCCATAGCCGTGCTGCCGTGCAGAATCACCTGTGGAGTTACTGTCAGCTCCGATCTGTTTATAGAAGGAAACAAAAGGTAGGATCGACGGAGATCCCGTAAGGTAACCTGAGCAATCAACAATGCAAGCCATCCCGTCAAGTGGAGAGTTTGGCCGATCAAACCAATATTAGTACCTGCAGGCAAATGATCGTGGCTGGCTGTGATGTGGTTAGTCAACGGATTAGAGCTCGGTCTAATATTGCTCAGCTTGAACTGCCGGAGCCTGATAAACCGAGAATCCCCGTCACACTGCATATCCTTTCTTCCTCGGTGAGATGGCGTAATTTGGGTGTGGACCCGACTTAATCGACTTCTGCCGATCCGATCTGAATCCTGAACCTGATGAGCCCGTAGGGCAAAGGGTTAAGTAGACTGTGTGACTTGCAAGTATATTGATTCCCAGTTTTCAAATTGTTGTCAAACTTTCAGGAATGATGTGGTCAGAATGTTGAACACGCGACCGTAGGGTTGGATTGTAGAGTCACATTCGGACTTGAAAAGAACTAGTCCATTATTGATTACTTACTGTTCTGACTTGACTGGATTTATGATAACTGGGATATTCGTTTGAAAATCACATCTGTATATTCCTAGACATTCCGTGTTCTAGTCTAGTCAAATGTTCATCAAATATCAAATGTTCAAATGATTGCTCAGAAACAACATGCAAGATGGCTTCATATATGATACAGCAATGCAGTTTGTTACTCCTTCCTCTTGCGTCTTTCCTCCCAGGTCCATAAGGTATGGTGCGTGGTCGATTTGATCGTGTGATAGGTATATCAGGATGGAACTGAGTATTTAATCGGGAAATAAATCCACATGCGACCGAGTGTGAGAGGGAATGGCTGTGTTCCGCACAGACCCTTCTTAGGAGGGTCAGCCGGTCGGCGAGTCGGCGAGAGTCGTAGGGTTTGTCGAAGCGACCGTGAGATGTTTTCATAGCATAGTCCAAGGGACAGTTGGTTGTATTGGTGAGATTGGATTCATGTCAAGTTCGTACATGTTCACGTTGTGCTCATCGGACAAAGCCGACCTTGGAGGCACATCGATTACAGTAGTAGGAGTTCATGCCGAACTGCACGGCACCGCTAGACTGAGTCCCCACACTGAGAGATTGTTGACAGCGGGAGCAGCGGACAATGTCGAGGGTAAGAGGACTGGGAACGCCAGTTGGCGTAATAGTAAGAGGAGCGTCCATTTCAGTGTGTATGAAGAGATTTAGGTGAAAAGTTGGAGGCCTGGGAGAAAGGGGTTTTTATGTTTATCTCATACTCCGTACTTCCCGTACATGGGCCCCAGTAGGTTAATCCCGGCAAAAGCCCCCAAATACCACTAGAGCAGCCACTGCCATAATGCTGTGTGTATTGAAAATCCGGTTTTGAGAGTGTCATGATCGTAACTAGTAGAATGATCACAAGTCATGTCGTTGTCGTCAGCTTATCTTATGATCTAAGATCCCTGGATCCCTGCTTATCTGGCTCTACTGTTTGGTTCCCCCAGACTTTGGGGCTGTTATTCCGTAATAAATTACGGGGATTACGATCACTTTCTTCACCCGACTTTTGCCTTGATCCCATCCTAGCTGCACGGTGTTGTCATGGCGGAGATAGCGCATGGTGCCCAACTGGGGACACAACACCTTGTCCATCATCTAGCGAATTGAGAGGAGATGAGGGGCAACTAGTCTATCGTTAGAGTGTGTTCATCCCGTGGAAATTTGTAGATCATCGCCGTATCGGGTAAAAACCAAAGACCTCGATTCAGTAGTCGACGTCATCTAGTAACGATACTGTATTTCACGTATTTAACGTATTTGTTTGTTTTCGATACAGATCTTATCAATAGTCTTTGTTGTGCTTTGGTTAAAATCAGTTGACCTTGGCCTTAGCTGTAATATACAAGTATATTATGAACATTTGATATTTCAATATTGGTATTTGGTATTTGTTAATTAAATCTGCTATCACTGTGCAGTATGTACATCTTATGATTTAATGTGATTGATACCGTCGATCCACCGGTTGATTCCGCTTTTTGGGATCGACGCGACCCGGACTTTCTTCGCTAAAGCATCTCGACTCTTTGGGCATGTAACACGCAATGTGGCTGTAACCCACCATGCCCATTCCTACCCGTTCGGCCTCCTTGCGAGAGCCCCAGGTCAATACCCGGTTTCAAAACCCCGCTCCATTCCAATGGCTAAAGTGTCGCAGTCCTCCATTGCTCGCCTCGGCGGGTCAAAGGCTCCCGCCCGGAGCACACCTTCGCTGGCCGAGGGGAATAATGTTACTTCCAATCGGGCTCGAACGCTTCTGCCTCAACGCAGTCATCCCATGCGTGACGATGCGACTCGACTCCCACCGCCTGCACGGCGAGACACATCACCCAAGAGACTGATAAGTGAAGGGAAGGCTTCATCCACGACGACTGGGGCCACACCTGCCCGTCGTCAGAGTCTCATACGCCCTGGTACCCTGAAGGTATCTTCCACCCGCAGCAATGTAGCACCAACAAAGACAGCGCCCACCTTCACGCCGCCATCCCCGCGCAAACCGATGCGCTCGCCAACACAGCCCTCCGCCCGACCTCCTTCCCCGAAGAAGGAGATGCCACCGCTCTCTCGTCCAACACGATCATCCTCACTAAGACAACCAGTGAGGACTGACACATTACCGGCGAAAGGCCATTTACGGCACCGGAGTCAGATGATCCCTCCAAACACAAAGCCAATCCCAGACGCTCAGAAACCCCGTGCTGGCTTTTCAACCTATCAGCAACAAAATTCTCCGAAGAAACCGACAAAACCTCCCACCCCTACTCCCGGAGATACAACATCGAATGGTCTCGTTCCGACATCCTGGCCGGATATTGCAGCTTTGCAAACCGAGTTGCTTCAGTTGAGCTTATTTCATTCCGGTGCCCTGGAGGGACATGCAGAATGGAAAGCGGAGTCGGAATCACAATTACGGACAAAATATGAGGCCGTCGCGGATCAATACCGATCTACGCAGAGAGATGAGAAGATGCGCCAATCCAAGCTCAATGTGCAAGCTCTGGGTTTCTGGCTACAGAATTGTCGTGACCACGGCCAGCGTGACTTTGCGGATCAGATCCAAATTCTGTCTCAAGTTTTGCAGGAGGTGACAGATACCACTGTTGCATCTGGACGATACGCTCGCGTCGTAGCGACGTTTGAGGACTGGTTTGATCGCGCAGAAAAGATCCGGGGCCGTCGAGAGACGTCTAGAGCCCTCGATGGGATTGATTTCATCGACCCATTGGACCGGGCTTGGAAAGACGAAGTTCAGGGCCTGCAGTCTAAGCTGGAGCTTTTTGCACGACAGCTTCAGACGCTGGATATCCTAGGCTTTGGGGAGGTTGAGCGCTTGGAGCAGTCGGCTCTTACTCGAGTGGCTCAGAGTCTTGTGGAATTGATCCAGGTCATGATGCAAGAAGTCCGCGCTATGCGAACTGTTGAAGTTGAGATCGTTCGTTCTGAACGGGAGACTGTGGGTCGACTCGCGACCCAGTTAACCACGATTCGGACTGAGATGAGATCACGGGTTGGTATTTGGAACGCTTAGTGTAAGCTGTACGAGTTGATAAGGTTGAATACCTATTGATATAATGTAATATGTAATGATACATGAATCTCCCAGGACATTGATCGCTCCGATACTGGATACATGTGGAATCTTCCTTTTAGGCTGCTCTCATCAATTGATATGTCTTTTTTACATCCTGGGAGGAAGGTCACACAGAGGCGAGTAGATTGAACCTTGGAAGCTGAACCTTGGAAGCGGGATGCTAGAATTATCTATGCTGAAGCACACAAACGTCTCGCTTGACGCGAGGCAATTGTTTCAACAACGATTAGAAGGAGAAGAGAATGTTCACTCAATATTGACACAGATAATCAGGCCATATTTGGGAAAGGATTCCATCCTCCTTCGACCATCTCCACCGCTCGCTTTGTAGCTTCATCGAGATTTTCCTTGGGCAATCCAAGGACCTCGTTAGCCACACTGAGTGTAGAAGCAAAGTCACTCTTATCATTGTCCACTCTAAACACACCCCCATAGAGCATCTTGGGATATCCTAGGAACTCTCCTTTTGCGAATGCCTCGGAACCATTCTGGATACGTTGCAAGACCGGCTCATATGTGATAGCCCAGTCATTGTCCGTTGTTCCAAGCACTCGATTCAGACTATCCAAGATATCGCGCTGCGAAACCTGGAAGCTGTAGATGCGCAGATCGGTGAACTCCTTTACGCTGCTCTCTGGCAGACTGAGAAATGAGGCAAGGGCACGGCCACACTGATCCCACGTGCTGACGGTGATGGTACGCTTGCCATCGTCGAAGAATGTGACTTTGCGATCCTTGATCGTGAAGCCGAACCACTGTTCACCACATGCCACACTCCACTCATACCAAAATCCACAAGAAAGAGTGATCGGTGATGAAACACCGTTCTTGGAGTCCTCTACTCTTTTAAGGACCGCTTTCCCGTGGACGTCGTTGGTATGCGAGTCCATTGGATACCCGTAGGAGTTGGGCATGATATAGGCGACGCCGGCCTTTCCAGCAGCGGTGGTGATTTTTGCGTGCAGATCATCAGGCGCACGAACACTAAGGGTGATTGCGAGGAATTGCTGGCCTTTGAGGGCGTTTATGATCGAGTCTTCGTCGTCGTAGTTGACCTTGACAGCGTGGACCCCTTCAGGAAGTGAGCCATTGCTTTCCTCTCGTACGAGACAAGTGACTTTGTGAGTGCCGGTCGCTACGAGAGCCTTGGCGAAGGCACCCCCAATGCGACCGCTGGCCTGTACTAAGTTAATATGATTGGAGTAACTATGAGAAAGTGTTCACTTACACCAACGATTGCAACGTTCTTGATGGGTTGGGTGGACATGGTGAAGTTGATCAGTATATACTGTAGTACGAAGAATAGAAGTGAATGCTGAATTTGATACCATCGCTGGGAATTATGTCTTCATTTATACCTTGGATATCGGAGATGGACTTTACATTCTTGTTGCGGCGAACGGAGCTAAGGCCCGGAGATATGACAGAATACGAACGGGGGTTAGCGCGAACCATGGGATTGGCAAGATTGATATACGCTAACCTCCTTTCGTATTCAAATAAGTATAAACAGGTTAAACATTTAAAGAATCAGATTAACTGCGTAATGGGAGGTCTGAGAGAGGATATGAGGTCCCTGAGTGGACTCTGGGCCAGAAAAACTAGCGTATATTTTGATAGTAAGGTCGAAGGAGGTCAAAGTGGGCTCCGACTTGGAAAATCAACGTTTCCCGAGCAATGTTTGACCCATTGCCAGGAGGGATACAGTCAGCGTTGAGTTTGCTGCAATTATACCTCGCATGGAAGCCTGTAAATGCTCGGCTGAATCGACTTGGGACAACCAACACTGCTTGATGATCTGTCCGCATGGAATAGCAGAAACATCGTTGATGTCCATTCTAATTGAAAGGTACTTTCACTTGGTCGCTAGAGATCTCCTCGTGGGAACTGTTTCCTCCAAGAGAATATTTCGTAGTCTGATGTCGCAGTGAATTATGCCGTTACTACGTACATATATGGCTCCGACTTCAACACAAGTCAAGTCTGGTAAGCATTTATTTTAAAGTCACTTATTATTCCTACTCAATAGATTCCTACCTATATGTATATAATAGTTATACCTTTAATACTATGACTACTACAGATACTACTATCAATACTATAAACTTATACACCATACATGATACTATCAATGAAATTATAGATACTATATTCCTTGAAACATATTTATCAGTCAATGACATTATAATTATATGCAATATACTTTAGTATCTATTTGAGACTATGCTAACAAGAGTTACTGATATTATTAAGTATGATGGTTGGTATACTAGCTATTGAGTTTGAATAATTTCCGAGGTTTCTGCCTAGCAATTTTAAAAGTGGGCCCTAGGGGCCAAAGTAGTCGAGGTCAAATACTTGTGTCCACTGTATATTGTAATAAACCTGTTATGATACATCGAATCTCCTAGAACCGCTTAGTAGATCTGGCGATCTGGCAAGGTCGTCCGCCCGCTTTCCGCCTGGGTTACCGCTTTGTCTCATTCTTCCCATATGCAGCACAGCCTTTGTGTATCTCTGTACGCCCGCTAGTCATCAAACAGAAGGCTATGCTACCGCTATATAGAGCTAATCCTGGTAAAGAGGGATTTTTGCTTTATGTTCATGGATTGTGTCATCTGCGGCGTATCTCATTCGTTTCCAGTGTCGAATCTAATCCGGCTCATCCCGCAAGCTAGCATGGACATTGATCCTAATCACCCTTCAGAATGAGCCCATGCATCTCAATCTCTGTAACATGAAACCCAGATTACGGGCTGCCTGGTAGGAATGTCGGTTGGAATGCTTGCAGCTCATCAACCTGCATGATCAGCGGAAAAACTACCCAAAAATTATCAATAGTCGAACCTTATAGCAGAATTGGGAAGCTAAGTTTAATAATAAACGCTACAGGAGATCCAGGTATAAATACCCCGGTGATAATCATATTGTTCCTCTCTCTGAAGACGAGCTCCAGTCATCGCCCTTCTTTTTCTGTTACAAAAAATCTACCTCTACAAAAGTCAATCAGCATGAAATCCACTTGCCTTATTTCTCTTATACCTTTCATACAGGGTGTCCTTGGCTCTGCAGGAGTTATAGGTGGCTCACCTGCTACGATCAACGACCTTCCCTATCTGGTCAGCATTTCGAAATCAGGCGTCTATACCTGTGATGGTGTCATTATCAGCAAAGACCGTGTTGTTACCTCTGCACAGTGCGTATACGGTCTAGAGGCATCACCAACGATGTTTTCCGTCAGGGCAGGCTCAAGCAAGACATCCTCTGGAGGATCTGTATTTGTGGTGTCAAAAATTGCTCGGAATGCTCGATTCGACCCTGTCACCAATGATTTCGACGTTGCTGTGCTTGAACTATCGTCTTCTGTCTCACCCGGCCCGACTGTTAAGCCGATTGATTTTATTCAGCGGGGTCAAGAGCCAGAGGATGGGACTGAATGCGTGGCTTCTGGCTGGGGTGACTTGGAAGGACAATTACAATCAGTTACACTCCCTATCGTGAACCGAGAAAAATGCAATCAGACTTACGCCGGCCAGATCACCGACCGTATGATCTGTGCTGGCTCGGAAGCTGATAAAGGTACCTGTCCAGGAGACCGTGGTGGCCCGCTCACTTGCGGGGGTAAATTTGCTGGAATAATCTCGCAGACGAACGGATGCGAACTACCTGGTCTTCCAGACGTCTTCACCGATGCCGCCAACTCTTATATTCAATCTTGGATAACGAGTCAGTAGTTATTAATTCGATGCAAGTGTTTTCCCACTGGGATCCTAAGCCAAAAGCCGCAATGTTTGTGACGATTCACATTTCGTGATGCTTGATGTTTGTTGTTGGTGCCTGCTGAATGTTGAGGATGAATAGAGTTTCAAGGACTGTCACAATATCAAGGTTGTATTTAGTAGACTAGAATAAAACCTCGTCAAATACTTGGTCAATTTTACCTCAGAAACAAGTTAGTTAAATAGAAAACATAGTAAGAATAACTATAGATACTCGTCAACAATAATCTCATGTAAGTACCGCGACACTAGCATGAAGTAAGATGTAATAAAAATTATTTGCCTCGCTTTTATATCCTTTGATTTTTCATTTGCAAAATAAAACCCCAAAATTACAGAATGATCAACAAGGATATGTATCTCCAATCACCTATCGGATGATCTACGTAAATAGTTCAAAACATTTCTGTACACTAGTGGCTGCGGGATTTCGCTAGTTTCTCCAATAGTAAAGGTTGTAATCATGTGACATGCGAGAAGTGACTTAAAATTGCCGTGTCTCTTCTACCCAAGATTGAGGCCATCCCTGGAGTGTCATAATATTTTCACCAGTCTTTTAGATGGCCGTGGTCGATTCGTTCGCTTCGTATTCGTTTCGAGGTCTCTATTTTAAGTTGGTCATGAAGTTTGGGCAATAGGAAGGGGCGCTTGACTGAAACCACTTCAATATCGTGTGCTACGTGGGCCAGTGGATCAGGCATGACAAAGAAGAAATCAACGCAATCTTTATCCAGTCCAGTAGACTATTAAATACCGACAGGCAGCGCCGCAGTATCTACACAGGAGCATAAAAGCCATTCGGAATGTGACGATTGTTGGTGATGCTGTCTCTGCCAGATTCCGTTGGAATCCCTGCTATCGGAAGTGGACATAGCCTGCACGTACTCCATGATCGCTTGATACTTATACACCACAAATCACATTACCCCCCACCATCACTTATTTATGTAAAAGGAAGCTGAAATTCTATCATTTGGACTTAAATTTATATATAAATAGTAAATGGAAGGTCTAATATCACATAATTAAGCCCTGGAAGTATGATAATTGTATAGAAAAGTGCTATGTACAGTCGTAAACTCAGAAAGAGTATAAAGCAGCTATAATTGTATAATTTTGATTAATATCAATGTTACTACTACTGTTCTGTGTGCTGTTCATCCTACAACAAGGGTTGTAATCTTCTTTCCTTCTTGGCACGATGAGCTGACAAGAAATCTACATATACTTTAACTCTCAAAATAAAAATCCAGGCGCTTATTGCCTTGATCTGAAGTCGTCTCCAAGTAATGGGCCTTTTCTTCATGACTAAGATTTTCCCATTGGGCCTTCTTCCAGCGGTTCCTGCTGACATAGTAGACCTTCGCAAGACCGTACGCTACAATAGTAGCGACGTTGATTGCAATAAGCTGTCTGTTGCCTCGGCGGTACAGCGGCTTGTCATCCGTCCTGTAGATATTTGAAGATGCAATACCGCTACTGAGTGGCTGTTAGATACAATAGTGAAGGGACTATGCAGAGAAACACTTACAGTTGGATCATGATGTTGAAGATAGCTGCACTCACGGTCCTCGTTCTCACGGAGTTACTCAATCGGGAGCACCATCCAACTTGCGCGGCCTGTGGATTTGGCCAGCCTAGTAGAACAAATGTCACAGCGTAGAGACCCCAGTTGGATAGAGTTCCTGAGGAGGTGTAAAGAACGATAAGTAGTGGAAGTGACCATAGCTGGGTGAAGAGGCCAACAAGAGAAATTTGCTTGACGCGTTCACTCAGCTCTGTGACCAAGAGTAGGTTTATCGCCGCAAAGACAGTCACTGGAATGGACAAGAGGGTGGTTTGAAAAGTAGTGAATCCAATGGCCTTGAGGGAGAGGGTGAGATATGTCTTTGGTGGTGATGTGGGGATTTCAAAAAGAATCCCAAGGATATAAATAGGCCATAGATCGAAGTCTTTCAAACTCAGCCACAGCTGTTTGAGACTCAGTGCTTCTCGATTGTGTGAATCGCTCTTGGACGGATCATCGCGGAGTACACGGTTGACAATGATGGTTTCCTCGCGTTCACTGAATATGCCTTTCGGGTTCCACCATGTACGGGTCTGTGTTGGGCCAGGAACTAAGAAGAGGAAGCTCAGGAATCCAATGACAATACTGATGAGTGCCTCGATCAAGAATAGCCATCTCCAGCCTGCACGTCCATCTACGCCACGCATGTGCAACACACCGTACGCAATAAAAGACGCAACAACGCCTGACATCGAATCTGTGAACCAGAACAAAGCCAACCGGAAAGGCATCTCGGTTTTGGTGTAGAAGTAGGAGAGGTAGAGAATGGAATCCGGTATGAAGCCCCCCATGAACAGGCCTAATAAGAACCTGCAGGCAAAGAAGCCACTGCGGTCTTTAATAAAGAATTGTGCTCCGCTAGGAATACCTGAGATAATTGTTAGTTGGTTTTGAAGCGTTGGGCTGAGTTTGGGTCAGGGGGTTGTACTCCATAGTATAATTTGAACTGGAATCCACCGATCTGGCCCAAGTCGCTTTCCAATCATCTGCGATGGAATTTCGGCAATCAAAAATCCGATTCGGTACATGTTTTGCGCGTTGTTGTAATCGTTGGTCGTCAGGTGCAGATCGTCAAGCAGATTATCGGCGGCGGCATTTCCCAAGTTGCCTCTGTCGAGATTGAGAGCGAAGAACATTACAAGGATCCAGAGGAGGATTCTCCAGTCGGACTTTCGTCTGACCCGGGCTTCTTCGGCATATGTCCATCTTGCTTGTGGATCGAAACGGTGAAGATTCTCGTATCCAGGATGCGGTGCATAAAACTTTGCAAGTAAGGGATCATCGAACACGCTGCGAGTTGTAGCGATGGCATCGGGGTCGTGCTTAGGTTGGCGACGGAAAAATGAGAAGAGTGACGGAGACGAACTGGTGGGATCAGTCGTCTCTGCGAGGTTCAGAAAGCCCCCTTGCTTGAGGGTTTCATCAGGCGCTGGACTTAGTGGATGAGGACTATGATCCATTTTAACAGAGCCAAGGTTGACGGGTGATATTTAATATGAAAATAAATGTTTGCCGTGGAAAATATTCTTTCGTGTAGCTTGAGCTCTGTTTAAGTACAGTTACAAATCAGTCTCAGCTTTTTAGCTGTCACCACCATCAGAAATGATGGTGACATCGATATCGAGTTAACACGATACTAGGCTCAAGTCATACAGTCCATAGTATTCCAGAAGCACTTTACAACCGAGATCGATTTTCTTTACTTATGTGTTAGCAATCTATTTTATCCGAATTGGCTGTCTTCGCCATCCGCACTTGGATGGCATCAGTTCTCACACACCAATCAAAGTTTCCGTTGCATTGATGCCATTCCTTTATTGGACCAACGCTCGAATTCCATTAGCCTAATTAAAGGGTCCATCAGCCCTGTTAACGGAAAAAAAAAGGGCATTGGTGGAAAAACCTCGATGTCAGTTGGCTTTGAAGGGATGGATAGATATCTCGCTTAATAGTCCGTCTCTAGCTTTACTTTCTCTCACCGGTTCTTTGATATAATTTTGTGGCTGTATGTCAATAGATTAAATATCTGATGGTAATTGGACCAGGTGTAAATAACGTTAATAGTATGCCCGAAGTTCAGATGACAATCTGGCATCCACGGGCGGGCCTGGCTCTGTGCTGGTTCGGCCTCTGCCGAAATCCAAGAAACTTCAACAGACAATGCTAAACCCTGACTCTTAATCATTATGAGGCGACCGGGAGTGATTCATAAGAGCCTTGAGTAAATCATTGGACACTAGAACCCCCGAATATCATATTTCGCGCGAAAGTTCGTGTATATTGGCTATCTTAGGGTGACTCAGTCGGTTTCCTACATACTAGTACTGCTTAGGACTATCTTAAGCGCTCGGAACCTAGAACTACGGAGTAGACGTGCTCTAATTCTGCGGTACCTTGCCAACCTTGGAAGCTGGACAATTACCCGAGGCCGAGCACATCATCTCTACGGAAGATCACGCTCTTTATCATGAAATAACATCACCTTCCGAAGCTTGAACTGGGTGCCAAGCAAATACAATATATTATTTCCCCACTAGCTTCCCGCACATGCGAAGTTGCTCTGTGTACGGAGTACAATAGCGCCATCCATGTGTTCTTGAGCGGGGTCAACTATGTACTTTACAAGATTCCCCTCAGCTTTGGAACTCTCGCACTCATTTCATTTATTCTTCTCGGATATTTTCTGAAACTTTTAACTTCTTTCACCACACCCTCTCCATGAGTGAGAACAAGAATGTGCTTCTGCTTATAGCGGACGACCTAGGCAAGCAATTGAGCTGCTACGGTGCAAAGAGTATCCTTACGCCCAATATCGATCGACTTTCGGAACAGAGCACCCGCTTTGATTATGCATTTGCAAGTACTGCCTCATGTAGCGGAAGTCGTTCTGTTATCTATACTGGCCTCCATACCCATCAAAATGGACAATATGGACTCGCAAGTCATCGACATCATTTTGTAACCTTCGATCACGTCGAAACGATGCCACATTTATTGAATCAAAGTGGTCACCAGACGGGTATTCTGGGCAAAATTCATGTTGGACCATCAAGCGTCTATCCTTGGAAAGAGACAAAGGAAAGCGTCACTCGTGATGTCGCAATCATTGCCGACCAAGCAAAGGCGTTCTTCCTGGACGTGAAGCAAAGTCAACAGCCTTTTAGTTTGACGATTGGATTTCATGATCCCCATCGCGATCAAACTCGGGGTGGGTTTGGAAACGATACAGAATACGACCCACGGATTAGCAAAGGGAAGTACACTGCGGAGAATGTCGAGGTTCCAACATTTATTACCGATTCGCCCGGGGCTCGGCTTGAATTGGCCGAGTACTACAACTCAATCCACCGCCTCGATCAAGGAGTGGGGATGGTTTTGGATGCACTGGAAGAGCATGGACTAGCGAATTCGACCCTGGTGATTTTTGTGAGCGATAACGGCCCCCCATTCATTAACTCCAAAACCACTCTGTTCGATGCCGGAGTACGATTGCCCTTGATTATAAGAAATCCTCAATCTTCACCGGCTGTCAGCACAAACATGGTCTCATATGTTGACATTCTTCCAACCATCTTGGATTATGTCAATCACCCAGGAGTGAAAGATTCAGCAGGCAAGCGTATCGGACGCTCCCTTCTTCCCGTACTTGGAACTGCATCCAAGTTGCCAGGGTTTGATCAAGTCTTTGGCTCCCATACCTTCCATGAGGTCACCAACTACTGGCCTACACGCTTTATTCGCGACAGGCGATACAAGTACCATCGGAATCTGGCGTGGCGCTTAGACTTCCCATTCGCGGCCGACCTTTACGGGTCACTTTCATGGGAGGATGTTCGAAATTCGACGGAAAAAGAGATCATGATTGGCGGCCGACGGCTTAAAGACTATTTCTTTCGCGCACCTGAAGAGTTATACGACTTGAAAAATGACCCAGATGAGGTAGACAACTTGGTTAACAAACCAGAGTATGAGGGGGTATTGGAAGATCTAAGGTCTAGATTGGAGAAATGGCAGCGTCGAACCGAGGACCCTTGGCTATATCGAGATGGCGTGTCATTATGGTTCATACGAAATCATATTGTGAATGGTTTGAATGTGCCAGATCGGCTGGATTTTGATGCAGAGAAGCCAGGTAATAGACAGTCTGAAAGGGTGAAAGAGACTCGATGGGGTGAAGATGTCCCGGAGTGAATTCCAATTTTCAACTCTAATGGAAGAAGTCTGAAGTTCCCAATTCTCAGCAGCAATGTTCAATTCAATGTTTAGCGTATTCCTCATGCACCCGGATTCAAAAGCCTCTCGTATGATACTTGTTCTCGGCCCTGAGAATCTGACTCTGGCATCATGGGTTCGCGGCCTAGATATCCAAGTTCGATCTGGTTTTCCCCCCTTTTATCACGACTGCCAGCCTTTTGTGTCATATAGAACCCGAATTTAATCGCACGACATATCTCCATGGGATTGAACAGTCCAATCCAGGCTCGCACGCCTAAAGGTCCCCCCTTGTAGTGCAGAGGAATTGCTACCAGGTCAGATTTACCGTGAAACTCCTGTTCAGCTTCCTGGACACTAGGGTGGTATGATTCATTCTGATTTCGGAGCTTGTAGGGTCCCACGTTGTAGGCGCAATGGAAGAATATTGAAAATGGTACCATCTGTAGGCAGACGACCAAATTGGGAATTCCAATATCAACATCGGCATAACTCAATGTGGCGGTGGATTTGAGAGCATTAGTTGACCGCAGGACAGTGAAAATGATCTGGAAACTTAGTCAGTTTACTGATACAATACTCATGTGGAATGTTTACGCACCCTTTCAAGGAATGTCAGACCTACGATTAACTTGAAGGCGAGTAGCTTTGAAAGGGGGCGATGGCTGGCGAGCTGAGACTTTAGTGTTCGATAAAAGGTAATAACTGATATCACAGCGAATGCAACCGACACCTCGGTGATAACAGTCAACTAAGAGTAGAACAATATTAGTTTCAAGCCCAATCCGGCATTGATACAATGTCTGTTATCGAACCTACCCAGATATGCGCAAAGTACGGCTTGTCACTATCAAGACAGTATACGCCAGCAACCTGAGTAAAGTCGGTGGCAAGGCTCGTCAGAAGAGCAACGACCGGATATTGGAAGATTGCAATCCATTGCTTCTGTGAAAAATGCATTAGATCTGGCACTCGAATGGAGCGTAAACAATAACTCCCACGTCAGGATACTCACTCTAAACCATGCCAATCCGGTTAAATTAGTCTTGTTCCGCTTCTTTTGTGGTGGTCGGAAGGCTGCAAAAAATACATCGAGTTCAGAGTGACTGTCATTCGTAATGAATTCGCACAACAAAAGAAAGAACGAGCCTAACGCCACAGCTTGAAAAAGTTCCAACCAGGGAGTAAGGTACACATAGGCATGGGGGTAACAGATGCAAAGGAAAGATATTATCGTATAAAGAGGAATCAAAAAGCAAATTTTAAGTATTCTATCGGACGTCAGCACAATCCTGGAGTCATAAGAGGTATCATACTTGATTTGCTCTCTCGGCTTGCTTAGGTGAGTGGCATGCAAAAGCATCAAACCGAATACTGTGATGCAAACGAATGCTGTGCAAGCTCCGGATATTATCATATTCAGACGGTAAAAAGTGATGTTATCGATGATATTCTGTTCAGCAACTATACCCATGATTAGCCAACTTGTTCGCTATGCAGAATTGGTATCCTGTGGGGATATTAGGGGCGGATTACCAATAGCAAATGAGTTTGGCATGGGGCATGTGTGATTGCTTTCTCCATGATTGCTGAAGATACCCATTTTAGTTGACTGAGAACGAGTATTGGTAAAAATTTTGGTGACGCTTGCGCTGCGATCGATTTTAGTAAAAAACTTGAGAGCTTGCTCTTGACATCTTCTTCTTGAAGGAATGGAATCTCTTTAAATGGGATTCGGATACCAAGCTGAAACGCAATTCTGACCAGCGTCAATGGCATAGCCTATATTTGATATCAAAGCGCCAATGGCTGAGGCTGCTGAGCCATTCGCGAATACTACCCCCGAATAGGCTAGCCTCGACTGTTATACCTGAACTAGGTTAGCGTAGTTATTAAGTTTATCCGTCATCGCGCTGATCACCACATGGAGTCTGACCGAAGCACGAATCAAATGCGAAGCGGGAAATTAAACCCATGCCTCGGTGATGTGTTCAATAGAAAGACATGATCTTGGCGCTGATGAAGGATTCTTACCTCGTATAAACATGAATGTCATACTGATAGCAGGGCCGCGTCATCCTTTTGATGGACAGGTAGGAAATATCTGCTGGTAAATTCCGCAGGATTACTTCATTGAGGCTTTTATGCGTAATTGCTGAGTCGTGAGAGCTGGATTGATTTTATTGGAGCGTATGTGTGCTCCGGTGACGATTTGGCGCTGGCGGTGGGCAACTCGTAGATGCCTTCTCTTCCCCATACCACTTCATCTTACCTTTCGTGCTTTCTTCGCTTATGCCTAGCATACTACCTCCGAAAGATTTACAAGATAAAAATATTTCATAGCCCTGGCAAAGGAGCTAGAACATATTTTAATGATACATGGGCGGCCACTCCATAGTGGGAAGAGAATTGGTTCAACAGGGACGTCACAGTGTTAACATCTTATGATCTGGTAATTCATCTTATTTGCAGGACCAGGCTAAAAAATTTTCATCCCCCGCCAAAGCATGAAACATTGATTGGAATCGAGCCGAATCGAACCCGTCTGCTCCACCTCCGAAATCCATCACACGGCCAACGCCATCCACTTTACTTAAATAATGCTGAGAGGGGCCGAATGGGAGACTGCAAATATCTTCAGCTTTTGATAGTGACCATTCTGAAGGTGAGACCACCGAGGGAGGTATCTGGTCAAATCCAAGATCAAAGAAGTCGAGGTTGATCCTGTGAGATGATATATTATGCCCCCTCTCGGTGATCTCATTGCCATAGATCTCCTGGTGCTCTGACTGGAAATCGACAGCTGGTCGATCTTGATGTGCTACTCTGTCATCGCTGTTGTTCAAACAGCTACCTCGTAGGGAGTCTGATAAAACTTCCCGAGAAGTCGATCTTGAGTCTGCATGTGCTCGTTCATCCGACGGCAAGAGTGCTTGGTAGATGGATGACTTGTTCCCCACTGACCATGGGAGACGAGACATCGAAAATTTATTGGAAATCTCTCGGACGAGTTCCGGGAGAGAGCTATCATATGGTAGGCGGCCTACTGAAAGGCTATAATCCACGGATGTGGAGATCAGAAGATAACCACGAGGACAGAGAAGGAAGGCGTCTAGCCAATTCTTGGCTCTGGAATGACTAGGTGATAGTGAGCGCTTGGAAAGCTCACGAGAGATGTTGTCATGGTGCAAAGAATTAGATCTTCCCCTGCTGTGCTTTGTCGACGAAATCTCTTTGGGAAGGAAGCAGTTCTGCGTAGTCACATAGGCTAGCTGAAGGATGTGGTTGGTTCCTGCTGCAACAAAATCCGTCACGTCGTACAGGCTTTCCGAATGTCGTATGATTCTACTTAAAGAATCCAATCGTTTTTGCCTGGCTGCCGCCTCTGAACGCGAGGGTGAAAGTTTCAGGTCTATGGCAGCTAGAACGAGCGGCATTCCCACATATGCGAGTCTAATATAAATGATGTTAGTCAGATATTTGGCGAATACTAGGGTGACTTACACGCTCAAAGGTAAATTGTCCACATGGCCAGTCAAGCTGAAATACTCCATGACCGGTGTCAATCCATCTATTCCACATTTCAAATCATTTCCAATATCCCTGATCATCCGTTGATACCGTTCAGCTGGAAGATATGGATACTCCTCTATCAAAAGACCTGCGTATTGTGCTAGATCCACCATCGCTGTATGGTAAATCATAAATGTCAGATTCTGTAAGGCAGTAGATGCATGGGGATATCTTTCTTTCCTTCCCGGGTGATATTGAGCCTGGGAATGCCATTGAACCAAGGATTCTTTGAGATTTTTAAGCGTTTCCATGTGGCTTTCAAACTCATCATTGGAATATGATGCCGCAGGGGTCAATCGAGGGTTAAATATCAATGAAGCGAGGTCCGTCAAAAGAATTGCCAATGTGCATTGCTCTTGCAGAACTGAAAGGAATCTAGCCTTAGTCTGGTAGTCATAGACTTTCGAATGATGCATTTCATCCTCAAAGTCTTCCTCTTGAAGCCAATCCCGATAGCCGTGGAGATTGATTGAAGTGACTTGAGGACGTCGACGGAGACCAATGCAGAGGCTTCTATCTCGGAGTAATATTGACCACCACAGACGCTTTTTCATGGAATCGCTCACAGGGTCCTCTACCAGAGAAGGTTGTGCATCTATGAGAATGGCGTTCTCAATAGAGCTTGTCAGCCATAGGCTTCCTGCCAGAGGTGTAGCGGCGGAAGAATGGTGAGTAAGTAGGAGCGCACCCTGGGCCTTTGCTGATGGCTTCAGTTCAACTTTGAGATCAAAAAGAAGCTAGGGCTCGTCAACTGCCTGAACAACTAAGAGTTGAGGCCGACGTACCTTTGCTCTGATATACAATTGCTTGCGTGCATCACGTTTATCTTCAAAACCACATCCACGTAAAGTCTCCAGACATACAAACTACGGTCAAATGAGATTTGGAATACCCTGTTTCGAGGCGAGGGGAGTCTTACAGGAGCACTGGCAAACATGAGAGCCTGAAAGACGAATATGGATATCTTCTCCGTATGATCTTCAAACGCACGCCAGAATTGCATTTCATCTAGCACCGGGAGCATGGGGTGAATTTTCTTGAAATAACTTTCAACGAAGACTTGAGTCGAAGCGGGTATGCTCAAAGAATTTTTGAGGGATAAGTACTGGATATCTTCCGATGCCAAGGATTTCAAGTCGTCGGTGCACAAAAAGCCATGCTTATCGAGATCAGCCAGTATTGAGGAGGTTCCATTCTCTGGGTCTGCCACATCCGTATACCGCTGCAGGTACTCTGGCTGCATATCTTGAGGTAAATGAATCGGGTAATGGTGGGTGGTACTATCGATAGATTGATCTTCGACAGACGGTACTTCCTCAGTGGAAGAAGAGATTCCAGAGGAAGTGTTTAGTCTGCTTTCGTGATTATTATATCTCTTCAAGACAAAAGGCTTGATTACTGACGTTTTGGAGAGTTTTCGTCGGAGAACACAGTCGATTCGACCATCCTGCCTGCAGCGAGTGCAAGGAGAACCAGAGATCGATGCATCGCACCGTACCTGTATGTTGTCATGCGGTTAGCGCCACTTGAATGAATCGCACGCTGCCAATACCTTGCGGTGGTGACAATAGAGGCAAGCTGTTGCCGCACGTCTTGTCCTACGAAGCATGGAGTCGGGGGCGGGTTTCCCAGGTGTATCGTAAATTGCGTTCAAGCTTTGGATGAAGAATTTGAGGAAGGAAGAACGACTTGGAAGCGAAAATTTTACAAGTGGTATAAGACTACGGAGTTCAGAGCAAGGAAATGGATTTCTATTGAATTCATCACGGAGTCGCCCATGAGTCATGGACCATGTTGCATAGCACAAGCTACATGAGATTCTCATATTAGACTGCATAATGCCGTTTTGCTACTTAAGTCGCCGGACAAATAAACTAATCTCAGCCCCGCCGCAGAATGCGGGGTTTCTCCACAATGATTACCGCGGAACTCGGTTATATGCAGCTTCGTTAACCATATAACCGGGTATAGGCCACTTGAAATACGCTTACTTTCATCGGCACTTGGTATTAAGCATACGTGGCAACGGCAATGTAAACAAGGTTCAGCTTTAGACCAAGCTAGTGAATTGTTCATATGCGTGGTGTATATTAATGAAATCAAACGCCTAAACACTAACTGAATGAAATGATAAAATGTCCCAAGTCTTTTAAGCCATCTTAGCGATTCTCCGTCGCATATCCTTCAGATAGTACCGCATGGGATAGGTTCTTATCCAGCGAGGAAGACAAGGGTATGTCGCTTTAGTGAATCCCATCAAGAAGCGATTAAAACCCCTTCGCATCTTTGTTGATTTTAGACCATATGCCTCGCGGATCCTCGGGGGTAACATCTCAGCCGTAGTGAGACGCACTATGGGAAGAATGACACGGATTTGAATGGGTACTTTTTTGTTGCGCAATAGATCATTTGCCACATTTTTGGCCTCATCGGTGATCAGATTCTCCAAGGTCGCAATCTTGACATCCCAATATTGCCAAAACGCCAAACGATTAGCGGGCCACATTCCTGCAGGTACACGAAGCGATGTAGCCAGAATTGAATACTCTTGATATATCGCCTCAGACAGCCCTTCATCCAATTTTCCAAAGACCCGTTGGTGAAGATCAGTTCCAACAGCGTAGAGTGTTGCCGCTACCCACAACTGCAGAGTAGGGTCATTGGCGTTGTAACCTGGTCCCTTGACGGGTGCGTGTGCTCGATGAACCATCTCTATGACTGATCTCCTCTCCTCTCGGGTGCCGTAAGCCATGCAGTAGATATATGTCATGGTAGTACGGAGACGGTCCATCGGTCTGTCTGCGAATTTGCTGTGGGAGTTCACCCCTTTTCCAACGCCCGGCTCAGCTACCTGCAATAAGACAGCAGCAGCACCCCCTGCGAGCAGAATGGCTTCCTGTACTATTCTTTGAATTTTGACTGGCTGCTCCAGCGAATCCAAAAGGTCTGAATCCACCGTGAGACTCTCGATCTTCTTGTTCAGCATGCTTAAAAGGGTTTGTGGGGCTCGAGTACCCAAGGGGGTAAGCGAAAGTTCAAGTCTCTCGCTCATGTTTGGGTTGGTGTTTATAAAGCACTTGAATGGAATGTGAGAATGATGTGTCAATAGTAAACATCAGGAGTGGAACGCCTTGGTTTTTTGAATGATCATGTCTTTTCTATATCCTTATCTATCAAAAGTATGATAACTATCAAGCTTTTAGGTGCATTTTATACTATCTCGGTCTAGACTTTGCCTTCCCTGAAGCGCGGGCCAGGTGATTTGTCTTGGACAAGCTGAGCATCCCTACCAACGGCATCTCTTGCCGCGGGCCGTTCAAAAGAATTTACATATGAACAGAGAAATTTCCAGGTTCTATTCACAAGAATGGATGGGCATCTTGAGATCGGCCTCAGTTTCTCCTACGATGAACACTTTTTGAACAATCTGGCCTTAACAACACAGCGCAAAGTATCATTGACCGACTGTAAACGGTGGCTAGATCTTCAAGGGCATGAATGTGAAGAAATACATGCGAGCTCAAAACCTTTAGAGCTTGGGCTTAATGACTCCGGCCAAGATTTCCTTCTTCGCGTCTTCTCGTAGTACTCGTTTAAGAATCTTCCCGCTCGGGTTCTTCGGGATGGATCCAACGAACTTAACACCCCCAGTTAATGCTTTGTATTTACTGAGCCGTCGTAAAACCCATTCCTGGACAGCTTCTTCTGTGAGCTTTTGCCCCGCATCTCCCGGACGTCGCACTACATAAGCACGAGGATATTCGGTGCCGGCCTCTGGGAAAGTGATTCCGATAACTGCTGCATCCACAATCTGAGGGTGGGAGAGAAGAACGGCTTCGATCTCAGGTGGCGCCACTTGGAAGCCCCTTACCTTGATGAGCTCTTTCTTTCGGTCGACGATGTACCACTTTCGGGTGGCTTGATCGCAGTATGCGATGTCTCCGGTCTTGTACCAGCCCTCCGAATCGAAAGAACTTGCATTCGCTTCAGGATTCTTGTAGTATCCTGGTGTCACCGTAGGTCCTCGAACACACAGCTCACCCCGAACACCGAAAGCAGAAATGTTGCGATCTTCCTCGTCAATAAGCCTGGAATCAAATGTCAGCTAGGGCCATCAAATAGAATTTTTGAGCCTTACTTGGCTTCCAGATTTGGGATCAGTCTCCCAACCGACCTAATATTGGTGTCAGTTTAGGCCGAATCTTCTTCGAAAAGAATCTCACCCAGTATTATCATGCTCCGGATATGGAAACATGGTTGCAACGCAGGAGGTCTCTGTCATACCCCACACCTGCGTGAATGGGCTATCGTCTCCCATCAATGATGAGCGAAATCGAGATTGTATCGCCATGTCTAAGGGTGCGGCTCCGCAAATTGCGGCGCGAGCCTTTTTGAGAAATGGCTTTGTCATTGAAATAGGAGACATTAAAATAGTAATGACAATTGGAGGAACCATCGCAAGATCTGTGACGTTATATTTCTCCGCATTGACCAAGTACTCTTCCAGCTCAAATCTCCGCATCATGTAACACACTTGCCCTGCTTTCAGAGTAGAGATGTGGGTCACCGGGGCCGCGGAGGCGTGGAAAATGGGAACTGCGTTGATTCGCACAATCTGGCGGAAAGTCAGTCAATCTGTCCGGACATACGAAGTTGATGCCAACTCACTGGGAACGGACGAGGGTTAAGACCAATGACAAGTTCGTGTTGCGCGATAAGATTGTAATGAGTGATCATGACAGCCTTTGGCAGACCTGTTGTTCCACTACTGAAGAGTCTCATAGCAGTGGTCGTCTGTGCTGTTTGCAAATCATCGAACCGTAGCCAGTCGGATTCTCCATGGTCCATCAAACGTTTCCACGATTTCTGTTGAGGTGGAAGAGCTTGCCCCAAGTTGTCGAATACCCACACCTTTTCCGTTGGGACTCCAACTTGTTTGGCTGCCACAAGAAGGGTATCCAATATCTCGGGCTCAGATATCAGGAATTTGCAATCTGCGGCTCTGACATGATGCGCAAGTTCATGCGGTGTATACGATGGATTTGAGCCAGTGAATATGCCCCCAGCGGCAATGATTCCTAGGACAAGGATTGAATAGTTGATCTAATCATCGTCAGTCCCGATTTATTCTTTTATGCACTCCCATAGGACTTACGTCGTTGAAGGAGTGGATCAGAACGCAATCCCCCTTACGAAGGCCAGCAGCGTGAAGACCTGCAATTAACTTTCGGATTGTGGTGCGAGCCTGATTGCAGGAAATCGAACGACTTGGATTCTTCGCATCGATATAGATCTAATCTCATTCCTGATGAGTCTCGGGTGATGGGAGGGAGGGAGTTGTACTCACCGGTTTGTCCTGGTCATATTGCGGGGAATCAAATATATAGGAGAGTAAATCTTTGGTTGGAAGAATCGTACGCGCGGCTGGCTCGAAGATCATGATGGACATTAATGTCTCCAGAATTCGTGTCTGGGTGTCAAGATTTGAATGCAGGAGAAAAAGGCCTCTATTGAATACGAGTTCCCCTCATATTATGTAGCTCGGAACTCGGTTGTGGGGCTGCTAGGATCAACGCTGTAGACCAAACCACATGATAATGTGTGCATACAGAATTACGCACGTTTTGTATGTTTGAGACCAGCCATTTGATCTTACTTATCCCTTAGGCCCATGAACTTGATTTGCCTGATTTTCCATCTGACGCTAGTAACGCTTCCCCGCTCAACTGTGGAGTCTCGATGGAACAAATCCTACTCAGATTGGGACTGACACCTGAGTTGTGCTAGATGATCATATATTATTTGCTGTTTCCTTTTCACTGTTTACGTGTCACTTGTCTACAACTCACCACATGGCTGATCTATGACGTCACATGGCCTTTCTCCAGGATGAAGGACAAAAACAACAGGTTCCCCGTGAACCAGCGTGACAACATTACCTTGAATTTGCCATTGTTTGGCTGCCTTCAAGTTTATATGCCTGATATCAAGGTTCGTCCCGATGTACTTTGTTACTAATACAGGTATACCAAACTCCCTTGGAAACGGAATACCATTCTATGCAAGGAAGATTGCCCATCTTTAGGCCTAGCATACAGTCCATCCCCCATACCAAGGCATCAAAACATATACCCTTGTCTATCCTATTAACCTTACTCTCACTCTAATGACGAATCTATCCTGGAATCTGTTACTTACGTCTAGCTATTCATAAATATGATCATAATATATTTCAAATTGTCCAATCTATTCTACGTCATGCCCGTGGTATGATACATCGGGTTACAGCCCGCTGGGTGCACCAATTGGGACCACAAGTTCTCAAGTTTGTGGATCGCCCTGAAATAATCCCGAGTTAAAGATAGGTGACCCCTTTTTGAAATGTCGCTTAGTTTTCTCACGATGTCACGTTAGATTGATCAATGATTGTAGTCACTTTCCCCACAATCGATCGGCCTTCTTCCCGTTATCGCGAACAATAGAATGTAACGCTGTCCTCCAGGGAAATGGGGACTAACCCCTTGCTTCAACTCTTAAAGCGGGATTCTCCGCCTCCTCAAGATCTGCAATGTCGCACCATCTGAACGATGATCTGGCACTTTGCCCTCGTGGCGACTGTTGCGGCCTTGCAAGCACTTCCACCAGTCGAATTCTCCACCAATCTGACTTCGCATGCTGATAAAGGCTTCTCATTGGCAGCTGTTGACAGGGTTCTCTATGTCCAAGAAGAGTTTGCCTCCTGGAGAGACAGCAATGGTCTTACATTGATACCCCCTTCCTTGGAAGAGTTTGCCAGAATTTTCCTAACCGACCTCGAACTCTTTTCTAACTCCTCCTGGAGTTACAAAACAGTGAAGAAACTCCCAACAAGTGCATCTGGGATTTTTCTCGGACTTCAATCAGAGAATTCTAAATTCACGTATGAGGACGGGACACCGTCAGAGGAAGGGTATGAGGTAGTCATAGAGGATGGCCGCGCCTCTATATATGGCTCAGGTGCCAGAGGGATGTGGTGGGGAACGAGGACGTTGCTTCAGCAGATTATTCTCAACGGCGCACTATTGCCTGGTCGCCTCACTGATGCACCGGCTTTTCCCACCCGTGGTATGATGTTGGATGCAGGACGGAAGTGGTACTCTTTGTCCTATTTGAAGGACCTTTGTACATACGCCTCATTTTTCAAACTCTCCGAGTTTCATTATCATGCGACAGACAACTTCCCCCTCAGTCGAGGTCCGAACGTGACGTGGACAGATGTTTATTCGCAGTTTTCATTGAGACCGGAAAACCCAGAGCTACAGCCCCTTGTGCAACGGATGAACGAGACTCTATCCCGGTCGGAGTTCGATGACTTTCAACGGCATTGTGCTCGTCGAGGAGTGACTGTCATTCCAGAGATCGAGGCTCCAGGCCACTGCTTGTCACTCACAAAATGGAAACCCGAGCTTGCCTTGGCCAGCAAGGACCTTCTGAATCTTACACATCCCGAGAGCGTTCCTCTGGTTAAATCTATCTGGTCGGATTTTTTGCCATGGTTTCACACGAAAGAGGTTCACATTGGCGCTGATGAGTATGATTCGACCCTGGCAGATGACTATGTCCGCTTTGTCAACGAAATGTCCGACTATATATACGAGACACATGGAAAGAAGATTCGGATCTGGGGGACTGACGAGCCATCTAACCTCAAGATTGATACCAACGTCACCATTCAGCACTGGCAATATGGACAGTCAGACCCGGTCGCGCTAGCACGAGATGGTTATCAAATCATCAATTCTGAGGATTGGTGGGCGTATCTCTCGCTGAAAAATAACCATGTGCCGATCACACCGGCTCCATATCCTCAATTCTTCAACAACAGCCGGGTATTGAATTTTGGCGACATTGAAGGATGGCAGTGGACCCCAGAGTTGTTCAATCCAGTCAACGCAACTGCGCAACCCGCCAAGAACGCCGTTCGAGGTAGCATCCTGGCTGCATGGAATGATAATGGACCCGATGCGACTACTCAACTGGAGGCGTATTATGCCATTCGAAATGGTATTCCGGTTGTCGCATCTCGTGCATGGGCAGGGAGCCGCGGGCCACTTCTGAATCAGTCTACCCTCGATGAGTCGATCTCCATTCTTACGGCAAACGCCGTGTCTCAGAACCTTGATAGAAGAATTGTACCCGATGGGTCCAAGGAGCTGTCAAGTGCACTTTTCTCATGGGTCAACCCTGATCCCAAGGTGCAACAGCACCAGATAGGGCTGGGAAGCAAAGGAATGAACTACACATTAGAGCTAGATGTCATTGGTCCCTTTTCTCTGCAATCCGATGATGCTACCCTGTCACTTTCAGCTGGCGGTGAACTGGTGTTCTCTGCAGATGGCTGGCCATATCCGCTTCGCGCTGTTGCCGAGACTGATGGATTTGAGACTGCAGAACCTGGTAGGATTTGGTCCAATTCTACCAAGTCGTCACATGATATTGTGCATGTACCTCAAGAATCAAAATCCCAAATCACTATAATCACCAACTCATTTGAAGGCAGTCGGGTTTGGATTGATGGTCAGTTCAAGGGACGCTTTGAAGTGTTTGTCTATGGTGGCCACAATGAAATGACATCTTGGTCCCAAATGTCTTTTGTTGCACCACTGAATGTCATTCAAGGAAATGGTTTGCAGAAGATAGGTCTATATTGAGTATATTGAACTTATGTATACACAATACTACCCAAGGAATAGAAGGGAGTTCGAGAGAGTGCGCAAGGAAACAAACAATGGAGGGTGTCTTGATAACGTAATACGATTGCTGTAAAGAAATCAAGTCTAGCTCTCCTATGCCTTGAATTCATCCAGAAGTTGAAACGTTGAAAACATTGAATACCCGCTTACACGCCGTCTTCAAATCCATCGCCTCCTGCCTCAGTATCCAGCTTCATAGAGTCCATCAATCCACACACTTCGAACAGCTTCCGCGGTCCAAGCCCTTCTTGGGTCCCGACAACCCCTTCCGTCTTGAGGCGCAACATTGCAGCCCTGATTCCGACGTAGGCTGGAATAACCGACGCAAAAGAGAAGATCATGATGCGGAAGCCGATCTCCTCCGCTTGTTTGGTCGTTATAACGGGAGACACTCCATTTTCCACCATATTCAGGAGCAGGGGCCACGGAGCGAGATCCTCAACTGCTTGCCGCATTTGATCAATCGTCGTAAACCCTTCAAGCAGACCGACATCAGCGCCGATATCACGGGCTGCCTTTAGACGAGCAATACACTCGTCGTATCCGTGTTGTTGGAGGGCGTCGGTTCGCGCAATGAGAACAATATCCGAATGCAGCTTATCCTTTGTGAGCTTGGCGGCTTTGATTCTTGACTCGTACTCATCCCGGGAAACCACTCGCTTGCCGGCAAGGTGACCACAGCGCTTGTTGGAGATCTGATCCTCAATGTGGAAGCCTGCCACACCTGCTTGGATATACTGCTGGACGGACTTGGATACCATCAATGGACCTGCATACTTTCATTAGATATATCAAATGGCATGACGCCTTTTCCATACCTCCGTAGCCTGTATCCATGTCTGCAATTAGAGGGGGACCGAATGGATCGAGATTGGCAATCATTTCGGCGTTAGTCTTCATATCGTGAAGTTGAGCGAGTCCGAGATCGGCCATTCCCAATCGCGATGCGGTAGTTCCTGCTCCGGTCTAGCCAAGGTTAGTCATGGACGACGGAATCGATGAAAGGTGTCTCACCATGTACATTCCCTTGAAGCCTAGCTCCATGGCAATGCGAGCAGAAAGGCCATCATAGACACCAGGACACACGATCATATCCTTGGTATCCTGAAGCATCCTCCGTAACTTGGCAGCTCCCGAAATCACATGGAGGGAGACTGAAGGTTCATATTTGGTGCCATTAACCTCGTAGTAGCCATCCTTCTCAACGGTGATTGTGATCGTCATGGTAAAGTTTGAAATGTGAGCAAGTTGTAATGATTGAAAAAAGATTCTCAGTCGAGGCACCTGGATATTTATACCTCTTCACCTCGCCCCTCGGGGAAGACTGTCCCACGAGGGAAGGGACTTTTGTCGGATAATGCCCAGATCAATGGGGCCAACATGATTACACGAATCATTAGCATGTCTTGGTATCTTGGGGATGCAACATCTCACCGTATGCCAAGACGCGACATGCTGTATCTCTCATACTTAGGTTGTACCAATTTGACATGACAATGCGGATAACCTTATTGACCACATGATTCACAGAGTGTGTAATTTGCGCTCTTAATTGTGACAGATAACCGGAGGAGATGCTGAATACGGATGTATCGATCCTGCAGGCTATGCAGATTCCATGGATGTTGATAACGCATCGTTGCGTGATTGCCAAGGAACGGAGTTTGACCACAGTGAATAATCTCAAGCCGGCTTCATGGTCAACTTTTTGTTGCTTGGCGCTTTACGCGCTGATGCATATGCATGTGTGCCCTTCTCACTTGCATGGATTACCACGGAGTATCTACTAACGTTGGCCTTTTCAACATTCCCTCTCTTGCCGCTTTTGGCTTAATATTATATGGAAACTTCTCAGGATCTAGAGCTGACAAATATTGTTTGATGGCGTTGGGAAACGTGTCTGCTAGAGATGTATAAATTGGGATAAAAGATGTTGCTTCCATCTCTGTACTTGAAATTTACCTAATCAATTCAATAACCTGTGACTTGACATAGTGTTGATCATCATTTCTTTTTAGATCCTATCAGTGTTTTAGAAGGATATCTCCTCGGCGATATGCTGTGGTGGCTTGTATATGAATGGATGTTGCTTGCTGGTTACGTTTCCATCCTGTCCTGAATAGACTAGTTGCATTCTAAAACTCAAAGCTGATATGTCTTGATTGTCCTTTCACTCATTCCTTGATTGGCTGATCCTAAAAATGGAGTCCACCTCTTCGTTCACCACATCCGAACATTGTTACGCACTTCTCAACGCGCTGTCGTCGAGAATCGCTGGCAAGGAGATCAGGTATGAAGCTGTCTGAGAGTTCAATTCAATGATAATTCCCCTCTTTCTTTACATTCAATCTACGGCAATAGTATATACCGAGGATTAGATCTGCCAAGAGCGATTCAAGCGCCGAGATCCAAAGCTACAGGGATTATTCCTCGCTGCTGGAGCGAGATGCGCCAAGTAGTAAACAATGCCAGTGATGAAACACCTGGAGCTGAAATCAGCACTTGCATGCAAAGTGATGTCAAAATGTTGGGACGAAATGCGATATTGAAGCCTCTAGCTTGAATGGTCGTCGGAGCAAATGATCGCGCCCCTTGGCTTCATATGCAGCTATAAAAATTGTCGGCGCCTTGTTTGAAGATTCCTCAAGGTCTTCAGGCCGTAATAAATGACAAAAGTCCGAGACAAAAGAAATCTCTGTCAAATGGTCAATACCATGCCTTTGAGCTTGACCGGTTTTAGACACGGATGCCGACGGTCAAAGGGAAATTCCAGATAAGCCGAGTGTGAAGAACTGATCAAAAGTGCTTGATCAATTGATGATAAGATAAGGCTCTCACCAGTCTAGACCTAATTCATTCCTGCAAGACGTGATAGATCGCTCAACGGAGAATTGCATGCGTATACAATGTGTTCTGCAGGATAAGGTTAATCAACAGATAATTTACCATTTTCATGCCAATTAATTCCACCATTCACAGTTTCACCACAAGAGGTTCATGGATATACGCCAGTAAAGCGGCGTTGGGCCGAACCGGCTAAGTGTTCTAACTCCTCGGCCTGCAGAATGATAATTTGAAGATATTCTCGGTCGGTCTAAATGATTCCATCCGGCTGACTTGCCCTGTTCGCCAAGTCCTCGGGACCCATCCACTCGGGAGATCAGCAACCTCCGCTTTACGCCTATCATTTAAGCCATCCTAAATTGCGACTTCCAAGCATCTCAAAAGACATGATACGAAATCAACAGGTTCTTATCACTCTATTAAACTTTTTCCAAAGGAGAACTAACCCTACACAGGAGTTCCCCCTCTCACCAGTCCCAGCGCTACAGTCTACGCTCAACGGATCGTGAAACCGAACATTGTATTGACGCCAAGTTTCTCGGTACCACAAAATTTTACCCCGAATGCCCCTTGGCGGTGTTCTCGGCGCAGAAAAGTTGAAGGAAGCCCTCGGCGTAAGCGACAAGTAGATTGCCATGTTACACCCAAGGATGGAAAGTATCTGTTCACCTGCAAATCATCTCATCGATCAGCCAATAAGAGGTCTTTGCTTCTTGGCCTGCATCTTGGAACATGTTGGTTTTAACCAAGCGAGAGGGGAACCTTGGGGAACCTTGAAAGAGCAGGATCTGCTCGGATCCATTATCCCCTCAATGCCAGGGAAAGCAACGAGGGATTCCACAAATCCTTCTGCTATTCCTGACAGTTCTCACTCAGACTACCTATCGCAATGGATCATGGAAATCAAGAAAAGGGTCGCGGAGCAGGGCTTTCACGATTCTTGAAACAAGAAATTGTGTCACGACACGCTGACTTGCTGTTGTTTGCCTGCTGCTTGACTTCGGGTCTAGTGGACAGTACAATCTATAACGGTGCGAATCCTGTATTTTCCTTGCCATTCACCAACTAACTCGGACAGCCTACACCACCTTCGTCTCGATGCAAACTGGTATGATGTCGTGATTCTCTTTCTCCCATAGGGATGATACTAATTCGTCTGAATAGGAAACACCATTTTTGTTGGCCTGGGTGCATCGAACCAAAATTCACGCCCATACGGTTGGGCCCGATCACTGACATCCATTGGATGCTTCGTGATGGGTGCCTTCTTCTTCGCGCGGCTGAACCAGTGGATTGGAGCACATAGACGAGGCTCCTTAATGCTTTCATTTTTCATCCAGGCTAGCCTTCTGGTGATCACCGCCACTTTGGTCTCAGTGGGTGTGGTTTCCAGTAACATGGTGTCAAATCAGGTACAAACTACAATCCAATGGGACTCAGAGATACCGATTGCTCTTCTCAGTTTCCAGTCAGCGGGTCAGATCGTCGCGAGTCGAGCTCTGGGATACAATGAGATTCCTACGGTTGTGATAACGTCCCTTCTTTGTGACTTAATGTCTGATCCGAAGCTTTTTTTTCTGCGGAATGAGAAACGGGATCGACGTATCGTGGCGTTTATTTTGACCATGGTTGGGGCCATCGTTGGAGGCTGGGTTACTAAGGCGACTGCGCAGATCTCACCCGTACTATGGTTGGCAGCGGGAATAAAATTCTCTGTGGCATTGTGCTGGGGCTTTTGGAAGACCAGGAACTAGACTGGCATGTATATAGATAAACATTAGATTTGATCTTGATTATCTCAAGGCCCTACGAGAGTAGATCATCTGTGGAGCTGGTCGAACTTAATATGTATGTCAAATTCCATTTTTCAGTCCCCACCATCTGCACGGGTTACTACTCCATAGCTATAGCTTACTAGGTATCTGCCTCCTAGTTAAAACCTCTAACAGATGAAATAGCTCCTTAGATAGTTAGTTTAGTACCTAGGTAGGCACTCAAGTATACATTGACCTGTTTTAAGCAGTGATCGAGACAGTACAGTATGCCAAATCGAGAATATCCTATAATTCCACTATTTCCCGGCACAGCCCACCACGTTTATGCAATCTGTTTGAGTGGAACTCTATTAGCTGTCCATGAAGCGTAACATGGTGGACCTTGCTCTCTCTCTTCTGTTTTCTCCATATCCTAATATCCCATACTTTTCTGTGTGCTCTTCCTCTTTTTGGCAGCTCTGAGCGCCAACAGGCTATGGGCTTGGGTACGCACAAGGTTTGAAAATAAACCCGGAGACCATTCAACAGACTTTGGTCACGGGATCATAGGAATTCTTCGAGTCCTGGGACTTACCTTGATTTATCAGGCGCTGATCAGTTCGATCTTACCCCTCCGTCTAATCGAAAAATGCATTGTTCTGTCCTTTTGTGTCGTGTCCTTCCTTTACTATCTTATCTCCAATGTAGAGTCGAAAGTAGCTCAGAGGAATTTATAGGACTTGAGACGTTATGAGAATGTTTTCTATGGCTTTTTGTTAGCTGACTGATCATAAATAAAACAGGAAGAGGGAACATCGCCAGAAAAACGAACTAAATAACAACTACCCGCTCATCTCCTGGTCTTCAGGCGGCAACACAACCATCGGGCGCAGGGAGCCGGGCGCGGGGGCGGGCAAGTGGGAACCGGCGCCAATCGGGGCGCCATGGGGGTGCAGGAGCGGCGGGCAAGACCAGGAGGCCACCACGACCACCACGATTACTATCTACCCCTCTCTTCCCAACCGCCACGAACGCCTCCAATCCCAGAACGACCGGACGTCTCCACTCGGGGGGCGTAATCGCACTGGAGAACGAAGCCTCGATTTCCCCGTGTGGAGCATTCATCTCACTCCACAGCGTGATCAGGGCCGCGAAGCGAAGAACGTCCTGGTCCTATTTCCCAACATTAGTCCTGCCGCTGAACGGAGTTGAAACATGCGAAATCACAACCACCGTTCCGTTTCTCAGCTGATTGCTCGTGGCCAGCGCAGCGGATCTATCCCGGAAACATATTTGTATGAAGATACGATGGGCGTTCTTTTGCCTACTCCGTACTATCGAGCGCCGCCAACAGACTCCAAAGAGAGGTTACCCATGTGGCTAGCTATGCTTGCGTCTCACTGCGAGAAGTACGACTACGAAGCTTCTTTAACAGATAATGTACACGCGGCTACGAGGCTTTCCAAGGGCAGTCTCAAAAACGATAGACTACGGCCATCTAGTTTTAACCGCTTACTTATTCCGGTACGGGTCTCAATTCTTCAATTTATTGAAGAGAGCCTGGATGAGTCTGCTCCAGGATTTGCGCTTGAGTGGGAGAGGTTTGAAAGTTTGATAAGATTGCCTGATGCTCTTGAGCGTTAATATTCTTTTGAACGCGACTTGGAAAACAATGATCGCGCTAACACTGATCAGGCGAGTTGGCCCAAATTTGCAGTAGCTTCTTGAAAAATAAAATGCTTGTTATGAGGATTTTCTAGAACATGGAAGTTAGAAGAATGTATGATATATTATCCAAAGGTATCACCCAGAATCAGGTTTGAAACACCATCCATGCAACCTAGTCGAACGCCATACCCAGAAATGCGGAGGGAACAAACTTAACGATTCATACAGTGTGTTCTTTCAAAAATGAATGCAAGCTAACTAGATCGTCACTCGGAGCAGGGGTCGGGAGGGTACTTTTGGCTGCATCGTATACCCATGCGGCCTCTCTTTCTTCACGATGACTCCGCAGGTAGAACGGCATAAAAAGGGTGGAAAGTCGGCTCTCCAAGACGCCCTTATCTCGGTTTCGATCCCACATGCGCCCAGACTCTTTGAATGCCTGATTGATTTTGTCGCGACGAAGACTCTCATACGCATCGAAGACCTCGGACAGCGGCTCGGATCGATAACGGGCCAATAATCGTGCGAAGAGAATAGCATCATCGAGCGCGTAAGCGGCAGATTCATCGCGCGGAGGCATCTATGTAATAATTAGAAAGGGAAGCTTCAACACAGATATTGGTGGTAATTAAACATACCGCATGAGCTGCATCGCCCAGAAGAATAACACGATTCTTGTACCATCGTCCACCGGGACGGACCTGATACACGGGGTAAAGCATCCAGTCGGCTTTGCTAGCTACGATCTCCCGGAGGCAAGGAATTGAAGACTTTGAGAAGCGTTCTTGCATTATTTGCCGCAAAGCAGTTCGAATTCGGTTTTGAGTTGCCCGATCTTGATTGTGCGGCTCAAGCTTATGGTTGCCTAAGTTATCATGGCTGAACTGTACAATGGCAGAGACAAAGATCTGCTCCTCGTTCTGGTCGCAGTAACTTGTCAGGATGGATCCATGGCGTGACAGATTCATCGCGGACGAACGGAAATGAATTTGCGAGGAAATGGTTTTCGAAGGAACGGTGGTTTGTAAGAATGAGAGTCCGGTATACTCGGAAGGAGATTCGGGGTCTAAAAACCGGCGGACCGCAGAGAAAACACCATCACATCCAATGACCAGATCTCCAATCGCTTCAGATCCGTCTTGGAAATGTACCACGGCTTTCCTTTCACGGTCCTCTCCGCCAACCACCTTTTTCCCAAAAACAACATTAACGTTGGGTGTCTTCTCCACCACGGTCAGCATGGCTAAGGAAAGTGCGATACGCATGACTCTTCTTCCCTTGAAACCTCCAAATCCATTGCCATCCTGGTCAACGAAGTCAATTGAGCCAATCGAGCGACCGGATCGCATAGAGTAGAGCTCGATGGCATCCACTTCGGCCCCTGCCTCGGGCCCCATGCGGTCGAGTTCATCCAGAACTCCCAGCTGGGCAAGATGGCGCTGGGCAACGGGAGTCAAGTTGATAGCGCCTCCAGATGTGGATAGAATATCATGTCTCTCGTAAATCGTAATCACCAAATCAGGGACGAATGGGGCGAGTTCTCTCCTCAAAGCAAGCCCTGACGCGAGACCTGCTATGCCTGCGCCAATAATGATGATGTTGTGTGGTGTCGAATCCATTTTCTATGTCCCAGCCAGTGTGAGCTCGAGAATGTCCTTTGATGTGTAGATCCCGGGCCCGACTTTCGAATAGATTTTCGGCTTCCTCGGTGTATACGGTTTCCAATTTGCACGCGCAATTAATGTGCTGTGCGTCGTGAATATAGTGATTCTCCGTCCTCATCAATTTCTCAACGATCGATATTGGACGCCCCTTCGTTCACAGGGTAATTTGCGATTTATAACCGAACCAGAAATGAGAGTAAAACAAGGTTTCCTCGGCCGGAGTAGGGGGATCGTTCGGCATTTAATCCAAGATTCATCCATGGAAACGGTGTGGAGCTGGATATATCACAAAAATTCTATCAAGGTACACTAAAAACAAGCCGGTTTATGAGCAAGTGGAGACGATTGGATCGAGATAACTGGGAATGTTGCGGTCAGTCCGAACAAAGAAAAAGAAAAAGAGGGAAAAAAAAAAGTTTCTGTGATGTTGAGAGCCAGTCAATCGCAGTCGGGCGGGTAGCTCTTCCGACACCCGTTGGTCTCCACTGGTTAACTGTTCCCACACCTTTACCTTACTTAGCATTGTTTAGGACAAGCTCACTTCATGTTCTCCGCTTCTTTCGCGTAGAAGACTGCAGCGGTGGGTCGAACAGTGACAAAAATCCCTGCAAACTCTTTTTGAAAACATAAACGGGCCGAGAATCTGACTTGGAATCCATGCTCAGACCCTGACCAGTTTAAGCCTCGTGCATCTGTCTGACAGCTGAGTTCCATGGGCTTACAGGTCGAACCACACTTCTTGGTGAAAATCAGTGGAGTTAAAGGTGTTAAGTGAAACACCCTCTACCCGTTCTAGCTGTGGGGACTAACCAGAATTTTCCCAGTTCGTTATTTTTAATATAACTAACGCGGCTCGTAGTGCCACCTTGCTACACTCGGTCTTTATTTTTTGACGAGAACGGGCCGACGCAGTGTAGATTTCAGGTTCCAGAACGCGAAAAGGGAACACAGCGCGCACATCCCCGCTGTGAACGTTAGCAAGCGCGTGAAGAATTTGGACAGGGGGCATGGGAAACCCACCCAACACGCAATTCATCGCGTAGTACCCGGTTCGCTCGCTTAGTCCGGACACAATCGGCCCGAGAAAGGCGCCCAGAACGCAGCTCATGTGGGTGACAAATACCGCTCTGGTATATCCTATACCAGAGCCGAATGTTTCCGGGTGTTCTTCTTGGAGTTCATAGACAGCATCTGGAGAATCAGCATTTCGATAACACCACCCCTGACCAATGGTCTTGACTTACGGGTGGCTTCCATCATGCCAACTCCATTCAACAAAGACATGGCGATTCCAGCACCCATCACACTTGCTACATACATGAACAGGTCTCGGTTCTGAATACCCATCAACCATAGCATGATGGCCAGAGCAGCGAACCCAATGGATGTCGGGTGTCGGGTTCCTATTCGTTTCTTCAACCACGCGACCGGAACTCCGAGAACCACATTTGGGCCGTGAAGTGCCGCGAACAAAAGCCCAGTTGACAGGCTTCCGCAGTTCAATACGCGACGGACATGCAGCGGCAGCGTGGTGCTGGTGCTCGATGACACAACCGCGTTGCAAAGACTACTGACGGTACCTCCGATATATCGGCCATTCGTGAAAAGACAAATGTACAAGTCAATATCGCTCTTCCTTGGTAAAAGAAGTCCTTGCGACTTGGCAGAACCCTCTGTCAGGGGCGTTGTTAAAAGCGGGCTTTCTTCATCTGCAGCCTCGGCACATTCGTCCGTTGGCATCAGCTGACCATCTACATGAAGTGGCGTGTCTACCATCAGACATTGTACTCCAATGCCAAATAAACTGGCAATGAATGCGCAGCACCAAGCTCTCCAATACCCAGCCAGCTGAAGTAAAGTCCCCGCAATCAGAGGTCCACATGTTGTACCCACCGCAAGGGAAAGATTGACAATACCATATACCTTGTGTAGCTGGTCTGACGGTACCTTTCGCGAGAGGCTTGATATCCCAAGAATGCCGACACTCGTATTTGCGACGGCCTGCACAAACCGACCGGCGAAGAGGAGGGGTACTATCTCGTCTCAGCTCAGGTCACAGGGGCGGGGTTCAGTCATACATGAATCAGCATAGGCAATAATGACAGAACCTAGTAACTCGCTGACAAGGCCACCCAGGAGCCAATTATCATTTTGAAGACGGTGGGCATGGTGGTGGACAAATGGGCTGACTAGGAATGATACCAGCGCACCCTCAGCTAGCAGAGCAAGAGTGGCGTTCTGCTGAAGCTGCGGGTCGAGACGGACACGGTCTTCCAGCATAGAAGGAAGAATGGAAACCAGGAAATTATGTAAGAACATGTCTGCCTATGTTAGTCAAGGGCAAATAGGGTATTGTTGCGGTTTACCTGTTAGTATAGTTGTTGCTACTGCCACAAGGATGAACTTTTTTGAAGATCTCCATCCATGGCCCCATGATCGCTTTTTGATTGAGACACCCATTCTGCCAACTGTTCTGTCGGCTTGGGAGGATTATTGGGGAGAAGACGTGTCTCTTTAACCTTCTCTAGCCTAATTATTGGGACATCTGAACAATTGGTCATTACTGGATAGATTCTGCAGGGCCCGCAGATAATAAGCAATACGGGTCAATACAATTGCTCTACATGCGCGTTTTCGTTAGCGTAATTTGACATTCATCCCAAATCTCTCCTCCCTCTAGTAAACTCTATACAGACCTGGAGAGGTTTCACTAGTCCCGTTTTGTGAAAGTATGGACAGTCAAGAGTGTTCCGTACCTGAATTTGGGCCTAAACATATCGGGCTGTAATTGACTGTTACCGGGGATTGCAGTCATAAAGCCGACCTACGCAAGGGATATGTACCTTGCAGCTTTGGATCAGACAAGATCAAAGTCTGTGAGCAAAGTTGCATCTTATTTAAACTAATGAATGGAAGGACAGGGACCTTTGAGGTTGAAGTTGACATTTAAAAGATATAGAGTATAGGAGTAAAATCCAAGGTTTGGCCAACCGAGGTTGGTCCCTGCATTAGGTTCACGTGGCCAAATCTTTGTGCAAATGGACTCCGTGCTAGTAGAAGCTGGGGAATTTGGGAAAGTCATAACTACTAATTAACCGAGGAATTTCAACCGTCTCTCAATCTAGAAGATTCCGTATCTTAGACCGGCAAATTCCGATATTTGATCAAACACTGATAAGGAACGATGATGAAAGAGGTTAAGCCATTTGCAGCGGACCAGCCACGGAAATCCGACTGATAAACTATCAGGTACGGTCGAGTCGATGGAGCTTGACCGATCCCACACCAATCAGAGAATCCATCGTCATGGGCGACCGAATCTCTGTTTGGTTCCTTGTTGATCCTTTCCCTACAGAGATAGCGGAAGCTCCACTCGTGGAGATATCGTGAAAAACGCGAAAGATAAATCACTCGATTGACTTTTAGTACTTAAAAGATTGATCATCCACGTTCGTCGGTCAACCGAGGAAGACAAAATATACAAGATGCTGGCTCCTAGTCTGCTTGCGCCGCTGCTGCTCGCCAGCACCTTGTGTGCGGCTGCTCCAGCTGTCCACCATGACGAGAACACGCCCAAGGAGAACTTGAAGATCACACCGAAAGTGTTCATCGTTTCAATGGTAATTTGATCGCAATCAAGATCTGTGAGAACACAATTAATAAGCCCATAGTTCGAGCCTGAGGGTGCGGCCTGGTGGGATATTCCCGAATTCAACCTCTTGGCGCATAACATCACAGTCCCCGGTCTCTCGCCCCTCTATCCCGATGTTCATTGCACTGAAAACTACGAGGTCTGCCAATTGATCACCGGTGAATCCGAGATCAATGCCGCAACCACCATCACCTCTGTCGCATTTTCACCTCTGTTCGATCTCACCCGTCAGTAACAACCCTGGGACCACTAACAAACCCAATACTAACAGCTCCATAAAGACACCTACTTCTTCGTGGCTGGCATTGCTGGAGTCAATCCCCAGAAAGCAACCCTTGGATCAGCGACATTTGCACGATTCGCCGTCCAGGTTGCTTTGCAGTATGAGATCGACATCCGCGAGCTCCCCAGCACCTACAAGACTGGATACATCCCTCTGGGAGCTGATTACCCCGACCAGTACCCCACCAGCATCTACGGCACTGAGGTCTTCGAGCTCAACACCGAGCTTCGGAGCCTCGCTGTCAAGTTCGCCCGTCAGGCTAACTTGTCCGACTCGACTACCGCCCAGGCCTACCGTGCTCACTACGCGACCTCCAGCGGAGAATACAAGGCCGCAACTCTGGGCCCGTCTATCGTGGAGTGCGACGTCGCAACCTCGGATGTTTACTACAGTGGCAACATCCTAGGCGATGCATTTGCCAACTTTACCAAGCTGCTCACCAACGGTACCGGTGATTACTGCACCACTGCCCAGGAAGACAACGCCACCCTCGAGGCCCTCATGCGTGCGGCTGTCCACAAGCTCACAGACTTCTCTCGCATCATTGTCATGCGTACTGCCTCGGACTTTGACCGTCCCTACCCCGGTGAATCCACTGCCTACAATCTTCTTTACGCCGATGCCGGTGGTTTCGAGCCCTCCATCACCAACATCTACCGTGCCGGTATCCAGGTCGTTGAAGGCATCTTGAATGGCTGGGAAACCACCTTTGCACGTGGCGTGAAGCCTACCAACTACATTGGTGATATTTTCGGCACCCTGGGTGGCCAGCCTGATTTCGGCCCTGGACGTGCTGAGGCTCTGGAGAACAGTGGGGCTTTCAAGAAGCGCAGTCTCGATGGCCGTCTTCGTCGCAAGTAATTGTCTTGCAATGTATAAAAGTTGACGTGTTGAGGTTTTAAGCTTGTATATGCCATGTGTGTTATTAATGTGCATTGACAACTTTGTTGTACAAAAAAGTTGTTGATACACAGAAGATAAATATCAATTGATCGGTTCAAATTAAATATTCCAAAGACATCTTTTCCAAATGCATTTTTGAGCTTTTATGATCAGGATGTGGATCCAAGCATAATTAATCATTATGTTAACAGACAATCACATTTCATCATTAAATCCGCTAACTCCGGTGAGTCCCGGCCCCTCACCATAAAATCGCAGGAACAAGTATGAAACGATAGCAGCACCAACCTTTGTCAAGATTCATCAATTACCATGTCTGTGATCCAAGCGAAAAATACCGCCCTCATCACTGGAGCTGCCTCGGGGGTCGGTTTTGCTGTCGCAAAGCTGTGTCGCACCAAGGGAATGCATCTTGCTCTGGTGGATATTGACAAAGACAATCTCGAGAAGGCAAAGAATGTTCTCCATGAACTTGACTCGTCACTCAAAACTGAGGCCTACGCTTTTGATGTCGCCGACATTGGCGCTTGGAAGCAAACCGCCGCAGGAGTTGGCAAGGCCTTCCCCGATCTTGATCTCGTGGTGCTCAATGCGGGGAAAGGCTACAAGCCTCGGGAAGCTTCTCCGAGCGGCCTCAAACAGTGGCTGGATGGAGACTATTGGCGAAAGGTCGGTCGGCTTTATACATAGGTTATTCACACACTGATATCCCATTCTCCAGACCTTTGAGACCAATGTATCCGGCCCGCTAAACGGTGTGGAGGCTCTTCTTCCTCTTCTCCTCTCGAAATCCCAAACACCCAAGTCTATTGTCGTGACCGGTTCGAAACAAGGAATGACGAATCCGCCTGGTGGAAAAAACCCGGCCTACAATGCGTCCAAGGCTGCGATTAAGAGTCTAACCGAGCACCTCTCCCACGACTTGCGATCTGATCCGGCAACTGCTCATATCTCCGTCCACCTCCTGGTTCCTGGTTGGACATGGACTGGGATGATGGGGAACGTTGGAGTCACCAATGAAGAGGAAGTCAAAAAGATGCCTGGCGCCTGGTACCCGAGTCAAGTAGCGACCGAACTATTGAATGGATTGGAAAAGGGGTCTTTCTATATTATCTGTCCCGATGGTGAGACGGATCGTGCTCTGGACCAAGCTCGGATTAAATGGGGTGCTGAAGACGCTGTTGAGGGTAGACCGGCACTGTCCCGGTGGGAGGACAGCTGGAAGCATCGTGCTGATGAGGCGATCCAAAAAGAAGCAAACCAGAGACGCGAATAATCTAAATAGCTTTGACTCCACAGCTAAAATCTCAATGATCCAAGACTCATACATCAATCTATCCTTTCAATGGATGCTCGGTCGCTGCAAGTCGTTATCTCTTCCTATGGATGTGGGGATCTCTAAGTGCATGAGGTCAGAAATGCAACCCTATCATCTATCACGCATTTGGATTTCCAAATCTGGTACTTGATCCTCAATGCTTTTCTCCTTGACTTCGACTCGAAAATTTATTATTGAAAGAGGTGAATAATATAAGCCTTGGATATACATTTTCCATGATCCCTGTCTAATCCCTGCTTGGACGGAATGCCGATCTTTTCACGCCTCCAGCCTCAGTAAACGACCAATCGATATCTTCCCCGCGAATCAGACGCTTGGACCGACCGCTTGGACCTGGAGTCTAAGATGCAACCGTCCAAGCCACTCAAGTTGAGAGGGATCGGCTCCTCTTCCCGTGTGTTATCATGCAGAGAAACGTGGGGGTGACATCTCAATGCAACATTCTTCTTATCTAATGAGCAAGGGATGCCCTGCACTTCCAGGGATCCCAGAACTTCAAAGCTCTTCACTCCAGTCTATTCATATACTCGCCTAGATTATGGCGACACATTCCCAGCCGGTGGAGGATATCACCAAGACGGCGTCAATCAAAACCGTTGACGACCCCAATTTACAAGGATATGCATCTGCTTCTGGGATAGTTGATGAAGTCACCAGGGTCATTGACCACAAGGCCGAGCGGCGTTTATGCCGTCGGTTCGACTTTCGTTTGCTCCCTGTTCTAGCGGTCATGTGTAGGTCTCTATTGGATGAGCATTGGACCTTCATTAACAAGTGCTAGACCTCTTCAATGCCCTCGACAAAGGGAACCTGGGAAATGCAGAGACGGCTGGGATGGCAGATGGTAAGACTCAATCAAAATATCGCTTAATCATAACTGACCTCCTAGACCTTCACTTCAAACCGGGCCAGTACAATCTTCTCTTGTCAATCTTCTTTGTACCGTTTGTGATATTTGCACCGCCATTCTCAATGCTCGGCAAGAAGTTCAGTCCGGCTCGAGTGCTACCAATCTTGATGTTTTCCTTTGGATGTTTTACCATGCTATCCTCAGCCGCACACAATTTCGGTGGCCTATTCGCTTTGCGTTGGTTCTTGGGCATGTCCGAGGCAGCATTCTTCCCATTGGTTATCTACTACTTGACCACTTTCTATCGGCGTGGTGAGCTCGCTCGTCGCCTGGCTATCTTCTACGCTGCCTCCAACATCGCCAACGCCTTCTCCGGCTTGATTGCATTTGGAGTGTTTCAGATCAAAGGGTCGAGTATCCCAAATTGGCGCTATCTCTTTATCATCGAGGGTGCTGTCACCGTGGTTTTCGCCAGTTTCGCCTTCTTCTATCTACCCAAGAGTGCTGCCGAGGCCAAGTTTCTTTCTGAAGAGGAGAAAGCGTTGGCTTTCCATCGTATCCAGGTCGACTCGAGTGCTGTGGTCAACGAGAAATTCAACCTACGCGATGCTCTGGTGATTTTCAAGCATCCCACAACCTATGTCTTCCTGTGCATTGAAATCTGTCTGGGCGTGCCGCTGCAAGGTGTCGCCCTCTTCATGCCACAGATTGTCGCGCGCTTGGGCTACCCGACCGTCAAAACAAACCTCTATACAGTGGCTCCTAACGTGACCGGTGCGGTCATGCTGCTCGTCTTGGCCTTCCTCTCTGATTGGACTCGACTGCGATCGCCGTTCATCGTACTCGGTTTCTTATTCACTTTTACCGGATTCATGATCTATGCATCCATTGACGACGTCCATAGTCAGTTGCAATTGGCCTACTTTGCCACCTTTATGATGACCTGGGGTACATCAGCCCCGTCCGTTATGCTGAGTACATGGTATAACAACAACATCGCGCACGAAGGCCGCCGTGTGCTGTTAACGAGTATTGGTGTCCCACTGGCCAATCTGATGGGCCTGGTGAGCAGTAATGTCTTCCGAGAGCAAGATGCGCCCAAGTATATGCCCGCGCTGATTACGGTGTCGGCATTCGGAGCAACAGGTGCCTGTCTGGCAGGCTTGCTGGCCTTGTATATGTGGTTGGATAATAAGCGGCGCGACCGGCGCGATGGAGTGACTATTCGAGCGCGAGATATTCCCACGGAGCGAATGCGAGATGGTCCGTCATCACCTGAGTTCCGCTGGTTTTTGTAATGAGTCTGCAGGAGAATCAATATTTTCTGTATATGCAGCCCGGACTATCGGATCCTTGAACCCGATGGCCACGTAAGTACATATTGTACAGGGACGATCCCTCCATCATGCATGATATTTATTGGATGTCGCCGAATTAAACACCAAGATGTGAGAAAACTCGCCGTGGTGTGGATTGGCTACTTGAAACGTACGTGTGACCGCACAAGTAAAGAGGGGTCAAACAGACCTGCAGCTGCGGTGACTATTCACCCTTTAAAAAGTGGTTTTGCTTTCCAATCTTCTTCCTATTCCTCGTCAATTACATCACATACTTCACAATGTCCACTTCGGGTACTGGCCTTCGGCCTGTAACTACACACATCACCGGCCACAACGCAGAGGGCAAAGCTATCCTGCACTCTTCAACAGTGGTGCCGCCTTCCTACCACGGTCATGTCACTCCGGGTCAGTCACATCGGATGTCCTTTAGTGTGGGCTATACAACTTCTCAATTCCCGCCGGATCTGAACAATGATGCCGATCTGAAGGCACATGAGAAGCTCATGCAGTCTGGAAAGTTGGGTTTGGTCAATCCCGGTGGATCGGTGTTTCGCATTGTAGACTTTGCACCGAATAGCCCCGGTGCAGTTCATCGCACGCAAAGTCTGGATTACGGAATTGTTTTGGAAGGTCAGATTGAGATGATCCTGGAGGAGGGAGAGCCGGTTTTGTTGCAGCGAGGGGATCATGCCATTCAACGTGCCACTATGCATGGTTGGCGTAACCCTAGTCCGACCGAATGGACTCGGATGGCATTTGTCCTGCAGGACTGCATGCCCTTGACTGTCAGTGGGACTCGTCTGAAGGAAGATTTGGGTCCTATGGAAGGGGTCATTAACCCAAGTGGAAATGACCAGTGAAATGCAGGATCAGATATGAGTTTATTGCTAATCTACTCAATCTTAATTACTACTTTCCCAAAGTGACTGCCACTTTCCAAAAATTTGAACGCTTCCTTGGCCTCGGTGAATGAAAAGACCCGATGAACTTCCGGGTGAATCTGATTCCTCTCGTAGAATCGAAGCATCTCCTCAAACCGATCTTTGGGCCCGTTAATAATTCCTTTCAATGTCACTGTGCGTCTCAGGGCCAAGAGATTCACGTTCAGTCGATCATCAGCCTCGTCCACCTTGCCGGATACGTAGCCAATGCAGTTGATTAGGCCACCAAACGCAATACAGTCGAAGCTCTTCCTAAGAGTCTGGGCACCACCGGTCTCAAGAATAATATTAACGCCATTACCTCGTGTGAATTGCATCACCTCTTCTTCCCAGTTCGGGTTGGTGCGGTAGTTGATTGTAAAGTCGGCACCTAGCCGTTTGGCCATCTCCAACTTCTCATCGGATGAAGATGTGATGATGGCTAAAGAGTCAGTACTACTGTTCAAGAATTTTCCAGGGTCACTGACCTTTGGCCCCGGAAGCCTTGGCAATCTGCAGACCTGCAATAGCTACACCACCGGTACCTTGGAGTAAAATATAGTCGTTTTCCCCTCCACTCTGGCCTATTGGGCGCATTCCATTAATAGACATCCACGCAGTCACACCGGCGATAGGTAGTGTACATGCTTCCTCATCAGACATGTATTCAGGAGCTTGGACCAACCCGTGTGCGGGGAAGATGCGGTGAGTAGCAAGGACACCGTCCAAGGGAAGACCAAGACTTCCTGCAAGTTGCTTTTCCGTCACTTGGCCAGTTTGGTGTTCGGGCAAGAAGGTGGACAAAACACGGTTGCCTACGACCCATTGTGATACATCATGTCCGACAGTGACGATGGTGCCGCACATATCCGAACACGGCACGATGGTGGCGTCTTGTTCGGCGGTCTTGTGGTGCTTATATTCCCCCTTGACCACTCATCCATTAGTTAGTTGACTATACGTTAGATTTACGTAATTGAAGGGTTCTCACCTTCCACATCTCGGTAGTTAAGAGAGACTGCGTGAATCTTGACCAGTACCTCCCCCGGGCCGGGTGAAGGCATCGGATCCTCCATCTGGCGAAGACTGTCCAAGCCTTGGAGAGGACTGATCCATTTTTGAACGCTCATAGCTAATGCAATTGACGAGGATTCGGGCGGCTTAGGATACTGGGTAAAGATATTCATATACCCAATTTACACCGGTGTTCACCCCGCCCTGGCCCGAAAGCGGTCAGGGGGTTCGTGCACGAGTCAATCAGCTCTACCATGTATTCTGGATCTTGACAAGACACTCATCTGCACGTGGATACAGATGAGTCCGTGTATTGCTACAAATCCCAGAGCAGAGACGCGCATGGAATCAAGCGGAGCACCGGAGGTCTTAAATCCGCGTAAAATCCGATAAGATAAATGCGTCGTCATTGGCACTTTTCTCATTCATAACACATTGTATTACCAACCTTGCAAAATGGGGGACCTACCATCTCCCCGGGCTGATATTCCAGGTCTGCAATCCTATAAATCATACTTTGTCAATGTCATGCGTTAACTGGCAGCAGCGCATTTCTTACATGCACCAATTTCAAATGATTCCTTGCATCTCCCTCAGACTATCGCCCATCGAGGATATAAGGGCCATTACCCTGAAAATACCATTTGTGCGATCGATAAAGCAATCGAAGCAGGCACCCATGCACTAGAGCTTGATTTACACATCACCCGCGACGGGGTTGTTGTTTTGTCCCATGTACTCAAAGTAACCCTGCTTCGGTTAATGGATCATGCTCATTCTCGCAGGACTTAATGCTACGTCGTTGTTTCGGTATCAAGAAAAAGGTATCCGAATGTGACTGGAACTACTTGAAAACTTTGCGGACATTGGAAGCTCCGCATGAGCCAATGCCCAGGCTAGTTGATGTTCTGGAGTATTTGCGACAGCCAGGCCGTGAGCATATCTGGATGCTGTTGGACATAAAGGTGTGTTCGAGACCCAGCTCACTCGAGCAAGACATGGACTGACCTCGCTAGCTTCATAATGATCCCGCTACCATTATGCAGGGGATCGCCAAGGCTGTCGAATCGGTCCCCATCCCGGCGATAGGCCCAGACTGGCATCGACGTATTGTTCTGGGCTGCTGGTCAGCCAGATATCTACCGCCACGCGCAAAGTACCTACCTCGCTACGAAATGGCGTTGATCTGTGTCGATTTGAGCTACGCTCGCCAATTCCTAGATGTACCTCGAATCTCCTTCAACATCCATCAGAAGAGCTTGATGGGTCCATTGGGTCGTGGGTTTTTGGAGGAAGCTCGTGCGGCACGTCGCAAAGTATACTTGTGGACAGTGAACGCGCCAAATTTAATGCGATGGGGTATTCGACACCAAGTCGATGGAATCATCACTGACGACCCGGCGCGATTCCAAAGTGTCTGTGAGCAGTGGGAGCTGGATCGGAAAAAGGGGCCTCTGGCTTCCCTTGATCCCAAGGCAGATCGTTTGACCGTTGGACAGCGAGTCGAGATTATCTTAGTGGCGGTTTATGTCCTGACGGTTGGCTGGTTCCTTAAACGCAAGTATCTACCAACTGTGGAGCGTGTACAATTCGAGGAGCGGAAGATGACTTGACGGGAATAGAATTATGTATTAAGACATTTACTATATCATTTCGGGTCTTTGAATAAGGCATTATGTCCACCCAAACCTATGGAGCATAGAAAATAACACGCCACTAACCAAACACCAACCCGATGAGGCTAAATGACGAAATACCAAGACAACCACGGATAAGGTCCATGGTTCAAAATGAAGGACAAATAACGAGAGCCAGTATATAGCAACTGGTACAGTACAAGGCAGATTGACCGAACGCCGAGTCGGCAATGGCCGGAAGGAAAGTCAGACAGGGTATAGCGCAGTCTAAAACAAGCCAGATACAGGATGAAATGGCGTCAAACTTGGGGAATCGGAAAGCAGATAAGGAGCCTAGCTGAAGGCAAGATCTCCCAGTGGACGCCGCGCCGGGCAGGTCATAAAATGAGATAAGAATCTCGTTAAAACATCATGAGCTTGGTCGTTCGTCGCTCAGGGAATCGACCGGCACCCCCAGGAGGGTAGCGTGGACCGGGGCGAAGGCCCTGGTTTGGCGCAGGGTGACGTGGGTAACCGTTCGGGGGAGGATATCCCCCAGACTGAGCCAAGGGTGAGGACCCAATCGTAGGTCGTCGACGACCAGGTGATGGGGGGTAGTAGGTTGCTGCTGCCCGCCGGGCATCTCGTTCACAATAGACCCCTCCGTTCCACTCGAAGTAATCGCCTTTCAGGAGCACATGGCAGGTACGGCACTGCAGGCAGTCAGGGTGGAATCGGCGGCGATCGGGTCGGTTCTGGTTCTGCTCCACGGTTTCCAGGTATTGACCTTCGATTCCGCAGTGGCAGGTAGAGCAAAGAGATCCGTTGCGCTCGTGGTAGTGCTGTGCGCAGTACGGGCGATTGTTCAGAACATAGAAATCAGCTGTTGGGAAAGGCGAGGAGCACTCGAAGCAGACAAAACAGCTGCGGTGATATCGCCCTGTTAACCGACCATCTGAGGAAGAGATCGACTTTCCTGTGATTTCCTCGCCACAACCTCTGCATTGCCCTTTGCTCCGTGTGGTAGACCGGGTTGAGGGTCGGGGAATAGGTGCAGTTGCCGACCGCTGCACTGGCCGCGGCGAAGGAGGCGCCTGAGGTTGGGATTTTTTAGGCTCTTCAAGTTCGCTAGGTGCTTGAGGTTGGGGTGTTGGCAACTGGATCTCCCGTCTCTCTGCGATTAGCGACAAACTGCCTTGATTGATTGCAGGATCGGTGGGTGAATCGGGACTGAAGAAGGCCGCGGGGATGGTAGGTACATCCTCCATCGGGCTACGTACACGACCCGGGAGTTCCAAGATTGTCTGGCGGGTTCTTGCAGGCAACTCTTCGACCAAGGTACCAAGGCTGAGGGGATCGGTAGCCTTCTGGCGGCTGAGACTTGCGTCGGACGGAAGACTGGACATGGAGCTTCCACTGCGGGTGTCCGACGGCGACGAGTCGGAAGAAAGAGAACTCTCTGCTTCGGTGATGTGATCATCTAGCCCTAGGGCCCGTGCGAAGCTTGTGATAGACATAGCGCTTTCACTGGCATCAGAACTTTTTCTCGGAGCATCAAATCCCGAGTCGGCAACGGCAGGGTGTAGATGAGTTTGCAGAGGTATGTCAAAATGAAGCTCATCGCTGTCCTTGGGAAAATCCGGAGACAGTTTCTCGGGCAGATCGTGCAAGGTCGTCGGCTCTACCGAGAGATCGAAGTCAAAGCCGCTGTAAGTATCCCCAGTACGGTCATTCCGATTTGGCGCACGCGCCGACAAGTGGGAGTCTTGGAAAGAGGCCTTGTTAGGGGTGCGAAGAGGTGCAGGTGGCAGCGGCGGCGTCTCGTCGATAAAAGTGCGTAGTCCCCTGGAGAAGCTGTTTGTTGAGGATCTTGCCGTCGAGCTGCCATAACGAGTGCTCGCCATGGAGGTGCGATAGCTGCTATGGCTAGCTTGAGAATCCCCCCGCTGGTGACCCATCTCCATCCCAGGTGCTGGTGGGAGGGGACTAGGTGGAAGTTTTACATTTTCAGGTACCAAATCCAGCCCGGGTACTGGTCGTGGGGATGGGGTTGTCGCGGATCGCGATGACGCTTCTCCTAGCAATGCCGGGGTCGAAATACGAGCCGGTGATCGGTTTCCCGGCATAGGGAAGGAAAACACCGAGTCTAGGTTTATTACGGAGTCATCATCCGGTGATATCTGCTCGCGGGGCGATGATTGAAAAGGAGAGCGAGGCGCCGATTCAGAAAGAGGTGATGGCGCATGCGATCCAATACTGCTCGCCGGCGTTGTTACGTTCGGCTGAAGGTACGCACGGTCTGGTGTGGTTGTTAGCAACTTGTCATGGAAAATACCTCAAGAGTAAACATACTTGCGATGGACGGGTCAATTCGTGAAGGAGCCCCAGACCGACCGGGTTTGGGTATCGCGGCCATCAGTCGGTCTGGGGATTCGAACCCCGCCGAGGGGGGCGGTGATGGAAGTGCAACAGGGGCTAAGCTGGTGTCAGCGTGTTCTATAAGAATGGTTTAGACGTTTAGATATGGACTTCTTACCATGAAAGACCGGGGCACACACATGGTCGCCCATAGAGAAGATCTCAACATTGTTCCCACAACTGGAGCATTTAATAGTGGGCAAGAAGCCCATATCCATATCCATAGCCTTCTATTTCAGACCACTGGGGTCATGAGAATTCCAGTGGGCCAACCAGCCTCTTCATCCCTCGGGAACTATTAAGGATAGATTCGGGAATTGGTGAAGTGTAATAAAGGCTTGAAGTTGTTAACTTTGGGGTTGGACAAAGTGGAGAATCACTTTGGACTGGGAAATTGGTCGATCGCCTATCGTACACTGATTGCGCGCCCCATGCACGCTAGTCAAGTAGTGGCTCCAGTGCGGATGAAAAGACTCGTAAGTCAAGTTCAGGGGTAAAAGTCAGTCAAACAGCATCGTATAGATTTAGAGCTGTAACTGTAATTGAATGATTCATGCTTTTATCAATTCAGGGGTAAAATGTGTACAGGGTTTCCACATGTGTAAAAAGATCGAGACTAAAAAAGAAATGACGATGTTACCGACTAAATTAGAATGTCCTCCGATCGGCTTGCATTCCCCTCTCAGCCTGTTCTTTTGACCCGACACGGTACACATTCTGGGGGCCAAGGATGATTCTTACCGCAATAGGGCCATTCATCTCATGCCCCATAGCGAAGTTGACACTCCAGGAAACGGGTTAGCCAGCTGTGCCGATCAAAGGGTTTCGTCAAAACTTGAATTCCAGCAAATGGTTCTGTTCCTGTTGATCTCTGCGCCCATTAGCGTTTGCCTCTCTCGGGACATGAAAGATGTACTGCCCTTACCCACCCACCAACCAGCGCAGGAGGGACAGAAGAATCAGATAGCGCCACACCACACACGGTCCACACCCCCTTACGGATTAGGTACTAGGTCACCCAGTCATTAAGGTTCCCCTTATATCCTAACCACCCACATCAGCTTGCACAAATCGCCTTGGCAAGGGTTCAACGGTCGGGATGCCAGGACAGAAATTAAAATCCGAGCGAGTTCGTTATGTTGGTTTCCAATCGCTACGGATACGTCAGAACTTTGTGGACCAAGAGGTCATTGCGTCGGGAAACCTACGGCGCCAAGGGGGTACTAAAACGGATGTTGGGAAACCTGACACCAACTACAACCTCGTTCCCTACAAAGCAGGGATCGAAGGATTCGGGTCGACTGTTGTTCCATTCATTATTCTGCTTGCGCAGACTGGCATGCACAGTCGCTGAACGTGAATTTGTGCTCAAGGGGAAGAGGAGCACGTCTGCGCATTGGGCGATCGCTTGGTTGGCCCAGGCGCAGACTCCAGCACCCGCCACAATGCAGTAAACAGAGAGTGAAGAGAGCTGAAGTCGATATCCGGGGCCTGTTGCAGGCCCAGCGCATTACAGATTTCTTGGCGAAGGCTACTTCAATAAATCGCTTTTCGTAAGCTTGGGGTAGTCGTTGTGGATGAGAGAGGACCCTGACTGACAGCATTGGTTCCAAAGCAATGGCCTCGAGGATCAGACCCGGTCAGTGGGACTATGGAGTACGATCGTCGTTAACGGTCGCTAACGGGGTGGTGATAGCGTCGCGGTGGGGGCTCCACTCACCATCGAATTCTTCTAGCAATTAGAGAATCACGGTCGTAGCCAGCAGATCATCGTCCATTGTGACCCCATGATGATTTAATGCTGGGATAAAAGTTTCAAGGCACGCTTGGTAGTAGCGATCGGATAAAAATGTATCGAAAGCTGTAGTGCAACTGAAATGACGGGCGGACAATGTCACTCAGGTCAGAGATGTCGGGTATGACGGGTGAGGACGATCACGCACCGTGTAAAAAGCATCCAATGATGGAATGTTCCATGAAATGCCGCCATCCTGATATAGGCTCTTGTCAGACTTATAGAGACCAGGACTGTCAAATAGCGTTAGACAGGACTGATAGAGCGACGTAGCTCCGGATAGTGGTAGACTCTACGACAGTGAACGCCACAGGGTATCAAGATCTATTTCCACGAAGGCGTAACATTTCCACATAAAGTTAATCCCGTTTGAACCGGCTTCTCAGCTGGAAGGATCAGGACGCCGATTTTCAACCTATTGAGTATCTCATCGCTGGGTTGCGGGAGGTTGGGTCTTAGCGCGGAAAAAGGGGGCCTCAGCTCTGAGTTTTGATCGAGAATCATGTGGCAGAGGTTGACGTTGAGTTTCTTGAGTTGTGCCGCGTCAAGTTTGTGTACATACAAGGGTCTCGATGGCTTTCTCAAGCTTTATCAGGTACAAATATAGATCTAATATCACATTCCGTTAATCAATTGCTAAGGCGGAACTAGCTTAGTTAACACCATATATATTATTTTTCTGTGCAGGATCATTACTTATTTAATACAGGCATACTGGCAGTTAGGAAAATTACCTGGTAATAAAAAAACCTTCCAACATTTGAATTCGCCTTCACATGTGAGAAGCCAACTTTAGAATAAATTTGGTTGCCTGCGCCATTATATATTCCTCACCACTAGCTGAATACATATCTCCGTGTTCAAAGTTTGAATTTTCTTTTCGTAACAGAATGAAAGCTCAATAAGGTCGATGTCATACACAGAGTTACCATGTGCGGTGGCTAAGGTGCCTCTTGGCAATCACCACTTATGTACATTTGAGATCATGAATAATTCTTCGAGGGTTATACCTATACATACATGATGTAGCTCGGTAGATTCACAAACACTAGGAATTTCTTTCTACTTAGATAGCTTCCAAGGCTTCTCTCTCCACATACCACTCCCAACCTCAAATGCTTCCTTAGGAGGCCCCATTGTATACGCATGTGCACACACTCCCTTTCTCCGCCTCCGATCGAAGTCTCCTTACAGTAGCCGCGAGGCCCGGCCAAGTCACTCGTAAACCTGACAAGCGGCGGTGTGGGTATCATCATGTTTGTCTTCTCCTGGGTCTCAATCTTTGGCTTTGATTAATTGGGCCGGAAGATATGGCTGTAGATTGGAACCGTTGGAAACTCCTAGTAAAGCTTGTAAGGAGCTAAAGTGAGATTTTCTATCTGAAAAAGGACCCCAGGTTTCTTCGGTAAAGCGCTAAAGTGTTAGTATAGATTAGCGCTGTCGGGTAGTCTGAAACTCACCTCCACAGGTTCCACTTCGTAAACATTTGAAGACCTCTGCCCCCCATGTGTATTATTCTTTTTTCCCCTTTCCTAATCTATTCTAACTTCTGACCTCCTATCTGCGCAACCTGTCGTCCCAAAATGGCATATGGCCGATTTCGTGAGTTGCATATCGAATTCTGGATGAGGAAGGTCACCCTGAAGAGGGTCACCAGCCCGCCTTCCATGACCAAGATGGAGCTCCGTTGTTTGAGGATCGCGAATCCGGCCTTTTGGCTACGATGCTCGTACAGAACGATGTTGCGTCCCTCCATCTGTACAACGACAATCCCCATACAACGATCTTCCAGGATCTATGCAGTGATGCTTGCTGGCGGTGGGACTATCATCCGTTCATCACTGCCGCCGCACTCAATGGTTTCGACGCGCTTCACGCCTTGCTTGATATATATGTGGGGGATCCGACGCTTCCCGAGCCCCTCGAGCAGTATCTAGCCCAAATTCACATATCTCTTATGAATATGGCTTGTCGACATGCAAATCGTGGTACATGATCCACCGCTGGGGAATTTGCACGATCGGGATGAATCTGGCGAAACACCCTTTTTAAGTGCGGCTAAATCGATGGGAATTGGAAATGAGGGCTGGATCGGACCAATCGCTATTAGGCGTAATAACTGCAAGAAACTTGCACAGATAGAGGAGTTCCTTTACTTGCTTCTGAATCAAGGTTGTTCGGTTCAAGATTCAAATCTCTACGTTGAAATAGACAGACCTGAGGAGTTCGACCAATTGCTATATGATACAGTTCTCGCTGCCGCCATTCCCCACGCAAGCTACCAGATGGTACCGCGTCTCATTGCCGAAGGTGCTGATATCTATGCTCGGCCAGAAGGGTGGCATGGTCGTATGCCTATCTGTAAAGGTGGGCGAGTGACCGCTATGCATATCGCAAGTATCTATTGGAATCTCGAGGGGATGCAAGCGCTCATAGATCATCCCGGCGAGCCTGGCGCAGCAAAGATGGTCGCCATCGTCGATGATGCCGGTCAAACTCCACTCCACTGGGCGCTACGTGGCGAACGGGTTGATCGAAGTATGGATGACAAGAATGACCAAGACGAGATCATAGCTCATATAATCCGTGCTACAGATTTATTGATCAACGCCAATCCAGATACGGTCAACATGCGAGATAATACTGGGTCAACGGTATTCAATTACGCACTAATGTCCTATGTAGCTTCAGAGAGTATCATATCGGTGATCAAATTACTTTTGAGTGCCAGGCCGCTTCCCTATATCATCAATGCCCGCGACAATATGGGCGACACGGCGTAAAAGAAGGCAATAAATAATTACGCGGAAGGAGGCGGTACTGCTGATAAACGGCTTATGAAATTACTTGAAGTCTCACTCAAGAATGGAGCGGATGGAAGCGGATGCAACAATAAAGGGCACAATTTGGTGCATACCCTAGCATTGAAATTCGCCGACGCTGATCCAGTGGAACTAAAGATCTTGGAAAGATTGCTCGAATTTATCAACGTCAAAGACACCGATTCTTACGCTCGGACACTACTCCATTATGTGGCTCGGTTTTGGAATCGAATCAATTTCATTCGCCGCCTCCTCAGTCAGGGTGCGAATGTCAACGCGCTCGACAAGAAGGAAAAAACACCCCTCCATGAGGTGATGAGAGGGGGGAAAAAGGTAAATGGAGCGGACAAGATACAGAGTTTGACGCCATGACAAGTGATCTTCCAGCCAGAGCACGAGATGAGGTGATTGAAGTTTTGATGGGCGCTGGAGCCGCGATGGGTCATCGCAATGCAGCTGGGAAGACACCGCTACAGATACTCGATGAGCGCACGAAAAAGATGGAGGAGAGATGGCCGCAAGAGCTAGCCCACCGTGCTAACTATGTGTGACTTCTTTTCTTGACGTTTTCGCTGCTCGTTTTGCTACACCATCGATGTAAATAGAAGAAAGCCCAAAAAGGGAAAAAGTGCTCATACCATCAGTCTTCTCGACTTGTTCGTCTGTCAGAAATGAAATTCTCAAGTACTTCAATCTTCACCATTCTTTACCTGGATAAATCGTAGTGATCACGGTGGGGGCCTCTGTGTTGTGGTGATCGAGGTCGTCCAGTTGTGTAATTAGGGAAAGTTGATGGCTTCAACTGCGGGCAAAGTGCAAGGCGGGAGAATATGATTGGGATTACTGTGCTGCAGTGGCACGCTGAAAATTACCCGGACGACAATGCAAATACACGAACATCATGTTCCCAAACCTGTTCTATGTATTTATCAACATTAGCTGCGGGGTTGAATCATGGTCCTATGCGGCTGAAATCTGTCCTGGATTTTTGCGGGCAACACTCACCACGGCGTGGCTTTGAGCGGCTTGTTATATTGTTGTACAGGAAAGTCTGGATATATATGATACCAATGGCGGGGATTATACATCATATTCTCAGGTATCTGTGTCATTGCTTTCTTGTTCGTCCGATACTATCTAGGTGAATGTTTCCATGGTCAGAAATAAGCATGAGCTGATATTTCGTTCACACGGTGAAAATTCGCGGACGAACACTTGAAGAGATGTCCCAACTGTTCGGCATCGAAAGTCGATTGGTAGAGCCTAATGCTGTCAATAAAATGACAGCGGAAGAACATGGGAAGCATATGGGTCCGTCCTCTCGAGAATAATACCTAGGCAAGATATTCCGCTGTGGGCGAACGATATCCATAGTAATTGAAGGATCGGCATATGGTGGATGATGGAAGCCAGTGGCTTCAACAACTATTCGGCCATATATTCCAGTTGATTGTTGGATGACCATTACATAAACGCAAAGTACTGACAGAAACCCTAGGGAGATTACAATGGAAATTGGAAATTGCTTATCTTGATATGAATACCTTGATATGCGCTTGGACGAACCTCCATGCGTGCCAGATGCTAGTAGAGCATAGATCATTGAACTGATTAACGAACAAGAATCCTAGGATAAACTACTCGGCACTCTCTACTCCGTACTCCGTCTCCGTACTCCGTCAAAGTGCGGTGTGGAGAGTGGGGCAGACCGCTTTTCCTTTTTTGCCCCAATTTATCGGTAACTGGGAGGCACGGATCACCTGTTGGTGCGAGATTGAGGGGTATTTCTATTGTATCTGCAAATCCATATGAAAACCATGGAAATATGACAGGAATATGATAGGAATGTCATAGGATAAGCTATGATTCTATACATTTAGAATTGGACAAGCCTGGCACCAATCCGAATACAGTTTCATCCTCGGGTATTTGTCTTGGATTGGCTCTATGGAGTAGCTTTTATCGGACATTCGCGGATCCCACTTTATCCCACTTTTTCTTTTGTGTGGACTGTTACTCCGTAGGCGGGACAGCTTTCACTAGTGCCCAACAACTCAACCTTGGACCTTGGTCTCAAGATAGTCTAGCTTAGAAACTGGCGAAAGTAAGATCACGCAATAAAGTGAAAAGCTCGAATCCACTAAAAAGAAAGGGGGAAAAATACTGTAAATGTTTGGAAATCAGGAGAACCCCGGGGCTAATGAGAACCCCGGAGCCCGGCGGGGCTCACGTGCGGAACCATAACTATTTAATTCCAAGAACACTTTCCCTTCTTCCTTCCCCCTAACAATCCATTTACCTCTTTCCCCCCCCCAATTTACCTTTACGGTTCGTATACAGCCTTATCAATAGGTTCGATCACATCTCCTCGAGACGTGATCACATACTACCGGCACCATTTTCTCCACACACCTCAACTCGTGAGTCTACCCTCAGGAAACCATGGAGCTTGTCCATGCCTCCAATTGCAAAATTGCAGCTCCGGAACAATTGATTAACATTCTTCCCTACAGGCGCCACCACCCGTTCAACGGCCGACGCACCTCCAGCCGCGGAGGAGCACCGGATCAGCCACTTTACACTCAGTAAAGCTTCTGAGCTTCACAGTCTCTCTACATTTTCACACCTTTCAATTCCGCTGTGAACACAATGGCTCCTCACGCTAATTCCGATGGTGCCAATGGCTCCGTGAACGGGTCGGCTCGTCAAGACTCACCTCTGTTTACTGTGCAATCGCCCAATGTCCAGTACACGGACGATGAGATCAACAGTCAGTACGCCTACCAGACCACCGAGGTCACCCGTACTGCCGACAACAAGCTGGTGGCCACTCCCAAGGCCATCAACTACCACTTCAAGGTGGACCGTAAGGTCGGCAAGGTCGGTATGATGCTGGTCGGTTGGGGTGGAAACAACGGTTCCACCGTCACTGCTGGTATTATTGCCAACCGCCGCAAGCTTTCGTGGGAGACTCGCGAAGGTCAGCAGTCCGCCAACTACTATGGCTCCATTGTCATGAGCTCGACCGTCAAGCTGGGCTCTGACGCCAAGACCGGCGAGGAGATCAACATCCCTTTCCGGGATTTGCTTCCCATGGTCCACCCCGACGATCTGGTGGTTGGTGGTTGGGATATCTCCAGCCTGAACCTCGCTGCGTCCATGGACCGTGCCCAGGTCCTTGAGCCTAGCCTTAAGTCTCTGGTCCGCAAGGAGATGGCGGAGATGACCCCCTTGCCCAGTATCTACTACCCGGATTTCATTGCCGCCAACCAGGAGGACCGTGCAGACAACATCCTCGAGGGTGACAAGGCTTGCTGGGCTCACGTTGAGAAGATCCAGAAGGACATTCGGTAAGTCTAGAATTTACATGGCTTCTAGACCACATTTGCTGACCCCCGCAGTGACTTCAAGGCTCAGAATGGCCTGGACAAGGTTATTATTATGTGGACCGCCAACACTGAGCGCTACGCTGATATCATTCCTGGCGTCAACGACACTGCCGAGAACCTGATCGCCGCCATCAAGGCCGGCCATGCAGAGGTTTCCCCGTCCACTGTCTTTGCCGTGGCTGCCACCCTGGAGAACAACACCCCGTTCATCAACGGCTCGCCCCAGAACACCTTTGTCCCCGGTGCCCTCCAGCTCGCGGAGCAGCGCGGTGCCTTCATTGGTGGTGACGACTTCAAGTCTGGCCAGACCAAGATGAAGTCCGCCTTGGTCGACTTCTTGATCAACGCCGGTATCAAGCTCACCTCCATTGCCAGCTACAACCACCTGGGTAACAACGATGGCAAGAACCTGAGCTCGCAGAAGCAGTTCCGATCCAAGGAGATCTCCAAGTCCAACGTCGTCGATGACATGGTCGCTGCTAACCACATCCTCTACGAGAAGGATGAACACCCCGATCACACCGTCGTCATCAAATACATGCCTGCTGTCGGTGACAACAAGCGTGCTCTCGATGAGTACTACGCCGAGATCTTCATGGGTGGTCACCAGACCATCAGCTTGTTCAACATCTGTGAGGACTCGCTGCTGGCTTCGCCTCTGATTCTCGACTTGGTTATCCTGGCAGAGATGATGACTCGTGTCAGCTGGAAGACCGAGGCCGAGGGTTCCGAGTTCAAGGGCTTCCACAGTGTGCTTAGCATTCTCAGCTACATGCTCAAGGCTCCCCTGACTCCCCCTGGTACTCCCGTGGTCAACGCCCTTGGCAAGCAGCGCTCGGCTCTGATTAACATCTTCCGTGCCTGCGTTGGTCTCCAGCCCGAGTCCGAGATGACCCTTGAACACAAGCTGTTCTAAATAGATCTTTGACCTGCCTCGGAAATTCTTGAACTATCCGTTAGTTATCCAACTTTAGTCACTCCTTGATCAATACAAGAACAACATAATTATCGCTCCAGTCCATTGTAATACTAAGTTTTTGCATTTTATTCTCCATATCTTCCATACTTTATTCATAACTACTGATCTATTCCTTATCCGCACCAAGCTCGGAGTACGCGTTCAAAGCCAACTGCCCACCCAAGTGGGCATACAACACATTGCTCCCCTGGATCTCCCCACGTTTGATCATATCCAACATACCCGCAAAGCTCTTGCCCTCATACACTGGGTCAGTAATGAACGCTTCCATCCGGGCGGCATACTCAATCGCATCCCATGTCTGACGATCAGGTATTCCATAGATCCCAGCATGATAGCGGTCATCTAGAATGACGTCCGCATCCGTGATATCATCCTCGGCCAGACCTATCTTACTGGCCGTGTTCCGAGCGATGCGGAGGACCTGTTCCCGCGTAGCATCGACAGTCGCCGAGGCGTCAATCCCAATAATCTTGCGCTTGGGGTCTTCTGGGTGCAGCCGCTCAAGCAGCTTGAAGCCCGCAATCATACCCGCAAGGGTAGAGCCTGTCACGGCACAGACAATCACCGTATCAAAAAAGATCCCCTGTTCCTGTTCCTGCTGTCGAACCTCTAGTGCCCACCGCGCGAATCCCAGTCCACCAAGCGGGTGATCCGACGCTCCAGCCGGGATATAGTAAGGTTTCTCCCCCTTCGCCTTGCACTCTTCAACAACCGCGTTTGCGGTCGTTTTATGTTCAATACCAAAGCCCGAGGGATCCAACCGCACATCCGCCCCCATCAATCGAGATAGCTGGATGTTGCCAACAGAGTCATATCCCTTATCCACCCAGTCGACCCAGTGTTCCTGAACCAGACGGGCTTTCATACCCGCCCTTGCTGCGACAGCTGCGACCTGGCGAGTATGGTTGCTCTGGACACCGCCGATAGAGACTAGGGTGTCACATCCTAGAGCTTGCGCGTCCGCTAGAAGGTACTCCAACTTGCGGGTCTTGTTGCCTCCATAAGCGTATGCAGAGTTCAGGTCGTCGCGCTTGGCATAGATGGTCACTGGGGGGTAAGAGCTGGTACGGGCGAGATCGGCACTGATGCGGGGTAGACCGTGGATCGGTGAGGGGCCAAGGAGGAGGGGAGTCCGTGCAATAGAGGCAAAGGGCTCGGGGAGGGAAAGGGGGTCTTTGGTCATAATTGTAGATTGGAGGCTTGCTGATAGGGTATGCACGTTCCAGAGTCTACTTGAGATGCAACAAGCACGTCTTATAATGGAGGGGCTTGTGAGTATGAGGATAGAAACAGTGTTCAGCAAGTCAAAATTCAAATGCAGAGGAAAGGCTGTTTATAAGGCCATACTCTTACGCTCTCCTCTTAGTCCCGGAGATCTTCCGTTGTTCAATGGCATCATGCAGATCTGTGCCGGCAAGATCACCATTTTAGGGACACTTATCAAGGACCGCGATGTTCTCTCCCGGTGTGATACCGACATGGGGCAGCTTATCGAGTTGCAGTGGGGAAACGGTGGAGAACGCGGACTCTGTCCGCCCATAGTCCACTGCCTGAGATATGATATCTGTTCAAGATTATCAAGGTGGATCAAGGAGATGGTATCATTTGTATCCTCTACAATTCCGATTATAAGCGATCCTAGCCAGGAGACCGAAACGTGTAGTGAAACCTGATATTCGGAGTATCTAACACCCACAAGGTTCTGCGGGGTGAGGACCTTGGATGTTGGTCTCAGCCCTACAAAGCTCACTAAACTCCCTAGAAATGATGAAATGAGAGGAAGCGTTTCTACCTATCAGGAACGAAGTTGGCAGCAAATTAAATTATTTTTCACATCAGGTGTTTTGGGGATCGTCAATCGATATTTGACATGTTTCATATCTATTTCATATCCACGACACAACGAACACAGTCACCCTGCTTCATCTGCTCGAACGCAGTGTTGATGTTGGCCAGAGGCTCGCGGTGGGTGATGAACTCGTCAACCTTCAGCTTGCCGTTCAGGTAATCGTCGACCAGACCGGGAAGTTGAGTGCGACCCTTGATACCACCGAATGCACATCCCTTCCACACACGACCAGTGACCAATTGGAATGCTGGAAAGAGGAGATGTTAGCGTCCAAGCACTACGGAGGTGGAATTATTGTAATGACTTACGACGAGTGGAAATTTCCTGGCCAGCGGCGGCAACACCGATGATAATGCTCTCACCCCAACCCTTGTGGCAAGCCTCGAGGGCGGCGCGCATGACACCAACGTTGCCGGTGCAGTCGAAGGTGTAGTCACAGCCACCATCAGTCATCTCAATCAGGTGCTCCTGGATAGTCTTGCCGGAAAGCTTGGTGGGGTTGACGAAGTGGGTGGCGCCGAACTTGCGGGCCCAGGCCTCCTTGCCGTCGTTGACATCAACAGCAATGATCATGCCGGCCTTGTTCTTGACAGCACCCTGCATGACGGAGAGACCGACACAGCCAGCACCGAAGACAGCCACGTTAGAGCCCTCCTCGAGCTTGGCGGTCTCAACGGCAGCACCGTAACCGGTAGTGATACCACAGCCAAGCAGACAAGAGCGGTCGGTGGAGATCTTGGGAGTGACTGCAACAACGGAGATATCGGCAACGACAGTGTACTGGGAGAAGGTGGAGGTACCCATGAAGTGCAGCAAGTCCTTGCCGCGAGCCTTGAAACGCGAAGTCCCGTCGGGCATGACACCCTTACCCTGAGTGGCACGGATCTTACCGCACAGGTTGGTCTTGCCAGACTTGCAGAACTTGCACTCACGGCATTCCGGGGTGCTAGGCGGGTCAGCTACCAGGGTCCGCTAATTGAGAAAGTGAAGAACTTACTAGAGAGCAATGACATAGTCGCCAACCTTGACGGAAGTCACACCCTCACCAACGGACTCGACAACACCGGCACCCTCGTGGCCCAGGACGACGGGGAAAGCACCCTCGGGATCCTTGCCAGAGAGAGTGTAGGCATCTTATTGGTGTCAATCCTGGTCACCTTTGCTAGCATGGCGTACAGCGGGGCTTACCTGTGTGGCAGACACCAGTGTGGTGAATCTGAATGCGGACCTCGCCGGCGCGGGGAGGAAGGACCTCGATGTCCTCAATGGACAGGGGCTCGCCAGCAGCCCAGGCAACGGCAGCCTGTCAAATAAAATCAGTATTCTTCTTTCTTTTTGCTTCGATCTCTTTGTTGCGTGGTCTTTGATTTTGACGTGGGGTTGACGTCATTGTTGGCGGGGTTGCAATGAAGCTCTTACCTTGCAGGTGATGGTCTGCCACATTTTGAATTAGCTTCATGATCGCAAGAACTTGGATATTAGCCAGAAGAGAAGCTTACCTGTCCTACTGTGCTAGCCATGGTATATGATATCAAGTATTTGAATCCCACGGAACTTGATTGGTGTTAGTGGATTGATTGGTAAGGGGGAGGTCAACACGCACAAGTATGGTGAGGAAGAGAAGGGAAAAGATGAGTTTTTGAAGGGAAAGTTCGCGAGGGGTGGAGCCGACAGTGTGAGGGGAGTGGGGGTAAGAAGAATCTGGATGAGGAGGATGAGGGGCTTCTATCTCCAACGGGTGTTCGGACCCGATGTTCCCGAGGAAAAGCTGTCTTCTAATTTAGGTAAGCTACGATCTCCCAAGAAGACCGGGAGAACCGGGTCAAACCCCCGATACAGGCTGAAACTATTTTCAGATGTGCGATGTATGATGCAAGAGAGTACCCCGTAGAGATTACATATTAGATAAGTATTTGACACAGGAATCATAAGAGCTTATCTATGCCCAGAATCGGACACCAAAAGGGGTAAAGTTTTCCAGCAATTGATACATGTACAAGAACCCCCGGGTGCCTCCAATCAGAACCTTGAACCTAGGGAATTAGATGATCATGCAAGTAGGTGAAACGTGAATTCAGTATGGGAATTGCTCAGTAGTATCCAATCTTCAGTCACATCAACTGCGGCGACGCCACATTTTTATATTTTGGGGAATCAGGGATGAGGAAATTCGATGTCGTTCCCGGTCCATCCCGTCCCGGAATTCACTATGGTACATGAAGAGAGCCATAACTGGCTGGATGTCATTGGTATGAGACTATCCATCCAACCTGGCTTCTATCAGAAAAGGGGAGGTCTTCTGGAGCCTTTGCATGGGCGGCTCCCGGCCCTGCCTATGTGAGGGATATCTCATCCACAAGCCTGACCAGTCTCAATCGACGCGTTGATTTACTGGGGACCCATCTGGCCACTCTGCATCATAGCGGCATTTTGCTCCTGGAAGCGCTCCTGCAAGCGGGCCGAGCTCTTCAGGTGCTTGTCGACACAGCGCATGACACACTGCTCCTCACGGTTGATGAGAGACTTGGTGGTGAAGTCGTTGACACAGTCATCGAAGCAGCGCTGGACCATCTTGGAGTACATCTGAGAAGCGAGGAAATCCAAGTCAGTCAGGAACGATTGTACAAACTGGCAAAGGGTAGGACAATTTCTCAGGTGGATTGAAGGATTGGTGGCTCTTCCATCGGTGGCATCGATTGAGTGATGATGACTCCTGAGGATTGGTACGTACAGTCATAAACTCCTTCAGCTGCTTGCGCTCCATGCGGTTCTGGAACTCGCGCTGCTCCTGTGCGTTGAGGCTAAAGAGATCCGATCAGCTTCAAATCCTCCATGAATGTAACCATTTCCTAACGTGGTGAAAGAAGAAAGAGGTGACGGATAACATACCCTTCCATTATGTAGTGATGTGAAATGTAAAGGAGAAATTTGGATGTAAAGGTATGGAATTGAAGATAGGAAGTTGATGATTGTGATAGTGCCGGACACGCCTGCAAGCTCCGAAGCTGTTTCTTTCGGACCGCAAATATGTTGATCCGACCCGTCATCTACATCTGCACGTGACAGAGATCCTATAGTCACATGACCGGGATGCATCCATAAAGGTACATGGGCCAGAACTGGCCGGCCTAGTCACATGACGTGTTTCACCGTTTGCGTCAAATGATCTGATTCCCACTGATGTTATGAGTTTTATAGTATAAATGGAAGGTGACATTTGATTAACAAAATATTCTGGTATAAAATTGGGCTAATAATACATGATATTGCTAATCGTCACTCCGTACTCCGTAACATCCATAATCCTTGAAGAACTGTGCCTGACTCCACTAACGGTACCTTCCCTAGTATGCCGCCTACCGAGAGAGTCCAGGTACCTGGATCCGGGCATTAGCCAGACCCCTAAATTAGAACATTGAAATCTTCATTGAACAACTTCCAGATAATGCTACGGAATGTAAGATGTAAGATGAAAACATCATATCTATTCAATAGTAATTTCAATTCTTTGATCTTCCTGTAGCATCTCTCAGTTTTCAAATGATTTTATGCCCTCTATGAATCATCTAACCCAATCTATAGTTAGTCGCAGTGACAGCCGACCCTGACCCAGTCTAACCGAGTTTCATCGGCCACGAACCTTGGATGAGATGACTCGACTTCGATTCCTCTGAATTCACTTCTCTTTTTATAACTCGGATTCATCGATTTACTGAAGGTTACTGATATCTCCAAACTCGAGAGCCGTGTACTATTGAAACCGAGGAGCCCACAACGCCCTTGGCTCGTGCTCCTCCACCCCCCCATTGTGATTCGACTCGAACCCTTCCTTTCCCAGCCTTTCCTATCCCTTCATCCTTCCCCTTTTTTAAATTAATTATTTCCTTGTACGGACTAATTTCCTCCTCATACCCCTGCCATTCAGCCCTTCACTCCTGTCCTCAAATCGCTCCTGGGCCCAGCCCCAGTATTTCCCAGGCGGTGACGTCCACTTCGATATTCCCGCGATTCCCCCTCCAAACCGTTAGAAAACCCTCGAATCCGAACCACCCAACAATACTCCTACTGGTATTTTTCCGCCAGCGACCTTTTTTCTCCTCCCCCCGGGCCTCACTATGGTGACCGGCAAATCGCAACCGGGCGTCGAGCCGGTCCAACTGCCCGCGACATCCCCCGAGCCTGTTGGTGCTACCTCTCCACCGTCCAAGCGAGACCTGGCGTCGTGGTGGAGACAGTTCAAACGAAACTCGAGAAAAGATGAGCTGAGAGGTACGTCGGTAATTTCGCATTTTGATATTCCCATTCTTCTCTGCTTGTCGGCGACTTCAAGACTCCCGCATCATGTCGCATCCTGCGTCATCGGTTCCCGGCGGCTCGCCAATCTCCATCCCGAAGGCATCCAAGCCCCGGGGCGCCTGGAATTTTTTGAAGAGGAATCCTTATATTTTCGCTGGCAACGACCCGTGTGCCCGATTAAATCGCATTCAGCGTTCGTGTGGATCTGGCGCGGATACCAATTAGCTAACGGTCTGCGGAATAGAACCGTCGCGAGGCATTTTCGGTGTACCGCTCAACGAAAGCATCAAATATGCCAATGTGGCAATCTCCCTTACCAACGAACATGGCGAGAACTTCATATACGGATATGTCCCGATTGTCGTTGCCAAGTGTGGTGTGTTTCTTAAAGAAAAAGGTGCGGCAAACTCCCTCCAGTGATTGTTCTGTTAAACTGATTGCCTGGACCCTAGCCACTGATGTGGAAGGAATATTTCGTCTCAATGGATCCGCAAAGCGCATCAAGGATCTTCAGGAGCTATTCGATTCCCCAGAACGATACGGAAAGGGCCTGGACTGGGATGGATATACGGTCCATGATGCGGCCAACGTGCTGCGTCGGTATTTGAACCAGTTGCCAGAGCCTATCGTCCCGCTAGAGTTCTATGAGCGTTTCCGGGAGCCCTTGCGAGCATACCAGAAGCAGGTACAAGAACAGACTCAGACGAGCGATGCGGAAAAGTTCGACCATGCGAATGCCGTTGAAACCTACCAGAATTTGATCATCGAACTGCCACCATTGAACAAGCAGCTATTGCTGTACATCTTGGACCTTCTAGCCGTGTTTGCCTCCAAGTCGGAACAAAACCGCATGACATCGGCCAACCTGTCTGCCATTTTTCAACCGGGCATGCTGTCGCACCCACAACACGATATGTCGCCCGAGGAGTACAAACTGAGTCAGGATGTCTTGATCTTCTTGATTGAGAATCAAGATCACTTCCTGGTTGGCATGAATGGCACGAAAGCTGATGAGCAGACTATCAAAGAGGTCCAGGCCGGCGTTCAGCCCAAGGTTGTCACTCCTGCCCAGCCTGCCATCGCTAACAAATCACCCAACTCCACTATCCGGCGATCTGCATCAAGTGCCAGCGGTAGCACGGAAGGTCACCGCAAGCTAGATACCATGCGTCGCAATGCATCTGTCTCCTCTCGCAACTCACGGACATCGCGTGTATCTAACACAATCCCCAGTCCCAGCACTCCTACCTCCATGTCTGGCAGTATTCACCGAAGTAATACCCTGCCTTCCAAGATGGGCCCCGTGGTTGCATCTGCACGATACGCGCGGGCGGGTGAGAGCGGCTCGGCCAACCCATCCACCCTCTCAGTCTCTCACGCCAGCTCTCGTTCAGCGAGTCGAGAACCATCGGTGCGCGAGGAGACTGAAGAAAAGCCGGAACAAAGAAACGACAACCAGGCTGCGCCTACGTCATCGATAGGTTCGGCTTATGTTCACACCTCGACTCATGGCCCTATTCCCCACGCAGCCGCCGCGCGCCTTAGTATCAATGACCTTCCTCATCCACATGAGAACCTCGATACCCCAACCTCCCCTCCCCGTCAGGTCGTAGCTCCTCAAGTCGTTACCCCAAATCGTGAACGCAAACTTTCCAATCTTTTTGCCAAATCTCCACCTCCCGATCGCGATCAACGAGAGCCGCGTCAGCCAAATCGTCTGAGGAAGAAACGGATTCCAGGCAGTGCTAGCATCAGTGCACAAAGTTCCGCAACTTCCCTTCATGGGCCGTCCTATGAGCCACCCGCTGAAGCCGTCTCAGAACCCGACATGACATTTGGGGAGGTCACCCCAAAGCCTCCCAACACAGCAACTCTCCACAACCCTGATTACCTGCCAGACTCTTTTCTCATGCTGGGGGAGGGCACTTCGAACCCGAACCACACTGAAACATCATTGCGACCGCATCAATCACGTACACCATCTATGAATTCTCGATCATCATTCACGGATGCGTCAGACTTTGAACAGAATGAAGATGGTAATCGCGCTGAACGCCGAGATCATCGCCGTAGCTGGCGCTTCAACCGTTCTGCAAAGCGCAGTAGTGAGCAGGTCGGCCTTGGTCTTGCATCTCCTCCTCTTGTGGCCACTCATCCTGAATTTCAGCAAAGTACTAGCTCAATCGGCAGTGGGGCCCATCACAGTAACGACCCTGCTAGTCAGCCCCTCAGCTTGGATGCTGGGATTCAAGCAAGTTCAGTATCAAGTGCCGAACCAGAGAAGAAGAGCTTGTTCGGAAAATTCAAAGCCAAGGTGGCTCAAGTGCGCGATGGTGGCCACGATCGGGAGCGGGTCAAGAGCCCTAGTCGCTCCGACAGTGAGCCATCTACTGTCAACCAACCACTCTCTCCCACGGCCAATCACACGAATGGCAATCCACCGATAGAAGTGGCCAGTGAACCGCCCAAGGAAGAGCCATTACGCTCCCCAGCATCGCCGTTGCCAGGCGCAGGTCTACCTCCTTCCATTCCTGAAGAACCGCATAGTCCAGAGGTGGCAGCAGCTGCCCCTGTTGCCAATTCAACAAAGGAGATCCCACTGACAGTCCCCGAGTCCACGGAGCCGGTGACAACCGGGGAATCAAGCCAAGGGGCAATCACTAAAGAGACATGATCTTGAGCTTCCTGAATCTTTCAGGAGTTTGGCTATACTTTGAGTAGTCGTTCTCGTCTGATATCTTGTCCTTGCTTTCATCATCCGTCTTACGAATTACCTTACGATTAACTCTTTTCATACAGTACCTTCATCAGGGCTGTAGGTCAAATTCTGGCCAAGGTGTATGACTTTTAGCTGGCGTTTGCTGATTCTTAACCGCTGTTTCTCCCATCTCAGTGGCTCTTCGCTTTATTTTTACTGTGATTTTGCCAAATCCTCATAGCTATTGCTGCATTCCACTTGTTCCCACCCACTTTGTTTTAAATATGGCTTGATTATTTTCATCAGTCACGTTGCTATGCGATATGACTGTATGTATGCTGTGATTTCTAAAACTTTCCATTGTTCCGTCTCTGTTTTACTCATGAGTGTTTGGCGTTGGGATTCTAAGTAGGAACGGGATGAAAAGTAAAGCTTACGGACTTGGCTCGCCTTGCTATTGTTGTCCTGTATATTTTTGTATACAATATGGAAGTCACAGTCTCATGTTAAAGTAGAAAACTAGTTCACGCCGAGAAACTTCTGGCCTGACATTCAGTTGAAATTAAAGATACCGCCTTATGATCGATCCGGCAGAAAATGATGGGTGCAATCAAGACAAACAATCCCTCTCGACCCTTTTATCCGCGCGACCCGGAAGCTTCGTAGACAAGGAGCAAGAAAAAGACGGACTACCTCACGGTGAGGTTGAATACACCATGGCTTCCTCACACTCCCATGTGTCTTCAATCAACCAAGCAAGCGCACCGTCCCAACCCCCTGTCGAAAAACCCTCAGCGCCGCCCGTCAATACCCTCCCCTCCAAAGTAGCACTTGCCTATTCATATGCGCACCCTACACTGATCTTAGCACTGTGTGCTGCACGATTCCAGGCATTGGTCGCCGACCCAATCCAAGAGCTGCTTACAGACCTTCCATGGTTGGCTCTCCTTCAACTTCTCTACGTGATACTCTGTCTTCCACCTGCAGGATCAACAACTGCCGCGGACAGCTCTGCCAGTGATGGCAAGGCAACACGCTCGCGTGCAGGAAAGCCTGGATATCGCCGAAAGCACTCTGGGAAAAACTGCTGGGCAGGGATCTGGGCTAAATTGATGGTATGCGCGTCAATCTACAATTCAATGTCTTCGGGCATGGTACACTGACAAGGAAATGGCAGCCTGCTTTGCTCTCACTAGGTCTGACCACCTTGGTTGCAACTCCGGTTATCGCTGCGCTACTCGTCATGTTCGGCGCCCCACTCACCACCCACAACTACGAAACTGTACTCTGCGCAGCCCACATGGCCTTTCTCTCCGCTTCTACATTGCTATACGTCCACGGTGTTGATGGCTCCGTATGGAAGGAGATTTGGAGTATCGATCGACCTGCGGACACTGTCTGGGGGAGTGCCCTCGGCACAGGTCTAGGTGCCTGGTTTGGTGCCATCCCCATCCCTCTAGACTGGGACCGTCCTTGGCAAGCGTTTCCCATTACCATCTTGGTTGGCGCATACATCGGCTATGCGCTTGGAGCATTGATCTCCCGGACACCCCTGTTATATGGTAGGCGCATTCAGTTTGCGCCCGAGTCGGAGGAGGAAGACGAGAAGAAGACCAACTAGACATGTTGGTTATTGCTTCGACCCAACGTGATCTCAAATGGATCGCGTTGTACTTTGACGAAGCTGGTTCTGCAAAATCACATGTATTATTATTTGGATATAAGACTTCGCATTTAATCATTTAATCATTCAATGTATGTTTCAGCATTCCGCTGCGCATCAATCACATCTTGCTGTTGAAGCTCCCATGTCTGCCAGATCCTTTGCTGAATTTGGCGGCACCTTGAATCGCTTCTTTGGCAATGACTTTGCGTCCCTCGGTAAATTCATTGGATAAAGCATCGTCAAAGGACTTGGCCTCGTATGCACTGTAGTAGCAGGACCGACGATCAGTGTTGAGGCACAACGCAGGGAAGGCAATGAGCTGTCGTGCAATCTCCAACGCCTGGTTCAGTGACTCTCCCTTAGGCACTAAACGGCTTACAAGGCCCATGTTAAATGCCTCCTGGGCTCCGACCGGCCTACCAGTTAGGATCATATCCATGGCACGACCAAGGCCAACAATTGCTTGAAGTCGAACTGTCCCTCCATCTATCAGAGGGACTCCCCAACGCCGACAGAATACGCCGAATATCGCGTCCTCCTCAGCGACACGGAGGTCTGCCAATAGGCTAAGCTCCAGGCCACCTGCTACAGCATAGCCTGCAACTGCACAAATGACTGGCTTCTGCACAATGAGACGTGAGGGGCCCATGGGACCCAGGTTGCGCCCGTTAACGGGTTGCAGGTTATCGGGGACATCATTCTGTGCCACTTGATGTAGGTCTGCTCCGGCACAAAAGGTATCACCGATACCAGTCAAGATACATACCATCTGTGTGGCATCGGCCTCAAAGCCCAGAATAGCATGATAGAGACATTTCGCAGTCAAAGGGTCAACTGCATTTTTTCTGTGTGGGCGATTGATCGTAATAATAGTAATTCCTGTATGAGATGTGGTATCAATCATCACAAGTTTCTCCATGTTTGTTCTGTTCCCTCGCGGGGATGAAAGAAGTTTGGAAGTTGGAAAAGCTCCATTACCTCGGTTCAAACCCCCCACACTTTGATCTTCTCCAACCACCTACGAATCACGATCTACGCTATGTCGAGTGCGTGCATAATTTGCCATAAGCGTAAGGTAAAGAGCCTCGGTAGCCTTCATTACCGGATCCCTGTACTGACAGCTCCCAGGTGCGGTGCGATTTCGCGACCCACAACCCCTGTACCAATTGCAACAAATCCCAAGTGGAGTGCATGTGAGCGGACCTGTGCATTTTTCAAATTGATCTCTGATCCAATATATAGACCATATACGCGAAAGCGCAAGAGATTTACCAACAGTCTGTCGCCAGGGCGCCATGCACCGGCTTCGGATTCAGTGAGTCGACACAGCTCGAAATTGCCGTCGGACCCGCTCGAAGGCAATGTACCGAGAGTATCTTCGATAGTCGCGCACGGGGATGCTGCCGTTGTCAACGAAGCTTTGACATCCATTGAAACCAATGGCACTGAGACTTTTATTAAAGAAGAGAGCTACCGCGGTCGGGGCGAGTACCTGGGCGGTAGTGTTCCATTTGACGAAAATATGGTCAAACCTGGTCATGAGACAACTTATACCAGCCCAAAGGCCTCTGCAGCGGATCTTCAGATGTTGCGCGAGCAAGGAGCATTTGAGCTACCCCCGATATCCATTCAAAAACAGTTAATGGACAGCTTCAATAAATACTGTGCTCCATGGACACCTGTCGTTGATCCCAAGTGGCTTGACGAAACCACACCACCTTCCATGCTCCTCCTGCAGTCCATTTTCTTGGCTGGGAGCCGGGTTTCCAAAGCGCATCTAGATTACGGATCTAGTGAGGTATTTTATCGACGTGCAAAGCTCCTCTTCTTCTTCGGTGGAGGCCATGGGTCACTTATCTCTATTGTGGCAGCCTGCCTCTTGCATTGGTATAACCCTGTTGGACCTGAAGACGTTTCGACTGACACCAGTGGGTTCTGGATTCGAACGGCCGGGGCGATGGCTTTCCAAATTGGATTACACAAGGAGCCGTCACCGAATGCTAAAGATCGGGGGCTCCGTCGACGATTATGGTGGTCTTTAGTGGTACGCATGTCTGTCGGAGTCACGCCAGCTGTACTAATGATGCCAGATTCGAGATAATGTCATCTCCGTCGGAGTGGGAAGACCACGTACAATCAATCTACGCGACAGCGATGTTCTACCTCCGTCGATAAAAGATTTCCCAAAAAAGGATTTCCAGGCACAGCTCTTTTTGGCATACTGCACAATATCATGTCTTCTAGGTGATACTGTTGAGTGCTGTCTACGGCGTGAGATTTCTCGACAACGCCGAGTGGACCTTGAAAATGCCGTATATCGATGGGCCAAACAGGTCATTCCGAGACTGCACTCATCTGCAATGATCCAGGAAGACGCAATGACCTGTCAGCTTGAAGTTAAGCAGCTATTGGTGATGTACTTTGTTGGGCTAACGATTTTACACCGTTCCCCAACTCCCAACAGTGTTCCACCCGCTGCATCACTGGTCGCATCGTCATTTATTGCGGGTATCTACGAGGACTTTCTTCTACGAGACGAGCTACGCTACCTTGGCCCGGTGTTTGCATTTTATCCGCTCTGTGCAGGCCTCTCCCTTCTTTCGTGCTGTCGTTACCCACAGTTAAAAGGTACCGCCGAGCATGAATTGACCGTTATGAAGCTCTCTCTCCAGAAGCTATCTGAGAGGTGGCTCTCGGCGGTCGGCCCCTTGAGAGCCTTGAACAAATTGACCGAAAAAGTCCGAGAACTAGCACCATTCGATGGGCAACCTACTCTGGACTATGAAACCGCCGCATTTTTCGAAGGATTCGATATCAAGATGTGCAAACAATGGAGATTGATAGGACAAGCCTGCGATTCAGAGGACGCTGATGCCGTCACTACAACTTGTACCCTGGCCGAGGTTCATGGCCCAGAAGTCACACTTCCGGCGTTTGAGGCGCGACCGGAAGACACAATCGATAATGATAGTTTCCCAGCCTTGGAAACGAATCTGGAACTTTTTGGTACAGCCTGGGAAGGCTCCGGGTTTGATTGGAGTGGTTCTTGGTTGCTCAATGTTTGAAGAGTTCCAAGGTTATGACAATCAATGTAAATGTGTGTATAGATCAAATGCTTGGATTAAAGCTCGAATCCTGGGATTCACGGACAGCAACCGATCCGATGCGGATTTTCAAAAATCATCCCACTAATCCTTTCTATTCAATTGTTTACATCAACTTACTGGACACATGTGTATACACGTGACTAGGGCCATATGAGGGGTTTCGCAATTATCCGCCGGAGTCACGACATCCCGAGGTCTCAGTCTTCAAGAGTGACATGATTCTTGCAAAGTAATATACCTGCGATTTTAGCCCACATCCTCACCGATTTCATACTTGCTCAATGGACACCGAGCACTTCAAGGTGCGGAAACGCAACCCCAAAGCATGTAGCCGCTGTCATCGTCGGAAGCAAAGATGTGTGGGGTCTCCGATCTGCACGAACTGTGAGGCGGCCAAGTCTTCATGCACGAGGTCCAAAACATCCACTTTCCAGCCTGCATCCGAGAGATATCATGGAATGTCAAAGGATGCCCTGTTCGACAGAATAGAGGAACTGGAAGCCCAATTAAACGCAGTCTCCAAACCATCACAAGCGCAAGCCCCACGTCACCCATATCAAAGCCCAGACGAGTTCTCTTTCGACCAGCCTAATGTAGGCCACTTGTTCGATGTTATGGAGTACCTGACAACGGGGCAAATTTCAGGGCAGACACCACTAAGGTCATCTTCCCCGACGGGATCTCTGATCGCCAAAGAAATGGATCAAATATTTGAAGATACAGTCTTGGGAAGTGGCAGAGCAGAGACAACCGACATGGAGCATGAATCTGAGTCTAGCAATGATACCCCACCCCCCGCGCCAACCGAAACAGAGGGCTTGAAGTATATACGCATCTACATGGAGACGATGCATAACCACATGCCGTACTTGGATAGTGGGGAGATATATCGAACACACAAAGAAAGGCTTCACCCCTTTGAACCCACACGCTCAGCTCGGTGGAAGTTCTCGAAACTCTTCATGGTTTATGCTATTGGTGCTGCGACGTCCCGAGTTACAGACATCAGCCAACCCAGTATTTCCGCAAATGATCTATTCCGCACAGCCTTGCGTTTAAAGCCTTCAATCACCGAGCTGCGCTCCCTCCAGAGCATTGAAGCGATGATGTTACTGATTATGTACAACCTGCGAATACCAAACAGCTCCAATATTTGGTACATGATTGGGCTAGCCATGCGGACGGCCATCGATCTTGGGTTACACAGAGAAGATAATTATCTTGGCTTGAAGCCCGATGAGGCCCAAAGCAGACGGTGCGTATTCTGGAGCGTCTACGTCATGGATCGCAGTATTGCCCGGCTTCTCGACCGACCATTCAACATTGCGGAAACTGACATCGATGTCGGATTACCTTTTGACTACCAGGAGCCTTACCAAAGCTACCCCAATGAGCTACCGATACCCGAAGAGACAGATTTAAGAACCAGCATCTCGGCTTTCATTCCCGTCATCAGACTAACCCGTTTGAAGTCGCAGATTCACACCAGAGTCCATAGAGTTGACAAAGAAGTTTCATTGCTGATCCCCGAGATCAATCCTTTATTCTCTGCCTTGAAAGAATATAAACGATCACTACAATCTGATCTCTCTCCTATCGACCATGATTGGATCAACATGCATTGGAATAACGGAATTCATTGTCTTCTTCAACCTTTTCTCCGAGTACTTCCGTCCGATCATGAATTAATTCGTACCTGTATGAAGGCATCTGGGCAAACCTGCCAGGCGTTCAAAACGCTTCATCAAAGAGGCTATATTGGGTTTGGATATTTCCTTGTCAGCACTTTATTCAAAGCTGGGTTGACACTATGGTGAGTTTTCTGTCTACACCCTGGGTCGAAGTGCTTACTGATATGAGATCTACAGTTATTGTTTATTTCGATCTTCACAGCCTTGCTCCATTGACGTGGCAAATGATCTGGGTGCCTGTTCCTCGGTTTTGTTTGCCATTGCGGAGCGCAACAATCAGTTAAAAAAATATCGTGATACGTGGGAATCCATACTTGCGAAAGTGATGGAACATCTTGGACAAGTGTCTTCTTCCTACGAATCCCGCCATATTATCATGCCGCAACTTAATCCACCAAACCCCTTCGCTTCTCTATTCATAGATACCCATGGAGCTGCATCAAGATTCAATTATGCGAATCTCGCATCCCTCAATCATCTGGATACTGCTTGTGGTCAGAAGCACCAACAATTTTGGACAATATCACCAGAGGACGGGTTAGCTATTGAAGATTCGCCCGCTTCAAAATCCCAGGAATTGCTCAGTGCGCTCGAAGATCTTTTCCCTGCGTGGCAAGAAGACATAACACCACAGCGCCGACTTGAGAATGTCTTTGAGTCCGATGAAATGACCTCTGAAAGCATTCTAGAAGTGAGAAGGTCTGAACTACGAGTAATTGACGAGCTGTTTGGCAACCCAGAATGAATCAATTGCCACAGTTGGTGACCTAATATTAAATAGATGCATGTTAGAGAGTGTCCCTGAATCAATTACTCTACACGCCTTCAGGCCCCCGCTTAAATTATCTTTGAATACAACCCTCAAACGAATGGTTTCTACAAAATCATATGCAAATTTCATATCAATTTGACCGAATTGACTAGGTCCCACAGAACGATCCTTGCAGGTATCTTTGTATGTACAAATGAATGAAAGGTTGCTTGATATGCTTCTGCCAATTTCTTGGCACAGTACACTAGAATCGAAGCATCTAGCTGGATAGGCAGCAGACTTAAAGCTTTGAGTCTATCTTCTGCAGAGATCGATGGCCAGATGCACGGTTGGCAGGGAGCTCAACGCCCCAGGCAATTCTGCAATCCCATTCGAGGTGTTCATTCCCATTCGAAATCACATCTTGGGGCACAACAATGTCATGGAACACCATTTCGCCAACGCCACCTTCCAAACTGAGTATCCAACGACGAGCGATCTCCATGTTTACGAGATCTTGGTCACGTTCAGCATCCAGGGCAAGAAGTGTACCACAAATAATCCATGCCAGGGTAAACATGTAGCGACGAGCATCTGCCAGAATAGCAGTGGGAGCTTGGTGTATTGTAGAGAATCGGGCTCTGAAAGCAGACCACGCAGTTCTCAACGTTTCTCGTAATTTCTCAGCTTGAATCAAAGCTAGAGCACGATCCAGCCACGAGCTAAATATATTCAAGTTCTCACCCTTCAGTAGGAATCGAGCCACTTCACTCGCTAGAACATTTGTGGTTCCCTCCCAAATGGAGTTCACCGAAGTATTGCGGAGGATCCGCGATATATTGAACTCAGGCTCATCGGCCTCATCCATGTAGCCCACGCCACCCATGGCTTCTTGGCATTCTTGAATGCCCGCGACGGCCATTTTGCTAATTACCGCCTTAGAAGTAGCTGTCAGGGTACGGAAAACAGCATTTGCTTCCTTTCCGGGATGAGGCAAGTGGGAAAGCGCAGAAGCTCCGGGCCGTTGGTTCTCAACAAGCCCCATGACTGCAATGGTGAAGAAGGCAAGATTCATGCCACCGCGGTGTTTGACTTCTAAGTCTGCCAAAAGTCGCAGATGCATGGGGATCAACCACAAAGGCTCCCCGACCGTATGTCTGGCTTTAGCAAAGCTTTTGGCGATACTGATCGCACGGCGCCAGCCAGAGAGAGAACCCACAAAGGTATGAATGCGGGTAACGTTTAGAAGAGGCGCAATGGTGACGATTCCCTGGTCCAACTCGCCAACTAGATGGGCGCGCATGCCTTTCAATTCAAGCTCCGCGGTTGGCAACTCCTTTGTACCTAATTTGTTTTTCAGCCGATGAATTCTCACCCCGTTCGATACCTTCCGAGCGGCCCCATCGTTGTCGATGACAGTTCGTTTCAGAGGAGCCAAAAATGTGCTCAATTTTCCTGATGGGGATTTGGCAAGTAGCAGAGCCACGTTGGCGTCGGTGGCAGAGGAGAAGAATTTGAACCCGGTAATCAAGTACTCACCATCTCCAAGCGGGTCCAAAGCCGACGGATTGGCTAGCGGGGAATATGTAGCCCAGGTCTCGGTATTCTGCACATCGCTACCACCGGCCCTCTCTGTCATCCATTGACCCGAGGTCCAGTGATCTTCACTTACCGAGACCAGACCCTTGAATACGGCGTGGAATGGATGTGTCGATGGCAAACCACTGATCTTTGAAGATAGGATAAAAGCAGCCCCGTCTGTCATGCTAATCGGACAGGAGTACAGGCCTGATGATGGTGCATAGATATAGTTCCTATGAAACGTCAGAAGACTATCGATGCCACTCATCATATTGTTTAAAATCTCACAGTGCGTATTGAACAGTTCTTCTATGTAATCCCAGAGCAGAATCATAGCCCGCTGCAACAACCTTATGACGAGCTCCCCAGTGACCAAGTCTCTTCCAGCCTTCAGTCGTGATCAGGCGGTCATAGTCATATCGCTTCCCCCATACATTGTGACTCTTCACATAGGGTTGATTTCGCTCTGCATCCGCAGTCCACTCTCGAACTTGCTCCGATACTGCTTCGCCACCAAGCTGGGCGAAATGTGATTCTACCGACTGTAGGAGCGCAGAAGGAATATACCCTGTAATACTGTCAGAATACGCGTGAGCAAAGACGGTAGATAAGCTTACATTCCAATGACCGCCGAAGACTGGTATCTGACGTATAGCTGTTTTCCAATTGCGCTGGCTGTGTTATGTATCCACTATCTGCTGTCGCAGGCTGTGATGGGGACGACATTATGTTTGTTGGAGGTTTGAATGTTCCAAGTGAGTAAATCCGGGGTAAGTGGGAATGAGGGGAATTGTTGAAGTTAATTTCGCGTGACAAACCAAGGACCTCGGCATGGGTACATGTATCTGCGATCTCCGTGAAACCGCCGAACTTGAAGTTGATGGAACTTAACCATGTAAAATAATCTATACCCGATCTTAACTGTAATTATTGGTCGAAGGGTGATAAATATTAGAATGATAACTAAGGGTAGCCATGATGGGTATTGAATTTTTGGATAAGTGTCGTTCTTTTGGTCTCTCTGTGCTGACAAAATTGGCGATAATGACTACATATCATGCAAAGTGTTGTATCCAGTCTCAATCAGACTTCGTGGACCACGGGAATCGGAACATATGTTCCAATAGAATAACCCTCCAAGTTTTGTCGTCGTCACCAACTGTGCCTTTTGCTGGACTGTTGCAGGGACATCATACGTGACAAATCCACCATCACCACCCACACAGTATGCAGCGCCCGCTTGGTTGTCAAGCACTTCCTGGGATCCCGGACGAGGAAGATCGCGATAATCAAACACTCCATCATCTCCGCCACAGCTAGTATACCCTTGTCCTGGTCCATTGCTTCCGAGGAACGAGCGCCCGTATGTGGGAACCCCAAGGATGAGTTTTCGTGAAGGAACTCCCTGCGATAGAACGTAGGACACTGCCAGATAACATGAGGTAGGAGTGCCATAGAGCTGGGCTTGGTGACCCGTCTCGGAGGCCCAAGGTCCTGAGAAATCATAAGCCATGAGGTTGATCATGTCGAGGTACTTTTCGGCCGCGGACAGATCGATATTCTGGAGTGCCCATTGACCCGCCGGGAGACAAGTGGCCAAGACATACCGTGGAGCGGGCAAGACCTCTCGCAGGCGAGCGAGAAGGCGAATATAGTCTTTACCCTGCTGGGAGTCGGCAGGGTGTTCCCAATCCACTGGACAACGAATGCGTGCGTTAGAAACTCAGTTCGAACCCTTGTCTTCAAACAGCGTTTAGGATAAAAATTAGATACCTACCGTCAATCCCATCTAGCCCGTATTGGTCGACCAACTCTCGGGCGCTGCGCACAAAGGTTTCCACCTTGGATCGGCTGTGGGCAACTGCGGCGAAATTCTCACTACCTTTTCCACCACCACCAACAGACAGAATGACTCTCAATTGGGAGTATTGTTGTTTCAATTGAACAAATGCTCGTAGGCAGCCCTCGGTGCCGTCTACTGGCATCTGGGTGTCGGCCCACTCATCACTCAGCTATCTCCACACGTTAGCACCCAAAACAAAAACAAAGCGAGACACAGAAGCAGTCCCCCACAGATGATATGACATACATAGACCGTGCCATCTTCCTTTACCCTGCAAGGATACCAGATCGAGATTAGCGTATCGTTTATCTCTACGTCTTCTCACTGATGATTGGTTGATCTCTTACCAAGCAAATGCGTAGAACACGTGCGAAATAAAGCCCAGTCTCAAGGACGACGGCGGTTGCTTTCGGTAGATTCTCCAGTTTGGGTAATAAGCAGCATTTGTGTACAAGGGCACTTCATACGTGCTCGAAGAATCAGTAATGGCGGGGTCAGCCACAGTCACGGGTCGACGGCGAAAGAAGTTGGTAGCAGCGGAGAACATGGTCTCCCTTTGAAATACGACCTGGGTCATCCAAACCCGTAAACCAAGCCAAGCAGAAGATAAAGGAATAAATCAAGAAAGAGAGTGTCGAGTAGGTTCCATTGAAGTACTTAAAAACCCTGGCAAGCTCGACTGGTGTGGCTTTCCTGTTCGGGAAAGGGGGTCACGTGGATACAGGTTCTCATTTGGTTCAAGTTTACATACAAACTCGTACGATTGGATAATTTGGATTCACACGATATGTACATCCGAAGGCACTCCGTACAGAGATCCCCCAATAGTGGAGGCTCCCTTCTTTCCCCACTCTTGTGAACGGCCGATCCGCATTACGCTGGATGAGACTCATGGTGCGGGGGTTTGACGAGACTAGTGCAGCCAAGGATCTTTGATTTTGCTGACAATTCAAAAGATCTCCATAGTAAGAACCAATCGACTGGAACAGGCATCAAGGGTCAACCTGGCAAGTGCTCATTCTTGAGATCTTGCATTCGGTGTATGGAGTTCCTCTATGGTCTAACTAGATCCATTCTAGATGACCCCAGTGACATATTCCCATATGACGTGCGGTGAGATTGACAGTCCGTGATCAGACGACCTCTAATTTGAAGCGCACGTGGTTCCTTATATGAAGGTTTTACGGATCACGTTAGATTTGCACTTGCAAGCCAAACAAACTGCATCAAGAGTCCAGGTCGTGGAAGATACCCTTCGTGGATCTTCCGTAATCAGGGGCCGGTGAATTGAACCTAGACCGCGGAGCGACCTGCAACAATGTTTGCTTTTTCTTCTCTTTTTTTTTCTCTCTCGTGTTTTCCTCAAGGATGAAGGTGATTGGTTAATATTCATGAGGCGGTGCTCCGGGGATTCGGGAATGTGCCAACCCCTGCTTCCCCGCCAAATTCATGCAGACCATGTCGGGCAGCGAATCGAATGCGAAAAATCATAACCATTCTGGCTAATCCTGGAATCAGGCGTTCCCCCTTTTTCTCTGCAGTGCCACTAAAATTTCACAAACCAATGCGTACTTACCGGATTTTCATGTCAACGCACATAGTTTATCAAACACAAGGCAAACCCCCATCTTTTGATGTGCGACCACTCTTTTGCCGGCCAATATCGATCGGATTTGGGCTTTCTTGAATCTGCGACTTGATTTTGCCCAGTCAACGCTGTTCATCAGAGATCAGAGATTGAGATAGTTATGGGTGTTTTAAATATTTCCGGAGTGTGACCAATTTCATAAAGATGGCTTGTTTGGCCGCTCTGGAGACAACGTCAGATATTAGGATATTCGAAGGCTACTCGGCTTTTTCTGCCTGAATCCTGAAGCAACACGCGGCGGGTTGATCGAGTGCCACCGTCGGACTCGCGGTGAGGGTTGTGCACCACTAAATTGAACCTGCAGACTTTGAAACTTAGAATTTAATTCTGACTTAGCTGTGCGCATGACACCGTAAAACTCGAGTCTTGTCCATCTAGATGTCGTCAAGTCCATTTATATATTCCAGTATGATACCATTTATCTCCAACGTTGGACGTTATCACCTTTATCAACTCTGTCAGCATACAAATAACAGCTTTCATTCGAGACCTCACGTTGTAAGATGAGAGCATGGATAGTGTCAAATTCTCGGACTGCCCAGAATTTGCAGTTATCACGGCAACTGGGAATATTTTCTTTTCGACATACTGTACCTTGGAAACTCTGTAAACAACTCCAGGCTTCGCGAATTAAGTTATCCGTCCAAGGTCTTCAACCAGTCTATGATTGACAATGATAGCGTCATGGAATCTACCCGGGAGGGTACGAGCCAAATGAACATTGAAGCCTGGGGTTCCGCCTTTCCCATCAATGTGGTGGACCAATCCCATATCTATGATCACAAAGCTGAAGCTGTCTCTGCCGAGTTTTTATCAACATACATACATACACCATGGCAGGGGAGTTGATCTTCATTACCGGTGCATCGGGGTTTGTCGGTAGTGCGACCGCCGGGGATGCATTAAAGGGTGGATATCGATTACGAGTCTGTCTTCGAAGATCGTGTGAGAAACTGGAACCTCTGCTTTTGAGATAAAGCAATCATGTGGAATCTGACATTGTTCCTGAATTGACACATGCGGCACTTGCAGGGAAGCTTGATGGGGTTGACTACGTCCTGTATGTTGCCGCACCCGTTCCCCATGGCACAGACAAAGAGGTTTATTTTATTCCGGCTGTGACTATCACCATAGCGGTGCTTGAAGAGGCCGCTAGTGTTTCTAGCGTAAAATAAGGTATTATCACATCCTTTGTTACATCATTGCTTCCGATCGGGAGTCCTCTTCATGGTGTCATCGTCAATAATTTGTGGTTCTGGTCAAGCTAAGCAACGTTAATTTCATGATATAACAACTAATCTTATTGTTAGAGGATAATGAAGGGAATCTTGACGTGGACGAGGCTGCAGACTTCACTATCTCCGAGAGTTCCGCTGCAACAGTCTCGAAGCTTTATCATGCTTCCAAGTTGCTCGCTAATAAAGCGACATGGGATTTTTGGGAATATTAACGTCTACACTATAGCTTAGTGGTCATACCCCTAAGCTTGACCTTTGGTAACAACCTTATGTAAACAAATGATGAGGAATTCTAGTCAACATCTAACGAGGGTCTATGGTCGACTATCATGGAAGGAAAATTAGCTATAAATCGCACCTGTGTGCACATTCAGGACGCTGCTGAGGCTCATATCAGAGCTTTGAGCTTGAACATACTTGACGGCTCGTCATATCTCCTTGCGGGACTCGAAGCGATATGGAAGGAGATGGCGGATATAGTTTATCGGAATTACCCAGAGTCAAACGCGAGGATCACGGCATAGAACTACAGCGATATACAGTGGTGTCTCACAAGTATTTGACCTCGGGTACTTTGAAGTCTGACCGCCTTCTCAGACCGCCTGCTATTTTAGTATGCATAATTTCTCACCGCGTCCCACCACGCTCGCATATACAGTATTATAACGTAGATTTGACGCGTCTTGCCCCATATTAGCACCTTTAATATAATAATTACCTAGTAATTATGCCTCCCATACGTGGCAAGCGAGGTCCAGAGCTTGATTGTCTTACCAGAGCTAAAATATGTGAACTCCATGCCACTAATGGATGGGGTGCAACAACTATCAAAAAGAAGCGATTCCCGGATATTCCACGCTCTACCATTCAATATACGCTTACACAAGAGTCAAAGCGTCAAAAGCAGGAGTCATTACCGCGTCCAGGTGCTCCAAGAAAGCTCACAGAGAACGACCGTGACCATATTTATGAGACTATCCAACAAAACCCGTCAATTTTGATCCAAGACCTTCTTTCGGAGGTCGATAATAAGGTTAAACGCAACTCAATTTGGCGTCTTACGCACGAGATGGGCCTTCGAAAGTGGCGGAAGATGCAACGGCCTACTTTAACGCCTCAACATGCTGCAAAACGTCTTGCCTGGGCTCAACGATATGAGCACTTTACTTCCGAGGTTTGGGCTCGAGTTTATTGGTCAGATGAGTGTACTGTTGAGCGTGGTATTGGTCAACGGCAAGAATGGACCTTTACTCGTCCAAAAAATCAGCTTTGGGAGCATCCAAAAGAAGGTCGTCAAGTTCAAATGATTCCAGCTCGAGGAAAACAGATTAAACAGATGTTCTGGGCTGCCTTCTCTGGTCTTCCTCGACGCTCTGGTCTTATACCTTTATTCGGAGATCCTGAATCTCGTCGTGGTGGTGTTTCATCTCGAACAATCGATGAGCTTTATCGGCGAGTTCTTCCAACACTTTTGAATAGTTTAGATCATGATGCTATTTTTCAACAAGATAACGCGCCTGTTCACACTGCATATCTCGTCCGAGATACGCTAGATGAGCTTGGATATGATATAATGGAGTGGCCTCCTTATTAACCTGATTTAAACCCAATTGAGAACCTCTGGGCGTTGCTAAAAGCTGCAATTTTGAAGCAACACCCTGAGCTTATGCACCTACCTAATAACGACGAGACACTCGAAATATTAGTAGATGCCGCTCAAGAGGCTTGGCAAGGCCTAGATATTGAGATATTTAAGCATCTGGCAGATACTATGCCACATAGGGTGGTAGATGTTATTAAATACGAAGGTTGGCATACTAGCTATTGAATTTGACAGAATTTCCGAGGTTTCTGCACGGCAGTATTAAAAGTGGGTCCTACTACCCAAAGTATCCGAGGTCAAATACTTGTGAGACACCACTGTATATGTCTTTTGTTCCAATAGACAGCAGCAGAGCCGAAGCCGAGTTGGGGATGGAGTGGCGTTCTATGGAGCAAATGGCGAGAAATGTGATAGATTAACAGCTTGAGATTTTCCGACGCTTCAACTGGCATACTTAGAATCCAATTGGATATTCTAAAATCTAGTCTGAATAGCTTGATTGACCTCGGCGCTTTGAAAAATGACCGTTGGCATTGGGCATGGTGATGTGACAGACAAGAGTCCAGAATCATTGATGAGACAAGAGTCATACTAGCGATGTAAAAAAGCAAAGATAGTGTTGTCTCATGGAAGACCGATCCAGTTCAAATAGCACACAAAGTCAAGTATCAAGTTGTCAAGTAGTAATCACAGACTTAACTTACAATTGGTCGGGTGACTGACTAAGCGGAATTTGGTCGCATCAAAGATGGAGCTCGAATTGTCCGTGGTCTTCTCTCCCCGAGCTACAGCTTTTGTCAGCAACTTCCGTTCTTACTCGGATTCCTACAATACACGCTACCAGCAAGTTCCTCTCTCTACCAGCTCCATTTGCCTACGGCTGCTGTCTGCTCAGCCTTCGATATCACCATGACAGTCGACGTGCGTAGCGCCGCCGCAAGCATTCTGTCCGCCGAGCCTACGCGTGACCCACGCTACGATGACTTTTCCTTCACACCCTTCCTCCGAAAAAGCTTCGGATTTGGCCTTGCGAGCGATGTGCCTGTCTGCAAGGCATACGGCGAGGGACATTGCCCACTGGGCCCAGCCTGCCCAGACCGACACCCGACTCCCTCTCGCGTCACCACGTCCACGACTACCGCCTCCGGTCTGGCCCCTTCTACAACACACGGGTCCCTGGTCTGCAAACATTTTCTCAAGGGTCTCTGCAAGAAGGGAGTGAAGTGCGAGTACTTGCATGAGTATAATCTTCGCCGCATGCCCGAATGCCAGTCCTTTTCGCGATCCGGCTACTGCCCCAATGGAGATGATTGTCTATACCAGCACGTTCGGGAGGAGGCTCGACTCTCACCCTGTGAACACTATGATCGAGGATTCTGTGAGCTTGGACCTCTTTGCGCTAAGCGGCATGTTCGCCGTCGTCTATGCCTGTTCTACCTAGCCGGGTTTTGTCCCGAAGGCAAGAACTGTCCTGATGCGCATCCCAGGTGGACAGAAAACCTCCCTCGCCCTACAATTCGAACAGAAAAGACGGAGGAAGAACTGGAACATGAACGAACACTTATCAGGGAAGAACAAGAGCGCGAGAAGGAACGAGAACGTGAATGGCGCAGTGAACGCGGACGTGGCGGTGGATTCATGCGAGGGCGGTATCGGGGGCGAGGCAGGGGCTGACCCTGGGGTCTCAACAAATAGAGAGCCACCTATGGGCTTGCAAAGTTGCATTTATACGGTGTGAGGGTTGTTCTATTTCTCTTTTTCTGTGCCTTTAATTTCTTTTCCTGTTAACAGCCCTGGAGTCTCTGGACTGGTTTCGAGATACTAAGATACCCCAGTTATATAGACGTTTGTGTCCCTCAAATTTGAATTTTAATCTGATTTCCTGACCCTGAAAATCGTAATTAGCGTGCATGGGCCCAACACTAGGCGTCATTGGCTAGTCCTGACCGTTCTCACGCCCAGATCGTCCTACTTGGCGGCCTGGGCATTCAAGAATGTTTATGATTGAATTGATCATTATTCAGTTCCATGAGATCATTCAAATTAAGCTCAGTTAGCAGGCTTACCTCAGAAATGACATATGATCATCGTACGGAGTACAAGTGTTACGGATTCTTTGCTAAATTACGTGCTGATTCAATCATGCATAATCTGGTGATTATTGTGTCATTTGTCAGAAATCGGTCAGACTCGACTAACCCGTAAAGCCGAGTGGATCCGATCATTTTTGAAATCACCAATCATCGTCACCTTTGCTCTGTAATCTATGACTGATAGCTTTGTTAAAGTGGTACCTTCTGCGCTATACAATATACTATGGCGTAGGAGGTACTAGTAGTTGATCTCACGATGCGGGGTCAATGGTAATATAAAGCTTTCCTATTTCCCTTCCAATTGTTTTTTTTTAATCTCACATTCATTCCTCTCCTCATTCCATTACTCTTACCATCCTTCAAAATGGCTCCCAAGATTGCTATCGTCTTCGTACGTCCTTTCAATTCCGCAATATTTTTGGTAAAAGAAAACGAACTAAGCCTCTTCCCCAACAGTACTCGCTCTATGGCCACATCCAGAAGCTGGCTGAGGCCGAGAAGAAGGGTATTGAGGCCGCTGGTGGCCAGGCCGACATCTACCAGTATGCTATGCTCTGATGCACACAATTGTCTCTTCGCACTGCTAATTGCGCTTCTCTCCTCTAGGATCGGCGAGACCCTCTCTGAGGAGGTTCTGACCAAGATGCACGCTCCTGCCAAGTCCAGCTACCCCGTTGCCGAGCCCAACGACCTATTGCAGTACGATGCCGTTCTGTTTGGTATCCCTACCCGCTACGGTAACTTCCCTGCTCAGTGGAAGACCTTCTGGGACGCTACCGGTTCCATCTGGGCCACTGGTGGTTACTGGGGCAAGTACGCCGGTCTCTTCATCTCCACTGGCACTCAAGGTGGTGGCCAGGAGTCTACTGCCATCTCTACCATGAGCACCCTCACTCACCACGGGTTCATCTACGTTCCTTTGGGTTACAAGACCACCTTTGCCCAGCTGGCGAACTTGGATGAGATCCACGGTGGTAGCCCCTGGGGTGCTGGTACCTTTGCTGTAAGCATTCCTCATCTTTTGGCTTCTCTAAACCCCTGCTAACGAGTTCTAGGGTGCCGACGGTTCCCGCCAGCCCACCGCTCTTGAGCTGTCCATTGCCGAGGCTCAGGGCAAGGCCTTCTACGAGACTGTTGCTAAGGCCAACCAGTGACTGCGTGGTAGTGGCGAGTCGAAGCCCGAGATATCGACCCCTGTTGCGAAGAAGACCGAGCAGCCCTCCCAGGGACAGCAGGGTACTCAGCCAGCTGTGAGGGAGAAGAGTAATGAAGGACCATGCGGCTTGCCCAAGAACTGCACTATTCAATGATTGGAGACCGGATTCCTTTTTGTATTCTTTTTTTTCATTGCGGGTTAGAGAGGCGTCTTAGAGGGCGTTCCACATTCAATGACATGAACCTATGACTCTCCCTCTCCGAACGGAGGACTTTAGCTTTTAGAAAGAAAATCTGTTCCTCATTGACTTGAGGGATGAGGAATCACAATTCCAGATGTTCAGATTCCGCATGTCTTCATACATTTAAATCAATCATATTAGTAAATAACATCAAAGTAGATTGAATGGCCAGTACTACTGATTGATTCCACTTGAGATTGTAATCGTATTACGAATATTACTAATCTGTTCCGTATATTTGTGCGGGGAGTATGGTTCATTGATAACCATACCGCCCGCAGGCTGTGACGTGACTGGCAGGAGCTCTTAGACCAAGCTAGACCTTCGTTCCACAACTTTCTTCAACCTACTCTTCTTCGACTTGTCTTCACCCTTTCAATTATTGCTCTTCATTCGGATCAGATATGGCTACCAAGCCAATCCTTTTGCGCTTTGAGAGTCGGAACGGCCAATTTCGAATCACCGTCAAGCCGGATGACCTCTTTCCTACGCTCCAACAAAAGGTGCCCATGACCATCCTTCACTGAAGATACGTATGACATTATCAATATTGATTTTCTCTTAGATTCTCGAGCATCTTCCATCAGAAGTGGACCCATCATCCCTCTCCCTCTCCAATAAGCCGATCGGCACCGGTGGTGAGGAAAGACAGCTCCAGACCCTCGACGGAGTTCCGATCGGACAAGTTGGCCTAAAGTGAGTGATATTCCTCTTTAAAGAGCTGAAAATCTCCTACTTATCCGCGTGGATGCGTGTAGACACGGCGATAAGCTCTTTGTCGGGTACCAAGACCTCACCACATCGCAAAATGGCCCGTCCAGCGGACACATCTCAACCCCAACCGAGCGTCGACTGAATGGAACTTCAGTCCCCCAAGAGCAGACTATTCCCATTCGTGCGCCAGCATCACCTTCTCTCAATATCAAAAACCCATGGGAGGTCGTCAAACAATCATCGTTGGACAACTTACTGGATAAGAAGGATGGCAAGATCAAACGGAGCCAGGATGTCCGCATGTGCAAACATGGTCCCCGTGGCATGTGTGACTACTGCATGCCCTTGGAACCATACGATGCGAAATATATGGCAGAAAAGAAGATCAAACATCTCTCCTTCCACTCATACATGCGCAAAATCAATGCTGCCACCAACAAACCCGAAGCTGGCAGCTCCTTCATGCCCCCACTCAGCGAGCCCTTTTACAGAGTGCGTCGTGACTGTCCGTCAGGGCATCCTGCATGGCCTGAAGGCATTTGCAGCAAGTGCCAACCCAGCGCCATCAGTTTGCAACCCCAAGAATTCCGTATGGTTGATCACGTTGAGTTCTCGACCCCCAGCTTGATCAACTCATTGTTGGATTTCTGGCGCAAGTCGGGGGCTCAGCGGTTAGGATTCCTTTATGGTACATACGAAGAATATGCAGAAGTACCGCTGGGCGTCAAGGCGGTTGTCCAAGCAATCTATGAGCCCCCACAGGTGGGCGAGGTAGACGGTGTCACACTCCACGAGTGGCATAATGAGAAAGAAGTGGACGAGGTGGCGCGTCTGTGTGGCCTGCAGAAAGTGGGTGTCATCTTCACAGATCTTCTTGATGCGGGACAAGGGGATGGTTCTGTGGTGTGTAAACGACACATTGACTCGTACTACCTTTCCTCTCTGGAGATCGCTTTTGCCTCGCGTCTTCAGGCTCAAAACCCGAAAGCAACCAAATGGAGTCGCTCGGGACGCTTTGGCTCTGACTTTGTGACCTGCGTGCTAAGTGGCGATGAGACTGGAGCGATTGCTGTGAGCTCCTACCAGGCCAGTGTCTCAGCTGTGGAGATGGTGCGAGCCGACATTGTTGAGCCTTCTGCCGATCCATCTGTTATGCTGGTACAGTCAGAGGATGACGAAGATGTTGGTAGTAAGACACGATATATCCCTGAAGTCTTCTTCCGTCGCATCAACGAGTATGGCGCCAGTGTACAAGAGAATGCCAAGCCAAGCTTCCCTGTGGAGTTCCTGTTGGTGACACTCACGCATGGTTTCCCGACGGAGTCCTCGCCAGTTTTCACCAACAGCCAGTTCCCTATTGAGAACCGTGAAAGTATTGGAGAGAGCCAGGAGTTGCGGCATGTGGCTCAGAAGCTTATGTCGCATGGGGACCCCGACAAGGCGATCCAGGGTGTATCGGACTTCCATCTCCTGTGCTTCCTGCACGGGCTTTCGACATTCAATAAGGTCAGTTTCATATCTCGACTCAGGTGGCCTGAACAACATCCCTAATTAGTACTAAACGCATTTGGAATAACAGGATGAAGAAGGCCTTCTTTGCCGAGTTGCGACGACCCACTCCACTGCCGATGGAATACAACTGCTGAATACCCCCGGGTGGGCAACCTTGATGACAATCCTTCAAGAGAGTGGTGAGCGCCCCCCTAAGCGCCCCTTGCCCACGGCGGCCAACCCCAAACGGTGGCCCCACTCCGCTGTTGATTCCCCTCGCTCCATGTCCCCCAAATCCGACGGTGAACAGCTTGCTAAAAGGTTCAAGGGAACTAGGCTAGAATGACTGGTTTATCTATATTCGCTATTCGGTCCCTTTTATCATATCCAACTTGCTCGACCCCGGCTCGTGCCGTTGATCATAGAGCTTCTGGCCATTGAGGCAGATTGAGATGCGCCCCTCGAACCAATCTTGCATACCCTTCGTCATTCGCCCAAAATCAAGATAGCCCCGTCGATGCCGGCGTGGAGGGAAAGCGGTGGAAAAGCAAAGCATGAGTGGCAGCATGGTGGTTTTTCTATTTTCTTCGTTTACCATGTCAACTGCTCCCTATTATGGTTTAGTAGGTTGATAGCAAGGTCAGAGTCCATAATACCCGGGGATCTTCACCCAAATCTTCAATCCATGGATCCATCTGCCGATCGAGTAAAATGCCTATTTCATAAACATCGACCCGGCTTTATACCTTTGCAGGCATATACTACCCGTGGCCTGCAGTCTACTGGGCCCAGCATTTCGAAGTGTATCATTAAACATCATATTTCACAATCTGTTATTATTATAATCATCAATACAATACGGTCCAAGCGGAAACACTGCTCAGAACAATATCAAACATTCTCATATATAGTCTCACCGAGGTTGCGATATCTTGCTTTCCTTCACGATATCCCGCAGTCGTTGTTCCAGAACGGACCGACCCTCCGCATTGGTCCAGATCTCATGCGGGGCATCATGAACAACATCCCAGGAGAGTAGCTTGTTCGTGATATGGGAGAGATCCTCCTGAAATTTTGCCCACTCTGAGTTCCTGCGAATCTCCTGGCCAGAGCTTACCACGACCAATGGTGTCGCCCCCATTTGGATGTGGCGAGCAGACTGTACTTCGGCCGCTGTCATCGAGACTGCGACCAGGCTTTCCTGCAATTTTGCTTTGATAAATTTCCCGGATTGATAGGCAGACCGTCCAACTACCCGATCCTCGCGAGTGCGGCCACGCACTAGAGCGCCCGCCAAGCGATCAAGCCCAAGTGGGGAGATCACACCGCGAAGCCAAAGAACGAAGCCCCGGCTGGGCTTTCCAATGTCTTTCAGGTATGTCTCGTGCAGTGGATCGATGAGGAAAATACCGCGCACTTCAAGCAAATGGCGGCTTGCAAAGAGTCGGGAATATAGACTGCCGACCCCAGCGGAGACAACAACCCATGGACCAGACTCATCAGCCAACGCTAAGGCCTCGGAGAGGACGTCGACAGCCATTCCTGCAGAATGTGGCGATGGTGCATTGTCTGACCAGCCTAGCCCTGGTCGATCCCAATAGCAATATCGACTTATAACCCCATTTTGGTATGCCTCGTCGATGAATGGTTGCAATGTGTATTCAACAGGACCATAGTCCCCCTCAAGCAAAATAGTAGGCTCATGGGCATTATCTGTGGTATTATTTCCCACGCAGGCAAGGTGGACTTGATAACTGTCACCACGAACAGAGTAACGCTGACCAGGAGGCTCAAGTGATGCATCACGAGCACGTAGGATCAAAGTTGCCGTGAAGAGGACTGTAGCGATGGTCATGACCACCAAGACAACTGTTTCTACTAGCAATGCCAGCCACTCTTGCAGCGAGCGACGGGTCTCTTCACGTCCGGTAAGTCTCTCTTCCTCTTCTCGTTTGCCCCATGTCACAGCTTGGTTTTGGATGACTTGATACAAAGAGATAGCAACCACCCAGGCAACGGACGCGATACCAACCCAACCTTCTTCGAGTCGAATTCGTGGCACAGCCAGAATAACAATCATATCTACCAGGAGTAGTCCAGCCAGAATACTGCCCCAAATGGTCGTGGCCTTGGAAGGTACTGTAAAGAAAAGCAAGCCGAGGACCAGGTATCCGGTTGCGAGAGTGGTATATGAAAATGCGAAAAATCCCGAGCCACGGGCATGCATCATTGGTGGACTAACAAATATGGACACTAACAGAAACGTCCACCATATGAAGCTGATGGCCAAGGCTAGTAGAGAAACGGCACGTAACGCGCGCACACTCCATATATTATAAGGCGATACCTTGTATGGATTAGCTCATGATGCACGGATCTTCCTTTTTCGATGAAAAAACATACCGCTGGATCATCAGGGCTCAGATACGCCTGGCCAGTCTCTGGTAGCAATCGTGTACGTTCTGTTGGTTGAGGTGTTCGATCATCTGCATTCTGGTCATCGTGCTCCGAGCGTTGATGTGACTGCTCGTCAGTTCTATGCCCCCATAGAGATACCATCTTAAATCCTTGTCACCTTGGAATATATCGGATAAATGAAGCTTGAGAGGATATTATATTAGTGGGGGGGGACCAAGTGTAACAACCTTAATGACATCTGACGTCATACATTCGATATCCAGTTCTCGGCAGGAAAAGGTTGGACAAGGACATTTGGGACCTTGGGAGGATAACAGACTACGTAGTAATCCAGGAGATTGGCTCGATTTGGTTATAGCATCGGATTGGTGCGACCTGCCTTGTATATAGCTTTGAAGCTATCAAGCGTCTAGTACCCTGAACCTTGAAGATCCCCCAAGATGAAAGAGACGGGGTTCACCCGAGCGCGAGAAGATTCAAATAGAATATGATCATCAGCATTCAAATCAAACTTCATTGGTGACTTGTGATGTGACTGAGTGATGTGATTCCATTGTCGAAGTATTCGGACCTTAGTCAGCATCGTCCAGATGTCCGCACTAAATGCGTGAATGAATCGTCCAATCCACACCTACATCCTCGGCGTTCAATATTTGAGAATCAGACAACTCTACTGGATATTTGTAACCACAAACTTGACCTTAATAGTATTCTGTGGTTGATTCGGTCTACAGACACCCAAGTCGAGGCTGTTGACTTTTTGGTCCTTCACCCCCCGCACCCGATGAGCGAGCTCCAGAAATCCTTTGCCAAATCCAAATTGGCCAGATTCTCCCCAGAGGCACCTATGACAAATTCAATTGGCATGCTTAATGAAAAACGAGATGATGATAGCTCTTCGACATCTTCATTATCCTCCACAGGCACACTGGTTCCGTCACCGACGAGACATCTATTCGCCCGAACAAGAAATCCGTTGGTCTACCTTTTCAACTTTGAGTTTGCTCCTGTTGCTCTGCAATGTGCCTGAGAAAGTTGAAAGACCCTGGGGTTTTTCCAAGTTCAGAGCAAACAACGAATGGACTGGCTAACCAACATCTCTAGACAATCTACTCAATCACTGGCATGGACGGACTTCTTTGATCAGGAGCTATTCTTACCTCAGGAATTGGGAAATCTTCATATCATCCATCATGTTTACCTGACTCCGCCAACTCACTCAGGCCCACTTTTCGTGATGCATCACGGCGCAGGCTCCTCTGGCCTTTCATTCGCAACGTGCGCGGAGGAGATCCGGAAAATCCTTCCGAAGGCCGGTGTCTTATCTGTTGATGCGAGGAGGCACGGCCGCACAATGATGACATCAAATTCTGCGGACCTTCTCGATGAAACTCCTTCTGTCTCGGCAGCTGCGCTAGCTGACGCTGATGGTCAGACTCAATTGGATTTGAGGCTTGAAACCTTAAGTAAAGACCTTGTCCATGTGATTCGCAAGACCCAAGAGCGTATGAAGTGGGAAATATTACCTGATATTGTCCTTGTGGGTCACAGCCTGGGTGGTGCGGTCATCACTGATGTCGCCAAGAATGGCAAACTGGGCCCCAAAGTCTTGGCCTATGCGGTCTTGGATGTTGTTGAGGGTGAGTTTTTTGACCGGGTTCGAATTCCCTGGACTTAACCGGTATCTTCTAGGGTCTGCGATGGATGCGCTCCAAAGCATGGAAAAATACCTTTTAACACGGCCAACCCGGTTTCCCTCATTAGAATCAGGAATTGAATGGCAGTATGCACCCATTTGTCTCCACCCTTGTCCTTTGGAGGCGAGTTACTGAACCCCACGATTTCTAGCACCCGGTCCCGGACGATTCGAAACACAACTTCCGCGCGGGCTTCGGTCCCTTCATTGATATACGAAGAAGCTCAACCTGCTGATCCGTCCCGGCCTTGGGTCTGGCGCACCAGCCTATCCGCAACCAAACCTTTCTGGGAGAATTGGTTTGTTGGTCTGAGCAAGAAGTTCCTCGAGGCGAGGGGAGGAAAGCTCCTACTCCTGGCAGGGACAGATAGACTGGACAAAGAACTCATGATCGGCCAGATGCAAGGTATATATACCACGCTTTCCCCTTGAATTAGAGTCCATGCTGATTGACTAGCAGGAAAATATCAACTTCAAGTCTTCCCTGAAGCCGGCCACTTTGTGCAAGAGGATCAACCGACCAAGACAGCACAGGTATTAGTAGACTTCTATAAACGCAATGATCGCAGTGCCTTGGTACTGCCCCCAAAGGTAGCAGATATGCAAGCCGCTGCTGCAATGAAAAAGGGAGTTGGTGCTTCTACTGGTGGGCACTTTGAATAGGTAGCAATGCCGTGATTATATCTTACGTCGGGTAGTACCTCGATGGACCAAATTGGTCTCTATGCCCCAGCATCAATAAAGTAGGCTCTGTAATCATGTTATCCGAGCTATCTACAGTGCAGAAACAATGGATAGTAATGGTGTCTTCTCTAGGCAGCCGTGGCAAGAGAAATTACGTCTGCCGTATCCCATAAACAGGGGGCATTATGATCATTTTCACGTTGTAATTTTTAGAAGACCTGGTGCCATCATACGGAGGTGAGGAACCATTGAGCATCATGGTAAGAGACAGCTTTTGAAGAATAAGATAAGATATAGGTAGATTTCCCACCATCATTAACCATGAACGCCAAAGGTAAAATGCAAGGCGCCACCAAAATTCCACAAAAGACGGTGAAATGTCTGGCTTTAAAGGAAATATCGGACAGATGAAGATGAGACGTAATGAAGAACCGGGGTATTTGCGCCGAATGAAATGAGTTTGCTGGACAACAGAACCGTATTGTCAAAGCCTGCGATGCGTATTCTAAGGGAGATAAGCACCTCCAGCAACAACAAGGTTCATGTTTGTGAACTTGACTTTGTACACAGCGGTCTTCTTCGTCGGGAAAGCACTGATCTGATCAGGAGTCACCACGACGTCCTTGCCCTTCTTCTTCTTGCTTTGAGCGGCGGCCCCTGCAGGAGCATTGGCGGCATCAATCTTGGTAGCGCCAGAGCCTTCAAGCACCCGACCTTGGTTCGCATCCTGAGGACCAGTCACGTCCCAAATCCGGACAGTTCCATCCGCGCCGCCCGAAACCAGCACGGTCGATTCAACACTCCAGCTAAGGGACCAGATCCCACCCTTTCCGTGTCCCCGCATGCGCTTCAACAGTCGACCAGGGGCGAGATCCCACAGGAAAATTGATCCCTGATCATCAGCAGAGGCAAGAATCTTTCCGTCACGGCTGCACTCCATGGCAGTGATATTACCAGTATGACCGGTGAACATTCGTACCGCATTTCCGGTAGTGACGGCCCACATCCGGACCGTGTGGTCACAGCTCGCAGTGAAGATATACGCGGAATTGGGGTGGAAGCAGACACAGTCCACATCTTGGTCGTGGCCGACAAAGATGCGCTGCTGGCGAATATGATCCGTAACCCAGAGGCGAGCCGTCCGGTCAGATCCGCCCGAAACAAAGTAGTGACCAAATGGTCCCCAGCAAAGATCCCAGACAGGTCGATCGTGACCCTTATAGACAACCATGCATTGCCATGTATCTAGAGACCAAAGTCGAATAGTCTTGTCCGCGGAAGATGAAAGAAGGAAACGAGCATTGGTAGGCACGTAGTCATCAGGATGCACGTTCTCGGCGCGTGTAGCCGAGGGCTGGAAAGCAACGGCATAAACAGGACCAGAGTGCCCAATCAAGCGACGGGAATTGGCCGGGGGCTGGTCATCCATTTCGGGATAGGCTGCTTCAATGTTGTTCCCATCAAGGGTCCAGACACGAATGTATGACTGCTCGAAACCGGCGGCCACGAGGATATTGTCGTCGGAGAAGTCGAGGCAATTTATGCTGTGTGTCTGTTAGCATATCGGATATATCAAACTAGGGCCAGGGAACTTACCCATCATAGGTGTTGTGGAAAGTGAACATGCACACACTGACACCAGGGCCCACGCCACCAGTGCGTCCTTCAATCTTATACCGGTCCCGGTTTTCCTTAACCTTCATCACTTCCATGCGCACGTCGCGAGCGGTGGAAGAAGGAAAGGGGATATCAGCGCGGGTGGGCGCCTCGTCATCTTCCTCCTTCTTGATCATCTGCTCGAACTCCTGGGTAAGAGTGTTACGCCCGGCAACAGGGGGTTCCTTGGCATCTTCCTCCGCGAGTTCCGCACGCACATCCTCTTCCATCGCTGGCTCCATCGGCATTTTTCCAAGGCGAAGTCGTGGCAGAGTACCCGCCATGGCTGGATTGTCTCCAGTATAAGCGGAGCCGGGATGGTGACCGGGAATGCCCTCATCCTCAGCAGGGAACGACTGGCCTGCTCCGATCTGGCCCAGCATTGTAGCAAAACTGAACCTATCATCGGCGGCGCGGTCCATGGTCTTGACAACGCAAAAGCTGCTAAGAATGGCGTTCATCACGGATCCTCCTTCTTTTTCCTTGCTTTCTAGGAATTGTAGAAGATTAGTGTATGCGGGGTTACTCAGAACAATTCGATACTTGTTAGTCCGGTAGAGCTTGGCCACTGAGTTGCCCTGGACGTGCTCCGGTAGACTGATGGGTTCGAAGACACGGATATCATCCGTATGTTCCGGAAGGAACATGTTCTTGTTGGCCTCAAAGAAAGCCTTTGCATCCTGAGGGTAGAAAGAGGTAATCATGTTCAGGAACGAGTAGACAAAGAGTGGCCATAGCACCCGACGGAGTTCCGGCTAAATTGCTGTCAGTGAAATGTGCGGTGAGAGGAGTAAGGTGTTACCGACCTTGTACAGGTCAAGGTTTTCTTCCACCCATGTCTTCAAAAGATCTAGATAACACGTTAGAGTTCAGGTATGGCGTGAAAGAGTTCTCGTAGCTTCTTACCAAACCCCTGCTTGAACTTCGGGCGAGCATCTTCCCCAAGAGGAGGTAGAGGGCGACCGTCAATCTCTTGGTTGGCCGACTCCATCCGCAGCATGGCCTCAGTGCGGCTGTATCCTTTTTTGGCCAAGTAATCGATGACCTATATAGATCATCCAGTTAGCTGGGCAACTCAGAACTGACAAATGACATGAAACAGACAGTGTCGTTTCCACTGGGGCTCTCAACCAAGAAATTGGTCAGGGGAGACGGGCGATCATTCCGCTTGGCGGTGCTCTGCACTGGTCCTGAAACCCCCGCGGTCGTATGAGCCTGCCTTTTCTCAGGCAGTTCACGCTGCGATGGCGGGGTCTGCCGAGGGAGCCACGGGCGTTGCGAGGGCTCTGTCTCAACACTGACCGTGGGGGTTAGAGGTGCCGCAGAGCCTCGCTTGGTCTTGGACTTGCGCGGGGCACGTTTCTTTGGGGGCGCTCGAGGCATGACTTGGCAAAGGAAGGCTGAACAAAGGATGGATTGGGAAGAAATGGGAAAGAAGATGAGAATGGCAGGCAACGGAGGTGTTAAGAGCAAGATAAAGGGAGGAAAGTAAAGAATTGTTCAAGTGTCAACACATCAACAGTTCCCTAATCGGGCAAGGACTTGACCATTAGGGAAGGCTTTTCTTCGGCATTTCCTCTACAAATGAAGCCTCGCTTCAAGTGAGATTAACCAGAACATCACCAGGGTGCCATAAACACCATACTGTCCAGGGTCTCATCATTGATATCCAAGCCCGTGTTCTAAAATTAAAATGCATATGAAGGGGGTAAAACCATACAAAGCATTGAAACGGGAAGAATCATGGGGAAAGCATGAAATGTACTTGCAGGGCTAGGCAGGGGTAGACTGAATGCTGATTGTCATATACGAAATGCCACTCACGATTTGGTTCAGGTTCTGCTGTGACATAGCACCACTTTGCGGCGGTGGTGGGCCAGGGGTCGGCGGTGGATGTACCGGCTGGCCAGAAAGAGGCTGTTGAGAATTCATAGGCATCCCATTTGCACCAGGGCCCATACTGCCGCTGCGAGGCACAGGGCTAGGGGCACCGCCAGGCGCGGACATGATAATTAAGTTGGGTTTGAGAACCAGTGAAAGATGGCACAGAAGGAAATGTGGGTTCAAGCACGTTATAACTATAAAACGAGTGAAAGACGTAAGAGGATGAGCGGGATCAGATGGAATAACGGAGGTACAAGATGGGGAAGCGATTTTGATATCTCAATGGATCCGGTTAGTGTCACCGCCTTCCAACCCCAGATTCACCACGTGATGTAATTGCTTCAACTTTCCATTCTGTTGATGAACACTTTCTATTGTGAAAAGTATTGATCCCGTGAAATGGAGGACTCTTCACCAGAACATATCTTTAGCTCTGCTGATCGAATCCGACAACTCAATGATGTTGACGAGGTACATGCAAGCTTCCTGAAGCTTGAAAATGGCTTACTAACCAGACGATGACTCCAGGACGTCGCAAAATTGATCCAGTCTGCTGGTCTTGCAATCCAGGCTTTGACGAATGCGAAGCCAAACTCATCTTCTCCCGCATACGGTTCCCTCGAATCTCACAAGACCCAGTTTAAAGAAGCCACCGCACAATACTTCGCCCTCCTGTCTTCCATTGACGTGCGACTCCGACGCCAAGTCTACGCTCTAGAGGAAGCTTCGGTGTTGGGACCTGAGACTAGTTCACGCGCAGGCGATGCGACTGGCTCGGGCGCAAATGCTGCGGCTGGTACTGGCGCAGGATCTGGCGCTGCCAACCCGCTAGATATCAGTTGGTTGAACAGTCGGAAGGATACGGTCGGGAAGGACAAGGAGGCAGAGCTATGGGCATCAGCAAGACAATTTGTCGAGCAATTGGGCCACTCGGCCTCGCAGAGCTCACCGAAGCCAAACGGGGATGCCGAGCAGATGCAGGTCGATTGATTCAGGTATACATTGTTGAGTTGCAAACCGGAGTAGGGAAGGATTTATGCTTTGTTTTGATACCCCAAATTACCAGGTGCGGCATCGATTGATGCACAGGCATGGCAGATCTATTGCCACGGAGCTTTGACTACAAGAATCTGGATTGGACTTGGTTTTATACATGAATACAGAGCGGATGATATTGGTGAGTAAAACTATGCAAAGACAGAAAAGAAGGGGAGACCGACAAAAGGTCTACCATGGGCTCCCAGAGCCGTTCGAGGAGTCAAGATTGCAAACCCATTTCTATTTTTGCATGGACTTGATCATCTCCAGTTGCGTTGCGCGGTCCCGATTTGTCTCCGAAAGGGGTGCGAGACCTGATAGATCACATTAGCAATGTTTAGCAGCAATTGGCCGATGATGAGTCAGTTCACTTACTCCGAAGCTCGCCAACGACGTCCTTGGCCTTGCCAAAGTAAACCTCCTCTAGAAAATCAATCATGTCAGCAACAAATTAGCACTTCAGCGATGGGTTCAGACATACGTAGCAAGTTCCGCATCTTCAATTCCATATCCTCCACTAGCCTGCCCACATTTGCGACGTGGCTGGCATCCGATTCTACGGGCAGATCCACTTCGACCTGGCGAGTCATGTTGCCGCTCAGGTCCATCTCGCCGAGAGCCGGGCTTTCACTGGCCAAGTGGAGGATGACGGTGCTTGTCAGTTTGTAGTGGGACATGCGAGCCCGATCGGTGGCCTCGAAGACGTGGATACTGTCCCACGCGCCTGAGCTCTGGGAACCGGGCGTCACCCCTGGGTACATGGAATCGTCAGTTACAGTCCCTTTCATACAAGTGCCCAGTAGCGTTGGAAACACCTACCCTTTTTCAAGAGGATAACTCCCGCAAATCCATCATCCAAATCCCAAAAGTAGACACTTCCGACACCGCCCTCGTAGTAGAGCTCCCGATAAACATCAAAGGCATCGTTGGCCGCGACCTCCAGCTTGCGCACACGCTCACTCGGCACGGTGCCATCCTCGAGTGGAGGGTCGAATTCGTTGCTCCATGGTGAGCGATAGCTGTCCCCGTCACGGTTGTAGTCGCAGAGGAGGTAGTCCCGGTTAGTCTTTTTGCATCGGCGGATCTCCAAAGGTTGATCAACAGAGGAGAGAAGATCTTCGGTGAGATCGGGCACAATCGTTGTAATGGCTTGGAGGTTAGCCTTGGTGTCGCGAGGATTCAGGCGGCGAAGAAGATCGCTAGAGAGACAGTGGTCAGCTTCGTGCACTTGCGGGCGGGGTTACTGTAGGGGATCAGATTGCGGAGCCCAACGGAGTCGATTGTAGATTATCGGGAGGTTGAAGGAGACCTTGAGGGACGATGAAGCATTGGGAGGTTTCAGAGTACTTACAGAGCGCTGTCAAACTGTGCATCAGCCATGGTGGATGAGGTGATGGGGGGGATATTTTGTCTGTTGATGATGCTCGCCCGCGGAAGTTGATGAGCACTGAGAGGAGGTGCGTGGGCCCAACTGGGTCGGCCGTCGTAGTATCTCCGATCTATATATCCCCGCAGAGTCAGGACATCACTCTGTGACTAGTTACTTAGTACAGATTATCTAATACGATCTGAAGCACAATAATACATACTCAGGAAAAAAGTCAACATAGAAAATGCTTACACAGCCAATGTAGTGCATTCTGCCTTGCACGTGTGGCTGTGCTAGGCCCAACAAAGCAGCTTCACTGGTATATCATAGCAACAAATATATGTACCATGTAGGCCCTAGCTCCTTCGTGAATAAGCAAAGCCATACTGCTAGGTAAGCTCATACGCAAGATCTTCGGCATATTCCTCATACTACAACAGAAAATCTTCCATGTCTACCTACCCTGTATCATACCATATCTCCTACCGCTTTTCTACCGTATTAGTAAAAAGGTTGAAGTGCTCTCCAAAACAATAAGAGTCAATTGGAGAGAAGAAAGGAGACGGGAGGAAAGGAAAAATCAGGTGAAGGTTTTAACTTGTGTACAAAACTCTCAACGGTGTGCCCTTGTAATAGAGGGGTTGGTATATATATCTTGATCTTTCCTACCTACTTCAAGCTCAATGTTTGCAGAATCCCACAAGGGCTAAAGAGACATAGACGATCCAATGCCCTTGGTCAATAATGGACCTCGGGGTCAGTTTCCAAGTAATTAACAGGTTTATAAGGCCCAGAAAATTGGTGCAGGTGTCGAATGGATCTGTGTACATCCGGGTGATGCATATGATGTTTTAGGATGTCTCAGTACTGTGACAAGATCACATGCAAGATTAAACTTGATTTAATGCTATATTTATATCACTGGATCTGATTAATTCCCTTGCGATACCACTCTGTGAGTAAAATTAAGGGGTACGGAAGGCAGCGATACTTATATCACCTTGACTTATGGTATTGCACACATGAAGACGTCTGGGAACACATAAGTAGCTAATGATCATCCAAGAAGAGTCTAAACTCTCTTGACAATCCAGTATATGATAGACTGAATGGTTTCTCTTGAACTACTGATCCATGTGATTGATTCAGCAAGGAAACTAGTAGATGGAATACGTAGACCGCATGGAAGACAGGAATGGGAAACGTCAGTTTTTTTTTCGGAATGGAGTTTTCCATCTCATTTGAATTCAATACAAATTGGACGTGGTAGATTGAGGCAGAAACCTTTGGTATTGAATCTTGTCTTCTTGATATTTTCTTCTTTCCCTTAACCTCTTTCACTTTGTTTACCTTTCCCAACCCAGTACCTCAACTTCATTTCAAAATCTCGCCTTCCAAACAGCCCATCCTTCCCACACGTCTCTCATCTCGAAAATGAATCTCATTCTCATCGTACTTTGTGCCTTGCTGCCTCTCGTGACCGCTGATGCTGTCAACGACCAGTGCGCCAAGCTGTGTATGTTGTGACCTGTTCATCAAATTGATAATTGGCATCTGATAACATTCTCTTTTTCAGGCAACGCCAGTGACGTGTGCTGCATCGCCAAGTGTTATAAGGTCCCTTGCCCTGATGCTACTCAGGTCGAAGAAAGCAACAAGTGTGCCGCCGCTTGCCCCCAAGGCAATGGCAGCACCGGCGATACGCAGAAGTATGCCGACTGTCTGCAAAAGTGCTTCGACCATTACTACATCGGTACTGATGGTGTTACTCCTGCGATCGTGCCTGTTGACACCTCTTCCTCTGGCACCATTGTCCACAGCACTACTGTTTCTGGCACCACTGTCTCTGGCACCACTATGACCGTTCCTGGATTCACTGTCTCTGGAACCACCGAGCATGACACCACGGTTCATGGCACCACTGCCTCTGGCACCACTGTGACCGTTCCTGGAGTCATTGTCTCTGGAACCACCGTGCATGACACCACGGTTCCTGAAACCACTGTTACGGGCGTCCATACTACCCAGACTGATGCCACAGCCCAGTCAGGCAGCAGCAAAGGTACGTGAAGGATATCATCAAGTTGAAAGTCCTCAAACCTCATACATAGTCTCACAGCCACCTCCACTGCTGATGGAAGCGCCATCAGCGGATCATCCAGCACCAACGCTAACGCTATGGCTACCCACGTCTCCAACGCGGTCGCAAATGTCAATATGGGTGCTTTGAGCGTCGGGATCTCCGGTCTGGTGCTCGCCGCTTTGGCTCTGTGAGCAATTTAATAGCAGCTTCACCTGATGGGATGTTGACTTTCGGATCAGGCCTGGTTCTTGACGGGAATTTAGCTTCTTTTGCCCGTACTGCGCTTTTTTATCTGTTACTACGATATGCGTGATAGTCGTCCTTATTTTAACTAAAGCCTGGCCGTCAAATCTTACATCAATGAGTTCCAATCTGGATTTTAGTACAGCGTCTTTGGTCTAGACTCTAGAGTGAACATACCGAGCAAACCAAATCCACATCGGGTCGATCAGGATTTCAATTTGCGTAGATCATACCCCACTGCGATTCCCCGCATGAAGCTACACGCCGGGCTTGGGATTTGAATATGCACCGCACCCGCAGGGTCTATGCAGGGCAGCAGGGGATCGATGAGCCGAGACTTCGGGCTGCAGCAGATAAAACCAGCGCCACTTCACCGCCAACGCGAACGAACGCCTAGAGTTTACGGAAAATTGAGTTTCTTCTCTGCATCTCCCATGCAAAAAGAACCTCGATCATTTAGCTTGAATTGGACTTAAGTTCCTGACAATACAATCATTGGAAGCGCCAGAAAACAGAAATTCTAGCACCAAACAAAGACTCGAGAGCAAGCATGGCCCCAACACCCAGCATGTCAGAAACCACCCCGCAATTCGAGAGTCTATACACCGAAATGTCCAGCTTTGTGGATACTTGCATGTCAGGCCATGACCCCTCACACAATCCGCCTCATGTCCACCGGGTAGTCAAACTAGCCCTCCGAATTCTAGAAGGAGAACGGCAGCTAAACCCGGGAGCTGAGTACTCCGGTGCCGTGGTAAAGCTCGCAGCCCTGCTTCACGATATTGGAGATCGAAAATATCTGCCAAACATGTCAACGGATACCGAGGCGGCATCTTTAGATCCAAAGACAATGGTCGAACACGCCCTGTTGCAGCGTGGTGCACCCGCAGACCTAGCTTCCAGCGTCCAAACCATCGTGTCCCATGTATCATATTCCACCGAATGCAAGGACCCCTCCGTTATTCGGGGACTGATTGATGAAGGATTGGTGGAGCTTGCCATTGTGCAAGATGCCGATCGACTGGATGCTATAGGAGCCATTGGTATTGGACGATGTTTTACTTTCTTGGGTGCCCAGGGAAAAAAATTTGCCGGGCAAGGGGGCTGGGTGATGGATAATGCAATTGAGCATTTTGGGGACAAGTTGGAGAAGCTTGAGGGCATGATGAAGACGGCAACGGGGAGGAAAATGGCTCGTGTGCGGACAGAGAGGTTGAAAGTCTTTGAGGGGTGGTGGAAAGAGGAGATGACGGAGTCAATTTAAGAGGCATAAACCGCCCTGCATACGACGGACTTTTCTATGTTGAATACGGACCCTGAGAAGGACCGAGTTTATATTGATGTGCATAGCTAATCCAGGCCTGGAAGGAGTGGCAGGCAATGACAGAGAAGCCAGGAATTAGAAGTCAGAAAAGCACTCCAACGTCAAAAAGATCACAAAACCGCCCGTCTATCAAATGCAATGGAAATAAGTACAAGTTTGGGTATTTGAGTTTCTGTGTGAGCAATTGAAAATCTGAGAAGCAGACCAGGTGGTCCACGCTGGACCATAGGTCCATCTGATGTAATTTCATAAGAATGAAACAAGCAGCACAGGTGTCCGAAATGAAAAAAAAAAGCACCGACTCCGTGTAGTTCTTCAACGCCGTACGCGTAAGCATAAAGTTCTAAATCATCAAAAGAAAAGAAAAAGGATGCAAAAGGGGGAAAAGGGAGAAAAATTAAGAGATCAGACTCGGTCCCGAGCAAAGTCCAGAACCTCACAGTCATCCTCAAAGAAGCCATCATCAGTCTTGAGGGGAGGTGACGCTTTCTTCTTTCGTCGGGTGGTAATAACTACCTCCTCGACATGACCGGTACTGTTGGCCAAACTTATGAGATTCTCTATTTCACCACCAGCACCAAATGAGTGTCCATGGACGGCGGCGTCTTCGTCTTCATCGTCCGCATTGTCATCGCCACTATTGTTGTACGATTTGACGTGTACCTTCGTAGTTGTAATATTGCCTCCAAAGACCCACTGTTCGCTAGTTTTTGCCACGGTCGGATCAGCGTCATTGCCATGACAAGAATAGACATGCAAGCCAACCCGCTGGTCAGTGTGGAAAGGCTGGTATGGTGTGTTGGTTTCAATCTCCGCCTGGGAGAGGGGCTGACACAAGGATCTACTCGTACTTGAGGGGTTCGCGCCGGCCGATGGCAAAAGAAGCGTTGCCTTCACCGATAAGTCCGGATCGTAGGGTTTCAAAAGCGCTGGTCCACAGGGGGTTTGCAGTGTAGCAGGTAGCTTGTATTGTCTCTCCTTGCTGCCAATCACAGAGTGAAATTGACGGTTCTTGTGGTTCGTCGCAGCTCGTTTGAGGCGATACAGCTTGAAATTCCCATCATCCACCACGCCTAGGTATATTAGACCTTTGTTACAGATCCAAACCACACGGGACGGGGCTGGGTCTCGTGCGAGTCCTGCCAAGTGGAGTCGGTTTTCCCCGACATGTCGCAGGGTGTGAACGGTACCAGTAGCGGCAGCACCCATGGATTTGCTAAGCCCTGCTGCAACCACCTTCCCTCCTTTAATACCGGCTGCGGTGGGTAAAGCGAATCCGCTGATGTTCGGGAATGCAGTGCCACTTGTTGAAGGAACACGGCCTCGGACAGCGGAGAAGAAGGGCTGGGTCTTCCCTCCGACCAACTTCATAGCCGCTGACAACGGATTTCCACCGGTCGCTTGGCCTGAAATCTCGTCACTCATGGGATCGATGGTCGGGGACTTCTTGGGGGCTGAGCGAACTCGGCGGAAAGGAGGCCATTGAAACGCACTTTGAGGAAGGTCAAACACATGAACAGTCCCCTTACGAGTAATAATGGCCAGCCGATCACCCACCGGTGAGGTCCAAATCACATCGACAATACTCGATGTCGTCAACCGAGCGTATCTCGCTACCTGACGCACATTGGGGCTCTGATCAACCAAGTCATCAGCCATGAATGCCATTGCTCGGCAATTCTTGATCTGCATGAGATCCCAGACGTATTGAACGTCACCCTTCTTGCTAGCAGTGAAAAGCATCAGCCCATTAGGCGATAGGGAGAGAAAGCTGCAGCCGTTGGGCGCCTGAAAGGTTGCCACAGGATTGAGGGAGGTCGTCTTCACGTCCATGCCGTCATCAAACCGCTGCAGGTCAATAATTGATACCGCATCAGGAGCAAGAGAGTTTGTCAACTGCGTTTCCTGAGCGTGCGTTGGTGGGAATATCCCGTATCCCGAGACTGGGGAATCTGTGCCCCGACTTGGGCGCTGCGGAGGCGTGCTAGTAGGATTCTGGCTATTCCAATAGGTATTCCAGGCTTGCATTCCCTGATCTCCCATCCAGCGAGCACCTTTGACAAGCTCCTGTGTGACGCCTCTGGCAACCTTGTCGAGAAAGCTTTCGCCTTCGCCAACGTCCGTGGCACAGTTCACAGAGGGAATAGCAGAGGGGCTCCGAGTCTCAAGCCCTTGAGCCCGACCATGCACCAGGTTTGCAGGGACTATTCCTTGAATAGATGCCCTGTACGAGGAGGACGGAGGTACAATAGCAAGCCATCTCCCCTGTAAAGCTAAAATAGGACGCTCCGACAACGACGTGCGAGGCAGGTCATAGTGAGAGCCATCCGGGTCGGTTGAGCTAGAAGATGCAGAGTACCGTCGACTTTCTCCTGTCTGTACATTTGTCCAGGTTTTCCCCAAGCACTGATAAGACCCCGAAGAAGTTTGCCGATAAACATAAACTTCTCCACTGATACCAGAAGCTACAATAACATGGTTCCCACTAGCCATGAGCTTCAAACTACCCACAGGAGATGGTGCCAGAGATGGCAGACCAGGAATATTCTCCAGAGACGGTATAGGTTTACTTGAAAATAGGGTTGCAACATGATCCCCAGACCGAAGGGAATATACTTCTACCCGGGTCTGGAAGAGCGGGGTATCGTCTCGAAGTGGGCGTCTGTCACTCGAATGACCCCGCGTCATGGACGGGGGCACTTCATTGATCTCAGAGCCCGCCGACGAGGCACGCCCCTCTTCCTCGTTCGGTGCTAATGGCCCATGAATGATGACGGCCACGTGGGCCTGAAAGGATGCAGGTGACTCCGTGGGGGAGTGGCTAGGAACGATCTTTGCCTCGAGAATACGGCCATTGAGACCGGTGATCTGCCCGATGAGACGCGTTCGCTGGTCTTCGATCGCCTGGACTTCCAATCCACTGTCTGTTCCTACCACCAGAACATTCAAGACACCTCGTGACGCCTTTGACAGATTTGGAAGAGTATCAAATCCACAGAAAGAATAAGCGCCATCCGTGACCGGGCGAGGATGGGACGGAATGTCGATTTCCGGGGCGCCGTAGAAATGGGCCTGAGGGAGGTGAGGCGGGGGTGCAAGATGACTCATTGGACTTCCATAGGAGTGGCTCTTCCGTCGATCTACAGACTGCTGCCGGGAATGCATATTGCTTCGGTACCCACTGCTGTAGCTGAATGGTCGAAGCCGCGTAGGGGGCGATGCCGAAGAAGGTTGACTGAAGCCGCCCCGCTCTTGGATAGTGGGGAAATTGAGGGAGGAGTCATGAGGAACCTCGCCATCCATCAGATCCGTCGGGGGGCTCTTCCCAAAAGGAACCGATTGGGCCCATGTGTCGGTACGACTGGTGAGATCGTTGTCCGTGTTATCTCCCATTGAGCCGAGCACGTCGAGGACGGGTGATGTCACGGTGGGTTGAACATGATGTTCCAGAGGGGGATCTGGATAAGAGGATGGCTCTAGAGGCGGAGGCTCCGATGGTTGAACCCTGAAAAAAGAACATTAGAACTGTTGGGGGGGTCCCTCAAGGGAAAATTCCAAGGAGTTTCATACACTTCATTTGGAGTCTCTGACTCCGTGACGGCTCTGGCCGCAGCCTTGGCTTTTTTGCTATTTTTCTTCTTTTTGACCTTTCCACTTGACTCATGCTCTGGAATGATGCGTTGATCAGTGCTGAAAGATGTATCGTCTTCTAGCGACCGGCTCTGCTGTCGGATCAAATCGTCAGGTGCGGCCGGGGGCATTCAACTGGAGTGTGCCTCGAGGAGACACTAGACAGATCAAAGCACTATGGAGCCGCTCTCAGGACCCGTGAGGAGGTCTGAGAACGGAGGATGAACGATCTGTTGCTGATCGTAGCGTGATGGACCAGTTAGGAAGTACAAAAGGAGGGGTTCGATTCTAGGTGCCACCATCAGAACAGTTCACAGTCGTCCATTTGTACTCTCCGGCTGCAGCGGCAGGGGAGAAGAGAGTGTATATGCTTCATATATCTTATTCAGACTCACCTATTCAGTTGGTTAGGTTAGATAACAGTTGGTCGAATTCTGTCGAGTTTGGAGGGATTTGGAGGAACCGAGGCGTATCAAGAGCGGAGTTCACTCTAGATACGCGGGGAAGCTGATAAGAGTGATAATGTGTATTGTATGACGAAAACAGCACTCACTGGGATGTTAATCCAGTCAGTGCCTAAATGAAGATTTGAATCAAATATATAAGGTATTTAATCCTGAGATGGATGTGTAAAGAAGATGAAAGCGGAGGGGGGGACGAGGGAAGTAAACGCGGTCCCTGAGTCAGAAGAGCCGTGACCAAATGACCCCTCAGCTGTTCAGCCGGGAGACCCAGGTGGTCCATACTTTCCCCCCTTTTACTATGTATTGATTACAACAAACACATAACTTGAAATCCAAGGTTATCTCCCATAACCTTTTTATTCATTGACTACATTCTTATCTAAGCATGGCCACTTTGAACCCATGGTCCATGAAACCTTCGTCATTGTTCCCCGATCATAGCCGTTTTACCTTTCAAGGTCCAGGAAATAAAGCCAAATCAATATCTGGTGGGGAATGTGAGGGTCACGGGGATAAACAGTGACGCGGTATTAATCTTGGAAAGTTGCTGACGCTGATCATTCAAGTAATCGGTTCCTGTTCTACCGATCACGCCTAGTCCGAAGATAGCCAGCGCCACGTTCTTGCATCAGGCCTGTTCGCCAAAGTTGGAACTGGAAGGGAATAGGACCTTCCATAAAGGAGAAAATTTGTTTTGATTCTTCTATTAGATTTGGACGAGATTTTCATAGTCAAGACCTGGTAGTGATGGTGATACAGGGACCCCATGTGGGGCCGAGAGTAGTTTAGAGATTCCCCTGATCAAGTCTTCTTCTTTGCAGCAGCCTTGGCCTTAGCAGCCTTCTTCTTGTTGCTGTTGATCATCACAATTCCTATGAAAGTTCCCACCACAGCGGAGCCCAATAAGGCCAAGATGACGGGGATACGGATGGCCCACACGCGGGGAGGAAAGAGGTCGTGGAGAGGGTGCCCGGGGTCAACGAAGGGCTGTTGAAGCAAGCAGAGCAATTAGTATGGGACGGATCCAAATAGTAGGGTTTTGTTTAAAAAAAGATAGACACACCATCAACAACGTCCAGGCGGTATAGTAAAGAAAGATTGCAGTAGCAGCCAAAAGCATGGCGGATCCCACGAGTTGGCCCAGCTTTAACAGATCAATGGTCAGTAAATATGCAAATATAGAGGTCAGCCGAACAAACCATATTTTTCTTTATCAAAATGAATGGTCAAGGGAAGAGAGTGAAAGGCCTGGAGATGATCACGATCACTTGGGGTTTCAAGGAGCTCCGCGTCTTTGGTTTCAATCGCGCGACTTGGCCTCCAGGTCACGTGACTCAAGAGCTTTCGTTTTGGGTAGCGCGGATCCGAGTTAAGACTTGCAACATTCAAACCTCATCCTCTCGACCCGTCTCTTCCCCCACCTCACGAATCCGAACTCCCCCCCTTCGGAAATTCTCGAGGCCCTCACTATGGACGACCCGGCCGTCCTCCAGTCGGCGGTACGAGTGCCCACTCCTCCTCCGGGCGCGTTGTCGCCCACCGCAGCTTCGCGAAAGCGCTCGCCTCCTTCGCGATCACCCTCTCCGAATCGTCGTCGCTCCCCACCAGGAGATTCATCCAGAGATGATGCAGATGCCTCTGGAATTGACTCGGCCCGTGCGATCGAGCGAGAGCGCCAGCTCGCTGATCGAGTCCGCGAACATGAACGGCAGGAAACCCGCAAGCCGCTGACCGAGGAAGAGAAACAAGCCTCTGCAAAGGCCGAGTACGAAAAACTTCTCAACATGCGATCAGGTGGTACCTACATCCCTCCGGCACGCCTCCGTGCACTGCAGGCTCAGATCACGGACAAGACCAGCAAGGAGTACCAGCGCATGGCATGGGAGGCATTGAAGAAATCGATCAATGGTTTGATCAACAAAATCAATGTGTCTAATATCAAGTATATTGTTCCAGAGCTATTTGGTGAGAATTTGGTCCGAGGTCGAGGCCTATTTTGCCGTTCCATCATGAAGGCGCAGGCGGCTAGTTTGCCTTTCACTCCCATCTACGCTGCGATGACCGCCATCGTCAACACAAAGCTGCCCCAAGTGGGGGAATTACTGCTCTCCCGGTTGATCATTCAATTCCGAAAAGCGTTTAAGAGAAATGACAAAGCGGTTTGTATTTCATCGACGACTTTTATCGCGCACCTGTGCAACACCCAGGTCGCGCATGAGATGCTTGCAGCTCAGATTCTGCTGCTTCTGCTCCACAAGCCCACTGACGATAGTGTGGAAATCGCAGTGGGGTTGACTCGAGAAGTTGGTCAGCACTTGGAGGAGATGAACCCCCCGATTGCGCTGGCTGTCTTCGACCAGTTCCGCAACATCCTCCATGAAGCTGATATCGACAAGCGAGTGCAGTACATGATTGAGGTGCTGTTTCAAGTCCGCAAAGACCGCTACAAGGACAATCCCGCGGTCAAGGAGGAGCTTGATCTGGTGGAAGAAGAAGATCAAATCACACATCGTCTTGGCTTGGACGACGAAATCGAAACACAAGACACGCTTAACATCTTCAAGTTTGACTCGGAGTGGGAGCAGCATGAGGAAGCTTACAAGAAGCTAAAGGCCGAGATCCTTGGCGAGGACAGCGATGAGGATGAGGATGACGAGAATGAAGACGAGAGCTCGGAAGAAGAATCGGATGCGGAGGAAGAGAAGATGGACATCAAGGATCAGAGCAATACGGATCTGGTCAATTTACGTCGAACGATCTATTTGACGATCATGTCTAGTATCGACTTCGAAGAATGTTGTCATAAGCTAATGAAAATCAACCTCCCCGCTGGGTTGGAACCGGAACTGCCCTCAATGATCATTGAGTGTTGCTCCCAAGAGCGCACATTCTCCAAATTCTATGGCCTGATCGGCGAAAGATTTGCCAAGATCAACCGACTGTGGTCAGATTTGTTCGAGGCGGCATTTGCCAAATACTACGACACCATTCATCGCTATGAGACGAACCGACTACGCAACATCGCACGCTTCTTTGGACATATGATCAGCAACGACGCTATTGGGTGGCATGTCCTCTCCGTTGTCCATATGAATGAGGAGGAGACCACCTCAAGCAGTCGAATCTTCATCAAGATCTTGTTCCAAGATCTGGCCGAGCACATGGGCTTACCGACTCTGCAGTCTCGTTTCCGCGATGAAATTCTTCGCCTAAGTTTCGAGGGCCTGTTCCCGACGGACAACCCTCGACACACTCGCTTCTCTATCAACTACTTCACCAGTATCGGTATGGGTGCTTTGACAGAGGACATGCGGGAGCATCTCAAGAACGCCCCGAAGCCCGCATTACCCGCATTACCGGCTGCGAGATCCCCATCCCGCTCGCCATCTATTCGCTCTCACCCAGCATCATGCTCGACATGCACCCCTCGCTCATCCCGATCTCCCTCTCGTTCCCGTTCCCGCACCCGCTCCCGCACCCGCTCCCGCTCACTTTCATACTCTCGATCTCGTTCAAGGGACCGGGGCCGCTCCTACTCTCGTTCCATCACGCCGTCTTCCCGAGGTCGGAGCTACACACCCTCTCGATCCCGGTCTCCACTTCGTCAAGGGCGTCGCGATGGGTCTCACAGTCGATCCAGGACGCCATCTGATCGTGCACGGTCTGTCTCACGTACACGTCCTCGGCACACTCGAGCTCGCTCTAGCTCTCGTACTCCCAGTCGTAGCCCGTACCGACCTCGGCGCTCCGTGACACGATCGGTTACACCGCCACGACGTGGACGCAGCTACTCGCGATCAATCTCCCGCTCAGTCACTCCTCCTCGGGGCCCAGCATCTAAGAGTGTTAGACGATCCTCTGTATCCGTATCCCCTCGCCGAGAACGCGATCGGTCTCCTGGCCTTGCACCGCACACACACCCAACACGAAGGGATGGTTCGCGCCGGCGCTATTCCCAGACCCCCCCTCGCCGACGTTGAGTGGTGGCCTGCGGCATGAAATCCATCCTTGTTCAACTCGAGCAGAAGAACGCACTTCGATTTTTTGATATCTTGTGATTGATTGTTTAGGTGATTGGGTTGACGAAGTCTGGTCTGGTGGAACATGAACAATTGGAAAACGGCTGTATTTAACTATTCATTACATTATCCTTGGCCTTTTCCTGCGATAATCTACCTCTTCATTAGTTGGGCAACTGCGGGTCCCGCGCTTGAAACACCCAACGCCCGGCATTCCTTTCTCCCTTTTGTTTTCTTTTCTTTCAGGTTCTTTACTTCAGGTTCTTTACTTCAAGTATTTAACAAGTACCGTAAGAGAGAAGGCAGGAGATATTATGGAAGGCCAAATAGGACATGGGATAGGATGTATAGGAACTATCGTAGAAATTTGAAACATAAGGAAATCCTATGGAAATACCATGCATACTATGTTCATAGATAAGGTCAATCAAGTCTATTGGGTATCTCAATAATCCACCTCCGGTCTATACACATAGACGTCTTCAAAGCCTTGGAATAAACCACTCAAATCTCATGCGCCTCCCATACACACCGATCACATCGACAGTTTCCACCCAAAGCACCAGACGCCCACTCTCTCCGCTTATCCACTGGCAGCCCGATATCGCAATAGTGATTCAAGATCTCTGCATCCTTCGCAATACCCCCAGCCTTGGCGTCCTTCATCTCGACATACCCGTCAGGTCTAGTTCTCGTCCAGACAGCCGTCTCTTGGTCATTCCGTGCTCGGAAAGTAATCTCTCCACCCCATTCCCATCGGACACTGGGATCACAGGAATGGTTTGCTAAACACCATAGCGGATGCACGGCACACAGCTCAGGACCACCATCCCATGTCGACAGCCGGCCAGAAGCGGTACCCCGGAACTTGGCATAAAGGGTATTCAAAACCCAGGTGTCGTAGCGCGGAAGAGACTCATAGGGATCGATTTCCATTTCCTCGAGGAAGCGCATTGGCTGCAGTATATTGAGTTGGAATGAGAAGGGCAGAGAGGCCACTTCAGAGCCGGATTGCTCGATATCATATTCATGGAAATCACCCCATATGTACTTGACTTCGGGCAGATCCAACGGATGCACGTCCTGGGTCGCAGACATAGCCAACGCCCGACCAAGTAAAAGCAAATACAAGCAGTCTGCTTTATCCTTCGGGTCAGGGATGTCCTTCCCGATAGACTCTAGACCATCTTCCAGGCCACAGATTGCGCCGTGGTAAACCTTTTGCGCAGTGTCGTGACATGCCTGACTACAGAAAATAGTATCCGCGCAGCCTTCCTCGCACGCAACAGGAGGTTCAGCAGCCGAGAGATCAGGCAAAGGCGCATTACACGCATCACAGAGATCATCATGGAGACGATTTGTTGCGGTTAAAAGCGATGATTCCCTTAGAATAACCTCATCCGCTGCGATATCCTCTTTAGCGAAGAGACCCAGTTGCACCGAGACTCCAGTATCGTCATTTGCTGTGGCACCATGAAGTGCCGGCAACGCCACAGCGCGGACTTCACATTTTGGAGCAACATCTGCCAGTCTTTTGTTGAGATAATCCAATTCTTCTGGAGCGCAACGGTCTGGTTCATGCTCATTCCAGGGATAAAGGACGCGACGCGCGAAGCCCTGCGCCGGTAGGACGGCGGGGTCGATTGATTCTAAAGCCACCTCATCGTTGAATGTGGCACGAGACTGATACACCTTCTTCACATGATCCATTTGGTCATGTAAAATTGTAGAAGTTGTGGTACTATTGACCTTGCCTGTGTCCAGGTCACCGAGAAGTTCAATGCCACGAACCCCAAACTCATAGGCATCGCGGTAGCAGCCACAGCGGACCAAACTACACACAAGAATGGTGTAGACCTCTCCAATTAGGGTATTATATTCTTCTTCCGTCACTGAGACGGTACTCTGATCTTGCTCCCCTTCCTCTTCATCCTCTCCGCTATCCTCGGCGGTGTTCTTGTCTTCGTCCCGGTGGGTCTGGTTTTGAAGAGTACTGTCAACTTTGCGTCTGGCGTGAAATTCATACATATCGGGATCTACCACAGACTCCAGCAACGACAGTGCGCGGTAGGCGTCGGCAGCAGCCAGATCGGGGAAGCCAAGTTGCTCATGAAGGCAGGCTCGTTCGAGGTAGAGGTGCGGATTATGCGGGTCCTCGTAAAGCTGAGCGGTCTTTTCCGCTCGGGCTTGCAGTAATGCAGCCATTGTAGAGCCTTCAAGTAAACACTTCAGTGTAGTTGTGAGAGTAAGAATCTTTGATAAATTCTCTCGGAGCAGAATTTCTATGTGGGGGTTATCCGTTCCAAGGTTTCGGTGGATCCGCGCGGGGGGGGGAAAGCCCTATAGGAACAACTGGATCGGCGTTAACGACTTTTATACTACGTGACGGAAGCAAGAGCTGAAGAGTTGGAATTTGTAATCATTTTTAACAACCTTAGGAATATTGCCATTCTTATGCTGGGATTTCAATTGTTCCCATTCCAAAGAAGATAAAGCCCCCCCTCACGCCCAATTCCATGCAATCCGTTAAATCATTCTGTGAATTATGAACAGTAAAATAAAATCAAACATTACTATAATTACCTTGCAAGTGGATGCCAGTCACATCACCTGTCTAATATGAGCATGCTTTACAGCCATATTTCGGAAGAAGCGGAAACCTACCAAACAGTTTTCGTCCAGGACAACGGTGGCCCCTTCGCCTCCACCTACACCCTCGATACCCCCTTCTAAAGTTTGGCGGCCTCGAAGGGTGGCAGCAAGTCGGGTAAGCATGCTTCTCTGTCGAGAATAGTTAGTAATCTCCCGAGAGTCCGCTGAATATCACATACAGTTATATAGGCTTCGCTCATACCACCTCGACGATCAACATCATTCTGGCTTATGATACGGTAACTATCCTCAAGGCGCTTGCGACTGGAAAGTCCACCGACATTGTGAACATTCGAGCCAAGTGCATTCGCCGGGTTATCTGGGTCGAGAATATTGATGCCTTGTCTGGCTTGCTCTTGGGCATTTCGGTCTGGGTTGAAGATCTTGATAGTACTGTCAATGCCGGAGACGGCCATAGTTGGCTCATATGGGTGACCTGAATTGGTCAGTCAGGATCTCGAATCGCTAAATCATCGTCACTCACCTTGCACGACATTGACGACCTCACTGTCTCCTTCGAGTATATTCACCAAGTTCGCAGTCTTGCGATCCCACATGAACACATGGCCCGAGTCGCTGCCACTTACTACATATTCATCATTCAGCCCAAAGAAGTTCACGTCCTTGACAGTTTTAATATTGCAGTGTCCCCGATAAACCTTCGTGTGAGATGAGCAGGGGGTGTCCAGCTCAACATCTCCTCGACGTCCCTTACGGGCCCCAGAACGTAGTGAAACAGGAATTTCAGCCTCGGAATCTTGTTCGCTGTCATCATCGAACCCAAACTCTAATTCATCTGGACCTGCTTGGTCGATCTCATCCTGGTCACTGTCATCTGAAATATTATCACTGCTGATACTCTGCCCAGAGTATTCCGATGAGGAGAGGGCTTCCCCAGAGTCGTCTTGCTCATCACCGCCTGGGAGCATCTCGTTTCTGCTAGAACGGTTCGGCCGGGCATTCCTCACAAGGTTGATGGATCGGATCAACTCTTCTGGCTCATCGAGATCAATATCTTCTTGGGATTCTTCGAGAAAGCGTTCCAGCTCAAGATCACTGTCTGATTCGTCCAGCTCGGGCTGTAGCCCACCGAAGGCGCGGTTGACAAAGGCATAGTTGACACATTTTCCAGTTGTCATTAAGAGACCCCTTCCAACCCTCAGGATCCAGAATCTGAAGGCAGACGCCCGGTCCAAAGACCGGACCTGCGACGAAGGATTGGATACACGACGTTTGTCAATGCGAGCAGCAGTTGTTCCAAGATTCTCAAGTGGTAGCTTGACGGCATTTCCAAAGGCAACGACTGCTGCCCGCTGGGTTTGGAATAATATGCGGGTTCTATCGTGCTCATATGGCGAGGCATCGACATTGACAATAGGTGTGTCTCCAGAAAAAGCATGAAGATACGGGATGAGGACTCTTTCAATCGCATCATCGACTTCGTCTTCCAAAATCGGGAACCTTGCGTTTTGTCTGCGATGGCATGATCCACGTTTGAATCCCGCCAACAGCTCTTGTCGACCGCCCTGCAGCCAAAGCAATATGGCCTTCAGAAAGTCGTAGCCAAACTGGGATTCTCGATCAATAGATTCATCTTCACTGGGCGCGGGCATAATCCTCTGGAAATCCCGATATGTATCCACATCGTCCGCTTCTCCGTTCGATGGGTCCTTCAATACACGTGCGAGTGTACCAGCGGCTTGAATGAATCTCCATGATTCTTGGCGGTGGCGACGAAGCGTTTGCTGGAGAATCACGGTATCATGAGATGGGTTCATGGGATACTTCCACTCCCGAATGATAGATTCCATTTTGGGAAGGATATCGGATGCCATCGCCAATGCCGATGCAAAAGACTCGGCATAAAGCGCGGTTTCATTTGAATCCCCGCCCGCTGCCTCACGAATAGTTTCTTCCAGTGAGAACATAGCCTGTCGGAGCTTCACCAGGCCTTTGGAAATGTCCCTGCTTAACCGTTGCGCCTCGTTCAAGACAGAGTATCTTGCTCGTTCCAGCATGTTTTCCGGGGACTCCTCGTCTAAAACTCCCGGGATGGGAATATCGGAAGACTCGCCATTCTCATACCGGACTCTGAGGGTATTGGGATCAGCGGATCGGCGTCGAGAATGATGCCGGTCGCCACTTTCTTGGGAGGACATCGATATAGGCTTTGGGCGCTTACGTTTCCGGTCATGCGATGCTGCCTTGGAATGCTTCTTTGCACTTTTGGATAAGGAATTCTCGTTAGGCGAGTTGTCTCGAGCATCTGGGCTCTGAATGAGATCAAAACTGTAGATGTGGTCGCCAGACCAACTGACAACCATTTCGTCGGGATTTGCGTCACTTATTTTACAAGCGGTGATGTGTCCCTCGTCGAGGTCTCTCATGTGATGCTTGCCACGAGGGGCGAACCGTCGAACACATCGAGTCGCCTTTCCCATGATTTCATCATCGTGAGACCCAACGCTCGGAGTTGACCGGTTAGGGGTTCCTCTTTCCGCTACCATGTCGCGGCCAAGCATACGTCGATCATGGAGGAAGCAATGCACGTGTGCACCGCCAAGGGCAATGTAGTGTGGCTGGGACGGAGAGCACGAAATTGTGTTTAGATCCAGGCTAAACTTCTTGTAGGAGATAAGGGGCGGGGGAACGTTCGAGTCATCGTGATCCAGGCCAGGCCTGTAGGCCATGAAGCCCTGGCCACCATTGGGCGGGGGATACGCGGAAGTCGGCTGGCGCAAGTCCCACTGTCGAACCTCACCATCTTCTGAACAGGTTAGAAATAGGTACGGGGAGGACTCGACGACAATTCGCTTCACACGGTCGGCATGACTCCGGTAGACCCTCGCATTTGTGTTCCCTTCGCTCAAATAACGGGCTCCATCAAAGAAGCTGTTGAAACGACGGCTCCTCGCCGAGGCTGCGAAAGCGGAAGTGGCAGCGACGTTGCCACTGCTGCTGGAGTATTCGATGTCGAAAACACGCACCTGCGAATCACCGGCACAAGTGACTAAGGTTCGGTCGTTCGAATGGGGCATGAACTTGACCGAGAAGATGTTGGCCTTATGGCCTGTATGCACGGTGGTGTTCAAGGCAAATGGAGCATCGGAGGATTCAGGTTGGTAAGAATAGATGTTCAAATGTTGATCATCCGAGCCCGAGGCCAGGAGACGTCCTGAACGGGACCAACTGCGACCGTATTAGCGGCATTCAGCCAGCCAGGCCATAATCTGTCAATGTGAAAGCATACCTGAGGGCGTTCACGCAGCCTGTATGTCCACCAAGCTCGTTCACAATGTCAAGATCGCTGACCCACTCCTTGGAACCGTAAATGTCCCGGAGTCCGGCACGGGCAGATAAGCCCCCGCATTCTCGGCGCCAGAGGCGGTCGAAGAGCGAATCTCTCATGCTGGCGAGTGACCGCGATTGCCCAAGATGAAAATTTGACTAGGGGCGACTGATGATCATCCTGGGTCGCAGTAGCCGAGGCAGATGCTGCAGGTTTGGTCTTTTCGCTCTCGGTTTTTTTCTTCTCGTGATGAGGATTGTAGATGACGTCAAGGACGGGATAGCCGAGCGATAGGAATGACGCGATGAACAAGAAAGAAATAAAAAGTTCAGGAAGAGATGAAATGTCTGCCACGTTATTCAGAAACGAAGAGGGCGAGAAATCCAAGCGATAAGGACTCTCAGGAACTGAAGATGCGAGAGAACCTGTTTCAAAACGGTATTTGTCCACTAACGGTCTAGGCCAGGGCTGACTCATCCGTTGCAACGTGAAGCTTCATCTCAACATCAACCACTTATGGTTCGATCATCTAGTCCCAGTAGACTCTACGAACAACAATTTTATAAATGACGTGAACCGGACCTGTGGACAGTGAATATTTGTCAACTACTAGTATATACATATCTTTGTTCGGATTTGACCATTGGATCTCCGTCATCAAAAGGTTTCCTGGCCCAAACCCGCCGGCTACAAACATTAAAGATTGAGGAGTTAGTGAAAATCAAAATAATCCAAGGGAAGTTGTTACCTACGCCCATTACTAGCTATGCGCTTGCCCATTTTCAATTCATTCCGAATCCTGCTGACGTATGCAAGGACCTGCTCTCGGGGGCCACCGACGAGGGGCACCGAATTTGGTCAGAAGCCACATAACCCTAGCCCTCCAGTCCAGATGACCACATGTGGTGGTTTAACCTGCCCGCCTCTTTGAGATCTGTGTCTCTGGCCCACGGTCCGATCGGCCATTTGTTAGGCCTTCTCGTGAACCTGAACAGATCCAGCTTTCTCAATAGAGGCGCGCACGGTGTACTGGGTGTCGATCCGGCGACCAGATCGCTCTGCACCGCCAAAGGTGGTATCTCCCCATTGCTATTATCATCAGATTCAATATGCGCATCCAACTCTAGCTGTTCAATCCATCCACCGGGGTCGAGATTCCTGTAGCAGTATTGACTTTTAGAAAATGGAGATTGTTCTAGGGAGGGGAACGCACTTGTAACACCTTTGCTAGACGCTGTCCCAATGCTCTGCGGTAAATGACCCAAGCATGATGCGCATGTGGATAAAGCTAAAGAGTTCAGTCTAGGTCCAATCGCGTAGCACGTCGTCAACTTCCAAGGTGCAGTTCTGAGACATCCACGATACAGGCGGAGGAAATAGATCTGCACGTCGAACAGAACGTCACAGAAGTTACGGAAGGTTCTTAATCAAAGGCTGGGAATATGTTCACCATCGGGAGACATATCGGCAACGTCACTGGGCTCAGCATTAGCGGGATTGAATAGCAATACGGAATGGTGATTATACGCACATAGCCCATAGTCCATGGCAGTTCCGATATCCAGGATATGCTGATCGAGGTCAGTACTAGGGTCCACTGATTCAAGGATGAGGATGTTCGATACCCGTGCATCTTGACCTATAGGTGTCTGAAACAGGGGGTTTGGTTTGTCAGCGTCGAGAACGATGGTAACGGCATGACTGGCGTGGTTAGATGAAATGCGCGTTTAAGAATGGCGGTGAGATACTCACCCAGCTTCTGAACCCTCAAACTGCAGCTCGTCGGCGGGGCTCCTAACGGCTGCCTAGTTCCATGCTGGACGGCATGGTTTCCTCCGCTCATCAGTATAGACTCTCTCATACTTTGATACCGACAGCCATTTTCTACAAGCCCTCGATAAACAGAAGATGTGATAGAGGTAGTTCAACTAGGTGAAAAGTGGTAAGAGGATCGTTGTCATATCCACTTGCGAACATTTGAACGTTCGAAACATGAATTTAGGGCAAAACGCACGATTGGTAGTCAGCATCGGCTGGATCACAAATGTATAAGTCGGGATCCAAACTATGATGCAGGTGATGAGCCTGGCAAATGACCAAGAGAACATGGAAAATACCACTGCAATATGAGGGTTGGCCATGATATAAGTCTTCGGGATGTTTAACGTTGTGGGGAGTTGGAAAGACGGGGTTTCGCCTCCTCCCGTTGCGATCACGGACTTCAATGTTTTGCTATATATCAGGAGTCAGGACGTGTGCCGAGGAATAATTCCATGATAGAACCTTGGAATATTATTATGGGTAATTATGATTTGCCGTGGGTCAAGTAAAGTGTGTGACCGAGCCATGTGAAGGTTTCAATTGGACAAATAATATACTTGGTTGACTTGCTGATCTTTCCGACCGTTGTAAATGGCTCCGCATGTTGGATAGTTTCCGTGGCTTGTCAAAGCAGAATGTTCTCAGAACAAAAAGCCAGGGTCGAGTTCATTGGACAAGGGCACAGTGCACATATATATATGATGAGATGAGGTATATGAAGTTTGAACCTTCTGTCATTCCAATCCCACTGCCCTAACTGTTTATACCATTCAACGGTCGATAGACATAAAATGATGCTAGAAGCTCATTTTCATACAAAGATTGTACTCTGAAAAATGATCATATGCAAATAATGTATTAGGTAATTTTTTTTAAAAAAAGTGAACTATGAGTCTCGGTCGGACACTACTTGCACGAAGCTATGCTGGACTGTCACACCTCCACTCCGATGGTTCGATGGATTTGCTACAGGGTTCAAAGCTTCCTGACTGCTGTTCGCATCGCTGGAAATTTGCGACCGAGGCGAGGATGCAATTTCAACCACAGTCGTTTTATTATTGGCATCGGTGTCGGGGCGCCAATTGCTGGGATCCTGGGAATGTTTCATACCATTACTCTTAAAGCTAGAGAGACGATATCGCCCTGAACTTTGTTCTGGAGTACGGCCATTCCGGCCGTAAGACATGCTTCCATCGAGGAGCCAGCGGAAAAGAGGGCGAAGAGTGATCAGACTACCAGCAGTGATTCCGAGGCCAGTTTCGATGATGGTCCAGATCGCGATTTGATAAGTGGAGTCTACAAGGAAATTAGTGCTCATTCTACCCGAACAGGATTAGGTTTTAGTAGCGCACATAGGAAATCAGGGTCCGCGTAGTAATGGAGGAATGGAAGCCGAATAATGACGGCCACACTAGCACTGATGATCGTTAGCTTGTCCGTCAGTCTCCGGGTTGGAATTTGCAAAGAACATACATGGCTCCCAAGCTGAGAATGCTTCCAACCGCCATCTTTGTTCTGTGATTCATCTGTAAATCCCAAACCAGGAAAATTGGCAGGATGCCAAGGGTGAAATCGCATATGATCGTGAAGGCGCTATAGAGATATGCAATATCGAGTAATATATCCACTGATAGACACTTTCCGGTATGTTCACCATCCACCTGATTCCAAAAATAGGAGATGGGGTGACAGTCCAAAAGGAGAACTAGCCAGAATATCAGACCGATGGCAATGGTCAGCCCGATGACACCCCAGAGAATGATGTGGTGCATTCTCTTCACAGTCAGTCGAAGCAGCGCAACGGCGATTGAGACTTTGGCAAAGGCAGATGCCCAGATGTAAAAGACTTGGCTGAGCCACCACCACTTTGTAAGAAATCCGATTTAGTAACTTTCCAACAAACCAGCAAAATGATTCTTTTCAACCCGTGGATGACATACCGTAAGCGCTGTTTTGTAGACCTCAATACTCGTGAAGTCTACGTATTTGTGACCTACTCCATTGGACGTTCCGACCATACAGCATATTGCCAGGATAATAAAGAGTACCTGAAAGAGCATTAGACAATCTGTTCTCACATGATATTCTGAGAAATTGTCATACCATTGCAACAATCATCAGGATATCATCCCAGCCAAAGGCCCGCACAATGACGGATCGAACAAAACATCTTAATGAAACTGTCACCATGGAGAGAAACATGAAAACGAGCGCCAAGGTAAAGATAGCAAGGCCTCGGCCTTCGAGGGGCATAGGGGTGCTCATTTTGAGCGACTCTCAGTCTTCCGGTTTGAATCGGTAAGGATTATGAACTTTGGACCGGGGTCAGTGATAGGTCATGGCGGTGAATTTGATTTATGACCTCTGGATGAGAGTCCATGGCTTAATTAAGAGTATTACTGAGGGGGGAAATCTCTGAAAGGGTGAAGCTTGGAAGGGCCCGAGCGCATCAGATGGGAAACTGGTACTGAATACTAAGCCTTAAACATCCAAAAGCTGTTCAGGATGTACGTTATTGTCCGCGAAACCCGCTTGATTACCGAGACAGTGGGCGCATCTAACCAGATCTGGTTGTGGTCCAAGTGCTTCGTGAAGAATTCAATTTCCCGATTCGCGGAGATCTGCAGATTAGCTCCGCAAAAAGCGGTAACTGGTGCATTGTATTATTTCCGCAATACCGCGCTATTGAAAGCCGAGCCGACAATACGAGCTGCTAACATGCGCTATGTTCCACTGATGACAGCTGAAAGTGGGCAAGTATCGCCTGTTGAAGCGTTCGATTGGCAGACAGAGGGGTTGACCCATTACTTCCCCCGCTTGATTTTGATAAAGTTTTTTTTTTAGCACCAGCCCCTGGATCTCTTGAAACAATAAGTTGTACTATTCTGAAACCTAGATGATGCGTGCACAACAAATGTCTATATGTAAAAAACATTTGAGCATTTCATGTATATAGTACATCTCGCAGGTATTCATGTATGACATCTGAACAGTAGTATATGAGGGTTGAAAGCAAAATTGGTTTTTTTTTCCGACCCACTAACATTTGGTTGAGAGGATCCACAATCAAAAGATCGACGCGGCTCTTGAGAACTTAAAACGGATTTCTGGCTGCAATAGGAGGTAAATTCTTAATGCTGGGTTTTGCGCGCACAATGTAGAAGCGCCGAACCGGCATTCTCCGAAATAACCCCCCTCTTCCAAGGTTCCATGGCTCTGAACGCCCTCATTTTGTAAACTCTGGAAGCGCCAAGACAATTAAAATACCTGGTCTATATTTCAATTCGTTGAAAAGGGGTAAAAGATAAATGATCACATCGAAAAATAACAGAGAAACGAAATCATCCAAACATTGAAAAAAAAAGACATGTTATTGTTTATTGTGGTAGCTACTAGTAGACATCCAGGCCAAAATATAAAGCCTTAAGTAGGAATAGGGAACTCAATAGGGGTGGAAACGAAAACAAGACGGAGCATATTGATGAAGTTTCAATGTGAATATTGCGAAATGAGGTAAAGTTCCAAAGTTAATACCATCCAGATAAACCCCTTGATCCGCCTCGTAGATAGAAACTCAGGGGCACCAGAGAAAGATCAAATGGCCATGGAAGGCAGTGATGAATATTCAATTCAAATAATAATCGATCTCTTTATTGGTGGTAACCAAAGAGCTAATCTTCAAAGATTAGGATTGCAGTCATCAACTATACTATTGTACAATAAGTCTTCTGCACAAGGCCTAGATGACGATTGCTTCTTGTTAGTCCAAGGCCGAAATAAGTATACAAGTATTAGTCATGGAGAACAATCCATGCTGTTTAATCAGTGGGCCAAAATAAAAAATTCGTCTTGTCATTACCTTTTGATATTGGTCTATGCACGACCGTTGACATCTCCAGTGGGTTCCTGGTTCTCGCACCTAAGCGAATTTGATGCTAAAGAGTCAATTACTGCCTCACTGCTCGTTGAGTATTAGTAGGTATTTGTGTTTTGAATGTGGGAGATCGTGGTAGAACAAGTCGTTGCTTTGAGGTAAAAGAAATATCCAACAGATTATTTAAAGGCTATTCTTTAATGAACCAAGGAATAACTTTCAAATCATCTTATCCAATACATTATTCGCGCAGAAAAAGTTGATAGACGGAGAACCAAAGAGCTAACACGACCATTGACAGTGAGAGATGCGGTGTAAGAAGCATCTAGTCGTAGCTAGCGGACACATTCACGCCCATGATGATCCAGCAGAAAATACCATCCTGGACTGAGTCGCCGAGCAGGGCAGGGCATATTCGAAGAACAGATCCGAAGGGGAGTCCTTTTTCTCGACAATAACGACGTGGTCATCAACATTCTCGGTGATATCGACAGTGTTGGTGTTGCAAGAGAAAGTGGCCTCAATTTTCGTGATCAGATCATGATCAAAGAAGAGTTGACCGATGTGAGAGATGTGACCGCTAGTGAGGGTGTTGTTGGCCAATTTGTGGGTATTTGTGTGGGCAATGACGTGGACGTGGGTGGCACGGCCAGATTAGTGTCCGGGAAACAAGATATTGAATTGGGCGACGCCGTCAGAGCCTGTCTTCTGAATGCCACGCAGGAAGGTCTTATTCAAATTGGAGGCATCGTCGCCGTCTCCGTTCATAGAGCTCTGGACCCCCGAGTAGACACACGTGCAGTTGCAGTTCCAAACGTCCCACCAGAGATCCTTGATCGGCTCGCAAGTTTTGATATCGATAGACTGCCCATCCAGGATAAGAGATATACCCGCCTAAGCGTTGCGGACATCGTTGCGGACAAGCTCGCGCTTGAGCTAGAAGGGGCCTACCTCTCCTTCTGGCGACAGGATGCAGGTAGGGTTCTTTGAGAAGAGCTCCAAGTCGGCGGTGTTGGCGGAAACCTGGAGGCTTGAGTGGTGCGAGCTGTGGACGATCTTGTCGGTGTCGCGGGAGGAGACAGCACGTTTCTCATTTGCCTTCATCATGGCAGCACGACGGGCACGTGCGCGGTCGTTGACACAACGCTTCTCTCCAGGTGATCGGCGCAGAGATCCAAAGAAGAGCGAACGTTTCTCAAAAAGTCTCTCTTGGACGCAACAGAGGACGAGCTGGGCTAGTGGGCTCCAGGGTGCGCCATGTAGAGGCCACTAAGGACAGCAATTGCGATCCTTTGGAAATGCATAGCTGGGAATGACTTCGAAAGAAGACTAAGCGATGTTTTGAAATGCCTTGAAATGCGAACTGATTCAACCCAAGTTCTAAAAACGCAGCACGTCTTTATGCCTAAGGCATATCCACTGTTCGAGACTTGTGCACTTATGTCTCACTATGTTTGGGTACAAAGTGGTAGTACGTCACGGTTAATGTGAGCAAGACATATTGGCGCTGGAGTGCCCAGTGGATGTCTCTCCACCAGTTCATATGTGAACTGGCGAATAAGATCCTTTCGATTGGATTCAAATGAGTGTCGAGTTGATATTTATATTGAAAATGGGCAAGTCTCACCGGAATAGGTACGCGATATGGGACCTGCAGTGATCGTCATTTAAAGATTCCCCAGTGGGCTGACCTGACATCTTGAAAATAATTCGGGCAGTGCCAGCCACAGCTAAAGGGGTGGATGCGTCCATTGGCCAGAAATCCCCAGTAGAGATTAATTAATCTGAGCAATTCTCGGGTTCTTCCTTGGAGGTTGCATCTCAAGTTAGAATGGTCTTTAGTTGTACACCTGGCCAGTCCGCAAGACGCCTGTATACGTGCACGAATTTTGCTGTAATTTTCAGAATGCATATACATAGCCACAAAATTTGAAATATGGAGCGATGCACTGCCGAGATGCCTCCAATCCGAGGCGTGGTGCAGTGCGCAGCCGTGCTTGAGGACTCAATTTACCAGAATATGACCCATGGAAAGTGGCGTGCTTCTAATAGACCCAAAATCCATGGTTCCATCATATTGCATTGGTTGCTGCTATCACATGAGCTGCAATTTTCTGTCATGCTCAGCTCCATTGCTGGAGTGGTCGGCAACCGTAGCCAGGCTATTTATGCAGCTGGCAATACAGTTCAAGATGCACTGGCACACTACCGCGGCAGCTTAGGGTTGCCAGCAGTCAGTATAGACCTCGGTCTGATGCTTGATATCGGTTTAATCGCCGAACGTGGTGGGGCACCCAATTTGAAGAAATGGGAGGCAGTAGGCATTCGCGAGGTGGAGTTCCATGCTCTCTTAACAGCGGCGATGACGGGCTACTGGAGCGGCTCGCCGGTCCCTACACAGCTCATATCAGGCCTACCAACCGGGGGTATTCTTCAAGCTGAGGGCCTAGATCATCCCTTTTAATGTTCTCAGTCATGGATGAGCAGCGCCACGCCGCCCATCGACGCAAGGTCGCTTCTATGTTTAGCATGACTTCAGTGGTCGCATACGAGCCATTTGTCAACACCTGCAACATGATGCTCGTGAAACAGTTCTCCGAGCGAGCTGCACGTGGCGGGAGCGTGGCTATCCACCGTTGGATGCAGTACTACGCCTTCGAGTGATTGGAGAGATAACCGTGGACGATAGGGTAGTTACCACCGGCATCGATTGGAACCGCGGGGTTGCAAGACACTTTTATCATGTTTGCAAATCGGTCCTCTGGGAGCAATCTCTCCAGACGGTCCAACGACTAGTGGATTGCCATCGTCCATTCATTGCTGCGGTAGTTCAGTGAGACCTCCCTTTCAAAGATTGAGTACCGGATCCCTGCCTGGGACAGTTAGCAAGGAGGAAACGAAAATGGATAAAGACAATAAATTTTTACTTGTTTCAGCGATTGAGCAAGAGCGAGCCCAGTGATACCGGATCCAATGACGAGGACGTGCATGTCCTGCGGCGTTGTTTGGGGGGCTGCCATCCTTGTTGGGAATTCTGAGCGTTGTACTTTGGGGCTTGCAAGAGTTCGGTTGCAATTTTATCAAACAGAATATTATAAAATCAGCCGTCACACACTTTGAGGATTTCCAGCTTCCAAATATCATACCATCATAGTGTAGGGGTGTCACTCACTTCGGGCGGTTGATGCCGATGGACCTCGGATTCCGAGTCCCTCAAAGTATACCCCCACTATCCTATGCAGTGAATTGGGCCCAAATCTCAGTGGATTGGACGAAACTATTGAGTATCTTGGTGAGGTAAAAAACTTAAAGTGTCAATACTTGTTTTACAAGTATCTAGTTGAGTGGCGGAAAGGTTGTTCAGGCCTCCGACTTCTCTCACATTGGACGTGCGGGAACCTCATCTTCATACTCTCTCAGTCTAGGAAATCCTCCAAGATACACATCTGAACATGGATATCTCGGAGTTATTCCTTTCTGGCACGCTTTCCGTCAAATTAGCATCCATTGCAGGCCTTTCAGTCTCACGTGTACGCTCAAAGACCCCCTTGGCCTTTTAGTCCTTCGTACTTCCCAGGTTCCTACTGACTTTTACATTTGGCCTAGTCACTGACCTGGGTTTTTCTGCAATGCCTTTATAATGCATTAATGCATCCACTCCGAGCACATCCAGGTCCTATACTCTGGGGCGCCAGCCGATTGCCGTGGTGCTGGTATCAGTCACGGGGAATTTTGAATCGAAAATTGCTGGAGCTTCATTCGAGATATGGTCCGACTGTTCGAGTGGCGCCGAATGAGCTCTCCTTTAACTCTGAGGCGGCTTGGAAGACGATATATGGCCCCAGATCAAATGAAACGGGAAAAGATCCCGTTTTCTCCCTCCATACCCCGACCGGGGTACAAAGTATGACGATCTGGCGTGATACTTTGTGACATTCAGGCTGACTGATCCAGATATTCTTACTGCCGACAGGCCTACTCATATGAGACAGCGACGCCTACTCTCCCACGCGTTTTCCGAAAAGGCCTTGCGCGAGCAGGAGGGAATCATACAGAGCTACGTGAAGGTTCTTGCAGACCAGCTCTCATCCAAATCGACCTCGGGCCCGTTGAACTTGGTCGACTGGTTTAACTTCACGAGTGAGTCATTTCATCGCATCCTAATACTGCTGTTAACGAATTTCAACTAGCATACGATCTTATCCGAGACCTTTCGTTTGGCGAAAGGTTCAACTGTCTAGATGAAGGCCAATATGACGGCTTTGTCTCTTCTATCCGGGATATCTCAAAGGAGCTCATTTTTATCCAAATGTTCAAATACTACGGTCTCCAGGCACTTCGAGGCATATTCACTCCACAATCTATCAAGGGCTCGCGTGCACAGAACATGAAGCGTGTGATGGGCGTGGTCAACCGACGGGTGGAAAAAGCGACCGATCGCAAAGACTTCTTGCACTACATTCTGGCTACCATGGAATCGGAAAAAGGCATGTCTCGGGAAGAGATGAATGTAAATGCCTTCAGCTTCAGCATCGCAGGCTCCGAATCGTCGGCAACTGTACTCAGTGGATTCTTCTACTACACACTCACCAATCCAGATATCCTAAAAAGACTTCTAGCGGAGATACGGGGAGTAATGGGGCGCTGGCTGCCAGAGACACAAAATCAACACCCCTACAACCAGGATAACCGCAACTGCGTGCAACCATTTTTCTTTTGGTCCAAGGAACTGCCTGGGAAAGAACTTAGCTTGGGCCGAGACACGTCTTATTGCGACGAAGCTTCTGCTTCAATTTGATATGGAGCTGGATCCAAGAAGCAAGGGATGGGCTGATGATCAGAAAATCTTTGGGTTCTGGGTTAAGCCGCCATTGTTGGTTCATCTGAAGCCGAGGGGCGGGGACTCGGAGTAGGCTCAGTTGGAGCACCTCGCGCGAAAATATTTATCAGACTTGAAGTTGTAATCACCCACAGTCCACATACGTGCGGGTACAGATATACAGAATTCCCATGGTTATTTTCAAAATTGATATGATCATATCTGCTTTCTCAATATACTTTAAGATTCAATCTATTAGTACTAGGTAGTAACACCTTTGCGTCCGTCTGGTCAACTGGTCAGTGCCACCAGTCCGTCGCAGCGCAACATTTGAACTGCAGACTCACACATGCATGTATAGGATCTTGTTCAAGTTACCCGCGATTATTTTATACTTCCAAGGCTCTCCAGGGCAATTTATCAACTTTTCCCCAGTGTGGACTACATACAGTCTCAAAATATGAAAAGAGATTTATTTGATGTGATGGGAAGAGTAAACATTGAATTATTTGTTCACTGGGAGGCTATTTAAACTGAGATACCCACTTGAGAGCCTTATCAGCTGCAACCTGGTCCACATACTTCTCTCCCTCGGTCGGGGGAATGGCAACACGCTTACTCTCCATGTCAGCGATATCATCCTCGCTCACGGGCACTGTCGCAAACCGTCGCAGGGCAGCCTTGTTGACTTCCGGAGTCAAGACCGTCCCTTCCCCGATGAGCTCTTCCAGGTGTGCAAAATAGCGGACGAAAGCTCCTGGCGTGATGGTGTTCATGAAAACAGCCTCCTCATCAAAAGGATTACTGAATCGATGAGGCAGTCTGATTGGAATTACCACCAGGTCTCCAGCTTTGGCGTCAACGTCCGGCCGACCGGGGCTGTGGAAGCGAACTCTTCCCTTCTGTTTTGAATAAGCTTCAAAGTCGAGCCCAACCGAGCTGATGCATTTCATACCGTCACGTAGAATCCCTCATCGTGCATCTCATGGAAATGGAAGACCGGTCCGTCGCTGTTAGGGGGAAGTAGGCTTTCGATGGCAGCCAGACGAAATTGTGTGTTAGAGCCGTCTTCCATGATACGATAAAGGTCTACACGCAGATAATTACTTAGAGTGCCCTTCAAATATTTGAACTGTCATGTCATCAGGATAGTTCTTACATTGGCCCAATCGCCGCCATGGCGTTTTGTCTGGCCGATAGTGGTTGATTTTCAGCGTGCTCGCATATTCTTGATCAACTTTGTCTGCCATGGCGTGTTAATGTCCAGATTACTGTTGTCTTGAGTTTCATGTGTCTTAGCGTTAGTAATTTATACATCCTTACGCTCAGCTCTAAGTGTCATATAGATCTCGGTTCCATCGCGATGTGCAAAGTGCCCGGAGTCTCGGGGCCCGAGATATGCGTCGTTGATCAGTTGACGGTTGGCGAGGCATCATTGTGCCCAAGAAGCAACGCGTCATGTAATTGATACAGCACATCTCAAGGCAGCTCATCAAATTCGGAATGCGGAGAACCTGCGTCTTCTATTTGTCTATCTTCTGCTTCAATAATCACTTCACTGGAAAATACTGCAAACATTTTGAAGGAACGTTCAAATTTTGGGGGCGAGTCAGGGTACCATTGTTTGCTGTGAGCTTCGACGCAGGACCTTTGGAGACGAGGGGAAAAAAAGCACATTTCTAGCTCATGTCGGATCGGACTGACAAATCCAGTTTGCGCAATCTTTTGCGATACATCTTGCCGCCTTTGCAAGTCTTGATGATCGGGCGAGGGATAAAATCATAGAAAATGCGCCTGATGTTCTTTCCTGAAACGTTGACACACCAGGTTTGATAACACAGCTAGATCAGATCCTCTATCTCGACAAGTGCATGCTCGACTGACCTATATCTCAAAAAATCTGCTCAGCAATGCCCCCACGGTAACGAAAATTTTTCCTTTCGCATCATTTTTACTACACTGCCGCAGAAATTGGCCCCATTACGGAGATTCAAAGTGAAATTTTACCGACCTTTCACTGACTTTCGCTCAAGATTTATCATCTCCTGCCGGGCTCAACTTCCCCTACGATATCACTCCGCGGATACAATCTGATGGTCACGATCCTGAAGCCATGGACATGGACAAGAATGAAGGGAATGAGATTACCAGTGATAATTCTGCACTACATACCGACACCTTCGACTTCCAAAAATTTCCACACCACCACGCGCCACTAGTAATTATAACAAGACCGCCGTCAATTTGGGAATGTCGGAGCCAGTACAGCAATATCCCGAAATCGGTGATGTGAAGAAATTCCTCGAAGATTGCCTCGAGGACATACACTCAAAGCTTGTCGAAACTGGCAACATGGACACTCCCTTGGGCAAAGCTTTCGCCTGCATATTCGAAAATCCGGCCACCGTGTATGAGGTAGATGAGAAAAGCCCAGCATCTAACATCTCGACCCAGTCTCAAGGTTCTTCTGTAAGAAGCTCAGTTTATTTTCATCTTTACTCACGTCCAAGACCATTGGAGCTACAGCAGCATTGAATCCGGCTCGGGTTTGCTGCGAGTGGGTGCTGTTGGAGACTTTGTGCTACACACGTTTAGGGATTGTTGTTCGCTGACCTTGGCTGGCCGTACCAGCCCAAGAGCTCTACGCCGTTTCGCGAGAGGGAGCCGAGAATTTCCAACCGCTTCCTGTCAATGGCGCCAAGCCATGGAAGTATCTCCAGAAGATAGACTTAGCACCTCTTGGTTCGTGGACTCTACGTCGACAGCTCCTGGACGCTCTGATGCGACGTAAATATTGCGCTCACGATATTTCCGCTGGCGCAGATGCTTTCGGAGTTGGCTAGCGTTCGAATGCTTCTTCGCACATACTCGCATGCAGGAAGCGATTCTGATCTTTGCATTTTCCTTGGGCCAATGCTGATAGTCTGTCTGATGCGCAACACAATCGCATGCATGATGTATAACTGTCATATTTGCCATGTGGCTGTCACGACTGGGAAGGACTGGCAATGATTGAGGACGATTGAGGTTATGGCTCTAAAGAGCAGCTCATGCAATAAATTTGAATCTAGCAGGTGCTAGCTAGAAATATCGATGATAGAAGCTAATATAAGCACAAAAACGTCACCCTCGTCCACGCCGCGTATTTGCATAGAGTAACTATCGCGTCTATAGACAGGGATGAAAGAGAGGAGTGTTTCTCCGCCTCCCCGATTGGGCTAACTTAGATTGTGTTTTTTTTTTCAATTCTTCTATCGTAGTCTGGATAGATGAGGAATACACCCGCATCTTGCTAAGCTTTCGGTCTGATCCCTCACGAGCAAGGGTTTCCTCTGCCCAGCGTTCTAGCACCCTAGGAGTAACTGGAAGGCCCCAATCACGCATTTTAGCAACCCAACGTGCTAAACTTGCTTCTTGATCAGGATCTAGGGCTCTGTTTGGAGGGACTATCTCCTTTAATCCGAACTTAACGCGTCGTGCAAGGGTCGTCCGATCGACCCCGAATTCCCGCGCAATTTGGGACCAAACAGGTTTTTCGATCAACCGGGCCTTCTGGATGGCCAGATCGAGGGCAGAAACGTCGTTTAGATGCTTTTGGCATGTTGGGCGGCGTTGGGAGGGTAAATTTGATCAAAAGTGCGAGAATTGAAAAAGTGAGCAAATTGCCGTGGCGCACTGACCCGCTTTCGCGTGTCGGTGCGCCGTCGATTCAACAGAGGGCACGGATATGCACCCGTTGACGTGGCCAATGAAGGCCCCCGGGGCCACGGTGGGGGCTGCAATAAGACGCTCGATAGGGATGGCCATATGCACGATACCAGCGGTCCTTGGTAAATTTGCTTCCATGGCCATAGATCTTTTGCAGAGCGGTAGGACTGGAAATACTGTATCGATTGGGAGCGATGCGTACGACGGGACCTTGGAAGGATTAGACCCTGAACACTCGAACACAATTAAATCAGGTTCAGGAAATACGAACCATATTTTTCGTGGAGCTCGACATTGATCTGCTCGAAATTGCTCTTGGCGCCAATAGGCCCCAAGCGGGGAAGATGGAAGATGACTACAATATGTAGGCTGACAGCTTCACACAAAACGTATGTGATATTGGGTATGGGGGGAGAAAAGAGAGAAGGAGCAGAAGATCTAGAGGATATGCCCCCAGACCCAAAACTAAGCTAGTCCTAAACGGGATGCCAGCGCTGCTCAGGTCACATGATATGACCCAGGGACACCGACACACCCCCGCAGCGCGAAAGCTGACCATACAAAGCACAAAAAGGGCCCCTTTGTCTCAGAAAAACTCCAAAAAACGCATAAGATACAAATCAACCTCAGTTTCCTCATTGGGCCTAGCGCGGCTTACGTCATGAAGCCCGCCGCTGCACTACTGCAGCCCCAACAACTCCACAAAGGTAGAAAAGGTGGCAATGTCGAGGATTTTCGTAAATCCATCTGCCGGATTGTCCTTGCTGGGTAAAACAGTCAATTTGACTGTTCTTTTGGTGATTTCGTCACGCACAAAGTGGTAACGAATGTCGAGGAATTTTGTAGCAGGTTTGTAGGCGATATTCGCAGTTTCTGCCAGAATTGCAGCATTATCGCTGTCCATTCGAATCTCCACGGGTTCATTTCCTCGAATCCCCATCTCCTTCATTAGGTGTGATAAGTAAAGGGCGTCCTTTGTAGCCCGGTCCAAGGCAATGTACTCGGCGCATGTGGAAGATGGGGCAACAAGCTGTTGGCGTTTTGAAGACCACAAGATCGGAGTACCGTCGTAAAAGAAGACACAGCCGTCAATAGAACGGCGTGTAGGGATATCGTTGGCATGTGAAGCGTCCACATACCCCACTAAACCCCGCATGTCGTAACCAGCAGCGTTTTTCAACTTGTGGGGCCCAAATTCGAGTCCTTTCTCAAGGGTCCCCTTCAGGTATCGAATAACCTGTTTTGACAGCTTCATGGATGCTTTTGAAGGTGTAGACGCTGCCCGTTGCAGCATGGACACGGCAAAAGAGATGTCTGGCCTGGTCTTGTGTGCCAGCCACCCTAGCTTCCCAATACGGGTAGCAAGGTGCTCCCTGTCCGTTTTGTCCATTTCTACATCAGAATCCATTTGTGCCACCCCCTTTTCCTTTTCGAGTGGTTTGGTGCCCAACGGGATGGGTATTTTGTTCGAGGTCATGTTCGTCAGACCTTCGGTGTCGATGAGGTCACGAATGTACTGAGCTTGGTTGATTTTGATCGTGTATGATTTCGGGGTTGTGGAGGTCTCGGAGGAGGATTCGATGGAGGATTTCGTGTTTCCTGGTTTATCAATAGTAACAGCACATCCAAGGAATTTTGTGGGTTCACCAAGGTCTTTAATGACCACAGCACGCCCGATTTCCTCGATAACAGCGTCATTTTGGTCCTCACTAATCACAAAAGCGTCGTCGACGTAGATGATAATGAAGCATCCGTCTCGTACAAAAACACACGGATCGAGGGTCAATCCTCGGAATCCCATGCCCTCCAAGATATCCTTGAATTTGTGAAACCAAAGGTGTGCAGCCTGTCGAAGTCCGTACAAAGCACGCTTAATAAGACTCACATAGCCTTTTCTGTCGAATCCTGTCGGCATTCTCATGTACACGATCCTGTCGTCAATAGCTGCATTCAGGTAGGCGGCTACCATGTCAAATTGTCTGATAGACCAACCTTCTCTAGCTGCAACAGCGTAGAGGATCTTCACACTCTGATCGTTGGCCACAGGTGCGTAGCTTTCGTCAAAATCGAGTCCTTGCTCCTGACGATTTCCACAAATCACCCATCGTGCCCTGAATTGAGTCACAAATCCTTTGTTGTCACTTTTGAGGTCGAAGACCCATTTTCCTGGTAGAATCCTAGCTTTTTCAGAGGGGTATGGGACCTCATCCCATGCACCTGCTACTGCCAATTTATGCAGCTGCTCCTCCATAGCTTCCATCCAGAAGTCTGAATATTGAGAAGCACACGCTTTTCTGTAGGTGAGGGGTATCTTGACCGTCCACGCTTTCAAAGAGTGCAGAACGTCGATTTCACCTGCTGGCGGCATATCCTCATCTTCAACGAGGGTGGCAGCCATAACAGCTGCGTCAATTGCCATATTTGCAGCTTTCTCCGCATCAAAGTCCTCATCACCGTAGCGTGTCGTCTGACGTTTTCCCCTCGTAGAGCGTGTCGATTTCCGAACTGTGGTAGGTGCAGGCTCAGGGGATTGCGATCTGGGAGTAAGTTGGGACTCCGAAGAGGTTTTTCTGGGAGAAATCTGGGAGTTTGAAGGCTCTTCCTCGGGAGGGGCAGTAATAAGAGGGATAAGAGGGGTCTCCTCAACCTCGAAGAACTGCGGATCCTCGGCTTCATGTGTAACCTCCACAACCGTGTGTCTGTAAGCGGATCTGATATCCGGGGTAAATTTGGCGATATTGACCTGTTTAGCAGCGATTTCAGCGCGTTTTTGCCATAAATCACTTGATTTTTCGTCGTCTTTGCCCTCCCAAAAGGCAACATCTCGCACAGTGGCGATTTTGTTGGCAATAGGGTCGTAGATCCTGTAAAGGTGACCATTTTCACCCCTGTAGCCGACAAGGTGCCCTGCCCATGCCCTTGGCAGCATTTTACGGCTCTTTACCCTCTTCTCAGGGGGTACGTTGACGTACGCCTTGCAAAACCAGATTCGGAGATGGTCGAGGCTTGTTGTCTGATCTCTGTCGTCCATGCCTTTCCGCCACATTTCCATAGGTGATTCTTGGGTCTTTCGAGTCCGTAGGCGATTTGTGATGTAGGCAGCTGTAGATAATGCCTCAAACCAGAGGGTTTCAGGTGCGCCGGCATCAATAATCATTGTGCGGGCTATCTGCATCAAATACTGGCCTGACATCTCACTGACGCCGTTTTGCTCATGCATGTAGGGGGCAGAAAGCTCGATCCTGATGCCTGCAGATCTTGCCCATGTGGTGAAATTGCAAAATTCTCTGCCGCCGTCGTAACGCATTTCATGGGGATAGGAACCTGAGCTGTTTTTGACCTTTTCACAGAAATCCTGGAGGTGGCCGGAGGCCTCAGCTTTACTTTTGAGACCTTCCACAAATCGACAGCGAGAGTAGTCATCCGTGACTACTAAGGCATGCTTTTCAGCGTTCACCCCCATAGGTTTAACCTCTTGTAGGTCAACATGAATAAACTGGCCAGGCCGAGTTGCCCTGGTTTGTGGGGTCCTGGAGACAACTTTCTTGGATTTTCCCAGTTTGCAGGCCTCACAGTGGAAATCTCTGTCTGCGTCGATCGGTCCAAAGGCATCTTCATTTGCTCTCATTTTTGGTTGTCCCGCATGTCCGAGTCTTTTGTGGGCGATTTCGGCAGAGAACATGACAATATTAACCTCATTTAGGCCGGTATTGGTGTGTCTGATGAGAGGAACTCCGTGGCTGAAGAAAATGCGGCCAACAATAGCCTTTTCAGGTCCTCGGTCATGAATCGCCATAGTATCGTCGTTATAAGCGATATTCAGCTCACGACGACCCTTGCACGCAGAAAAGAGGTTGAATTTCATTCCTGGAGAGAAGAGACAGTTGATGATAACGTCATAAACATGACCGCCATCTTGGATGAAGGAGATGCGAGCTTTTCCATAGCCTGTAGCTTTGCCTGACACCCCCGGAGTAGCAGAATCCCACTCATGCTTCTCGCCGTTTTTGAATTCATGAAATTCGTCCATAAATGCCATATTCGTGCAGATATGAGCATAACTGCCAGTATCCATTATCCACTGCTGAGTGCATAGGTTGGCAGGAACTGTAATTCTGTGCTCATCCATCCCGGC